TCAATCATATAGTATGCTATAGCAGTCAGAAAGGCGATGGCCGAGATATAGAAGCTCCTAGCAGAACGCCAAATCGCTGATGCATTAAACATGAGAAACGGCCTAAACACGACCGCAATCCATGATTTACTACTGAATTCACTAGTTCTTGTCTAGAGAGAAGGAAATATAGGAAAAACAGGTAATTAGACTAGGCCATATATACTACTATCGATTAAAGACGAAAACTATATAGTCAAACTGCCAAGTGGACCAACAGCATTTCGATCGATAGTGGTCAAACCATTTTATATAGAATCGCCGACTCTAAACCCAGAACTATAGGGAATAGACCAAATTAACCTGATGGCACCAGAAGCCAAAACTGAAACCCTCTCTGAACATACTAGATCATAGCCAGAACCTAGACGCTCTGGCTGAACATGGGTAGATAATCAAGAACAAGAACTTGCCCCTACTCCCTCGCAGCCCACGCAGCCATAGAAGCGTGGCCTAGGCCGTCCACGCAAGCACCCGATACCTATAACTGCCCCTGTCCCTAAAGAAGCGTAAAAACGTGGCCTAGGTCGCCCACGTAAACATTTTCCGCCTATAACTATCTTTTTACAAGAGGAGAGCAGCACCAATACTCAGTTCCGAGATTCAAGACAAAAAGAAATCAATAGGTTACTTGAAAAGGGAGTCTTTGAGCTTATCATAGAAGCCCCACCCAGTGTGCGACTATTTAATTCAAGATTCGTTGACGATATCAAGAATAAAGGCATAGAGCAGGCTTTCGAAAAATCAAGACTAGTCATTTAAGCATATAACAACCAAGAGAAAGACCTGGTTTTGACTTAATCGCCAATAATTCAATATGTCAGTCAGAGACTAATCCTTTACATCGCTGTAAGTCGCCAAGGCATTGCCGCTGAATCCAAGCTATTCCTCCGCGATATCTCCTAGACATATATCCAGTTAAAGACCACACTAAACCGTGAATTTTACGCACGCCCGCCGAAGGAACTAATAGGCCACCTCGGGAAAAACATACTTCTAAAGGTCATTAAGCCACTCTATGGCATCCCCGAAGCAGGAAACCACTGGTTCAGGACATATCACTCCCACTATTCGATAAACCTGAAAATGAACCAGTCGACATTTGACCTATGTCTTCTATATATAACAGATTCGAAAGGATTCGGTATCGTCGGACTTCAAACAGATGATACTCTTATCCTTGTAGATAACAAATTTACAGAAGCAGAAAAACAGGAGCTACAAAAGGCAAACTTCGCGGCGAAAGAACGCGAACAACTAACCATTGAAAATCTACTAAAATTCAATGGTGGAGTCATCGAATTGGCAATAGATGGAAGTATCACCCTTGCGCAGAAGGGCCAATGCGATAAGATCTCCCTTACCAACACCAAAGATGAATATATCGCCAAGCGCGCGAGAGGCGCCTATATAGCTTCAGTATATCAACCTAAAGCTGCGTTCGACTTATCATTCGCTGCCTAAGCGACCCACCTGGACAAAGATGACTATAAGTTACTGAACAAACGGCTCAATTGGTAAAGAGAAAATTCTTCTAGAGGACTCAAGTTCGTCGATTTAGACATAAAATCACTCCAACTTCTTGTCTTTATAGACGCATCATTTGCCAACAACAAGGACCTCTCGTCATAAATTGGCTATATCATTATGCTCGCCGACAAGGGAAACATTCAAATCGACAACACCAAGACTATAGAACCCAGCCAGATTGATAACTTCGCCAACGCTAATATCATTTACTGGAGCTCGATCAAATATAAACGAATCACTAGGAGCGTTTTGGCATCCGAACTTTACGCCATAGTTCATAGTTCAGATATCGCTTTCGCGATCAAGTCAACTTTGGATCAAATGCTAAAGGCGAACTTCCCAATCGTTTTATGCACTAATTCGAAATCATTATACGATTGCCTCGTGCGGCTCGGGTCTACATAGGAAAAGCGCCTAATGATAGATGTAATATGCCTGCGACAGGCGTATGAACACCGCCAAATCGCGTCAATCAAGTAGGTTGATGGAACCTCCAACCCAGCAGACGCAATGACCAAGGCCAAACCGTGCAATGCGTTAACTCAACTTATTGACACGAACAAAATCAATCTGAAGGCAATTGGCTGGGTCGAGCGATCGAATTGAATTTGGAAGTTAAAAATGGAGACTTTGATTTTTAAGGCAGAAGATTGGAACTCAGGACTACCATGCGAGCTTGTGATACTTTGATTTTATCAGTTGACCGCGTTTTACCCCTCTTAAAGTATGCCCAGTGTTGGAACAAATATCAGCTGACATACCAAGATCATGTGATCTTGGCATGGCAGCTACTATATCTTCTTTCACCTGAGCATTTTAGAATGACACTTCACTTTTACCCAATATGCATACACCTATTATATATGTACAGAAACGATATCAATAGCTGTCTGCTTCGGTAATAACCTAGTCAACCGACAGGAATCTTCGGTCTGGCCAACTTCAAACAACAAGATTGAACTCCAATAGCACTCGGTGTGTACAGAATCAGATGTTTTTCTATATTAAAGCCTGGTTATATTCCCGAACCAGGTGCAACAGATAAATGCCGAGTTTTTGCGTGCACCGGGCATCATATGAGATGAGATGATATTCTCTTGATGGTCTCTTCATAGAAAGAATTTCAATGTTCCTATTGCAATATCTTATTGTGTCGATACTTGTTTATTTCTCATGGTACTATCCAATAAAAACACGCCATCATCAATGGCGAAGAGGCGTTGGGGGTACCATACTATGTTTCTGCATATTTTGACCTTCCTCATATTCTAGTCGACTTTCACCTTGACGATGATCGTTGGTATTGAGTAGCCACAGAAAGTAATTTCACACAGCTGTCATCTTCCTCCTCGGTTTTCAATTACGTGCATACAGAAGATGTGATGTCATCACCTAGGCTACTGGCCTAGATTGGGGCTAACTTCGGACTATGTCATTATCAATGCTCACTCTAAGCGTGCTATTATCGCCCCCACCAGGGGCTTTTAGCTTTCCTTCCGAGCTTCCATTGCATCTGGGAAGTTAACTTTATTTTTAAAGCCGATATATTTTGCTTGCCCATGTGGAGACTCGCACTAGTCAGTACTGCTCAAGAATAGAACGTAAACCCATTTCGCCAGTGGTCAGCGAAATTTCGGCAGAGGCTCGCAAGAAACTCATCCGTTGTCGAGACTTGCTAGTGGTCAGGAAAACTTCGGCCGAAGCTCGCAAGAAATTTATCTCAAAATGAAACAAAGTTGGTAATCCTTATTAGCGTGTGGATTCGGGGATGATAGTCTTTGTTATACATCTATGTAGCTGGAGAAATCCTTGGGAGGGTCAAATATGCACAGACAACCCCAGGTAGATAAATATTCACGTCTAGACTCTCGGCTCCTTTATGATCTATAGAGATCATGTCTAGTCCATATCGTAGAAAATCTTGATGCTGAATAATATGAGATGTGGTGACAAGGCGTACGATATTGAAGCATCATTGTAAATTAATTAACTAGTATGAAGATATTTAAAAGCACTCTGTAATTAGAATTATATCGATTCAATGATCTACCTTTCCCGGGGATTGTGTAGTGATTCCCCCCCCCCCCCCCCCCCGCCGTGTCGGTTCTTGGCATTGTGAATTGTTAACCTCCTTCCTATTTCGCTCATTGTTAATTTATAATACCCCCAGAGGTCTGGAGAATTTTGGTATTAGAATTACGCTGTCCACGGCTTTCGGAAACCTCGCAGGCTGGCTAAAACTGGATATAGCATTTCCCCCCGATTTCAACGTCCATTTTAATATATCCAAGTTCAAGTATACCATGCTTTCAGTGGATAGAATCGCGATCCAATTAAAGACCAATTGACCAATGGCACTGAAACTCACGTGAGTTGATAGATTTACCAAGTTGTGGTTAGTTACTTTCCCATACAACCTTGGAACTGAATACTAAGACATTCGAGATTGAAACAATGATAGCCTCTGAGGAGCCATTGTCAAACAAAATAGCTTTTAATTGACGTATCCGACGAGTAATATCGGGGCTGTGTTCGGATAGTCCGAGTTCCAGAGTTGTTTTCTACATGTACACTCCGTAGACACGGGGGAGTTCCGCGATCCGTCAAATGCGATAGTGGAATTTTTGGGGGCCATGGAAATCTTGGTACTCCGTAATTGTTGTCGGTTTGATCTATTCTGGGTCTCCACAGCTCATGAAAATGATCACTAGAATGCACAACATTCACATACTACGATATGAATAATTGTATTATTATTTTCATATGTAAGGAAACCTAGAGCAATCTGTGATGAATTCTCGGAAATCTACACCGTTTACCTATTTAAGTATACGCAGAACCCCCATATGCTTATTTCGCTAGTCCGTCTGGGGATGCAAATCCACATGAGCACTTTATCTTAGGGGCCAGTTATGCCCTCATGGGCCCGGGGCAATGAACTAGATTTCATTCGTCAGCTCTGGGCCCGCCTTTTTAGCTCTTCCAATTCTTTAGCTAGGGGTGTTCTCCTATATTTCGCTTCTCAAAATCATACCATTATTGAATCATATCCCTAGGCATCACTCACAGAGACTACTCTTGATATAAATTCATCGAACATGTCTAGTTCAGCATACAATACTAATGGATCATCATCACTCGCTGAGGATTCATTGTACGCTCGAGGTTTCCCGTTTGATATCGATATGACTTCCTGGGGGGTAACGCAGTCATGGTCAAAGGACGACGAGTTGACTTTTTTCGATGGCCACCAGTCTCTCGAGGGCTCGCAGTATAATCAGTTTTCTTCATGGCCAGGTGCACTGTCAAGCTTTTCCCATTCTCACAACACACGCAGTTTACCCCCGTTGAACTGTGAAGTATATCCACCATTGCAACCCAGAAACATTACTGAGCAAGTCAACTTTTTACCCGGGACTCAAGTCAATAATATGATGATCCTGAATCAACCTCAAGTCCACGACATCCAGTCGAACTCTCACTCTTTCATCAAGGCAGACTTTAATACCGACTTTGGCTTCCAGTCCGATCGTAATCTCACCCCAGAGGAACAATGGACTCCAACACAACTCTCAAGTTCACCATGGTCTTCCACAAAATCGTATGATCCAACGTCTCTACGACCAGGTTGCTTCACCTCCTCTGCCCGAGTACGCAAACCTGGTCCTAAGCGCCGCCAAGTGTTGCTGAGGGGTCGTAGTCGCCGGCAACAAGGCGCTGCCAGTACAGATGCCTCCAGTGGAGGGCAGCGCACGTTTACATGCAGCTTTGCAGCATATGGATGCCAAAGCACATTCATTTCCAAAAACGAATGGAAGCGCCATGTCAGCTCCAAGCACCTTCAACTAGGCTTTTATCGCTGCGACGTAGGCAAATGCAATGAGCACGCCATAATAAACAGCACCTCTACCCAATCGTCCACTTCCCCATCCTCTTCGCCACGAAACTCCTCTCATTCTCTGGGAAAGCTCAACGACTTCAACCGCAAAGACCTTTTCACCCAACACCATCGCCGAATGCATGTACCCTGGATGCAGCCTGGCATGCGACGAGTCCCTACTGATGCAGACTACGAGGAATTTGAAGAAAGTCTGGAAGAAGTGCGCCAGCGGTGTTTCCACGAGCTTAGGCAAGTGCCACAGCAGAGCAGTTGTGTGTTCTGCTCGAGAACTTTCTCGGGTAAGTCCAGTTGGGATACTCGCATGGAGCATGTCGGTCGTCACTTTGAGCGGGATGATCCTGAGAACTTACGTGAAGAGGCCGAGGATGTTGCATTGCGCGATTGGGGGCTTCGAGAAGGCATTTTGGTTTTGAAGGATGGTGGATGTCTTCTAGCCAACTTGATAAAGGGGTGATATCTACGGCTAGGACTGTCCAAGGCTGGGCGAATGATGACTCTGCCGGTATAGTTCAAAGCTGAAGCTTTGAACTTTGGAATTGCTCCACAGGTGTTTTGCTGGAAACCTTGGACGGTTGGATAAGGTCTACTGCCCAGGCAAGTGGCATTCATAGATGGATGAACATATGAATTTAGTTTTATCGATATCTATATCGATGTCTATATCGATAAAGTGTTTAGATACTGATTTTGAATTTATTTTATCAATATCAAGGACCTTGGAAATACCAAAAACAGTTGCGAACTATAATATAGACAAACAAGTGGTACTTTGTGCGATATGATTGGTTAGAATGGCCATTTCTCCACTTATAACGGCCTAGCGCATCATAGAATAAATAGGTCACTTTAACCCCAATTCTCACATTACGGCTTTCATGATTGAACACTGAATGAGCTTTGTCTCAACTCCAATTTTGAAAATTTCCAATACCTCTTCTACTCGCTGCAACTTCAATAGGCATGCCACATACACAATAGCTTGTCCTTTACCTAATCAACACACGAGGCCACGCTACTAGCCATGTGTGTCCTAATCCCGCTATAACATCCAAGGCGCGCAACTGACATAATACCTCTAGGACTGTTTTCTCTCTCATTATAATCAATAAGGCCGGTGGCTTAATTTACCAGCGCGAGTTCCAAGCTGGTCTGCACAAACTCTCCACAAACGACTATCTTGTTCTCGCTGGTACCTTCCATGGGTAAACTCCGACCATGAAACCCCCTGATCATGCCAATCGCTGACCATATAAAAGTGTCCATGCTATTACGCGCTCCATCACCCCCAAGATTCCCCTAGTCTCAGCTGTCGCTTCGCCTTCCGTCTCCTCCCCTAGCACCAATGCTCCTGTCTCATCTGGGAATAGCTTTCCCAACCCCGGCGTACCAGTTTCAGGCCTAGAACATCTCGAGACGGATCGCTTTCGATTGACTTGCTTCCAGACTCCGACAGGGACTAAATTTTTGCTGTTCACAGACCCCATGACTGGCAATGTGGATACGATCATCAACAAGATCTACGAGCTGTACGCAGACTACGTGATGAAAAACCCCTTTTATCAGCTCGAGATGCCAGTGCGGTGTGAATCATTTGATCGACATCTTGGGGCATGGTTGAGGGGACGGGCATAGTCCCAAAGCTGAAATTAGCAATGAGTTCCAGTGATGGACTGGGAATTATGATTTTACGACCCAGAAATTATTTCTTCTCTGATGTTTTTGCTGTAGTTGGACATTAGAGACCTTGCTCGGCGGTAGACAACAAACCCGGAGCTTTTGCATACATAGTATCAAATCGTATCAATATTCCAGTGCAACGTCCCCAAGAGAAAGGGGGAAGATCAGGTCTAGTGTATACAGGAATACATAAACAAAGAAGCAAACGCCGGGTATGCATCACATATCGTTTCCGAATAGAACTTGGAAATTTACGCAGTGTCCATCTTGTCCTCGTCTTTATCTTTGTCTCCGCTGGATCCGCCGTGGCCCTCTTCAGGGATCTCACCCAGCTCCGTCTTGCCCTCCTGTGCCTCATGGTCACGCTTCTCCTTCTCCTGGCGATTCTTCTCCTCTTCCAAGGATAACCGAAGGGCAAACGCCAACTCAGGGTCATCCTCGGCCGCATCCTCAAAGTTGAATCCACCGTCATCACCACCATCACCACCGGACGCAGCCCCGGCGCCGGCATTCTCACCGCCCAGGATCCCGGTTGACTGGAGCTCCTCGCTAAGCAGATAAGGACCCGGTGGGATGATGGCAAGGTTGGAGCTCTCCTTGCTATTCACGTTCTCCACAAAAGCCTCCAGCTTCTTGGTCTGATCGGACTCCAGATCACCGAACGCTATCACATCAATTGAGACGTTGTTCTTCTTCATCTTCTTAGCCAACTTAACCAGGCTGTCTTGTTCTTCTGCAATCGGCGAGCAGGAGAAAACGATAATGCGTTGCCGTTGGGACTTCTCAGAGCGGTGCTTCAGTGCCAGCTAAAATTCCAGGGAGGATTAGTTAGTGTAAGATCAGGGAATCTCCAAGATGGGAGCAACGTACACCGGCGACTTGAATACTGGAGCTAAAATGGGAAGTGCCATGAATCTTTGTACTATGTAGGCCGGCAAGAATGCCTCCGAATTCGGTGGTGAACGTTGAAAGAACCTCGGGGCCCTTGCCGCCCATACTCATGAGGCCGACAGCTGATTGTGGGTTAGCGCGCATCTTGACATTGTGGATGACGCTGACGGCATCAACTTGAGCTTGCCAGCGGGTTGATCTGTAGAAATGAAATGATTAGACAATGTTGAGAAAGTTTGATGGCTGGATACACACGTGTAGTCTCCATTGCGACTGCTTTCGCTGTTGTCGACACTGCAGAACATATTAGCAACACTAGAAGCTTGATTCAGGAGAGATAACAAACATTATCATGGTAGCTTCGAGCGTCATGATGGCGATGGGGTGAAAAAAATGGACGAAAGTGGTTTTTAAGGGAAGTAGAATGAGGCAAGACTTGAAGGTTGATGACGATGAGGTGAGATGCAGCTCTCGATTCTGCCGGTTTTGTCCGCCCCAGCACGCTGTTTGTTGTGGCTCCGCGCCTCCACATTTCTTATTCTCCATTGTCCTGCCACTCCTACATTTGACTATTGTCTGATGCACAAAGATGGCCACCCTGAAACGCAAATCCCCAGAGTTTATTGACACGCCAGATGCCGCCCTTACGGGCAGGCCAGCCAAGAAGCTGCGCTTGACGCACAGCCAGAAACAGGCGTTGATGGATAATCTCCAGCTTGAAAGTAAGTGGGGGTTGATATTTTCTCTATAGTATGGTCGAATACTTATATCTTGCCAGTCACTGAGCGAGCTCGTAAACTTCGCTCTCAATATGCCCTTCAGGCGAGTGATCTCCGATCACGCATTGAACGACGCGTCAACCGCATCCCTGTCTCTCTTCGCAAGGCCAACATGGGCGAGCTCTTTGAAAAACATAATCAAGCACAAGCCATGTCTCCAGCACGAAAGTTCTCTCCTACAAAGGCTTCGCGCTCCGTCACCAACATGGCGTCCATAGATCAAGCCCTCTCACCGCATGGCCGGACACGCCGAAGGTATGGCACTTTACACATGATAACCGGAGTAAACTGCTAACCGATTCGCAGCCGCGAGGGTCACTACTCTGACAAGGAAAACGCGACAGCCACCGGTGAGCCCGACGGTCTCAAGAACCCCAAACGTCGCGTCAACCCCACAGCAGGAGGTCCCTCTCGTGTCGTCTCCCAGGAGATGCGAGGCAACGACAACCGCATTCTGTCGCCCAAGTCAAGCAACTCACGAACTTACCCCCAATCTCCCTTCCACACTTCTCCTGAAAAGGGCCAGCCTTCCTATCTGGCACGGCCCATGTCCCCATTGAAGCCCACCAGCCCTCTACGCGCCGCGGGACCATCCAGTCGTCCCCGTGGAGCTACCACATCAACCGTTCGAGACAATTGGCAACAACCTACAGGCAAGAAAGCCACCTCCCGTGCTGCAACCGGCCCCAAGTCTGTCAGATCACCTCCACCACGCTCTGCAACTCGACAGGGAGAACGCAAGAATAGCATTTCATCTGTCACGTCCACAGGTACGACTGTCATGAAGCCTATTCGAACTGGTGCTGGAGCTCGAAAAAACGCTGCTGGGACCACATCCGCAAATACCGTGAAGAAACCAGCTATTCCCCGGGCGCCGGCTGCGTCTCTGGCACTGAAGAGACCCGCGACAGCACCTGGCATGCGGAAAAACACTGCTCCAGAGCCATCTCGTGGTACACGTGCTCTGCGTAAGCGTGTCTAAAGGTATAACAGCTCGCTCATGGCATAATATTTATTTTTTCATTTTTTTCAATGCGCGGGAGAGAATTAGCATTGCTTGGAGAGTGGATGGAGTACTTTTGATTTCTTCCACGGACTGGTTTATCGGCGTCTGATTGCTTTATTATGAATGGAATATTAGGAATTAACTCAGCATTGGTCAATTTGATATTGTATTTTCTTTTGTAATCCCGTCTGCCAATTGTACTTTCGAAGCCACTGAAGTAAACTTGTGAACATTCCCAAGTCAATCACTTGAGTGTCTGAAGAAAAGATTACCAAGCTCACCCCAACTTCGGTATCAATTGTACTTGGCAAGCATTACTTTCATACTAAGTTCAGTACTTACTACGTATGCAACGACGAGCTAGGATTGGCAGCCTGTCAGTTGTCTTCCAAGGTTTAGAGTACCACCAAAAAACAGAGATAAAAGTTATCAAGACGACAGCGCCGATGAGATTTTCTATCTGAAGCCAGAGTAAAGTAGGCCAAAGGAAGAAAGTATTAACCATCAGAATGGGAGGTAGAAAAACTCCATTTAGACTCGGCACAGGTATCATTGCAATCATGCTGTTTGACAAGGAACAGACGGAGAAAATTCAAGAGATCCTAGACCTTGTAGATGCAGGTCGAAGGATTGAAGAAGAAGAAATAACAAAAAGAAGAACCAAGGTGGAATTTGGAGCGCTAGTCCCAGAGGGAAGAGACAAAGGCTATGAGCATGCTCGGAACTGAATGAAATCAGGATCTGAAAAATCCCGAGGGAAGATATGGGTATGACTGATCTCCAGAATCAGATGCAAAACAAGAAAAAAGGAAACCCACAAGTGGAGGTACTGTAACCTTCAGTTTGCGAAGAAAAATATAAGAAAAAGAAGAAGTGTTGAGAAGGAAGTAACAATCCATCTGAACGAATCAGCTCGCTGATCACTTTTGGAAATTTTCATGTAAGAGAAAAGAAGAAGAACTCCGTCAACCAAGCCCGTCAGTCGAGATGAAAGAAACGACACAAATAGGAACGCTAAAACAAGCTCTCGTAAAATTAACCGGAGCAAAGTACACCATGGGCAGGGAAATATGGCGCCGTGTTGGTTGATGCAAATCAAGGTCATCGATAAATGGTGTATCACTAGCGCAGCTGTGCATGAGAAAATGAAAAAAGGAGGAAATTAGACAAGCCACCTCTCTACCCCGTGACTCCCATAGCGCCTTGACTGGGACGAGGTCGGTAGGGCAGCCCTTGGCTGTCGGACGATCCTGCGTTTCCTTGACCTTGACTATCATTACTAGTGCTACGCTCTCGATGATAAGCGGCAGGCGGGGGAGGAGGCATGAAATCCAACCCAGCTTGGGGAGTGACACTTGAGGAGTGCGAATGACCTTGGCCACTCGGTCCAGGAACGTGGCGAACAGAACTTTGCATCTGCCAAGCAGTATCCTGGGAAGGATCGGTCTCAATGCGAGCAGATGTCGGGGCATTGGCACTTCTGTTATTATTGGTAATTGTGAAGGTTTCACCGCCGTTTTCGGCTCGCTGCGAAAAGCTACCGCGACTGATATCACCGTACCGCTTCAAGATCTCCTTTGTAGTCACCTCGGCATTTTCTCTAAAAAGGGTGGGATCACTGAGGATGGATTGCAAGTCCTCCGGAATCTAGCAACAGTCAGTTTATGTCTAACGTCAAAGGGACAATACATAGATTGACTGACCTCGCACATAGCGTCATTGTAAGTGATGAGAGCATTGACTGCTTCGATGGCCAAGAAGCTTTCATCAACAGTACTGGTTTTGGTATTGGGGTACAGGATATTGGGGGTCATCACGGTTGCAAGATTGTGAATATCCATTTTGCTTCCAGATTCCTCATCTACATGTGAGAAAGACGATGTCCAGTTGAGGAATGAGAAGAGGACTTCCATCGTATCACGATGGGCCTTGGGTAGAAGACAGCACGCTAAATGTAGCACTCGCTTCTGTTTTTCAATATCGGGTAGTTCTAGCATATAGGTTAGCATATCTTGTTGACAGAGGTGTGCGAAAGGGCCAGCTTACTTTGTGCTGCGACGAAAAGACGGTGCAGCTTGAAAGTCATGAGAGGATCCGGCATCTCGCGAAGGAACTTCTTCAGCAGAGCGGCAATCTGGACAGGGCCTTCTTTGGTCATATCTACCTGCTCATATTTGGTATCGATGAGCTCTGCAAGATCCTTGAGGCGCCTAATATTGCCGTTCTTGCGGAAAACACCCTCGACCGACATGTCCATCTGCCGCATTGCGGAGACAGCGTCATCAACGAGGGCCGGAATTCGCAAGGCACCCGGACCAACACCATGGCTGGACTCAGTTCCCTCTTTCTCAACCAAGTAGTCTAGGGAGACACCAAAAACCCCCTTCTTCTTGCCACCCTTCTTGTTGTCTTTGAAGGCACGGCCAAAAATGTTCCAAATGGTGGGCTTCCTCGACTCTATGAGAGAAAGCAACTCTTCCATGTTGAACTGACCTTCCAACAAGGGCTCCATGGACAAAACAGCAACGTGGCGGACAATGAAGTATTCCAGGGCAGTGAGTTCTGAAAAGTAGCGCTTGGCACGAATTGTAGGCTCCATCAGGTATTCGAGACCGGCACCCGACACTCCACGTTGGTGGCCAGGCCGATAAACAGGCATTGGCTCCTGGGCACCAACAAGTCTGGTTCCCGCGTGTCTGTAAGCATTTGGTCGCTGTTCTTTGGCTTGTTCGGCGGCAACAATACGTGGAATATCATCCAAAGTGAGAGCATCTTGATTTCCAAAGGTCAGATCCTTGACAGTCTCGCCATTTGCATCCCTTTCCTCAACAATTTGGAAACCAGGACCGCGGGGGTCACTGCCGTCATTGCCAGAAGATCCAGGCCGGGCGCTCCGACCTTCAGGGCCATCAATGATTCGAGATGCGCGCGCCTTCTTATAGGTGGTGGATAAGGTGCGTTCATTGCGGATCGAGCGCAGGCGGCGCATCTCACCAACGGTCTGTTCAAGCGAGGTCTCTTCCAGGCCCTCTCGACCACCACTGTAAGACATAGAGCGAGTATTGGGACGGCGACCATCGCCACCATGGGCTCGGTAGCCTTCCTTATTCTGGTATTCGTTGAGATTGGGATCATCTGATGTACAGTCAGTCATTAGGAAGAACCATGGTCAAGATAGATCGGAGTAAAACTTACCGGACGTGTGAGGCAAAGATCCTCCTGCACGGAGCACAGCCAAAAGACGAGCTAGTGCGACCTTCAGCAGGAACACGTACTGCTGTAGCTTTGAAACCTGGGCAAAGCCATGAACAACACTTGAGTCTAGGTTTTGCTGATGAACACAATCCAAACAATATGTCCGCTTTTCGCTCTCATGCCAGAGTGCATCTGAAAGAGTTGTGCTCAGGTCCTTCTCACATGAAGAGCAAGAAAGGTGAGACGGTTTAAGATGCCAGCGCCTATCCTCCAGAATAACACATTCGTCGTCAATCGGCTCTTTGCATGAGATGCAGCAATCTGAAAGTTGATCTGCCAAGCCCTCCACACCTGCAGTCAAATCGATGGGGGTCTCATCGTCATCTTCCGGCGGAGCAAGTCCTTCCATGTCACCAAGATGAGTCAGGAAATCATGCAGACCGACTGGTGCCGATTTCTCACGTTCCAGCTTCAGGGCACCTTGAAGGCCAATGCGAATAAGAAGCTTTAGGTAATGGGCCAGACCCGTCACCAAAGAAAGGAGCTCCTGGGTAACACCGAGTTTCCGAACGCCTGTCTCCTGGGTCTTGGACAAAAGTGCAAAGAATGCCACGATCTTCTTGCAGAGGAGTTTGGCCTCTCGTCCGTATGACAATTCTGTCATGGAAAATCAGTAACAAAGCCGATAGATTGAACCGAGTCACACATACCTTTGACACCCTGTGATTTGATAAATGCGGCCAACTGATCGACGGCTGCGAAAAGGATATCAACGTGGCCAATAAACCGCTTAGCCACGAGAACACCGTCTATATACGCCCCGTTACTAACATGCAAGAGCATGTCGGAAATGCAAGCAGCGGATGATTCCTCAAAGGCAGAAAGAGTGCTCCAGATATTGTAGACCTTCTCTTCCATGATGTCTTCCTCTGTACGAATGCGCTCACGGTCCTCTGGACTGGCATCCACATCCACAGGGGGCGGCTCCCAAGTCTGACCGGCGGGAGATAGGCGCACGTTCCAAAATTTGTGAATCATATAACACTCAGGGTGCCAGTGCTGATTTTGACCATTGCGATAAATTTCCACAAATTGTTTCAAAATCGCGGTATGACACCCATGGCATCTTTGAGCGAACTGAGTAGAATAGTGAAAGTGGCAGTATACCTTGCCCTCGTGTTCGTAGTAGGAATCCTGAGCGCCAAACACAGTTGGGCATACCGAGCATGTGAAGTGTTCGATGTGGTATTTTCGATCTAAGGCTGTGATGTAGGAACCGCGCAAGGCGCCACCACAATCGTGGCAAAGGAGGTTCAATCGTCGAAAATAATCGGTTTCGCAAAGAGGGAACTGACAGCTCCCATCTTCGGAATCGACGGGGAAAAACTTGGAAGCAACAATCTCTCCGCAGTCCTTTTGAGGGTCAGTCATCATATGAAGCTCGATAAAGCAATTCCAAATCCCGACTTACCTCGCACTTGAAGCACTCGAGATGGAAAGTTCCACCTAGCGCTCTCACAAACTGGCCTGTTAGAGGCTCATTACATTTTTGGCACACTCTCGAGGAGGCAGGTGATTTGGTAGGAGGTCGTCCATTCGGGCGCGATCGATCACGGATATTTGATTGATCTCGGTATCCCGCTTGTTCTGGCTCCAGTGAGCGCCCTGTGCGTGCGTCGTCTGGGGTCAAGGGGCTATTTCCTGCTGTTCGAGTCGTTGGAGACTCGAAGGGGATCAGACTGTCTTCTGGTGAAGTCGGGGTATTTCGTTGGTAGCTTGTTCCATAGCCAGCAGTATTGAGTGTGGGATGAGGTTTACCAGCGACCAGACTAGCCGGGAGCTCAGCGGGGGCCATGATGGTGTGTGCCCAGTCACAGATCAACAGAATCGAATCGCACTGGACGGTGGCGCAGTGGACACTGCATGCAAGGGAAATTCAAGGAACAGACGAGTATCGGTACGGTATGCAAAAAATTGAACGAGTCCTATGAAAAGGGAAAGAATTTGTTAGGGGTTTGATCTCTGCATTTCATATTTGAGGTCGAGTCCTCCGGTTTCACTCACTCTCACGCCATGTAGACCAGCGACACGGGGGTGGCAGTTTTAACGGTCAGGTAAACACGCAAAAAATAGGGCCTAGGAGGGATAAAGATATCGATAGATCAAGTTTTTTGACAGTCGAAGGAAGGATGTTCAACGCGCAATCGGGGGAGTTGCAGGACGCGGGGTGAGGCTGGGAGATTGACAGGTTTGGCGCTTGCAGCAAGGTCCACAAATTCTTGGCTAGAAACACAAGAAGGGTAGAGAGAGTAACAAAGTAGAGGGAATGAGAATGTATGAAACTAGCAAGGCGAAGTAGATGGAGAGAACTGAAGTGGGCTGAAGGGTAATGGAGATAGAAGATGCTTGTGCCAAACCCCTAATTGATGTCACGTGGATTGTAGTACACCGCCCGACTTACGATGAGTAAGATGAGTTGAATAACTAGTTAGTTTAGTTAGTTACCTTTTCAAGGTTTCATTCTTTAATTTCTTAATGTTTAAAGCTTGGTGAAATCTCTGATTTGTACAGAGCATGATGTAGAATCAGTTTAACTCATATACTCCACATGTTTGATTTAATCAGCATCGACGTTCCTGAAACTGCTTCCCGCCCTTTTTATAGCATCGGTTTCACCACTTTGCGGTTTCATGGATCCAAGAACAGGTGCACTGGCCATTGTCTACTTTGATGACTTTGATAGGCCTAAGCGTGAAGCGACTATCTGGATGGATGCAACTCAAAGTTGGTTACCTAGGTAAGTATAAATAGATACTCTTAAGGGCTATCTTGATCTTGGGCATACAGCAACGTTCAATTGAAAGCACTGCCGACCCAGATAGGGTACCTAGGAAATTATCTTACGATATATACCACTTTCCGTGTAACATGAGGCTGTCTTTTTGAGTGTTGTAGTTCCAATACATAACCCAGGAATTGTATCTGAGCAAAATATAGATGGTTTGACCGCCTTTACCTTCGATAATTCTGTGCCGGTCAATATTGACACTTCATACTTCCCCTGATGTCGTCGACAAGAATATATCTAATTAGTTTCGGGGCAATCAATTGATGATGAGTAAATTTGCAATATCCGGGATTCTATTTCTTACCCCCTTCAAAGGGTCATCTGGGCTCATGCGGAATGTACTTGACCTTGTAGTGGGTTGTTCTAAATACTAAATACTTATTTATATATATACAAATTTACCTATGCATATAACCTTGGAACCTTGGAATACTGAGTACATAGATCGGGATGATTACCACATCCCGAGGTCTGGAAGTCACGTTATTACTCAGAAGTATATTAATATAAATGCATATGTATATGTACTAGAGAGCACCTCGAAATGGCATATTTCTAGTGAAATACTCCAGAAACGGGTAATTCACTTGATAAGCGATAAGATAAGAATTCTTATCACCAATCAGCTGATCCCCTCAAAGCTCCCCTTTTTTTGGACTCCGCATCAACTCCTTATATACCGTAAAGTACTGAACACAATGGCAAACGAGCGCAAGTTGGAATTAGGAAACGTACTCGTGGTGGGAGGCTGTGGGTTTTTGGGGTGGCACATTGTCGATCATCTGTTGAACTTCCCCTCGGAGAACGATCCTAGCGTTGCCCTTCCAAAGGTTCAAGGTGATGCTCGATTCAATTACCCAACCCTGGGCTCTCGATTCCCCAGCTACAAGGCCAATGTTTCAATCGTTGACTTGCGCACTACCAACAACCGCCTCCCTGGTGCCACTTACTATGATGGCGATATCACCTCCGTCGAGTCGATGCTAGAGGTGTTCCGCGCTGCTAAGCCTGATGTTGTCATTCATACCGCCACACCATCTGTTCTCGAAGGCAACAAAACGTTAATGCACAAGGTGAATGTTGATGGAACACGCACACTTGTCCAGGTTGCAGGCGGTGAGCATGGAGATTGGGGCGGCAAGTGCAAGGCTTTTGTCTACACCAGTTCCAGCTCCGTCGTGCATGACACCCAGAGTGATCTGATCAATGTCAACGAGGAATGGCCTCTTATCCGGGGACAGCTGCAGCAGGAGTACTACTCCGAGACCAAAGTGAGTATCTTGGTTCCATATCCTTGAATCCCACCTAACTTTTCCTTCTTTAGGCGAATGCCGAAGAGATCGTTCTCAAGTACAACCGCCAGTCACCCACTGGAATGGTGACCTGCGCTATTCGCCCGGCCGGCATTCTCGGAGAAAAAGACACGACTATTACGCACAAGGTCCTCGAGCATGGCTCTCAGGCATCTGCAAACGTCCTCAAGATGCAACTAGGCGATAACGAGAACCTTTTCGACTTTACATACGTCGGTAACATCGCCTATGCACACATGCTTGCCGCACACAGGCTGGTGGCGACATATAACCGTTACGAGTCCAACCAGAGTGGGCCTCTAGATCACGAGAAGGTCGATGGCGAGGCGTTCAACATCACCAACGACTCTCCCATTTACTTCTGGGACTGCACCCGTGCTATGTGGGCATTGATCGACCGAGTTGTCGAGCCGGAGACGGTATGGGCACTTCCCGAGGGTCTATTGTCTCCTATTGGCGGCCTGGCTGAAACTGTCCTCGGAATCTTTGGCAAGACTCCTCGCTTGACCCGCCGCGTAGTACGTTACTCTTGCATGACCCGGTACTTTTCGGTCGATAAGGCCAAGTACCGCTTGGCATACCTGCCCGTGATTCCAATCGATGAGGGTATTGCTCGTGCTGTCGGATATGTGGTTGAGAAGAAGCGCCAGGATGAAGGTAAGAAGGCGTTGTAATTGAATTTGATAGAAAATTATTGTCAATACCATAATAATGTATTTTTTGCTGCTGTCCCTCTGAGAGATTCGATACCTACATATTGTTCCCCAAGCAAGATGGGATTTCCAACGAGTAGGACCGTATTTATTCGTGATAAAGGAGTGGTACAGCTAACAGAACAAGCCTAAACCTCGGAATGAACGGATCTGCGTCTACTTAAGGAGTGTGACAAAGCTGGTCATTGATCGTCTGATTAGTTGACATGTCATTGAAATAAAGATCAGCACGCAGGTTTTGTATGACACCTGGCAATTCCTGGTGGCTACCTATGGACAATTTAGGACGCACTCAGCTATGATGGGGAAGTGAGGACACAGTCGACTTATGCGAAAGAAGGATTTACGAAGCTTTTCCGGAGATAACACCGAGTTTCCAGAAAATTCTAGATCAAAAGAACACCAACAGTGATAAAAAAATGGGACTGTTGACGCTATATATTAGCCGCAAAGGGCAGCCAAAATGCACAAGAACATTTTACTTTCTTTGAATGGGATCTCTACAGCAAAAGAGGGCTGTAGAGTGGGTATTCTGTTTGGTATGAGAAGGGTATGGTTGTCGATCGTATCTGAACAGACTGCATAGTAAAGTTGAAAGTATGGTGTGTGATAGAGAAAGAAGAGGCAAATTTGAACGTCGTCAACTTTTTGGCATTTGAAAATCTTCGCTAGTCAAGGCAAGGTAAGATGTTATTGAGATGTCAAAGCTCGAGGGAGAATTTGTTAGGAAAGACTGAAACTGTTTGTATTTCCCAATTGTTCACCCCGAGATGATTCAGCTTTTCAACTAGATCAATGATGTACATGCCAAAGTGTATGTCATGATTAACCTATATTCTCCTAACTGGTCTCCAGGAATATTGGAGAGTGTGGGCAAAGCTTGAGAAAGCATTTTGACATCCGGAGTGGATCGAAGAGAAAACTGTTGGAATATCGGACAAACGACACATCACGAATCCCTGTTCAGAGTGCATCGCAAACGACAACCTTGAACAGTATGCATATAATTGTGATGTCCCGTCTTTACCGACCATTCTGTCTTAGACGATAGAACACATTCGTCTCAGACAAAAGAGCGACTTGTAGGATAAATAGCAAGTCCTCACCATGAATGAAGAACCAGATTTTACAACCACTTTGAGAGAACACACAGATATTATAGGGGCGTAAAGCGCAACCTGTAATAGGTGTTAGAAGTGGGGGATAGCCTCTCATCACCTTTATCGAATTGCTATACCTACCGGTGTACCGACAAAAACCTTGGAATATGAGTCTATAAGGTGCATTGAGTCTGCCTTTAAGATAGTTAACAAAATAATTACAAGAGCGATTGAAGTAAACCGATGGACGCTTTAATCCATGATGCGGAAGAAATCACCATTTATTCTCATTATAGCCTAGAGCGGATTCGCAAATTTTTTATCATATCCTAATACCAAAGAATTCCAAGCTTCGATCGTTTGAATCACCGAAATTCACGAAAATTTTTTCTCTGAAACGATTTGATCTTAAAAGCTTTCTTTGCATCACGCAACTGACATATACTACCTCCGTATCCAGCTGGATCTAAGTCGTACCCTCCGCCAGCTACTATCTAAGCCGTACCAACTGCCTTAGATCATTCTTCAACATTAAAATCGTATACTTTCTCTCTCCATTACTTAGGAAATACATCAATGTCGGTGCAAAAATGCTCAACATCTTTGAAAATATGATGGCACTGGTAGTACAACGTATAAGGTAAGCCGATATAATTGACTATTGAAAGATGCACTTCTGCTGCCGCAGCTTTGCCACGAGGTCAATTTCCGCTGTATAGTTAATGACGTCCTCTGCACCTATGCACTTCATTTAACATTAATACACCGGATAGTCGGCTTGATCCAGAATGGTGGGGCTTATCTGATAGTGCAAGATGCGCATCGGATGTCGTGATGGTTCCGCAGTTCCTAATCGAGTGCCCGCTCAATATTATTACGAGAAAACCGCCTAGTCCGTATGTGAAGATTCAGATTAAGGTTCATCGCTTCGGATAATCTAATTGATTTTTCTGAATTCTTGTTGCGGAAAGAAGTCATCGACATTGTCATATATCGCAGTCTTTTCGAGATAGAAAGTGAAAATTCAACTGCAGCAAAATCAATTCGTTCAAAGATGTCGACATCAAACGAAGAAACCGAAGGGCAGCCCCTTCTACAAGACGCAGCCAAAACCTGGAGACCTCCAGCAGGCTTTTTATGGATTCAAATAGGTTGGTACAAGCTTTTCAGTAATATTAATGACGGACAGCTGATTGTTAGCTATCATGTCTGCTGTATTTTTGGCTGGCTTTGACGGTAAGAGATTTGGATTTTTATTATTTTACAAATAGTTAATAAGATTAATTATAGGCACAATTACTGCTTCGACATATGCCGTGATAAGCTCCGAATTCAACGCCTTGGTACATACTTTCCGCGATTCTAGCAACCAACAGCTAACATTCTACTAGCAAATATCTTCATGGATAACGACGTCCTACTTGATTACGAGCACAGCTTTTCAGCCTCTATATGGAAGGTTCTCAGATCTTTTCGGCCGCCGCGCCTGCTTCTTTACTGCAACAATTGCCTTTGCAACAGGCTGTTTGGGCTGTGGAATGGCCAAGAACGTGATATTTCTAAATATAATGCGAGCATGGACTGGTATTGGTGGTGGTGGATTGATGACAATGGGTAAGTCCAATGAGAGCTTGATAAATAAGTAGAGCTTGTTGATGTATTGACAAACAACTAGCAACCATTATAAACTCAGATTTAATCCCCTTCAGACAACGGGGTATTTACCAGATATTTCAGAATGTAAGTTACGGCTTAGGCAGCATATCTGGAGCATCGTTTGGAGGTTTTCTCGTTGAGTCACTGGGCTGGCGCTGGTGTTTTATTATTCAAGTGCCAGTCTCACTCATTGGGTTGGTCTTAGGGTATTGGGTTCTCAAGTTTCCAGCGAAACCAGTTGGAACTCAGCCCAGGGGCCTATGGGATCAGATTGATCTCCTTGGGGCGTGTCTGCTTGTCCTCGCCCTATCATCCCAATTGGTCGGGTTGAGTTTGGGCGGGAATGAGCTTCCATGGAGTAGTGTCTGGGTCATACTCTCCTTGCTCGGAAGTGTAGCATTTATCGGGGCCTTTTTCTTTGTTGAAGCAACTACCAAGGCTGTTCCCTTGATCCCTCTGAAGATGCTACACGGAATTTCTCCTATCTCCACTCAGATCACCAATATCTGTGTCGGGTTATCCGCATATGCTGTGAGTCATTACCGCGTTATTTAATAGTGTGCATAAATAACACCGTCAGTTTCTTTTCACGCTGCCTTTGCTCTTTCAGGTCATTCTACTGGATAGTCCCACTAAAGCAGGTGCCCGCTTGGTCATTCCATCTCTAGCCACCCCACTTGGAGGACTCATTGCCGGCATCGTCATGTCGCGCTGGGGTAAGCTAGCTCAGCTTGTTCGAGCTGGTGCTGCCTTAATGTTCATTGGAAACTTGCTGGTTACCCTACTTCGCTTCAACGACTCAGAATGGAAGTATTTTGCATACATCATTCCGGCCAATCTTGGGCAGGGCATAGTATATCCGGGGATCTTGTTTACCTTTCTCGCTGCATTCGACCATAACGGTATGTTGAAAATCTCAAGCATAATGAATATTATGTTCCAAATTCTTATAACATACTTCTTCCAGACCACGCTGTTTCCGCATCGACCGTGTATCTTATTCGTTCTCTCGGAACAGTTTGGGGAGTCGCGATTACCTCTGCAATCGTTCAAAACACATTGAAATCGGGCCTTCCAGAGGCCTTGATTGGGATGCCAGACAAATGGAAAGTACAGCCCATCCGTAAAGTCATATTGGTATACTCACGAACAATCGCTGACCGATTTCTTTATTTTTCATTAGTTAATTGAAGAGATCCGCCATTCCGTCTCCGCTATTCATGACCTTCCACCGGATGTTCAGATGGCTGTAAGACTTGTTTATTATCGAGGGATTCGCCTCTCTTTCGCAGCTTCAACCTCATTTGGTTTCGTTGCGACTTTTGCGTCCATCTTCACTCGTGGAAAGGGACTGGATCGTGATTAAGATTAGGTGGAATTTCCACAGCTGGAGAGTGGTACAACTGCTCGGTCCAATCAATTAAGCCTCAATATATTGCGACCATCCACTTCAGGGCAGATCGGTACATATTGTGAACACTGAACTGCGTCCTGACTCTTAACTTCTGGGAATGAGGAGTTGGATGCATAGATAGGAGTCAGACATATGCGGTAAAAGACCTCAGGAAGAAAGGATGATGAATTATGGTCAAATCCTTGGAAGTTTACTTTTAGGTATACAGAGAAAAATTGACGTGGGCACTAGAGACTGAAATGAGATACTAAAGTTAGATGCATGCTGATTTCACTCCTAGCTTTTCTCCAGAGCTAGCTAAGTGAAGGTAGAAGCCATTATTCTTGACTAATACTTATGGTATTAAAGCCTTATTCTCTGTTTTATCAAACTGTTGACAAATGACAGTTGAACGATATACTTCCATGTATGGATCGGTCTGAATTTTACAGTGACCAAAGCGTATTTACCTTGAGTTTGTGAAACTCAAATTGGACCTCCAGCGAAAGTAGCCTCATAAATTAATAAGCATACCACTACCCCTTCCCGGTATAGTCCTAGATGAGCTGTCGGTACAGGAAGTTGTGGACCGTTGCGTAATACGATATTACGAAATCTTTAAGGAATTTTCACGCTCAACACCTCCCCTGGTTCGAAATGCAATGACAATTGGCCTTCACCATGATCCTCCCATGCTTCCAAATGTAGCGAAATTTATCTTCTGGAAACTGTGCTTTTATCAAGTCGTTTGAACTACGATGGAAAAATGCTAAGATTGTTAATCGCGTCCAATTTGAGATGAAATGCAATGAAGCTATGCAATTAAATGAAGCCCATTACATTTACCCAGTTTTCTTTTTCCCAATACGAAACCATGGAAATGAATACACTCAGGGCATCACCATGCTAATCATGATCATCCTTCAACTCCAGGGCTCTAGGGATGCTTCTAACGGGTTCGATTGATTCAATAGAGCTAATCGGCAGTAATACTTACTTCTGCAGGCTATATAATTCTTTTACGTACACCATGAAACCTTGGAATCAGAGGGAGTGGACTAACAGCCCTGTCAGAAGTAAGTTGTAGGGTATAGAAAGATTCAGGAAGAAAACACTCAAGCGACATCTCAAATGGGAGTTTGTTTGAGTTGGCGGTCGCCGAAATCACCTCCCATTCCTGCTTCGGGCACGAGGAAGGCATAACCACCCACTGCCTAGGGTCAGGTGATAGGCCTTCAGTATTATATAGCAGCTTCCTTATGAAAATATAATTCCCCATGCCCCCAAGAAAATCTTTTTCCTACAGCGTCGAAATTATTTGTTCTAGTTAAGATCTCCTCTGTTTACGCAGCCTGCCTCTTCCGGCAGGAAGTTCCTTTATATCTCCCATCTGGGTCTACAGTCTGTGCACCTAGTTCCGAGTGGGCCTGTAGCCGCTCGTTCCTCATCAGCCACCCTCGCCTCCACCTTCAGTGGAGCGAGTGGTGTCCTTCAGTACCACAACTTTAACTTTCTCTTCTTTTAGATACTACTCCCAAATCTCGTACGAGATAGTTTAGTCTCATCCAAAATACATATCTGGGAGAGACTCCAAATTAGAGTGAGAAATCTTAAGATAAATGTGGCTGTAATTGGTATTTTCATTCATCAAAAATATAAGAAAATAAAATAGGAAAAACGAAAACATACAACAGTCAGGATTCGCATGTGGTCACCCACCATACTACTGACTGACCGGCGTGTGGCTTAAGTACGGCTGAGCGGACGGGAAGCCCTGTTCTCCACACCCTGTGGTCGTATGTGACAGTGGATTGTATAGCAGAGGTTAGATCGCGTATCATGAGGTAGAGAGACCCTTTAGATGTTGGGTCCCTGTAACTTATAACTTTGGGTCTCGCCGCCTTTCAGCGCTAAGGTGGTGCAACCTGTTGATCATGTGCATGTCTTATGATCAACTATGCCTCCCATCAAGTTCGAAGGGCTCATGATATGAGGCAGAAAGAGGCTTTGTCAAACCTTCGATTTCGTGAACAGGATCTGAATTCATCTTATGTTGTTGTTCTTTTCCTGTTGCAGCTAGTTCAAATTCAGAGTTGTCTCTAAATACGGTGGGATTAGCCACTAGATTAGATTGATCTTGTAAGCTCACTTCGCGTTTCAGTCTTTTCTGCCGGCGAATATAGAGAAATATAAGCGTAAGCAAGACCAAAATAACTCCTAATGCCACACCAACCCCGATCCCTGCTTTAGCTCCAGATGACAGGCGCGATGAATATTCCTGTGATATAGTTGTAGCTGTAGCTGTAGCTGTGGCCGTGGGAGTGAGAGTTGAGAAGGTGGCAGTGGCAGTGGCGGGATGAATGCTGTCACTTGATTGCCAAGCAATAATAATGCCATAGGCATTCCAAAAACCAGTAGTATCCATAACGCCTGGTGTAAATGTAGTGGTCTCAATGGTGCTGACATAGGTCAAGGAGGTGTAATAGGTCTTAGTGGTTCTACTATTGGTCGAAAAGGTGAAATAGTAATGCACCTTTGTTGGAGGAGACCACTGGCAGATTTCCGTGGTATACAATTTATGTTTTGACATCCCTCCCGGTCGCGTAGAAAATACCCAGAGACTTGGTCTACAACAATAGTTAGCTAAACATATTATCTAGTATAGTGGGGAGCCACCACAGCGACACTGTTCCGACTATGCTGTCTAGAGCATTCCCGTTCCACTAGGCATACTCTTGGAAATAAAGATAAATACTCACAAATATTGAGGACAGCAATTTCCAATTGTTTTGTACTCATTCGATACTTCCGTTGTGAAATTAGAGGCCATGATCCAACCGCTTGGACATATTCCAGGCGAGAAGGTACTCGATGGGGACCATCCTGACGGTAAACATTGAGTGGTATTAGTTGGACCCAAGTGCATCCAGGTACTGCCTGAACTTTGAGCTCTCCATAGATCAGAGAGACATGCACTTGGTTGTACGAAGTAGTCGTTAGGGGAAGAGGAGCCGTTGTTATGCTTGAAGTTATAGTTCTCATGCTTAGATGCGAATCGAATTTTCGGAGGCGGTAGATAAAATTCCTGGGATAATCTCAAAAAGAATAGGAGAAGAAGTCATTGGAGCTAGAATGGTCTTAAATCCCATCTCCGTCGCAAAAAGCCTTACCCCCCTGAGCTGGTGTAGTATTCCGGCTGACCTGATTGGCCGGATTCATTTCCAGCCAATCTGCCAGGTCTGCCATTGCACGAGAAACGGCTCCCCTTGGACTAGAAAGTGTGGTTACACCAACACCTCTTAATGGCTCAGGTCAGGGTATTTGATAGATCAGATTTCTTTAGGATATTTCCCCGAAGATACATAAGACGGGCAGGACTCCACTTTGAAGCCACGCTCTATACCGTATTAGGCAGGCACCGCTAGTGACTACAACTCAGCTGTCAGCCAGTCCCAGTCGATACTCCCAAAAACGCTTCTCAGCCAGTCGATACTCTTACAGTGCACTCCCTCTCTTCCCACCTAGTCCCATGATGAATCCCCACTTGGAACTTCGAGTTGAGACCGTCCCGAAAGGTTGTCGAGGACATCATCAGGATAATATGGAAGTGCCATGTTTGCATTGAAAGTACAGGGCAGAGTCAAGGTCCAAATCTCAGAGATACCACCCTAAGCCCCTTTCCCATCATTGAGTTACGTGCAGGGTATAGTCATCCTTTGGTGAGCCTTCTGTTCTAGATCTTTGGTTTTCCAGCTGATCTTAGAGTGCATATAGGTTCATCTAATACATCCAGTTTGGCCCCAAGGTTCCGCTACAGCCGCAAAAATAAATTCAGCTGTATATACTGTGGTATGGCAGTGTGGTCGCGTTAGTGTGGTACTTCGCCATATAAGTGGTCTTATACCGCGTACTTAGTAGAGACTAGTGTAATACAACACTATTTCAGCGTGCGATTGGCCGTACCAAACTCTGTTCCAAAATCTGTTCCAAACTCTGTTCTAAACTCCATCTCCTACTATAACTGGGCCAATAGAGAGTGTTCCAGCTACCCCTCAACCACGGCATGATGATGATATCGGGAGCATTATCTCTGAAATCCCTGAGACGCCAACACCACCATTAGACACACCGTCGCCGTCGCCACCTTCTACTCCAAGAGCTCAGGCTCCTGCCTCCCGCGATGAGCGTCTTAATGCGCGGTTATTACGTCTACAAGGCTATAGCTATGCAGAGATCTCTGATCAGATAGGTATCACATATCGTCAGGTGCAGCTAGCCTGTAATGACTCCCGTCCGACTCCCCGTCGACGTCGTGGACAGCTTTCTAAGCTGTCTGAAGCGGAGTTAGATGATATTGAGTCCTTCATCTGTTCTTCTGCATTAGCAAGACGGATGACCTGGAAAGAGCTTGTTCGTCATCTATCCCTTGATGTCCACTGGAATACTCTCCGGTATTCCATGAAAAAAGAGGCTATACTAGATGTGTAGCACTCCGGAAGCCTCCTCTTTCCGAACCTACTCGCCGAGCTCGACTTGAATGGGCTCTAGAGCATCTACACTGGACTCCTGAGCAGTGGAAGGAGGTCTTATGGTCCGATGAAACCTGGGTTACAGCAGTGTTTCATAGGCGAATCTGGGTTACAAGGAGGCCTGGAGAGGAATTAGATGACTCCTGTCTCCGAGTATGACATCAAAGGGCACCAGGATGGTTGTTCTGGGGATCCTTTTATGGCTCTAAAAAGGGACCTTGTGTGTTTTGGGAGAAAGAATGGGGTACGATTGATGCTGCGAGATACTGTGAGAGGATTGTGCCTCTTATAGATGGTATGGTAAAGTTGGCTAGTATGGATGGGATTGATCTTTCTTTCATGCATGATAACGCTCCTGGCCATAAGGCTATAGCGACAGTAAACGAACTCCGTGGCCGCGGAGTTCGCTTATTGAAGTGGCCAGCATTTTCTCCTGATCTAAACCCTATCGAACAGATATGTAACTGGATGAAGGACTGGATTGGGGACCACTACCTCCAAACCGACATAAAACTAACATATGATGAACTGCGTGAGGTGGTAAAGGAGGCATGGGAGGCGGTGCCAGAGGCGTTCCTAGAGCGTCAGATTGGTCTGATGAAGGAGAGGTATGAAGCTGTTATCGCAGCTCATGGTGGACATACCAAGTTCTAGTTCTAGTTCTAGGGTAGTTTAGTTGAATTGAATAAATGGTGTTGAATTGGATAAACGGTGTTGAATTGAATAGAATAGTATGTAATTTATTATATTATGTGTAATATTAGTGTTTAAATATAATACGCGGTATTTAAAAGTGGCAGAAAACTAGCTCTATAGTGGGGCTTGGAAGTACCACACTAACGCGACCACACTGCCATACCACAGTATAAGGGCCTAACCGGGGTTGCTGGGATGCACTACATCCCAATTCATTATCCAATCAAAAGTGTCAAAAAGTGCGGGAATTAGTGCATCCCATTTACTTTTTAGGCTCGTACGAGGCTGAAAATCTCAGAGGGTTGAAATTACTATAAGTTCCATAATATTTTTTAATTTCAAGTTCATACAACATCAGGAAAGGTTGTGGTGGCTAGCCCTAATTTTAGAGATATTTTGATGGGGTGCGGTCGCAAAGTGACAATACATAGACGTTATATAGGAACAAGTGTATATATGAGACTCCGGTAAACTCTTTCTGCCAGGATATTGTCACCGCCTTTTAAACTAGTAAGCCTTTTGGATGAATACAAACGAAGCCTCTAGATAAATACAAACAGGCAGGCAACATATATGTAAATAGTCTCTAGCTACTCTCAATTCCCACTCTTAATTTTAACCCTCAATTCCAAGTTCCAACATGGCTCAATACTTTCAAATGACCGCAGATCAAATTTCTACTTGGTTGCAATTACAAATGCAAACTATTCAGGCTCTGTCAAAGCAAGTGGTTTGGGACCCACTTTTAGGTGTGTATTTAAGCCAGATTACGTTCTTATAAGAAAGGAGGTTCAAGAATAAGGATGCCTAAAGGGGGGAATGTGACTGATGACGAAGCTTGTGCGGGGACGAATGAAACAAGGGACTGATTACGCTAGACCTATCAGGGACTCTCAAACATTCAAACAAATCAACGGAATGCGCGTCTTTTCTTCACAACACATCTTTCATGAGCAGTCAGTTAGTCTGATGGCTTGCCCCATTTTCACCGATTCTCAGGTTTCCATAGATTTGAATATTTTTGGTCCATCCGCCAACCCCTGCTGGGTCCTTTTGTCATGCCTGTTTTATACTCAGCCCTAGGAGAAGGCTACTCCCTCAATAAACTTGCCTCACGCGGTCTCACAGTCAACCACGTACGCCTGTAATACATTCAGCCCTTACTCGATGATGTCCGCTAACTGTTGACCCTGATTTAGACGCAAGCCGTAACCCTAGGGGTGATGCTAGCATATGTAGTGGCTATAGCGTTACTATGGAATATACCGTATATTCGCTGGTCCTTGTGGCCCTTCAAGGTAAATCATTCTTCCCTCAAACAATTCAATAAATCTAACAAGAAAGATGTTGGTCATTGCATTCCATGAATTCGGCCATGCTATCACTGCCGTTTGCACTGGTGGAAAAGTGAAGTCGATCTCACTTGATCCACATGAAGGTGGAGTGACCCATATGCAGGGTGGAATGAGTGCCATTACTCTCCCAGCTGGTTATCTCGGGTCTTCCGTCATTGGGGCACTCTTGATCTTCGCTGGATTTGATATTGTGGCGAGTAAAGTGGCTAGTATCTTTCTTGGTGTTGGCTTTATTCTCACAATCTGGTGGGCCCGAAAAGACTGGCTTACAATCATGACTATCTTCCTTGCCGTTGCCTTGTTGGTTGCGTGCTGGTTTATTGCACATGGCGAAGCCTTGAGATGGGTCGTGGTAAGTTCTCACAACACATTCTGACTCATTCTTGGAGTTGAGATCTGACTGTAATAAACAGCTCTTTATTGGTGTTATGTCTGCTCTGTATAGCGTATGGGATATTGTGAGACACAAACCCCTCTTCCCCTTTGAAGTCGATTATTCCTTGCTGATCAATGGTTGTTACAGTGCGATGATCTTATTCTGCGAAAGGTGAACACTTCAGATGCCAGCGTTTTTGCCAGCAAATATGGCGGATCATCCCAGTGCTGGGGGGTGATATGGTCCCTTATTTCTCTTTTGTTCATGGCTATTGGTATTATTGGAGGAATAGCAGCTTTCCCTGAGTCATTCAGCCAGCAGGAGGCTGCTTCGAAGCATGTTATGCCCACCTGACAGATGGTCATTAGTTATGAAGCAACTTTTTTCCAACCTTTTATCATGGTGCTTGCCACAGTTCTCTACACTATTCTATATGAATTCCACATGTATTCAGGTCTGAGAAGGGTCCAAGAGAGGCTTATTACCGCCAGTCATTGATATAAGACTTCACAGTCTGCAAGCTGAGCAGAACCTGTTCTATGACATTTTCGCATTCAAAACCTTGTGAGGTAGTCTCAAGCTATACTATGTACAACCCCACTTCTAGCTTAATAGCTTCAACAAATAATTCGGCCAATTGATTCCCGATATCGGACAACACCGATACTTGTCCGTGATTTAATCATCCCTTGCATCTTGACGAATATTGTGATACATCTTGCCGACCGCGCAACTGGGGACATCTAGATATTAATATCATAAGAAGAACAAATCTTGCCAACTAGTCTTCCTTTCACTAAATAGCCATCAGTTTCTAGAGTTCGACAAATTTTCCTTACACAAAGAATCTGTGAACGAAGAGGTTTCTTCGGTGACACATACAATGGACTCAACTTCTCCCCCACGTTACCTCCTCATCGCAAATCCTCGAACTGCATCCAACCTTCTTATCCGAATGCTCAACATTTCGAACCAGCAGAACTTGATATCCAGTGATAACCTCAGCGGGTACTATTTTATGCCAATTATAGAACGGATTAGAGAGCTGGGAATTGAATTGAGCCCCCCAGCCGAGTGGAGTGATGACCAGGTAATGCAGGTTAAAGAAAAGTATCAAGAGTGTTTCAGGAATCTGCAGTCGCTGCTCAAAAAAGCCGAAGCGACCCAGTGCTCCGTCTTTGTAAAGGAGCATGCCATATTTCTCACAATGCTTAAGACTGCCGATTCTCACTCTCGATTTGGATCCTGGACTGCAGTCTCACTCGAGACATGGAGTAATGTGTCCAGCTCACAGTCGTCTAATCCAACCTTTCTCCCCGATGAGTTCATGCGCACATGGATACCAACGTTCTTAATTCGCCACCCAGCTCTGGCTTTCCCCTCATTTTATCGGGCAATGAAAGACAATAAAACCGCACCGGAATTGACCGATGAGGCCACTCGTCTGGACGGATTTTGGAAGCAGCGTTTTACACTGCAAGGGATGCGAGCTTTATACAATTGGTACATACAGTCACCAGCAGATCGCGCGCAATCACCCCATTCAGAAGATATCAACACTCAGTGGCCAGTTGTGATGGATGCCGATGATATCATGACTGAGCCCAAACTAGTGCAAAAATATGCTCAGTTAGTCGGCATGGATCCCTCGCTTGTGACACACACATGGGAAGCTACATCTGAAGATCTGAAGCTTAGGATAAGCCCGAGCTTCAGAAGAATGCTTGATACCTTACTGGCTTCAAAAGGGATCGACATGGGAAAGGTGGCAGGCAATGTTGATCTAGATGAAGAGTCATCAAAGTGGCGACAGGAGTTTGGAGAGACAGCTGGAAAGGTACTTGGAATTTTTGTCATGGGTGCAATACCCGACTATGAGTATCTAAAGGCACGTCGGCTCAGGGCCTGATTAGCTTTGGGTGACATTTTCCTATATGAACACGGCATCTGAATGAACATCCCATAGCTTTAAAATTATCTTTGTACAGATGCGCACTATCATGACTCCATATCACTCTGCATCCAGCTCTGCAAGCAGGTCAATGAAGTCCTCATCGCCTTGCTCAGCCAACTTTTCGAACTTGGATCTGTTGGCCACCAGCCACTGTGGCTCATCCCCCGTCTACCTCATCGATCAGTATTTAATTCTGCTATCCGAGAAGCTGCTACACTGAAAAGAAGATACTGACCTTCGGCCGCGCAATCCCAGCTTCGAGTGCCGTGGTCAATGCCCCCATCACCCAAACTGTCCGAAGACTTTTTTCGCCATCTTTACCAACAATCCGTTCCCATTCACATACTACTAGCTTGCAGTGGTCGATGTAGAGCTCATTGGTTCGGTTTTCTCCAGCGCGTGTCCGAATGATAATTCGATTAAATTTACGCCGTTTCCCGCCGCGGAAGACTACCTGGTGGCTAGCATCGATAAACCGGACATTGACGAACGTTTTAGGGGTATTGAACCCTGACGAATGTAAGTTTGTCAGGGCAGCTGCTAACTCTTCTTGGTCAGGGAAGCTAAGGGGGCACACATGTTCAACATCATAAAGCGGCATGGTGAAGTGTACTAGATTTGGACGGAGAGTTGAAGCAAACCCCCGCATTTGAAAGGTATTGCGGTCTTATCATTACAAATCTGGGACTCGTATGACTGGTTGAGATTGTGCCCAGTCAGCGCTTGTTGGTGAATATTATTTAGTTATTAAACTTGATTGGAGATAGATTATCAAGATATACCGCATGAATTAGAGCCGAAGCTCACGAACGTTGGAAGCTATAACTATGTACCCAAGTAGGTACTCCGCCGACTGTGCATGTATGTCAAGTCCTCCACCCCGAAAGCTTGGAACTCCAATTACCTTCTTCTTCATAAATATTCATATGACTCCATTCCCAATCACACCGATCAAGATACCGCTTCTCGCTCCTCCAGACCGGACCCAATTTGTGCGCCAAATTTTCTCATGTAGACCAAGAGCCGTAATCAGCACGAGAAGGGCAAATTGCGATCCGCACTCGACATAGATGTCAAGCTGGCCAGTCTTGGTCAATGTAAACGGCCCATCAGAGGAAAAGAGCGCAATCACTTGTGTATCTTCGTCCACCAGCTTATAGTCCCTATGCCTTTGGCCGAGTCCGGAGGTCCGCTTCCAGGTGAATTTCCGGGGATGATCGCCGAACATTGTCTGGAATGAATAGTGTGCTGCTATGAGCCCTTCCCGACTCAACTGTTCCCATTTCATGGTAGGGGGGAGTTCGGGTCTCCGAGTCCAATCTCGGTATCCCATGATAAGTGTCGATATTTGCAAATTCCAGCGATAGGCGAGTCTGAGCATGAGCCAACATGGAATTTCAAGTCTGGTTTCCCAGGTTTCAGTTGGGAGTTGACCACATGATAGATATGAGTATTGTCGACAGCGATATCATAGTCATGGCGCAAATAACTGTGGGTGATAGAGTATGATAGCATTTTTTTTCCAATCTTGGAAGATAGAAGATTTTCAGGTATGGAAGGTTGAATGGTCAAATACGGAGTGTATAAATTATTCGATAGCAGTTACTAGTGGGCAATTCGCTTTCTTGAATGTTCATTGTCAAGCAGAAAATTAAAGGCTGATAGATCTAAGCCCCCAAGATAGAAGTTGTAGACCAATGAAATCCATCTATGTGGAGCTCGGGAGCCTCCCGAAATATCTTTACGAATATTACCGGATGCGGTTAGACCAAGTCGGCACATCAAAGACTTGGCATTTTTTCACGATTGTTATTTCCACTGCTAGGATCATGTCTGGTTTCCATATGGTCGGCCACCCTAACGAGGAATAGAATGATTCAATCTACAGAATTTATGAGTTGATCCGCGTGTATCGTGACTCTCGGCGGTGGAGCTCCCCTACTTCTTGAATCTGGTGAAGAACTTTGCTGCTCTAGCTTTGATATAGTCGAAACACCCTAGCCTTTTTCAATCAGCAGGATGCATTTCAGAGGTTTGAAGACGTATATACAAGCAAGTTCGTCCCAACATACTGTATTGACATTATATAAGAAGTGCATTAGGCCACTTCTTATCAACCTCATCTGCTAAAAAATCAATGCGTACAACTTAGATTCGAGACGCCCTAGGATGGCCTCAGCGCATTCTGATGCAGCAGGTCTTCTTCTAGTCTTCTCTTTGTCCTTCATCCCTTTGTTTGACTATACCTATTTGGATTTGTTAGCAGCTTATACAAGTATAGCGGAAGCTCTTTGTCAGTTGACAGGGAAGACTTACAACGCTATTGACTACGGTGGTCAATTATGTTGTATTAAGTGATGAGCAGGAGGTAGGCTCTAATTTCCACTACTTTTGACTTTCCACCTAGCAGCCGGCGTTCTGGGTCGTGATACCACTGGTTGAAATCATCGTTATCGAGGACCCAGCGATATGATTATTTCAGCAGTCCGCCCTTGGCTGCCTCAATACGATCTTTGTCATCATAGGAGTTGGTTATGGACAGGTCACGCAGACAGTCTTGGTTTTCTGATGTTTCGAAGCTATCTTGAACTTAAAAACTCTGAGTTTGCCTTCTTGTAGCATAGCTTTCCAATAACCTACCACTGGAGGAATTTAAAAGTGCAGTGATAGTGCCATTATGTTGCCCTATTTGAAGGCCAGAGTTCGGGCCAGTGATAGATATCGTAGAATCTGTAGCCATGGTGGAACGGAATTTGTTAGCGTGTACAGTAGAAACGGTCGCCCTTTGTTGCACTAGATTAAGGAGCTCTGGTCATTTGTCATGTAGTCTTAATGTAGTTGAAACCTATGAGTTCTAGCGCCCTTCCCCTACAGCCTTCCTACAGTTAGTCACCTGCCTACCTGCATAGTTAAGCGACTGAGACTACATGAATAGCGACCACACTGCATAGAATCTCGTGGAATCACGGAGAATATATTGCGGCATGTGATTTCAAGGTTTATTTCGATCGGATATATTGTCAAGTCATCGTACTGATTCCAAGTTTATGTAGTATGTTTATTTAGACACATCATCCCGCATTAAGTCAACTGTAGCAAAATGGCATCTCACCTCAAACCCCGCGGTTCGAACTTATCCATCATATGATCCAGAATAACTCACTAACTACATCAGAAATAGCCTATGCCGCCAACTGCAGCAAATAAATCATTATGGATTAAGAGTTACATTGAAAGTTGGATTGAAAGTTGGATTGAGAGATGGATTGAGAGATGGATTGAGAGATGGATTGAGAGATGGATTGAGAGATGGATTGAGAGATGGATTGAGAGATGGATTGAGAGATGGATTGAGAGATGGATTGAGAGTTGGATTGAGAGTTGGATTGAGAGTTGAACTGCTTAGTAGAGAAAAAGATTAGGATTTAGGCTATTTATTTAAATAGATGATGAAAAGTTTTAAACTAGACTAAATATAATCATAAGAAATCTATATTTCAACCTCAACTATTCCTTCCGAAACCATTTCTGCTCTTGGGGCCCAATCATATGCACCATGAGGTTTTGTACAAATACCTAGAATAGGATCTATAGATGATTCATAGTGTACAAGTGCTCGCTGCCGGAGAGCCTTGTATACTATGCGATATGGTTGGCCCGAGTCCCCACGAAGATGTAGGAGGGGATTTTCAGGGTCAAATCCAGTCCCCGTAAGTTGTTCTCCAATCTCCTGAAGCTGTTGTTGACACCAGGTAAGGGTAGCTAATGGTAGATATTCGTTGCCATCCCACTCCGGTATATCTATTTGTAGCCTTTATAAAAGATCTGGATCAAATTGTTATTTATGATTATAAATGCCTTCTTGAGGGAAATTGTAGTTTAGAATAGGCTTCCCTGGAACACTGTTTGGCCGGTTTCTTTGATTTCGAATTGGATGAATGTTCCATACTTCAGTAAATGATTGAATATGCTGTCGGATGATAGGCATATAGATTGCAAGAAGGGAGACTTGCTCTGCAATATTATCCTTTGAGAAAAGCCTTCATCTTTTAGTTGGTGGAAGTAGTCATAATAAATATGAGTACATGATGATACTAGCTGCCCCCACCATGATTCAATCCTCTGGTTCTCGGTGCTTCGGCCATAGAAGAAGCAGTCCTGTAGCTGCTGTACCGAAGCTGAAGCTGAAGCTATAGCTATAGCTACTCTTGGTGATATTGTTGGTACTAGAGATGGAACTGAAGCTGGAACTAAAGCTGGAACTAAAGCTAGAACCGAAGTTGGAACTAAAGCTGGATCTGAAGCTGGATCTGAAGCTAGAACTAGTTCCTGAGATCCTGATTGACGTAGAGAGAAAAGCGCATCAGCTAATAGCATGGCTTCAGAGCCAAGATCAGAACGCAAATTCCGTGGTAGAAAGCCATTCTCTGAAACACAGTTTAGATATTGAAATAATACACTAACCGCTGTTCGAGAGCTTACTCCCACATATATCTAGATGATAAAGCGAGAGTAACCATCGATAGCTGCATATATCTCAAATCCAATTTGTTCAAGCTTTATATGACCATCAACATGCCATATCCAGTTTGGGCCAGGGCAAATATAAGCACCTTTTCGACGTTGAAGCCCTAAGCGACGTTTTTCAATAGAATTTGGATTGATCGTTTTATAGATCTTAGCAATCCTATGCCTAGGAGAAGTTAAGTAAATAAGTAAATAAAGAGAGAGAGAGAGAGAGAGAGAGAGAGAGAGAGAGAGAGAGAGAGAGCTTACCCTAAAGATTTGCTGGAATGCTGTAGACTGAAGAGCAGTGAAAGGGATATTATCCAAGACTATCCATCGAATCAAATTCTCCTCTAATGCCTCTAACATAGATTGACTAGTTTTTGTCCGAAATATAGAAACAATAGATGCTTGCTGAGTTACTGATGATATCATTGATCCATGTTTTTTCATCAGATGCGTTTTCATATTAGAAGTTGATGTATCTCTCTGGAAATCTAAGATCTTCCATTATCCACAATTAATACATATAATCTCTCGGTCCTGTAACGGCCATTTACCCCGTTTATGATGCCAGAACTTCCCTGGAAGACTGCGGATTGTAAATTGACTCCAAAGGGCTTGGATTTTGGATTTTGGTGTCTTGGGCAAAGAAGAGTCTAAAGGAGTAGACACTGTAGAAGAGGTTGTTTCAGGGAGTTGACTCGCTGAATTATTCAGAGATAGATTCATCCTCATCTTCATCTTCATCTAATGGGGAGTGATAACATGGTTGCTTTTTGATACAATCACTAGGATCAGCTTCCTCATCACTACCATCATTTAGAACAAAGTAATCCTGTCGTGGAGCACGCCCACGACTTTCTTATTACCCTCGCCGTCGAATTTGGAACTCTAAGCATCTGCATGTCGATTAATATCATCCAATAAAATGCACAGCTTCGTTCAATCAGCATGCCGACAAGAAGTATATGAAAACGGTGTTGCATGTCTACATTATTGTCTTTTTCCTGACCTTTATTATTTGGTGTCCATTTTATAAATGGCCAATTTTAGTATGTGAACTATAAATCTCTTTAGAGGTTGTACATGCTGATATATCGCGAAAGCTCCTAGTGAATGTAGTTCAGTTCTGTATAGGAGTAGCTATTTTGTGCCTAAGTAAGCTGTAGGAGGTAAATGTAGTTATATCTTGCTCGAGGCAGCTCTGTTTGAGTAGCTAATCATAATTGCTAAGTGCTTGCTGAGTGCTTATTGGATATTCCTGATCTGTTCTGTGATGATCATGAGCAGCTCCGTGAGCCTGAGCCTAGACTGAAATTTACTCATTAAGCCTGATCCTGAGCGCCCCCATAAAAGTAGCGGCGCCTGAAATAGGAAAGCCTCACCTGGCATGGAAAAATGGTAGGTAATGTTACCTAAGTACACATCTCCTATCTCATTATGAGGTTCAAATGGCTCGCGGAGCATGGTGCCAACCCAGAAACTAGGGCATGCGGAGCGGTTGCCTTAAAGCAATCTATGTGGATGAGTCAAGTGATGAAAAAAGTGATTGCTGAATGGGTAGCAGCAAGAAGATCGGAGCAATAAAGGTTTGAAAACCGGTATCCTGGTGTTGACTGCGATCTACCCAATCAATCAATCAATACTCTATTCACCTGATGCAGCCTAACTAGTAGCGTATGGCTATGCAGGCGTTTCCTCCGGCGGAAACGAGAGTATTCCAAATGCCAGAATGTCAAGATATTAGATACAAAGGAAATATGGCTTCATGCCATCATAAACCGAAATCTCTCTTTAAACCAAAATGCCCTCCATGCATAGTATCCCGTAGCTCTCCCACAGTAGCCCACTTCCTTCGTTTCCCCTCTCCACTTTCATAGCATCCTCCTCCCCTCGTTTCGGCCCTTTTGTTGTTCGTTGAAGTTGTCAATTTGTTCGTCCTTGGCCTCTGGGTAGGCCGCGGTATTGTCGTTCCTGATACCCAGTGTCTTCACCACGCTGCGCCACTCGTAGCCAGTTGTCGTAGTCCCCTCTAGCCTAGGTCTTCGTCTGATTCAGGGTCTGCTTCAGAGTCGGATCCAGCGTCTATCTGTCTAAACTGCCCGAGGAGACCTGTTTGAATCATGAATTTCGCCACGTAGCGGGTGACCTGCGAGTTCGATACCAAGGCATCGTAATCAGCCATCTTGTTGGGCTCCAAGTCCGTCCGTGCCCGGATCTTGGTCAAAATCTGCCTCCTCAGACTCGCGTATAACGGACACTGCAGGAGAACGTGTTTCGGCGTTTGAGACCCTTCTTCGCAACTACACTCATCCGAGTCGGCTCCGTTGATCTTAAAAAGGAAGTGCTTTAGGGCAATCCTCATTGATCGCATCTAGATCATCACGGCAGAGTATGCTTTCGGCAACCCTTCGAATCTCCGCAGATTCTTCTTTTCTGGCACCTTTATAAGCCTCTGGTAGACATGTGCATGGGTTGGGTATGGGTCGAAATTCATACCCATACCCATACCCAACCCAACCCATATACTCTGATGCCCCCGGACCCAAAGAAGGAGGATGACCTATTGGCAAAACCATCTCGTGCAAAGGCAGATCAGAGAGCAATCTACGAGATGACTGAACTTGCTCGCCGTCTCGGGTTTGAGTCCACGGAGATCGATGGGTTAATTAAGAGTTCTCCCGATCATCAGATCGCGCGGTCGGCTCTGTTGCAGGCCCGAAAACCAGATCGGTATCGATATGACCGCGAGCAGTTCGATATCCTGATTAGTCAGATCGTTGGTTGTTTTAGATAAGCTATTCCTGACCAGCCCGGCCACCAGATCTTCTCGCGGATAGTATTGTGAAGCCGCGGGTTCGTGCCGGGGTGCCACAGACACGCACCCAGAAGCAAGATAACGGCTTACTCTTCCTAGATTATCTACACACAGATGTTGAGGTTACCGACACCATCACCAGCTTCTTCGTCCGCCGTTGTGTTTATTTTGCATTTTTCGGAAAGCCTGCACAGAATGGACTGGCTCCTGATGGAGACCTACTTATGGGGGATGTGCCTCAGTTGCCGCTATTTGTCGAAGAGGACGAGCCATCTGATAGCCATGTGCCGACCCTAGCTGCAGCTTCTTCAAGTGTGCCAACTCGAGAAAGACAAGAGGAGTTACGAGGGGATGGAGCTCAACCGAGGGAGGCGCAAAGCATGGCACCCCAGCAACTATCGAGGAGCGAGAATGAACAGGGTCATCTGAGGCGTCGGCGAAGGCGTTAAGCTCAGATATGCAGGCTAACTTCACGCTGGGCGAGCGAGAGGGAACAAGAACCCATCGAGTAGAACTTACCGAGCACAGAAACCCCAGATGAAGATATGTCAGACCAAAGCAGCCCTCGTGATGAAAGCCTTTCTCTTAGGGAATCGAATATCAAACTAGCGCCGATCAACTTGGCAACGGCTCCTACATATGATTCCAACAGCTCTACTGGTCCTGGCGATACAGATGCTATCAGTGACTACATGAGGATCTCCATTAAAGCAGATAGACCTGAGCAAGATCTGGACGAAGGACCTTTGATCGTTGTGCAACAAGATGCTCTCAATGATCAGAAGATGGCTAATAATTCACTTCAGCTTACCTCCCCAGAGTCCGAGGCAGACCATTCGTCAAATTCCGATGGCTCTCCCAGACAACCAGCGTTGGATGCATACCTTGCCAATTACGGAGAGCCCAGGAAGAGCAGGAACTATTAGAAGAGAAACTGAAGCGGGAGCGGCTTAACGAAGAGCTAGGCCTGTCCAACCAAGGGCAACTGCCTCCTAAGGACTCGCCTCGATTTAAGGATAGACAATCTTCACCCCACTGGCTTCTGGTAACGAGTCAGCAGCACCATTGCACGCGGACATCAAGGACCCAACTTCTGCTCTAAACGTCACTAGTCACGATCTATCGCCAGTTTCCCTCCGTGAAGGGCAGCCAGAATCCACGGTGGAGAACACGAATCAGATAAGGCCCAGTTCCCCGAACGTTGTCAGAAAGCCCTCTAGTCACACCTCTACCGCTAATGATTCCAGGCCTGGAGCAGCGGTCTCGCCTCAATCACAGCAAGGGCCCGTCGAGATTCAGTTGTTGGCTCTTGAAAGAGAACAGTGGAGGCAGTCAGATCGTCTTGTCGTAGATCCGTCAGACACATCGCCGCTAGAGCAACTTGCGCCAAAATATTTACGGAAAGGATATTCACTGTACGATGCATATCTTCGAAATCTCCGGCCAGCCCAATGTTTCTGGGCGGCCACCGTCGATGGCGAAAATTCCATATTCATGATTTCCGAGCATGAAGAGCGGGAACTTGTCGCTGCAGGCCGACTCATCAAGGAGAGGCAACTTCTAACAATGACTTCCCAAGCCCTAGGTAGGATAGAAGGGGAAACAGGATTGGTCACGCCCGGTCGTTCTGTGGAGCCAAGAATATCATAAAGACCAATTTAAGCAGACACGGCTACTATGTAGCTCGCAATAAGAGACCGTTAGAGCTATGAGCGATGCCACCTCGAGAGAAAGCTCTTGGAAAACTCGTTGGACTGAGCAGCATGTCTTGTGTTTATCTTTGAAATATGCAGCTCTTCTTGTAGGCCTGGCTGTAGAAATACATGTATATAAATATTGTTCTGGGTATATGTTTTTGGGAAGGTGGTGTACTCGGAAACCCGGAATAAGGCCTTTGCTCTGAGAGCCCAACCCTCCTGAGAGAATCCTCTTGAGAGGAATTTAGACCTGTGAATCCCGACCGGAGAGCAACAGCCAGACAAGAGCGGCTAAGCCATATGAAAGCCCTCTTTGTACTGCACCTGTCCTATAACGGTCGTCCTAGTCTTAGTCTGCTCTGGAGACGGATCGGGCCTATCCGGATTTCACTCACCTGTTTCCGGTGAGCAGGAATACTAATGGCCCTTGATAATATGCCTTACTTATCCCTTTTCTCATATTAGGTTGCACGTCACCTTTTAAGTCAATGATGGTAACACTAATGGTGTTATCTAAGTCCTCAACGAGAGATAAGCATTACAAGACTATTATGGTTGAACGGAGCAAATCCTCCGAGTTTGCTGTAAATTGTAGCTGGATAAAGGGGTCGCTGCAGCAGTGATGCGATACACTGCAGATCGCAGTGGCTTTCTATTCGTCAGTGGTTGCCTAGACAAGTCAGCCCGAGACAGTACAGGGTGTTAGGGGAAGAAAGATCAAGTGATCTGACATCGACCCCACTCAGCATCTTGTTTCTCTTCCTTTCCTCTCATTTCTCTCAAAGCTGAATTGTCTGAACCATATCTTACAAGGCTTGTTTTAGTATATAAGTAACCATTAATCCATATCCTCAAGTGCCAGTGAAAATGAACCAACCTTCTCATGTGGAAAGTCTGACTGAGACGCTGAGAAACTTTGGCTTAAGTGATGCGCCTGAGGATTCAGAGCACTTGTTATTTAGACCTCAAGCAGATAGTGGATTGGCGTTGACGGCTTTCGATCAAATTCCCCGCTACCTGTTTCGGGTCGCCTCCCCCAAATCCACCGGAACAACAAATGAGACATGGGTTTGTTCAGAGTCAACCTCCCAGAACAGAAACTCCTATACGGATGGCATTTTCTTCGACTTGAATATTGAGAAGCGGACGACCATAGCTCGAACACTCAACCTGCATCTTCGGTAGTGGCAAAAGCGCGGCCTGAGGGACAATTTCGTCTCATGGACCAGCTCATTGCTCTTCGCAATTCAGTATATCTACTACCGACATCTAAGCCACGAAGATGGGTTGAGTTTAGAGCAGATAAAGTTATATGTGATATATACGGAATGGTTCCCTGAAGGCACATTTCTTCGTGACTTAGACCTGATTAATGCTTTCTGGGAATCTGACAATCACCGAGCAGGAAAAAATTTGGAGAACTTACAATATTTTCGCAACGAAACCGAAAATTATTTTGGAGAATACCTTTCACAAGGGTCACTGAAGATCGAGGGTAAATATGAAATAATCTCCGGCCAGTCTCTTATCGAGGATAATCGATTGCGTCGCCTACAGCCCTATTTTCGTGAGTTTCATAATTTTCCAGTCAGCAACGGGAAACCGATATAGGTCAAAGAAGTTATTCGTCTTCGTAAAGCTATTTGAAGAGTTACCGATTCAGCACAATTATCGCCAACAGAGACAGTCGACCGTTTTAAGGCTCTCGAAGAGATCGTACAAACCCTTAAACCGGGCTGGAGATTCCCCCTTGCGATTTACTTTGCATCACTCATTGGCTCTGGATCTTCAACTGACGAACAAGGTGAGGGAGTGGACGGTATCTTCTTAAAGTATTTCCAATTTACGTTTCCTTACGGTAGGTCGATAATATTTCCACTCTATGAAAAGATATGGATATGACCATGGGCGCTAACAGAAAAATTTCAAGAAAAGTAAGTATGGTGCCCTTCCAACATCGACATTGTCGCACTAGAAACAATGCCTGAAATGAAGTGGGTCAAAAGACTTGCTCATGAAACACATAGATACTACGCGCTGAGACTAGCTCTAGGTTGGCCCATAGTTTGGTGCTCTTTGCTTCTTTTTGATAATAGTTCTAGATCGCGTCTCAGCGGCCGAAGCAAGTATTGCCAGTTTAAAATTTGATAATGTTTCCTCTGGAAATAGCCATGCTATAGTAAATTCGAACGAGTTAGTAGACCGTACAAGCCAAATTCTTCTGACAAGGCTTCACTTAGTACAGACCATATGTGAAAAGCTCATCTTGGGGATTTCATCAGGTGCGTTATAGGTATAGCCATCCTTGATTTCCGTTCTTTTCCCATGGCTCTTTTCAATCTATTATATTGTTAATATTTGTTTTCCATGATTTGTTTTGTCCATAGGTTTCCGTAGATACAGTACTATAGTAGTATTAAACCAGAAAAATCGGAATGGGGCCCCATGACAAGAAAGATATCCGTTAGTTTTAAAACTCTATAAGTATTAAAACTGAATATTTATACAGTACCTAAATGGTATTTAACCCATAGAGAAGAGGTACAAGACCATTAGCCGTTACTTTCAAACTCGTTCGATGGCTGCCCATGCAATCTTGAAGGTTTCACGAGCCAGCTCAAAGTGAGGAGTGACTTCATTAGTTTACTGCTCCGCTGGTTCGCTATATTCATTACCTGATGAAGAAGTGGGTCACAGCAGCGCAATACACTTCCAACCGCAGTGGCGTTCTATTCAGTGGTCCCTGCCAAGACAAGACAACCTACGGACCCAGACCAGAGGTGTCGAAGGCACAGACAGTGCATACATAACCAGTGTTAGGAAGAGTCAAGGATAATTCATGGGTCTAATACCCCGCTCGTAGTGAGGAGACACTCCATTGGTCACCTGGGCTCACTGCCTGCTGAAGTGGATTACGGTCGAGAGTGATGTGATTCATTACCTCAGTGGCCTCCTATTTGTTTGCCCAGTGTAGCAAGATTCTACTGCAGTTGTTTGACTATGACTGGGCTAGGGGCGGGGCCGCAGCGAAGCCTATTCTAGAGCTATATAATGGATTGCTCTTTCTCCAACTTGTCAAGATTTGAAACATCCAGCCTTCTCATACAACGCCTGACAACCATGTTCTGCCTACGTATTTGCCACAATGCCTTACTATCTTGTAAATAGGTTTGTATCTTCATAACCGCGTCTTTTCAGCTGATTTAGTCTCTTCGACTTACCAACAAGTTGAGTGCTACGAAGGCGTTCCGCCTGAAAACGTCAATCGGTACACCTTAGAATTTGGCAGACTCTGAAATTACGAAATAACTCTCTTTCTTGCAGGATCAAAGAATTCATCCGAAGCAACAAAGGCGAGATTCTGGAGGAATTTGAGGGTTGCAACGGTTTTTCGTGGGTGCAAGTATTTTAGTGTTCTATGGTGTTCTATACACATCACAGCACTACATAAGCTTACTATGTATTCACAGTGCTTTAAATAAGACCTCGGGGCTCGTTTGAAATCCCACGACGATGTAAAAGGCATTGAGATCGATCTGCTGGAGACATATTAATTATCTTCAAGGGAAGAAGCACCGGCCTATCCTAGGCTAGACGATATTGTGTCACTAGAGAAAATGTGCCTCATTCGACATCCGGCCTCGAAACCACACGATTTCGACAATCATCAGGCGCGGCCCTTACCGTGCCGTCATCTTTTTTCATCGAGTCTGGCCCGAATTCTGCACGAGGTGCGAAATGCCGACTTCCGGGTTGTGATCGAATCATCCAACCGGATGCCTCCAGGCCACCGGCTGTGTGATCTTATTAGGGACATGTCGAATGGTGGCAGTTCTCGGGGTTGAAAAGAAGTGGGAATCGCGAGGGGCGGGACTGGATCAAATTCGACTTAGCCCATCAATAACCCATATAGCGGCCTACTGATTTCCACCAACGTTACACCTAAGCTACGAAAAGTTCTTCGAAGAACAGCCGGAAAAGCATCGATCCGAAGGCTATTCCTCCAAGTTACTACCCGAACTCCGAAATGCTGTACTTTCAGCAAGATCGGGAATAGACATGTTCATTGGGTTGGGTATGGGTCAGAATTTCTGACCCAAGTTTTCTTCCAGAATTAATATAAATTAGAATGCCAGTATTTTCAAAGTAGTCTTAATGACCTCATCGTTGCATATGACTGATACAGCAAGTTCAGTAAATCAATCGAAACTGGGATTGATGTAATATCATCGACTCTCACATTGTTCAACGCCCTAAAAAACCTTTTAGGTTAGTCTGTTTTTGGTCAGCATTTCCACACTTTGTGTGAATGGTTAGAACCCACGCGGAATTGCCTTTAATTCTTTGAATTCAGCTGCTATTCGTCTCCGCCAAAGTTAACAAGAGGACCGTATAATATAATCCGGAATCTTCTATAAAGTTCTGTGGTACCTGCAGATTTTTTGTTGTCTGTTCGTTATCTCATAGTACTCCGTATTTAAACTTCACTTCCTCGTACTATATTTACAATAATTTGTCGCAGGCAAAATAACCAAAATCAGAGATGAAATTCTTCATAGATTGCCGGAGGGCGTAGATTCGAACTTCTGCGTTGATCTTCTACAGCATCATTTGGAACAGAACTACAGTATAGTCATAGTAGTGAAATCGGATATTGGGGGAACTAGCTAATGACGAGGTAATCCAGCCGAGATCAGGCGGAAGCAGAGTCAATAGTCCAATCTTAATCTAGGTGGGAGACTTTTGGAATCATTTTCGAAGACGATGAAAGATGACCGTACTAAAGCAGGGGGATACCATATCACTCCATGGAATTATAACCATATCTACCCACGGATCTACTCAAAATCGTATCAATGAAAATATTTTCGATGAGAATTTTTGAGATAAATGGTTACCGTCATAAGCATTATCTACTCCTGGCCCTTGAAATCTTTACATTTTCTACCCGCACTTCACTCCCACTTCCACTTCCACAGCTTCGCTCCATAAGTGCTTATTCAATTTTAACTCCCCACAATTTCCCTCTCAGTTTCACCATGCCTCTACAAAATATCAAGCCTCACCGTACTATCGATTCCACCCCCTCTGGCATCCCGTCAAGCTACCTCACTACCACCTCTGTTAACAAGATCGACACAATCGAACAATTCAAAGCAGACGTGGTACGGGTTGTCACGAATAACACTCCAGGCGATCACCTGTATACACATGTGCCTCCACAGTGGGGAACAGAGTGCTTTAAAGAGATAGATGAGCTATACTTCTGCCGGTAAGTCGAACACTGCCTTTAACTTATGCATCTTTGATCTAATAAAGTAAAGTAAAACGTGGAATAGCGTCGAATTCACCCTGCGAATTAAGACGATGCCTGTGCAGGTGCATGACTCCCACCATGGGTGGATTGCATGTTCGAGGGAGGATTGGAGGGCACTGAATTTGTTCACGCTAGCGGAAAGCCGCCTCTGCTCTCCTAACGTTGGTACAACCATTGAGTATGCATCAGGGCCGTTAATGGGATCAAAAAAAGAACCTGATCTGCTTTTTGTCGTAGATCGACAAATGTATCCGACATTTGCGATCGAAGCAGGTTGGTCGGAGTCTACCCCCCGCCTTATTCACGATAAAGACCTCCTCTTGAATGGTGCTCAGGGAGATACCCAGGTGGTTATCACGATTAAATGGAGAAAGAATATCCGCAACCAGGTTTCGGGAAGTCTGAAGGTATGGCGGTGGGGGCAAGCTACCTCGCTCGAGATGGTATGTGAAAGTCTACAATTTCATTAAAGAAAGATACTAATGATCCCAAATTATACAGACCATCTTTCCTCGGCCTGCAAATGGCCATCTAGACGTCATCGATCTAACTCGCGGCGAAGTTTTTGGCCGGTCTATCTTGCCTGGACGCAATCCCAGCGATATTCTTCCCCTACAATTGGATGACTTACGAAGTTTGGCCGCGGATAGGCTGGCTATTATGGGTTTGACACACACCTAAGCAGTCTCCTTTATCATATGATTTACAGGATCAATGGCTGGAGCAGAGGATCCCAGCGTGGACCAAGACTGAGATTCGAAGAACTAGCAGACCTTCTCGGAGTCGATACTTTTAAAAAATATTATAGAGGATCCAAGATAGCCCTGTAAGTATCCTTAGCGAAAACTGAAATGACATTGTGCACGCCGCAAAATAACAGTCAGATGCATGGAAGCTAGGGTGTGGGTTTACCACGAGAAATTTGAGGTGGCCAGAGCTCGAGGTACTGAGTACTGGGATCGAGCCATCACACTCCGGCGATGAGTTTGATCTCCCAGTGCTGTAGTAACATTTTAAACGAAACTGGTATAGACCTAGGATCTCCATGAATTAGGCTATCAGAGGTACATCAGAATAAGAGAGCCCGAATCTACTCAAATCTTTTATCTCAATCGCGATAATCTTTGAGTATTTGAATTTGAATAGCTAACTGAATCCGTATTATACTAGGTTGAGGAGCAATCTATACTCGACGATATTGCAACGAATGGATACCCTACGGATAGAACACCGAAGCAAAGCGGCAACTTTGACATCGAATATTTAATTGGGCTTATACATGATGAAGGTATCGAAGCCTGTTTCGTGCAAGAAGCAGCTCTGAGTTATTTTGGCTCAACGCGAATAATGTGGGAATTTGGTCTGTGTGTCCTAGATGAAAAGCTCAGGGTGGCCGAGGCCTTCTTGTAAGCTCTAATAAGTAGATTTGAGCCTTTTAGACCACTCTGGAAGTGGTCTAATTTACGGAACCACCAATACCGCTGTTACGCTGTGGGACGAAGTACAATACCACTAGGAGAAATAATACACAGATACGCGTAATTGGTATTTTGTATTTAGTATGTAATGAAATATTTGTTTAGTATAGATAATTTTACATTAAATAGCTGCCCTTTCCCTCGCAATTTACCGCCCATCCTCCTATTCACCAGTAACTGATCCAACAAGATAGACTGTTCTTCGCACATTTTCCCTCGCATCATGAGTCGTAATGACATTCATGTCGCCATCTTACAGAATTTTTTAATTTCAGAAAAAGGTGGCGAGCGTATGATTGAGAACATTTCGAAGCTTGTCCTCTGCTCAAACCCCAACACCAAAATCAGTGTTTACGCACCGATCCAGGGTGACGCATTCCCCAATCAGGATGACTATGACTTAATTATTCTCACTGGCGGTCCTTTTAATCTTTTAGAAGATGAGAAGCCTTCATGGGTAAATGAAACCTTGAATTTCATCAAATCCATCACCACAGGTCGAGTAAGGCCGAAGCTTCTTGGTATTTGTTGGGGTCAGCAGGCAATTGCGTTAGCCCTTGGGGGTTCTTTAGGTAAATCGAAAGAAGGTCCTTGTGTAAGAGTTTCTGTATACAAGCCTCAACGTCAATGACTAAAATGAATGCCTTAGATTGGAGTTGAGACTATTCCGTTGACCTCTGGCGGTGCAACATTTTTTAATGCTAGATCGCTGGTATGCGCCGCAGATATCAACATCAGGAACATTCAACTAACTTCGGTAGGACATACACAAAAATCATCTACTTGTTGTGGATGATATTGGCCCTCATCTTTCTTGCCTGGCTCTCAACAATGAAATACTTCTATCGAAAGACAACCAGGTCCTCACTTTTCAAGGCCACCCAGAGCTGGATGCAATCCTTTCCCAATTATTTGTGGATGTTAATAACCCTTCCTATTTCGACCGAAATGAGCTGAAGAGAGTCCTTAAGCCTATTGATGCACCCCATGATGGCGAAATTATCTTCGTATCAATTATGAAATGGGCATCGGAAGACATAAATTTTAACTGATAAGTCATCCGAGCTCAGGTGAAAGTGCCTATGTTCGCTGCGCATCCGTATATTTCTCATACTTGTCCCAATAAAAACTCTTCAACACCCACGCTTTTTTTTTTTAGAAAATTCAAACAGCGAACAGTAGGACGTATAAACGTTTTACCGTGAATCAATAAAGGAATTAAGCCAACCATGCCAGAGCTGTCCAGTGATCAAAAATTTTAAAAGTCTACCCACAACTACACCTCGGTACCGATGGTCTATGCTCGTCAGCTATTCTAAAAATTTGAGTCGTTGATAGAGAGCAGAAGCGTTAGTTTGCTTATAGCAGCAATCTTGAGAATCGAGTCTGCATGTGTTAGAAATCAGTCACACTGAATCGCACGGGCACATCTCCGCGCTTTCATTGGCTTGCCTCAAGATATGTCTTTTATTGTGCCTGGGACAACACCTGAACCTGATACAAATAGCTGAAATATGGTGGCGGGGCTGGAAGCAAATACCTGAAAGTTTTGCTTTTATTGTTAGACCAAGCGCTACACTACCATTATTTGGAATGACATGAGATGAAAAGGGCTGCTAACAGCTGGCAGCGTAAGGGGATTAACATGAATTATCTGTTTCAATAGTAGCAAAATTTGGATTCGAGAAAACATGTAAGATCTTTGCACGGCCTACATGAAATATCTGATACTATGAGTCTGCTAGCCCTTCAGGGCGTTCAATAAGTCTATAGATATCACACAAATAACTTTTCCAGGAATTGCAATGATCTTCGATTTTGTGTTTTGCTCTTCAGCAGGAATGAAAAAAAGCATGAATGAACTATACAAGATATTTGTCGATTGCCTCTTCATTTGTCAGGCTTCCAATCACGTCACTGAAGTACCCAACTACATAATCCGCAGACTCTTGATCCAATACTAGATTGGATACCGTCATAGTGATAGTCAATGTTTGTTCATGAGGGACCACAAGTACATTGGCCGTACTAGATGGTCGATTCGGAAGACTGTACAGATCTGTCTCACATGTATATCCATCAAAACGACAAGTCAATTCGTCGTCATCGCTGAAGTTTTGGAACCTCACAAAGCTTCCAAATTTTGTTCCAGCCTCCCAAGACGTGCAGTTATCGGCGATTTCGCCAAGTCCAAGATTTTCAACGGACATGGTTTGAACATGCTGCTGCTGGACCTGGTCAAGTAGTTGGAATTTATTTGACTGTGGAAGGAAGTGTACTCGCACAGGGATGATATTCAGACATGGGCCGACAATGCGGTCTTCATGGGAAATTCCAAGTCCTCGACCATGTACGACCTGGCCGAAAACAACATCTTCCAAGCTCTGTTTGCATTCATTCTCTTCATGGGTAGAGGTAAATAGTCGAGAGAGTGTGATTGCCCATGCCAGTTTGACCAATGTTGCCAATGTGATATTGGGTGGAGGAGAGATTGGTAAGGTCTCTGCTCTTGCTGTCACCACGCTTGGCTGCTCCGAATCTGTACTCATTTTTGTGTCATCCTTTTTGTCGAAACCATTCCAGTTGCGCAAAAGCTTGCGACTCAAGCTGGTCATTGGGGCATCTCCCAGCACCTCCTTCCATACATTGTAGGTTGCAGGTGTCCTTTTACCCCAGACATGTCGAATATGGTCCGAAAACTGAGCGCAAGGTGGAACCTGCTCTCCGCTGTATGCAGAACTTAAATCACTACAAATGATACCGAGTGAAAGCCCATCGAATAAGGCATGAGGTAATCGCAGAGCTAGAAACATTTCGGAATCCTTCAAGGTCACAAGCTGTGCCTGAAATCCAATCTCGCCATTTGTAGGCGGCTCCATGGCGAGAGAATTCTCTGCGAGATGATTTTCCAAATTCTCGATATTTTGATAGTGGGTAAAGCTGATGTCGACTTTGCGCAAAGTCAGCTGTATAATTGAGTTGTCATCGTTTTTGTAAAAGACAGTGCGTAAGATGGAGTGTTTTTGAACAAGCTGATCGCACGCATTCAGTAGCTGCTTTTGATCAACTATTTTAGGCAGTGAGATCCATAGATACCGATTGTAGAAGTTGTAGAGTGTCATTGTTTGAAATTCAGTGGCGGGCATGGCTTCCTCAGTGTTATCGACAATCCCCTGCGGCAGGCGAGAAGGGAGTCTAGTATGAGAAATTTTGTATTGAAGTGATGAATTTAAGATTGATCCAGGCTGTTCACGGCAAAGAGACTGACGAGCAGAGCTTATTCTGGTATCTCCGTTGTCTGCAAGGCACTTTGAAGCTATTTCGGAGAGAGTTTGCTGCGTAAAGATATCTGCGACGGTCAAGTGAATTCCCCTGCGTTTTGCAAGCATAGAAACACGCATGGCCGAAATTGAGTCTCCTCCAAGGCCGAAAAAGTTACTGTTCATGGGAAGTGTTTTCACATCCAAGTTGAGAGCTTGGCTTATGATTTGTTGAATTTCCCGGCCTTGTACCGTGGCAGGAACTTCCTCGGTGGACGAAGCCCTATTTCTCAGCTGATATAGCTCTAGTCTCTTGAGCGGCAAGTTCGAGGACTGATCTCGGAGTAGACGACGATTCACTTTGCCCGACAAGCTAAGAGGAACATCAACAAGTGGTATAAAGAAAGAAGGAACCATGTATGCTGGAAGAAGTTCTCTGAGAGATTCTTCAAGCAATTGGATAGTCGAATAAAACTGATCAGTTGGGGGGCCAATCAGTTCTAAACCACCAAGCTCCAATGATTCGTCGCTTAAGGATTGCTCCCAGTCTTCATCTGATTGCGGACAAATAAACGCAGCAAGTGTGACTCGGTTGTTTTGTTCAGGAATTCTGATACATTCAACAGCAGCGGTTTTGATGGCCGTACATAAAGAGGTGATGCCATGCTCAACTTCTCCCACTTCAAGCCTCTGCCCGTGCAATTTTACCTGGTCGTCTTTCCTTCCAATGAAAAGAAGTGAGCCGTCGGGTGTCTGTCTTACGAGGTCTCCCGTTTTGTACATTCTTCCAGATACGGAACGGACCTCCGGGAGCCAAGACGGACTGGTGATAAAGACTTTGTTTGTCTTCTCTGGATCGTTGAGATACCCAGACGAAACCACGGGACCTTCGACGATCAACTCACCAACTGTACCGATAGGGACGAGCCGATTGTGATTTAAAGGGTCAACTACCCAAGAAGCTGCTCCAGGACTTCGGCCAATGTTGGATTGGTGAGTGTCGGGCATTATTCTTCCGATATGAGAAATAACAGTACATTCTGCCGGTGCATACATCCCGAATAGTTTTACTCTGTGGGCCCACACATCCACAATATGTGGGGTAAGGGGTTCACCAGCTGATCCCAGGACTTCAAGATTTGGGACATCTGACGGATCAAACAGATTGATCACGGACGGAGTAAGAAGTGCCCAAGTTGCTTGGAGATCACCCGCAGCTTTTGATGGGTTCCCCCTTCGATCCTCCTCATGGGGTACACAGATACATGCTCCTGCCGCAAGAGTAAACAGTATCTCTCCAATGCTGATATCGAACGCAAAGGATGCGAAATGAAAGACGCGGCTGGTAGATTTAAGCATTCCATGGTCGCGCATAACAGCTGCACTTGAGGTAAGAGCACTATGTTGAAGCACAATGCCTTTAGGCAGTCCGGTGGAGCCTGAGCTGAAGACAACGCATGCAGGTGCATCAGGGGTGGTAGCTCCAGCTATTGGCTGGGATTCATGTCCACTAAGACTCTGCATATAAGCTTTGGGGTGGAATATGATGACAGAAAGTAGAAGACTGTCACTGATATGACTGTGCTCCTTGAACGAAACAACAATTTTGGCATCAATCATAGAACACATCGTTCGCAGCCTCTTGAGAGGGTGTGAAAGGTCCAGTAGCACAAATGCAGCGCCAGTCTTCAGAACTGCTAGCATGATAACTGGAACCCAGGGTGACCTCTCTAGTAAGAGGGGTACGAAATCTCCCTTCATGATACCTATGCTTATCAATTGCTTCGCGAACTGATTGGAATAGCTCTCAACCTGTGCGTATGTCAGGTCCAAATTGTTTGAGTGAACAGCAAGTGCCTCAGGCTGGGCAATACATAGTTGCCGAATGCGATCATGGATACAAATGTTTATAGCCTTTGGGAGGTATTGATTCCATGTTTTCAACATAGCCATATCCTCTTGGGGTATCGAGCTAACATCTGCAATGGGTAACGAGTCGCACATAATGAGCTGGTGGATAACATGCGACATCTGCCTGAGAATACTGTAACCAGCAGCATGTTCCAGAAAAGTAGGGTCAAACACTGCTTTCATGGTGATTCCGCTTTCTGTTGGACGGCATATCAAGACCATCGGATAACTGGCAAAAGCTTTCATGTTTTCAGAGGAAGAGGTTGAGTTTTCTGGCGGTTCGAACAAAGGAGATGTCATTTGTTGCTCATATGGTTGCACGACAAGTAGATTCTGGAAGTTGCATGCCTCAGCGGCCTCTTTGCTAGCTTTTCGAATACGCGACAATCCAGTCTGCTCATAGGGCATCATGTTGACAAATTGGTCTTGAACCTGTGATAGACCCTCATGGACAGGTCGATCTGTTCGTAGTTTGATACGCACAGGTAGTGTTGCCAATGTTGGTCCGCTCAGCCGATCGATCCCATTAATGTTTGCGTTACGACCACTGACAGTGGCTCCAAACAGCACGTCTTGACTACCTGTTTGGTGCCACAGGATGATCGCCCACGCAAACCGGACGATGGACGACAGCGTATACTTGGTGGAGATTCCTGTACCAAGCTGCAGGCGATGTTCCAGGACTATTTTCTCAGTCATTTGTGCAATTTTTGTGGGCCTTGCGCTAGTTGGGAAATGCTCTGCCTGGAGACTAGAAAACTCTTGAATCCAGAAGTCCTCCATAGTAGTTTCACGTCCATGAAGAAGGTGTTGAACGAATGGGCTGAATGGTCGCGTATGAAGCTTTTCCCTGGCGTATGCGTGCTCAACTTGTGCGATAATCAGACCAAGAGACCACTCATCAAACAAAGAATGATGAATATCTAGCCGGAAAGAGTCTTTGCTGAGATAAAACTGGACAAGTGGGCCGCGATTGATATCTATCTCTCCCACAAAACTCGTGATGTCAGTGACATTTACCCACGGAATATCAGCTTTTGTGACGACCTGAAAGATACCGTCTGGTATTTGCACGACTATAGTACGAAGAATTGGATTGTGGAGCCAAACTGCCTTCCATGCATTCGTGAATCTCTCCACGTCAAGCATTTTTGCCAACTGCCAGGTGTAACTGCCAATGTATGCATGTGGATTCTGGACTGTCAACGCTATTAACCCTTGCTGCATGTGCGTGCATGGATAAACATCCTCGATTTGGTCATTTTGCATACGGAGCTCTTCTGAAATAGCATCAAGTATGGTATGAGGGTTTTCTATCAATGAGAAAGGGGCAGGCACTGCTGGTGGCAAAAGCTTATTGTCTTTGACTAGCACTGATGCCATGTCCGACAGGGTTGAGAACTTGAAGATATCAGACACTGATATTATGAAGCCATTCTCACGAAGGAAGGCAGCCAATTTGATAGCTGCAATGGAGTCCCCACCCCGCCGAAAAAAACAGTCATGGCGCGCGAAATTTGCATCTTTGATACCCAGAATCGTAGCCCAGGAATGGATAAGGACTCTTTCTCTGGGTGTAGCTGCGATTCGATTGTGATTTGAATCAGATTTATCAATGGTTCTCGTCTGGTTGTCGAATAGCGCATGTACAGCTGATTCTTGTAAACAGAGTCGATTAATTTTGCCTGATGTTGTGAGCGGCATATTTTGCAGAAATACGAAATCAACTGGAACCATGTATGTTGGTAAACAATGCAGAAGGTGTTTTTTGAGTGTTGCTTTCAGGACTTTCATGTCTTTCAGCTGTTTTGACATCATTTGAGACGGACTGTGAGACTCTCTAGACGTATCGAGGCCTAGGAAGGCGAGAAGCTTAATGGAGCCATTGCCCTCATTTTTGGCAGTTACAACGGCTATATGAAGAAAGCCAGATTTGGCTACGTCGAGACATGCCGCTATGTGATGCTCAATTGCTGTGAGCTCAAGTCGCTGCCCATTAATCTTCACTTGATGATCTTTTCTTCCGAAAAACTGTAGCGACCCGTCAAGATTGTAACGAACCAAATCCCCCGTATGGAAAAACCGCTTCCATGAACGATCATTACTGAATTGTTCACAAATCCTTTTCTTCCACCCCGGAGTTGAGGTGAACATCATTTCGGTTCGTTTCTCGTCGCCTAAATAGCCACGTGCAACGGATGGACCCTCAATAACCAATTCACCCAGTGCGCCAATCGGTGCCAGTTTTTCGGGTTGATCAATCATAGCGACCCATAATTTTGATCCGCATCCAAATCCTATATTCCCTGGGGAAAATTTTGCTCTTATGTCCGATGCCAATGCTGCTATTCCAGAACTCTCGCTGACTCCGTAGGCATTGAAGAGTCGCACGTGTTTGGCCCAAGTAGAGATGTGGCTATCAGTCATAGGCTCGCCTCCAAGAACCAATGCTCGAAGACTCGGACATAAAGTGGGAGTCAGGGTACTGGCCAAAGATGGCGTCAGACTTGCCAAATTGACAGAATGGCGATTTATGAACCCAGAAAGGTCATTCAGACGATCGGCTTCAGAAGGGATGCAGATACAACCGCCAAACATGAGTGTAATAAGCATATCACGATTGCTCACATCGAATGTGTAGGATGCAAATTGTAGCATTCTTGTCGTAGGATTGACTTGAAGCGCTTTGCCATTGGCCATAGCCATAGAGTAAAAGGCAGAGTGTTCAGTTATTATGCCCTTAGGTTTGCCCGTAGTCCCGGAAGTGAAAGTTATATACATGGCATTGGAGGCGCTTGTTTCCGCTGTCGATTGTGGAGAATTTTCATCGACAGATGATAAGTCAAGAAGTTGAGAGAATTCCTCTCCAATTGTCATGACACTGCTCGCAAAAGATTTAGCAAGTGTGCTATGCGTCGACGAGCATAGCACAATTTCAGGACGCACAGATGAGCACAAACTGCTATTATAGTGTATCGGATGGGAAGGATTGAGAAAAAAGTAAGCACCGCCAGCTTTCATGACACCTAGCAGGGAAATGACTGCCCATTTTGATTTGTCAAATACAAGAGGGACGAAGGCTTCTGGGCGAACCCCAAGGTGTTGGAGCCGTATTGCCAGCGCTGATGACAGGTAGTCCAGCTCGGCATAGGTGAAATCACCATCCCAAGCTGACACACCGATAGACTCTGGCTGTGTAGCGCATTTTTGGGAGATTATGTGGTGTATGCAGTGTGCTGAAGAGATTGCATCACCTGGTGCACTGTTCCATTGAAGTAGACAGCTGATGTCTGCATCACTACATATATCGAGCACTTCAATCGGAGAGTCAATATGAAAGACGATTTCCTCAGTAGCCTTGGCTACTGTTGCCGCAATCATCGTAGCCAGATCAGCTGATATGACCGAGAGGTTGTGGTGAATCCCAACGCTAGGGCAATGTGTCTTTGTCCCTTTTGAGATATAAATGGCAAGATCAAACTGCGTTGAAACTGTTAGCATTACAGGATCGCTATTCGCTTATTTCCGGTTGAATAGTCACCTCTTTAAGAGCATAAAGGCTCGTGTTGCCACAATTTTCTTCGTGTCCCTCATCCACATAGACAACAGAGTTGACCCCCAGGAAAGTCGCGTTAACTTCCTCGTCCAACTCGACGCGGCTGATATCAAAAAGGCTCCGCACGGACTGTGAGGGCTCAACATGGCAGTAGCACCTTCTCCATTGATAACTGTCAGTCAAAACTCAAGGTCACTCTGAATGACATACCTTTTTGAATTCAGACAGCTAAACCAGAAATCGTTAGAGCCAGAATAACTTCTAAGTGAAACTGCCCATGCAGCCTGGAGAAGCTGTAAGTAGTTTTTGTTCTCCTCGTGCAACCAATTGGCAAGAAACTTGCTGCTCAGGTGGGTGAACGGGACGTTGGCCACGGCTTTTTGCGTTTCGATGTCCGGAGGGGCCTGCCGAATCCCCATGTGTGTGGAAAACAACGGTAGTGCGAGCGAGACAGCCATCGAGAATGACTTCAAAAAGAGGAATTTATTGATTGACTCTAGACACTAACCAGAGAGTTTGATAGATATTCGCAAGCGAGTAGATAATCAGCATCAACCTTTGATGTCCATATTACTTATCAACCTACTCAACTCTTGTTTAAATGGGCATTCCGTAAAATTGATTGAAATTCCCTCGTAAGCTCTAGACCGAGAAAAGTTGCTATACCCCATACATGCACAACTTGCATACTCTACGTAATAGACAAGTTCAAGGCCCCCCAAACATGCAGAGTAAATCCTGCGTTCTGAGACATGTTTAGACCGAATTCAGTATGGGACAAGATGAATGACATATCACTCCTTCACCGAATAGACATTTATTCACCGATTAATCAGGGCGCCTTAGGAGGAGGTAGTCGAGATCCACTACTCGTATATGTCGCCCAGCTGGACAGTGTAATGAACGATGCTGTGTAACCATGAAACTGTCAAGACATTAATCAGCTTCAAGGACCTTGATACTTTGGAATCTTGGAAGTCTTCTGTAGCGACTGGTATTACTGACTTGAACGATACTAGTTTGATTTTAGAGTTCTCATGAGCCTTCCTTGTGGGTCAGCCATGCAGACAAAAAATTGGCATAAGATTCGAGACTCAAATTTATTGCGCTATCGATTATACCATTACACCTACTCATGACCTCATGACTCTGCCCACAATTATATGTGATATTTGGGGTTAAATATCTAGAAATTTTGCCAAGAAAAAATAAATTAACTCAAGACAAAGTACAATGGTGGGAACTGAAAATTGAACACGCGACCTCAAGAGCTTAGACCAAGACTCCTAGCAACGGAGATTGGAAAATCGAGAACTTTGATGAGCCATCTTATAGAACCTAAAAGGAGTGTCTCGACACATGTGACTGATTGATTGGCTTGTGATTTTTATATATCTATGTATATCCCGTTACTTTCTAAATCAAGACAAAACAGGCAGGAGGCTAGCAAACTAAGGGATAGCAAAACAAAAGGACAGGTTCCAGTGCTTAAGCCTAGCTAAGATGATCCAATTAAAGATCGAACCGAACTCGGAGCGAGGTATGTTGATCAGATAAAAATCGACAGGTTTTGAGTTAAAATATGGTAGCGTATTTCGTATGCGAGCTGACCAATGGTTTCGATAAGGTCGAATAAGTCTCGATAGTTACATGTCAATAACTAAGCATTTTAACATGAAAACATCGATTGGTAAGCGAATAAAACTATCACATCCTAGCAATACCATAAATTCAATCGTGATTTTGTTATTTCAGCTTTAAACATATATTTCGATTAGGCGGCTTTACTATTATCCAAAACTTAGCACATATACTTCGGTCAATTTCTTGATTATATTAACATAGTCTCATAGTAGTTTGAGCTCTAGCTGTTGAGATATAACATTCAGATTTCTCGCATTTATATCGTGTTTGGGGTGGCCAGCTCGTATACGGAATACGTTACATGAGACCCACTATGAATTACATTTTCAATTTCAGCGGCTGAGCCATGGCTTCGGTACGGACCGAGAGCAATAGTACGAAGTACTTTTTTGGAGACCCGCATATGATCAGCTGCAAGGCCTCCTCATGCCGTTGAAGGAGATGACGCCAAGCTATCCTGTACTAAGCATGAATAAATAGATATTCCAGAAATTTCGGAGCCTCTGGTCCCCGTATTACCGTTTCGTGAATTACAGTACATTTCATGATACAACCAATACCAGTCTCATCAGATTTTGAGATAAAAGCGCAATTTGCCTTCTGTGTTTGATTTTATTGTATTCTTTTGTCTTCAATTCAATCGTCATGTGTGGAATAAGTGCATTTTTGAGTCACAATGGAGAGGCCAGCTCATATCAGCAGACCAAAGTCCGAGCCCAGCATGTGGAGGCTGAAATGAAAAACAGTTTGGATCTTGTTAGCCATCGTGGGCCAGATGCTCAGGGTCATTGGTTTAGCGACGATTACCATGTTGGTAAGTCTTCTCGTTCCATATTATTGTCTAGACATGAATTCATGTTCAAATCTCAACAGGACTTGGTCATGTTCGATTGTCAATCATTGATCTCAGCCCAAGCGGAGACCAGCCATTTCACGATGAAATTGACAATATTCATGCCGTGGTCAATGGCGAGTTGTATGACTACGAGCATTATCGAGCTCAGCTAGCCAGCGAATTCCATTTTACGGGAAACAGTGACTGCGAAATTGTCATTGCCTTGTACAAGCATTATGGCCTCTCTTTTATATCTCATCTGAGGGGGGAGTTTGCTTTTGTGATCTGGGATGGGAGCCGCCAGCGACTGATCGCAGCTAGAGATCGTTATGGAATCAAATCTCTGTATTACACAGTGGTTCAAGGCAAGTTATTGGTGGCAACAGAGATAAAGTCTTTCTTGGCATTTGGATTACAGCCGGAATGGTGTGTTCGTACATTGCGAGACCAGAGCTGGAGGGTTGAGTCGCGCACCTTCTTCAAAGGCGTACACAGGGTGAGTCCATTTCAATCGCATACCAGCAAACTGATGAGGCTCTTTCTAAGAATTCACAGGTTCTCCCTGGACACTACCTGATTTGTCGACGTAATGAGAGAGAAGAACAAAAGCCATACTGGGATCTTGAATATCCTGATAAAGTAAGAAGCCTCAATCACTTCCCAAGAAGATTCACTGACGATCAATGCTTTCTAGTTTTCCCATGACTTGCGATCAGAAGAGGAAATAGTTGAAGGAGTGAGGGAGCGTCTTCTAGAGGCTGTGAAAATTCGACTGAAAGCGGATGTTCCTGTAGCTATCTACCTCAGTGGCGGAATAGATTCATCATCAGTTGCTGGAATGGTAGCCGATCTCATAAAGCGGGGTACAAAGTTAGGTAATGAGCCTAATTCTGTCCCGTCAAACATGAAATGCTTCACCGTTCAGTTTGATGAGGATAGTGGTGCAGATGAGTCTGGTATATTCCCCACTATATAGAAAAGAATTTGCTGATCAAGTGCTGACATGTTCCAGCAATTGCTCAGCGCACAGCAGAATGGCTGGGTGTCGATATTAAATTCGTGAAAATGGATGAAGAGGCCCTCGTGTCACGATTTGAGGACGCCGTTTGGCACAGTGAAGTTACGCTCCCTGATCTCAATGGGATGGGTCGGTTGGCACTATCAGAAGCAGTACACTCTCAGGGGATCAAGGTTGTGATTACAGGTGAGTAGTTACTCCTAATGGGAATCTTGGCCATTGTTATGGTGTCTCATATCTTATTGCAGGAGAGGGCTCTGATGAGCATTTTGGGGGCTACGAAGCGTTTCGGGCTGACTCGCTTAGTGAGTCCGACCATTCATGGCCAGCGCTACAAATTCCCAATACCGACCGTGAGGAAGCACTGCAGGTGGCTATAGGAAAAGGCACATACGGTATTTTCGGCAATTACAGTCAGACTGTTCCAAGTGCGACGAAGCGCATGCTGAACAATAGCCACGTCACCAGTTCCATTGCAAGGGTTGGTGATCTGCCATTCTTAGATTGGGCAAATTCTTACGGGGTCGATATACCGGAGACGAGTCTCACTGAGGGGTTTGATGGGCGTGTCCGTGAGAATATAGCGAACCGGTGGCACCCCCTTCACACTGCTCAATACTTTTTTACAAAAACATTTTTGCCTCATTTTATCCTGAGGTACAACGGGGATAATATTGACATGGTAAATCAAGTTGAAAGTCGTTGCCCTTTCCTTGATCATCATTTGACGGAATATGTCAACAATGTGCCACCGAGTCTCAAGATGAAATACAACGCGAAAGATAAATGCTTCCGTGAAAAGCACATTCTCCGAGAAGCTGTGAAGCCTTATGTTACCGAAGAGGTTTACAATATCAGCAAGAAAGCCTATATGGGTCCAAGAAGATTCTGGCCGGGTGGACCGTTACACCGGAAAATCACGCACCTGGTCACAAAGGAAAACGTGGAAAGCCTGGGATTTGTAGACTGGAATGCTACAAGTCAGGCCTTGGAAGAAGCTTTCAATAAGCAGGAACCCATGGCGCTCCGCCGCGCGATTACCGTTGCTCAGTTCATTGTTCTAGGGCAACGTTTCGGAATCAAGCCTGCTGGTGTCCTACTTAATTGAGGGTATCATATATCTAGAGCATATTGTGAGAAAATCTTGTTTATTTCAGCTATAGAAAAATATATTGCTCTCTTGGAATTTTGATGTCATTCTTCTAAAGAATACCTATTAGTTCATATTTTAAGAGCAGGAAGCCTCGGCAAGTCACTAATTAGAGGTTAGATAATAATGAATTTCAGGTATCAGAAGTATAGTTTCTTCAAGACAATGCTCAAAACATTTGAACTGTAGGATCATTTTTGCGGTTCTATTATCTTTACCCATGTCATACCATCATCTGTTAATACCCAGCTGGGCATCAGCGAAATGAGAAACCTTCCAAGTTATTGGAATTTATCTTCATGAAGATAGGGTGAGATAGTCAAGTGATTCAGATTCAATACTTGATAATTTAATCAAGTTTTACCATCTGAATACAGGGTAGTAGATACATATAATGAAAAGAAAAGAGAAAAGAAAGCCTCAGACTTAGCTTTTCGGATTTTCACCAAAATGCGGCACATCTTACCTCGATACTTTCCCGAGCTTCAGAGTCTCTGTCCTGGCTGACCAACTCAACTGCACTATGTATGGCTCCCCCGACTCCCAATTGAGACAGTTCATTGGACCCTTCCTTTGGCGCTCTTGAATACGCCTCCATCTCGTTGTCAAACAGTTGAATTATCAAGACGTCAGAGGGCTCTTGCTCTGAAATGAAGTGCCAGTCATGCGCTTTTTGCTCCTTGTCACGTGGCCCATAAGCAAGATAGCCATGCGATTGATATTCTCTATGGCCCTCTTTCTGAGCGTTTTCTTCGTTAGGGACGATCAAGTGAGGGGCGTTGGGATCAACTATTCGTGACAAATGAGCTGGAATATCGGAATCCATGGGCTCGAACTGGACATCAGGCACATAATCAGATTCAGGAAAGGAAGCACAGGAGGCTAAAGCAAGAGGATCACGATGGACCGTTTTTAGAGGCCGCCATATAGAGAAAAGTGCGAATCGAGGTATCCCAACATCGTTCTCCTTCCCCCTATAAAAGTTTTTGAGATCATCCCATTGCACACCGGATTCAAGCAATCGGTTCTCCTTCTCGATTACTTGCTCGGCCGCTGAAGCAACTTCGCGATGGTACTTTCGAATGTGGTGTCTTGCGCCCTTGGGGGAAAAATCAAGATGCACCTTCGGAGCAGGACATATGGCATCCGTCTTCGAATTTCCCACAATAGGTGGAAATATTTCTGGGGTATGATCTTTGTCAGGGCCTTTTCCGTTTTCTTTTGTTTGAGTAGCAGAAGCTGGATCGCTTTCGTTGTATAATTCGCTTCGAAGCACGGCTGCGGATACCACCACCTTTTTACATCCAGTCACTTTTTGAACGAGTGCCTGTACTTCCGGGAAGTAAATTTCGCGAAGCAGATGCTCATTGTTCCAGCTTGTACGGTCGTATGGAGCCGTATGCAGGGCCGAATGATGTCGGCGAGCAGTGAAACCATTGATTGAAAGCTTGTATGGGGACTCATCTCCAAGATCTAGAGTGGGCCCCATATCCGTGAGAGGTAGTGTAAGAACATCACCAAACTCGGAAAGTGGTGGAAGCAGATACGCTTCTTTTCTTGGAGCTGGCTTAGCCCCTCGGGCCAGGTAGCGTAGCTTTCCCCAGTGAAGCGTAGAATCAATAGTATCCATTGCAGGAGATGAGGATGATACTGATGATGACAGAATAGGTGAGAAATCTCAAGAGCCTAGTGTGATAAAGATAAATTCACATGTCATTCTGCGTCATAAAGCCTATTTATTGCATACGGCTGCCTAGATGGTGTCTGCGCTGATATTTTCAGACCTCAGGATGTAGCAGATCATCCATATTGAGACAAGTCGATGATTCCGTTTCCCCGTATGACAGCGCAATCAATACCTCCGGCTACGGAGCATCGAAAACTGCCAACGCTTTTAATTGGATGAAGTACTTTCCATTCGCGATATTACGTTGAAGAATGACATAGAGGTTCTCTATTTCCGGCTATTTCTTGCCACCATCATGCGTGTTTGAGGGATATGCAAGATGTGAATATGCATATAAGACGAAGTGGAGCCCGGAGGATTGAGAGTTGATATCTAATCAGTGATTGGACTAAGGGAATGGTGACAGCGACATTGGTTCTCGCCTCTTGTTAGCGTCAGGCCAAGCATAACAAAGAACCGGGTGCCTGAATCCGGCCCGTTTTTCTATGTAAAACAGTTATTTGGACGAAAGTTACGGCGTAAAGATATAAATTACTTCGTATGTAATTTAGTTTCTAGTTTGTGGATTTCAATTGGCCCAACTTTGTGAATTTCATTTACCGTCAAATCCCCTAAAATTACAACATGTTACCGTACAGGGTGGTACAAGTAAATTACGTTATTCATCACGCGCCAAGACAAAGAAAAACAACGTAGGTCTTGGCGAAAGGTTATCACCTCGTGGTTACGCCGAGGCCCTAAACTTGGTACGTCTAGAAACCCCGCATTCCTCTAGATTGCTAATAGTTCATGCTCTAAATTTTCACCGACAAAGCCCCGCGCTTCGGAATCCCTCCTTCAATAACCACAGAATCGGTTCTGATCTCTCTGGGCAATCATCTCTTATTGAATCTTTCTACCATATTATTTCAACTGTATCAAATTCTGCAAAATGGCCCGCATCCTCATAACAGGTTCTACAGATGGCTTTGGCCTTGAGGCCGCCCGTCAGCTAGTCCAGCGTAGCCACACGGTCTATCTTCATGCGCGTAATCAAGAGCGCGCAGATGATGCCAAAGCGAAATGCCCCGGGGCAGCTGGCGTGCTGATTGCGGACCTGACAAGTGTGGCAGAGACGCGCAAGCTGGCCGAGGATGCAAACGCAATCGGTACATTCGACGCCGTCATTCTCAATGCCGGATTGCTTTACGGCCCTTTCCGAAAGACAGAGACTGGCGTACCGGCTATGGTCTTTGTTAACGTCGTCGCACCCTATATTCTCGCATGTCTTTTGAAACAACCCAAGCGACTTGTATTCATCGCTTCCGTGCTACATCGGGAAGCCAACACGAACATGAAAGATATTTTCTGGCTTGAGCGTGGGGAAAAGGAATTCAAGGATTTCCCAGCATACTGTGATTCAAAGTTCCATGTTATCCTCCTTTCTCAGGCTGTGGCAAGGCGATTCAAGGGTACTTCAGTCACAGCCGTGCATCCTGGATGGGTTCCTACCAAGATCGGAACTCCGGAAGCTACTGACAAGCTGGAGGATGGTATCGAGACATACGTCATGCTTGCCGAAGGTGATTACGATCAAAGTCTCACCGGTGTTTATTTTGAACCCAAAAAGAAGCTGGGTGAACCTCTTGTACCGATAACGGAGGAACATTTGCAGGAGGTCGTCAAAGCTTGCGAGGAGCTCACAGGTCTTCAGCTACCGGCTTAAGTTTAGCATATTGGCACCCATTCATAAATTATTGGCTGGGATTTTCTGGAATAGAGACTTTACATATTTCAAACTCCTTGAACTCTTAGGCCTCAGATTTCACTGAACTAGTTTCAGTTCATGAAATCGCGCATTTCTTCATAGGAAAAGCTGGGAATCACAATAGAAGGGGAAAGTGGAAAGAAATTTCTAATCAAAGTACGAGATAGGATAATTTGGTCGGTTTTGATCTAATATATCATCCGCTAGCTAATCATCACGTCTGTTGGGAGAAAGGCTTGTAAATATTTAGATTTAGTTACGCGATGATTCTATGGAAAGTCAAATTTATTAGCTAGAGAATGATTGATTTTCTAGCGCAAATACTACTTAGTTGAAAGACTACCGACTTGACTCCCCCCTCTCACTCAATTATTAGCCTAAGACAATTGTGCTAAACACTGTCCATCATCAAATCTAAGCGATTGGCGCATAGAAGCTGAACAACCCATACGGGTCATATTTCTTCTTCAAGGTCTGCAGCCGGTTCTGTCTCCAAGTCTCACTACCATACCACTCCTTAGGGCCCTCGTCACCATACGCATAGTTGACATACGCGCGCACATGCTTCTCTCCAGACCCCTTGTGCAGAATTTGTCGGATCCTGTTACCCAACTTAGCGGCCTTTATGTCCAGCTCGGGGCCGGCGGGTTTGTATTGGATCAAGGGTGCTGTGAGAATATTCTGGTCACGAAAGGCGAACGCGGTGCTCTTGGAGTCGATAGACTTGACGCCTTCTGTGGAGTATACGTCGAATGTGACGAGAGAGTTATTGAAAACGGAAGAGCCACGAATACCATTGGCGAAGACGTCGAAGGCTTTCTTCATCGCGGTCACATTGTAAGTCTTGAGGTAGTTGGGGAACCGTGGGTTCACGGATCCGTCCATCTGGCAAGGTCCGGAAGTCGTAGTGATGCCGACCCATTCAGCAAGGTCAGTATAGCTGCCGCTATGAGATTCAACAGAAATAGGGCCCAAGGAGTGGAAGGGAGCAGTGTAGGCCGAGTTCACGGTCGTGACGCCTTCTTGGATGACTAAAACTTGGATGATGGGCTAGAAGTAGTGATAAGACACTGATACGAAAGGAATATCAAGAGAAATGGGTGAACTCACGTTGCTAGCATCCGCTTCAAGGTCGTTAAACCAGTAAGACCAGTTGATAAGATCAGTAGGCTGGGTACCGTTCTTGAGGAGGTACTTGTTTACAGCACTGTAGATATCCTCAATCTTGTCACCGCTGAAGGTGAAGATTTCAATGGCCCAATCCTTGTACTCAATGTCATAGATCTTAGAGGTGACGGAGGTGACAATACCGAAGTTGTGACCGGCACCCTTGATCGCCCACCAGAGCTCAGAGCTCGAGTCTAGGGTTACAAGAGTGCCGTTGGCAAGCACGATGTTTATCGACTGAAATTGGTCAGCAATAAGTCCGTGGCGGCCTTGAAGCCAGCCATGGCCACCACCCAAGGCGGGACCCAGGTAGCTGACACATTCGCAAGCTCCAGTGACTAGTCAGGCTGAATTAGCACTGTTTTGGTGTCTCATATATAGTCCAGGCTGTACTTACCCGTCTGCTTTCCAGAATTCCAGAGCGTGTCAGTTACTAGTTTAGACTTCGTCCCACCACCGATTGTAACGGTCTTGCCATTCTCAGCAACTTTAACACTGCTGAGCTGGTCCAAGTAGATCTCGATACCGCTGGTCATATTTCCTAACGTTGTGATTGCTCCATGGGCGCCATTGAAAGCCAGAAAAGGCAATTTCTTCTTGTTTGCAAATTTCACCTATACAGTGATATTAGTATTAGGGGAAAAATGGATATGTAAATAAGGCATAGAAAAGAAGCCTACCGTCTCGACGACATCGTTCTCTGTGATAGGAACGACCACAATGTTCACTGTAGGTGTGTCCAAATTGGACCACCGAGTAGTAGCCTCCACAAACCCTTCCGAGCCAGGGTAGTAAATCTTAGCAGAGCTAGAAAGCTTTCCACTGAGCGCCTTGTAATCAACATCGCGAGACCAGAGGTTTTGAGTGATAGGAATGCTTTGACATGCCGAGGTAACAGTCCACGCAGCCACAGCAGTGATCACTTGCAAGCGCATTCTGAGTTAAGGGGAGAGCTTTGAAATCGTGGTAGGCTAAGATGCAGGAACAAAAAGACAAAAGGACGACTCAGAATAAGACCTTGTGCAAAACTGACTCCAAGTCCAGCACCTGCAGGAAAAAGAGGAGACAAGAAAAGAGAGTTGCTCAGAGAGAAGTAAAAGATCTGATCTACTTCATAGATATTATAATTGGGTCCCCTGGTTGAAAAATGATATCCCGATCTCGGACCTGCTCGTCCGCTGTCTTAGAATAAATCAGCCCTAATGCAAGTAAGCCTTGACCTACGCACGCGGGTTGACGACCACATGCTTAGGTTCCTCTTCTGATTCAATTTTGCCCCTTCTTACAGCTCGGGTGGCCTAGACAGCAGCGGTCTGACTAACACGCAGCGGCCCTGCTTTCTGTTGGCGGCCCGGCTTACCGATTCTGATATGTCTATTTCCAGTTTCTTATATTGGTAAGATCTGCTGGATATCAATGTAGATTATGTTGACCGGGTATGTCCAAGATTGAACCAGCGGGCTGGACGACATATTCGGCTCAAATTAAGTCATCAAGATTGTGCGCTGGCATTCTACGCCTATTCATAGTGTGATGACTGTCAACTAGCTGTAGTACCAATATAAAATTTCATTAATCGCGACGCATCTACTTGGGTAACGTCGAAAGAACAGAAGAAAGCAATCATATTCCTGTCACCGGCACTTTCAATTCCAACGTCACCATCCTAACAGCTTGTAGGCCATTCCACAAATCCTGGCAAGTAAGTCCTGAGGCTGTCAGCGATTGTTTCCCTTGATCCTGCTAACGTAGACGTCTGCCAAGCTACTATATCCACATTCTCCGCGAACGTCTCCACCGATATATGCCTAATGATCATTCCTATTGGCATTCTCGGGAAATCAGTCTGCCTGTAGTTTTGTCTTTAACATACCCAGTACGGCTGACCGTGATTATTTCGCCAAGCCAGTGTGGTCCACAGTAAGCACTAAAATACGAGTTGGTTCTTCATTTCAGGGTCCACATAGTAAATTACTAGCGTGACTGCCGTTACTAGCGTATGCTAGCTTGCATCTTTAGACATTGGAGTCCATAACATATATTCAAATTGTGGAAGTATATTCGGAAGCCCTATTCAAGTGAGAATTGAACTGTCTCAATCAAATTTTACAAATCTCCATTTAAAATGCTTTATCCCTTTATAACGGTTATTCACTAAAGCGGACTAATATAATGATTATTCGACCTAATCGGGAGCCGACGTAGATAACTTCAAACGGTTATACCACAACCACCACAACAGCCACAAGACATACAAATATTATAAAAATAGATTTGGAATTTTTGATATGCGGAAAATAGGACCGCAGTTTTCAAAATCCAAAAGCCCCCTTTTTAAATGTTTGAAACGTACGTGATTTGCTCTTTAGAGGAAACATTCCTCCCATTGCCGCAGTCCAGCCCTCACGAAACTGCTGGAACATCCCGCTCCATATTGCCGCTTGAGTGAGTGTATTGAGGTTTTTCCCTTGTACGAGGACCGCTACATCAAACAAATGCTTGAGGCCTGGTCGCTGGATCGTCTCGAGGAGCCCATACACGTTGGAGTGCACCTGGGGGAAGAAAGTTAAAGAGAAGCTGCTGTCTCGCAGCTGAATCTGCTCACTAGGAGAGCTTCTCGGTGCCGTGTGCTGCTACTTTAAGTCGGCTTTGGTCAAAACTCGACAGGTAGTGCTGGAGTATAGAATTATCACAGTAGTTATAGATGGCAGGGAGGAGCACCTCGTTTATCCAGAGCTTGAAATCTTCATCCCAAATACGGCTTGATTGCTGCTCTTACGATATAGTTGGGGAAAAGGAGGCAAATAGAAATTTTACCGAAGCCAACCAAGCGCTCAAAGTTATAGATATGGGCATTGGGTTCAAAATTTGGGTCTGAAGGTATGATATTCCAACTCCTAGTAACTTGCTGGGATAACATTGCCAGCCCATTGCCCATTAATACATGTACACATTAAAAATGCACTCATCATGATTTATCTACAAAGAGCCCCATATATCTTTCCCTCTTACCTAGGTAAACCTTGGTTTTCAACATGAACTGACTAAAAACCTCTAGAAAATGTGTGGGGAGTCCATCTTCAATTTGGGAAAAAGAATTTCCAATCAAAATCCATCGTGTGTCTCTATAGCATGAATTCTCCATCCGTCATCTTCCAAATCAAATTTCACCTTCAGATTATTGGCTGCTGAGTTCAACTCTTTTGTTGTTGCAGGCTCAACACTGGTCTTCTGATGACGAGATTCTAGGCCATAGAAGTGTACGGGGAAAAGAAAAGATTTCCAGAATATTCCTCTCTCAAAACCGAAAGTCCCTGGACTTCTAATGATCATATATGCGAGCAATAACAATGTTCCAATAATCATGACCAACGGATATATCAACCACGTCCAGCGGAATAAGGTGCAGACCTCGGCCACCCATACGGTTCCATTAGCTGTAAGGGTATTACCCTCCCAGTCTGTACCAACCACCCGCACCTGAGTCGTGAAACTTTTGAGCGCATTACCGAATAAAGTATTGATGATTTAAGTGCTTGCATTTCCGCCATTGAAAATATTACTGAGCCACCATGCGTGGTCGCAAGTCATAGAGGTGTAACTACCAGATTTATAGCATGTTTCGTCCGAGTAATGAGTGGTGATGATATTGGAAAGAGGTGAACCCATTGTGTTGTTCAAAGCTTGTTGCCAGTTTGAATTGAAACCACATAGACATTGTTTCGGGGACGTGGTACCTCCAATGGTGACAAGCCCTCCCGGGACGTCAGAAATGTTTGAAACTGATTCAGTGTAAATCTTGTTGTCAACTATGCAGGGGTCTGAGAACCCAAAATTCCAAAGTCTTTCTACTCTGCCTCCGATGTTATTTTGTCTTGCAGGCACCGGCTGAAGAGGAATTGGATCCTGGATGTTTTTCTCCAAGAAAGTGCCATTGACAATTTGACCGGAATTGTGCTGTATTGATGGATAGAAAAAATATTGAGCAGCCGTAACAGAGAAGAAACCGGGAAGAGAGTCAACGTTAGGCAAATCAAGCTGTGAACAGGAACTTGCTTTGATTAGTGGCAAAGAATTAAACTCATTCCCTAGATATTCTTGATAATCAGATGGGTTCTGACAAGAGTTAGTAGACACCATGAGAAACACTAGTGCGTCAAAGGCAGATTTGATAATGGCTTCTTGGCGTGGTGTAACAGAAACTGTCTCTGATAATAGAGCTGTGTGATTCGCAGGCTTGAAGGGTCTAGATAACATCGTGTTCCATCGACCTCCGTAGTACTCAATAGATTCATTTGTTGCATATGAAATTGTGATATTATTCGGTAAGCTGTAGTTCGTTGTATGATCAATGGGATCCGTCCAACCAGATATTCCGCTTTGAGTAATGAGGGACGAGATATCGATACATTCACTATTGAGCCCGGCACTGGAATACGTGATCCCCTGCGTTTCTTGGAAGGTACAGTTTCCAGATGAGCATTTTGGTACAAGCGAGGCGCTGCCCACAAGCCCAACCTAGGGCTTACCGAGAAGCACTAGAAGTATACAGCGACAATTCGACGAACAACAAAATGAGGAAAACAGGAGTGGGGAAGAACGTGAGGAGTGATGGGAAAAGAAACAGGGAAGGAGTGGTTTACAAGCGATATTACATGGAGGGCGTTACGGGTTCAAAAGAGGGATATGGGATTTCGGTTTACAATGGTGCAACGCCACATTTCTTTTGTATCTATCTTGACATTCTGGCGTTTGGAATACTCCTGTTTTCGCCGGAGGAAACGCCTGCATAGCCATACGCTACTAGTTAGGCTGCATCAGGTTAATAGAGTATTGATTGCTTCAGCTGCCGAGATTGAACAGTATGGCCATAGAAGAGCACTTTTGCTTAGGCCTAGACGCGTTAAAATACTTCAAAAATAAGCCGTAGGTAAGGCGACTGGGCGCTCCCAGATTCATCATATCGGACATCCCAGCGTGTAGGGTTTCATCGGCCAATCAGAAATACAGAAAAAGTGGACGCCACAATCCAGTTTTTGCTAGGGTCGAGCTAGCAGAGGATATAATACTGCAGTAAATTTTTGGCACCTAATTGGTTTTTTCGGTTAATAAATGGGGAACTACTTTAGGCAGTTCTGGACTAGACTTGAATAACACACCTCTTACAACTCGCAACAATACATTTACAAAGTAGATGCATATGCAACAGTAAGACGCGTCAGTATTTCGACAGTTGCCTTTTGGTAGCTTATCCGCGGTCATCTGGTAGTATTTAATAATCCCCTGAGATTAGAATAGTAAATGGTATTCTGTTATCTTATTCTGATAGAAGCGAGACTACATACATATGAAGGTATGGGAAGTAAGGGTTGGACTAGCTGGCTGGCTAAATCATATAGATAAATAGAAGATTCTTTTAGTGAATGTTATCGTTTCTTGGAATTTGGAGTCTTGAGACAGGGTAGAATCAGCTTCATCATCACCACAATTAACTTCAAGATAGTTCCATTTATATTATGCCCCTCTAGCCTTGAACATCACTTGGTTCTGGTTTTGAAGTGTGAGAGAAGATATTATTACTTTTAGCCGCATCATACAATCGAAATATCTTCAACTACTACTAGTATAAAGAGGCGGTGGCGGGATTTATTCGAATACGGGACAGAAAGATAACTAGTGATATTAGCAACGAATAACTTGAAAAAAAGTGCAAATATTATTCGAGCCAAGATTTAGTGCTATCAATCTTGGAAGTAAGTTTTGGAATTCACAACTCATGAAATAGCTCAAGGACACGATTCAAATTCATCAGGATCTCTAAACCGACGTTGACAGTGCATGGTCCAGAAAAGCTCAGTTGCAAACCAAGTATAGCTGTCAGCGTTGTATAACGCCTCTTTTTTGTTGAGCAGATTTTGGACTTCCCATACTCCGTACCCATCAGGAAGATCCTCTGTTGCTTTGACTAATGGGGGCACAACCAAATCTTTCCAATGCGTATACTCGTGTATCAAAGTCGATGCCAATGTGTCCATCCTTTGACTAGCTCTTCTTCCCAAACTATCACAGGTAACAGCATTGGCCGTATCGTAGCCCACATCAATCCCTCCATAAGTGAATGCTATATCACATAGGATCAATTGAGGATGATTGCTATTAATCCGCCTAGAGACTGCAATTACTCCATTTGTGCAATACCATTTACCATGAGCATATTCATAGTCTTCTATAATACTCATATGAGGCAGGATGGAGTTGCCAGAATACCGCGCTGCTCTTCCGCCGGAAATACTTTCGAAAACATCTTGATATATCTTTAGGGCTCAAGTTTCAAAGTTTCAGACAAGGATTCTCACCAAAAACCACTGACTTATCTGCCGGGTCAAAGTATTTTGCGAAAATTGAGTCCACAGTAGTAGAAGGCGCCCTTAGAACGGTTTTGAAGATTTTAGCAGCGTCACTCATTGCATCCGATATCTGGATCTTTTCCTGTTCAGTAAACCCCACGACTTTTGGCCATGTGTGCGTTTGAGATCGATCGCTTAAGGTAGAGGCTAGTGCAGGGACAGTCAAGAGCCATTTTAATAGGCTTTTGAATAGCATTATTGGGAAAAATTGAACGAAATAGCGACTAAACAAATTTGTTGAGATTCTCGCCTTGCTTTTCACGACTTAATCAAATTAAAAGAAATTATAAATAGAACCAGCATATAAATTAAAGGCCAGAGATTAGATACCTGCGCTGTTATTGGCCCCAAGGATCCAATACAAAACGCTGGAAAGCATTGAACCATCAAAATTCAACATCAAAATTCAATCGGGAATTAAATAGGCTTCTGAGTAGTATTCTTTGAAAGATTGAACGAAGTAACGAACAAATACGTTGAGACTCATTATAAATAGAATCAACACATAGATCAAAGGACTATCGAGATTAAATACCAATCAACCAATCAATCAATACTCTATTAACCTGATGCAGCCTAATTAGTAGCGTATAGCTATGCAGGCGTTTCCGGTTGGAACAATAGCATTCCTAACGCCGGAATAAGACAGTAGATACAAATCGTGCTATTATAATTTTTGACCGAAATCCCAATCCCATTGTAGATCATAACGCCTTCCATGTAGTTCGCTCGTAGCCCTCTTCCTTTGCTTCTATCCTTCCCTTTCCTCGCATCCTTCCTCCTCTCGTTTCAGTCCTATTGTCGTTCGTCGAGGTCATCGATGTATTCCTCCAAGGCTTCTCGGTAAGCCTCGGGTTTCGCTGTTCCTGATACCTAGCGTCTTCACCACGCTGTGCCGGTTCGAGATTAAATATTCACTCTTTCATTGGCCCCAAGGATCCAAACACAAAACCTTGGATGAGCCAATAAAATATAACCATTAATGATTCTTCAATCTTGAGAATCCCGTGTCCTTCGCTGTACATGGAAGCCCCGAGAGAACTTCTAGCCTTGGAAGATTTCGACACCTACTATTCCAAGTTCCTAGATACTTCCAGGATTCCAACAATCCTTTTGTACAAATTAAAAATGTGCACGAAATGGGAAAGACCATATTGCTCAGTACGTAGTATCTCAAATGCCCCCAATGAGCTCGTACTGGGCAGCAGTCCTCGCCAGGCTGCTGGGACAGTGGATTCATACCTTCTCGTGGTTTCCGGTGTTGATCCCCGTTGGACTAAAGTGAATCCGACGTGGTTGTACGGCCGTGCCCCGCGCCGACCGCACAACCACACCAAAATCAGGGGATACTGGATGAAAACCATCCGACTTCTTTTACCCGACTCGCACTCGGGCCCAAAATCTGGTCTTGCATTACTAGTTAACGTGGTGTCGCCCTAAAAGATGATAGGACACCCCTGAGCTTGTATATGGTCCGGAATCGCATCTCTGGACCGGCCGTCATCGAGACACGGGCACCCTCTTAGGAGACATACGAGGATCCTAGAAAACACTAGTATTTGGCTTATGGTAATCGACGGAACTCGTTAAGGCTTAGCCACGGGCAGCCCGTCGACCTTGGTCAGTTACCAGGGACCAAGCTTAGTTAGTGGAGAGCGACCGACGTACGCTGCCAGCTAGAGTGTATATAAGTCAAAAAGGACTCTCTGCAAGACACGGACGGCCTAGTGGAGGGAGACCTCTATAGGTAACGCGAAACGAGAGTGTGAGCTCATACTTTTGCGGGGCGTAGTGTATAATGGCAGCCACTATAATAGGGTCGGGACCTATCAAGAGACTGTCTATATAGCCCGAGAGGACAAATGCGCGTGTCGGTATACAGAGAGCCGGGAGCTAACTACCTCACTCGCACTAAGGGCCTGAGATCGACCTTAGTCGATCGAAGCGGTGTAGTCCTAGTTAACCTGCTCGTGTTATATGCTTAAGGAGTAAACTAAGAGACACGTATGGGGAGAGGCCTGGCGCACATTAAACTTGAAGCCTTGAATTTACTAGGTGGAAAACTAGGATAGTGGTCTATGTAAGTAGGCCTATCGAAGCTTCTTAATGTCTTTTGGCCCTGAGCAGTTTAGGCATATAGACGCTGGATCTGACTCTGACGCAGATTCAGATGGAGACCCGGGCTAGAGGAGACTACGAAAACTTGCTACGAATGGCGCAGCGTAGTGAAGACGCTGGGTATCAGGAACTACGAAAACCGGGTCTCACCGAGAAGCCGTGGAAGAATACATCGACAACTTCGACGAACAACAAAAAGACGAAAACGGGAGTGAGAAAGGACGTGAGGTGTGGTGGGAGGGGAAACAGAGGAAGTGATGATCTACATTTATGTTACATGGAGGGCGTTATCGTCTAAAAGTGGGATTGGAATTTCGGTTTACAATGGCGCAACGCCACATCTCCTTTGTCTCTATCTTGATATCCTGGCGTTTAGAACACTTCTGTTTCCGCCGGAGGAAACGCCTGCATAGCCATACGCTACTAGTGAGGCTGCATCAGGTTAATAGAGTATTTATTGATTGATTTATAGTATCTCAAATTTGCGATAGATCACTATCAGATGAAAGCTTTTCATGTAGAGCAGCTATAATAAATAATGACTTCAGCGTCTACTTCTGCGTTCCCCAACCATTTGATCTTATCTGATACAATCTTGATCTAAGTATAGAAAATTTCTCATCACCAAAACTTGGCCCCCAGCGGAATGCCAACGAGGGGGCGATGAGTATTGCACGCAAATATAACAACTGTTAAAGAGCTTACTATATATTTACCAGCCTATTTAGGTGATCAAGTCTAGGCCCTTACTTCTTAAATGCTGGATCACATTGTAACCTCGGAAGTCAACCTTGTAAGGGCCGGCTATTGCCATCTACATATTCATGAACGTACTTCAGTCAGCTCCAGGTCTTGACTCACTTCATGATAAGGCGATGGTATTTCAAGATCCTTATTATGACTGATAAGACACGTTTTTCCAAAGAACAATGCCTCGATCACTATCGAATTAACGTATAAATGTGTTCTCCCAACTGATAGCGGCCATGCACGCGCCGCTCAAAGGACTGAGAAAGAATGCTTAATGTATCAGATCATTGCTCTGAGGTTACCCTCATCATCAGTGTCTGCCTGGACGGAGTATTTTGAATTAATTCAATTGAAAATAAACGTCCTTGCCCCTTTATATATCATTTTACCTACGTACTGATTTGTTTTAAATTGTTTATTCGAAGATATTCTAAGCTAAAGAAAGAAGAGAAGACGAAGAAGAAGAAAAAGTAGATTCCAGCTGAATACTCATCATCTATCACGTTCATCGCCTGTCGTCGCATTCACTTTCGTGGAGTTACCGTACCTGGTGATTAACCACCAGCGGCAGGTATCGTACTGATGTCTTACCCGAATAAATGCTCCAAGTCTACTACTCAATGGTTGCGGACACGATAATCGATAAACCCCATTTTTTGATTCTTTACTCTTTATTCTGCTCTGTAGGGGCTATTCAAAGATAAACCCTTCTCTTTCAGTCCAATTTCCTAAAGCAGCTGCTTAATTTCTTATAGTGTATTCTATGGCCGCTACTTCTTCGAATCCCTTGAGTCCAAAGCTGCTTCAAAACTATATAGAAGTTGTTGTTAGACTAGCCCTGGAGCTCAATATCTAACTTAAGTAGAAGAGGTAGATCAGCGATAAGATAGCAATAATGTAGCGATAAGACGGCATGGTGAAGAGTGCTCCTCTTACTCTCCGTTCTTGCTCTCCTCGAAAACATTCTTGCTCTCCTCCCAGGCGTTCTTACTCTCCTAAGCCATGTCCACACCACAGATTCCAGTCTTCTCTTCTCGCTCTAGGTCACTTTCAGTTAACCGATCTCATCCTCCAGATCCAGACCTGCATGAAATATACAACACAGAAGATCATCTCGATATAATTACGTGGCTGCAGAATACTAGTTCTGCGACAAGCGACGAAGTATCTCTCCCATCCTCTGGACTTGAACTTCATTCAGACGCAATCATGGAGCCACAATCTCCATCCGTCTCCGTCTCCAGATGTACTGGAACGGCCCGATCAGCCAAAACAGTCAAAACAGTCAACAACCTTGAGCTTCGACAGGCTATTTACTCCAATCATCTATTTACTGACAACTTCGGGGCGTACATCCTTGCAGATGTTACGGCGGCTATTGAAAGTGCAGGTATTCTGCACCCCTATTCATCCCCCCTAACCGGAATGGAACAAGCGTCAATCCAAGTAACGCTCTCACGCGAATGGGACTCAAAGGAAACATCAGCCCTATCAACTCTTCTTTCCACCCCTCTCTTCGGCCTTATTCCGATGAATGATCCTATGCTACAGCAAAGCCAGGACACAATGTGGACTACGGGGCCGCTGCCCCAGGTATTAGGAGCTTCTCCCCTCGTCGCGCCGAAGACCGATTATCATCTCGGTTTCGCAACACCCATGAATTGCCGGGGTCCAGGCGCAGCGGCGGTGTGGTCTGCAGATTAGATCGCCAACCTCGAAAACCGGCATATGCAGTAGTACTTTTCTCCTACACAAGTCAACACGTTCCCCTTCATGTTGATTGAAGGGAAGTCTGAAGTCTGCAACGGGTCTTCATATAAGGCCGAGAGTCAGCTTGTTGTCAGCGGTGCTCATCGATCAAACTCGATGAAATTTCTGTTGCACAATGCATTCCCGGAGGCGACAATATCAGCAACAGAAACGATGGTGTTCTCGCTGGCTATCAGTCAACGACAGGCAATTGCCTACGTCAACTTCCTGAACCTTGTTGACAATCTCTTCTATATGTCGTTTTTGGACAACTTTTATCTTCCCAAAGCAAGGGATCGTCAGAAATGCCATGACTTCGTCACAAATATTGTTTCATGGGCTAAGATGAAATTCTTGTCGCAGATAAAGCGGAGTCTTGCTAAAATTGCACAAAATTCATCACACTCAGCCACTTTAGTGGCGGCTGAAGATGAAAATCCCTCAAAAAAACGACGCATGGCATAAACACCATGTTTTGTATCCTGCTTCTATAACTCTTATATCCTTTTGTTCTTATATTCTTTCCTTTGGCTTTTACTCTTGTATCCATTAGTATCGTCCTACATATTGAATGATAATGATATAGCTTGAGCGTAAGTCTGCTGAGCTTGTTTCCCAGTGAAGTGGCTCCTTCGTTCAAAATAGCTCGCTTTTCTGCGCTTTCAAGTCTCAATATTCATTTTCTTGACGAAGTCATTTCAGGTGTCATTTATTGCATTGCATAAACACTTGCACTATTAAAACCAACTTCTACATCATAATTTCTGTCTGTATTGTGGTCATTCTGTTCCGCAACGTTCAATGCTCGGCGAAGAGCTGTAATCAGCACGAGAAGAGAAAATTGCCATCCGCACTCAACATATTAAGATGGCAGCAACCCGGTTCAAAGCCTGGGCGGCGAGCCTCCCCGGCATAGAGATCACGTTATACTTAGACGGGTCTGAACACAGAGAGAATGGCAGAAGGAAAGGATTCGGCTGGGTAGTATACTAGGGCGGACGCCAGGTAGCCTCCTCAGGAGCGATCGACAACAGGTCGCATGTATTCTACGCAGAGGCGATTAGAGCGTGGCGGGGCCTTGAGGCCACCCTCCAGATCCCAAGGCACCCGCAGGCCATGATATGGCTCTGCATCAACAGCACCTCAGTGATCTGGTGCGTAAGAAGAAACGCCTCCGCAACATTCCAATGGGCCTTCCTCGCATGCCAGGAAGCCATAAAAATCCATCCGATCCAAGTCAAGTGGTCCCCGGCTCATAAAGAGGGATCAGGTCAGTCCCGGTCCCGCTGGACATTAATACTACTACTACTACTACTACTACTAGAGGGAATTCTCGTGGCAGCAGACAAAGAATTGAGTGACATTTTTCTACTTCCAGCTACATTGGAATCCTTCAAGAAGGATCAATTGAACAATCTTCCTAAGGAGAGAAATGAAGATGAAGCTTTGACTAAATTTTGGAGATATGGATAAGGATGGTGCACTTCTTTCGCTCTTAAAGTCGGCCCTAGACAAGGATGTGCGGGAACGCGCCGCGATCGGTTACTACCGGCGCCAGATAGAGCTGGTACATAGAATCCATCACCTCGCCATTTAGTGAGGATGTTTGAATTTATTTTTATCATGTCCTTATGATTGTATGATCATTGTGTAGAGATATTACCTGTTCCTGTCTTCTTTAATGCTTCTAAATAAATGATATTGATGATAATTTCGAAGTCTAGGTCTCGAGAAGTAGTTCTACTAGCGCCTGCTTTTTATCGCGCGTATCGAAGATTTGCTTCTAGATCTCAGTAACTAAGCCGTGAAGATTTGCCCGACTCTCGATGAAGCTAGTCTCTTTCTCCTGTAGCTCGGCATATTCGTCCTTGATTGTCTCTTTAAAGCCAAGAAGGTTCCATGCTTTTCACCACTTCTAAAATTCCAAAGAATGTAGTATCATAGGTCAGTTTCTTCACAATCCTTTCAATATCATTCTCAATGGAAGACTGAAGTTTGTCGCAAGCCTTCTTGTCCATATCAAGCATTCATCCATTCAGTAGGCTGGGAAGTACACGAACAGAGTTGGCATAATTAAATGAAAAGACTGGGGCCAAGCAAGGTTCCGGCACATCTGGACAGCATATTCAAGAATCTCACCACCAATATCATTGCAGCGATACTTCTCCTTGGCGGCCTAGGCACGGATAGTCGGGAACATCCCTAAGGCTTCCTTACCAACACGCATGACAATAGTGGTAATAATCTTCTTGTTCAAGAAGGCAATAATAACGACGATTTGCATGCGGAGGAGGCTCCGTGTCAGGCGCTTTTTGTGGCGTTGGCAGTTCTTGAGACCCTTTCATTTCTTCGAGTGCTTCATCTTGGGTGTCTGATACAGCTAATTATCGCCATATAACCAGGTCCATTGGGTCGTAGTCATAGCAAAAGATTCTTACTCCTGGAGGATTCACTTTTGACACGCCGATCGGGTGCTTGGTGGGACGCATGGTGGGTGAGTGGATGCGGGTATAGGTTGATTTAGAAAAGCGTATCAAAGATGGTGTTCAGAACCCATATTTTCTGTTATCAACAGACCAGGATTATCAAGCAACAATTAGGTGAGAAATCTAGTATATGATAAAAAAACTCCTATTCTGCTGCTTTTATGTCAACCTTGGAACTACCTAGACTCTATGGAGATTCTGGATCCAGATTAGTTCCTGCAGTGACTTCTTCTGTTTCTGACATTCATCAAAGGTTTGAATCTTCTCTTCTTTTATCATCCATATCCCCACTCCACTTTACTCTCAACTCCCAACAATGTCTTCTCACCTCCCGAGCCGCCGTGTCCAAAGTTTGTCTGATGAATCAGATGTTTCTTTCATGCCTTCTCTACTTGAAAGTGCCAATATCGCAAGTTCATTCCAGAAAAAAGTTCTCAGAGCTTGATCTAAGTTTCAGTGAGAAGACAGAAGATTTGCTGAAGCGAATGCTATCAACTCGCTCCGCCATCTCGACCGCATACACCTTTGGCAAGGCCGAAACAGAGTTTCGCTTCATCTGAAGGGGCTGGTGCACTCGTGCAGATTGGGCAAGGCACATGTGGCGAAATCTTTTTCCTCCGAGGTACTACAAATATCCTCAAGAGAGTCAGATCTGGCTAGGAGCAAGATCTATGGAAGGACTACCTATGCCACCTGGCAGTCCAAGAGGCCAGGTCCCGCCATATCTACTTGGAGATCTGTATCCCAAAGATCGAGAACCATATTTTGCCAGACGATGAAGATTTCTGGGCCCTTGTCCCAACCGATCCCTCTCAACCTCAGCTGTTCGAACGACGCAACATCCTGGTGGCACAACGAATCTTCTCGATACATAAGGCGATCAGACTCCTACTGGTAAAAATGTTTTGTCCGTCAGACATTCAAGATCTTGTGGTCGCCGATCCAGCAGAAAATAATTGCTTGATTCACTTGTACCTCGGTTCGAAGGCAGCCCCTCTTCAATTCCAAAAGTTCGCACTACAAAACTTCGAGTTGACCTCTACTCGAATGGACATCATCGGGCTTGGTGGCGTAGAAAAAACACACTACGCCGAGGCCATCGCCGAGGGCCTCGCACTCATTCATTGGAGTACTGACTGGGATGGCCGAGATGTCGAATTCGTCCTCGGAACTGATCTCTTTCCCGTGGAGATAAAGGAGTTCCTTATTGAGGGCCATGGTAAAATTGTGAACACACGCGTGAAGGGACTCGACTTCTGCCATCGAAAGATTGGTGTGTGGATGATAGATTTCAACCAGTGCCGGCTTATTTCCAAGGATGCGGCAGGAGCTTACCGGGCTGCATTGGCACACTGGGACAATGCCCCCTACTATCCACGACCAGACTGGGCAGGAGAGGAAGACAATAACATATGGAACGCCTTCGAGAATGCCTACGTCAATACTGCCGCTTTACTTGACCCCAACGGTCAGAAATTGGGCGAGTTAAACATTTCCGCAGTGAAAGTGGAATGTAAGACGAGGTATCCCGCAGGGGCCCCTAGTAGTGCACCTCCCATGAAGGGTCCCGCTCTGAAGGGCAGTGGCATGAACCATAATAAGGGACGACATGGAAAGAAGGGAAAGTCCAAGTTTATTGATTTAGACTCTCTGATGAAATGAGAGTCTTCTTAGGCTCTGGTGTATTAGGGTCTCTGACTGTATTGATAATTAATACCTTTTCTCTTAATTAAGGTGTTCTAGAAGTTAATGTCTTCATTATCTGTCCACTTTGGTCATAGATAGAGATATCACAAGACATTGTCCTAGTTCTCACCGCTGAAATGTACAAAGTGCTCAGTGTACCATTGGGGTCAAGTGAAGCGGCGGACTTGATGATGTAGGCTGCCTCGCAGGAGTTCCAGATGCTCATATCATCTTCACATCCCCAGTCTGGTCAGGAGTATGGAGTCTTGTCTCTATGGGCCTGGTGAGCAGCTAGGTATATTCATCTTCAATAAATTAGAAGGGCAAGATAGCAGGAAACGTTGCACCAATTCCGAGTAACAGTCAATTAGCCTTAATATCAGGCTAATTATAGCGTAGAGTGGGGAAGATTGACGAAATTACCCTTCAATTAGGCCCCTTTCATCCCAAATAATCCCTGCTCGTTCTTTGATTTCTGTAACTTGCAAGGCTAATGGCATTAATTATCCCGCAGTGTTGTGGTCGCACGGACTATAGATAGAAGCCTCAGCGGTTAGAGGTCGTCTCTCACTGGCTGCTTCATCTTCCCGCCCACATTAGTCACAGCGTGAATGGATCTTATTGGTATTTGACATGAGTTCGCTCTCATGATGTTTCGACTACTAATAATTTTTCCTGGTACTGTTGCTCTACAGATGTGCAACGAAGTGGTGGGCGATGCGCCGTCCTCTTGGCTTCACCAATGAATGCGCATGACTCAACTCGGTGACCAGGTATGAGGGGCTAGTGGTGCCCAAATGTGCAGCAGTTTCTGCATCAGATCGTTAGCCGCGAACATTGATCATGCACTGCGTGGTTGGTCAACCCCGTTCATTCTACTATATAGTCCCTATCAACCGCCGGGGCTTCAATGGAAGTCCCGCGTTCTTCATTTTTTTTAATTTTCGTTTTGGTGTTTTTGCCTCTGGCTCTGGTAGCTAGTAGGCTTTGTTATTATTCTTCAATCTACATTTCTTCTGCTTCTTCACTCGTTGCTGAATTTGACCCGTTGATCGGTGTTGATGCATTTTTTCCACTTTGAGATACCCACGTTTTTTTTATTTTTTATTTTATCAAATAATTCGATATGGCGGACACTCTTCGCTCTCCTGTTGAGCGATGCCCTCCTCTCCGGCAGGTCCGGGGAACAGTTCTTAATACTATAATGGAAGACTCTCGCGAATCGCAGTTTGCAGAAAAAGGCGGCAGTTCATCCAAGCCCTTGATCAGCCCAAAGTTGACCTTGAAGACTAGCGGTTTTTCGCTTCCTAAGACTCGTCTGGCTCGATTGATGTCACCGCTTTCCGCTTGCACAACTTCCTCATGCTCGGATACCGAATGGCAGCAGCAGATACAAAGGCTTGACGATTTCTACGACGCGACGGACGAGGAGGACTTGGATGAGAGCGAAACCGATATCGATTCTACGTGTTTCTCATTGCCAGGAACACAACGATCCAGCTTGATAACACCGATCACAAGAAATTCCGTCACATCGACCGGAAGTCGCAAAAGCCATCTGACTCTGAAGATCCCATCGCCCACAGTGTACACTGGAACTCACAAGAATTCACCTGTCCCTCCAACTCCACCACCCAAGATCCCCGTCTCTCCTATGGCGCTTATGATGCTTGGTCGGTCTGTACCTGCATCTCATGCCCCACCATCTCTCGACGGCAGCATCTCTTCCGACCAAGAATCCAATCTAAGCGCGCTGGCCACTCCCGACTCTCATTCACTACCTGACACTGACTGGGACGCGCATGACTTTCATCTCCGGCCCGACCTGGATGGGAACGAAAGTGCAGATTTGGAAAATCACGAGAGTCAACACAGCCAGGCAGTGCCAATCACAATCGAGAGTCCACAAGATGACTGGCGTCAGGTTTTGCAGCGGTTTCCGCAAATCCCTTCCTCTTTGCAGGGTCATTCATTGACTGCAGGCCACGAAATTTCTCGAGAGACAACACCCTCAGATCAAGGTGTTTTTCTTCCCGACGGTGCACTGGCAATGTTACAGCACATCCGTCTCGATGGTACCCCCGAATCATGGTCCGAGACATCTGAGGGGAACGATGAGATGTGGCAGCTCCAAGCACCACCAAGCCGCCCACGTAGTGCTGATGGTGTCACTCCGGCTTCGGCAATGTCTGGATATAGTTTTAGCGAGTTGAGCATTCCATCACCTGGTGGTTTCTTCGCGTCGCTAGGCCCCCGCGCCCGGCATACCTGGTCCCTTCCAAATACAAACTACCCACCGACATCTGCTGTGGCTGAAGGGTTCTACGGTCTGCCCTGGCGTTGCGATGAAGGTGATGTGGTCGAACAAGTCATCGAGTGGCCGGATCGCTCACAGGATGATAATCCGGTCACTGCAGTCCGAGATGAGGAGGGCCCTCCAACCGCAATCCGCATTCCATGTGAGATGCCAACCCAACCTGTGGCTAAACAAGACAGCCCAATAAATGTTTCATTTGAGGCCATTCAGGAAATCACTCGCGCCAGCAATGTGTACGAGTATGATGATTGTTATGACCAAGAGATGCAAGAGCGTGCAAATGCCAGTCTTGACCGAACCAATGTCTGGCTTAGTGCTCAGGCGACTTATCTGGCTGCGTTGAGCGAGACGAATCCAGTCAATAACGTAGAAACTGTCCATAGTATAAGTTGTATGGATGGCGCGAACGATGAAAGACCGTCATCGGAGGAACAAGATGGCTCTCCCGAGAAAGCGGTCCGGTTTGAGGGTACTGTTGCAGTTATCAGTTCCCGTCCGCCAATGCTTGCAAGCCCGGACTCGTTGTATTGGCGAGGCTTCCAATATGTTTTAGAGGAATCAGAAAAGTCCGACGGCTTCCTTCATCGAAGCATGCGGTACGATGCAGTTCAGTCTTTTCGACTAGGCCATCTTGATACTCACATCAACTGCTTGATGGGCAAATATGAGCTTGTACGCCCGGAAAGACCTGCATACAAGGGCCCTTTCTCCAAGGCGCCACGCAGCTCTACCGTCACTTCCGAGCTAGCTGATAGAGCACTGTTCTCCTATCTTGAGAAGGAGCAACTCGTCCTCACCCAACTTTGCCAGCCCATGTGGGCCATGGACGCATTCCGCTCTCTAAATGGTGGAAAGCTACTCAACTGCCCTCTCAACGAGAGGCTTGTGCGAACTCGAAATCTTCCAGGCCCTCAAGATATACGACGACAACGTGTCATCCGAGTCTTGGATCTTGGTGGACATGCCACCTGCGAGTGGGCTTGGCACGCCGCTTATGAGTATCCGAATGTCAAGTTCTACTCCGCCATCATCAAGGATCAAGCTGCGAACAGTGGTATCAAAGGCCCCATCAACCACCGTGTAGTCTCTGTCCCTGAACTTTGGAAGCTTCCATTTGGGGACAATAAATTTGACGTGATCACCACCCGATCCTTGCACGCCCTTCTGAAGACGCGGTGTCCAGCTGGCCTCGACAGTGATGAATACGACCTGGTCCTGAAGGAATGCCTCCGCTGCCTTCGCCCAGGCGGTTTCCTTGAGTTCATGGTGCTGGATGCGGAGATCTCGCAGGCCGGACCCTTCTCCAAAGCATCGTCATTAGAATTTGCCTTAGATCTTCGCACTCAAGGGTACGATCCTGCTGCCTCGAAGAGTTTCCTCTCACGTCTGCGTAAGGGAGGATTTATCGACATCAAGCGTGCCTGGATGTTTCTTCCCATGGGAATGGAGCCTACTAAGCCAGAGCCGCTACGGGAGACACCAGCACCACGGGTGCCAAGTCAGATTGAGGAGTATGAGGCGGTACAGGGGCCAATTGGTAGTACTGAGGATGTTGCCAGTGTCACCGGCCTTCTTGGTGGGTGGATGTGGGAGCAGTGGCTCGTGAAGTTTCGGATGGAGATGGGGTTAGATCAGTCCAAGTGGCTGGAGGGAGTTGGAGCGATGTTTGATGAGGGACGCAAGAATGGGGCAGGATGGACTTGCTTGTCTGGCTGGGCTATGAAGCCGAGACAGACGAAGCAGGCGCAGAAGCAGAAGAATCAGATGACCCAGACCATAACCCGGACTAACCGGTTGTTCTAAGGTGGGATGGCATACTAGAAGATTATCTCCAGGGCTGAAAGTGGAGAAGTAGAGATATTGACATTATCCCGAGATCTTTAGCTATTTGTGCCCTGGTGGCCATCCTAATGTAATGTGAGCAGTTGACATTCAAGAGCTAGATATCCATGGCTTGGTAGTGTAGTGCGGCCAAAAATAACTAAACCAAACCGCAAGAACTCGAATCTTGAACTTGAGTATGAAAACATGAGTTATGAGATAATTAGGTCCGGGAAGAAAATAAAAAAACAAGATAGCCATGTATTGGAACTGGAGATAAAATCACGTGATATTATCTCACAAAGCTCTCCGCATTCTCAGGCAGATTACTGCTTCACTTGAACCCCACCAGATTCTTTCAGACTTTCCAAGTTCCGCTTCTCACTTTGCGATTGAACTCGATCACCAATATCCTGTACCCTTCATTCCACAATAAGCTCATTCAAGTGCGCGCCGTGCGCCACCTACTTCCAGCATGCTTTTTTTCAGGTAACGCGTTAATCTACAAAGACCCCGGCGTGTGTTCTCCGCAAAAGCTAATGCTAGCACCATGACAGTTTCTTCAAGACCCTCACGAACCAGACAATTACTGTCGAGCTGAAGAACGATATCCGCATTCGTGGAGTCCTGAAGTCCGTCGACCAATTTCTCAACATCAAGCTCGATGAAGTCGAGGTGTTGGAACTCGACCGATTCGCTCACTTCTCCTCCGTGAAGACTATGTTCATCCGCGGTAGTGTTGTGCGCTACTTAGTGCTGCCAAAGTCGGAGATTGACGTTGAGTTGTTGGAGGATGCTACTCGCCGCGGTAAGCCAAGCTCCTGCTGTTGTTATCATTAAATGACCTTGCAACTTTTCTCATGGAGCTGCAGCATTTCAGCTATGGGAACGCTATGCTAACCTTGAAACCCTTACACAGAGTACGACAACCCAAGCACCCGTCAGCACTAAATCACGACATGAACAACATTTATGAAAGATCACGAATAGCTCAGCCGATCAGTTACGATAGATTCAAAGTTTATCTATCCAACCTCTTCTGAAGGCTCGCTCCCCTTGTGTATGGGTTTCTTCTCACATTTCGTTATGCATGGCTTTGAAGACCAGTCATACCCATATCCTCCGAAGGACTTCTTCACGTCCTGATTTTATTCAATGCTCATAGCCTTTTATCCAACTAGGCTTAGCGACATAAAACTTGTATTGTTTCCTGGTCTTTGACCTTTTCCCTCAGCTCTTATTCGCCTCTTTTGTATGGGGATTCTGACGTAGCGAGAACAATCGAAGGGCTTCTCTCGACTATATAAAGATGACTAGCCAGTTGGGCAATATGGAAACTGCGCGCGTACTTCACTGATCTTTTCACCTGGGCAAAGATCTGCTTTTAGTACTGAATTCTCAAACAGCATAATCAACTATGAGAAGTGTTGAGATATACTTGAAATTCAAGTCGATAATTGTCCATCATATCGCAATTAGAAAAACCTAGTTATTATATATTACTTGGCCGCTGTCAAACTTGAATGCGCTGTCAAAATACCGATATCATAGTATGGTAGCAGCTATTTAAGATTTAGACGGGGCTCTGGGATCATGTGACTTCGTGTCGCGCGTTCAAATTGAGACGCCACTCCACTTAACTTATGTTTGACATGAGACCACAATCAACGCCTTGTATATAGTCAGCACTTCTTTTCAGCGGTAAAATTGGACCTGATTGGACCTGATTATATCCTGAGGTCTCCTATGAGCGATTTTGTTCCGCTGTTTGATCGATATCCTACGTCCTAACTATTTCGGCACTTGCCTTCAACCATGGCAGGATCATACTCAAAAACGCCTTCTAGGGCTTCTTCCACTCCCAAGACGAATTCCACCAAGCGAAACGCAAGCATCTTGAGTTTTTTCCAGAAGACCGATACTCCACCGGGGGCCACGTCTAGCCAATCTCGCATGACCCAATTTGTCACATCCACCCGTTCATCGGGCAGTGCAAGACCTTCATCTCGGCGGCGAACCTTTGTGAAAAAAGATGACAGGCCAGACGATCTATTTCTAGAAGACAAGAAGGGTCTAACCAAGTCGATCGAGACGAGTAAAAATGGACAATTGGAGACCGAGGATATTTGGGGCGCTGGTGATGATATGATTCTTCCGGATGATACACGCTTCAACGAGAATTCACCTGTCAAGCGCCAAAAGGTGGATTCGTCGAGTATTTCGCCTGAAAATCGACTACATGACCCTGCCTCAAAGCCCACCACACCTGCTCCGACTCGAGCAAAAAAGAGCAATGGGCCATTTATCGATGAATCAGACAGTGAGGAAGAGGATTTGGAAGCCTACAAGGAGCTGAACGAGACTTCCTACACCAATTTCGACACCGAGCACAATTTGAAAGCTATCGCCACTGACGACTCTATTGGAGACCCACATACCGGGCTTCGCCAGCCGCCATCGGTAAGAAAAGCCACAATTGATGCCGAAAATGAAGAAGAATCCCCGAATTTTGACGATCTAGAAGAGGACGAGTTTTTAGGGGAGGAGTTTCGGGAACGACCATGGGAGTTAGAAGAGCAAGAAGAAAATTATAAGCACGAACTGAACGCCACGAGCAATAATGAGTTTGCGGATGCACCAACTGATATCGGATTAAATACTTGTCCAATATGTCCGAAAGATTTGACAGGATTGACTGAAACAGTATGTTGCCCCGGGATCCGTTTCCGCATGTCTATATTCTGATGATTTCCAAAGGAAATTGCTATACACGTAAACGATTGTTTAGATAGTAAAACTACCACTGAGGATGATCTTATCACAAGTGCGCCAGTCGAATCAGCACAATCAATGGATGCAATAAAGAAAAAATTATCCCGCGCTGAACGGGCTGCTATTGCCCGTCCTGCTCAACGCGATCCCTATTCTCAAAATGCCGCTGGTGAACGCTCAGCGTTTTCCAAGATGATGGCTGGTAATGCCGAAGATACGGCCTGGGCAAATGCAGCTGCCAACGAAGTATCCTCACGAGGGAAGCAGGCATATCAAAGGTCTTGTCCCTTCTACAAGATTATGCCTGGGTTTTCAATATGCGTTGATGCATTCCGCTACGGCGCCGTAGAAGGATGCAAAGCCTACTTTCTCAGTCATTTCCATAGTGACCACTACATTGGGTTGACCAAGTCCTGGTGCCATGGCCCCATATACTGCAGCAAAGCAACAGCCAACTTGGTGCGACAGCAGCTCCGTGTCGACCCTAAATGGCTGGTAGACCTGGAATTTGAAACCAGCTGTGAAGTTCCGGACACAGGCGGTGTGCGAGTCACCATGATTCCTGCAAATCACTGCCCTGGCAGTTCACTGTTCTTATTTGACAAGACTTTTGGGAAAGGTCCGGATGCTCGACAGCAGCGTATACTTCATTGTGGTGATTTTCGGGCGTCAAAGGCTCATGTCCAGCATCCGCTTTTAAGACCTGACCCCGTCAATGCGGTCACTGGGAAGCCGCGGCAGCAGAAGATTGACAAGTGCTATCTCGACACCACCTATCTCAACCCTAAATATGCTTTTCCTGATCAGGTCGACGTCATCAACGCAGCTTGCGAGCTGTGTGTTCGTCTCAACGAGGAGGCAGGTGTGGGGATTGATCAGGGGAAATTTACAACGGGGTTGATGAACAAGTTCCTTTCGTCAGTTACTGGGACAGCGAACGAGCAAGAGTCAAAACCACCGAACATAGGAGGCCGATTGCTCGTTGTTATCGGCACATACAGCATTGGCAAGGAAAGAATCTGTATTGGAATTGCGAAGGCACTCAAGTCAAAAATATTTGCCACGCCTCAAAAACGCCGGATATGTGCTTGTTTAGAAGACGCTGAACTGACTGCCCTCTTGACAAGCAACCCCCAAGAGGCACAGGTCCACATGCAAAGCCTGTTTGAGATCCGGGCTGACACATTGGCCGACTATTTGGACTCTCTCAAACCTCATTTTTCGCGCGTCGTTGGCTTTCGTCCTACCGGTTGGTCATATCGACCCCCAGCCGGCCGAATGTTAGACAATCCGCCTGTTTCAACCGTACTTCGAGGAGAGCAATGGAACAAGTCGTTCACATCTGAGCAATTGATTCCTCAGCGCGGCAGCACGAGGGAGAGTTCCTGCTTTGGAGTGCCGTATAGCGAACATAGCTCTTTTCGAGAGCTTACCATGTTTTGCTGCGCACTTCGTATTGACCGTATTATTCCTACTGTCAATGTTGGTAGTCAGAAGAGTAGAGATATGATGAAGCTATGGATTGATCGTTGGGAGGCAGAGAAGAAACGCAATGGGTTATTCCCGGTTAATGAGTGGTGATTGTGTGCGTATGTATGTACATAGGTAGCTTTACGTAGCGTTTTTTTTATGCCAGGTGGAGCTTTTCTACTTCAGGTACTACCGAGGGCGCTCAGGATCAGGCTCAGTGAGTAAATTTTAGTCTAGGCTCAGGCTCAGCTGCTCATGTCAAAGGCCCGATTCCTGTTTTAGTTTAGTGCATTTTAGTCAGCTTGGAATGGCCAACTTGGGCCGTTCCACCTTATAGTTTTACACACACACATACATAATTTGACTACAATTTGCTCCATTCCTATTTGCCTATTCGTATCCACCTTAATTGGTTTGTCAGACCTCCATCCGACAGCTCATTGTCATCACGTGACAGATTAGTGATGTCAAGAAATAGGCAAGTTTGGTCTGTTTGCATGACCCACTCTTATGTGTATTTAGGACAGATTCGGCACTAGTTAGGAAATTCAGTTTCATTCATTTGTGGCATTTGAATGATTGGCCAGCCAGTCACAGCCTATTTGACAAGTGATGGACCGAGTGCCTCACGTAGCCCTTATGGTTTTTGATCCCAAGTTGATTAGATATCCCTTTCGTAGACGACCTCTGCTAGCGCCTTTCCCTTCGCTAGGTCTGTAGCACCTTGATTTTAACCGCCCGATCATTCTCAACTTCAAAGCTGACCATTCGTCCCGGTCCAATAAAAATGGGTTCATCTCCAATTTGTTCAATATCTGAAAGGCTAAAGGAACAATACTGCTGGCCAGGGAGTTCTTGTATTTGGCCGCTGCCCGTGTTTGGATTGAACCACGTCACAGTTCCAAGTTGACGAGTAGTCATCGTGATGGTACTAACAGACGTTGCTTGATTAGATAACCTGTAAATTCGTAGGGCATAGGTAGATTTATCTCCAGAGAGATAACTCAATATAGTATGAAGGAATGTTCGCCACAAGGAGAAGGCTCTTTTTATGTATGTTGTAATACTCTTGTAAGGTTCTTTTATAGAAGGATGCGTACTATAAATAAGAAGATTGTCAGAAAAATTCTACACTTAGTCCCAAACGCCATAAACTATTTCTTATTAGTGTACTGTGGCTTGAGCTGAATTCCAGCTAGAGATAACATCCACCCCGTACATATATACATACACTAATAGAGAACAATTCACTGCCATCGTCAATGACGATAAACTGGTGGATTTAATTTAATGTCAGTGTTGTGTTGTCCCATATGCAGCGGTCATTTTATTTCATTTCCCACTTCTCTGCCACTTCCCACTTCAAGTTGAAACCTCTTTCACCCGTTTCCGTTTTAGTTTAGTTCATGGATGTGGTGGATGCCAAGTCAATGTCAAGCTCATAGTGGCCGCCATAAGCACATTCACCCCGTTGTTATCCGGCCAACCATGGCCGCTTTCAATACGTCGGCTCTCATGACTTGCATCGCTGTGAAGTCCCACCTATTGTCAAAGTAGCGGACCCTTTTCATCGAGCTAGTCCTCTGCTAGCCTCCAACCCTGCTAGTGTAGCTCGATCCACTTTCTGATTTTCTGCACGTTGTAAGGGTCTCTAGCGGATGAAGGGTAGATGAAATGAAGCCAAGAAGGTAAATTTTATTCAAGACTGGTTCTTGAGAAACCAGTCATAGATCCGTACATGTGCGTTGATTGAGGGAAGCTTGTTCCGTGTGGCCAAGGAATAGTCTAGTGATGATTCTTAGTGCCTTCGCGGCCCACTTATGTCCCGTGTTTGCTACGTGAGTGGGTCGCGAAGGCACTTAGAATGATAATTGTTCTCTATTAGTGTATGTGTCCGGGGTGAATGTTATTTCTAGCTGGAATTCAGCTCAAGCCACAGTACACTAATAAGAAATAGTTTATGGCGTTTGGGACTAAGCGTAGAATTTTTCCGAAAAACTTCTTATTTATAGTACGCATCCTCCTATGAGATAGTAATTCCAATATCAGTTGTGGTTTCATCCTTCTAAAAGAACCTTACAAGAGTATTACAACATACATAAAAAGAGCCTTCTCCTTGTGGCGAACATTCCTTTATACTATATTATCTCTCTGAAGGTAAACCTCCCTATGCCCTACGAATTTACAGTTTATCTAATCAAGCAACGTCTGTTAGTACCATCACGATGACTATTCGTCAACTTGGAATTGTGCAGCTGTTTAACCTAAAAACGGGCGACGGCCAAATACAAGATATGTCTGGCCAACTGTATTCCTTTAGCATTTCAGATGTTGAAAAAATTGGAAATGAACCCGTTCATGTTGAAATGGGACAGATGACCAACTTTGAAGTTGAGAATGATAGGGCGGTTAAAATCCTGCTGTTACGGTCCTAGCGAAGGGAAAGGCGCTAGCAGGGGTCGTCTACGAAAGGGATATCTGTGGGAATATCGGACAAACGACATCCCGGTTTAGACTACATCACGAATCCCTGTTCAGAGTGCATCACAAACGACAACCTTGAACAGTATGCATCTATAACAGTGATGTCCCGTCTTTACCGACTCTTCTGTCTTAGACGATGGAACACATTCGTCTCAGACAGAAGAGCAACTTGTACGATAAATAGCTAGTCCTCACCATGAATAAGACAGACTTTACAACCACTCCAAGAAGACACAGATATTATAGGGGCGTAAAGCGTTTCCTGTAATAGGTGTCAGAAGTGGGCGTTAGCCTCACACTTGATACAGGTGTAACAACAGTAACTATACTGATCGTGGACTGAGTGCTCAATATATGCCCTTAGTAATCAGTGAGCGATCAGTGAGCAGCCAATCGCAATTACTAAGTGGTCACTAAGTGCTGATTGGACATCACTAATCTTGTTGCGACAGCCTAATGAGAAACAAGGCTGTCAACATACGGAAAGTATCTCGGCCGGAAAGCTTTTGCCAAAAACTCTCGGTTTAGAATAACCACTCGGAGGAACTAGATTAGTATATCACGGCATCCTTGAACGATATGCATCGTCGCAAACGACACCCTTGAGCGATGTGCATTCGCGACAGTGATGTTCCGTCTTCACCGTCTCTTCTGTCTCGGACGAATGGTTACATTCGTCCAGGACAGAGGAGCACCCATATACTATAAGGAGCTAGTTCTCTCCATTAATGAAAAGACAGACTTCACAACAACCACAATAATCAGTACTGTGGAAACCACTACACTTTGTGGATTGTCTACGGTGTTGAGTAGTGGTTTGTTGGAGCTCACCACGCTTACTATTCTCAGTACGATATTCGAATATCACTCTTTCGAGCGGCAACTACTTTCAAGCTTCGAAAGCTCTCTTACTTCACAACCTACATAGGTTGTTAGAACATTCGCATTTTTCCATTAAATTTAGAAGGTTGATCACATTTTGCATCCCCGGGGGAAAAAAAAAATAAGATCCAGGCTCTCCATCTTTCATCCTTCTTCATCTTCCCCATTCATCATATGTTCTTCGCTGTTTTGCATAGATGGTCATATCCTTTGCCAACTGTATCGGTAAATATTGCCATTAACTTTTTACGCCAACCAGATCGTTGTGATGAAGACAATCCATCGAAAGACTACTTCAAAAGCCTACCTTTTTTCCTTGGGACTTAATGGTGAATACATTTGGCCTTCCAGAGATCCCAATATTGAAAGTTACAATACTTATCGCCGGCTCCTTTGACTTGAAATTTGGTGCAACATATGCCGAAAGGTACTCCTGAGAGCGGACTTGGCAGCCATCAAAAGACCCTACGCTTTTAGTGGCCAATTTTCTATTGGCTCCTTAATATCTATTGTTAATGCTTATTGTATTGCAAAGATAGCCCGCTAGAAACAGGGGTTATGGCCACTAAGTCAGCTTGACTTTTGGGCTATTACTACGTAGTAAATAATGGGCCGTGTAGTATCTATTTTGCCAAGACGCTAATTTGTCTACGTAGTCCATATCCCCACAATTATTTTAACACGCGGCTGGGGAAAGTGTTTCAGAGTGGCGGTATATTAGCTGAACATCCATGGATACAACCTAGAGCTTAACTTCTGGCCGCGTGATCCATGTGGGGTAAAAGAGCCGAAATATGACGAAGAGAGCTATGGGAAGTAGAGGAGCAGAGAGCAGAGAAGAGACGCATTTGATGCAAGGGGTTAGGACTATTTTCGGGTTATGGCTGCAGTCCTAGGAGTGGTGATTACACAGTATGTGCCGAGCTATTACATGATATGACCTGTCATATTACGTATATTAATATTTACGATTACTTCATATGCCAAGGCTCACAAAGTTTTGATCGGGATTAACGGGTTTGATGCTGGGAGCGCTAGACTAGAAAGGGTGCGCCACCGATGAAATAGGAAATATACTCCTTTTGCATAGTGACATGTACCTCTAATCCAATCGAAAACCCCCATACTTCACCCCACAATGAAGCTGTGCGGGGTCTGCCAAAGGATGTTACTCAGTGTACTGCGGAGTACGGCTTCCCCACTGTACCCCCAGCTCAATCATAGATCAGCAAAAGTAATTCTAAAGATTACCGAGGAATCGGTGGTTGATCACGGCAGACCTAAATACTTCTGAGAACTCCACTCTTGTACTGTGGCCATTAATCTGGGGCGTTACCTACCGTGGAGCGCTACCGACTTCCGAGGATATATCATCTGTCATCATCGACTGTTATCACATAAATCCGAAAGCTTCATAACGAACTTCTTCCCTATGTTAACCTTGCTCTTATAATCATCCTGATCCCCATCTTATCTGATTGTGATCAAGTTAAATCTACACAATGACAATTCTATCAGTTGAAAATGCCCCCATGCTACTGGCGGGCTTGTTTGCCGCCTACTTCTTGATGCCATATCTGTCAAGATGGCGTTTACACGATATCCCTGCTCCCGGCCTCGCTGCTTGGACAAATTTCTGGCTCTTGCTACAGGCCCGTCTCGGAAGACGATACCTCTCTGTCGACAATGCTCACAAGAAATACGGCAAGCTGGTTCGAATTGCACCCCGTCACGTCTCTATCGCCGATGATGCCGCCATTCCTATCGTCTACGCACACGGAAATGGCTTCCTGAAAGCGTCTGTTAACCCGAACGAACAAAACTAAAGCTCAAACTAACCATTATCAGTGACTTCTACGACGCCTTTGTCTCTATCCGCCGTGGTCTCTTCAACACTCGTGACCGTGACGAGCACACTCGCAAGCGTAAGACTGTCTCACACACCTTCAGTGCCAAGTCAATTGGTCAATTCGAGCAGTACATCCATGGCAACGTCGAGACGTTCGTCAAAAAGTGGAATCAGATGTCCGATACTGAGGCCAACCCCAAAACCGGCTACGTCACCCTGGACGCTCTGAACTGGTTCAATTATCTTGCCTTCGATATCATCGGCGACCTGGCCTTCGGTGCTCCCTTCGGTATGCTGGAGAAGGGCGAGGACATTGCAGAGATGCGAAAGAGCCCCAACGACCCTCCCAAGTACGTCGCCGCCGTCGAGGTCCTGAACCGCCGTGGCGAGGTCTCTGCCACTCTCGGCTGCATGCCCGCTTTGATCCCCATCGCCAAGTATATACCCGACAAGTTCTTCTCAGAGGGCATCCAAGCCGTTGAGAACCTCGCTGGTATCGCTATTGCCCGTGTCAACGAGCGTCTCAAGCCTGAAGTCGCCGCCAACAACACCCGTGCCGATCTGCTCGCCCGTCTGATGGAGGGCAAGGATGAAACGGGAAACACTCTTGGACGCGCCGAACTTACCGCTGAGGCTCTGACCCAGCTCATTGCCGGCTCCGACACCACCTCCAACACCGCCTGTGCCATCCTCTACTGGGCCCAACGCACCCCCGGCGTTGTTCCCAAGCTCCAAAAGGCCCTAGACGAGGTCATCCCCAAGGACATCGACGTTCCCACCCACTCAATGGTCAAGGAAATCCCTTACCTGCAGTGGGTCATTTGGGAGACGATGCGTATCCACAGCACCTCCGCAATGGGTCTGCCCCGCGAGATCCCGGCTGGCTCTCCACCCGTCACCATCTCCGGCCACACCTTCGGCCCCGGCGACGTCCTCTCAGTCCCCAGCTATACCATACACCGTTCGAAGGAGATCTGGGGACCAGACGCGGAGGAGTTCGTCCCTGAACGCTGGGACCCGGCCCGTCTAACCCCCCGCCAGAAGGCTGCCTTCATCCCGTTCAGCCATGGCCCGCGCGCCTGCGTCGGCCGCAACGTCGCCGAGATGGAATTGCTCGTAATGGGCGCAACAGTGTTCCGGCTCTTCGAGTTCCAGATCGAGCAGTCGCACCCTATGGAGACACGCGAGGGATTCCTCCGCAAGCCGCTCGGTTTGGAAGTTGGTATGCGTCGCCGCGAGCACAATTAGGTTAGGCAACATAAGGGAGTTTATCTTTTTTTATTTTTTATTCTATTTTTGGAGTTGGCTTGGAATTGGATCCTTGGGGAATTTGATTGGAGTCGATCCTCTTTTATATGTTCCGTGATAAAACACATCCTTTGGAATAGTATTGCATTTATTCCATGCATTGTTTTTACTGATTTGCTACGATTCCAATTCTCGTCGGGATTTTACCACTAGCGGAAATCGGCCATGTATATATGATATGATCTGAAACCCATTTTCAACTTTTTACAACCTTTCCCTACGTAGGTAGTAGCTACTAAAGATGGACGTGGGTCTGGGTGTAAAATTTGAAGCTGTGGATTTGAGCGAGATAAACTGATGTGATCATATAACTCAATGTTTCAACCAATGGAGAGACATAGTATCGACTGAAGTTAAAAGATGCTATCCCGCCGAACCATCCGACTCAAGAATCCTACCAGGTCTTCGGTCCAAAAATTTGGCCCTCTGGTAGAATAACCTGAACAGCTTTGCCAGTCGAATCAAGTGTGTCTGTGCCGACAGTATTGCCCCACCAGTCAGGCATTTCAATCTGTTGAAATTGAAGAGCAAAGAAGATCAACAAGGTGCAAAGCATAAGACCCACGTCCAGACCTGCCGACAAGACATAGTTGTACTCCAGCCACCAGCCACGGTGGCGGTTACGGATATACTTCTGGAAAACGAATCCGACGATACCCCAGCTGAGATAGTTGAGCGTGGATGCTGGCGGGAGATTCCCAGTACCGCCGAAAATGATTGGTGCATTGAGGAAGCGAATGGGACTGCGAGGGAAGATTCGTGCTCCGACATAAATCGCAACGGGGAGAAGGGCACCAACAAGCCAGAACCACACCAAGGGTCCGTACATTTGTCCAATGGAGAAGATTCGGGCCGGTCCAATAACACCTATTTCAAGAATTAGTACACGAGAGAAATTGGGAGATATAGGAGCTTGCGTACCCCAAATTACTGAGGCGTTAAAAAAAACACCGGCTACCGGGCAGCTGAATTTGTTCTTTTGATCGGGTGTACAAATACCCTCGATGTTGTCAAGGGACCAGTTCAAGACGCCTACTTGGATGATAGCTGCCCAGAATGCGGCAACCATTTGGGCCCAGAATGTCAGGCGAGGAGGAATTTTCATGTAGTGACCTGAAAATGATTGCCAAATTAGTCAAAATTATAGCCCAAGAGGACAGAAATTTAGACATACCCAGTTTCATATCAGAGGTAAATGATTGGCCCTGAGCCAAAGTGATGTAGCCAAACGTTTTGAACAGCATCATGGCCATGGGTCTACCAGGCTGCATGTAGCCAATGATGAACTCAGTAATGACGTTCAATCCGATGCCGATATTTGCAGTCGCTGCAAGGACGCCAATAGGAAGCCACCATATAAATGGGATGACCAAGGAAATTAGGAACGCCCACCAGGTGAAATGGGTAGGATATCCAAGGACGACACCGAACGAGACGCCTACCATTACCACGAAGACAACGCCATACCACCAAAGCGGAACCTGCTTGTACTTCATCATAAGGCGGTAGTGAATGTCATCATCCTCTCTACTGGAACTGCACATTCGATTCCAAATGTCTTTTCCATGAAAGAGAGCAGCGTGTACAACAACCGCAATGACACTGGCAAACGACAATCCATAGGTGAGCATAAAGGTGGTTGATAGGAACAGTGGCGAGTAGTTTCTATACTTCTCCTCGTCAAAGAGGAATTCTGGTGTCAGAATATTCGCAACCTTGTAGCTGTGTCCAGTATTCGCATAGCTATCATGGTTTATTAGACTTCGGATCAATCGTTGCGAGTGGGTCATTGGCTACTTACGTCCGGCTGTCACTCATGGGTAGGTAGGCGTTGTAGAAAAGGCCGGAATAATGGATTCCAGGAGTAAGAATAAAGAAGAAGACCACAAGTCCAATCAAACAGTTCCCAATGGCGAACCAGGGCGTCATCAGCGGACTGCCTGTGAAAGCAGTAACTGTGGTCCAGTCAAAAGTGATTGGGAGTAAGGCTAGCCCGGAATAACCACCCAACAGCTGGTTTATGACGACATTCTGAGGCTTAATCCAAGTGACGAATACAAACACGCTGAGAAAGGGAGCAATGTATCCAGGAAAGAAGTACCAGAAGAAGGATCCTGCCATGGAGTACGTGAACATTTTGTTACGACCAAGGGTCCAACCAGAGACTGTGGCTGCAGCTGGTTTCTCGTGGTCGTGCAAGGCCGAGAACATGGCCGTGTTAATCAAAACTGAAGGCCAAATCATGGCTGCTGGGTTGACCAAAAACTTGTGGAAAATGCCTGCCATTCCAAATCCCACCATCTGAGTGCAGATACACAAGAGAAGTTCGAAGCCCCATCCAAAGGATTGCTTGTAAAACACTTTCTGTGCTAGCAAGATATCAGTTGCATAGGCCACACCGTAGGAAGCATTGGCCATAATGACCACCAGTGCATGCTCTTTTTTGGTAAAACGGCCAGGGTTGGTATTGAACTGAACGCCGAAGAGCTTGAAGCTTTTGGCAGGCATCCACTTTTCCCATGCTTTACCAAAAGGGAAACACAGCAGCTGAGGGATGTAAGTTGACAGAGAGATACTTGGATTACGCATGGAAAAGAAGAGGTTGCATGCGGCACCTAGGGTGGTGAAAAACAAGCCAAAGATCCATGCGCGAAGGGTGTTGCCAGTTCCACCCTCGTCAAAGTTAGGAACGGCAGCAAGAACCTCGGGGTAAGGAGAGACCTGCAGAAGGTCTTGGGCGATACCTTCCTGGAGATCACGGTCAGTAGTTTGGAGAGCCTGATCCATCTCGTCGGCAATTTCATCGGGAAGGTTAGCGTCCCAGTGATGGTGGGCCTTCATTTCGCGAATTTTACGAATCGCGTCACCTGGCACGGTCTCATCGACGTGAGAACCGTTATTGTCGGCAGCACATATTCCGTCTTTCTCCATGATGGGATAGACGAGTTAAAAGAAAGGTGGTTGCTGGAGGAGGATAGAGGGAGAGATCAGTCAAAATCCAAAAACATCATGCGGTTGATCCAAAAGGTCTCGAAATTAACATTGCGGTATCACGTCACCTCTGAGCTTCAATGAGTTTTAAACTTACCAGTGATAGAATGTGTCAAGTTATTCGCGATGGGGAAGAAAAAGGTTCAAGCAGGGTTGATGAAGAGGAAAATTAAAAGACGCAATTGAAGGACGTGAGAATAGCGCTGATATCGTGTACATTATAGATTCAGGCTCCCTTCTTGTTATCTGAAACTAGTTCCTATGTCTACTAGAATTGGAATTCTATTTTTCTCTACCTGTTCAATCTATTACATTGATTTTATCATCGGGATCCAGTCACAACAGTGAGAAACCATAAATCTTCATTTTCAAAAGGATCTTGGAAGCCTTGGAAGAGAAGCATTGATGTGATCGCTGATACCTCGCATCAACAAGTCCCAGAGATTGATATGAGAGTAAGTAAACATAGACATGCTGTCATACTGTGTAGTAGCAACCTTGCAGGTGAAAGCTCAAAACGTTCACGGAGAATTAGATGTTTGTACCAGCAACATTCAATGCCATCATCTGTACCATGATGGAGTCTGGCATTAATGATAAGCTCTATTCTCGGAGCACCTGAGCTGGATGGACGGGGAACCTTGGAAGCAGAATAGGACACGATATCTGATTCAAGTCATGATAAATATGGCTCGATATATACCTAGCTATGGGTCTATCCAGGTATCCTAAAGTACATGTGTATAAAAGCTCAAAATGAGAAAGCCTAATTGCTACATTCATCTCAATATATAAGTCTAATTCCATCCAGATTTCTCCCGGACATCCATATATACTTGGAAGCTCCTAGTAAATCCTTCTTCAATTTTGACCTATGATCACAATCTAACAACCTAACCGGCTTTTAAATCATCGATGCTACACTTGCATCAACCAGGGCCGATTCCGGGATCAAAACACAGTGTCAAACTGCCGAAACCGGGCGCGAAGGTGAAAATTCTGACTGCTTTGTGTAGCCAGAGAGATATATATCATCTCAGGCCATCATCCCTCGAAGAGACAAAAAACAAACAGATACAAAGAATATGACAAGACAGTACTGAGCATATATGGTATCATGCTGGTACATAGAGTGACTTGGAAAACAGCTCGAAGGACATGTTGCTGCTTCATACTACAACTTGTCCAACCAACCTTGGTGGAGGGGTACACAGAAGGGTATATTCCACCCCTAATTAGATTAATGTACAGCAGGGCCATATCTGCCGTCTGTTCCGTGTGTTGCCGCAAAGAGTCGTTGCAGGGAGAGTTCTTGTATAACGCCCGTCGCGCGATATGACGCGATACCCCTCTAGTTTGACTGGAAATATCGGATTCACGTCGTATATATGCAGCCATTGTGGTACTAGATAGATAGTAAGTGGCAATTCCCGCCGGAGGAGATGTAGTTCACTGATAGAGGACTCCGTGAAATGGCGGATGAGTGCAGTACAATATACTTCGTTTACCAGTAAACAGGATCGGGGGAGCGGGCTGACACGCCCTGGAAATCCAGTATCTCGTTTAAGTAAGAGCACAAGGGGACGCTTGTACATCTCTTGTTCGTACACTTTCCTGCGCGCTTTAGGGGTCACTAGTCCCTTCCCAACAATCTCGTCGATCAGGTATAATCGAGAAAAAGTCTTCACCTATTGATTGATATGCAGAGGGCGAGAACGTCTCTAGGCTTTATTATTCCATCCATGTATATACCGAGGATGGGGGAGCTGGGTTGCAGCGCCACTTATGTCGGTTGAGGCGATGGATTTCCTCAACATGACATCACAGCCACAGCAGACTATATATGGCGATCAATCGAACGCCAGGTTTTAGAGATTGATCCAAGCTTAATGTTATCTCATGATGATTCCCGATATTCCTTCTGTTGCCGATCTGAAGCAAGCTGCCGAGAGCGGCCAGCGAATCACGTCCAGCGATGTGTCGGCCATCTCGCACGCCGAGAGTCAATTGACAGGGCGTGGACCACTGCGTGGTGGACCAGCAGGTAGGTAATAGAGAATAAATTAGTAGACCTCCGACGAATAACAGACTGATCGAATCAAGCATTCGCCCAGAGCCTTGCGATGCGACAGATGAATTTTGACAGCAAGCTAGACGAGATATCACGGAAGCCACCACACACAATCACACATGAAGATGCACGTGAGATGCAGGCTATTGAGGTTTGACCCTCCACTCTGACACGATTCTATCTCAATTTGTCACCTAAACTCCGATAATAGACGCGAGCCTTCAACAAGCCACCAGGTCTCGGATCTGTTTCAGCCCAGGTGCGTTCGATTGCCGACCGTAACGAAGTGTTGGGATTGCCAGTGGCAGTGAATTTCTCATCGATTGTAAGCAAGGCTGAAGCGGTGGAAGTTCAGACCGAGTCAGTGCTGTATGGACCAGGAGTGGCAGTGCAGCCGCAGATCCGTGGAAATGAGTTGACAGAGTAATGAGTATAGAGAAATCAAGCAAAAATGAAACGAACCGTGCCCATCTATTTTTGAGAGTACGACGTAAGCGCAAGTAAGCAGAGAAGCTTAGAATACGAGATTCCTTGGAATTGCTTATCATCCCGCGTTTTCCTCAAAGACCTAGACTTACCTATACCTCTATATCTACATCTTCCAACGTACTGAGTACTGTACTTACCATGCAAAGTCAGACAAAATTCACCAACCACACTGCTCTCCCATCAGCTCTCTCTGAAGCTGATGTAATTCGATTGCTACACGACCACGATGCCATGATCACTCAAAACCCATTAGTCATCCACTACGAACAATGTCCACAGGATGCTCCAGATGATGAGAGAGAAGGTCACTGGTACCAATTGACTGACCGAATCAACTATCTACCTGGTGGAATCCTGCAAGGGAAAGTGAATTATCGGGCCTATCTACACAATACCCCACAGGGTCTGCGCACTCACGTCTACGCCCCCCTTGGAGTTCACATACACAATGTATGGAGTGTGCGACCGGGCGAGGACTCGCTGGCATTGCAGGAACAAGTTCATCTTCGGTGTCCATTTGGAGTTACCAATTTTATTCGTCGGACTATGCACAAGGCCCACAAGGACTTAGTAGCACGGTTGACCTCGAATTAATTTGTCATGCAGCCGGTATTTGGAATGAAGAGATCATGACGCAACGCAAGGACTTTGCATATAAATAAATTATCCTTCCTTTTTCATTTCACTTTTTTTTGATTTCTTTCTCATCTTTCATATTCAACTTCTTCTCTCACACTAAATCATGCCTCTTACTGGTCACTGTCTCTGTGGTGCGGTCACTTATACCGCAAACGTGGATGCTCCCCTCGTCACCGCTTACGATCACTGTGACGATTGCCAGCGTCAGACTGGCTCAACCTATTGTTAGTAATTTCATCGTCTTAAATCTATACGATCCTAATATCCACGCAGCTCTGGTCACTGTTGTCCCCAAGGATACATTGACCATCAAAGGCCCCACCAAGAGCTGGGCTGGCAAAGGTTCCTCAGGCCTCGATGTTCACCGGATCTTTTGCTCCGAGTGTGGTTCACCCATTGCTCACGATCCTGATGCTGCCCCTGAGATCATCGCTCTGAAGGCCGGAACTCTGGATTCCGAGATCAAGAAGACTCTCAAGCCGGTAAGTGGTGAGTGGGGGTGGTTATTTGGAATTTCTGCTTATGTTTCTGATTTAGGACACCGAGATCTGGACTGTTGGCAAGCTTCCTTTCTGTCAAGAGCATCTAGCTCATCCTTTTGAGCACATGCCTCAGTAGGTGCTAGATATTGTAGTCGGCACAGACACCTAGGTACCTAGGTATACAGATATGGGACTCTATATGTACAGATATCTGTGCCTAGGTAAAATTTTATGTGATCTGTTTATGTGTATATATATTCATGGATGGAATTAGGTAAATGGCAAATAGCGTGTATGCATTTTACCTAGTTAGGCATCTATTTAGCTATCATATGCGCCTAGGAGAACAACGATTCTCGTCGTCTTTGTATGTAAACCTTGAAAGAATCCCGATGATGACCAAGAATATCCCAAGCGTGACTAAATAGTCTTTCTTCGGACACCTCAACTGAAGGAATGATGAGATAGTCCCTAGTAGCTGCTGCCATTATTGAGTATTTATTTTGATGAGCTTTCTACCATGAAAGCATCCCTTGTAGATTTACCTTGAACTTGGATAACTTTTGTAAGGTTTCGTTTCCAATGGACACATAAGTAGTATGTATTTGTAAACAGAATTGGGGGTTGTACAATAGCCCTTACCTGGATAGGCAGGGAAGATAAAAAGAAGTGTGCTTGAAGATGGATCAAGAGTATATTGATGTCAATACAGTCCACGGGTGATTGATTCTTGAAGGGCTCCTCCAAGATCCAGTGACTAGCATATAATTCATACCCGCCAAAACCACCCGATTATTTGAACGGGATCAAGATGCGCCAACTATATATCAGGACGACTGATATCTTACCGACATGGTGGATTTAACCATTCAGCAGCTGCAAGACCTACTGATCTGCTGACCAACGTCTTCTCCCGCTAATTTCTTTCAGTATTCAGGAGCTTGAGATGTCGTTATCTCAAGCAAGGCAGTCTGTGGCCGCTGTGGGCGTTCTCGCAGGAGCCGGTCCTGGGTACCCCAAGGCCAACCCCTACACCTGTTATCAGTTCCTGCCACATTTATAGCCCCTAAAATGAGAACGAATATCGGCAGCTTGTTGCTATTGAATGGCTCCTCAAAAGTTCCCCCCCCCCCCTTTAAGACGAAGAAAGTTACACATTACACAGCATTACTCTCGAGATTGTTGAAGATAGACGAAATGGGGATGGGTACAGAGAGCAGGTCTCCGCTATGGTTATACAAGAAGCGACTTTTACAATCCTTTTGTAATTCACGATCATTATTATACTCATGAATGTGCCACCTCCGAGAAGCTTTTAGAAAACCGAAGGAAGCAAATTACTCAGTTTATAATCCTTCTCCCATGATACTCCACTTTTGAACCAAATACGTACTGCTCGTCTTATATTGATCGATGATACATAGATATCTCTTAAGTATCAATGCAATAGCTCAATGCAGCAGACTCTGCACGATATGCTGGTAAGCGAACAGTTGAGTCAAATATTAAATTCGAGAGCGAGGCTTTTGGGCGACAAGATATGTTCCCTACAGATTTACACCCTCGGAATATAATGATAAGAGATAACACTAAGCACAGTGTCGTTTTCATTGATTTTGCGGATGCAGTTTTCAATAGCAGGAGGGACGATCGTTGGCGAAACAAATCGATGAAATAAATGATGGATTGGTATTCTTAGAATCCTAAACCAATGCAAACCAAACAGACACAATGATTAATGAATTGGTGACATCATAGGACGGTGGCAGGATATCTGTGCATTGCAGTTTTACAAATACAGATACAGATACAGATACAGATATTCTGTTGCAGACCACTACTAGATACATGATATGGGATGATTTATGATAAGTTGTATGAAATAAATACTACAATGTGTTGTCATCCTGGGACTGGACCTTGTGGGATCCATACGAACCTGGCCCCACTAACAGCATTTATTAAATGTAAGACCTGAAGGGTTCTGATATTAGATGATAAAGCTTTGACGATGACTTTGGAAAATCTATTTACCTAGAAATGAGACACTGGTAGATGTTCATGGTTGAAGTTCCGCGTAGTACGTATAGTGAGTGAAATTGCAATTACAATACCAGTCCATACAGACCCACTACCTACCTGTTCACAAGGGACACTTCCAGTCAGAAAGATCTACAAGTCCCAACCTTTGTCCTTTTCTGGGAACAACGAGTCGACGCACGGGGTAGTGCTTCTTCGGGTCGGACAAGTCCCATCTGTCGCGAAAAGGGCCTCCGGGTGTAACTTTCGTCTCGGCTAGCGCCGTTTAAAGTCATTGAAACGAAGACTTGTAGGAACTTAATGCTCGGTACAGGGTACACATACCGCGGTTGGCTCTTGCAGTAGATATAGTCTCTCCGAGTCGGTGGTAATCCCGATTAACTACCTCATACGGACAATCCAACAATCACATTCATTATGAATCTCAGCAAACAATCCAAGACTGTTACTGGGCATTTACCCAAGAGCGTTAAAGTGCGCTCTACTTGCAATGCTTGTCAACAAGCTAAGATCCGTTGCAGTCATGAGAAGCCATCTTGTCGCCGATGTCAGAAGCATGATATCGACTGTATCTACAGTGTATCACGAAGACTGGGCCGTCCTTCAAAGAAGAAAGAGTCACGAGTTGGCCTGGAAGATTCACAGGAGCTGTTATATCGTCCAGAGCGGGAGAAGAAAATGCGAAAGTCGACGAGTAAAAAAACCCACGCAGCAGTCATAACGGTAGCGGTAGAGGAAGAACGGCCAGTGCCAGGTCCTGCAGATGGGAATGCAGACGATAGTAAGCGTCAAATATGTTACTGAGTTTGCAGCTTAAGGCTTATCTTTGCTAGGTTTTGAGACCAGCCAGACTCACAACTGGCTCCAAGATCTTATGCCGGTTCACAGAGGAGCGAATTCAGGATATTCCATCGCCGAGCAGATTCATGCTGACTTCGAACTGGATGTGGAGGACTCATTCGAGAGCCTTTCAAGCTATCAGAGGCATTTCTGTCCGAGCTCACTGTTCACACAGCCAGGTGACATGGGTTTATCCTCCAATCCGCTCGAAGAACCGACGCTAGCGCCGGTGTGCCTGAAACAAGACCTGGATAATTTTCCAGTGTCAGTCATGAGTGAGCAGGCTGTGTCGCTTGATTTGGAAGATTGTACTGTGCCATGGGGATACGACTTCTCAAGACTGGACATGCAACCATTTCAAGGACCATGGTCTGTGGGCCGAATGTCATCCATCAATCTCTTCATCGACCCATCAAACTTCTGCCACAACTTTCAATCACCTGAGCGTCACAACAGTGAAAATAGCTCGCCCCAGTTGGGCTTGATGCCTAGTTTCTCCTGTACATGTTACCAACAAGCTATGGATGAGCTGACCAAGGCAAGACTCCGGATGAGCCACGATGGAATATCCAGTATTGATAGTATCATCGCATCTCAAAAAGAACTGTCACTGCAGACAGAGACAATCCTGCAATGTAAAATGTGTTCGCAGTCTGAGATCCAGGTCAATATGCTGATGATGATAATCGTCACAATTGATAGTCTCCTGACTGCACTGGAAAAAACAGCACTACCTGGCAATCTAGAAGAGGAGAGTAAGATGTCGTACACAGGGGCATCATTCAGCAATAGGCAGGCGGCACTGACAAGCGGGTTCAAATCGTCAGTTGATGCATGTCCCCTTCTGGTAGGAGCATACAAGGTTCCCGTGGAAGATAAAGCATCTTTTATTCACCAAGTACTGCAAGTGCGTTTATTCACGCTTTTACTCACCATCCGGAGAATCCGGGTTTGCGCACAGCATCATTCATCGGGTCCATCATCACGGGGTCGTCTTTTCATGATTATGGAGACTGATAGGCGGCTGCAACTCATGATGATGAGGATTAAGATGATGGTAACGTGATTGGCTTAGAATACTCAGGTAGTAAATGCAGAAGCTCGAGACTAAATTGGAAAGAGCCATGCTGTCAAATTGGAGCAACATATAGGACAGCTTCTTTGTAGAAAGCTTATATTGGTGACAGAGTGTGATATGTATGCCGTCGCGTGTAAGTCTCATTGGCTGTGAAAAATAGATCAGCTCTCTTTTCAGTGTCACTCTGTTCCCACACCAGTTGAAGGGATTTATTTTGAAATATGTGGGTCACCTATCCAGAGTCATAAAATTGGAGATCCAAACTAGCATAATTAGATAGTCCTGTCCAGGTGAGTTGGAAAAATAGAAAACTCCGAGAATGACTGCTTTCGTACCTAAAATACGTGCGCCAGGCGATATCAATTGCAGTGCCTGCCACTGCTCAATTAAAAGATTACAAATCATGAAAGAGCTCCAGAATGTCCAGGCAGTAGTTGACGTTGAAACAGTCCTAGATCTGATCAACCGAGTCTGCAACCAAGGCAAGATGATGATAGAGTGCAGAGATTGTATTAAAACATCACAATCTATCGCGCCACTACCAGCTCTATCAGAGCATTGCCTCCCTCTGCTCGAAGCTTTGTGCTCAGCTTATGAGATCTCGACGCACCACGGCCTTTTTGACACGGTCATGCTGGCATTCAAGCCACGCCCTGCACCATTTATATGTCTCCGAAGTAAAGTGATGTTGGGCCAGATGGAGCTCGATGAAGATGAGACCCGTCTTTTACTACGGACTCTGCTGGGTCGGAATTTGAGGAGACTTGTTGAGTTGATAAAGCTGTTGGAAAGTTCAGATATCCCGGATATTGCAACATGTGGAATAATGGTATGCGAGTCTTCTGTCCAATCTACCATTAGTCGCTTGATTGTATTGATGCAGGTTATTGAAGGGGGTTGACCGATGAGAATTCTTGGAATCAATAGATATGCTGCAATTAGTGACGCGATGATATGAAGAGACAGTGCGGATAAATGCTATTGAAGTTTTAAACTTGAATCAATCACTTGAAAAGATAAGACAGTCTTGACTACCTTCATTCCTAGATGGCTCTTTGCATCCCGGACGCAAAACAGCCATCCCAGTCCTAACATGTATTGGGTACAGTAAAACGTGAAAATATGATGGAAAAATAAGGGAATTCATTCCTGCAGATGATGAGACTGCAATTGTTTGGAGAAGTTGAAGGAAACAGCGCAGAAGTATATAGACAGAAAGCCTGAACCGGCGCGGAACCGGAGAGTAGAAACCACTAAGTGGCACAAGCTCGGGTCTTTCTTTACATTGATTTTCTTCCCGATAATCATTGATCACTTATTCATAAAGGTCGAGGCTTTCTGACGCTAGCCGTATTTGGGTGGATTGCTTCTGCTACTATTCTTAGAATAATCACGTTTTATCAACTTTAATCAAGATACAGTTTAAGGATGCAATTTCCTTTTCAAAATCAACCTCTTCACTCCTGATGTACTCAAACCCTTGGGGTCTCTGAAAGGCGATGTGAACTTTCGGATTGACTACACGAAACTACAGGAGTACTAGTATGTTTTTTTTTCTAGCTGGAGTAGAGGTGGGTCTTTAGTGATAAGAGTACTCCGTACTTGTGCTGACTTAAATAGGGAGGAAATTACAAATACTCCGGCGTCCCGTAAGCGTTGGTTTGGTGGATTCGACAGCTGGCTCAAGAAAATGACGACCATTGTGAAAGACGAAAGAGGCTCCTTGCCTCCGTATGATGAAACCATGAAACTCTATCATGCTCATGCATACTGCCCAAGCATATCTCCCTTGATTCCTCTTTTTCCTCCTCTATATCTATCTCAATCTCCTCCTGTGGCGGCGGCTGAGGTACATAACCATATCTTTTTTTGCACTTTTGCCAACTTGCTCTCTTTTTATAGCATCTTCTTTAGCTTTCCTAGCTATAATAACCATTATGTTCGGTGGTAGATCTTCATCAAACCAAGACTCCATAAAAACAGTGCCTTTAAAAATAATGAGCGGATCCATCGCCCAACCATCAACGGCAATACATTCAACCGCAGTAATATTTTCACCTCTTGGACAGCCTTCATACTAACCACCATCTGATTTTTGCCTCTCTACGTCGAAAGCCACACTCATCAAAGTAATAGATCAACCGCGAAGGCACACCTCGAAGGACGCATTCAAGTAGATCGTACCAATAACCTAGCTGGGCTGGATCTTCAGCCTGAATTCGCTTTGATTCCTTAGTATAATGCTTCTTAGGAGCTAGCTGTAGCTCTTTAGGGAGACGCTTAACAAAGCGATATATCTTCATCTTGCTAACATGGCTAGCATCTCCAAGCGAGCGATTTGCCCATGCTTTAATCAGCTTAGGTGTTGGCAACAAACCCCAATGATTCAACTGGATAATCCGGCGAACTAGAGCTTCCTCCTGGATATGATATAAAGTCTTATTGACTGAATTTTCGTTGAGATCTCGCGGTTGCCCTCTTTTTGACGCGGCTAGAGAGAATTTTTCGATTAACGCCATAACCACGCGCAATCTTTGAGATATTTGGGTTTTCTTCGCGTTTGGCCGCTTCATAGGCATTAGAAAGGCGGGATCCGGTACATTCGGTGGTTTTAGGCATTGTAGGTAGAGGATATTGCGTAAGATAAGGTGGTATGTAGAATTGGACGTTGCGGTGTGGCTCACCCACTCACGGAACGTGAGTGGGTCATAAAGTCACTGATACTTTGAGGAGATTGCTAGACAGACCCCCCTGCCTGATTTTTGCTTAAAACCCGCATCAATAGTTCTCGTTACTAACCAGAGAGTATTACAGCGATCAATTTATGCCCATGTCAAGAGTGGGTCCTAGTCCTCTTGCTAATTATGGTATGTATCATCCTGGTTTCCGCCCACTTCCGTAAATATTATTCGCCATGATTGGAGACTTTTCACCACCCCATATCCTTCATGCTCTCCTCCATACGAGCCGCATTTGCGCCTACAAGGGGAGAAGGAGTTCAGCAACGGACCCCACGGTATGCCGGTGAAGACACTACCCCGACAACCCACCGAGAGATCCTCGGTTGGTATGCCTACGGTATCGCGGCCGAGGTATTTGCCGTGTGCGGAGTAGGCTCATTCCTGCCTTTGACCCTCGAGCAGGTAGCGCGTGAGCATGGCACCCTACAAATGAGCCACCTGCCCTGCTGGGGACCGCAGGCACCAACAAATGGAACACAGGGCGCGGGCGAACAGTGTATGGTTGGGCTCTTAGGTCATCCAGTCAGCACTGCTAGCTTTGCGATGTATACGTTCTCGTTGGCGACGCTCATCCAGGCGTTGACCTTGGTTTCGTTCAGCGCCTTGGCGGACTACGGTATGATTACTTGACTGCTATGAAGCAACACACTCCTAATATTCGCGCATTATAGAGAACAACCGCAAAACCCTACTCCTAGCTTTCGGATTCATTGGCTCGGCTACAAGCATGCTATTCACTGTGGTCTTCCCTTCGGTATTTATACTGGGCTCGATTTTGGTCGTCATCGGAGTGACATGTCTGGGCTCATCGTTCGTGGTACTAAATTCCTTCCTGCCAGTTTTGGTCGCCAATGATCCTTCAGTCAACACCGGCGGTACCAGCAATGACGATGGACATGAACTTGGAGACATGGATAATGATGTGTCTGACTGGAATGCCTGGGACGACGATGATAGCTTGACTGGCATGAACGTTCCAGACCACGAAGTTTCTTCAGTGGAGGAGGGCGTGAAGGCTAAGAATAAAGAATCCTCTTCACCACAGCTGCAGCTGTCGACACAGCTGTCAACACGGATATCTTCCAAGGGCATCGGGTTTGGCTACTGCGCCGCTGTTTTTGTTCAAATTCTCAGTATAACGCTGTTGATCACACTCTCAAAGACCGCTCTCGCAAAGAAGTCTGCTTCGATTCCAATGCGGTTTGTGTTGCTCTTGGTCGGAATGTGGTGGGCTGTATTCACCTTTGTCTCTGGCCGCCTTCTGCGTGCTCGACCCGGCCCTCCACTTGAGACTTCCACGCAGGGTATATCCAAATGGCGTGGTTACTTGCGACTTGTAGGCTTTGCGTGGAAGTCTCTATGGCAGACCATGAAAATCGCCGTCAGGCTGCGTGAAGTGGTGATTTTCCTAGTCGCGTGGTTCCTCCTGTCTGATGCCGTCGCAACAGTATCTGCCACAGCGATCCTCTTCGCTCGTACTGAGCTGAAGATGAGCACGCCCGCCATCGCACTGTTGTCCATTACAGCAACTGTTTCTGGTATGGCGGGTGCGTTCCTGTGGCCACATGTATCCCGACGGTTCAATTTGAAGTCCAACCAAACCATCATAGTTTGCATCGCCTTATTCGAGATAATACCGATCTACGGCCTGCTAGCCTACATCCCCTTTGTAAAAAACTGGGGTGTAATAGGCTTACAAAAGATGTGGGAGATCTACCCACTCGCCATAATCCTTGGAATTGTGTCAGGAGGTCTAGCTTCATACTGCCGCTCCTTCTATGGACTATTGATCCCTCCCGGCCACGAGGCCGCATTTTACGCACTGTACGCGGCCACCGATAAGGGTAGTTCCTTCATCGGTCCAGCAGTGGTGGGTATGCTCGCTGATGCAACTGGCCAGATCCGGTCTGGTTTTATCTTCATTGCCATCGTCATAGTGCTGCCTATTCCATTGGTTTGGATGGTCAACGTTGAGAAGGGTCGTAGTGAGGCTATTGCCATGGCTGGTGACTTGGACCAGTCACATGGAGGCCCGGCGGACAATGCTGAAGAGGCTGAGGGCCTTTTGGCGCGTGGGGCATAGACTGACTATATGCAGAAACGACTGTAGAGCCAGAGATGAAAAATAAAGCTTCAAGCTAGCCCAGGTGCATCTAGATATACCTAGTAGTCTACTTTCCGGGTGGGTGCACCTAGATAGACTGCACAAAATCACCTCTCAGTGCTCATCCGGTCCTGCAAGCTAGAAAGTCATCTAGTGTATTTGCACAGACTGTAACCATTCATTCTTGTGAAAGATGACATCGAGTTACAAACCTCGGGACGGGAGATGACACTACCAGCCCTAAAATCGCGATTCGTGCGTCAAGTTAATGAAAAGTGAGGGCATGATAATTAGTTTTATAATAAATTTCTGATGCTGTGCAGCAGTTACCTCTGTGCTGATTCATGCACAGAGACACGAATATCTCGCTTTATCCGATTTGGATTGAGTTCCTCCTTACTGTTATTTTTTGTAGCTGGATGAGTTTGGCCACCCATGACAGTGGCGTTTGTAAACTCTTGCTCATTGGCAGCAGTCCAGGGCCTGCTCTCCACCACTGTGTCATCTTCGCCCATTCTTGAGAACCGGTGACTCCTGTTGGCCCTATTATTCAAGGGATATGAACCCTTGAGTGGGTAAGAGTTGGGGGTTGATGTGTTGTCGGATTTATCTCGGAAAACTCGAACCAGGGGTCTTAGAGTAATCAGCGAACCAGCTACAATGCTTAAACTCCCCTCAGCGTTGGAGCATATGGCGATTTGATAAGAATTATCTGGCGTCGTTAGTCAACATCGAAGCATGGAGATGGAAGCACTTACATAAGAATTCCGTATCTTTGAGATTCGCGATGAAGGGGATGCGAGTAATGAGTGCGACACCGGCGCTAGAGTCAAGGTCAGCAAGACGATCAATCGATTTGAATGATTGAAGAGCGGGACGTACGTGCAACCAACTCCAAGAATGCCGACGACACCGGCCTTCTTGCGACGACTAATGCGCAAGTTCCAGATCAAAGCTACTGGAAGAAATCCGATAATCAGATCGCATACCACACAGCCAACACTGTACAGATATACGATATCGATGAGTAGGTTTACATCGAGACAGGTGCCCTTCTCCTGTGTGAGACTTTGATTCCAGAGGTAGTCGACCGGGCTGCATTGGAAGATTGTGAAGAAAAGGAAAATGAAGCCAACGATAATGGCTAAAGAGGCAGTAGCGTAAAGAATGAGGATTTGGGAGCGGACAACCGTCAAGCGCAAAAGAGTGAGAATGATGGAGATCTTGGAGAGAATGCAGACGAAGACGTAGAAGATTTGGCCCAACCACCAGGACTAAGCACAGGACGTTAAATACGAATGGACACTGGTGGACTATTGAAGACATACCAGCATCGCCTTGTGGAAATTATGGGGCTTGGTTGCAAAGTAGATCAGCTTTCTGCCCATTCCGACCTTAGCCCCTAATATTGTACACGCGCCGAAGCCAAGAGCGAATAACTAGAGATGATTAGAAATATTCAATGCACTCAGGAAATGGAGCTCACCATGGCAAGAAGCATGAGCCCGTCATCCCAAGAGAAAGCTCGAACAATTCGCAGACGCACGTAAGTTCGCATAGCAACACTAATGAGGGCAAGGGCCAAAAACAGCGCAGTGACAATAATGATAGCTTGACTGCGACCAGCGCCATCATCTACAACTGCAAATTCACTCGCATATTTAGCGGTCTCATCCGCAGTTATCCCGTAGGGCATAATGAGCGTAGTTCACAGACGATGAATCTGCCATACTAGAAAGAGCACACGGACGATGTTTAATAAATTAATAGTCCCACGGAACCTAGAATGACAAGTTTGTGATTTGAGACAAGCGGGTCTGATGATATTTCGAATATGTTTCGAAATGTGTTCGAAATCCCTTTTTAGGCCCAAAATAGGGTTACTGATGTATGGAAGTAAAACAGTTCCATGGTTCAAGACTGCAAACCTTTTCTCGGCACAGAAAGCCACATGGATGAGATGGCTGAATATTTGGGACCGGAATATCTCCGTTGACATAGACATGAAGTTCGTTCAGTTTTGAATAGTGGCGTTGCTTGAATTTTGTTGAAATTGCACTTAGTACGAGATTTTAAACGTGCATTGTATCATGTAGAGGTAGTTACCACTTATTAATAGCAGAGTTTAACTGTATCGTGAAGCAATAAGGGGTGAAACTTAATTAGGCGCAAGTTTCGAAAATCTAAATTCGAGATTCCAAATTTGTATTTTAAGATCTTGAAATTCAATAAAGCTTGCACCTCCTTTCTCTTCTCTATCTTTTCTCCAGCATGTTCTTTCTCGCTAACACTTACAATTAACATTGACGTCGTTTCTTAAGAGTCTACTTCTACAAATCCTTGTTCATTTGGATTAAAGAAAAATAAATTTATCGGCTGTTTCACAGGTGAATTCAGGGGAAATTTCCACGATCTACACTATCCGTTCCGATACGAGATGGTCAGATCAATTGTGGGTCAGCCGTCAATCCCGTTGCTGATCAATTAGCAATGGCGCCGCTGGAGGGTGTACCAGAAGGCACACCAGAGGGCACGCTGCCAGATGGTTTACTTCCGCCGCCACTGCCACCGTCGGCACCGCTCGAGTTCTCATGGCCACCATCCGCATCATAGTAAGCAGCAATGGAGTAGTAAGAGTTATTGGTATAGTCCAAGGTGCTGTTGATGCCAATCTGGATCCAAGCGAACAAACCATCATCCAAAGAATCACCAAGATAAATGTACTCGGGGAATGGGTCATATGCGCTGCTGGCCTGTAAGATGCTCCACATATCACCGGCATTTGTTGTGATGCTTTGGGTGTTCGTATTATAAGGATATGTATCCTCAACCGCTGATCGGAGGTCCTCGTTCCAGAAAAGTTGTCCATTGTGGGCAATACTCCCCGTTCCCACCTCGAGGGTTTTGTTGGGGAGAAGGGTTGCATTCAGATGGGTCAACAAATGAGTGTGGGTAGCTCGCCCATCATAGTGACCCGGGAAGATGGTGTTGAAGGTGACAACACCGTCTTTATCGGTCTCTTGGATACCACGTAGGTAGGTAGAGTCCCATCCATCTTCAGCATAGTTGCCAGACACGGAAATGCCACTATTTGGTCAGTACTATGAAGACAGAATGGGGAAAGCAGATCACATACCTATATATACCGGTAGCATTGGCATTCCAGATATCAACCAATGCCCCTGGAACAGGTTGGCACGTGTTGATGTCGATGTACTGAATCTCCAGAGCGATATCAACACCATCAGAGTATAAATCCTCCTTGACATTTTGACGCACAGCCTCACCCCATACATAATAGGGGCCGTCCGTGATAGTCGGGGTAAGGATGCAGCTCGTGTTAGCTGAGAAGATCACCGACTCTGAAGTAGCCGGACTATTGTTGAGGATATCGGTCTTGTTGTGATTAACAGCCTCCCACTTCTCAATATCAGCCAGAGTGCGACGCCACTTATCAGTACCTTCTCGATATAAGCCAATGATTTCTCCAAAAGTGTGTTGGGGGAAAAAATACCGGTGATACCGCGCTTTGCACGGAGCTGCTTGACAGCGTTCGCACGACGGGCAACATTTCGCTTTGCTAGATTCCGGGCATGCAGGCTGTTCTCACAGCCACCCAGGGACCGTTTAGCTGCAGCAGCATGGGCATCACGGAGGCGAATCTCCCGCTTCAGCACATGTGCATCGTGCTTCTCGCCCGGATGAGCGAGAGTAGGAACAGCCACACACGCTGCGGCGATGAGGAACTTGGAAAGCTGCACCATGATGAATTGAAGGCAAGAATAAATTGGAATTGACCGTTTTTCTAAGGCTGAGTGCTCCGAGCTTGACTTTTGAATGGAGTCTCATGACAGCCGGCTCAAGTCGGATTTAAGTATCCTCCTACTCCCTCGACGCGTAATACACCAACATAATTCCCAAGATCCATAGGCACGATATCCATCCGTGCAATTACGTATGTCTAGGGTGAGGGTTTCTAACATCCGTGCATCTCCTTCATTTCCCATACTAAGCAGGCCCAGAGGAACATGTTGCCAAGGCGTGGGACCTGAATTAGGGCTCAAGAAGTACGTGAGTGCTTGGCGGCCGCGTGTCTGGGACAACCTTGCGGAGACAACCCGACACACGCTTGGCAGGGATCGACGCCGGGTGGATAATTAGTGTTGACGTTGTTGAAACTGAAGCATTCAAAAATTGCATTTTTCAAGTCGGAAAGTGGGATCAAGACACATGGAGAAAGTTCTGGAAAAGTACGAGTTGAATGGCTAGCCATGGTCATTTACTTAGGGTAGTCACCACCGACTTCGCCCGAATATATCTAATTAGTGATTCCAGGAATTGACACAACATTGTGATACATCCCGAAGTCTCTATTTATGTACTAGTTTGAAATATGTGTACGATTTATTGGACATCAGTACCCCATACCTGGAGGTGACCTTGAAATAAGGGCCCACATGGCTGACTATCAACGGGAAAAATCTTGGAGAAGAACCGCGTCAGCACTATCTTCAATCCCCACCACTCTTCATCACTTGGTGTAAGCCAATTGGTACCGTTCAATTTGAAACTACCTTAATATGAAAATGAGTAGCTGACGAGGAAATGACGAGGAGGCGTGGGGACTTTAGGTAAGTATCAATAAATGACATAGTCTGAGCATCAAATATGAATATTAATCTATTGTCTAGACCAAGGGGATAGAAGAGGGGGCTGTGACCTACTAGGTGGTTAGCATGGTTTCTTTCACTAGCCATGGTCTAGCCCCTACAAAATTCCACCTAACAATGGATGCAGTGACTCTAATTGTATTTATTTATATTTCCCCGTGTTTGATTACGGGTCTGAAGACAGAATCTTCTCACCCTGAAGGGCCAAGTAGAGCTCCCTAACTTTCCCAGAGGACATCTCATTCCATAACTTTGGATGGTTTGACGATGCCATGAGCTCGATCCTGCAGCAAATCTGAAGGCAGAGCCAATCGCTAGTCCTAAAGGTGTTCCAAGGTTATCTCATAGGTACCTAGGTAGTGTGCGAGGAGCTAAGGTTACATTTTTCGTCTCCTTTTCCTTCACCTGTTCACTGTTTTTAATCACATTCATATTAACATTTACTCACTTAAAATTGAAATGATATTTCTTTCAATTCATCCATCTCTTAGTATTTACATCTTTCTTCAACCTTATACTTCACCCATTGCCAACGCACCATGTAAAAATATTTTTAGTCCGATGTGATGTAGTGGATCTTTCGAACGTGGTTGCGCAATCACCACTTCTCCATAAATTCCTTCGACATTCCTTCAAGCCCCTATAGAAGGCGGGATCTAGTGTGATATAGTGGGAACTTTCCAATGTGAATGAAGCAATCGACATACTATGAGGGCAATCCCTTGAGCAGACCTATATTGTTTACTGAGTCAAATCTCACCGATTACCTTGATCCAGAAAAGGCAATATGGCAGTTGAATGAGAATATGGTGGCATCTCACATGTTGAAACATCTAGGGCATAAATCCTTCAAGAGATGTGAATTTCCTTGTCTATAATCCGACATTCAATATCCTATTTCCACCGTATGAAGAAGCGCTCTAGAGCCTGCAGAGCTAGACTTGCTGATTCTTTCAGGCAATTTTCTTCTGGTAAGCACAGTCAACATGCCAGGGCAGTCTCGCCTTCTTTGTTACCCGAATGCAACCCAGTCAGTCCTATTTCCATAAAGCAGGACCACGCTCTATATGTGTTGTTATCCATCGGACCGATATGAATGGTCCAGTCGGTAATCAACAAATCGGGAGCTTAACTCTCAACTCTGCGGCGAAACAACTTAGAATTGACACACATCTTATAACCTATATGTACTACTTCATTGGAATGTAGTCTCTCTATCATTAGGTCGCTGTCATCCGACACTTCCCATGATCTCAATGATGATCGCTGGAGCACTTAACGGAAATGTCGGGGTCAGTCATCCAGGCCATGGTTGGTGAGCTGGTCAAAAGAACTCAGCATGAGCCCACGTATTCCAAGATTCTAATATATTTGATAGATGAATAATTGGTATCCTTTCGGCTGACGCATCACTCATAGCTCGGGCTATGCAGTCATGCCGTTTGTTTGGTCAATTGAACATATTCTCGGACCAGGGAAGCATATCGTTCTCTGTGAACATGATCAGTCCTACGCCACTAAGTCCGTTGGAGGGCTACTCATAAGTATATTATTCTCAAAGGATACCCGCGGACTCGGACGTTGAAAGAGAAGTCAAGAAAGGCAGATACGGTGGATTCTACCTGTTCAACCAAATCACAACCAGGTATCTTTCTGATACGTACACTTTGATTTATATATATATAGTTCGATTGCGTAGGTCCAGCCCACAACAGCAGCATTGAGGACAGCCGCAGATTGTAAGGTATAAGTTTCTTGTACTTCAGTGGGGTCCCCTCAGTATGAGCTAGAAAACCCTCTCGAACCGACTTCGTAAAGCCAAGAGTAGGTCTTCGGCACATTGACTTCCCTTACTCATCATGGTTCTCATCCACCTTCTTCCATCCCAGCCATGCAGTGAGAACTAGTGCCTTAAGAAATACCGCAGTCCATAGCGCGCCCATGATCCCCATCGAGCTATGTGACCATAAACCACCTAGCACAACGCCAAGCAAGAGAGAAATTACAGCACCGACGCGACGCATCTCCTCAACGTGGCCGAACACACCGGTAGAGAGTAGGGCCGGGTTAGAGAAAAGATCACAGTAGATACTCGTGAGAACAACACTTGTCAGACCATTAAAGTTCAGCACGCGACTAGTAACAGCCTGACCACTACTCTGGAATGCCACAAGCGCGATCGGCACCAAGACAAGCCAGCCAAGCGGGGTGTCGCGTGCCGGGCGATAAACAGTCACAACGACAGCAGCGATAGTGACACAGCACAATTGCAAGAAGAAAGAAGCACAAAGAACCCATCGCTTCCTAGGAGAGAACGTGCGATGGAAAGCAGCGAAGAAGATCGAGCCAAGACAGAAGCCGCAGATGGAGACGCCGGATTTGATCCACCGATCGTCATCAGTTCCAACAAGGCCCAGACCGAAATAGACGGTGTTTCCGGTCTGCATTGAGACGAAAGATCCCCATACGAAGACAGCTGAGCTATCCAGGAGTCCGGTTATAACATAGCAGATTAAGAGTAGTAGATCTCCGCCGCGTGTTGCAACTTCATCATGGAGGTAGTGGGATAGACGTTTGGAATGAGACGGAGCCTCGTTCCCTAGAAGACCTCTTGTCTCGTCGATGATAGACATGGCTTCGAAGGGATAGGGAGTAAGGATGTTCAACCACGTGGCTCCACGAAACGCGGTGAGTCGGTAGGCCCGTAGTCAAGTTCAACATATGTTTTAAGCGCTAGTTGTAATTGGTTTCATCTCCAAAATTATGAGATCCTAAAATTAAACATTGACAAGGCTATGATTCTGTGGCGTAAATCAAGGAATCCAGTACTTTGGTACGCCAAGAAATTGAGATTCTTTATTTCTCATTGGCTGGAATACCGAGATCCGTGTATTGGATTGTTGAGTTTCAAAAATGAGATTTTTCGAGATGAGAAACTGCTGGGGAGGATTCATGACAGAAATAGGAGAATTGATGATCTAAAATTTGACGCTGAATGTGACTAGCAGACTGCTAATTTTCATACCAGTTGACCTAGGTAGCACGACATATTTGGCTCCACGTGAGCCAAGCCCCTTATATCTGATCTAGACATTGATTACAGTCCCATTCTCCTTGCTAACAAAAGCAAGGAAATCTTTCAGAAGGTCATGCTCTGGATGGCCAACAACAAATACGGCGGGCTTTCCATACGGTGCTGAAACATTAGCCACGCTACCACCGTGATATTCAACGCCCGACCAAACATGAGTATAAGTCTCTTGGCCCGGGAAATAAACTTCCACGTACTGGCGACCCTCATCCAAGACAGGAGCGACGTACAAGTCAGCGCCGAGGAAGAAGCTTTCGTAGCTGATGTTCTTTGCTCGAACGTCGGTGGGATGGTAGATGACAGGCATTCTCAGCAAAGGCCACCCACGAGTCTTACTCTCAGTATCAAGGATGTTGCGACGGTATGGTGCCAAGCTTCGGAACAAACGAGCATTGTAGGCAAAGTATGAGTATGTGGACGTATTGGTGTAGAACTGCGTGTTGAAACTCGGAATGTTGCCCTCGTGCGACCGGAATACTGCACTGGAAACGGCAGCGAGTTCACCCCAGCGTCCTAGCAGCTCTGCCGTCCGATTGACGATAACGAGGGAGCTGTCCTCCTCCGAAACAATGGTTGTGTATCCACCAATCTCGACATGTCCATGAGCATAGCCAGACAGACCCATGTGGCCTGCAAGTGTGACGGCAGACTTGATTCCATCGTTGACGCCCCAATCAACATTTTGGTCTCCCACCCAGTACAGGTTCATGTACCGGTTTGCAGCCAAGGATGAAGATCTGTGCCAGATGATCGCTTCTGAGAAGTTGGAGACATTGCTAGCAAGAGAATGGTGTAGTTTGGCCCAGTCACGAGGATACTCGTTATGGTAAAGGCGGGCATCCACGCTCTTGTTCGAAAAGCTCGTGTCTGATAGGACAGGTGTATATTCACCGAAATCTCCCATGTATCCGGAGATATTGGCACTCCAAACTTGTTCAATAAGGACATCTTTGAACCAAGAAATCGTGGCCGGGTTTGTCAGATCTAAGATTCCGGCAGTGATTCCGGGTCCACTGGAGATAATAGCTGTGCTGTTGATAGTGCTGTTTTGAATCGTGTACTTAGCCTCATCTGCCTCCAAGAACAGATTTCGGCGATATCCATCGGGCTTGGTGGAAACATTTGCCAGAAATGGGTTGATGTAAGCCAAGGTTCTAACGTTGTGATCATCCCTCAAGGATTGAACGAACTCGGCCCATGTGGGATAGAGAGTTGAATCCGATTCCCAGTTCCACCACAAGCGCGAAATATTGACATCGAAGGCGGCAACACTTTGCAGATGAGTTCCTGACCTGTGCAAGTTAGTATCTTGAGAAGGAAATGGAAGAAAAACAAGTTCCTTACCAGTCTTGAAGCCAAACACCTGCAACAGGGCAAGACAAATTGAGGCCCTGGTCGACGATCTTATTAACCTTGGTCTGTCCGCCTTGGATACCAAGTATGGCACCCGTATCAACCCACTCAGGAAGCTCTGACATCCTCCCAGTATAGTCGGTAAGCTTGGTGATACCATCCAGTATATCGCTGGCCTGCAGGAAGTAACCATCAACAGCAAGTTCAGTATACCGCACAGTCACAATCTCAAGGTCGGTGAAATCAAAGGTAGCATATGCCGTCCTTTCTTCTGACAGATAGAAGACACGAGAAAAGGATGAGATGTATTGAGGGATAGCAGAATAAGTGGTGAACTTATCACCACCAGCGAAACCACCATCTTCATTTTCCAGATAGGTGACAGGCTGGTCTCCACGACCCACACCCCCTTCTCGAGTAAAGATGGGCACAGACTGATTTTTCAACGAGGCAAAGGACGCCTGCCCACCAAGTCCATAAAAGTCTTCCGACGCAGAGGAACGATAAGTCAAGAACAGCTTGCTTGCATCTAATGAAGACTGGGGATTGAGATCGATGTGAAAAGCCACACGATCAGTGAACTCAACAGGAACGTAGAAATTGATCACGAAGTCAATTTCAGCTGTTGAATTCCCACAACCTGAGAGTGATCCCTGAATGACTGCAGCTTGTTCATTGACACTTCTTGGCCAGGATTCTTTGCTGACGCTGCTAATTTTTTGCGACGTGCATTTGTTTGTGTCGATGTCTGTGATCTCGAAATTTCCACTTGAGTCCACGATCTCGTCGACTCCTGAACTCGCGCTCAGGAAAGGCTGGCCAGATACAGTTTCCCAGATCGTATTTTCTTCATGAGCGACCAGAAGGTGGTTGGTTTCGGAATTAACTGTGAGCGTGAACCCATTGCTAAGATCCGTTTCCCAGGAAGATTGAGCCGCTAGAGAAGATTGAACAGTAAAGCCAGACCATGCCCAGAGTACAGACCCAAGCATTTTGTGCTGAAATGGAATCTTGGTCTGATAAAATTAACCTAGTTAGTGGGAAAGGGACCTTGTTTTAAACCTGCATTTATCTTTAACCTTGATAAAGGAACCTCGGCCAGTTCTGACTCTTGCACGTCGGTTCGCTAGAAGAATTAGTTGCACCATTATACAAGAATTAGTTGCACCATTATACTACTAGTCTACGCCACAAGCTCCACAGTTTTAGTAATCCGGCTCGAGTCGAGTCCTCCGATTGAAAGCTGAGGGGAAAGTACGTGCCTGCCAATATTTGGTGTTCTCCGCACAAAATCATTGGCCACCACCCAAGCACGTCGTTGATAGCTAGAATGACAACGTCGTACCTAAAACGGAGGGTAATAAGTGACCCCCGCGAAAAAATGTATGGTACTGTAATCCAGAAATACAAACTGACCACCTGTAACTATATTACATTTTCACCATTTTTATACATATTAGTAATCAGGCTCAACCAAAAGGAAAGCTTCAAAATTATTGTTTATAAAGTGTCGGAATTTAATAACTAATCTCAGCTAAATAACAAATATCTGTAACGGGTCGATACCCGATAGTATGCGCAGTCCTTCCAGGGACTGCGCTCCCGGCTCCTGTGCGGAGCCGGACGAGCCATAAGAGCATATGGTCCCTAGGACCCTCTTCCCTTCCTTAGTTAGTCCTTCTTGTTTATTAATCGGATCTTTACAGTGTATAAATTCCTGCATTTATCCCGTAATATTAGGATTAACTCAACCGTTTTGTCGGAACATGGATATTGCAATCCTGCAATACCACAACCCGGAACAGAACAAACAGACCCCCGAGTCACGGGGGAATGACTATATGTCAACTTGGGCGAGGAAGTGGGATTATAAGAACTAATCAGAAGACTTCACAATCTCAAATATGTGTGTGTATTTGCAGTAGATGAATCGCACATATTTCACATCACCTTGCACACTATATACACTAAGAATCTAGGACGAACCATACTCTTTTCTATTATATATAGTATAATGTGCGAACCCTGTCCTTTCAACGTAGTTGATCGACAGGTTAGAGATCGCTGGCTGCTAGTTGAACTGATGTCATTCTTATTCCCAATCTACAGACGCCTCGTTTCATTGTGAAGACATTTCCAGCGGTCAGCGATATGCGCCCTTCTCTCCTCCTCACCTCCTCGGCCGATGTCAACCCCTCACCCATTTGGGAAAGACACCGCAGAGGCCCACGGGCTGATATGCATGTGGTCGTTTTGATGTACAAAGGACGCTTTGAAAATGCGTATTCACCCAACTGTCTTGAGCAGTTCTTTGCTCCTTTACGCTGTAGCTCTCTTTACGTGTATCTTCCCCACCACTATCGTACCGTGAGTCAGATGGCCCTCTCCTGGCCTCCCAAGGATTTGGGTAGACCCACCAGCTTCTCTCTCAGTCATCCGCAGATTGCATCGCAGTTTTCATGCCGTCATTACAGAACACATCAAGAAAATCAAGCGACCTGGAAGTGGGTGGACTGCAGATCTGACGCAATCACGGAGAAAGTCGTACATACAGAATACAGCGTACGTGGAATAGGTGGTCTAAAGGTTCCAGGTTTATTACGTTGTTTGCGCGTCCATCAAGCATACTGCTCAGATAACTTGGCGAATTTAGCAGTCAGTTAACCAGCTATAACAGCAGAGAGCATAAAGTAGAAGTCTTGCCAGCATTTCCGTCGCCCTTGCGTTCAGCTGAACGGCTCTCAACTTATTTATGTCGCAATTACCTTACGAATACTGCATGAAACCGGGTCTATAGATGATCCGTCGGCATAGCTTATGTAACTAGAATAGACCCATAAATAGCGAGCAATAGAGTCATTGATATCTTCAATTGGCCAGATACAGTAGAAATCGTGACAGCTCACATCCAGTCACAGCCGCTGTGGGTCAGCGTGGCGATCTTATCCGATCAGATGGACAAATCAGCGTGATTCCGGCTCGAACTAGAGAGATTATTGTCTCCACTATTCGTGACATGAGAGATTCGATGATGTCGTAGGGTGGATCTCTTCGAAACTATTTATTTGACTACATTCCCCGCATTGAGGGGTGTTGTGCAACACTCAATCTGACCGCACCCACCACGATCCCATTCTGTCACTATCATGTCTACCGAAAAGGATAGTGATTTGTATATGAGGCTGTTCGACAGCAAAGGACAAGGCAACTACCTCCTGTACCCTCCCACTTACGAGGATTTACATCCCGGATTCGTTGGCTTTTACAATTCTGATGAAGGTGTATGGCATGAACTTGCTGATTTGTCTGATCCGGACAAGCTCAAGGCGAAGGGATTCACAAAGCCCCCCTCGCGAGCTCTGCAGGAGATGAAGGCCGATGAAACCACTTGGGACTCGAGAACGTCCGAAAGCGAGTCGCAAAGCAGTCTCCGCGGCAATGTGGGTGCTTCTGGCGCCGCAGCCGGGGTCCCGGTCGAGGGGTCTGTGGACTTGAAATACAAGAAAGGCTCGTCCGGGAAGGCGGCGGTCGTCGCTAAAAGCGTGGTCAAATTCGAAATGTACAAGGAACCATTCGGGATGCCAATCAAAGAATGGGTCCAGGAGAATGCAAAGGCACTCCTTGGCGACTGCAAAGATAATATTGAAAAATATGGCCTCTGGGCCGTCCAGACAGTCTATATCGCCGATGAATGCGTCATTACCATGAACAAGGGTAACAGCTTGGACATCGATCTCGGGGCTGACGTTGGCGCAACCGGATTCGGCAAGATCGGCGGCGGTAGGGCCTTGATGGAAAAGCTCGACAGCCAAGGGTGGTCGTCATATGACTCGAAACCAGTAAGCTCGAGCTGCCCCGATTCACGGTACTGCAGCACTAATAACAACGGATAGGGCTCCAAGGGACGTGTGATCTCATTTGGTGGAGTGAAGTTCAAGCCGCGCAACTTTTCCAAGTTGTTCAGATCTTCAGTACGTTTTCACGCTTGGCATGATTATCATCTTCTAACAACATGTAGCTTCTCAAGGAGGTTGCCGTTATGGAGTCATCGCTGTCGAGCCCAACGGCCAAGCGACCTATCTTTGATGAGGAAGAAAACTTGACGGGTTTCGAGGATGTTCGACGTGTCCGAAGAGAAGACGGAGAGTTTGATATTATGAAGTTCGACAGAGCACCAAGTCGAAATGATGAAGAGAGTTCCGATGAAGATGAGCTCGAATGTGAGGGCATATCAGAGGAGGATGTTCAGGCAGAGAAGCAGTACCAGGAGGAGCAAAAGCAGGAGCGTGAACAGGTGATGCTGAAGAACTGGGAAGAATTCGTGGCAGAGACCGAAAATCTGAACAAACAGGCAAGAGAGGCAAATTCACAGCCGTCAAAGTCTGATAATGGTGCGAAGGGAATGAAAATTGAAACTATTACGCTGCAGCGTCCATAGTAGCTATCTGTACATAGTTGTACCTAGCCGATTAGTCTACAGGCGGCGGGGTAGAAGAGTCGACCCAACTACCCGGCCAGTAAAAACTTTATATTTCATATTTTGTGGGTAATATCATATATCATAATAAGTTTGTCGGGAAGCTAAAAAAAAATGTCATCGGGTACTAGTAAATAGTTAGAATAAATGGTAATATATAAGATTTGACTTGCGGTGCTTCAACCCGACTACCTACGATGCGGCAAGTAGTAAAATTAACAACCTCTTCGTGCCAATTTTGCGCCGCTAACATCAATGCTGTTCGCCCACCCCAGATTTTCTCGCAGTAATTAGGGCTGACATCCCTAAGTTGAGCAACATGTTGACTATCTCCTTGTGTAAATTTCACCTACTAGCGACAATGAATGCGAAACATCTGTATCGCAAGCTTAGATGACTCCTGTTGTGGAGAGAAGCAGCTTAATTGCGGCTGTATAACCATGCTCTGGTGCAAGATAAAGTGATTCAGATGCACCAATGAAATTTTCAACGGATAGAATCTGATTCTGATTCTTGTCGAGTTTATCGATTATTTCTTGCTTCCAGAAGAACAAGAGTCAAGGTCAGGCCAATCGAGCTTTCCGTCGACTCTGATTTTGACGTCAACACCGAGAGAAGCATACATATCGCCAACGAGGTTGAGGACGCAACTTCAAATGCATATTCAGAGGCTCCATGTCATTCAGAAATGCAAGAATCAGCGATGCAAAATTAGCGCCCTTCCATGTGGATATTGTAAGCATCCAAGATATCCCTTGCTAACCTGAGTGTCTTTGGGGTAACAGGACGCTGATTTTCATGCTTGGCCATGTTCCCAATATCATGGACCCTTTCAAAAGAGATAGATGGGTTGAGGTGAAGGGATATCGAATCTAGGGGTAAGTAAATGAATGGGAGTTCCGTTACTTGCAGTTAATGGTTCATCTCGGGGCTATTCACTTCACCCTAAACGTTGATCAAGAACAGGTCAATAGTTCTTCTCAGGCGAGATTATCGGCCTGTGTGTGGCTCAATCAAGTTTTTGTCAAAGACGTGTGGCTACAATCAGGTAGCGGTCTCGCTTGACTCGTGAAGCAACTCAAATGAATAATCAATGGCTATAATTTACCTAGGTACCTCCAAAAGGTCCGTTTTAGTACAATTTTTCACCCATTCAAGGATAGAAACAGCAAACAGAAGAGTAGATGAGTCAGGAAGGATTGATTAGATATATATAGTGCAATAGGATAGGAAAACTCTTTTTCTTTGTGAGGTGCATTTTGGGCAGTTGACCCATAGTACACAGATTGAGTTGCATTGGGACGACGAGTGATGAAACTGTCGTGTCGAGTTGCATGTGGGTAAAAGATTGGAATGAAGTCGCTTTTGGATGAGATAGGATCGCCCTTTGGCAGGAGTAGCATAGGGTAGGTCGCGTGGGCAATGCCAAGAACTTTGTCGGAATGTTTATGTGGGTTAACGTTTGCGGTTCTCTTCCAACAGAGAAGCATGGGGCTCTGATCAAACAAAGGCATCTGAAAGAAAGAAGCTTGGTTTGACTCCGTACATTAGAAACATAATTGTCGCAAGTGGGTGAATCGCAAATCGCAAATGGCATATCCGGGAAAATGGCTGGAACGTGGAAAGGCTGGAAGGCTGCAAAAGGGAGCGTCGAACTACACGGAGGAACCATCCTTCTTCTTCTCGGGGATGGAGTTAACGATTTCGCTTTCGGCAAGATCATCGGCAAAGGCTTCGATGACGGGACCTTTGTATACGGCTTTGCCGTACATGTACCAATAGCTTGTGGAGAACAGGATAACTCCGGCGAGGTATACAACGGAGTAGTTCATCTGTAGTCCGAATTAGCAACATGAGTAGCGAGTAGGAAGTTAAGCACGTACAGTATCCGCAGTGACTGGCATGTCAGTAGGGAGGATGAAGATTATACTGGCGAACAAGGTCCAAAGACAGGCCCAGGCGTTCACGTAGGGACTCAATGGACCCATGTGCCATGGACCACGCTCGAATTTGCCGAACATAAGCTTTGCTAAGATAGGAATACAGTAGCTCCAGTCCAAAGCTAAAACACATCTATGGTTAGCTTAAACAATTCACATTCTGTAGGTTGATTGACATACCGATGGCGCTGTGAAAGATGAGATGTTAGTCATGTTTACAATTCAGGATCATCTTTATGGGAGGGTTGATCGACTTACCATAGGGTGAAGATGCCGTTGATGGCAGTGTAGGATCCGAGACCGATCAAGTTGATGGCAATGCAGAAGAATACAGAGATCCAAACGGCATAGATAGGAGTGCCAGTCCAGGGATTAATCTTGGTCCAAACGTTGGAGAAAGGCAACATACGATCACGGGAGAAGGCGAAGATCGTACGGCCGAGAGACTGCATGGCAGTGAAGGTGACAAACTTGAGGATTATAAGTGCGGCAATAGTGAAGAACATACCGCCGCCCTTGCCAAGGCTATTGTAGAAGATCTGAGCAACAGGTTGACCCATCGCCGAACTAAGGATATCAGTCGGGTCGCCCATGCAGTAACAAAGGACGATGTTGAACAGAAAGCCAGCAAGATAGGTGAAGAGCATAGCCATGGAGATGGCCCAGGGAGCCTTCTTTTCCGGCTCGCTCATTTCCTCAGTAATGTGGGCAGTTGCATCGTAGTCGGTCATGGTCCAACTGACAGACAGGAAACCGAACAACCAGCTGAAACCGATTGGGGTCCAACCACTCGAGGCCTCGGTATGAGTGAAGACATACTCTGCCGTGTGCTTGTCCTTTGTCATCACAAGCAGTGCAATGGCGCATGCCACGAGAACGGCGATGTGGAAGAGCACGTAAATCTTGGTCATCTTCTCCATCCAATATGTTGAGAGCGAGTTGACCACACCAGTGGAGACTGTCAAGGCCGCCATGACTCCCACAGTTGTGTTTGTAGTGATTTCATATTCAAAGTCACGGCTCATGGACACAGCGGCCAAAAGCATTTGCGCTGCACCGTACTCGGAGGAAGCGACACCGGCGACCTGGCCTAGTAGATTGAGCCAGCCAGTTAACCTACGAAGTCGTCAATATTTTTTTTCTATTCTAACACGATTCAATAGAAATATTCTCTCACCAACTAATGGAAGGAACCCATCGTGGAGGTGCTAGACGAGAAACAGTGAAGTATCTATCAAACCGGTTAGCGCCATTTGTGATTCCAACCCTAAGGATGCAACTTACAGTCCACCAGCGGTTGGGTAAGCAGAGACCAGCTCTGCTACGGAGCACTATAATTCGCATTTGTAAGATGCTAAACTCGAGCGAAAACACAGAGAGAAGAAGAAGAAAAAAAATACTTACAGCAATACACATACAACCCAAACCAGAGACGAGCCAACACCAGACAACGGCACTACTACCACCAGCGTTCAGAGGATATGACATGGTGGTCATAATCGTGGCGAAAACACCACTGATACTGACAGCAAAGGAAAAAGTAGCCAAATATCCAAACTCTCGCTTGAACACTGGATTGTAACCGAACTCGGCGGCCAATTCAGCATCAGCATGATTCATACCCTCAATGGCAACTTTAGTAGGTTGGCCATCAGCGCCGACGAGATGAACTTGGCGATGCCTAAGATCAGGTTGTGAAATTGTATCCATGTTGGATAAATTTGATGGGTGCTAGTAGGTAAAACGGCAAGATAGGTGCAGGAAGGAAAATGATAAATAAGCCAAAAAAAGAAAAAGAAAAGAAAAGATAATCGCGGCCCGAAAAGCTTACAAGGCCCCTTGATGGGCGAAATAGAAACAGGGCAATAGGATCAAATTAGAGACTAGTCATCTTGCGATTCGCTCAATATAATTCGACCCTTCTGTAAATGGGCGTTCTAAGCGACAAAGCAACGATGTCATTATTGGTTGCAGATTCCAGAGTACTATGGGGCGCAAGCTAGGCAGTGGGGCAGCGATAGAAAACTGGAGATGTTAGATTGACAGCTATTGGTGAGTACAGAATGATTGGAAAAACCTTCCTATCTAGCCTAATTAATCCTGAATACGGAGCACTAAGTACTGTTTACCCTGATACCAGAGATAAATGATGCTGGACATCGTGAGACTCCTCATCTTCTAATAGATAAAGTAAACAGATTAGAGCCCGGGATCCTTATTGGCTCTACAGAAAAGGATGAATTAGGAAACACAGAATCATCAATACCATCAATACAGTAATGCCGATACCACAAGTACCTGTAATAATATACTTTCTTACTGAGTTTCGACTGGACGAGGCGTACTAGAGATACAGGGATTGGTTTATTTTTGATATATATTATTTTCACTCCTCTCCTGATAAGGGCTGATAAGAGATTGCAGGGATACATTAGTTTCATTCAGTTTAGTTTATTACTGGTCAAAGCGACCGGTGTGTATCAGTCAAGACGTATGTCTTCTCAATGCTTAGATAGTCAATTTCCTCTTCAGGCCATTCATACGTGCTTTTACTCGAAATAATTACTATACCTTATCATTGGATCTCGCCAAATAATCAGATCAAAAGATTGAAGAGCCCAAGGATCAAGAACCCTACAAGCGTTCTCTGTCATCTGTGACCGGGTCTGTCCACCCACCATATCGGAACCGCGCGTGCTCTTAACCTCTAGGCGCATGTCTATCCCGGACCTTTTGATCGCGGTATTATCTCGATCCGTAAGCTACCTGAGGCTACTCGCGACAAAGGCTGGTTATTTGATATTCTCCTTATCCAAGACAATGTCATGTGATGGGAATCTATGTCGTCAAGTATTGTTTTTAGAATATGGATTGTGATCTAAAAAGCATGCAACGCCGAGCGCAGTATAGGCTCAGGAAAGGTGTCACGAGCTGACCTCGGAATTGTCTGCGGCCGATCTCAATGTGTATCCATCACCGAGTGGTGTCACAAGTGCCACAATCAAAGACTTGGCGCTCAAAATGAAATTGAGCCAGAGATTGGACCTTACGTCGTACGCTCGGAAATCTTTTTGTAATTGGAGCTAGCGGCTCTGTATTACTAGTCAGAATGGCTTCGCAGTGAGGTAACATAGCATGTACTCGAGACCCCACTAGGCCCTCTTTCCAATCTGGGAAGGCTCCCGAGGTCTCGATCTGTATTTCCTGCGTCGAAATCATGTCACCTAGATTGATCGCTCCTCATTCGGAGAACATTTCCTGAACCTGGGAATGCAGCCGAGACTGTTTTGATGATAGATACTAGATATCGCGTATCTATAGCTGCCGGCTAGTCTTCTTCTTTCCTATTCCAGGTCTATATACCCGTGCACTCTCATAAGTAATCAGTTCATATATCCGAAGTTGCCCAGATGTGGTACTCACATAGCCAATGGCCGTTTACGTTGCTGCACTTTTTTGCATCCCGATTTCTCCCAAGAGTATCTGGTGGGTATCTGGTGGGTATCTGACCAAGCAGATAGACAGTCTGAGACAGAATTGTAGTGCCTAGGTGCGAGACTAGCGGAAATAAAGCCACAGATGTGGCAGCGTACGATAAAGAATGACGATGAAAATAATCATATATAATTCTACATACCACTCAAGGACTAGGTACGGAGTACCTAGTTACGGTAAGAAAAAGAAAGAAGTGGGCCTCGGGAGAGCATGGCCTAAGGCTCGTGCTGCCTAAGGTCACCATAACTATCCCCATTGAGTTCCTTAAGCATCTAACAAAGAGCTGAAAGAGTTTTTAACAGTTATATGACTTGGTAAGTATTTGGAAGATCTGGAAGATGAGTGTTGAAATAGCCTCATTGATAAACATACAATCTTCCTCGAACAAAAGTAAACAATAAGACTACTGCGCAAGCAGCTACCAAAGCTCAAAAGTACTCCCAACTTCATACATCAGTCTTTCACAGCTTCAAGGGCTCGTCCAAGCATTTTGTGACAAGTTATTCACTAACTTCTTCTTTCTCCTCATACATTTCGTCTGTAAAATTCCCAATTTGCGCAGTTATCACCACACGCCTGTCAAATTTTGCACTGAATTCTGTCCTCATGTTCTCGGTCTTGGTCTGCCTAGACAAGTTGTCGAAGCAGCGCTTTCAGGACGCGGCACTGTTTAGCTTCAACTCGGGGAAACCACCTATGGGTATCTTGCGTGTACTCGGCGAGCTCTGAGCGACTGCCAAACCGTGGGGGCAGCTTACTTGTTACCAAGCAGTCCAGAGCATCAACAATATTGACATGGATGCGTGTCAGCGCCTAGAAACAGCTCAAATATTAGCTTGTTCTTTCTTTATAAGGGTTGAAATCTACTTTGCGGCATTGGGTAATAGACAGAGGAATATTCTCAAGTCCAACAAGCTTGCACATAGCCTGCCACTCGCCGAGAGTCGGAGCTTTTCCAGTGCATTGGCCCGTTTGATCAACCATGTATTTGTTCATGACAACAACCATGGCGCGCTTCCACTGGCGTTTCCAAGTCTTGCTTCCCTCCTTCCACTTGCGGAAGCGACCAAGTCGTGCAAACTCCTCGCTGATGGGTGCCAAGGGATCATAGACGAATCCGGGAAATTCGTCAAAAAATTCCAGGCCGGTAGATGGGGTCAAAAGAGGAGTAGCTATCGGAATCAGGACCTGTCCAGTAGACGCGACTGTTCTATCCGCCATTTGGTCTACCATCGCGCGCTTCCACTGGCGTTTCCAAGTCTTGGATCCTCTCTTCCACTTTCGGAGATGAGCAAGTCGCTCGAACTCCACGGCGACAAGGGCCTGCGGATCATACACAAATCCCATCCATCCCCGAAACTCATCAAAAAAGCGTATGGTAACGGAGTAGTTCATGATGGGTGTTGGAGGTGTGGATATTAGGATCCGCATCTGGATAGAAAGATGGGGGTTCAATGATGGCAGCGTTAAGGGTGGTGGTGATAGGGATGGGGTGAGTATGGGATGGGGATGGGATGGGGAGATGAGGTTGGAGTGAGTAACGAGAAATCGTACCTAGATAAGCTGAAAAACAAAACACAAAGCAAACTAATGGTAAGAGTGAGGTTCATTACCTAGGTACGTCCAAATCACTGTCTACATGAAAGCAATAGAGCAGTTTCCGAATCTACAATGATCTACAAAATTGTCCTTCAGTAATTAATATCCAGCTCCAAATGACAGCTGTGTTGGATTTATATCTCCGCTAACTCAGTTAACCCATATGCAATGAAGACAAACCAAGTGAAAATCATAGTATTATGGTATAAGCTAGCGTCAAGAGACGTCTGCTTATTACACTAGATACTTTATCGAGCAGAAACTGATAGGAGTAAGGGCCAAAAACGTCCTCTATTTAAAGTGACGAGCTCATGAATGTGGATTCAGCTGGTATATTGACTTAATCCTCGCCTTCCGTTGGAAACAAGGGAATCTGGTTTACTGAAGTAAATGGAGTCGGGAAGTGAATAGAACTAGTGGGTGGAATCGGGGCATATCCGATTCCATCGCGGGAACTTAGAATGAACACACATCTTACCGCACACTTACTCCACGTATCAACTTAGTAGTAATAGTGCATTGGGATCCCTGTGAACCGACTCCTTCTTTGGTCTGGAGCGCAGCTGGGGCATGCTATTCAGATGATATGTTGAATCTGGCAGAGGCCAAGGGCCAAAAATTTCCCAATGAATGATTTCCAAGGCTGAATGACGTCCATGATAATGGAACGAGGGAATACACCCTAAGCCCAATATTCAAGCATCTTCTAATGATTGGTTTGAAAAACTCACAACAGATACTAGACAAGAGAGCACAAAGCTTGGAGACGCAGATATAAACTCAAATAGAGATATAAGCTCAAATAGAATTAAACAATACTAGGCATAGAAAATACGTTTCTTCCAGCGATATCTAGATTTTGAACATGATCCTCATGGAACATCTACTCACCAAAGGACAAAACAACAGGAAAAATTGATGCAAATGACAGTTTATAGGTCCCTATGTACCTAGGCAGTGGGTGGATTCTGAATTCCCAGCTGACCTGTCAAATGGATTCATAGAACAGACGACCATTCCATTCAAAGCGGCCTTACAGCATTTTGCATAGTGGATGGAACCGAGTGAGCCAGATGCACTTTCTAGGTATCTTCAGTCAAGTAGATAACCTATTATCTTCAAAAAGCATCCGTTTTCTGTCTCTGAATTGAAATATAGTGAATAATTGGAATTAGAACAAAAAATTCATGGTTCAAAGCTGCAACTTTGTGCATGGTGATGGAACTAGCTTTTGGGCCTATCTGTTTCTGACGTTATGCGACCTTCCTTCAAAGCACATATATCAAAAATTAATTCGCTTTCTGATATCTTGATGTTCCTTTTTACCTTTCAATATTTTTCATCGCACGCATTGAAATTCTAAAGATCGGTCAAGAGGTAGCCTCCAGAGCCGCACTGGAAACCTATCCACCTCACTTGCCCCGGAGCCTTTTTGTATTGAATATTCGATCTAATCATTAAGTCAGTTGAAAATTCAGCATTTGTGGTGCACAAATAGACCTACAACGTTTAATTTGTACTCAAGGCGAGTTTTGACATTTCTCCTGTGAGTTCAGTGATGTCGTCCGAGACGCCCGCATCACTAGAACACACGGCAAGTTCCGACATATTGCCAGCAATTTCATCCATCGCATTACGTTGACGAGCGGCCTCACTTTTGTAAGCCTTGTTCAGCCTTTTTTTCCGGGTCTTTTTGCCATGTTTCCAATCCTGTTCGCGAGCAAGTCGGTCAAAGTTCTCCTTCACAGATGCTCGAGGGTTCCGCTTAAAATTGCGGTAGTTATCAAAGAAATAAGGCGACTGGATAGTAATAAAAGGGGGTTTCTTTGAATTGACTCTCATCCAAAGATTTAGCTTCTTCAGATTTCTTTTCCAAAGCTTTCCACCGTTTTCCCAGCCTCGTTGGCACGCGAGTCGCTCGAACTCCTCGCCGTAAGTTGCCTGGGGGTCCAGCTTGAAGTCGTGGAATCGTTCAAAAAAGGGCAACTTTTGCTTTAGCCTTTTCTTGATAGAGGAATGCCCCATTCGCCAGTGTCGTTTCCAAGACGCTTTGCCTTTCTCCCATCCTCTCTGTTCAGCAAGTCGCGTGAATTCTTCGAGGAAAGAGGCCTTTGGATCATGCTGGAATCCTGGAAATCTTTGAAGAAATGGGATCATCATATCGGGTTGATATGGGAATTTTGTGTTGATCAATTTAATCCGGTTTGCTTTCCAACCGTTGCTGTTTGGATCCCATCCTCTCTCTCGAGCAAGTCGTGCAAATTCCTCCTCCCAGCCCGCTTCGGGGTTGTGCTCGAAGTTTTTGAACTCAGCATAAAATTTGCCAGCGGACGTTTCTAACATAATTTGTTATCCCAGATTAGAGATGCGAGAAGGAAGACTTCAACGGGTAAGAAGCTGTTGATTGATGGGTAACTTGTGGAGTTGAAGAAGGGTGGTGAGGTTCAGAGGTTGATGATGAAAATGAGAGAAAAGACTGTAAACAAAGTGCACCAAATGAGACAAACCAATCAAAGGAAAAATTTGAGATTAAGAAAGAGCTTTTTATGAAATCAACATGGCAGCAACAAGGCAGTCGCGATCCAATATCATATTAAGACTCACACTTCTGTATTGAACTATCTTTAATTCATTGTCTTGACCTATACTCCTGAAATTCAAATGTTTGACTTCGTATTGAAATCAGTGATCTCAGCTATTCTCACATTACTCCTATGGCCACTATACGAAGCCCGTTTCCCCTTTGACTATGTTGTTGTCGGTGGAGGAACGGCAGGGCTCACCATCAGTACTCGACTAGCTCAGCATGGGTTCCAAGTCGCAGTGATAGAAGCAGGCGGATACTACGAGCTCGAATGGCCATTATCAATGATTCCTGGAGCCGCCATCATTGGAGTTGGCGCAGATATCAGCACTTCATCGTCTGTGGACTGGAATTTTGTTGTCCATGATGAGCCTGGGGCTAATTATCGCGACATTCATTACCCAAGAGGCAAATGTTTGGGTGGATCGTACGCACACAGATCTCCTTGACATGAACTAATAATACTGACTGTCTTCATCAAGTTCGGCCGTCAACTTTCTGATGTATCAAAGGTGAGCACTCATCTTAGATCGAGCCTCCTCATTTTCTGATTTTTTAGACCGTCAAAGGATACTATGACACGATGGGCGGACCTTGTCGACGATCCTAGCTATCTTTTCGACAATATTCTTCACCTGTTCAAGAAGACAGTCACATTCACACCTCCCAGTCTTCGCTCTGCCTGTGCAAGAGCACTATTCAACGATTCCGCCTTTGACCCATACGGCGGTCCATTGCACGTTTCGTACCCTCAAGATCGAATGCCATTTTCTACCTGGGTTCGAGAAGGAATGAAAGAAGTGAGAATCGAGGAGGCTCATGACTTCAACAGCGGTTCTCTAATGGGACATCAATTCTGCACAATGACAATCCGACCCACCGATGGCATCAGGAGCAGCTCTGAGTCAGCATTCCGGCAAGACTTACTCCATCTGCAAAAGTCACGGAATCTAAGGATCTTCAAGAAGACTCTAGTGAAGAGGGTTTTATTTGATGATCAGAATCGAGCAATAGGAGTGGAGGTAAAACGGAATTGGATGTGGAAATACAACCTAATGGCCTCGCGAGAGGTGATACTATCGGCAGGTGCTTTCCAGTCACCACAACTTCTCATGGTTTCCGGCGTTGGACCTGCTGATAAACTTGAAGAGCACGGAATTCCGGTGATTGCCAATCGACCCGGTGTTGGGGAGAACATGTGGGACCATCCTTTCTTCGGGCCATCATATCCAGTCAAAGTAAGAACTTTCACAGCACTGACTCATGATCTCGGGTGGCTCTTGACTCAAATCAAGAAGTACTTCTTCCACCATCGTGGGCTGTTGACAAACCCCTCTACGGACTATCTTGCTTTTGAGAAGATACCGCAAAGCCTTCGAGGAAATCTCTCATCTCAGGATGAAGATAGTCTTGCTTGGTTCCCTCAGGATTGGCCGGAAGTCGAAGTAAGTCACATTCATGTTTGTTAGCTGTATGAATACTGAGATTGTCTTAGTACCTTGCAGCTTCCGCATATGTTGGCAATTTCTCAAATCCTTTTTTGCAACAGCCTCATTCCGGGGAATACGGCTCAATTATCGGAAGTTTGGTTGCCCCGACTTCTCGCGGAAAGGTAACTATTCAGTCAGACGATACAGCTGACGCCCCGATCATCCACCCAAACTGGCTTGACACTGCTGTTGATCAGAAGATAGCGGTCGCATTATACAAGCGCATTCGCAATATATACCAGACCGAGGCCATGCAATTTATCTTGGATGGGCCAGAGTCTTTTCCAGGGCAGGATGTGCAGAGCGATGCAGAAATTCTAGATGTCATCAAGTCGACACTCATGACAATATACCATGCGGCGTGCACATGCAAGATGGGGCTGAGAAACGACAGTATGGCGGTTGTAGACAGTCGTAGCCGTGTTTTTGGCGTCAGCGGTTTGCGAGTGGTAGATGCCAGCGCCTTTCCGATTCTTCCTCCTGGTCACCCTCAATCCACTGTCTGTGAGTACTCGTCATCCGAACCTAACTGTGATTTGAAGCTAATAAACCACAGATATGCTTGCTGAAAAGATAGCTGCTGACATTATAGCCTCTTGAGAGTGTCTATATATGTCTGTAGTTTGCTGTGCGGGTTTGTTTATTGAAGACTGGTTATTGACTAGGGTGGGTATAAATATCATTAACAATTCAGTTTGCTCTACCACAACCCGAGGTCTCTTCTAGGTACATCTGATTCAAAGTGTCAAACATATTATAGTCGCTGGGTAGACATTCCGGCGTAAAAGCACAGCCAAGATTATTGGCAAACAGCTCATCAGAAGTTTGAGGGTCTATCATGTTTGAGTGTCCACCCAAAGGGAACGTTTCAGCTGTGAAGAAATTTTCATTCGGCTGTAAAAGAAGAGGATCTCCAAGGGAAATAGGGAAGGGTGTGGCAAGCATATTCTCCACAGTAAAGAGTCCATCAAAGTCCTCCAATGGCGGAACCGTATTCCCATCCGGAGGAATTGGCCCAGGCATTGGACATGACACGTCTTCCGGAGGCCGAGGAAATAGACGGGAGCCAAAACGATGTTCATAAACCTTTTCAAGGTTCCGGCCGATGCGCTTGGCAATATTCCAAGAAGTCGACAGCTCCCTGAAGATCTGGAAGAATAATGCGACAGCATCATGAGGATTCGAAGCAGGCGAAGTGTAAGAACCATCAATAGGCGGGTTCACACAACTCTCAACTTGAGCAGAACATAATCGCTCAATGATGACGAAAGCAGTAGAGAGAATACAATGAGTCGCAGTAATAGGACTGAGTCTGAAACTACCGAAGGTCTGTCTGTATTGCTGACTGAGATAGCACATGGCCCGGATAGAATTGCAGCTGGTTGAAAGCGCCCTTTGGGTTCTTGGGTCGTCGTTTGTTGTGTGATCTTGTTCTTCGTGGTGCTCTACATCGCTCTTTTCTTCTGAGGGGTGATTGATCATGAAGGGACGACAGAGCAGCAGGTGGGCTGTGTGATAAATCATGTACAGAGTGTAGATGTGGGGAAATTTGGAAGGGACCGATTGCTGGTTGATTTTTAGTTCGGAGGGAAGATCGTAGTGCCATGTTCTAAGCTGCAGAATGCAAGAGTCGAAAAATGCCGAACGTTGATTTGCGTGGAGTAGTGGCTTTGGCGACCATCTATACATTTGAGTCAGTACTGAATTCTTGAGCCGTTCAAAATCGAACAGTAACACGAGATACAACTGACAGTGATAGGAGGATTTTCTCAAGGATTCTGCATAGTTCAATCATCGCTCTGTGTAGCAGAACAACATCACGCTCGGAAGCGGCTCGAGGCTGTCCATTAGCGGCTGGTAGATGAATATCCAAACCGGATTCAATATCAGGAAGTTTAACTGCACCTTGAGAATCCTATAATTTGAGATCATATCAGCTGTGAAGTTGGAACCGAGAGGAAAGGGAGCAATACAAGGAGTGTGCAGACCCTGCCCGTGTAGCTTGCGGACAGTTTATCATGGCAGTACAAAGCCCAGTAAACCTTTCTTCGCAGCTCAATCTCATCAGTCGGAAGCGCAACTTTTCCTGTAAGTACAGCCGGATCCATGTTAAAGCCCATGTCAATAGCCAATCGATTAGCCATACCCTGGTGGAGCCATCCAGCAGCGTCAGATCCCGTTGCCTAGTGGTTAACCATATTAGCGATAGCACGCTATCATTGAGCACCAGTGAATACACACAATGTAGAACGTGCCCATGATGGCCAATCCCTGGATAGTAGTAATTGTAGGCCAGCGTAGATCATGCTGGAGCAAGTTCTCCGCCTTAGCCATGAAAGCCTTGCCAGCTGTATTTGCATCATTTGGTTCAGATCGTACTTCAAGCAGATCGCAATATCGAGATCCGAGTGCAAGAATGCAGTTGAGTAGGAATGGACTGCTGTATCGACCGCCACAGACCAAGCTGTCACGAAATAGCCGTTCACAAACGACCTGTACCCAAGGCTGTTCCCACTCGAAATACAAATCTATTAAATGAGCCTGAAGTTCATCGGAAACGGACATAGAGCTCCCAACTAAAACATCCGTGTCACAGACAGCAGTAGCAGGAGCAGAGGCATAATTATCAGAGGTATATCCCGTAGATGGCTCAGTTAAGCAAGTCACATCAGAAGAATCTATCCATCATCAGAACTCCTAGCTCAAGAAAACGTACAAGATACTCACTATCTGACGACCGAAATAGTAGCCTTCCGCTGGTGGGACCAAAGTAGCGAACCTCACCATCCTGATCAAAATTCAAGGATTCATCCAGAGTCAGTGCACCATCAAAGGTCACGCATAAATCATCCACATATGAAGCACCAGACGCACAGGGGTCTTGAGTTGGATTTAAATCTTCATTTTCAAGCATGAGCTGTGCAATGGCTGCATCTGCATCGATACCATGAGAGCGGAGCACACGTTCAAGGATATCAATCCTGTTGCGTAGCATTACTACATAAGACTTCGGAGCTGGTTGTCTTCCGTCCTCTGCGGTGGAATATTCACAGCGGATGCCACGATCAAAACACCGTGCACAGGATGGTCGTACTCCGTCACACTAAACCTTAGAACGTTATTTTAGCAAAGTGATTCAAAGTAATTGCACCTATCAATATCCATGGATTTGAAGCTAAGGCAGTGTTCAAATTTAGTATTCAATGCCATTTCAGTACTGACTTTTGCTCTGCGGTGACGGCATCCTTCACAAGCTCTCGAGGTATATTTTCTCGTCGGTCGCTTGCGCTTGGTAGAATCTTCAACCGGTGCTTTGAACATTTGGTAAATTAAAGATTTAAGGAAACAAATAGGAGCCTTGGAATTTTGGGATCAGTTGTCGCTCTATAACTTATTTCGGATATGGATTACTAATTTGATAACTAAACGCATGGCTCACTAAGCGACTATCTTATTAAGGGGTTATACCGGATTAGGTTAGATGATTGTAGTACAAGAATACTAAATGTCAAAGATAGATACATATCATGATATTGAGTAAAAATCGGCATGATATCATGAAATAAGCAATCAAATATACCCGTGCTGAATTACGAGCGTGAATTCAAATGTGAAGAAGTATGGAATTCTTATGAAGGAGCTGACCATGCCAACGCTAATGCCGGACTTCCATGGCAAATGGACGGGTTGAAACTAGAGATCACTTCAAATATCAACTCCCAAACTCAACACCACGATAGATATCATTGGTATAATGTAACAATCATCAGTGAAGTGGACAAGCTACAGAGATATGAGTTTGAATGCTGTGCTTTGGGAGTGAAAAATCCTTATCATGGCCTCCACAATCGCAAGCCTACAGAAGGACTGCCGCTCCGAAATCTATATTCAACAATTTGATTCCTCTGTTTCAGCCAATATTCTCACCTCTTCCATCGCTGTGAGGAGTGCGCCGCCAGTGGTGTGCGACTCGAGCACGCGCGCAAGTTTGGAGAGATCCGGCCGAATCAAACATTATACCTAGACAACGCCAATTCCCTGGCCAGATTGATCCCCTGGGTTTTGCCAACAGTCGCGGCCTCTCGACCACTTCAGTGAGTCTGCTGGCCCATGCCAAATTATACTGAATTTGCGTCTGGCTAATACCACTCCAAGTGGTGATTGAAAGACTGCTTTGGCACATTCTTGTCAAAATTCATTCATCTAGCAGGAGAAGCGAACATTTCAGCAACTCAGCGAAAGCAAGACCTTTTCAAGAAGCTGCCAAACTACCTTCGAGTGTCCATGATTAGCTCAGTCAACAAAATCAGCCATTTCAAAAGGAAGGTTCGAGGCGTCAAAATAGACTAGAAACTGAGCCAACTAAAATTGAAATCCGACCTGACAAAAACGATGCAGTGTGATATTTTCCCAGTAATGGTTCACCCAAATCAAACAGTTCGGCCAAATGATACAAGTTGGGTGGCAGTTCTGATCACCTGATTGGATTGAAGATATCCGACGCTCCTGGCCCTTCCAACCTCGGCATGCATCAAATCTTGTATCTTAATGGAAAGAATCAGGTGATTCAAACTTCCAAGGTTTCTTATTTTCTACGGGGTAGGAATAAATTAGATCCTGAAACACAGAGGCAAAACATTTTCAGGGCTGTGTGAGTGCGGTTGAACAAAGAACCCCGAGCAGCTAGCTGTCTAAAGAAAAAGGAACTGTTCGACTACTGGCCACGATGATGCAAGACCTCCAGGGCTAGAGAGAGTCAATAGTCAGGACTCTCAAATCAATGGACTTTCTAAGCCCCACTTATTGCCTACCTCAGTGACGACCATGAGATATGACAACATACCAAGAGCTTGGCCAATCTACACAGTACCTAGGCACAAATGATCTACTGAATCCCAATCTCTCTACCAATGAAATTATCAGAGATTTCACAGATGAAAAGTGCGACTCCTCAATTGGAATCGGTAACCTCGGTAAGATCAAGCAAACTTAGATTCAACAACAAATGTTGGCGAGCCGAAGTTTCCACGTAAAACATACTATCATTGTAATGGATCAATGATCATCATCACCCATTACTCGATCAAGCTATGGTACTCGACTGCCAAAATTGGTTCTTATATTCAAGAACAGATAAGCGGGGTTCCAAAATGCAGTGCCTTTGATATTAAGTCATACATATGCAGCCCTGGAGTGATTGGACAATGTATATGCGGAGAGTCGAAGTATAAAGTTTACTATAGTACTCGGGGAGTACTATAGTAGGTATTAGCTAGGTAGACTTGGATCATGGATGAAAATATAACATCGACATAGATATCTCAAAAAAGGGTCATTCTACTTGATAGGTATCTCAGAGTCTGGTAGAGACCATCAGATGACATACTCCGTAGATGGTAGACGGTAGACCCCGTTTCCCTTCAATTGGAACCTTGGATTACTTCTGATTTTAATCAAAATTGAGTTTGAGTTGAGCTGAAATAAGTGTGAGAATCTGAATATGTATCTGAGTAGTACCATTCTCCACTGCAACTCTTCTTACATATACCAGTAAGGGACAGTATATGAATGGTGGCGTTTGCGGGGCCGCAGCCAATGATGTCTAGCCTCCGTAATCATACCTTAGGTTTGAGATCCTATTCCCGTTCAGTAAGTAAGAGGGGAAATAGCAGAGAAGAGTTGAAAACTAAGTATGGTGGCGTCCGTGTAGTGTAGAGCTAGTGATGTTAGGTGCAGGCGGAAGGAGATCCCAATGGAGGATGATGAGGAAAATGAGGAAGATGACAGGGAATATTATTCTAGGCCTATGAAAGACTCGATACTGTCAAGGGCGGGTTTTGTTTCCCTTTTCTTCTAATTTATTTCTCTCCTTACTCCATGCTACATGTTTGTCTATTTCTATTCGGGTTAGTTTTGTTTCATAAATGACAAGGACTCTACTAGGAAAGAGTAACACAACACCTCTAACGTTAAACGGAATAAGTACTACTACTACTCTTAAAATGATATAATACCTTGTACTTATACTTTTGCTTCTAGAGTTTGATGCTTCTATGGGTCTATCTAGTCTATCTTTAAACGTGGTTACTACTTAGCTCCCCACTTATCGTGCCACAACCCCAATGTAATTCTGATTTCGTTTGAAATAAACAAGTTAAAATGAGATAGCATTCTAGAAGTATCCAAGTACCTATAACTAGAATTTATTCGGATAAGGATAACATCAAAAAGTGTGAAAAAAAGAAAAAGAAAAAAAAAAAAATAGAAAGTACGTTGGGCCACTCCATCCCCTCCAATCATCGATCACCCTCAACTCTCCACCCCCTCTCATCTTCTTCCTTCTTTCGACACCTTCCTCGTTTAACAAACATTTGGTTTCTCCCTCAAACTTGTTCTCTACTATTGCTCCCATATATTCTGGGTCAGCCTCTTGCTGGGGTTGACATTGACCGTCCTGCGCGTCCATTTTGTCGCGCCATTCCCCCTCCCCCCGCATACTCACATCCGTTACTCTCCGTCAACAACATTTTCGACGTGCCCAGCTCTTCCAAGTGACCGTCCACAGGATTGATTCCAACTGTTTGACCGCCATGGCCTGTTGATGTTACGGATGAATCCAGAACTCTTTACTTAGGAGCGCCCGCTCTGCCTAAGCAGACGGTTCGGCTTGGATCTTTATCGTCAAATAACCTCTGCTTCATCTCATACCTTATTTTGTACGGTATCAGCCCGTGCGGTCTCGTGTCTCCTTTTTCTTATTGCCCCTCTACTCCACTTTGTTTTAGGTGCTAGTTATTCGATTTGGTTGACTAAGACAGCATGTCGCATAATGCCTTTCCAAACCCCCAATTCCTCGCGCCTCCTGCCGTTACGGCCTTACGGCAGGAGGCCCGGAATATCAACCCGAAACTGACAAGATCGCCGAGTGAGAATATCCGAGAGGAGAGGGAGGATTTGAAGGAGGCTGCGGAACAGACCCTGAACGTTATCGTGGATCTGGATCTCGAGGGTCGCATTAAATGGGTCAGCCCTTCATGGCGGCAAGTGGTCGGCACACCACCGAAGTCGGTTGAGGGTCGCATGATCTCAGAGATTCTCCTTGATAACAAGGATGTCTTTCGAGATGCAATAGATGCCATGGTTGAGGATGATTCGCGCAGTCGGTTCATCCGCCTCGCGGTGCAGATGGGACCGGACTCGGTTCTAAAATATGCACCCGAACCACAGCCGATCGACTCAGCGGGTGGAAATGAGGAGGCATTTGAAAATACGGAGGAGGCTTCGCAAAGCGAGGACAAAGGCGTACTTGAAGACGGGGTGAAGCAGGATGTGCTCAACATGGAGGGACAGGGCATCATGGTGTATGATCGTACGGACAATGAGACAGGTCACGTATGTTTCTGAAAATCCTTTATCTGACTTGTTTGATTTTTACATACTGACTTCGATATGAATCTAGTCGATGTGGATGTTGCGACCACTTACTGAACCGAGAGAAGTCACAATTGACCTTCCGCCCCTGCTAGTGGAGTCCTTGGGCGTTGGCGCGGAAGTGCTAGCAAACTACTTGACCACACTGGCTGAAGCTGCGGCGAACGAGCCCGACCCATCGAAACACCCTGCGCCTACACCGGTACTTTGTCGCATCTGTGAACGCCAAATCACACCCTGGTGGTTCGAGAAGCATTCAGACCTATGTTTACAAGAACATCGAGCGGAGATGGACGTGCAGATTTCTCAAGAAACTCTTAACGAGCATCGACATGCAATTGTGAGGGTTCTGGACGCTCTGGAGGCTCGACAGGGAAGACCGTTGATCGGCCCCGATGGCAATGTCCTGTCGGCTCCCCAGTCGGAGTACAAAGGGTTGCCCATCGGACCTTCTCCTGCCAGCTCGGCGCCATCAAACGGGTCTGCCTTGGGCGAAAACTCGACACCAGGAACCCCACCACGTTCGCGAGATCATTCGGCATCAGGAAGTGTGTTAGGTCGCCCTCGTTCCTTTACTGTCCGAAGACCTTTGGCCCGTATCGTTGAGCTGGTGCTCGACTTGTGCGATACGGCTCTTGAAATTAGCATGCCAGTGATCAAGGAGTCCTTGCGCCCGGAGAATGAGGAAGATTTCCGTACATTATCGCCACAATCTGAATCGCGAATCTCCCAAGTGATTCAGTGGCAATCTCCTAGCTCCAACACTCTGGAGCAAGAACAAGGACTAGCTGCGCTGGCACGTGATACTGAGCAGATAGCGAAAGCCAAAGCCGATGCAGTAGTCCGTCATCGGAAAATTGTGGAGTACGCGGAGAGAATTCGTATCGAATACACAGTCTTGGTGGAGGAGTGTATATCCGCGGCTCTCAGCAAAGCAGAACGCATCGCTGCTGGCCAGCTAAGTGATTCCTCATGCTCATCGGAGGATGAACTTGCTCGAGAGACCGGACTTGAAGGCGACGGTGGGTTCGATCTTGCTGGAGAAGACTCCTACCCATCACAGCCATCCAGTCAGGAATGCCTCGTGGTACCGCAGCAGCAGTTTCAACCTGCCGTACCTACGCCTCTAAAACTTACCTCTGCATTAACTATGTCCATGCGCAACTCTCCGGACCGGTCACTTATAAGCCAAGGTCCACTCGAGCGCAGGTCATCCTCTGTCGCTGTGTCAACCGCATCTAACAGCCCCAGCCCCATGGAATGCCCTACCCCTCGGTCGTATAAAAATGCCTCGGGACTTCTTGGCACCTCACAGCCCCGACGAGGCCTATCACTTATGGATATCGACGCGGGGGACAGTAGCGATAGCAGCATGCCCTCGTCCGCCTTTGCGGGTGCGATGAGAACAGATTCGCCTTCTTCCGAGCGAAGCTTTGAGCGGAAGCGGAGGAGCCTCGTGCTTCCAGGGCTGTCTAGTTCACCGCGTCGACAACCTTCCCCTGCTCGTATATCTGGGCCACACTCCCCCTTACGCATGTCGAAACCTCGGCTTTCTCATGGTGCAGAGAGCCTGCCGTCCCCGATAGTATCCCCCTCGGCATATGCCAGCGAATTAGCCCATAACTATCGTCATCACCGTCGCCGGTCTTCGGCCACCTCTTCAGATATAGCGAAGCCACCTCCCTCTCCCCGCCTGCCATCAGTCAGCCAGCAACCTCGACCGGCTCCACCGTCTATCAAAGATTTTGAAATCATCAAGCCGATCAGCAAAGGCGCCTTCGGTAGTGTTTACTTGTCTAAGAAAAAGTCCACAGGCGAGTACTATGCCATCAAGGTCCTCAAGAAGGCAGATATGATTGCCAAAAATCAGGTCACAAATGTGAAAGCTGAGCGGGCGATCATGATGTGGCAAGGAGAGAGTGATTTTGTCGCCAAACTCTACTGGACCTTCTCCAGCAAGGAATATCTCTATCTGGTTATGGAGTATTTGAATGGCGGCGATTGTGCCTCTCTCGTCAAGATCCTCGGTGGTCTGCCCGAAGACTGGGCTAAGAAATACATCGCTGAAGTAATTCTTGGCGTTGAGCACCTTCACCATAGAGGAATCGTTCACCGTGATCTGAAACCTGACAACCTTCTCATCGACCAGACCGGTCATTTGAAATTGACTGATTTTGGTCTCTCCCGTATGGGTTTGGTAGGACGTCAGAAGCGTGTCTTGAAGAGCCCCAATGAGTCGGCTCCTGATCTTCTCAAACAAGGGCCATTCCCTCGTGCTATCTCCGTTACCTCCTCTCGCTCGGCATCCTTTGATTTCCAAGCTGCGACATCTCCAGGGTCCACCCCTTTGATCACTCCAGCAGAAGTTTCCACGAGCGTCAACCAACCTTCCTATTTCAATCTCAACCAGTCTTCGAGTCTGAGTCGTCAAAGTTCTCGCAGAGCATCGGGCTATCGTAGCGACAGCCTGGGCAGTGACAGCTTTACTGGCTTGTTCCGATCCTTTGCGCTCAACGACAATGAACCCACTGCTCCATCACCCGGCGTGCTTTCAACCAGTCTAGCGGAAGAGGAAGTTCACGACTTAACTGATTCTCCCATATTGTATCCCCTACAGCACACATTCAGCAATCCTATGACCCAAAATACTCCTCCACAGCCGAACATGCTACCTCCAGTCTTGGCACTTTTCGACCCAGAAGACCACAACCGACGGTTCGTTGGAACACCTGACTATCTGGCTCCGGAAACCATCAATGGTGTTGGGCAGGACGAGATCAGCGATTGGTGGTCCTTGGGATGTATTATGTTTGAATTCATCTTTGGATACCCACCCTTCAACGCCGACACGCCGGATGAAGTGTTTGAGAACATTCTTCGTCGCAGAATCAATTGGCCAGAAGATCCCGAAGAGCTCACCACTCCAGAGGCCATGGATCTTATCAACAGGCTCCTGACTATTGACCCTCGTCAACGTATTGGGGCAAATGTAGAGGAGAAGTTCCCAAGTGGCGGAGCTGAAATTCGGAGCCATCCCTGGTTTTCGGACATCCATTGGGATACACTCTTGGAGGATAAGGCAGAGTTTGTTCCCCAATTGGAAAATCCCGAGGATACTGAGTACTTTGATGGTCGTGGTGCCACCCTCCAGGCGTTTGAAGAGGAGATGGAAGATGAACCTTCACCGCAACCACCGTCTACGACAGGGTCTTCGGATCGACCCCATGATGCGCTGTTCAAGGTGCGCTCTCAGGTCAATGCCACAAAGCGGCCATTAATGCCGTTGCACATTCCGCCCCATGTACGCGACGCGCGTGATTCCCGGAGTCGGAGGTTGAGCGAACCGTCGCTGGCCGATGATTTTGGCAGTTTCAACTTCAAAAATCTGCCAATGCTGGAAAAGGCCAACAAGGACGTAATACAGAAAATGCGCCAAGAGGCTATGCAGGCGCCGCACCGCCATTCGTCAACATCGTCCACGTCGAGTGGTGGTGCACCGGCACCGCAAGCCAATGCCCAGCCAGCACTTGAAGGAAGCCCTATGCCAATGTCAATATCGCGTGCCTGGTCACAGAACAAGGGCAATAATGGTAGACCCTCGTCTCCATCAAGCCAGGCGGCCTCATCTCCCAGTAGGCCCTCGCAACCATCATCCCCGCTACTGGTCCAGTTCAGCACAGGCGCTAATCATGAACGACGAAAAACGTCTGGTTCCTCTTCCAATGCATCACACCAGTCCAGCGGTACATTCCAGCCATCTTCTCTGGAACAACCGCGGATGCCCAACTTCCGACTTGGGTCGGTGGCGTCCTCTCCTGTCAAGACTAGTCGCATGCCTGCCCATTCACCAGACAAACACCCTTCGAGTCAACGTCATGGCAGTGCTCCCGCTAGTCGAACTCGATCCCAGACCATAGGCTCTCAAGATGGTACAGATCTTTCTACGTTTACAAAAGAAGCTTTCGTGCCTACACACCATAAGCGTCGCAGCCAGCTATACGACATCTCTCCCTCATCTTCCGACAACGAGGACCCCCGCACCAAGGCGCTACTCAAAGTCCAGCGGCGGCGACTCAGCACTCGCCGGATGTCCCAAGTGAACCATCCCGACGGGCCATTCTTCCGCCCACTGGACATTCTCATTTGTGAAGATCACCCTGTGTCCCGACTGGTAATGGAACGTCTTTTTGAAAAGCTTCGCTGCCGCACCATTACTGTTACCAACGGTGCTGAAGCCGTGCGATTTGCTCTGAGTGAAGTCCAGTTTGATATAATCATGACCGAGTACAAACTACCTCAGGTAAATGGTGCTGATCTTGCACGCATGGTTCGAGAGACCCGGAGTGCCAACCGCCATACACCGATCATCGCAGTGACTGGCTACTTGAAAGAGTTCCCTGAGACCCATTACCTCGACGCGCTCATCGAGAAACCCCCAACTTTGTCCAAGCTCACCGAGGCCCTATGCAAGTGGTGTATGTGGAAGCCACCGCCGAAGGACTATAATCCGTCCCTGCTTTACAATCCGCCTCATTCCATCCCCGTGCCTATGCCTAGTAGTCGTCAGAGCCGGCCCAACGACGATAGCCCGAGCTCAGTATCCTCTGGTTTCGTACCAAACCCTCCCAGTTCCTACCGTGACTCTAGTCGAGAAGACTCTGTCAGCAGTAGCGTGTTCGGAGATATGGAGTCCATCAAATCCGACGAAATCCCCGTCATTATTAGTCGCAGCCATGATGATTGGGAGCAGGGTCACGGTGGATTGGGAATCTCTGAGGCAGCACACTCTAATTCCGAGCCCAAACCCGTTCCTCAACTCCTTCATGCCGTCTCGGCACCTGCCGCAATGGATTTAAACGGAGGTATGACTCCCCGCAAGCAACGGTCTAGTGAATCGATTCGTGCCAAGCGCGAATCGCTGGAGCGGAAGCGTTACGAGGGCGCTGAATCAGGAGACGACGAGGATGAAGAGCTTGGAAATTCCCAGTCTCGTCGCAGTCCACCGGTGCGTAATCGCCGTCCTGGCTCCAAACTTGGTATTGAGATGATGCGTACCAACAGTCGAGGCAGCGTGGTCAGTGGTAGCGAAGAGCTCCTCCAAAAGGAGAGGGAGGCACTTCGTAATGCGGTTAACGATTACGCCTCTACCGATGATGACGGGCCTCTAGGGTCTCCATCCAGCGTCAGTCTCGAGGAACACATGGAAGGGCTTTGCATATTAGAGGAGTCAGAAAATGATGAGCAGTCCATCAGCCGCCGAGAATCACCCTCACCAGAGAGCGCATCTCGACGACAACGTTCTTCTCTTCCTGGACCTTCCCACACCAGCCCTCGTCGATTGAAGTTCAGTCAGTCTACTGCTCGGGAGAAGCACCACGGCATGAACGCACCCATCACCCCCGAGCTGAAATTCACGGCAGACCCTTCTACAGACTCCAGTTCTGGCATTGAAATCGATGCCAGCCCCACGCCGGAGGACTCCGAATCTACACCACGTCCTTTCCATCCATCGCCCGACCTGGAATCTGAGGAAACACCACGTCCAGATCGGTATCGTGACTTATCCAGACTCAAACGATAAGGCAGATACTGACAATCCCAACCTAAAAAGCCCGTTCCCTTTATATGCCTTTTTTTCCACCACATAGTTTGCATCTTTGATGTTACTTTCCTCCTTCTTACCATTGTGTGAACCTCTTACCTTTCCTCTACTTTTCCACTCTTTTCTTCTTTTTTAGCTTCTCGCCACTGTCCAGCGGAAATATTCCTTCTTCACGTCTCTTATGTTTTTATTTTCCATCTCTTATCGGAGCCAGGAGTTCAGGCTGAATATTCTCCATGCTCTGTATTGTCTATTATTCCTAGGAATATATTTTTTTTAAGTGAGACAAAACCAAGATCACCATTTTATTCCTATAACGAAAATATACTCCGCATATAGTCCGTGCATTCAATGCATTATCGCGCCCGCAAACTAGTGAACTAGTGTTGGCTAAAATAGTTAGTGATGGCCGATCGTGAGATCTAACAGTTGCTCTGTACAGTATTCCCAAGTAAATCCCTATTGTGATCTACCACCTGAAGGATTAAATGACAGGAAAAGCCATTAGGCTAATCACGACCCACGCGGGAGATGAGAGACGGTCTAGAATTGAGATATTGGGATATACGTAAGTACCAAGAGCATTATGAAGTTGGTGGCGTTTTCTAGGCGTTGAAGTTGGCGGACTGAGTGGATTTAAGTGGATAGATAATACTATCTAAGGTCCTTATACCCTATGAATGGTCAGCATTGTATTCTTTTAGCTTTGCCTTTTTGCAATACGCCACCGAACCTGTCCCTGTCCCTGAGTGTGTTATGTTATTGTATTACTGTTTCATCTTTTATATACTCCCGCTCCTATCCCGTTCGTAATCACTTCTATTCCATCTGTTCGTCCGCTCTTCTCTCTTTATTTCTACTTCAATTTCTATTTCCTTTCTCTTTTCTATTTCTACTTGGATTTTCGTCTTTCCCGATCCTGATCTCTCTATTTTTTGACCGTAAAACTCCTGGACCCACAGGATCCACTGCGTTTCACTTTTTCTAGATCTTCCCTGTTCTCTCTCTCTTCCTCTCTTTATTTCTTCCTCTCGTCATTGTCTCTTTACTCTTTTTTACCTTCTATATTCTGTCTTCTTGTCCTCTTTTTCAGTCTTTTCCTCGCTGTTTTGGCTTGCTTCAGCTGATGGTACACATTTCACCTCCACACTCTACATACCCGCTTTATCTCCACCATGACCTCCCCAGTGGATCAAACCTTTGAATTAGACAATAGAGACAGGGACAATGAGCACTCACCAAACTCGGACAATGGAACCTTTGTCACAAACGAAACCAGACCAGCAAATTTTTTCAAACTCGACACCTCATACCGAGACACAGATGGCCCTCCGTCAATGCGAACACCCTCAGCACGTCGCGAAGAAGCAACCCGTCTCGACGATGATCTACTCTTATTGCAAGCCGAGCGCGTAGCATCACGTTCAACTCAAGCCGCCGAAGAAGGTGAACATATCTCAATAAGTCGCTCACGTTCACGATCGCATCGCAGAGAGCCCGTTGACGAGTTCGACGAGGCTACAAACCCTCTTCATGAAAAGGCTGCTCTTTACAAGCCACCCGAGAAACCCAATACCAAGCTGTCGGCCTTTGTGAAGAAGATTCATCAGTCTAGTTTTATCATTCGCTATTTCACTTACATCGCCCCTATCGTTTTGCTTCTGCTTATTCCCTTGCTTGTCGGAGCTCTCAAATTTAAGAATGCCTCTGTTGGCGGAGTGAGGCTGGTGTGGTTTTCAATCTGGTTGGAAATTGTCTGGTTGACTCTATGGGCTGGTCGAGTAAGTATAAACATTGATGACTAAAGACAATCAACAATGCTAACAGCTTCTAGATCGTCGGCAAATGTCTTCCTCCCGTCGTCGGTGTTCTGGCTAGTATTTTCACCAACAACGCGAAGAAATGGCGCGATATGGCGCGGCAGCTCGAACTGCACGCTGCTCTGTTCTTCTGGTGGTTAGGCGTCGAGATCTCCTTTTTGCCGACAATGAAGAATCACCACGTGGACGGCAACACGGACACTCGCAGCTGGGAATCCACTCTTAACAAGATCATCATCGTTATCTTCGTCTGGACCATCCTGAACCTGATCGAAAAGGTCATTATCCAGCTCATCGCTATCAGTTTCCACCTCCGTACCTACGCCGATCGCATTGAGATCAATAAATTCCAGATCGGAAGTTTGACGAAGCTGTACGATTGGTCCCGAGCCCGCATCGAAGAATCCGACGAAGCATTCCAAGAAGTGGCTGCAAATAATGCTCCGTCGGGTACCCGCACTCCTCTGCAGTTTGCGGACAAGGCACATAAAAAGGCCAAGGGTGCTCTGAGCAAAGTCGGCCACAAGGTGGGCGATGTGGCTGGCGCGGTCGCTGCTGATTTCACTGGTCGCAGGGCAACCCGAAGCAGTGATCCGTACCAGGTCGTTCTCAGTTTGCTTCGCAGTACTTCTGGATGCCAAGTCTTAGCGCGTCGTCTATATCGTACCTTTGTTCGTGACGGGTTTGAAACTGTATTTTCCGGTGATCTGAAGGAAGCCTTCGATAATAGCGATGAGGCCGAGGCCGCGTTCACCATGTTCGATCGGGATATGAATGGTGATATTTCCATGGAGGAGCTAGAGGCTGTGTGTGTTGATATCGGTCGGGAACGCAAGTCGATCACTGCTTCGCTCAAGGATCTGGACTCTGTCGTGTCGAAACTTGATGATATTTTCATGTTCTTCGTCATTGTTGTTGTCATCATCGTGTTCCTGTCCCTGATCTCGACTTCCGCCGCCGGTGTTCTTACCTCTGCTGGATCTAGCATCCTCGCCCTGTCCTGGTTGTTTTCGGCCACAGCCCAAGAGTTCCTGCAATCCGTGATTTTCGTCTTTGTCAAGCATCCATTTGACGTCGGTGACCGCGTGACCGTGTACGGTAACTCTGGTGATACCGGCCTAGGCGATGACTACTTCGTCAAGGAAATTACTCTTCTCTACACCGAGTTCAAGAAGATGCAAGGCCACATGGTGCAGGCACCAAACAGCTACCTGAACGGTCTTTTCATTCTGAACCAGCGCCGCTCCGGCGCCCTGGCCGAGGCCGTGCCAATCATCATCAAATACGGTACTACCATCGAGCAGCTGGATAGCCTGCGCCAGCGTCTCCTAGAGTTTGTGCGCAGCGAGAACCGTGATTACCAAGGCAACCTCCTGACCGAAATGCGCGAAGTGACCGAGAACTTCTCCCTCACCCTGAACGTCGTCTTCTTCTACAAATCAAACTGGCAGAACGAGGGTCTCCGTATGCAACGCCGTAACAAGTTCATCTGCATGCTCATGATCGCTCTGCAAGAGATTGGAATCGAGGGCCCACGCATGAACCTGCAAGGCGCCACGCACGACTTCCCAGTCCACGTCAGCTATGGCCAAAACATGGCCGGCCCACCCCTAAAGCACAAGGACTCGCACGAGATCGAAGAACTGGACGCGAACACCTCAACCCCCCTTACAGAAAAAAGTTCCATGCGCACCCACCCCTCCATTCTCCGTAAGGGCATGAACGTCGCAGCCGCCCGCGCCCGCGGCGAATCCTTCTCCCGCAAACACGTCGACTTCTCCCTAGGCATGTCGAACCTGTCGTCAGGTGATGTAATGGGCGACGTCTTCGAAGACAATGGCCCGCGCATGAACGACGTTGTCCGAACTGTGAACCGCGAAAATGCCGAGCGCCGCATGCAGGAAATCCTCATGGAGCAAGAGGAGGAAGAAGCGCGCAGCCAGTCGTCTTCGCGCAAACCCTCCAACTCACATCATAGCGCCTCTACTGGTCATGAACCTCGCAACTCAATAGACGCAAATAGCTTCCGCAGTGGCGCATCGTCTGTGACTAGGAATAGATTCTTCCGTCACCGTAGTAGTCTTAGTCGCGACGCGGATGATATTATGGAGCAGGGACGTGTTGGCACACCGCCGCCTGCTGCTATGTCTGATCGTAATCGTTGATCGATTTACGCTTCTTTCACACTGGACTCTCTATACTTTTCTTTCTAGACTTTTCTCTCTTTTATATTCCCATATTTCGCATCCAATATTCCCTCCCCATGTCTGAACTTGCGACCACTCCCTTTGCATTTTAGCTGGATTCTTTTTTTGACCTGCTCGTGTCAACTTTCATTATATCCATAATGTTAAAAAATCATTCAAATATTACTCGTTTCATCAAACCTGCCTTCACTATAGAAAAGATCGCGTAGTACAGTTGATCCCTAACTTCCCTACCTAGCCACTTACTACCTACCAATGCAACCCGCAAACCAAGCCAATTCCTCAGGAATTCAACGACCTGTCGAACCTCGAACAACAACGAACAATGTTCAATTTTCAAGCGATAGAGGTTCATTTCGAACCTTGAATCTATGGCTGATAAGACGGCTATACCTATATGGAGTTGGCTATATACTCCCGAGTCCTGTTCATCTATGCAGGGTATATTTTTACCTGTCAAATAGAAATTGAGGTTTGGGTCATTATTGCGCTATCAAAAGCACGGAGCATCTCATCTCATCTCATCTCATCTCATCTTGACGATCACGATCAACAGTCGGCGATCGATGATCGATGATCAATCTGCCCAGGTGGATAGCAAGGTTGAAGTAGCAACGATCTACGGTTGTCTAGAACATTGAAGCAAATATAGAAACAGATTTCTAATGTTCTAGCCTTTTTTATAGATCTATCTTCACCCCACTTATATACTAACAGTCTCAATATCTTCTACCTATCTTCCAGCCATGAAGGGTTGTAATAGATCTGTACCTGATCGAGCACCAGTTAATGAAAAGCAGCAAATTGATATAAAATATATCTGAGAAACGGGAAGATATGTAACAACTCGAGGGCTCGAAGCTACATGTCGACACCTGGGCATAGACTGTTTATAGCAGTCCTAGAACTACTGCAGTACTTAAATATACAATATTAGCTAGGTATAGTTTAAATGTGGTTATCGAATAGTTACCGATATAGCTGCTAGTTAGTATAGCTATAAAGACAATTAGCGATATAGTTTCAGGTGATATACGTAGCTTTATAAACAATAGTCAGCAATGGTGTCAGAAACAGCTACACTGGTATCGGCCAAATATAAAACCGCTCCAACAATACCGTCAATTTAACCCCCACAACCTAATTTTAAAGTAAGAATAGGCTTACACTAGTTAAAGGGCTTAAGATGATTGTAAAGGCGGCACTGTTTAAAACTGACAACGTTGCAAACTATGACACCATACTATATATGACTCTGGTTTATTAGTACAGCAGTTCAGTAACCATTATCGTCCATACTAGTGTGACAGGTAGATATCTTCCAACATTGTCACATAATAGTCAAAGACGGCTCCAATGTTGTAAAAGACCCCATTTCCCTATGTGGAAATAATAACCTTGAAGCTTCCTTCAGCCCCCATCTGCCCCCGAGGATTGGGGTAGGGTCCAGATGAAAAGTTTTTATGCGACAACGTTAGAATGTTATATATTCTTTGTCTCTGTCCCGATATCAAGTTAGAACCTACAAGTTGATTTAGTTTTTTTTGGATATGCAGCAGCAGCATCAGACACATTCAAGGTAACAGGTTGGTGATCATCTAGAATCCCAAATAAGCTAACGACGTGTTATGCTCAGATGCTTCTATCATATTCAACCATTTTCCTGGCTGTATACATCCAATCCCAAGTCTTTAATGTCGCGGCTTTGATTATACCTGATCATGCCTTAGAGAATAACACTCTCTACGATGAAGAAAAGCCCTCAGACAGCCATCTTTTCGCACGAGATGACCCAGTGACTTTTTTTCACCAGTATCCCGCGAATGATGAAATGAAATTCATATCGCAGCCTCTTGGAACAGACTTAGATCAGCTTAAAGATTACGTTTTTTTGAGTCCTGCCGGAGCTGGCGTCACAGTATATGTCCATGACAGTGGCATCAATCTCCGACACAATGAGTTTACAACAGCATCCAAAAATTTACCGAAGGCCAACGTTGGGTGGCTATACCCCTCTAGGCCAGATCTCAACGTTGAACCAACCACAGATCCCACTGGGCACGGAACCTGTGTCGCAGATAAGGTGGTAGGCCATAAATTTGGAGTGGCTAAGAAGGCTAATCTCCTGATGGTGCCGTGGATTGATCTTGCAGACTTTGACTGGATGAAAGCAGGGTTGAGAGCTATCATCGATGATATCAAAGCGAAGAGGGCAAAAGACCCGGATTTTTTGGCAGTTGTGAACTTCAGCTACAAATTTGGAAATACAGTAGCTCTACGCGACAAAGTAGAGGCCTGCCGAGCTCTATATAAGGAGATTTACGACTTGGACGTTGTGATGGTATTTGCTGCAGGGAATAGCGGAGACTATGGCAAGACTGAACTGAAGCATTATCCTGCGCTCTTTACGAAAGACTTCCCGAATGCTATTGTGGTTGGGTCAGTCGATATTAATGGTTACCCATCGAAGTTCACTGAGGGTGGACCACTGGTGCATATCTCGGCCCCAGGAGCAACCGACAGCGAAAATGGAATTGAGTGTGCTCAAGGGACAGGAAGGTCTGCTACATGGCGTCCAGAAGGCACTTCTATTGCTGCACCAACTATTTCTGGATTTGCAGCATATTTGCTATCAATTGAGCCCGCGTTACGAAAGCAGGGATCCGTGGCAAAGAACGTGAAAGCAAGAATTCTCAAACTGGGCTATATACGTGCAGTTGGGGCTTTAAAGGGTGTACCACCTATGCCTGCTATTTGGAACGGGCTAGAAGGAGCACCAGCATGCTAAAGATTGAAATTGACAATTTTTACCTTGGAAGTTCATATTACCAGTAAATCTAAAGAACAGGGGAACGAGTAGTTCCACGGCCTTCTAAGGGATTTATAACGCGATCCCTTTTCAATTGGCCTTTTGGTATTATTCAACCACCAGCGCACATTGAACTGCCGATAAAAGCATTGAGGTCTTTGTTCTCTCATTGACAAGGCAACTTATCGCCCTCCTATCATGGATAATGGCTCCTCCGATCGGCATTTAACAGCAAGATTGGAGATTGTGGTATATATTCATCTAGTGCCCAGGCTAAAAATAAAGTGCTCCTAGGACCTTGCACCTGAGACAACCTTTGGAAGGATGCATAGGCCAATCAAATAAGTGGCGCAGCGGTATTACCCCTGAATAAAGAGTGGGATGAACGGCCATTTAAGTGAGACCCGAAATTTATTGATGGGAATTTTGATTGGCTGCTCACTGGCTACTTAAGGGTATCTATCGAGCACTTACACTGATTCCGGCACATCAAGATCCCCTCAATCTCCTGCTTTCAGACACAATCAGGCTTGGAATGTTGAAGGTACAGACCGCGGCTTCACTACTTGTGCTTGTGCCTGAGAACAACTCGATGTTAACCAAATCCTCGATCGAGCTCTTCAAAAAGTTTGATGGACTTTCGTCATCGGCCGGCGGAGCAGGAGCCTTGAGAAACACTAGTCAAGGATGATGTAAGGAATGGCCCAATGATCTCAGCGGATATGTTAGGGAATTCGGAGATCACTTGGTACACAAATCAGTCATATGGAGCATGCGATTGGTCGTCACCTAGGCAAAATTGTAATCCAAATATCTCTTCTTTGGTGACTGGCATATACTATTGTTTTTTTCATTGCGTAGCAAGCAAGACTAGGCTCTTTATAAATCCGTCTAATGAAAACGCGTCCTTGCATCTCTATTGTGTAGCTAGGTTGGGTGGCTTCCTAAGCCCGGACATGCGAGATGATAATGTTATACTTGTGGTTTTGGCAGAATGTTGTTTTAAAGTTGCAGAATTCGACTAAGTATATTACGATGCCTTGGTATCGAACTCGCAGGCCACCCGCTACGTGGCGAAATTCATGATTCAAACAGGTCTCCTCGGGCAGTTTAGACAGATAGATGCTAGATCTGACTCTGAAGCAGACCCTGAATCAGACGAAGACCCAGGCTAGAGGGGACTACGACAACTGGCTACGAATGGCGCAGCGTGGTGAAGACGCTGGGTATCAGGAACGACAATACCGCGGCCTACCGAGAGGCCAAGGACGAATACATCGACAACTTCAACGAACAACAAAAGGACCGAAACGAGGGGAGGAGGGTGCTATGAAGGGGGAGAGGGGAATTGAAGGAAGTGGGCTACTGTGGGAGAGCTACGGGTTACTATGCATGGAGGGCATTTTGGTTTAAAGAGAGATTTCGGTTTATGATGGCATGACGCCATATTTCCTTTGTATCTACTATCTTGACATTCTGGCGTTTGGAATACTCTCGTTTCCGCCGGAGGAAACACCTGCATAGCCATACGCTACTAGTTAGGCTGCATCAGGTTAATAGAGTATTGATTGATTGATTGATCGACTAAGTATACCTGCCTTATTGTCTCTTTGTATATAAGTCTATTGACAAGACATCTCATACCAGGTGCCTTGGGCACGCAAGTCATAGCCTAGCTCAATGCATATAGAAATGGGTTAGTTCGTTGATATCTGGGAAGAAAAAACATCCACCCCCTGTATCTCGCAATGTCGGTGAAGCTTGGATTTGATATAAGGCGCCTGGCCTGGGCTATGGCCAACGCCGAATCGTCATGTCGGTCAAAGTATTAGATGATATAGAACAGCCCAATTTGTGGAGAGAATCTCAAGGACAATGGGACCATCGACACTCGTTGGTGGAAAATGTGGAAATGCTTGCAGGCTGAGGACGCATACAGAACCCAGATAATGCGAACAAACAAAAGCGAGCTAGCCAAGCTAAGCAAGTGAGCGGGAGTTTCTTATTTCTGAATCGTTTTGCGGGCGTTGCGCAGTAAGTGATCTACGAGGATCTCTGTGGTGCGTGAATGAGATTGTGATATGAAGATGATGTCTCAGACTAAGACCTAACGGGAAAATACAGGCAACATTCGTAACAGTGGACCCCTACTGAGTCGACAAGAGCTGGTGTTGGACTAGTATGCATTGATCTTGAGCGATCGAGGGGCCCAAAGTAGGTCGTATGTTTCACCCTCTATGAATGGTAGAGCGATCGTGCGTAATGCGAGAAGAACAGATTATCGACGTAGTTACATGTTATTCTATTAGTTCCCCGAAGTCCACATCTCGAACAACGCTCCATATGGCTTTCAGAATGGTATGACTGAGTCATCTTCCCAATTGAAGGCCTGATTTTCCCTAAAGTATCTGGGATAAAAAGGTGAAGTATTACTTTGGTTGGCATCTTCTTCCCAACTGCTGCTGTCCACGCATCGAGATTCCCAATCACTACCACCATCTTCTGCGCACGGCTGACAACGACATTTAGTTGCTCTTTATCAGCCAAAAATCTAACAGAATCTAGATCCCTATCTGGGTTATATAGAGGATCACGATTGGTGCCTCTTTGACCCTGTGTAGCTTCCACACTCAGGTATTTTGGACAAGGTCAATATCCTTGAGCACATCCAAAATCACCATTTTTGTGCCTTGTATAGACTGATATCAGATCATCACGTCTGTATCAAGAAGAATTTCTTAGTAAGGTGCCGCGACTAGTATCTCACCATACACTATCCAATTTCGAAATTGAGAATCTTTGGATAGTCCTGGTAGTTTTGACTGATGAGGATTGATGGAATTCCAGCCTCGAAGACGTGCCATCAACATCTCTTCAGGTACTATGCCCCCTCTTCCTCGCTACCTTATGAGATCACCGCTGGCAGAAGCTGATCAGACTTGTTGATAAGAATGATCGCATGAAGTGACTGGATATTACAGGTCATGGCAATCATATTGCCGCCCTCTAGGTATCGGCCGTGTTAGCGATATGTGGAATCGACTCTGCTACCGGATTTTGAAGGCACTGGGGTGAACAATTTCATAACTGGAAGTATCAAGAAATAGGTCACAGTACAGCAAGGGATTATATACAACTGGCTGAAACCAGCAGGTTTGTTGTGGCCCACTGACTTTTATATACAGCTGGCCGTAAATTATCACATCAAGCCTGAAAGTTCGACCGGAACCTGCTTGCATAGTTACTCAACGTGGCTGCAATGACACAAGTTAAAATTACCATACGGACCTTTAGTGACCAAAGCTTTAAAGCCAGGCTAAGAAACCTAGGTCGCAAAATGCTTGTGGCATACTGCTGAGGTCTCCTGAGGTCCATGAATGGCCGGCTCAACCAGAGAAATGACCTCTGCCTTCACATGCCGATTTATCGACAGGACTTACATTATAGTCCTAGATAGCTCATTGCTAGACATCACGGGCAGCTCACCTTCCAACGAGGTTATATTAAGTACCTCCTTTGAAAATATTTCATGTCTCAAACATGGCGGTCTCTGATTCACAAAGTCCACTCTTGGGCGTGACTTTCGACATTGTTGCACCGAATCTCAGGATCAATAGGTTAACCACGTTTTGGTCTCCCAGGTACGGGTTATTCAGGTATAGTTTTCTCAGGTAGAGTGGCGGGAAGCATGAAGTCCAATATGAGGGGGTGTAATGCTAGACAAAACCTGACTTGCTTCGAGCCGTTTCTTCTTCGCCGTCCTGCTTCGTTCATAGCATCGAGGAACTTCTTGACAGTATGAAAAGTGATCAACCATGGAATAGCCCTGAGTGTTCGTCACATGCGACGGGCATACTCGGATAGTCCACTTATGGGAGTAATTTTCAACATTTTGCCTATGATCGGGAGATTCCTAGGTAGGTTGGTCCTAGTACGGGCTCCCATATACCATGGGTATCACTCAAGTTACTAACTCTCGAGCGTGGAAAATCGTGGACGTTTGTTTTCTTCATTCAGACTTTTCAGGCCTTTGATGTGGGCTTTCCACCTTCTATTGAAGTCTCTTCATCGTTTCCGCCATTTTCCTGCATCAGCAAAAATCAGATGCCCATACTGGTATTCCAGGGTACTCGTGGTATTCTGAATGGGTAAATATGAGTTGTATGAAAATTCTTGGAGATGGTATATGGACGTGATGTATGGAGATGTTGCTTAGTTCTCGACGCTTGAGAGATCAGTTCGTTCTTGATGCGCAAGGTTGCCAGTGATGTCTATGTCTGAGGGAGTTTTATGGTATATAATGGATATCTAGGTACGGAAGAGAGAGAGAGAGAGAGAGAGTCGGACAGTTTATATAGGAGATACTTGGCAGTCTTGATCTTTTATATTGGAATGTATTTCGGTAGAGAGTGAGAGTGGAAGTGAGAATGGAAGTGATAGTGAAACCATGGCGGTGAAATTGAGAATTAGATTGAGATTTATGTTGACTTCACTTTCAGTACTTATTCACCTTAAACTGCGCTCATAACTCATATTGGAAGCCAAAAAAACCCCATTTACCCAGGTACTACTCCACATTTTTGATTGAACAACCAAGTCAACGAGGTCAAGTTCGACTCATGGATATGACACTCAAAGCAAGCTGATACCCCTCATTGGTTGTCTGTCTCCTTTCTGTGTGAGCAAGGTCTTTTCCATCTTGAACTGTTCCGCGGAAATGTTAGCCCAACGTATCGGTCAGTCGATCAGTGAAACCAGAGGTAATAAGGGCAAGCCGCAAGTAAGTTTTTTCCAATGTTCATTAGACTCGGAGCTAGATCACTTTAGAATAGAACGGACTAAAGCACGTCAAAGTACTTTTGTGATTCATCAGCGATCAGGATCAGGCCATCCTGGGCTGTGGGGAATATCCATGGAGGATCGGCAATACCATCAAGATTGTTCCGTAGTTTCAGCAGGGTAGATAGGATGATGATTAATACCCGATGAGAAATGGATAGCTAGCGCGTTGTGAATCTTCTGAATTCTCAATCAGTATTACTCTGTGGTACTCCGTGGCTTAGTATATCGAATTCTGTAGAGTAGTGATACTGGAAGCCCCCCACATTCCACGGGAAACGCATTGGGCAATGCATAACTTTATTAATGAATCTAAATATATGACATGTTTCAGGTGTATTCGGTGTATTGGTATAGATTCGACTGGATAGCAGTAAGCGCCAAGAAATAGAGAGAATATCGAAAATATCGGAGATGAAGAGATGAAGAGATGGAAAAAGATAAAGAAAGGAGATAAAGAATCGAAGCCGAAAGACCCCCGCACGGTGACCGCCAGTTGTTTTGATTTGACAGTCAGCAAGTGTTGATTGGCGCCCCACTGTTTTCCACTTTCTCGTTCTTCCATCATCTCGACCTCTTCCTTCCACAATTTGTCTGAACTTTCTAAGATTCAGCTTTCTCATCCCCCATCATGCGTGGTGAAGTAAGTCATCGACCATAATTTCCCTTCCCATTACTTGCAAGATCTTGATGGCGCCACCTTCCCCTGAGCTATCAGAACATGCCATCCCGGTTTTGTGGCATTGATTAATATCTTGAGGGATTCAATACTGACGTGTTATTGCTATTAGATCTGTCACCTTCATATTGGCCAGGCTGGTACACAGCTTGGTAATGCCGCGTGGGAGCTGTATGTTTTTTTTTCTCCTTTTTCACCGCTTATTATAGCCGTTCGCACAACATGATCTAATCATATCCGCAATAGCTATCTTCTCGAGCACGGTCTGACCCCCGATGGACACTACAACGCTGAGCTCGGCGAGAATGCTGCGGACCCCGGTCACTACGATACCTTCTTTACCGAGACTTCTGGCGGCAAATACGTCCCCCGCTCCGTCTTCGTCGACCTCGACCCGTCTGTATGTATTCAACATAAGCGGATATGGCTATCTTTTATCTTTATTTTGAAAGACGAGTGGCTGATGAATTGATAACAGCCCATTGACGAGATCCGTACCGGTACCTACCGTCAGCTGTTCCACCCCGAGCAGTTGATCAGCGGCAAGGAAGACGCTGCAAACAACTGTATGATATCAAGGAAAATCAAAAAGATATATTCAAGGCTAATGCATATTAGATGCTCGTGGTCACTACACCGTCGGCAAAGAGCTTGCCGAAGAAGTACTCGAGCGCATTCGCCGGGTGGTTGGTACGCGCATTCGTTTCTTATGTTTATGACTAAAACTAGTATACTAATTACATCTTAGACAACTGCTCTTCTCTTCAAGGTTTCTTGATCTTTCACTCCTTCGGTGGTGGTACTGGTTCCGGATTTGGTGCTCTCCTGTTGGAGCGTCTTGCCGCTGAGTATGGAAAGAAGGCCAAGCTGGAGTTTTCTATCTACCCTTCTCCCCGTGTGTCAACCGCCGTTGTTGAGCCCTACAACGCTGTCCTGTCTACCCACAGCACCATCGAGAACGCTGACTGCACTTTCCTCGTCGATAACGAGGCTGTCTACGATATTTGCCGCCGTAATCTGAACATCCCTCGCCCCGGATTTGAGCACCTAAACCGTCTCATTGCTCAGGTGGTTAGCTCTATCACATCCAGCTTGCGCTTTGACGGTTCCCTCAACGTCGACCTGAATGAGTTCCAGACTAACCTCGTTCCCTTCCCCCGTATTCACTATCCTCTGATCTCGTACGCTCCCGTCGTCTCCAGTGAGCGAAGTGGCCACGAGAGCTTCAAGGTCCAGGATATCACCTTCCAGTGTAAGTTTACCCAATACATGTCCTCGTTTTCCCTTCAAGGCTAATTATTATAAAAGGCTTCGAGCCCCACAATCAGATGGTCGTCTGTGACCCCCAGAAGGGCAAGTACATGGCCGTGGCTCTGCTGTACCGTGGAGACGTTGTGCCCCGCGACTGCAACAAGGCCGTCGCTGATCTCAAGGCTAAGCCTTCTTTCAACCTGGTCGAGTGGTGCCCTACTGGCTTCAAGCTCGGTATTAACTACCAGAAGCCCGTGCAAGTTCCCGGCAGCGAGATGGCCGCCGTCGACCGCGCCGTCAGCATGCTCTCAAACACCACCGCTATCGCCGAGGCCTGGAGCCGTCTCGACCACAAGTTCGATCTCATGTACTCCAAGCGTGCTTTCGTCCACTGGTATGTCGGTGAGGGTATGGAGGAGGGTGAATTCTCCGAGGCCCGTGAGGATCTGGCTGCCCTCGAGAAGGATTACGAGGAAGTTGCCGGTGATACCTTTGATGATGAGGAGGACCTCGAGGCCGAGTACTAATCGGACTCGGTCTGACCGATCATATTCCTCGCACATAATCGCTGTTGTACTGCCATTCTGTCTGAAAATATGCCTTCTCACGCTGCCTTTAATGACACCCCTTTTTGTTCGAGTTCTCTAAAGCGTTCCTACACCCCTGTTTGACTAACAGTTCGGCACTATTTTCGCTGAATTCCAAAACAATGTCGTTTTTTTTTGTTTTCTGGAGTATGACTAGATGATATTCCTACATTATTTGTCTAATCACTAGAAAAAAAGGAAACCAAAAAAACTCCATCCAATGCCCAGGTTTGAAGTAACCAATAATGAAAGTCGCAGTGCTTAAGCCCCTGCCAGTATAGTAATTTGCTGGAGCTGTCTCAGCACTTGCTCATATGTCCACATAGTCACTGCGCTAGCTGGCGCGGCCTTAAACAGACTAACAGTCAACCCACGATACAACCCCCGCACGCCCTGCGTGCGCAATATCATACCCATAGTCTGGACAAGACCATTGTATTCAGGGATATTGCGATGGATATAGCGCGTCCGTGTAGGACCCTGCACCTGTAATCTCTTCCGAACCAAGTCCAACGGGAACACGCCCGTTTTCGCAAGAACGCTCGCCACGACACCGGCCGCCGCATCCCCAGTACCAAACGGCAGCCAGTCCCACTGAGCCATTGTTGGCCGAAAACCCTCGTATGCTGTGAAGAAAAGGCCCATGAACGGGACGATCTGCGCCACAGCCGCCGAGCATCCACGGAAGAAGCCTGCTGATCCCTCTTGCCGTACAATCTCGACCACGGAGGCGCGGAGCGAGCTGTATATGCGCTCTGGCCCTTGCGCGGCAAAGCGAGTGCGCAGTAGATCAAGAGGGTATGTTGTTATCGTGGAGATGCCGCCCGCGACAGCGCCAGCGACGAACGACTCGCCGGATGGCGGGAGTCTGTAGGGTAGGTTGACGAGAGCTTGGGAGATGGTGCGGTAGGTCGTGAACTGGAGAGCACCATAGCAGAGATACATCATCTCGGCTGGAATATTACCTTTCCAAAGACCCTAGTCAAAGCATCAGCGGCCATAAAAGCACCTCGGTATATCATGTGTAGGTAGAATACATACCGTGATACCCTCCTGTCTGACGATGGCCTTCATAGTCGACAAAGTCCCCTTATACACCGGCCCTATCACTGTTTTATGTGAATTGGGATCCGACAAGGAGTGGACCTGCAGCTGCAGGCGAATCTTGACGACATCGAGCGGCGCAACGCAGAAGCGCGAAATCAGACCGGCAGTCCCGCCGGCCAGTAGGACTTGGCTTCTGGTGCCCTCATATTTGAGTTGTTCACCGCCGGCTGACATTTCTCAGAGTTAGGTTTTAGGAGAAAGGAGAACCCATGTTGACCTTCTGTTTGTTTGCTTTCCGGGAGGCGAATGGAATGCGAGATAGCTCCATTAGTTGGTTCGTTATCAGCGCCGATAACCATAGTTATGTCATCAGTGATGCCTTTGATTTTAGGTGTCATCAATAGATGTCTGAAGTAGTAAATAGTGGAAATATATAAACTAAGTGAGTCCATTCAAACAATAATTCCAGGGTTGAAGCAACATTAAATGAAGGAGATTCCGCAGATTTTTGATGAAAGAGAGAACCTTGGATATCTATGCATCCTGTCTTTCACGCTGTTGTCCCGTAGCTCCGATTGGGATATACCTCGGCTCATCAAGCTAGGTTGATATCCCCGCACTTACTTTTATACCCTCAAATTCATTCCATTTCGAACACTGAGAAACCATTGATAAAAAAGAGGAATGAGAATGAGCCCAAAAACCCTCGCCCTTCTCCAGTTACGACAGCTCACGCGAGGCCTAACTGGTGCTGCCTCGCGGAGCTTTGTCACCACAGCTAAATGCGCGAGAGCCTCGAGGACCGAAAACTCATTGATATCACGTCTACTTGATACAACTGAGTTAAATGACTCCAATGAAATTGGAAAAGTTCGAAAGAAGAACGGAAACTCCGTCAAAGGATATAATATCAACAAATTCAATAAGCACAACCCGACTACATTAGAAACAACGGAGCCTGCGAGTGCACTAGTCGAATATGATAAGACGACACTGCAATATCCGCAACGAGATGACCTTAACTTGCCACACTACTACCTTCGTGATCTCTGTAAATGCGTGCAGTGTGTAGACCCGCACTCAAAGCAACGGTCTTTCCGCACAAACGACATTCCAGAAGATATCTATCCTCGAGAAGTCAAATGGGACGGCGAAGATCTCCAAGTGAGCTGGAAGAACGACATCCCAGGATATAACGAGGAGCACGTCTCCCGCTGGAACTGGCGAGATCTAGCAGCACCTGCGTGGGACACGCACGATCACACTTCCTGGGACATGGCACCACTCAAATGGAGCAGCGATATAATGCATAAGTTGCAGCACTGGGTCTCGTACGAGGACTATATGAACGATGACGCAAAATTCGCCAGCGCAATGCGCAATATCCAACGTCTGGGCTTACTGTTCGTCAAGGACATTCCCAAATCACGAGAAATGGTAGAAAAAATCGCAACGCGGATGGGACCGCTACGCAACTCTTTCTACGGGTCAACGTGGGATGTGCGCACAGTGCCCGAGGCCAAGAATGTGGCGTACACAAACCAGTTCCTGGGCTTCCATATGGACCTGATGTATATGAATGAGCCGCCAGCGTACCAATTACTGCACTGCCTAGAGAATTCATGCGACGGAGGCGAGTCTTTATTCGCAGATTCCTTCTACGCAGCACAACTAATGAAAACACACTGTTTAACCGAGTTCAAAACACTCACGCGAACACAACTCAGCTACGAGTATGTCCACGAGGACCAGACCTACTACAACACCTGGCCTGTGATTGAACTGAATGAGAAGACAAAGGAGGTTCACCGCGTGAACTACTCGCCCCCTTTCCAATCTGCCTTGCCCGGTGGAGGAAAAGGCGTAGAGAGTTTTGCTCTGATGAAGCGAGCTCTAGACCTATTCACGTCGCAGATTGAATCACAATCTTCAGTGTATCAACTTAAGCTCAAGCCTGGCGAATGTGTCATCTTCGCTAATCGGCGCATCGTTCATGCGCGCAATCAGTTCAGCACCGCTACTGGTTCGCGGTGGTTGGCGGGAGCATATGTTGATGAAGACGCTGTGCTCTCGCGCTTTGCTGTGAGCCGGAAGAAGAATCCTGCTGAATGGATTATGAATGACCCGTTCAATTCATCCCATTAAGTGGTTAAAGATGAAAAAAAAGATATGAAGGATGGCCATGCCTAAGTAGCTGAGAATATCGTTTAGTAGGAGGCGATCAGCAAAAGTACTCAAGCGCTGTGAGTTTGAAATGGATACACCAGTTGATACAGATCGTATAGCTACTAGAAGCCGTCTAGATTATTAAGAGACACAGGATTAAAAATCAATGTAAAATCTACAATTGAATTTTTGTAAGTTTAGAGACAGAAGACAAGATTGATGTCAATTTTCGAAATGTCTCTTATTAAGTGAATACGTTTATCGTCAAGGCAAGCAGCTTAGTATGGGTATCATCCAGGACCAGGAACCTATGCGGCTGCAGGCTTGTTGACAGAGTACTGTTGCATGAAGCTGGGGTCGGCGCTGATCTCCTCACGGACCTTGAAAGTATTAGCATGACGGCGTTGACGCTGGGCAAAGAAAATACAGAGACATACGATATCTAGACCACCAACCAACTCTCCATCTACCCACAGTTGAGGGAAAGTTGGCCACTCAGCAAACTCCTTCAATCCTTGGCGAACTTCATCATCGGCAAGAATGTTGAAGAAGCCGTACTTGATGCTGCGCTCTCGGAGAATACCGACCAGCTGGCGACTGAAACCGCATTGTGGGGCACTGGGAGTACCCTTCATAAAAAGCATAACTGGTGCAGCCTTGACCAGCTCGGCAAGACGGGCCCAGAGCGCTTCCTTCGATTGTTCGGGGGTAAGAGCCGGGGTCGAAGCCACGGGGGTAGCATTGGCACCAGGGCCAGCGAGAGCTTCAGGGGCGGCAGGGGCCTGTGTTGCGGTTACAGGGCCATTTTCACGAGGAACAGCAGTAAGAGGAGGGGGAATGTTAGTGTTTGTGGGAGGGGCGACACCATTTCCGCGGCCGGCGTGGCGTTCGATAGCGTCGCGAACCTTCATAGCATCGCTGCCGCTGATAGACTCTAGGATTTGGCCGCTGCGAAGACAGACGACAAATGGCACTGCAGAGACATCATATATCTCCGAGATATCAGGAAGTTCCTCGGCATCAATGCTGACAAACGAGATATTCGGCGGGGCGGTAGCGGGGTACTGCGAGGCGAGTGCGGAGAGGACGGCGCGCATTTGAGTGCAGGGTGCAGCCCATGTTGTGTGGAAATAAAGAACGAGTAAGGCCGAGGGAGACAGCGACTGGAGGTGTGTCGAGAAGTCGGCCTCCGAGGTGATTTCGGTAAGGGCCGACATGGATGGAGGATGTTGGAATGAAGTGAAGGGAATTGTGAGTGTCAATGGAGGATATGGAGAGATCTAGATAATCAGAGTGGAGAAGAAGCTTTTTGCGTCCAGAGCTGAGATGAATCAAGTGCTCAAGAGTGAGGCAGTGAGAGCTCTCTTTCGGTTTTAGAGCAAGATCGATGGCGTGACGGAGGCGATTTTTCCGAGCGATATCCCGAGGGGCACTCGTTATCAGATCGTATCCACACCGCCCTGATCTTCTGGCAGAATATCTATCTCACGTGAAGATATGAGAACCTTCATGGGGATTTTATTTCGTGGTTCTCAACAACGCAACAACATGGAGGGAAATCACAACAAAAGAAAACGCGAGGCTGACTCGCCTGATGCGGAGGGTTAGAATGGCAAAACACTCGAGCAAGGAGACCCTCAATTGCTAATTCATCACCCAGTGCTCTCGACAGCAGCTAAACAGACCCTGGTCGTCCCCATCGATAAAATGCCCAAAAAAAAGAAGCGCGTGGATGGAGAAAAGGGGAAATACCCGCAAGTAACATACACGGGAGGTAAAATGCAAACCCCAGTTCGCATTGCGGATCTGCAGTCGCTGCTTCTGTTTTGCTTTGCGGACGGCCTCGCGCCACAATGGCTCTCCATTAAATTTCCCAAATCGATGCGCAAGGCCGTTATTTTAATGGTGCCTGGTTTGGAGCTCGACATGTTTAATGGCAAATTATCATTGGATGACTCAACTACCACCGATGACGGCGGAATTGTTTCACCTGACAAGCCAGCTGAGGAAGAGGAGACTGCAGAGGATAAACCGACTGAAGAAAAGCTCACCGAATTTGAGCGATGGAAAGCTGGCCTCCCTCTTGAGGATAAGTCGAGTCAGTTCAGTCCGCGCAAGCTTTCAGAAACTGAGACCCCTCCGGTTTTGCGTCCGTTGTCTGAATTATTCGACCATGTTTGGCCCGTGAAAGCCCCCGGAGACACCAAATACCACAAAGTGCATTCACCTCTCCAAGCCATGCTACTGGCCCCAGTGCCAAAAGTCAAGAAAGAAAAAGAACACAGGAGCGGCGGTGTTCAAAAGGCCCGTGTCAGTGCCAAATTTGTTCCAATCCGGACTCCCATTACAAAGTTTATCAGTACATTGGAGCAGCTTCGTGAAAACGACTATGTTATTCATCCCGCTTTCTTTACGTCGGAAGAAGACAAGTCCGCTGAAATTGAAACGCGCAAGCGTCTTGGACAATCCGTCGAGGACGGCTGGGTTGATACTAACGTCGCCAGCTTGGAAGATGGCGACGTGCCTTTCGGCGAGTTTGAGAAAGGGAGCATGACCGAGGGCCGTGAGGTTTTAGGTCTTGATTGCGAGATGTGTCTCACAGAAGGCGGCCAGTCAGAACTGACGCGTATTAGTATCGTGCGTTGGGATGGCGAGGTGGTGTTGGACGAACTGGTGAAGCCTCCTCGACCGATCTCTGACTACCTGACCCGGTATTCGGGTATTACGAAGGAGATGCTTGACCCTGTAACTACTACGCTTCCTGATATTCAACAGAAGATGCTCTCTATTTGCACAGCCCGATCCGTTCTGGTCGGACATTCTCTCAATTCTGACTTGACGGCCCTCAAAATGACTCATCCCTTTATCATTGATACTGGCATCATCTATCCGCATCCCCGTGGCCCGCCGCTAAAGTCCAGTCTCAAATGGCTCATGTCAAAGTATGTCAGCAAGAACATTCAGAACGGAACGGCCGGTCACGATTCTATCGAGGACTCTAGGGCCGTGCTTGACCTAGTTAAGTTGAAGTGCGAAAACGGTGAGGGCTGGGGCACTAGTGAAGCCTCTAACGAAAGCATTTTCCACAGACTTGGCCGAGTGACTCGACCAGGTAGCAGCAATGCAGATGATTATCGAACTGGTGCAGTGGTTGACTGGGGCAATCCCGAACGAGGCTACGGTGCCCACGCCGCCGTCGCAATCGGATGCCAAGATGATGATGCCGTCGTCAAGGGTGTGGCGGCTGCTGTCAATGGTGATGCATCAATCCCATCTATTCCAGGTGGTGGCGTGGACGTCACCTGGGCACGTCTGCGCAATCTCGAACGACAGCGCGGCTGGTGCAACCGATTCCCTAATGCTGAAAAGGAGAACGTCGCCGATGTGGTCACGGCGGAAATCCAACTGACAACCCAACAACTTGCCGAAAACGTCTCTCACACAGTCTCGGATATCAAGCGTATCTATGATTCGCTGCCTTCTTGCACCTTGTTCATTGTGTACTCAGGCACTAGTGACCCGCGCGAGCTTACGCGTCTTCAAGCCATGCAGAAGACATGCGCAATGGAGGCCAAGGCCCAGAAGCCGTGGGCGGAACTGACCGTGAAGTGGACCGATACCGAGCAACAGGCATTACAGGCAGCATGTGAGCGGGCTCGTAAAGGCTGCGGTTTTGTTTGTGTGAAGTGAACTTGAATTATTCAAGTACGATGTGAGATATTATTCCAATACTCGCAGAAAAAAAGATTGGGTCCTCGATATATCAATTTCGGAAAAAAGGAACAATCGTAATATTGTTACAAGATGTATTAGATACCAAGACAGCTCAAACCATGTATTCCTCCCAGGAAGCAATTCGAACTCCAAGTGAAATCAATTCATCCTCAACCGCCTTCTCTATATCTTCTGCAGTCTGTCCTGTCTCCTCATTGTCATTTTTAGAGTGTGCACCATATAGCAAGGTGACATTAAAGCCCGCGTGTACAGCCCCAATACTACTGGAAGGGTTGTTTAGACCGGAGTTCTTATATCTGTGTGTGCGCTTTTCTCTCAAAATTCCCCTTTTCCTCCTTGACTCGCCTCTCCATCTCTTTTTTACCCCCTGCACTCCTCTCATGACGATATCTCAGGCCTAGTCGATCGTACACAGAAATCACTTTGTACACCGAAGACCACAATCTCAGTAATGCCCTGCTCCTTCAATTTCCTCGCCAAGTCAGGATTAGATTCAAAAGTGTTCCCTAGATACCATATCGTCAGCAAGTCATTCAAAGCTGGAATTCCAGAAATAGGTATATAGTGGGTCTCCCGTCATCCCACATTTCTTCTCTTCCAACTTGCAAGTTGGAACATTGAAAGAATTCATTGAAGGGCAGTGCGTGGGCAATGACAGTTATTTCTGCCACGCGAGGGGATCGACTCTATAATAAACACGAAATCTCCTAAGGTCAGCTTAGCTCTTCAGCAAAGTTGTCGGTGACCTAGGCAGCGGCAAAATTACCTCCACATCAGCACATATGTAGGCCTTTGAGAGTATTCCCACAAGAAAACTGCTTTAGGCTCTTCATGCATTTTCACACTTGCTCTCTCTTCACACTGGCTACATAGTTATGAATGACTACCTGATCTTCTACTTTGCTAAGTGTCCTGCAATATGTACTCTACGGCACTTATTCCTGATTACGTCAGCTCCTTAACCATCGCTTTTATTCCCTATGAGCTAACTAGATATCGAACATGTCTGTTTGTTCTTGATCACAAGGATTGGTAATTGCCACAATGATGCTGCGATTATAGCTACAGTTGACACAATTTCAAAGGAATAACCTGATCCACTGGGTGCTAGCGAGTTTGACTCGATCATCGAAGAAGGCCAAACACTTATGTTAGGTATCTTAGCGGTACTAGTGGCATCAGTAGTGATTATATCAGCCTCTGACATATCTTTAATCTGATATGATGGAATAGTCTTCCAAACTCACTAGCAATGAGTGAATCCATAGACTTAGAGCAGATATCTGTATGTTAACTAACCATTAGTTACCTAGGTTCATTCCGGGCCTAGTCACACTTTCCTCCGTATACGAAGACAGACCGCAATTTAGTCAAAGGAAACGTAACCTACAAAGTATATTCGTGGAAATTCCCGATTCACTCAAATCCGGGGCCCCACCGCGGCCCACTCTGTCATTTGAAGGGCGTGGAATCATTCAAATCTCTTTCCGCTTTCAGATCTCTGAAAACTTTTCAAACAAAATCCAATCCCAAGGTATCTAGAGCTAAGGTATCTGGTTTCTAGATCACCACCCTTCACAATGGAGAACTTTGAAGTATCTCAACCCGAGGCCGATACGCAAGCAGACTTGCCACCCGTCGACACTGGCAAAAGAGCATGGCTATTCCTAGCTGCTTGCTTCGTTATCGAGGCATTAATCTGGGGTAAATAAAAATGATCGAAATTGAGACTGAATTTCCTGCTGATTTTCAGAAGGGTTCACTTTCTCTTTTGGAATTTTCCAAGATTACTATAGCACCAACGAACCATTTAAAAGCTCCGGAGACATTGCAGTTGTTGGGACATGCGCTATGGTTCGTCTTTTTCAAAATGCCCACCCGACATTACCGCTAATGCTATATAGGGAATCTCCTACATGTTTCTTCCTGTAGCCTTCGTTTTACTCCAGGCAGTTCCCCGTATGAAGCTTTTGGCTGCTCCTATTGGCTTTGTAATCATGTGTCTTGCCCTGGCATTGAGCTCCTTTGCAACAAATACAACAAACCTCATTCTCTCACAAGGTGTTGCATATGGTGTTGGATCTAGTCTGGCATATGCTCCGACTATCGTCTTCATGGAAGAATGGTTCGTTCGCCGAAGAGGGCTTGCCTTTGGCATTATGTGGGTAAGTAGATATGCTCAGCCCGCCTTATATTTTATATTCTGACTTCATTGATAGGCCGGTACTGGTATTTCTGGTGTCATTCTTCCCATGGTCTTACAATGGCTCCTCACTTCGTACGGGCATAAAACGGCCCTTCGTGCATGGGCTGTTGGGCTGATGGTCATGGGTGGCCCACTTCTCTACTTCCTGAGACCACGACTGCCAATTTCGCGCGCATCACACACCCGACCATTTGATTTCTGGTTCGTTCTAGACTCAAAATTTTTGAAGTATCAATTCGGAAACATTCTCGAGGCAATGGGCTATTTTCTCCCGACTATCTATCTACCGACATACGCTCGCAGCCTGGGTGCGAGTAGTATGGAAGCTTCATTGACAGTCATGCTCTTCAATCTCGCCTCTGTCTTTGGCTGTGTCATCATGGGCTCAATGGTCGATCGATACCATGCAACCACATGTATCCTCCTTTCCACGGCCGGCAGCACCGTGGCTGTGTTTCTAATCTGGGGATTTTCAACAAGCCTCGCCCCACTTTACGTTTTCTGCATCTTCTATGGCCTATTCGGCGGTTCCTTCAGTTCAACCTGGGCGGCTATTGTCTCTGAAATCCAGAAGAGAAACACATATACGGATCCGAGTATTATTTTCGGACTCCTGTCCTCAGGTCGCGGAATTGGAAACATTGTCAGTGGACCGCTGAGTGAAGCTTTGCTTCACCACCACTCTTGGGATGGTGTTGCTGCAAAGGCGTATGGCTCTGGGTATGGGCCTTTGATTGTCTTTACTGGGATATCTGCGTTGTCAGGTGGATTAGGGATTGCTGCAAGATATACCTTTCGATCTTGAACTAAACATTTGAAAAAAGGTACATGAGTTCCTGTCCAGATGTCACAGCTAGGGAGCGCCTTCCAAGTATGGTCGCTTGATCTTGTATAGCCCTTCTTACTCCCTGGGCATTTTCCTTGGACTTATCTAACTCAAAAAATTTATTTATTCTTTGTTATTTTCTATATCAATGAAGAATCACGAGTAAAGCGAGAAACAACGACCAATATTCTTAACCGTGGATGTTCTCACCACCTCCATACCAAAGTCTTCCCTTTTGGATCATAAGTCCTCTTTCCTCCCCAACCACTCATTCAACTCCTTTATTCTCTTGAGTAACATGAGGCCCATATTCCTCTTGTAACTTCTTGTTAATATTGCCAATCTTGTCAATGAACGCCTTCACTTTCAAGTGATCAACCTTCCCTTCCTCCATAAAGCCTTCTTGGTTAATAAACCGCGCAATAGTGATATGGGCGGAAGGAACAATATAGCGCGATGCCACAGGAAGACCAGCTTGTCGAACCATATCAAAAATATCACGACGGAGATGATGATAGGTATAATCGCCTTCGCCTCCAACCGGAACAAAACTCAGCGCCAGCGCAGAGGAATCAAAGCTAACAGTGGGTTTCAAAAGACAAGTCTTGTGAGTAGTTGCATACTCGGAGATCTGTTTCGGAGTGACATCTGAGGACAGCAAAATGCGAACAAGCTCATCAATTTGACCCTCAGTCAAAGAATGAGCCACCTCTAAGACAGTAGTATGTAGACATTCAGGGGGCATAACCCAAAGTGCTATTCAAAATTAGATTAGAGGGGGCCTTTTCAAGTCGAGTCAGCAATGAGACTTACAAGGAGCAACCTCTTTCAATTCACTCTGAATAGAGGATATCAGATCGCGGATATGGGATGGGGGCTTAGCCCAGATGACAAGGCAGTTTCGGGGGTCTACGAATCCCTCTTCCTTGGCTGGACCGTCTAGTCTCTTGAGAACGTCATCCAGAGTCCAACCAGGAAAGTCTTTGGATAGGATCTTTTCTTTCTGTTGCTCATTTCGAGTCACCCGGTGAAGTTCAAAGCGATTTTGAAGTTGAGACTGAGTATCAAAATCATTGAATGAGTATTCTATTTCCTTGTTTGTGGGATCACAGTTACTAACCGGTTCATTCTGGGCTTCATTGATTAGCAAATGGAAGGGGTTATCGACTGAAATTGGAATGTTAGACATAGTCAACAGATGTCAGAAGTCAAGTGAGTTTGATAAAGATCGGGTATTTGAATAGATCTGAAGATGCTTAAACTAAGAGAAGCATGAAATATTTAAGCAGTAAGGGGAATATGTCAATATCCATAGACGAGTATTTACAAGGTTCAAGTTGAAACCATGCTTGGATAGCCCAGGCCAATAAATGACTCCTATCTAGCCTCCCGAGGTCTCATCTAATTTTAAACAGCTTCCCATACAGGCTCTTATCGGACACTGGCAATCAGCACGTGCAGATGGGCCGACAACCTGGAAAATCAGGTATTATTGTATGTTTGCACTATTTAAATATTTGATAGGGTAAGAAAAGGTTCCAAGGTTCGGCGCATTTACCACTTTGCCCTTGGTGGAGGCATTGGGAATTCATTGGGGGATCTATAACCTCAGAAGGGGGTTTTCCCCGGCAAAGCAAGGGGCAACTTCTACTAGTCTCTCCGGTCTATTCGTCTATTTTATAGGCGACAAATATCGATGGATACATCGTTCATAATATTTTATATCTATTATAGAATTAAACTGTGGTGGTATATGGTGAATTTCATATTCGTGAAAATAATTCTGTTTGGCTGTTTCGACCGGGGCGCACTTTAGACAGTCCCAAAATATTGCATTTAGCTATGGTAAAAGATTTCTAAATCTCGTATATCAATCTGGCAAGATGGCCGAGTTGGTCTAAGGCGCACGGTTCAGGCGATCACCTGATCCACACTTCCGTGTCTCGAAAGGGGCGTGGGTTCAAATCCCACTCTTGTCATTTTTATTGCTAGTTCTGGGGGTTGATTTTTTTATATGTGGGTACAATTTTTATACAGTGGGGATGAAATAGAGCGGGTGTGGCCCCACTGAGTGTCAATCAGTGGAATCATTTTAAATGCCCGAGCCTAGTTAGTATATCATCTGCCGCTACTCTTATCAAAGTTCAGGATTCAAGCTAGGTAGGCTCCTTGGGTAAATTGTATCATTATCTATGAGGCTAAACGAGTGATATGATGGCGCATTATGCAGAGTTCTTTGGCAATTCCTGAACTGAATCTTCGACAAGTTGCGTCTGGGAGTTGCTGAAATGCGGCGGGCGATTTTTTTTCATGTTTGACAAATGAAACAATTGGGGATCCTTCCTAGGACGATCAGCAGTTCGGCTTTCGTATTCCTTTCTGAAGAACGAAGGGAAAACGCTCCTTAGAACAGGAGGGATAGTAGGCATGCATGCGCAAATAATCGCAACATCGCATTCCACAACACTCCAGTATACCGCAGGAGTATTCGAGTCTGATGTGTAAAGAAGAGTTAATGCGGCCTGGAATTGGAGTTTAGCTTAGGATCTGTATGGGGAATGGCTCACATGTGGTGTTAGAGGATTTTGAAAATTTGACAAGCGACTGCAATCGTAGACAGCTGACAATTGTGATACTGGGCCAGTCAGTATAGCTTAGAAAATATTCAGAAAGGAGAGAGAGCACGCACACAAATCCCGTACAGAACATCAGCGCAATCTGAATCTTCTTTCGCGTCGTTGTTTGCGTGTGTACGAGTGGCCAAATTGGAAGACTGATGATTGCAATATCCATCACAATTTGAAATACAGCCTTGAACCAGGAGAAGGCATTGATGTTGATACAGACTCCTTGATATTCTCCAGTCCAGCCGTGCCAGAAGTATGAAACGGGCTGGCATTGGAAAATCATGACGAAGGTATTGGATAGCCCGAAGCATACCGAAAGCCCCATCAAAGCGTATCCTACCATTCGGTAACGCTCAAAGGGGAAGATCCGTGTAAAGAAGGTAAGGAAGGATAGTTGTGTAAAGGTCTCTGCAATCATATAAAAGACTTCTGCGATGTATAGTAGCTAGATGTGGAGTCAGAACATCTGAGACCTCGGGATAGGACCCATATGATTCAAGGAGATTAGCTCACCTCCAGCTCTTTTGAGATGTCATCATAGGGCACAGCCCATATATTGGTTCCGAGTCCCAATTCTTTCACTAAGCGAATATTAGTGTTAGACACTAGCCATAAAAGGCCAACGAACATACTCGGAAACATCAACCAGTTCAGGGGACTAGAGCAAATTGTAGCTGCTATGATGAACGCATCATCAATCCAAAACCATCGCATGAATACTGAACGGTGAATCACCCGCGTCAAAACCATTATAAGTACCAGACCTCCTAGAACGCCAGCCAGGATAGGGGATATTTGAGCTTGGTTAGCTTGAGGTATTTGGCATGCTGTCATGGTCAGATTGGTAGCCGCTTGAGATAGAAGATTAGTTTCCAATGACTCCAGAACAGTAGATTACTCATAGGGGGAAAACTCACAAAGACCTGCCCTCACGCCGCAATCCGAGGTGACCAATCCGGGTGCTTGTGTGATGAAAGTGCTGTCTAAGCAGAGGCATGTCAAATTTGACCTGAGACATGCGGATTGGTTTGCTGCGGTGGAAAATGAGTTGAACTAAACAGAGAACAGAGAGTGAGCATGTGAATAAAAATTTCAATAACAGGTGGTGATAGTCGTACTGCGCACATTGGCAAGACATCAAATGCCCCCTCTGCCAGAGATGACATGCTGGAATGGTCTGTAAAGGGCTTGGATCTTGTTCTTTCAGTATAACATGGAGCTCAGGAGACTTTTCATCTCTTGAAACAGCGGGAAAGGACCCTTTAACGATATGGGGATTATAAAAGTGTCAGCAGAAACTGCTTCGCACATAGGTACTATGTATAAGAAATTGACCCAGTCATTCGCAAGGCTACCCACATCGAGACGTAGATCGTATGCCCCGTCCCTGATATTTTACCGACATCGGGTTTATGGGCTCCGGGATCTATACCTGGGCATGCAAAGTACTTGATTACGTATAAAGGATAGACAGGGTACATGCTCCTTAGCTCCTTCGGGTATTTTAACCCAATTGCACCACCGTATGAGGGGTCTTCCTTCAGCTAGCGTATGTTCTCTCCAGTCAATCTCAGCATAAAATGATGATATTTTGCAGGTTTAAAACCCATAGCGTTGAGAAATTAATGAATGAATGCTAATGACTGCTGCTGTCGCTGTCAGACGAGTTGAATTATTTTTTCAGAGAATCGCCTTTTCCCCCACTCATACGGGCTAGACGATGCGTGTACAAAGTACTTCCTTGATATTAGTACGTACTTTGTACACGGTAGTAGTGAGTGGGTCCAAAGTGGGCCACTTCTATGCCATTTGGCAACGTTGGAAGTTAGTTAAACTCCAGCCCCCAAACGGGACCTCGGGAGTGTCAGACCCACAGACACGGCCAATAAATGAATGACTAAAGCACTGTACCTAGATTATCTCCCACCTATTCGTCCCCTCTTTTTGCCGTTGAACGCCCGGTCTTGATCCTTTGGATCGACATCCGATTGGATCAGTTTCTAGAGGGACCACTCTATCTGAACATGCAACAGTTGTACTTCTGCACTAAATAAGGGCCAGGTCGTCTGCTTTATTTTACCTGTCAAAACCGTGATTTTGCTTTAAAAGTCGCTGCTCCAGCTATAGTCCACGTTAATAGTGATCACTATGTCTACCAACGCCATTGCCGGCGTGATCCTGGCAGTTTTGGTACTCTATGTCACTAAGATCTTGCTGACGCGTAAAAGTACGCCTGGGTCATTACCGCCAGGACCTCCCGGAATACCACTTCTTGGTAACATTTTCGATCTACCGGCTTCAGATAAACCGGATTGGGAACACTGGACCGATCATAAAACAACATATGGTAACGCTTACTATCCACTATACGGTACATCCCTGTCCGTGCTCTGATCTTTGAAACGTATCATAGGACCAATTAGCTCCCTGACGGTCATGGGGAAAACCATGGTGATCCTGAATGACATGGATATTGCGAAGGAGATCTTGGAAAAACGATCTAAGAATTATTCCTCGCGACCAGAATTGGTGTTTGCATCCGAAATGTTAGTTACAATTGTATAATTGCAATATGACTCTTCTAATTCTAGCTAGGGTCGGTTGGAAAGATATTCTAGCCATGCAAACAAACCCTACTGCCTATCGGAAAGCCATACACCCCTGTATTGGAACCTACACGGCAATGAATCAATTTGACGAACTGCTAGAGGTGGAAAGCCAAAGATTTTTACTAAGGGTACTGGCACAGCCGAAAGGTTTTATTCAGCATATTCGAAAGTAAGTTGGATGCTAATTGCAGTTCAAACGGAATAAGTTCGTTGACATATCTTTCAGGCAGGCAGGAGCAATTATTCTCAAGATCGCATATGGCTACACAATCGAGCCGCACAAGGATGACCCTTTGGTCGATATGGCCGAATTAGCTCTTGGTCACTTTTCTAGGGCGGGAACACCAGGTGCTTGGTTGGTTGATATAATTCCAGCATGTGAGTGAAAAGAACCTCAACCCAGCAGATTGGGCTTTTGAAACTGATGGATACAGTGAAACACGTTCCTTCTTGGCTACCTGGAGCTGGGTTCAAGCGTCTTGCGCAAGCTTGGAAGAACAATCTCGACAATGTTGCCAACGTACCTTACGCATTTGTACAGCAGGGATTTGAGCAGGACAATTTCTATCCGTCTTACTTATCCCATTTGTTTCAAGCAGATGAAAGCCTACTCAATGAGAAGAAAGGAGAGACCGAGACAGAAAAGAGGAGAATCGCAAAATGGACGGCTGCATCCTTATACACGGGAGGTGCTGACACGGTATGCTTCGGTTCTCTCAATCTTAAACGTTCCTTCTAACAGTAAAAAGGTTGTTTCGTCGATGGAAACGTTCTTTCTGGCTATGACTTTATTCCCCGAGGTGCAAGAAAAAGCACAGAAGGAGATTGATCGAGTTCTGGGTCACGCTTGTCGACTGCCCACATTGGCTCATCGCACAAACCTCCCATATATTAATGCTGTTGTGAAGGAAACTCTCCGGTGGCATCCAGTGGCTCCAATGGGAATCCCACACCTCTCTGTCGAGGATGATAAGTTCGATAACTATTTCATTCCTAAAGGATCAATAGTTATGGCTAATATTTGGTAAGCACAATCTCGTATGTTAACAGGGAATTGAATGCTGATTTCAAATGAAGGGCAATGACACAAGATCCAGAAACATACGCCAACCCAACGGAGTTCAAGCCTGAGCGTTTTCTGCAAGAAGATGGCAGAGACACTGAGCCAGATCCTGAAAATGCTGTGTTTGGATTCGGTCGACGTATCTGCCCTGGTCGCGCTTTGGCTAACAACCTTCTTTTCCTCTCCATCTCTCAATCTCTTGCAGCCTTCAACATTCAAGCTACTGGGAATAGCAAGACGGTGGATTTGGAAAAAGCGTTTAGTCCCGGCGTTGTCAGCCATCCTGTTCCATTCGACTGTAACATTGAGCCCCGCTCTAAAAAACACGAAGAGCTAGTCAAGTCGGTGGAAGAAAGGCACCCCTGGGAAACAAGCAACGCGCCTGCGATCAAACAACTCTTGAGTGTCAATGGAGCTTGATATATATAGCTCTGGGGACATATACTTTGGTAGAAAACAAAAACTTGGAACCTTGGGATACAGAATGACAATTGTTAAAACTTACAAACCCAAAAACGATGAAAGTTGAAAGCTTTGTCAGGTCCTCTCATTCTGAGAGCGTCAATAGATCCAGTGGACGTGCTGTTTATTCAAGGTTGAAATTTAGCTAATCGACCTTTTAAGGTTGGACCTCACGATCTCATTTGAAGCAACATCCACACTACATTCATACAATCACATTTCGAAGATCATCAAGAACCGTCAGTTTCCATCGCCTCCTCGCGCTGCATAGCTAGTTTAGTCAAGTGGTCCCGCGCCGCGACCTTGGCTTTGCGCTGATCTTCCGCTGAAACTTCTACTTTATTTACTCCATTTGCGCCATTTGCGACTACCACCGTTGAATCGCCACCATTGGCAGTTCCCTTTGATAGCTCCTGGCCATTGGTTTCTGGATGTGCTGCATTTTCCGTGGTATTGTTACTGGTTTGAGTTTCGACGGCGTTGACTCTATATTCCGTAGGACCCACGGATTTTGAGCGTAGGCTGGGTCTTCCTCGACGACGTTTAACAGGATGGTCGGACGAAGTCACATCGGTGAGTGGAATCTGAGTGGTGGGATTTGAATCAACCGGTGCATTTGAACTCGATGTGGCTGGACGTGAATCCTTGGTAGTGTATGATCTTTTGACTTGGGTCATGGATTTTCGCTTCCGAATCCGTGAATCTGGAGGGGGAGTTTCCGGCTCATGCAACCCATCCTCTTCCTGCGCCAGCCGTTGCCTTTTATTTGGGATTTCGATGGGATGAGCATTTGAGGCCACCCGGTTGCTTTCTGTCGCATTTGTGGTATTGTACTCGATGCGGTATTGCGGGGATGCGGCCCTTTCCAGTGGTGTATTATTTGTAATTTGAGCAGCGAAATTAAGTGAGTCTTCCAGTGCCAGATCATCACCTAGATCGTCGTCCGCGAAGGAGTCGGCGATAGTTCGGCCGTGAGTAGGGAATGCGTCCGGCCAGGTACGCTTTCGTCCTACCTGTAGAAGACCGGGGCTATGTACTTCTGGAAGTGCAGGCGCATGAGTAGGTTGATATTCAAGTGTTGATTTCTTGCGATCTTCCATAAAGCGGTTTTTCAACTTCAAAGCCTCTATTTCCAGCGTCAACTTCTCAATCTCTTCCGATTTTGACTTGAGCTCCTTCAGAACAGTGGCGACCATATCAAATCCAGGAATACCGCTGTCTCCCAAGTTTCTGTTGGAGCCATTGAGTTCAATGCGGAGAGATGTGAAGGAGTTTTTTAGATCTGCCATCGTATCTTGCAGGTGGTGGACCGAGTATGAGATTTGATCAATACTCCGGCCCTGATGTTGCATTTGTTGTTGTGTATAGTGGTCCGTGCTAGCCGGGGCTAAAATATTATTTTGCCCAGGGCGCTGAATAGAAGATTCTTGCGGTTGGAAATATCGTTCAAGAGCTCCCTCTTTATAGATTGGTTCGGCGGTTCGCATGGTTACAATCTCCCTAAATGATACCCTCGAGAGCTTCCAAAGGAAGTTTAGACTATACAGTAATCAGTATATGAAGAAAGGATAAGACCATCCAGCCAATCATAATACCACTTACCCATTGTCCATCGTACAAACTACACCGAGCTTCTGTTGGCACAATTTGCAAGATGCTTCCTGGATGATGCGGCCACGGAGGAGGCTCATTTCTGACGTATCTGGTATCTGTTTCCGGTCTAAGGAAATGGAAATTCGATGGAGGTCGAGGCTCAGCCATGCTGTCACAAAGGAGTAAGAATTTGACAGCTTTGCCCACTCATTCTCCAGTACGGCCAGCGAGCTAGAGCAGCGAAGACATTGCCCTAGTATCGCAGGCCGCGTTAGGCTGGTAAGGTCCATGATTGAGGTGGGGGAGGAATAGTAGTAAACATGGAATGTGGTCTCTGAGTTGTCGCATCTCAAACGCTGAGTCAGCGGTCCAGACCTGAACCAGCGGGACGTGCGGATCGGTCCTTAACGGGTTGCACATCTTTACCAATTAAAGACAAAGCAACTTGAATCTTCCATTGCGTCTTGATCCTTCGAATTTCATGCCAATCAAGTTAGGCCTACGAGTTACAATCACACTGTAACTGACTTCGTCCAGTTTGTTGTGATAGTTGGCCGACATGTCTTGCAGGTATTATGATGCTAATACTTATACTTGTCATAAAACTTTCATTCATTTTGCCTTGGTTTTCAATATCTGATCATTGGCTAGATTATAGATTTTTCTCCAGTCAATCTCCAGCTGTCAAGACGGGAATTGCTACAGAGTAGAGACACGACAAATTTTGGGCTAATCAAAAACAAGCGATGCTATCCTTATCAATTGCCATTACATAACTAAATTTATGTTCCCCACTGAGAAAAGTGATTCAATTCCCCCACTATTGCTCACTACACATGACTTCTTATTTACGCAGAATCACTGGCCCTCTCTTGGCTCGTCGACCAATTTATTTTATTCCAGTCATCAGAATTCATAATTCCGCCATGTCTTCTTTTTCCATCAATGACGAGTCAACTAGCTGGCATGGTGCCGGTGCCGCCGAATTCGATCTGCGCAGTATGATACTCGGAAAACATTTGCCGATGCGCATTCAGCTAAATCTTGACATTTTCTACAGGCGATACCATGACAAAACCAACTCCTGCCATGCTCAGTGCCATCTGCCAGACTACCTTATTGGACGATGTCTTCAACGAGGACCCAACCACAAATACTCTCCAGAGCTACGTAGCACAGAGAACTGGCCATGAAGATGCACTCATGGTCCTGTCGGGTACCATGGGAAACCAAGTGGCCATCCGTTCGCACTTGGCGCAACCTCCTCATTCTGTTCTATGCGACTACCGGTCTCATATCATCTGCTATGAGGCTGGTGGCGTGAGCGCATGGACCGGGGCCACCGTTTCAACAGTAATTCCCAAGAATGGAATTCATCTGACCCTGGAAGATATTCAAAAGCACGCCGTTCTTGATGACAACATCCACCATTGCCCTACAAAGCTAATTAGTCTGGAGAATACCCTCGACGGTATGGTCATGCCCCTGTCCGAGGCTCGACGCATCGTTGAATGGGCTCACGAGAATGACATCAAGGTGCATCTGGACGGCGCACGTTTGTGGGAAGCAGTTGTCTCTGGTGCGGGCAGTCTAAATGAATATGCCGGCTTGTTTGATAGTGTGAGTCTGTGCTTTTCGAAGGGTCTTGGTGCACCGATTGGAAGCATCATTGTAGGTTCCAAGGAGTTTATTAAAAAAGCGCGTTGGTTCCGCAAATCTATTGGTGGTGGCGCTCGCCAAACAGGAGTTTTGGCTGCCGCTGCCCGGGTAGCCCTTGATGAAACTTTCGGCACAGATTCCAACGGTCAAACTGGCAAGCTTGCGGCCACTCATACAAAGGCCAAGCATATTGCTGACCTCTGGACTAGCCGTGGTGGTAAACTCCAGAAACCGGTGCACACTAACATGGTATGGCTAGATCTTGAAGCCTCTGGGGTGGGACCCAACGACCTTGCAGTCATTGGCAAGGAGAAGGGATTGATACTGTCTGGATGGCGGGTGGTTGTCCACTATCGTAAGTCAGCGTCTTCTTGTACTAGCCATATATCTAACCATTTTGCAGAGGTCTCCGATGAGTCAATTGCCCGTCTGGAACAGGTATTTGATATTGCGATTAAGGGAGACTACCAAAGTAGTAAGGACCAAAGTAAACCATACGGAAGCAGCAAGCCATGAAACGACGTGGCACCACTATGTAAATAGTTACTAATTGAGTGAAATTGCATCATTAGGTGTGAGCCTGAAGTAGTAAATCTCACAACAATGGACCATGTGGGGATCGATCTCAATGGCATTGTCTGCATGCGTAAACACGATCTCTCGATCTGCCCCGTTGCCCGTACATCTATCTGATTAATCCGTTACAAGGCGCAGAAGCAGATCTAAGTTATCTAAGCGAAATTTGAATTGAAAAAGCCAAAAAAGAAAAGAAAAAAAAATGATAAGTTGATAAAATGGTATACGTTGGGACCTGATGATTAAATGTAAATATTGCAGGGAACAATAATTATTTAATTGTCTAGACTACGTCGTAGATGGAGTCTGGAGTTGCATGTACTGCTTGCGGCTAAACAACGTGGAAAGGAACGAGGGTCTGTGCTTAGTCTTAAAGTGCCTCGTTTTACTACTTTCAATCTTAATCCGTCCTTCAATTACTCACTTCATTTATTACTTCACTTCTCCCCCTTTCCCAATTGCTTCTCTCCATTCTTCCGCCTTCACTTCCACTACTTACTCTACTGTCATTCCACAAGTCCTCCTTACCGCCCCGCAATACCAGTTCCTTTGATCTTACACAACGCGTAACGGTTCTCAGTTGCACCTCCCACCTTCTTCACCTTTCACATCCAATGTCCCTGTCGCGATCACCCTCTCCCCATCCGGGCGGGGGTGGTCCAGCCCGGGACTCACGCCGGGCAGCGGCACCACACCGCGCGGATATTCACCTTCAAGTCTATCACCTGGCACTGGCATTTCATGGGCGACTGCCAAAGCAAAGAGCGACGAGGTCCGTGGGTACCCCTCATTCTCGACCCGGAACAGCGGCTTCTTCTCTCGACAGAAACACAAGATCTCCTCGCGATTGCCTGGCTTTCGTGGAAGCCCCTCACCGAGAGGATATGATGACAAAGATGCGTACAAACGTGCACAGTGGAATGGTGGTGCTGGCGTGCGCAGTCCGCTGGCTTTTGTTGGAAGGATCTTTCAGCGGGGTCGGTCCCGCGTCTTTTTGGTGATCATGCTCTTATGCATAACCTACCTCTTTCTATGGTCTTGTAGGTTATAGCGCAACGCGCAGTCTTGTTACATGTGCAAATCAACTGACCTTGACAGCAATCGTTCATGCTTATCGACGATCATCTCTAGGAGGAGGCAAAAAGTTCGTCATTATACTCGGGTCCAATGTGGAGGGCGGCGTGATGGAGTGGAAGGGGGCGCGTGAGTGGGCCATTGAACGCAACAGCATCTGGAATAAGGAACGCTACGCAAATGAATGGGGATATGAGGTCGAAATCGCCAACATGCTCGCCCAGAAAAGATATTCGCATGAATGGCGCGAGAGTTGGGAGAAGAGCGACGTGATTCGCGAGGCCATGCGAAAACACCCGCAAGCGGAATGGTTCTGGTGGCTAGACTTGAACACCTGGGTCATGCAGTATCAAACCTCATTGCAAGATCACATCTTCAATGATCTCGAGTCGCACGTCTACCGCAATATCAACGAATACAACCCGCTAAACATCATACATCCCCTGCCGGAGTTTTATCTCGATGAGATCGATCGATCCCTAGAGGGCGACGGCGACGTTAACTCGCTCAACATGTTGCTGACGCAGGACTGCTCCGGATTCAATCTCGGTTCTTTCTTCCTGCGACGATCTCTCTGGACTGACCGACTACTGGATGCCTGGTGGGATCCAGTCATGTATGAGCAGATGCACATGCAATGGGAGCACAAGGAGCAAGATGCCTTTGAGTACATCTACCAAAGCCAGCCGTGGGTTCGCAGCAGTGTAGGCTTCTTGCCACAGCGCAAAATCAACTCTTTCCCTCCGGGTGCCTGCGGTGATGTCTTCAACCCAGACGTGCACTACAAGGAAAAGGACCATGATCTCCTCGTCAACATGGCTGGCTGCATGTTTGGTCGTGACTGTTGGGCCGAAATCCACGATTATCGCGAACTGAGCAACCGGATCAACCGATCTCGGTGGGACCGGTTAAAAGACGCCTGGAATGGCGCATACGCGGCCTTCCATAAAGATGAATAAGCCCTAGATGTTGAACTAACATTTCTCTTCTTTTATGCTTTGCTTTTTATTTTTCCTCGCTTTTTTGCATCCCAGGCGGTATTGCATTTATTGATACAGATTTAATTCGGCTTGTATATTGATTTTAAGTGGTCTTATACTGGTGCAGCTGGAGTTTGGATTTTCAAGCTACATATGATACTGCAAACATACTTTTACTAGGAAGTAAGCTAAGCAGCTTCTTCTCAATTTATTTTTTCCCTTCTCCAAGTAAATGGTGCCGGATCGGGCATAGATCGCACGTGATTAAACTACGCTTTTGGCTCTCATAGTCACCCGTAACTGTCCACTTCACCGCCTTTACCGAAACCAATCACAACTCGCCTATAACAACCTAGCACATCGGATTCAACGGCATCAACCCTCAGCGCAATCTCATCTAATACTCCAAGCCCTCACCGCGCCAAAAGATAGGAATACGTGACAGCAGTCAAATCTGACCCCTCCCCTCTCACACTACTCATCTCAAACCGCCACAATGCCCACTGCTGAGTCCGCCGCCTTCCTCGCAAAAAAGCCCACCGTCGCCCCGACCTACGAGGGTGTTAACTTCGAGGACAACGTCGCCCTCCACAACGCTCGTGATGCTATTATCCGCGAGCAATGGGTACGCAGCATGATGTCTCGCCTGGTTGGTGAGGAGCTCGGCAAGTGCTACCACCGCGAGGGAGTGAACCACCTCGAGAAGTGCAGTGTCTTGAGAGGTAAGCTATCTCTTTGTTCTGTAGTACTCGATAGATCAATCGTGCCGTGTGAATGATCTTGGACATTCTCAACTAGTCAATTGATCGGCTGAGTGTCGGACGAGTTGATCTGAGCACGAATCTATATACAATTACAGCGGGGACGGAAAGCTAACGTTCGTTAGAAAAATACTTCGAACTTCTCGGCGAGCGCAGAGTCAAGGGCTACCTCTTCCAGGAGAAGAACTACTTTGAGTCGAAATAAACGGGTGATGATTTGATTGAGCTGCGTGGTGATGTGATGAGTCAGCGATCTCAGTCTCTAGCCAATTTTGCATTGGATTTTTGGGGAGTATTCGCCCCACACTCCCTGTCTCCCCCTTCTCGACTTAGGAGAGACCTGAAGGGCTTGAGAATGAGGTTTGAGGGCTATGGCTATAACCCTGACAGGGACTGCATTAGAAAACCTTGCCTCCCTTTTTGTACTGTACATATATGATATCATTTTCTGGTCAATTTCATTCTTGTTCGCAGATTGTTTTATAAATCTTGATAGAAAACTTGTGGATTTCTTAGAGGTTACTCATTCTTCTTTAGATCTGTTCTTAGGCATTCAACAAGAATTTCGGTCAGCTCCCGGGTCTATAGAGAACAAGGCATATCTCTACTAACTAGGTACCTACCAAGGGTCCATTACTTTTATAATCTGAATTTAGAAAGAAACACTGCGAAACACTACTTAGGTATGCCTTTTTATGCAGCTGATGCCCAAGTGGCTTTCAGATTACTTCAGCACGCCAGGGGAGGCATTGTATGCGGCATAGCGTATTGACTAACGCAGCCAAACCATTCAATGTTCTACTGACAGACATGTTACCTATCTACCTAGGTATAAAATGCACGTATGACACTTCACTACCCAATAACCAGATCTTCCCTCACAGGCAGTTTCATATTCAAGATTCTTTGGCTGAAGATAATCAACGTATGATATTTAACTATTCAGCTTGTTTGGGATTCAAAATTGAGGTCTTCATTTCCCACTCAAGCAGTGTCTCAGAACTAGATAAAGTCTGTGGATGGTTCGAACCAAGTATTTGTTTCTGCTTGGCTACGCAGTTTCTCAGCAAAATAATGGCTTCGGCAATGCGACCTGAAGTTTTCCAGGTAAAAGCGAGATTGGCCATGCTAATCAGTGTGTCGGGATGATCTGCGCCGAGCTTCGTCTTACGAGTCTCTAACACCTGCACGTCGAGCTGTTCGGCCTTCTCCAATCGGCCCTGGTTCCAGTATGTCGACGCCAGATTAGCCATACTTGTCAGTGTGTCGGGATGATCCACGCCGAGCTTCGCCCTGCGAGTCTCTAACACCTGCACCTCGAGCTGCTCGGCCTTCTCCAATCGGCCCTGGTTCCAGTATGTCGACGCCAGATTAGCCATACTTGTCAGTGTTTCGGGATGATCTGTGCCGAGCTTCGTCTTACGAGTCTCTAACACCTGTACTTCGAGCTGTTCGGCCTCATCCCATCGGCCCTGGTTCCTGTATGTCGACGCCAGATTGGCCATACTCGCCAGTGTGTCGGTATGATCTGTGCCGAGCTTCGTCCTGCAAGTCTCTAACACCTGCACCTCGAGCTGCTCGGCCTCCTCCCATCGGCCCTGATTTCTGTATGTCGACGCCAAATTGGCCATACTTATCAGTGTGTCGGGATGATCCGTGCCGAGCTTTGTCCTGCAAGTCTCTAACACCTGCACCTCGAGCTGCTCGGCCTCCTCCCATCGGCCCTGATTCCTGTATGTTGACGCCAGATTGGCCATACTCGTTAGTGTGTCGGGATGATCCGTGCCGAGCTTTGTCCTGCAAGTCTCTAACACCTGCATGTTGAGCTGCTCGGCCTCTTTCCATCGGCCCTGGTTCCTGTATATCGACGCCAGATTGGCCATACTCGCCAGCGTGTCGGGATGATCCGTGCCGAGATTTGTCCTGCGAGTCTTTAACACCTGCTCCTCGAGCTCCTCGGCCTTCTCCCACTGACCCTCGAGTCTGAATGCTATTGCTAGCATACTTATACTAGCAAGGACATCTTTATTCTCCTTGTTAAATAATCTCACTCTTTCATCTCTTGATTTCAATGCCATTTCTCTTGCATCCGTAATATTACCGATTTCTGATGTATACCATGCACCTCTGTAAAGCAACGTAGCCCATTTTTGTTGATAGATAGTTGATGCTGGCCGCTGGAATATTGCGGATTTCATATGGGGAAATAATTCCCTACATCTCTCCCAGTTCTCATATTCACCAGTCGGAAACTCTTCATAAAGGGTGCTAATGAATTTATCTCTCCATTGGTCTCGTTGTCCATGAGATTTCAACCACGCGTGTGTAGTTAGCTGCACTAGCCGATGCATCGTAAAGAAAGTATTACCCTTACTAGAAGATATAAATGAATAATTCTTTAGTATCATGATATCATCCTCAAAATCGGGTTCCGTATCAGAATCAGACGTCTCTCCCTCACTTGAGTTGTTCGAAAGGTAGTCAGCCTGGGATTGATGCCGGATAAGATCTTCTGGTATCCCTTGCCGATCAAAAAAACTCATAAAAGAAAGTAGCTCTGCTGCAGATGCCCGTGTTTGGCGTATAGCGTCGAAGGACATTTGCCATGTCACCAGAATTGAATTCTTTGCTTCCCAGTCCCGGTGGAGATAAGTTGCCTCTTTTTTTAGAAGCTTTATTGCTTCACGATCACTCCCTCGGAAATCTCTTAGATATTGTGACACTGAATAGCGAGGCGCCCGATTCCGAATAAAACAAGCTGCCTGTACGATCGCTAGAGGCATATACTCTAGTGCGTCCACTAATTGTCGATTTTCTTGGCTTTGACTATCTTGGCTTTGGCAGTCTTGGCTTTCTTCCGGGTTATCAAGCTTTCTTTGGAGAAGATTTAGCGCTTCAGACCTTTCCATAGGTTGAACCCTAATCAGGTCCTTATGAGTGACCATCTTTAACGCAACTTCTCTCACCCGGCTTGTGATGATAATAGACCCATTTTGACTTCTTGGAACGTATTCTAATAGTGGTTTGGCCGAGGACTTCGTCAGGTCTTCTCTCTTGCCTGCTACTGGAATCGAACAAAGGAACTTCTCGTCGTCGACGTTATCAAGGATGCAAACCCATTTCCCTATCTTCTCATCTCGGAGCCAGTTCTCGACCAGTTTGAAGATGTTATTTTTGGGATTCTGGCGACCTGAGATTTTGACCTGGTCCGCAATGTCCCGGAAACTTTGCTCGAACCGGGCTTCGTTGCTCGCATGCACCCAGAAGACCCATGTTGCCGGCGAATTTGATCGGACTTGATAGGAGTATTCGATTGCAAGTTGCGATTTCCTTTTTTATTTATGAGTAATAGATCTCACAAGAGCTAATTAGCACTTACCCAGCACCGCCGAGACCAATCAGCGCTATTCTCGATGCCGGAACTGAGCTTTTCTCACGGATCTGATCAAGGAGAGCATCGCGGCTAACAAAATCTGGGTCGCGCGGGAATGGGACTGTTGATAACGGGCGAGGTGGCGTTTCCGGTCGCTCTAGAGGCGTTCATTAGCCAGTCGCCTTAACTATGTTCGGCTTTTCTGACTTACCTATCGGCATATGGAACTCAATTGAGCCATGGTTTGCTCCAACCTGGAGAGCATGGTTATCACCCCCAAATGATACTGTTGCCATAATCAAATAAATCAGTCTTGTCTGTATTCATGAGAAGGGCGTTTGCCTGGTTCTCAGCTGAAAGAGGGGTCCCTAGGGTCACCATCAGGTGACTCGATGGCGCTAAAACAAGCGGATTAGCAGACTAGTCGGACATAAAGGCGCTTGAGCATATGTACTATTGCTAACAGTTGTCTTCATATACGTGGAAATTACCTTCAAGACCCTGATTCAGTGATTTTTAAAGACTTTTTCCACTTTTACCTTTCATCCAGCTTTTAAGAGTTAATTTTTCTAACTGAAAAAGTTGTCACCGCCGTGTTTCTCTGTTCGGATTCTAAGTGCTGCTAGATATTGTGAGCCTTGAAAGATTTAATCCATCTCTGCTGTCGAGATAATAACACTATTTTATGAACATCACTAGATGGTATTGGTGAAATTTACTAGAGATACATGAATGGAACCTATTTTATTGGCGTTAAGGATGTGAGAGAAGGGTATAGGAAATTCTACTCTGCCCGCAACTGACAACTATCGGAGGGGTTGATTGTGGCCTGACTTTAAGTGATTGCCTGTCAAGAGCTTAACAGATATGCACTTTTCTTCGAGGGAAGTATAGCCAATATCATAAGAGCTAGTCAGAGAGCTCTCATATAAGGCACTCAGGAATCGATCTAGGTACTCAGGGATTCAGACTGCCATCATGCGAAGTTCAAGTGGCACCAATGGATTGACGATTTCTCATTGTCTGTCTCGAAGTTTAACAGGCGAAAAGCCTTGCTTCTCTCTCTGTGCAATTGTATCCGGCAACCACTTCCGATAAGCAATATCTCTTTCTTCCCGAAACATAGTACCAAATTCGAGACGATCAGGTGTCTTCATGGCTAATGAGCTCGACAGGTCGACCTCGCCTTGTAATTTTCCGTTAAGAAGGAAGCGCATCGTCCCAATCCTCTCGTACAGAATTTGGCCGTAAGGCCGATGATGGAAGCCCAAAGAAAGAAGCCCATAGATCTCACTGGTCAAATATGCACAAAGCCACTCTGGCTTGGTTTTGAAGTCTGAAATATCAGGATTGGTGCCATATCTACGCTCGTAGGATCTTGAGAGATTGATACGGACATCCTTCCACTGTCTGTAATCAATCGTATCTGGTGGGAAGGTAAGTTCGGTCTCCACCGATTGAAAATCAAGAACAAGATTCCGCACGAAAATCCCACGGTCTTCGCTTTCTTCGGAATTATCTTCACGCTTCTTCAAGCCGACCGGTCCATATCGAAGGAAACGCTCAAGCACGGCCAAGAAGCTCCAATGGAACCCATACCTCCCTCCATCTCCAGCTAAGCCCCTACGGTCACGCCGATTAAGGATACTGCCGAAAAGCCTCACGTCCACATGAAGCGTGTCTATGGAGTTTGTTAGCCATGGAACTGACAACCAAGTAGGATAAAGACTGGTCTCATTAAGGACGGAAATTTCAATAACATAATCTGGTGACTTCGCATTCTTAAGACGATCGATGACGCTTCGCGTCTCGATCGATAGTTGGCGACTAGTGAGGAGTAGAGATAGACCGTTCGAGGGAGCGTGGGTGCTACCCTGTTCATTCCAGATCCCTTCGACCTTCCTTCTCCAGGCCATGTATCTCATGTCGTGGAAATCCACCCTGTTGATCTTATCCGGGGAGCCCGGCGGCTCACGGCAGGAGTGAAGCACTGACTCGATTATGATCTCACGGATCTCCCTTGGGATGTTTAGAAAAAGAGATTCACCCTGCCAAATCGGCTGTCGATGGCGAGGATTGACAGACTCCCGCCCTGTATCGACGCCCCATCCAGAACCGCCATTGTCAACCGCTGTAGGCGGGTACGGTGCTTGAGTAGGTGCAGAGCCACTATATGAGGCGTTCGTGTTGTCTGTGCGTTCGCCGGGGTGATCAGAAAGCGGTGCGGGACCAACTCCGGTCTCTTGCCGCTTTTCATCTTCAGTATCAGCCATGATTTGTTAGATTGTGAGCTTTCTCCGAGTTGTTCTTTAGGAATAAGTACAGAACGACAGGAGGATTCTTCAGAGTTGAAACCAAGTTTTTCCTATTACTAATAAACAGCATGGGGGCCGGTTGATCCTTTGGGTATAGATTAGGTGTGCTCTCCTCAGGATTAGCTGTCTCTGAGAAACCTTGAGTAATATGAATATGGGCGCCCTTATGAAAGCAGCGGCACCTGCAATAGGAAAGACTTACCCGTTTAAGGCAACATGATACATAAAGCTACCCAGATAGTACCTAGGTACTTGGTTCTATTTTGTAACTCTACTAATCGACAGCAATGGCGATACATGTCTCTTCCAGTCTTTCCAAGATTGTCATGAACCTTGGAATGCTCTCGTCGATTATCAACACCAGAAATCTGTCATCGGATGTCAGCAATGTGTCTAGAGTAGCAGTGGAATTCACCTCTCTGAGCTAGCAATTGCCTTCACGATGGTACTAAGAATGGCGTTTCTCACCTTATGGGTACGACTCGTCCTTTATTTGGTGGGATACTAGATATGCGGGTTACCGGGACTGGCCACAAATGACCCAGGAATAACTATAGCATCAGCCATATCCATGTGAGGCTCAATGGCATAGTAGATCCTTTATGCAAGGAAGCAAGGAGATGGATTTGCGAAGCATTTATGACCTGATTTTGAAACTTAATCCGTATTTTCATGTGACTGAATCTATTTCTGACATCAGCAGTCTTCAATTGGTATCGCATCTAATTGCCCCAGAAAAGCTTTAGCCTCTTAATCATCATGGCTGTACCATCTTCTTCCCTGCCATTGCAAAAACACAGTAGGAATGAAAGAAGCTCCCATGACCAAGGCAGCGATAATACCCGAGCTGTTCGCAATACCAACATTATCAAACATTGAGGTGAACCTAAGAACAAAGCCTCAGTCAGTCAAGTTTCAAACCGAGCACAAATGGCACAATACATACCAGAAAGGACCAAGAAACCCCCAAGTCGAGCGAACAACATTGATAAATGACCCGACGCTACCAGCCTCCTGGGGACACGTATCAACGGCATAAGTGGTCAAAACAGTAGTAACAACCTGGTTACCAAAGCCAGCAATACCAGTCCCAATAATCGGCTTGACAGTCCAATGACCCTGCTCGGCCTGCTGTGTGCAAACTAGGAAGACCACCGTACCGGCAATAGTAGTCAAATACCCAATATAGCTCAGCCATAATCTGTAATCGGGCGCCGGCTTGTGGCCGAGACGGCGAGTACGAGCGTTCATCCACATATCGGACATGAAACCGCCTAGCTGTTCACCCACTACAGACCCGATGATCAGACCGAGGAATTGCAGTCCTAGCTGTTGGGCGTTAAGCTCGAACTTAGCTTGCAGCAGCTGGGGTACTCCGACTGAGCCGAGCACGGAAGCGAAAAGGAATACCATTGCGTATGAAATCGCTGCAAGTAGAACAGGGATGTTGGTAACTAGAGTCAGAGGGTGGTAGAACTCAGATATTCTCATGGGGGATGGGTCGATGCGTTTGAGGGACATGTATTCCCGTTTGAAGGCAGAGGATTTTGATTGGACATCACAGCCAATGTAGCGGGTTTCAGGGCCGAAGAAGATGTAAAGGATACATTCGACGCCGTTGGTCTAGACTTAATCAGTTAATGTGAAATTTTTTTGGCGAAAGTTATACTCACGATAGCCAGAATCCAATAGACCCAGCGGTATCCAACGCGCTCGGTTACAAATCCAAAAATGAAAGGCCCGATTGGGACACCCAGTGTGATAGCCAAGGTCCAAATTCCCATATACTGCGCTCTTTGGTGCCGGAAGTACGTTTCAGCAACTACCGCGCTCCCGAGAGCCATAGCAGGCGAAATAAAAAACGCACAGAGGGCCCGACAAGCAGCCATGGAAGCATAGTCTGGGCTTTTCGCACAGCCGATATTGCAAACACAGCTGAGAATTAGCGATACAAGGAAAATAGGGCGTCGACCGAATCGTTGCGAGAGTGGCTTCCAGAACAACGGGGCGATTCCGAGGATGGCGATCTGTAAGGAAGTGAGATAGCTCACTCGCTGCACAGATGTGCCGACGTCGAGAGCGATATCTTCGTAAGCGGATATAATGGCTGCTGCAATGAAAGTTCCCATGCAAGCGTGGAAGGAGACCAGAATTAGGTTTGCTAATTTCTAGTGGCTTGTCAGCACGGATTTTCATCTATTCTATTCTATTGTTACTACTCACCTTCCTCGCAGGCCAATTGTATGGATCGGCTGGGTCCATGCTGGGAATTGGATCCAGATCAAGCGTTCCATGTCGTTCGATCAGGTATGACTTGTGTTCCTCAGAGAGATGTCTGGTTGAATCCTCGTTGATACCAACAACTTTCTCCTCGACATAGTCGAAATCAGACTTATCAGGGGTCTCCTCTGGTGAGCTATTCTTAGTTGACATGGTGATATGTAGGGTATAATTCAGCCGTGAAGGTAAAGAATCTTAAAGGTGAGAATGATGAAAGGGCAAATTTATGGGCCCGGACAAGAGCATTCGACTCTCTAGTATAAAAGTGCCCTCAGACCCCATCACCCCGCGATTTACTATGCCAAATTGGCCATGTCCGGGTGGTATATGATGCACAAGTGGAGCCAATGTCGCCGCATGTGAGAACTTGGAGAAGAGCATGAGGATTAGGATTGGATGGAATTAATTGATGAGCCTACATGGAGTATTGCGTAGATAAACACTTGTATTGTGTATTGTGACCGCTTATTTCCGGTAGATATACCTAACTCCATTACCGGGCCATGTTTTGCGGGGCCCCGGACAATACCCCACCCATACTAATTGTGGGAGATGGTGCGGAGGAACCGAGGTGACTTTCCTTATACCGTTACCATACTGTATGTTTATTACTCTAGAGATTTGCGGTTAGTCCGGGGCCAAGTTTCAAGTCTTAGTCACTCAATGTTACTTTTTATGTGCATCTCATCCGATGCATGCCCGGACAACAGAAAGCCAAGTCAATACCTCAATTCAAGAGCTATGGGAAACATGTTTCTCGGATACCTTGAAGTTTGTATGCTTCTACTCTGTATTGACCTCGATGATTCTATTGTTGTATTGTAGGTATTATGTAGACGAGTATCACTTTAGGTAAAGATCTTCACAGCCATATCTTTTCGGATTTCCCGAGTCTAGACTGATATAATTAGTAATTTCTTACCGAGGACTGATTAAGAACCGAATTTATATCATTAAACTTTGGGCACGCGTGGCCGATTATCAATACAGACCAGGCCCAATCACAGCTCCATCAGCATTCCCACGTCGTACTTTCTCCGTAAATAGTTTCATCGGCTTATTGCTGCCGTGGTAGAGAATGAGCTGTGAGGGATCTGTTTCAGCTCCATCTCTCTTCTACTGCATCGTCTGTGAGTGCATTATTCATTCAAGGAACATTGCTCATTGGAATGATGATTCACGTCATTATCAACCGAAGGCTATAGCGCTGCTCTCCCAGCAATGCGTACAAATCAGGCTAGGGCGATGATTTTCCACGCTAGCCTGGTCGTAACATGGCTTCTCAGATGCGATGATCTGAAGGTGACATGGCTCGAGTCAATAGAGCTTGGGAGAAGGTGTTCCTCTTAGAAGAGTAGATTTTAAGGGTATCCTCTTAACCTGGGTATCCATCTCATATTATTCCAGTCATTACTGACTATTCGCGTCGTCACCAATTCCCGAATGCTGGGTGGAAACACCGTCCATAATGATGGAGTGCTCATCGGCACCCTTCCCCAGCACCGTACCAGGTGTAAATTGTGAGGGTATCTTCTTGACCTATCCGTCTCAGATTTTCCCGGCCATTATTGTTTATTCGTATTGTTACCAAGTCTCGCTTGGTCGCTCCACTCTCGAATGCTGGGTAGACCACCCTCAATAATGATAGGGTGCTCCTCGGCACCCTTTCCCAGAACCGTACCAGCATATCGAGACTCCTCGCCAGTCTTGCTGTGCTTCTTCTTAAGAGCCGTTAAGAAATCCTCTTTCTCAACGGCATCTGGGTCCACAATATCGCCTTCGCTGGGGACGAAGCCCGCCACGCGCCGAATCTCGCGGTGTTCTGGGCCTGTGATCCATCCAAGAAAAGATTCCAATCCGCGCATGTCTTCCGTTCCTGCCCAGTCTTCTTCCCAATCTCGTAGTTGTGGACGAAGTGCGCCTGCATCTTGCAGGGCTTGATAAAAGTCTTCAAGGGTGGGTGACTGTTGACCCGGATGAGCATTTGCTGCATGTAGGGCCGTTGAGTTGGCAAGAAGCATTATGTAGCGTGCGGTCAAGTCTTGTATTGATTCTAGAACAGATGGTGGTGCCGAGTGAAATCCTTGGGCTCGAAGAATCTGTATGATAGGAGGGCGAAGGAGAGCATGGTGGAGTGTGTGGCTTGACATCTTAAAGGACCGTGGCCGAAGTGACAGGAATTTGGCGCACAAAAGACACCAGGTGAGTGCACAATTAAAGGAAAGTAAAGGAATTCGGTGAGGAGAAGATGGAGGATATGATTGGAGAAGACAATAGCACGGTGAGTAACTAAGTTGTTAGGTGAGAGAAATGTTATGCTGACAAAAGTACGGAAAATAAAGTCACGTGATATAATTCACAAGTGCAAGAAGTGGAAGCAAGTTGTGTTTGAATGGGTTTGAGTGTACCTGGTAGCTGAAGCTCTAGTCAGAATATCACTCTCCATAGGGCCAGCTCTTTTTACCCTGGTGACTACATCTAGGGCGTGAAGGACTGTAGAAGTGACAGGAATATGAAGTAAAAGTATCGTGCGTTTGGATGAGTTGAATTATAAATTAATGGGATTGTGGCCACCGGATGAATGGTCAATAAAACGTTATACTTTGGTAAGTTTGCTTCAAGCACCTTGAGACAACCGAGTATAGCGAGGTCAACCTTTGAAGTCAGTACTTAACGCCGGTCTGCTCCACTTCCACTTCAGAATACTTGGGGCAATACGTAAGGCGGTGAACCCGCGTCGCGGCTCTTTTTACCATCCATCCACAACTCGCTCTACTCGAACAACTCATCAGCTGAGTCCTGAGTCCAGATCTGATCGCGGCCAATATCTAGCTTCTCATACATCATGAGTGAATCTGGGCGACCACTGCTGAAGCTCAAGTTTACCAAAAGGCCAGCAAACCCTACACCCAACCCTACACCTGCTCCTGCTCCTGCTCCTGCTCCTGTACCCTCGGCTGCTCCCCCCGAAACTCCCTCTCAACCTCCCTCCCAGCCAAAGCTCAAGCTTAAGATTGGTCGTAAGCCCCAGCCCCAGCTTAACGAGCCCGGACCCGATGAAAAGGCTAAAAAGAAGAAATCGTCCACGAAGAAGAGGGCCGCTGAGAATACGATCCAGCCCGAGGTGGTGCCTGCGCAAGTTCCTAAGCGTCTCAAGCTGAATCCATCGAAAAAGTTGGTCGCACAGTCTCTGCGTATCAAGAATAAAAGCTTGATCGCAAACCGCCCAGTTGGAGTGGGATACGATTCAGAGGCTTCCGACACAGAGGCCGATCCAAGCATCGAAGAGCAGTTCATCTTACGAATGGAGCCTGGAGAGGATTGTGATATCCTACGTCAAACTATTGCGGATCGAAGGTTTGACAAAAATGAAATATCAATAAAGCCTCTCACTCGCGAGGGTCGACGCATCATTCTCAAAATTCGCGATCACACCTATGCAGCTGCGCTTGTCGATCTTCCTTGCATTATTGAAGGCATGAAGAGTTGGGATCGTCGAGGGTGGTACAAGTCTGCAGACATTTGTCAGATGTTATTGGTGTTGGGGCTGGTCTCCAATGATCAAGAAGCTTTAGAATATCCACTCCCCCCGGGATTGAGAAGCCGGATGACAAGACACTACAATATCCTCACGGTCTTGCGCCACCGTTGCATTGGGTTCGCAAGCGACGGTTCCGGGACCGCGTGAGCACCCGCACGATTGAACAAGTGGAAAAGGCTGTGGAGGAATTGATTGCGCAAGATGAAGAGTCGCTGTTCCCACCACGATTCGAGTTGGTGGATAGCACATCTCTGAACCGTGCCGAAGGATTAAGCGGCGATTATGACGAATACTACGATGAGGAGCAAGATGCTGAGGGCGATTACATGGAGGAGGACTTTGACGATGCATTGGCTGCTGAGATGGAGGCAGCTCTAGCCGGAGATGATGATGACCCAGCGGCCTCAGTTGCAGCAGATGAACAACAAGTAGGTCCCATGTCAGAGAGCCTACCCCCTCCCGCCGACACACCACGCGCAGATTCATCAGGCGATGAGAGTGACGAGTCGGAGGAAGGCGCGGAGGAGCTCGATGAGGAACAAGTTGAGCAACAGCGCCAACTTCAACAACAACGCGAGGAGATCGAAGAGCTTGAAGGACTCATTCGCTCTGAGACCAGCGCCTGGGAGAAGGTTGGAAACCACATTTTGCGCGCCAAGATGGGCAAGCGCATCCAGGAGCTTAAGAAGGATCTTACTCTGAAGAAAGTATCCGCTGGACTGGGCGACGACACTGATATTTGAGCGTGGAATTGACTAAACATTTTAAGTAATACGGCTTTACAAGACCCCGGGACCTGATAATGATTCCTCTGAGGGGCCGGTTCCCCGTCCCAGCTTTTCTAGGTGTTCTGAGCGTCTTTTGAACTAGAAATGGAACTGGGTACGGCAAATTTCGCTAGATCGACTGATCTACGTAGCACGGTTGCATAACTTCTTCGAGTCTGAATCAATCCTCCTCATAGGGCGCTATTCTGGAGCTGACTCAAGTCAAAATTGTGCCATGCCTTTACATTCTTCATCTACACTATTTAGTTCAAATATTTTTAAGCAAATTCCCAGTCTCAGTCTCTGCATGATATGAAAGCTGAACTTTTAGACCAACTAGTCGTAAGCCACAAACCAGTTAACTAGGGTTATAATTTATTTAAATTCAACCATACAGAATATCTCATCCGCTGATTCTATGTTCAAATGGTAATCTGAAATAATAGAAGCCATTCAGTAACAAACTATTCAGTTCTAGGAGACCCACATTCTTGTTACATAAGCAGTTCCAAGGGCTGACATGTGATACCGAGGATGACTCCACTACATGTTTCCCAATATCGCAATATCGCAATCTGTATCTTCGCAAGGTTTTTCTCTGCTAAACTATTACACGATTAGTCTACCGTCATCATGGCCATACTATTCACCATTCCAATCACTTCAACTGGAGGTTCGATTGTGTGCACCAATCCGACTGAGGATCAGAATATATATGTGTTGACGTTCACATCGCCAAAAGACAACAGATTAACACCAACATTTATCTATGCACTACTTCTAGCCCTGGACATCATTGAAACTCGCTACCCGAAGGGTGTCGTAGTCACGACGAGCGGCATAGCAAAGTTCTATAGCAACGGCCTTGATCTGGAACTTGCGTTAAGCACAGAAGGATTTTTCGAGAAGATCCTATGGCCATTATTCCGACGTTTTCTCACGTAAGAGCTGCAACTAAATACGCATGAAACATCATTAACGCATTTTTCAGGTACCCTATGCCCACAGTATGTCTTCTAAACGGACATGCCTTTGCAGGCGGCTTCATGTTGGCCATGTACCACGACTACCGGGTACAGAATCCGTCAAAGGGATTCCTCTGCGTCAACGAGCTTGAATTTGGCGTTCCACTTGCAACGCCCATGATGTCAATCTTCCGTGAGAAGTTGCCGCCCACTGTTTTCAGAAATGTGGTCTTGGAGGCCCACCGTTTCGGTGGGCACGCCGCGCTAGAGGCGGGAATTGTTGATGCAGTAGGTGGGATTGATGGGGTTCTTAGTTTGATTCGTGATCGTAAGCTTTTGACCAAGGCTAAGACGGGAATTTATGGTATCATGAAAGAGGAGATGTACTCGCGCGTTCTGAACGGGCTTGATGATCATGCGGGCAATCTTGCGTGGCGTGATAAAGTAGAGGCGAAGAAGAAAGGGATACAAGTACAGGGATTACAGGCAGTCGAAAAATGGGAGAAGAAGGATAAGGCAAAGCTATGAAATTATCTTACACTAATCGAACTGGTTGAGGAAAGTGACGTTGTAGCCTGGTCTAACTCAACACTAAATCGCTGATTATTTTCCATTGGCTGCAGTCTATTCATATTTTTATGTTTCTGAAACCCTCTACGCCAAGCTCTACATTGGTTCCAAGGGCCGTTTAACACTCTTGGGCAACGAGGAATGATTTTTCAGCTGCTGTCTCAAGGACTATATGGTCTACGGGTGGTGAGAAGTTTAAAGTTACAAATCAGGTTAAAAATTTTCAATGGCTAAATGCAAACGAAATCGACAAAGCTCATAAATGCGAGGATAAACTGTAATGTAAATAAGAAATGTTAGCTGCTGGTCAACAATCTTCCGAACTCACCATTAATATTCCCACTCGAAGATGGTAGGCGCTTGGCAAATGGAGCATATCTGATGCTCTTCGGCATAGTTGATAATGCACTGGGTGTGAAACCAATGTCCACATGGAAGAGATGCCATAACAGTACCGATAGGTTTAACTTTGTTGCAAATATTGCAAGAAGCAAGCCATGGGTCACTGTAATCTTCGGGCAAAGCGTCGTCCGGAACGACAAGTGACTCAATGATAGCTTCAAGATCGTAGCAGAAGTCAGAGGAGAAGATATCAGGGACATTATCCATGTCCTTGAATAGCATGCTGACACCCGTATATGTGAACGAGCCTTCTCGATTTTGAGACCTGACCGGAACACCATCGGCGGCGGTTACAATAACTGGGATTGCCCAAGTTGGTACCAGTTTCAGGGCATGTTCGACTTTTGATAATCGAGATGTGCTGATTTTTTCGCTGGACTTGCTTGTCGCTTGGTTTAGAGTGAACAGAATGTTATAGATCTGATAATCGCGCAGTTCGTCGCCATCCATCATGTTTTGGCAGTTGACTTCCTCTCGCCAATCCAGGATTCGACTGGTAGTAGAGATCGTAGGATGTGTTGTGGCGGCGGAAACCTCTTCCTGCCACTTCACAACACGTCCAGTGGGGGAGCCGTGGGCCATTTTGAAAACTTTGTGTTGATGAGCTGAATGCGCTGGTTTGAAAGTTATCAATTTCCTTGATATATAAAGTTGTTGAAAGTGTTTGAGCTGTGCTTGTTTGATAATGTACTAGTGATGCAGCATTCAACGGCAGTGGTATCGATGCCTTTTTTATACATAGGGACTTGAGTCTCCAGGGAAATTCTTTTTTCTTTAAAAGATAATAGTCCTTTGTCATGTTTCTTAGAGAATCTATATTTGGGCCTTCGAATATCACAAATTTCTGAAAGAGCAATGAAATTATACTAGGGCGAGCAAAGCTTTGTTCAGGACAACCAATCATTAGCTTAAACGACGTTCTTATTTTTAGATAATGAAAGGAGCTTTTTATCATGCAAGACGTTAACTGGATATGGGACATGAGGGATATGCCGAATTCGAACTGAGCTCTGCACCCGGTCATCGGTGCGTGGATATTTACCATCGATCCATAAGCTCGCTGCTCTTATTCTGCTTAATCCTGTTGAGTCTCTAATTGCACCAAACTTCTATAGTACATAGGTACTTTCCCTTTATTTAAATCTGAATCTTGCGTGATATTACCGACCCCTGGGGTCGATATTCCAAGATTGTTTGATTCTACTCTGAACCATTGAAATCCCCGCTTTCAAGATCTACATAAAATCTGACTGTGCGTAATGAATAATGACTGGAATAGAAATGGAAACTACAATGCGCTGGGTATCGGTGCAAGGGTATTAGTACCCGACTTTGAACTAGTTGCCCAAGAGAAGTTCAGCTAGCTCTATCTCCCGAAATTTATTGGACGCAATGACCGTGAGCAGCGTGATGCAGGACCTTAGAAATCTTCGAAAATGCGCACTCTTTAAAGCGAGATCTTGGATATAGGAGAGTTGGCGCGGTGGGATACTGCTTCGGCGGATGGGGATCATAGACTTCAACAACAAAGTCCTCCAGTATATATCTACCAGAGAACCTCCCGTACAGGGCCCATCATCTGATGAATATACCGTTCTTTATTTCAAGATTCGTTGTAAATGAACATTGAAGCCAGTCAATGGCTAGTCAAGAGGATAAGACTTGGATCGTTCAAGGTGTGATTCAATGATCAAATACGACCCACTATAACACTAAAGGCGATCTGGGTAGTACCTGGCATTCTCTCGTAATTATTACCAGCTCTCTCGTTTGAATGTCTTGGAGATGACAATAGAGACATATTACGAGGGAGATCAACAAATAATCCATTCCTGTGATGCCTTGGCGCATTAACGTTACCTAGCTAGGCTACGACTTGCGCATCCAAAAGGCACCTGAAGCCTGCGATGTCTTGTCAACAGTCAATTACAAAGCAGAATTATATGCCAAGAGATGATAAGGCAGGCATACCTAGTTAAGTTTTCAACTTTAAAAAGAACCTTCTCCTAAAACCCCAAGTATAACATTAGCATCTCGCATGCTCGGGCCCATGAGACCACCCACGCGGCCCAGTCACATAACAAGGATGTAAGGACGCGCTTTTATTAGACGTATTCAAGACAAGTCTAGCCCCGTCTGCTACGCAAGCAAAAGCAATAAATGCCTGTCAACAAGGTAGAGATATTCGGATTACGATTACGCCTGGGTGACGACCTATCGGAGGCTCCATAAGACTGTTTTGTGTTTCAAGTGATCTCCGAATCTCTCTGACATATTCGCCGAGATTCTAGGCGATGGGCGTTTCATGTCAGCGGTTTTACTTGGATGCATTTTTGCGAATAGATTCACTTGACGTCGAAGGCTATAAAATGGCTGGGTCGCCATTGGAAATAGACATCCATCAGCTCGAGAAGCATCATTTTACCTTGCTCTTCAAATATCCAGAAGATTATCTACTTGATTTTTAAAAGGTCTCATATCTGGTAAGAGAGTGGTGCCCCTATCACCACCTTTAGAAGCTTACATATCGATATAGACTCAGCTCAAGATGAAGTTGAACTACCTTATGGCTCTCTTCTCTCTGGGGAGCATCGCCATTGCAGCCCCCATTGCCAATCAAGCTGGTTTGTTATAACACTTCCCTTGAATGTTTGCATGGTCTTACAAAGAATACAGATCTTGAAACTTCCCCTGGAGGGATTGGAGGCGGTGGTGGTGGAGGCTTTGGAGGTGGAGGTGGCGGTGGTGATGATGGAGCTGGCTTTGGCATCGGTGGCGGTGGCGGCGGAGGCTGGGGCATCGGTGAAGCTTCTGGAAGCGGAGGAGGTGCAGGAGGAGGTGCAGGCGGAGGTGCTGGAGCTGGTGGAGGTGCAGGAGCTGGCGGAGGTGACGGTGCAGGAGCTGGTGGAGGTTCAGGAGCTGGCGGAGGTGCAGGAGCTGGCGGAGGTGAAGGTTCAGGAGCTGGAGGAGGTTCAGGTGCTGGAGCTGGCGGAGGTGGAGGTAGTGGAGATAAGGGAGGTGGCTTTGGTGCCGGAGGTGGAGGTGGAGGTGGTAAAGGAGGTGACTGGAAATAAACCCGAGATCATTATACCTGGGAAGCTATAGGCGAGAAAAGTTGAACCCGAGATTGATTTCATCGAAACAGTCTTACTCTCGAAAGTATAAAATTTTGACGTAGTACCATGGATTTGCCAGGAGACTTGAGTGCATCGACGAGCTGTTGGCCAACGTTAGGGCCATAGCGCTTGCGTCCTCCCTTTAGACTCCAGAAGGCAAATTCTGCAGTACATAATGACACGCACAAGACTGAGGTGTTTCTGGTCAGATTTAATCTTCTTTGGCCGAAATTGTTGTCATAGTTGTAGTTGATATGAACTTGATAGACAAGGATAACCGACTAAGGAACGGTTCTCGGTCCTGTCGATGAGTCCACTTTCTTGAGATAGGATCTAGAGAGGCCTCTTGAGTAACTCAGTTGATCTATTTCATAGTCCGCTTGAATGTAGTTTTGTCTTGTAGTTGTAAGGGCAGCCAGAGCTTCGATTGATCACTCCATAACGTGAGAATGGGCTGCGGAATTGGAGGCTACAGCTCAAATTCTTGATCAGTCGAATTAAAGTTCTATTTTTAGGGCACTAGTAAGAAGATGACTAGCGATGAGGATAACTTAAGCTCTACAGAGACTCCCGAGGTCCGCTGTTCATACTTCATCGCATAGACGTTTTTTCCTAGCGGTAGAGTTGAAGCATTTCCAATAATAATGGCAAACCTGGATTTACCCCGTCGTTTCGTTATAATGCATACACGAAGCTCCTCGCATCTAGTGGCTGAGAGAGCTTGTTTTAAAAGTCTATGGCTATATCGATGAGTAGTAAGACGATATATTATTTCCCGATAAGGCAAGCAAGAACTAACCTAGGTACCTAGGTAGTATCTCGCACCTCTTGGAAGAAGTCCTCGGCGATATGTCTTTTTCAAGGGTATAACTTGCATCGAGGAAACGATTTGAAGATTCAGAGTCCGGACCACCATCGAAAAATAATCCAAGTTCCATCCAAGCGCGGAATAAACAAAACCAGCACGACAGCTCTTGAATGATAATAGTTGCTCCTGAAAGTCATATGTAAAGCCTTCCGATACCATTCGGTGTAGTTGCAGAACACAAGGGAGGCCAGCCACCCATCTGCCTTCTATCAGAGCTAGGCCAGCAAGCACTTCTTCTGTCTCTAGATTAAGAGTTCGAACAGCACTCGTTTGCTAAATTTCTCAGTACTTAGACCGACGATATGGCCCGGTCAAGCTGACGCGGTTAAAAAAGAAGATACAGTTTACAATATCAACTTTGGTAGTGAAAGAGGAACGAGCAGAGAGAAATAGAGGGGTTCGAGGCCCTAGAATATCCAGATCCCCTCCAGCCTTCCTGCTCACCACAAACCAAAACTCAAGTTGTCTTGACCCCGTCTAAACGAACAGGGGCCGCCAAAAGCACATCCGAGGTGTATGGCTCTCCCGAGCTCGGGCGACGGAGCTGTTCGTCATGAAGTCGGTCCAGGGACTCGCCGACAATCTGATACTTGGCCCAGTTGATGGGCGGCATGCGAATCACATTTTGGGGCGGGGGGATGCGCCCGAAACCTTTTTCCCCCTCGTCGGTGAACTGAATCACTGATCCGCTGTTCGACTCAGCGGTGAGGTGTCCAGCGGCCAGTTCGCGTGCGAACCCTTCTGGGTCCACAGAGGCGGCCTCCTTCAGGCGATCTAGGCGTTGGATGTCACGGAGGGCTTGCTGCTTCTGCATCTGGAGAATCGACAGAGCAGAGCGAAGAGCAATCGCATCGGGGTTCTCGCTCTCTGATATCGGCACAGGTGTAGGCTGCGGCTGGTAGATTTGGGCAGCCGTAACTGCTGAGAGAGGAGGGGCTGGGATCGCCACAAGAGGAGGAGGGAGGAGGCTGTCGCCGTCAACAGCGACAGGATCCAGTGGGGCCATCGGCGGAGTGATGGGGGACCAAGGAGGGCCGGGAGGAGTGGTTTGACCAGCAAGCCACTGGTCCATCGCATAACTCAAATCTTTGATAGGATGGCTCATTATGAGATAAGAACTAAATAGAAGCTGAAGAAAGATGGGCGGGACGAAGTCTTTTAAAGCCCATCCCTGGGCCGTTCACCACCAGAGTCGCAATAAAGTCAAAGTGAAATGGAAGTGGAAATGGAAGTGGAAATGGAAGTACAAGTCAATATAAGATTAGGAATAGGGAAGTGGAAGTCAAGATAAGATTAGGGTGTTAGTTAAAGATGAAGTGGAGGCTTAGATCCAGATTGGTAAGTGGAAGTGTCAAGGCTTCGGAACAAAGATGTTCCATTCTGCCAAAGTGACGACATACTTCACAATGTTATGATGCTCACTTCAGACATTAAATATTACAAGATACTGCAGATCAGAATCGCAATATTTTAACTAACAGATAACTTAAGATAATATAATGAATGAAAATTTTTAGCATAGAGTTAAGGGTACAGAGAGTTCGAAAGTTGACCGCACTTTCGAGTATTTCGCATTTAGGCGCGTAGACCCAAATACCATACCCCATTAGGTGTAACGCATGGATTCACATCCACTCCATTTTGCTTTAAAGTACTCCCTTCAACTATGTCGACAGACTCTCTGAGATTCCTAGTGCGGTAATGAGAATGGCACTTCAAAGAGAACATATCGTTCCATATGCCAAGTATAGCAGCGCGGTGACCCGTCTGGGCGGTGAACGAGATAAAAATCTATATGATCAGACCACTTGCGACAATCGTTCCACCTTCCATACTTCCTACACACCCCTAAAATGAAGCGCAAGACAGAAGCAAGAGGCTCTCTGGATGCCAATGGCCCTCGAAACTCCAAGAAGCGGGCTCTGTCCAGCGAAGAAGCCGCTGCGCGCTTTCGCGACGGTTTGTTCGACCCCGCGGAGCAGCAGAAGTATACAGACTACCACAAGAACTCCGGGCCGTATGTGTAACACCTCTGAATACCCAATGGCCAAATACTAATCAATACTGGCCTACAGCTACAAGCATGCTGTAATTCGTCCCCTAATTGAAGACTCCTTGCTCCGATCTGTTCGTCAAGAGATTCAAGACCAAGTCGAATTCACCGAGAAGGAAACCGATATCTACAAGATCTTCCAATCGGGTGATCTGGCCAACCTGGATGGCTTGGATGACTCCTCGCTCTCCAAACTGCCGTCTCTGTTGAAGCTCCGCGATGCCATATACTCGGCCCGCTTCCGCGAGTACTTGTCCCAGGTGGCTGGCTCTGGGAAGCTGAGTGGACTGAAGACTGATATGGCTATTAACGTTTATACCGAAGGATGTCATCTTTTGTGCCATGATGATGTCATTGGCAGCCGACGTATCAGTTACATTCTCTACCTCACCGACCCCGACACCCCATGGCAAGCTGAGTGGGGTGGTGCCTTGCGCCTGTTCCCAACCAAGACCGAGAAGGATGCCGAAGGTGAAGATGTCATGATCCCCAGTCCAGACTTCACTCTCTCTATCCCCCCTGCCTTCAACCAACTGAGCTTCTTTGTCGTCCAACCTGGCCAGAGTTTCCACGATGTCGAAGAAGTATTTCACCACCGTGAGGGCGACGACAAGTCCAAGAAGCGAGTACGAATGGCCATCAGTGGATGGTTCCACATTCCCCAAAAGGGTGAAGATGGATATATTGAGGGATTGGAGGAGAAGCTGGCCGAGCGCAGCAGTCTCGCCCAGCTGCAGGGCCGCGGCGACATCTACGACCTGCCCCAGCCTCAGCCAGTCATGTGGGAAGAACCAGAGGTAGAGACTGACAGCAAGGGCAAGGGCAAGGTAGACGAGCATGTGGAAGACGACGAATTCACCGAGTCCGACCTCGAGTTCCTCGTGCAGTACCTGGCACCGTCATACCTGACACCAGATATTGCCGAGGAGATGTCAGACGTCTTCCAGAACGAGTCGTCGCTCAGCCTGGAACACTTCCTCAATGAGAAGTTTGCCTCGCGCGTGAGTGCTTACATCGAAGACCAGGAGCGACAGCAACTGCCCACCACTGCGGAGGAGATCGAGACTCTGACAGAGTGGACAGTGGCTCGACCGCCCCACAAACACCGCTATCTGTATCAAGAACATACGGCGAACGACGCAGCAACCCCTATCAAGGAGCTATTGAACGTACTCTTCCCGTCCCAGGCTTTCCGAAAGTGGCTGGCCCAGATCACCGGCGTAGACCACCTGACGAGCCATAACTTCCTTGCGCGACGCTTCCGTCGCGGTTGCGACTACACCCTTGCTAGCGGGTACGAGGGCGAGGAACCCCGCCTGGAATTCACTCTCGGCATCACCCCTACAACGGGATGGGAGAAAGAGCAAGACGAGGATGAGGACGATGACGAAGACGAGAGTGAGAATGGAGAGAGTGACGCTAAGCCCAAGCCCAAGGAGAAGAACCAGGCTAAGGCTAATGGAGACGCTGCCGAGTTCCCCTCAGTGGGCGGCTACGAGATCTACATGGCCGGTGACGATGAAGAAGAAGACAAGGGCAAGGCCGATCCAGCCATATACCGATCAGCCGGTGCAGATGATGACGACGGAATCCTCTTCAGCACACAGGCTGGATGGAACAAGCTAAGCATTGTGCTCCGAGACAGCGGAACGCTGAAATTCGTCAAGTACGTTAGTGCGGCGGCCAAGGGTGATCGGTGGGACATCACTGGCGACATTGGCGTTGAGTTTGACGACGATGATGAGCTCGAAGAAATGGATGAGTAGATGTCCGGTGAATACAGTCGTTTTACCCTGTTCCAAGGTTCTAATGGACTGGAAAAGTTTGTACATATTTCAAGGTTCTCTAGGTAAGATCTACTTTTCGCTAGGATCTACTTCAATTGAATCCTATTCCTATACCCAACTGCGCATCTCAAGTGCTTCTTAAAGACGCTTTTCGCGACAAATCCTGAATGGGCTGGTACAGTGATTGTACGTAAAAATCAAATTGGCAGGAAGCGCTTACTGCAATCCATCTAGAACATTTGGGATCCTCATAGATCAATTGTCGTATATCACGAAGAATGGCTACTTTCCATCATAATTCGGATCTACATTTGTAATCTACAGGTTGGGCTGATCATGGCCAATTCGAACGACACTTATTGCAAGGTTGCAATCTGCAAAATGCACAAGATAGGGCTTGTCGGTGAGGGGCGTGATAAGGGGTACTGGGCACCGAATTCGGGCAAAGAACGTTGGAATGGCCCCATAATATTCCTGGTGGATTTCCACATGGTAAAGGAAGAACTGGTCCAGATAATGTCTAGAAATCGTATCGGGCGTCCCACCGAGCGAGGACCTAATTAGTTTAGATTGAGCTATGAGGCCTGGCAGTTAGTTGCAAAGCTCGGACTTACAAGTGGAACCCAACAGTGAATCTCGGACATGATTGGAAGCGTGGCAAATTACTGAGGGATTTGCAGCCAACTAGCACGGTACATTTCCGTGGTACGTACACGGAATCAATGATCCTATTATACAGGCGTTGAAATTGGAACGATGGGACATACAGAACAGTCAGAACTGTAACGAGATTAGTACGGAGTAGCACCTAGTTTGTACTCTCGGATATTATAGTTGTTTCAGCGGCAGTCCCCACCACTATTAGCGCGCTACTTATATAGATTCCTGAAGAATGCAATTTTAAATCTATCCCAAGACTGCCATGGATACGAAGTTTCAACTACCGCCGACCCCTGTCAGATGTCGAGTTGAAGCGCCGCGGCCCCTAGTTTTAGCGCTTTATCACAGCTTTACCACAACTCTAGGCATTAATTAACATATTTGGTATTATTTTTGAGAAGGCTCGACAATGTGCCTTTAGGCTTGGACATTAAATCACGCGATACTGACCCACTTCTACTCAGACAACAAGGCTATCCTGTATGGAGGCTTCCAGCCACTTTTTAATATTCTCAACATTTTCATGCTGGACTTCGAGCCACGTCGTAGACCCTCTTGTATCAGCTTAACTACTAATGATTCTACATCAGCTTTTCTTCAGTCCGGGACCCATTTAGTAAGAAATGTCCATGAGAATAAGGTGCGTGTTGCGAGAAAGGCATTCGCTGAGTGCCTCTCGCTCTCACACTGTTCACCTTCACTGTTCATAGTGCTCTAAGGTTGGATATTAGCAAATATAATGACTTGCGCCAGATGATAGTTCCGGAATCCTTCGGATTGCAAAAGCACCAAAAGATACCCCGTTCTGACATTACCATTCCTATGATCGATGGATCAGTCTGTGGCATCAATGGGGGGTAACGGTGAAGCGGCGCGACTTCGCAATTTTCAGCAAAAGAGTCTGTCAGGGAAAAAAAGGCGAAAGTCGTCTTTTGTTGAGATGACTTCTTTACCCCCATATCTGCTAGCCCCGATGAGGAAATGTTTAGAAGGATCAATGAATGATTCAGCAGATTCTGCCCATGTCACTGCTTCAAGGTCGATATTAAGAAGGGAAGTTGTCTATATTTAGAAGATTCGGGGGTAAAAGACTAGATACAAGGGCACCTAGCTGTTCTGATATGGCCCATATAACAGGGATGGATGGCCTGGGTTTTGGAAAAGGCCGATTGAATCTCGTCTGAAGTAGGTTGAGCCATTCGCTGACCAGATTGCAAGGGATCCCTCCTTCCCAGAAACTTCCAAATAGCTATGAGCCTAGTATGCCCGAATTGGCCGAACGGGCCATAAATTTAGTAATATCATTAGCTGTGGGTATTTGATCCACATACGTCTTTTCTGTTTGCCGGTGACCATCACCTCCGCTAATACTGATAGGTCAAAGAAAGGCTATAGGAGGACCGAATCGACTGTGAATTGGCAATTTCATGGTGGCAGCCAACGTGAAAATCAATAGCATCATATTCTCGCGCAAGGTTGAGAAGCTGCTGTTATGCTTCTGCCGAAGACAGCGGTCGACGCATAAATATTGAATCTGGCAACTCCGTATAATGTAACAATTTAAAAGGACTAGTCGCTAGATGGCGTTGCCAGGACGGAAAGTACACCCCGGGTAAGGGTGCCCTGCCATTATGCCCGGCTGCGAAGATCGCATCCCACCATCTCACCTCAGCAAGTTGGCTAGAGCCGATCTTTAGATGAAAGGATCCATGAATTGGAGTTGAGTCGTGTATGGAGCATGACGCAATACAGTCAGTATAATCAATCTAATCCTCTTTTGTTATTCGCCGAAGCTGTATCATTCGTGCAGAAAAAAACATATGACCATTCTAGCAACAAAGCCGCAAGATAATTACCGACCGGTTTTGACAAGCATTCAAGCTCCAGCCACCCTGACATGAACTGGTTCGGAAGGCTGCAAGTGTTAGGACAAGGCTCTCCACTACAAACTTGACGCGACCTTGTCTTCTTGATCGGAGGTAATTCGCAATCAATAGAGTATCATTTTTAGTGGAGTGATCCAGGTTGAATGACCCTCGATACGAAGTACACAGTGAGGTTTTCACAACTTGCTCAGTAACCCGAGAGGATTTCAGAATGTAAGGTATCTGATATGGGATTGGTTGTATTACCACAGCTAGATGGTAGGTGCGAAGGGCGGGGCGAGACTCATGGGAGTAGCGCTTGCCACTTAGACCGGGAGTGAATACAGAGTATATAAGATGAAACAGATTGAGGGGGGTGTGGTGGGCCATCCACAGTAGGCTCATGATGAGACTGAACGCTTTTTAGGACTTGGGTATTACCGTGGTCCGTGGTGTTTTGCCTTGAACGCCGTGAAGACTGATGCATTGGTACTTATCTCTAGAGCCAGGCTAAACTATTTGGGAGTAGGATAGATCATCTAGCTACATGGCCTTTTTATGCGAAGACCAAGGTGGATGTATTCCGAGATTTTTGCTAAATTCGGAGCATGATTTTTGACAAATTGAGGTCATCCTAATTCCTAAGTACCATGGTACGTGGACGTTACATACCAATTATTGATTGATGCCCTTACTAGTTATCGAGACAGTGTATTTGTGTCGCGAGACAAGGCCAGTAGAAACTTACATGGAAGCGGAAGCTTGTTCCCCGGACATCCCAAACATATCTCTACAGTCGCATGGAACTAAATAGAAGTACGACAAATACTCCGTATTCATACATATCAAAATGCGAGAGAAGCGAGGGGGGAAAGGACACGGTGACTAATAGAAGTTTAAGCAACAGAAATTTGCAGAAATTTGGAATTGCCACAAGGGGTTTAAATGGAATGATCTACCAAGATCGACCTCCAGCTTTAGGGACTCGGCGAGGGCCGTGATCGACGTGAAAAGTAGTTTGTTTCCGAGTGAAGTCATAAGTCATCAGTCAATAAGTCAGAAGAATGAGGCTTGTTGAAGCCGCGTGTTTACTATTGGGGGTGGCCGCAAGGGCCTCCACCAATGGTAACGCTAACTAGTCTCTGCATATGGTGGGGAGTTTTTTTTTGGCATCCCTTGAGGCTTAAGAATACGAGCGAACAGTGACATTATAAATTCTTTGATACTCTCAAGCTGGAATGGGAAAGATGCTACGGTATCAAAAGGAGACGAAAAGTACGTGGCGAGCATTCTGCAAGGTTACGGTACCACATGGCAGACACCTCTGGTATGAACAAAGTACGGCGTACGGGTACTTTATTTCCACGCTAGTAAAGGTGAAGAATAGCATGGCATTTGTACATGTAAATAGTACCTAAATATAATAGATAATAACAAAAACAAAACCATTCAGGCTCTCATAAGATGTGGCGAATTGCGGGCCGCTCCAGGTTCCAGCCCAACTGCAAGACCCTGTACGGAGTACGGATACGATGATCGGATACATCTACTCCACAACTAAGTGGCTTGAATAGCCGGTGAGTTTTGACTGCTTATGGAGTAGCCTTGAACAGGTCGGAGAAGCTTTTAACACTACGCCAAGACAGTAAGCGGTGGTACAGGTCTAAAAATGTCGACCAAGGTTCTTAACTAGGCGGACCCGAATTGAAGACAAATTAGCCGCGCCGTTGGAAAAGAGATGTTAAAAGAAACTGGAGTGACATTCGGGAAGTTGCAGGTATTCAGCACGCGGACCAGTTAGTGTGACTTTGAATAGCTGCGGAGTATGCGGAGTACCTAGATTATGATACCTAGGTAAGTATGACAAGGAAAGATGGAGAAGTTAAGATGGAGAAGTTAAGAGAGAAAACGAGAGCGATGCCATGTGTAGGATGTGGATGCACCATGGTTGGACAATACGTGTATTGAACGCCATGTGTCCAACGTTTTAGCGTGTCGCCTGCAGCCGCTCCTCCCCGGATTACTCTGTGGTATTTAGGTATTCAAGGCAAGGGAGTTCTCTGGCCACCCCCTGAAGTCGATCATTTGCCACGTGAAGGTACTAGATATTTAATATTATATCCATAATTCCATATATAAATTACCGGTTGGAAATCACGTGCTACTCCTTGCAGAGATAATGGAATGGTCATTACTATGGATACTCAGTAATTATACTATTTAGGTATTTCGGATCCACTTCCCGGGCCTTTCTGATTCATCCTAAGCTGTGGAGGTTCTCAATTCTAAATGTTAGACTAATTTAATGTGATCGGGTGACTACTCCACATGGTTTTGTTTACAATGTCAGGATTGAATGTCCTCTCTTGTACGGGTATTCACATAGGGGACTCGAGTAAGATATGACATGAGATGATACATACATGAGATAGAGCAGATAGTAGTGTACTGTATACCCATACAGATATAGTTCTGGGGCCAAAAGCCCCACCTTTGTGCCACGTTCCTCCCCTGACATTACAATACCAATACAGCCTAAAACTCAATTTTCCTTTTTTTTTTTTTGTTTCTGGTCTCGGACTCGATGGCTAAATCTCGTTCTCTGATCGGTGCAATACATTTTAGCGTGAGATCGTCTTTCCCCTCCCATCACCTCACTCTCTCCTCTAAATCGGCTCCTCCGTTCTTTGGCAGGATTCAAAGTCTGGCCCCCATCACCCTATATACTACGCTATACAATATCTCTATATCTTCTTTTCTTTTTGCCAATTGATCTCCGATTATGCACGTGTAAAACCCTCTGCCCCCAAAAACACGTTACACCTTTTTTTTTTTTTCTCCATCTGGACAACAATTCATCAACTTCCGATAAGTCTGCTTCATCATGGACTCTGTCTCTCATAGGCCATGGGAGTCTGTCTCGGGTCCGCAGACGCCTGCCTCGGCACAGACACTTCCGTCTATCTCGACCTTGACAGCCAATATGAATGGTGTACATCCCGCTGAAAAATCACCGGGAAATGCCTCCTTGAATACGATTGAGCGAGACTCAGGAAACTGGTCCATGCCACAGAGTACAAGTAGGCGCTCGATGAATATGAAGAAGGTCCAGCGTGCTGACCTGCCAGGATCATCTACCTACTCAACCGCCACAAATGGAACCGGCTCCAACTATCCCTCTCTCACATTTCTCACCACAACCTCACAACCTTCACCAAATCGCGGTTATGCTGCTCCTGCGCCAGACCGATCGCCGTACTCGCATGATCAGATTATGACCCCTTCCTCCACCAACCAACACCCTTCTCCCAACTACAATACCTCCATGCCAAATTCCGCCCTCCCTACCATCAACCAGAATTATGACGCACAGTCCCACAGGGGCAGTATGGTGACTGACATCCCCGAGTCAAGGCGAAGTAGCATTGATAGTCGTGTGAATCAAGGCATCAGCTCTCTAGCCATAAATCAAGCATCACCATATCACAGTACAAACGCGTCACAGTCCTCGATCGTGTCCAACCTGCAGCGCGAAAGGGGAATTTCGAACGATATGAATTCTTATCGAGGGCCACGCTATTCCACCGGGAGTCAACAACCGCTGTCCCCGCTGGGACCTCGGCCGGGCGATCAGCATCGCAACTTTGCAGCAGGGAGGACAGCGCCTGCCATCTCGTCTAACCCACGGTCTGAGATTTACAACGCCGAAGCTCCCACGGCGGGTATGGCATATGCCTTTCCTGATCCGGACATGGCACGGTCAAGCTCGATGTCTTCTACAGAACATCCACCTTTCTCGCGAAAAGGCAGCACGGCAGAATCCCTGAGTAGTATGTACTCAGAGTCTATTATGCCACGAGGACAAAGTGGTCAGTTTTTTTTTTTTCATACAAGCTATAAGGCGACTTACTCATGATTAATAGAACTGCCTCAAAACGTACACCACCATTCCTTGCAACATAAACAAGTGCGCGATCTAATTGGAGAATCGGACCCATCACTTGGCAACACCCCATACAGCCGAACGCCAGAATTACGCGTTACACACAAGTTGGCAGAGCGAAAGCGACGAAGTGAGATGAAGGACTGTTTTGAATCCCTGCGCATGCGTCTCCCTTCAAGTCAGAACAACAAATCCAGTAAATGGGAAACCCTGACTCGTGCCATCGACTATATCACCAGCCTAGAGAAATCACTAGGTCAAGTGCGCCGAGAGGCATCCCTCCTACGCACAGAAAACGACGAGCTCCGAGCTCAATTAAACCAGGGACCATCCCGACCCACCTCTATCTTCGAGCATCACTCAATGTCCGCAACCCCCACCAATGGACAGAATCAATTCTCCGGCTTTAGCAGCGGGCCTGTATCTCAAGATCAGCCTCGTACCTTGCCACCTCTCATGAACGGATCAGTGGCGATGCAGGGCATACAATATACCAACGAGCAACGTTAGAAAAGAAAAAAAAGTTCGAAGTTATGACCAGTCATGTTGCGGCTCTCTCTCTTTCCATATTGTGACTTTATATATCCCCTTGTTTTAGATACTTGTCTTGGACGTGGTTGCTACTCATCATACCCGCAATGGCTCTGATGTCCTTTGCTTTTTTATTATTTTCTTTTCGGCGAAGCATTTGGAATGTTTGGGACTGGGAATTGGGTGAACATGGGTGTTTTCTGCTATGTATCAAATATCACCAAAAGCGGAATTGATTACCACCATATCTATGAAGAACTAAAAAAAGCACAGATCTACGTTTTTGAGGACGAGTTAAATCAGGTGTAATTAAGCGCCATACTTCCGGCGCGTATCCGTAGCTATCACATCCTATTACTCTCAATCTAATTTCAAACATAACGGCAAAGTCTGTCGGTTTCATCCAATAACATCCCAGCCTCAAATAAGGGTTCCGCATCAACTTGTCTGGGATTGATACACTGAATACTTGATGCATCTAATTGGATCTCAACTTACAAAATGGTCTGAAACTAACAAAGCTTTTCTCAATTTAAATAAGACGGGATGAAGAAAACGGCTCTTCTTATGTGATCGTGTGCTTTTGCTCTCTTCAATTTCCCCGTTTCCGCTCATCATCTTCGTCTTCTTTTCTTATATATTCATTTATTCATTGTTACGTTCTATTGTTGTCCGATCTTGATTCGTCTATACTTCCATTTTCAATTCCACTTCCACTTTTGCTCGTTTACTCTGCGTTTCAGCCGTCATTGTTTGTATTATTGGAATTCACTCTTTGTTCTATCAAATACTTCACTCTACAATACTCTCTCTCCTACTTTTTTCTGATCATATGGTGTCAAAACTATGTGGATTATCATCAACTTGAAGATTATTGAATGATTAGGGCTCACTCAACGACGCAACAATATCTTGAACCTCAGCATGGCCTCGAGGGCAAATCTACAGGTCCCAGTCAGACCGATCTTCCCACTTTCATCCCCCATGGGCGAAGAGATCTCGAGTCCATACTCATCAGCAGGGGAGGACCTGGAGCGGGAGAGACCGTTTGACTATCTCTCCAGGGCCTTGAACCGAGGCAGCCACAATAAAGACGTCTCGAGAATTAGTGTTGCCGGCATCAAAAAGATCAAGAAAGAAAGAAATTCCCGACCACTCGGGCTCAACCTCATCACCGACATGCCACTTCCCACATCACGGAAGGTGGAGAACGACAACGCAGCTCCCTTTGTCGACTTGAACGATCTAATGATGCTATCCAAAGCCCGTGAGAAGGAACGCGTAAAACGAAAGTCTACACAACAATCACCAAATTTCAAATCAAGAAGACATGCAATTCAGAAACCGCCCGATGAGATGATCGAGTCTCAGAATGACCTATATGCAAACCTAGCACTACCAGGCAAACTATTCAGTGATCGGTATGATTCAGGGCTTTCGTCATCCGATCGCCAGGTCATGATCGGCCTGACAGTTCCGGTCGAGGAACAGAAACAGCAATCAACACTAGGTACACCCCGCACACCTTCCATCATCGTCACACCCGCTCACGACGATGGATTCTGGCCATCCAGCCCGGAAGATACGCGGCATCAAGAAGGATCAAGTGTCTACTCCCAAGCCACGCCGCGAATTTGGAAAAAAGACTCTAACACTCCACCGATTCCGAGAATCCCAGAGCAGCACAGCACAAAACTAACCGACGCCAAGCTCATCGACTCCCGCGCCAGTCTCAGGAGCAGGAAACTCAGCTCCCTGTCTGACGGGCCTAGCTATGAGATCTCGCGTGGAGATGTGCGCCGCGCAATCATGGGTGACAATGGTCAAAGCCCACTGAACGACCGGCTGAGCGTCATGACGGGTGAAAATAGACCCGCTTCACAGGGTTGGTGGAACGAACTACTCTCACCTTATCTGAAGACGTCACCTGCTACGCCTCAATCTGGATGGGGCGGTTCGACACTTGGACCTTCAGACGATGTATCCCAGGATTCATGGGAGAGGGATGAGGTATCAGTTTTTTCACCAGATTCGCCTCTCGATGAGAAAGCTCGTTCGCTCATCTTGCACAACGAGCCCTCAACGCCATCAGATGAGGTGGTAGAGGACTATAAGACTAGTCCCCACGAGTCCACGGCACCCGACAAGTCCACAGCACTCAACAGACGAAAGCGAGCCGGTGTCATATCACCGATATCCCAAACAGACATTATAACGGGGCTGGATTCAACGCTGGGAGAAACTGAAGAACACGATTTCGACCATGAGATCATTTCCATGTCCAACTCGCCTCGAGCTGTCTACATTGGTAATACAATGGCGGCTGTGTCAGCAGATGTAATGCATGAACCCGATGTCGAAGCCAAGGAGGAGACTGTAGAACGATCAGCTTCTCGTACATCTAGCACCCATAATGCCAAAGTGCAGGCCTTGTCTAATACTCCCCCTTCAGGCGCTGCTGTGGACAAGGGCAAACTATTTGTCGAGTCACCTGCAGACCGATCACCGCATCTCAAAACAGAGAGAGTCATCGAAAAGGTCTACGCCGAACCAATCCAAAACAACTACGTGACCTACGTACCACCACAGCCAGCCCCAGCTCCACTGATAGTGGAGAAAGCAGTCCCGCCCCTCGTGCCCGTCTACTCACCCGGATACCAACCTGCCGTCGTGAGAGAGGTCCATTCTCCTCCAGCCGCCTACACGCGACATGGTCGGTACGAGAACAAAATTATGGAAAACGAGGATTATTACGAGATACATGCAGACAGATATATAAGATTACACCACCCACGCCGATCATCGATAGAGATACGCGAAAAAGTCCTCCACGGCGACTCGTACGATCTCCCAACTCAAGGACGCGGTCTCGCCCGCTCAGCAAGTACTGATAAAATCGGGCGCGAGCGAATGCTGCGAGAAGATTACTACGACCAACCGCACAATCAACGACGCATGTTCGCTCAGCGCCGAAGTATAGAGTCAATGGAGATTCCAGAACGAGACTACTACATGCTTCCCGAGCATGAACGCAAACTTGAACGTGAACGCGAGCTCAAATTCGTCGGAGGCAGAGACAGAGTCAGAGGGTTGAATGAGGACTATTACAACTTGAGTGCTGAAGAGCGACTGGAGCGCGAAGAAGCATTCGATTCCGAACGGATCGAGCGTATCCACGCACGACCCGATGACCATCGCTACTCTGAGGAGGAGTTTGTGTCACGGCCCGTTCCTGCAATGAAGAAGGTCATGTCGTGGAAAGACAAGATCCTGGGCCGTACGCTGCGCTCAGAGCCTCGCGTCATCCGGCACGACCACGTCATAGCTGATGAAAGTCCTCGAGGAGTCGAACTCGGACTTGAAGAGCGGCGGATCATCAAAGACGGTCGGATATATGCTGGAAGTCCTCGACTAGACGACCAAAATATCATCGAGAAAGATCGCTACTACAATCGTAGTTCGTTCGACGAGCGCCGGATCATTGAAAAAGACAGTTATCTAGCCGGTAGTCCTTTGGACGAACGAGTTCGTGTCATCAAAGAAGATCAGTACTACAACCGGGGTCCTCGAATCGGCCTTGGACTCGACATGCGTGAGCGGCATCTCCGTGACATCCATGACGAAGAGGATTACCGACTCGCTGCAATCAACGAAGATCGATGGATCGATCGCAAGTATGCGAAGTCCGACAATCAATTCCTCCATAAGGCAATCAAGGATGATGAGCAGAATAGTTTGATTGAGATCGGCGAAGAGCGACGACTTGGCCAAGAATTTGCGAAAGCTGATGAGCGCTATCTTCGCAGGGATCTGGAAGGCAATATCACATATCACAAGGGCGAGCTTGCTGAGGGGAAATGGATAGGTCGAAAGTGTGCAAAGGCTGATGAGCAGTATCTTCGGAAAGAGGAGAAAGACGATATCAGATATCGCAACGTCGAGCTCGCTGAGGAGAAGTGGCTTGCTCGTGAGCATGCCAAGGCTGACGATAAATACCTTCGGAGAGAGGAGAAAGACGAAATCTTGTATCGCAAGGATGAACTTGCCGAAGAAAAATGGCTTGGCCGTGAGTACTTGCAAGCTGACGAACTTTATCTCAAAGATGGTGAGAAGTTTCGCATCGCCGAAGCTAAAGAGGACAAGCGACTGGCCCACGACGAGGCCGAAATAGATGAGAAGGCCCTCGGGGACGATATTAAAGAAAATGAGAAGCTTCGCATTCTTCAGATGAAAGACCTCCAGCGCATTCACCAACAAGCAAGCAAAAATGACGAGAAATCCCGAAAGAAGGCACTCAAGGAAGAAGAGAAACTTCGTCTTCTCCAACTCAAGGAAAGAGAGCGCATTCGTCTCAAGGAACTCAAAGAGGAGAAGCGCGCTCGCCGAAAGATGATCAAAGAAGAAGAGACCCTTCGTCTCCTCCAAATGAAAGAGAACGAACGACTCGGTTTCCAGCAGGCTCGGTATGATGTTTCCCGCGGTAGTCCTCGCGACAAATACGACGAGAAGTTCCGCCTGATTCAGATGAAGGAGCATGAGCATCTGCGTCTGCAGAACATCAAGCACGCAAAGAAAGCTCACTACGAGCATTTCAAAGACGAGGAGCATTACCGTCTGGTCCGCGGCGAAGAGCACCAGCAAATTGGTACCAGAGAAGAACATATCCGGATGGAAAATAGCCCACACATTGATGAACGCAAATATGAGGCTGATCATCACTACCGCATGAAAAAGGGAGCCGAACATGTTGGTGAATACGCGCTGAAGCGCGGTGCTGAGCACCTCGTCAAGGAGGGGGTCAAGGAGGGTGCTCGTGATTATATGCACAGCAATGAATCCAGCAGGAGTACTCCAAATGGTAGATATATCCCCGGTAGTATTCTGAGATCCGGATCAAAGGGGCTACATCGATCGGAATCTCGTCTTCGCTCAGGAGAAGGCCTCCTTCGATCAGGGTCAGATAGCTTCCATGGGGATGGCATGCCACAAGAACACATGATGGAGAAGGGCGGTAGAAGGATTGGGGAGAAGGTGTTCAAGGAAGGTGGTAAACACCTTTTCGTAAAAAGTGGTAAAAACCTTATCAACGACTTTGTTTCGCCGGTTCCTCCTAGAGCCGGTAGCCCGTTTGGAGCTGCTGCTAGCGGTCATATACAGCAACGTGAATTCGGCAGCAGCAAAGGGAAAGGCTTGAAGGGTCAGGTTCTGTCGAATGAGAGTCCCGGGAGCTACGGCAGTGGATATCTCGCAAGCAAAGAGCATGACTGGCGAGATCGATCTCGCGGCATGAACATGAACAATGGACCATCACCGGGTGGCAGCCAACGCAAAGGGTATTTCCTCATCCTCACTTTCTTTTTTGCGATTCTTATTTCCGCCATTACAGCGGCTATCCTGCTATCAAAACAGCGTGGCAAGATCTCTGTTCAATCTCAATGGCTAAATCTGACTGGATATCCACCCATTGTCACAGGCATCTCAACAATAGCCGGCGCTGAAACGCACAGCTCCGATTCGTCTTGCAGTGGCCCCTCGTCCCTCTGGAGCTGTGCTCTTCCAAAGGACGATCAAGCCTCGAACGAACCGTACAGCGCCGACGAGCCCACTTTCCAAGTCGAGATCCTGTTTCGCAACGGCACAACATCCACAAACTCCACGCAGGTCCAGGACCGAAGCGACTGGGCCTCGGACCCATCCCCTCCAAGCAATGCTGACCAAAAGTTCCTTGGAAATACCACGGATGGAAACAGCCTGCCCTACAACGGCGAACAAACTCCTTTCTACATCTCCGTTCTATCACCGGCTCATCTCTCATCTATCAGCACTCTCAGCCGTCGCAGTACATCCACAAACCTGTCATCCATCATTCCTTCCCCAGACGAAGACACCGACGGTTCAGCCGCCGCAGCACTCCTCTACCCGCTCCCGACACTACAACCGCTCAACCTGTACAACAGAGGCAAGTCAAATGAGCACTACGGCTTCTACACATACTATGATAAATCAGTATTCCTTCAATCAACGGCTTCGTTGGACGGCAGCACACTAGACACAAACACAAACGATACAAACGGTGGATCCAGCAAAGCCACAGCAAACGTCCGCTGTACCTGGTCTCAGACCCGATTCCTAGTGCAGATGTGGACCAAGCCGGGTAAAATTGGCTTCACGCTCCTTTCCTCAAACAGCAGCACCACAAACACAACCTCATCATCATCTGCGTCAAACTATACCCGTCCCGGCTCATTCCCCTATCCGGTAACAATAACGATCGACCGCCATGGCGGAAATGAAGACAAGAAATTCATCTACTGCTACGAAGTAGAGTCAGATGGGCACTACAATACCTCCAACGCCAAACTCCTACCTGAGAACCGCGGTATAGGTGGCACATTAATCAATCCCGTCTCCACTTCTACAAATGAGTCGACGGCGATGTGGGGTGGTGTTGATGGCGGGACTGGGGGGTGTGGGTGTGAGTGGGTGAATTGGATTTCTACTTCATAGAATATTATAGAGGGGCTCAAAGTTATAGCATGGCGGGCGATTCTTCTGTGAATTTAAGAAAAGCACATTTTACCACTCATTTAATTGATAGACTTTGCTTTTTTTCAACATCTGAAATCTCTTCTTCAACCTCGAATCACTGACTCAAGAATTGATGAAAAAGAAGAATCCATAAATTGAATGAATGATGTGCCAAAGAATCCGCCCCTAAAGCCGTTGAGCAGCTGGTCCATGCATAGTGCAATGCAGAGGTCGAGTTGTGGTTAAGCCGCTTTCATGAGCGCAGCCACCCAAACAAGGTAAGCATGAAGAAGGAAGAAATGGAGAGCAAGGGGCGAAGAAGAAGTTGTCTGTATAGGCAAAGGGCGCTGGAGTGTTAGGTGACTTGATGAGTTGGTTAGTCAGCCCCTACTTAGTGGGAGTTCTATGAGATTTGGCTTCACATCTACGGCTTGACTAATGGCTAACTATTTCAAAATACTGGGTTTTGAGTCATTATATTTGCCTTTTGCATTTTTCTAAGAGACAACTTACTTAATTGGTGGGAAATCCCAACAGACAGGATCTCTTATGCTCACCAATATTTCATATTCATGGATTTGTGGATGATGGAGCTTGAGTTGGATATGGAGGAATTGCTTTAGCGCTGGTATTGTTGTTTATATCAAGAAATCTGAGCTTAATAACGCAGCTGAATAAAGCATCCTCGCTACCTGGCCCTTAAAACCCAGGGACCAGCCATTAGTAAGGATAAAGATTGAAAGATCGCTCTTAGATCCGTGTAGTGCATTCAATTATTCGTTCCATGGTTCTTGAGTGACTCTCAACCTACATAATTCCATCTTCAACATCTCGTCTCCATATCACTTCGATTCAATCTCTGCTTCATTCTCATCGCACTGCCCTCGCTATGTCTAGATTTCATCCTGAAAATGAGCTCCTCCCTAAGATCATTGACCATTATGCTCATGAAAAGCCAGACAAGATATATGCTGAATACCCAAAGTCCCTCACAAGCTATGATAATGGATTCGAGGCAATTACCTACCGTGATTTCGCCAATGTCATTAACGGTATCGCCCAGTGGCTGACAGAGACATTTGGTCCTGGGAATGACGATACACTAGCCTACGTCGGTCCTAACGATCTACGATATCCCGCTCTTGTAATCGGCGCAATCAAAGCCAACTACTGCATGTTTTTTCCATCACCTCGCAACAGCGTCGCTGCCAATGAATCTCTTTTTAAGAACATCAGATGCACCAGAATACTCACACCCACTGTACGATCACCACTTGTCGCTACAACAATCGATAGCTTGGGCTTAACGGCCCATGATGTGCCGGGAGTGGATGAACTGCTTGCTGGAAACTACGCACATTTCCCATATACAAAAACATACCCGGAATCAGCAAACGACAGATTTGTCGTACTCCATACCTCTGGATCAACAGGACTTCCCAAACCAGTCACCTGGTGCAATGAAGTGGTTAATCGTCACATCCGCATGACGACGCTGAAACCACCAAAAGGCTTCGAATCTATTGATAGATGGACGGATGGGAAACGACAGCTCAGCGCCATGCCACCTTTCCATGCCGCTGGTATTGCAATTCTCCTATTCATCAGTATCCCCGCCGACATGACAGTCATCACAACCACTTCAGGCGGACTGCCAACAGCTGCAGATTTGGTGAAGGTGTTGAAAGCCACACACGTCGACAACGCGCTTCTACCCCCATCCCTCATAACGGAACTAGCCTATAGCTCCGACCTCTTAGATTATGCTAGCAAGCATCTGGATTTCATAGCCTACGGCGGCGGTGATCTACCCCAGACAATTGGAGATATAGTAGCCACTAAGGTAAAATTGGTCAACCGACTCGGGGCTACTGAGATAGGAATGTTGAGCTCCATCCAATCGCTCTCCAATAATGATCCACTCAAAGATTGGAGATACATAAACTTCCATCCAGAATTAGGAGTCGACATGCGCCGCGTGACAGAAGAAGAGTATGAACTTGTTATGGTGCGTTCGCCAGAGCGCGAACGGCATCAGCTCCCATTCAATATCTTCCCAGAGCTTAAAGAGTATTCTACACACGACCTCTGGGTTCGTCATCCAGATAAAAACAAAGCTGATTTATGGCGGTGGAGTGCGCGTACCGACGATGTGATTGTGTTCCTGAATGGTGAAAAGACGAATCCGATCTCCATGGAGCAGCATATTGTTATAGCGAATCAAGAGGTCAATATGGCACTGGTTGCTGGAACTCGTCGCTCCCAAGCATCACTTCTAGTATGTTATAGCGATGGAAAACTCAGCTCTAGCGAACGGGCTGTTGCTATTGAGAAAATCTGGCCGAGTATTGAGGAGGCGAACATGGTCTGTCCAGCACATGCTCGTATCGCCAAAACACACATTCTGTTCGTGACGTCTGACAAACCAATGGTGCGCTTGGGGAAGGGTACCGTATCGCGTGCAGGAACCATTAGGCTGTACGCGAAGGAGCTGGATCAGCTTTATTCAGACGCAGACCAAGTAATTCCACACCAAGAGATTCCCGGCCCCGGGCGAGTGGACAATCCTGAGCAAGTGTTTGAATTTATTGGAAAGTCTCTGGCAGCCATTACGGGCTGGGGAATAGATCAGATCAGCAGTGCTGAAAACCTCTTCCATCTTGGTCTAGATTCCTTGCACGTTCTCACTGCGGCTCGATCTCTCGCACACGGCCTTGACTTGCCGTCATTTGCACCGAGTATAATTTATCTTCACCCTTCGCTTGATGACCTCACGCAAGCGGCTTTACAGCTCGTAAAAGCCGAGTATGCTTCGAAGGAAGCTGCCACTGAGGCACAGCTTCGTGATAGAGAAGATTTCTTGCAAAGGTTCCTCAGCCAAATTGAAGGACCGAAGGCACAACCATGCCTCCACTCTCAATCTCACACCGTAATTCTGACTGGATCGACTGGGAGCCTGGGCACATATCTCCTAGATACACTGCTGAAGAACCCACGCGTATCCCATATCCACTGCCTCAATCGCAGAGCAAATGGGTCTGAGGTTCAGAGCGAAAGGAAAGAGTTCTACAACTTGACCTCGCCACTAGATCCCAACCGCGTCACATTTTGGCACACAGACCTTTCCCAAAACGGCTTTGGCCTCGATCTCAATGCGCTACAACATCTACAAGACACAACGACAGTCATAATCCACAACGGCTGGAACGTCAACTTCAACCTCTCACTACCATCCTTCAAGCCCGATCTTTCAGGCGTAACAAACCTGATAAACTTTGCAGGCGCAGCCTCCAGGCCACCCCGAATTTACTTCATTTCGTCCATAGGTTCCGTCGTAGGACATATCACCGACAATGGACTCATTCCCGAAAAATTATTGACAACAACAAGCCCCGGAGTGAACGGATACAGCGACAGCAAATACATAGCCGAACACCTGCTCGGCTATGCGTCAGACAGAAGATCACTCCGCACATCTTTCGCAAGAGTGGGACAAATTGCCGGCGCAGTCCGCACTCCCGGTCTTTGGAATAAGTGTGAATGGTTCCCTAGCCTTGTGCTGAGCTCTATGCAGATCGGAGCTTTGCCGTACAGTGTCGGTCCGACGTTAGGACGAATTGACTGGGTTCCAATTGACTTCCTAGCTGAGATCTTAGTCGAGCTCGCACTTAGTAACTCTTCTTCGGATTTAAACTCAGTGGACGTCTCCCACCCGTTAAATCTGCATCCGTCCACATGGAGTGAGATCCGCCCTATAGCTTCCAGAATCCTCTCTGAACTCACAGGACGACAGCTAGAAGCCATTCCCCTTGGTGAATGGGTACAGCGAGTCCGTCAGGATGTCGAGATGGCTGGCAGTCAGAGCGAGTTACAGGAACTCTTGGAGAAGAACCCAGCGGCAAAAATACTTGAATTCTTTGAAGCTGAGGCGTCCAATGCCGAACTAGAATTGGAAATGCGGTTTGATACTGAAGAGACGAGCAAAGTAAGTGGGAAGCTGCGTGATTTGAATCCTATTCACGCGGAATGTATCAGCAAGTGGATTCTAGAGTGGATAGAATCGAAGTGAGATCCCAGCATGAGAAGTATATTCTCAATGCTTGGTTGAAAGCGTCTACGAGACAAGAATGAATAAGAAGAAATAATATTAGCCGATTAAATTCCAAACTGTAGAATAAAACAAGATCTATGAAAAACCGAACGCCAACCCTTCACTCTGATGTAGGTCATCGCTATCCGCACTCCGTTCAACTCGCATATATTCTCCAAGAAGCTCTAGAGAAAGAAAGAGAAAGAAAGAGCCAAAGCGAAAGACATCTCAAAACCCCGCAAAGTCGCAAACTCACAAACCCGCAAAGTCGCGAAAAAGTACGAGTCAGCGACTCGATTATGCGAGGAACATGGCAGCACCGTAGGCAACGCTGCCAATGACGGCTCCGACAACGGGAGCGGAGACTTTGGAGCCGGGGTTGGAGGGGACGTAGCCAGATCCCTCGGAGCCGGAGCCAGAGCCGGAGGAACCAGAGCCAGAGCCGGAGCCGGAGCCGGAGCCGGAGCCAGAGCCAGATCCAGAGCCGCCAGAGCCGCTGCCACCACCGTGGCCAGGGGAGCCGGAGGTGGGGATCACGATGTGGGTGGTAGTAGGAGAAACAATGGGGTAAGTCTCATTGCCGTGGGTACCAGTAGTGAGGGGAGGACCGGTGACAATGGGGTGGGTGCCAGTCTTGACAGCGGTAGAAGGGGGAGCGACGCTCTTGTGAACAGGAGGCTCAGAGTGCTTGGGGACACCAGCCTGAGCACCGGCAACGACAGCCATGATGGCGACAGTGGAAGCAGTGAAACGCATTTTGATAGATGGTTGAAATGGAGAAGGTTGAAATAAGATTTCTTAACGAAGGACGAAGCGAGCTGAGAAGTTGTCAGAAAAAGGCTGTTCTGATGCTGTGAAGAGATGTTTTTACCTGTAGAAGTGATAGATGCAGATGAATGAGCTGATGAGATGAAAAACAGATCTTGGTGCGCCGAGGAAGCCATCTTTATAGATGATGGACCTTCTCAATCCGGCCAGTTTAAGAATAGCATTGTAGTTAAGTCCGTGTGGGTTACTACCATAGAACAAGCTCAACCCACTAGAAGAAAGATAAAAAAAGATCTTCCTGCCAAGTCCTCTATTCTTACCTATTTTGCCTTAGCCAAGGTCTTGGGTGGCTCTCTGTAGTGGAGATTTCAAGATGACAGGTTTCTGCATCCGGGGTTGAAACTGAGATGGATCTCCAATCACCGAGTGCAATAGCACCAATAGCATCACGAAAGCAAGCTAAGGGTGGAGACGTTGGCCACTGAGAACGATGTAAGGTCACGTGATTGATTATCCCGAATAGGAAAGTGACAGTATCGCAAGCGGAAGCCCTTCGGTTCGCGTCACTGCACCAATAGGACATTCTTGATATAAAATAAAAATATTTGCAAGCCTTAACATGTGGAAATAGGAAGAATGCCATTGACAGGCTATTTGGGACGCCGGATTCTACATCTGTTTGCGCCACCATCGGCGTCCCGCGTCCATCGCGATTTGAAGCATTCAAGCCATGAATTTAGGAATGTGAAATGTGTCAGTGGCATTGATGTGAAATACGAAGATAATATTCAAGATTCAAATCTGATTTAGAATGAAGATTAAGGATGTGATGAAAAATGAGAAACAATCTACAACATTGAATGGAGTCTGGGTCGGACTCGGCCGAATATTTTGCAAGGTCCTACTGTATACAGTCCATCTTAGATCTGTTTCGTCAAGATCTTGACTAAATTATGTGAATTTGGTCGCGGATAACAGGCGAATCGACAATGAGATTCAGCCCATGTGATTTAGTTGTATTCCTTCCAAGCCTACCCATTCAGCGCCTTCTCTTTAGTGAAATTGGCTAAAAGTGAGTATTCCGCCGATAGACCATGAGTTCCCTCCCTAGGAATCCTGGCATGTAGTATGTATACCCATTCATATTCGTAAACCGGTATCAGGTCTGTTTTCTCCTCAGGTCGCACACCTACAGCCTACCTTGTCGATGAAGACTCGTAACTGTTATCGTATGTTAACATTCAGTACTACGAGCAACGATGCTATTGAAAGCGATCATTCTCAGCATTCATAGGTTGTATTCTAGTTGCAATTTTAGTATCAACTCAATCTCAACCTTGCATTGAATTCCATATCCGAAGAATGCATCTTGAAGATTCGATGAATGTATATTGCCTCATCCGGGGATCAGCCCTTCTTCTACCATTGCCGGACATAAAGGCTTTGCGCCAAGCATTTTGACAGCTGCAACCTTATATACTGAGGAATGTGAAGCTGATGTGTTCTTGTCGATCGCTGGAGAGATGCGGTGTCACGGCAGTGAGTCCTGGCCTTTTCCATTGGCAACCTCATAACATAGTCTCAAACATCAATGCTGTAGTCATATTTTTATCGTCACAGTATGATTGGTGGAACAATCCCATTGACCATGGTAGACTGGGTTAATTGATAAGAAAGGTCCAATTTCAACTAGCCCTATCGTGGAAAAATCATCCTTACAGTTTCTAATCTCACTCCATTCAAGTAAAACAATTTTGCATATAACAGGGGTAGTTTCTCTTCTAGCTCAAAACACTCATTCGATCCTTAGTAAATTCCAGGATCTAGCACATGTATATAAACCATCTATATATTAAAGCAACTTACGATCTATTCAGGGAGAAAAACTTTCAAAGACTGTGGGAAAATCTCCTTTTGATCTACATTTGAGAGAAAAGGTGGGTATATCCGACTTCTGTAGATTGCATATTGCTGACGTCCATTATTTAGGTCGCTAGCCCTAGTCATCATAGTAGATGCCAGGGGTAAAACCCCTTTTATAAGGAACGGAATTGAACTCTATTCAGTCTAGTCTAATCGAAGACGATGGCTCTGCTATAGATACTATGTCTATGAGCACCTATGATTTTTTTTCAAAATTCCAATACTAAAAATATTCCTGCCTCAAAAGAAATGGAAATGAATCCATCTTTGACGTCCCTCCTCCTACCAATCTCTGCCTCTAAGATAGATATTCTTTGGAAATAGACATATTCAAATGCAAAAAGGTGTGATTTGTTATCTTATTTAATACAAAAAGTGATATCAAACAGCAATTTGAGAGAGGCTCTACTAATCAAGATCCTTTTAGTAACCTCAATGTTACGCTGAGAGGTGAGTGGGTTTCTAAGCAGCCCGATCCCGAAGGACCCCGAAGGAAACATGGGACGATAAATAGTAGTTGTTCGACCCCATTAAGGGTTCGACTTTTTTTTAGCTCCCCGACAAACTTATTATGATATATCATATTACCCACAAAAAATGAAATACAGTGTTTCGATTAGCCGATAAGACGAAAAGTTCGTCAGTTTATATAGACAGCAGGATCAAGATTCTGGAATGAAAAGGTGAGTTGGAAAGCGCTGGAAAACTGGTTATATTTGCGAAGAATGGAATGGTAGAGTGTTTTATATCGTTGCTTACCTTTTCTCGTCGGATGGGATATCCTTTCCGAACACCTCCACGATATTATCAGTAGTATTAAGCTCCGACAAGCCCCCTAAGTTCGGAATCTCGGTGAAGGCGTCATAAACGTCGGGTTTCTCTACATCCTTTGTGTACCACATGGCATCAGAAAGAAGGAATTCACCAACTGAATAGTCCAAGAATACTCCCATCGTGGCTGCACTGTCGAAATTTCCTGGCTTCATAAAGTCGCTGAAGACTTTAGCGTGAGCCCATAATGTGGCATTGTATAGTTATAACTGAGAAGGCTGTACCACATTTGTTCTTGAGGAATCATAGCTACATCAAAGCGTGTGATAATGCCAAAATTGTTTGAGCCGCCTTTCAAGGTAAGCCAAAGGTCGTGGCGAGAGCCTTCGTCAGCATAGATGACTTCGCCACTTCCGAAAACCACTTCGTAACCGAAGACGTTGTCGCAGCTGAAACCGCACTCGCACGCGTGAAAGGTAATTCCACCTGGTTAAATTTTAGCTAATTATCTAGAACAGTCTTTAATCGAGTACTGACCTCCGGTGGCGAAACCTCCAACTCCGATCCCATAACAGCCAAGTTATACAGCACAAGCTGCGCGTAACCGTGGTCCCATACAGCGCCACCTCTAATTTTAGCAATTGTCTTATCCTCACTCATACTTGATTCATGAGGCGCATATCGATGGTTTTACCAGAATCAATGTTTGCCGCTCCAGTCCAAAGAGTGTGTCCACCACCTCTGATGGCAAAATTGGTCTTTTATTCTTCTAAAGTCACCAACTTGATAAACCGGGATACTTCAGAAGTATTGGTAGGCCTGAAGATACGACTGGAACTCAAGGAGCGCTCCTGGCTGCTATAGTAGGATGAGAGGGACGAATTGTAGGTTGTTGTGCCAGAGTATGATATACGCCCTGGAATCTTAGACTCGATGATCTTGCATGAATCGTGCATAGCGAAAGCAGCGGCGAGCCCCGCTGCTACGAGGAGACGCAAAAGTGACCAATTCATGGTTGCGCTTGAGCAGAAGTTTTGAAGGGAATCATTAATGAGCGTTCGTTTAATTGGTCGCCGGTTAAGTGATATCAGAGAATTGGTATTTGATGAGACTGAATCCACTGATAGAGGAAAGAAGAGACGTGTTGGGTAGTTTATTATAAAATACCTTGGCGTTCTAAATATAAAATCCTCTTTAGATATTCGCCGTGGAAGGAAAGAATACCCTCACCTAGGGTGGATAAGTCTGAGACCTAGTTTCAAGAAAATATCTAGCAAGCTTCAAAGTAACCCCATCTTAGTGTCAAATCAATGGCGACTATTCTTTATTCGTCATATTCTCATTATTATTTAGAATCTACCTTTGGCTGAGCAACATAGTTATCGAAGTCCTTTCATTGGCGTCCACATGCTGGCACTCCACTGTGTGAACGGCTTATATACTTGTCTTATCAACGCGCGTGTGTATGGTACCTTCATCCACTTCTCGTATAGGGCAGCTATTGTCTACTGAGTGCCTGGCAAAGGCTGACCACCCATATAGCGTGGAAATCCTTGGTATCCAAGCCAAAGCTCACCAGTTCCTGGAGGGCCACCGACAATCTCATTCTTACGGCCTTTGAGCTCATCAACGTCCCAATTGGCGAAGACTATTTTTTTTTAAGAAACTCTGCTTCGGGAGAGACAACCCAGACAAGGAAATCCGCGGGGAGAGAGACTGCAAAAAAAAAAAGAATTCTCGTTAGTGATTTGGATGAAAAACAGATTAGCCACAGAGGACAAGATATGTTTATACTGACTGTCATCGTGGGCAAATGGCAATTTTATCGACTCTGACAGCTTAGCAGACATAGCCGTGTCAATGAATCCAGGATGCACATTGTGAAGGCGGATTTGTGGGTTCTCGGCGGCAAAGGACTGTAAGAGCTTGACGGCGGCCATCTTACTGCTCACATATGCGCCCATGCCAGTGAACGGGGGAAACAAGATGCCGGCTGTGGTCATATTGATAAAAGTGATTGGCTTGTCCTCGTTGGGGCTGACTTCCTTGTTTGCCAGGATAATAGCCTGTGCTGTCACCAATGTAGCGATAACGGTAGTCTTATAGCCGTCCAGGAAAGTAGCCGGATCAGCTTCCAGAAGCGGAACAACGGGGGCCAGGATGCCAGCACAGTGCACGAGGATATCAATGCCGCCAAACTCGGTAGCCACCTTGTTCATGGCATTGCGTACGCTCGAAGCATCGCACAGCTCAGCCTCGTAGGTTTGTATCAAAACCTCTGCATTGCTGGCGCGGACAATCGTGGCTGTTTCCGCCAAAGCATCGGCGCGTCGACCGAAAGGATGAGGGCTCGGGGACCCGGCGCAGCAAAGGATGAGGCTGTGGCTCGGCCGATGCCGCCAGATGCGCCAGTGATCAGCACAACCTTGTTTGTAGTCGACAGGCTGGGCTGAGTTGGATTGATACTAGCATATGAGGCAGAGTGAGTGACCTTGGTGTACGAGGGCGGCGGTGGTGGTGCCATTGTTTCAAACCGATAGCTCTCTTTGACTCTATGTGTTTTGGTTGCAGCGTGTGTAGTGCGAGAGAGTAGGCACGTAAGTAGTCAAAAGAATAAGTTTCTCGGATAGGCAGCAACAGTAAATAAGCAATTTGAAGCAAGAAGAGCGAAATAGAGGTTAAATTGAAGGGTACAGCGGTTTATATGTGGCGGAGGAAGGATTAAATAGGCAGGCGTGTCACGGCAAAGGGGAAGGGGGATGTCGCAGGCGATATCTATGCATCCTGGTCACTAAAACCATTCCGTTCACTGACATTAGGGCTCCAAAGTGGAGCCGATCAATGCTCATCCCGTTTCCCGCATTAGTCTTTCCCTTTACTGAAGGTACGGACTCCGAGAATGCGTGATCCCGAATCCACCCAAACCGATCCACACATCTAGATAGCATTTGTCGATCCCTCGGAAACTTTGACATGGGCTCTCCACTCGGCCTTGGAGATTTTCATACTTAGTTATAGGCCAATCGGACATACGCAAATTCGCAGTTGTGGATACCCAGTGCTACCACATCAGGACAAAGAAGAGGATTACTCATCTCAAATATGAGCTGTGATCAATAACAAAGAACAAAAAAAGTCTAGACTCTGTAGTCGAATAATTATTGTTGGAATATGGAACAAAGCAGTCATGTGATCAAATCGACACTTCATAATAGCCAGCAAACTAAGAATGAAACTCAGACTTTACAACCACTTCAAGAGAACACAAAGATATTATAGGGGCGTAAAGCGTTACCTGTAATAGGTGTTAGAAGTGGGCGTTAGCCTCTCATCAACCTTGTTGAATCCACGAAGTGTACCGACAGTTATGGTTGAGTATTTTACTTTATTCAACATTATTCTCTGATCCTTCCATTTCTCAAAGAGAGGATGGATAACTGCAATAACTACACAATGAACGAAGATTCCACTATCACTCCTGAATATTCTTAGAGCACAGGCTCAGAAGTTGGCGCGGCAATTGCAAGATCTAACCATCTTCTTCTAGTTGAATAGGAAGGAGGTTGGAAAGTATGGTTCACCTGAAAAGAAGATTGCTTTAAAGGATAGACAGTTGGGTGTGAGTATAGGGGACAGAGGGAGATAGGGAAGATGGATATATATGTGAGATGGATGGCCTTGCAGAACCACTAGAGGAACCTGAGTTGCCCCCAGCAACCATAATTCGACGTAATCAGACATATTCCTGGTATCATAGGAAAGAGCATAGTACTATACAATGCCCCAATCAAGTTGGATAGCTAGTTTTTTCATGTTTTTGTGTTTATACATGAGATTGAAAATGGAAGTTTTGCTTATTTATGTTAGGGCAATCTGAACGGGCGGAACCGCTGACCTTTCCTGAGTCCAGTTGTGAGGGATATCAGGCTTTGATAACTATATACATGCTGAAAATAGATGTAAGTTATGTCGAGACAAACCTCTGATAGCCTAATTTGTTGAAAACATCAGAGGGCTCATAGTTACAGCGCAGATGTTGATACCAAAGCTCTTAGAGAAATCGATGTGAATGGGTCTAAGCGTACTGTGAGGCCGGATTCCGGCCTCACATTACCATGAGGTTCTTAGTGCCATTAATTTACTGGCTCGCCAAAGAGCTAGATACGTCACAGTGAGAATATCTAATACCTAATTACAAGCATTTACAACAGTTAAATGTCGTTTTGGCCCCAACGACCTCACCATTCGATAGGAAACGTTATAGGATAACTGATTATCCAACTATTTTAATCCATGCCTGTGATCTGTAACCTGTGATACCTAATGTTGAAGTTATAATCGTTTTGTATGAAGACATTACCGATCATGAATATATTCATTTGATCCTCGGCCTTAGATTGGCGCTAGCCGCAATGGGTAATATTATCGGAGTCCGAGTCCATGTACTTATTTCTTCGATATGCGCACTATCAAAAAAAGGGCTGATTAAAGGACTTATATTTTGAATATTAGTAACTATGAATTGATGATATCTTAAGAGAACCTCCAAGAAGCAGCGAAAATAATTAGACTGGGCAAGTGAAAGATGACTATTCTACTGGGCTCCACATGGCACTTATCGTAGTCGCCTTGGTGATAAGTATGTTTCTACTTTCGCTTGATATGATGAAGACAGATTGACCTTGGATATTGAGAAAAAAGATCTTAATATTACTCCAGGCAATTATCGAGACTGCTATCACACGCATTACGAAATGTTCACCGGTATCATTGGCAAATCTTATGGATTGCGTCCGTCATCGGTAGCCCTCATAGACGGTGCTTTCAGTGGCGGTGGCTCATTGTGTTAGTGCTTCTATACTAACCTGTCGATTGGTGGTATATCAGCCCCTGATTATTTTGTTCTTTTTCAAGAGCTCAGTTTCGGCTAAGTAAGACTGTTCATACTCCCATCTACCGATAAGATCTTGCAGGTGGACCTTCTCGGCGTCTTCATGGTAATAAGTGGGATTATTTGCTTCGTCATCGCCTTACACTTGGTGGCCAAACCACCATATGGAGCTCCTTTGTTGTCATTGGTCTCCTGGGTGGATTTGAGTTGATATTTGTGGTCTTTGGAGCACCACTCGAACAAGAGGCAAGTGCTCCGACGAAAGAAAATCAGCCAAATCAGAAGGCACTGCCTATGCTCTTGCCTTTTCCTGTGGTATCCGTGACACAACGTACGAACTGGCCTACTTGCTCAGACATAGGACTAAGAAGTTGTGATTACGACTTTCACCGGAATCGTCATCATCGCGGCCGTTGCAGATGCTTTGATTGCTGCCCAGGTTAGTGATGAGATTTGCCAACATAATTTATAGAAATAACTTTTTACGGGTGTCTTTCTAGGTGGTTAGACTCGATATCTGTGGAATTAGATGTGATTTTGGTAAAGTTACGCCATGAGAGGCCTATAGAAGTGTATACAGATTTAGATTCATAGAGCCTAGATGAAGAATATATATGAAGAACAAGCTGTAAAATGGTTAAATAAACTACAACTCAACTTAAATGTGCTTATATACTTTTTTATTCTGGTCGTTGTCTTAATTTATCATGTTCTCGCCAATTCGTAATCAAATCATTTCTAGTCGTTTGAACTTCTTTCAAAAGGTACGCCACTAGTTGATCATGTACGGTTTTTGGCAGCCCTGCAGATCGTACATCGGAATCTGCATCCAGCTCCATTGGGTATAGGGTAAAGCTTTGCCTGATACGGACTGATAGTGTATTGACCAATCTCTGCAGGTGTCCTAGCTCCTCAAGTATCACTTGAGCTTGAATACTCTTTGACAAGGCAAGGCTATCGACGGTATGGTCTCCAATCGTGACAGATTGAAATACAACCTTCTCTGGATGAGTAGTTTGCTTATTGGAATGGTCTCTACTGCCAGAATGCTGAGAAAAGTATGCGCTAATCATTGCTCTAGACCAGACAACGAGCCGAGAGCAGATACTTGCTATGATGAGCTGATTCTGAGAGCGAAGTGCGCATCCACACTGTAGCATACGACAAACTGATTTACCGACACTCTTGATGTCTTTGAGGACGGAGCCCGACATGCGTGGTGCTTCAAGACTACAGGCATCCTGACTTCCGCTATGTCTTTGGTGATTTGTGCGAGATAGGCAGCTATATTGGCGGATGTGGAGTAGGCGGAGGTTTTCAGTCGCAGTGATAACACAAGGAGGTCGAGATTCAGCCAAACAAGAAGATTTCGTAGGGCCAGGGGCTGTTGGTGTATGAAAAATTGGAGGGTGAGGTTTGGGGTAGAGAGACGAGATAGATTGAGTGGTGTGGTCATCGCTGGTAGAGAAAGAATCGGGAAATGCAGACCAATCCAATGGCGGCTCGTCAGAATTCGCACAATCAAGGGCAAAGTCCGTGCAGAATTCAGAGCTTTTGTTGACCCGAGACGCATTATTAATATGGGTAGACGGGGTTTGAACCAAAGAACTTAGTATATCAGAGCTGAAATCAATTCCGCCTTCGAAATCAACAGCCTCAAGTGATGAATCTACGAATAGGCCCTTATTTGAAGCCGACTCCATGGTGTGAGGCAGAGAGTCCGCAGGTGCCACACATGATTGGGATAGCATCAATTGCCAGTCATGGCTATTGTTGGAAAGCGGAACTGGAATGGACCCTGGATCCTTGCAAGTCAACATCTCAAAAGGATCTAAATTTTCCCGGGAAGCATGATCAGAATCGAGGGCGGTACTCGTGAGCTGCATGACTTGCCTTAGCTGCCGAAATTGACGCGGTTTTATTATTTCATCGGGTAGAGTATTTGAAGTAGTGCGGGCGAGGTCGATGGCGGGGATATGTGCAGGGGTAAATGTGAGTATACAGGCGGCGGGGTGGCAGGGTCGACCCTACCACCCTACCACTATGTCTTCCGTGATGATTACGCCGAATAAATGCGCAGTCAAAAGTGGATATCTAAAAGAGGAGAAACGGACAAAGGTCCTCGAGATCTTCCGTGATAATTACGCACCGAAGAAATGCGCAGTCAAAAGTGGATATTCAAAGAGGAGCTAAGAAAGGAGAAACGGACAAAGGCCTTCAAGATCTTCCGTGATCATTACATGGTACAGTTAGGGATTACATACGGAAATAAAAGCCGAGTGGAAGGCAGATAGGCTCTGCAAAATTAGGAATGGAGGATCAAAGCATAGATTGTTAAATAGTAGCACAAGTTGAAGTTCCAGATAAGTCATCTGCCACAGCTGGTTCTGACCATATCTGATTCAGAAAGTACATTGTGTCCTCCGTAATCTGTACCTGTGAATTTCAATCAAAACGGAACAAAGGAATAATAACACATAGAGTCTAGATCGGTACATCTGACTTCACGTGCTCTATCAAATTTAGACATCTCATTCCCTAAAATTCCCATCAACCAGTAAGTTTAACCAATCTGATCGACCTGATACGCCTGACTTGATTACCTGGGCATCTTCATAAAGCAGAAACTTTCCAAACTCTCACATATATTAAATAATAATTTTCTCACATTCCTCCTGGAGATGAACAGAAAATATGAAGCTAAGCTGGTAGGCTTGTTGGTGAAAAGAATATGTGTAGCTGCTGACATGATCGTCGAATCATAGATAGCTGCTTTTTGCTTCTACCTGCATAGTATATCGGTTTAACTATACATCATTTACTCGATAAATCAACAGCAGAAGATATGGAACCTACTCAAACTCAGTCACCGCAAATATCGACTGCGATACCACCTTCCAAATCTTCAAAATTACAAAAGCTCAAGGACTCATGTGACAAGTGCTCCTCTTCCAAAGTGCGCTGTACAAAAGAAAAGCCCTCGTGCGTACGGTGCAAGAAGCTTGGACATAAATGTTTTTATAGCCTTGCACGAAGGGTTGGACGACCATACCGATCATCAGAACCTTCATCGGCTGAAAAGAATAGTGAAGAATCTGAACCATCACATTCTACTTTAGCAAAAAGGACGATACGTTTTATAGATGAGGGAAATAGACTGTTTTCCCAGTCTAATACATTGCCAGGCCATGTCGATATGGGTTCTAACAGCTCTATTGCCAATCTTAGAACCGATCAGAATGCTGAATGCGACAGAGCACAGCATCAAGAAAACAATATGACTGGACACTATGTCGACCAAGATTGTCTATTGGCCGTCATGGACCTGTTCTCTGAGCTAGAGGTTCCGACTGAGCGGATTAGACACTTATCTTCAATAGATGCCAGTCAACTTAATTTGACGGCACAAACGATCACCGCGGTGTTTCGTCGCTTATCTACCATTTTGATATGTCCTTGCTCTGAGCGCACTGAAATTGGCATGTTGATATCTGCCATCTGTATGACTATCATCGATATACATGCTATGACACTTGCTAAATCCGCTTTTAACAACCCTTCGCCAACGCACCCGACAGTTATTCGGGATGATCATGGGGCCATTGCCCAGGAGTCACCGGAAAATGAAGCCACAGCCATGCGAGTACTAAGAGAGCTTTCTAAGGTGGCCAAGCTAGTTTTGCAATTCACAGAGCGATATTGTGGAGACGACAGGGGTCCACAAGTCCATCTCGAAGGCAATGGTATGCCATTGGAAATTTTGCCAACTTTGGCTAGTCTTATTCGTGAGAGGTTACATAAAATTACCAGTGATGCAACATACTGGCTGCGATAGGATATGAGTAATGAGTTTGTTCCCATTTCTCCTGATAGTTCCACTTCCATACTGGCCAACCTTGGAAATCGAGAAATCTAGACTCGCAGGTTCTGTTATTTATATAGATCCGATGTCAGCCAGATTTGTATTATGTTAGTTTACAGCGTTTGCAGTAGTTCGGTTCCCCCGTTCAATATCGCAAGAGTATACGTACTACTTAGGTAGGTCCTGTTTAGGAGCAGACTAGCCTGAGCATTGAAGCATCTCAACAGCTCAGGGGTGACTGTCACTGACTGATTCATGTCACTTTAACCGTCTAGATTTACAAATTATCGTTCTGACCTAGGGTTTTTAATGAAGCGATTAGTTCCTGTTGGGATATCGGACAAACGACACCTCGGTACTGACAGTTCCATCCGCTGAAAACTTAGTATTAGCTATGATACTATTATACAGTTTATACAGTAATACAAAGAGTGTCCGTGGAACCTTGAAACTTTGGAAGATCATTATATAGAGGCTATTTAAGAAATGAGATGATGGATGTTAAAAGTACGTACTAGTGCTGATGCGCGGCTGTCGCCCAATTGCTGCATACACTAGGTAGTCTTGGATAAGGAGTTAGTGGCGGATCAACGTTCGACCGCCAATCTCCCTCGCGCGTATGTGTTTTGTACTCCTCAATTAAATGTCTGGTTAACACGCTATGATACGTCCTGAGAGCCCCTCACTCCTCTCACCAGCCAACTATGATGGCGATGCCGCTTCACTGCGGTCGCCATCCGAGCTAGACTCCGACTCCGAAGACGACGAGTTCCTTCGCCAACCCCGCAGCACCCTAGAACTCTCCAAACACGATCGCGCCGTACTCGACGATGAAGATGAGTTAGAGAAGCTGTTGACCCGACGGGGCTCAGGAATACGCAGGATGTTCAGTCCGAACGGGAATAGTGTGCGGATTGGCAAGAAGGAACGCCGACGGTCACGGAGGGAAGCTCGGCTATCGCGTCGGGAGAGAGTCAGTGAGGAAGGCGAGCTGATGTATGAGATGGAAGAAGGATTGGGAGATCATGAGTCTATTGGTGGATCGGAGCTCGATTTGGACGAGGATTTCATCTATGAGCCGGTATTGTCACCTTCTATCCCTTCTTTTCTCGCTGCATACTAATGCCTTCCTTTTTCTAGCAATCCAGATTATCATGGTGTAGATACCTGTTTGTTGTGACTCTGATTCTCGTCCTATTTCTCATCCTTCTCCTTGGTGCATACAAAGCATCCGGCAACTATCGAGCGTTGCGACTAAAACACGCACCCTTGCTGTCCAATGGCACAGCACTCTTTGCGCCTACGACTCTCCTCATTTCACTGGATGGCTTTCGAGCGGACTTTCTCGATCGCGGTCTGACCCCATCATTGAATTCGCTGGTGGCTAACGGCATCTCACCACAATATATGAACCCAAGTTTTCCTAGCGTAACCTTCCCGAACCACTTCACTCTAGTCACAGGGCTATATCCTGAAAGTCATGGGGTGGTGGGCAATACATTTTGGGACCCAGAGCTCGATGAGGAGTTTTCTATCCAACTGATCACACCAAAGTGGTGGAAGGCCGAGCCTTTGTGGGTGACGGCAGAGAAACAGGGAGTGAAAAGTGGCATTCACATGTGGCCCGGTTCTGAGGTGCGTTTTGAGGATAAAGATCGGCATTATGTGGATAAGTATAATGGCACGGAGGTCTTAAACCGCAAGGTCGATCGCGTTCTCGAACTGCTCGATAGACCCGGCCTAGAAGATGGCTCGACAGAACGTCCACAGTTCATCGCCGCCTATGTCCCGAATGTAGATAGGGACGGCCACAACTTTGGACCGAACAGTACCGAAATCGAACAGACAATCTTACAAGCAGATGAGATGATTGGAGGCATTATAGCTGGCCTTCAAAGCCGGAACCTCACCGACGTGGTGAACCTTGTCGTTCTGTCGGATCACGGAATGGTCACCACGTCGAACGAACGTCTTGTGCAGCTGGATGATATAATTGATCTCAGTCTTGTAGCTCATCTTGACGGATGGCCTTCCCGTGGCATTCGGCCAAAGCGGCCCGAGGATCTGGCGACATTGCAAGCACAGTTGGAGAAAGTGGCGTCAGAGTACGCTCACGCGATTGAAATTTATACTCTGGATACCATGCCAGAGCGCTACCATTTCACTCAAAACGACCGCATTGCACCGTTATGGGTCATCCCCAAGGCAGGATGGGCGATCGTTGAAAGACCCGAGTTTGATAAACAGAAAGCTTTGGAAACGGGTGAGATCTATCACCCGAGAGGTATCCACGGATATGACCACGAGCACCCACTGATGCGCGCTATCTTCATTGCTCGTGGACCATCATTCCCACATACCCCTAACAGTCGGCTGGAGAATTTCCGTAAGTAGACTCAGAACTGTATATACCGCGTCTAATACTAACCCAATCGACAGAGAACATCGAGGTGTACAACATCCTCTGTGATTCATTAGGAATCACCCCACTTCCAAACAACGGCACTCTCCGTCTACCACTCAAGCCAGTTGGCCTCCACTCAGATAGCAATGCACCAGTATTGGAAATACCATCAGATCCACCGACTCCCACTCCCTCAACAGTGGAAGTCCCAGAGCCAACAAGTCCAGCCTCCGATGCACCAGAACAGCCAGCAGACCCTAGCAGCGAAGATCAACCAGCCACGGATCCTAGTGAGGGTGAGAAAGCCCATTCGACCTGGTGGAGCACTCTCTGGAATAAGGTGGACGAGTGGAAGGAGTGGGCAGGCGAAGTGTTCTCGGCGGAGAAGGACAATCACCCGGCACAGTAGGCTGTTGGTTTGCGTTTTGCGGTTTAATACATTTTGAGAGCCTGAGATACCCTTGTCTATAATGAATATTGAATAATATAGCTCGCCAGAGCTTGATACGTCCATTATACTGACTCTTTTATCCCTGAACCCAAACTAGATACAACCTTTCAATCTCGAGGTCGGAACATCCATGAATGGCCGTCGATATTCCGAGGTCCCGAGGTCAACCTACAGTTTTCTCATACCCAGACTCTTGCAGAACATGGATGGATGGCCCTGGATACCTAAAATTCTTCCGAGGTTGCTTTAAACACCTGCACTTCCACTTTTGGAGGCATCAAGTTCAATCCTTCAAGACTGCCCCGAGCTCACATATCAGGTATGTGCTGGTCATAAATATTGTATATTTCCACTACCCATAAACTGAAAGCGAACTAAGCCCTGGGGCAGATCATGCCTGAACAGATGTGGTATAAAATAAGGTAGGCGCTCGAGAGGCGGGTACAAGGATCATCTTTCTTTTAAAAAACCAGATAGAGATTCGTGATACGCTTGGACAACGTCCACACCCAACCAATAATGTCTCCGATTGAGCTCGTTGGGTGAAGTCGCCGTACCACTCTATCCGAATCCCTTCCCTCTGAAAAGCGGAAAGGGGGATGAATTGTACCGAAGAAGGTCAATAAGCCAGGACTTTGATTCTAGGGTAGATTCAAGTGCTCAGCTCAATTAGATGCTGAACTGTTGACGTAAAGTTCTATTTGATGAATTAGCATATCAATCGTCACCTGGGCAGCTTTTTACCCCTCGAATAAACTATCCACTCGTAATTTGAATACTTACCAGTTTACTTTCACCATGTTGCATTCCAGTTTCACGGGCATCTGAGCCAGGTGATGCTGTTTATCAGACTGCATAAAACTTGGTCGAGGACTTAAAAGCTGCTCCCTAGTTTCTAGGGCACTTTATTGAATATACCAAGTGAGACTTAGCAGCATGAGCACTGAGGCAAAGGTAAAGGAAATTTTTCCACTTTGATCTGAAGCTAGACTGTTTCATATGAGAACAGCATCAAAGCTAGTGATATTTTGAGGAAAATAAAGTTCAATGTATCGGTTGGTGGCACTTTCAATATTGCCTAGCATCTTGCTGAAGCCCAGTGAATATTGTATTGGAATATTCTCCAACCACAACTGCTTTCCCACTAGATCAAAACGATTATTTTATGATTTGAAGGAGAAATAAAAAGAAAAAGTGGGCGGAACATATTATTCAGTGGCAAACCGGCGCTACTGAGCGAGAGATGCCCTGAAAACCACGCTAGTAATGGAGCTAGTACATAATAGGTCAATGGTAGCATAAAGTCACGTGAGAGAATCGAGACCGCGAGATTATAGAGACGATCAGATGTACAAGGTCTAGGTAAGCGATTTGCTCAGGTAGTTTGTACGTAGAATTAAAGAATTCGTCTTGAGCCGTTAAGCTGAAACTTGCGGGTGAAATTCGTATTCATGACATTGATATTTGGATCACCGGAATAGAGACACAAATCCATGGATATCGATCAGAGGATCATGAGACTAGATGACAGAATTTTTCATAACCTTGGAAATGCATATTGCAGCTATAGCGGTAGCTTACAAGTAGATAGGCTAAATAAATTCGCTGGATTCCTTCGTAGTTGACTTGGAAGCTATCTCTCAAGCTCCCTCAAGCTGAAATTTGATAGAAACCCAGTTGTTCCATTTTCAACTTTGACTACCTTAAAACAAGACTTGTGAGACAATGGGCTTCGGAATTTGGAGTGACAGCAAGCCATCTCCAGGAAAGCTTTTCCGAGAAGGATATTGGAATTGGACCATACTCGCAATCTTACGGATTGCTTTCGCCCAGAACGATGTCTGCTTTCAAAATTCGACTCTTTTAGACTGCCGAGGTGCAAGTATTACAGTGCCATACTGTCTGCAATGCACCGATTGTTTCCTCAGATGTGGAGGTCCCAATGTTCACGTCCCATGGTGTTATCCATGTGAGGACGAATGTGTTACCCCACCCACCAATACCAACCCACAGTTCTTAGGAGAGGACGGAAAACCATTTGTTGTGAACATATCGGAACTGAATGGCCTTGAAGCTGAATCTGAGGGAAGGGAGGTGGATTGGGCTGGAAATGTGAAATGGAATTACGTTCCAAAGATCACGGAGTCTCTAGAGGCAGCGCTGTGCTGGGGCTTTAAAGATAGTTTTTTTGGAAATATGACGTATCAATGCGTGATAATTCAAAGATGATAAATAAAGCGAGCGAATCTAATATCGCGAAGAGTGGTGTGGCAATAGGTGTCTGATACATGTATGTATTCTAGTGCTACAAAGTCAATTCCATTGTTAACTTCTTATCTCAGACCCATCTTTCGCTCTGTTTCATCCCTATTTACTCTTGAAATATCTAATAAATGCCTTGACAGTTCTAAAAGGAGCTAAAGCGAGAAAAGCTGCGCTTTTAATCCCTGGTCTCATATAATCCCTAATCCATTCTGTTGGAACGAATATCAGCTGACATACCAAGATCATGTGATCTTGGCATGGCAGCTACTATATCTTCTTTCATCTGAGCATTTTAGAATGACACTTCACTTTTACCCAATATGCATACACCTATTATATACGTACAGAAACGATATCAATAGCTGTCTGCTTCGGTAATAACCTAGTCAACCGACACATTCTTAGCAAAGCCCAAAGATATCACTAACATTGTAGCTGCGACTCCATAGAGCAACTTAATATCGGTTGACCCATTGACGAGTTGATTTAAAGCGGGTATTCGCCTTGCAATTCTAGACCATTCAGTCTGATGCGGATACTATGGTCATGCTCTAGATCGCCGATAATGCCAAGCATAAAGCGACGAGGCGGCTGACTTCTTCACACTGGAACAAAGCTTTCATTCTTTAGTATCTCCTACGATCAAAAGATGAGCCAGTAAAATATTGAACACAAACAGCAGCCTACTTTGTCTGGCTATTATATACCCTTTAGCTAGCTACCCTACCAAAACTTGTTAGCCTTGATTTCTGTTGCAGCCTAGATGCAGGAGCCTAAGAAGCTATTACAAATCAAGCAGTTGTTGCAATTACACTGCTTGGTACTTTTAATTTTGATTACTTGTTAAATAATCTTGTATGATAATCCTTTTTACAACCGATTCTTTCATCGCCGTAATTTGGGAAGGTCTAGATCGAAGGCGGCGAACCAATGGGAGAACTGCGGACCTCGAGATTGAGAGAATATAGCGCTAGTCTGTAAATGGATTAGCGGCTCCGTACTAGAGGTCCCTTCTCTGTTTGTTCTACCTAGATGTAGAACTCCGACCATCATGAGTGGTTCGCCTCACCGATTCAGCTACAGTATTTGGTTGCGTACTTAAAGGCTCTACCTAAAATTCTTGCGCATGCGCATGAGCATTGAGCATCGTAACGGCTTCAATAAGATCTAGTCATCTAACCTCGAATTCATAAAATTGCCCAATCCATCCATCCTATACTTCTTTTCAGTTCCAGTGCCTCTATTTTGCCACTTTATGAGTCTTTGTTTCTGAGTAAGTAGAAAGCTTTCCATATAAAGTAAAACTACCATGGTATACTCTGGTAAATTCAACCGTGTTTCATGATTTTGGTAATTGGGCCACTCAACCAAGCTTATACTAACTCCCATACTACTGAGATTTTCTAAGGGCAGGCATCTCCTCTCCTAAGCTTTAAGAATGCCCACGTAAAATCAGCAAATAGATCAGCTGATGCAGCCAGTCAAAAAATATGGCTATAGCAATACTCGCCTACCTCTTAACTTGAATTCAAATCAAATCGATGATGAAAATAAGTCACTTATAGATATCTAGATAGTTAGTTGATGTCAGTGTATCGTCATGACCTTGGAATTTTGATGACGGTAGCATACCTAGGTATAAACCGACCACATTTCATTCCCAGGTTTGTAATTTTCCACAGGCAATCAATTCTTTCCCAGTGTTCAATATGCCTGAATCTTTTCAAAAGAGCCCCCCTCGAGAACTCTCAAATCATCAATTTTTTGAGGCAGCAACTACCTGCATCCACAAGAAACTTTTATCTCAGAAGCGAAGCCAAAACACTCAATACAAGTCGTTCAACATATTATTTAACTTGCTTACAATTGCGCAAGTGATAATAGGGGCTGCTATCACTGCCCTCGGTCCATTAGATGGCCAGCATATGCTGGCAATAACAATTCTTGGGGCCCTCAATACCTCTATTGCTGGGCTATTAGCTCTTCTCAAAGGGAGAGGACTTCCGCAACGACTGAGGAGAAATATTTCTGAGATGACAAAAGTACTTGATTACATTGATGAACAGAAAATCCTATTACTATATGGCGATGGGAAGCTTTCTAAGGATGCAATTGACACTTTGATTGAAGATGTGGTGAGACGATACACTACTGCCAAGGAGATAATTGAAATAAACCAGCCAGATACATATTCGGAGGGGAGGTTATCCCAAACATCCACATCTGCCACTTCCAGTGATATCTTCAAATGAAAGCAGCGTGAAGAAGATGAAGAAATGTGCATACCTAAGTAAATGAAGATAGTGTGGCTATAAATTAATATGAAGAGCGCATTTGAATTAATCCCTAGATACCACTTGAAAATTATATATCATCCTCCAGGATCATTCAATGGTTTTATACAGCTCACCCCCTCATTTTCAATATTTGAAGGTATAATAGACTTAAAGAGTTAAAATCGCATATAAATCCATTTCTCTATGGACTTCGCTTCAATATCATACGAGATTTAGACAACTCAAAGTTTCCCAGGTGTTATAGCTTTGGTGCTTATGGTAATTACAATACTATTTATATGAATCATTGAGACCAAATTTTACGAGAGTCAATATTCCAATTAGAGAGAAAGAAAAAATAATCAAGTCATAATAAACTAACACTTCAAATTTTAGTAATGAAAACTTCAAACACTTTTAGAAGCTTTTTTCGCTTCTGGAATTTTTTAACCAAAAAAGTAGGCGTGCCATAATCTAGAAAGGAATTAGGGCCGGGGCGGTACTTGCTATTATATTGATTACTTACCGAGCTCAGGAGAACCTCAGATGACCATCTCTGTTCTCAATTCTCTCCGCCAGATTCACATCACCCTTGAGGTAATGCCATGAATCATCCCTCAAGTCAGCTCGCAAAATTGGGACGTTACTAACACCCTCAATTTTGAATGAAACATTGGTGGCGTCCCTGGTAAACTCCCGCCCACCCCATTTAAATTTTCCTGCTACAACGTTAATGATAACAAATCAAATTGTAAAACATCACAAACCTCTCTCATCTCCGAGGCAGTCGTCCAGTCGCAGTGTGCTTGTTTCCCAATGGTGGCTACGTGGGTCCAGACACTCCCCCACAAGATAAGTGTCTTGGTTGCCTTTCTCGATACGTAGGTTATGGGTATCGTTCATTTTGCTCAGATTTCAATCAGAAATGTTAACTTGATTGGATATTTGTTGTACTTGCGAATTCAGTGACCGATGGGGTCATATTTATATCTAGCACATGGGCATGGTTAGTCTACCTATGACTGCGCCCTAATATACAAAATTTGTTCTAGGCCAGGCGATAAACTATGATCATGAATGATGATTCATTCTACTCATCATATTCGGAGATAATAGCTCTAGAGATAAGTCTGCATCTGATACAATAGCATCAAGACATAACATTTCCTATAATTTGATGATGATGAACCTTCCAAGGTTGATTTGGGTAGACCGAACTTGGCTACAACTTTCCGGCCATTCATTCATGTGGCAAAAATTATCCCACCCAAGGATACAAAATACTTATAGTCTGCTTAATCAATGCTAATCCCTTTGGAGATGATGAAAACAGCCAGCAGAGGATATAGAAACAAGGTTCACTACCTACCCGGCAACCAGGCTACTCCCGAAGTTATCCACGGTTCGAGATTGCCACATCTTTTGGTTATGTTAAGCTTTAATGCATGAGATATGCCAAGATTCATACTGAAACCAATTTGATAGTGAATAACTTTCCCGGTTCGGCACAAATGCGGGTGTTAAGTCTTTTTTTTTTAGTTTAGGGCCAGTCACCGAACCTTAGAATGTAGTACAGCCTCATCACCTTCGTATCTGAAAGCTACATGGGCAAAATATCCATAGATATAACAAGGCATAGGATCTTCTAATCGCTGCAGTGATAGCACAACTGTTTGTACAGCTTCAAACCAAAATGCCTACTACCTAAAATATAAAGGCTTTATAATTCTTCCAACTGCAATTATAAGTAGTCCGACTGATGCCTATTTTCCACTAGGTCCATCATAATAGCATCATTTAATTTTGAGACCACGGGTTGGGCTAATTGCCTGTTAGACTCCCAACCTAGGTGCAAATAAGTAGCTGTTCTCGCCCGTTTGTTTTGAACCATGGCATCTCCAAGTCTATTCTTTGGAGCACTGAAAAATAGCTGTCACCACTATTTCTAAACCTTCTTTCATTGAAACGACCTGACAGACATATAAATGGTCTTGGCAAAATAGAATTCTAACTTTTGTCTCTTGTAGGAGGCAGCACAGCATGTCTATTCAGTCGACAGTCGAGCAGCACAATTGCATGCAGAATAGATAATCTGAGTTCCAGGGAATTGCGCTGGGCCAAGAGACACGTTCCGGTGTCCAGAATTGAGAAGACGACTCTTAATCCGACTCCTGTCTATCCAACTACGGGCGACCTTATGAGCGTAATAAGGGTAGACCTCATAACTGAAAGAGAGTCTGGGCAGCCTTTTTAGTATTACAGAGCCTAGGTCTGGCGACTGGAGTGAAAAGATCTGGAATCATATGCCATAGGTCCATCAAGATCATTTGACATGAGATGAAATGACTTGACAATGTAGTGAAGAAATTGGTACGTGTGGTAAGCTATTGCGATACGTATGCCCAGGTTCATATTGTCGTATGATGATCTGTGACCCATCATAGTTCACTATTCATCATTTTACTTACTTCTCAACTTATCGAAAGCAATTTACCAACAATTCTTACGACGACATGAAGATGGCGCCTTTATGTACCATTATCCCTAAATATGTCTTGGAGGGCATAATTGAAAAAGGGACTGTACCACAGCACATCATAAATCGCTGCCAATCAACCATCGATCAAACAAAGCAACTGCATGATGCTCGTGGAAGTCATGGGCAGAGTGTTGTAGCAGCGCAGCAACGAACCTCCCAAGGTATTGTTCCACCTTACATTCTTGAATCAATTGCTCGTGATGCTGCCACAGATCAACAACGCGAAGCGGCCCGTCATACACTTGCACAAACTGAACATCGAGTAGTGGCAGGGCATGTACGTCACCTCAAGCGTACCGTCTATGATGCGCAGTTTTCAAAAAAAGCCCTCCTCCCTATGACAAGCCTCTGATTGTGGAAGGTGGTGAGCTTCTCTCTGAGGTGGTGGATCCAACCAAAAATGCCAATGAATGCTACATTGGGCTTGGCAAGACCTACGACTTCTATTTTAAATTTTTTCAGCGATGTTCAATTGACGATAAGGGTATGGAGCTCGATGGCTTCGTGCATGCTGGGGACCTTTATAACGCCTACTGGGACGGTAGTAGGCTGGTTTTTGGCGACGGAGATGACGTCATATTTAATGGCTTCACAGATGAGCTTGATGTCATTGACCATGAGCTTAGCCATGGTGTGGTGCAGTATACAAGCCCATTTGACTATGAATTCCAGAGTGGTGCTCTCAATGAGTCTCTTGCTGATGCTTTTGGCATTATGGTCAAACAATGGGGCCAAGACACTCCTCAGACTGCTAAACAATCCGATTGGCTTATTAGAGAGGGAATATAGGCCAAAGGTGTCAAAGGGAGGGCGCTTCGAGATATGAAATCCCCTAGAACAGCTTATAATGATCCTAATGTAGGGGAGGATCTTCAGCCCGAGCACTAGAAGGATTTCAAGAATCTACCTTATGCCGACGATTGTGGTGGCGTTCATATTAACTCTAGCATTCCAAATCACGCTTTCTACCTTGCTGCTACTTTGATTGGAGGATATGCATGGGAAGGTGCTGGTCCTATTTAGTACCGCGCTATAACTAGCGGTAAGCTTCGAAAAAATGCTGGCTTCAAGCACTTCGCTGATGCTACAATTGAGAATGCTGGTGATCATGTGGATAAGATCAAGGAAGCTTGGAAGTTGGTTGGGTATCCATTTTCTACGAAGAGAGATGAACTGTGAGGTATTTTGAAAGACCTGGATCACTGTGCTGAAAAGTCTTTATTGTGAAATTCTGTACCTAAGTAGCTTTATGTATCGTTTTTTCTATACCAGTGCCACCGCTTTTACAAAGGCGTTCAAGGTTAGGCGTAATGTGTAGAGGAATTAAATTGGAATTATCTGGATATTACAAGCATTTAATGTAACGGGCTGAAGTCTAATGATGGATTATATCCAGATCTTGTTGTGAGCATAAATTTGATGATCTTTTAGGCTAAAGCCACTATATGACTTGTAATGGGATAAATCAAACGAACTACAGAGGAATAGAGCTAATTACGCTGTCTAGATTTCACATGATACTCAGTGATCAAAAGTGGCGAGGGTGAACACTAAACTGGCATGGGTATCGTTATTTAAATAATCGATAACTGACTAAATTTATATTTCACCAATTTTGCTTTTGTTGATCTACTGGTACTCTCAAACGACTACAAAAAAACGATGTCCAAAAAGACCTTGGAAACAGATAGATCCATGGCAAGGAAAGTGCGCTCTATCTACTATCTATAATCATCGCAGTCGCGATGAATTATTTATTTTGGCATATATATATAACTAATTGTACATTATATATTATGAAATGTATGCGCTTACATCAACCAACACCAAGTGGTCCAGTGGAACTGGACTATCTTATCTTCCTTGGTCTAGTGGTCATGATTTCCGCTTGTCATTAACACCGATAAGCGCGGGAGACCGGGGTTCGATTCCCCGAGGGAGAGATTTCTTTTTAGTCTTTTTTTTTTTTTTTTTTTTTTTCATTAACCTTTCTGTTCTACTTTTTGTCTCAATAATAAGGTAAATTAGTTACTTCACCTACTGTAGATCATTAGTCTTCACTGACTCACCGCGTGAGTCAAGACAGGCAGGCGCAGCTACAGGGCTCTCGATTAGGCTTCCGCTTGATCCACATTGTGGAGAAAGATGCCTGCCAGCTGATGAGGCTGAAAACACCCCAACGCATAAAGATCTCGATTTCAACCTTCTTGTTTCGCTATTCTCAATTTCGATTCACTCCCCTACATATCTCTCTTCCCATTTCTCAATTTCTCTTTCCAACAAACTTTTTACTCTCCAATTTATTGGCTTGATAGCCAATCATGTCGGGAAATCAATCCTCCCCCGATACTATACTCCTGGAGACATTAGTCCCAGGGTATGCCTTCATCTCTCGCTTTTTAAACTCATACCTCAACATCGATTTATCAGCATATGTTCAAACTATTGTAATGCTGGCCGTCATCGGCGCTGCCATTCGCTATAGCATGACCTACGTATTCGACTTCATAAGCGAATACTTCATCTCAAAAGCTGAAATTCGCCTGGACGACGAAATATTCAGCTACCTCATGTATTGGTTTTCCAGACAACCACGTATGAACACAACCCGCTTTGTCGCAGGCGTCAAAATGAATTCATACAATAATGAGAGTGACGATGAGGACAATCAAGACGAAGATGAGAGCGACGAGCCCGGAAAGGGCACCTCTAAGTCCTTTGACGATTACTGGGCCAAAGTCGTCAGCCGGGACAAGTACAAGCCGCTGAGATTCACCCCATCGCAAGGCTCCCACTTCTTCTGGTACAAGGGCCACTTGCTCCGTGTGGAGCGGGTAGAACAGAACAACAATGCCCGAAGTTGGCTGCTGACCAACGAGCGGCTGTATCTCTCATGTCTGGGCCGCGATGCGACAATTCTCCGAACGCTCCTAGCCGAAGCGCAGCAGGCTTATGTGGAGCGCGACGGAAACCGCACTGTTATCTACCGTGGGCAGAGATACGGCGGCAGTATCGACTGGGCCCGTTGTATGGCTAGGGCTCCACGTCCTCTGTCCACTGTCGTTTTGGACAGTGCGCAGAAGAACGCTTTCATCGACGACATCAAGGAATATCTGCATCCACGCACGCGTCGCTGGTACTCTAACCGTGGAATCCCGTATCGTCGTGGCTACCTTCTTCATGGACCACCTGGAACTGGAAAGACGAGTCTTTGTTTTGCAGCTGCGGGCCTTTTGGGATTGAAGCTCTATCTGCTCAACCTTAACTCAAAGCAGCTGGATGAGGATGCCCTATCCTCTTTGTTCTCGGAACTCCCCCGTCGCTGCATCATTTTGCTGGAGGATATTGACACGGCTGGAATCACCCATCAGCGTGGCAAGCCCGTTGAGAAGGAGAAGAAGGACAGTGAGGAGAGTTCTGAGAATGGAGAAGACGTCGATGCTGTAGTCGTCCAGGACACAGATTCTCCTGCCACTGTCATTGAGGAGGACAAACAAACCGGAATCACATTATCAGGGCTATTGAACGTGATCGACGGTGTGGCAGCCAGCGAAGGCCGCATCCTCGTCATGACAACTAACCACCCGGAAAAGCTGGACCCAGCCCTTCTCCGTCCCGGTCGTGTCGACATGAGCGTTGTATTCGGATACACCAGTCGGGCAGCAACCGAGGAGCTCTTCCGGTCTATGTACATGACGATGGACGATGATTTCCCTCGTAAATCGAAGAAACCCGCCCAAGTCAAGTCTGCAGAGAAAGAAAAGAAAGAGCAAGAAATGAAAGCAGAGAGAAAGGAGCGCTTCGAGGCCCGGCAGTCTCAGGTTGCTTCTCTCGCCACTACGTTTGGCAATGCTGTTCCCAGTGGTGAGTTTACCGCTGCTGAGATTCAGGGCTACCTCCTCAACCACAAGGAGTCACCCGAGAAAGCTATTGAGGGTGTCCCAGCCTGGGTGAAGGGTTTACGGGAGAAAAAGAAGGCACTCGAGGAGAAGCCCTAGAGTATCATTCCACAAAATAAAATTTAACGACATGCATATTTACATGACTAGACATCGGACGAAGCACTATGAGACGCATTAGCCAAGACTTAAAGATAATCTTGGAGCTTTCTTAATATTAAATTCATTCTCAGTCTGTTGTCTTCATTCAAAATAGGCATATAACGAGCGTAAAGGGTATAATTCTGAATAAAAAGAAATTCGTGAACATAGAAACGTCCAACATTAATCGTCAGTCTTGAACAGAAACTGACACATCAACACCATATGTAGACTGCCTTGAGCCTTACTCAAAGGATAGTAGCAACAGTCCCACTAAGATTCAGATCCGCCACATACATGCAGCGTTCAGTCTTAGCCTCATTACACCAACCATGAAGCAACATGCGATCACCACAACCACAAACAGTCCCACCACCAGGTGAAGTAAGACCATAATCACCAGTCTTGATAAACTCCTCATTGTTCTTGGTGAAAGGGCCCGTAATGCTCTTAGAAGTGGCATACCGCACATCATAGGTGGAATCGGTAAAGCAATGTGTCGAGTAGAAGAGGAAGTAGGTATCACCATGCAAAAGCAGACTAGGCGCCTCGACGAGTGGTCCGTCGCCGTCAGCAGTGTTACGGTCTAAGATTTGGACTGCGTCGCCGATTGGCGTGATGCCGTCCGCTTCGACCTTTTGGAGCATGATTGGTGTGCCGACGAGGGGATCGACAGCATTGTTGCAGTCACCTCCATGGCCAATACTGTTGCCATCTACTTTGAAAACGACGTAGCGAGAGCCATCTTTGTCTAGAAAGCCTGCTGCGTCGATAGAGCCGCCTTGATCGAGTCTGCATGAGAGGGGTGTATCACTGGAATTGAAATTAATAATAATTCCTATAGAATGACTGTCTCGGCAGCCTTGAATTTGAGATCTTTACTAACCTAGGCACATACGGGCCCGTAGGCAGATCGGCAACAGCAGTGCCAATGCAGTGGTGGTCAAGTTTCGCTTTAGCTTCACCAGCATAGTACATAACATACTTGCCATCAGCCTAAAAGCAAGTCAACACAGCTCCGCAAAAGCATTGATAATGTTGTAGACAGAAGACTTACTCGCAGAATCACATCCGGTGCATAGTGATTATTCTCAGTTTCCCAAGACGAGAGTGTAGGGAGAGCCTCAATATCCAACAAAGTCCACGAAGAAAAGTCCTCAGAACGTGCAACTTGAATACGGTGTCCATTTCCATTAGTGCCGAAAGCATACCAAACCCCATCAGCAGCTTTCAAGAAACTGGGATCTGGAAAATCGGTATTAAGACCCAAGAAGACGCCCTTCGTCCTCTTACGCAGAATCGGCGAGCCCAGAACAGCCGGTAGCAAAGCCAGCAAAACTAGAGTAATAGCTTGAGGGAAGGAAAAGATGCGCATGATTACTGGTAGAGTAAATGCAATTGCAGCAACAAGGAAAGCAGAAGACTTTTTACTTTTTATATCTTGACCTCCTTTTCATCACGGGACTCTCCTATCTTTATAGACTTCAGAACTTCACTACGTAAACATTACACCGCCATATATCCGGAGTCTGAAGTCAGCCTTGACCACATTATGGCCCAACAAAGGGAAAAAACACAGTCCTTTTTCCAAATGCGTTGTTCCGCTCATGTCTAGTATCGGCAGAGCAGGGCATGGCATGACAGCCGTACTTCCGGAGCCACGAGGGTACCCGCTCCACAGGAGTGATTGGACGAGAGCAGGCCCTTCCCTCGTAAAAGAGAATCCTGGGACCTTATCAACGTCTATCGTCGAAGAAAATAACCGAAAGAATCATAAAAGAGGTGAAGATATTTGAATCAGCATTAGATAGATATGGACGGATATAGCGAGGGGAAAGGGTGAATACAACTCGATTCTAGAGCATAAAGAAAATTATACTTAGAATTGGTGGAGATACCGAGATCTACGATTTAGGAATAGAGCTGTGGATTTCATGAGCCGTTCCTGAGATCTGAAACAGAGACGGGACCACGTCCACGTCAGTGGATAGCCATTTTTCGGTCTTAGTAGTTATAGAACTGACTCGTGTGTACCTGACGCATCTGTACCTGTAAATTGTTATCTCGTCGACATGGATATAGCCTGTAAGAGGGGTATTAGCGTGCAAGAAACAGAGACTAGCGGTGCTATGACCCTGACTACCCCTGGAGAGAAAAATAGAAAATAAATTTGATTTACATCGATAGATTCTCCGCATATCAGTAAACCATGGTTTTACCAAGTGGGGGATAATGGCTTAGTTAGGCTTCAGATTTACTCCCGCACTTAGGGCTTAGAATAGATCAGACGGCCCACTTCCGGAAGTAGCGGGCGCTTTGGCTCTTCTTTTGTATTCTAGAAGCATCTCCTCTAGAAGCATTTCTATGTAGTGAGAATGAAAACAGTTATTAATTAAGCACAGAACATACTTCGAAAGTCTTGACACTTCCCGTGTTTTGGCGCATTTTGTCACGTAGGCCATAACCCACCTTTTTGAATTTTGTTTTTTATACTATTTAACCATGACTCCATTTGGAACAGAAATTAGTAGAAACCGTGGTAGAAATCAAAAACTTCCTATTGATCAACGCTCTAATATCCTCCCTAACCTTGAAAGTGGTGTATCGCCCTCTAAGCTGGTCGTTAATGGCTGTTCCCGCTAGATAATCTATTATACTCGTGACCGCTTCGAAGTCCCAAAAATAACTAAATCTCGTCCTAGAAGTGGACGTCCTCCCCTTTTCAGCAAATACACCAAACGCTGCATTTAGTTAAAAGCGCGCTATAATTCATTCTGGAGCTAGGCGCCTTTCTGTAAGCCTTGATTTAAACCCCTCTCAAGCTATTATATAGAAGATTCTACATAGATATGGCCTTCTAAAATTACACCCAAAGAATAAAATCCCTCTTACCCCTCGTCTTACGAAAGAACGACTAACATTCGCTTAAAAATGATGTAAGGATATAGGCTACACGAAATAGATCTTCTCGGATAAATATTTGGTAAGTGTAAATGTTTGAATCAGAGACTTATAAGAGATAATTTATTAATCCTAAAGCCTATAAAGGATACTTGTATATGGTATAGGTGTGTATATAGATTAGTAGCCGCTTAAAGTGAGTAGCTATATCATCCATTGCGAAATCGATCGTACGGGTTGTTCATTGAGTTGTTCGTATGGTTCGCCCGGAACAACTTTGATCATTCCAGTGCTGTTCTCTCACTGGAAGCGATACTTTGTACATGCACCGAGACGGCAACCATCTTTTCAAGCTTCTCGATGTTCTTTTCTGAGAGGCTAAGAACAACTAGCTACTGGTTGTTGCTCTTATGCTCCTACAGCAAGCGCTAGATGTCTCCAACTGCAGATTGAAGGCGATTCATGGTTGAAAAGTGGCGTGTGACATATCCAGGTGGGAGGGAATTTATGATCAAGATAGATGATGTAATGATTTTTGTGGAGGTCATTTGCTGTAGCAAAGCCACTGGTAGGTTAACCGATGTAAGCGTGACAAGGCACTGAGGCCTAAAGACATCTATAAAGACATTTTGAAAGATGTTCCGGCACTAAGACTACCGCCAACAACTCAGTCAGAGCCAACTCAACCCCCAGAAACCGGCAAGCACCAGACCTCTGGCCCACCTGTAGCCCTTATTATTAGCCACTACAATAAAACGCCCCTAGCACTTTCCGCAAGACCAGAGCAGTAGAGAAACAGAATCAATGATAAAAAGCATTTACTTAAATCGAATTTCAGTGGGATGGGCAAAAAGGTATGCCTGAAGTGACTGAGATTGTTTTGGATGGAATTACAAACATTCCAACAGTCTATAGATCCGAGGTCTATAAGACATTTACTGTCCGCCAGGTTGAGAATTGCGAATATTTAGTTACCACCTATTGGATACAAAGTGTAGTAGACAAGCTTCCCAGTTTGTGGGGTAGGTATGAATAGGCCCCTGATAAAAGCGTATATATTAGATAGTCAGCGTACACAGAGGTACTGTGAGCGGAAATGCCACCACAGTAATGTCCCACAGGCCCAACCCAGCTTTGACCAAACTCATTGCCTTTGTCTACGAATACTGCTATCCGGGGGTAGTTTTTCGATATTAGAGGGTTAGTACTCCGATTCTGATTACGACCAACCTGATACATATTAAGTCACCTGACAGAGCCCTTTGCCTATTCAAACAATTTTTTCCTCCTCCTTCCTGTCCTTTTCTTTCCCCTTCATACTTACCTTGTTTGGGTGGCTGCGCTCACGAAAGCGGCTTAACCACAATTCGGTTTCTACATTGCACTTCGTATAGACCAGCTGTCTAACGGCTCTAGGGTCTTGTTCTTTGGCACATCATGAATCCATTTTATGGATTCGTTTTTCATCAATTCTTGAATCAGTGATTCGAGGTTGGAGAAGAGATTTTACATGTTGACAAAAAACAAAATTCAATAATCTATTTCAAATGCTGCGCAGATCAGCTTCAGTGGCTGTGAGGTTATTACACCATGTATTGAGCTATTGAATAGCTAGCATGATCTTCTAGCAACCTTAAAATAAATAAATGTAGTCTGTTTTAATCAAGAATGTCCATTTTATACTGTACACAAACACAAATTCAAAGGGTATCTCAACACCAACACCAACAATGTTCCAAACTTGCAAAACTCATCACCGCGTAAGCAACCATGTCTCAAATGGCACACCCCTCGCAACATTCTTCCCGCCTTTAGTCGAAAACAAAACGGGCTCAAAATTACAAACAGAAGCATACTGCCTAATTAGATGGCGCCAATAACAAGCCTCCGCAGCCGGCGTAAGATACCGATCCCGAAACGTACTCACAGCATTATCAGCAATCCGCTCCGCGACAGCCGGGTTATCGATCAAGAAATTGATTTTTCGCTCAAGGTCACTGAACGCCTCGTCGACCTCGATATAATTCGCTTCCGGGCCCGACGGAACAAGTGCAGCGTGGTGCGCTTCTTTCCACTGCAACGGGTGCGAGATCATGACGGAGTGGCAGTTCAGGAGGTATTTCCCGCGGCCGGAGAAACTACGGCCTTCTGTATGCGCAACGAACATGTAGCGACAGTGATCTTCTATAGGAAGAAGGTTAAAGCGGATATCGTTCTCGTCATCCCAGTCTATAACACGGACAGAAGCCCAGCTATTTCCGAGGGAAGAGTCGAGCAGTCTATTCCGTACGATAGGGTTTGTAGCGAGACTGCCGCGCCAGACGAGCTGTTTTTTCTTATCTTTGAAGCTAAGGCCCGGAACCACTGTTCCATCGGGCATTGTTTCGCCAGAGTCGATGGCCGCGATGCGCCGGCGTACTTCTTGATATGGGCCTATTTGAACCTCTGGCCAGGCCCAGTAGCCAAAGTCCGGCATGAGCCAAACTGAGTTTTCCTCGTCACGTTTGGAATAGGACCATAGTGGGCCTTTGCCGGCTGAATCGGCGAAGTCCTCTGTTGTGAATATGAATTCGATGCTCGGCAGGAGGTGGTGGTCCGGGAATGAAGTTAAAGCGCGTTGGAGGGCATTTAGAGTGGCGCGAGCTCTGGAGGCTGTTACTGGTTGTGCGGCGTACTCGACAATGTAGAGCTATAAGGTGACAAAGGGTTAGGATTTACCAATGATAGCAACCAATTGGCAGGGTTAACTAACCTCTCCCTGATCGATAATCCCCCGCACCATCGCGTCCTCGACCTCCTGTGAATCGAGCTCTTTGAAGGTAATGGGGTTATCCTTTCTGAGTAGTGTGGACTTATCAATTTCAACGAATAGTTTCGGGAATGCGCTGCGGCATTGCTCGTCGGAAAGACCGTAGTTTTGGCCATCGCGCTCAACGATGAACTCCCACGTGTTATTTTGCGGGGTAGTCGGGGGACATTGTGGCTGTGTCTTCTGTGTCTTTAGAATGTAGCGGTTTACTGAAGAGTTTGATTGGCGAGAATAGAAGAGGAGTGCAAGTAGGAAGAGGGATGCAACAGCCCCTGCGCTTAAAAAGCGAAATGATTTTGGCGCAAACATTGCTCCGTGAAGGAATTTAGACATCAATTAATGGAGTTTTGCAACTGAACCAGGATCCAGCCCTGGGACGAAGCTCTGATGATGACCTTGGTTCGTGCTATCACATTCAAATGGCTGCACGTCCACTGTCATGATGGGCGGAGTTGATTGTTTCCATGGCAACGTCGGCTAGAGTTCCGGCGTTTTCGGAGAAATCAAGAAACACCATGTCCTCGCTAGTAAAGGGAATTTTCATACTTATTATGTATTAGATGGTAAGAAATGTATGTAGAGGAAAACACTCTTCAAATCAGCTCGAATCTAAAATCTATGGTCCCAACGATATCGCACTATGTACATAGGAGGAGTCCGTCATGGCCAGTTGATAATTCAAGGGGTATCTCAACAATAGGTCGCAAAGGGAGTAAGGGGAGCAAAAATAAAATATGAAAATTGTCAAGTCTTCAAAATAAAGATCGTCAACCACATGAGCGTGAGCGTGAACGTGAACGTGAACGTGAACGCAGAACAATCGTAGAAATAGATCAACGTTGATCGGCTTGACTTGAATTAGGAGCGTTGTTGCTGAAGTAGCTCTCGTCGATCTTAAGGATCCATTCTACCTTTTGAGCCTCGGTTCGTGTGGCGAAGAGGAATGTATTCTGGGTGCCGTAGACGGCGAAGATATTTGGTCGTCCTTTTGTAGAGAGGGAATTATCAGAACCAGCGCCAGATCCGACTAGGAGGCGGGCAAAGTCAGGCGCATGGTCGACACGAGCTGTTCGTAGGTTGATGGCGTTAATCTCATCTCCTTCAGGGACCGAGTAGATGTGGAGATACGGCCGGCGGAGCTCCACGAACCGGCGGACCCAGACGCTGTTGGTGTCGTCGGGTGTAAGAACGTAGCCTGTTTTCAAGGCGGAGGGGTTCTTGGGAAGGGTTTGGATGGTTGCCACGAAGCGAGGCTTTAGTGACATCTTAGCGTCTGCACCGTTGAGCTTGGAGGCGAAGACGGCGCCGTCGGCTGGAGGTTCGGTGTTGCCATTGACTAGAATTGCTTCTGTCGGGTCGTTCTTAGTCGGCCAGAGAGCAAGGTACTTCTGCAGAAGTTTTGTTTTGCGTTCATTGAGGTCTTGGTTGCGCATTGGTGTCGATCGGGCACTGCTACGAGTAGGAGTTGCTGTGAGGCTACCAGCACTGAGAGCTCCTCGTGCAGCGTGCAGCTCGGCCGCACGACATCGACGCTTACGGGCTGTGATATAATCTCGAACAAGCGACACTTTTCGAGGGGCCCATGCTGTCAGTAGCTCCTCGCCTTTGACGTAGTCGTTCTGTGTGTTCATCCGCCAGAGATCTGACGCACGCTTAGCTGAAATAGGACGGATGACCAACGAGTACAGACATGTAGTAGAGTGCACGATTCGGGTCGAGCTCCAGAACTGCTTGAACATCGACTGTTGGCGAACGTAGTTACGGCCAAGGATCGAAATCGTTTGATCGACTTCAAACACAACAGGAGCCTGAAGGCGGGAGGAGACGAGGTCCCAGCGAACAGTCACCTGCACCTTGTACTTTTCAGCCGTCACCCGATCGAGGAGCAGAGAGCCGTGCAAACTCGAATCCCACTGCCCGACGATGTTGACATTAGAAGTTCCATCGGCATTCTCCTTGACCGTGGGTTCTTGAACAAACTTAAGAGGAACATCGGGGATTTGGTAATCTTGATCTGGGATCTTGCCCCATGGATCAAGCAGTCGTATGGATCCGACGCGAGCATTCGTGATATCATCCCATGGCAGAGTCTCAGTAGAACTATAGGTGATATTGATCGAGATACGACGCTGCAGACCTTGGTGAAGTTGATAAGTGCCCGCGTCAAGACTACTACTTTGAATGACTTCGACCGGAAGGTATTCACCAGACTCAGCAAGCTCCAGAATTTGAATGCGAGCAAAGACATCGTGCCTTTCCTGCGAATAAAATTCAGATTCTGCAATTCGGGGTGCGGTTCTTTTTTTAGGCGCGATCTCCACGGAATCGCACATGTCATCCCAGCTCAACAGTTTGTCCATGTGAACTGACGTGACTCGGGCGTAAACACAGACCTTGAGCGATGCCGTCCGGGGACTTGAAAGCGGAAGGCTCATGCTGTGGACACTTTCAAATCGCACGGGACCCTCTTCAAAGCCACTGATCATCTGTGTCGTAGTTGCACCTCCCTCCTCGGAGATTCCGGGGATAAATAGCTGGGCGTGAACGTTAGAGCCTTCCCACTCGGCAAACCCGACCATGTCCCGCATGACCACGTTGAACTTTAGGGTTGATGATGGAGCCTGTGCAGATGACGGCTCTAGAGACAACCGCACAATACCAACAACGCTTTGTGCGTATGGCGAAATGATCTCAACTGAAAAGTCCTGCACGCGCGTCTCAAATACCGCAGTCAATGGGATATCAGCATCTCCGATGAGAGAGTACTGCGGCGAACAAGGTTCCGAGAAGGGATTTTCAAGTTTGAAGTGCTGAATGTAATCAGGTCGATCGATATATTGGTGCAGCTGACGCATGGAATGGACGCGACGCTGAAGCTTCTCAATCGACCAAAGATGGATCACAGATTGCTTGTAGTCAATCACTCGAACCCCGACACAAGGTTTCTTGGCTTCCTCAAGCACAATGTCCTCGTCTCCCGAGATTCCATTCAAGACAAGATCGTACGAAGACGCCATGTTATGGCCATTATCCACGATAGCGAATTGGAAGGTGACATTCTTGTCCATGATCTGGCTCATGACTTGTGCTTCCTTGAGTAGGGATGCATGCTGAAGAATCTTCTCAGCCATACGAACGTAGCTTCGTTGGGACCAATGACTGAAGATGGTCCGAGCAATCTCTAGCTCGTGATCATTCAGTTTGGCAAATCCATTCTCGTATATTTGAGGGATCGGCCTGCCCATGTCACGCATCTGAGACTCGAATTCGTCCTTTTGCTTCTTCAATTGCTCTTCAAACGCCTCCTTAGCAGACCGGAGCGCAATCTCTATGCGTTGCTTTTCCGTTCCAATCTCATTTGGATCCGAGCTAGAGAAAGTCTCCGTAATCTTGAGCTTGTCTTGGAAGTCTTCCCGTTGTCGATCCAGCTGGCGCTGCATATCCTGCTGAACAGCGTTCAATTTATTTCCCCCATCGTCATCACGTAAAGGCGTGCCAGGCATCGTGATAGCTGTATCTAAAGAGAAGTTGTCGAGGGTTCCATTTGACATGTACTTTTCGCGGACAGGGAAGGAGCTGAGAGAGTCCGAGTCTTCCTCATTTTCTGCCACTCCGCGGCGCACTGCGAGTGCTTTTTGGACATCCTCAAAGAGAGCATCAAGTTCTTCGTCAGGCAAATTTGAAATATGATCCGGGCCGATAATCGCACTGACAGCCTCTCTTCGAGCAAGAAACCAATCAGATTCACGTCCGCGCTGTGAAGGCATTGGTGAATCTGCTCTGCTTGAATCTTCATCAATATCAGATGCTGTCTTGCTCAAATTTCGATCGTGTTTGTTTGGGGCGGGAGAACCAAGTTGACTTGTTGTGACGGAATGTCTAAGTAAGCTCTGTTCCACGCGCTCAGCGCGAGCCTCCATGGGGTGATTGAAACGGAAAATATGGAAGTCACCAAGAATAATACGAAATCCACTCCTGAGTCGTTTGGGTTTGTCAATTCGTAGACCATTCACCATCACTGCAGCACCCTCAGTGGGGACGATGGTCACAACATTGTCCACATTTTCGAAAGTACAATGCGGTGAAAGAATTTTAGATCCGTTCAGTCTAATCTCAATATCACTCCCTTGGTCTGTATGTCCCACGGTCGTAGTACCTGGTTTGATGTTATAGACCAAACACTCCGCCAGCAAGGGATCGTCGCTCAGATTGACCAAGTGAGGCATCTTCTTCGGAGTGCTCAGGCCGACGAAGCCCTTCTCGATATTGATACCAAGTTCTTCCAATGCTGTTTCACGCTCCTTGTGAATTTCTTCCGTCTTCAGTAGCTTCTCCTCCCACGTCTGGTTAAGATCCTTATACAGCTTCTCACTTTGGTTCAGCTGCTCCACAATCTCGGCCTTGCTGACTTTCGTGATGGAACCATCAGCCTGTTGAATTGAAACCATCTGTTTTTCTAGTGGTGTGTCCGGAGGGTAGTATTCTTCAGCCGGTGCCGCACCACCTGCTACAGCACTACCACCGAGTTTCGAGCGTAGCTGTGCCAGTTCCTCCTTCAACTCGCGGATCATGCGAGCATTTGGATCTTCGTTCACAACTGCATGGTTCTTGATTCTCTTCGCGGAGTCTGCATATCGTAGGGTGCCCAGAGTTTCGTCAAAGTTGATATCCGCAGGAGAGATGGCGGCAATCATGGAGGTCATGGAATTACCTCCTAGAGAATCTTTCAAGAGCCACGTTAGGATGGAATCACGATATGGAACCATCGACGCGTTCTTCTTCTTTCCAACTGCGACATCAGCCAGAGCAGCAATAACACGACCCAGCGTTGAGAGAGATCTGTTGATCTCAGCACCTTCCTTCAGTCGTGCACCAGTGGCGCCGGTGGAATTGGCTCGCTCGGAACCAGCCAAATCGACCAAACTGATCTTCGACACTTTCTCTGTATCCATTGACGTTTCCGCATCATGGCGTTTTTGGGTGAGTGTGAGTGTGAATACCGCGTGGGATCGACTGGAGGTTTCGTTCATGTTGGTCGCGGCAACGGTTCTCGCCTTGTTACCCTCGTCCATCAAATTATCAATCTCGTCAAAGGAACTGACCACTAATTTGGCCAAATCCTCCACATATGGACCGGTCGAGGGATGTTCTCGAACCTTCAGGTTGCCCTTGTTCGAGGGGTTGAGCAGATCACGTACACGTTCGTTGTAAATCTCTAGGTAGGACACCTCGACGGTGCATTTGAGGTTTTTATCTTGCTGTATACCGTTGATGCGTTCGAATAGCGACTGGCAAATACGCGGAATGACACCATACTCCTTTCCATATCCCATCATAGAATAAGACTTTCCAGAACCGGTCTGACCGTAGGCAAAAATACAATTGTTGTATCCACCAAAGGCATTCTCTAGAAGTGGCTCACCCAGGTCATCAAAGAGGTTGTCCTGTCCTGCATAGTTACCGTCCGATTTGTCAAAGGACCAGTATGATCGGTCAAAGGCGAAGGTCTTGGGACCTTCGGCGCCGCCCTTGCCACCTTTTCGCCCTGAGGCTTTCTCCTCCATACCAGGCGGTGGTATGATCACCGTCTGGTTGCCTTTCATCTGGACGATACATTTTGCACCGCGGTCGATTTCTGGAGATTGGCCGGTCAGTGGCCACCTGGGCAATCTTGGAATTGGGATTTGGGAATTGTTCGATCTAACCTCTGCTATTGAAGGGCCGCACTCGCACCACCACCTTAATGTTTCCTCCGCCGCCTGGAGCCATTTTGATTCTCTACCCCATAAACCGGGGGACTGTCACGAATGGACTGTTTCGGGGAGATCCCGCACAAGCGGTGACCAGGGCCGTTTGATGCGCCCACTCCGCAAGGAGCGCGACTGGCAGTATTATCGCAAGGATGAGAGGTGATAGGAATCTGAATATTGTTTCGATGTATTCTTGTGTGTTTCGGTTGAGGAGAAAGTGTAATAGAGAGATGTCAACAAAGACGTCATGTATTTGTTGATGAGCGCGTCCAAACTCCGTGGTGGGCGGGGTGGGGATATCACGGGGTACGCGGGTGTCAGGCTGTTTGTAGTAGACTCGGTTGCCTCAACGGTGCAACGAGACCATCAGCCGAGTGCGATTGTCAAGATGGACCTGTAAATGATGAAAAGCCACAGGTGCCCCCGGAGCGGGACCCCTTGCTGAGGTAAGCGATTCATGGGTCATTAGTTAATAGCTGTGTCGTTAGGTAGTTTGGTACGAAGTAAATAACTGGTTAGAGATTAGATTGCCTAGATGTACGAGCTAGGTATGGATTATATAATTCAATATCAGATTGATTTTAAGAGATTATATTCAAGGATATGATATGTATATGAATGTAGGTAAGCAGTACATGGCCGTGGACGTACATTGAAGAAAAGATCTCGACGCTTGAATATCTCCAACATGTCAGAATTTGATGTCAAGTTTTTCGTAAGCTGGGAACATCCATGAAGAATGTGGGTATCAAGTTTCCACAGCTAAGGATTATCGGTGGGTGTTTCATTTTGGGTAGGACTTGGCAACCACGATATATAGATGGGGTATCTAATCATGCCACATAAAATCCTTGCATACAAGAGTACATGGTACTTGACAAAACTGGTGACTTTCATATGAAAAGCCTATAATCATTGTAAGTTATTCAGGTAGGTAGGTACTTAGGTATTTAGGTATTTAGGTATTTAGGTAGGTAGGTGAAGTTGTAAGGAAGGTGAGAGATCGGACCTATGATTCAGCACGTGGAAATGACAGAAGAAAGTCGATTAGTTATCAGATGGTTAAACCATCTTCGATCTTCCACTACGGGCCTCAGTAAGGGAAGTGTTTACTAGTAAATAGTGACTATTATTGAATAATGGATAGATACGGCAGAATTTCCTCAGCTCAAGGGTGATCGGAAGAATATCACCGTGGATATCCGACCTGGTTGCGTCATTTATATACGGTGACAGTATCTGTACTCCATGAACTATCATCGGTTGAAATTAAAAGGTCGATTAACTAGGATTTAAATTTAAATTTCTTGATTTTCTATTTAAATTAGTTAGTATCACGGTGATGAGTACGAGGTTCATGTCATGAACATGGATCATGGATGAAAATGGGACGTAAGGTGGAGGACAATTGCCCAAAGCGGACAAATAGCCGAAAGCCCGGCGATCAAAAAAGAAAAAAAAATAGAAAAGAAGCAAAAATGTAGAAATGAGAAGGAAGCAAATTGATAGAAAATGACAAAGAATAAAGAAGCAAAGAAACCTGGTGAGAGGCAGAATAGTATTAAATATAGCAAAAAGTAAATTACTACTCCGTGCTCGAGATCGAGAACGAGTTTTCTCACCGCCTCGACACATGACCCGGGATGCCCGGATTTTGAATTACAATACATGACAATCGATACAGTAATTTACAGAACCGGCACGAATAAGAGACGTGGAATGTATGGGGATACGGACAGTAACAGTAGTGGCAGTTACAAATCAATGGTTGGGCAGATAAATACCAAATACACAATACAGCCCCCACTTACAAGACTACGTACTCTGATACGTCGCAATCATAGAACCGGCCAGTCAACTCAGTTGGAAGCGGTACAAAATGCCCCATCGCCCACCCCTTTTCGCTTTTCTTTCCTTTGCCTCTTTCTCGTTGGTCACCCTCTTTCTCCCCTCCAACCATCGCACAGGTCTATGCTGGTCCAGTTCTAAAGTCCAATCACCGTGCTTCCTTCTAGAGCAAGGCATCAAGGTTAGTCAATTTACTTTTCATTGCTATTGGTCTCAATTATTTCATTGCCTATATCATTCCTATATTGCTCCCTATATTGCTCCCCTATTTGTTCCCTAATGGTCTAGTGGTCCCTATTCGTCTGGTGCTTAACATTAGGGACTGAATTCTCTGAGGCTCTCTGGCTGCTACTCCCATTCCTGTTGTGTAAACATTGCTTTATTCCACGCGAAACATCCCTACTGTTTAATTACTGGTTATTATTCCCCTTTTCGATATTTCCCATTTTTCTCGATATTTCCCTATTTCCCCATTTCCCTATTTCTCTATTTTCCCGTTTTCCCATTTGCTTCATTCTATTTGTTGATTCCCCATTCCTTACTATAATCTGCACGGTTCGCGGGTTTGCCCGAGAACTTGACATCGATCGGGCCCCCAGTTGTGCACTGGACTACCGCTTTCTCGTTGGCACGATTTCCCTTCGATCTTCCCCTCTTAAATCCTCCCCCTCACTTCTTCCCCAATCAACGTTTACTTTCTGATCCCTTCTTTACTTTGGATTGGAAGTTGACCCAGATGGAAAATATCCATTCTCCGTACCCCTTTTGAACTTCCCCACTTGAGGTATACTCTTTCTCCAATCCCACGTTGTCGCGTCGCGCCTCTCTGCCCGTGGCAAAAACATACACGCGCCTTGGGCTACCCTACTTGGCTTATTTCCTACCTGGGTACATGCAAAGCGGCTGCACTGTGTTTCATCATCACCCATGCTATTATTCTCTTTGATTGGCTGCCTACTTTTTATTCGCGCTGTGTTTCGACCCGACTTCATCTGCACGCGCCCTTGTTGTTGATATTGATTAAGGTCGCAAGCTAACATATCTACTAGAAGTTGTGTATGTGCTGTAACAGCATCTGTTTCACATATTATATTCTGCAATATAACGATTGCAGACCACGCGATCCTCAAGAGGTAAGTTTCATCTCAATACCCGTGCCAGCGCATACATCCCACCTTATCCCTCTGCCTTGGGCCAGCCTAATCCGTTTCCGGGTTATCCATGACCCCTCCCCCGATTCTGAAATCATGTTGCCTCACCCAATTTCAATTGACAGCGCACCAAGTCACAATGTCGCAGTGACTTTATCGATATTAGTTCATCTTGAATAAAAAACAATGCTGACTATCACAGTGTTGATTGGTGGAGCCTTGAGGCCGCGCTTTGACGTTTTTCCGAAAAAGTATCACTTGTAGAAGAGCTACTGTCCAGCCTCGAAAAACAGTCGAAGCTACTCTATATCTCTACACAGCCTCGTCTCTGCTTTACCCCGACAAGCTGAGGGGTTGCCTCCCGATCTGCTGCATCACAGCCCAACCAAAGTTACCCCCGGCAGTGGGCATAGACCGATTTGCTCAAAAGCGCCAAACCCTCCACAGTGACGGGTGTTCGAGATCTTTCGACCAAGAAGTCCATTTGACGACTTCAAGTAAACATCATCCTGGTTCATTACCTCAGTGTGGTGCCTGCAGTTAGGGTATGCGCCGAGTCCCCGTGCTTTCCCGTTACATAACCCCCATTTGCCTCCAAACCCAGTGACCGCTCGGTGCTGCACTCTTGCTGACGGATGTCCCCGAGCCTGCAGAACTAGAATCTCCGCTTATCGAATCAACGTTCGACTATACCCCACTCCGCCTTAGGTCGTTATTGACCCACGGTCTGCCAAAATATTACTGTCCACTCGTGATCTGACCTAGTACCTGGTTGGTGATTTGACATAGGTTCGACACCGAAAAACGAGATTCAGTAGTACCGCGTCGCGAACTTCCCGATCATGGATTACTCAACTCAGTATCAACAGCCCCATGGCCAACATCCTCATGCCCCCTCTCACATGTCTGGTCCGTACCAAAATGCACCACCCAATCCTGGTGCTCCAGGGTCCATGACATCGCCTACCAATGCGCAGGCACCTATGCAGCAGACACACCCAAACCATCAGTCTTCTCCAATCGTCCCTTCTCAGCAACACTACCAATCCGCTCAGAATGCGCCTGGCGGCGTTCACCAGCCGATGAGTTTCCCGCAAGGCTATGGCGTGGCTGCTGCCATGCCACAGTCCTACGGTATCTCACCGACACAGGCCGCCGCAATGGCCACAGCTGCGGCATCCGGGCAATTCTACCCGCTCCACCAAGATTCCATGGGTGGGCAGATGGGTCAGCCGCGAGGCTCACCGCGCATGGCAGGTGTTCAGATGAAGGATCGCAACCCGCGATCGCCACAACAGATCTCTGGCCAGATGCCTCCGATGGGATCTCAGGTTGCCATGCCGCCGAATTCACAGATGCCTCCTCGCCGCATGAGCCATGTTGGAGGTAGCCCTGGCGTTCAGAATGCGCAGCCGGTGATGAATCACATTGGTCGTCCGCCGATCGCACCCCCAATGGGCCCCCAGACAGTTTTGCAACAAAATCAGCCATCTCCAGAGATGGTGGCTGGCAATAACCAAGAAGAGTCTCCTCTCTATGTCAACGCCAAGCAGTTCCACCGAATCCTGAAGCGCCGAGTTGCCCGACAGAAATTGGAGGAGCAGTTGCGGTTGACGTCCAAAGGCCGCAAACCTTACCTTCACGAGTCACGACATAACCATGCCATGCGTCGGCCCCGTGGTCCTGGAGGTCGGTTCTTGACTGCGGACGAAGTGGCCGCTATGGAGAAGAAGGCCGCCAACGGCGAAGACCCGACTCTGGATTTTAGCAAGGAGATCAACGCAAGGAAGCGGAAATCAAGTGAGGTCCATGAAGACCAGAGTTTGAAAAAGACCAAGATGAGCGCGAGTGCTGACGCTAGTGAGCAAGACTCCGCCGACGCGTCGGATGATGAAGGCTAAAAACTCGACGCCTCGTACCTCCCGACACGACATCGCAAACAGGAGTTAGTCTCGGCACAGTCGGTAGGGGTTTGGTTTTGATTTTCATTTGTTCTTTCTTTTCACTGTTACGGATTTATGGATGGACGTTTCCCGGACCTTTTTTATCACTAGCAAGCGATGTATGGTGTCCCCTATCTTCTCTTCACTTCTCTTCTCATCTCTGTTTTTTACCTCCCCTTTTTTCATACCACTACCTTATCTCTGATGCCTATTTCTAGCTTATGCTGTAACGAATTCCTCTTCGTCTTTTCACCTATGTCTGACGTATATCCAACGAACCTGTTACGGCTGGCTCCGGGCCTTGAAAGATGGCTTTTTTTTTTTTTTTCAACAGGTCTCAGCATCATGATCTAGGGCTTGACATGATTCTAACGGGCTCTCCAGACTTGTTCTGGCTTCGCAGAGTCACAGTCGAAGGTTCAAGATCAATGCTAAGGCTAATATCCCACATTACCTTGTGTATATCGATCTCAGTCCCGACAGTACAGCTACTCCCAGTTCCCACACCAGATTTATTTATTGTTCCCATATGAACCCCATCCCCTTTCCCCTTACCTTCTCCCATATCCCCCTTGGTTTGCGTTTTTCTCTCTTCCTGTTTCAATCTATGGTCTCCTCGGTGTCTTTATGTGGGTTTACTTGTGGGTTTACTTATGGTTCCGGCTGGGAATTTAGAGGCTCCATCACTGGAAAAACATGATGTTTAGGGAAAGTCTGGATTGTTTTCTTTCTGCTTTCTTGTTTTCTATTTCTATTATGGATATGAATCAATTTGTCTGCAAATAACCCTGTATCATGGAGTTGTAATGAAAATCCTTATGGCTAGAAGCCCAGCTGCTACCTATATAAGTAGGTAATCCAGCAAGGCCGCTTTCAGTTCAAATGGCTTCATTCAATGATTTAACATTTCTCATGGATAAAACCAACCTAGATATCCATGCTATGCGAACCGAGTCGTAACTTTCAAAAATAAAGTACATACATATCAACGCCAAAAATGCAACAAACCCCACAACGTTAGAAATCAAACAGCCTCCCAATCCATAGCATCAACTATAAATCCCCACCCTCCATCCCCAACTCCACCTTCATCCGCCGTATCCCCAGGCTTCCTACAAAGATCAGCATGATATCTAGCCCTGGCATACCCCTCATCAAGCCCGTGAAAAATGCCACCTAAAATCTCATCAAAATCAAACGCCGCCAAATCCGGCACCTCCCTTCGCTCAAACGGATCCCGCTCCCTCTCCTCTCGACTCAAATCAGCCGTCTTCCACCGATTCCGCAAATCCTTCGCTTGCCGCAGTAATTCGAACACATGTCCGCTCCCTAGCACAGGCGTTAGCGGTGACGACTCGTCCTCTAGCGCCTGGAGGACATTGGCGTGGTATCGATGGCCTGTTGGAGGTGGTGGTCGGGGCATGGCGGCGCCGATCACGCGCACGCCTGTAGATGATGACTGGTGCGCAGAAGACGAAACGGTGATGTTGAAAACTGCTAGTAAATGTACAATAGCCCGTTCGAGCAGCGCGTAGTATTCGTAGAAATCAATCTTGAACATCATTTCTTCAAGCTCGCTTCCTGAGCCTACGGCCATTTTAGCGAGTCTGTAGCCTTCGGCTAAGAAGGGAAGTTTCCATTTTAGACGGGCGACGATCTTTTCGAAGCGGGCTAGTTCTTCAGAGGGTGGGAGGAGTCCTGTGGTGCTGTTTATGTTGTTGGTGGGCGTTGTTCGTATTTGATTTTCGGAGCGGGGTCGGCGCATGAATGACCCGTTGATTGTGCCGCTATTGTTTTGGCCTTGAGAGTTGTGCTTGCCATCGTAGCTTCCACCCGGCGCCCAGCGCGAGTCGGTTAGATTGGTCATTTGGAGAGCGCTGGGGCGCCTGGTGGATTTGGGGTTTTTTGGGAGGTTGGAGGTAGATTTGGCGCACGGGCCAGGTGGAGAGGAAGGTTGACACTAGTTTATGTTAATCTGGTGGAGTGGAGGACACTAGATCTATAGATAGCTCAAGTGTACCTCTCTGGCAGGTTTTAGCTAGACTTGGGAGTAACTTCAAGTAAGTTGTAACGTTGCTAGAACTAGGAGCCTAGTCAGTAGAGATGTCTCAAAGGATGATTCTTTGTATTCTTGATCAATAACGTAGTAAAACGATGCCCCTGTATCAATACTAAAGGGAGAAGCGCCTGGGCATCTCAAAAGGCCAGGAAACACTTATTTCAAAGTATTTTGTCATCATGCATGTGGTGCTACTTGAGAATGCCAGATACGAATTTGATATTTCCAAGGTTCTTGTCTGAAAATACTTCAGATTGATTGTCCAGTAGGTTGAGCCCTCAACTTCACCCTCTTGTCTTTCAATGGGATGCTGTCGATGCTAGGATTATATCACTCCACACCTTTCATCCATACTGTTGAATGTATCATAGAATAATTGAACATTTGTCAGTGCTCCTCATTACCAATTGCCCCAAATAAAGCAAGCGATGGACATACTAGCTGCTCTGGGTCACGCTAGTCCTCGGGGGATTCGAGTACCAACTTCCATTTCATGACGAGATACCAATCAATGTATTCAATGAATGAGACTGCAATCAAATAGCTAGGTACCTCCAGGGCTAGAGCCTAGGTACAAGAGACTGCCTCACAGACTATAACCGTGAAAGTGATCTAAAAGCACGAGCCCAGTCTCAGCAGTCAACCACAGCCACAGCCATAGCTCCAGTCTCGATAATGACGAAGGAAGAGGCCTGGAGTGATACTTACCTCACCCATGGTGCGGGTGGATAGTCCACATTCGGCAGTTTCATATGCAAATAGCTTCTAAGATTGGTATAATGTACAAGTCTCTGGGCTATCAAATCTGAGATCTGATTGATAATCACTTCTTCCGGACAATAGCTTTTCATCAAGAGAATACCTCGGTCGTCACAATTCCAAGGTTGAATAATCAGATCATCAATGGTTGGAAGATGGGTCTCCGGGGACAGGATATCTTGTCTGCTGCCCAGCTAGACTAGATAGCTGATCCATAAACTTCCATGGCTGTCTCATTTAGGCCTCTCTACAAGCTACGGCAAGTCTGTACCTTATGAACATCCATAGACTGCTACCTTATCGTCCTTGGGTCTTGACCTCCATCCCGTGACATGCGTAGCCATGACTAGCGTATCCGGACCTATAAGTACTGTCTCCTTTGACTTCCTAATATATCTTTTCTTTATCATTCGTCTCCTTTTTTATTGCTTGATGGCCCTTGTGGCCGCGGGTAGACTAACTATCACAGCATTGGCGCCATTAGTCCTTAGATGCGTCCTGACAATGTTATCATTTTACGTTTGCATGTATTGTTTATACCTTCCATTATTTCTGGCATGTACAGCTTGATATTATGGACTTCTCAGTGTCTTTCCACCTAGGTAAGGCTGGATACCACCTTGGCTGTTCTAAGGTTGCAATTCCAAGTGTCACATCAGAGTTCCTTTGGTGATGTGGCTGAAGCTTTGGCAGTCCAGGATGTGAGTATTTTGCTACAATTCTGGAATGGGCTCCAGGGCTATAATCTGTGAAATATTGAGTCGATAATGGAATATCTTCATCGTGTTCCGGGCCAAAACGGTCGCTTGTGGGTCATTTGCAGTATTGGACATTGATGATTTCCCAACAAATTAGTTCCATATATATCATTTCAAGCTGCTCAATGGACAGATCGTCTGAATTTTCTCTCCAATCTTACTCACGTTCATAGCACTTGATGTTTCTCTAATTTTATACTCTTGGCCGTTTAGATCACATGACCTTGCCCTGTTAGGATTGTTGCTTATTCTTCCACTTTAGGCTTAGCGTTCTCCAGCTCTCCAACCTTGGACCTTCGTCACGCTTCAACCTCATCTTGCTAATTATCATTGAAACGCCCATTTTATATCAAGGCTTCTTGTAGGTTGCCTAATTCCCTTTCTTCTTCTGCAATTCTCTTCAAGTTTCCCATAACCGATCTTGCCTTGCCCTACTCTTGCTGTCAGCTCCCCCTTATCTTCTGGCCATTCCGTGCCTTGATTCCCCTCTTGATTCTTCTTTCCTACCTTATCTGAGGCTGCAATTGTGTTATATGCACCTTTGCAGTATCTCTCGGCGCTTTTTGTGATACTCTTAATTAAAATCTAGCCGGCGCCGTCGGACTTGCTCCATCTTTCTCCACCTTAAGCCATGACCTTGTGGCGAGTGTGCATTCCTAAGATGGGTGCTCAAACGCCGCAGAGCATTATTCCTGACCCCTCATTATTATTTTCTTCCCTGATACTTTTTACTCTTCCGTTTACCCGCGAAATCCCGAGCCGACTTCGTACCAAACCATCTGAGTCTGATATTGACGATCGGACTTCTAGCTCTTATCACGCATTGCGACATTTTACTTGAAATTCTGTTGAAGCTCTTTCCCACTTGCGATCAATTGCGCAAACCTTGGGTTTCTCGTCTCAAGCCACTTACGGCACAAGCCGTACCTCACCGACACCCAGTTCAGCCATCCATTATGGACTCCTACGAAGGCTATGCATCTCCTGGAAGAGGGCGCGACGCGCCAGGCGAATCTTACCGCCGTCGCTCACCTTGTAGGCTATCACCAATTGCAAATGGACTGCCATTCGCAATTCCTCACCCCAAATCCCTCTCCTCCCACCACATCTCCCCTATCCTCTCTATTTCCCAGCTTACGACTTGTTCATGTTGCTAACTACGTCTGAAGCACGCCAAGGCCGCAGACGCTCGCGTTCCCCCATGATAGACCGCTACGAACCCTCAGACCGCCGTCCCAGAGAGGACTTCTATAATAATTCGCGCGAACACGCGGCGCGTGAGCGTGAAGATCGTCGTCGTCCCCCCTCTCCCAACGTAGCCAACATTGACCGCTACGTTCCCGGCCAGGACTTTGGAAGTCGCCCAGTGACGACCAACCCACTCCCTAACCCACTGAGTCTTGACTTTCAGGTGGGATTCACATGGTTCGCTGAATGGTGGCGAACCGAACAGTCGCTGAAGGAAGAGAAAGAACGCGCCAAGCACGGAGGCCGTCGCCCATCAGACCGAGTTAAGGGAGACCGCGAGGCCCGGGAGGATCGCGACAAGGAACGCGCGCAGATCCAGGCTGCTTACGACGCATACAAGAATGATCTGCAGGTCAAACTCGCACGGCAGTTTGTGCAATCTCACAGAAACGAGGAATGGTTCAAGGAACGTTATCTCCCCGAAGTGCACGACCCCATTCGTGAGCGTTTGATGACCTTGCGGTCAGCTGCCTATCTCCAGTGGCAGTTCGATATCAACACGGGTATGTTTGATGATTTCACTCTCGAGGGTATCTACAAAAATGACAGCGATGGTGCCGGTGGTGTCATTGAAAAGGAAGAAGGCGAGACTTCGGCAGTTGGAGAAACAATGGGTGTGCTCGACTTGCTCCCTGTCCGAGGTGGCCAGCTTCGCGATGAAGCTCTATCCCAACCTGCTTTACTGATCAAGACCTTGGCTCCGAACGTCAGCCGCGATAAGATCGAAGAGTTTTGCAAAGAGCACCTCGGAGAAGGTGACGGAGGCTTCAAAGCACTTAGCCTCAGTGATCCCAATCCGTCTAAGAAGTTCCACCGCATCGGATGGATCATGCTCAACCCCGCACAAGATACAGGAGCCACGGAACGAGGAGATGGTCGTGAGCAGGAAGAGGAACTAGATAATGATGCCACCAATGGAGCTGCAACCACAAGTCCCGCCCAGAAAGCACTTGAAGCTGTCAACGATAAGACTATTCACGACTCCCTTCATGGTGACTTTGTCTGCCATGTGGGTATCCACACTCCCTCAGCTTTGCCCCGCAAGAAGGCCCTCTGGGACTTGTTTTCATCCCCAGAGCGCATTGATCGTGACCTCGAGCTCGCGAAACGCCTAGTCTCCAAATTGGATGCGGAACTGGAATATGACGCCGACGGATTTGCTAGAATTGAGGAGCGAGTTGAGGATTTGCGTGGTAAAGGCTGGCTTCAGCCTCCCGTCACCGGGCCTATTAGTGTGAGGAAGCAGACCGCAGACTTCAATGACGATATCGACGATGCAGAGATGGAGGAGGGCGAGGAGAAGGAGGGTCCTGAAGAGGACGAGATTGATGACGAGGAGCTCTTGGCGAAGAAAAAGAAGTTGGACTTGACAGTGGAATACCTTCGTCGTGTGCATAACTTCTGCTTTTTTTGCGTTTTCGAGAGTGACTCGGTTCATGAGCTGAGTCGCAAGTGCCCCGGTGGTCACCTTCGCCGCCCTCGTTCCGGAATCTCCAGCCACGCCAGAGAAGTTGCTCGGGCCAGTGCTGAGGGACGGGAATTCCCGTCTAAGTCGACCAAGGATCGAAGCGAGGAGGAAGAAGAATCTGCAGTCCACGACAAGCGGCCAGCAAGAGGAACGAAGCCTGTGCTGCAGCTGCAGCGTGCATTTAACTGGGTCAAGACTTACGAGGATAAGCTGTTGTCGATCGTTGAGCCCGAGAATGTTGACTTGAACAAGCTCGGTGGTAAGCCAGTGGACGTCATGGTTGAAGAGGAACTTGCCAAATACGTCAAACAAGAGGATGACTCTCGTTTCCGTTGCAAGGTGCCTGATTGTGCCAAGCTATTCAAAGCCGAGACCTTCTGGCGCAAGCATATCGAGAAGCGCCACATGGATTGGCTTCAAAGTATTGAGCGTGATGTAAGCATTGCATTCTAGTTCATTTTTCATTCACTTTTTTATATTCTAACCTCGTTCAGCTATCGCTGGTGAACAAGTATGTGCTTGACCCTCAGCGCATTGCTCCATCACGTTCAGATGCCAACGCCAACGGGCACTTCCCATTCTCCGCCAATGGGGCCCATAGTACTCCTCGTGGGTTCAGTCTCCAGGGCATGCCCTACCCCGGAGTAATCCCTGGCGGATTCCAGCCTGGCGGCATGGCTGGACTTGTAGGCTCCGGTACCTGGAATGGTAATATGATGATGCCAAACGATGGTGCAAATCTGCACCACCCTGGTGCTATGCGCCGTGGACAGCACCGCCATAACAACCGCACCGGCCCTTACGATCGCCGCCGTAACAACACAGGAGGACGCATGAGTCCGGGTCGCTATGGAGCCAGCCGACTCCCCCAGGCTGGCATGACACTCCCACCGGGCCATCCCGCGAATATGCTTCCCGCTAACCCCTTCCCCGACGCCATGGGAACCGGTACCGGTCAGGCATTGCCTCCCCGTGAAGCCGTTCAAGGTCGCAGCCTCAAGAGCTACGAAGATCTCGATGCTGTCGAGGCGTCCGGAAGTGGTGAGCTCAACTATTAGATCGTGTGATCTGCTGATATTTCCTTTATTCTTTTATTTTCTATCTCTTACCAATTTGCTATTATCTCCTATTCTTTCTTGGTGTGTTGGTGGCGCAATGGAAGGCAGGAAGGAATTCGGGGTATGTCTCTTCTGTTGCACGCTTTATCTATCGGGATTATTGTGTTTGTTAAAACTGTTGTTCAACACTTACCTTCCTTTCCTCGCTTCACCGACTCGGTTCGAAGTCTGATGTTTTTTTTTTTTTCTTTTGTTGACCCTGAGTTGGGTTAAAATTATCTTGCAGATTTTATTCTCTACCTCAATCTCTTCAAATCATATCTTCCCTGCATTTATATATTGCATGTACAATATTCGCATTCATCAAAAATTGAGCGAAATAAATTCCTTGGGTATCATGTTCTTTAATTGACTACTTGGCCAAATAGATATCATGGCATCTGGATTACCATCTCATCGCGATAATCCATCCACTGCGCCCCCATCCCCCGAATTTGGCGCTCACTGGCCAGAAACAGAAGCAAATAGATATGCATAGCGATCTCGCCCCAAGCATATACCTTCAGCCGCACTAGCGAACCGCCGGAAATAGCCACATTGTTTCGATTAGACCCAGTAGCAGCAGTGTGATCTTCATCCACTACACACCACACTCCCCACCCAGCACGAGCATCTCGACCGACAAAATCAGATAAAAAGGTCCAGAAACGATGAAAGAGCTGTATAGTCCAGATCTGACGTCCCATGTCAGATTTAGATAGCATTTTTGGGTCTGTGTCTGTAGACTTCGTAGTTATGGGGATAATGGCGATGTTGAGGGACCAGTAGCCACGTTCTAGTTTTTCTAGAACCCGACTCTGGTTGAGTGGTTTGTAGACTCGTTCTGGCTTAAGGCGGGTTGTGAGCATTGCTAGAGTTGGAGTTATATGGGTAGTGAAATGGGAGACGGAGATAGATGGTGGCGGGGGATGGATTTCCAGTGGGAGGGTGAGCGATATACTAGTAGAAGCAAGAGTGGAATCATCTTGTCGAGGTATAATACTTGTTATTGCAGTATTCCTTTCTTCTGTCGGCGGATCATTTGCAGGGATTGGAGATTCCAATCGGGGTCTTTTTGAGGACCGATCTTCATCCACCTCCTGTGAGTCTGGAATCACACTGATCAGACTACCAAGAGAATCATAGGCCACATTGGAGCCAATGGATTTCTCAGTGACCGGGCGAAGATCAGTTTGTAGCGTAGATTGGACCAAGAGAGAAGGACCTAAATGAGATCCAGACTCAGGAGAGCGGGCAGCTGCACAGGAGACGGAAAGCTGCGTACTCTGACTCTCGTGTGTGGTAGGGCCATAGGCCAAGATGGCGTTGACATGATCCCGATACCGTGCATCATCTCTTGCAGTGCCTGGAGCGGAAATATGAACGAGGATCTCAGGCTCCATTTATTTGTCACTGCAGAAACTATCGGCACTAGTCGATTTTGTCGAGTCGACTCATCACAATTGAATGGTGAGGAAAATAAAAGTCGTAAGATTCCGACTGAGTAACTAACGAACCCCATCTAGTTTTGCTAGTCTCATCTCTCATCTCATCTGCCATCTCATCTCCCCCGCCTTTTTATCTAGTATCTCTTTTGTGATTACCGTCTTTTATTCATTTCCATTTTATCGTATCCTACTGCAATGGCGAATGGTGGGGTTTACCCTATGGATATGGAACCCCTTACTGGTAAGTCAATCGAGAAGGATCGTGAGTACTTGAATCTTGCAGCATTCCAATCTGATTCCCCGAATTCCTTAGAACCCTCCACTCCAACTCGCGGAGGAATCGGCTCGGAGTTCTTCAAGATATTTAGTGGACCAAACAACAAAGTTACTCGAGGCTAGTCTTCAAGGCCCCACTCGTTTCAAAATTCTAATGCTCTACCAGATGGCCAGCCACCCAAACGACGAGGCCCCAAGCCAGATAGCAAACCCGCCCTCACTCGGCGACAGGAGCTGAATCGCCAGGCTCAGAGGTATAGAAATTGCCACGGTCGCATTGATGAGCTAGAGCTAACACCTACAGGACCCATCGCGAACGAAAGGAACATTATATGCGCTCACTGGAAACCGAAGTGTCGCGACTCAGAGAAGCCTACACAAATGAGATTTCCGAAGCAAACGTGAAGATCCAGCAGCAGTATGAGCTACTATACTCCATACGCGACGACAATGAAATCTTGAAGGAGCTCCTGCGCGCCCACGGAATCCAATACGAGTCTGAACTGAAGCGCCGTCGCGCTGGCCGTCCCCCAATGACTGCATTCCAGTCTAGTCCCGTCGCTATCAGCAGTACTGAATCTCAGTCGGCTCTCGCAACATCAAGCAACCATAATGCAACTCCTCCGACCACAGTAGCGACGGACCTCAGCCCACGCGGAAAGGGCATCATGGACCATTCAGAGGTCTCCCCACCGATTGTCTTTGTGCCACAGCAACAAGTTTATCATGCTAGCGCGGGGGAGCAGATTGGAGCGTTTGACAGATCTGCAAACCGTGTGATGGATCCCGTGCCGGCGATGATGCGCGGTGTCTTCGAGAGTGACCCACAATTGCAGATTGACTTTATTTTAACGTACGTGAAGATTCAAATTGAATTGATTTTCTTGTCTAACCGTGTCTCGTACAGATTGGAAGGTCCTTGCCGTGAACACACAGACTATCTCTGCCGACGGTCCATCACCGAAGCCGACGACGAAGACATGCCGTTCTCAGGACACGCGCTGATGGCGTCATGCCCACCACCAAGCTACATAGCCAATACGACCGCAGCGCAGACATACCCCCCATAAAACTTACGACCTCCCACTGGCTAACCTCAGCACACTGCTCAATCTGAGTCGACATCTCGTGACCGACGGCCAGATCACGCCGATAATGGCGTTGCAATGCCTCAAGAACCACGATCTATACCACAGTCTCAGCCGCGACGATATCAAGATCATCATCGAAACTCTCAACACTAAAGTCCGCTGCTACGGATTTGGTGCCGTTGTTGAAGACTTTGAACTCATGGACTGCATGAGCAGTGTGATGGGCACCAAATTTGACTTGGGCGTATCGAGTCTTCGTGATGACCCTGTATATGCGTGAAGGGGAAAGAGGAATAACCAATTATTAACGAATGCATGTTTACGGTTTTGGCGATTTGTTTAACTCTTTTACTCGGTATTTCTTTCGTCTACGCATTTTTACTCGGTTTCTATTTGTCCATCTATTCTCTTTTTCTTTTTTTTTTTCTGTTTCTTACTGGAGTACAAATGAGTCTTAAGCTCAAATCGGAGTTCATACTTCAATTATCAGTGTTATCAGCCTATTCTAACCAGTAAAGGCTAGCAGGTGCGCTAAAATAGGACTCCGAACTCCGAACTCTGAAGGCCCCTCTCCCTCAACCTAACCCGCCATAAAAATGAAAAGAACTCGACGCAATGGTCAGCTACCGTCATGTGAACCATGTCGCAAGTCCAAACTTCGATGTGACCATGAAAGTCCAGTCTGTGGACGATGCATAAGGAATAAGCGGGATCAGCTCTGTGTCTATCACCCAGCGCCATTAACACAGGCTACTAAACCACGCCCACATTCACGGACACAGAGCAGGCGTCACACAGGGCAGTCAACAAAGATCCTGTCATTCGATACGGATAATGACTGGGGACGGAAGAAAACGGCGTCTACTGGCTTACTAGGCCATAATAAGTACTCAGACTTTTTCAATGGCGATGTACTAGAAGGCACTTCTACAGACTCAGTAGTGGTAGATGAGCAGCAGATCCGCCTCGGAGCACGAATACTATCGCTCCTGGAACATCTGCCCTCGTTCCGGGTGGCTATAGAAGCAGAATGCAAAGGCTCATCAAGCTGGATCAAGTGCCCCCAATTTCTGGATACGCTTTTGGGTTTGAGCGAGACATCATGGGAGAACATCCAGCGCGAAGAGGGCGACGAGGAGCAGCGCATGCTTAAGGCATCTAAACGACTCTTTGAGAAGCAAAATTGCCCGATAGACATCCATACTGATATGACATGGGATGAGTTTGCGGCTGCTTCCTCTGGAAGATGGGAATGGATCGGTCTATTGTTTCAATTTGTTGGATTGGCGGGTGAATACCTACCAAAGGACAGTGCCCTGTACAAGGAATACGACGGCGTTAATGGTAAAAATTTTGCACTTACCGTTATGACAGTCGGAGACATTTGCATCGAATTCTGCCAGAAAGCTGCGGTGATAAACGATTTTGTCTGTTTACTGATTTGCTACAACATGGCTCTTCTATCGGTAATATATGGAGATACTGGTGAGTCTAGCCTGTCGAACGCGGAAATTGGTTCTAATCAATGGCTGTTCAGACTATCGTGTTTGGCGCAAGTTGAGTGATCTTTCAGCTTCCGTCTTCACACTTGGACTTCACCAAGAATTTCCCGAAGTGCCGTTTTTCCTCCGTGAAATTCGAAAGCACATCATGATGTCTGCATACAGCATCGACAAAGATCTATCGTTATTCCTTGGCCGACCTCCTCTTATAAGCTGGCGGTACTGCAATATCTCCTTACCACTAGATATCAGCTTCGAAGAAACGATTGCCAGCCCCAAAATCCACGACACCGCTGTAGTAAGCCTGGATTCAGATGGATGGAGGATCCTAGATGCGGACAGATGGCGTTATTCGAAAGGTTCCTTTGCTCGGTCATATGGGCATGCATTCTTCCTCAAATCTGTAATTCAGGAAAAGGTTCAAGAGTTATCACTCGGCTGTCAGTCAAATCGTCTAGCAGAGCAAGTTGAGTAAGCAATTTTACTTGGTCCCTCTTTACTCATCCATCGTTTGCCGTGCTAATTAGAACTCATCAGGGAGGTCTCGCAGGAATTAAGCCAGCTACATCAAGGTCTACCGGCATTTCTTCTCTGGGACCCAACAAGTGAATTAACAGGTGCGGATACAGTGACTAAAAAAAAGAATACCTGCTCTTCGAGCTTCACGTTAACTTCTTATACATCAAACTCATCCTCTTCCGACTTCTCGCCAAGCGCACACAAACCCAGCCAGACAGTCTGATCAGCACATCGGTAGAAATCCTCAACGCACAGCTAGCAATGTCAGCGAAAGTACACCGATATTCAATACCTCAGCTATACACAGTGTGGAGTTGGAACGTAAGTGTTCAACCCGACAAAAAGTAAAGTAAACTAAAATATTTGATTTCAGCTCTGCTACGCTGGAATTCCATCAGCAGGAGTTCTATCAGCCGAACTACTCCACCAATCAAAACTAGCAGACCCAAGCGATTTCCCGCGCTCAGAAATCATCCAGAAACTAAGCGTGTTTGCGTCACAGCTAGAAACGACTATCAAGCCTGATGAAGGGAACTATCAGATTGCTCAGCAGGCTCGGAAGGCTCTGCGGCGTGTTTTGGACCATGTGCTTTCTCTCAGCGTTACTCAACCTGCTAGTGCCTCTGCTTTGACTTCAACGTCTACATCTCTTGCCGTTTGTGACTATGGTTCAAATTCAGGTTCAAGTCATAGTTATAGTTCTGCGCTGGGTTCGATTCCAGATTTGTTTGAGAACATTGATTTTGATGACCAGGGCTTGAATTTTGATTGGCTTGATGGGACGACGAATAATGGTCATGAGCTGTGGCATGCATGGTTGAATTTGAGTTGATACGCAGTGACTAGGTATGCTAGAACTCGGTACATAACTATGGTCAAGGTAGCGAGCAGTTACGTGGAAACAATCTATAAATTTATGACAATAATCCAATAGAACAGCATCTACATCTATTCATGTATTCATGAGGTCCGGAACGTAATATATTGAGATTCATTACTCTTATCAAACTTTTGCGAATATGCACAGATCAAGGGGAAAAAACAGATCTAGCTCATTAAGAAAACGCACAGGTGGATATCTACTCATCATCCTCATCATCCTTGTCTCCCTGCTCATCAGCATCCTCAGCCTCGGCCTCATCATCATCCTCAAAGGTAGTAGCTGGGACGCTGTACAGACGCAGGACCGAACGGTTAGGGTCCTTGATCAGAACGTACTTCTTGACAGCGTCGGCAGGCTCGTCGGCATCCAGAGCGCGGATACGGTCAACAACAGTGCGGACAATACCCCATCCGTTGCCGAGGTTCAGGTTCATCTGGGTGGCGAACTCCTTGGGCTTGTAGCCGACAACGCCGAGGATGACGTGGCTAGAAGCAGAGCGGGGGTTGGTACGAGACACGAAACCCAGCTTGATGCCGTCGGCCTTGGCCAGGATAGCCTGGGTGGTCCAGCGAGCGAGCTTGGAGGAGTTGTTCTTCATCTCGGTGGCAATGACGGCACCACGCTGGGAAACTAGCTTGCTGCGCCAGTCGAGGGCACTGCCGGAGCCAGGGGCCTTGCTGTCGAACTCGTTCAAGGCCTTGACAACTAGCTGCTGATCGGGGCCACCAACGGTAGGGTTCTTCATGACGGCATCGACCTCGGTTCGGACAACAAGCTTCAGGGGCTCCTCATCGCGCTCCAGCGAGATATCGAAGCGGCGGTACTTGTATCCCTTGGAGGCGAGGGGCTCGGTTTCCTCAGCCTCATTGTAGAAGGGGTTGGGCTTAGCAAAGCCGACCTTGGCCTGCTGGGACTCGGTCACAGTCTGCATAGCAAAGTTGTGGTTGATGAAGGTGGCTTCCATGGCCAGAGCGCTGGGGGTGTTGATCTGGTCCTGCTTGCCAGAGGCCTCAGAGATCTCAAGGGGAGCATCGTAAGCGTTCTCATTGACAGTGACGAGATCAATTGAAGCGCCAATACGCTTGTCGAGGTAAATCTTGTTGCCCTGGTGGACAATGACGATATCCCACGAATAAACGCTGCGGGTAGCGCACATGAGCATGGAAAGAATGTCAGAGGTAGCGAAAATGGTGGCCTCGTCCTTCTCTGCAAGCTCGTGAATGACGGGATCCTGGGAAGTAGTGACGTTGTAAGCGGCACGTTCGAGGGACTGGAGTTTACGCTCAGAGCCCTTGACGGGAGGCTTGTCGTAGGAGCGGTCGTAGTAGTGCAGGAAACCGTAGGTGTCGAGATCCTCACCCTCGGGAGCCTCAAGGTTCAGCTTGGATAGACGGTTGAAGTCAACCTCCTCAAGCATCTGCCACTCAGGGCGGATGGCAACAGAGGGCTCACGAGTACGTTGAGGCTTGTCCCAGTCCTTCCAGCCGAAGCGACGGCCACCGCGACCACCACCGCGACCACCACGGTTGTCGAAGTAACGGTCATTACCACGGCCAGCACCGGCACGCTGGAAGCCACCACGGCCACCACGCTGGCCAGCGCCGCCACGTTGACCTCCACGGCCACGGAAAACAGTGCCTCCGCCACGGCCGAAAGTGCGCTTGGTGGATGTGCGAGTGTTGTCAACGACGGAGAAAGAAGACTCGTCTTCAGCGGTCTGGACAGTGAACAAGCTGGATGATCCGGCACCGTACACTTGCTGATCTAAAAGAAAAAAATGTCAACGAACTGTAGTTTTTCTAATGGAGTACAAAACGTAGGGTTAAAAAGAGAAAAGCGAGAAATATGGAATTTACCTCTGAAGTTACGGTTATATTGCGGGCGACCCTGACGTTCGCGGTCCTTGGACTCAGCAGTCCAGTCGGCCATACGGCCCAACTTGTCGCCCTTTGAGAAGGGTGCGTATGGGACACCATCGAGCATGTTGTCACCAGTGTTGGAGGGACCCCATGAGTCCTCTGAGGGCAAAGCAGCCACAAGGTCGGCGATTGAAATTGGAGCCATTTTAAAAGATTTAATGAGCACCAACAGCCGAAAAAGATGGTGTGGAGGTGATTATCGTGGGGTTGGGATTATCGGCGGGAAGTTTTTGTGTCGCGAGTATGTGGCTGGTGGAGGAGAGCGCCACTATTATCTAGCCACATCACGTGATATGTGCTTTACTGCGCATCTTTGTTTTATTTTTCAAATTTCTATGTACCGTCCGAGCCATGAATACGATCCGTAACCATGAATACAGAGGTACTTCAAGCTAACAAATTACATCTTACAACTTACAAGGTGTTGTTGGTATATATTGGCGCCTTAGTGCCTTAATCTAGACCAGCCTAAGAAGGCGGCGAACTTCTCACAAGGCGGTGAACTCGGCTCTATCTTTTGTCAGAAAATTTCACAAGCTTCTCCCATCTCCAGCCCACTTTTTTTTTTTCAACAACTCCGCTTTGCACACAAGGCCGTGATCCTCCGAGTGAGCCATTTTAAATATTTGGTTTCTGAACACAAGAACTCCTCCATCAACAAAAATGGCCGAAGATACCAACGCCGCCTGGCCCATCTCCGATGAGTCTCTGACCCAGTCCCTCCTCGACTTGGTCCAGCAGGCCAACAACTACAAGCAGATCAAGAAGGGTGCTAACGAGAGTAGGCTTATTCCTACCCTACATCAATCATGTTTGCACCATACTGATATTTTCAATAGCTACTAAGACTCTTAACCGTGGTACCTCCGAGCTCGTCATTTGCGCCGCTGATGCCACCCCTCTTGCCATTATTCTCCACTTGCCCCTGCTGTGCGAGGATAAGAACGTCCCCTACGTCTATGTCCCCAGCAAGACTGCCCTCGGTCGTGCCTGTGGTGTCTCTCGCCCCGTTGTTGCCTGCAGCATCACCACCAACGATGGCAGTGACCTTGCTGCGCAGATCCGCCAGATCAAGCTGCAGGTTGAGCGCCTGATGGTTTAAGGACTTCATGTTCAGAAATTTCGGCTGGAAATTCGGAGAGTGATCATATTCAAGAACTAGTCATGTGTTGCATCTCTCGATGAAAAATATCTTCGACTAGATATATTTTCACGCTCTTCTCGAATGGCCACTTGCTATGGAAGTCTTTAGCTAGATTTTTATGGCTTTCCCGAATAAACAATATTTCTCCTGATTTCTTCCTCAGTAGACCTCCACTGGTTAGTAGACCCTTTCTCATGTGATTGATGTTACTCCACCTGTCGTACATCTGGGCCTTAATATCAGAAAAAAAAAGGATACTGAGGTATATGCCCCACAATCCATTTTTGTATGTCCAAACATAGCAATAATTGACAGTTAGGACTTTTGCGTCAAGGGTTGTCAGTGATCCACCTTTAATACTCCATAACAGGACCAATTTAGTGCGTTGTTCACACGAAGTCTGGTAACAATCATTGTGCATCTTCAAGATTCCCCACCGCCAAAACTTGGAATCTATAACAAGGAGATATTTTGTCCACAGCTAATTTGCAGTACCCAGGGTCAGCTTTGGAGATAAGATATAAAGTACTCCGTACATCTACCCATGATGACCAATCCGAGATCTAAGCCAATATGGACTAGTTGGCCTGAACGTAAGATGAGCAATGCAACCATCACTCCAACCTCATCAAAATGAACAAGTTAAAGCAAGCTGAAAGGAATGATAATGGAGAAAGCGATGATAGCAACACCATCGCGCGAAGCGACATAACCAACAGTGCCATCACCAGCTCCTACGTGAAGCGCAGTAAACTCGAGGGCTGTGTCCTATCACACGTACGATTGGCACGGAGGGTAACAGGACAGAAAACCCACTTCCACAATGTAGACTCTGTCGGGCGAAGCGAGTTTTCAAACAGTGTTGTTCGCGACCGGAGCTCTGTTGCTCGGAGCACGATCATAGGGTCTACAGTACGAGATGCGAGCGCGATAAAGCGGAGCACGATAGCTGGATCAACCATTTCCGGTACACAGACCACTAGAACTTTGCTGGAAAACTGTGATGTTGAAGACTGTGTTATCTTACGCTCCGAATTCAAGGGGATGGTGTTAAAGAACGGGCTTTGGAAGAAGGGCCAGTTGATCGGGAGGGTGGGGGCCAAACCCCCAGTAGCCATCAGAAAGGATGGCTCTTCTGTTGTGAGTGTTGAAAATTCTCAATTTTGATTGAAAAGTTCTGACCATATCACTTTATAGGAGATTTCGGAAGAGCCCGCTGCATCTTCCTCCCTTCCTGATGTGGTTCCTGATGTGGTTCCTGATGTGGTTCCTGATGTGGTTCATGATGTGCCGGAGTTGGACTCTAAGTCCACCCCACGAGATGATAATGCCCCTCATTACGTCGACTCTGATTTTAGCCTTGACAGTGAAGACTCTGATGATGGGGAGGATTTACCACCCCCCTATAAAGTCTAGGTTAATATGATTTGTGAAATTGATCAATGTTAATTCTGAGGTAATGGAATGGATAAATGCAATTTGATGATGTTATGTGCCAGTGGATTCTTAATTCAACTTTGGACCGACTGAACAACTCCCGATATCTCTTTCGAAGGGTTCTCTATTCAATATGTCTCTATATACTAGACACCCATGGACCTAACTGTACCATATAGCCTCCAGGGCTGAGGTAGGAACAATATATCCATGGATACTCGGAAGGTATAATCAAAGCAGCTACACCTTGACTCAAGTGCTGGCTTAGTCGCTGGTAGAACCAGCAACAACGTACTGCTTCTCCTTCTTGAGACTGTCGATAGTACTGTTACTAAGATTCAAGGTGTCAGAAATGATCTGGCGAGGAGTAGAAGCAAGCCACTGGCCCAAAGCCATATCTAGGATTCACAATCAGTGGGAGAAAACTAAACAAAAGTGCATAGAGCTTCATACCTGTGAATTCAGGAGCCTGGAGAACCTCGACGAAGATAAGATCCTCATCACCAGTGTTCTCGATATAATGACTGTTAGACTTGGGGAAGTAACCGACATCTCCAGCGCGGTAATCAAACGTGTTTGCAGACGAAGGAGCCGAGAAAAGAGTGGCACGAGCTGAGCCCTGGATGAAGAAAGTCCACTCGTCACTGGTGGGGTGCCAGTGAACCTCGCGCATACCACCAGGGTGTACAGTCACGACAGCTGCGGAGAAGTTGCTTGCGATAGGGAAACTCTGAGGATCAATGATCTTAACAGATCCACCCGCAACTTCATGGGCAGGCTGCTCAGAGAAGTGATATGAATAACTCTTTGTGCGAGGGATGACTCCAGATGGCGTAGTGACGTTCTGCTCTTCAATATCCGCTGGTGCTGGTGTTCCCCGGAAGATGTAGAGTTCATCATCTGGGATGTTCTCGAAAGCAGCTAGAGGAGCTCCAAAGTTCTTGGCCAAGACAGATTTCTGTAGTGCTTGTTAATACCTGTCATCTGATTTGATTCGTGAGATTGCGTACGGGGGTATGAAGGAAGACTTCTGAGGCGAGGAAGGTGTTATCTTCACTGAAGTCACCCTGGTCAAACACTAAAAGGAACTCAACACCATCATCCAATGCTTGAATAGAGTGCGGAATGCCACTAGGTAGTAATCGTGTTAGTATGTCATTATAGCGGGAAATCGGGCACACATACGGTGGGAAAAACCACACATCACCAGCAGTTACATCGTCAATGAAGGTTTCGCCGTTTTCATCAACAGCCTATAAGTCATATTAGTACGCCACAAGGATCAACTTTACATTTTTTATCTTGCCTGAATTCTGCAGGAGCCATTCAAAACAAGAGACCACTCAGCTGCAACATGCCAATGGAGCTCACGATACGCCGAAGGTTCAAGTCGCATATCGACACCAGCCATTTCGACAGCATCTGGCATAACATCGGTGTTCTCCTGTCGAGCCCAGCCGGCATTTTCGATACCAAGCCTAGAAGATGTCAGTAGAATAACCAAATTTCTTGTATGTGGCTTCATATTACCTGTTGTGACTAAGTCCTATATCTAATATCAGTATTCATCACATGTGACAGAGAAAGAGATACTAACCCATTGGCCATTGTGCATTGATAGTAGAACCGTGGTCAGTTCCCGGGGGTGCGAGCTTGTCGCTATTAATCCGATCATAGTAATAGTTTCCTACAGTTTGAATGAGAACTTCCTCTAAACTGTTACTCCAGCAGTACTACAACTTACGAGGTCCCGGATCATCGCCGCCAGTGGAACCTCGAATAGGTTGAGGATTGGCGACATTCTCGAAATCCAGATACGAGCCAATCTTGAGGTCTTCCTTCTGCCCTGGGAGAAGGCTATAGTCGATCTTTGGCTGGGCTCTGCTTGGAACTTTCTCAGTGGAAGAGTATCCGGTAAGTGCTTCAGATCCTTTCAGAGGGGGATTAACTGGAGCAGCATTGGAGATTGTGAGAAAGGGAAGAAGAACGCAAAGAGCTCGAGCTTTAACCTTCATTTTGAAGAAACTTGAGAATGAGTTGTGATTTAGAAAACAGGTTGAACAATGAGTACTGGGATCTGTCTACGAGCTGGAATGAATTTTGAATACCGTGGAATTCGGTCGTGTTTATATGTCTAACTCTCAAGGGTCCTCCAAGGCTGTTTAGTGGTTGTGCCTGGCGCATCCCTGCGTCAACTAGTATCACCATTTCCCCTCATCTATATTTAAAAGTCCATTTTGTGGAGCAAATATATCGACTTTCCCCTCACGCCAAGTCTAGGTAACTGCGATGATATTCAAAATCCGAGTAAATGGATTTTCATGCAAGGAGACGAGACATACCATTATTAGTCCAAGAAAAAGCTTGGTATGACACAGTCTCAACTCAATATAAAGATGTGAGAATCCTGGAAGACAAATGGATTTGTGCAAGGAACTAGATTGAAATCTAATGCATTGGGGATGTAGGAGCAGATACATGTGCAGGTGTTGTCTCTATGCTCATGCACGCTATGGCCACAAATTGAAAAAGTACCTATGTGTCTGTGTAACTTTGACCGTTTCTCCTCTAAATTGCTTAAATTTTGTATACAAGACTTGGAAATGTAAATTAAAAGCAGTTCCAAGGACCAGTGAGTCTAGGCTAATCTATGAAACGGCAAGCAAACCAGTCTTCAAGAGAAAATTCCAAGTCTTAGACTTTAGACCCACTGCCTTTTTTCAACATTCAAGAAAAATGCTTTCCGCAACTTAATGGACTGGTCATAGAGTCACTTAGAAAGAATGGGATGAGGGGAAGTCATATCAATCTCAATTTTTGACCCACATGTAGTGTGCGGGGCTCTTGTCTTCCTGGAAAGTCCGCGCTCTAATACCCAGGTCTATGGGTGTCAAAAATTCAATACACTTTGTTTTAATATCAATGGCACCTATAAAGGTTACTTTGAACACACATCTGAATTGGACAGCTGAAGGAATTCCTCTTTCTATTGATACTGAGGTTAACAGTGTAACTACAATCTCACTATATACAAGGTTGCATCATATACGACTTCCCCTCATAAGCCACTGATGTGTAGAGTAATATAAATGACGCTATTGTGTTGCCCCAGTGGTGTGGCTGATCGGCCTCATCAAGGTTTGAGCCAAGCTTCGTACTTAGGTAGCCAAGACGGAGGTACCAAGACGGGCGATTACCCGGTGGACGGATCACCGGCGGGAGATCACCAGAAATAGACCTAAGTGTTCGGAATTCCGAATGCGGCCTTAGCTACTCCGTGCCGCCTTCGCCTCTCCCAAGTTCCTCGCTGTTAACTGCAGATGGAAGCCCGATTGCTTTCTGCAGGAATCTGTTACGTCTTCAGCTTAAACCTCAGCCTTCTAGACTCCTGATATCTGACACAACATTCAGACAACTTGCTGGATTAGGAATAAGATGAGGGGATACCGACTTTGGTCAAGTGTTTTCCACCAATCAAGCCCTAGATAAATATATACTTATCTTGTTATACAGTCATATTACTGCAGATAATGCAAAATAAGTGAAGAAGTTTCTCACTAGTTGCATATTGAATGAAAGACAGGTCGGAGCAATAACCACACTTGGAAGAATATTGGAGTAAACGCTAGACAATGAAATACGGGGTATCTCAAAATCTATGGAGAAATACTGAGTACTGCCTAGTGGTCTTGGATTGATTCAATTCCAACGATCTCGATAGTTTTAATCCATACACTCATGGCCATATAGCATCAAACTGCCATTCTATTTTCGTGCAAATACCTTCAAAAGACACCAAATTATACATACCTACCTAGGTAGGTCTCATTCAACCCTGAGCTCTTCAAAACTTAGAACGAAGAATTTCGAAACCCAAGGTTCTTTGAGTATGAGTTGAAATTAAACAGGTTTCGAGGTCGTATCTGATGTATAGGTCTTTAGGTGCATGAAGCTCCACCTAGATAGGCAACAATGTTTTTGAGTTGGAAGGTACAGCCTATCCGGTTTTCCCATCATGCAAGCAGGTACCTTTGTTATCTTATTTTTAGAACAGCCTTGGAAGATTCATGTATTAGCCCTATGGGGTATTCTCTTGATTCAACAACGCCTTGAGAGTTTAGCCGGGATGATCGGAACGAAAAGTTTCGCTACCGGGCAGTGGAATAGATAGCTAAAGAGAGTATTCATAGGAAACGAAATTAACTCGAGACCTCAGTCTGGGAAAATATCTTCCAGGGTTTTTGATTGCCTACGACGCTGACTCAGAAGCTTGAAGTCATTTGAAGCGATCTATACGTAGGGAGTCAGTTACCACAGTACAGCCCCTTTACAAAAAAGTGAAAAGAGCGAGGGCATATTCATTTTTCTCAATTTACTTTAATGGTGATAAGATCCAGACTGCCATAATAGGATAGCGTCTTGGAAGACAATTCTGGAATAACGATCGTTTTGGTAAATCCAATAACTAATGTACCCAGCAGTAGATCGCATGAGGAAGCGTCATGAGTCATGAAGAATTGTGAATGAGAGCAAATTCACTGTTAAATTTGATATTGGATGCGAACGTGGGCTTATGGTACTCGCTTTTCGCGTAGGGAGCTACCGAATATGGCGAAAAGCACGCATTGTGAGGTAAACCCCAACCAGACTGGTGTACAAACCGCCGCCGGCAGTCACCCAGACAGGTCGATGAAGTGTAAAAGAGGTAAGGAGGATTTTAGGATCCCGCTTTGGCTTCTCACCTTGAAGCTGTCAGACTAAAGAGATCTTGATGAAGCATAGTGGTGGTGGTGGTGGTGGGGAGCTTACCCTGCTGGAAGAGTCTCTGACGTAAATTGTTTAGGCCTTGTCTGGAGCGAGCAGGTAGCTGTGTGAGCTGCTGAAGAACAGGTCCGACTGGAGCAGACATCTTGGATGATGGATGAGGTCTGGATGGTGGATGGAAATGAGTGATCTATTGATGAAACTGACGAAGCACGTAGAGTTGAAAGTAATGAAGAATGAATTCAAACCTTTTGGGAAGTTTGTATCATCTGACATCTCGATGCGGGGTTTATGGCGGGTGGTGACACAGTTGACCCGAATAGTCCTTGGTGGCGATGTTTGTAAATATTAGATTCAGGCCGACACCAGGAACATTTTGTGGGATTCGAGGTTTATGCCATAGAAGTGGTAGGTTTGCACAAAACACAGATAGAATATCTGGGTAAGCTTTAAAGAGATTGAATTAAATTATAAAACAGTTGTTCGCAGCACTGGGAAATTCCGCTTGGATCTTTCAAAGAGATAACAGGTGGGCTATACCGATCCAGGCAATCAAACATGCAAAAAGATTTGAAAGTCTTGAATGTAGTACAGCTACTAGGAACGACCTCGTTGACATTGATATTCTGGCGATGGTCACTCCTTGAGTATCGGCGGATAGAGGATGCAGTGTTCCCAAGGACTGACAAACCCCGGAGCCCATACGTTATGACGAAATGTGTTACCTCGTGGATAAGCCAATATCTCTTGCTAAAATCCAATGACTGAAATATGATCTAGGTTGAAACAGTATTATTATAATATCTATGAAGATCACAGATGTGCAAGTGGAGAACGGTCTTATCGTGAAATCCGGGGAAAGCTTATCCTTATCCTTATCTGTGGGGCCATAATATTGGCTCTAGAGTAAGCCACCAATACTTAACTCGTACATAAGACACCAAAGTAACAGGTCCTAGTTCTCTGAGGAAATATAGGTAAATAAAACTAAAGCACACTAGAAGTAAGTCTTACTATAGGATCACAAAAATAGTAATATCCTAAGACGGCAAGAAGAAGTGGGAGCCCGTTCCAAATCCTGTTACCATCTCTATCAACCTAAATCTGTGTTTGTTCTGTTTGTATGGCCCAATCTGGGTGTGTACTTAGTTAGAAAATGCAGTTTTATACATTTGTGGCATTGAATGATTGGTCGGTTGGATCGGAAAAGTCGACATTCGTCCTTCTCAGCACTATAATTGATTAAAAAAGAGCTAAATGTCCGAACAACTTCTTCGAGGATCCATAAACTTCGATACAATTTAATAACAAGAAACAACAAAAGAGAAAGCTCAAAACTCTGGAATTTGCCATTGAGCTATTTCACTGAGGTCCGAACTCGTGATATTTGCCCATCTATTGTCTGCACATATGCGATGACATCATTGGAACTTCCCAAATCCAGCATGGATCTCGACTTAGGTACTTCTAAACACATCAATATCAGTCTTCATTGACTCGCGTGCGTCTGTGTTAGAGTCCCAATATCTTATGGCTCGGAAACTTTATAGATGCTCAAGAAGCCCATTAGTATCTAGGTGACACATGAAAGCAACGCAAATGAAAACCTGCATGGGGCAAGAATCTTACCTCCAGTGTATGTTAGCCAGAACCACATTCTGGACACCCTCAATGTACTTTTGGATGTCCCGATCCACCTTTTCTCCAAAGCTTGGGAGATATGCCAACGAACGATACCATTCATGATAGCGCTGTCTAATCAAGGAATTGGCCTGAAGGAGTGCATCCTGGGGTGAGAGACCGGATTGACGAAACAATCCCACAATATTGTGACTTTCCCCTAGTGCCTAAAGCTTGATTGTTAGAAAGAATTGAAAACTGCTCAGAGTGACTAACATACTTGCTCTTTTTTGTAGGACACAATATCGTTTTGACTTGAAAAATTAACCATATTGATATTATTCAAGGGTTACTTGGTAAGTTACTCACATCAAGATAAGTTCGGTGGCAATGCGTTCCAATTCTTGCAAGCTGATACATTCAAAACACTCACCTGGAATTTTTAATTTACAAGTGTACCTGATGTTTGTTAATATGATGAGCTGAGGATTAAACTTGTGGAACTATACTCCATCAAAGAAAAAATTGGGGTTGAAGCAATCGATCCTCTTCGCGTCTGTAACAGTTTCTCAATGCTTTGTGCCTCATCCATGTATTCAGATTGTAGTGCAACTTGTTCAAGGCAGGCATCACAGTAGTCCATCATTGATTTCGTGAATCGACGTAGAGCAACTATTTGAGCTCTATTTAGTAAAAATTCCTTTTTAATTGATACTACTAGGAGTTGATGATACTCTCAGGGCAGTCCTGTTAACACCTGGATCAGTAAATGGTTGAGAATTGAGTTTCTGTAAGTATCATTCCATTCCCCCCTTACCAAAATCAATCGATCCCAGAACGATTTGTAGGAGACTAAAAGCAATTCATCTGGCTGAGAGTTCTCTTGATTTGTCATGATGCATTTCATGCCATCCATCAGTTTCTGAACCCCCTCGATATTCTCTTTGAGCGGGCCATTATCAAAACCTTGATTGATCAACAAATGGTTGGCCCATTGGGTATAAGAAGGCTCATATTAACGGAGAAAGCTTACAGTCGTCAAATGGAAAGACCTGCTTCGTCAGCTTCACTCAATACTGATTCTTGGATTTAAGCTTCAATTAATTACCCAGTTACCCCAGTCACACATGATTCGAAGCCCCCGGGCATCTACATCTGGCACTACAATTGAGATGAAATAGGAAAAGTCCGTATTTTTGATACTTTTCTGAATGCCTGTATCATTTTGAGGACAGTGACTAGACCGGACCATCAGTTCAATATCTAAACAAAAATTTGACATGGTAATACTTGATCAACCAGGATTCTGACTCTGCTTTGATGCTACCGTAATTTTCATTGAGCCGAGGAGTTTTGGAACAGAAATTAATGGACAGATCAGGCAGAGTGACCATAACAGTCCCCGTCTTTAAACAATCGCTCAATCTTGTCATACTTAAGGTCGACAGATCATAAATACAAGTTGTTAGTTAACTGGTCGATTGATGCCTTATTCATTTAAGGCTGGAGGTCATACAATACCAGCCCAAGGGGGAAATAGCTAAAGAAGGGAAGAATGTGGCTTGATTAAGATAAGAGAAAAACATGCTTGCAGCTGGATTAAAAGAAAATAGCTGATTTAAATAGAAGATCAGATGATACGAGATATCGCACAAAGGTGAGATGAAAAGTGAGAGCGTGAGATAGTTGGCTGTAAAAGAGTGGTCAAAGTATGAATATCAGGCTGTATTGGAGGCTTACATCCATGGTTGCATAATGATACAATACTGAATGCATAATACGCGACATCATTGGGATGGTCAGACGAAACAGTTAAACCTATCCATCCAATCCAGAGGATATGAGTGGTTGTTCACCCGGGCAGATGATTTAAACCCCTTCCTCAGCACATCTTTACATACCCAGGTTGGTACACTTTCTTCTGTGAATGATGCTGATGTACATAGTTATCTGGCTATTATTTGGGAATATCCATGGATTGGTTGTGTATCATGCATAATTATGTAGTCCTTCCAAGGTTGCAGATATTAAGCTACCTAGACAGGACGAGCCTGGATGCATTCCGGTAGATACGGAAAAAGCAATATTGGAATTCAGTATGAGATCGACATATACCGATTGGGATAATCCTGTTAGCGTTTGGTATTCCTCAGTTTGGAAAACCACGACTGGAAAATTCACACCGGCGAAGGAGGGTTTGATTTCTTCCGAATATCAAAAACGTCGAAGGTTCCAGAGACAACCTAAGTAACCATGAGAACAGTGTGAATAGGGTAATTTGACTGCAGAGTTGCATAATATTAATTGATAGACCAGCAAGTCTAAGAGCCTGCATGAATGATACTATGGTGGTTTCCCGGGGTCTCTTTATCTGAGAATTCTTCTCGCCTACACCGCTATTATTGTGCAGAATTGGTCCCAGATGCTACCCAACGACGTAAGGGGCGCTCTTGCAGTTAATTCAGCTGCAATGGTTTGGTATGCTGCTTTACACGGAGAAAATGATCTCTCTGGTGGAATTTAAACAGGTAAATGCCCAGGCGGGTGAGGTTGATAAGAGGTAACCACCAAGATTACAGCTCCTACCACTTCCTCTACGACTGCAATTATTTGCCAGTTCTTTACTGGAATATTGCCGCACACAGGTATCAAAGTAATATTGAGCCTGTAGAATAACTGGTCTTGGCCGCTTTAATTTTAGCTTCAAATTAGACAAAAGAAAACAGCGATGGTAGATATCAGGACTTGTTTTGGTTACACTTTCGAATGGACGAAGGACCATATCCCGGAAGACGAATTGATACCTTACCAGTACACATATGATACACTGGCCAGTAAAGCGCTGGAAATAATCGATCAGATATCACCACCACCACCAACAGGAGCAGGCGTGGGTTGGGGCAAAAACTCGTTCAACAAAGCGGAGTCCACAGACCGGGACTTGTATGTTCTTCTGCGAGACAACAAGGACAAAGATGAAACTCTGAAAGAGTTATGGGATCAAATCACCATAATTCCAGACTGGGTTGACTGGAAACAACTCCAGCGGGGCCAGGATGTGCTATACAGATACGCTGGACCAGCGTTATTGGGATTTGCTCTCCATGGCCTTGTTGGATCAGTTGTGAGTCTATCTATAAAGAGCATCCTGTAGGCAAAAGCTGCCAGGCCTAACTATTTCTTAGGGTGCATCGAGTCGACCTGCAGAGACATTGGTTCGCACAGGCGGTCATTCCGTCAAAGTGGCACGACATCGATTTTTCGAGACATTTCAACTTCTGCTACAAGTGACCCAGTCAGTCAACAACATCAAGCCCGGTGGAGATGGGTTTATCTCCACAGTGCGTGTACGCTTTCTACATGCGACTGTGCGTAATCGAATTCTCAAATTAGCCGGTCTGCGGCCGGGTTATTACAATGAAGAAAAAGGCGGAATACCAATCAATGATCTTGACGCCATTCAATCTATTTGCGCTTTCTCCACAGATCTTCTGTTCATGGCTTTACCAAGCCAGGGGGTACACCCTCGTGGACATGAGATTGATGACTATGTTGCGCTGTGGCGCTGGATAGGCCATGTCATTGGTGCTCCTGTCTTCTACATGGAATCTGCAACTAAAGCAAAAGCGACAATGGAGTCGGTGATGTTGAACGCTTTGAAACCTTCTGACAACTCTAAGATCCTCGTCCAAAATATTTTGAAAGCACTAGATAATGTGTCTCCAATTTATGCATCCCGTGAATGGTGGGAGGCGGGAGGTCGAGTCCTCAATGGTGACGAACTCAGCGATGCGATCGGCTTGAATCAGCCCAGTCTATACTATCGATTGCTTATTCTGGGCCAGTGTTGGACTTTCAAATCACTCAACTATTTCACACGGTCTATTCCCTCGGTAGATCTTTGGTGGATTGAGGTATGTGCCATAGAACTGATTGGAATTGTATTCAATTGAGCTAACACTAGCTTGAGACAACGAAACGAGTCGTTTGGAACTATCTCATCGAGAGCAAAGACGGTTTGGGCAAGCCAAGCAGTTTCAACTTTAAATATGTGCCAGAGATCAACGAACGAACAGGTACTAAGAATGAAGAGAAGTCGGACAGTTCTCAAGTTGTCATTGGACTGGAGGGTCTCGTCGTGACTGCTTGTTTACTCCAATTGGGATTCTTATTATTACTTCTCAGTCTGTTTTTCACTACTATCCATCTATCCGGTATCAAAATACCCATCGCCCTCTGATATGAATATGCGATATTGGTCATATATGGAGAGGTCGTTCAAATTGGAGATTTTGGAGATGCTCTTAGATTTCAGAAATATGATTGTGGGCTAGCTTAGACGAGCCAGCTGCCAGGTCGTGGCAGTAGCCTCACTCTCACTCTCACTACATTGTTGGTCTTCCTATCAACTTCCATATCGATATAGTAGTCTTGATAACCCCGACACTCTTTCTTCTTCGTTCTTCACTATCTTCAGACTTCCAAGGTTTTAATTCTCTAGATTCATCCACGCGTCGATTGAAACATGGACAAGACCCGTCGTTTCGTGCTGTAGTCCTTAAGATCATGGTCATCTTCGAGTTCTATCCCATATATCTCACATATTCCCCTCGCACCAAAGATTGCGACTGCGCTACTGAATGTATTTTGAGCTTATGGTATCTAATTATTCTATGGAACTTGTCAGAGGCATATGTGGTAGTATATGCTGAGGCGGGCAATGTTGCTGGCATGTCTCTACTCTCATTTGCCAATTTCGAGACACAATTCGACGGCCCAGATCTGAGGTACGACTAGAGACCAAATTTGTGCTGGACTTATTTAAATATTGAATCTGATTAACTCGACCAAGCATTCGCCATCACAAGTGGAATTCATTTATCTTTTTGTTTTTTTAGAACAAAAACTTAATTCTTTCGAAGACGGGTAAATGTACTATTCTTGTACCGTCTCGCTCTCGAGTAAATTGCAAGTATTGATGCAATATTCCCTACCTCAGAATCAAATATCCTATCAACTTTATGATGGCTTTGGCAAGTGGGAAATTGGACAACTGCATACTGTCATGCACTAATCAATGAATGTTGACATCCCGCTATATCACGTGACGGTACCTTGGGCATTGAGGCTGACACCCGCTCTTCACATGCGCGCGTGATACTATCTTCTTCACGTGCACTCCCTTATAAGTATCTCTTTATCTAAATCTCGGAATACCAAGGCTCTCGATGAAGGCTTCATAAATTCACGACCATGTCGGTCATCGTCCCTATGGAGAGTCTAAACACATCTGTTGTCGCAAACGACGACACCAACAAATCTCCTGATCGTCATATTCACTCCGCGCCACCTGAGTACACTGCTAGCCAAACATCTTCCCTCTTATCTGGAATGTCAAAGGATCGGATATCTGCAGTCGAAAAGGACAAGCTATCGGGTGTCTCTAGTCCTGTCAATCCATACGAACATCCATTATTTCCACCCTTACCTTCCTACCCCACTCCGAATATCGCTAGAAATGTCGGTTACTATGTCATCAGAGCAATATCCTCCTCGCTCTCCGTCGGCTTTTTGTCTGTCCTCTTCATTGGCGCATTGGCTTGTACAGCGGGTACAGCAGTCACAAAGGCAATTTCAAAATTAACGGGCTTCGATACAGAATCGGATGGGTATTTACACGAAGAACAAAAGATCCGCAGACAGACGAGGCTGGAAGCTGATCGTCAATGGCATATCCGGCAACAAATGTCACTGGTTGACGAGGAACAAGTCCCGGATGAGTATGTGCCACGGGAAGGTGGGAAGGACCCCATCGTCTCGGATGTAGGATATTACGCTAGACGGGTTGGTCTTGATGTAGAGACATTTCGCGTGCAGACCGAGGACGGATTCATCATCACGTTGTGGCATGTCTTCGATCCCGGTGAGTATACGACCCTGTCCGAGGACGAGAGACGTGAACGCGGCCCTTCGGTTTTTAGTGAAACGGCGAAGCCGGGCTTGACCAAATTTGCGACCAATCGTCGATACCCCGTTCTCCTTATCCATGGACTCATGCAGAGTGCTGGTGCTTACTGTACGAATGACGACGACAGCCTTGCTTTCTACCTCTGCAAATCAGGGTACGATGTCTGGCTGGGCAATAACCGTTGCGGTGAACATCCAGAGCACACAACCTTATCTGCATCCGACCCGCGCATGTGGGCATGGGATATTAGGCATCTAGGCACCCTAGACCTGACAGCGCTCACCTCACGCGTCCTCTATGAGACAGGGTTCAAAAAGCTAGGTCTAGTCTGCCACTCTCAGGGAACAACCGAAACATTCGTGGCACTAGCGAAAGAGCATCGCCCAGAACTAGGAGAGCGGATATCGGTCTTTTGCGCCCTAGCGCCAGCTGCGTATGCCGGACCGCTAGTTAGCAAACCTTACTTCCGGTTTATGCAAAACCTGTCCCCGATTGTCTTCCGGCTTGTTTTTGGGATCCACGCATTCATCCCATTCATGATCACAGTCCGCCGCCTGTTCAATCCAAGGTTATACGGCAATCTAGCATACATGGTATTCGCCTTTCTGTTCGGCTGGTCCGACGCGCGTTGGGACCGCGATCTCCGTAATAGGATGTTCCAATTTGCGCCTATCTACGTTAGTGCCGAGTGCATGCGATGGTGGCTAGGAAACGAAAGCTTCTCCAAACACCACTGTATCTTATCCCCTCGCGATGAGTTCGAAGATAGCAATGGCAGTTCCAGCGAGAGCGACATGGAAAGCGGAAATAGCTCGCGTGAGCCACTGATCTCGCGCAAGGATGACGCTTGGTTCGGTCCCCGGACGCCACCCTTCGCTATGTGGGTCGGTGGGTCCGATGCCCTGGTAGACGGGGGCCGCCTACTCCGTCGTTTTCAGGACGGATGCGAACCGCATGTTCGATTGGTTCATTCTAAGATTATTGAGGGCTATGAACATCTTGATGTTATCTGGGCTTTGGATGCTATTGAGCAGGTCGGCAAGGAAGTACGAATGGTTCTCTGGTCGACTATGCCTGATGAGGCGCGGCGGGTTTGCCGGGTTCCGATGGGTTTAGATCCACATTTGTTGGAACTGGATGTCGATTAGTCCAGCGCTGGAGCTGCGACTGTACATATGTAACGAAATTGTATATACGTGATGATTGAACAATGCCAAATTACTTTTTATGTATATTGAAAGGGTATCCAGGTGGGCAGTAGTCCATCCTAGTGATGGGCGTTTATAAATTATACCGAAATGATACAAGAAATTGTATATGTACAAAGGAAGCCATCTTGAACCTGTGTCCAAGTAAAGCATATCTAGCGAAAACCCACAATATTCATATAATAAAAGCTGATATAGTAAATGGAAATGGAGCGATTAACCCCATTCACGGTCATGACCGACAAACCCCAATCGAAAAAAAATCAAGCAGGAGAATCCTTTGCACTACCGACAGACCCAGCGGTATGCGTAGGAGGAGCCCGCTTATCATTGCCGCCCTTGATACGGCGATAACCAACCATCTGGCCCAATTCCCTCCAGAAACCAACAGGCTCATCAGTGAAGCTAGCCTCGTACGCATCGATCAAAGGACGTTCCCATTCAAGATCCACTTCAGTGGATTTGACGATAGAAGTCTTCTTGATGATCTTCCAGATTGGGTAGAGGAGCGGAATGAAGAGCTGCATTGTGTAGTCTGAGAAGAAGGTTGATGTGGACCAGGGCTTATAAGATGGGTAGCCGTAGACACATGTTACAATAAACATCCAGACCAGGGCGATATAGGCACAGTAAGGCTGGAACCAGCCGAAGTAGGAAAGGGAGCGTCTGTCTAGGCCTTGGGCTTTGCAGGCACGGTGGAAGGCGATGTAGGTGATTGTGATCACGATGTAGTTGATCAGGCCTGATTTATAGATTAGCAATCTTCTTTCTTTCTTTTAGCTGATTAGGTGTTCCTACCGCCTGCTGTGACAAGGTTGGCGAACCAAGTGATGACGATGGAAGAGCTGTTCGAAACCTGCAGGAAGGATAGGATGGGAAAGATCATCACGACGCAGAAGCAGTAGATCGGAACACCGTTGCGAGTCGTCTTGGTCAAGACGCGAGGAGCTCGGCCCTCTAGTGCCAAACTGTACAGAGTACGAATAGCACAGTAGGTGTAGGTGTTACCGGCCGAGAAGATAGAAGTCAACAACAGGCTAAGGAACGAGGTTAGCATTGTAAGTATTGCTTTTTCGATTTCAACTTACGCGTTAACAATGTGCGGGAAAATGGTGATGCCCATGTTCTTCATGCCAATGACATATGGTGACGAACCCGCTCCAGCGCTAGAACTTGTGCCCTCAACAACGGCGGTCAAAGCTGGATCACGGCAAGAGCAGATGATACCAACAGCCAGGGCACCACCCATGAAGAAGATACCAAACCGGATGTAGACAGTCTTGAAGGCATTTTTGATGTAGATGCGGGGACGCTTAGCCTCGGCAGCGACCATTGAAATATACTCAGGACCGACAACGGCAAAACAAGCCGACCAGAGCGAGCCGAGGAATCCCTCAAATCGACCGAGACTGCCAGTATCAAGATATTCCATGAAAGAGCCTGGGTTGTTCCAGTAGCGGAAGCCGAAGGCGTCGTGTTGAGGGTTACCTCCCACCATTGTGATGAAAGTGAAGAAGAACAGGGAGAAGATAAGAACGACTTTACCGCCAGACAGCCAAAATTCAGCTTCACCATATGCCTTCACGGCCAAGATGTTGAGGAAACTGGAATTGTTTAGTATGCGAATCGGGCAGTTTTAGTCTTTCTCACTTACCCATAGCAGATAATGAGTGCAGCAGTGATACCGGCGATTGGACCAGTTTCAGTGACTTTATCGCTCCAGAAGGAAACAACAAGTGTAAAAGCCGAGATTTCGAAAGGAATCAAAAGAGCCTCGTAGAAACTAAATAATGCGTCAGTCAAGAAAGGTCAACAAAATTGGGACAAAGACGGACAAGAAATTCCAGCCAACCATAAAACCCAGTGCATCGTCTACCCATTTACCAGCCAAACGAATAAAACCTCCACTGACGGGGAAGGCGGTAGTCATTTCAGCAAGGCAGTTATTTACCATGGCCAAGAAAATACATTGGATCGAGAAGGCAAGGAACAAGCCACCAGGACCTCCATGATACAAACCAGTTCCAATACTCACGAACAAGGCAGTTCCAATTGAACCACCAATGGCCATAAGTTGGATCTGGCGGTTACCAAGGTGGCGTTGGAGGTTGTCAGCATTATCGGCCATCAAACCCTCTTGTAAATCCTGAGGGGTCTGAACCCTGACGGGCGAGACTGTGGCATCTTCTTTATCTTTGTTAAAGATGGACATTTTGGATCATTCCAATTGGATGGAAAGTGATCTGATACGATTGGGAAAGGGCAAGTCGCGAGCGAAAACCTAAGGGAGAACTGGCGCAAGGGAAGTTCAGGTGGATCGAGTAGTCTGTTGCATGGGTTGAGTAGGATTCTACTTGGAGCGGAGCAAGTTGTCGCAAGGGTCAATGATGTTGCTGCGTTGCGGCAAGAGCTGAATTGGGATGGGAGGGAAGCTGTTGATATCGCAAGGGAGGTATTGAGATCTAGAGCTGAGCTGTGAATGGAGTATGGTTTTGATATCTGATATGTGATATCTGATCTGGGATCTCCAATGGATTTGATTGCCAAATGAAGAGAGATAAGGGAAGTGGAACCTGAAGTAGAAAAAAAAGCGTATGAAAGAGAAGCAGACTATGAAAAAGTTTGCAGATGAGGAAAGGCGAGAAAAAACCAAATGTGCGGGTTGGCCAGAGATAGAGGAAAAGAAAAGAAAAGAGAAAAATACCTCTGAACGACGCTTTAACGCAAGTACCACGGTAGCCCACTTTAACCATGACGGCACTGGCGTCTACTTGGCGGGAATAGCGTGTTTTGCGCGGGACAGCATATTGCCGATGTTGATAAGCGAGTATCACCGCCAGGTTTTCTGGGTTGTAACTCGATATTCAATTGGTTAAATTATGTTCCTTCCAGTGGGTTTAGACTCGAAGTTCTTGCGTGAAGGACGGAAAAGGGACCCAAATTGACTTGAGATGACGAATGAGGAAAGAGGTCATACATCCGGATTTACTGTATTTCCGGGGTTCGTGGGGCCGTGTCTTTGCTCCATTGCCCCGCACAGGTATAATCCGCCGTTACACATAATATTACATATAAATATCCCGTGGCATGAATGGACCGTGAATGAGATCTGCTGGTTAACAATAGGATTGAATAGTAAAAGGCAATATTTGAATTTTTTACCTGGAGGATCAAGTGTAACCTCAGAGATACTAATTTATTTCATTTGCCACTATACCTAAAGCGGAATTCTTATCCACATTAAGGCTCCACGAGGTAGCTGAGATAGGCTGAGCCCTAACTCCATATGTTCCTCCTTATGGTCCACCGTATGCTCCACCACAACTGAGATACAGCAAATGAACGTCCTCTTATCGATGCCATAATTTTCCACTTTGTTGCCCCGTGGGACCCCTGTCTTCTTAAACGATGGTCCCTCTTGTCCTGACTTGGGAAAATGATCCCGTGAGAGGTGGCGATGAGAACTGAACAAGGGCATTGAGTCCTCGGTCGATTGCTCTGACGTAATCCTAGAACCCCAGAAAGCTCGGATCTCCCCACGGTTGATACACTTGGCTGGGGTACGGATACGAAGAATCCAAGTACTTAGGCTGCCAAGCCACAGATAGACCGCAGAAGGGCCAAATCTTGGAATTGCACTGCTAACTGCTAACCCTAATTTGAGTAGTCTCAGTAGGACACGGAAAATTCTGAAATTTCTACCCCTGCACCTATTATCTAATAAAGTACCACCGCTGACTCGCAGTTCTCCTGTTAGCCATGGACTTTTGTCAGTCTTACTCCATAAATGTCAGGCCATCATTCAGACAGATGTTCTTGAGTGCTGTGGCACAAACCAGTGTCTTTCTTGAAGTAATAGGCACTTATGTAATTAGCCTGGTCATAGTTACAGAGATCCCCGCAGGTTACGACGAAGTAATCCGCACATACTAACATAAATTGGTACTTTATGAAAATGACCGATGATTTCTACGGGTTGATATAAACTCATCAACGCAGAATAGTCATCTGATTTGATGCTTCTGACAGTCTGTCTAGCAAGAGATGAATACAACTACCTAATACCTATATATCTACCTAGCCATTCAAGCTAGAATCCTAAGTACCTACGGAGTTCGTGAGTATCCACCCAAAATCGTTGGGGAATATGACGTGCGAGGCTCGGCTCTTATGATGTAAATAGGCGGTTTCAAGAGCATGTGGGGTCCATTAGGATCTACCCGTGGACGTTGTGAGTAGTACATTATACTATGAAAGACTTCAAGGTTAAAAGAATTGGACATGATTGAAACGATGCCGTATAAGATAGTAAGCTAGAGTAACGCCAAAATCAAATTATTCCCGCAATCCTATGCAATTGATACCGAAACAATAAACAGATGACACAAAAAATGCACGACAAGACATTAAAAGACCATTAACCCCTTCAAGCCTCATTCTTGAAGTTGACAGTCTCAAAGTGACTCGTATCATTGCCACTCCGCTTCTCATTGGCCTCGGTTTCGAAGTGTGAAAGACTACCAGAGTTAGATTGTGCAACATCGCGAACATCAGTATAGTGCACAGAGGGCACGAAGCCAGCCGACTTCCAAGCAGCAGAAACCTTGGCATATAGCTCATCAACCTCCTCCAAGGACAAGCCTTTAGTCTCGTAGATGCAAGCGTACACGAAGATAGCAGCAATGAAGCAGAAACCGCCCCAGATGAAAAACACCTTGGACTGCAAGTTTGCATCACCAGGTCCGCTGTCCACCATGTACGGGGTAGCGTAGGCGATAGCCCAGTTCAGCAGCCAGTTTGTAGCGGTGGTTATGGAGAGACACTTGGCACGGGCCTTGAGGGGGAATAGTTCGCCTGTGACGACCCATGCGACGGGACCCCATGAGCAAGCAAAGAAGAAGATATAGATGCAGACAAATGCGATCAAGACCTTGTTGGCCACATCGGACTCGGCAGCTGTGCCGACGATAGCGACGATCAGTTGAGACACGCACATACCGACGGCACCGAAGAGGAGGAGGGGACGGCGACCCCATTTCTCGACCATATACAGGCCTGGTAAAGTGGAGAGGACGTTGATAATGTTTGTGATGAGAGTGATGATGAATGAGTTCTGGATACCGGAGTTTTGAAAGAACGTTGTGCCATAGTAGACTGTGCGCTGGTTAGCAAGTAACATGAAGTCTTGGATATACTTATTGTCACGTACAGATAAAGTTGCATCCGGCCAGTTGCTGCAAGCCTTGAACGGCACAGCCTGTTGCGAGCCGTTTGCCGATAGAGCCACGCAGTATCTCTAGATATGAGGCGTTTCCGAGACGAAGCTCAAATTCGTGATTGGCTTGGATCTCAGCCAGTTCCTTGACAATAGCAGAGTCATTGACGTCGATACGACGGAGGCGAGCGAGAGATTTCGCAGCATCTTCGTGCTTATCGTTTTTAATGAGGAATCTGGGAGTCTCGGGCAGGAGGATCATTCCAGCGACGAGAATGATTGCCCATAGGAACTGCATAGCGACTGGGATACGGTAGCAGCCAGTATCATTTCGGTCTTTGGTTGCATTGTTGACGATAGAGGCCAGAAGTAGACCGATAGTAATAGCCAGTTGGTATGCACCGACAATAGTACCACGAATCCACTTAGGGGCTGTTTCAGATTGGTAGAGAGGAACTAGATGAATGGTTAGAATGACCGCCCATGACTGCCAGAACAAGTCTGAGAAAGAACTCACCGGTTGCGGACAAAAGGCCAACACCTAGGCCAGCGAAGAAGCGTCCTGCTACAAATAGTGGGATAGATGTGGCGATAGTTTGCAAAATTACTCCAAAGCAGAAAACGAAGCATTCAAGAATCATACCCATGCGACGACCGAAGTAGTCTGCAACTGGGGCTGCGCCGAGGGCACCGAAGAAGGTGCCGGCGGAGAGTAAGGAAACGATCATAGATGATTGAGCAGAGGTAACATCGGGAAGATTGTCTTTTGGATTTATATAGCCGGTGGAAAACATTTCTCGCCAGTGTTTCATGGCGATGATGCCGCCAATAGTTCCAGTATCATATCTATAAGATAGTTAGCATGACAAGGTTTCATTGATCAGTAGGACGAAAGGTATACCCAAATAGTACACCGCCGAAGGCGACGAATAGACCGATGAGAATGGCTGGGGTTGCAGAGCCGACAGCATCATTGGGCTTTTTAAATGTGAAGCCCATGATTGATAGACAGTGATTGAAATGTCTAGAAAGTATTATAACAGAGTGATAGTAGATTAAATCCTGGTAAAAGATTATACTGAATAATGGTGGAAGACAAACAGCATCAGAAATAGAATATAGACAAAATCGAGGACTTGGAATCTTTTAATATTCTCCATCGAAAAATCACCCACGAGGAAAACATCGCCCCAAACCGCATTGGCCTTTCTAAGCACCGCAAACAAAACATGTCTCAAGGATTAATGATGCTTCCGCAAGATACCCATGACATGGGAGAAAGTATGACATAGAGAAAACAAACAGCTCTGCTATAATGGGCCATTAGCCGACGCTTTCCTACTCATTCATTGGCCAGTGAAAATGTTCCTGAAGGACGCATCGGCCAGGCACATTGTCAAATGCTATCAATATTCCTCGGATTTCGGCCGCATTCGGAGTGTGCGTGACTGCTATTAAACAGCAATGTTGAACAATTTTTATTTTATTAGGGAAGCTTGTTTACACTGTGGTGAGGTCGCCGAAAACGAGGTGTTGAATTGATTGGGCTGAATGCGGGTACTGATATGTCTGCATTAGGAAATCAACAATGACATCCCTTGTTAGGCTTCCAGCTCCTCGGAACGCACATTCCCTTGGGTAGCGTATACCTCGCGTTATATTGAGAAACATAGACTCCTTTTTGACATAAGCCGACCCGAAGTTTCTCTAGTACGAGGACGTTGGTCTTCGAAATTCTTCAAGGTGAAGTCATGAAGTTGTTCCCAAAACAACATGCACAGGTTATGATCGCAGATCCTTTCGCGGACGTATCTCCAGAGCATTTATATGGTGTATCCTTCCAGACTTTCCTTTGTGGCGTTGGTTACATCGATTCCACTACCGTGGATATTGGCCCTCTTTGGCCAGTCAATCAGTGGCGGAGCTGCTATAAGAATCAAACTTCAACAGAATCTGGAGTACTAGGTTTAGGAATGAGCCAGAACCTGACAGATGGAGAAATGCGTATTAATTTCCAGGTTTAGGGAACGATCGTTTCGATGATAACCTTGGAATGAGGTAAAAATAGAGATATATGTGGAGATATGGATTAGGAGATATGACAAAAGGAATAAATAGTTGCAACCTGGGATAGTAAGGGCACAATTTGGCAATGCGATCGAAACCTAGAACAAAGTGATGGAGTTTGCCAGGAAAGTCCGGTAGATATAGCTAGGGCGCGAAATTCTTGCGAGTTCCGGGGTCTGTCTACAGAAGGTTCAGCTAGGACGAATTTGCTATTGATTATCTGGTATTCCTGATTCTGATATGGCTATATTGCCAAAGGCCAACTTTAGAAGTTTGTTGAATCCATTTGGTGATTACGTTTGCCTTGTTTATTTGCTTCCTGGTGTCAACTTACTTAGCCTTCGATTATTTCAGCAGCATCTCGGCTGAACCTGCGGAAATTAGTGACTGGAAGGAAATCACTCGCCTTTTGTAGCCACTTTGCTCATAGCTCGTTTAACCGCCAGTCTGCCGTAAGCACTCGTGACTCCTCACTTGTGGCGTCGGGTCACCTGATGTGAGACTGCAGTTGCTGTACAGAGTATAAATCACCCCCTCAGCCTCAGGGATCTCATTTCATAGATTTGGTACGCAGAAAACTATCTACTTCCCAAGTGGACTCAAGCTATCTACTACTGAGTGCAGCCAAGTCTCTTGAGGTTGTAGTGGTCAAACGAAGAAGTTTTCAACGAGATGTCCGGCCGCTTTGGAGAGATCCGTAATGATGGTTCTCAGAATCATGGTAAGAGCCGAGAAAATGTCTCTTGACCCGCTATTGAGAATAGAATGCCTTTGATCTGATCAACAGCCATCAGATTCAAGTATTCACGGTGAAAATACTGGCCTTCAGGTGGCTGTCAGTCACGGCACAATCAACTATCACTACCATTCGCCGAGTAAGTTGAAAGTAAAACACACTTACACATTAGTCTATGCATTATCTAATATTACCAAGGTGCTTCCTCTCCAGAGAACATACGTATTCCGCGATTCGATCACATCCCACAAGCAACAGCTAGAAGCCGACCAAACCAACTTGGCACAGAAAACTTTGACGGACAGGTCAGACGGCTAATAATAGCGGGAGAAGAGAAACGGCTGAGCTCAGTGCTTAATGACAGCTCCTATCAAGCCATTCCAATTTTTACACAGGCCCTAAGCTTGCTAGAAGTGTCACAAACCCCGAAAATCAGTGACCTTATAGACGCGAATATAGGGTTGGTGGACTGCTACAGTGATCTGAGCGTCGGACCGGAGGAAAGCCTCCTTGATAGATTGAGACATATTGAGAGCGGCAAACGTGTGTGCAACACCGCCCGGCAACTTGCACTGGAATGGAGTGACACTCGCCGAGAGAGGAAAGTACGTGTTTATCTGGCCTGGCTTGAGGCTCAGAGAGTGATTATTATGAGCAGATACCCCCGGACGAAGCAAGAAGGCATCAAAGGGTACTGGAAATCTGCAGAGAACTCATTAAAAGATCTGATATCAGAGCTTAATAGTTCTAGGGATAGGAAAGTTGGGTTTGAATTAAACCTTGCTCAAGGGCAGTTGAGGCAGTTAAGAAGAATCTTTGATTAGAGTTACGAGTTGCATATATTTGACATATTTTGGCATGAAATCCAGATAACAGGATAGTTCAGCATCACCGAGTGCTACTTAACTCTCATAAAGCAAGTGTTGGCCACGCTTTGTCGAGGTATTTTGTAAAGGTATATTTGGGTCGGAATATGATGAATGCTCAGAGTGGAAAGTACTTATAATCCATCTTCGAGGCTTCTTAAATACTAGAGCGATGGCGAGGAGGACAAGGAATAGGCTTCCAATAGCGATGCCCGCGATTGCGCCATGACTCAAATGATCCCCTGAAGACGATGTCGACGTTGAAGTACATCCAGAGCAATGTGTGGAGGTACTTGTCCCGGTAGAATAGGTATCGGTAGGAGAGGTATCGGTAGGAGAAGAGTTAGTAGAAGAGGGGCTAGTTGCTGTCAAGGTTGTGTCGGATGAGGGATAATTAGTCGTCAAGGTTGCGCCAGGTTCACCAGAATATGAAAGAAAGGCCACTCGAACGAACGGTTCAGGAACGCATTGGAAACCAGTCATGAGCGTAGCTTCTTGCCAATAGATAGTCTCGCACTCATTGTAGAGGTCTTCGGTTGTACTGGCACAGAAATCAAAAATTTAGGATGCTCACTGCATAAGTGTCTTCCAGGGTTGGACCGAGCAAGCTCACCATTTCAAGATAGAAGTGTTGAGCTGACAAGAGCTGTTGCAGCCTCCATTTTTAACATCACTTCCCGCATAGCAGGTAATCGGAACCACACATCCTTCCAAGCTATTGCAGCACCCACGAGCTTGATGGGATTCATCGGAGGCGCATGACGAGCCTCTGGAGCATGTAATCGGGGAGCCTTTGCCACATCAGTATCACAGCACAAGAGAGTTTTAGTTGGTGACAGACTTATATCTGCATTGATGTATCCACAAGTTGCGCGCTCATCCGCTCGTTGTAGCAGCATCCCAGCCACAAGGGCTGGATCAGGAGGAGACGTAGTTAAAGGAGTATGACCCTGCTTCATGATAAGATTTTCCATATGCAAGCATCAAAATGAGGAGAAGGACAAAAGCACAGAGTGCGGAGTATATAGAGTGAGAAAAAAGCAGTGGGGCTCTTTCGTTACTAGGGGAAGATCAAAGAAGTAAATCAGGATCTAATTAGTGGCCACATCATAGCCGAATCTTAAGAACGGAGAGTGTAAGCGAAAACGAAAAGAAGAAGCAAATATGACCTCGCGAACGTCTCTGAATGGGGTAGCCAATCGTCAATAGTAGCCTTGGCTGCCCTGGCAGGACTGTGCTTTGCCTCCAGAACAGTCCAATCATGAATCTTAGCTCAGACCAGTGAGATATGCACAAAATTACCAATCAGATGCTGTTAGCTAAATAGATCGGGCTGTCGATTCTAGCCAACCAATCGGAACACCTCCTTATTCCAACCATGGCTCCATTCGAGCCTCATAAAAGCTTGTCGCTCATCAATCATGATTCACAACTTCGTCACCTTCTCAATTAGGCTAATTTGGCTGTTCTAACATTCTGAGAATACGGGTTGACCATAAAATCGATTATTAATGATAGTGACAGGGCTGAGTGTGGCGTTAATCCGGGGTAAAAGTGGGCCTTTTGCATAAATCGTCTAGTGCGGAGTGTTAAATACTGTACTGGTAAATAAACATCAGTTCAATGCTTCAAGTTCCAAGAAATTGATCAATCGGCTAGTGATATGAATAATTTCTAGGATCAAACGTAGACAGCTATTGTAGTAGTCCCATATGGGTTGTAACTTTGAAAGTTGATGATGATAGAGCAGACATATAAGGAGTAAAATGGGTGTACTATTTATTCCGAAGACCATGTGATGCAGTTGACAACAGTAACGATTTTCGCGATAAACTAGTTAATTCTTTTTTGCAACCTCAACAATCTCTTCGCTAACCTTGAATCACCGTCTCAAGAATTGATAAAAAAACCGAATCCATAAGTAAAGTCATGATGGGCCAGAGAATCCGCCTGCCAAGAAGACCCTAGAGCCGTTGAACAACTGGCCCATGTGAAGTGCGATGCAGGAACTTAGTTGTGGTTAAATCACTTTCATGAGCGCAGCCACCCAAACAAGGTAAGTATGAAGAAGAAGACGAGAGTAAGGAGCAAGGAAGAGGTTTGTATAGATAAAGGGCACTAGTGGGTGTCAAGTGGCTTAATGGACCAGGTAATGTTCGTGACAGCTTGCTTTCAAAATTGTGTTTTAGTAAGCGGAATTACTAGTCCATGACTATGGTCGAGTGATCAAGTGATAGGATACCTCGAAATTCGAATACTATATGGTGTTATGGTTCCATCAACATATCTGTCGCTGCTTTTACTCTTCATGTAAAGTTTAGAAGGTAAGTTGTTCATCAATAGATTCCCTGTCAGATGCCCGTCTATAATAGAATAAAATATACGAATCGCTAACTGCGTGACAACCCAGCTACCAGCGCCAGATCAAAAAGAAGTACACAGACAAAACAACTACCGCAACGAGCTTGACAGAACGATAGAACTCGTTGCCCATGATCGATAGCTTAGAAAATGGGCGTTGTAATCGGATTTGATTGTATGCACCCTTGTCTGTTGACTCGGATAAAGTACTCTCTTCTGGACCACTATAAGCATTGTGGGTAAAGTTGATGAGAGGGTAGCGGGGTACGATGAACCCACCGCGGCTGGCCAGGCTACCCGTTGATGATAATGTGGAGCTGGACGTACCAAATGTGTGGTCCTGGGGTCCTGGGGTGTGGTGTTCTGAGACGTAGGTTCGTTTTTCAGAAAGGGGGAGGACAGGGGCGTTGGGCTGAGTTGGTTCTGGGGTGAAGAGGGCGTGGTAGGTGGAATGAGCGAGGAGGACGGTAATACTAAAACCAAGGATGTAGAGGTAGTGAATGAAGATGCCGAGTTGATCGGGGAGAAGACAGAGGTGATTCTGCAAGGTTGGTGTATGGCTATTTTGGGTTGATTCTCCCGTCTTGGGATCAATTGGGTTCCATAGACTGGTGAGCAAGAAGCCAGGGTGGCGAACACCCATAGCCCAAGAAAAACTCTTCACTGTGATTTCTCTGGGGGAACCGTTGAACTCGCGATGGACAACTTCGCAGTAGTCATGGTCGTCGCCGGAGTAGACCTGCACCAGATTCGGGCCCACTTTTGAGACCAAATCAGCGGATATTGCAGATGTCAGAACATTTTGATACTGGTAGCCACCCGCAATCTTGAGCGAGTTGGGCTCGTCTTCGTCCAGGTCTGGAGATGATGGCGGGTATCGCTCGCGAAGTGGGCCACATGGAGTGGCTGGATTGCGATAGAGTGGTATGTGAGTGAGAAGGATGGTGGGAAATGAGAAATCTGTGGATTCGGGGAGTTGGTGAATCACGTCTTCGGTGGCGTCTGCAACGCGGTAGTCGAATTTGAAGCCCTCCGTCTGGTTCTGCAGCATTCTGAGTTCATCCATCTCAGCCTTTGCCTTTCGAGAGGCCAGCTGGTTGATAAAATCACCAGCATCCTTCCAGATGGGCGCCGGTCCATCCTCGCCGTTATTATCGGTGGAGCTTCCTGTGAGAGGATCCGGTTGGTCTTTCGCACTCAAGGAAGGGGTGTCCACAGACACGAAGCTGTGGTTTCCGATCACATCAATTCTGTTGCTGGGTCCGAAGTAACTTTGGAATCTGTCACGGACTGGCTCTTGAATCCCGTTGCCAAAACCAAGGTCGTGATTTCCGGGCAAATTTGCAAGAAGCCTACGACCCCGGTCATCCACCGAAATGAATTCCGATTGAGCCCATGGATTCAAGAATATTTTTGCGAATCGACTGTACTCCTTTTTCCAGAACGAATCTTTGATTTTCTTATAGCGAGCCTCGGGGCTGGAACTCGTTTGCGTGGCCCATTCTCTACCGCCGTCAAATAGGTCACCGAGAAATAGTACCGAGTCAGGAACAAGGTTGCTTTGTATAGATTCAAATGACCGTCTCATAAACTGATCTGTGTACTTGACTGTCAAGGTTGAAAGAGGCCACGGGCGACCAGGGTAAGTATGGGGATCGACAAGCTGAGGGTCAGCAACGAATACGACATGGTATGGTGTTGCATATTGAGGCTAGATGAAAGCCATTGTCAGTGCCATTTCCAAAAAAAGGGAATAGTTCGTGTGGGTAGTAGACATACCCATCTCTCCCAACCCTGCCAAACACATGCATCTATGTGTTCTTGAAACACTGTGCGTTCTCCCCACCAGAGAGTAAGAATCCATAGTAAGATCACGCCATTTGCAACTGTGAAAATATTCTTGAACATCCGCACCACAAAGCTCTGAGAATCGCTATCCTTGGGGGTTTCATCCCAGATAGTGACGCATTGGGTTGTGCAGGTTCGTAGCTGATCCCACACACGATTGAGGATATTTGGTGATTGATTGGAATAACTGGTAAAGGAAGGAGAGAAGGAGCCTGCGTCGCGTGAATTATTGTAGCGCATCTTTCCTTGGCCCGCACTTATTATACCAGAGAGTTGTTTTCGGAGCCGGGGCGACAATGGGTGGGTTAACAAAAGGAATGAAGCTGCATAATCTTCAAATGCAAAAGCAATGGCATGAAGGAGTGCAGGCCAAACGTAAGAATTATAGAGAAGTGAGGTCAGAATTATTTGGCTAAGCCATGGCGTGTTGAAACGGAGAACAAGGAGTGTGTGGATCGAGTCGAGGCCAGTGTCGACCACTGGGGAAATCACGTGGTTGCTAAAAATGGAGAACCATAAAGCTATCTACTACTGAGCCTTTTGGGCAATCTATTCAAAGTTTCTAATTTTAGAATGAAATCAACGGGGGTCAGCCTCAATCTAGAACTCGGTCAGAGTAATGGCATTTGATAATAAAGATACATGAGGAATTGGGGATATCCGAGCACGGACACCAGAGCGTAGGAAGTGAGAATTTTTCGAGCGGGATAGAGGATGACTATCCATGTGGAGGACAAGGGGAATACAGGAATCACAGCGGCAACAGCCGAAAGAGGAAGGTATCAAGAGAATGTGTGATACAAATTAGGAAATAGGTGTATGGTGATGAAGGATGGGAACGAGGTAGTGCCAGATTAGGGTGTTTAAAGGATCAAACTGTTTGAAGCATCCAGTAGGCGAAATAATCAGGGAGACTTTTTGGAGCAACATCCGCTATCTTTAGCACAGCTATCATCGCAGTCTAGGAGACAGGCCTGAGGGTCACTGTCACGAACGCTGCCTGTGAGACTGGAGCTCAGCTCATCCGCACCAGTTTGAGACGAGGATGACTGGACATGAGCGTGGCTTTCTTCCGTCTGTGAAAACTCAGGTTGAATGGTTGCAGAATGAATTCCGTAGGCGTGAAGACATTTGCGGACTTGTTGAGCAAGGCGCATGTATCTCTGGGAACCTTCGCCTTTGATGTCGGTGTCAACTTGAATGTGGATTGACGCAACAATCTTAGTGTCGCTCAACTGCCAGACGTGGAGATGGTGCGAGCTAAGAATACCAGGAAGTCCTTCGATATCTTCCTTGATATGGTCAATGCTCAAACCTGCTGGCACGGCTTGTAGAAGTATACGAGAGGCAGCCTTGCACAGTGGAATAGCAGAGGTGAGGATTATAACGGTAATGACCAGGGAAATACCAGGGTCAACGTAGAATCTCCATTTATAATCGGTCAACCAAATAACGAGGGCAGATGCAATCACACCAATATTACCAAGTGCGTCTCCCATGACGTGGAGGAAGACACCACGCATGTTCAGATCATGGCTGTGACTACCCTTACCTTTGGGCTTGGGCTGAGAATGGTTGTGATCCCTGTGGACATCTTCCTCGACAATTGCGATTTTGATGGGATCGGCGTTCTCATCGGTGTAATTTGAAGCGCGGTCCCGGTGCTGAAGTAGACCTGAGCGCTCGGTAGGAGTGGCTACCTCTTGGCTGTCGGAGTCAGATGGCATTTCAGCGTCAAATGAGCTACGGCTAGCAGCAATAATGTCCTGTCGCATGGTCGCCGGGTGCACATATATATCCTCCACGCTGGCAAGTCCGCGCGCAGCCGAAGAGCTGTATCGTCTGGAGCCACGGTTCGAGGTTTCGGTCACGCGGCGTTTGCGATGAGGAATAGTATGCTCTGTGTGAGTATGGGTGAGATCTGGAGTGCTGTGGGGATGGGAATGCGTATGCTCGACTGAGTGGTCATGATCATGGTGATCATGTTCGTGACCGGCTTCGACGTCCTCCTCGTCATGGGAATGCTCATGACCATGATCATGACTATGACCGTGAGAGTGGCCATGGCCGACATCGTGAAACAGAACTAGACCCACGATATTCGAAAGTAGTCCAAAGCAACCGACAACGCAAACAAGCTTCGGGTTTTGTACCTCTTGAACCTCCACTAGACGTTGAGTGGCCTCAAGAAAGATCGACATACACAACGCAACCAGGAAAACACCGTTCACCAAAGCACCGAGTGTTTCGGCTCGCTGCCACTAAATTCGCATTCGATATCAGTATTTGTCCAAGCGGTGTGCCAAAAGTAGACGAAACTCACCCCGTAGGTGTACGTCTTCGAGTTTGTCTCGCTGTTGGCGACTTTCACGGCCCATAATCCGACGCACAAAGAGAGAACATCATTCAGCTATATTATAGATTAGATCGAGGTTGGAAGGAACGAGGACTTGTACGACACCAGGACGCACCATGTGAAAGGAATCGGCAACAAGGGCAAGCGAGTGGACGGCATAACCTGAAGCGACACGTGTAAGCAATGACTAGATACTCCCAGTTGAGATACAGACCTGTGATTAATTCTAGTAGGAAGAACACAGAGTCAATGACCAACAAGATAATAATGCGGTTCGTCTTGGAGAGCCCCATCGTGACGATGACCGTGTACGTCGGTGATGAGCTCAACGCAAGAGTCAACGTGCGCTAAGAAACGAGGTAAGCAAGAAGTGTTGAAAGAAAACGAAGAATCGATGAGGGAGGGAAAATTTGCGACGCAACTGTTGGAGAGATAAACCCACTTCTCGAGGTGGAGCTTGAGAACATAACACAATAATCGACCCCAAAGGCGGAGGAGGCCCCTTCGACCTCCGATAGGCCCGAACTGACGTTATTGGAGGATTTATTACGTCCCTAGAAACCTCTTTGTTATGTTGCTTTATCTCTTAGATCTATAATTTTCTATTTAAACCTGTACGTGTTTTTCTTTTATTTTCTTTCTCTGTAAGGCTGCAGCTTTGTACAAGTTTGTGCAGGGAAAACGCCTTGACCCACGAGTCTAAGCTTCGGTCCAATAAGCGGGTTTACCCCCGAAGGTACTACCCCATACTCTCAGTTGTACACTCATTGTTCCACTTTAATACGAGGTCTTTCTTGGCTTTCAATAGTTCGAGGTCAATACTCGGCATTTATTCATTGAAATTTGTAAAACATAATCAAGCGCAAGAAACGTCAACGTTGCTAGAGTCATTGTTTCCGATGATAACGTTGATTATGTCGGACTTGAACGTCGTGTCTCCGAGCTCGGACGATCTCGGAGATTCCAGAGACGACTTAGTTGAAAACTCGGAGATCAGGGAGTAGTAATCTCAGAAATTTCCCATAATACCGTTGAGCGCCGTCATAGCCTCATAGACAACCTTCAACTTGGAGTCTAACAACGTACTAGCATTTTGGTCTAGCGTTCGCACCTGCTCAAACGAGAGAACATTTCTCCCCGTAGATCTTGGAGAGCTTCACTAACTTGTCGATCTGTTTATTTCTAGAACATTGACAGTATATGGTGGACAAGACTCTCTGAGAGTCGTGTCTTCATCTGTCGATGTATTTGGTTCTCGAAATTGGACAGGATATGGCGGACAAGACACTGCTTTATTTGTCTCATGCTCGCTTGTTGACGTGCTTAGACTTGGTTCACCAGCCAACATCTGAGCGAGTGAGGCTTTTCTCCTTGCTCGAGCAACAGATCTTTGTCTGGCTTCGCGACAAGACAGGCATTGTTTCGTGATGAATGTTTGTTTCTTGGACTGGAATTGATCGAGGGCTCTCATACACCCACATCTACTGCAATTCTTCGTGTCCATGATATCGGCAAGATGTAAACAGAATGGGTGAAGAGGTTTGGGTTAGCAGCAGAAAATGATCTGAGGAGAGTTGATGAGGAAGAAGATGGAGGGCTTGAAGTAGCAAAGTGTTTTATGGTATCGACGTAAGCTACTCATATATACATATACATGCGTGGTGAATTTTGGAGTACTGAATTCACTTCCCTGGCCGTTTGAATTATGAATATTTCCAATACCTTCCTTTCAAAGCTTTCCTACATTCACATTCAAGTCTTCTTTGTATTCACCCAGAACTTACAGTGATCACAGGTTTTAAAGAATTACGTACAGAGTGTCAGTTGATTTTGCTTCATTATCACCTCAGTTATATTATAAGTGATCTCAATTCAATTTGAATTCCATGTCCGATGCAGGCCGGCGAAAATATGAGTAAGTTTTCCGTCTACAGAAAACCTCTCAACACCAGGGGCTATACGCAGAGATAGAGGCGACTGCCAAAATCTTTAAGATTTTCGAGCCTCTCAACCTTTCCTGCATCACGCTCGTTGAGCTGGCTTGAGTCCCTGGACTGTGGAGATCGAAGAAGAGTTTCATCGGTTCATCAATGACGATAAAGCATCAAAGTTTATTGTCAAAATCAGGGGTAAGAAGTTGGAAGTGACTGGTGAAGTTATTCAATGGAATACTTCTGGACAAATGTATCAACTTTATTTCGGTACTGATTCCCCATCTAATACCAACTCGGCCGCGAATACTTCAAGAGAACCAGTAGCATCAGATCTATGACTGAAACTGAATAAATGAATTTTGAAGTTGAAGTATGGTCTGCCGCTGAGCATCAGAGCATCGAGCCCCAATAAATGATTATAAGACCGAGCTCTATGAAACAAAGCTCTCGGCATACAAAAATTTGGAAAACTGTCACAAAATCAGCGTCCTACAGAAGATTGCCCAGTAGATTGTAGTACCTGGCTCATCTTTTTGCGAAACCCCACCTGAAGTCGAAGACTTCACAAATACATATATGTTCACGGAATCTGGCTTCACTAGAGTACGTCCCGAAACTGGTGCTACCAATTCTTTTACTAAAACATACTGGTCTACATTAGGGGTAGGCTGGGAATATTGATATTCTTTACAAGTACCAATACAATACCGTACACTGTTAATACATGGCTGTATAAAATATCATGTCTCATCACTGGATTGGCAACTAAAGCTTTCGATGATAATGCAAATCAATCAAAAAACTGGACAGAGGGAAAAGGGAAACGAGGGCGTCCGGAATCTGGTGATGTATCACAACTGATTATCACTCCGTCAAACGCCAGTCTATTGGGTGTCTGGAAGAGCAAATAGCGACTAGTATCATCTTCCACTTGAACTACATAGAACGACCATTGTTCATAAAGCGACGGAAATAATAGGTCGGACCGATAGCCAACCTACTCATATAAGGTGCACTGGGCGGCTGTTCTCATCCACAGGTACCTCCTGCATTAAGGAGCATCTTGACAACAGCATCGTGACCACCCTCAGCAGCCCATGATGATGGTGTCCGGCCATATTTTGTGTCTTTGGCATCGACATCCACCTTATCTGTATCGAGAAGTATCTTGACAACAGCATCGTGACCATTCTCAGAAGCCCATGATAATGGTGTCCGGCCATATTTTGTGTCTTTGGCATCGACATCCACCTTGTTTGTGTCGAGAAGCATCTTGACAACAGCATCGTGACCACCCTCAGCAGCCCATGATAATGGTGTCCGGCCATATTCTGTGTCTTTGGCATCGACATCCACCTTATCTATATCAAGAAGCATCTTGACAACAGCATCGTGACCACCCTCAGCAGCCCATGATAATGGTGTCCGACCATATTCTGTGTCTTTGGAATCGACATCCACCTTGTTTGTGTCGAGAAGCATCTTGACAACAGCATCGTGACCACCCTCAGCAGCCCATGATAATGGTGTTCCGCCATATTTTGTATCTTTGGCATCGATATCCACCATATCTATATCGAGAAGCATCTTAACAACAGCATTTTGACCACCCCAGGCAGCCAAGAGTAGTGGTGTAGAGTTATCTGTACTTTTAGCATCGACGTCCACCTTGTTCGTGTCGAGAAGCATCTTGACAACAGCATCGTGACCACCCTTAGCAGCCAAGAGTAGTGGTATAGAGTTATCTGTACTTTTAGTATCGACATCCACCTTGTTTATGTCGAGAAGCAATTTGACAACAGCATCGTGACCGCCCTCAGCAGCCCATGATAATGGTGTCCAGCCATATTCTGTGTCTTTGGCATCAACATCCACCTTGTTTGTGTCGAGAAGCATCTTGACAACAGCATCGTGACCACCCTTAGCAGCCCATGATAAAGGTGTCCCGCCATATTTTGTGTCTTTGGCATCGACATCCACCTTGTTTGTATCGAGAAGTATCTTGACAACAGCATCATGACCACCCTCAGTAGCCCATGACAATGGTGTCCGGCCATATTCTGTGTCTTTGGAATCGACATCCACCTTGTTTGTGTCGAGAAGCATCTTGACAACAGCATCGTGACCACGCCAGGCAGCCAAGAGGAGTGGTGTAGAGTTACCTATACTTTTAGCATCGACATCCACCTTGTTTGTGTCGAGAAGCATCTTGACAACAGCATCGTGACCACCCTCAGCAGCCCATGATAATGGTGTCTGGCCATATCTTGTGTCTTTGGCATCGACATCCACCTTGTTTGTGTCGAGAAGTATCTTGACAACAGCATCGTGACCACCCTTAGCAGCCCATGATAATGGTGTCTGGCCATATTCTGTGTCTTTGGCATCAACATCCAGCTCCACATTGTCTGTGCAAAGCAGAACGCACTTAAGCAGCTTGGTCAACCCGTATCTTGCGATGATATGCAACAGTGTACTTCCACTAGGTGGAGCACGGTAGAGCTCAAGTGTTCTGTATATCTCTACCCATTGTTGGATAAAAGACCCCCTCGGCCAATCTAGGTATTCCAGAAGATCATTTAGGGCTCTTTCTGTTTTCTCGCCATACTGAATGTGAGATACCCACGATGTTGTAGCATAGTGTAGGAAGGGGAAATTAGACCCGTCATCCCACCCAGTGAAGTTATACCGAGAGATCATAACCATTCTGAGATAACGGACACAACAACATGATAGGCGATAATGAGCAGTAGGGCCTACTATATCGATTTCCCTTGTCTGACCCAGAATCAATAACCCATGCTCGATGAAGAAGTCCTTTACCGACTGGTGGATGAACTGAACAATGCGAGCATTTCTGGATGGTACGATTTCTGTGAGTCCACAGCTTAGGGTCTTAAATCTTCTGTCGATGTCTTTTTCGGCAATGAAGTCATCCGACTGGTAACACTCGTCGAGAGTCTGATGTGCGCAGCCGGGATCAACTACCATAGACCATTGTAGCTCGACGGTCGTTAACGGTCTCGTAGAGAAACAGATCCATTGCATTAGCTTTAGAGCCTCCGGACGATCTTTCATACCCTGAATGAGCTCATGATATAGTTCACCTAAGCCTTGAGGAATACGTTTGATTTCTGCCTTGATCTTTCCTTTTGGTTCCCCATTCCGCTCCATACGTAGTAGTCGTTGAATAACAAAGTATGCCCATAGAAAAACACCTTCCGCGCGGGTGCATATTTCTTCTTGCATTTCAGTGTCTATATCGCTTATAGAGAAGCGCTCTCGAACAAAAGCGGCGATGTCTGCCTTATTCTCTTTATGTAACACTATAGTTGATCCTTCACGGAGATCAAGAATAGGGTACTCACGACAAGAGAAGCAGATACCGAACCGAGACTCTGTTGATGGGAGACTTAAACATAGATCGTCGAAGTCTTTGATTAGTTCGACGGCCAGTTCTTCGCCGCACTCGTCAAGCGCATCAATGCATAGGACAACCGAACGGGTCTTCAAAATTCTTATAAGCGATGACTTTAAGAAAGCCTGTAGTTGCTGTAGCTCCCAATTCCACTTATCTCCGGGCTCGCCAATTGTCCTTTGCTGTTCCTGAAAGTACTCGACCAGATCAGTCAGTGCTCCTGATACACTCTTTAGTAGCTGATGTATAAGAGATCGGTAGAGCCCTAGTGGAGTTTTCTGAAGTTCATGGCCGCGTCCATGAAAAAAGAAGGAGATCACTAGAGCGTCCACGTCATAAACAGCAGGAATCTCTTGGAGGGCATATTTCATGAGCGTTGATTTTCCAGATCCGGGTTTTCCTCTTATCCAGAGCAGGCCTCGGTTTTGACGAGTCCATTGTGTCAGGGTTTCGTGACTAAGAAGCCAACTATATGTGCCCGTAGCAGCGATATCAATCTTATTCTGCCGGCTGTCTATGTCCTCAAAGGCTAGTGACTTCAGGCATGACTGTATTATTTTCGACTGGGGTAGGTATAGGCCTAAGCTACAAAATTAGTTGTAGGCCATACCACCCACGTCAAGTGGTAACATACTGTCCTTAGCGAATCGTTCTGCGACCTTCACCTTCGCGTCACGAACAAGTCTTTGAAGTCGTTCCTTCACGATGAGATAATCCGCTTGGTTCCTGGAGCTATACTTCACAAGCCCCGAATGATCTGTGTTAAGGGAGATTTTGTCTTCATATAAACCCGTGCTTATGGCCGACTTTTCTGTTACTAGTAAAGATGGGCGGCCGGTCTTGTTCCATTTCCCGTCTTGAGCATGCTATATAAAGAGTATTAGCCTTTCCTTGCTATATTTGAATATAGCTTCTGTCAGCCTATGGGTTATGTGATGGCCCATTTAAGAAATTAAAAGTCCGAGAGCTTCTTACCTCTAAGGTTGGACTAAGGATGCGCTCAAAGAATGTCACTACACGGTAGTGGCCCTTACAGCTCTCGGAAAACTGATCAGAAAGCCTCTTAAGGAAGGTTGAGGGCTCCGAATCGTTGTCCACGAGCAAGTCGTCGATCAGTGCTTTATTCGGCTGGCCCTGGACAATCGTTCTCAACTGTTCATTTCGGAGGCCGAGATTCGGTACGCCGAAGAAAAGCAGTCCAAAACAAGCTTTAGATAGGTCCGAGTCCGCATTACTTCGTCCTCTACGAGCACGAATAAGAAGCTGCAATGGCCAGTCAGCTATGTTACCAGAGATGATAAGCGACTTACCTCTTTGATCAGTAATCCGCCGAGGCTATGGCCGATAAGGACGATCGGACGGCGAGAAGTCTATTAGGAATTAGTCAGATCTAGACATCATAGAGACCACTTACACCATCATTCGCTCGAAAGGCATTGATCTGCTCTAGCAAGGCACCACCTAGGTCTTCGATAGACTGTTTCGATAGGCTGTTCAGTAGAGTTGTATCATAACCGTACAGCAGTACTCGGACCTTGGGCAGGTCTTCCGGCAGGTCTATAGGCAGGAAGTCTCGTAGCCAAACTTCATCGCTGTCTATGGATTTCCAAGAACCAAGGGCGTGGCTTCCTAGGCCTGGGACGGCAATGATGCTATAGAGAGGAGTTAGCAAAGACAAGGTGAATCGGCAGAAGTAGGCACGTACTCGACATCTGCTCCGCTCTCGCCCTCGTAGAGTGGTGTGATTCCATCAAATCTGCAGGTAAATGTGTATGGGTAACATTTGCTAGTTCGGCTTAGACGTGCGCATAGGTTCTCCCCAGACAGTGACGTAGTAATAGAAACCGTAGCGCAGAAAAAGTGCTTGTCCCTTGGTGTCAAACGATGGCAAATTATGGTAGCAACAGCCCTCTGCAAGTCCGGGTCCTGCTCAGCAAAGGACTTTATATTATGTTCTAGTTCTTTGGTGTCATTGATTGGGATGTTGTCGACACGAAAGGTCAGCCTCTTGGGCTTAGGCACCTCTAATGGCTGCCGCCAGCGGACGAGGAGGGCAGTAACTACGATGACGATGGACGCTGTGGCGACTATCTTGGCCAAATCTGCCCAGATTTTGTACGGCATTATCTCGCAAGAAGAAAAGTGGATTGAGAGAATTGCTGTGAACAGACAGAATGCAAGGTACTTGCCTCGTCGCCATGAGGGGTAACATAACAGTTCGTAGGCCTGCGGCTGAAGACCACATGATGAGGTCACGTGGCATAGCGTGAAGTGTCGCGCCTAGTCCACGCGTTGTATGAGAGTGAACCTGTCGGGATCTTCGCTGATTCACATAAATGAATTTGATAGTTCTTCATATGATGCCAGCGACTATGGTGACATCAAGTGCAACACCGCCCTTTCCGTTGGTTGGCCTATCAATTAACACGGACACCGGACGGGCTGTCCCGACGTGTGCCTGCCCTAGCGTTCCAGTGCGAGGGACTTGCTTGCTGAAAATCCTGTAAAGGCCTGGCCGATCAGAATCAGCGTCACGGCGATATGAGGCTCTTCTGGTCCCTCCGTAGCAATAGGCTTACTGCTGATATATAATATGGCGAAGGAGTAGAGGCTCGCAATCTACGACCGTCTTCTGATACTGGAGGAGAAACGAACGAAAGAGTAAGAATGGATGACAGTTGATTGTATGCTCACCATCTGCCTATTCTGTTCTCGATATCGGATTTAAGGGAATTGCATGGAAGAGTCGAAGTCTCATTTTCAAAGTCTATGGAAGCAAATACTGGAATACAGCTGGAGCAACGGATCCAAGAGAGCTCCACGAAACTATAAACGGGGCTTCCAAAACCATCCGTTTATCTGAGAGACAATTCTCTCGCAGCTTGAATCTTGAAGAATATAGATATCATCATCACTCGTCATATTCATTTTTCTTTCGATGCACAAAATTCAAAGCGCGTGCTTAAAAGGCTAGAATGAGTGTAGCATACTCTAGGTTCCCACCGCTTATATCAACTTTGCGAATATTGAGATAGCGACATTGAGCGCTCGCTGTCTGGACTGATGCTGAAGTAAACATATATTATATGAGAATATACGAGTATTGAACTGGTCTGCATAGAAATTTCTAGAATTTATAATATATCTAGCGGCAATTTTAAAGGAAGGACATTGTATTTCCGTTTCGTAAATCACGTCTGGAATTAGCACTTGTGAAGATCATATATACGCTACTAGACAAAAGGTATTTCAACTTAGTATTTTAAGAACGGTTTTTGAATAACTAAAATGTAAGCCAGTCTTGAGTTTGTCTGCATAGTAGCATATCTTGAAATCTACTTGAGTTGCCTATTACACATGGCCGTCTAGCCTTTTCTGTGGATTCTGTTTCAACCATAGCCGATGGGCTATCGCAAATCTCCACTCCTTGATCACTTTGAAAACAAAAAGAAATACCAACATAAGCATAAGGACACCAGTTACAAATCCAATCAAAGTACTGAGCCAGTAGCAAACCGCAAATAACAAAGTACTCGAATATCTCTCATCGGAAGTGGAGGCTGCGAGACTGACCTGCATACAGTTCAGGACGATCGAGAAAAATGCAAATGCAGATATCATGGGGCCTTGAATTCGAGCAAAGTACGCTCGATACTGATAACTCTCACGTTTATAATGGCTTTTTCCTAGGAGAATGGGCGCATAATAGTTCAGTCGGGTCAATCGGATCTCTCCATAATGATATCGTCCCGAAACTTCGTTTTCCGCGATGTCATTGAAACGAGCAGTGAACTGGCAGAAGCGAGGCCAGGTCACTTCTTTAGGAACCAGGCAGAGAGCCGGGTCTTGTGCGATATGTAGATCTGATTCATATTGTATCAGGTGTAAATACGTTCGCAGATACCCGAGTGCGGCCTTTCTGACCTTCGCTGCCGCACCATATTTAGACGGATCGCTCATAAATGTATCCCAGAATGCGTAGGATGTTATGTACTTGGGAAGGGGTTTAATGAAAATTCGGGCGTCGATCCAGACAAGATGTAGTCGAGGATCCTCAGTTACGATGATCTGTCGGCCCTTTACTCGCTGTCGATGCAACGGGGAAATATTGCTGCTATCCTGCTTCGACATCCACCAGAGTCTGCCCGATATCGACTCAAGGTCCTCAGACCATAATTCCCGGAGAATGAAATCATACAAGCCCTTACGATCGCTAGTTTTGATCCGGGGATGACCTGGTAAATAATCAAGCGATGCATCGAGATCACGATTGAGCTGATCGTCTTTGTGGAAGGGACATGGCAATGAATAAGTTTCTGCGTGAGTTGACATTTTTTGAAAGCGCTAGATTTGGAATATACTTAATTTTAGAATGATACTGAATGCTGAGAAGTCAATCAGAAAGATTGTTTTATTCGATAAAGGTTGTCGCTAAATAGTGGGGTTGGCGTTCAGCCTTGTTTAAATAACTAGCCAACGTGTTCCACCGCTCCGCCAACACCGCTGCTCAGCCACCCCACCAAATTCTTTCCCAATTCGTATTATTTCTAAACGCAGGTGCATTAACTAACGTTAAGTTTTTACGGCGGCTGAATAATCGCGACCGCTTAATAATTTATCGGCGCTAATATCTTGGCAGCGGGGCCCGAAAAGAGTTATTTTGTGTGTATTGGTCGAGCCGATTTCGAGACTATATCTGCTGCATGCTCAGATGATTTCAAAGTATTTCTCATCCTCATATCAACAATCCTTATACGGTGAGTTGACAGATTCTAGGAGGGCAAACATGCGAGATTGACCTGTCTCAAAACGAACCTCAGGCTGTCGAAATCATGGTTCGCTATCTATACAGTCATATACGCGTTCTTGAAATCCCGACTTGGTAGCTTGATGAGCAAAATTCAAAATGACCAGGAGAAGATTGATGACATTCAGTGAAGTTTCAGACCCGATGATTATCTTTCCGATGATAGCGTCGTTTTTTGAGATGGTAATGATATTGATCAAGTATATTAACGCATCTTTAAATATCATAACTATGTATCTAATAATTCCATGATATCATATGTCACTTCGAAATATCAGTGTTACTTTTCAGTGTCCAGAAAAACATTCGAAGAGTGTAGGTGGTTGCACCAGTTTCGGGAAATACTGTATATCAATGGATTCTCAATCATACCTAGACATTACATCCTTACCAAAGAGCCAAAGTATAAACAGCATAAAATTGTCAAAGACTTAATTCAAATTATACAGCAGCTTTTTGAATTTGGTGTCCTCAATAAGGAAATTTCAGAGAGGAGTTTGATTGTCCAGAGTGTGGAAGGTATGTTTCAAGTGTTCATGATCGACTTTGGAATATGTACCTTCTATGGAAGCGAGTACACCTCCCGGCAACACAAGGCATTCGGCAACGAAGATGTGATTGAGCAGATGATGGAAAGACGTTTTCTTAGAGGTGCATATCTCTATTATCCGTCCAGTCTCTATTCACACCTGCTTTCGGAGTTCGAGGGCCAGTAAGGCGCGAGGAGGGGATTGATCTCTACTTCGAATGAAAATAGTCTTGGCTATAGTAGGTTGTTTATATAATGATTTTGCGAGAAATTCTTGTCTGCGGCGATTGATAAAGCATCCTGTCTTACTCATCTGAGCTATTCCGCTCTGATCTCAATATTTCTATCGGCTTGAAGTACGGTGTGACCTGATTGATCCAAGTACAACCGGCTTACATGGCTTAGGAAAACTTTATATCTGTTTTATAATCTTTCGATCTCTTATCTTTAGGATGAGCTACTTTGACCCCAGCTTTGCTGATCAAATAAATTTCACTTTCGTGAAGTTTTTGGTAGCTTGTTTGTCGCTCAACTTCCTGAAGCCATCTTTGACCGTCACACTGCATCCTTTGTGCTTAATGTTTGCTTCTCCCATTGTGTGATAAGGCTTCAATGTTTCACCGAACTTTCCTTAATGTTTTTAGCTCGGTAGTCTTTGGCCCCTGATGGCATGACATGATAACGAGTGACCCCACTTTGAAGAGCAGAGGATCTTCTCCCCCTTTGCTCAGTTAAATATGAGAGGTCATGGAAATTATACCACAATCAAAATTTCAGTCAATTCACTACAATGTCTCTCCATTACAAGAAAGTCATCTACCCTACTCTAGACCCAGGCCAGAATCTCCCAACTTTCAGGGCAAGCGATCTGCAGATTGTTGAAGCTATCGCACCCACAGTTTCCGTCGTCTTGTTCGAGCAGCAGAAGTTCGCATACAAAAAAATCGATCGCCCTATCTATGAACCTAGTGATACGGATCATATCTTGGACGAGATCGAGGCTCTTGCAAAGTTCCAGGGGCAGTCGAATATCGCACAATTGGTCGGTCTAGTAATATCAGAAAACCATTATAAGACCAACTCATCATCCGACACACCAGAAGTGATTACAGGGTTTCTCCTTGAATACTATTCCGGGGGCTCGCTCGAAGAGATCTCTGTGGAGACAAAGATCAGAAATGGCTCTCTTCTGATCCAATGGGCTCTACAGATTGGAAGCGCGCTGGAATCAATGCATGAGAGTGGTCGAACCCACCTTGATATCAAGCCCTCAAATATTCTTCTAGATGCTCGGGGAAACGCTATCCTCATAGATATCAGCGGGACCGGCGGCTATGATTGGGAATGGCTTTCACCTGAGATGCAAGGGCTCCTCCAAAGAAATGGCGAATTAGCCCCTGTCAGTGCTCCGTGGAAGGCACGAATTGATACAGACCAATGGGCTTATGGTAGATTACTCGCTACAATTGCCGAAAAAAGTGGTGATCGTGATGCACGTGTAAAGCTGCAATCAATTGCTGGTGATTTGATGAGAACTGCCCCTGAAGCTCGTATTTCGTTATGCGACGCTCTTGCAAAGCTACAATAAACGAGCAATCAACAGGAGCTGTGGATCTTGAATCTTACCCACGGTACTTTTGTAATTTTAATTTTATTCTGAGTTGAATTCAATCTATTGATACTTTTGTAGTTCATAGAATGGGCACTATCCTGTAGGTTGCTCATATTAGAATATTTTCCTCAATAATACGGATTGATAAAGCTCAATACACTGGAAATGACTCGTAGGGATGGTAACGGATTGTCGGATTTTACGTGATCAAAAATTGTTGACGGATTCAATCCGTTGAATCTGTCAATCTGTCAATCCGCTACCATCACTAGAAATGAGATTGTAAAACTCAAAGACTGCAAGTCTCTTCAAAATATATTTTCCAGTAAACTTGGAGCTCCGCTTGGGCCTCTTGGTTCCAAAGGCAGAGGATGTCCAACTGCCTGTATTCTGGCATGAAATATCTGTAGAAACCCTTCAAAATCGCCTAACTTTGTAGATTTAGCAATATAAAAGCAGGCTCAACGAGAGTGACTCATGAAAGTAAGTGTAAAGGCTCAAAAACTTTCAAGATTGTAGCGGTCTCTATAATGCCTTCGGACGGTTCCTGGGGCTCAAGGTTTGTGGCCAAGCCGAGCCTTTGAGGCTCAGCAGAGAAAAAAGCCCGGGGAAGCCGGATCTGGGACCCGCATAGCCGTCATTCATATGGGGATGCCAGACTTTTACCTAATTGCTCTAAATCTTTAGCTCGATTTATTGATCGCGCTTGAATTGTTTAATTAAACCTAGGCAGAGTATTTGGTGAGCTAGTTTTGCTTATCTCAGATCAGTGGCGTCATGATATATGACTAGGAAATTTCGGCTGAAATCTTATGTGGGTTCTTCAAGCACCGATTAGATGAAACTGATTAAAATGACATTTCAACCTCCCTAAAAACTTTTCCTGTACTCTTCTATTTCCTTAACTCCACCTTATACCATCCCGAGTCCCGTAGCAAGTTCAATTGAATACATGCCTTATACTGGTCACTGAAATTGCGAGAGTATTTGCATCACGCTGCCGGAGCAGCCCTCTAACGCGGTTATCTGTCACTGGTGCGTACTACTCGCCTCGTCGCCGATTTTAATGCTGACTGTTCTAACAGTGATAGTTGCAGAAGGGTAGGCGGTGGTAAAATCCATACAATCCCAGGAAAAAAAGACCTTTCAAGAGAGAGCAGGGCTTACGTCTTAAAAAAGTCTTTCGGTGAACTATCATGTTCCTAGAGAAGAAATGAACATCGATGACCCGGATACTGCTCTGAAAATTTACGAGGATTCAAAAACTGCATCTAGGAATGTGATACATGTGTTGTACACGAACTGCTCTAACAATTGAACCCAGGCTAATTTTGTGACCTAAACCAAAATTTTTGCTCTAAGTATGGAAGATATGCTCGCTCTAATCGAGCTATTTGGGTAAAGAGGTGGATCGGTAACTAAGATGAAAGTGATATTTACACCAGTACTCCCATGATCCTCGGCAAAGTTTTCCTGAAGGTAAACATGTTTGATACAGTATCGCCCAGCAATCTTGTTGCTTTCCCAGAAAAGCGTCTGAATCTCTGAGTAACTGGTGGCAATGCTAGGGAGAGGGAATGGCTAAGTAAGTATTTGTCGCAAGGTTGAATTGATCTATCTCTTTGTCTATTATCGAGGTATCAAGCTTATATAGATTAATCTAAACCATTTTTTACTCCACCAGGCTGTCAGCTCTTCCATGTAATGGGTGCATTCTAAAATGCATGGAGCATGGCCTTTCCTGCTTCTTCAATTGTTGTTCAATGATTTCCCACTGTCTAGCAACCTCTGCTCTTTGCTCAGATGTGGATGCGCGCATTTCTTCGTGACCTTGAGTGATGCGAGATGCGATGATTTGGTTATCTTGAGATTTGCCAAGTGAGTCTAAGAGATGACGGCGAATCCCTTTCAATGGATATCCTGCCAGCCCTAAGAGACCTGATTTTGAGTTAGTATACCATAACTTATATAGGAGATTTTGTCTCTTACCAGCTGGTGGTTTCATTATAACACCGCCAACACCCTTTCCCACGCCCTTAATAATTCCCTTTCCGCCTGTCATTCTGTATTCGTACTGGGGTTGGGTGAATAACCCTGTGAATCCGTAATAGAAACTGTCTATGAATTCTTGCCCGGCAGCTCTGAATCCGCTTCGTATACCGATAACCTTGGGTATTGGCTGAACCATGGGATCATGCCATACTTTGGGTAAATTGCGGAAGCCCTTGGCAAGACTGAGCGAAAGATCGGTTGGGAGCCAAATCAACAAGTTGATAAATTTTTTGGACATCCTGCTTCCATGAACTAAAGCCTCGAAAAATATACTTCTTGAGGTAGGAGCTAGAACCTCGCTGCTCATGGATTGTGATTTGGCAAGCTGCAGGCTGCGGTTCCTTTCTAATGAGGCTACAGGGAGTAAATCGCCTGTGTGGGTGTCGTCGTCGCTGTCAGATGTGTCATCAGAATCGGAATCTTCAACTCGTTCGGCTTCGATATTTTCGGCTTCAAGGCGCTCGGCTTCAATACGTGCGGCTTCGGCACGTTCGGCTTTCTGTTGAGTAGAACGTCTGTGAAAATGCCCCAGTGAGAATTCCTTGGAGCTTCGACTTGAGCTGGCACTATCCTTTACAGACTTGTCAATGTCCGAATCCTCGCTAAATTCGGATGCTCGTCGCTGCCACTTCTTGTGCGGATCAAAGGGTTTATGTGGGTGACTCATTGCGCGACCAGCAGTCCATATCTCTTGTACAATTTCAGTGGGGACATCTGCCAAACTGGTCATGAAGTTGGCAATAGCCCCAAGAAGAACCTGGGCCCCAGCAGTGATTGGACCTGTAGGATCACGGTAAGTGTCGTACTCCATGGGTCGGTTCCTATTCGATGAATTAGCAACCGGATCCAAGATTCACAAAATTTTGCACAACCCACAAGACAAGCTCCTCAGGTCGAATTCTCCCAGATTCTACCAAAATGGCAGCTGCAAAGGCGCCCAGTCCAATTTCAGTGTGTTTGACATGCCAGACAGCAGGCTGAGATGGGCAGATTTCACATTGGATAGCCTTTGGATCTAGCTGACGATAAAAGCTGCGTACAGCATCTCGCACGCCGTTTTCATCCTGCATTTTCTCTGCAATCTTTTGAGCCTTTTCTAAGGTTTCGCTTTTCAAGGCAAAATCAATCCCGTCGCTCAGTTTTTCAATCGTTAACTGTTTGTATGGAATGGCAGCAGGGCCTGCGCCAGCGCGAGCCACTATATCTCCCCAAAACTGCTGGTCTCCAAAGAATGGAATGATGATGGTTGGTTTTCCGAGCGCAAGACCTGCTGCTGTTGTACCAGCACCGCCATGATGAATCACACATGAAACATGTCGGAATAGCCAGTCATGTGGACAACTTCCAATAACAAGTATATTATCTGGTACTTCGCTATCGTCCACGCCAATATTTCCCCAGCCTCTTGAAACAATTGCACGTTGGCCAGATCTCTTGATGGCTTCAAACACTATGTTTGTTAAGCTTTTTTGATTATTAACGACAATAGAGCCAAAACCGATGTATATAGGAGTGGGTCCCGCCTTGAGGAAAGATACAATTTCCTCGGGTGGTGTGTAGTCCGGCTTGGATGGGAGGAAGCTAAAGCCGCAAATATCAATGTTATCACCCCAGTCTGCTGGTTTTGAGAGAATAGCCGGCGACCTAGATAAATAGTTAGTTTTAACTTTCATGACTGAACCTTCTTCTAGGGTCTGACCATAAGTATGAGACGGGGATTTTCAAGCGATGAATCAAACTAGGCGCAGTAATGCCGTCCAAGGGATCAAGAGCTAGCTTCAACTTTCGAAATTTGTTGACGATATCACCAAGGCCCTCCCAGACCATCATCTCTACGATGGCATATGAGACAAAGTTGGCAACTGATGGTTTGCAGTCATGCTGATGTAGGATAGCAAGGGGATGTGAAAAGTATTGTGTCGGCGTCCATGGCATTCTGCATATTCAATAAGCCGGAGTGCAATTGCTTAAATTTAGGTGATTTACAATACTCACGTGAACATAATGTGAAGAGGTATACCTAGTCGTTGCGCGCAATGAATATGTGATAGACTAGGTGGATTTGCGATAATAACATCAGCAACAAATGGCCGAGTTCGATAATCGGCAGTGTCACTCCATAAGTCTTCCTTTATCTGATGGAGATGAGTTCCATCTCCCGTTTCCCAACAGGAATTCCAGAATGAGTTTATCATGAGTCGCATATCACGTCGGCGTTTTTGAATATCACCGTTTCGGAAGGCGTCAAACCTTGGAAGAAGCCCAGAATTGTTGACCATGAACGACATGAGCTCCTCAGGGTCACCACCGATATTGAAGAACTCCAGACCAGCATCGAGAACAAGTTCTCGGAATGATAAATGCGTAGCTAAACGTACTCGATGGCCATGTGATTTGAGCTCTTTACCTATGGCCACAAACGGCTGGATATCGCCCCGAGAGCCGATGACTTGAATAGCAATATTCATGTGTATAGGGAACTCTTTTTCTTCATTGGTAGGCTCGGACTTCCGGCTAGATATTCCACTACTAGGCTCGAGGTCGGATGGCACGGGAGTGTGCATAGTATGGGTGAGCAGCCTTGCAATACTTGGCCTACGCTCTTTGATACGTATATCCAATCGCCCATCGCCTAAAGTATAAGTCAGCCTAACTAGGATCGTGCGCTAGTCTTGGTGGCTTCGTGAGCGAATCAGAAATAAGAAATCACGAACCGAGCACTCGGACTCCAGTATTAAGCCCATCACCGCGAAAATTCACTCGGTCAGTCTCGGTATCATGAGACTGGGGCTCAATCAGCTCATTAGACCAGTCTTCCTTTCGGATGTCTTTCTGATGTTCGAGTGGTGCACCTATAGTAGCTGATGCTACTGTGGCCATGATTGATAAAGTAGAAGACACAGCAAATAGCGGAAAATGCCCAGTAGCTCTTTTTTCAAACGTGAACTGGCGGGGAAGAGCGGTGGGCCTGTCTGTCAAATGTGATAATCACAAGAAAAAATAGATCTGCGCATGGATAATCTCCCTCTGAATGTTGGGAAAAGCAGGGAAAAAAAGAGTAAAAGTAAAATCCAAAGTGTAGATTGATGATGTCATAGGGATTCACTCTTGCCGCGTGTTCCCTTACTTTCCTTATTTTCTTTAGGTGGAGCAAGATCCGGCCCGAGACCCTATTTGCACTCCAATATCATTTTGAGGCTTAATAAATTTTCGAACAGGCCTCGGTTCATGAATGGTGACTGATAAGTCATGATGGTTCATGCTGCTTGTATATTAGATCAATGTTTGAGATTGTTTATAGTGAAAGTGAAATGTTGGCGACTCCGAGGTAAATTTTTCATGCAGATTATTCAACATCGACGACTCAACAGAATCATCAACGCCCGAGGTCCATACGGAGTAAAGAAGGGTTAGTGTTAAGTCACCTGGAATGTTAATTCAATGCTTGCATAGTTACGTATCTAGGATTAGAGCCCCTAGGCTAAGGTCTAAACGAGTCAACAGGGTATGTGGATAGTGCCTAGCCCTGGAGGTGTAATTGAAGTTTATACCACCTTAATAGAGCAAGTTATTGGTCGACAGTCCGAGAGTTAATAGGCTAGACAGCCTTGGAAGGGTTTATTGAAATCTGGCTGAAACTCAGACGCTCTTTACGCTTTGAAATTGACCACAAAATTTATCATTTCACTTCGTTATTCAAAATATTTTCTCCGAATCGATAGATATTAGAAAACGGGCTATCTCGTCAAATGGAATTGAACCTTCCTGTACGGAGTACTTCCTGGAAAGGATCTGTGAACCCAATCAGATTTTGCCTGTGGAATAGTGTTGATTTGTGGATCCTTGGATGCTTCGGTATGTGGGTCAGGAAGCTGCTTATTTCACGCCACCTCAGAGCAGAAACTGAAGATAGAGTGTAGGGATGGCATTGCTATCATCAATCAGCCAGTCCCGGATGAGTTTGAATATGTTTGCTGTGGCTTCCTTCCACCTGGGGATCTTAACTTGATCGGCTGTAGGTGTGCTCGATCGCAAGTTGCGATTTCTGCCTAGTTATTAATCACCGTAATATTAAATCATGTAAGGGAACCATAGTAATCTAGATCATAAGTCTGCAGCTTTTTGATCTCCCGTTCATTCCCACTAAGCGCTTGTAGCAGTCTTGATGGGTTCAAAGAGTTAGCATTATCATCTATGACGCTTACAGGTGCAAGATGTCATCAATGTCAGTTTAATTACTAGGCGGCTCCAGACAAGGAATCAAACTTTTTCCTGTTGCAGGTCGAGCAGAGATGGCATGGTGTGTATGTGAATATACCAGCGTATCGTCAGTATTGACCCTATAGGTAGGCTTCGGCCCTAAAATTAGGTCTAAGCTCGTCCCTTACGTTGAAGTGGAATGCAAAGCCTTTTTTAAGAAGGCCATTACACTTACATACCATACGAAATTGCTGTTCCGGTAGTCTCCAGCTTGTTACACGTTGGTTTTTTCAGCAAGCTCGGGGAGCAAAATAGTAAGACGGAATTCAAGTGAAACATTACCCTCTTTAAGAGGCCCATTTCCTTCTTCTTCCTCTTCATTTCTGTGTAGGTCTACGGTGGGTTGGCGACCTTGCCACCGAATTTGATGCCGCTCGCCAAAGACATCGATATCACTTGAAACTGATGAAATCTTGGTCATAGTTCTCTGCTCATCAGATGGGTATATCATTCCCCTCTGGTAAAGGGACAGGGACAGGATTTGAAGAAGAAGAAGATTGAGGAAGGTCATGATCACAGAAGGAAGATGGTCGAAGAGTACTAGAATAAGTATTTATAGCAACCTTGGAAAACTGAGCTTACAAACCTTGATTGAGAGATATTGAGAGTGATAGTGAGATAAAAGTACTCACGTGGTATATAACCCTCGAACTTTGAAAATAATACAAAAGCCCTGGAGTGAAGGTAAAGAACGAACACTTGAAGGTGAATGTAAGCGTTGAAGTGGAAATTGAAAAGTTAATCAAAGATTCTCTTTTTTCTCTCTTTTGTTGCTACCTAGAAAACATGAGAGACCTAGCCAGAGAATCCCTGACCATCGAGATTCTTAGGTAGGATGTTCTGAAGGTTGTGTAATCCATAATATTTAGGTAGCATTTCAATATTCCTGGGTTCATTCAAGGTTGTCACCTGTGGAAAACCACAACGCACGAGGTACCAAGACTTCATTTCTTGTAATATTCATACTGCGATAAAATATTATTTTATTTTCTGCAATATTATTAAGGTATGGGACAATAGAAAATAATATCCATTTTCAAATGTGAAATGTAAAATGAGATGTGACGAGGCGCGTATCTATGCATTATCCACTACGCCACCTTGCATCTCTTTGACAAAGACTGAGTGGGGGGTTTACCCCACCTGCAGACGCATTATAACCTCGGACAGATCCTTCACCAGAGGTCGTTTCTTGAGGAAACTCTCTACACCCGTGGACAGGGGTCTACTGATTACATAACCCTGCATCATGACAATCATATACAATATGCAGAATCCCTCTTGCCTCCTTTATCAGTCTGAAGATGTTAGAATCGGAGACGTGCCACTTCCAATCATCGAAGAAGATCATGATGTGATAATCAGAATCGCCTATGTTGGTATCAGCGACAGTGATGTATGTGCCCCACACCAAAAAGTACAGTAGCCCAGCTCACGACCCCCAGGTCCAACTCTGGCTTGATGGCAGTGCCGAATACTTAGTGTCAGAGGAATACCCTCTTATAATGGGCCACGAAGCCTCAGGAATCGTACACGCTGTCGGTCCGGCTGTGCAAAACCTCCAACCTGGCGATGCCGTAACTATAGAGCCAGGCATAGCCTGTCGACTCTGTAGCCGTTGCAAACTAGGCAAGTACAATCTATGTCCTGAGATGAGATTTGCTGGAAGCCCACCTACGCATGGCGCTCTGTCAAAGTACTTCAAGATGCCTGCGGACTGCTGCTACAAGATCCCGCCTAGTGTAGGCAGACCGTTCGGGTTGGACGAGGCGTGCCTGATTGAGCCGCTGGCTGTGGCTGTGCATTCTGTGCGACAAATCGGCGTGCAGCCTGGTGATAAAGTTATTGTGTTTGGAGCTGGGACGATCGGGTTGCTGTGTGCTGCTGTTGCGCGCGAACACGGTGCGAGTATGATTACTACTATCGATACTAGTCGCGAGAGACTGGATACTGCGCACTCATTTGTTCCGAATGGGCGGTTGGCCTTTTCGTCTGTTTTGATGAACCATGCGCTTACGCCCTCTGAGAACGCGAGGTGTTTACGTGGGGCTATGGATCGTCAGTCATATTTGAGTGAGTCGGATGTGCCGGGGTATGATGTGGCTATTGAGACTTCTGGTATGGAGAGCTACATTCAGATGGGGATCTATTCTCTGCGGGTTGGGGGGTCCTTTGTGCAGACGGGGTTAGGTCCGAATGTGGACTTTCCTATGTCGGCTGTTTTAGAAAACGAGGTTAATATGAAGGGGGCGTATAAATATGGGCCGGGTGATTTCAAGCTAGCTCTCGAGCTCGCCTTTACAAGGAAGATTGAGTTGCAGTCTATGATCAAGAAGGTTGTGGCTTTTGAAAAATTCGCCGATGCTTTGGAATTGATTAGAAAGGGGAGCCTGAAGGGGAAAGTATTAATTCGCGGAGCTGGGTTTACAGATGGGATCGATAGGGACAGTTCCGAAGAGAGATAGTCATTATTGCAATATTTAATCGTGATATACAAGTTCAAAACACTACGTTAAAATCAGTATGCCCAAGGGGTGGTAGTTGGTTGAGTTGATGCCTCCTCATGCGCCTCAACATCCTTTTCAGTGAGATCAATCTCGTCGAGACCGCGGAGACCTTGAGCGGTTTCAAGATCGACATTCAGATCGTAAGCCCTGGTGAATAGACTGAGGATCAGAGCCACTCCAGAGATAGCACAGCAGACCGCCCACACGATACGCAGGCTGTCAGTATACGCCAGCTTGAGATTGGACTTGTCCGCGCCATCTGCCATGCCCTTGATGATCTGGACCAGCCCGGCTGCATCCTGACTGTAAGAACTGGCCATGGGTGCGAGAGAAGAGTACTTGAGAAGGTTTTTATACATCTCATTCTGGAAAACCACTCCGCCAATAGCAACACCAATCGCCTGTCCGAGAGCCCGGAAAAAACTGAACATTGCGACTCCGATAGCGAGGTTTTCTGGTGCTGTCGATGCTTGCACGGCGTATGCAAGGGAGGGGAACAAAACGCCTAGTCCCAGGCCGGGCACGATGTTGATGAGGATCCAGCCGTAGGTGCTCGTGTCGGGTTTGATGATAAGCAACAGTCCTATTCCTAATGTTGAAAGAACCCACCCCATCCAGATAGCCCAACGGTAGTGGCCGGTCTTTGTGATAAGAATGCCGGTCACCATGGCGCTTGGTGCGACAGTAAAGGTCTCTGGGAAAAGGGCCACGCCGGAGATGATGGGTGAGTACTCCTTCACGGCCTCGTAGTATAGTGGCTGATAGTAGAGAGCACACCACAAGACAAGGCCTTGCAGAATACTTTCAACGAAGGAGACTGTTGCTGTGATATTGGCAAAGATCATTGGTGGGATAATGGGGTCAGTTGCAAAGCGGTATTCATAATATGCGAAGGCTATAAGACCCAAAGCCCCGACAATCAGAGGGACGAGAGTGTGCCAGGAGCTCCAAGGATAGGAGACACCACCCCACGAAAGAGGGATCAAGAAGGAAGACAAGCTGGCAACGAATAGGAGAGTACCGAGGTAATCGATCTTGCGGAGCTTCTCAACCAATGAGGCGGGCAAGAGGTTGAGATTGAGGAATAAAGCGACAAAGACGGCTCCTATTCCGATGAAAGGGAAATTGATGTAGAAAATCCACCGCTGTAAAAGTTAGATCTTGTTGAGATGACAGACTCGAATATACTTACCCAAGTGACACTCTCAGCAAATCCTCCACCGAGAATAGGGCCAGTCACTGAGCCCAGGCTCCACATCGCACTTAAGATGCCGAAGTATTGACCTCGCCATCGCAGGGGCACGATGTCAGTAATGATCACTTCGCTCAGGGCTAGGATACCGCCTCCACCAACACCCTGAATAGATCGGCCTACTAGCATGTAGGTGAAGTTTTTTGCAATGGCACAGAGGATGGCACCGACGCAGAAGAACAGAATAGCAAGTAAGATCATTGGACGGCGGCCAAATATGTTAGAAAAAGATGCAAAGCTGGGTTGGAAGACTGTATTGGTCAGTATAGTCATTTTATAAGGCTTTTGAGGTGTTACATACCTGTGGAGGCAAGTAGGAAAGAAGTTCCACTCCAGAAAGCTTCAATCGCTGTTCCATCTAGGGCTTCGGCGATAGTCTGGAAGAAGTCAGTTTGAAATCTTAAATGAAGATGGGCGAACCTACTGGTAGAGCAACTGAGAGCGAAGTTCCATCCAGAGCAGCCATAAGCGTTAGGACAGACAAAGTGCAAAAGACCAGTATGCCTCTCGTACCAAGCGCAAATTCATTATTTGGCTTTGTTATAGACGGCGGGCCATTGCTCGATGAGCCATACGATGACGGATCAGTAACGGGCATTGTGTAGTTGGTATGGAGGTTGAAAAGTCAATCAGCCAGAGGCAGAAGAGTCAGAAGAGTCAAGACCCTATCAAGAGAAATGATGATATAGCTGTTTAATAGTCGAGATTAGATGCAGCAAGTAGCCGTTGGATAGGCGTTTGACAGGAGAAAAGAATTGGAATGTCGTAGCCCAGGTAGAAAATAGGCAGTTTATTGATTGAGCAGAATTGTCTGTGTACAAATTTCAAAGTTGACCATGAACTAGATACTATATAATCAGCTTCTACCTAAAAAGATAATTTTAAGTGGAGGTATACCATTGAGAGTTTGATCCGTAGGCCGCGGGACCTCCGCGGGCCTACCGCGGCCATAGTGGAATCGGTGTAATTACTATCCGTCGTCGGCATTCGGCCTAACCCTTCTCTAGATTTCCAGCCCCAACCTTGAAAATGGTTAGTTGGAGTTTGAATGAAGGGTGTTCTTTCACAATTCATCTAATTTGAGTTCCTCCGATACCGAAATTTGTCATTCATGTTACCTTTTTTGCTCATTAGGGATATAAAACCTTAAATGATTAGCATGATGCGATTCGTCTGAAATTTAGCTAAATAGAAAGGAGTGCTAGGAAGTTTAGTGATATACTCCATCAGAGTTCTCAACAATCTGAAAATACGTCCAAATAATCTCATGATTGTAGGGAGTACAGTGCATCCGAAATTGGACGAGGTTGCGGATTCTGACGTGCGTCGTGCCCCGTCTCACCGATTCGGTTCAGACCAGACCACTAAGTCAGGCCGAATCCGATCTGACAGCAAATGAGTAACTCAACTGCCTACTACTTCAAGCGTTGCCATTCGCTTTGGACAATATCAGACAATTCACTCAAAATGCTCGGACGCCAGGGCTTCCAGCCTAAAATCTCACGAGCGCGCACAGCTCTCCCGCGAGAGTTCATTCCCCAGCTGAGCGATTCAAAGCCGGCATACCTTTTTGCGCTTTCTATATCAATGGGCTCGGCCTTGGCTTCTGGCAAGTATCCAAGATTTGTGGCTGCCTCTGCCATGGACCTTGCCAGCTCTCCCCAGCAGTGTTCCCCATTTTCGGTGAGGTAGTAGGCCTTGGTACCCCAGAGCCCTTGATCGGACCGGTGTGCAATGGCAGCATCCACGAGGAGTGCATATACATCGCTTAGGTCATGGATGTGGACATTGTTCCAGATGGAATGGCCTGCGCCGATTATCGGTCCTTTCCGAAGTCGCAGTGTAACATTCGCTAGCTCATATACCTGACGCCCACGCTGTGAACACGGCCCACGACCTTGACCTTTTGAAACTGTGAGTTGGACGTTTTGTAAGGGATAATTTCTTTTCAGGGATACCATACCGTAAATTGTTGGAGGACACACAAGCGCAGTTTTGATTTCGGCGTGTGTCTCGCCGGCCGCTAATACGAGTTGGTCTACATTGCGATGAAAAGCATGATCGGGGAGATTGAGCAACTCTTCCACGCCATCCCAGTCATCGTAGACCTTGTCGCTCTGGCGCCCATACTCGCCACTGTCGCTGTCTTCGTATGTCAGGATTCCAGTTCCTCCTGTGTGTAACCAGTAACCTGGATTTTCTTTCGAGTGACCAGCGACAAGGCCCGCCGCGATCGCTTTTGCAGCTCCCACATGGTCCGAAGCGTCTGCCGTGTCTATTGCATTGTGAGTTGCGCATTCATGGAATTTCAAGAACTAGAGAACCCACGCAGGACAATGTCGGCGGCGGCACTCTCCCGTTCTAGTAAAGCCGAGTCATCCAGATCACCGAGGACAATCCGAATATTCGGATACTGGGCTTTAATCTGCTCTGCCTTTTCTGAGCTGCGAACCAGCGCTGAAAATGATAATTCGGGATGTTTTGCAACAAGCGTAGCCAGTGCATCACCACCAATATATCCTGTTGCACCGGTACTAGGAATAATGAGTTTCGAAACATGGATCGTATGAATTCAACCTGGAACTCACAAGAAGATCTTCGTCATTGCGTATCGATATATGATGAAAGCCAGGTGTAACTTGCTCGCATTAGAGAATATTGCAGTGTTGGTCGAATCCTCGATATTTTGGTGGATGGCCGTATCATATTAAGCTTGAGAGCTTGAAGTAGGTGTAAAAGAGAAACCCTCAGCGCTGACCAACTATTGTTGTTGTCAATGGGGACTGACGTAATACCCCGCTCTTTGGGGTAAGGAATTAGAAAATTACATTGAGCTTCCTGAAGAAATCAAAACATGGTAGTGGTGGATTAGAAATTAAATGTTTAGTGCAAAGCTAATGTCGTCAGTTTGAAAAGAAAAAGAATAGGAAAGAATTCAAGGGTCGTATTATGGGGATTGACACCTGAAATCACAATGAAGTGAAGGGCGTTATTGCCGAAAGAGTATTAGCGTCATTATCAGAGCGGTGGAACAAAACTGGGGTTGAAGCAACTACATAGTAGTAATATTAGCTCGAGGAGAGGACGACGTCTTTGAAGAATAATACTAGTTTTCTATCTCCTGCTAGGCAACATACTAATATGAAGTATGTTCGCCAAAATTTGTAAAACAAAGTCTTTTCCTCCTCATTTTCCAATCATTTCCAAGTTTATTAGATGACTTTTGAAAAACGTGTCCTGTCGTCAGATTTTTGCATCCATTGATCATCAACTTCTAATTCATGAAGCCATAGTTTCCAAGGACTAGCATTATAACCACAAGCTCTGAATTTCATTTCCGGCTTGGCCTAATCATGTTTAATTGTTCATAGTCAGGAACAGGTGAAAATGAGTCCAGCGCCTGAAATCCATGCTTCGCGTATACAGGCCTCCCACTTGGCGTAGCGTTTAGGTAGACCTCAACACCCTGCTCGTCAGCACGCTCAAGACCCCATCTTAATAACTTCCCTGCTAATCCACGTCCTTGGTATGATGGGTGGACGCCCAATATATCCAAGTCTAAGGTGTCAGTATTGCGGGAAATAAATATGGGGAGGACAGAAATTGCAAAACATACAAAAGTGAGGCCGATTCCCCATCAAGCGATGATGACTCGCCTCCATCATTCCAAAGAACAAAGTGCAGAGATCTTTGTCACTGCTAGTGGGCCACGTTACAGACGCCTCGTGTTGATTGGTGTCGATGTCTGAATCTGCACTTGTGGGCTGAATCCATTTCGCAAAAGCAACAACTTTCCCCGTCTCCAGAGGGTCTGTTACTTTGAGAAAGACTTCGTTTAGCTTTGAATCGCTGCTGCTAAAGAGGTGTTCGGCGACCCATTCGCGCACGTCCTGGGTCAGAGGAAACATCTTTCGATTGAGGTCGTCTGAGAAGGCGGCCAGAAAGACTTCCGTTAGTTGAGGAGCATCCGAGGATGTTGCTGGACTTATTTCGAAAGACATCTTGGCAATTACACAATACTGTAACAATATCTTGTATGAGATTATGCATATACTTATAGGTTCGGTATGGGCCCATCTTTATGACTCGGCGTTGGAATTAGTTTGGCGGTACCGAAAAGTGGGGCATATGCTGGACCTTCTTAGGTTTAATTCATAATTGCTTGGTGGAAAACATTGCAGCAGATATATAAATCATGAAGATTATCAATTGGGGTTTAATCCAGGGCCGGCATTAGAATCACATCGATTTGCGTTGATCCGGTGGTAATGTGTGTATGTTTTTTTTTTTTTTTTTTTTTTTTTTTTTGGGGGGGGGGGTAGCAGGTCATGGATGTTGCCATCATTAAGTATTCTCAGCCTCAGCCGACCTCAGGACTTGGTCAGCTCAGAATCAATTAGGAGCTTGTATGATGTCCTTTTTGTTTAGCTGCTTCATATACGGCCGCGATTATGGAATGCGTCTGACATCAATGGTAAAGTTAGAGCTTCAAGTCTTCTCACACAGGCTCAGGAACAGCACTTCCAATTTTTTCATCGTGCAACTGTTGCCGACTGAGAGCATCTGAGCGTTTAGCCGGCGTCGTATGATCTCTTTGACCACTCAAAGAATTATTCGTCGGAAGGAGCGAGCGACGAATTCTGGGATCATCCGGTTGTTGAGGATGACCCTCTCCACTACTCTTTGTCGTCTCCATCTCAGATTTCACACTCTGGTACATGCTTTCCACGATGAAGACTTCTTCTTGCACGTCAAGGTCGCAGCTAACTAAGCAAAATTCGCGCTCACGCTGCTCGATATATTCGCGGATGTTCTTCCACTTATTCTTATAACTTTTGAGTCGGTCTGGCAAACCCGAACCACGAAAGTACGTCAAAAGACCGGCGATGATAGTATTGAGAGCGCCAAACACAACGATGGCAGAATGGGGACCACTTGCGGCACCGATAGCTGTCAGCGCGGCAGCGACCACGATCTGGGTTCCGAGACATATGTTGATGAGATAGTTGAAGAGACGAAATGAGCGCGCTGCCTTGCCCTCGTTTTGCACGACGCGAGTGTAAATGCCGATGTTGGGCGCGCTACGCAGAAGATGACCGCCCTCTGTAATGGCTGGCACGCTGTCAATACCCGTCAAGGCGCGGAAGATAAGAAGTTTGTCGTTGGACGGGATCATGGCGTCGGGATTGCTCGTCGCAAGGTTTCGAATCTTTCCTTTTTCTGCGTCTGACAGGTCGTTATTCACGGGCTCGTTGCGCTGAGTTGCTGTTGCTGCTGCATGCGCTGCGAATGGAGGGTATTCATTTTGGTCTCGATATAGTACTGCCTCGACTATGCGGCGGAAAAGACCGCGCCCTTGTGTTCCTTCTGCCATGATCAAGTATCGCAATGTAGTGCAAAGGAAAAGAATATGGAAATCCACACACGTCAAGTCAAGCGAGGAAAAGGGGTGTTTGGCTGTGTTGGTGGCTTATATCCTGTAGCACCGGGAGACTAGTTCTATTTATCCTGCATAGGATCTACATGAAATTCATGTAGCAAGGCTTACTGTCGATTGAATTGACCAAAGGTTCAGCACAGCCCAAGCCATGTGCATGACTCGCTACTCGAAAAAGGCAATGCTGATAGGGCAATGAAGAATCGAGAGCTTTGAAGACATAGAGAGTAATTTCTTCTTTGTCTGTGTTTATCCGACCCAAATACGAGCTGTACACGGGTGGGTGGCTGCACTCATTAGTTGGCCGGCTTTGAGCTATGAAGATTGGTGGAGCCCAGACAGCCATGTGGCGCGTGAAAATTGGTAGGGATCTGCACGTAGCATGAGAACTGAGAGTCAATGAAGCGGAGATCGAGCTCCCCTTTTTGGGAATCGAGATCGATTATCCTGGATCTGTCCGAAAATCTTGAAACTGAGGGCCTTAATAGGCACATAAGACTCTGTTCAAGGCCCATAAGACTCTGTTCAAGGCCCATAAGACTCTGTTCAAGGCCCAATGTAAGAAGCGGAGTCCCTGAGATTGTAGATCTGCTCCCATATTCTGCCATCATAGACCTGTCACGTTGCGGTCGCAATCAATGAGCAGATTGAGATCGTTGACCTGCATAAGTCTAGAGGAAGCGAACCAGTCAAGAGCCGGTTGCTGCTCCACCAGCGGAGTACGCGACATAATTCCAAAAACGCAACGCACAGATCACATATTTTGTAGAAAATAAAGCATTTTGAGCGAAAAATAATCAGGCCGCATAATAGTGCAAGATAAAGCGTGATCCTAATTCACATAAAACCACCACTCTACCGGAGTAAGGCAGCGACAAGGCAACGAACAAGGTTGGAGGAAGATTATCTATTGCTTATAATGGAGCTATGGTATTCTGGGTTCCTGGTGTTATTGCCTCCTTGAATTACTTCCAGGGTTGCAGACACGATCTTCTGGAAGACGGATACAGGGTTGGTGAAAGGACGGAGAGGGTTGTTAAACTTGTGACAATCCCTTGGAAGCTAAAAAGGGGATATTTTAGCACGAGGGACTTATCTAGACTTGTTTTCTACAATATTTGGCCCGCGGGTAGTATTCTGAGTATATTAGCATGCACAGCGCTGTAATAAGCAGAGGCATACTATAGAGATCTCAACGGATCTTAAGGACATTCAAGAGACTGTCAATTAGAAATTTGGGTATCCTTCAATACTGAGGTTTCACAGCTTAAAAGAGCTTATGCATTTGGTATCTACATTTATATTCAATCAGGGAAATAGTGACGGATTGCATTTTCAGGGATGACTTGCTAAAAATGTGACATTTTGTCGGCTCCTTTGATTAAGCTATAGTAGTCGGATTGATGCATCTTCGCCTTGATCCACTTTTACCCCGGATTATTTCCGAGTATCGCTTTATTTAATAGTTCTCTATAATCCACTATCGACAAAATAAACCTATTTTTAGTCACATGTTCGTCGACAATGGCACGGCATACTTGATGTTATTGGTGAAAGAGACCCACTTTTCCTGAACTGACCATTGAACGTTCTCAAATGTAGATCACACACAGATCAATCATCATGGATTGGCACGGATACTGGCTATTCTGAAGACTGTTATCAACCCCGCAGTTCTAGATCATGTATAGTCACGCCATATTAAAATAACTCCAAAGTACGACAGTTGAGGGAAACCCCGCACGTCATAGATACAGCACGGAGTATAAGGTCTCGCTTCCACGATGTCTACTTAAATAAATAGCTTCCTACAAACACTGTATCACTCTCATTCTCTCCACAAATCCATTTAACTTGATATCTCACAATGGCAACAATGAAAGCGCTCGTCTACAAAGCTCCGGGCACAATAGAGCTTCAAACTCGTCCTAAACCCGTAATCCAAGCATCCACCGACGCCATTATCCGTATCCTTCACGCATCTATCTGTGGCACAGATCTCCATGTCCTCAAAGGCGATGTACCAACCATTCAACCTGGACTGATCATGGGCCATGAAGGTGTGGGGATCGTGGAAGAGGTGGGCGCCTCCGTACATATGGTAGCCGCCGGGGATCGGGTGGTTATCGTTAGCCAGACTTGCTGTGGGTTCTGTAAATTTTGCAGAACTGGAGCTGTTTCTCATTGTGAGGATGGGGGCTGGCAGCTCGGTAATAAGATCGACGGGACACAGGCTGAGTATGTGCGGATCATGCATGCAAATCTGTCGCTGTACAAGATCTCCGACAGTATTACTGGACACATCGCCTTGATGTTTTCGGATGTGTTACCGACTAGTATGGAATGTGGCACGTTGCATGGCAATGTGCAGCCTGGTAACACTGTGGTCATAATTGGGGCAGGACCTATTGGGATATCATGTTTACTGACGGCGCGACTTTATTCGCCAATGAAGGTGGTGATGGTGGATGTTGATAACGGTCGTTTGGATAGAGCTAGAGCAATGGGTGTGGAGGCTTTGAACTCCAAGGATCCTAATTCAAAGGATGCACTACTGCAACTCACTGATGGGCGAGGGTTCGACTCGGTTATCGAAGCAGTCGGCATTCCGGCAACATTTGAACTAGCTCAGGAATTAGTCGCTGTCGGGGGATCTATTGCAAATGTCGGTGTGCATGGAACGAAGGTGGATCTTCACCTTGAGAAGTTGTGGGATAGAAATATCAGTGAGTACCCAACGACACTTGAAATGACCAACATACTGATTCCAGAAGGCATTAATACGCAACTTCTCAATGGGACGACGATACCTCAGTTAATGAGACTCGTTGAAAGTGGAATACTGGATGTTTCTTGTTTAGTGACGCATTGTAAGTTTGCCCTAGCTTCTGTCATTTTGAAATTATACTTACTATCTAGCTTTCCCCATTACTGAGGGTGAGAAAGCGTATAGCACTTTCCAAACAGCAGCTCAGTCTGGGGCGCTTAAAGTTACTATCGATATGTGCTAAGCCAGAACATCCCGAAGTCCACTATCTTATTTTTAGAAATTGGTGCTCGTGAGGAGCGATTATTTTTATGGCTATTCACTGTAGCTCCATACAAGATGGACAGCTTGTCATTAAGATTAATGTGAAGTTCATGACAACTTTTTCTCTGTGTTAAGTCTTGTAAATATCTAGTACATGATAAATTTATACACTTAGGCAAAAGCGACAACTAAGACATGCCCTAGCAAGCAAATCACTACGTAAAGACACACTCAGATCCCCGAGTAGTCACCGTGGACCTACAAAGAGGTATTTATCGATGAGGTTAAAATATTCAGCTGGCCAGCTGGAACAATACCCAAAGCTAGAAACCATTGCTTGCCCCATACCTTAATCAGGACCATATGTTTGTACTAAATATGGAAGGGGGGATACTGACCTTTCTGGCTCCTCATGTCTCAGTCATCATCCTGCCATGGCGCTCAGACGCTGCACTTCCCTATCGTCGTGGGCCCACTAGCATAGAGTTATCCACATTGTTCCGTCCGTGGATAAGCGCATAGGGTGCTTCGGACTACTTCAACTGCCAGGTACTTAGATAAACAATAATCATGTGGCTCCAGAGGGCATCGGGATCTTCGTTGGCTGAAGTGAGCCGAAATAGACTGGCAACGTTGGTAAGAGTAAAGTTGTAGTTTGATGGAGAATTAATGTCATTTTGATGTCGGAATTCCACATTCAAGTGAAGTTTCCGCGCCGGATATTTTGCTGTGGAGCCATAAGAGACAAAACAAGCCTTTCGCGGGTTGAAAATCAGGAGCCTTTCTAAATAGAGATCAGTGATAGAAATTAAAGACACCAATATATATATGTACGTCAAGTATAAGGCCAGAATCAAATGCAAGCTAATGATATATGAAACGATTGGAAGGAACATGTAGATATCTCTAGGTACTAAATACCGAATCATTTCTTGGGCGTGATAAGAAAAATGTTTTCCCGATCAGGAAGTCTTTGATGGCTCGAACCGCTGCAACAGTGTCGCAATAGATGATCATTAGCCGCATAAACTATTTATCTCTCATTTCCACCAATCTTCTCGTGCACACCCTACGCAATAAATTGAGAATATGAATTTTTGTCGGATATTAACGGCTACTTGAAGGGCTTCCGGCCCGATGTGGAGGCATTGCGGGTTGCCGTTAACTCGGTTCGGGATAGCAACACCTTGGAACTGTACTTTGTAGAGAGAAGTCGGATATCAGCGGCTGTAAATAGTGAGCAGACGATGTAAGATAAAATTTCGCCTTGCCTGATAGGATTTCATAACTTTTGAATTGGAAAATTCAATACAATGCCTTCTCGTATCAAACTGCATGAGTCTCAAGAGTGTTCCGGCCAAAGCCAGTACACAGATGGCAATATGGGAGACGCTCCACTATTCGATGAACGTATCTTGATTACGTATAACTTGCCGTTTCCTGATGCTTTGTGCAGAGACATCAGACGGAAATTCCGAGATTGTGAGGTGATATTTGCTCAGTCAAGACCGGAAGAAGGCGTTCACGTACCATCAGGTATGTCCCTAGGCTTCCAAGAAACGAATGGAATATGAACCGACAATCTCCATGTAGAATCTTACCGTAGAGCAACAATTTTGGTGTCATTACAGCATCTACCCGATCTCAAGGATGCCAAACAGTAAGTGATTTCATCGAGGCTTGATGAGCTGCATACTGATTTTGCAGCAGTCTCAAATTAATTCATACATTTTCTGCTGGTCTGGATCATCTCATGAGCCATCCGGTCCTGAAAGCCAGCAATGTTCCAATCACCAATAGCTCTGGTCTTGGTGCGCCAATTGGTGAATGGGTTGTGATGAACTGGCTTATCCACGCTCGTAATTACCACAGAACATACAGAGCACAGAGAGCGCACATATGGGATACCAGGTTGCCCTATGTTGTCGGCAGCCATGACCAAATCGGAAAGAGAGTTGGCATCCTTGGATATGGAAGTATTGGACGACACAGTATGTGTGGAATTCTGTGGAATACAAGAAAGGCAACGGCCTAGCTGATGATCAATAGTTGCCCGTATCTCTCAAGCGATGGGAATGACCGTACACGCCTACACTGCGTCTCCACGTCTTACCCCCGAGTCTCGCCGCGACAATGGTTATATTCTCACAGGAACTGGTGATCCGGAAGGATCGATTCCAGTATCATGGCACCATGGCACCGACAAAGCATCAATCCATGCTTTCCTATCCTCCGGACTGGACCACCTCGTCGTATCACTTCCCTTGACGCCACAAACAACAAACTTAATAGGAGCAGATGAGCTCGCGATTCTGTCCGACAACTGCAGACATCCCATGATCAAGCCATTCCTGACCAACATTTCACGTGGCAAGATTCTTGATCAGGACGCTCTTATTGGCGCTTTGGAGTTGGGTTTGTTGAGTGGTGCGGCGCTTGATGTGGCTGACCCTGAGCCTTTGCCTGCGGAACACCCGTTATGGGATGCGCCAAATATCCAAATAAGTCCCCACGTAAGCGGTATGGGGCAGGAATATTTCCCTCGAGCACTTGATATTCTCAAATTCAATTTGGATAGGATGAAACAAGGATTGCCTCTAGTCAACGAATATAAGCGTGGCAGGGCATACTAAAATTAGTTTGATGTATAAAACATCAAAATCATGGATGAGCAGCATGTATGATACCACTTAGCTCTCATTTATTTTTCATTTTCTTAGCCGTGTTTGATGGGCTGGGAATAACAAAGCTTTGATCTCACCCATGGCTCTTCAGTCTTACGAATAAAGATTCCCCAGGTCTTTTGAGTAGTTTCATCGATATCAATGTTGTTATTCAAACTTATCTTAGAAAGATATCCAGTAGTTGCTGCGCATAAATAAACATGACCCCAGCCAGTATCATAGCGAGAACACTTCTTCGATTAGCACATGCAGGATATAATATCAGGTAAAAAACGACAACATTAATGTGGTCCATTTTAACCTGGTAAAATATTCACTAACTTAGTTCAAGTGCAATGCAGAAAGATAGCTGTAATTGAATAGTACCAAGTTCTGGAAGACTTGAAAAATGCATATAATGGGCGGTGGTTCGGAGTCTAGCGCATATGCTTCGCCAATATTGATGACAGGTCAATTTTCAGTTCAGATTGAACTTCATCTTGATTACCGTATTGATTTTTCATGATCGAAGCCAGTCGATCGTTCCAGAAAGGAATGATGGTATCCATGTTCGGCGGAGAGAGTGATTCTATTTCCTCTCCAAAATCCGTATGAAAGTCACAATGACCAAGAATAATTGAATATTCCTTGATGCGGGTTATTTCTGCCGGTAGTGATATACTGACATCGTGAATATCGTAGCCTTCAGGGATGCGTTCGAATGGTAGGCGACTACGGTGTAGCCTACTAGGTTTTGATCCAGCTTTTGATGTCTCGGTGGGATTTCGTAAAAGATACGCCCTTGGATCTTGAGGGGGAAGAGGTGTAGGTGACTCAATGACAAATGATCGATCGCTAGCCAAGGAAGCTTTGGCTGCAAGGTATCGATTGTGATGTCGAGATTTCCCATTTGATTGTGGGCTCTTTCCGGAGTCAGCAGCCCTTTCAAGGTCGGATGGAGTTTCCGCATTGAAGCTATCCCGCAAGCTTGCGGCCCACTTCTCCAAAACAGGAAATCCTTGACTACTGTCCATGACTGCAGTATGTACTTTATTGTTACTGGAAGCGCCATTTTCCTCAAGCTGTGGGTGTTCCGGTGGTACTTCACCCGACATAACATTGTTGGTAGGGCTGTGGACTCCCACCATCTCCATAGAATCCGGTGCTAGGTTTCTGGGAGGGGAGCCAAATCTCTCTTGAGCAGGTCGAGAAATGGATGATATATATTCATCTTGCCCTGACGCTGGATTTAACTGCTGTTCACCCAGTGGTACATCTCTTGTACGCAGAAACCATGTATCGAGCGCTCCATTTCCATAACGTTCCTTGTCACGTTCCCTTGTCGCCTGTCTGGCACTGCTAGTTGTAGCTTTTGCCTGTGGGGAAGAGTTCTGGAAATCTTGAGGGTGTCTTCGACTGATGGGAGATCTTGAAGCTGGAGGGCTCGGGGGATCAGGGCCTGGAGGCGAGTCGGGCTCAACTCTCCGTTGCATGTTATTTCTTCTGGATGATGGCGGGGAGTTGTATGGCAATTCTTTTGTGCTACCGATTTGACTTGCAATCTCGCTCCGCGGTGCCTGAAATGATGCATTGACTCTCGAAACGGACCACGGGTTCGCGTGGCGAGGGCCTCGATTAATAGGAGTTTGGCGTGCAATATGAATTACGGTCTGTGACAGACTACCTGGAGTGCTTTCAGGCGATATGAGAGCATGGAATGGTGAGCGGCCTTGTGTAGTACTGGCAGGAGTGCTTTGGATAGAGAGGTCCCCTCCTTTTTCTGGCCTATTTCCAAGGACATCTGTCTTTTTTCTGGCCATCAAAATCTCAAATCCATTCTGGTCATGCGGAATTTGGGCAGCTGTTTCATTTAGCTTGGATTGAGTTTTCTCCTGCAGAGGTCCGTAATGGTCACTGAGAAGTCTCTCAACCAGGGAAAGTACAAGCTCTCGGTCTTCAAATAGCACATCATCTTTTCCAGGCTCAATATTGACATCGTAAGTCCCCAGTGGACAGGAAATCTGGAGGCAAAAGAATGGGTCAATCATTGACTTTGACGACCCGGTTTTCCTGCTATTAGAGCGAAGGTGGGATTTGAACAATTTGACAATATCATAGCCAATTCCTCGGGAGACATTTAGAGGTCGACCATCAATACTGACGAACTGGCCCGTGTTGTTCACTTGTGACATATCTGTTCTAGTTAACCACTGTACTTCACTCCGTGTTTTATCTGGCGATGGAAAAGCGTACCTGCTTCTGGTAATGGGAGCAAGGAGCCTATTTGAAACTGGGTTTGCTCCAATGAACCATTTCGATCCAGGAAACCATCAGATGAGAGCTGTTTGAACACGCAGAAAGAAGCCACTTCTCGACCAACAATTTTGATAACTGCATCCAACAGGGTTGCATTTGGACTTGGGGCATAAATCCAGTTTTGAATCTCATTCTTCGCTTTAACAACTTTCAAGAAAAACCCCTTGGATGGCTGAGCGATGGCATACGCTTGTAATAATTTCTTGACTCTTGTAAGAGTTTTTGGTGCGCTTTTTAATGCTGTTTGTTTGCGCACAGGGATATGCTTCAGAAAATTCTCAATTCGAACAGTAGTGCCTACCGGATGAGAGACACGCTGAGAGCTGCAGATACAGTCAGTCATACCTTCAAGATTCCAGAATTCAAACACCCAGCGTACAGGGAAATCTTTCCATCTCGTCTGTAATGCAGACACGATGCGGTAGCGTCGGCAGCAATGCATGTGGTGACGATAACACTCTCGGACATTTCAGCAATGCTAGACAATGCCTCACCACGAAAGCCGAGCGATGTTCCGCCCACGTTTTTCAGATCTTCAAGAGTCTGTATCTTGCTGGTAAACATGTGCGTGCATACATGGGGATAGTCCTCGGTAGAGATGCCGTGACCGTTGTCTTTGAGTTGAATCACATCCAAGGTGTTTTGGGCAATTTGGATAACCAGAGTTGAAGCTGATGCATCGATTGCGTTGTCAATGAGCTCTTTGACTACAGAGCAGGCATCAGAGATGACCGACGTCGACCCGATGGCACGGACTGTCTCCGGAAGAAGGGGCGTGATCGGCATCCCGGTCGCTCCTTCCAGAAAATAAAGTCCCTGTTTATACCATTACTTGAATTTCAAGTTTCCGAGGGTTGGATAAAAGTTGTTCTGATGACCAACATGAGATGAGACGAAGCCGATTGATGATCCCATTTGTATGATTAGTCATCTGTTCCGACGACGACAAACAACACGGTAGCCAAAGCTACCTCCTTATTCGTTTCGAGTTGAATAACTCGCTGCCTTGAAAATGGCAGGGGATCAATTCCAAATATCGCAACTTGCCGTTCCGGCAGTGAGCGTCCTGATCTGTTTCCTTGCTTATACTTCACAATACTTCTTCCTGCACTTTGAGCCCGCGCCGCTCCAGGTGGATGAAGTGTGGAGGATCAATATCTTCGCCCTCTGCATATGGGTCTGCTATTATCGAACCTGCTTTGTGGACCCAGGACGTCTCCCTTCCGATAAGAAGCACGAAGACCTAAATGCGGAGAAGGACCATGCTAGAGGCCGTCGGCAGCGATGGTGTCGTAGATGCGAAGCATACAAACCACCCCGAGCTCATCACTGCAAGACATGCAAGAGGTGAACTTGATTTGGAATCATGTTTCATCTAATACGAGCTAACATATATGTAGATGTATTCCCAAAATGGATCACCACTGTCCTTGGACTGCCAATTGCGTCTCTCACTTTACCTTCCCACACTTCATGCGCTTCCTGTTCTATGCAGTCGTTGGAATGTCTTATCTCGAGAAAAGACTCTTCAAACGTGTCGCTATTGTATGGGACAGCCGAGATCTTCCCAGTGTAAGCTAATTCATTTTCATGCTATCTGAGCAATATTGACTAGACTTTAGTATCTTGGCCCGTCAGTTGGACAACTGATACATTTGTTCATTCTGTTTGTTCTTAATAGTGTTACTGTTTTTGGACTTTTTGTTCTCCTCCTTCGCGTCGTTTATTCTCTTTCGTTGAACACGACGACCATTGAGTCCTGGGAAATCGAGAGACATGCAACTCTTGTTCGAAGGGCCCGTGCTCTGGGTGGTTATCTCGATGGCCCCGGTGGAATGAAAGTTCGAATCATGCACCAAGAGTTCCCTTATGATATTGGAATCTTGACCAATATCAAAGAAGGCATGGGAGGAAGTTGGAATGTAAGTAGATAGTCATGGCCCTACATTGACAGCCGAACTTACCAATTTCACAGATCATAGGCTGGTTCTGGCCCTTTGCTGCAACTCCTGATCGTCGCACCGGCTGGGAGTTTGAAGAAAACGGATTTGAAAGTGAGCTAATCATCCCTTGCTTCCTTCATGAAAGTTTCATATTAACCTTCGCTAGATGCCGGTGTATCATGGCCACCACCGGACCCAGATAGAATTCCAATGCCCGATTTAGATACGCTGAATTATAATATCGCGACGTATGCATCAGCTAGAGAGGAAGTGGATGCTTTCCATCGTCGACAAGAAGCCGATTTTAGTCGGCGCAGGCCTTTTTCGCAGATTCAAAAGCGACAAAAATTCCATGAACGATATCAAGGAGAACACCATAAGGTTGAAGATGGTGATGAACCTGTGTATGGCGATTCCGATGAAGGTGAAGAGGGTTGGAGAAACTCCGAGGGAGAAAATCTGGGAAACTACGGAGTCGATATTGAAGCTGAGTTCTACGACGAGGATGAGGATGATGTGCCGTTGGCAGTTCTCATCAATCGGCGGAAGCAGAATCAATAATTGTTAAATTGAAACTCTTCCAAGGTTTGAATGTTTTCCGGATGTGCAAATTCGGATTCTACAAACTCTAATGACTAATAGAATGGTTATTAACAGCGTATATCTATGGTTTATACTCTTTTAAATAAAGTAGTGTGCAGGACCTCCATTTTCACCGGGGATCAAGGGTATCAAGACAGTTTTGAGGTATTTTTGGGATGGAGGCCTCTGCAAATTCATGCGACCTTATGCCAACTACCCACATAGTGATTGAATATCGTTAGGCACGTATGGACTCATGATTTGAATCAAATCTGAGAGATTGATCCAGTCCAGTTCTCCATGAATAGTCTGCACAGGCTGCCCACTGTATAAAACACGGGCATAAAATGAATCTCTCTCGTCATCAGTTTTCCTGTGTTTGGTTAGCATTGGTCTTCTAGGAAAAAAAAGAATTGTGATGTGGCTCATTACCAGATTTCGAAAGCGATATTAGATGCCATAGCAGGCCAGCGGAGAGCGTTGATACCCAGCGATCCCAATATTGGGCCAATGTCACCATCATGAACAAAGACGTGGCTGTAATCGAGAGACGAGGTTCCATTCTGTACTGCCTGGAGGCGGGCAAGAATCTCCCCGATGAAAAGACCCTCGACGACCTGGATGTATTTGACGACGTATGGGTTCGTACGCCAATAGTAGTTCCATTCCCAGTCTCCAGCACGGAAAACCTCTTCGACCATGGCACTGGTCACACATGCAGACGAATTACTCAAACTACATGGCAGCTCGTAGCCATTGCACAGACGGGCTTGGAAGTTATCAGAGAAGTGGTCAAAGGTATCTTGCCACGAGCTTGAGGTAGCACCCAGCATCGAGCCAAGGGTGGAGCGCAACTTCTCTGTAACAGTCAAATGCGCATTCCAGTCCGATGTGGACTTAATTTCGCTTAGAGTAGAGCTGATAGCATCGCAGGAATAGCCCGCATTGACAGTATCAACGGAAGAAACCATTTGGTGCAGAGGCAAAGCGCCGTCGTATTTAGGCCAGATGCCTCGGAGAACGGCACCAGCAGAGGCCTGAGTTAGAGCAGATTCACTGGACCGGAACCAGACGCGGTTATTTGGCTTCTTGGGAATGAGACCAAGCTTTTCGCCGTATACATTCATGAGGTCTTTGCCATGCTGATAGCCGTCTTGAACACCGCCGATAGTGATTTGGGGGTACTGGCATGTACCATTCACCTCAGCCGTGAAAGGATTAGTCGGGTCCCGGTACGTTTGAGCGTACATAGGGATCGGCTGGATGCCACTCTCACTGTTCGGGCCTGCATATAGATAAGGCCGGACATTGTCGCATTCATAAGGTTGATTCTTACTGGAGTTAGTTTTGGTCATATATATAGCCTCTTGGAGGGTGTTAAACACTGACCTCTCCACCTGGAAGGATGTTGTAAGGAGAGCGACGCTGGTGGCGTTGAATGTACTCGAGGTAAACAAGGTTTCCCTTCACAGAGCCATTGGCAATGGGGCCGGGCAACTTGTACTCTTGAGTGCGGGGGTGTGGCATAGAGCAATAGTCATATGTGCCATACGGAGAGCCATCCGTTGGACCCGTTGTAGGAGCCTTATAGATTCCACCGTAGGTTCCAATTGAGCTATTTGAGATGTATGAAGTTTCGTTAAGAGTGGGCGGGTAAAAGGTGTCCAGAGATGATAGGCCCAAAACAGGGACAGCTCCAAAGAGAACAGCAACAAGGTTTCGCCCCATGATCAAGGAGGTAAGTTTAGTAAAATGAGAAATGAATAACTTCTCAATAGACACGGCCTACGGCGTATTCATATGTGCAAATACTGTGTTTTATTATGGTATACCAAGCAAAGCTTAGATTACCAGCCGCGCTAGGGATAGGCGAGGGCAATGATCTCCACCTTTTGGCAGCCAGTGGTCGCGTCGACTTCACTACACGTGCTGCAAGAGAACCCAAACACACCACATGCAATTTGCTCCAATCCCCACTAGAAATTGAATGATCATGACATGACAATGACATGCGGCAGGATGCACACGTTTTATTGGAAGTTCAATGAGATTTGATAAAGCTCTTAAAGTTGCCGAGGTCCCGAGTACTCGGTTCCTTGGCAAAGGGAGCTATTAAACAAACTTTGAAGCTACATTTATGCATGAAAAAGGGGAGAAAGAGAACTGCAATAACTCTAAAGTCTGATTCCTTCCAATTTCTACCCTGATATACCCCCAGTCAGAGTCCGAATCATGCGCGGGCTCTGTGTCAATTTGGCCATATTGGTCTCCCTGTGGCCTTCACCTGCCTTGTCTTCCTCCCTAGGGAAGTACGCACTGAACAAGCTTCTCAATGATGCCTCACCCATCTTTGGGTCATACAACAATGTGTCTCACAACAAAGCCGATTGGATGAAAGGGTATTCTGACGATACTCTACTCGTCCACATGAACATCCCTGGCACCCATGATAGCGCAACCTGGAACTATACCCAGGCGACTCAAGATGCTCTGCGTGGCATCACAGATCTTAATCAGATGACAGTACCAACCCCAGTGGCTTTCCGCTGCCAAGGAAGGTCCTTCATTGACATGCTCAACATGGGCATCAGGGCATTCGATTTGCGCTATGCATTTGACCCAACCAACACCACGCTCATCTTCTACCACTCTCAAGCTCTATTGTCAGAATCTGCTTCTTTGGACATTGTTCTATTTGGCTTTTACAAGTGGCTCGATGACCACCCCACAGAGACCATCTTTCTCTCCTTGCAATACGAGGGTTCAACAGCAAAGTATGCATCTAACGATGCATCATTGCAGCTGAAACTATATAAAGCTCTCACCTCGCCTGTGGCTCGCCGCTTTTTTGTTCAGGCAAAGAATGAATTAGGGACACTTGGTGAAGCGCGTGGAAAGATCACCTTGATGCGCCGCTTCGACCTGGATCAACTACCAGCTTCCTATACCACCAGCTTGCCGGGGATTCATTTCTCTCCAAGCGTATGGACGGACAATGGTCCCGATATTGTCCTAACATATAATACCGAGAAGAATTTGACTGCATACATCGAAGATTATTACGAGCCCTTGACAGCCACAGGTTCAAGCGCTGCAGATAACATTAAGTGGAAGTATAACGCGACAACCGAGCATATCCGCAAGGCTACGACGGAGCACCCGGGTAGCTTGTTCTGGACCTGGGCATCTGGCACGAACACAGATAATATTCCGTACGATTGGCCACGCATCATAGCTCTTGGAAATGGTTCTGTCCTCACGCCGGCTGGTGGTGTTAATCAGCAACTTGTCTCTTTTCTTAAGGAACAGAAAAATAAGCGGGTTGGCATTGTGATGTTTGACTTCTTCGATCAGCCTTCGGACCTGATTGAGACATTTTTGTCACTATAACACCTAGGCAGTTATTTGATTTATAGCTTGCCAGCATATCTAGGTATCACCATCTTGAACAATATCCAATTTCTTTCAATATGCGACGTTCAATGAGCTATCAAATCTTTGGGACTAAACATGAGTATGAACATGTCACATGTTAGTTCCAAGGTTAAAAACTATAATTAACTACGGAGCTATGGATTAAATATAGATAGGTACTGACAAACCAGGCAATGTTCATACCAAACCGGCTGATCACGGCAGGATGGGGCATCGAGATGAGAGTGTATATAATAATGCACGGTGAATTTTGCTTCACAAATCGGGAGCCAAATTATCAATGATAAGTAATCTCTTAGTCTCTTGCTATCGAAAGCTATATTTTGTTGTGACGATATGGTTCAATCGGGATGTTCTCAATATGTAATAGGTATTTCTTCCTTTACGTATTTAACCTACTGCCCAATATGATCAGCGAAACGTCGAGCAATCTCTACTTTTATTCCCCATTCAAAGAAAAAATCGCATAGGTAAGATCTTGAAACCTTCTAAGGTTCAATATATTTTATCAACAACCCATCCTTTCAACATCAGATGTATCACGCTTAATGGTCGGCGATGCCCCAAGAAATAATCGAATATCAATGTTAGAAGATAATACCGTGGATAAAGCTATCTTTACAGGTTATTCGATCGAGACCCTGGTCATTAGGATACCAAAACGCTCTCAAACTGAAAGTCGACCATTTCTTTCAGCAGATACTGATTCTTATTAAAATAGCCCGCTTACTGACAATAGCAAGTAGAAGTATCTGCTAGTACTTACTCTATATAGCTCCCTCATTTATAGTGGGCAGTCTAGGTATGCGTGGATTATTTTCTACTCCTATCGTGATTAAGGTTGAAAAGCCTTCATGCTTATAAAATATCATGTCTCATCACTGTATTGGCAACTAAAACTTTCGATGATAATGCAAATCAATCAAACAAATAGACATAGGGAAAAGGGAAAAGGGAAAAGGGGGCCTCCAGAATCTGGTGATGTGTCATAACTGACTATCCCTCCGTCAAACCCCAGTCTATTTGGTATCTGGCAGAGCAAATAGCAACTAGTATCATCTTCCACTTGAACTAGATAGAGCGACCATTGTTCATAAAGCGACGGAAATGATAGGTCGGACTGATAGCCAATTTGCTCATATAAGGTGCACGAGGCGGCTGTTCTTATCCACAGGTACCTCCTGCATCAAGGAGCATCTTGACAACAGCATCGTGACCACCCTCGGCAGCCCATAATAATGATGTCCGGCCATATTTTGTGTCTTTGGCATCGACGTCTAACTTGTTTATGCCGAGAAGCATCTTGACAACAGCGTCGTGACCACCCTTAGCAGCCAAAAGTAGTGGTGTAGAGTCGTCTGCACTTTTAGTATTGACATCCATCTTGTTTGTGTCGAGAAGCATCTGGACAACAGAATCGTGACCACCCTCAGCAGCCCATGATAATGGTGTTTGGCCATATTCTGTGTCTTTGGCATCAAAATCTACCTTGTCTGTATCAAGAAGCATCTGGACAACAGCATAGTGACCACCCTTAGCAGCCAAGAGTAGTGGTGTAGAGTTGTCAATACTTTGAGTATTAACATCCACCTTGTTTGCATCAAGAAGTATCTGGACAACAGCATGGTGACCACCCTTAGCAGCCAAAAGTAGTGGTGTAGAGTCGTCTGCACTTTTAGTATTGACATCCACCTTATTTGTGTCGAGAAGCATCTGGACAACAGCATCGTGACCACCTTCAGCAGCCCATGATAATGGTGTCCGGCCATATCTTGTGTCTTTGGTATCGACATCTACCTTTTTTGTGTCGAGAAGCATCTGGACAACAGCATCGTGACCACCCTCGGCAGCCCATGATAATGATGTCTGGCCGTATTCTGTGTCTTTAGCATCGACATCTACCTTTTTTGTGTCGAGAAGCATCTTGACAACAGCATTGTAACCACCCTTAGTAGCCAAAAGTAGTGGTGTAGAGTCGTTTACGCTTTTAGTATTGACATGTACCTCGTCTGTATCGAGAAGCATCTGGACAACAGCATCGTGACCACCCTTAGCAGCCAAGAGTAGTGGTGTAGTGTCGTCTAAACTTTCAATATTGACATCCACCTTGTTTGTGTCAAGAAGTATTTGGACAGCAGCATCGTGACCACCCCAGGCAGCCCATGATAATGGCGTGCGGCCATATTTTGTATCTTTGGCATCGACATCTACCTTGTTTGTATCAAGAAGCATCTTGACAACAGCATCGTGACCACCCTCGGCAGCCAATAATAATGGTGTGCGGCCATATTTTGTGTCTTTGGCATCGAGATCTACCTTTTTTGTGTCGAGAAGCATCTGGACAACAGCATCGTGACCACCCTCGGCAGCCCATGATAATGGTGTCTGGCCATATTCTGTGTCTTTGGCATCAACATCCACCTTATTTGTGTCGAGAAGCATCTGGACAACAGCATCATGACCACCTTCAGCAGGAGTATACAGGCGGCGGGGTGGCAGGGTCGACCCCGCCACCCTACCACCCGACGAACTTTTCGTCTTATCGGCCAATAAAAACTCTGTATTTCATTTTTTGTGGGTAATATGATACATCATAATAAGTTTGTCGGGGAGCTAAAAAAAAAGGTCGTCGGGTAGTGGTAAATAGCCATCTTATGTGGTAATATGCAAGATTTGACTTACGGTGCTTCAACCCTACCACCCCGCCACCTAGCTTCAATTTTCGATAATTTACCAGGAATTTGTAAAATGTTTCTTCCTTCATTCAACAATAAAACAGTCAACTCAATTCAGATTTTGATAATATAGATATAATTATTAAAGGAATTCCTAAGATTAATACTTTGGAACTGGTTTTAGGAACTTATTATCATTTTTTGAAGTTTTCATCTAAAATTATAAAATTTCATAACAATATATCTATATCTGTATATATATCTGTAGACTGTATCTATTTACATCTCAGTCCTTGCAAATCGATTCCTATCTTTTACCATCTTTTACTGATCCTTACCATTATTTACTAGATTTTATGATTTCTTGAAACATATCAACGATTATCTTTCCAAATTAAATGTAATATCTTTATAAATCTTAATTTTAAGGATATCTGTATAAAAATAAACATCTTAAATAGTCTTTTCTTAAATCACTTGATATCAAAAACCTTAAAATTAAAATATTAAGCACTAAGCACTAATCACTAAGCACCATTACACTACTATTTATCATTCTCCTGCTTCCTCGGATCCTAGATCATCCTCATCATCCTCAATAATTTCAGCAGCTTCTTTAGCAGCCTTTTCAGCAGCCTTTTTCTTTACCTCTTCAGCAGCTATTTTCTTCGCCCCTTCTTTATCCGTTTTTTCAAGTTCTGCTTGTGCACGAGCAATCGCCTTCTCTCTTTCTTTCTTCTTAGCTTCTCTTTTCCTATCCTCTTCCATATCCACTCTAATAGATGCTTCATCTATCAACTCATCAAGTCTATCTTCAAGTTCTGGTATATGAAGTTCAGGTCGCTTCAGAAAATCCCAAATCCCCCCAGAACTTTTACCATCTTTCGTCCGCGACTCTAACCAACGAACAAAGCTATCACACTCAGCTTCTGAAGGGAGCTCAATGTCAGCTTTCTCTTTACCTTTTCTTTCCTTCGTGACAGAACTTGAAGATATGCTCTTAGATTTAGGATTCTTAGCATCAGCTAGTTCCTTTTCTCTCTTCTTCTTTTGAGCTTGAATCTTAGCCATTTGTTCTTCAAATTCTTTTTGTTCTTTTTCTTCTTGTTCTTTTGCATTCTGAAGTCGATCTTCTCGTTCTTGTCGCTTCCGTCTTTTATTTCTGTCTTGCTGTCGCCGGTCTCTTGCTGATTCAGATGGACTATCATCGTCGGAATCGGTGTCATCTTTATAGAATCTTGATTTTCTTTTTCGTTTTTTCGTTTTTGCAAGTTGTAAGACATTTTCTTCCTCCTCGTCACTTTCTTGGCCTACACCAGCAGTTTCTTCATCTTCGACCTTTTTATGGCTGCGTTCTTTTCTAGAAAATTGATATATATATTAGTAAGTAATGGTAAAAGATGGTAAGGAGTGGTAAGGGATGGTAAGGGATGGTAAAGGGCTTCGATAATCAATTCTCACCTTCTTGCAGTTTTCCGACCGTCTAGGACATGAAGTCCCTTCCATTTACCTCCATGGTTTGGTTTCTAATAGATATTAGATTGAGTTATGTTAGTAATATCAAATTTAACTCACAATATGTGACATTTTAATATGTTTTCGGATTGGTGCTGCTACACACCCAGTACTTATTGGTGTATAAGAGCAATAAGGACATCGTTGAACACAACCATGAATCTCGATTATTGCGTTTTGACAAGGCCATCTTTGTGCTGGATGTTCTGGACATTTACAAACTTTAACAGGGTTCCTAAAATAAGAGATAGATTAGTACTATTCTATCTTGATAGTCAGGAATCAATATTGAGACTTATACTTACACAAAGCTTCCTGGTATCCCATCTATCCTACTATACCACCAATGACCACTAGGGGTATCTGTGGGAATATCGTCAGGATCATTTGGGTTAACTATTATGTTGGCCATAATAAGCTTGATAGAGAATAAAAAATATCGAAAAAGATAATGAGGACTTAGGGGAAACTTCATAGATTAAGTAGCTCAAAATGACCTTATTGTCGAAAAAGTAATTTCTAGAATAATTGAATATTTTCTAGGAAAATCTTTAGATCAATAAATCGGTTAAAGACCTATCTAGGTAGAATCAAAGACAAACATCAGATCATATGATTAAAATTTCTTTTCTTTATTAGAGCCCAAAGAAAATAGGATTTTTAGGATAATACAAAAACAAATACAAAGAACAACAACTTCAAGTCTCTTTTTCATTTTCCAGCAGTTTTCAGGTTTCATTCAGGTTCCTCAGAGATCTGGTGGAAGTAATTCGCTTTTTCAAAGGCCTCTTTATTATCTCCCTCAATATACCGAAAATAGGATTTTGAAACAGTGTTAGAAACAGTGTAGAGTCCAGCAAACCGTTTATCAACCTAAATTTATTAATCTTAATCAATATAAATAATTAAGTAATAAGATATTATATGACTTACAGTATGGATATTTTCAATATGCTTTCGAATTGTAGAAGCCTGGTATTTTCTTATCTGTCCAGTCTTTTTGTTAATACCTTCTGGTGAGTAACAACAATATGGGCAATTAGTTGCGCAACTTGGAATCGCCTAAAGAAATTAGTAATAGTATTAAGAAAAGGAAGTTGAGCTCACAATAGGACCAGTAAAATTCCAGATATTATATCGAGTATCATGTGTATGCTCCTGACACTTGCAGACTTTAAAGGACCTGATTCTTGACTGGTTTTCTTGAATCAATTCTGGATATAATTCCTTTTGTCCTCTAACTCTTTCCTCTTGTGAGATTTCACCACGTTCTTTTGCGACCAAAGAAATAGTATTGCTTGGTGGGCCAAGATCTGGGAGACCAATAATTGGTTTAAATCGGGGTTGTGATTCTTTGAGAGGCCATGATCTAGCTTGGGGTGCTTTAGTTTGGTTGGTCGGCTGCTGGAGTGCTTTTGTCTGATCGGTCGGCTGCTGGATCACTTCATCCTGATCGGTTGGTTGCTGGATCACTTTAGCCTGATCGGTCAGCTGCTGGGGTACCTCGGTCTGGTCGGTCGGCTGCCGGAGTACTTCAGTCTGGTCGGTTGGTTGCTGGATTACTTCAGCCTGATCAGTGAGCTGTTGGGATATCTCAGTCCCATCGGTCGGTTGAAGTGATGATTTCAGAGGAGTTTTTGTTGTTTTTGTTCGTTTTGGTGGAGGTTTTGTTATTCTCGTTCGTTTTGGGGGAGGTTTTGTTGTTTTCGTTTGTTTTTGAAGAGGCTTTACTACTTTAGTTTTTTTTATAGTAGGTCTTGTTGCTTTAGTTTGTTGAAGAGGAGGTTTAATTGATTTCGTTCGTCTTGGGGTAGATATAGTCGTTTTCGATATACCCCTTGTCTGAAGTCGTGGTTGTTTCTGCGGTTTTATAGGAGGGGCTTCATCATCAGGATGATTGGCGTTAGTCCTGGATCTCGTAGAATATGGCATGATGAGAGAATCCAATGATATGGTAAAAGATAGAAATAATTAAGGGGGAAAGTCAGATAAAACCAGAATTGCGAGGAAATAAATTTTCTTAAAAAGAAATGTGATTGATCATATCTTACCAACTCTTACTGATTTCGACTAATTTCGACCAATTTCGACTGATTCTGACTGACTTTAATTGATAAATATTGATCCTAACTATCCTTCTCCTTTACTGCTTCACCCATCATCTCTTCAAACTTGTCAATACGAGCATTATTGCGTTCGACGGTATGCTCCAATTTCTGTAGAACATTCATCATTTGTGGTATTCTGTTCACGAATTGTACTAGTAAATCTTGATGAGATGTTCCAGCTAATTCAGTTGTAGGTTCATGATGAAGAGGTGGTTGTTGTAATATAGCTGATGATAATGGAGGTGATGAAGTGAGATCGATATGATCTAAATTGAGCTGCCGGATAGGTGTTGGTGTCTCTAGGAAAGATCCAGGGCGCTTTCTGTGGAAATGACTACCAAAAGTCCGAGATCTTTGTGTTGGATTGACTCCATAACGACTTTTTCGGGCAATATCATCAAGTGGGCGTGTATCTCGAGCTTGCGATTCCTTGAGAGCTGGGAGTAGTTGCAATTGGATACCTCCACGATTGCTACCAGCATGACTACTCTCGACCAGATTGGTGTGCTTAACAAATGCACGGAAATGCTCTTTTTTCATCTTAGTCATTGACTCATTCAGTCCAGAGATTAACCAACGACAAGAAATCTTCTTAACCCAGTCACGAACACGTTTCGACTGTGAAGACTTAAGGGTAGTAATAAGACTTTCACAAGCGCTCCTAGGTGTTATATTCTCGAGCCGTTGCATCATAGGGTACTCAATCTCATTTTGATATCTTGCAAGGTTCCGATGGTAATGAACCTTACAATATATAAACATATGTTGAATATGTTCTTGCCAAGTGTAACTGCCATCAACTGAATGCAGATATTGACCAAACCCACTAGATTGTTTCCCACACATATCAACCATCACAGCGATGATGCCTTTCCGATGAATATGGAACCAATCAATCTTTTTACCGTTAATCGTCTCAAGTATGTTAAACAGACTTTGAAAAAGAAATTGGTAGGATTCGGTTGAGTCACTACTAACAAGGACTCTTGCCAGGTAGACAGTTTGCTCTAAGTCAGGATCTTTTGTGACGAATACAACTTCGTTCAAGATCCCTGCAACTCTTTTAAAAGTCATATCGACCTGAAAGTATTCAATGGTTGTCCAAAAGCGAGCTTGGGCATCGGTAAGACACACAATCCGGAGATTTATACCATCATTATACATCTCGCGAATATAGAGGTCTTCCTTAGGTCCTGATTGCTGCTTACAATGCTCAAGTAAAGCACCTAATAGTAATTAGTATAAAATAACTAAATACAATACGGATCGGTAAGGATCGGTAAGGATTGGTTAAATCAAGATTAGACTATAGGATAAATAATATATAACATACCTATCCAGTTTTGTCCAAGCGGACAGGAAATCACTCTTTGCTTCTTAATCCAAGAAGCAATAAGATCTCTATTACCAAGAGATGGGTGAAGTTCAGGGAGTGATGCAACACCTTGTGCTTGCAAAAACTCAGTCACAACAGAACTGCGGATGAATCGACTATATGATAATGAATGATGATCGGTCCTTTGAATCAGTTGAGTCATATCCTTTATGATGTTGGACGGCGTCTTGCTCATTGGTGGAGGTGGATGTGTATGGGTGCCCCAAGATGCCAAGATTATAAATGGGCAGTTCTTAGTCTCCTTTGGAATCACTGAGATAAAGATAGTATTACATGGGACATAATGGAGATTCATGTCCACATGGTACTGGCACTTTGAAGTCCTTGATTTTGCTGGTACCATCGTTGCGCACGCGAGAGAGTTCACGGTAATATCGCGGCTAGCATGGCCTTCCACAAGTTCTCTGAGATAGACTAAATCATAGCCTTCGAGAACCGGAAACCTATGGAAGTAGTGCTTACCAGATTCATCTTCTGGCTTCCATGCACTACACCCAAGATAATACTGATTTGTTTCAAACGCACTTGAGGAGAACCTCTTCAAAATCATTCGGGAATAATCTCCATGTGTTTTCCCACATTTTCGATCCCATTGTTGACGGCATTTATGATAAAATGCGTAAGTACGTGCGTTCGCTCGGTCATCTCCAAACTTGGTCTGAAAGTAGTTATTGACTTCGATTTTTCTATTTTCAAGATGATCCCAAAGATCAGCAGTGACTTCAGAATGACCAAATTCAGAGGTGAAATCATTTGCGAGTTTCGGACAAGATTTGATACCAGAGCATGACTTCTTAGTAAAGGTGCAAGTGACATTCCCAAGTAGTGGTGATTTCTTATCCCCATGCCAGCGCTTATGCTGGTTTTCACGACCTCCAGCTCCATACTGCATATCTTTGATCATATCTGAAGGATCTAGACCAGTAATCGGCATAAGATATGCAAATCCGTCTGGATGCGTCTGAGGGTACTCAGGTAGACATGCGGCGTATTGTAGGAATCTGACTTTATTATATCCACCAGATATTGGAACAGAGGAAAGTTGGAAGCCGTGAGGGTTCTCCTGAGTAAGAGTAGGTAGGTCGGTAGGGGATTGAGAGAAGGTTTCTAGGCTTTCCCTTTCGTCATTAAGATTCAAGAAATGATCAGGATCATAGAGTTCATCAAATGGAATTGATCGATTTTTCTTCCAAGATAAAATCATAGCAGAAGCCATAATTATAAAGATTCTTAAGAAAGTGAAGGCAAACAGAAATGAAAAAAAAGAGAAATCTGTACAAATAGAAGGGAATTTGTGGGTTCATAAATTGAATTATGAGAGATCATATTCTTAGAAATTAAACGATATATATAGAGAAGTATAAATAGACAAAAAAAGCAAATACCTAAATCTTCAGTCTAGTAAATAATGGTAAGGATCAGTAAAAGATGGTAAAAGATAGGAATCGATTTGCAAGGACTGAGATGTAAATAGATACAGTCTACAGATATATATACAGATATAGATATATTGTTATGAAATTTTATAATTTTAGATGAAAACTTCAAAAAATGATAATAAGTTCCTAAAACCAGTTCCAAAGTATTATTCTTAGGAATTCCTTTAATAATTATATCTATATTATCAAAATCTGAATTGAGTTGACTGTTTTATTGTTGAATGAAGGAAGAAACATTTTACAAATTCCTGGTAAATTATCGAAAATTGAAGCTAGGTGGCGGGGTGGTAGGGTTGAAGCACCGTAAGTCAAATCTTGCATATTACCACATAAGATGGCTATTTACCACTACCCGACGACCTTTTTTTTTTAGCTCCCCGACAAACTTATTATGATGTATCATATTACCCACAAAAAATGAAATACAGAGTTTTTATTGGCCGATAAGACGAAAAGTTCGTCGGGTGGTAGGGTGGCGGGGTCGACCCTGCCACCCCGCCGCCTGTATACTCCTTCAGCAGCCCATGATAATGGTGTCTGGCCATATTTTGTGTCTTTAGCATCGACATCTACCTTGTTTGTGTCGAGAAGCATCTTGACAACAGCATCGTGACCACCCCCGGCAGCCCATGATAATGGTGTCCGGCCATATTCTGTGTCTTTGGCATCGAAATATACCTTGTCTGTATCAAGAAGCATCTGGAAAACAGCATCGTGACCACCCTTAGCAGCCAAAAGTAGTGGTGTAGAGTCGTTTGAATTTTTAGTATTGACATCCATCTTGTTTGTGTCGAGAAGCATCTTGACAACAGCATTGTAACCACCCTTGGCAGCCAAAAGTAGTGGTGTAGAGTCGTCTGAACTTTTAGTATTGACATCCACCTCGTCTGTATCGAGAAGTATCTGGACAACAGCATGGTGACCACCCTTAGCAGCCAAAAGTAGTGGTGTAGAGTCGTCTGCACTTTTAGTATCGACAACCACCTTGTTTGTGTCGAGAAACATCTGGACAACAGCATCGTGACCACCCTCGGCAGCCCATGATAATGGTGTTTGGCCATATTCTGTGTCTTTGGCATCGACATCCACCTTATTTGTGTCGAGAAGCATCTTGACAACAGCATCGTGACCACCCCCGGCAGCCCATGATAATGGTGTTCGGCCATATTTTGTGTCTTTGGCATCGAAATCTACCTTGTCTGTATCAAGAAGCATCTTGACAACAGCATAGTGACCACCCTTAGCAGCCAAGAGTAGTGGTGTAGAGTTGTCTATACTTTTAGTATTGGCATCCACCTTGTTTATGTCAAGATATATCTGGACAACAGCACCGTGACCACCCTTGGCAGCCAAAAGTAGTGGTGTAGAGTCGTCTACACTTTTAGTATCGACATCCACCTTGTTTGTATCGAGAAGCATCTGGACAACAACATTGTGACCACCCTCGGCAGCCCATGATAATGGTGTCTGGCCAAATTCTGTGTCTTTGGCATCGACATCCACCTTGTTTGTGTCGAGAAGCATCTGGACAACAGCATCATGACCACCTTCAGCAGCCCATGATAATGGTGTCCGGCCATATTTTGTGTCTTTGGCATCGAAATCTACCTTGTCTGTATCAAGAAGCATCTTGACAACAGCATCGTGACCACACTTAGCAGCAAAGAGTAGTGGTGTAGAGTTACCTATACTTTTAGCATCGACATCCACCTTGTTTGTGTCGAGAAGCATCTTGACAACAGAATCGTGACCACCCTCAGCAGCCCATGATAATGGTGTCCGGCCATATTTTGTGTCTTTGGCATCGAAATCTACCTTGTCTGTATCAAGAAGCATCTTGACAACAGCATCGTGACCACACTTAGCAGCAAAGAGTAGTGGTGTAGAGTTACCTATACTTTTAGCATCGACATCCACCTTGTTTGTGTCGAGAAGCATCTTGACAACAGAATCGTGACCACCCTCAGCAGCCCATGATAATGGTGTCTGGCCATATCTTGTGTCTTTGGCATCGACATCCACCTTATCTGTATCAAGAAGCATCTTGACAACAGCATCGTGACCACACTTAGCAGCAAAGAGTAGTGGTGTAGAGTTACCTATACTTTTAGCATCGACATCCACCTTGTTTGTGTCGAGAAGCATCTTGACAACAGCATCGTGACCACCCTCAGCAGCCCATGATAATGGTGTCTGGCCATATCTTGTGTCTTTGGCATCGACATCCACCTTGTTTGTGTCGAGAAGCATCTTGACAACAGCATCGTGACCACCCTTAGCAGCTAAGAGTAGTGGTGTAGAGTTATCTGTACTTTTAGCATCGACATCCACCTTGTTTGTGTCGAGAAGCATCTTGACAACAGCATCGTGACCACACTTAGCAGCCAAGAGTAGTGGTGTATAGTTGTCTACACTTTTAGTATTGACATCCACCTTGCTTGTGTCGAGAAGCATCTTGACAACAGCATCGTGACCACCCTTAGCAGCCCATGATAATGGTGTCTGGCCATATCTTGTGTCTTTGGCATCGACATCCACCTTGTTTGTGTCGAGAAGCATCTTGACAACAGCATCGTGACCACCCCCGGCAGCCCATGATAATGGTGTCTGGCCAAATTCTGTGTCTTTGGCATCGACATCCACCTTATTTGTGTCGAGAAGCATCTGGACAACAGCATCATGACCACCTTCAGCAGCCCATGATAACGGTGTCCGGCCATATTTTGTGTCTTTGGCATCGAAATCTACCTTGTCTGTATCAAGAAGCATCTTGACAACAGCATCGTGACCACTCTTAGCAGCCAAAAGTAGTGGTGTAGAGTTGTCTTTACTTGACTGTATTGTTTTCGACTGGGGAAGGTATCCCCCTCAGCTGCCGTATGGATGAATTTTAGCGCGGTTTTTCTGCCAATACAGTCTCCATAATCACACCCGAAAAAGGAATAGATTCATGCCAAGTCTAACCAATTAAACGTTATGATAGCTCTTCCTACGAACACAATGTAAAGATACTCACATTCCAAATATGATTATATATGCCGAGAAATGTTACAGACACTCGAAATCAGTCTCATTTCCCTAATTATTAGTCGCACTCTATCTTACATAAAGCCATACCTTTTGAGATTACAATACAACGACCCACATTCTTGGCGTTATCTCAGTACGGTAATAAACAAATGCTTAAAAATATTTTTCTTATCATAAGGTAGTCACATTTGCATCTATCGGGGCCCCCCATCTTCGGTCAACTAGCCATATTCACTCCACTTAACTAAAGCACCGCATAAGCGAAGATATTTGTCGATATATAAAATAACGCTATATATGAAGAAGGAATCTGTGAGCTCTAGATTGAAGACAGAAGCTTTTAAATACTTCCTAGGAAGATTATAGGTACATTGTGAGTCTACTTAAGTCCACGGGTATAAGTCTAAGCCCTACAGAATTTCCAAGGTTCCAAGGTTGGAACCCTTCCAGGTTCATGGGGGTGGACTGAGACTAGATATATATGTAACATGGGAATGCAGTCGGGATTTATTGTTATTTCTTGTCGACCCCCGGGGCCATTGTCTTTAAATTTTGATTTAATTTTCCACGGTCCTTCAACCCAGGGGTTTACTAGTAACTGTGGATATTCAAGATGGAGGCTAATCGAGTTTGACATGTTTCTTATTAATTTGTATGGTAACCCCTTATAGTCTCTGACCATATCAGAATGTGACTCCAAAGTCTTTTCTTAAAATCTAAAGGAAAAGGAGAGTGAAAAACATAGTCACCACGGTAAACAGGGCAGAGAAACGTCCCATCTTAGAAGCCTCGCCAGTCCAGACGGCCTCGTAGGAACTCGTTGTCTTAGAAGAGGCCGATACTCCAGAGACCGAATTAATCTTTGTGGTGTAAGGAGTGGCTTTGCTGGAGCTAGAGGATACGAACTCATATTTTTGATCACTAGACGATGGGGTCGAATCTTGCGGTATAGCGGAAAGAGTATGGTAGCCGGTTTTCTCGTGGCTGGGAGCAATTGAATGGGTAAGCGAGAGAGTGGAGGCTGCGGTCAGCTGCACAGTGAATTTACTGGTCTCAGATTCCTGAGCTGGAGCACCAGCAGTCTGTATAGTAGTAGTATGCTGGGGGTGGGCGTTCTGAGTCACACTTATGTGAGTAGTGCTTGAACCTTTAGAAGCTATAGGTTCGGAACCCTCGGGACAAATTGTTGTTCTGTAGGTGATAGTCTCAGTAGTGAAGTATGTCGTCGAGTCGGGCGAAGTTGTCGTAATAGTATACGTTGAGATATATGTTGAAGTAATAGGCACACCCACACTTGATCCTTCTAATGACTTTGTACTGGATGATCCACCCAGGGTTGTAGTCAAATAATCGAGCGCTGTTGCGCTGGAGTGGGGTCGCGTCTCTGATAGATTCGAGCCCGATTTACCAGACGAGCCAGAGGGCGAGGAGGATGAAGAACCGGAGGAAGAACCAGAAGAGGGAGTAGAAGAAGTATCCGAAGAGGGAACAGAAAATGAACTGGAAGAAACGATCGAAGGAAAGCCCGTAATAAATGAAGAGCTCGTCGAAGTGCGAGTCAACGGGGTTGAAGACAAGCTTGTGCGAGAAGATACTGGGCTCGGCATAGTGGAAGGAGTAGACAGAATCAGAGGAGTCGATGAAGAGCTACCCGATGATGTCGACGGCGACACTGAGACTGACGACAGCGACAATGGGACCGACGACGGTGATACTGATGACGGCGACACTGAGACTGACGACAGCGTCAATGGGACCGACGATGGTGATACTGACGACGGCGACACTGAGACTGACGACAGCGTCAATGGGACCGACGACGGTGACACTGAGACTGATGACAGCTTCAATGGGACCGACGACGGCGATACTGAGACACTGACGACGGCGTCAACGGGACCGACGACGGTGACACAGGAAAAGAAGATGCAATTGCCGGAGTTGAGACAGATGGGGTTGAGGTGAGAGTGACAGTATAAACAACCTCCTCCGTCGAAGTAACTGTGTCTGTTTCAGTAGCGATGAAGGTCGAGAGGCAAGGGTTAGCATTGGCCGACAAACGGGATGCTGCTTGGTACTCCCCACCAGAAGTAATGGTGAGATCCCCACTCATTAAATAGCACATGTCAGCCGCGGAATCCCAGTAGACTCCTGTACACTGGGAATTGACCGCACAACCAGACATACAAGCCCGCAGCGAATAACCTGCGCTCGATTCATAGACAGTTCCACCGCTCACGGAGGCCGAACAAAACTCTTCCCACTGGCTCCCATATGTGTTGTAGTAACCATTACTGCAAGTAATTGAAGCGGATTGCGCAATGGTGCAGCTCGCGATGGCGGACGAAGATGTAACAGTGGAAGTAGTGGAAAAGACCGTCGTAAAGGTACTAGTGCTTAGTAGCAAGGCTAATGTCTGAGCCCCGGACATATTGAACTTCAAGTAAATCTAGAGGCACGATGAGGGACAGGAACAAGCAGAAACTTAGGGGTGACTTGTTGATATTTATCCTGATCCTTCTAAGCCACAAGCCTGTTTTCTGTCATGGTTAGTTTTGCCGACGATCTAGGTGATTTTAGGCTAGAAGGCATCGATAGTGTGTTCTATGGGTAGCTCTAACATTTCGATCTTCATCTCGATTCCGATTCAATAACCATCGAGGTAGACGTAGCCTTAAGGCTTGGAAGAGGAAAGCCTCTGTTCCTGGTTCCTGGCCGAATGTGCACCTTTCCTGCTGTGTCTGTAGGCTAGACCTAATAAGACGATATCCGACCATTCGGCCCGATCTCCCGGGATATGGAGTAAAGGATCTATATGCATCCTAAAATCTCGAGACTCATACAGAAATACGCGGATCTGCAATCTCTCATCACGCAGCGATATTCACATATTTTGATCCTGGACGCAATGAGCCCAGACTCTTTTGTAAAATTGAATTTCAAATTCCCTGACTAGAATTATGGAAAATCCGTGTACTGTTTAGCCCTCCATACCCACTTGATAATAATGGTTGACGGAACATTGATTCCCTTGTCCAAAAATGGATCCGCGTGTTGCCTTTGGATACTGTGAAGATGGTACGGTTGGTACCCGCGTGTTGGCTCTTGCTATATTTAGACTGAAACCCAGTGATTTCCGAGTTGTAGGTTGATTTCCTGAACATAGGTTACTAAAGGTAGTATATTCCGGTTTTCTAGGCCAATCAGAAGAGCGGAAATAATGGAGACATCTAGTAACTTTTACTAATTATTGATACAGGGAGCGCTCGTAGGCAGTGCAGTCAAAATGCACAGGTTGATTCAGCTACATTTGCGTGTTTATGGTATGGAGTACTCTTAGGTAAATAAAATAAGAGTTAAATAATCAGAGCTATTTATCATGGGTAACCATTATGAGTTTATGGAGGCGGTCAGAAGTATTGGCCAATAGTATCTATATATCCATCTCCACTTCGGTATACGCTAAAATTCATCCATACGACAAGAGCACAAGTGAGAGTGACAGTGAAAGGAATGCTAAGTCCATTTGAATGTCTGTCCATTAAGAGATGGCAAGCGCAAGTCGTCACTTTTATACATGAAGCTTTCTTTTACAATTGGTCCTCACTGATAAATGCTGAAGCCAGGTCTCCACTTTCAATATTGATACTATAGATCCAATTGACTGGGCAGGAAACGAGTATTAAATGAAGTCCAAACTCCGGACATATGCTATTTAGGAAATAATAAATAGAAGAAACCATAGTCGTAGCATCATTAGAGACAACGCCATAAATATCAGATAGAACAAATCCAGATCAAGCTCGCATAGCTCGCATGCGGTCCTTCAGCATATCCATTTCTTTATCAGTTTGCTGCTCGATCTCATCTTCCTTCATCAAAACCGCACAATATTCCCCATCGCCATCAGGAGCTCCGACGGTAACCCATACAAATTTTGTTCCGTGGCCAGGGTTTGGACGTTCTTGTGTTCCCTGCCAATACATCTCATGGGGGATCTCGTCCGGAGCGGAGCGACTGGATGGGGGACGACCACCAAGTCGTCCAAACTTGATCCAGCATTGAATGACCTGTTTGATGAAGCTGATCTTTTGGAGAAATGCATTCGCGTCGAGGACCTCTCGGATTCGCTGTTCGACTGAATTCATCGGCTCTCCCTGTGTGATGTTGAGGAAGGTCGCTGCTTCGTCTGAGGCGATGGCGCGAGTATCGAAACCAGCTGGGTGCATCTTGCCCTTGGCAGCGAAGTATCGCGCCGCGGAGGGTGAGAGGTGGTAAAAGTCGATCCAGGGCGAAGACGTACGTGTACGACCAGGCGCGATGACAAGTTTGGTATGGTCAGGGAAATTGAACTGGAAAGCACCATCTCCAAAACCCCAGATACCAACGTTGCCGAGTCGCTGATAAAACTTGATGAACTGAACACTAGGGGGAGTTGATGCAGCAGCATCTGAAGGCCCTTCATCACCATGGCGACCAAGAGATCCAATCATGTACTTTCCAAATTGATCAACCAACTTGACTCGCTTGACTTTCTCCATATCCGCGCATTCAAACTCGGTGCCAGAGTTGGCCCGCAGTCTCATAACTTTCGAGGTCTCGGGGTCAAACAGCGCTGGGTGAATGAGTCCGCACCGAACCCCTCGGCAACCGATAATATCATCATCGTAGTTCTCGTAGAACTCTATCGGGGCTCCATTACGTGGGACTAGTTGCTCGGATTCTGAATATGGTTTATTCTTCTCCTCGCTGCTGTATGCCTTGCGACGAATGTGTCTTTCACCGTCCCGCACGACAACACTGGTGGCTGGTCGGCCATTTTCTGCCTTAAAAACGCAACCCACACTCCCGTCATCCAAAACGTAACCAATACCATAACGGTTCGTGTAATCAACCCACTTGATTACATAGGCATGTGGCGGTTTCCTTGTTCCACTCCGGCGCCGAGAAGGCTTACTCACTAGATTGTTGAGCATCACACGCAACTCGACGTTCACATCGATTAACGATGTTCCAGGCAAAAGCTTCCAGGTATCCTCTCGATGAAACAGAGGACTGATACCCAGACTTGATCTAGCCTTTTTGCTGTTTGACCGTCCAATACTGGGAGCATTACGTACTGTTCTCGGTTGCTGACTTGAGCCAAAGCCTGCCTCACTTTGCATATTCTTTCTTCCGTCGCTTGATTCTGCAGCGAGCTTCAAGTCGCCACGGGAAACAGAGCGGAGGGCGGAACGACTGGCCGGTCGACGCTCCTCTAGCCTTGCTGCGAGTTTTGCATCAGCCATTGGAATTATTGCAAGTTGTGGTCCTTGATTAGCAGCTTCCATTCTGCGAGATTGAGACCTTGTCTTGCCAACGGTAAGCCCGGTTGGCATGCTAGTCGACTTGGCCAACTTTGCAACCGCTTTTTTCTCAAGGTCACGGAGAGAGGGAGCATTGGATGTGGAGACCAGACGTCGAGTGCGAATTGGACGCTCAGCGAGGCCACCAGCTGGCGCATCTCTGCTCGAGGACGAGAGTTCGGGTTGTTGAAGACGGGAGGGCCGTGATGAAGGTTCTGTCTGTTCGTCTGCATCGGGTCGATTCCGAACAGGTAGTCCCCCCGAACGACCTTGCTGACGAAGAGTTGCCGCATGATTTTGACTCTCCATCCGGCGTTGTTGAGCAGCCAGAAGAGCTGCATTGGTTTGGACAGCGTTTTGAAGACCAGACGTACCGTGGCGCGACAGGAGGCTGGATTCGAGTGCTGAATCCTCACCTCGTGGGGGCTTTCGAGAAGTTTCCATCATACACCAATCACCATCAATTTCATGAGGCCATTTGTAGACAAAATCCGAAGGCAAAGGGATCCTGGGACGAAGACCCCGGGCATCCTCAACTTCGCACTCTGAGTAGGCTGACTTCGAGCAGTTTCTGCCTACTGACTTCCGTGGGTTCCCATCGGGCTTTTTTCCAACACCACACAGGGAATAAAAGGCTGCTTTGCAAGAATGATACCGCTGGCTGGGATCGACTACATGGGTCACGTAGGCGCGCAACTTCTCATCCGTGTCTAAACCGTAGCCTTTGATCATGCAGTCACCCCGAGGTGACTCGTCCTTATACCAAATTGGCTTGTTGAAACGAAAAGAGGGATCTAATTGGCGGGGGATGCAGCCGTCGTACATGTTGAAGAATGGGTGCTCAACAATATCGTCGGGGTCAGGTCTTTCCTCGTCAACTAGATTCAAGCAAGAGCTGACTAGGTCTTTTGCTTCCTCGGGAATGAAGTTGTTGTTTTCCGATTCTTTGGGCCAGACGTAGGCCAAGTTCCTCACTTTTTTGTAGATTTCTTCTTGTGTCTTTGATTGAAAGGGCGGATATCCCGTCAACATAGCAAAGCTGGTAGAGTAAGGTTAGTCAACAAGAAGTCTACAAACTCCCTAGTTATACTCACAATATAACACCTAGCGACCATATGTCCACCATTTGATTATGACCGCCCTTGCTCTTATCGAGAACTTCAGGAGCAATATAGTTAGGGGTTCCACAGAGCGTGTTTCGTCGCTTCGCATCCTTGTCCGAGAGAATCATGGCAGCAAGTCCAAAGTCTCCTACTTTGATATTCATGTTATGATCTAGAAACAGATTGCCCATCTTCAAGTCGCGGTGCGCGACAAATCTCTTGTGAAGATACTTGACAGCAGCGCAGAGTTGAATCATGAAACGGCGCACTTCTGGTAAAGTTAGACATCGTCGCTTGCGAACCATATCCATTACCGACCCATTCGGACAAATCTCCAGGACGACATATGTATTTTGCTCGAATGTGAATGCGCGGTAGAATTGGACGATAAAGGGGTGGCGCATTTTGGAGTGTATTTGAAGCTCAGTTCGAAACTATATGAAAAGTCAGTATACATTAATCCTACCATCACACTTCCTCCTGATTTGTCATACTTTTTCTTCCATTTTTTTTTGTTGCATTTGGGACTTGACAATTTTCAGAGCAAACACGCGACCATTCCGTCGCAATACACCCTCATAGCAGATAGCGAAGCCTCCCTTTCCCAGAAATGCTCCCGTAGAGTATTGCTCTCCATCTTCTTCGGGCTCGGGGACTATTGACGGTGGTGGGTCGGCATGGTTTTTGGAAGACGACGATTTAGAGGGAGGAGCAGACTTTTTCTCAGTTTTCCGATCCATGATGGGTTGCGGTTTGATCATCTGATTTGTTGAACGCGGCGAAAGGGCTTCCATCATGGGTGCGAAACGATCTGGGGTATAATTGGCGTCGCAGATCTTAGGTGCCTTTGTTAATACGTCGCAAGATGTCAAGAATGTGGTGAAAAGGGTATGAAGCGGAAAGGTCGTAAGAAGAAAGCAAAAATCAAGTGGGTGATTCAAGATCGGGTATCAGGGTAACTGTTAGAGACGATATTGGCGTCCCTGCAAGTGTCCGGCCGTCAGCACCTTCGTAATTTGACAGATCCACACTCAAACGTCTGAAATTGAAGTCTGCGGGAGACAACTCCAGGGGTAGGAAGAATCAAGAGGAAGGAATACCAGAAATGCAAAGCGCTAAACAAGCAAAGGCTATTAATGCAGAGCCCCCGTAATTACGGAAGCGAAAACTGAGGAGTTGAAGTAGGGAGAGTGAAGCCAAGCAGAATTCGGACTGGTTCAAAATAGATTTCCCGAAATGGAAACGGATAAACAGTGGTTGCTGAGGTCAGCATCATGTGACCCCATAGCAACGGGGATAATGCTAGAAGAGATTCCTACTCTCTATGATGTGACATTAGTCTATTGGAATATTGCCTACATGCACGTGTGCAGTTCGTTGATGTGGGTCACTGATTCAATGTGTAAGCTTTCATTGATTTGATATAACTATATCAAAATTGAGCGCCTTTGTATATTGCTGTGTCCGCTTCAAACAGATCCTTGGAACCATTAAAAGCTTGGCCAAATTCGATTTTGAAACAATGCCATGCCAGAAAAGATTTACCAACAATTTAAAGTTGTAGAGTATATTGAACTATCTAGGTAGATTTCTCAGCTTGAGGTCATCTACATCAAGCAGTAAATACGTACTATTGTATACTCCAAAGCGGGGGTAGCCGCTGACAGGAAAGACCGCGGGAGAAGTACGAAGATCTTAATTGACAACGATGCCCAGGGGTTATTTGTAATTATAATTAACCAAATGGCTGGCCTTAGGCAACCTTAACTAGTAAGTACCTATATAATATGGAACTGATTCATGTCAGGAATAGCACAGAATGAGGTAGCCCGAAAGTCGAAGCAATTTGACATCAGACTGGAAACTAGCCATTGGTAGTGAATACTTCGTACAGTTTCGAGTAAGCGCTGACCGGGATGAAAGTGGTTATCCTCTAGTGTACTATTCCGCGAGTGCTGACTTAGCGTACACTAAGCCTATTTAGGATTTTCGTGGGGGCCAGCCACTTGGTGCGAATAACGTCACTTCCAGTGCGTCAACGAGGTTCGGCAAAATGTCACTTACATTGAAGATCTCGTCACTTGTAATCCGAACATTATCTAAACCTATCGCAGTATGCAAATATCTCGACTCGTATCAACTTAACCCAGCTAACTTGAACCGCGACTCAGAATCAAATCAAAGCCCAGGCTCGCGAACATGAACGTTTCCGCCGCCTCTGTATCTCAATGGCACAAGGCCTCCATAGGATCGATATGCGGCTTCGTTTAGGTCCTGTTCGGGCCAAAAATGCTGAAAAAGTCATGACAGACGCCCGAGTCGAGCTGGAAAAACTGACACCATCATCGCCAACCGTCAAAACAGCAGCTGAAGTGAAGGCAGAGGAAAAAGCTTTAGCAAAAGTGAAGGCGGCCTCCGAAGAGATTGCGAAGCCCCCATATCATCGTATTCGTCCGCTGTCCGAGACTAAGGCCATTGAGTCCGGCGCCAACTTTATCAGCGAGACATTCCTCTTCATGGTAGCTGGCGGTCTGATATTTTACGAGGCATGGCGATCCAAACGCAAAGAAACTACTAGAAATACCGGTGTTGAGGATCGTCTAAATGAGCTTGTGCAAGCGGAGAAGGCTGCACGAGAGTCTCTCCTCGTCCTAGAGAAGGAACTGCTGCGGCTAAAAGCCAAGCACGGGCTGCCCAAATCAACCCATCACATCCTGCCTCGTGAAATATGGGAGAAAGAGTCTGACGTTGAGACAAAGGATGAAATTGAGGAGGGGTGGTTTGATTGGGTCAAGAACTATATCCCCCTTGGCTCCCAAGCTACTCCCCTATCCCTACTCCTGTCACCGAAGCTGTGAAGGCAGAAAAGACAACTCCCAATCTGTCTACCCAAACGAAGAGCTCGTGATCAAGCTCTTGTTCACTCCCCTCCTTTACTCACGTATAGAGCATCAGGTCGGCGTTTTGCGTGCTTCTTGGATACCCTTTTATCCTTAAGCCCCAGGCTTTTGTTAGAATTTTTTATGTTTGCATATATACCATATATGGACTATGGAGGATGGTGTTGACACTTCTCCTATTGTCATATACATGATCCTTGATATCAGCATTAGACGCCATATTATCTCCTCTCATTATCTCTCCTCTCATTATCTCTCCTCTCATTATCTCTCCTCTCATTATCTCTCCTCTCATTATCTCTCCTCTCATTATCTCTCCTCTCATTATCTCTCCTCTCATTATCTCTCCTCTCATTATCTCTCCTCTCATTATCTCTCCTCTCATTATCTCTCCTCTCATTATCTCTCCTCTCAAAAATCATATAATCTCTACTCATATCTTGCCTACTCAAACACTTACTCATTTCGTTGAAATGCTTCGAAATTTGGTCTTAGCCTCTGACAAATATGACATATATTTCAAGGAATAGGTACGGTATTTGAGCAAAGTGTCCTGCAGCTACAGTTTCAATTCAATGTTTGCAATTATACTGAAGTCATCCGTACTCGAACGCTGATCTTCAGTCAATACGATGTCTATGAATCTTAGAATGGGTGTAAACGGGTGCCTAGATACCTACCCAGGTAACAAAAATTGTTGAATATCTTAGTCAACTTCTGTAGTATATATTGATTGGGTTACAAGGCTTTAATTGTTTCATGCCTAATGACGTCGATGCCCGGCTATTCTTAGCGCCCGAGCCACAGGCCCTAGACCTAGCCTTAGTACTTCCAGAGCACTTAAACAATCGCAAGATCCAGTGTACTAGTGATAAACTAGTGACTTCCTGACATCCTGAAAGTGCCGATTCTGCCGAAGTTGCCGGATAAATACCAGTTTGCCCCCTGAATACTGAGGCAGCGGGACTAGACCCTTTTGTTGTGGCGCAGCGTGTTTGATTGGGTTTGCCTACGTAAGTCCGACTTCCGTTACCCTTGTCTCCCTCTAGATCTTGAATTTCGACCTTGACACAATTCACTCAATTCAGTTCCGGCGATACATCAAACCTATCCCCTTGGTCGATACATTGTCGCCTGGGCGAAAAGATCCCAGGGAGACTGACACATTATGGTGAGTTAAACGCTGTCGCAAGACCCCTCTCCATTTTAAACTAACCCCGCGGCCATCTCTTAGGGTCAATCACGACGTCCCCAAGGCGGGGAAAAGAAGGGTCGATTTGGTCGCTCTAAAGCAGTTGCCGATATAGGTGATGGCCGATCCGGGGGAAGCCCCAGGTCAAAAAGGCCACCTTCGAAACCGGCAAGAAGAAGGAGATCGGCGTATCAGATCTTACACTGTTGAGTAAAATATCCAACGAGGCAATCAACGATAACTTGAAACTACGTTTTGAGAATGACGAGATTTATGTAAGGAAAGCCCTCCTATACCACGCGAACTGCGGGGCTGCGGCCGAGCGCAAGGAGTATAGGCTAACGAACGTCAAATTAGACCTATATCGGCCATGTGCTGGTCTCTGTCAACCCTTTCCGAGATCGTAAGTAGAGCTGCTGGGTATTTTGGATACACCTACTAACATCTCCTTTCAGTTGGTATCTACACCGATAATGTCCTTGATTCATACCGGGGCAAGAACCGTCTCGAAGTCCCTCCGCATGTATTCGGTGTCGCCGAGTCCGCATACTACAACATGAAATCATACAAGGACAATCAGTGTGTTATTATCTCCGGAGAGTCTGGTGCTGGAAAGACCGAGGCCGCCAAGCGCATTATGCAGTACATCGCTAGTGTCTCCGGAGGCAGCGACTCATCCATTCAACAGACTAAGGACATGGTACTCGCTACAAACCCTCTGCTGGAGTCGTTCGGTAACGCGAAAACGTTGCGCAATAACAACTCGTCTCGGTTCGGAAAGTACCTGGAGCTGGAATTCAACGCCAACGGCGAGCCCGTGGGTGCCAACATTACTAATTACCTGTTGGAAAAGTCGCGGGTCGTCGGCCAGATTGTTAATGAGCGAAACTTCCATATTTTCTACCAATTTACCAAAGCTGCACCTCAGAAATATCGCGACAGTTTCGGTGTGCAGCAACCGCAATCGTACGTTTACACCAGTCGCTCGAAGTGTTTCGATGTTCCGGGAGTCGACGATGTGGCAGAATTCAAAGATACAGTGGATGCGATGAAGGTGATTGGTATGAGCGAACCAGAGCAGGATAATGTCTTCCGTATGCTGGCGGCCATCTTATGGATTGGAAATATACAGTTCAAAGAGGACGACTCCGGCAATGCCTCAATTACAGATCAGTCCACAGTTGATTTTGTGGCTTATCTGATGGAGGTTGACGCTGCTCAAGTTAACAAGGCCCTCACAATTCGTCTCATGGAAACCGCCCGTGGAGGCCGCCGTGGTTCCGTGTATGAGGTTCCCCTCAACACTGTCCAGGCTGTTGCTGTTCGTGATGCTCTCGCCAAAGCAATCTACTTCAACTTGTTCGACTGGATTGTGGGGCGCGTGAACCAGTCATTGGCTGCTCGCGGAGCCGTGAGCAATTCGATTGGTATTCTGGATATCTACGGATTCGAGATTTTCGAGAAGAACTCGTTTGAGCAGCTGTGCATCAACTACGTCAATGAAAAGTTGCAACAAATCTTCATCCAGCTGACTTTGAAGGCAGAGCAGGACGAGTATGCCCGCGAGCAGATCCAGTGGACTCCGATCAAGTACTTTGACAACAAGGTTGTGTGTTCATTGATCGAGGACAAGCGTCCTCCTGGTGTCTTCGCCGCTTTGAACGATGCCTGTGCCACGGCTCATGCCGATTCCAGCGCTGCTGACAACACATTTGTCGGTCGTCTGAACTTCCTCTCCCAAAATCCTAACTTTGAGGGCCGCCAAGGCCAGTTCATCGTCAAACACTACGCCGGTGACGTGAGCTACGCCATCGAGGGCATGACAGATAAGAACAAGGACGCATTGTTGAAGGACTTGCTGAACTTGGCTGGATCGAGTACCAATACATTTGTGCACACCCTCTTCCCTAACCAGGTCAACCAGGATGACAAGCGTCGTCCTCCAACTGCCAGTGACAAGATCAAGGCGTCTGCCAACGATCTTGTTGCTACGCTGACGAAAGCGCAGCCCTCCTATATTCGAACCATCAAGCCCAACGACAACAAGGCCCCAAGGGAGTACAATCAAGGCAACGTAATGCACCAGATCAAGTATCTTGGTTTGCAGGAGAACGTGCGTATTCGCCGTGCCGGTTTCGCTTACCGTCAAACCTTCGACAAGTTCGTCGAGCGCTTCTATCTATTGTCACCCAAAACTGGTTACGCTGGAGACTACACATGGACTGGTGATTCGATCTCAGGTGCTAAGCAGATTTTGAAGGATAGCAGTATTCCTGCGGAAGAATACCAGATGGGTATTACCAAGGTGTTTGTCAAGACTCCGGAGACTCTTTTTGCTTTGGAAGCTATGCGAGACAAGTACTGGCATAACATGGCCATTCGGATTCAACGAGCGTGGAGAGGATACCTTGCTTATCGTATTGAATCGGCCATAAGAATCCAACGTTTCTGGAGACGCATGACTGGCGGACTCGAATATCTCAAAATTCGTGACCAGGGTCACCAATTACTAAAAAATCGTAAAGAAAGACGAAGAATGTCTATCCTCGGTTCTCGTCGCTTCATGGGTGATTACTTGGGTATAGGAAACACGGGTGGCCCCGGTGAGATGATTCGCAACGGTGCCAACATCAGCAGTAAGCATTTCTCAAGTTCCTAGATTTTTACTATTCTAACATTTTATACAGGTTCGGAAGAAGTTGTATTCTCCTGCCGTGGAGAGATTCTAGTGTCCAAGTTTGGTCGATCCAGCAAACCTCTTCCTCGAATGATTGTTCTTGTAAGTTTAATCTTGTGGAAATTTTCGAACCACTACTGACATCAGTGAAGACCAACCGACATGTATTCATCGTGGCCCAAAGCATAGTCAACAACCAGCTTGTCATCGCATCCGAACGAACTGTTCCAATCGGCGCTATTAAAGCTGTCAGTGCTTCCAAGCTAAGGGACGACTGGTTCTCGCTGGTCATCGGTGCCCAGGAACCGGATCCGCTTCTCAACTGCGTTTTGAAGACGGAGTTCTTTACCCATCTCAACATCAGTTTGCGTGGCTCCTTGGACCTGAAGATTGGTGATAGCATCGAGTACAACAAAAAGCCTGGCAAGCTGGCTACCGTCAAGGTAGTCAAGGATCCTGCCGCTGGCAATTTCGACATCTACAAGAGCTCCACCATACACACTGGACCTGGCGAACCGGCTAATTCTGTATCGAAACCTTTACCCAAGAGGAAGGCTGTTGCTGCACGTCCTGTGACATCGGGCAAACTTCTCAGGCCTGGAGGCCCAGGGAATAGCAAAGGACAATTGTCCTCTGCTGCGCGGAGAGGCCCCCTCCCGCCGCACAACCGATGGTACAGCCTCTGCCTTCGAGGCCCCAGCCTGCAGCTGTTCCTACGCCCGCTGCACAGCCTCGCATTGTTCCAAAACCTGTTCCTCAAGCTGTTCCAAAACCTACTCCTCAAGCTGTTCCTACCCCAGTTGCTGCGCACACTCGTAACACGTCTAACAGCGCGAGAGGACCCCCGCCTCCACCCCCATCAGCACCGCCCGCCTCGGCCAAGCCCACAGCAAAGGCCCTTTACGACTTTAATAGTGACAGCGCCAATGAGCTGTCGATCCGCGCCGGCGAAATTGTACAGATTGTCTCGAAGGAAGGAAATGGTACGTCTGAAACAACGTTTTCTATATTATCAATCACTGACTCAATCTAGGATGGTGGCTATGCATGAGCACGTCAACCTCCACCCAAGGCTGGACTCCAGAATCGTATCTTCAGGAACAGGCCGCCAGTCCTCCGAAAAAGAAGGCCCCTCCTGCCCCACCTGCGAAGCGACCAAATATGAAGGCTGCGCCACGCGAGAGCACGTCAGGCGATTCATCGGGAGCCAGTACACCCAATGCCAGTTTGGCCGGTGGACTCGCCGAAGCATTGCGAGCCCGACAAAGCGCCATTCACGGTAAAGATGAACAAGACGATGACGATGACTGGTGATTTCAAACTATAGCGCTTGGGGCGGTTCTCGTTTCCCTTTTTTGCGCTTAGCGTTTTTCAATTTCCTCCTGTTCACTCTTATTTACCCCATTTCTTTTTCTCCGTCTCCTGGTAGATCCATATCACATGGATCTACTTTTTTTTACATTTCAATGTCCCGACTACTCCGTATTTACGCTAGAATTAACGGAATCCGCATTTCTGGCTGGGTGAAGGGGTTGGCTAGCTCTAAAAAGCTTACCCTGTATCTACATAACAAGAGAGTTTTATGTTACGAATATACACAGTTTCAATCATCAGTTCTTCATTTGTTATGCGAAATTCATCGTGAAACGGAAAGCGAAGTAGAGAAAGTGATGGAATGATGTTCGCTGGACTTAATACTGAGCTATAATGCGGCAGGATTGCCCACCGCCTTCATAACTTCAACTACGAAATAGTTTAACCGTTCATAGGAACTTGGAGGCGAGAGACATCAAGCCACCAGTACCGGTCAGGCCGCCGCTGTTTCCGGAAGAAAGATACATCTTAAGGGCCATTTGAGCGGCGCTATTCACGGCGGACTGTTTATCGCCAGACTAAACAAAGAAATAGCAAGTTAGTATATAATCTATCCATTCTTCACCTGGAAAAAAAGAGACAAGAAAGATGGAGTACAAATACATACCAAGTTGGCACCCTCACCACTCTTCTGGTCCCACAAGCTTGAGGCTTGCGACATGGCAAGGCCAATCAACTTGTTCTTGTCAAAGCCACCATCACTCGACGAACCGGAGCCAGAAGTGAACAGCTTTAGAGCCTGCATGGCAGCACCAGCGCCGAGGGTATCAGAGCTGTGCGACTCCTGCTGTCCAGAGCCCTGGTTGCCATAAACAGCCTGGTGAGCATTCACAGCCTGCTCCTGATCGATGTCGCCGTTGGAAATGTTGCTCTTGTTCTGCTGCAGGAAGGAAAGGGCGTTGTCGAAGAGGCCGCGATCTGCGCCGGAGTGGTGTTCTTGTGCGTGGCTGGCTGCGGAGCTGAAGTCTTCGTGCTGGTCTTGGCTTCCCTGGTAGCGAGTGTCGTTGTACTCGCCACGTCCCTGTTGGCCGTAAGATTGCTGCTCGCCACCTCCGTATTCCTGCTGACGGCCACCTCCGTATTCCTGTTGACGGTCACCTCCATATTCCTGTTGACGACCACCACCATATTCTTGCTGCTCGCCGCCTCCATATTCCTGTTGACGGCCGCCGCCGTATTCCTGCTGACGGTTACCGTAGGAGTTATCACGATCGTAAGACATTTTGAATGATTTTGATTTTATTTCAAGAGATGGAGATGGGAGGAGTAGAAAGAGAAGTTGGATGAGGGGGATTTAGTAAACACGTGTAGCGGGGTGGATTGTTGACGTAACGTGGCGGGGTGGAGTAGTTATAATCGATAGACCAGTTATATAACTCCATGTTTGTAGTGGAGTTTAGGCTTTGGTTTCTGTATAAATAGTAATTAGGTAACTGCGTAAATATAAACGAAGCTGTACACTGGAAATTATATTCAATGCCACGCTAATAAGAAGGAAAAACCCCAGGGTATCAGATGCAGCCAAAAACAAGAGAATATCAAGATAAAGAGCAGATAGCAGAACTAGAATAAAAACGAATCGTGTTCCTCATCAGACAGGTTTCGCAAAAAGCGTAATTGCCTCTCCTTCGCACTAGTCATACACCGCCCATCCAAATCAGCCTCTCGACCCCATTCATTCGGAAGTTCAACAACTCCAGCCGGCGCGTTCCACTGGCGCCGCTCATACTGCATGAACCCCCCTAGATGCGGATCAGTATTTGCGACCCAGATCGTTGAGCCGTCGGGCGAGTAGTCCGCGCCGCCGATTTCGCCGAAGAAGTCGTGCACCTGGCGCGACTGGAAGAGCTGGGCATCGAGGATTGAGATGCGGTCGGCTGGCTCGCTGCAGAGGAGTGTGCGGGGGCCACCGCCTACAGGCGAGAAGCGGAGAGAGCGGTAGCCTGCGACGTCGGAGTCTATCGTTTCGAGGATGCGCCAGGTGCGCGCGTCCCAGATCCGGACTGTTTTGTCTTGATTACTTGTTGCGATGTGGCGCATGTCTGGAGACCAGGCGCAGGCGAAGCCGAAGTCGCGGTGGCCGCGGAGGGGGTGCACTGGGCGGCCCGTGTCTGCTTCGATGACCCATGCGTCTGGGGAGTCGCCGATCACGACCCGTAGTCTGGTGTCTGGGGAAGTAGCGGTGCAGTTGATTGGGCGGGACATGGTCTGGTCTGAGAGGAAGACATTTGTCTCGCAGTCCAGCACGCGAAGGTGGCGATCGTTAGAGGCAAACACGCAGATTGGAGACCGGCCGGTCCGGTTGGGAACGACATCCACGTGGTTCGTAATGCCGTCGCTGGGGTCGGGGGTCACCAGGCCCTTTGCCCCCGCTCCTTCGTCTGCAGCTAAGGCGTATTCGCCGCAGAATCCACCTGCGATTGTAAGCCCGTGGGCTGTTTTCATGCTGGAGATTTTGACGGGGCCTAGGAATGGGGCGTCGGAGCCTGGACGCTCGAGGTCAATTAAGCAGCGGATGCTGTCGTAGTCTGGTGTCCACGAGTAGATCTTCGAGCGACTAGCGAAATGCACGGTGTTGTAGGCCGGCACAGACATGAGATTGCGAAGTTGGAAGTGCTCGATACTGGCTTTGTGCGCGGTATGCATGGCCTTTTCTCGGAAAAATGTTTCCGTCGATTGCAGCTGGGCTGCATCGCAGATATAATGGTAATCGAGGTTATGGTACGAGGTATACCAAGCGTCGCGGAGCGAGCGGGCGTCAGATCGCTTCACCTTCAGGATATCCGCCCATGGAATCTGCTGCAGGTCGAAGACACCCCGTTCGTAAATGTGAGGTCGACGGATGCTCAGCGGGGGTTCCAGTTCATCATCTTTGACAAAGGACGCAGTACTGGGGGCGCTCGATTTTCAGCGTGAACCCCTCGGTGGATGGGTGTTGTCTGAATCACCCATCGTTGGATGAACTCGTCTACAGTGAGGTTTCGTTCGTATGCTAATATTTGTTAGAGGTTGATCAAAAAGAAAGCGACAATACGGGGCCGTACTCGCTGTATGAATGATAGATGTAGGATGGAGTTCACCTATTCCTGACTCGTCCGGAAAAGATTCCGTCGTGTCTGCTGCCGCCTCGGGGTTGATATCGGGAGTATCGTAATTGACCCGCTGATAGAAATCATCAAGGTTGATATCAGCTTCCGGTATCCATATATCACGGCGGTAAACATGTTCCTCGCCGGGGTAAAAATGCAACAAGTCTAAGTCGTCGTCCGAATCAGCGGTTGACGGATGATGTTCGATAGGTTCGTATGTATCCTTCATGGTGGTGTCGTCATCATTTGAGCCCTCTGGGCTCAGGAAAGCACTTTCCATGACCATGTCGCTGTCAGTACAACCCGGGGACCGGGAACGGGTCGAGAAATCGAACGCCGGGCTCGTGTGGAAATCACCTGTCACGGCGTTCACGACCTCGGACACAAGGAAAGAGCTATTCTCCTCGTTAACAGCACGTGGGTACTGAGACACAGCCGCAAGGGCCGCAACCCCCACATTGCGCAACCGTTGATCAGCCATGGTATGAATCACGCGCTCGTCACCAAAAGAAGGCCGTCGGGGTGAAAGGGTTCTGGTATTCATTCGCTGATGCGTTGACACTATATCAGCTAACCCATGATTTAATCCGGGTTGGCCTGAAGTGGAGAGTATATGGGGAAATGGAACAGTAGGAGGATTACCAGGCATTGCCCGACATGAGGAATGTGAAGGAGGAAAATGAAAGGGCCTGTAGCCGTATGGCGGGGTAAGTAATGGCGCAGTCCGGGGTTGAGCAGAGCAGAAGAATAAAAAAGAAAAGGCCAGGAACGATGCAGGACGAACACAAGAAGACCGTAAAGCGTGATTGGTGGTATGCGGTAGTACCGAAGTAAAGCCTCGCAATAATCTGTCGAAAGAAAACCCGGTTTCGCCTCAATCAATTCTGTCCGGCACCTGACTTGGAAAGGCTCTCTCCACAGGGACGTGGTGCTACTTTGTGCTGCTCTTACAGATTTTACTGCACGTCTGCAATGCGATGCGGGCAAAACACCAATACCGGGGACGGATTCGGCGATAAGATTGCAGACGAAGGGGGGTAATCCGATTAAGAGGGGGTCTCGTCCGGGGGGATAGATCGGAGGATTTGAGACTTGGATTTGGATTTGGATTTGGATTTGGATTGGATTGGATTTGATTTGATTTGATTTAGGATTTAGGCTGTGAAGTTCTGGACGCACCGCACACTGAATTGCCACGGGGAGGGGGGGAATTGCACGATGTGGATGAATCAGATCAGTATGGGGCGGCACTCCGTATTTCGTATTGCGTACTTTTGAAATGACAGGGAACGTGTCGGTAGGATGAACGGCGACTAAGGAAAAAGTACGGAGATCTGATCCTAGGAGTTTGTAAGATGACGAAAGGGGAGATGTGAGTGGGTCATATACAACAGAAGAACGGGAAAGTCTCTATGAATAATATTTGAACTTAGAGAAATACTGAAAACATTCTTATTGCTTTTAGTTCTCGATTCTCGAAGCTGAAATCTCACAGCTAAGTATTACTCAGCAGTACTGTAACTACTAAGCCCAGGTGTACCTGAATACAGGCTCAGGCTATAATCCCCGATAGACTGTCAAATGCATGTCCAGATGGAAGATGCATGGATCGCCCTGTAAAGAATAATGCAGGGATTCGACGCAATGCAGATCTGGTAAAAGCCCTGTGACTAGCGCTTCGGATGAGATTTATGCCACACAGACCTAACACTCGTATGCAGTTTATACTATATCAACCGGAGACTTTGAAAGCGACGGATTCTGGAATGCTATACATGATACCTAGGTACGAAGATACTACACTTGAATCACTCTGTACATCGAAAAATGACATCAAATACATGAACCACCGATACATCGTCAAGTTTTGCACAGCAAGGGCTCCAAATGCACTAATTATGTAGAAAAACGCCCGCCTGCGAGATTTGGTATGTGAAAGGTAAGAAATAATAAATCACTGGAATTATGACTACTCTCGATAGTCGTTGTACGGATCTTGCGAGTATCCACTCGGAACGCTGTTTCGTAAACGTCGTTCTAACATAGGTTCCAAGGTTAGCAATGCAACATTAACGGAAGGGAAAAGGAAGCCTACCTCTCTCGAAATCACGCCATCTCCTCATCGTGATCTGGGAACTATCAAATTCTCCCTCCTCATCTCCGTGCCCCTTGTCATCCCCGCCAGCCGTCTTACGGGTATCACCCCAGCTGAAATCGTCAAACTTCCAGAAAGCATAGACGGGGAGAACAAAGTTCCAAATCGGCAGAGAAATGATGTAGATGAGCATCCACAAGACATAGACGGGCCGGTGGGCAGTCACAACAATCAAAACACCTGGAAGACCCAGGATCAGAGCGAGCAGAATCAGAGGCAGAATCTGCACTGGTCTTCGGACAATTGATGAAACAACGACGTAGATGGTAAACGAGATGGCGGCTGGAAGGACGAGTGTACCAACCAGCTCGATGAAAATGACGAACTGCATACTGAAGCAGAATGTTCCGCACAGGTCGCGCACCAGAACAAGCTCGAACAGGTTATGCACCGTACTGTTGATCCAACGGCGGCGTTGAGAAAGGAGAACCTTGAATTCGTCGGGGACCACGGTCTTGCAGACTGACTGCGGCACAAAGACTTGCTTACGCTTGGGGAATGTTTTCAACATCAGAGTCGTCAGGTATCGATCCTCACCGAGAAGAAGCAGGTTCTTCTTGTGCAGGGTATCAACCACATTCTCAGAATAGTGCTCCACGATATCTGGGTTGGCTAGGATGGGGACCCAATAATTCTGGCCGCCCTTTGGAGCTTTGATGCGATACATGGAGAAACAGCCTGGAAGACAGGTAACACCACCAAACACAGACTCGAACGCCTTGGCCTGGTGATGAGAGATGAAGTACTCGAAAACTTGGATCATGGTCACCCAACTGTCAGTCTTGTTGGCAATCTTAGTCTCGCCACAAAGACCCATGATATCTGGATCCTTGACCATGGCCGAAACCATGTGTGTCAGACTGTCGGGGAAGACCTTCGTATCGGCATCCACCATTAACACCATCTCGTAGAAATCGGGAGGAAGACCGGTGACATTCCAAAGACCGTTGAACATCTCAAACTCCAATTCCGTCATCCGCTCATCGAACATGACCTTCTGCAAGAAGGACATGAGAATGATCTGACTGTCTCGCTTTCCTCGATTTCCGGGCTTGGACTGTTCGGCCTCTGCAGGAGTACCACACTTGACGACAACCATCATCGGGACACGCTGCTGCTTGTCCAGTGGGATGATAGAGGTCTCGCCATAGTCATAAAATCCAGTGTAGACCTTGGACATGTTGTGTCGCTTGGAGCCAGACGCGACAGCCACGTAGGAAAAGGGCTGGACCTCATCCGCAGGAATGAGCAGGTCCTTCATCATGCCAATGACGATGTCGGGAGTCGAAAACTCTTCGCCTTTACCTTTGATAATACCGTCACAAATAACGAGAATTGTCTTGTGGCTGTTCGGGTAATCAGTCGTCACAATAGAGTCCAAGGTGGTTCGAATTCCTTCCTCGCCTTCAGAGTAACAGGTGACCAAGCATAGTGTATGAGCTAGAGGATATCCAAAAGGCTCCCATTCAGGTGGAGGTTGCGGGACGACAGATTCATGGGTAAACTCGTTAGAGCCGGGGCCGTCCGAATCGGAGTACGCCAGGTCGTGCTGTCCAGGGGGAACCAGACTGCTTCGACTGACAACACCGGGTCGAGAATTCTCAGCGCTGAAGGAACCACTGCCATTATGGCTGGACTTGTAAAATGTACCGCTCGTCGTAGAGGTCGGCATGAGATGGGTAGTCGAGTTTTGACCGGCCATGGTGACATATTGGGAAGCAAGCTTGCTGCTCGCATTGTTAGCAGCGACGTACGGGCTCGAGAAGCGAGACGTAGTCGGGAGGAAACTGGCACGCTTGCTCCTGCGATCGGGGACAGTAGGATCCGCAATGCGAGGAGCCGGCCGATAAATATCGTTGGACCAGTCTTCGATCTGCTGGTTACGGGTGTGGGAATCTGAGCTCATGCTGGTCGACGTGGCGGCAAACCGTTTCGCCAGGAACCATTTAAAGAGCAGGGCAAAGCAGAACTTGACCACGACAACGGAAAGAATGAAAATCAGAGACACGTAGAGGACAACCTTGGACGCGATACATCCTACAGCGTCGGTATCGATGCTGCCCACCTTGATAATCTGCGTCAAGCATTGGCCGATCTTCTTTTCGTTTTGAAGATAGTAGGTGAGGTCGACACCACGCACATCTGGGTTCTCGCGCAACTGATCAAACCTGTCGGGGTACGACACTTGGGACGTGTTGAACCAGCGCAAGAGGTCCAAATCCAAGACACTTCCCGAATACACGGCCAGATTGCGACTCTTGTTCTTTGTGTCTTCCCAGGTGTAGTACACATCTCCAGAAGGGGTTAGATTCCAGAAGGATTTCCGCGCGGCGGAACTGGTATGACAGGCCCAGCCGTTATAGTAAGGGGTGGTGTAATTAGGATCTGAAGAACCGTCCTGGTTGTATGGCTGGCAGGGAAAGTACCATCCCATATCCCCATCAGAGTTGGTTGGAATGTCGCTGCCATCCTTCGCTGTGATAAGGCCCTTGCAAGCGCCGTTGACCTCCTGGAACATGAAACTACAATCCTGGCCACCGTACTTGTGGGAGAGATCGTATAAAACGTTTGTGCCTGCTGGAACACCCTCCGCAGCGGGGTGAGTAGAATGCGTCAAGTCGAAAATTTCACCATGGAAGATCATATAGCCAGAGCCCACTTCGTTGACCTTGAGACGGACTGCTGGTGAGCGACACACGGTGGCGGTAAAACCGAAGGTCAGGTATCCGACAAAGGCGCCGATCAAGAGAATGATGCTGATCAGACCAATCTTTTCTCTCCAAGCGATTCGCTGTTCCTTTTTCGGCATGCCAAAGCACTTGAGCACAAAGTCTGGAATCCAGAAACTCACTAGCGAACAGTAAGTGGTCCACAGATCTGGCGGGCGCACCTGCTCCAAGGCTTTCATCCGAACCCGATCATCTACGGAAACGCTTTTTGAAATCTTCCGCGATGATCTGCTCCTCTTCTTCTTTTTAGAGCGACGGTGACTAGGGGCGCGATCCATTGGTTTGTTCACATTCCCCCGAGCGCCGTATAGTTGTTCCTTCGATCTCGACTCCATGCTCCGCGCGCTATTTGTCTCTCCCTCATCTCGGTCAAGTAATGGAACGTCTCCTGGGGTTGGGTATATATTCGCGTTTTGGGATCGCTGGCGACTATGAGCTGAGCGCTGTCGCGGCGATCTCACTTGAGCTTGACTTCTGCGGCGTCGCTCGCCTCGCTCGCGCTCTTCATCTGTTTCAGCACCTCGTCGGCGACTTTGCGAACGGCGACGATGACTATGGGAGACGGGGCTGTCGCTGAATGCGCCGGACTCAATATCGTGGTGACGTCGACGGCGAGAGGGCCTACGAAAGGCATTTACTTCACGGCGAGGTGAGTCCTTGCCAGGCTGTGGCAGAGACATGTTTCTACTATGGTTAGCCAGAGGATAAACATTGGGAGAGGAACTCGGCCGAGATCAGAAAACTCGAAAATTGATATCTGCGACTTCCAAATCTCAGTTTCTTTCACTCACACTTAAAAGCTCCCTCGGACTTGAATTTTGGTATGCGGTAATCGATTAAAACATATCCACTCAGATAAAAAGAATTCCCCAGATCGATCTCCACAAAGAATGCGGAGGTAGGAATGTAGCAGATGTAAGAAGCCGAACAAACGAACAAAAGATCCAAGAATGAATATTGGGATCTCTTGGGGTTCGGAAGGGGTTCTTTGGTGGCCCGTGGTCGACCGGGGGATGTGGAGAAATAAACAAGAACGGACCACACACACAGATGGGGCCAAATTGGGTGTTTAGAGTTGATGGGGGGTCGTGGCAATAAGAGTCAAAAGTAGGAAATGATGCGATTTGAAATCAAGAGATTAATAGGAAGAAAGAGGAGTCTCGGGGTAGAGATGGTGAAACACAAATATCTAAAGGGTCTTGGTGGAGTAGCACCACTTCAGGGTTCTTGGTTACTAACCATAGTACGGAGTACGGAGTACACGATAACTAGTGGTTCGCTAACTAGTCTGTTGTCCTCCTTTTATTTTTGAAATTATTAATTATTATTTTCTATCTATTTATATTTAATTCTTACACAACTCACAAAGAATACTCAAATTAAATCACAGTGTCCGACTTTCAACTAAAACAGTGGACCGTAACCTGAGACCTGGATTTACTAACTTGATCTGTCTAAACCCTTAAAGGCTACTACAACCGAATGATTGCAGGTGACTATTCTTATGCTTAAATAGTACATTCTACATAAATTATACCACTTCCATTGGATCTAAATCTGAATCATCCTCCATTCTCAGTACTAACTATCGTAACTATTCCTTCTCTCATATCATCTACATTCGTTTTACCCCAGTCTATATTCCTGCACTGTTAAGGCATATGTATGCTTGCTTAAGATATATCATTGTTTTTGCCAAAATCCCTCAACAGCCAAGCCTCGAGTTCTTGGATTCTCGGGGTTCAGGACTCAGGGGCTTAAGGATAGATCAATTATGGAGTTATGGAGGTCAGATCGAACTGTGAGCAGGCGATCTACTCTGTATGATCTAGAGGTACTCCATCCCATACTCCGCATATCCGACTCATTTTTTTCCTTCTTTCCTTTTTTCTTCCCCTTCTTCTCTTTTTTACGGTTATTACTACCATGGCACTGATCTGATTTGGATGAGCCACGTTTTCAATTCATGTGGTTCAACATGAATGGTAAACATGGTTCGGACCGTGCGATACTTTGGGGGTTCAGATGGAAAAAGTCAATTCCATGATGCGATATGATTATGTTATTGAGAATGTCATAACTAATTCTCCTTGACCTAGAAATAAGTCGCAATTGTACTAGGCTCTGCCAAGTACCTTTGCCTTACTCCAGGGCACATGTCTCATGCTATGTACTTTGTTTGGTTCGAAGGAATACTCGTGTTATACGAGGACCAATCATAAATCCGGACGAAGAATGGGTTAATTATAGATTACCTTCCCCATCTTATGGCGCGTGATATGTCTGTTTTATATTCACATTGTAGGCAGTCGCCTACAGCTGCCTACGTCGTAAATGCCTAAGTGCCTAAGCGCCTAAGCGAGAGGACCACAAAGAAGAAGATGAAAAAAGAATATACAAAATGAGAAATGAAAAACCCCAAAAACTGATAGAAAGTGGAGGCGAACTGGTTCGAGTCTTTGATGGAATTCCGCTTAATTACGCCCCCTTCACTCTTCTCTTAATACTTATTTCTATCAGTACATAGTACATAGTACATAGTACACAGCACACAGCACACAGCACATAGCACATAGCACATAGCACATAGTAACCAATAATCAAACAAATTAACAAACAAGGTTATAGGTAAGTTAGGTTATTATACTTCAAGATATTGCGTAATTCATCTCCAGGTTTAGGTTGCGATCCACAAGCTGACCTGACCCTTTCTCCACCAGTTTCCGACCTTCTCTCTCCATAAGCCCACTCTTACTCTTACATCTTAGCATCTGTCCCTCACTATTTCACCTCTTCCAAGTTCTGAATTCTTGTGAGGTGTCGAAGAAGCAAAGAAACATGGCTGCAGCAGGAATGGCCCTCCCTTCTCCGCCTCCAGCTTCTTATCTCCGATCATCTCCTCCACCACACGAAACAAGATCCATCCAAAATCGACCCTCGAACTTGAACTTTAAACAATCAACTACCGAGTCTGAAGATGCTGTGTATCACCAATCACCTAGCTCTCCCGTCAGAATTCATCGTGGAGGTTCTATTCCTCAAACTTCCAGTGCGCAGATCGAGAATTATCATGGCCCGCCAACCCCAATGCTGGACCTCCCCGACCTCAACGAGTTGTCCTTGAATGACCAGCCACCGAAACCACCCCAGCACACTTGGAATCCCCAATCTCGTCATACAAGTGGATCTTCTTGGTCGGTAGTCGAGCCTCAAGCCGTCTATAACGATATCCCTCCAGTACACCCAGAACCTACAAAACCCGAAACGAGCCATCCCCCGGATAAGCAGCACGTCAGTGGCCCCGAAAGCCCGACTCCCGACAGCTTGGAAAGTTCCTCGCAAATTTCCGAGCCCGAACCCCTCCCATACCATCATCAACATGTGGAAAAAACACAGGCTGCCCGCATGTCAAGACTAGGCATGAATCTGGCAGATGGAGGCTCAACCGGGAATTTGGCATCGCGCGCAAGACTTTCGCGCCCAATGTCGACCTATTCGTCAGCCTCAGACCATGGAAATAAACACAATTCCGGGTCACCGTACCTCAAGCCACGAGTCGCCTCGAGGAATTCCACTGCATCTCCTGATAACCGCATGTCCACCTTGGATCTGATGAACACATCCTACCCACAACCCGGCCCGAGCGGGTCGCAATTCAACAACTCGGCTCTCCAGTCATCCGTCGGCAACCATGCCTCCCTGCTCAGTCACAAGCAGACATTCGAAATGTATCTGACCAACGTGAAGAAGACCGACCAGTCCGGCTCGCAGTATGAATTTGCAATCTTCATGATCAACTCCATAAGAGAGTTACCACCTGCGAAACCCGACGATCCAGACCCAATCACCCCGGCGCGGCTCATGAAAGAAGCAAAATCCATTCTCCAGCGTCTCGCAGACCGCAGCTACCCATTCGCACAATACTACCTCGCCGATGGCTATGCATCTGGCTTATTCAACAAGGGCAAACCAGATCTCGATCGCGGATTTAGTCTATTCATGGCAGCCAGCAAACACGGCCACATCGAAGCCTGCTACCGCACAGCACTCTGCTACGAATTCGGCTGGGGATGTCGCAAAGACGGAGCCCGTGCGGAGAAATTCTACCGACAAGCCGCATCCAAAAACCACCCGGGCGCGATGCTCCGCATGGCCAAAGCCTGTTTGACCGCCGACATGGGACTAGGAAAACGGTATCGCGAGGGTATCAAGTGGATGAAGCGAAGCGCAGAGATAGCCGATGCGCAGTACAACTCGGCACCGTACGAGCTGGGCGTGATGCACGAAACAGGGTTTGGTGATGACATCTTCCCGGATCAGACCTATGCGGCACAACTTTTCACCAAGTCAGCGGAACTGGGCCATATCGAAGCTGCCTACAGACTAGGCGATGCATATGAGCATGGAAAGCTCAACTGCCCACGCGACCCGGCCTTGAGTATTCACTTTTACACATGTGCAGCGCAGAATGATCATGGGTTGGCGCAAATGGCCCTGTGTGCGTGGTATCTCGTTGGCGCAGAGCCGGTGCTCGAGAAGGATGAGAACGAGGCGTATGAGTGGGCTCTTCGCGCCGCTCGTAATGGTATAGTTTAAATTCTGACCTTGACTAGAAATCATCTAACAATTTTGCAGATCTTACAAAGGCGCAATATGCGTGCGGTTACTTTACCGAGATGGGTATCGGCTGCCGTCGCGATCCCCTCGAGGCCCGAGTGTGGTACGTGAGAGCGGCCGAACAAGGTGACGAGCGCGCAAAACACCGCATTGCAGCAATCCAAGCCGCATCCGAGGGAGTGAATCCAGCTCTGGCAGCACAGCCTCCGAAGCAGACACGGAGATTAGAGAAAGCAGATAAAAAGGCACACGTAAAAGAGTCAAAGGATGAAGGTACGAGCTTATCTGATAAAATATCCTGAGTGAAGTAAATCTAACGAAATCTAGATTCCGATAAGTCCAAGCAGAAACGTTTCGTCATTTTCTGAGCGTCTGCAATGTACTGGTTGCATTGCATTGCATTAGTCTCCGCCAAATTCTTCCGATCTTTTGTTCATGATATCCCTGTCACCTTCACTGATGGTCGAGTATCATCCGTGACACAAGCCATCTACAGCCCGTATACCCACCCTCCTTCATTTTAAAATCTGCATCCCCTCACTCCCTCGAGCACGGCTCTCGATTCACCCCCACGAGCACTAATAAATACCACCAAACCAACGTTTTGATAGTGATGAACCGAGAATCAATACGGTATCATACCTTTCTCTCCCTTCTTCTATCCATGGTTTATCGGCATAAAAGGTAATATGGCGTTGTGCTTTTCTGAGGCTTGAAACTTAGCCGATATGATTTATGCAGATCATCCCGTCTCCATACGAGCGGTCTTCAGTACTCGGTACTGTGCTAAATTTGAATGAAACAGTTTGTTGTTTTTCTTTTCTTTTCTATAGCTGTACACTCAGTATATCTAGGTATTTGCCTACACTTAGGTATGAATGTCCCTAGTAGTCATGATGTAAATAGTCCGCCATGTATCTAGGGATTCATCGATAAAATTATCAGTCGGGTAATAAGACCACGATCTTCGGTTATTTAACTAAACTAACTAGATCTCAAAGCGTGCATTCCCCAGAGAATCTGCAGAACCCCGCAAATCGTGCTATGCCTCCACGCTGACGATGCAAGGTTAAAAATAAAAGGACTGGTGGATAGTACCTCGGCAACTCTCGCTAAACGATATTAGCAGCCTCTAGGCGTCAGCCACAGAGCCAGGCGATTGATGGAAATATCAAAATGTCCGAGACGAAAGAATGAGAGATATTCCGACGGGATGGAAATGCCTCATTCCAGACAAAGCGCAGAAAGAAAAGATATAGAAGGGCATCATCGATCTGTAATGCAGGTACCTGCATCTTTCCCATCCCATCCAATCTATTCAAGATGAAACTCACCATTATCGTCCCAATAGCCCTAGCAGCCCACCTAGCCCTCGCATCTACCCCAAAAGCACTACCATCAAACCTAACAATCTTTACCCCACCCCAAAACTACAGCATCCCCCGAACCCTCTACGCGCGAAGCACCCAACCAAATCCGCAAGCCCTCCTAGCAACATGGGAGAACTACTCGCCCGAACCACCTTTAGTCTACTTTCCAATCTACCGCTCAGGTGACTCTGGGAGCACCTGGACAGAAATCTCCCAAGTGCACGACACAGCTAACGCCCTCGGATTGCGTTACCAGCCTTTCCTGTATACCCTCCCCGAAGCAGTCGGGCACTGGAAGGCTGGGACGCTTTTGTTGGCGGGGAATAGTATCCCGACTGATCTCTCTTCTACGGAGATAGATATTTATGTTTCTGAAGACGAGGGTGTTAGCTGGAAGTTTCTGTCAAAGGTTGCGAGTGGTGGGGAGGCGGTTCCTAATAATGGGCTTACGCCTGTCTGGGAGCCGTTTTTACTTGCGCAGTATGTTTAAACTTTCCAAACCCCAGGATATTGAGTGTAGATGAGAGTTGGATGTTGGATGTTTGCTAATTATCACCAGTGACGGCAAATTGATCTGCTACTATTCTGATCAGCGCGCGAATACGACTTATGGACAGAAACTTGTGCATCAGGTTTCGACTGATCTGAAGAATTGGGGTCCCGTCGTCGACGACGTGTATGTTCCAATCGTCTACTATCCCCGCTACTTAGCTTATGCTAACGCTTAGCAGGGTCTACTCGACTTATACGGATAGACCAGGAATGCCAGTTGTAGCAAAGGTAAATACCCCAGAATAGAATCCATCAATTCGCTACATGGGCAGAAAAACTAAACAGTACTGATCACCTGGGCAGCTACCAAACAACAAATTCATATACATATACGAATATGGCTCATTCTTCAACACAACAACCTACACATTCCCCCTCTACTACCGCTTAAGCACAAACCCAGAATCCATCCTTCAAGCTGAGGGCCGCCGACTAACCGTATCAAGCGGAACGAAGCCGACTTCGAGCCCATACGTAGTCTGGACACCGTATGGTGGGAAAGACGGGACTATCATCGCCAGTTCCGGGAGCTATAGTAGCTTATTTGTTAATAGGGCTTTGGGCGAGGGAGAGTGGACTGAAATTGAATCACCGGAGGGCACTAGTTATTCGCGCTCTTTGAGGGTTTTGGAGGAAGGGGGTGGACGGTTTTTGGCGGTTTTTGGTGGTGGGGTGCTTAGTGGGAGTGATAATCGGGTCAGTGTTAGTGTGCTTGATTTGAAGAATTATTTGTGAGGGGATCAGAGGACTGAAGGTTCAAACTGGACTTTTATGGAAGGTTTGAAGTTTCTAGCTTTCTATTAAGTTTGTTTAGCACGTTTTTACCTTGTGGGAGGCATGGTAGCGGCCCGGCCACGCTTCCATAGACTTTAGGTCACTGCTTCCTAGGTTCCAGGGTTTATCATATGTACATACTTTCGTTTGAATAGATTTCCTTGGCTGTGACCTATCATTGACTAAGCTTAAACATGGATATCGACATCTGCTGACGACGAGTCGTAAAGGAGCTAGGCAGCGGGGTACAACTGTCCCAAAATTATACTGAATCGAGCTCCAGGGCTCTTGACATATAAGCGGCCATTATTCAACCCGTTTTATATTCACTATTTTCTCAGTTCTGGTTAAATTGGGGACGGTAAAGGCACAGATTCGCCTGTGCAAGCTGTCTCCTAATTCAAAGCGAACCACTGCGTTGAACAAAAGAGCCAATGAACCGCCCACATGTATCAGCTATGCAAAGAACTTCCAGATATCCACGATGCCATACAGCTCACGGTTGAGATTGATCAGAAAACTCCCTGTGTGCCGTCAAGACCGATGAAGCCATCTTCTAGGCTCTGGCTGACCTTACAAAGGATCTTCCGGAAGCCTCCTCTCGCATACTGCAGAGATCAACACAGTTTGGTAAGCAATACTAGGCGAGGATATTGGATCTCGTAGCCGCAGCCCGAGGAACATTGATGACAGAAGGATTCTAAGAAGCCTTGTTGATTTTCATCTCAGATGATACAGAATGGAGCCCTGCACAGCAGCTCAATCCTGTATACGCTGCACTAGCCAGCTGCGGTAGTCTGATCATAATCAACGAAGAAGACTTGACTGCGAGGGTGATTCGTCGCAGCTTTAAACAACTCTTTTCTGAAAAATTCACAATAAAGCGCGCATATATGAAAATTTGCAAGATGTACTACAATACCACAAAGGTGACTGTCAGTACAGCAGTGACACATCGTGTAGACATCTCGAAATTCGGAGACTTCCTGATCAATTGACAGATCAGCACGTCTTCGTATTAGGATTGAGAGGAGAACAGAAATGAAACAAGCTTATTTCTCGATGGAAGATAGCATGGACTGTGGAGTCGAAGAAAAGACATAAGAGACGACTTCTACTAACTAACATGTGAGCTCAGAATCCCTAGGTGAGGGTGGCATTCGCCGTTGATTGTATAGGTGTCTGCACTTAGTCCCAGTGGTATAATTGTCTATACAAAGTCTCCTGCTATCATATATTGGTCTATATAGTTCTACTTCTCATCTATCCTTCCACATACGACCACAGGGTATGGAGAACAGAGCTTCCCGTCCGCTCAGCCGTACTTAAGCCACCTATGGAACGCGGAAAATAGTCCAAAAGCCCTTCGCACCTAGCTCACCCTAAAGCAGCGATAGAACTCCCCTTAGCGTGAGGGTGGGTGATATAGGTGAGCTTGGGTGAGCTTGGGTGAGGATGGTGTCGAAACGATGGTTTGACTGGTCTTACTGTTGCATATGCATCTACTTTGTAAATGTATCGTTGCGAGTTGTAAGAGGTGTGTCATTCAATCTTATTCCTCGCTGTAACTAAATAGATAAAACTCGCTAGATTCACTTCATGTCGAACCAACAGCATCGTAACCATTCTCATTGGTCCTGTGCCCCACTTTGGTCTAGTGGTATCGACACACCCTAAAGCTCAAGATCAGTAGGAAGTTCCGATAGGACTTCGAATGTCTGCCACTAATACCTTAAGCCTGTCTGGCTATATCTTTCCATATAGAACAGTGTACGATGATAAAAAGATCATTTAATAATCAACCAAAATTTTCAGTACTTAACTGACTATGAGTGTGGATTACATTGTACAGGTTACGTATTAGTTAAACGCGAAGTTACAACTTCAGAGGTCTGCTCAATTGGGGCCCAGGGACGCTGTAGAATTAAGAAGGTTCCTACCTCCAGTGGATCCGGGTGCCTGATTCAAGAATCAAAAGCGAGTAAAACCTAGGAAGCGAAAGTTCCATAGCGCGGATTGATGCCTGATCTCAAGGCAGCAGCCACATTGTTGCCTTAAATTTTTCAGGCCACTAATAATTGATAGTCAACTGTTGACACTTTAAAAACCGCATCTTCATCTAAACCTTCACCTCTAATCCTCCCTTATCAAATTTCACAATTCACTTTCCCTTCCCATTTCTTTCCATCTGTCTGAATTCGTTCTCAATTTCCTCACGGGGACATCTCGTTTTCGAGTCCGTTTCTTCAGTTCAATTCACTTCACTCAATCTGTGGTTTTCCACTGTTTATCCATGGCTACCAGTGGCAGAATTTGGGGAGATCTGGTGATTTCCTCAGTTGGCACTCACCCAAGCCTCCCGCAAGGTAACACTTTCCCGAATTCGAGAATTGTTCCAATTATCAACAAGTGGGGCATGAGTTGACGGAACATTGTTTTACTATACAGCACAAATCAAGGCCCTTATCACCAATACAACTGCCAAATTTCAGGCGGCTGTGGGATCCAATTGCACGCATTTAGTCGCTACTGCAGAGAGCGTGGATAATTTCGCCTCGAAATGTGAGTCAATTCCATCCCACCACTGCTAATAATCAAAACTAATCCTATCAACAGACATGAAGGCCATCACTCTCCCGGAGTGCAAGGTTGTTTCTTTGAAGTGGCTTCTGGATTCCTGCGCTCAGGGAGCGCCTCTAAATGAAGAAGATTACCTTCTCGGCACCAGTCAAAAATGGGCCCGCGTTGATGGAGATACGAATGATGAAAATGACAACCCTACGGCCCAGAGTGCATCAGTCCAGGCTGCTCCAGCATCAGATGCTCCGTTGAGCGCTCGTATGGCTCGTGTGTCTACTAGAATCGCCACAGCAGCTGTCAAAGCTGAACAGGCCGTTACATCCGAATCAGTTGTTGCAGCTGAAACACTCGAAGAAAAGGGTAGAAAGCGTCCGATGAAACAACAAGATCCGGAAGATTCGGAAGACGAGGCTCAAGAGACAAAGAAGCAGAAGAATTCCCAGAAGGCTACCTCAAAGACTTTGAATATCCCAGTAGATCCAACTTTCTTTTCCGCAGTTCGCGCCATCCAATCTCCCAAGGTGTACGTTGACTCTGACGGCCTGATTTGGGATGCTGCACTGAACCAAACATCGGCCACCAAAAACAATAACAAGTTTTACTGTGTGCAGCTTCTGTTTGAAGAAAGCACAGACCTGTATTATGCGTTCACCCACTGGGGCCGTGTTGGAGAAGTGGGATCTTCTGCTCTCCTCGGAGACGGAGATCTCAAGTCCGCGACAGCGCTATTCGAGAGGAAGTTCAAGGACAAATCAGGTTTGCAATGGCAAAGCCGCCTCGACACTCCGAAGAATGGAAAGTACGCCTTCATCGAGAGAGATTACGAAGATGACGAGGAAAAAGACGGCAAAGTTGAGAAAGTTGAGAAAGGCGTGAAAGAGGAGATTAAAGATGAGCCGACGGAGATGCCGAGTCTTTTGGCCCATCCCATCCAAAACCTTATGGATTTCGTCTTTAACCAGGACCATTTCCAGTCCGCCCTCGCTTCGATGAACTATGATGCTCAAAAGCTGCCTTTGGGCAAGCTCAGTCAACGAACTCTCTTGAGTGGCTTCTCGGTCTTGAAGGAGCTGTCAGAGCTCATTGATTCTCCCGAATTGGCTGCATCAGATTACGGAGCTGATTACAAGAGTGTTACGGAACAGCTCAGTAATCGCTTTTTTACCATCATTCCTCACGTCTTCGGCCGTAACAGACCTCCCGTTCTGGCATCACATGCTCAAATTAAGGTGGAAATTGAGGTTTTGGAGAATCTGACGGACATGGAGCTATCCAATGAGATTATGAAAGACTCCAAGAAATCCGGCATCAATCACCGTGATCGTCAATTCCAGAGTTTGGGCATGGAGGAAATGACTCCATGTAAGTCAAATTTGTTACCATGCTGCGGATTTATACTGATAATTTAACAGTGGAACATAATTCGAAAGAATTCATCGAACTGGAAAATTATCTTACCGGGTCGCGTGGAACCAGTCATAACCTTCAATATCAGGCAGGCATAAATGGTCTCTTGAAGTTGAACGAAACTGACTGTTATAGGTCCTCGAAATCTTCCGCATTGAACGAAAGGGCGAAGAGGAGCGATTCCAAGCATCCCCCTACGCTAATGTTGAGTCCAGCGACCGCCGCCTTCTCTGGCACGGCTCTCGAAGCACTAACTTCGGTGGAATCCTCAGCCAAGGTCTTCGCATTGCGCCCCCGGAAGCCCCTGTCAACGGCTACATGTTCGGAAAGGGCGTCTACCTAGCCGACGCATCCAGCAAATCGGCCAACTACTGCAACCCATACCAGAGTGGCAATAAGGGGTTACTACTATTGTGTGAGGCGGAGCTTGGAACCCCAATGTTCGAGCTTTACTCAGCCGACTACAACGCCGGTGAGAATGCCAAAGCGGAAGAGAAGATTGCTACACTTGGCAAGGGTCGATTCATTCCTGGAAATTGGAAAGATGCGAAGTGCATCAACCGCTCACTGCGTGGTGTAAAAATCCCTGACGTTGATACGCCAGTCGGAGAAGATTCCCAGGCAGGTCTCTGGTACAACGAGTACATCATCTACGACGTTGCTCAGATTCGTCAGCGCTATCTGTTTTACGTCAAGATGTAAGGGGCCCGTGCAGGGTTAATTTTCCTTTTGAGCGTTCTATTTTGTTCATTTTCATTGTTACTGGAGTATGGAGTATGGTCTACCCCCGTTTCATCTGTCTGTCCTTCCCCATTTCCCCCATTCCCCTTCCCAATTCCTCTTCCCAGTTTATTTTTTTATTTCCATTCCCTTTTCCCTTTCACTATGACTGGAGTTTGCCTCAGGAGGAGTTTTCGATTATCCAATACCCCAATTCTTGAATTCGCACTTTCTTATCCACACCGCGGGGAGGTTCGGTGATAAAAGTAGTTTTATTTCTTGACTCAAGCTCAATAATCCAGGATCACGTTGAAGCGAGTTAAACAACGACATCCCTTAAGGACAATAGTTAACAGCACCCAAATCACCTCGCCATTCAAAATGCACCACATCTACAATTCTCCTCAATACCGTAGGCTCCAAAAAGCTCCTAGTTGCATCCGCTAGCCAAGCCATATTTGCTTGGGGATTGAACCGACAAGCACTGTAAATCTTATCCATCTCTACCCTCCTCTTCGAAACCTTCGGTCCGTTGCTTCCCAAAGTTCCATACGGCCTTAACGCCTCCAACAAACGCTCATACTTCTCAGCTTGAGAAGAATGCTCGCATGCAGGATACTGCGTAACAGGTTGCACGCCATCCAGTATCTCATAAACCTTATGATGGGATCCGAGAATAGCCCAGTTGCAATACCCCATCACAACCAAAGCCCCAGTCTCCGAAGCCTCAATAACCTCAATTGCCGAATCAAGACACTCCCCAATTACGGAATCAAGAAATCGACAAAGATTTCCACGGACTCCACGGAGTATAACGTTCTCGCGCTGTTTTCGCAGGATGTCACCACGGAAGTCGACAAAATCATTAATATAGACAGTCGCGTCAACAATCTTCATAAACTGCTTCTCACTAATATGGCACCCAGTCGCCAGTGATGCAGTCATAATCCCATGAAAGGCGGCAATATCGATGTGGCGATGAACACCAAGTCCCGTCATCCGACTCCCGTAGATACCATCAGGCAAAAACGGCCGCGAGTGATCACGGAAATACCCAAGAACACGACATTGAATCATATAAGCAGCCAGATTATCAAATTGCCAGTCAGAGACACGCCCGGCCAGATTACACAACTTCAAAAATGACATTGCCGCCGCACCGGTCTGCTGAAGCATTTTCAATCCCTTGGCATCGGCAGCCTCACAGTAATCGCCGATCAAGATGTCATTGCACGAGTCTGCGATGGCGCGTGCGAGGCCTTCGTCGCAGCGTCCAGCGCCGCAAGCAATGACACCGAAATACTTTGCATCGCTGCAGAGTTTGATCTGCTCTGATGTAGGGTAGAGCTGGTTTGTAATAATTGTATTTCCATCAACGCCCTTGTTGGGACGTCTATCTGGGGCTATGATAGTCGGGGTAATGGTGCATTCGGGCTGGCAAGTCTCAGGAGTAGGTTGAATGTCGGTGTTTGCCAGAATCAATTCAGTCACAGCATCTTGAAGCTTCGCGGCTGTGAAGAGGTCGCTTTTCCATTCGTTTGGTCGCTGAATGACTCGTTGCATTGCGTCTGCCATGTTGTGCAATGCAACACAGGTAGGTTTTGGTTTATTTGGTGGCGATTTCTCGCAGTTACAATTGGACTGCGGGTTGTAGCTCTCAGAAAGGAGATCCGTCTCGCCGCATGAGGGAGGGCTCGTACCGCCGAACGTGACTCTTCTATTTTCAATATGAACTTTGAATGAAGTGACTGCTTGGACGAGTTGATCGTGGTCTATCAGATGGTGGATGTTCTCTTCGTTGAATAGAATACCCAGTTCTTCGAGACTGAGAATGTCTTGATCTTGATATTTGAGGTCGCCATTTGAGGTTAACAGCCATATATCTGTCCAGGCGAGGTAGACATGCAGTAGATCCGGCTGGATGCGAGGTAGGACTTTTGAAATCATTATCAGGTAAGAAGGCTTTGATAAAAAGGTGTCTCGAAGGTATTAGTTGATGCTTTGGAAGACTTCCAAGGTTGGAGAGAAGTAAGAGAAACTGTCGAGATCCACCTTTTTATCAACTTAGAATTAAGGATCTTTTTGGAAGATTATTGGAAGCCTTCGGAGTCTCCGTATGTGCAATCAAATTATATAACCATTGCCCCTATCTATGTGTTGTCACCAGAAAGTTAATATGCAAACTTAAGGGTGGCTTCACATAGACTTTTCTCGCGTGTGGCTTGCTTGACCCATACGGCTGAAGAGTGGAACCTTCTACCCCTAGATAAGAGCGTAGAAGGTAGTACCTTATCATGATTCATGAACACGTAGAGTTCTTCTAGAAATCTATTAATACCCGACGACATCGGAGCCGAAAGGTGCAGCTTGGTCCTGCATTTCTGACAGCATGATACGGAGTGTATGGAGTATGGAGGTAGAAAAAGCCGACCGAACTACTTGACGGGGACGCCGAATCAATCGGATTTCTGTAATTTCAAGCCCCACAAACTAAACGGGCTAAATAAATCTTGATCTAAAATACCCGATAGACTCCAAGTATCACGTGGACCATGAATGCCAGACTAATTCATTAGTCATTCATGTTTATTTAGTTTGCATTATAGTTTAGCTTTCTCTTTCCCATTGCAAATTCCCACGCTCGAAACCAATCAATCAGTTGAACCATTTATTTCGTCGGATTATTCAGCATTTAGTTCAACAAAACGTATCCGATTACGTTATCACTCCATGACACCAAGGCTGCTAGACCGCCTCGAAATTTCCGCAAGAACTTTAAACATATCTATGGACGAGTTGTTGGTCCCATTTGTTAAAGTTAGTGCTCAGCAAAGATATCGAATATTCGAATTCAAATAACCCAAAAATCTATTTAGAGATGTTAAGCGATCTGCGGTCAGTGACCGCAGATCGCAATCGCAAATTTGCGATCAACGATTCTTAGATTTTGCGATCATAGATTTTCGAAATTTGCGGTCAGATCGCAGATCGCAACTTTATTATATAACATATCACTTGATAATAAAATCTGTTTTTCGAACTCGTTTCTAGGTAACATTTTAAAAGACTAGAGATGGCTTCAGAGAAAAGGATAACCCGTGGAAATGGGGCTGATCCAGATGGGAGATTTATTATACTCGATAATGGGTTTGAGGATAATGAGGAACCTACTGAGAGTCAAGAATCTTCCCCAAATAAGGCCCTAAATTCTCATGAGTCCCTTGCATTTCAAGAGAGAGCTATCGATTCTCAACCACAACCTACCCTGTCTAATTCTCCATTCTTGTTTTCTAGAGAATCCTCTAGTGTGAGTACAAGACCTTCTCAACAGAAATCTCAGCCTTGGTGTTACCAATATCTACAAGCAACTGTAATTGAGAGGAGATGGGTTTCAAGGAGATGAAAATCGAATTCGCTACATACTCAAGATATCAAATATACTTGTACGATTCCTGAGTGTTCTTATGTGACCTTTAAAAGCGAGCTTGAAGGTACTACAACAAAACATTTGAGGCATCTTGCGACCCATGGTATCTTTCCGCCAAAAAGCTCTAGCTCCCGTACACCTAGTGTTATAGAGTTTATTAAAGAACACTGGATGGTATGTCCAGTCAAAGAACATGCTGATGAACCAATGTGTGGAATTTGGTTTGTCGATCAGCCTGCCTTTCGACGCCACTTTCGTGCTCAACACCCTGGTTGTTTTCTTAATCCAACCAAGAAACGTAAGAACGCGATCGAAAAGCTTATGGGTGCAACAATGATAAAGCATTGGTGCTTTTTAGTGACTGGAGAACAGCTGAGTTTATCAACGAACCTGGACGGGGGGCAACTACTAGTCTTATTGGGTTTTTATTGTGATATCCTTGAGTATCTTGCGATAAATAACCCAGCATTCGCTGCTATATATGGTCATCAATTCCATCGACCAGCAACACGTTCTCAGCCATTCCATCTTATACGGTCTGCTTTAACAGGCCCTGCAGCACCTCCAGTAGCTGTTGTTATAGCTCCAGCAGGGGAGCTGCGCAAGCTGCTAATGGTAATAGAGGTGATGATGATGATGATGATGGCGATTATGATGGCGATGATGATTAAACTGAGTTTCAAGATGTTACTAAGTAGACAATAAAAAGAAATAAGAGCAAGATAATCTCTAAATCAAAAAGATAATGTTATCTGAAAACAGGGTTATGACCACAGTTCGATTGTTTTAGCCTATTGGATTTGTTGCCCCGAAAGTGATCAACAATCTTGGAATTCAAAGGTACGATGAAATACTTGGTCATAATATTTGCCTAATCAGTTGATGGATGATTTCCTAACTAACTAGGGTAAAGAATCGGCTGATTCCAAGAAAATGAATCCATCTTTTTTTATTTACCTTCCTAAATAGGTAAAGACTAGTAAGATGACTAAGATTTGCGGTCAACCGCAAATCGCAACCGCAAGTCCTAAAATTTGCGATTTAACATCCCTAAATCTATTCTTTTTATTCGATGCCGAGCGATAGTTAAAGTTTCTAGGGGTAGGCCCAGATAGCTTTGTTGAATATCTGATGACTTGGATAGAAAAGTGAGATTTATGATTGTTTGAACCAAAAAATAGGCAGGCTTCATCATAACAATACATGAATTCTGAATTGTGCTAGTTTCCACGGCTTGTAACGTAAAAAAGCTGGAGGAAGTACAAACAAATATGAGTAGTGAATAGAGCAGATTTCGTAGGCTTTCTCGAATAGGTACATTTCTGCATACACCAAACATAAAGGAAAAGATCAAAGACGGAAGCCGAGAAGAATAACAGCACATGATGGAAGATCGACTTCACTTTTTCATATACCATTTTTGAGCAATTTGATGCAGCTTTCGGCGATCAAGCTTGTTTGACCTTGTGCGAGGTATTCGGTCAACAAGAAGAAACAAGCTAGGCATCATATGTATTGGCAGGGTGTTCTTGACTTCGGATTGCATTGAATTCATCAATTCATGTACTCGGACACGACTGGTAATTGGAAGGAATGTCATTTCTTGGTCAGGGATACTGGCGACCAAATTTGTTGGGTTTTCAGCAAGATAAACAAAAGCCACCAAGATGGGGTCATCGACGCCATCAACCTCGCCGAGCATGTCAACGATGACAAAATCTCCTGGCGAGAGTGTCTTTCGAAGGACATACTCGACTTCAGTCGACTCTACACGGCTACCGTTCAGTTTTAGCAACGTATCCTTTCGGCCCATGTGCTCCACTGTGCCATCGTGATGGTATCGACCGAGATCACCAGACCGATAGATCCGAGAGGTTGAGGCTCGCGACGGATGAAGATCAGCAATCCACTGGGGAACTTGACTCAGGAAACCCACACCAGGCTTCTGGCAGACATCATCCAAGTACCCACGGGAGAGATGAGGCCCTTCAATCAAGATCTCGCCAACAACGCCCACGGGAACGGGCCGATCAGGGCAGGAAGGGTTAGCAATCCAAATTGCACCGCTACCGGACTTACCCACGATGGCATTACGGCCTGCTTTGGGATTATCGTTGTAGGCGCAGAAAGTAGCGGCCTCACCCATCCCGTACTGGTTAGCAAGCTTCACATGGGGTCCCCATTTCATGAGCAAATCATTTGACATGGGTTCGCCGCCTACGCAGAGTAGCTTCAGCGATGGAACATCGTGGGGACCGAGCTGCATAGCGATCGTTGGGGTCATGAAACTCATGTTAGCCTTCATGCTGTTAATATTTGAGATCATAGCGCGAAGTGTTTTCTCTGGTGTGGGAACACAGCAGCAGCCACCAGCAGCCAAGGCTGTAAGGTAGTCATTGTTGCTGATATCAAAAGCATAATCATCAAACTGGAACACGCGGCTATGGCGGTCCAGGCCGAAAACCTTATTGTAGTCCTTGATCGCTGTGGCGTAAGATCTATGTTCTTGAATGATACCCTTAGGCGCTCCCGTGGATCCACTTGTGAATAGAATCAAGCAGGCATTTCCGGGTTGCACAGAGGGACACACCACTCCACTAGCCTTAGGGAGGTCTTTGAGCATATTTCCAGAGATTGATATCACGTTTGGCACGAGAGAAGTGAATTTTGACACATATTCAGGGGACGTGAGCATGATCTTAGCTTCCACACGACTGACAACCGAGTCAAGGAAGATGGGAGGATCACTAGCATCGATGGAAATGTACGCACCGCCAGCTTTCAAAATTGCCAGGCGAGCAACAATGGCCCAGGTTGATTTCTCAAAACAGCTGAGTACGAATGTCTCCGGACCAACACCTTTGCCAGTCAAACAGAGAGCGAGTCGAGATGTGAGATCATCTAACTCTCTGTAAGTTAGGTTTCCATCCCACGAACAAATGGCAGGAGCGTCGGGGTTCAGTCGGGCGTGCTCAAGCGCCATATCATGTAGCAGGACCTCGTTGGAGTCTGAAACCTCCTTTGTAAACTTTTGCAAGAGAATGAGATCAAGGTCAGAACATAAGTTCAGGGTTTCCAAAGTGATTTCGGGAGATTGGTGTATCGAAGCGACTGCTTTGTTGAAGCTGTGGAGAAGACTTGTAGCGAAGTGTTTAGAAATCTCAGGCGAAGAGAAAGTAAGGCTTGTGTACAGTGTGCCATTTTCGCTTGACACGTTCAGCATCAACTTTGGCTCGGGGATCTAGAAAGACTATATATTAATATTTTCCTTTCAGCAAAGTAGACCACCCCAGGACATATGCCATACCATTAAGCTAGCCTTGTGCGAAACTAGAGGGCCACTAGTATAGCGGATGGCAGAGGTGAGGAAATTATTCTGCTTATCTGGTGCTGGTCCGCTGTCTGCATCAATTGTTCTTAAGCCAGCCTTCACACGACAGAAGTTGAAAACAACATCTTTTAGCTGACGCTCCCCGGCAAATTCAATAACATGGGAATCGGTTCCTGGCTGAAGTGTGTCATCAATATAGCAAGCATTTGACCCAGCGTCAAATCTGAGGTACATAGCTCTAACAGGAGAGAAACAATGCACTACAAGTAGCCAACAGAAATCGAGAATTACTTCGATGTCCACCATCTTAGCTAACTCAGGATCCAAGTGCTCCAAATATTGAGATTTCGCAGCCTCCACAATGTGAGATGCATCTAGAGTGATTGGAAGCTTGACAACTTCCTTTGGGATCGAATTTGTAGATTTTGTTGAGAGTCTAGGGTTGGTAGAGATAGCAAGGACATCACGAGAGACATCGTGCTTAACAGTTGTGATTGCCATGGTCATACAGGTGGAATCGGAATTGTTTATTGGAATCTGAAAAGAACCTCGGACTGCGTTTCATCGACCATTAAAATTTCATGAGGGAAGAATGGGTCCTCGGAAATCGTGGGGAAATAAATAGAACTAGAGCTATTCCTATGGAGTACACCGTACTTTGAGAAATCCACATATTGAGGCCATTTAGGGGGACGCCCATACCGGGGTTGAGCTTACATTTGCTGCATTGATGGCGTAGCTTCATGCATGATATTTCATTAATACTCCAAGGGTGTATTTAATAGGTCATTTGAGGTAAGAGACGGATATACCACGGCCTGAAAGCTGCCGCCCAAGTGGGGAGCTCCAATCCGAAAGGCTAGCTCGGGTATTGTACATTGAAAATATTTCAAAGCTATTCATTGATTGAACACACTTCTAATTGGTCGATTTTGATACAATAATGTATCCATAGATATCAATTGGATCCTCGTAGTCAGCGCTTCATACCTTATTAGTCGTACCCTCGCTGACGGCTGTAATAGAGAGGACTACAATGTAGTAACTAAAGACGACCAACAAGAACAAAGAGTATCAGTGAATGTAGCTGATGATTGTCCGAATACGATTGTTGGGGATTGACAACCTTGGAGCATCGAATGAGGCCCTCGTGTTTTTACTCTATATCCCTGTTTTGCAATGTTCTGATTAATGGGGAGCTGATACTATGGCATCAATTTGATAGTTAAAACACGAAAAATGCCTAAATCGCAAACTGTAGCCAAATCTAAACTAGCTTCAAATGCAGATCCATACGTATACATGGGTCCGAAGGTCTCGGTAGTGGATGTTTATCCAATCCAAAGACTAGAGGTAGCGTGGCGTCAAATCTCGGCTGAACTGCGGGGTCTGGACAATCATAGATCATAATGGCGAATGTCACATGTGTAAAAGCCTTGGAAATGAGGCAAATATGCAGATTTCAAACTTACGAACCAAGTACCAAGATGGAGACATACGAGCTTGAAATATGAGTGGCTCGTGTCAATTTCAATAATTCCTGGCTTTCTTTCAGCCTTGGAAAGACTGTTTGACACATGCAATGCTGACATGCATATGAATATGGATGGTTCGAGATGTAAAGTTCCTGCATGTGGGCTTTTCAGGGATTATACAGTTGGCATACACAAATTGTATGTCCTCAAATCCTAGCCATATGTCTCAGCTAATTATAATCCATGTTTACTGATCACAATAGTCCATTTTGTCATCGTAGCCGATCTTCTCGAGTTCCTAATAGTTTCCCTTCCCCTAGACAATTGGATCAGATCGGGATTTTTCTCTTGGTGATTTTTTGCTTTCCTTTGGACTTGTCTACGACAAGGCCGAAGAAGTTTTGCAGTCATCATAATTGCTGAAAGGATGTTTGGAAAGATCTTGTCCCGTAAAACAAGATCATCTGATACGTTCGTGCTAGTAGCAATGTGCTTTGCATTGTTCACTGTGAGTTGTGCTTCAATGGATATATTGATTCGTCATCGACTAATAGATATTTTTGTGGCAGGATACATTCGTCTACGGCATGGTATTTATCCCCAAACTAGGAGATAGCGGTGCCATTTTAGAAAAATAAACGGAGCCGCTGACATGTCCATTCCAGGTTGTGCCCATTTTACCTTCCCTTCTGATGGAGAATGGTAGCATAAAAAAAGACTCTGGTACTGACCTCTGACTGAACTGATGAATTGACAGGAGCTAACTGATCATGACTAGTCCAACAATGGATATCGCTACTATTGGCAAGCTACGGCGGTGCTCTTCTCATTGGATCCCGTGAGTCTATACTCAGTTTCTTTATTATTCGCATACTGATGAGCATGTGCTATAGCCGTGGTAGGATATCTCTGTGACAAGTATCGCGCGCGGAAAGCACCATTGATCTTCGGTTTTATCGCCATCGTCCTCGCTACCCTTCTCTTCATCTTCTCCCGCCAGCCAATGCTTCTTCTTGTAGCCCGAGTTTGTCAGGGGTTATCAGGTGCGGTTGTGGGCGTTTTGGGCCTCAGTATGATTGCCGAAACAGCCACTCCAGAACACTTGCCAGCATATATGGCTTTTGGATCAGCTTCATTAACCTGGGGAATGTTCTGTGGCCCGATGGCTGGTGGTGTACTGTAAGTTTCATCCTCTATTCTATGAAATAAACGTCTAACATGTCAGATTTGCGAAATTTGGCACGGCTGGTGCCTTTGGATTCCCAATTGCGCTCTTGATTGTAGATATCATTCTACGACTATTGATTCTCGAGGAGGACCAAGGTTAGTCAGCTCTTGAGGCGCATAGTTTCGCGTGCTAACAGAAGCATTCAGATGTGAGCACAGATGCTGAAAGCTGTTTCGAGTCCGATTATCCACAGGAGGCTGCTCCTCTTCTGAAAGGAGATATTCCAGGTGGTGATTCATTACGTCTTTCCTACTTCATGAATACAACATTTCTGGGCCTCATGCTTTCAGTTCTCGTGATTTCCTCCGTTTTATCGGCATATGAATCAGTAAATCCAGCCCCTCAGTTTATTCCTACTCAGCTGACCGAGATGCAGACACTACCTCTGTATGTCATGAAAACATACCACTGGACTAGCATTGGTGCGGGATTCGTATTCCTCCCCGTCACGATACCTTCATTTCTCAGTATCTCAGTCGTCCATTATACGAGACATTTCAAGCCGCGGAATATTGTCCTGACCGGTTTTCTTCTCATGGTTGTACCTACAATAGCCCTGCGGTGGACGCATACCAATACGATCAAACATGAGGTTATCCTGGTGTGCCTGCTCTTCGTGATTGGGATGTGCATGACGACTGTTCAGGCAATCACAATGGGGGACGTCCCTCACGCGGTCCAGAAAATCACCGACCTTCACGGAATCAGCGACGAGAGTAGCGGTCAGGGGCGAGCCTACGCATTTTGCAACATGGCGTTCGCAGCTGGTCAGGCGGTCGGGCCGGTGCTTGGTGGGCTTGCAAAGCATAAACTTGGATGGGGGTTCATGACAATGCTCTTAGCATTTTTGTGTTTGATTGCTGGCATCCTGTCTTATTTTTCCACATCGGCGACTCCGGCCAATTCTCAGGCCAATTCTCAGACCAACGAGGACCCCTATTGAAAACATGGATACTCGAGACAAATTTCAAGTAAATTTTACCGACGTGATTGTTTGGGATATATAAAGATTCTTTCCCATTTTGCTATATGAAAAACCGGCTATTTTGTACATCAATGTTGGTGATAAATCAAAAACTCAATACAAAAGTAGGTTAGACCCGACCCGACCCGACCCGACCCGACCCGACCCGACCCGACCCGAAAAAGAACCTTGAATCTTTCAATGCGAACTCATAATTAATTATGAAGGTGATTATAGAACCACTCCTCGCCTACTATGACCACAGATGATATCAAAATAGAATACCTTATAGATCAGCCAAAGCGCTCGTATAGGAAAGTGACATTCTTCAACCCCTTACTCTTACAGCCCCCGCTCTTGAAGGTCGGGGTAATGATTGACATCCAGTCCGCCACCCAAGCACCCATGCACATTACCTGAGGTACTTTGTATGTATGGAATCAGGCTGCGGCATCGGCCGAATTGTGATTTGACAGGGGACAATCCCCCGTATTTTCCTTGCTTTTCTTTTCTTCATACCGAATATACCGATAGGTAGCCTGTACTATCTTACAAAATCTCTATTCAGAATGGACCACTAAAGATTGTTCTGATTGTCAGGGATTCTGCGATAGGGCTTGGAACTTGGTACCGAAAAACGAACGAGCCCCGACATAACATTGAAAGGTGACCGACTGCAGTTATTCGTAATATTTCATACTGATAATTAGAAGGCCTGGATTCAACTGAGACATCTAAAGACTTCTAAGGTAGTAACAAATTTGAACATAGCGGGCTCACATCCCCAGTCATCTAGTCAGCAGTCCACGCGATGAATTCCGAAGTTATTTGACAGTAGTTTTGTTGTACTCTGAGGCCAACTTCCTAAATTCTGCCGGTCTTTCATATTCTCTCAAAGAAGGGATATCCCCAGCAGCACTAATAGTGATCTGAGCCTTTTGATTCTGCATTCTCAGACATAGTTGTTGCCAGGATAGTTCTGCCCTTTCTGCATGCTGCGCCGGTGTAAGTGGATCACTGTCCGCCAATGTGCGTGAGAAGACCTCGTACGCAAGGTATCCCGTCCAACCAAGATCTAGAATAGCACGGACAATTTCAATGACGGGTAGATATCCTCCTCGGTCCTCTTCACAAAGGAAGAGCCGACAGTTGCGAGACCAGCCAAGGCGACTAGGCTGACCTTCAATGTAGAAAGGATGACCTGGACCAAGTGGCTGGCTGAGGCGCTCTCCATCGGCTATCTGGACGATAAATACCCTAGAAATATCGAGGCTAGTGTACATACGGCGCAATGAGGAGTGGAATGTGGCCTCGGCCGATTGGACGCGGCCATCGTCTGACGTGGGATCGGCATAGATAGCACCGGCGATGTTGAACGTGTCGAGGGCGAGGCCTAGATTGGGTCGATCGACCCCCTGGACAATCTCCCACGATTTTTCCCATGTGTTAACGTGGGTTCCCCACGCGAGGGCCTCGTAGGCAAATTTGATGGCTGGCTCGTGGCGGGCGCCTCGAGCGGCCAGTTCGCGGAGGTCATCGATGATGATGTCGAGATCACCGGTTGTCTGAGGGAGGCCGGTCTGAGGGTCTGCAGGAAGGAAGTTGGAAGGGACCAGAATTGTGTCTGCGCCAAGAATCTTGAGTGTGTCAATCCATATGGGAATGATATTGTCTAAGATGTGATCACGCTTCTGGCGATCAATAAGACCCTCGTAGAAGCGCAAAGGCTGCAAGTTGAGAACTGTGACGTTCAGATTATCACAGTGCTGGCGAACCTGATGAGCAGCAGCCAGGATGGATTCACGTGGAGCCTCAGAAGTGGCTGGTATGGAATTGATTTCTTTAGCGAGAGACTCTAGGTCATCCATGAAGACTTCAATGGCCTTGAAGCCATGTTTGGAAGCTTTGCCAATTTTGTCAAGAATATTGTGAAAATTGCACGACCCAAGGGAGACCGTGGTGATAGCTGGTTTACACTCCATTTGAAAAACCTATGAAAGCTGACAATAGAATTATCAATCAAAGCCCAGATTCAAGAGAACATACTAAGACTATAAAGGCAAAGTGCACAGCATCAGTTACACCCAACCTTGCCCAACCTCGTATCCATGGTATACGTATGTATTATTCATGCATATTCAGATCGACATGCATCTTCCTAGTAAGTCACGCCAAAAAGGAGAGCTCACACGGTTTACGTGGATAGATCCAGAGATCGGCTAAGTTCGTGTAGGTTATGACTGGGCCTCGCCACCTAGTCAGTCGTAATTCCTTTTTTCTGTTTTGTTTGTTATACAACGTAGATATGATATCGACTTGCACAGCTGAGACAATTAGTGCTCACCCCTGCATCAAGCAGCGATCATGCAAGCCTAGGAGGTTGGCTGACCTCATAACATCAATAATTAGCAGCAGCAGGATAATGTAGACTGCATATATAGTGCTCAAAATGATAATGTGTCAAGGTATGCCACCAACACATGCACACCAGAGCTCTAGTTATCCACTTTCTTGCATGCATATTTACCATGCGACCAGCTGCAAGGGAGTCTTGGGAACTGATAGCTCATCAGGTATTATTACCTTTCTATTACTGGACTCTCAGAAATACAGCATTTCCTCGGTTCAGCCAGCCTCGGGAGATGATCCGAAGTCTGAAACCTGCATACTTGACGAAATCTGACGCTGAAATGCTCGTCAAGTGGCACCTAGTGTTCATATAAATAGTGCAACTCATTCTTTCAAACTTATCGGCAGTGTATGCATTTTTTCAATCGTTTTCCTTACCGTCATCAAAATCAAAATCAAAATCAAAGCACATCACGACGACCTTCTGTCACCAACTTGCACACAAAATTCGCCAAGATGGCCAAGTCTAAGCTCGAACAGACGACCGCGAAGGATTTCAAGTATTTTCCCATCAAGGGGATTCCTGTGAACTCTGCCGCTGGTGGCGAATTGGGTTTTGATACTGAGGTCCCCATCCGGCAAAACATCGACTCATGGAGTAAAAATCCTGCTAATGACAAGCAAGTCACTCTATTCGTCTTGGCCTTGAAGCTTTTCCAAGAGCTCGATCCTGCAGACCGAGACTCGTACTTCCAGATTGCCGGCATTCATGGGCAGCCTAACGTACCTTGGGATGAACCAATCGATAGCGCAGATGCCTTGAACAAAGGATACTGTACTCATAACAACATCTTGTTCCCGGTTTGGCATCGTGCGTACCTTGCACTCTACGAGGTATAATATTTCAATACGCACAATAAAAGCACTTACTGACAGGCTTAGCAACGAATTTGGGAGATCATGATCAAGAAGGTAGTTCCCCAGTTCACTAAGGACCGGGCCAGTTGGGAAGCTGCCGCCCAGACCTGGCGACTTCCATTTTGGGACTGGGGTATCTCTTCCTCGGTGCCCGACCTGTGCAAGTATCCCATCTTTGTTGTGCCGGCATATGATGGCAAGGGTGTAAGGAGTATAAACAACCCGTTGTTCCAGTTCCATATGCCGACCGATCAGCCCATGTCGACTGCTGGTGTTGATAACTTCAAGGACCCGTGGGTTCCGAATAATAAAGGAGAAATTCTTTTTGTAAGTCTCAAATCTCCACTCATATTAGCCCCGACTAACGGAGTTAGTTCGGTGAATGTATTGGCACAAGTCGCTGGCCTCAAGAGGGCGATAACGCCTCTGGAAGTGCGGCGTGGAAGCTCGGTGTAGTGAACAACTACAAAGTCCAGGATGCTCTGAAGAAGCCCTCATGGTTGGATGATTCACCTTACGGTCAGCCTGCAGAGATGGTATTCCGTCTGCTCACTATTCCCATGGAATATTCGACGTTTGCAACCACTGCTCAACTGTCTGGGGACGTCAAGAATGACAACAACCTCGAGTACATTCATAACAACATCCACGGTTGGGTAGGAGGTGATTTCAATGGACACATGTCTCAGATTCCAGTCGCAACGTTCGATCCTATTTTCTGGCTTCATCATTGGTAAGTATATTCAAACGCGTTTTCAATCAGTTAGCAAGACTGATGAATATACCAGTAATATCGATCGCCTGTTTGCTTTATGGCAGGGAAAGAACCCCGACAAGTGGTTTGAGGAACTCGAGGGGGACAAGGTCAACAAATTTTTCCAGGAGATCATCGGTATGGATATTGGTGACAAAATAACCGAGAACACCAAGCTACGGCCGTTCCACAAGGACGTTGATGGAACTGTAATGACACCTGTCGATGTCCGCTTCCCTTACAGCCTTGGTTACACATACCCTGAGTTACAGACATGGAAGTACGACCCTCCAGGCTATAGCGCCAGTGGCTTTATCCAGGACCTCAACAAAAGCATCAACGATCTTTACGGGTTGTCCAGAAAAGAGCTGATTGATGCTTCCTCTGCCCTCAAAGGAGTTGAGTACAATGAGGACGGGACCAAATCTCTGGACTTTTCATTAAGTATCCGTTATCGAAAATATGCCTTTGGTGGCGATCCATTTTGGATCCGAATTTTCCTCTCCCAGGATGGGAAGACGCAGAACCCAACTACAGACTTTGTCACTGAGGTGTACAACTTCAGTCAAAAGCCAGAGGAGCGTTCAGGAAAGCTGGCATGCAGTAACTGCAAGGACAACCAAACCGCGAACATCAAGTCTACTGCGAACATCTCTCTCACTCCGGTGCTGATCAGCATCATAAAGGCAGGCAAAGGTGAAGACCTGGCTAGTCTTAGCAGAGATGACGTTCTCACCTACCTCAAGGAAAGGGCGTACTGGAGAGTGTTCAAGGGAGGTGTAGAGTTGCCTCGAAACCAGCTTGACCCTCTCGACCTCGAAATCGTCGGAAGTACCAACAACTCGACCAATTTCAAGGACGCGACCAAGGCCCCTCTACTGGAGAACTTCAAAGAAGAGCCAGCTATCTCTGGAGGAGCCGACGGAGCGTTGGATCCGAAGCTCAAGCAACCCATGACAACCCCACCACCAGAGGTGCCAAATATCCCTAAGGCATCCCTGAAGCTCAACTCTTTCCTGCCATTCCCATCGGATCTGAAGACTGACAGCGTGGTGATCATCGATTCATCTAGCCTGGACATAACTCCCGTCAAGACGTCTGGTATTGACAACACCCAAGTGTGGTTCTCAGATACTAAGAGCGGAGACGGTAACATCGTCTTCTTACTCTCAATTCGCAGAGCAGAGAAGCAGATTGTCTTCAATACATGCTTGGAGAACAAATGGGGCGAAGAAGTTCGCGTTGCGCTGGAAAACAGGTTCAAGGGAACCACACCATCTATCCTCGTTCATGATCAGGGAGATGGTTACGAAGTGTTCATCGACTGGAGACACGTTGCATGGTTTGAGAAACGGGCTAAGGACAAGGTGGCACGCTCTGTGTCATACACTGTCAATGATGGACAGGCACCTGTGCTGGCTACTCAACTGAAGGTGAAGGTCTATGACTCTATGGGAGCAATGTTCCAGCATTAGGCTAGAACAATCATTATCGAGATCGGTCTGACCGGAGTCTTGAGAGTAGCAATAAACATTGGTACTTGGATTAAAACCGCTGCCTATTTTTGCCTTATCTGACAAGTTGAGGATAGTTACTTCGTCCACTTATGTATTTAGTGAGAAATAATTTGAGTCCATAATCTTCTTAGATTTCCAGGACAAGGCTGAAACTCATTGACTTAAACAACTAAATGATCCAAGACTCAAGCTTACTATGGAGTCAAAGTGGATGATTATAAATGGAAGCTGAAGATCATGAAACCCCTTTCCACCATCCTTCCGCGACTGCGCCCAGCCCTAGCAGATCAGCCCCATCAACTCCTGTAACTCGCCCCAACCCTGTCAGCCTTACTCAGAAGATGATCATATCCAACGTTAAAAATACAATCTTACATGCCAAGATACCAAGAGATTCAGCCTATCAGATCAGATTTTCAAAATCCGCCAACTCCTTCAAAAACATAGTGGATATCTATGTATAATGTAATTGATAGACTGAGTCTAACAATCTATGGTTACAGTAGTATGCAGATCAAAAAATCATCATCCAGATGTATGACACAGCCAAGCCTGCCAACAACCGGTTGCTTCTCCAATAAAAAGACGATCGCCCCCAGCCTTGCCGTGCCCCTGTAGATCTTAGATCCTACTCCAGCCTGTTTCAATTACAGTGGCAACAGCTTGACAGGTAAGACTTGATAATCAACCATGAAACTTCCAGGGATAATCTTTTCCTGTAGCTTTAAATATTCCTGTTCATCGATTTGTTTGTTATATTGTATCAATCCCGATCTACCATTCCTACGAAAAAAAATAAAAAATAGATCAAATCCATACATCCATCTTGAACACAAAAGGTATGTAATTTATCTACCCTACTTCATATGCACATGCAAACGTCCTTCCAGCGTCTTTATGTTCTGGCACCCCTCACGTCATACCAAGCATCCCTCCTAAACCTTGGAGGCTAACCGTCCAACCTCCATCAGACATCCGTTATAAAGCCCATCCTACAAACCCATTACATCCATATTCAAGCTCACCATCCCTAATCTACAAAATGCGTGCCTCAATTATCATCCTTAGCTTCCTAGCCAGCATTTCCCTCGCCATGCCCGCAGCGCTCGAGTCCTGCCAGAGCGTAAGCTATCGCTATCTATACCCGTCACCATGACGATGACAGAATTGACGAGTAAAATAGCAAAACAAGCCTTGCAAGGCCGATGCCGTATGGGGTGAAAAGTTTGCCTGCTGTGTGGGTGAATTGAGCTGTGTTACTCGTAGTGGTAGTAACAATGGTGTAAGTATCTACCGACACCCTCCCCTGCTAGGACTAGAGTCTTGGAATAAAACTTTGGAATTGCGCTAATCACTCTTTCAATAGACTTGCCAATACTCCAAGTTCTAAACATCTATGGATTGAGCTGGACCTCGGGGTATTTGCGGCAATGAGACCCAATACCTTGATGTTTTAGTCATGGAGGCTCGAGGTGGTACCTGCTGTATATAGGGTGCTACCTACCTAGGTACATGGGTACGAGGCAGGGCCTGATATTGCTTGGTATAGCGCCGGGATGAGATTTAAAAGCGGTTATTGATTCATTGTATCTAGTTGCGCTATGATGGTACATAATATTGCGATAATGCAAATCTCATTTGAAATGTCTGCATTTCATTTATGAAGCCTTTTACGAGTCATTCATAACCATAACCTGAATGATTTCGAACTTGGAACAGTCCATGGCTCAGGATGCACATGCGTAGCTGTCACTGTTCCTTATTCCAGACAGTACTCAAAACCTTTGCATCGGCAAGGGATATTGGAGTAGCCCTGTAGACCTGATAAGGTTATCGCCCTAGGTAGGGTTGGGCTTAGGAAGACTCGTTGGCGGGCAGGGCAAACTTGCCCACTTCCAGGGCTGGGTTGGTGGTATCTTCTAAGGTTGGAAGCTGATTTTCACGATTGATACAGCCGAGCACCTGCTGTGGGCGGTTACTTCAATATACACATACGTGGAAGGCGACAAAAACCACAACAATCCTACAGAAATAGCCTAATTAGGTTCGGATATTCGTGAAAAGCGTCAAATAAAGTATAAGTGTACAAGATGAGGCCAAACAAAGAAATCAGATGAGGGTGAACCAGATCAGGAACTAAAAGCGGGAAACGAAAAAGGTGTATCTACCAAATAATCGACCTCAATAATAAACAATAGAAACTAAGGAGAGCGGAAAGGGGAGAAAGTTGACAATCAACTCAATTGACTTTGACTTCAGTGTGAATAAAGTCAGGACCCCCAGTCCTGGTTAGAAATGAAAATGAAATGGAACTCCTACACATCCTCCTGTACAATAGTTTTCGAGGAAAAGCGTAATGATTTAAGACGAGGGATCGGAGAAGACGTCGGCACATCCCCAGTACCGCTCAACATCGTACGCACCGGGGTCCTTCCAGGCGTCGTTGGCGTATGAGAAGAAGACGGACTTGCCACCGACAGCCTTGGCAATGGCCTTCAAAGCGGTATCCTGGTTGGCAACACTAGGGACGGCAACACCGTTGGCGGTACCATTCATGGGCCAGCCAGTCTCAAGGTTGACAACATCCTTGTTGCAGAGGTTCTTAAGGACAGCGAACTCGCTGGTAAGGAAGGTACCGGCCTCTTCGGCGGTGGTGTCCGAGTTGAAGAAGGGGTGGAGGTTGGCACCGACGATGTCAACGACGCCGCAAAGGGTGGAGGAATATTGTTCCCAGATGTTAATGGGCTCGGCGGTGGTGACCTGGCCAGTGAAACCAGCGGCGGTGAAAGCGGACTTGGACGAAGTGATGAAGCTGGCGAGAGTGGCAGCAGAGACGTATGTGCTGGAGATAGCCTCGTTACCGACAACGATGAAGTCAACAAGGTCCCACTCAGCCCAGGCGACGATGTCGTTGACCTGCTCCTGAGCAACCGAAGTACCGGAGGCCTCGATGAACACACCGAGGATCATCTTCATGGTAAGAGTCTTGGCGGCATCACCAATGAACTCCAGGGAGCTGCAATCGGTTGAGTAGACACGGACGATGGAGAATCCCTTCTTCTTGATGAGCTTCATGTTGGAGAGGACCTCGGCCTTGGTCATGCAGGCGCCGGCGGAAGTGTAAGGAGAGAAGGTCAGACCATACGCATCCTTACCAGTGAGAGCGCCATCGGTGTAAGTGGAGGCGGTGCTGGTAGAAGCAGCAACAGTGGAGGTCTCAGACTTAGCAGTCGAGACGGCGGCAACAATGGTCGAGGTGCTGGTCGGGAGAACGGCAACAGAGATCGAGGCCAGGGTGCTGGTGCTAGTGGCAAAGGGGCAGACATAGGTATAGTCAGTCTTGGTCACAGTGATGGTAGTCTCCGGCTGAGTGTAGGTGCCGGGGGCAATGGTGGTCGGGGTGGGGTACACAAGAACAGTGTCAGCGGGAACTGTGGTGGTGGTACCGGGGACAACGGTGTAGGTGCCAGCACCGGGGCAAGTGTAGGTGGTGTACTCGATGACACTGGTCACGGTGGTGCCACTGGCCGAGGTGGTGGCATAGGGGCAGATCACTGTAGTCTCGGTCTCGACAACGGTGGTGGTCTGACCGAGGGTGTAGGTGCCAGCAGTCACCGAGGTGGTAGCGGCAGCAGCAGCAGTGGTAGACTCGGTCACAGTGATGGTGGTGGCCGGAATGGTGTAGGTTCCAGTCTCAGAGAAGCTGGTGACCGCACCAGTGGGCAGGTCCACAGACGGGGTAGTAACAGCAGCCACGGACGAAGAAGTGACACTTTCAGTGGGAGTAACAGTCACTACAGAAGTGGCAGTACTGGTTGCGTGAACAGTGCTGGTCGAGGTAGTAGTAGACTCGGGAGTCGAGGTCTGCACGATAGGCACCAGAGTGGGGGAACCGTAGTGGGTGATAACCTTGGTGATACAATCGCAAGTGTCGGCAGCGGCAGGTGCAGAGAGAGCAATGGAAGAAACAGCAGCAGACGAAGAAACGGCCACGGAGGAAGAAACAGCCACAGAGGACGATTCAGCGCGACGCTGGTGAATAGCATCATGGCGACGGTGCAAGTGACCGTCAGCCATGGCGGTGCCCACCATGGCTGCGGCGGCGATAATGGAACCCTTCATGGTGAAGAATTCGTTAAGTCACGCAAGGAAAAGAGTGCCCGCTGAACGAATGAAGCGGTGGTCAATGAGTATCGATGTGAAGAAAAGGGAAGGAGAAAAGTGGGCACGCAAGGCCTTTTTCTTTTAGGGCAGTAGGGAGTCAGAAAAGGAGTGTGGAAAGTTGGAAAGTTAGGGGGACGAAAGGAAGGAAGAGGGAAAGGGGAAATTAGAGTCAAAAGGTGGACTACGTACTAGCCCGTTCGTGTGTACGACTCCACAGATCGTGAAATTCGCTTTTACCCCTGGGCCGTTCTGTTCAAGTTCGAGTTTGTTTCGATAGTATCTGGGTCAGGCACAGTCCATCTGTAATTGGATGAAACGTCAATGGATCCACTATTTGTATGATTGTGGTTGGCCTGAGTGGTTCAGTCTATACAAAGATACGGTGTTGGGTCTGTATTGAGCTACGGTATCTAATTTGTATTGTCTCACTGGTGTCTTAAGGCTTACACCGCTTTGATCCCCTTACTCAAAGAACTTATAGTAGACTATAGATCATGTATCATAGTCCTATAGTTCTCCAGATAGTTCATAAGGCAAAACACTTTAAATTTTAGGCAATTGACAGATGCCTCACCTACATTAAGAACAGTGAAACTGCCAATTATCCACATGGCGCATCGATCTAATCAAGAATGAGAAAAGTGGCAGCAGAAGTGGAGATTAGATCAATATTCCTATTGGTCACTTTCTGCGCCTAATTTCCCGCTGCCGATCTTCTTCGTATAGAGAAACACATAAATACACATAAATACATACACTGTACTAAAAGTAAACAACTCACTTCCATTTCAAGGTTAATGATTATCGCCTAGTCTACTCCGCCTCAACTCAAAATAGTCAATTTATCAGCCTAGAGTGCTGGGGGCTTGTCCCCTAGCACTATAGACCCGTGTACCTTTACCGCTTTTTGTAAGGAGCACTATTGCCATCTTGGCGATCCCCTCAACAATCGAACTAGCCCCAGAGTCAGAATGTTCTAGACCGATTGTAACAGAGATGAAGGAAGCTGGAGGAAGAAATCTGTTTACACAGGGTAGCCTTTTACTGACAGTAATGACCGGGACTGACCGGGACTCCCGGTCCTTATGCCATTAGTACCTGGGTATGCCCAGCCATAGCGACATTTATGAACATAAACTTTGTCCCTTCCTTTGTGGAGGTCCTGTCCTCTCGCACGTTGCAGCCCCCGAAAGTGCCGGTGCTCTCACTAGTTTCGGATAATAGCACATAGCGTGGTTGATCGGGTCTAAACGGTATTGGCGTCTTTATTCTGTTTGACTCGAATAAACTTTATTCCTGCATTATTTTATACGCCCCAAAGGGGGAGGGGCAGGAGATCCTATTAATTCTGCTAGAATCCTGATAGAAATGGCGGTTTCATTTCTCTTCATGATGCGCGAAGTAAATGGTTGATCTTCGACAGTTGGGGCGCTGGGCAAGACTCTTTTTCACATCGTGCAGGCGGTCCGTGTTCTTTTTTCTTCTTGTTTTCTTTCTATTGTCTTGGCCTGGACAAAGATTGAGAGAATACGAATGGATACTCCGTATACGAATTATCCAATCCAATTCGGTGGATCTGCGGTGATCCTTGGTACTGGTTATTAATTTCTCATGGTAAGATTGTTTCGTCATCATCTACGGAGTAAGCCTCGATATTACACTATTCTCTTAGACTTTTGCTTTAGAAGCAGATCATGCTGATATTTCATCAATTGATAGACAGTTCAAGGTTTTCTGGGTTTACCTGTATTGTTACCTATTGTTTGATATCTCCAATGTCAATATTGCACCTACTCTGTGGAGTATTCCCCCCCACTACGCTGTACTCAGGGGAACCTTGGAATTTGGTTTTTAACCTTGGAAAGTGAATATGGGGTTGACAGAACAGCTAAATCAAATCTAGACCACTTACTTCTTTCGCTCTAATTCTCTTCAATTGAATCCACACTCCTAGTTACAAAGTACTTTGTAATATGTCTGCCATTGTTGGAGCAAGACTCACCGCTTATGGCAGAATAATATAATCATTTTGCCCTATTACTCCACGATAAGAGATAAGAGTGCAAAGTAGTAATTCAATCAAGATTGTTTATTCTTTATTTACTCAAGTTAGTCAGTTCAACTTGATCTTAGATTTCAATGCTCTAAGACTCATACATCCTTTACATCACTTTCGACCCAATTTTACCTATTCCTATTTGATGGACAACGATGACTTGAAGTTTTAGAGTGATTCACCCCTTTCTGGATATAAATATCCTGATCACTTCTTCACCTTTATCCTTCCCTTCCTACAGGTCTTGAACTGACTGGCTTGCGATATAGATAATATTCTAAATCTAGTTTTATCTCATCCATGAATGTCGCGGAGATATGGATCTCACGATTGTTTCGGTTATCGATCAACATGGGCGGCCTTGATCTTGCGAACACCCGCACCCCATGGCCAAGGCATACTTCCACAGCCGAACACCCCTACCACCTTTCCTCAATTGAGAAACCTATAGGGTTGCCAATTTCTACCTGTTGAGCAGCAGGATCTAGTTTCAGGAGGCGGTCAGATGGAAAGCCAAAAAAGTAAGGAGATTTTTTCCCTAATATATTCAGGCAAAAGCACTTATCAAAGAGCTCTTGGGCTGGCAGATTGAAGCCATTCGGTAAGTTACAAGTATCTACGTACCGTTTAATGATCTTGAGTATCCTAATCAGGCCGAAATGCTCATAAGAGCTTGTAAAGGCCAAATTGGATTACAAGCCTTCGAAAACGACCAGCGAAGACATCCATAAGCGCGAAAATTGCCCGAGAGCAACTTAAGAATTCCCGTACATCTACCCTACAAAATAGCTTCCTATGCCTGGTTTAATTGATGGCTATAGTCATGAGATGGTAGCTGTTGATCGGAAAAATCAACTCCGCGAAAGCTATAAGACTCATCAACTTGACAGAATACAGGGCGTAAAAGCCTATAAATTCTGTGACCAACAAGACCCGGAAGGCAAAGGCCCAGGGAAATACTTCTCCAGAGCAATTTCGGGCGCATTGAAGGTTGTCATTGGGGTTGTAAAGCCTGTAAGATTCCTTTGTGTAGGTCTGATAATAAGGCATTGTTGAGATCATTTTCATGCCGTACGCCAGCCTTTACTGTGTAGGTGAGAGATCTAAATACCATGTGATTAGATAGTAAAATGAAGCCCATTTTAGATTAGCCTCTAAGCGGTAACAACCAATAGGCCGTGCAATTCAAATTTTCGCCAAGGCGCTGATGGTTGCCATTTTGTCAGCGTAAGGATAGATAGTACGGGGTAGATAATATAACAGGTTCAAAATATTGTCCACACAACATGAACAACATTGAATCAACATCTCAAACGATATTGGAAAATCCATCCAAGGTAGTTGAGCATTGGAACTTGGTTATAACAACTTACTTTCTCAAAGCAAAAGCGAAAACTATATTACTCACAATCATCAATTTGGTCATCAGGCCTCGCAATAATCTTTTACCGCGAGGTGGGCACATACGATCATGCCACTCCACAACTGGCATGACTTCGCCCCAAACTAACCAATCCCAAGCAACGATTCCATCAGTTAATGATATGAAGCGGAAAGACTAGTTCATGCACGCGGCAAAAGTCTAATCCCCTACTGCTCCTATACTATTCTCGATGTAGTACCACACCACCCATCGTCATTATCATAACACTCCAGAATTAGCAGCCCCAATCCCCCAGACTCGACCAACCAATCACTGCAGGCATAGATCAGACAAAGATCATGTCATTTAGGGCACATCACTGAGCTAGTCACGAAAATAGTCAAATGAAAGGACTTTCACTGGTCAAGCCAACCAATTAGCTAGCACACGCCCGTCTAATTTTCGCAATGATCCTCCTCTAGCGAACTATTCATTCGGCACTCGACGAGTGTCAGGCAATCCTGGTATACAATGATACGAATTCTCCCTATTGACTAGTGTATATAAGGGTAGGAATTATTCTAGCAGTACTGTTTTCCATTCCACACTTCAATTAATCTAACAATCCGATCAACCGATCTCAAATTCCACTCTGATCTCTCCTCCTTTACGAAATCTCCAAACAACAATGTCTTCCTCTGCCAAGGACACCAAGGACTTCAAGGACCGTCAGCAAAACAACTTTGGCGCTGACCTCTGGGTCCGTGACCCTCGCGAACACCGAGTATGTATACATCCTTGAGTTTCAGTTTCGAATTGATATAGACTAACATCGATCTGATAGCACAATACTGCTGGGCGCGGTCTCTTCGCCGGTCTCCAAGATACCAAGAAGTACAACGTCGACCACGGCTGGGCGCGTCGCGAACAGGGCGAGCAACCTGGACTCATCGCCACCATCTGGCGGAGGTATGTTCTTATCTGATCCTGAATTCCGCTTTAAGTACCCTTATACTAACTTTTCCCAGATTCATAGGTCTCAACTACTCGGATCCCACTGATTAAGCGACATTCCTCTCACTGCTTACCTACATGCATGGTGCGGGTGCCAACCTTTTTTAATATCCTGGCTACCTACTGAGCTGTTTGGAACATGGTGTCTGAGATGATTTGATACTTGATTGCGCTTTTCACATCTTTATGACGGAGTTTGGGCTTGAAATTGTATATACATATTGCATAATGTCAGATAATATCTGCCACATGAATCTTGCTATTGTTTTCCAATATCTTCATCCTACCTCTGATTAGTAGTACCTAGGTAGTATATATCGTCTCTCCTTTCTTCCAAATTTGGATATTCTCTTCTGTTTGAGTGCCCAGGTAAGCCTAGGCCGCTCGATGGCGAGTCGAGGCATTTCGAGAGATAGTCTTTTAGTAGGGGTCAGATGCGGTCTTTTTAATTTTCTGAAGGTAGCATTGGCCGAGGTCTTTTGGGCGAGACACTTGTTTGGACACTTGGGTCGAAAATCAGTCGTCGCCATCCTCTAAAATCACATTCATCTATAGAAGTTTTGGGGTGTCGGCTCCTGATAATTCTCAGCGCTTTGACATTAAATGATGACCAGATGAGTAACAAGGTGAGCTAACCGTTAATTGGAAGTTCATTCACCCACTCTCATTCAATCCACTCTTGGAATGTTCCAATGAATACGGATCCGGGGATGAGGTCTGGATGTACCTGTATATGGAGCTCCCCAGGTCCAATACCTCCATTCTTCATATGTCCATTTATTGGAAGTTGACCTCGATAACCTCACAAATGCGAGTGCCTAGGTGATCTTCCAGTGCTGTCAAAATGCCAAGAATCAGCGGTGTGCCATTGCTATCAGCCTTAAACATTCAGCATCTTGAACCTGGAAACTGGACAACCTCTCTAGAGCGTTACGAGTGATCCCAAACTACCTAGGCATCCTGTGTTGGTCTTTGAAATATTGAAGTTCTCAAGTTGAAATTAAAAACGGGTAACCTCGGTATATTACCTCGGTCCCCGAACCCAGTGATGATATGTACAAGTCAAACCCTATAAACGACATTTATACGGCGGAAAAAATAAGCAGAAAAGGTAAAAGAAGACAGCGATTTACTCCCAAGAGTTAATCTTCATGGTACCCTTCTCTTGCAAATTCTGGTGCATCTTGAAAGCCTGGAACAAAAGATGAGGCTCATGGCCCATACCCTTGCGCAAACACTCGAACTCCGCACGATCAAGGTAGTCGGTCAGAATAGGCTTGTACTCGGGGTGCGCGCACTTGTCGATAATGACACGGGCGCGCTCACGCGGGGAGAGACCACGGACATCAGCAAGACCCTGCTCGGTAACGACGACGTCGAGATCGTGCTCGGTCTGATCGATGTGAGTGGCGAACGGAACGATACAGCTGACACCGGTCGGGTCGAGCTTGCTGGGTCGTGCACTGGGGGTGTGCATGATACTGTATTTGGAGTTACGGAGGAAGTCAGCTGAGCCACCGAGTCCGTTCAGCATACGCGAGCCCATGACGCAGGTGCTGTTGGCGTGGGCGTAGATGTCGACTTCGACGGGGGTGTTCATGCCGATGACGCCGAGGCGGCGGATAATCTCGGGAGAGTTGGAGACTTGCTGCGAGCGGAGGAGCAGCTTGTCGGCGTATCGGTCCCAGTTGTCGTAGAAGCGCTTGAAGCCATCGGGCGAAAAGCGGATGGAGGTGGCGGTTGCGAAGTCGAGGTTTCCGCTGTCGAAGAGGTCCAGGAAGGAGTCCTGCAGCACTTCGGTCCAGACCTTTAGGTTTTTGAAGTCGGCATTTCCCTTGCTTAGACCGCCGACGACGGCGTTGGCGATGTTGCCGATACCGGACTGGATGGGGAGGAGGTTCTTGGGCAGACGGCCGTGGTTGACTTCATGCTTGAGGAAATCAATGATGTGGGAGGCGATGGCTTGCGAACCTTCGTCTTCTGGGCTGTTGGGCTGCGTCTGATCCGCGTAGTTGGACTCGACGACTGCGACGACCTTTTCCGGGTCGACAGGGATGTAAGGGAGACCGATGCGGTCTTCCGGCGCCATGACCAGGTACGGCTTCCGTCCCGGCGGTAGGTCACTGCCTACAATATCGTGCAGGCCCTCGAATGACGGGCTGGCAGTGTTCACCTCGATAATAATCTTATCGGCCATCTGGATCAGTTCGGGGGAAGCGCCCACTGAGGCACCGGGGATAATGCCGCCATTCTCGGTGATGGCGGAAGCCTCGATAACAGCGACGTCGATGTTTTTCGTCGGCTTGTTTAGGGTGTAATAGCCCTGAAAAGCAAAAACAACAAAATATTAGCGGTCGATCCCCTTTAATTGACTTGCATTCCCCACTCGGCGGAAGGGAAAATCTACCCGCGGAATGGATACTTACATAGACCAAATCCGAAGGGAACATGCTCAGATGTTTATCAAAGAACTTGATCTGGCCGTTATTGATTCCTTTGGCAATCTCCTTTCCGACTTGATGCGGACTCCGGCGCTCGATCATGTTCAGCTTTGCCCAGCGGTTCTCAGTCTCTGCGCCGGAAGAGGCACCCACGAAGAGGGTGTACTTCAATTGACCCTCCAAGCCGTTCTTCTCAACGTGGTCTGCCAGAGCTGTAGGAACCATTCTGGAGTTTGAAATCAGTTAATTCATGTTATGCTATTCAAGGATTGGGATAGGTGGCTTACTTAGGGTATCCTACTCCGGTGAACCCAGACCAACCAATGTATGAGCCATGAGGAAACAAGTCAATGAGATCCTCAGCTTTGGCAAGCTTGTTCAGGTATGAGGGCCGGCGAACACGGCTCTTCAACAGAGCGGAAGCAGCCATCGTGGGTGTAATAAGAGAGGAGAGGTGTAAGGGAGAGAAAGGATAGTTTGCGGAGGAGGACTGAAATAAGTTGAACCCCACAGACCGTAGTTAGTTTAGGTGATCATAAAACACGGCTCCACATAAGAACGGTTCTGGAATTTCTAGCCGGAGGAATGGAAGGAAAGAAGCGGTATAATGACACGACTACTAGAAACTGATAAATAGATTATATATTATAGGTGGGCAACTTAGTTAATCAACATTGATTCAATTTCTCTGTGTTTACTGTCCTGTGCCTTCTGTTTAACCTGTTGAGTATTGAATGATACCTCATACCAATATGGTTTAGCGTCAAAATTATACCAATTCGGTTATATTTCGGCGTCGGTAATTCCTCGCCGTTTGCGGATAGATGAATGAATTAGGAAGTAATGAAACGCCGCGATCCGAATACAAGATATATAAATGAAGCAAAAGATAGAGCTCAATTAGATTCCAATTGTAGAGAAGAAGGAATAGAACGCTTCGAGACTCTTATAGTTGTCAATACTTACTAACATCAGTATAGGATCGGCCCGATGGATCTAGTGAAGCCGTTACGGGCTGTATCGGCTAAGGCGGCTCGGCCGCACGGAGCCTAACTTGGATATAGATCTATACCGAGGATATTCTGTACAATGATCTTCAACTCTTTCCCCGCAGACAGGTTGGTATACCTGATTTTCCCATGGGGTTCTAAGAAGTAGTTTTGGAAGTTCAAATTTCATATCTTTAGTTATTTAAAGGGACCTGCTACTACCACTACACGCTTTACTTAAACCACTACAGTGCCTTAAACATAATATTTTTCTTTTGTAGTGGTTATAGCAAAATTAAAAAAATATACAAATATTAGACCAGTCATTACACCGCCTTTACTAAAATTCAATTGCTACTCCGGACAACGTACACTCTTTCTGCCGCCAGTCTATCACCGCCTTTACTATCAGTCTCATTCTTGTGTTTGAATCTAAACCCATACACCATTCCGAATTCCGCTACTCTTTTTCAGATTAGCAATTAGATTGAAGAATAATCACATCCTTCTGTCCTCAAATCTAGTGTAAAGACGGTGATTGGAGAGTGTAGGTTTCCCGAATAAGAAATATACCCCGATATGCGTAGTCTCTATCACAGATCAATTTTTCTGATCACTAATATATATTCTGCCGGTTTTAATTTTACTTAAACCATCAACATGTTTTGCTATTCCCTCCGCTGTCGTATTGTGCCGTTTTAGCGTATACTAAAGTGGAGTATATTTTATAGCTATCATTGGCTAACAACTCAGACCGCTTTTATAAAATAGTAATTCTTACCCGCTATTTAGTATCTTAACTAATGAAATGGACCATTGGTAGTAGGGCTATTGGAAAAGCTATCATGGATTCTAATTGGCTATAATAGGAATCAATCTATTCCTTTTTTCAGATGTAATTATGGAGACTGTATTGGCAGAAAAAGGGCGCTAAAACGGCACAATACGACAGCGACTACAAAAGAAAAATACGCCTGAAACCTAAGCATTGTGGTGGTTTTAGCACTTTTTGTAGTGGTTCAAGTAAAGTGTGTAGTGGTAGTAGCAGGTCCCTATTTATAAGACCGTGGTGGTCGTTGACAAGTATGTCACTACTCTGCACAAGGTACTTTGTTCATAGTATACTGAGCAGGGTTCAAAACATGTATAAATTAGACCATACCCTATCCTCTCCAGGGGTAAGCCTTTCTGCTCGACTTCACAGAGTCGTCTCATAATTCTGGGAGATTATGGTTGGCATCTAATATTGGTAAAATATCTAGGATGCGAAGCTGTCCACACCAGCGGGCGATTTGCCTGATTGTCATCCTTTCTCAGGGCCCGTGCTCAATCAAATCTCAACTGTTGGTCTGTTAAAATCTCAGGTGTATTGGTTCCTGGAGTACTGAAGATGGGGGAGCTAGGAGATGTTACCAATGCTCATCAAGGCTTTCAATAAGTTAATTACGGGGAATCTTTCACTCACCAATACGAAAAGGCGCTAAAATTATTGGGAGGTCTTCTGGACTGCGTGATTTGGCTGGGACCCGTCCACGCAACATAAAGAGAATTTGCTTGCTGTAAATTGCTTATAAGAAAGCCTGAATGGAGTAGGTATGCGCTGTGGACAGCTACCATTTTCGCTGTGGGTATCCATCGTATTTGGATTCTTTCCTCCTGCACTTCCTGACGAAGCCAGTGGCGATGAATATCTACGTGGCGGAGCTTAGTTTCAAATCCGTCCTCAGATGTAAGTAGTTCAACAGCTCTCTGGTTATCACAGTCCGGAGTGATGTGCTTCTCGTTATAAGATAGCCCAACATTCGTTAACACACCCTTCCACCAGATCATTGACTTCCCAGCCTCAGAGAGCCCAAGAAGCTCTGCTTCTGTCGTGGAGGTGGTTACTTTCCGTTGTTTTGAAGCCTTCCATTCTACTGGGCCACCGTACATCTGGCGTATATAGCCTGCTGAGCTCTTCCGATCAGGGTGATCCCGTACGATGCATCGCTTATAAGTTGGAGAACAACAGAATCATTGTTGGCTTCAGTGCGTGGATTGCGGTAGCAGATAGCTCGGAACCGCGTATGATAAAGGTAATTTATTACTCTATCTGCAGCAGCATGATGTTGGGGTCCAGGATTCAGTAGAAAGTGTGCTAATTTAGTAGCAGCTTTCGCAACATCTGGTCGCCCAAGGAGTTCGAATCTCGCGGTCATGCTCGCGATGTAGCTATCTTGGTAATGCCAGACGCAGTGTCTCGCGGTTTCGTACGATCCTGATGTTCAGAAACCATTCGGCTTCTCCGAGGTTTGTGGGCTCCCATATCTGGCCAAAATGTTCAAAAAGCTTGGTTGCTTCAGCTTGAACTGACTTATGGCTTGCGATTAGGAAGTTATCGACATAGAACGGGATGATTATTCCATGTCCGACGTCTTCTGGAGCTGTGTTAGGCCTAAGCTCTTTAATGCCCTTGACGCTTCTCTCTGCCAAAGCTTTGGAGAGATGCGGAGACCATATAGAGCTCTTTTGAGCTTCCACACCTTGTCGCCTGAATTCCGGAATCCGTCCGGGAATTGCGTATAGACGTCGTATTCCAGAAAACCGTTTAGGAAGGCAGCTATAGAATCCCTCTAGTTTAGCTCTAGATCATACACCGCGTAGAGAGCAAAGAGCATTCTTGCCATTTTTATAGCAACAGTTGAAGATCTTTTCTCGTCTGGCATAACCTTTTCCATATCACCACGAACACAGATTCGGGATTTACATTTAAGAAGGAGGCTGTCCTCATCAAATATATAGATAAATACCCATTTGAGAAGTAGGATCTGTTTAGATCTATCTGTTGGACGACTAACAACTTCAAAAGTGGCTTCATCAGTTAGGCCTTGGATCTCCTTCTGCATTGCTGTGTTGAATGCATCTTCAAACTCATGGCCTTTAATTCCCTGAAAATTGAAGGTAGTAATGGTAGGTCATCTTGGTAGCGCCTATCATTTATTAAAGACTGGCTAACCATATTAGTATAGAACGCAGCCTCATACGGTTCTAACTTAGAACCGTCTTCCTGGAATGCTGTGGAATGAATTTCATCTACTCTACGTTTGACTCTACGAGTGCGTCGATCAGTGATGATATTGGCGACATCTAGATCGAGGCCAATCTCACGTACATTATTTTCTTGAATGTATTGAGATTCTGCAGAAACTTGCAGCTGATCTTCTAAATCGTGTTGGATACCGCTTAGATCATCTAGTTCAAGGCTTCACAGTTGGCGCTGTGTGGTTGCATGGCTAGGGTCTAAAATACTTGGGTGTTTTATAGGGGTTTACTCGTGGTTTTCCCCTAATACAGCACGTGCTATGGATTGTTGTTGTATTGTTACAACTGGAGGTCCGATTTTGCGATTATTATGTTCTGAGTCTGGGGGCTCTAATATCTCGCGTACGGCGTCATCAATGGTTTGATCGTCTTCACGATCATGAGCAGGAGCATCTTCATGTGGTCCGGTGAATGGGAGAGGGATAGTGATGCCATCTCTTGTTGCATTATTCGATCTGCTTCTTATGCAGACAGATATCCCACTAGAAACTCGATCTCAGCTCGGTTCGACATCTTATCTCTTTTCCGTATATGCTGTACTCTACAATAGTTAAGGCTACCGTAGGTACGAAGATTTGAGAGGTCTGTCTTCTTCATTCTTCCTGGTGCGAAAGCTCGAGCTTCGTCCCAGGGTACAATCAATTTCTTTTGTGGTCTTTCTTTATCATCTTTTTGTATCAAAGTAGGCGTACGATTTAGAATATAGACTGCGGCTCTCACAGCTTCAGGCCAAAGTTCCTTTGGCAGCTTCCCTTCTTGAAGTAGAGCGCGTGCGCGGAGTGTAATCATGCCTCCGGCTCGCTCAATCGGGCTATTCTGGCTCTCATGTCTAGGAACAGAATGCGTAACTCTAATTCCTTGACCTTCTAGGTAGTTATCTATCTTCTGCCTAGACGATGTTTCGTTACCGGAGTGGTAATTAATGATTAGCAGCTTCCACCATCCAACAGTGAGTGCAATAAAATGTTTGATTGCATCTGGTGTTGATGATTTTGATATGAACGTTGTGATCCATTGAAAATGGATCCCATCAATATAGAATTACAAATCCATTTCTCTTCGTTATAAGTAATAGACATATGAATCAGGCCCATACAGATATGACCATATTTCCCAAACTTCCGTCCGTTCCATAGATTTCTACGTGGGATCTGTTTTGGAGCACGCACAAGGTGGCAGGTTTCACAGAGATCATCTGATAGCATCAAGTCTAAATCAGGATCATCAACAATAATACCATCTACCATCCATATAAGCTGCTCAATTGGCCCGTCGTAGACATGGCCTAAAAGTTGGTGCCATTGCTTCTTGGTCCCCCTCAGATTGTTGAGTCCTCGAATCTGGTTTGGCGTGATACGCCTGTATTTCCTTGTTTGAAGGTGCGTCATGTGGAGGTTCTTCTATATAGAGAAGGTTTCCACGGCGCTCTAGTGCGATCATTGGGCTTTCTTCCCTGTTGCGTAAAAATGGGTTGCCTTCTTAGCTACCCAAGATCCTCCAAGGTCTTCGAAAGCGAGGTATGAGAAAAGGGTTACACGGAAACCTGGCGCGTACAAGAAATTTGAGGGGGAGATATTACTAGTCTCTGGGTGTATTCCAGAAAGGACACAAGTTCCAGTTCCATGGGTTGAAAGCTCTAGTTTGCCCGCTTTGCTAGAGCAGTGTTCGTTGAACATTGTCGCTAGCGTTGACGTAATCGGCTCCCTTGTCGATTAGAAGACTGGCTACCGCCTCGTAGCCATTTAATAAGGCTAAGTCAAGCAGTGTCCGTCCACTCTTGTTGCTATTATGAACGTTGCTTCCCCTTTCGATGAGAATTCTGGCTACCGCCTCATGGCCATTCCATGAGGCCATGTGGAGCGGTGTCCATCCACTGCTATTGCTAGCGTTGACGTCGGCTCCCTTGTCGATCAGAAGCCTGGCTAGCGTCTCATGGCCATTTGATAAGGCCCAGTAGAGTGGTGTCCATCCATTGTTATCGCTAGTGTTGATGTCGGCTCCCTTATCGATCAGAAGTCTGGCTAGCGTCTCGTGGCCCTTTGATGAGGCACTTTGGAGCGGTGTCCATCCATTATTATCGCTAGTATTGACGTCGGCTCCCTTGTCAATAAGAATTCTAGCTACCGTCTCGTGGCCATTCAATGAGGCCCGTGATAGTGGTGTTCCTCCCCCTCTGTCTAGCTCATTACAGATAGTTCTCTCCTGTAAGAGAAGTTCTACAATTTCCGCTCGACCATCTTGTGCAGCCCAAGATAGCGGTGTTCGATTTTTATATTCTTTCAAGTCTTTCCTGTGGTTGAGACCCTCTGTGATATCAACTCCATTATAAATCCTCGAGGGTGAGTTCAAAAGAGCAGCAACAGCATCCTTGTTGCCACTAGCCAGCCCAGCAAATATTGGGTAATTATATCTTTCCCCAAAAACATGAATTTGCGGATCCACTTTAAGCTTTGCCCGGATGAGCGCCGGATGCCCTTTATCTGCTAGTATATAAAACAGACTAGCACTAGACGTATATTTGCGATTTTTGAACTTTTCGAAAATATTGCTGGTACTGATCCATCTGGAAACAGGAAAATAAGACAAAAATGTGTCTTGAAGGACTATTATGGCTGCAGCGTTGGCATGGTAGAGGATATTCTGACTGGCATACTCCAAGAACGGGTACTTGGTTAAGGTTTTCTTCTGGTTGTTGGAGGTAGACTCTGATGGCAGCCTATCAACAGACGCACAGATCAACGTATGATTTATGTAGAGGTTGCAGCATTCTTTGAGTTTCTCATGGCCTAGGCTCCCGCAGTCAAATTCAAGCTCAGGCCATAATTCATACAGGCCCTTGTCCTTGATGAGGAAGTCTCGTACAAATTCATGGATGAATTGAATTGTGGACTGATCAGATTTGGTAGTCTCTGCAAGTCCTTTTAAAGAGCTAATGACATATCTGATGACTATATTAGCCCTAGCCCCAGTTTCTAGGATGGCAATATCAGGAATTTGGCTATCAACCAAGCCTTTCAAAGAAAAACCAGACCAGAGAGCATGATAGAACTCATGTGGCCGCAAAGGAATTTTTAAGTACAAGATCCAGAGGATGCAAAGCTGGAGAGCTTCCATGTTCTCGTTGTCACGCCGTAATATATCTTTGAAAAGCTCACTCAGATCACTGGGTATTTCTGCGAGTCTCATTCTGAGTGCTATTCCGCCCTGTCGATACTCCTTGTTAAGAATATCGACAACCAGGATGATCCACATGAAAACACCAGCAGCTTTACTGAGAAGTTGTGGTTGCAGCTCTTCGATAAGCGTGGGCTCTTTGATAATGAGCCGACTTGTGACGTAGGTTGCTAAGTCTTCTGTATGACCTAATTGACCCTCAATTGTAAGTCTAATACCCTGTTGAATGATGATATAAGGATAGTGTCGACTCGAAAAACAGATTCGGAATGGGACGCCTTGGGCTGTGGATTGTTGGGCCAAGTCTTCGAAATACTGTACCATGTCCACTACTTATTGTTCATCACATTCATCGAGAGCATCAACAAAGCAGGTAAAGGAGCGTTGACCCAGGGCGCAAACTGTATTAGTAAAAAGTCCTTTAATAATATTCAAGGAAGGACAGCCCATTTAATTTTGAGGAACCAGGTCGAAATCGTCTAAAACAACCTAAAGGTCTGGGTACCCTTTATGCTGGAGTATGCAAACTTCATGATTGTCGACTTACCAGCACCGGGCTTGCCACTAATCCACAAAACGCTGTGATGTTGCGCTAATCTTGCGGAGTCAAGCCATTCTTTGAAACAAGGATGTCTAAGAAACTAGCGACATGTCTTTTTGTGTTCTTGTTTAATGGTCTTCTTTCGGGAATCCATTTGCTCAAATTTGAAGGAATCCAATAAGATTTTCCGGCGTTCGTGTGATGAACATTAATCTATAGGTCTAGTTTAAGCGGTGTGTAGTCAAGTTTGTTTCTAAGGTTGGTATTATTTCTTACCAGAATACGCTATGGAGACAGCTGTTATATGCGATTTAGTCACAGGTAGCTCCTCGAGCAATTCCCTTGCGTATGCGGCTGCGGTTGCTGTAGCATATCTTTGCCATTCATCGCTCTTGTGTGCGTCTAAGTAGTTGTAGATTCCCCGAATTGGGAGACAAGGGAGGATGTCCATTAAAGCAGCACTCTCTGTCTCAAAACATATGACGTCCAGCTGTCGAGCAATAATATCCCGGGTTGTGCCGTCCCTTATAGCTTGGTTCCCTGAAGCAATCACGCCATAATGGATCATTACTTCATCTGAAATTCGTCTGCTTCGTGGTACTAGCTTTGAATGATCGCAACCATCACAGCTATCACTTGAAGATTCGTGATCATAAATCGCATAAAAGAGACGATCTGGCGAATCTGGGCGACTATACTCGGGGTTTCCTCTTAGCTTCTGCTCTAAAATAGACTTAACTCGGCTGGGGCTTATTTCGTGCTTAGAACGGATGGTAGACACAACTGTACCAAGCAACTGATGAGGAATTCTAGGTATCGCCGTTTGCTGGAGCAGTCTATCTCCAAGGACTTGCCCAAGATCATACTGCATCACCCTTGTCCCAACAACAATGTCACCTAAACGCAGATCAGCCTTGTTTGGCACACCACCGGCAATTCCGACCATAAGACATACGCGAATTGCTGGGAAAGCCCGTTTCATGTTTGTCATGACAATCGCTGCGTTGCTTGGTCCATGTTGCTCTACTGGTAAACACGCAATAACAACATTGTGTTTATTGATGTCTCCGAGTACGTAGGTGTTTCTATCTTCTCTGTGCGTAGGCAAGGCTTCGTGAAAGTTGTCCAGCATGGCCTGGGCTGCTGCCATCTCTATGTATAGCGCACATATCCAGGCTATGGTGTACTGATCGTATCGTGAGACAGGCATAACGTCGTGATGGGAGGTTTTGGGTCGCTTAGACGGGTAGAATTCTGCTGTGATTGTGCCATGGTTGTCAGCTATTTGGATGCCACTATTGACCTCAAAGTTAAATGCCGATGTCATGATCAATGTACTTTGTAGCCTGTGTGATTACAGTTTATGGCGGAGGACATATTCTGACTTTCAGCTGAGCGATCATCAGGTGACTTCATGGTGCATAAACAAATCAAAACATGCGAGTACAGAAGTACCGTGTAATCAACAATGGGAGCCATAGTGAGAGTTAATTTATTCGGCACCGAGACTTTGACCATTGGCCTGGTTTAATTCTGTTTAATTTCACCACGGGCCACTCGATCGGCCTCATTCCAAAGTGGCGATTCCCCGTCCTACTCACCCCGTCACATGGACTAGCAGTGGCCGCGTCAGTCGCGCTTGTCAGAATTGTCCAGATACAAAGACCAAATTCAGTGGCCATCATCCAGCCTGCCACCGGTGTAAAGAGTTATGTAAAAATCTCTAGTAGCGAAGGATGATCATCTAATATATTTACACGCGCGTGGCAGTTGAGGTTGGATGATGGTGCTTTACTAGATCATCCTGATATACAGCAGGTGCAGGTCGAGGGCCTGGTAACCTTCTACCTCCTTTCTACAGGTCAAATTAATCGGTCAGCGTCCAACCCCTTTTTCACCCGCATGAATTTTGGTTCTGACTCCTGGTGCCAATTTTCACATTAAAGATCCTGGTGAATTACCGGCGTTGCGATCAGATCAGCAGTGGCCATGGGCATTAACCTCCGTAGCGAAAGCAAAAGCGTCTCTTGTGTATCCAAGGAAACCCAATATCGATTGTGGTGGGCGCTTTTCATGATAGATACTACGCTGTGTGTGATGACTGGTCGCCCTTCCAGCACTGCTAATACCTTCTGCACTACCCCTTTTCCAACTCCCTATAAGGAAGATGACTTAGAGCATGAGGATGTCGCCCAACTCATCACCGATAATTCCCCCAGAAACTATCTACTGAACTTTTTGCTTTCCCATGAAATCACTACGTCTGTCTCTAGTAATTCCTCTGCCGACTTAGTTTTTTCAACAATTCCCGGATCAAGCAAAGGTAGTTCCAACCAACAAGCTCAAGCTACGACTGAAACTGTAGCCCCAAATATCTCTTTATACTTTCTTTACGTTGTGGACTTATCATCGCTATTACGGGATGCCATTGAGATACTATACGCTCCACGAGCGATAGGACGATTCTGGATGAAGATGAAAATATTGATTTCTAACTTTGTCAAGAATACTGACAGCTAGCTCTCTCGACTCCCAGCAGAGGTTGACTTCGCAAGGTTTGACAAAGATGACCAAAAGCTCGCCCGTCAATGTACCAGTCTCGCCTTCCTCTTCTACACCACTAAACTCGTTATTTCGCAGCCTTGTCTCCGCCGCCTGGCTAACCCTTTGCCAGGCACCAAATCTCCAAAAGTAAGTCAGTTATGTGGCGCCATGGCATCTTTATGCATTAAAGTTGCCCATAAAACGCTCGATCTGCTCCCTAGTGAGCCAGGTGCAGCTCTTCTCTATGGTCTTTCGCCCTGGTGGTGCATGCTGCACTATATAATGCAGCCCACTACCGTGCTTCTGACATAATACTTTACCCGCTCACAGCCAGGAACCGTAGAGGCTCTCTCGCTGGGAAAATTCAAAAGTCCATTCGCTGGCTTCGCATCATGTCTGCTTACGATGGTTCCTGCCAATGAGCTTTACTGGTTTGTATGGTCATCGTCTCACAACACGGATTGAGCCTTTCTTTTACTCATATCTCGGAGCTGTAGACGCTTCGTTGAGTCGATGCCGTTGTCGCTGCTGCTGCTGCTGCTGCTGAGCTTTGTCCTCGTCGAACTTCTCTTTCTTTGAATTAGCTGGATGATATCCTTCGTATGTGTTTCGGTGCTAAGATTTTTCTTGTAAACTTTAGGAAACATTCGTTATAGAGGCGCTCAAAATCAGGTTCACCTTTTTACTCTCTTCAACTCTTTCTTGGTATACTCCGGAGTGCAAAAAAGTAGTATTGGGGGAATGATGTGATATTAGTGTTTATAACCAAGTTAATTGTTGACCTTCAAAATAAGTCTTGCTAGGATTATTTATGAAGCTCTCCTCTTCGGGATCTCTTCGGAATCTCTTCGGGGTGCCTTCAGGTTCCTTCGAACTCTGGTCCCGAAGTACCTCCGAACATACTGCATCTTCTACCAAAAAATCCTTCGTAGATTTTCGAGAGGATTTGTGTTTCGACTCGGACTTCCCCCTTGCTTTATCTAGCTACCGAAGGTAGGGACGTCGTACTCCTAGTTCTACCTCACCAACATATTTCTTGTCTAGCCCCAAAAGGAGCCGTATTACTCAGCTCCGGCTTCACTGTCTTTTTAACTCACTTCGAATATCGTATATAAGAAAATCATAATTTTTGCAGCCATACTTCTCCTTTCCCAAGGTTCTCAATTCTAGACTTCCCATCTTTTCGATCTGGCCAGAAAGGCGTCGTAACAGTTCGATGAGAGTCGTACTTTCAGGACCGAACTCTTGGTCTAGGTCTGGGCCTTTGTGCTTCAGCCTCGAAGGGAGTTGTATATGGACTCAGGCTTCCCCCACAACTCGTCCTTCTTCTAAGAATGCCTTACTGCTTGAAGAACCCATTTACTCTTCAAGGCTGATGCCGTCCCGTACCGTTATCTTGATGTGCCTCTTCTTCCCACCCTATACCGAAGTATACCATAGTTCATAATTGTGGTTTCGTACTCGTCCTGATAGGTTGCTTTCCCCGATTTTGACACATTATATCGGGCGTGATGTGCTGCCTAAATCGCTTTTTTTGATCAACTCCCGTTATAGCTCTTTAGTTAAAGTAGCCTGAACTTCAACTCCTTTCTTTGGTCTATCTAGTGCTTGCTGAAAGTGCAGAGTTAGGATAATTGTTGCGACAGCCGAGAAACAAGGCCATCAACAGACGGAAAGTATTTCGGCCGAAAAAGCTTCTGCCGAGACAGCGACTCCGGAACTGGATTAGTATATCACGGCATCCTTGAACGATATGCATTCATCGCAAACGACACCCTTGAGCGATGTGCATTCGCGACAGTAATGTCCCGTCTTCACCGTCTCTTCTGTCTCGGACGAATGTTGACATTCGTCCAGAGCAGAGGGGCGCCCATGTACTATAAGTAGCTAGTTCTTTCATCAATGAAAAAGCAGACTTCACAACAACCACAATATTCAGTACTGTAGAGACCACTACACTTGGTGGTTTGTCTACGGTGTTGAGTAGTGGTTCGTTGGAGCTCACCGTTCTCAGTTAAGATATTCGAATATCGCCAAGCGAGCGACAATAATACTGATTTACATGATCGCTAATTTTGCTGGCGGTTTCGGTTATCTTTAGAGTACTGGAAATAGTGTTTTGCGAGGAGCTCTGAATTAATAGGCTGAAAATATCTAAATATAAATCTAAACCAAGTTTGATTATATATTTAAGGACGAAGGCTTTTTTTACGGATTTGGGTCATTGAATGGATAAAATTTTGACATATAGCCGTTGATATAGCTTCAACATCCTTACTATGCTATTGCTTGGAGCGTAAAAACCAGCATCGAGAGGCTATATGACTTATGTATAGAAGTAGAAGAAAAGAGGACAATATTATGGTCCTCGTAGAATTTGATGAATTCTCCTAGAATCTGAACTTACAATAGAAGACAGCGTTTTCTGATTGAGTTAAGATAGGATTAATAAAGAAAAGGGATTCAAGAGTGCTTTGGTCGTTGTCAAAAGTCTATTACGAAAAATTCTACGTAAGCAAACTGCACACTAACTAACAGTATTCGAAATATTCAAACAAACGTAAAGTGGGCCGAAGCCCCTCCAATCCCACTAATCATGTGACCTCAAAAAACCTCCTCACTGCTACTTCATGGTTTGTTTTGCTTACATCGCACATGCATGTTATAGTTACTTGTCTTCAGCTCGTCATGTTCCAAGCTTTTGATCAATCTTTTCATTGGTAAAACTCTGTTGTAGCGTAGTATTTCCTCCAAACCTTTCAAGGTTGTAGTACTCCGCAGTGTGGCGTTAGGTCCGGAGTTGCGTCCGTCCCCCAAAACAAAGGTTTCTATCCGATCACTAATTATGGGGATCTATGGCGAGATCTAGGAAGATTTAAACCCTGGACATCGAACAGCAGTACCTGTACACTATCTAGGTACTGTGTATACTATTATCCTCTGTAAAACGAGGACATGAAAATCAGTCCAAAATGAGTAAAAGGTTCACATGGCCCACTCCAGTGCTCCTCCGGAAGCTTACAAGGGATAAACAGCTGCAGATGCTTGTTTAGACCTTAACACACCTTATCACATCATCTCCCTACCAAATTGCTTATTTTGAAACTTCGATTGAGCTCCACAATCATCTGATCATTAAAATCGCTGCCATGAGTAGTTTATTTGACAATTATTGAATGATTTTGCTTCGACTGCACTAGGTACTGCCATCCAGTTAAGTGATCAGAATCACAATCTCATCAATCGTTGCCACCTAAGTGCCAAGGTACCTGGTAGTCGATAGAGCATCTGAGTAGTTTTCCTCCGACGGACCTCGCCGATGTCCCTAAGAACCACTCATGCGTAATTCTCTTTCCATTTGGGGGCTAGAAGAGGCACAGGTAATTGCAAAGTGGCAGGTAATTTGCCAAAGTGGAACAGTGCAGCACGAAGCACTTCTTTCTTGGGACTAGTGCGTATCCATCTATGGATACGCAAGGTACATAGGTACGGATTACATTTCCTTGCGTAGAATGTAAAATAATATCCGTGTTACCATTACCCTGAGACTGGTTAGCACATGGATCTATGTGGAGGAACCTTGGAAGACCCCCACATGTTTTGGATTCTGTTTAAGATAACATTTTGGGCAAATATGGCCTCATGAGTTGACAGGCTAGACTGTCCCGAAAGATATCACGCTCGGGGTATAAGAGTTACATTAGTCCCTGGAAACAACCGTGACTGAAAAGGACTTGCCAAGTCTTACAAACATCCCTCGGCAGAGAGTGAGTGCAATTCAAATGACGCTCGTCGATTCAGACTCACCGATAGAAGAGACTCGAGAGAGTGCCCCCTCATCCAATCATGAATCGATTGATGAGAAGGCCGGTGTCTTCGTGTCCTTGGGCAAAGATGAGCTGAAAGCCCAAGCATCCGACCTGAGTGAAGAGGATGATCGCAACAGTGATAAGGTTATCATCGTCACTGGTGCCGATGCTGCTGTGCACTTACTGCCGATGCGAGATGACTTTGATCCTGCATTGACTTTCAGAAGCATGGTATTGGCATCTGGACTTTCGTGTTTCCAAGCTGTCATGAATCAAATTTATTATGTAATTCAGTGTTCACCATGTTCTCTCGAGTAAGAAAGTGCTGACTTATTCAACAACAGTTTAAACCGACGTCTGTTAGTATCCAAGGTACCTTTATCGTCTTGATTTCATATTTCATCGGCAATGCCTGGGCCAGATTCCTTCCCCGGGGCGATAAATTTGAAGCGCGGTGGAGGGCAAACGGTGGCCAAGGAAAATTACCTCGATGGCTCCGGCTCATCAAGTTTATCAATCCCGGAGTTTGGACTTTGAAGGAGCACGCAGTCTGTTCTATCACTGCAACATCAGCCTCAAATGCATCATCAAGTTCAGCTGTTTTTGCAGCACAGAAACTCTTCTATAATATGGATGTGACCGCGGCTACTGTTATCCTGAGCACTATCTCTATTGGTCTATTTGGCTATGGTCTATGTGGCTTGATGCGTCCGATCGCGGTTTGGCACACAGAGGCTGTTTACTGGGGAACCTTACCTACTGTCAAAGTACTCCAGGGAATTCATTGGCAAGAGGTGAAAAATTCCAAGCCTCTGAGATACTTCTGGTATGCTTTCAGCGGCATGACCCTGTATGAGATTATTCCAGCCTACATCTTCCCTTGGTTGAATTCCGTTTCTATTCCTGTATGTCAAGTTCAAAGGGTTTCATATGGAACATAAATTCTGACCAAGCATAATAGTGTCTCGCAGCACAAAAAGCTACGGGCAACAAGGCTAAGGTCCTTACTAATATTTTCGGTGGAGCTACAAACAATGAAGGTCTCGGACTTTTCACGCTCAGTTTCGATTGGCAATATGTAAGAGAGCAGAATTCTTCATTCTCTTTCAATAACTAACTGAAACAAGATCACCTCTTATCAAACTTCCCTTCCTCTCAAGCTTCAAGCTCATCAGGCCCTTGGGTTCGTGGCATGTATGATTGCCATGGTTGGAATCTACTACGGCAATGGCTGGAACTCGCGATCACTTCCCTTCATGTCGACGAAACTTCTGATGTCAAATGGCACAAAATATCCAACTAGCAGCGTCTTCCCTGATGGTGTACTTGATGAGACCGCCTTGGTGAAATATGGACTACCTAAGCTAACGGGTTCATTTGCTTTTGCCATGCTTATGGCTAATGCTGCGGTAGGTAGCGTATTTTTCGAGTCCTGGGTATCAATCAAGCTAAAAATCTTTCTAGATTGGTGCCATGATCATGCATTGCATTCTCTTCTGGGGGAAAGATATCTGGCGATCGTATAAGAAGGCAAGAGAAGGCCGATTCGACGATCGTCATCACGTTCATATGGCAAAGCATTACAAGGACACACCATGGTGGTGGTACGGAATTGTTCTTATTGGCAGTTTTGTTCTGGGTCTCATCGTCGTTCTGAAAGAGAATATTAGCCTTCCAGCCTGGGCTTACGTCGTGTCGCTTATAATAGGAATTATCATTGCACCATTCGTGAGTCCAAACCCCTTCAGCTACACCTGATAGCTTTTGAATTTACTCTAATAATCCTGTGATTGCAGAGCACTCTTGTTTATTCTCGCTACGGCAATGGCATTGCTACGAACAATCTTTCGAAAATGTTAGCAGGCCTCATGATTCCTGGACGGCCAGTCGGTAACATGTACTTTGCTTGTTGGTCGCATAATGTTGTGATGAACGCACTCAATCTATGCAATGATTTGAAGATGGGTGAATATCGTGAGCTCTATCAACTCTCATTAAACGTCAAGCAGAAACTGACATTGCACAATTTCAGTCAAAATTCCACCTCGTGTGATGTTTCTTACCCAAATATGGGGAACCCTGCTCGGCGGTTTCATCAACTATGCCATCATGATATCTGTTGTGGGCAGTAACCAAGCACTACTCGCTAATGGCAACGGAAACAACGCATGGAGCGGTGCGACTATTCAAGCATATAACACAAATGCAGCTTCTTGGGCCTTAGCACCATACATCTATAAGGTCGGCACTGAGTACTCGATGGTGCCTATTGGAATAGCAATTGGAGCAGGAGCAGTTGTTGTTCAACGCTTTGTCTACCAGGTTAGTGGTACTGTTGACTGACTCGGCCAATTGAGACTAACCTACATCTTTCAGTTTTCCCCCAAGATCAGAGGTTTTGATATCTCTGAAATCAACATGCCGCAGTTCATCCAATACGCCGGTTTCATTCCATATAACCAAAGTCAGACCTGCGTTGTCCTCAGCTGGATCCTTTCTGGTTTTTTTGTCCAGTACTACCTCCGAAACTACCAGCCACGCATCTTCAAAGATTACTCATACCTAGTCACTGGTGCTTTCGATGGAGCCAGTCTTACGGTCATGTTCATTCTTTCCTTTGCGGTGTTTGGCGCCGGAGGAGCTTCCCACGATTTCCCGAGCTGGTGGGGTAATAATTCAAATGGGAACTACGACTGGTGTCCAACCAGTGATTCTTAGAGAGTGAGACACAATACATTGCTTTAGGTTATGATATACCTCTTTTCCGGAGGACTATATTTTCTTACAGCTTAAATTCTGCCATTGATCATTCAAGCGTAGGTGTCCGACTACTGTATAGTTTCATAAGTAAGGCTTGATAGACAGAGCTTCATTCATAATTCTATCCAGAGTTGGCTATAGGAATAATTACGGCATACCTTGATATTTCTTTGGATCCAGATCCGCCGTCTGGGATCTTAGAAGTCCAATGCCAACTTTGGTAGATAGGCAAGATTTATCCCTGAGTCTGTTAGCTACTATCTGATAGAATAGCACCCGAGAGTTGTTCCCTAGAACTTACAAGTACAACGAAGACTGTGTATCTGTCAACCAAAACATCTTCATGCCCGCTCCTCTTGAAATGCATTATCGCAGCCCAAGTTGAGGTACTGGCTTGGTCATCCTTGGTCACACTGTCACAGCTTCCATGCAACATCACCTCATCTGCATCAGGACCGAATGGAAACACCGAGTCGATGGTATGATCGCGGGTCTTGATATCGGCCGAAGTCCCTGTTACGGCTTCAATAAGACCTAGGGCGTGTCTAAGTTAGTTAAATATTCTCAGCTCGATAGGCTTCAAAAGACTGACTGTCTCGTCCCTTGACAGTGAAAGGTCCCATAGTCATCTCGGCGTCCTCTGCAAAGTGAGCACCCCAAGTCTGCATATCTTTGCTGTCAAGGGCAGTATACAAAGTTTTGATGTGAGACTTTATAGCTGGGTTGAGGACGCTATCGTCGCTTTTGAAGTTCTTTTCACTGGGGGCCATAATGCTAAACGTGAATGTAGTCAGTTGTATTGACTTGTAGAAGGCGATTTCAAACTAAAATAGAGGATTCTGAGCGTAGATATGATCTCTGGATATGTGACTGGTTCCCTGCATGATACTTATCAAGGGCAATGCGGGGTGTCGTCAGATGAGATCGAAATGAAATGCTAGATGCGAGATCGAAATGTGATATCGAAATGTGATATCAGATGTGAGATCGAAACTCAAATAGTCACTAGGTATAATTTACCCTATTTTCACGAACACGTTCTAATATCTTTAGTTACAGTTACGGACTAGACTGTTCGCGGATTCTGAAGAATGTAAACATAAAACCAAGCACTTAGATCAGAACTACAGAACTACAGAACTACAGAACTACCGACCTGGCGACAGAAATAGATTCTTCTGCACAGCCGCGCTTTAACTGGAATGACAATGGAACCACCACCGTCATAGGTGCGATACTAGTGCATTTCTACAGTCCAGATTGTAATTTTCCGCTGATCAATGACATGTTAACTCTGACCTTGGGATCAGAAAACTTGTTGAGCTGAATCCCCATAGCATAACGGCTACATAATATGCCAAGTTCTTTCCAAATCCTTGTCGTTCCGTGAAATTCGATCGAATTTCAAGATTTACATCTTTTTAACTGCGATTTTAAAACATAAAACAGAATAAAATTGGCTGAAAAACTCAATCTGACTTATTATAGTATGATAATTCTTACCATATCCAGAACAGGTTATATGACGCCGAATAGTAGGATAACTGGAAGCAACCCTTGGAAGGATCAGCCATACCTAGGTAGCTTCCATACCAGCTTCTGTGTCAGATACATGTCGATCTCTTTACCACCACTCTCTTTAATAGTCACTTAGCGAATCTCTTCTTAACTTCCTAAACTAATTTTATAGGCAGTCTCCTTCTTGCTCAGTTCTTAATAACCACATCGATCATGCGAAAAGATATGATAAGCTGTTCGAATAGTCCGATCATAAAGCTTCTTTAATCTCTCTTTTTATAGGCGAAGAGTAAATCGAAGGAAGATGCTAGACCTGAATCGATAAAATATTTCGATTTTGCAATCTTTCTAGCGTCCAGAGAGAGTCGAGGTCACTTTCACTGCAACATAATAGTAGTTGTCTAGTAGTGGATCAAGAGTAGATATTCAAGCTAGATATTCAACTTTCCTATCATAGGACGCCACCTTTTCTCCACATAGAATATAGACGCTTTGAAACCACAAACCAGCCTACATCAATTGCCTATGAAGAAATTATATATACAGAGGCATATAAACAGAGAAAATATCATGTTTCTAGTATAGCTGGTCAAACTTAGGGGTAAGATAGCTACCATGACCATCTAATACCAGAAGACAATATTTCCCTTTTCTAGCTTATAAAAGAACTCTCCAACCATGAGTTATATTTATCCCTATCACGAACCCATGGTCATCAAAATTGAAGATATACTCTGAGTCGATACCATATTTTCGAATCGTTATTTCAACCAATTCCAACCATGAATTTACAATCCTAGGATCCTCCGTACCCTTTTCTAATCATACTTCCGAGAGAAACACGTTTTAAGACCTGGGCTGCGTTCAACAAACTATTATGGCCAGGTTTTGCCTACAGAAAAGGTGGCTGAAAACTGCGATCGGAGTAAATACTGGCCATATCTCTCAACATAGACAAGATGAAAGCTAGATTTCTTGAATTTATAGAGATGAGCCACTTCTCTATAGAATGTTTTTCAAGAAGAGTAAATTTCCAACCGGATGATTGACTCCTATGCTACTTATGTCCTGCTCAATACCTCATATTACCTTTGCATAATCATATATTATATGGTTAAGTGAGTAATAACTGCTTGATTCTAGTAGGATACCCATGTACAAGCGATTAGATTTCTCCAAAAAGATCATTAATAGCACTCGAAGCTGTCATTTATGGTTCTTTGGTATTGTGTTACAAGTGCAGAAACTCCTACGAGCTTTCTGATTCAATCCACGCACATATTACCTGTGTTACAGTCCTCCGTAAAGAGTAGCCAATAGGTGCGAACGCTGCGCAGCTATGACATGATATGTTTCTTCCCAGGATTTTGCTTGGATGGCACGTTTTATGTAGTGTGAAATGGCTAGCTTGATTATCTATCTACCTTTGTCATCAGCGAAAGTTTGAGAGAAATCAGTGGTTGTGAGGTGTGCATTATACGAATAATTATGTTGAAAGAATCCGCAAGGGAATGTCACTTAAGACAGAGATAAATATAAACCCAACTATAACTCTTAAAATCATCACCACTTTTCCTTATTATGATTCATATACCAATCCACACTTTCCTGGATTCCATCCCGCAATGATACAATCGGGTAATACCCCAGGACATTCTTCGCCTTGTTGATATTGAGCGTGCGCTGTATATATGCAGATATCACCCCGTCTCGAGCCATGTTGGATTGTTTACGGCCAAGAGAGAATAACGAAACACCCCACTCAGAGAAGAAGATAAGAGCGACTATTTGAGTGATTTTTCGAATATCCTTCTGCTGAACAGGCTTGCCCATAGCAGCAGAAACAGCTAAGGTGAAGTCCCAAAAATTCATGCGTTCACCATCAGTGATGTTGAAAATCTCCCCCTCGACGCGCTGGCCATCGGGCAAAGGTGCGTTTCCTGAGGCAAGCAGAAGGCGTTCGGCGGCGAGTAGGCACGCATGTGCGACATTCACGACATATACAAAGTCCCATAGGTTATTTTTTCCCATCTGAAAACGTGCCTTATTATTCTTGCACAATTCCACCAGGCGGCCCATGTATTCGGGGTTATCGGGTCCAAAGGTTGAGCAGGGTCGAAGGGCAACAGTCAACATTCCGCCTGTGCGGTTTGCGGCGAGAACTTCCTCCTCTGCAATTGCTGTTGAGTAGGTATATACGTTTTTTTGGTGCGGTGGTTTGAGGATCGGCATTGTCTCATCAGCCTCAATAAGATCAGACACGTTGTCGTGAACAACGGCCGACGATGATGTATAAACAAAGACTTTGACGCCTGCTCGTTGAGAGAGCTCCAGAATGTGGCGAGTGCCATCTATATTCACCCTTCGACAACGCTCATCGTTACGGATGATGCTTGTAGGACATACTAGGTGGAAGACGACGCGGGGCCGTGGTTGGAGCTGCTCAAATATTTCTTGGACGCGGGCCCTCCTGGAAACATCACAGTGGTAGTAAGAGACAGTGGGAAATTCTTGTTTTGTGATGTTGATATCAAGCACATAAATGGTGCATGTTGGCTCATATTCGAGGAGGCTGCGTATGATGTGGCTGCCATAAAAGCCACAGCCACCAGTGATCAGAACAGAATCGAACGACTTAGGCTTCATTGAGATCAAAATTAGGCGTTTGACTATGCGATTTCGGAAATTTATTAGAAGCAGGAGATGAAAATGGCTATCGCCTACGTGCGAGGCTTTACTATGATATCAATGAATGGATCTGCAGGTCGAGCTACCTTATATATAACTATTAAATGAGCGCTCCAGTGGGGGCTTACTCTACGGGTGTCTCCCCCAACTCCGGGGGCCATTGCCAAGGTGGAACTATGAAATATGAAAGGATTCAGACTTGCGAGCCTTGTCACTCGTACCCCCTAAATTGCTACCAGTACCCGACTTCCCAATTAGGAAGAGTCCAAACTTAAAGAACAACGATCAGAAAATGGCCCCATGACTGTATCGCTGTGATAAGAATTTTTAGGAATACTAGTTTTCCCCATATTGCGTTCTTGATGACTGATCTGTTGTTTTAACGGTCTTTCTTCCGGCCCCCACTCAATCGGTGAGTTTTTTATTTATTTATTTTTTTTTTCAGAAAGTTCTGCTGCCTAATCTTTTTCTCGGGTAGTAATCAGATGATGGCTGGCCCAGAAGGGATAGAGGCTGTAGTGTGTTTGCATGTGTTGGTTCTTCAGAACCCTTACAGCAGATGTATCACCTCTGCCGTCTACGAAAAAGCAAATCTGCAGTAGAGGACGAAAAAGCTTGGGAGCTATGATAAACTTGAAGTTGATCCTTTCTAATTAATGTTCCGGAGACTGAGCAGTCAAAGCTCCCTGATCAAAAGGGACCTGCAGTCTCAACGGCATGCTCAACAATTCCTCTACGATCCCAAAGATCATTTGGACGTGTGTATTAACTTATCTCTTGTTGCACCTGGAGGTTCTCCGAGGACATAAGCTTGAATAGCTAAGCCTTATTAGAATCGAATGATCTCAAAGTAATGCCGACTCTGGCGAGTTCATCACTTGAGCTATACCCCGCCATTACCTTCGAATTTAGACCCCACTTGGAGCCATCGTTGCACATCCTTTCATGATAGTCTGATCAGATGTGAGTGCCTGTCCTCGAAGCTTCACTCTTAAATCAGGGACATATATTTTCACTCTTATCATTGCGAGATCAAGCTTCACTCCGAATAAATCGTTAAAAGTGAAGGTGAGATATGAAATAAAATTTACATGCTGTAGCGGTTTGAAGCGTGTCGAGCCATCACGCTTAGTCTAGTTCTGCTAGTTTCGCTGGAATTAATCTCAAAAAGCAACGATATTGCAGTAACTGCAGGTGCCTGAAGATTCACCGGAAGAAGTCTCATTACTAGAGCTCTATGTAGGCGACTTCTGGTGTCATCTATGAGTTTGTCCCATTAGGCGTAATTTCACATATTCGCTGATCTGAAATTGAACTGATCAGATTTTTGACTACTCTCTTTTGAAATGGAGATGTTGGTTGTGTTGGCATTGGATTATCAAGAGCTTGATAGTTATCGGATTAATTCCGGGGCATTGATATGAAATAGTAAATCAAAAGTGAGAGTGGGGTTAAAAGTGAAGGTGAGAGTAAAAGTAAATACTTCAAATTATCATTCCGTACGGATCTCGTTCAGCCAGTTATATTTTCAAATTATTGAAAGAGAATGTCTCGATAGCTTTTGCAGGAACTTCGGGGTTTGATTCAGTAGGTCTGGCTCTCCTTTCCTCAAAGTCCTCTCCTGTTGGCGACAGACGGCATCTTGATCTTGGTCTCTGGCTTAGACCTCTGATTTTGAGCAAGTTGGGGAATTTGAGGAATTTGCGAAGGCTCAAGGTTGTAGGGTTGAATGAATTAAGAAAAGATGAGGAAGGTGTGTTGAGAAGCTCAGAAGTCATTCGAGCATTCACCTAAATATTGAACTAGACATTGAATCTATTGGGTCTATACATGGACTTGTTCTATGTATTTCGGAGTACGTTCAACAGGAGAAAGACTCAACATGGCATAGGATGTTGCTCAATACCTACATATGAATATGGCTAGAAATAAACACTCACACACACACACACACACACACCTATCCTATCACTGCAATCAAAAAGGTTCCTAGGAAATGTCATCTTCAGCCTGCTGCTCCTCAGCAGCAACGCCATTGTCAACATCGACATCCGCATCAACGTCAACATCATCGTCGACATCAGCCATTTCAGTATCATCCGCATTGTCGGCCTGTTCGGCCATTTCCGTATCAGCCTGTTCGACCTCCTCAGTCTGCTCGACTTCCTCAACCTGCTCAGTTTTCCCAGGACTAGCCTCCAACCCAGTTTCTTGAGGGAGGTCAAGCTGATTCTCAGAAAGTTCGCCGTTCAACCAAGAGCGCAGACGCTGATTCGACTCATCGACCTTTTCCTTGCTCATACCACCTGCCCAAATGGGGTTGTTGACGAACTTCTCGCGGAAGCGGTCGCGGCGCTTTTCGCGCAAAGAAACCTTCTTCTTGGCATGTTCCTCTTCCTGGGTCTTGATGGTTTCGACATCGGCATCCTTGGCAATTGTTGGGGCAGATGAGCGCCAAAACCAGTCGTGGGTTGAGGGTTGGTAGAGGATTGTGTAGTTGTTCGCGCAAATACGGATGACAAGACCATCGTGGTGCTGCAAGCTGCGGTAGTACCGCTCGTATTCTTCGTCCTCGTCTAACTTGCCAGGGAGGCTGCGCTTCAGAAATGGCATGCGCATTTGTGAGATGCGGACGCCCTCAGTTGGGTCGCGCATGGAGTATGCAGTCACGTAGTATGACCAACGGTCTTCGGAGCTGAGTTCTTCGTTGTCGAGAGTCGCATCCTCGGCGTTCATCATTTGCACGATGACCCGGTGGTCTGAAGGGAACTGCCTCGTCTGTTAGCTGGTGATATCTCTAGAGTTGGGATGTCGAATACGTACATATGTGATGCGGTAGATATCGCCATCCTTGCACAGTCGCTCTACTTGTTTGCGGTACTGGATCTCCTGGTGGTGGGTGGTTTCATCCTTCTCACGCTCCTTAAAAAACAGGTTCGCGATGTCGGAGCTGCGGTCACGCGAGTCTCCGGTGAAGATGGAGGCGACGAATTTGGTAATCGAGGAGAAAATTCGTTCCAAGTTGTACAGCAAATAACCACCCTGCATGTAGAAGCGACGCAGAGTCTCTTCCATGTGAACCTGGTCAATATCGCCGCGAATGACCTCCTCGCACATGCGCACAATTTGTTTGTAAAGGTTTGCCTGGGGGCTGATATCATAGAAGAAGTCGCTCGGGTATCGGTCCATGAGGTTAAGATCGTGGGCAGGTTTGTGCATAAGACCTCGGCGGACGTGCTCGTGTGCAGACTGTTCCAGATTTTTAATCTTCAGAAGACGCGAGTACAGAATCTCAAACGTTCGCAGAAAGCAAAGAATGTTGAGATTGGCGTACATGTGGTGCTCGGTCTTCCGGTACTTCTCGTTCAGAGTGTACTCGCTTTCAAGGTTGAAGTTACCCTGGCCAGGGTGTTCCATCCACTTGAGTAGTGCGACGTCGATGTTTTCTCCGGATTCCGAAACATTTGTAGTAACACCCGAGACTATATCAGGCGTATCCTGCTTGGGATCGTGAACTCCGTTTGTCGACTTCTCTTTGGGCTTCTCTGATCCAGCCTGGATAGCCTCGCGCAGGAGAGCCAGCTTCTGTAGATTCACTTCCGGTTTCCGACCCAAACCAGAATCATCTTCGGCAGCAAAGTTATCTTCAAGCTCTTCGACAGGAGTAGTTGCCCGAGCAAGCTCATCCATGTACTCGTGGAAAATATCGCGGTCAAGTCCGAAGAAAACAGGGATGAAATCCTTAACAAAGTTGATAAGGCGGGATGGCTCGGCGCCAAAACCAGAAGTGCTGCGGTCCATGTACATACACAAGAGATGTGTGGTGTCCAAGAGGACATCTGTGTCGTTCAAAACCATCTCAGCTTGGTAAGGAGATGTTTTCAAGCCAAGCTTGCGAGAGGTTTGAGATCTTTCCATTGCAGTCTGCATATCATGCTGAATGTTTTTGGCGACGAAAAGCTTCTTGTCAGACTGTCGAGTAGCAATAGCTTGATGATCAAGACTACGCCAGTATGATCTCTGCATCTGCTCGCGCCAGACCTTATCCCACTCACGCTGACAGGCCTTCCACTCCTCAAGCTTCTGTTTCAGGCGGAACAAGACAATTGGCAGAACGTGACAAGGACGCTCGAACATGTCGCGAATGATCTTCTCGCCACGTTGGCGATCGTACACCTTCTTAATGACTCGCTGGTAGATAGCCTCACTCTGACCACCGAGGCCAGGGGGCAACTTGAAGTTCGCTCGTTCAGCTTCGGACATGTGGAGAAATTGCTGGCAAATGGGCTCAATGAGCTGGATAGTGCGTGTGCAAGCCTCAATGTGATGATCATAATCATGGCGATCCTCTTCAATGCGGTGCAAGGCATCCTCAAACGTGTTTTTCCGGTGAGCGACGAAACCAGAGTCCTCTGATGCCCAGGTAGGGTGCGAGGCCCATTCATCATTCAGCACCTCAAAGCAAAGCTGGTCACGGCCACTACAAGGCTTCTGACGCTCACGCACGGGCAGCAGACGATAGCTAGGTCCCAGAGACCGGCAGTGCGCCAGATTGACCTGCTCCAGCTCTTCCATGGGCTTGGGATCGATGACCTTGTCCTCTGGCTCTTCCACATTCATAAACCGCTTGAACCAGCTCATGAGCTCCACATTTGATCCGATAAACGAATCAGCGCGCTTGACTAGGACGAATCGGTCAATCAAATCATTTGTGTACAGATTACACAGCTTCAAAAACTCATTGAAGGTCGAACGGTTTGCAATGAACTTTTTGACACGGTCGAAGAAAGCGATCTCTTCTTGGCTGGGAATAGTCATGACAGATGGTGGAATGGGTTCGGGGAGAGCCGGTATCAAGGTTGGGGAGACATTAGGCAAGTCGGCACCAGAAGGCTTGCCATGCTGAAATTTGGGTCGCTGCATTGAGATGTCAGTAAAACGAATGAAACTATAATAGGGAGGGTGACAAACCTTGTTAGCATGACCATATCCAATAGAGCCACGAACTTGGGAATCAGGCATTCTTGAGCCATCTCTCAGTGCATCAAGACCAGCGGGGCCCGATAGAGATGAGCCACCAACGCCTGGTCCACCCCGTCTCTTTTTGTTGTCCTTGCCCGAGTCCTGATGCTTGAAATTACCAAGAGGAGGCATATTCTGCATGTCACGGTTGGGTTTCTGGGAAAGAGGTCCGATGGGGTCTCCTCGAAGGCTGCTTAAGGGAATCTGCTCCTCAGCAAGACGAGCTTGTTGCTGTTGCTGTTGCTGCTTGGCGTGAGCAGCAGATTCAGGTAGGAATTGCTTGAAGTCTTCCAAAAGGTCTGGTGCTGTGTTGAAAAGCTGAGTCACCTGTGCGTAAACGTCTTGGATGGGCTTTGATTCGCGTTGGTACGTTTGAAGGATTTCAAGGAACTGCTTGTAAATCTCAGGTTGACTTGAGAAACGGTTCTGGGGGAAAAAACAGTCAGCAGGGACCCCATGATGTAGTCAAGTTTTACATTCGAAAAATTCCAAACTGGAGAAACTCGTAATTCCAAATTTCAAGGCGGGAGCCCTAAAAGGGAAACTTGAAAGTTGAAGTCGAAGTGAAGTGAAGTAAAGCGAATGATGACAAAAACACAAATGATGCAAACCAATTTTTTTTTCGAAAGCTTACCTTGATCTTATTGACATAGCTGATCGCATGGTTGAATTCGACTGGTCCACGCTTATTCAAATCAGCATGACCACCTTGAAGCATACCACCTACACCAGCCAAACTGTTCATCGGCTGAGTGAGGCCAGCGTTTGGACCAGCACCCGAAACTTGCATCAATGATGGCCGTCCCATGCCAGATGCAGCTGATACAGCGCCCTGCAGCTGAGCGACTCCGCGGGCGTCCTGTTGATGAGAGATGGGCGCAGAACCCTGAGGCTCTTGACCTTGGTAGCCATAGTGGTGTTCTTGAGGACCTTGCCCTTCTTGTTGATATAAACCGTGAGTCATCATACGTGAGCCTGGGGAGTACGATCCAGAATGGCCCTGTTGCTGGGCCTGCTGTTGTGACTGCTGCCAGCTAGATCGCGACTGCTCATAGTATTCGGGACGACCATGCGGCGCAAGACCACTCGACTGACCCAGATCACCAGACGCATCCAACGACCGTGGTGCGCGAGGCATGCTGAGGGTGTTAGTGCCGGATGGCGTCGTTACGCGAATCGCATCTGGATTGTCCTCGGTACCACACTCAATGCGATAACCTGGAGGAAGGAAGGTGTTAAAGCCTTGAATAAGCGCCGGATGACCGTTGAACAAGGTGGAGACCCGTTGAATTACGCCGGGGGTATCGATTCTAAGAAAATTGTCAGACCAAAGCCAATAAAAAGATGGCAAGGCTGAGTGCTCTCACTTACGCTTGACTCTTGAAATCCTTCATTATGTCCAGAAACCGGTTGTATACATCCGGCTGGTCCATGAATCGAACCTTGACTTGATCCAGATAGCTGAGCGCGTCCTGGAATAGTGTTAGGTGTGTGCCTGATGTGGTGAGCGGGAAGAGTTGACGCCTTACATTCAGAATAGGCTGCTGGCCTTGCGCGAGAGCTGCGACATTTCCGGGAATCTGAGGACCTCCAGTGTACCCCATAATAGGTGGTCCACCGGGGTGAATGTACGAGCGAGCTGCATCCTCGGCATGCTGGGGCATCTGCGCGCCGAACAGACTTGCCGGGCCAGCGGAAGACTGCACATTGCTTTGCTGGCCGTTAGTTGGATTCGGACCGAGATTTGACAGAAGGCCATTCGGGCCGTGAATGGAGTTCGCGATCTTGGAGGCGACTGGCTGGTGGAGGGGAATAGAGCCGGTGTGGCTCTGCACAGGGTTCTGATCACGTTGGCGATCTAGGTGCTGCCCTTCCATTTGTTCGCGCTCACGGCGCTCACGGCCGCGAGCCATTTCCTCGTTGCGCTGGCGCTGATGCTCGAGAATCATCTCCCGCTCTCGGGACTCGCGCTCGCGATCGCGGTTCAGAGGCTGAGGGGAGGGGTGCTGGATCGCCTGGCCAATTCCCGGCAGTGAATGGCCGGAGCTATGCGCAGGGCCAGTAGGGTGTTGTCCATAAGCTTGGGGTTGGTGCGGAGCGCCGTGGCTCTGGCTTAGTTCTGCCAGGCCCGGGAGGGAGTGCCCACCAGGTTGACCGTTGGCATGGTAAGGACCTGTGGGATAGCGCATACAAGTCAGTTCACGAGTTAAATAGTAAAGAGATGTAAGAATGTGGAGCTGAAGAAGATGTGTGTGGTGTGAGAAAATTGCTAACCTGAGGGAGGAGGAAGAACGGGCCCCGAAGGCTGCGAGTTTTGACCTTGCTGGGAGGTATTCTGACTACAGTACAGAAAGGTGAGATTAGCCTTTGATCTAATAACGCGATATTTGATGTCATCCATACCTGAAGGGGCCCATGGGCCGAGGTTGCTGGTTCAGTTGATCCATGCCAGGATGCTGCGGCCCTCCGGCAGAGGCGTGCCAGTTTTCATTTCCAGGGTTCATGATTGCAGCATTAGCTATGGATTATGGCAGAGGCGGATCCAAGTATAAGAATGAGGAAAGAGTTGCCTTCAAAGTCTGGAAAAGAGAGGGAAGACTACCGGAGTCAAGCCCCAGGGTAATGTTTCTCACTCTTGAGGGTTCGAAAGGCGCTCAGATCGCGTACATGTCAGAGCATGACTAGCGCTCTGAAGAATAAAAACAAGAAAGTACTCTGGGTCTCTGAAGAATCGAGGAAACTTAACAAAGCCAGCAATTAGGGAGGTACTGAGTGGAATTGTCGCGCGAGTGATCGCGGGCTTCTTCCAGCGAGTGGAGGCTTTACTGACCGCCTTCTACTAGTCCTGAAACGGTATGGCGGTATCTGCATCGGATCATTGTTGTTACTGTAAATTAGGGTAATATAATACAATAAATCCGAGATTACTCCGTAAATCTGGGTGAGGCTAGAGTATTTTTTGGTATTGTATGTATTGTGTGAGAGTACAATACCCTACCGCCTTCGTCATCGCTTGCAAAGACTTGCAAAAAAAACCCAGAGGCTGATGCCACTGCACACCAGCGTATTGCAGCGAAGGCAATTGTATACTCCGGTACGCGATGGAGCTTCAGGGATAAAAATTTCAGGTAGATTAATTGATGGATAATAGTTTCTCGAGGACTTGCACTAGCAAAGATCACTGATGCAACCCCCTTGAGAATAAAACCCTAATGACAACAAAAAACAATGTAGGCATAACATTCTCTATTAGGAAGCGCCTTCGCAACGCCTTCAAGGTACCTAGAAACATTTGAACCTGCGTACACAGTAATGTAGTTTGGGAAAGGGCATTGGGAGAGAGGTTGTGGAAGGGAGTAGAGAAAAAAAAAAGGCCGAAGCAGAAAAGCATGGCGGAAACGGGGGATGTGTAAGTTAAGTGTGAGGAATCTGAGGGGGATTTGCTGCAATGGCCATTATTTTTTTGCATTTTGGGTCGTGTTCTGATCCTCTCGCCATACTATGCCTTCCACTGGTGTCAATACCCACCTCGAGAGGTTGCGCCTGTCCATGGAAAAAGTGTACCTGTTGCTCCCCGGAATGATCCGTTTACAGAGCAGAGAAGACGAAAAGCTGTGAGCGTAAATTAGCTGTGGACATTGAAGGGGAGGGGGAATAGTCAGATGCGCTGACTTACATTGTTGGTGGCAGCAATGGCAATGCTGTCCTCGAAGGGGTGCCAACTCATATGAAGGATCTTCTTGTTGAAGTCGATTTGATCGGCATCGGTCTCCTTCTTCATGCGGCTACCCGGACCAGCAGGGCTTCCGGACCGTGAACCTGCCTTCTTTCCAGGCTTGTTCATGGGCGTGGGTACGCCAACCTTCTTCGCCTTGAAGGCTGACTTGTCTGCCTGTAGCACAATCTCCGTCTCCTTACTCTCCTCTGTTGGGTAGATCATGAAGTTGTTATTGTAGCTTCCAGTCATAACGTTCTCAGCATCACCTGAGAAGACAACCTCGAACTTGTCGAAGATGCTATCATTCTCATAGGTGTCGCAAAGACGAGGCCGGAGGTGTTCATGAATAGGGATAGTTTTGATGGGTTGGCGCTCCATGTTAACGTCCCAAATCTTTACAGTCAAGTAGTCCCGAGATACAATGTATCGGCCGTCATGTGAGAATCGCACATCGGAGATGGATGAAATAATCTCGGAGAAGAAAGAGCGAGAGGAGGCATCCTCTTCTTGTTCAAACACTTGAAGAAAGTTAGCAATCAAAAATCACGTACTAGGATCTTTGTAACATACATTTAGCGTGATCGTCGCAAAGAGCCCGCTGACGCATATCGGCAAGCTTGATGGTACCCTTGGAACTGGCGTACATGAACCAATTACAGCTAACCGGGTGGAATTCAGCGGCTGTGATAACCTCAGTGAGCTCCTCCATGTTAGCAGGCTTGATATCCACAATGTTGAAACTCTGGTCTTGAATATTGTGATTCCACAAGTTGACTCGGAGGTCGTCACTGGAGATGAAGGTTTCACCGTCGCTGTTCACGGAGATGCTATTAATGTGGTACGCATGGGCATTGGCAAAGGTGCGCCGGGGGACTGCTGCTACCACTGTATCATGATGTGTCAAACGAGGCAGCTTAAGCGCAGACGCGTCCTTGAAAGTTCCACGAGGAGCCCGCGGCAAGCCACCCATGGGAGCCGCCGGAGTCATCTCATTCGACAGATTGTTTTCAGCGACCACCTTCAATGACTTATCGAAAACCTTCCACAGCTTAATGGTTTTGTCATTTGTTGAAAGGAGGAAGTGTGATGCATTCTGTCGTCGACACCATTTTATCTTGTTGATCTTCTCTTCAATCTCTAAAGACTTGAGGTAGTCGAACTCCGGCTCATGCGACTGGAACTCGGTGTGGAATTTGTACTCGCAAGTTTTTTTCTAGCGGAAGGGCACGCATTAGCAACTCGCATCAGAAAGGACTGGACAAACTTACCGTTTCGTTTCGTTCAAACAAAACCACACGTCCTCCTTTGTCTCCCGTAGCCAAGTAATTACCAGTGTGGTCAAATTCAACGGTGGAGATAATATCCGCTGTTTATTGGAAAAAAAAAAGAGAGAGAAGTCAGTCAAGAGGCACCCAGATCAGTCGGTCACGAAAGCAATTACCTTCTGTGATATCTTCTACATCACCTTTATCGCCAAAACATCTAAAGACGGGTTAGACCATACTCCAAAATACACGAAAGAAGTCTCAAGACCGCAGACCGAAGAAGCGGTGGCGACACAGTCTGGAGGAAAAACTCACTGTGTGAACTTCCAGGTGGGTGATCCTGGGTCTCTGTCTACCATGGTTTCTTTCTAGGATTGTCTCTTGATCAAAAGATCTGGACAAAGGATGATGCAGGAGGTATGGGAAAAAAGCAGCTGCACGACGGCTCGGGGAGCTGTATTGTGGACGTTGCTTAAAAACTCGGATCGGAAAGATCTGGAATTTGCGACAAAGCGGAATGTGTCGGAAAAGAGGATCAGATCGCCAAAATCGCAAAGAAGATGTCGTGGAAATGGATGAGAACAATCGGGCGGTGACACTCGATCGGTGTGCGAGGGGCCTGAGACCGATGACGGGAGGGGATGGAGGGGGATGTAAAACCCGGTCGAATCGATAGGGCTTAAGAAGTCAACAAGAAAGGAACTCAGTTGAGTTGACTAAGTGATGGGGGGGTGATGGAGGTGGTGGGGGGAGGGGGTGGTTGGGTTGAGGTTTGGAGGAGGGGAGCAAACGACCCGATGGTGGAGGAAGAGGATGTTATTGAGTGGGACCCGCAAAGAGCTTGAATGCCGCAAGATGAAGAGTATAAGAAGGAACAGATATATTCTGGATTTTGATCTTTTTAATTATTTAATTAATGACAATAATATTCATCTTCTTCTTCCTCTATTTAAATTCCATCCTCCTTCCCTTTCCCTAATTGGTTCATTGAATATGTTGAACCCTGAGCTATACAATGAGGTTCGATGTTCTAGAGCAGTTCAACCACAGAGTTTTCTTTCCGTCTTGACTGAAAATGGACGAACCTGACATCAACACTACTCAGCGTCACATCTGAAATATCGACGAATTGATTCTCTTCTTCGGTTTCCTTGTTACCCGATTTAAGTTAATTTCCAGGACTTTTAAGGACTTTAAGGACTTTTGACCCAATGCATGCGTCCCGCCTCTGTCGTCATCAATATCGGAAATCAGGGACGACAATGCACGATATATTATCTGATACAATGCTTAGTTCCACTTAATTTCACTATAAACATCTATTCTCTCTTGCTACGACCGGGTACAAGTTCCATCCAATTTTTCACCTTCCCACATCATCGTACAATGCCTACGAAGTAACAAAGTAATGGTATATCTCTCCGATAGTGCCCCTTCCTATTTAACCCGGATCAAGGTCTACCCACATGCTTCTATCGGCAAATGGATTAGCCTAGGTAAGAACGAACATCATGAGATCTACAATCTACTTACCTACCCATATGAGAAACACAAGTTCGATCTCTCTTTTATATCTTCTCAACATCGATATCCATATCGATAGCCCTCGCTTCACCTTCCCTCACTGTATCTACACCGCAATAGGGACGAGAACATGCGGGGTACCCACGTATCACACACCGACACCAACAGGCCAGACGGTACCGACGAGCCCGGACCGGACGTATCATCCGAGGTTGCTAATGGCTCTTCCCAGTCGCTAGCTAGTTGCGTCCAACGATCTGCTGCCCATTTGGCGCGCAGTGCTTTTGAAGGCACGTCGGATGCGGCGCGGACGTTAGCAAATGCGACTAGTGAGAAGACTACCGGATCGGGATCGGGATCGGGATCGGGATCGGCTACGATATCGTCTGTGTCTGGGTCTGGGTTTGGAGATTTCCCAATACCGACCAGACAGGTGAATGCGAAAGCAGGAGGACTTGGGACATTCCGTAGCCCGGGCACGAGACTCATTTCCTCCGGAGGATTTACTCTCCCCTCACAAACAGAAGAGCAATTCCAGCTTGGAGACTTAAATCGAGATATGAACCTACAGCTCGTGGATAATAATACAGATATTCTCCAAAGCCAGACAGGAAACTGGAAAGGCAAGCAGCGCGCCCATGACCCTAAGCAGATATACAACACAGCATGGGAGCGCTCAACGACCTCCCCTCTTACGCAAAAAATCCCCGAACCCGCACAATCCACAGACGGTACCGTAGTCGTTTCACTCCTCTCTGACCCATCCTTCGACCCAATCGGCTTTGCAGAGCCAAGCCTTGACATAGAATTTGACCCAGCGGCCTCGCCACCACTTCTCTCGGCAGACGAGATGAGATGGCTTGAATCCTGGAGACGAGAAGTCAGTCCTGACCATGAGCATGGGCCGCGGAATGTAATCTCGTCGTTGAGCCTCGTGCCTGATATCGATACGTTTTTACAACAAAATAACCCGACCCTAGGTACTGATGAGGCGATTGCGCTTCGAGACGCTGTATTGGAGCGACTTTCTGGAGCTACGGACTGGGTTGGTGTCCAGGATCGATATCATGATGAGGTGTGGGGATATTTGCGGCCTGAGCTTGAAGCGGCGAAGGTGGAGATTGAGGAGAACATGAATAATGGTCTCGACGAGGATGGACCTGCTGTTAGGAGGCTGAAAATGATTTTGGGACATATGCGGTCACCCTCGTAGGCTATATCAATTATTTACATAGTCATACTTAGCTACCTAGATAGCTAGGGGACTACTTAGGTAGCATACTCGATTTGAAATCGGGAGTTGACTATGACTTACATATGTAGCCTTAAAGGGTATCTAGACAACGAGATGCATTTAAATCTACTAGGAGTATGTTACAATGCCAATTTTACAGAGTCTAGTAGACGAGGACAAAGAAAGACATAGCAAAAGAATCGTAATTTCATAAAAGCACATCAGGTAACCATACAAATTGAAACAAAAACTAATGAGATGATATAAGAAGGGTATGAAAAGGAAGAACATGGAAAGAGGTCAGACCTGGATCCATCACAGGTCCAAGCTGGGGGTTTGACCCTTGACACGGCCAATCACGATGTGACCAGCGTATTTGGGGATCACTTCGTCATCGTGGAGCATAGCGAATTCTGCACACAGTCAGTTATTTGATACTGGTATAAAGTAGGAAAGGAACATACCCTCTGTGGCGTCACGGCCCATGAAATTGAAGAGGGCGTTGGCACCGCCTGGGTGATCATCGAGCCAGTTAGTCACGTCAAGGACAATGCCCTTGACTACGATCCAGAGGTCTTCCTTCTTGTTGTGCTTGGCGACCTCATCCATGGTGTACTCTTTCTCGGGGATTTCAAACTTGGCCGGCTTGTCTTGTTCGGCTGGAGCAGCAGGTGCGGAGGTAGGAGCATCAGCAGTAGCAGCAATAGTAGGCAAACTGCCACTGGTAGCGGCACCGCCCCACTCAACGGAGATCTTGCCAGGGGTAGATGGATCGATGTGCAAGGAGATCTGGCCCAGACGCTGTTGGGCAGAGGAGCCGGTGGTGAGGAGCTTTTGGAAGAGATGCTGGCTGGCAGAGTCACCAGCAACACGGCCGTACACGACACAGCCCAGGAGAGAGGAACCACCCAGACGGTTGGCACCGTGGACACCACCGGCCAACTCACCGCAGGCATACAGGCCATCGAAAGGCTTCTCCTCACTGTTGAGCACTTGGGCGTGCTCGTTGATCTCAATACCGCCCATTGTGAAGTGAAGAACGGGCTCCATAAGAGCGACGTGGAATTCATCGTCAATAGTGAAGGGCAGGTTGTGGAAGAATTTCTTGTTCCAGGGGTCCTTCTTCTTGCCATCAGCAATGAGGTTGTACTCGTCAAAGGTCTTCTTCAGCGCAGCCTCGCCGCAGCCGATCTCCTTGGCCAGCTCCTTGCCAGTCACCTTCTTCATCAAGCCACGGCCGGAGTAGTGGCGGGTATGGAAGTCCAGCACCTTGGATGCCTTGCTGTTGAGCACCAAACGAATGGGCCACTTGCCCTTCTCCTTCTCCTTCCACATTTGACCGGAGACATAGTCGCGGTGACCAAGTTCATCTGAGAACCGTTGGCCATCCGAGTTCAGCAGCAGACCACCCTCACCACGGAGGGCCTCTGCCGCCAGGAACTTGAATTTGGCATTTGGGTCCTTAGGGTCCACGAGACCAGTCGGGTGAACCTGAACCTTGTCCATATCGATCCCATTCGCACCGATGGCCATCAACATCTTCTGGCCATCACCGGTGGCGTGGGTGCCGTTGGTACTGGATAGGTCAAAGGTATCGGGACGGTGCTTCTTGAGTAGAGAGGTTTCACTAAAGTCAGCGGCATAGCCACCAGTGGCCAGAATAACCACACCATCAGCAGTCTTTGTTTCGCCGCTGACGGTATATGTGACTCCAGTAACGATGTTGCCATTCTTGTTGATCGCAGTGACATTAGCCTTCTTCACAATCTGTACACGGCCAGGCTCAGCATCGGCCAGCCCCTCCAGACGCTGCATAAGCGCATATGTGATAGCCATACCGGGGAACTTGGCATCGTGGCCACGGTGGGTACGAGGGAAGGAGTGGCCGCCCAGGCGGGAGACGAGGGTGAGATCGAGGTTGAAGACATCCTGCAACCACTCGACAGCTGCGGCTGATTTGTAGGTAAGGACCTTGATCAGGTCTGGGCGAGCCTTGTCTCTAGCAGACTTGAGGGTATCTTCGTAAAAGGCCTTGACGCTGTCTTGAATACCGAGCTCGGTTTGAGTGCGGGTGAGGGCACCATTGATGCCAGATGTAGCCTTCGTGGAGTTACCACCGAAGAAGGCTTGCTTGTCCAAAACGAGGACATTACCACCGTTTAGGTAGATGGTGTGGGCGGCACTTAGACCAGACACTGGGAAGGATTGCTCATGTCAGCTAGGTAAGGAGGAAAATGCGGGGAAACCTTACATCCACCGCCGACCACAATGACTTGGGGTGCTGTCATTTTGGGATGATGTATAAGACAAGGAAAGAATAAGCTAGGGAGAATCCAGGCCAAAGATGAAGGGGAAGAAATGGCTGAAGAGGGTTCACAGTCTTTTAAAGAATCCTGGAATCCGGGGGAAGTTCTCTGAGGTAAAATGTTCTATCGGCCGAGGCACATCTGGGCGGTCAAGTATGAAGTAATGTTCACATGTTACCATACATGAAATTAATCATCACGATAATTCAATATATACCCAGCTGTTAACAAACGGCCATATTTCACATGCTCGTTCACCAATGCAGTGTCATACGGGACATTCTAGTATTCAATATTCAAGGTATTATTTGACTATTACATGGTCCAATCAAAACTGGGAACAAAACCTACTCCATCTTATTTTGGCAATCAAAATAAGAACGATCTCTTGATGATTCAAATCTGAGTAATATTTCCGGTATAGAACAACCTCGGATCAGATCAGGCCATACAACGGACCAAGAAGGCCCACTGAAAATGGACTAGTATGGTATCATAATACATATAATGTCCATGGACTATAGTATGAACAGATCTCACCTCTAAGCTGAATCGTGAATCGTGAATCTTGAACCTTGAATCTTGAATCTTCAATACCAAGCACTTGTGATATGTAACTGCAAAATGTTGATTGGTGGAAGAATCAAAGAATCCGGGGTTGGAAATTGCTCCACTTGGCCTGGATGATGTCATCAGCCTGCATCAGTTCATTTGCCGTCGGAATTGTATATATTATTAGTTTATGTGTTGAACCTCAGGCTCATTCTTTCCATGTAGTAATAAGCTCTCATAATATATCCCGAGTATAGTTTAGCAGCTTGAATATTGTTGCTGCAAACACCTTCTAACCTTGAAAGGTTGGTCATGTGACCATTGTTGCATAGGTAGCTTAAAACCTTGGAACGAACACACCTTCAATCCATTTGCATCGCCGTATTCCAAAGTGAGCTAATCCGTTCTAAGTTTAGGAAAATTGGCAGCTGTCATGTTTCATAACAGCCCTCCAGGACTAGTCATTGCTTGAAGTTGTGGCTCGGATGCGGCTCTGTATCCATAGCCTGAGGCTTAGCCAGTAGACTTCCAAGGTTGTGATTTATGCATGTTACTATGGAATACATCCATGGCTCGCCTAGATAGGTATACTTTCGGGCTTTTGTTTTGTAAAGTGGTATGAACGATTCCAAATCCATCATTTTCCAAGGTTTTTTTCTGTGTTCCTACTCAAGCTTTTCTAGTGTATGGGCATAGCATCATCACTTCCAAGATTCCATCGAATAGTCCCAGAAATATTACGACTTGATGGTAAATGACAGATAGTCCCACGAATTGAGTGCAGACCAACTCAGCATCGTCAATTGATAAATGTTTGAAAGAGGGGTTGAGCGGCTATGAGTTGATGTTAGATTATGCAAGAAAAAGGCTATCTCGGCAGGTGTGCAACGTGTTTTAGATTTCGGATCATGTGGTACTGTAGATGCAGGCAGCGACGAACCTATCTCTAGAAACACTTTAAGTCCAAGCTTTGGAATAGATGGGGTCAATTGGCTTTCACTGAGCTCATTCAGTCGAGGATGTCCTATTAATAGGATGAAGTGGCGAGGGTTGGGCTTCAGGAAGCATAGCGAGTATAATTCAATATCGAAGCCATCGGGAAACCCAGTAGGTAGTTGAGTGCTAAATCTTGATGGTTCTCTCATTTCAACAATAACCCAGGAGGTGAAATAAAGACGCACATAGACAATTAAACGTGTCACAAACATCTAATCATGAAATCTACTAACCACCGGCTAAACCGACCTCTAGATGGTCTAAGATAAAGACAATCTTGCAACATCGTCCCGATCATGCCATCACACCAAGTATGTGAGTTTGATTGATAAATAACCCCAGAATAGACTCGGACGACGGAAAGGCCGGAATCAATAAAATTCAAGACATTGGAAACCCAGTAAAGGCATTCACATGACAATCCTTCACTACGGAGTACGGAGCAATTAGTTCGGCGATTTATTTTAACTGGGAATTTCCGAGGTCCACAATGATAACCGCATCCCTGGGATTTGTAAATTGATCTGCAAGCTAACTAGCTTGATCCTTTCAATCCTGGCGAACTACGGTGAAGAATTATTAAGCAGCTTCGATTTATTGTTGATTAGGATATCAAGCCTCGGAACCGCGTTGACTATGTCCAAGTCTATGTATAATTTTCAACCATTGGAATACCGTTTCAAGCCAGTATTACTTGTTATCTGTGTTCTTTCTAATTTTTTTCTGTTTGATTTTGCCAAAAGAATCAATTTCAATAAAAATTGAACGTAGATTGTATTCCAGGCTTTTAGAATGACCTTCATAGATAAGCCCCTGGCCCCTGATTAGACCTCACACTTGGGGATGTATAGGGGGTCGTAAGGTTATTATGGAGAGAAAAAAAGAGCAAAATTTGATGGTGGGAATCGATCCCTGGACCTTAACCTGCAAAAACGAAAGAGAAATAGTTTGATGAAAAAATACAGGTTGTATTCGATCCGACTTTTTCTCAAAGCTGCATCCTGCAACTCGACGTAAACTACCCGACTTTTGAAATCATGAATAAATTCATAGAAAGAAGCTATTATGCTAGCTTTAGAAAAATTGAAGAAGGATATCTATTAAAGTAGAAAAAAACAACTCATACGTAGTACTATGAGATTCATAAGTGTGCACGCGGTGATGGTACGCTGAAGATCTTATGTTTCCCCGTCCTAGGGAACACCTGGTATCTTTTATGAATACAAGTTCTATCTAGGTGGCCAGGTGGTACATAATCTTCGCCTGTCGCTATTTAAGTATCATTTCACATAACTAAAATAGACTTTGTATTTTTAGGCTTACATTATGCGGTTAATCCTTAATTTCGATTTGCTCATAGAGACTAGTAGGTACCCACCGTAGAACTTTGAGATTCTTCAGAATTCCTCCTCTGAAGACTTTCAAGGTTAACGAAATCACTCTCTAGTAATAATGTCGCTTGATACAGCAAGACTGCCAGCTTTGTTCGAGAAAATTAAGGCAGATTTTCCACACAGCCTCAGTCCCCATGGATGGTACATAATAACAGTAAGAGCTAATTTGGTCAGGCAATAATACTCGCATTGCACTGACAACATGAAAGGCATCTGCTCTAATGACAGTATCCAACCCGGCAAATGTAAATTTCCTCTATGAATTCCTCGTCGCCCAGCCAGAATGGACCAGTCATGAAAACCGCAAAGTACTGAGTCGCCGGCTGCGAGAACAGATGCTCAAGCAATGGGTTGTGATTGGAATCCCTAGAGTAATTACAGCAGTGCGGGCTCTAGCAACGATTGAAGCTCCCGAAGATGCCGACTTCTCATTCACCAAGTACGTTCTAACCAGATTTATTCATCTGAAAGAGACCACCTAACAACCCCTCACAGAGAAGATGTAACCACGTCACCCGAGATAAGGACTCGGGGCAGAGACCTCTGTCATGCTATCTACGGTGAAGATCGATTTGAGGATATCATGGCTAGCTGGGGTAGCATGCGAGCGGACATTACATGGACAGCCGACAACATTATCTACGGAATGTTCCTTTCCGATGAGCGGGTTCTGAACTGTCAGGAAACGACGCTGATGTCGTATTCATGCATGGCTTGCATGGGACTCTTGGGTACATCTCGCCGCCATCTGGTTGGATTACTGAAGAATGGTGCAAGTGAAGAGGAGTGCAAAGCCGTCATTGAGTGTGTCAAACTACTAGCTGAATGGGCGAGGGTGGAGACATCGAACTTTCTCACATTGACTGATTTGGTGAATGAACCCAAAGGTAAGGAAATGCATGATCAGATCAAGGTTGGAAGGATCTGATGCAGTGGATATTCTCTTGGCTTGTCTGAAAGGTTGGTGGGGGCCGAATGAGTGATGGTTCTCTCTTTCCCTAATTTGGATACGTCCGTGATGCAGAATTTAGAATCCTGCAAACCGTCCCGACAATTTGATATGATTTTCCTTTAATTCAATCAGTAGTTCGTGCTTGGTGCAGCCTTGCTTTGTGCATTTAATCTCACCGCATCAACTCTCTTAGATCCATCAGTCCCTCCACAATGCCTCCTGAACAGGATTACGACGATCTCCTTGTCCAAATAGTGGAATATGTCAATAAAAAAGACATTTCAGGCGATAAGAATGCATTTTGTCTGGCCAAATGTTCCTTCCTTGACGCCTTGGGATGCGCATCCGAGAGTCTTGCAACTAATAAAGATGTACAACGTCTAATCGGTCCCTATGTACCGGGCACTATTGTCCCAAATGGATTTCGACTACCTGGAACATCTCTAATACTTGACCCAGTTAAAGGTGCCTTTGATTTTAGTGTACTGATCCGCTATCTCGACCACAACGACGGGTTCACTGGACTAGAATGGGGCCATCCATCAGGTAAAAAAAAAACCAAAAAAAGAGAAAGAAATCCAAAAATTGAACCCCTGAAACTGACTGTAAACAGATACTCTCGGGGCGATCTGCTCAGTAGCTGATTATGTCTCACAATCCCAGAAAAGGCCAATAACGATCGACAACATCCTCACAGCACTGATCAAGTCCTATGAAATCCAGGGCCGCCTACAACTGGCCAACAGCCTTAACCAGCGTGGACTCGACCATGTCTTCTTCGAGCAGCTAGCATGCTGTGCTGTTATCAGTGGACCTGAATTCTTCAACTTGACCCGAGATCAAGCACTGGCAGCGCTGTCATTTTGCATTCTTGATAATGCACCTCTGCGCGCTTACAGACATGCTCCAAATGCAATCCCGCGCAAAGGATGGGCGGCAGCTAGCGCCACTAGTCGAGCCGTTCAACTGGTACTACTAGCGGCAACTGATCAACCAGGTGCACCAAAGGTTCTTTCAACCCCGCGGTGGGGCTTCGAGGATGCGGTCATGGGGCCCAGCAGAGGCGCGGAAGGTGCAATTCCCGAAGGCCAGTCTAAGAAGCTTGAGATGGGAGGCCCACATCCGCCAAGTCTGGGGACATACGTCATCAAAAATGTATTCTACAAGCTGATGCCGTGTGAAGGGCATTCTCTCACGGCGGTCGAGGCGTGTGTGCGTATTCGGAAGGATCTGGTGGAGAAGAAGGTTGCGTGGGACGTGAACCAGGTTGCACGTGTGAATATCCGGACGCATAATGGTGCTGTTCTGATTATCAGTAAGCCGGCCAGCTTCCGTCTGACGAATCCGGCAGATCGTGATCATTGTTTGGAGTTTATGCTTGCGGTGGCTTTGTTGAAGGGGGAGCCACCAGAGTATGGCGATTACAGTGACAATTCATCTTGGTCGACGGACGAGAGAGTTGACTTTTTGAGAGAGAGGATGGTTGTGACGGAATATGACAAATTTTCTAGAGACTATCATAATCCTGAGATCAGGAGTATGGCCAGTGCTGTGAGCATTGAGTTTCTAGATGGGACAAGGACTGCAGAGCTTATCATTGAGCATCCAATTGGAAGCCCAAAACATCAAGGAACACCAAAAGCAGTCAAGGAAAAGTTAGCCAAAAACTTGAGACTCATTTACGACGAAAAAACGGTGAATAAAGTCATTAATATGGTGGAGAGTGATGAGCAAACCCTAGCTAGTGATCTATTTGATTTGCTCTGGAAAGGCAAAAGTGAGCATCTTGCTCGCTTTTAGTCGAAGAATTAGATAAAAACAATTCATATCTTGCTTTTTTGTTGAATGGGAGGTCCCGTATAGATTGACATCGGTCGCCACGGGGTAGGCTTAGTAGCTAAGGGCCGAGTCAATAGGCTTGAGACAAATTTTCTGATACTTCCAAGGTTGGTTACTCACCCATAAATTCCCTCCAGTGAGCCAAAAACCCTACTGTACGTGAGATGCAAATGAACGGGAAGACTAGGTCTTCCGGGATGCCACTAAACAGAAATTAGCCAGGCACATGAAGCAGGAAGGAGAAGCATACATTGACTCATATGCTAGCACGGTGTATAGGTCAGTATTCGCCTTGAGATGCCTTGAGGTGAAGAACGGATCCGATTCAACAATTCTTTCTAGCTCTAACGCAACCGGCATATACGGACTGATCGATACCCCTTTACTGGCACGGTCCTGCAGGAATTGCTTGAGAAGGGTGGCACGAGGGTCAATAGTTCTGTAGATGCGGTGTCCAAAGCCATAGAGCCTTCGCTCTTTGTTTTTGACCTGCTTGATCACAGCGGGGATACCTGCTATGCTACCAATCGTCTTTAGTTGGTGATATGTCACGATGTTACTTCCACCATGCATTGGACCGTAAATGGCTGCTAGTCCAGCCAAGAGACAAGATATCGGATCTGCTCGTGTTGATGCGGTATGAAGAAATGCAATCGTGGCATTGCATGCTCCATGCTCGGAGTGAAGTAGTACAAGATCATCAAGATGGCGAACTTGTGCTGGGTCAGGATATGATGAGCCCTTCGCAGTAAAATTCATCATGTAGAGCATATTTTCCATATAGCTTAGATCTAGAAGGGGTTGCCTTATAGTCAAGGAGTGTCTATGACAGTAACAGGCACATACGACAACAGCTAGGGCCGCGTGGGTTCGTATCACATGCTCATCAAATGATTTTGCATCACCGTAAACATCGTGATCGTCATGAACTGGGATGAAATGTGGCTGTAAGGCGTTGCAGGCACTAAGGCCGCCCATGATCATTGTCATCATTGGTGCATCTCGTCTAGTAAACAGTCAATAGCTGAAGAGTTAAAAGGGACTTGGATAATGTACGAAAAAGCGTGAATTACAGGCAAAGCATCCATGTAAATCAACATAGACTCTGCAAATGCTCGGTCTAGAGCTTTTCTTTGCCCCGCATTTGCCAGAGACCCAAAGGTAAGGAGATGCACATTCTCTGCAAATCCATACTTTCCAAAGAGGTCTTCAACGGCATGCTGTCGATACTGAAGCTGTCCAGTCTCCGCATCTCTTCTACAAATCAGCATTGCTGTAATGGCATCAAGGCAGGGATAGTGGATCAAGCATACAAGTTTGACACGGCGGACTTGATACTTGCAGTATTGCGTGACCCTTCGTCCAGAACAATAAGGCCTTTACCCCTAGCGTCTTTGATGCCTGCAAGTGCAGTGGCGTCCACATATCCACCTGGATGTACAGTGATTGTGAAACTGGTGTTCTCTCTCAGGGTGTTCTCTCTCAGGTCCGTCACATGCAACGCTGACATCGACTTTGACGGAGCCATTCCTGCAAACATTCAAAAGATGAAAACTATAAACAGACAATGATCATGATCTGTCTTTATGATGGCTCAATTAATCAATATAAACTAAGTCTTGCGAAGGTGCATGTGATAGGTTAAGCGCTTGATGTTTCAGGGATCCGACTATATGGAGATCCTCAAGCCTTTCATGCCATTCCTTTACTGGGTATTTCCCCGCCACTTTTCCCGATCCGTCCCTTATCCACTGAAGCTAAGAGAAAAATGGGGACTGATTAACTTGTGCAAGAAAATATTTTTATTCGATTGGGTTGCTCTGTTCATGCACCCGACCCGCCCTCCGGCCCCCAAATCGTGGTCACTTTGTCGATTGTGATATGGCTATCTGGGAGATAGTACTCCACGAACTATCGGATACTATTCTCCATATTCAGGCCGAACACGAGTCAATAGCGATCAGAGTTATTAAACAGCACTCCACTTCCTTAAAGATCATCATTCGATTAAATGGCGGTCGAGGATGGGACGCAGAGTGTGGGGCAAATTGACTGCTCTGTGTAGATCAAGCTGAATATTTGGTTGTATGGAGTACATCGAATGGGACATCAATTACATACTTCATATCCAACAGAAGTATTGGCTACTCAGTGGAGAAGATTCGAACAAAGAGTTTATCCATTACATAGTCATATCATGTCACTTCAAAGCATAACGCAGTCATAAATCAAATATTATACAGCTTTTAAAAGGTGCAAATCAAATCAACCTGATGTATACAGATCGACCGTTTTCTTGACTATTATTCCATCCGGACCTTGGCGGTACTCGGCTTCAAAGTTGTTCCTTGTCGACCACTTATGATGTTTTTGTGCAGGGACCAAGTCCTGGATCTCAATGCTGACATCGTCAGCATCCGACTTTGAACCCGACATCCTTCTGAATTGGGAATTCTTTCTGTCATGCGAGGATATCCCGTATCCCTTGGATCCGTAGGTTTTGCGCTTTGACTGTTCCGTTCCGGCTGAGGAGAGTATGCCCATCCTCTTCATGAGACCTGAGTATAGTGGTGCAGAGGCTGGTAGGCAGGCGCAGACGATACCTACACCACACTCGACAATAGTGAAAGTGACGGTATCGATGTTGTGCCACTGTTAAAATATTAGAAAATGAAAGATCTATAATTTATAAAAAAAAAAGTGTACTGACCGTGACATCTGCTGTGTTGCTGACATGGAAAATAGTCACAATTCTGGCAAGACCACAACCAACAGTGAAGCAACCCAGCAGGAAGATGGCTGAGACAGCAATCTTTCGCGGCTTATCAACACGAAGCTTCAAGATGATAGGGACTGGCAAAAGCAGAATCACCAGATCAGAGGCTGTACTAAGGAACTGTGGTGTAGCCAAATGTACCAGCTGCGGAAGGCATGTCCCAGCTGGTGCTTCCTCACCATAGTATGCTACAAATCGATTCCAGTAGTGTTCGACTGGCCAGCATTGGAAGATAAAGACGAATGTAGCCCCGATTCCGAGGCCGACGGCATAAACCCCATTTGCCCACAAGGCGATCTTGAACCAGCGTTGGTGTACGAGAAATAAGCTGCGGTATAGGAAGAGAATCGATAATTTGATGAACATAACCCCAGGAGCCCAGAGGACTGAGACAATCCAGTAGTTCTGTATCTTAGTTAGTCGACAACACTTCACACGGTATATAAATCCTAAACCCTGTCTGACTGGTAACATACAATGTAGATATAGAGAAGTTGGTGTGGTGCGTTCGTATCCTCTGCCATAACACGAACTTGGTGAAGTCCAGCACCGCCCTTCAAAGCAATGATAGAGGCGCAAAATTGTCCCCATAGTACAATCTAGGGTAGAGTAAGTCTTGTGTAAGGAGATATCAGTATCATATCAGATGCATACCAGAGAGATCACAATAAAGAAGTCTTCTAATGCGAACACCTTCTTGTAAGTATGTTGAGCATAAAGTCTCATCAAAACAGCCAGAGTCGCCACACTGGTGCAGATCGCAATAGCTGCATATTGTTGAGGTCGTTCATCTGCATCCCATTCAGCTAGTTGTGCTGCGTAAGTCGCTGTTCCCGGTTTCGGATCGTAATTGGTGTTGTTGACTGGAGCCATGTTGTCCAGTGGTAAAGGCTACACTGAAAATTATCTCGGTGTTGACAGGGACGAGATTACATTATATCTAATTTCACTCTTAGAGCTAATTAGAACGTGCATAATTAATAGCAATTGAACGGCACAGGATTTGGCCCCACCTCTATACAATTAGTGCTCGGGTATTGCTCACTCACAGTTAGATCTCAGAAAAAGTGGGTGGTCTGACCAGGCTGTATATGGCAAAAGATGGTCTGTTGTAAATGCCGAAAACACAATTGATCCTTTGCTAAGTTTGAATTGGAAAGGAAAGATGGGGGGGCCAAATGCGATGCAACTCCTATCGCAGCCCCTTCGTTGCATCATATTAGGGCTAAAAATGATGAGGATGCAACTCGGGCGGACTAGCGTATTAGACTAGGAATTTTGATGAGCGCTTTGTTCATTTAATGGTACCATGCATGGTTCATGGCATGCCAAATATTCTGACAGTTTAGTCAGACTGAAGCCTTAATTCATGAAAGCTTATTGAAGGCTGAAGGAGTATGAATGTCTGTCTATCCATTCTTGCCTGACAATATCCCAGTCGGGTATTAGCAGCACTGTTCACCACGTGAAAGTATCTGCAAAAGTCTGAAGAAATGGACCCATTATAGCCTTGAAGGATCCACTAGAGGTATTTACGGATCAGAGTTGCAAGCACTAGCTAATAAGAAGTACTGCGAGTATATTCTTTATAAACTACTGCAAGTGAGTCCCGAATGTTGATCTAGCCCCAACGCCCCATATGGCAAAAATATCGCTTTTTAGTGACTCGGACCGATATCCAGGCTTTGCCCTCTCCAAAAGCCTTTAATTAGATGAGATGCTTCTGCAATGATCGAGGCAACTAGTGCATTGCCCAAGTTGACATGCGTGAAGAATGCTCAAGGGGCTCATCAGCGGTACGCCTCAAGGGGGTTATGGAGATGAGGCCTCCGAAGTGATTGCCACCCACGCCTAGAAACACAAGGTACCTTTGTACTGTGTACATAATAGTATCCCGTTTCAATATATTCTACCCATGTATTTACAACGCAGTGGAGATTGGTGGCGGCGCTTCGGGTCCGTTAAACGTGGAGCGCCGTTTTTTCGTGCTCAATATCAACTGGTCTAGGTAGCCATTTTTATTTAGCCACAGTCCATCTTTCTCAAGGGCTGATTTTTTCTCCATATTGCTGCTTGGTGATTCGTTCCCAAGTGGTGTCACTTTAGTTGTTGATGAGTACTGTAAGACACTCCCGCTCTTCCGTACCTTGCCCGACCGTGGAAATTGATGTAATTAAAACAGGATAGAAAGAAAATTCTTGATGAAAACAGCTATATACATGACATATCAAATTCGTTCCGAATTAAACCGTAGAATCACAGAATTTGAGGTGACGGAAGAGAGCCGATCAGCCGGTATGGCTGCCACAGCCCTGGAAGAGCAAATATCAAATATGGCCCCCACGCATTGAAGGCGGGGTAACTGAGCGCTGCCAGCGGTCGCTATCTCCGATAATTATGATCGCATTTCTTGTTTTGCATATATAACAACTCTCTTCACTTAACGCAGCAGTCATCCGCTTATAAGCTGAAAATAAGTCTTCATTTTAAAGTTAAACTTTTAAAGTTATTCCCACGATGGCCGCTACCAATGATGGTAACACAGACCGCCATCAACAATGGTACGATCCAGATCTTAACGAAGTCAACCCGGAGATTAGAAATTTGCTGGAGAATTACTCCAAGGTTTCGCCATCGGAGGTAGTGAAACACGTTAACGATATTGTATGTCCTTTGTCCAATCGGCTCCCTTTATCGCATCCCCTAGAGGCTTTAGTTCAGATAGATCTATGGACGGTCTACACCGTAACTACATAACTCGGCCGTACCTGCCTACTCTGAAACTTCTGTTAACATGCATGATTCAGCGTAAACGTGGTTTTGCCTCAAATCCCTATCCTTGCATAGGGCACTACCGCTTCTTGAACCTCACGCTGCTCACGCATCCCCTTTATCAGTCCATTCTCTCGCGACTGAACTCAGATCCTTCGGCACTGTATCTCGATATCGGCTGCTGCTTCGGCCAGGATCTGCGCCAGCTTGTTCTCGATGGCATCTCTTCAGCTCAACTGGTCGGTGTCGACATTGAAGGCCCCCTGATGGAACTGGGATACGACTTATTCCTTGACCGGGAGACTCTTCAAAGCAAGTTTGCCGTCGTAGACGTCTTCAAAGGCGAATCTCAGGGTGAACCGTGGACGGGGTTGGTCGCCAAGGGAGTAGACGTGGTGCACTGCTCTGCATTCTTCCACTTGTTTCCGCTTCCCGTGCAGATTGAAGCTGCCAGGCATGTTTCAAAGCTGGTGAGAAAGGGCGGTATCATCGTTGGCCGACAGAGTGGTAGCATTGTGCCGATGGAGGTCCCTGCCATCAAGGCTGGAAGCACAAGCTTCAGGCATGATGTGAGCTCACTAGCCGAGTTGTGGGACAAGGTCGGCGAGGAAACGGGCACCAAATGGAAGGTCGATGGCACGCTCGACACCGTGGGAATGGATAAGAAGAATCCGGTGGAAAATGAGTATTCCAGAAGATTGCTGTTTACTATCACCCGTGTGGAGTAAGGTAGTAGTAGGCAATTCACATTTCATTATATAGACACAAGACGAGGATAGTAACATCGAAATAGACACTGAGCTCCTGTCAGAATTCACATACCTCTTTTCATTAGCCACCCGAGTATATACAAAGAGAGGTATAGAATTCTAACCGTCTGATTGACTCCAATATCACTTTTAAATATTAACAAGTTGGTCAAAGGCTTTCTTTTTTATTCAAGCTACCTCCCGATTCCGGTGGTCTGACGCATTCTTAGATCAGAGCGAATAGGCAGAGGATCAAGCCGAGCAAAGTCTTCGTGGGATAGGAGACCGCGGCACCTGCGCCATCCAAAGTGAAGGTTGCTGCCGAAGCAGAGCTAGTAGAAGTCGCCGTGGTGAGAGTAGTAGCTGCGGTGGTAGTGCTGCTCTCGCTTGACAGATCGAGTCTGAAATAAATAGCCGCGATGGGCTGACCCAGGCCAGTGTCACTCACGAAGTCAACTACAGGGAAGTTGACCCTCGTATAAACATTTGACAAGTTGAGAGGCAGATAGGAATCGTACTTGCTCGGGATGTTGAAGTTGTCAGGCTGGGAAAAGAGAAGAAGGGTGTAGTTGTGGTTCGATTGACCAGCCTTATGTTCAGGGCCTGTATACGGCGCAATGCTAGTGGCACCGTAGTCAAGCGTAAGATCATTTCCACTGATATCACCCTTGGTGATGTTTCCTGCTATCGTGTGGAGAACTGTATTTGTTGGCACAGTCGAGTTGTAAGAAGGGTCAACCATGACAAAGATATAAGGTGCCGAGACATTGGTATCAGGGATGATCAATGTTGGCTTAGCCTGGGTTTCTAGATTTTATCAGAATGTCAATTCGTAAAATCAATTGAGAGGAATAACTAACTGGATATTGGAGCCTCCTGTCCAGACTTGGTAATGACATCTGTGCCATTATAAAAACTTGCAGTCAAAGTTTCGTTCGTGCTAAAGTATGCCGAAAGCTCAGAAGGAATCAAGTCGCCCAGCGCACAGGAGCTACATAGCACCAAGCTGGCTGCAAGATGTGTGAGACTGAATGAAACCATGGTCAAGTGATGATAGCGGTCTATAGTTCTATTCCGAAGCCTATAGAAGAAAAGAAGAAAGAAAGCACCACCAAAGGGAATAGCTTTTTAAAAAGGAATCAATTGGAACGTCAGAACAGATGCTAGCAAGAGTAAGAAAAAATAGCACGGATTTCTCGTACTTTTACCCCTGGAGTATGCAGTAGTCGGAGGGGCCAGGAGAGCTAGGAGTGCCCTGGTGGGTCGATCACAGCCCAGCCCATCAGTACTGGCAATCGGGCGGGAACATGGCTCGTTTTAGTGTGTCCGTAGCGAGAAAGAAAACAGCCGAGGGATTTCACCGCTTGATAATGCATGCTAGTTCAGGCAGATTTCTTTGTCACACCGCGCGAATATCCCTAAACAGAGTTAGAGTTGGGGCAATCTTGGGGGCCATCATAGAAATTAAATTATTTGATTGGTTAGCCTCCGCGCCAGCCTCTAGATTTAACAGATTTCCAAGACAAATATCGTGCCATGGATGATAAAGTAGTTCTAGAATGTTGGTGGAACCGAATGTATCCATGGAAAGCTTTCAGAGCGCACATTGCAAGCTCGTAGAACTAGATTTTCAAAGGCAAAGAGATGGAAAGTGAGAGATCTACAGAGCACATGGCATATCAAACAAGCGCTTTGAATGGCCCCATTACCCCGGATGACAAATAAAATACTTATATAGTTAATAATTGAAGAAGAACAATTCCCTTCTTCTCAATTATATATCATCCTGGCCCATCTGTTAAGAGCTCTAGAGTTATCATACTCAAATAGGCTTCAGGTGAGCCGTGACGCCATTCGCTACCAGTATGACTAGGACTATATTCTAGCCTGATTCTGGTTCAATACGCCATAGCATAAATGGCATGTGGTACTTCTGACTGTGGCAGCTATCCGCTTCTAGGGCATATCCATGAATCCTTCCAAAGTTTGAACCCTCCATCAACTGATATCAATTATCTACACCCAATGGAATGGTGAGTACAAGAGAGCCGGGTATCGGATGTCTCGGAAAATTAATTTCTTGAGCATAGCTTGAGAATGGCATGAGTATGGCTTGAGATTACTGGGATAGTGTAACCGGTAAGAGTGTTCTAGATACAAGAATGGAAAACCATCGATATGAGAGGAGCGCTATATGTCTGGAAGCATGGACTAAGCATCGGAAGGTAAGTTGCCGATACTACACAATAGATTTGATTTTTCGTCTGCTTTTATCAGCAAGATTCTACTATAGTATACGGAAGTTCGGTGGAGAGTCCTCGCAACTTATCTAGGTAGACTGATTACAAGCTGCCATAGCCGTCCACAGGAGAGCTTTCGTACTACTATGGTCATTCTATGGAAGGCGGCCAACTACACTTGGGCAAAGCTAAAAGGTAGAACCTTCTCATATAATGAGGCAATCTCTTAAGTTCACTAGATCATGGAAGATTTTATACTACAGCCGATTTTCTGTCGCAATAATTATAACATATACTCAATAAAGGTGATGGCTGCCTCATCTCAGATAAAATGAATACCACATTTGAAACAAGTTTCTTATTAAGAACAATAGATAAAATGCCGTTGAAGGTCTCATGGAGACAGGGATAACTAACAACGGATGCCTGGGGCACCACTCTAGGAGAATTTCTATGTCCACGCCGAACTTCGCAGTAGGGCTGATTTCAACCAAATACTATGTTTGTATATTTTAATTTGCTTCCCTGACTCTCAATGAAGATCTCAGTAAAATAGGTCTAGAATTGACCACAGAAACCGCTATCTATGCGCTTGATTAGTTGATGCTATGGGTTTAGTTTAAATTCTCATTTTCAAAGACTCCGCCCCTCTTTTGCGCTACTTGAAGATATATTTGATGCGACTTGTCGTCTGGTCTGGCTCCAATTTTCAGATTGAACGCGCTCATTGAAAAGATAGCAAGACCAATTGCTTCTCTACTATAACTTCCGAATGAGATATTACTCATGGTAGCCACGAGTTGAACACAAGTAACGTCGCCCCACTTCTACCCACCTATCATTCCTTAGCCACTCTCCTTGATCATCATCTCTACCGAAGAGCACAGGCATCTGTTTATACTGATGGGGGTTCTGCTCTAGCGTGGGCTGTGTAGCGAGGTTGGATAGAGACCATCCGCAAGTTTTGGAAAACAATAATGATAACCAAAAATTATCTAAATTCAAGGATAAAGCTCTCTTCGGCAGCAAAGGACTTGGCACCTAAAGACTCAAGTACTTCCACTTCTTCAATTATCTATCTACTCCTAGGCAACGGTGCTAATACAATAGCCCGAGATCTTTATTATGCGGCACGAAGTGGGAGACTGTTGTAAGACAACGGCACCGGTGTCATGGCTGAAGATGACTTAAGTTATAGACCTCTTCATCATGTGGCAAAAATCAAAAGTGAAGAAGTGGCAAGGTTGCTGTTAGACAGCAGCACTGAAGTGATGGCCCAAAATAGCGAAGACTTTACATCTCTTTATTATGCAGCAGGAGATGGGAGCGAAGAGGTCACGAGAACAATACTAGAGTACGGGCTATAGAATTTATGAGACTTCTATTAGATCGTGGCGCTGATGAGATTGCTTATGATGAGAATGGTCATACCTCCTTTTAGCATGCAGTAGTGGAAGGGAATGTAGAAGTTTTAAGACGTCTCATAGGCAATGGTACGGATATAACGGGAAGGAAACTCCTTTAACTTGCAACCTCAAGATCAAGGGCGAAAAATGAAGACGTTATGAGGCTTCTTAGACATTGACGCTGATATGAAGGCTCCATATCATATAGGCTATACCACACTTCATTATACTACATGCTCAGGGAGGGTAGAAGCTGTAAAGCTTTTATTGGAGAGGGGCACCGATGTGGTGACCCAGGAACACATAGAATCTACACCCCTACATCGAGCAGCAAGAAGCATGGGGGGGCGGGGGGTGAAAAAGTTGCTGAGATTGCTATTATAAAACGGCACCGACGTGATGACTCGAGATAACATTGGCTTAACACCCCTTCATACATCAGCAATCTAGGATAAAGAAGTTGTAGAAGTACTGTTATACAACGGCGCTGACGTTATAGCTCAAGATCAGAAGGACTCAACACCCTTCATCATGCGGCACGCAGCGGGACGTGGGAGAACAAAGGTTACAGTGCTTCTGTTCGAACTGCTTTCGGATAAAAGCGCTCAGTTAATGGCCTAGATAAGGCAGGCTATACACCTCACTATGTCATGTAGTTTTGAGACTACTGTTAGATAATGGCGCTGATGCGATGGCTCGAGGTAAGAAGGGCTCTATACCTCTTTCTTATGCATCGTACGACCGCGACAAACCGATGTCGAGGATGACGTTACTAATTGACAATGGTGCTATGATTTGATAGAAGCCAGTTGCGGGGAGGATTGAGAAGGCAGAAGACGAAGAGAGGTTCTTGAAAACTCCTTCAATAAAAGCTAATTTTGGAACGTCTGTATAGGTATTTTTTATTTCAAGGCTGTACGCACTACGAAATCGCTTTAAATCAAGACCATTTAATTAATATTATCTATCAATCTCGTATCCAGTCTATAACTACAGTCTCTAAGCCCACTTCCCCAGCAAAGCCATGATACCCGCTCCAAGAAGCAACGACATAATCATAAAAGCCAATCGCTTATCATCCTTAGTCCGGTGCGGATCAAACAAAAAGTCTCTAGCAAGTAGCTCGACAAGACCAGTATAAATCAGAATCCCAGCAGAGATAGCATCCAGCACACCCGAAACAACATTAGCCGTATAAGAGTCCGAGTTGTACGTAGTACGCACACCAAGGCCAATAGCAATAGAAACAGGCGTGGTCAATCCATAAGCCGCACAAAGGAACCAAGGTAGCAAACTACCCTCTCTGAATGGGATAGAAGACATGCGCGCACCAATACCCAGACCCTCGAAGGACTGGTGGAAGACGAGAACGGGGTAGAGAGAGTCAAATTCCTCGCCTGTAACGCCTAGGTTCAACCCGATGATAACTGAGTGAAAAATGACGCCAAATTCAAGGATTAGGAATGCTGCTATCTGCTGTTGAAAGGAGCGTTCAATTTCCGTCTCTGACCATATTTCAGAGGCCTCTTCCATTTCTTTCATCGTCTTGTCTGATCTGTTTCGCGATGCAACACGATGCGCCGGGGCATGGTCATGGTCATGGTGGACGTGAACGTCAGCATCAGCTTCAACCCCCGACGCAGAAGCCATTATAGGCTCAGGATCATCACGACAAAGCCCATACTTCTTCTCAACCCAGCGCTCGGCACCGAAATCCATCAAGAAGATAATCATAAGAGAAGTCAACACAATAGCAGGACACCAAGCATAATCCGCCCAGTGACCCGTCATGCCAACACAGCTACCACTACCTATCTCGCTGTACGCCGGGTCGAGTAGGTGAATGAATGCCGTAGCGACAATGACGCCTGCGCCGAAGTATTTCGCAAAGAGGTAGACATAGAGCGGGATGCGGAGGCGTGGAGCACGTTTCGCGACAACTGGGAAGAACGTTGCTATTGAGGAGATAATGCCTATGACAAATATTGCTGAGATTCGCGCGCCAAGTTTGCCGTTATAGTCATTTTCTGAGGTGTTGAGGTAACAGATTACATCTGTTGCGTCGATTGTTGTTAGGTCGACATTGTGCGGGTCAAAAGTCATTTTGAGGTGATTGAAGTTGAGACGTAAGGGTTGTAAGGCTTAAATTCCCAAGGTTCCCCTTTTTCCTCTTTAACTAGGTACGAATGATTGGACTTGACGGCCCCTTGTTGCCATTTTATAATGTAGAATTCTTGTCAAAATTTACGGCCACGTTCGAGGACCTTGGTAGTTGAACACTAAGAACTGAGAACCTTGGTACCCTAGCTCAAGCCACCACTCTCATAGAGCAGGCTATTGAGCGGATTTTAAGCCGAGATAAGTGAGCATAGCTAAAGCATCGCAAGTTTGACTAATATCTAACGGCGCAAACAACTCCCGCAGCGGGAGATGCCCTAAACCCCCAAGGTCTAGATATCTGAAGGCTAAGCCTCAAGACAAGGCCTACCTTGCCAGCCCAGAAATATCTCAGCTCGCACAGATCGCATCGGCGGGTCCATCCGTCGCGTCCTGGCTTCCAAGGTTGTCAACAAGGCTGCCCAGTCCAAGATAGGTGGTGGGTGTAAGCGCATTCCCCAAGGTCCTTCGGTTAAACCCCCACATAGGCCTACCTTGACATTAGCCGGTCTGTTTTCTTGCTTACACGAGTTCCAAATGGGTGGGTATCGGAGGTGGGGGTGAGTTATATTATCAAGGAGGAAAGTATCTAGAAAGGAGTGTACTCCGATGTAGTAATGCACAGTGATGAGGCTATACTCCGATATTATGCAAGATGATGAAAGATGAAATATCTGAAACAGATATCAATATACCCACCCTAGCTATACAAGATTTAACACGGGGAAATCAAGGCAGATACCTCCAGGGCTACATAGGTAGAGGTACATAGGTCGAGGTACATAAGATGGAATGGGGATCTTGTCATCATGTATCCAATCATCCAACATGATCGTATCATTCATAATATTCATCAGGGCGTCGCCGCCAATATCCACATAGGTTTAGTTTCGACCACTTGGAAAGACAGAAAAGAGAAATAGAACCAGAACCCAGAACCCAGAAACCATCCCTAAAACAAATACCCGCTAGAAAAAGCAAAAGCAAAATGTCTCCCAAGTGGATCGTAGATCATATCGCATCGTAGTTCAAAATGCCAAATTCCCATCATATACACGACCGTCTCACTTCCCTATGTCCCCTTCACCCTCCCATCCGTATGATATGGTAGAAAACATGATTTCCCTCCCACGCTAAAAAAAAAATAATAAAAAAAGAGAAAAAAAAATAACATAAAACATAAAACATAAAGCATACTCGCTCCGAAATCAGTCGCTAACAGGCACCGCTATAAACATTTGTAAACAAACAGGACCAGCATCAATACAAAGGGATAAATGATGTGGTCCATGCGATTTTATTCGCCCAAAGGATGAAACAGGATGCAAGGGATACCCCAGGGAGAGGAATTTCAACAAGCGGAGGTAAGCCTAAGCTGATAGTCATCCAATTTAGGCATGCTGGAAGCCCACCATCTCCTGCTTGACGGGATTGGCACCAAATTCCTGGACCATGCGCTGGAAGTCCCGGATGACTTTTTCGGGAACTCGCTCCCACATAAGCGATCTGCTGTGGACGCCCGAAGAGTCCTCGTGCATCCGATTTTGGCTACTACGCATGGCTGCCAGGGCCTGTTGCAAGTTTGACGGTTGCTGCGGCTTGAACCCGGCGCCGCCGTCCTCGAACGTGGTCAATGAATTATACTGGTCCGGGTTCATAGCGAAGACCTGTGCACGCTCCTGCTCCTCAGTGGGCATGACCAATGTGTCATGAAGTTGGTCCAAAGCTGAGGACTCCGTCGGCGCAGGGCCCATCTGAGCCATGTCCATGCCGGACATGGCAGTGGGACCTGGACCTGTTGCAGAGGCCGATATCATGGCATGAGTAGAGTGGGCCATCCCCGGTGGTGAGGACGCTAGCACTGCTTTCAGCACGTTGGAAGACTCGGCACGGTATTCCTCTGACATTTGTGGGAGGTAATGGCCAGCCAAGGAGGTGTTGTTTGACGCAATGAAGGCACCAAAGAGTAGACACATATAGAAGGCATTCCAGCTGAATGGGTACTCCGAATTTGGCTTACCTTGGGGGAGCGGTTGTGCGTGTTGAGCAGGAGCCGAGGGAACCTGGTTGGGCATTGGAAGGCCACCCGTCATGGAGAATTCCTCCCATGGATGACCCTCCATGGACATGTGATCGAAGCCAGAGAACTCACCATGGTTCTCAGGCATGCTTGGCTTGGCCCCACGCTCAAGTTTTTCCACTGCCTCCCTCAGAATGGTATTTTTCTTGCGCAGCTCGGCTGTCTCTAGCGTGTGCACACGAATCATTTCGTCCTTTTCCATGTGCAAACCTTCCAGATATTGGGTGATCTGCTGCTGCTGAGACATCCACTCGGCCTTCTCATGCAAAAGCTCAGTCTCTCTTTTCCGCAGACTCGACACCATTTCCTCCAACTGTGTGATAGCATGGGTAAAATGCTTCTTTTCCTCTTCCAATTTTTCGGTATGAAGCTTTTTGCGCTGACGAGAGTCCAACCTGGAAGGAAAAGACGGGTTAGCAATGAAAATATAAAAAGATATAATCCACTCACGCTGCTTGACGGTTACGGAGGAGCCGCTTTTGCTGCTTCAACTCCTTGATCTCATCGTCATTGTTGGACTGGCTGATCAAATGATCAATGTTACTCAAGGTCCGCTCAGCAGGGATATCAAAACGGGCGTTCTTCTTTCGAATACCGTCACGACGCATAGTCAGCGGTGACCCATTACGATAAGCGGACGCCTTAGCCTGTGCAGTGACATCGGCGAGATCCATGGGAGCCGGCACCCAGCCTTGACTTGACTGCGGGGACATGGCAACACCACCTGCTGGCGCGAAACTACGATAAACCGCACCCATCGGGATGGCTCCTACGGGACCAACGGCCCCGCCCGCAAATTGCGCCGAGTTGCCCTCGGGTTCTTGGTACTGATCATAAGCGGTCGGCGTACATGAGCCGGAGGCGGTGCGGGAAAGAGACCAGTGCGGATGGGCGAAGGTCTGGGGGCCGTCCATGGGCATATAAGTAGCAGTTGAATCCAGAATCGACTGACCGAGATGCGAGGCTGGACGAGACTGATCGGAACTGTGGGAATAGTTGGACCAGACGGAATTTCGATGCGAAAAGGTGTCTGTATCATATGATCGGGGATCGGAGAGAGGGGAGTGTGTGTCGAGGATTTTTTCATCCAGCACACTCATTTCTTCCTCTTCGGCAGGATTCACGTCCAATCTTGATGGTTGTTGGTAGAAATCGTACTGAGAATACCGTGCCATAACGAAGAGGCGGTGTGTGATGGGAAAGTAAGTGGGGCGGTGGAGGAAATATATTTGATTTCAAACAAGAGATCAAAAGATGGGAAGATGGGGGAAACAACTTCAAATAAAAATGGATAAAAACTTCAAGATCTGAGATGAATTGAGCTGAGAGGAGAAGGAGGGGGAGGATTGAGGGGGAGAACCTATGTTGTGACTGGGGGAAGCAGGCTTATTGTAGCAGGCACATCCTCGTGCTGGTACTGTATGTATTGAATACATGTCAAGATCATGATTATTCTTAGTTGAATTTAAGTATATAATACCGTTCCATGCGGTCAGAGAATCCAGTGTGGCTCCCCTAGTCTAAGAATAATCCCTTCATTGGCTGCTCTGTTACCTCTTGGGCAGACCTGCATCGGGTTTTTTTGGTATTTTAGATTTATATTTTTGTTATTTTTTTTATTTACGTTTCCAAGTTTCAGATCTAAAGAGCCTAGTCTCAAGGAGTTAGTAGTAACGTGAATACTTTGGTGAGATTGATTCGTACGAAGTATTCCGTATTATTCGTATAGTTCGGAGTGCGGAGTACTTTGTTCTTTCGGTCTATACCGTAGGTTATTCCAAAGTTATTTCAAGTTTCAAGTTATATACTCCGTACTTTACTATTATTATTATTTATTGATTTACTACATCTACTTAACCTCTTATACTTCTATTACCGTTTGGTTGAGGTCCGGCCCGCGGGTCCACCTCGTCCATTCTTTCCTTCTATCGGGGAAGCAGGGCGGATGCAAATGCACGGATGTTCTGCACAGATCACTACCCCCTCTTCTGATTTTTCTTTTTGATAAGAGAAGGAATAAGATAGAGATAGAAATAGAAATAGAAATAGAAATAGTTTAATAGAGCTAAATTAGTAGTATCTTCGATGATCGACCGCGGTGGTCCTAGTGGAGAATCGATGATGCCATACCGGGATATGGTTCATACTTCCAAGGAGCCTCGGAGGCTCTGAAATTACCGAAATTAGTCTAGTTTCAGGTAATCTATCTCTAATGCATAACTTACACTGTTACCTGCACAATGCACAATGATTTCAGATAACGAAGTACGATAACTAGGTAGACCAGCATCACCAGATTACGGAGCACAAATTAGGTATCAACTCCTAGGGCTGCATGGGCCCATTGCCTGGACCTTGGGATGAAAGGTTCCTGGTCTCCCGAAGTCCCCGTTCAATCAAGTTCTAAGTTCCTGTCAAATCTGGCTCTGGGCTTTTACCCTGAGCCCGAGAGCCTGCCTTGACCTCTTGTGTCAGCCTGGGGTCTGTGTGTACGTATAGGCTAAGTTCGAAGTTCGGAATCCTGATAGGCTATTCTGGTCGATCCCGTGGGAAAATACTCTGGCGGTGAAAGCCCATGTCTATCCAATTGCGATCCAGGAGGCTTCGGTGATCTTTCTAGCCTATTTTCTTAGTGACTTGACTAGGAGCTACGACATGTGAAACAACTCTCTTCCACATTCCTTGCTATAGTTTTCATTTTTTTGTTGATATCATAATTGCCTGTATTTGCATAGTGATAGCATCATACATGCATATCTAACTTTTACCCTAAGCCTCGCGTCCGGAGTAGCTTCCCCAACAATTCCTACGTAATGTAGCCAACTAATTAACTAGCATTAGTGAGTGAGCTAATGAAGCTTCCATGAACTACATGCTGCATGACAGGTCTCACTTATCCACTTCGGGCCAATCCTACAACCCCAACCAGTGCAAAAAGTTGCTCTTTCTCCGAATCGTGGCCCGACGACCCTGAAAACAAAACACCAAAAGCCTCACTTTCTTTTGTTTTGGCTTCAGGTTTTTCTTCCGAGATTCGCTGCCCAATCTTCCTAACCGTGAGAGTTTTTTCTCAAATTGCCTCTATCTCCAGTCTCAACTCAAATGAGTCGGAATTATAGATATCGTGGCTATGAAAGCCGTTGGCAATCTTGGAACCGTTGGAAGGATTGGTATTATTCCCAATCGAGCGTATCAATTCCATATCCACTCTACTAACTTTTGGTCTTCCTTCTGTATCTCTGAATGGGGTATGCTGTTGTGTCGTCCACAGCTGAAATGATTTGATTATTTCTCGTATGCCTACTCCGTACTTGTTTCAGAATTCGACTCAGAGTGACGCATAGGTTGCAGTATTTCAAATCCAAGGTTTTCAGAGAATTCACCGATGACCTAGGTAGATTACAAGGTCCTCCGAAGGCAGTTCCAGCTTCCCAATGATGGACATCTAGAGAGATTGATGGAGTACTCCAAAGCTCCATAATATGCCACGATGACCCTGCGGATCCGTACTCCGTAAACCTTAAGTCTCAAAGTCAAACAAGCTTGATATTCTCGCAATGGAGCTTTCAGATACTCAGTACGGGGCCTACCGTCGCCGATACGGTCTCCATATTCCAAGCCTTTCCTAATCTAGACCAAGTCGGGAGGGGAGAGTGGCAAATTACTCCCATGGAATTGGACCACCTCTTGATAGTATAAAGCAAGAATCCTGAGTTTCATGATGTGCACGTCGACGATCCATTTCAGCATCTCACATAGCAAGTATTCATGCACATCTGCCCAGAGCCAGGATAAGTCGAGTCGAGAGATTGGATCTGCACCAAGGGTGGCTCTCGGACAATCTGAGATGGAATAGATATGGATACGTAGATGAAAACTTCAGAATGGGTGAATAGCCCCGCTGGCTTTCTCACATTTTGCGCACGCTTTAGTTCGACTTGGCTTGTTTAGCGTTGTTGCAAGTGGAAACGGTGATGGTATAGTGGGTACCGTGATGGCGATGCTCTGAAATATTAGCTTCGCCAACATGCAAATTGAAAACTGTCTAGGTAGGTTGCCCAGGTGAAGCTTGGAGCTTCCATGGGGTGATGAGTGCATAAACTATGACCATACTACCTTCATACAGCTCCAGTTTACGAGGTCACCGGACATGGTATAGAAAGAAAATCCTAGCTATATCAGACTAAACCGAGACGAAAATGAGTATTCGTCAATGCTCAGCTATGAACAAATAATCTCAAGATACCTCGGTATTCGATATTTCTAGAAGATAAGAATAACCTCACCAAAATGATAGATCACATTCCATCTCCATCCAAAAGCCAAGGCTGTGCTGATTATCTTCCGTGATGGGGTCGGCTCTTATTTAGTCTCCAGTATCAGACTAGCCAAGCACCTAGTTACTTAGTACAGTTTTGTCGGCAGTGGTCCCGCTAGTCATGCTCTGAGATGCAAGTATAATTGGCTGTCGAATAGTAAATGTGGGGATATCAAAGCAGAAATTTTTTCAAATCTGTATTGTCGCCACGGTGGACGGAGGAGTCCGTAGTTGCTCCATACGGAGTACGGAGTAGTATTAGTGCAGGTGCGTAGTTGAAGCGCTAAGGTCGACACTTGGCCCGGGCATTCCAGGGCTTTAGTGTATCCGTATAACGAACCATATAGAGAACTGCGTACATACATAGCTGTTGTGTACTAGTCATTGGAGAGCGTCATACGGTCATGTAGATCTGTGTAATCCAATAATTGACTGCGGGTGTTAGGCAGCTGGACAATGTTCCTGCAGTTCTGTCACTATCACATCTATCTTGAATCCCGAGGTCTTGTCTCGGGCAGGAAATGAGGCGTGATCCCAAGATGTGTTCTCATGACTCTACCTCTACTAATTACTATTCAGTACAGATATTTGTGAGCGACCTCGGGAGTTGCTTAAACTAATAATATTTGTTTTTTTTTTCTTTCTGCAAGACAAGACCACTGTTCCAGAGGAAATGATACTATGTAATGGTTTTCGAAAAGAAGAAAAGAAAATAGCACGGGGTATGATCGCTCTCCAGGTGCCCTACGGGTATTCCGATACTCCATCTAAAGTCGAATGAAATCTTGCTGGCCCGATATCTCACCGGTATCAACTCCGGTGAGAATCTCCTCCATCTCATCATCAGAGTCAGATTCGACATCGTCAGAGTCAATCTCATCATAGTCCTCCTCCTCGCTAGAAGGGTCAGAATCATTATGCTCATTAAGAGCCTTGTTAGCTGCAGCCGCTGCAGCTTTACGGATCTGACCAGCGCGGTCAACATGGGGAAGCTTGCAACGACGCTTGTGGCAGACGCCATTGTTGGCATAATCTGGACACTCGTGAACGTGACTCTCTTGACACTCGGACCCTTTATCACAATATCCAATGGTTGCGAAAGCACGGCAAACGGGAGAGCCGGGTGTCACACGGACATGGGAATAGCGACAGGCTGGGTTTGCACAACGGCCTCTAATAAAGTGCAGGCAGGCAGGGGAGCGGTGGGGTGAAGGTTCGTGTGAGAGATCACAGCTAAGACCTGCTTTGCATTCACCTGTCTGGAGGAAGGCCTTGCAAATGGCGACCTTGTTAGGATCGTGGATGTAGGGACAAGTCGGTCCTTTTTCACATGAGCCTAGGTGAGTCAAGTTAACTGTGTTAGTTTCCAGAAAAAGGAATTGATGGAACATGGTGTCTGATCTGTTGGAAAACGATACCGGTCTGTGTAAATCGTTTGCAAAGTTCATTGCGCTTCTTGGTGGAGGCGGGCCTATTTGGGCGTCAGTATCTAATTCCAGTTTTGAGATATGGGACTTATACTTGTTCTTGACGGCTCCAAGACGATGCAAATTTCCCTTCTTGCTTCGCACAAAAGTTACGCCTGCGACGTTGACGCTCTTGGGTGTTTTGTTCGCGTCGCCTGCGACGTGAGTCAGAAATAGCTGAGTCCTGGCTTTTCATGGTAGACATACTGGAAGTTCGAAGGAGCTTGCTCCCTCCTTGTGTGACCGTAAATGGAACATCGTTGATTAGGATCTGCTGCGAAGCAGGAGACACGGCCACGCCGGCATGCGCGTAATTGATGACTTTTGATTCTTCCCGCTCAGAACGTTTGCGTTCCCGAAGTTGACGAGTCGCTTCGATAGCTTTGGTTCTAGCCGCTGTCTCTTTATCGTATACAGAAGTATTGATGAGTTGCATGTGGCGACCATGTTTGGCGACAAATCCGTTAGAGGTCTGCGCGGGAGTCGGCTGTTCACCTCCGGATACAGGGACTGGGGTTGGGTTGGTACTGCCATGGGTAGCGTGGTTCAAAATTAGGGTGTTATGTCGATGAGGGTTCTGAAAACCGCCTCGATAGCCACCTCGATAGCCACGGAAGCCACCTCGGTAGCCACCACGTCCTCGTCCTCGGTAGGGTGCCCATCCAGGGTGGGAGTGCTCATGGCGATTGACGTAGGGCTGGGACTGGGAATTTTGAGCGTTCTTGTGTCTGTTGATAGCGCCTGTGGTAGGTTAGAAGTTTGCGCAAATGAAATGTATCTGGTTCAAGTGATTTACCTGCAAGAGCCTCAATGCGGGCTAGTAGCGCTGCATCCTCTTCATCGCCTGCCATAGTAGACAGATGGTTAGATCAAGTTAGTTAATAAAGCGACGTTGTTATGATTTAAGATAAGGCAGAAGCGTTGAAAAATTGTTGGTAATGTGTGAAGTGGGTAGGTGCGAGTGTGAATGAATCGAAGTCATTAACCGCTCGGGTGGAGTGCGGGTCTTATCAGGTGACGAATTATATATCACGTGTATTAGTAATTATATCACGTGTAAATCGTCAACTAGTTATTTAACTAAGGGAATTGCTAAATAAATATTTATTTATCTATTTAGTTATTTACATCCACTACAAAAATTTTGCTAACTAGTTTTTCGAAGTCTTCTTTGATAAACCGTGAGCCACCTCAAGTAACATTGAATTTGCATGAAAATTCATGTAACCTTAGAATTATATGTGATATGTCAAATTGAACTTCAATCAGAGAAGCGAGATGCACGAACATTTGGCTCGTCGGCACCGATTTTATCAATCGACATACTCTGTCAAGCTAAGATACCTACAGTTCCTATGGGTTCCATTGCATCGTCACAAGACTGGCTACCAATTTAGGTCTTCAGGGCTATAAATGGATACCTAAAGTGGAGATTTTGAGACACTCATATCTTTTTTATGAGATGCTTACTGTGTTTCATGAAAATCTGATCTGTAGTATCGTTTGATACAAGGATAAATAAACTAAAAAAGCCGATGATACGTTGATTGAGTTTATAATCCAGCCTGCACTCATATCCATGGATATTTTCAGTTGCACTTAGAAGATCCGTACACGGATCTAGATACCTATGGATGAACAAATTTCTAAATCTGGCTTGCCTTTCAATTTAGCTAGCAGCCGCCTAGATAAAGCCCTGGGAGACCGGGAATTACAGTAATGTGTAATGTTAAAGGGATCTTAAATGGTCATCATACTCATGCCTAAGTATCCCTGCATGCAGGGCATCTATCTGCACGTAGGCTCAGCCTTGGAACAAGCTAATCCCTATATAGACTAAGCAAAACAGCTTAAATCTAAGAATAATATTGGTCCTTGGACCTAAAGAACACTTAAAACAGAAAATTTAGTATACTGACCAAGCTCCATTCAATGTTTTGAATGGAGCTTGGTCACCACTCTCTGTACCTAGATAAAGTGGTGGCCAATATCATCTGTGCAGGGTTGCAGTATCTACTACCACAGACCGCAGGAGTTAATGAACGTAGAAGCTTTCTTCAAATGGCTTTACTTATTAACAAAAAGAAATCAGGGGGATATTATAATATCCTCGGCCCCAGAACTTTTGCTTGCTAGAAAACCCGATTCATCTCATTAGCTGTGAGAATCTCTAGGAAGTACCTAGGTAACCGTTTTGTGGCCTATTCCATGGATAAATTCCGACTCATCAAATCAGCTGTGAGTATCTCCCCGAAACAGAAGGCTTACTTTAGGCGACTCGTACACCCAGCTCGTTTGGCCCTTGCATATACGAGACTTACCTTCGAGGCTGTGAATATCGGCATTTCTTGGAAGTTGGCCTTTCAATCTAACCAATCGCTAAGTAAACATTGCATACTCCGTAGGGTATCATCCTTTTGAGGCAGCAGTGATCGAATCTCACGTGAAATATGATAGATCTACCTTGCAATTATCACTGCCTCATCTTTGAACCTAATTAGGCAGGGTGTTCTCCAGATGTCACTGGTTTTTATAAGGAAGATTGGTGCTCATCATAATCACAGCTCTGGTGCTCTCAACTATGGTCACTACTCGGTCCTCCTCGATGATATCACCATGGACGATAGCACCCACTCTATCTACCTTGCTGGCACCAACTGGGCTGAATTCTCTGGCAAAACCTCCAATGATGGAAAGTGCTCCGGAACTGCTTCGTCAGAAAACTGACGTTTCCTACGAATTCATATGCACCTATTCTTTGGTAAATGTATGGTTGCTAAGTTGTAAGAGGTATTTGTATCATTCTTGAAGTAAACTACAACTCAGTAAACTCGAGTTCCCACTTTGGTCCTATCTGACCAATCAGACAACCAACCCTTTAGTTATCTGATTTCCAACAGCTTTGATATTGCTGCAGGGAGAGTGCAACAACCTCGACATCTCTCACCCAGGAAAGCGTGTCCGCTGCGTTCACTATGAAAGCCGACAGACACAATATGTTGAGAATACTGATTATGGAGAGAAATAGAATAAACAAACGTGAATGTCAAAGAGGCACCGATTTATTTCTATATGTAAGTACCGCGCAGACTTTGCCTGAGAAAATATCTTCTCAACTCTCTTTATTAGTCTCTCTGTAATTTTCAATCAATGCACCATTTGACTGCTGGCAAAATCCTAGATAAGTCAGCAAGAGATCACGACATATAGAGAGGTACATACCGGAAACTGGTCAGAAATACTGGCTGCCACTCGTTCCACGCTCTCCGCAAGGGCTTGTACTCCGAAATCCCATTGACGCAAAGCAGTACCATTTGTATCAGATGTCGATCCACCTGAAACACCCGTATCAAACGAAATAATTCCATCAATCTGGTCAATCCTGCCACGCAGGCGGCCCTGCTCCACCATTCTGGCTGCGTAGGCCTCGGCTTTTTCACCAGCAGATAAGTCGTCCGAGGTTTGAAGACCAAGAATAATTCCCAGAGCATCAACGGTAATATTTTCGTAAAGCTTACTCGCAGCAAGAAGATTATGTTCTATGACTGCCTTGTCCAATACAGTGGTACCATCTGCAGTGAGAGCAAGTTGGTGAGGCTCAAGCTTCTTTGCGAAAGCGGCTACTTCTTCCCCGTTGAGAAGTCGATCGAGGAACATCTTTTCCAGGATCGAAAACTCTTCCACGGAAGAGGCACGGTCATCCTTATATAGGCGAGAGAGAGATCGGGAGCGCTGTGGGCCTGCAGGTGCCAGAACAGCGCATCGAATAGCAGCGGAAAGTGCGGTAAGACGGTCACCCTCATCCACACCTGGCGCTAAACTGACGCTGTAATATGCCTGTGCGGCCTCTAAGAACCGGCGACGGGCATCCAGGATACGAGCCTGAGACAGCTGGAAGTACAGCTGGGTGTCATGATCTTCGATCTTGCTGGGGAGGTTCTTGATTCGGTTGAGTGTTGTCTCGGCATTGGTAGTATCGTCATCCTCCAGGTAGTACCGCACGATACGGATCCAGAGCCGGGCCTTTGCCGCATCGGAGACTAGCCGCTGTGAGCTGTCAATGCTAATCCCCTGTAGCACACGTGCTGCTGCCGTGTACTCCTCCTCTGACTCGTAAGCATCTGCAAGGATTTCACGAATCTGCGAGTCCTGTTCTTCGACCGATGCTGCGCGTGACTGGAGGAGGGCAACGGCATGTTGTCCGACTTTGATCTTGGTTTCGGACTCTAATTTTTGTAGAATAGGGATAAATGAATCAAGGAGGGATCGAGTTGCGACAATGCTGATATCTTCACTGAGGATTGAGTCGAGATAGTAAACTATATCTTGCGCAAGTTCATCTCCAGATGAGCTAGCCACAATTTCATTAAGGAGGTCGTTGTATTGTTGGAGTTTGGCAGGCTGGTGGGGTGAGTCTTCAATAGCCGCCAGCTTGGCTGTGAATTTTTGAGACGCCATTATTGTTTAATGCTGTGATGAAAGATGTGAAGTTTGAAGATCTGGAGTTGAGTGGTGGGGATTAAGAGGACGGCTTATCGATAAGAAGGCGGAGTACGGAGTCAAGCTAGCAACAGCTATGACAGCTGAGTAGCCATAAGCAGCAGTCTCATTCATGGAGCAAGTTTATAATTATGACTCTTTTCACTCTTATTGACCCGAACATCGATACCATGATGATTTCGCCTTCTTTTTGATTCTATGATAGCACGAAATCGGGTCCACTTTTGAGACTCTGTATCCTGATGTAACTACTAAGAGCAGGTTCCCAGGATCCAAATCCAACAAGATATATATCATCTTCCCTCCAAATATGAGATAAATTCTCCGATTCGTCATACCCTGGATTAAAGCCTCTTCCACCACCTCTTAATCCCGGCCTATTGCTTTTTTGAGTCCATTAAAAATCTTTGGCTCCGAAGAAAGTGGACAGGAATTGAATTACTTCCATTCCCATAGTTGGAGAATGTCTAGTCTACAGGTAGGGTCTCTCCACATTTGCCATGATGGAAAGGGTGAAGGATCAAATTAAAGCCGATAATTAAAAAACCTTGGAATCTGATATATGGATGCTTGTCGACCGATTGTTCATCATCGGCGGCCAAAAACTTGGCCTTCTCGACCCTAAAAGTGAATTTATGAGATTCAGAGATATAAACGCCTCATCTCTAAGTATAACTTTGTTGATTCGGGATGTTTCCGTATTCTTGGATCCCATTAGTAGAAAATGAGGGATGGTGAGTACCATCTCGATATCAGTTTGGCCAATAAACCTCGGACCCCCAAGGCAACCAAGAGGCTGTGTTCATGTCATCATGGTATTAAAGAATAGGGACTCACAGTTGAGCTCCGTAGCAATAAATAAACTAAACTCTCAACATGCGAATAGCTTAGGATACAATAAGCTTGATATTTGTGGAAATTTATCACCGGTGCCATCTTCAAAGAACTTCACATAGTTTTTTCTTCGTTCGAGTCCTGGTGAAAATTGAGTTCAAGGTTCGAAGATCATAAGGCCTCTGGCCGGAATCAGTTCATCAGACCAAGAAAAATGGTTGTTTTGGCTCATTATTAATTGATTCGAGATAGATGTTGAAAGCCCAGAGTCAGATTTGGAAGACAGCTTACCTGAACTCTATAATCTATAGTTCACCCATGATCTTTTCCAGGTTGAAAGAGCGAATCTTTCTATAGCAATCGTGCTTACGCTCAATTTAAGTGGTACTCTTCCTAGCATGGAGGTGTCGTTTTAGAAACGGCGAGGAAAGACGCTAGCATCCTTTGGCCTGGGACTCCTAGATTGAGTCGGGCTGTATAAGATGACAAGAAATATGAGGCTAATAAATTATGAGAGATAGATAATAAAGCTATATTCTTCTGGGTTTGAGATAGCCTACGAACGCGAAGTGAAATAATTAGAGCCGCATTTCTCCATATATAAAACCAGTAATAAAAGTGGGTCACTTGGTATTTTTGAGCTGACTAACGTACTGGTAACAACGTCAAAGTAGCGCAAGTCATCGCATGCTTGCTCACCGCCTTGGCAGTTTCTCCAGATTCTAGGTCATGGCGCAACTCCATTTTCTTTGATCGTTCACTTATCACTGACGTCTTAGACGTCTCACTAACCGTTAGTCGCATTCTTTCATTCCTTCGCCTGCCTAAATCACTGACCCTCCTGACTAGGCTCCCAACATGGCCCAGATCAAGCCTGACCCAGATTATATCAAACCCGATCCCGATGATAAGGACATAGTCCTCCGCGATGCCGACGATGAGGACATCTATGAAGATGCAGGAGACCTGGATTTTTCGCTGGCGAATCAAGATCTGTGGCTCTCACGAATTCCGCGGCAGTTATGGGAAAATTGGGCGAATCTAGATGACGACGAGGAAATCGAAGTTGGAGTGATGAGAGTTGAAGGTGAACTCAATGATATCAAGCGGGTATGTTACTCACTTACCATTGGTCTTGTATAACTCACTCTAACATATGTTTCAACTCAAGGTCAGCTTGCGAATCCACGCTCGCCCCGACAACGAAGACATTCCCAAAGACTACATCCTGCAGCAACAAACAGTGAACTCCACAAACGCCTCTCATATGACACAGAACACATATCTTTTCACTGAAAAGGATGTTCCGGGAGCAGAAAATCGAATGGCAGTGTTTGGCGAAACCCGTTCTGCTTTATACGAGGCCATGAAGCGTGACGCTCGTCGACGGGAACAGGGCAAGAAGTGGGAGCCGTATGTGCGGAAGACTGTTCCCAGTATGTTTTCTGCGCGATAACTCTCGTGAATCTTAGCTCATCATATCTAGAACAAACGGCGCTTCTTGGACAGGTCAGCCACGAGTTCAACTGCCTACCGGTGGAGAATGAAGAGTTCCGACGAATTTCAGAGGCCCGGGCCCTGGAGGCCTTAAAGCCCAAAAAGGAAACCGTCTTCATTGATAAGATCCCCGGTAGACTCATGCAGGCGCGTCATGCCCTCCCAGTGGAGAATACCTTTGTTGTACGTTCTAGACCAATCCCCACATTTGTCCCCTTTACTCACACCATATCTAGCAAGCCACAAAGCCCCTCAAGGGCAAGTCACAAGAAAACAAGTCGATCCGTATGCCGCAGAACGAGCTTCTGGACAAGATTTTCGAACTCTTCCGCCAATACCAATATTGGCCGTTTAAACGCCTCAAGGACAAGCTGCAACAACCCGAATCTTACCTCAAGCAGACCCTGGAGATGGTCGCGCATTTGGTTAAATCCGGTGATTTCGCCATGACTTGGGAGCTAAAGCCAGAAGCGCGAGAGAGCAACTACGCTTCAACTGGCGTCAAGGCTGAACTACCGCCGGGCGCTGACAGCTTTGAGGATGGTTCGGAGGATGAGGTTATGGCCTCTGGAGATGATTAAGAGATACCACATGCAGGATGTTTTGAGGAGATCCCCGATGGGATATGGGTTCTGGAAGTAATTGAAAGGGTCGGGAGACCCAAGTATCAATCTTATTCATTTAACTAGAAGATAACTACCAATTCACTTTATCCATAACGCTGTGTACCTAGGTAATTATATGTCTCCACTTGGTCCCGGAAGTCCATTGATGTTACCCTGTGCAGGTGAAGTCCAATGGGGCTTTGGAAGTTTTAAGGTTGAAATACCAATATTGTTCATGTGGTAGATTTGCATGTGAGGCGATAAGTAGATATCGATACCAATTTATTTCGATGTAGTATGGTGTACTTACACCAACTACCTACCTAGATATGCAAGTAACTCAATGTGTTGATATAGATACCTATGTATCCATATACACATGTATATATATATCCGGTGTTAGTCCGGTCGCATCCAACCTTGAAAACCTTGGAACATTAGAAGTTTTTAGTTAACTAGACTCTTGATTAGTCACATCAATTCCAACCTATGGATCACGTAGTGTGCGCTAAATATTTCCAAACACAAATATAGCTCGTCTTAAGTGTGGGTTAGATACATGGTCATAGTAGCATAATAGAGGTTAAGAATCTGATAGTTTACACTTATTACATCAACGGGCAACTTGGCCGAGTGGTCTAAGGCGTTTGACTTGAATGGTGTTTACAAAACATCGGAGATCAAATCTCTTCGGAGGCGGCGGTTCGAACCCGCCAGTTGTCGTTTTTTTTGTCAAAATTTACATCATCATTAATTAACTATTATTATTGATATTAATTATTAATTAATGAAAGCATATTCTTCTTTTCTCAGGTTTCTTGCTCTCTCTTGATTGATCGGTGATGTTAAATTCAACACTTTTTTTGTCATTATGTTCATTTTATCTTTTAAATCTGACTAGTTTACAATATTGTTATTTCATTTTAGGGCTGCGTGTTGCCTCAACCCCTGCAACCAATAAAAGAAAAAGATCTCCCATGTTTCAGCCATTCACATCGTTCAATCGTCAAGAAAAGATGGAAATAGGAAATAGGTACTCAACTTGTTTAGTATCCAAAGGGGTTCCCAAAATGCGAGCACGGTGTGGCTTTATGTTCGTCAAATCACACATATAATGAAGATCAGGTATCAGACTAATGAGAATTGTATTTGGCTTTCCAGATCCTAGAACATATGTTAGTAAAATAAAAACTGCGCCATTTCAACTGGAAGAAAGAGTGAAAAGAAACGACATACCATGAATTTCCCACCATAGGACACCCACTTTCCTCAGAAAGCCGATAATACTTCGCAGCCTTGAACTATTTAAGCATCAGCAACAACCCAAACAAACGCTTAAACGGAATTTTATACCTTATCCTTCTTCCCACCAAATCCTTCAAGATAACACCAAGCAACCTCATTCATTGCATCAGTATCACCGAGATTTGCAGCCGTTTCATAATACTGTCGTGCAGCAGCAGGGTCCTTGTCTATGCCCCATCCATTGCGGAAGCAGTTTGCAAGCTCGAACAAGGCAAGAACCAGTTCACCCTTTGCGGCGCCACCTTTCTTCATCCCTGCGCGTAATGCCTCTGACTCAACGGCTGCTGAGTTGGATGCTGCGGCGGATAGATAGGTGATGGCCTGTGCCTCGTCTTTTATACAACCCCAACCATGACTGATAGATACATTTAGCGTTGAACATGGACAGAGAAAAGAAATCATACCGGAGGGCAAGTCCATAGAGAACCTGGCTTAGAGGGTTATTTGCGCCGTTAGGATCTGCTAGCTGTCCGAATATTCGAGTAGATTGTTCTAGTTCTAGAATTCAAATAGTTAGACTAGGAAATTACAAGTGAAGCATCTAACTCACCTCCAGACTCATGCAGCCGAATAGCCTCTTGAATATCAATCTAAGGTCAAGTATCAGCACCAGTCCTATCCACAGCACGAACTATATACTTACGTCAGTCTCTTTATCAGCAAGGCTACTATGACTCGAGTGCCTAGAAATAGCCGGCGACCTAACCTGCAGCGACAGATCGGCATCCGAATGAATCGGCGATGAAAGCGCATAATTCCCAGCCTGCTGATTATGCTGGACGAGAGCGGTAGCCCGCTTCTCCCACAGCGCCTCCCGCTCCTGCTTATCTACGCCGTCATCATCTCCGATCTGGGGCAGATCAGCCGGGATATTAGTTGACGAGCCGTCACGTGAGCCGGTGCGGCGGTGTTCCCGATGCAAGAGATTTGAGAGACGGTGCTCATGGCGCGGTTGGGGGAATTGGCTCGAAACAGGAATTGAAAGAGGACCAGAGACAGAGCCCGAGCGTGAAGAGCGGTTGAAGAGTTGGAAGCTACGGCGCGTTGGAGATTGAGGTGGGTCGAGGTCTAATCGAGATATTCTAGGCCTAGAGTTGGAGTCGTGGTCTGGGTATACTGGTGGAGTAATGACTTCTTGTCCGAGGGTATCTGTGCGAATGAGGGTGATTCCGGATGGTGGCGGAGTTGAGAAAGATGGAGATTGAGGCTGAGGTTGTTTTTGTTGGTCGTCTTTGTGAAATATATTTTTTAGTGAGGGCATCTTATGATATTATGACGTTGATTCCTAGCCTAGATCTGGATCTGGTATGGAGTCTGTGGGGTTGAAAAAAGTGCTAAGATGAAAAGACGAGGTAGAAGTGAGGGATAGAGTAGAAGGGTAAAGGGTGATTTATGAGACAAATAGGAATACAAAAATATCAGGTTACCAATTGTTTGATCCGTGGCTGAGTCGGGACATCTCTTATGTCCCGTGGTTCCATTGGTCTGCCCTGACCCTCAGCGGGTAATATCACTGAAGCGCCTAACTTCTCATCCAACGGTTGTTTGTGAGAAAATAGGGTATCCTACTTGACTATAGTTTTGATATGCTTAAAGCCATCTTCGTGCTAGGTATGCCAAGTGGCTTGGCTATCATTTTGTTCCTGCATTTTCACCGGCAGATGCCCGCCACTCATACCTAGTACCAACTGCAGGCCATCTACTCCGAAGAAGGTTGTCCAAATAGATGGCTAGCTACATTGATTCATAGAAATGGGAATGTTAACAAGTTCCCAGTAGACTAAGCGCTTCTTTGCAGTATCTGAAACTTCATTACGTAGGTATTCGTCCAATCCCGTGTACCCAAGCCTGTAGCCAATTATAGACTTGCTCGATCTATATCAGAGACTATGGAAGAATCTTGCGAATACCTAGTGGGTAACAGATGGAATCTTATTGCAATTCTAAGTCAGCAGATGAAAATATCTCCTATAGTTTTGTACACAATGGCAACTACCGGCGGAGCCATATAGTCACGTTTACTGCTTGGCAGCAAAGATACCTATTTATATGTTAGTATAAAGCTCTCGGTTGATTGAAACATATCCACTCACGCTCAACATCAACAACGGACTGTTGGAGGATCTGCTGCAGAACCTTGGGGCTCTCGAGCTCCTTCTGGATCTTGGCAATGACGGACTCAGCAAGCTCACTCTGCTGGCGCTGCTTGACCTGTCCCTCGTAGCGGACCCAAGAGTCAAGGACAACCTTGGCCTCGTGGGCAAGGGCAGCGCGCTGCTCGAGCTCGTAAGCCTGAGCCTCAAGCTGGGCGGTTTCCTACAAATCAAGTCAGACTACCTTCAAGGAACCTATTTTCCTCATAAAAACCCTGAAATCTTACCTTGGAAACAGCGAAGAGAGACTTGGTGACCTCGACAACGCTGGACATCTCAGAGACGTTGTCAATGCGTGCCTGGACGGCGCTGGTGTGGTCGGCACGAGCAGCGTTGAGGATGTCCTTGTGCTTCTGGACCTGGCCCTCAGCCCACTCCTTGTAGGCGGGACCACCGTACTTGAAAACGGCAGTCCAAACAGACAGAAGACAGAAGGCAGCCACAGTCTCCTCGTTCATAACGTAGAGCTCATTGCTGATGGCGGCAATGGAGATACCGGCGGCAGCAGAGAGAATAGCGGTCTTGGAAACGAGAGAGTTTCCGGGAAGAGCGTTCAGGATCGATTGAGCCTTCTTCTCGGGGGTCTCAGCGGGAACGTTGGAAGCCGCGCGGATGGAGGTCAGGGCTGGGATAGCAGGAGTGCGGATGGGGAGAGTCGGTCGCAGACGGGCGGCGCCTGAATTAAGTTAGTATTCAGAGAGGAGAGTAGATTGTTCCGCAATAGGTTGATCCATACCAATGGCGCTCTTAGCGAGACGCGAAGCCATTGTAGATGAATTAAAGATCCTGAATACGGTGGGTGACTTCGGAGAGGAGACTTGAGATCGGGACGGCTAGGACGGACTTCTTACACGCTAACCTCATTTGTCATTAGTATAAATTACGGAAAAACTATTCTCCAGACCCTACGAAAATCTACAGAAAAAGTAAGGTACTTGTTGTAACTTTGTGATCACGGCCAAACGTCCAATTTTGTTTCGATAAAATGCCTGCTTCAATTGAAGCTTCCAATAAGAAACGCAAGAGCAGCAAGAATGCTGGTGCCCCCTCCAAGCGTCGCGCTGTTGCGAACGAGGACGATTTCGCCGACACTTTGACCAAGATTCAAGATCTTGAAAATCAGATTGCGGAGTCACGAAAATATTACAATAATATTGCAACTTTGATTTCCATGCTCAATGTTAGAGAATCGGCCAAGAAGCCCGAGCTTGCAGTGGCGGTATCTCTGTGTCGAGTGTTCAGTCGATTGATCACAGCGGGCAGCTTCTCAGAGTCGAGTCGCGCGGCCGAAAATGAGAAGATCGTTGCAGCATGGTTGAAAGAGCGGTGTCTTGAATATCAGCGGGCTTTGCTCGCGATAATGCGCCAGGCTGATACTGCTTCCCAGGTGCGTTTGATCGATTGAATTCATGATGGATATACGAAGGATGTACTAACAATCAACTAGATTACTGCCCTTACACTAAGCATGCGCCTTGTTAAGGAACGTCTAACTCACATCCCGGGTGCCGAAAATAGTGTTTGGTCAAATTCCTTCAAAGATATCTTCGAGGCCGTTGTCGAGGCCCAAGATGGGGAGGATTTGCAGTCCGAGTTTGTCACAAAATTTGTGAAGGAATTCGAGGATGTGAGATATCACACTTTCGAGCAAACAAGGTATGATCTTGAACAATACCCTGAATTGTGGTAGCGGCTAATGAATCTTAGTGTGTACGCCGAAACTCGACGAAACTCCACTGTCCTAGAAATCCTCATTTCCATTCTCTCTGCGCACGACGAAGTGCCTGGTTCAGGCCACAAGTTCGAGAAATTCCTCGCAACACCCGCTGCTAACAACAAGCGCATCACTTCGGTGAACACACACAAAAAACGAGCTCAGGAGGCATGGCTGGCCATTCTTCGGAACAATCTCTCAGAAGCACAACGGAAGTCTCTTCTACGTCTGATGGCGCACATCATTGAGCCTTGGTTCAGTCGCCCAGAGCTCCTTATGGATTTCCTGACGGACTCATATAACGCTGGTGGTGCAACCTCCCTCCTCGCCTTGTCTGGTCTTTTCTACCTGATTCAAGAGAAGAATCTTGACTACCCGCAATTCTACACAAAACTTTACTCGCTTCTAGATGCAGACCTTCTGCACTCCAAGCACCGATCTCGTTTCTTCCGACAACTGAACACCTTCCTCTCCTCCACCCATCTTCCCGCTGCTCTTGTAGCCAGCTTTATCAAACGCCTCGCCCGTCTGGCTCTAAATGCGCCTCCCTCAGCTATTGTGGTCATCGTCCCCTTCATGTACAATCTGTTCAAAAGCCACCCTACTTGTACATTCATGATGCATAGAGTCATCCGAGACAAAGAACTCGCATCCGAAATAGAGGCAGAGGGCATGGAAGATCCTTTTGATCCCAAAGAATTAGACCCCATGCGCACGGACGCTATTGAAAGCAGCATCTGGGAGATCGAGACCCTGCAGTCTCACTACCACCCCAATGTCGCTTCCATAGCCCGCATTATCTCAGAGCAATTTACAAAACAGGCGTACAGCCTGGAAGACTTCCTTGACCACACCTACCAGGGAATGGTTCAAGCGGAACTTGGAACTGGTGAGCGGCCGTTGAAGAAAATTCCCGTGGTGGAATACCAAATTCCCAAGAGAATCTTCACAGATCGCATGTTAGAGGAAGATGGTGGGGTGGACACTGCTCCTGCTGCATTTATTCGTGAGTTGTGGAACTTTTCTTGATAAAATTAGGTCGTTCTTTGCATATATCCGAGGCTCAATGGTTAAGCTGTAATCGATGTGTTACAATCAAAAGTGATCCAAGTTATGATAGACTAGAAATAGTATCACCTTGAAATAAGGTCTTCACCCTTACACTCTGCTTGAAATTTCCCCGGACCAAGGCCCTTGCAGATTGTATACTACAACTACCACCTCCAGGACTCTTGATAAGACGACCAACCAAAGCCTAACCTTGGACCTACCCCTTGCTATGAGGTCTATGAGGTTTGAGCAAGAAACTCTAAGAGAAATGCCTAGTGGTTATATGAACTATCAATCTACCAGCCTTTGTATGGGCAAACCACTCCAGGGCATGAAGACAGGGGTAACATTCTCGAGCGATCAACTCTGGCAATATCAAAACATTGAGTGACTAACCATCACAGCATCGAAGGCTTCGATTTAGTAGGTTATGGCTTGTTGATGTTTTTTTTATTGAGATTGGCTTGTTTCCACGCATCAAGAACAAGCATGCCCAAGTGTTCCATCCATAATTTCAGTTTTAGATTGTGATTACCTCGAGTGGACATGAGGAATTCCTCTTCCTTGGAGAACATTCTCAAAATCCTGTCCACTTATGTTTTGGTCGAGATCAATATGATGCTTAAACTACCCCGGGAATGCGACATTCCCTCTAAGCGCCACAAGTGCCCACTCAAATACCATCACACGAGATATTCCTCAAATTAAATGGTTGGGAGGGTTTAGCAGGAGGTTAAGTATCGTTGAACGCCACTAACTAGAGAGATCCTAGGATCATCTAAATTCAACGTCGCCAACCTAGTATACCACCCCCTCATACTATCTTTTATACAGCAAAGATGCGCTTCCACTCTCTTCTTGCTGTGTCGGTTTCCCCTCATTTCTTTGGGATATGCCGCAGTGCCATTGGCCTTCACCAGCTGGCCAACGAACGTCGAGGCTGGCACGCCGGTTACGTTAACATGGGAGGGTGCTGTACCTGACAAGGTACAACTTCTTTTGAGATTCCACTATCTTTCACCTCTAACATGGGTCATCTTTTTAGCCAGTTACCCTTACCTTACGAAAAGGACTCGCTGGTGATTTGAAGGACGTTCAAGTGATCACTGACGATGCCAAAGACGGCACTTACAGCTGGACTCCAGGGACCCAAGTCAAGGCTGGTGAGGATTATGCCTTCCAGATTAGCCAAGGAGATCAGGTCAACTACTCTGATCTCCTGAAGGCTGGTGGGGAACCTCAGTCTACGTCTGAACCCACCCAAACTGGACCTGTCACTTCCATTTCTGCTACATCTGCACCAACCAGTATTGCCACAGGCACATCTACTCTCCCAAGCCCAATCAGTACTGGTTTCAAGTCCTGGACCAGCTCCTCAGCGACCGGAACCCCTGCCACTAGCGCCTCATCCCCTATTGCCAGCAGCTCCTCCTTCTCGGCTCAAGTTCCATTTGAGACTGGTACTGCTTTGATCAACGGCAAGGCTGCTTCTGAGACAGGAGGTATCCAGAGTGGTGTTGCTTCTATTCCTCAATGCTCTCTTGGCCTTGCTGTGGCAGCTTTTGCAGCATTTTTTTGCATTGGATATTAAATAATATGTCAATAGGTGGGCTAGAACCCTGATGTAAATACATTCAAAGTCCTTAATATTACAAGTATTAGTTTAGTGAGTGAGAGTAATCAGATTCAGCAGGTAATTATTGATCTACATGTCTCTAAATAAATCACAGTTCGTTAAATCCTTGTTAGTTTGACGCTAACACCGCAATAGTCCTCGTGGCGTTAAGTTAATGCCGGAACATAATCAGCTTTATCTCTTATCCTCTTTCACTCCTCAAAATCAACATCACCATACGGAACGACTAAGCCGCCCTTTTTCTGACACATCACCTGCAGGTCTTTTTAGATTTTATATCTTGCCTCATTTTTGCCTTTGAGAGTCATATTGAGACTCGTGTCTTTTCAGCTCAGACCCACCGTGGAAATTAAGGATCCCTATCCTATTCGCAATCGTGATGACCGATGAACAGACGCCAGTTTAAGACCTCATCTACTTCCTCTAGGCTCCCGCTTGATAGAGGTATGTCATGCGCGTTTTTCTTTGATCTTTCCCTGCTCCACCGGCGACTCAGCGTCAACTCTTGTCAATGCGACGTCTTTCAACTCCCGCCATACCCATCCATATTTCCTTTTACACCTAACAGGTAAACGTTGAAATGGCCCAACTCAGTCGAGTTTTGAAAATCCTTGCGTCTATAAAAGATATTAATGCTACGTGCAACCTTGCTGATGTTTCACCTGTATCGACAGAAGCTCCGCAAGTCCTTTTGGGGCACGTGGATACGCAGTTAAACATGCACCAGTTTAACGGCTTTTTCGAAGATGGAGCCACTTTGGATGGTCTAGGTATGTTTGGTCTCATATACAAATTACTGAAATTCCGCTCACATTCTTCTCAACTTAGATGCCACCTCCCCGCCTACACCTTCTCTACCGTCCATCCCGTCACATCCGACTCTCTCCACCACCACAACTTTAAACAACAACAATCTCGAAGCCCCAAATGAGTGGTCCGCTGTTGGTCACGCGGCAACTGGCAAATCTGGACGGGTAATCCACAATTTACAGGAAGAAATAGCTCGATTGACACGCGAATGTAGTCTGTACCGTTCCCGTAGCGAAGAGACCCAGCGGATGAACGAGGCCTTGAAGATCCAGGATCAGAACATGACCGAGCGTCTCCGTAACCTGGAGCAAGTCAACGAAACAAATCTGAATTCAATTTCGCGGAAGGATCGGAAGATTGAAGAATTGCGCGCAGACGTTCAGGGGGAACGTTCCAAACGCCAAGATGCCGAAACTAGTGCCAATCAGGTCATAGACACTGCGCGTACTGAAAAGACTGTTCAAGCACGGGAAGTGGCACGTTTAGCTGAAATTGCCAAGTATTATGAAAATCGCTATGAGGTTTTAGTTACTGCCACTGACCGTGAGAAGACCGAGATGCAGCGACGTGTCAATGCCATCGACAAGCGTGTCAACGAATTGCACGAAACAGTGAGCCTTCAGGATGACCGTATCTCGCGACTGGATGTTCTTGCCGAGCAGAAGAACCGCGAAGTTGAGACCTTGAAGGATTCCAACCAGAAGCTTCTCGACAAACACGCTGAGTACAAGGAGATCAAGGAGAACGAGAACTTGGATCTGTTGACACGAACCCGGGGAAATAACGACACAATCGACGCAGTTCTCGCTTCTCTGCAAGAGACCCAGGCTAAGATGCGCTGGGTGACTATGCTCAGCGAAAGCCGGGCCGAGATGGACGTTGCTCAGGTATGTTTATTCCTACATTTCTTTGTATCTGTCTTGACTCTGCCTCTTGCAATGATGCTAACTGATCTTATAGCCCCCTGAGACTTAATTGGCCGTGACCTTACCCTCATTTGCCATTGAAGACGCTCTCTCTTAATTGGGAGTCAAACATATGCTCTTACAACTCTTTATCATAATACCCACAAGCATGTACTTCTTTTCATCTCTGATCTCTTATATTCTCCAGTCTCTTTAAACTTATGATGCATGGCGTTACCGAGGCTGCAGATACCCACGATGGCAAAACTCGGCTCTGTATGATTTCTTATGTCTAATAGACCTTCATTAGAGACGATCTCCGACGATGACACGATATCTTCCTCTCTCTCATGACTGCACAGAACGCAATCATTCTTCATGGACACCAAAATTTCCTATTATAGTCATCGTTGCGATCCAAGGGCAGGAAGGCGTATGGGGGATACTATCATATTTTTCGGGTAGTCAATATCTTTCTTTGAATTTACATGTCCTGTTAGTAGTAGGTTCCGGCAGTATCTTAAAAAAATAATTTAAAGTACCATACTAATCGTATTCTAGTTCACCCGCTTTTGTTTTGGCGAGGTGCGCTTCTAAGGTGTTGAGATTTTCTTCTCTCCTTCTCTCCTCCACAACTCCCATCACTTCTTTTTCTGTACCCATCCTCGAGAATTCATCCTCCTTTACTTCTTTTGTTTTTCTGCACACTATTTTTGCCTAACATTGTTTTTTCGTCAATCGACAACAGAAGTCATCATCTCAAGTCCATTGCTGCCACTCCCAATTGGGTAACTGGCGGCGTTGACTCTCTTGTTTGGTCATTGACCCAACACCCTTTGACGTTCAATTCTTGTCAAATTGAAGCTTTGAAAACATCATCTTGCTGTCTTCAATAACTCCCTTCAAAGAGAGGAACTTGTTTCTATCCCAAACACCTTTTCGTTCAGTAGTATCTTCGAGACTTTGTTCGCTTTTTACTAAAGATGCTTGCTCGGTCCCTGGTCATTATGACCAGCAAGCCACTGAACAGTACAGCCGTAAGTTCCTTTACCTGATGATTGATTGATCTACGAATCACTAACTAAGAGCTCACACAGATTGAATACATCAAAAAGATCATCAAGTAGATCAAAATTCATCCTTAACATTCACTGTGCTAAGAGATAATAGGGACATCGATCCAACCCTGACCCTCAATTACCGTTCTCCCAATACCGTTGAGTATACATGTTTAAAAACTTTGACCGCATCTAACAATGTTTTCTTAGTTCATGGAGATCCGAGGATTAATGACATCTTTGGCAGAGGAAAGATGTAAGTCTAAAATCAAGGCGATGCTTAAGAATGAAGGTGTCTCTGTCGAGGGGGTAAGTTGATGTGCATATGCTTGTTGAATATTGATGCTGACCATGTATGACCACTTAGAATCCTCAAAACCTTCTCCCGAGCCAAGTGATGCGCGTCATCGCGCAGAAAGACTATAGTGATTTAACTGCCGGGCTTGAGACTGTCGCGGAACAAGAGAAACTCTTGGATTCCAGTGGCTCTGCAACTACCAGTTGGACTGTCAACAAAGTCAATGCCATTGCGAAATCTGATATAGAGGATTGCTCGGAGCAGGATCATAGCCTGCAGCCATTTAGTCGAATCTGGAAACCGGAACTCACCCCAGAAAGCTACAAAGACGGTTTTGACAAGCTCACTTATGATCGTATCGGGATCATGCAGCGCATAGGACCGGCGACTAAGACATGCATCGTCGTGGAAAACTCGTTCCATGGGCGAATTCGCATTTACGGTGCTTCTCAGAGTGATGTGGACGAGGCTTTTAACCGCCTGTGTAGTATTCAGATTATGCTTGTAAGAACCTCCCCTACGACTTATAATATGGCAGTGTTAACAATATTTAGGACTTAATCGAGATGCCTTTTACAGGAGAACTCGTCATTGCCCCAATTTCCGACTCAACACGCTACAAAGTTGTCAAATACACATCGATCAATGATGTTGCCAGTCGTCGAGTGCTAATCAATCGAACTCTCTCGGATCCTGTAGACATCTGTTTTCAACTTGATAATCTCCAAGCTCCGGTTGCATTCGTTCCAAACCCCAACAGTGGCGCACTGTGTATCTTTGGTACCTTTTTACAGCCTCCTTTCATGGCAAACTGGCAGAAGAAGGAAAATTCCAACCAAGTTCACGTCTGGAAGGGGTTCGTATTCCGTTCTCTAGGCAAGCGAAAGTCTGGCTATGATAATGCGGCGGTATTCAACCCATTCATTTGCTTCAATACACCAATACTAGAGGAACACGCCACTGTTGATCATGAGCCTGATCTCAAGCTCGAGCCCGGGCCTGAGGCGGATCACAGAGGCCGTCGCAAATACCGTGGTGAACCGGTGACTTGGGATACACGCCAAACCCAGGATATCGATAAGACAGCCGAAGAGGATTCTTTCTCGGTCATACATGATCGGCAGGAATCCACTGAGCCATGGGTCGTGGTTCAGACTAAGGCTACGAAGCAGCTTGCAGAGACCCTACAGGAAGTCACTGCGCCAAAGGCCAGCGACCCTGTATTCACTCACCGACGGGGAAAGAAGGGCAAAAGCAAGGCTTCAAACAAGTCTCGCGGGGAGACCCTCAAGGCAGATTTATCTGTCGCTGCTGAGGCAGATTTGCCTCCAGCCAGAATGGTTTCTGCCGGTCTTTCTTACGCGAATGCAATGAAGGATTTCTCCTTGCAGCCTGTGACTGCTGGCAACGTTCTTACCGAGTTGTCATCTAACAGAAGCGCAGTAGTGATCAAAAACTTACTTGAGAGACTTCATAGTCCTAACACTTCTGTTGGTCCTAACACTGCTGTTGGTCCTAACACTGCTGTTGATCCTAGCATTTCTGTTAATCTTAGCACTCCTGCTGGTCTTAAAACTTCTGCTGCCCAGGGCGTCGAGAACGCAGCCCATCGTGTTCCGGGTGCAAGCACAGCCTATCATCCTGAGGCTGTCGGCGTGGTTGGTGCTGGTGCTTCATATGTTGTCCCTCAGGGCTATACCCTGCAACTTGTGCCAAACAGTGCTTATGGTTCTGGAGTGCTCCAACAGCCCTCTTACCCACCCGTCTATCACTCCATGGGCGCATATGCTGCGGCAGAATTACAGTCTCGTTATGTGTACCCGGGATACCCTGCCCCACGTCGTGATACATTTGGTGCTAGCGGCACAATGATGCACCCCTCTTATAGCGCTAACTTGAATTCATTTGGTTTATTTCAGGCTCCCTATCCCCGATTCCAAAATACTGCCACTGGTGGTAGATTTGACAGTGTTCACACATACCCGTCATTTGCATATGGCGTTCCGGATTTCACACTTCCACCTATGAATGCACCGGGATCACAGTTGCCGCCTATGAAACAGAGCATTCAGCCTCAACCTGTTGTACGGAACATACAGGCTCCACCTGGAATTCCTATTCCCGCCGGTGGAACTGCATGGAATGGATACGATCGACACAATCTCGCGCAAATAGTTATGCCTGTGTCTGAGTACATTGAACCCAACTCACACGCTGTTCCTCAGACCGAATCTCGTGTTGCAACTGATGATCTCATTGAGTTCAGCGACAGCGATGATGTTCAACAAGTTCAAATGTCTGTCATCTCTGCTTATAACCCGAAGATTTGCAAACGTGAATTCCACCCCACGATGAGACAGCAGGCGAGAAACAAGCATCTTGCCAAAGACTCCGCTCAACACTGGAGGGCTGCGCCACGGTTAACCAGACAAATCTTGGAGGAGGGTACAGACGAGCAACCCGTCGAAAATCGATTCATTGGTCTGGGCGACCAAGTTCCCGATGGTCGTACCTCGGAGAGCCCCGAACGACCTGTCGCCACGAGATGGGTTGCCAAGAAGGAGCGAGTTGTTTCTCGGAAAGAAGCTGCAAAGGCTGAAGCAGCCTTGGGTGGGAGACCACTACTCAGATCCGTTGTGAAACGAGAGGCAAACCTGAAGAAGTTGGGGTCTACTGAGCTAGTGACAAAAGTAGCTGGGATCATTGAAAATCCTATTGTCACACCTGAGATCGAAGACAGACCTGTTGATTTTCGCATCAAAGAGAAGCAGGCCCTATTTCAAGCTTTGAAGCCTGTATTGAAAGCTTGCCGAGAATTCCCCGGCTTTCTGAACGTTGAGATTCAATTTGGTCTCGCCCTGGTTAGAGCGCCTCCTCGTCCCGAACATATGTCGCTTCATAAATTGATCGACTATATGAAGTGTAGCGCATTGAATGAGGATGTCTGCGGTGATTTTTTTAATCATGTTACAACTTCGCCAGACGATGTTGAGCATATCATCGATGCTCAAGTCCGAGGCAGCCGCATCTTCGAGCGCGCACCTATCAAGTACGGTTTGAAGTACGAGTTTGTGATGCGCAGCGCCTTGGCAAAGTTTGTCCTGACAATTTCCGGACGCGGAGAGGTCACCTTTCGTGAAGCTGATGCCGAGCTCGGAGCAGTGCGTCTATACTTCCCCGGAAATATCTGGGATGCGTGTGTGGTGATCAGTGGCAGCATGGAGGGCGGTATTGCGAGAGTTGACCATGAGGCTGAAAAGGCAGCTAGTTGCATCGCCTCAAACCTGTGGGTTGAGCCCGGTAACAAGCGTGTGCGACTGATTACCGTTGCCCCTTCGTCTCTGTTTGATCTCGAAAAGGTGATCATGAAGCGGTACACCCAGCACCGATACATCGACCCCTGCAACAGCGACACCGATTTGCGTCTTCAGGTGACTGAGGTCCAAGACCTGATCATTACCCCTCATCCAGACTCCACCAAGAAGCTCATCGAAGCGCGATGCGCTCAATTGGACGACATGGTTAGCGAGAACCGACAGTGGTGGGAGGCCTCAGTCTTGAGTCCCATTGTGAACAGTACTATTAATATCAAGGAGGAACCTACCAGCTTTGGTCAAACCACCAACAAATGGTCCTCGGCGGAGCTTTTTGGACGTGACATCAACCGGATTCTCAAGCATCCCACTTCTCCAGGAGACGTTCTCAAGGCTGCTGACATGCCTTCAACAATCTCCTCGCCACTTGCCGAAGCCATCGGTGCTTCAGGCCTCGGTGACCTGCTGTGCCTTGCGGAGGTGGTTGTCGGAAAAATGGATATTGTGGGTTATGGTAACTGTGGCCTAGCTGCTGAGGCCTATGTCCCCGCAATCGAGAGAGAGGATTTCGTTCCTCCAGTTGTTGTCAAGAAGTCTGAGCCCAAGGGTAAGGGTAAAGCCAAGGCTCAAGTCGACGGAGGGTCTGATACCCCCAGAGCAACGCACTCGTTTTGAACGCATGACGGATTTCAAACTCCACTAGGGGGGTTCAGCTTCAGCTTCGCGTCTCTTGTGAGTGCTGTCAGTATCAAGTGTATTACTACGGAATATCGGCGAAAACCTCGCGCCATGATGCGAAACAATATCTTAGTTTGTGTGGAAAGTGTATGAGTGTATGGGAAGTTTTATCTTACGTCTCTATATCAATTTTTTAGTTTAATTCGAGAAATTTTTACCATTCAAGTTTTCTGTCCTCTATGAAGACCATCCACGAAAAGCTATAGTAAAAACGGTGACGTGGATTATGTACTCACCCAGAGGTAAGACTCGAAACGAGATAGATAGAAACTCTTTTGATATTCGTATTTCGTTCTACCCTTAAGGCACTAGAGGCTCTGATATCCAGACTGCGTTTACATATATGCAAGGACATTCGAGAATACAAAGCTATTTCCATCTATTTCAAGTCTAATCATCTTCCTCCGGTGCATCCTGTATATGACGTGACCAAGCGAATCGTGCCTCAACAGCCGCCTTCCGAACATCTCTCTTCAGATCATCCAGGACAGCACGCAGCGAGCGTAGAACATGTGCCTTCTCAGGAAGAAGCGGGGAGATAGACGTAGATGTTTCGTTAGCCGCTTGCTTCACAGCGAGGAGGTAGAGACAGTTCAGAGCATTGACGCGTAGTATTGGGGGATTGACAGCATCGGTTGTAGGACCTGTTTCTGTAGTTTTCAATAGACGCTGAATGAGACTGTGGACGTGTCCGCACTGGTCTATTGCTACGACGCCGTTGTCGGCTATAATCACGTTGAGAGTGTGCAGGGTTGCTTTGCGGACTGCGACTGAGTCTGCAGTTTGGAGGTCTAGGGATTGGAGGAGAAGTGGGAGGAGTGGTGTGAGTTCTATCATGACCAGGTCTGTGGGGATTGTAGAGAGGATTCCGGCTAGAGCTGTGAGATGAGCTGGCTTGATGTGATCATAGACTGGAGTTGAGTTTTGGTTGTTGGCCACGTTTACTTCGCGGATTGTGGTCGAGATCTTGGGGACTACTGTTGCGAAAACACGCTGCTTGTGTAGAAGGCGGATGTTGGCGCCGTTGGTTGCGCATAGGATTTCGTCGTCTTTGAGAAGGATGGCGAAGCCTCGGGCGGATTCTAGGCTTATTTTTTGGTTTGGGGACGAAAGGAGACCCAAGAGCGAGGTTAGGATTTTAGTGGTTGTTGGGTATAGCCGGAGGACAAGTCCCTTGGCCAGCCAAAAGATGGTATCAATAGTGGCAGGGGTGTCCCGTTGGGATGAAACCAATTCGTCAAACAGGGTCTCTGCGACTTTGAGTTTGATGTCCTCTTGTGATAGGCACTTATTGACAAGCAAGGCCACATGTCGCAGGAAAGCGAAGTGTGTAGCTGAGTCTGTAGTATCAGACATTGAACGCGGTATAAGGTCTGAGAGCAGTGCCTTCATATCTGCAGCAACATTTGGTACGCTGTCAACACAGTTCTTGGATAGGCCTGCAAGAAGATATGTCGAAAGGATGATGGTACGTTCTTGGTCCGCCGTTGTGTTTTTTGAGAAGGGGACAGGAACAAAGTCAGGTGCCGTGGAAAAGAGCTTGTAAACATTCTCTGCCGCCTGCTCTTGCTTCTGAATGGAGACTGATCGAACCAAGAGGTTGCAGAGTCTTCCGAGAACGTCGAGAATGGTCGCGTCGTTAAGAATTTTGTTCTTTGATTTTCCTGATGTGGATTCTGAGACACTTCGGCAGAGACCAACCACAATTTTGTCAAAGTACATATCCACATTCGGGTCTGCATCCATCTGGCGCTGTTCCATAACCCAAAGGAAAGTCACGAGGATAGCATGTGGGTAATCTACAGATCCAGGCTGTTCTCTCTGAAGTAGAATGGACAGCTTACTGAACAAACGTCGGAACAGTGTTTCAAAGATATCCTTCTCGGTGCTTATCTGGGCCAGTATATCTAGAGTGGTTAGGTAATTGGTGTTGACCTTTCCGTCATCCTCTGGAAGGGTTGCGATGAATGCAGGAAAGGTGATATCCATAATCAGGCGGGGGTGGTGCTTGGAGATTTTGGCAAGTGCGGAAATGGCCTCCTCTTTCAAGCCATTTCGACCAACGGAGTCCTCATTCAGGAGAATGTCATTCAAATACTGAACAAAAAGGCCTATTTCGTTGTCCTGGAAGAAGTCACGCAAGTTTGATAGACTGAGGAAGCCCTTGAGAGCGGTGACTCGGAACGCAGCTTCTTCCTTCGCAGCGCCCATCAACGCCTGGCCAAGGACTTCAAAGAATTGATCCTTGTACTCATGTAGCGGATTTGCGAGGTCAACATCAACGCTTCGAGAATCCCACTCGCCAAAAACATCGATTGCAGACTGGAACAGAACAGCCAAAGTCTCAAGAAGAGCCTTTTGCTTAGCAATCCCATCTGCTTCTTGATAGATGGTGAAAATGGGTGCGATCACGGTCTTCACAATTAAAGTAAAGGCAATGACGGAGGAAGAAGCCAGCGACTTGAGGATCTGTTGAGCAGGCTTCGCTTTTTTCTGTTCCCGCTCTTGCATCTGCTCGTTACACTCCTTGGTGATTGGTTGGAGGTACTGTGCAAGAGGTATATCCTGTGAGACCTGCGTCACTCCTTCTGCAAGCCTTTTGGCAGTAGCATTCAGGGCCTGGAGAGAAGATTCTGACAGGAATTCTTCTTGTGCATTGAGGATCTCGAACTTTAACACCTCCCAAATGGTAATAGAGTAACGGGAAACAGTATCAGGGTCATAAGAGTGGATACACGCAATCAAGCAGTTGAGAGCATCTTTCTAGAAGAGCATTAGATGTGGCACTTGGTCACTGTTCAGGGTAGGCCTACCTTCACATTCGGAGAAGTCGAGTCCAGCTTCTCTAGCAATGCTGAAATGGCGTGGGGTGCAAACAGCCCGTTGGAAGAAATGCATTCTTGAAGGCGGTCCTTTAAGTCTTGCGCAGTTATTCCATACGGGTCGTTCGGAGGTGGTCGAAATGTGATCGGGAAGTAATTGTATACCGCGTCAAAGAGGAGCTATAAAAGTCAGTTGCTGCCAATCACTTTTACTTCACTTTAAGGTCTGAAAACCTACCTCGACGTGGTTGGTAATATCCCATTCAACCATAACCACCTTCAAAATAGAAAATACGATCATCAAGTTGCGGGGATCTTTTTCTCCAGTCATAAGGTCGACAATACCAACGAGGGAGAAGTCGCCCATCTCGCGCAATGCTGTTCATAATCAACATACTATTTTCAATTGCAGTTGGAAGGCAACGTACCTGTGCGATGCCTCGACATCAATTCGTTCAGCAATTGATAAACCTGGAATCGCTGTGACTGGGAGCGAGATTGCAAGTCCTGGAAGTTGGCAAAGATCCTATTCAGATTGAGCATTAGCCTCCAAGCCCATAAATCATGGACAAAGATATCACATACCCCTTTGCCGTCTCAACAGCTAATGCCTTGTTGAATCGCTCCAAACTCTGCAAGTTTTCCAGACCAGCAACTGCGCCGCCATCCTCAATCCGATCACAAAAGAAGGTGGTCAAGACCTGGATCTGCTGTCTGGATAGATAGCGGGGTGATAGAGCCTTGATCACAGCGGTTAGGAAAGAGACGGCCTTGCCGCGCAGAATTGGGTCTTCGTCATTGATATAGTCGGCCAATTGCCGGACAATCTCGATCAGAGTGATTTTGCTGCTTTCCACATCTATAAGAATGATACTGTCAGAGTCACCGCCGTACTGTTAGGGCGGAGTGTAAACTTACCTTGAGCGACGCTGCTTGCGATAGCTTTGGCTTCTTCCTTGTCGTGTTCGACGACCAGCATGAATGTCTGCAAGGCCGACATGATGCTAATCAATCGACTATGTAAGCCAAGAATAAGAGTTATGGAAAGAAGATACTCGCTATCGTTCCCAATTTCTAACGGCTTATCGATAACCACCACGTGATACTATCTCTTATTATCACGTGCTACCCTTGCGTCATGGCTAGCAGGGAACATGCATGCATCACCGCTCAACTATTTTGCCCGTCCAAGATGAGAGAAACAAGTTTATTCACTTATTCACTTCTACTAATCACATCAACAGCTGCTGTTCTGGGATTGTCTATTCCACTCACTTTCCATCAGCACCTACCACTACTACCTTCAAACCAACAGCCCATCATGGACAAATCCATTCCTGACATCCCCAAGCCACAGCCCTTTACTGCAAAGGAAGATCTATCAGGCCACGCAGATGGCCCTATCATCTCAGATGTTCTCCCAAAGACCAAAGCCATCAATATCTTTGCCCGGCTCACCCGGGACTTCGAGCCGATCGCCTCTCACCTTAACGATGCATCCAAGAACATCACCGTCCTGGCTCCCAGAAACAGTGCAGTAGAGGCTCTACCATACAAGCCATGGGAAGTAGCTGACGATTATGCTCGTGGTGGTGTGAGAGTATATGAGGGACAGGAGGGACATGATCGGATCAAGCAGAATCTGCAGCGGTTTGTAGAGGCTCACCTCATTCCTGTCAGCCCTTGGAAGGAGGGTGAAGAGGTAGAAACATTGGCAGGAAAGAAATTGAAGTGGGTGAAGGAAGGAGACAAGGTTTTTGTAAGTGTTCTATCTGCGAGACTCAACTGTCCTCCTACTGATACTGACTGTTTCCAGATCCAACCGGGCAATATCGAAGTGGATAGCATTGCTGTGAAAGTGTCTAATGGAGAGGTTTGGGTCGTGAATTCGGTCATCACCTAGTGATCCAGACTTTCACTGTCTAATGACTTTATGAACCGTTTTATTATGATCAAAATATGAATTTTTCCTCGGATGACCGAGTTGATGAGTGTCTTTTTCAGCCCTAACTATCGTACTTGATTTCTTTGTGAAACATTCCTCTTTTTTTATAACAGCTTGGTATGATTCTACCCTGAATATTCTTTTCAATTAGATCCCTGCAGTGCGAAGTTGCGTAGAACTCTCTCCTCAACTCCATCCAGGATACAGAAGTGCTCCATGACCTCCAAGTTTTCAGCCTCACTCAAGAACAGTTTATCAGGATCCTGACCAGGCTGCATGGGGTTCACCATAGCAGCAGGGTTAGCCATACCCATTTGCTGGGCCATTTGATTGGCAGCTACAAACGATATCAGTTTAAATGCAAGGACGGCAATTTACAGAGAAAAACTCACAGTTATCGCTGCCCAGGATAAATGCAAAGACAGACTGCAGACCCATAAGGTTAAGGAAGTACCATGATAGACTCGAAACCCATCGCACATCCAAGTCGCGAGTCATGACACCAGACTGCAGCATGGACTTGAATCGGATAGTCAGCGGGAACGGTAATTTCACTGTAGATAGTATTAGTATAATTGAAGCTTCTTCTTCTTTTCTTAACACGTACAGATCACGAAACCCGAGAAGAAAGCATTGATCCAGCTCATAATCAACGTCTGCGGGATCATCATCATCATGTTGCCCTTCACCATGCCCATCATACCCTCCATCGCTGCAGGGTCGGTCATTGGGTTCGCGGGTGGCTGGCCACGGTTTTCAGGGTCCTTGAGGAAAGAGCCGTTCCGGAAGCCCTTAACTAAGTAGTTCTTCCGCATCTCGAATGCCTCGCGATCTAACACAGCGCAGGCGTGATTGCGGAGGTTAACTCCGCGGAGGAGGGCATGTCGTTCGCGGGATTCAGCGAGGCTGGAGGCTGGCTTTGGTGGTGTGTTCATCAAGACTGTTGCATAGTGGCGCAAGATTCCGGTGAGGATCTATTCAAGCAGAAGACTATTAGGTTTTGAAGGTCATAGAGTGCTGGCTATAAGTCATACCATAACCACTGAGATTGGGAAGAGAATCCAGTAACTAGTAGAACATGGTCAGCTGGAGTTGCCCACTTCCATTGCAATAGATGGTGGTGCTCACAAGAGAGCAGGATCCCGAAGGATAGTCTGCTCAGCTCCTTGAATAGCCATGGTGAGTAAATGACCTAGGAAAGACCGGTCGATTTATTGCTAATTGACAAGATCTTTCCCTGGGGGACTGGTTGTTGAAGTTGGAAGCGGGGAGAAGATGATGAAGGAGATGGTGAGGTTGCAGCGCGGCCGCCCATTGGCCGTTGATGAGCTCCAGCTTTCTCCAAATGGCCACGCCGCAACTGTGTCCCTTGTGATAAACAACACCGTCTACACAACAAAGAAATATTCTCTTACTCAGCCTTTATACAGCAAATCAGTTGTTTTATTCGTTCTATCTATTTCAATCCAATCTACAGCCATGGCGACCAAGGTGCCTGTTTACTCGACAAATGGTCGGTATTCGATCTACTTCAGTTCGCGACAGGACAAATTGCATTTTCCAAAGCTAACCAATCTACATCTATAGACCTCAAGTCGACCACCGATGATGCTATCCTCCCCTACCTAAACAACCTACCCGCGCCCTACACCTTCACACCAGATCACAGCAAGAGCAACATTCGCTTCGTGCTCGGATACAGCGCCGTCACAATTGCCGGCTTCACATTCTACGCAGACCGCACACTAGGCTGGGAAGCGACTACGTCCAGATGGATCATCGCAGCTGTAGTCTCGTACTTCATCCTCAACTCCGCGCTCACGTACTGGATCTGGGCCGTTGAGGCTGGCGAGGTATACAGCGGAAAGCGCAAAACGGGCGAGACGGTACGTATCCTTATTCTGGGTTGTTGTTTGATTCTGGCTAATTGACGCTTCTTTCAGATCTCAATCTCCTCGTCTGTCAAAAAGAACACAGTCCCTTACAAGCTTCGTGTGCTTTACAAGTCACCTGCTGGCAAGGTCCTACAAGATAAGCAGATCGAAGCTCCTTTAACTAGCTGGTTCTCTGCTCAAGGCGAATTCCACTCTAAGCCCTTCCGTCAATGGCTGGCTAGTGAGATCGATGTCTTGAGATTAGCAGCCAAAGAGAGTGAAAAAAAGACCGAACAGCAATGATTGACGGTAGTGGGATAACTAAGGTCTCTATTAGGTCTGATATTGGCATATTGGAATGAGAAGATTGTGCATTGATTTGTTGCCGGCCTTGAACGTGTGCTTGCATACTACATGTGTCAAAATTTATGGCCTACAGCTTACCACCTAGGTAGACATAAAAGCATAAGCATAAAGTGAAAATAACTTCATCCCATATATTCAACGAATGGCTAAAATAAAACAATCTATCAAAAGTGTTTGACATAACAGCCTCTACGTATAACTTCTGTCAGTTTTTTTTAAAAAAATCTATAGCCTCACTTAGTTGGCAGCCTCAAGAGTGCCAGGGCGCTCTGTGGCGGCAGCAGGCTCGACACCGTCCAAGCGCTTGTTCTGGATAAGACGCTATGAATAATTATGTTAGCGGCGCATTTCGACCTTATTTCATAGAACGGAAAACTCACCAGCAGGTTCCGGAGCAAGACAACGATGGTCACCTTGCCAATAGAAGGAACGAAGATAGAGGCTTTCTGCTTGACCTCAGGGCCGAAGTTCTATAAAAAGCAAGATTAGTATGAAATCAGACAAAAACATAAAATCACCCTCACCTTTTCACTCGAGAAGTTGACACAAACAGCACCATCGCGGAGCAAGCTAGTATCGAACTGGTACTTATCACCAGGGACACCAGTGATAACAACGTCACAAAGCGGTGCCACATCCTTAATAGTAGCACCCTCCATATCAACAATCTCATGACGCTTGTTCTTCAAGCCCTCGCCACGAGTAAACTTCTGCACACCGGTAATATCAACACTGTAGACACAAGCACCGTCATTGGCGAGGAGGGCAGCAAGCGGGCGACCAACAACCTCAGACCGGTTGACGACACAGATAGTCTTTCCGAAAAGGCGCTTTCCATCTGGCAGGATCGTGTTGTAGATGTTAAGGTATTCGAGGATCTTGATGTTGGCCAACGGGGTGCAGGGCAGAATGCACTTTTGGCGCTTTGTCTCTGGGTCTAGGAAGCGGATGTTCTGGTACATGTTGAAGATGTAGCGGTGGCTTAGACCCTCGACGTCCTTGGATACATCGACTATCTGCTGCAAGTATTGGTCTTGGCGGTTGTTGAAGATCGGGTAGTAGACGATTATGCCGTCGACGTTGGAGTCGGTGTTGGCGGTGAGGATGGACTCTTCGATATCATCGCGAGAGACTTCACGGAGGGTATACTTGAATCCACTGGATGAAATGTGAGTTGGTATTCAACTACTTCGGTCTCTTTTTGCAAGTATGGATAGACAAGTATAAGATTCATACTTGGCCACCACAACCTGCAGATAATGTGTGCGATTGACAGGGAAATCCATGTACATACTTCTCCTCACAGGTCTTCTGTGTCCATTGCGCATACATCAACGCAGCAGGGTCATCGTTGGCCAAGAAGCCAACGAGGTGCGGCGGGTTCTCAAGAGTTTTGAGGCCCTCCTGTACTTCTTTAAGGAGGCCATTGGCGACGTTTTTGGCCAACACTACCTTGCAGGGTGTGGAAACAGCATCTTTAGCAGCCGACATGATGACTAGTAGGTTTAAGAGTCGCTGAAATTGTGTGAATAGCTTCTCTAGTTTGCGCGGGGCTCGCTGACTCGAAGAAAAAATCTTATCGATAAGAAACCGGGCCGCATTTGGTCTCAATTGCCGAGATCCTTCAGGCTTGACTAGGCACAGATCATTCATACTGAGTGATTTATGAAGATGTCATTTACAGAGTGGAACTACATGGGACTAGGTATTGCTACGTATACTCAATTGAACAAATGGAAATAAATTGAAGATCCAACCATTGGAGATACATAGAAACCAGTCAGAACTAGAATGGGTTCTTCAATCTCGCGCCCCCCGATGCGCGGGAAATAATCTAAACATACAGGATATAATCACATTTTGGTAGCCAGTAGATCAGCCAAATCCTTGAGAGTCCAAGCTTCCACCAGTGTACTAATTCACTCCCTGGAAAATTAGTCTTGACGTGCTTACATCGCTAAATCCAGGGCACTGAACCAACTTCCGCCTAGTGAGAATGCCGAATACTTGAGGAACATAACGAAACAATGGCTTCAAAATTGTACAAGCTATCTGTCTATAAACACATAGTTAGAAAACAAGGAACGAACCGCGATGGATCATTTAAGGTGTCTTTTAGCTCACCTATGCGGAGAAAGACTTGTTGAAGGCAACAGTGGTCTCCTTCAGCTTGGCTTCGGTCTCCTTGGTGACCTGGCCGTCCTTCTCAATAGCCTGCTGGATCTCGGGAACGTTGGTCTTCAGGTGAGAGAGGAAGTCAGCCTCCCAGGTGAGGATCTTGGCGACGGGGATGTTGTCGAGGAGACCGTTAACACCGGCGAAGATGAGGGGAACCATGTCGGGAACGGCCATGGGGGAGTACTGCTTCTGCTTGAGCAGCTCAGTCAGACGCTCACCACGGGCAAGGGTCTGCTTAGTGGAGGCATCAAGATCGGAACCGAACTGGGCGAAGGCAGCGACCTCACGGTACTGAGCCAAGAACAGCTTCAGGGAACCGGCGACCTGCTTCATGGCCTTGACCTGGGCAGCGGAACCGACACGGGACACGGACAGACCGACGTTAATAGCGGGACGGATACCCTTGTAGAACAGCTCGGACTCAAGGAAGATCTGGCCGTCAGTGATGGAAATGACGTTGGTGGGAATGTAAGCAGACACGTCACCACCCTGGGTCTCAATGATGGGCAGGGCAGTCAAGGAACCAGCACCGTGGGTCTTGTTCATCTTGGCGGCACGCTCGAGGAGACGAGAGTGCAGGTAGAAAACGTCACCGGGGTAGGCCTCACGTCCGGGGGGACGGCGGAGCAGCAGAGACATCTGACGGTAGGCAACGGCCTGCTTGGACAGATCGTCGAAGATGATGACGGCGTGGCGGCCGTTGTCACGGAACCACTCACCCATGGCGGTACCAGTGAAGGGAGCAAGGTACTGCAGGGGAGCGGCCTCGGAAGCGGTGGCGGCAACGACAATGGAGTACTTCATGGCGTCGTTCTCCTCAAGAGTCTTGACGAGCTGAGCGACGGTGGAACGCTTCTGACCGACGGCGACGTAGATGCAGTAAAGCTTCTCAGCCTCATCGGGGGAGGAGTTCCAACGCTTCTGGTTGAGGATGGTGTCCAGAGCAACGGCAGTCTTACCGGTCTGGCGATCACCAATGATCAACTCACGCTGTCCACGGCCGATGGGGACCATAGAGTCGACACACTTAAGACCGGTCTGTACGGGCTGGTTGACAGACTGACGGGGCAGAATGCCGGGGGCCTTGAGCTGAGCACGGCTCTTAGCCTTGGCGTTGAGGGGACCCTTGCCATCAATGGGGTTACCAAGAGCGTCGACAACACGGCCGAGCAGCTCAGGGCCGACGGGAACATCAACCTATAATGGGTCGTAAGCAAGTATTCCAAAATAAGAAAATTGAATTGAGCATTCAGGGTCCATTGATGGGAAAAGTGGACCCTGTTCAACCGAAGGGGGTTTACTTACAATCTCGCCAGTACGCTTGACGGTCTCACCCTCCTGGACGAGACGGTCGGAACCGAACAGGACGACACCGACCTGGCCAGCCTCGAGGTTCATGCACATACCCTTAACACCGGAGGCGAACCTGATCATCCGTTAGTTGGTTGTTGTCAATGCCAAGACAAGTTGGGGGCACATACTCAACAAGCTCCTCAGCCTGGACGTTGGTCATACCGTGGACACGGGCAATACCGTCACTAAATTGGGAAAAATTAGTTTCAAGTTCGAGAAAGATTCAATTGAAGACAGGCGTGGGCGCAATTGGTGGGATTGTATCGGTTGATCGAATTTTTTTTTCTCGCGACCCTTCCCGGGGACAGATTGACGTACCCGACCGACAGGACACGACCAGTCTCGGCAAGACCAGCCTCCTCGTGAACACCACGAATACGCTGCTCAAGGATGGAGGAGACTTCGGTAGGGGTAGCCTTAGCCTCGGAGGCATAGGAGCGGACCTTGGAGGCACCGGCAACGGGGCCGGCAGCAGCCGCGCGGACCTGATATAACGAAAACTTGTCAACGACGTGTTCGTAGGGAGTATATATGACCGAGCCATCCTCAATTTGTCGACGAGAGGGTAGTGATGGGATCGGAGGACCAATCGAGCTTGAATTCAAGATGGAAAATGTAGTTCTGGCGATGATTGAGGATGGCTAGGATGGGATGGACTCACCGAGGCGATGCGGCCAGTGGCCGAAACAGCCGCAACGGAGCGGCTGGATTGCCGCAGAGCGTTCCTGAACATTGTGAAAGAGGGTTCAGAGGGTGGGAGAATAAATTCTCTGAGAGGAGATGCAATTGGGGAGAGAGGAGATCGGGGAAGAGAGGAAAGGTTGTGGACGGGTGGGAAGGAGAGCTTTGTCGTCGGGGGAGGATTGGATTCTCAGAATTTGCGCTAAACCCTTTTAGGTGTTGGTGTCTCCGATGTGGCCCTAGTGTTACCGCTTCTGGTATTTTATTCTTCTTTTGCTGCTAGTAAAATAGGTCTGTGTCTTTTAATTTCCTCATCTTATATTTCAATTCTATCTTATATCATTTACCCTCATAATTGACTATAATAGTTCACATCTATTTTAAGGGGGAAAGGTTACTTATGTGGGAGGTTGGTTCCGAGGGCGGATCAGATCTTCCCGTTTTTTTCTCTTCGGCTCTCCGGAATCTCCTAGGTCATGTGCCTGCTTAGGTAATGCGTTTCGTCACAGCAACGGACACAGTGTATACAATGTAGTATATCTCGCGTACAGATATGCCTGGTATTGTAATGCTAGATTAGTACGTCTGTTGAGATAAATTGAGCTATATTGGTCTCGAACGCTGCAAAGAAAAAAAAAAAAAAAGAGGATCAGAAAAGATAATACCAGGGTTGGTCTTAAAATGTTCGGGATTGAACCTTGCCAGCTCGAGAGACCCATATCGTTTAAGTCCCATGGGATATGTATCTCATTTTGAAATTGTAAGTCGCTGTAATACCATCTCCAACGCCATCGATTGTCCCGTAGAGCAAAGAAAGCCCAGTAATTCATCTACTTCTTCCGTTTGAACCGCAATCTCCAATGCAGTGTTTATTTTGCTACGGCCTTCCCCTGTTCCTTACGGAACTTTGCGATCTCGATTTCCACGTTCTGGTGGAAACGCTGTCTCAGTTCCGCGCGATAGCCAAAGAAGAATAGAATCTCCATCCAGACGAATAGCGGCGCAAGTAGAAGGGCTTGAACGAGGTTGTCAAGCAACGCTGGCGCACGTCCCTCGAAAATACCGTGTCCGATGAACTGTACCAACCATGACACAACATGTACTCCCACCGCGTAATAGTTGACGATCGTACCGTAGGTTCCGAGGAGGTAATTGCCAGCTGTGGCGGCGCCAATGACGAGCGGTGCGACGAGGCCGCCTGCGACTGGTTCTAGGAGTATGTAGAAGGAGGCATAGACGAAGGCCGCGATTGTACCAAGATTGGCTGGCAGGTATTCGTAGGAGATGGGGCTGGGGACGGAAAAGAAAGTAGGAGTGTTACATGCCTGCGAGTTGCATCGTCAGCTTCAGGTCCTCGTAACAAAGCGAGAATAATTACCAGCAGGATTCCAGTGAAAAGTAGGATTGGAACGAAAGTGATGTGAATGGCAACATTCACCTGGATATGCCTATTAGTGATCCTCTTTTGTGGTCATGTCCAAGAGCCTATTGTACCGGGTTGTTATGGTAGACTCCATACTGTATAAGTCAGTTATAGCCGGAGTAGATAAAGCAGATCTAGAACTCACGAAGAGCAGCTGCTTTTCCAGGTTGAGTGCCATGGTGAATGAAGTGGGAAAAAATACCAAAAAAAAAAAAAAAAAAACGGTGGGTTGTTTGGAGAGAAAAGGGAAACGACGTGATGCCGAGTCATGTAACCGAGCTCTCTGAGTGGTGCAATTCGAATGTCCACATGCGGTAAGTGCTTGGGCCGAGGATGTCAAAGTGGGGTTTCTATACAACACCACCTTTTCCTCAACACTTTTCAACAGAATAATGCCCTAGCTAGAAGAAGAGTCGAAACATCTTCCTTCAATATGCAAAGGTCGATCTCCTGAGGTATATAATCTATTCCATTACCAACCCGGGTCCTCGAAACCTTGTCTTTGTTCAGCTACTATCTACTCCGTTGGTACTATCAGACAAATTCCACCGAGTCAATCATTATCACAACGACCTTTAGTACCTATATTCTACTCCAAGAGACCTCTTCCTCTCTTCATTTAACACCCTTTCAGGATTACATTTACCCTTAAAAATTTAGGTAATCTTCCCTCATGGAAATAGGTAACTATGCAAGTGTGGTTTGATGTGATGTATGTGATGTATATCCGTATCCGTACACATGGAGTTTTAATATAACCGGGTTTGAACGGACTTGGATCCTGATTTTCCCACAAGTTGGAAGCTTCTCTATCAATCAAGCTCACCCATGAAAGTGACTGACCTTAAGTATTCTATGGATGTAGGTACGAAACTGATCTATGCTTGGTTCCCAAGGTTGGCTACTTTGATTGGTTAATATCCTACCCCGTAATTCAATTTGATCGTCAACCCTCAAACTTGAAGACTTTTTATATCAATTGATATCAGGATTGGATGAAGTTGTCATGTATAGTTCATTAGCTATTCCAAAACTTGGAATTAATTCCAATCCCAAGGTTGATGATAGCCCTAGTATAGATCTAGCTAATCACGTGATCTCCAAATCTCAACGGGCCGTGATATGGCCGAGAATCAATCCCAAAGCTTCCAAAAGCTCCTCTGTATCTGCTTTACCTCCTGCAGCAGATACCCACTATTACTCTCCTAAATTAATCACTCATTTACAGTCGCAACTCTATCCCCTCTTACGGCCATGAACTTGCAAGTGAACGACCTCGATTAAAGCGATCGCATTCCTCCACCATTCCAATCTATCGACTTCGACTTCGACTTCGACTGCGACTACGAGATCTAAAGATCTACGGATAATCAAGGCACTCAGGCATCTTACAGGCCCCACAATATTGTTCTTTTATCACAAAGCTTCCTCCGCCCTCCTCTCATCTCCCCAACCGCCAATATGTTTTTCTTGAAGCAAGAGACCAAGACTATCTCCTTGCATCCGTCCTATTTTGGACCTAATATGCGCGATTATCTGACCGCTCGACTCCACGAGGAAGAGGAAGGTCGTTGCACTGGTGAATACTTTGTGATTGCAGTGATGGATACCGTTGAGGTCGGCGATGGTCGCGTTATCCCGTCCGATGGAAATGCCGAGTACAATATTCAATACCGCGCCATCATCTGGAAGCCTTTCCGAGGCGAGACTGTGAGAGAAATTCCTGTCTAAATCCAATTCCCAATCTAACAGTGAAATAGGTTGATGCCATCGTTACCTCCGTTAAGCCCACCGGTATTTTCACACTAGCAGGCCCGCTGTCTGTCTTTATTGCGCGAAAGGTATAATTGAAAGTTCCTCGGTCATGAACTATTCTAATTTGTTCATTAGAACATCCCCTCCGATATCAAGTGGGAACCGAACACCGTGCCCCCGCAGTACACCGATCACGCAGAGCAAGTGATCGAAAAAGAAACCAGCTTGCGCCTGAAGATCCTCGGTGTTAAGCCCGACGTCGGTGCAATCAATGCCATTGGCACGATCAAGGAAGATTACCTTGGGTGAGTAAAAGCATGGATAATTTTTCTCCAAACATTCCCTGACTATTGGACTCGACAGACCTTTGTGATGAGATATGAGCCGCAACATACCCTCCATTTTGCAGAATGATCTTTGCTTTGCTGCGCCCAGCGATATTGAAACCCCCCTTCCCGATGATAGATGCTATTTTCATTCTTATCACTTCTTCCTATCCATGTTGCATTTCCTAGGATAAGTATTCGACGCATACATCCTCCTAGATTCCACCATTTCCGACTTTTCTATGTGGACTTTTTCGTCGGACCGTGTATCTTGCTCCATCTACAACCTCCGCAGAGTCCAACAACTTTCCCTTACCAAAAATACCTATGCAAAACCCAAACTTGGAATGCTTAGCCTTTATGGCTAGACCGACCTTCGATGGTGATATCATGCTGATCAAAGTCAAGTACCTGCATATATGATGCATACTGCTTGGTCAAGGAGTGTAGATATTACAATTCAATATCTTCTCCTTACTCTATTATCTCGTATACTCCTCTTACTAGATCCCTTATTATCTCTACCAAGACCTCATATTTAAGTTCAGCCTTGCATAACTTGATAAGAATGAGAAGTAAAGAATGATTAATTACCTAGGTATAAGTTGCCGGAGAGACGTGGGTGACTAGATCCTGGCTATCAACACTCCGTACCCAATTACTCTTTTCCGGCTGAAGGTGAAACACCGGCGTGTTTTTCATTGCCAGATTAAGATGAAAGTGGATTTGTACCTGGATTAAGTACCTAGTACTAGCGTAGACTATAGAGGTTTCATAGAAGGAGTGGGTACTGTGTACCTGTCTTAATTAATACTACGCGTACTGGCATACAAATATTAGCTCTTTCTGTTCCGGGCCTTCTGGACTCTGAGACTCCGTAGTTCATCGTATTTCTATTTCTTGAAATCCAATTCTTGAGCCAATTTCTCCACTTCATCCCTTCCCTCTTTCAATCTCCCAATACCCCTGATACTCCGAATACATTCCCACCTTCCACTCCTTTCCCTTGCATCAACTCGAGATGACTTACTTCACGGACTTGTATCAAAAGTTCCGCGCAAATCCCCGCAATGGGGAGGTCGCTGACAATCTATCTTACATCTACGTCCCCTCCACTACTACGTTCGAGGGCAAAGATGCAGTCATCAACCACCTGTCGCGACAATCTGCTGCGGTTAAAAAGAACAAGGAAGAAGTTATCAATACCATTGAGAGCTCGGATGCGTTGATTTTGGATATTGCGACTACTTTGGAATTTGTCGAAAGTGGCGGAGCCTATCTTCCCCATCTTGACGATAATTTCCTGGCCGACCGCGTTGTCACCTTCCCCACGGTAAGATTCCCCGATCCAGGTCCCTGTCAGCAGTAATAAGCTAATGCATACTTTTCTCCTGCAGCTCCACATCGTCCAATTTAACCCGCAAAAAGAAATTCAACAGGTTCGCATCTACTGGGATCAGGGTTCTCTTCTGAAAGAGGTGGAGGTTATCGGCGCGCGTGCACGCAACTGGCCCATTCGCGAAGCTAAGACCCAGATCCGTCTGCTCCAGAACGCTGTGGAGTTGCGATCTGCAGCTCCGTCCGATCAATCGTATACCCCGGCCCAGGCACGAGCTGCACGCCCTGGTTCGCCTGGCAAGCGTCACATCAAAGACCCCCATGCTGCCGACTCTCTGTATGATCTCTTGTCGCCCTCCAAGGTCGATGCCCTTAGGGATGATACCACATCATCTGCTTCTCCTGCCAAGAGATACACCAAGGATCCATATGCTCAGGAATCCTTGACGGATATCTTGTCTCCCAGCAAGGAAGGCCCTCCCAAGAATGTGCGTCCTTTTGCGCCTGCTTCGGCCCAGCCGGCTCCACGTGAATATGGCGATCTGTTCGTGGAGACTGAGGCAATGCCGGACTCCCCCTCGAAGCCAGAGAAAAAGATTAGCCATAAGCTTGGTGCCGGCAAGTACCAAGCCAATCGTATTTTCAACGACGAGAATGAGCAGACCCCGGTCAAGGTTGAGCGCGCCCTGTACCAGCCCAATCCTAAGAAGTGGGACCACTTCGAAATTGGTGACAACAATGAAGCGGAACCTATCCCGGCTGAACGCTCAATGTACAAGACAAGCGCTAACAAGTGGAACCACTTCGAGATTGGTGATACCGATCCTGCTACTCCTAAGAAGTCTGCTCTCACTGTGCCTTCTGCACCTGTTCATGGGGACCACCTCCCTTTCGAGGACGGCGATGTCAAAACGCCTCACTTCACTAAGCACGTTAATAAGCCCCGCCGCGATGCCGCTATCCACTTTAATCTGAAAGACGACCAGGAAGAGGATGGCCGCATTATCAGCTCCTTCCAGAATCGTGGCAAGCAGCTATATCAGAATAGCCTGTTCAACGAGACCTCACCCAACAAGGATAGCCAGAAAGAGCACGGTTCCAACCGCATGAAGGACTTTGACAGCCACTTTGATATGCACGATGTCTCACCTGTGCCTCCAAATGGCATCGAGAACAAAAAGCCAATTCCTGCTCATCAAAAATCCTCATGGGATAACTATGACGAGGCGTCTCCTGAGCCCATTCGCCCTTCTACTACACTTCACAACCCGGGCCGCCATAATCAGCCCAGCTGGAGCATGGTAGACGAGGAGTAAACACTCTACCGGGTGAGAGCGAAGAGTAAGGCTCGGCATTCCAGAGCTCAGGACTCAGGACCCAAATTGGCAAACTACCTGATTCGCCCTGATTTGCCGCCTTTCCACCGGTACTATAGTAGTACCGTAATGACGAACGACGTGTACTGATACCCAAAACAAAGACAGAAAAGAAGCGAGGTCAGAGGAAGCTAGTAAGACATATTCACTGGTTCTTTCGTGCTCTGAATGCAGGATTTCTCTGGCCTGCGCTTGATATTATTCCCACTTCACCTTACCCTTCTTGTCACTTTTTTTCCCATATCCTTTTATCATATCCCGATATCTCTGTGCTTGATTTATTTCAATTCTTTTGTACGCGTATCTGTCTTGTATCGAGTTAGTTCAATTCAAGACTTCTGATACAAGGCTTCTACATGTTTAATCTGTAGTATATTTTTCTTTCTCAAGAATTGATATTCAAAAAGTTCGTACCTGTTGAGCGAGATATATTTCATCTTTGATTTGATAGAGGCTTACCACCATGACCACCTTAAAACTTAGCATTCTCTTCATCACTTCTTTTGTCATTATTCTACCTTTGTATCTCCACCTCTACTTTTTCTCTTAACTTTGACCTTCTGCTAATAACCTTTACTTTCCTTCTCTATCTTCGCAATACCTTCTACCTTCTACTTTTGCAAAATACTACCTCTTCTGCCTTCCATACATCATGTATCTTCTCTCCCTTATCAATCTTATCAATCTTATCTATGTTCTGCTCCGTATACCATCTCTATACCCTAACCCTATACAACTTCTTCAACCTCTCCACCTCGACAAACATCCACCTCTACAAACCTCTACTTTCTTCTATCTCTCTCCCTCTACATACATCCAAAGCTCTATAACCCTCCAAGCTTATACACAACTCTGACACTCTCTACCTCTACAGATCCACGACCCTTCTAACCTTCCCAATCCCATCGACCTCTACCACATTCCCCATCCTCCTCTCTATAACAATAGATCCTCGTTCTCTATTCCCTCTTCAATTTGTTTGCTATACATGATCTTTCTTATCAATGACATCTCCTATATCTCCCCTATATAAACCTCTTCTCCTCTCCATCTTCTTCACTCCTCCACCCTCTCCCTCCTCTATGCTGGTAATAAAGAATTTTCAAGCTATGTGGCACGGACTGCTGACCTTGAATCAGCTGCCTAAGTAGGCACATCAATAGTCTTTCTGGCTTATGTTCCTCAAATTGCTGGTAATTGCAGAAAATATATGCAATACAATATCACTGTTGTTTCCAAACCGTGCATGAAGCTCTTCAATTACCGCGGATGTCAGAATTGTTTTTCCTGCTCCAGGGATCCCGGGGCAAAACAACGTCTGTTTGGGGTTCATAACCCAGGTTCGGAATTCAGGGGACTCCAAAAGCCATTGGCCAGTTCCTGTTTGTCGCCGGCTTTTGTAGTCATTTTGCTGAGTGGCATAGGCGGATACTGGTGAAAGCCAGTCAAGAATTGCTCGACGCTCTCGACAGTCTTGGTATTGCACTAGTTTTGTGATATTGCCCTGCGTTATATGCCCGTTGAATGCATTAAGGAGGATAATGTTACTACTGAGACGACTTCGAAGCGAGTGTATCTCGTCCAGCTCCCACTTTAACCGTTTCCACACCCTTTTCACCGCGTTCTTGCCCACTCCTTGATTGAGTTTCAACTCCATATAACTTTCGATCGTCTTCTCGATTTCGGTCAGGAAATTCTGGCAACCGTCCGCTATTTCTTGCAACTCGGCCCGCTGTTTATTACTAAGCATAGTGTTGGACAAATCGATTTCAACATCCTGAACCACAAATGAGAGGCTTCTGACTCTATGTAGTGGAGATCAGCCCAAGTATTTAAATGAGGGCTCTGAACCACTTGGGTAATTATTACTCATCAGAAAGTGCTTTGAACTGAGCTGGAGCTGCCACAAATTCCTTTCGAATTTTATTGCAAAGCTCAATGACTCCAATGAAGTCTCCAATACTAAAACCGAAGCTCATCGTCCGTGTTATATATAGGGAAGATTGACGCTTAGCAAAAGTAAGGTAGTCAAGTTGGTCAAAAATCCTATGGCAAGGCTGACACAGCTAATTTTTTTAGAAAATAAAAAACTGGAGAATGCTAGGAATGGCGCTTTGACTAGTAACATGTTCACAGGCTTTTTGATTGGCGCACTGCTTATGCAGGCGCACTCGGAGTATCACCTAGTTAGATACGTTTAGAAACAGAATGAAGCGGGCGCGATGGAATATGCTGTATATCATTATCCCTCACATCCGTCCGTCATCAGAGTTAGGTCGGCAGGTTGAATAGCTCTAAGCTTAGAAGGGTTTAAGGGAGATTTTCCAGACTGCTCGTTGCCTTAACTGCAATACCTAGGCGGCCGGTGTGAGGCTTGGGAAATTCGATGTTGGGTAGCAGCTTCTAGACCATACAAATGATAAACATACTTCTCGCTATTCTAATGATCCGGTAAAGTTATGGTACTCAGTTATTAACTAACTACTTAAAATAAATGAGGCTGACGGCGCTTTCCAAAGGCAGTTTAGCTGTTCTTGGCATTAGGATTCGAGAAACAATCGAAGAGTGCAGGTGGTAACACCGATTTCCGGAAATACTGTATGTTGTATCCCTACTGATCACGGTGCTCTTGGCGAGCCTGAGCTATTTGGTAAGCTCCTTTGGCGGGCGTGCATAGAATTCCCTGTTGAGTCCTGTTTTGGCTTCAATGTACGATTGCGAAATGTCGGAGATTTATAAGGCTGGTGGGCCCTGCCCCATAGTAGAAGAGTGCTGTCTTGTGACAATTGAATGCTATCTTGCGTCAAGAGGATGATCTTCTTGTCTTGCTGCAATGTATAGGATCAATCATTGGCGAACATGCTAAATTTTTGGGCGATTGGGCCAGGACTGAACTTTTTAGAGTTTTCAGTTCCTTTGTTCTTTACACTATCGCCGACTCTTATCACCTCCGTTAGAGTTGGGTATTTATTGACGCTATAGGAGACTTCTGTATTTTTATAATTGAAAACCACGTGGCACGCGGATGAGTTCGTCGACTTAGCGAAGGGCCGCAACCAATGCTAGTCTACACTGAAAGCCTGTAAGGTAGAAAAGCCTCAGCAACAGCCTCGAGTTTACCTTCTAGGCTTGAAAATCTACGAAAGTACGAATAGATATAATTGAACTTGAAATATACAACAATTTCATAAAATTGCGCTTTAGCCTAAATTCGGGGACAAGACGATCAAGGTAATTAAATTTATCTATTGTTTATCGCTGAAATTAGTACCAGCGCAGTAGGTATCTATGAGTAGGTAATTAGTTGGTGAAGCTACCCGTGAAGTCAGCCTCCTTAAATTAAGCATATTCTGTCGTTTCCTGCTCGCAAAATTCCCAGAATTCCTTCGCTCGACCTGATCCACCGTTTCCTTCCCTTTCGACTGTGCGCTTTAAGTTCTCTGCCACGCCAGGATGCAAGCGACCCCAGGGTATAACATACGCGGTATCATGATTATCAAGACTGATATCGGGGGAGAAGCTCGCGTACAGAACAGTATGAGCTGCCAAGACAGGACTATGCAGTAAGGGTCTTGAAAAGAACTTCATCAAACGGGAGTTACGCAGAAGATTTGTATTTGCTGCGCCGGGGTTCTGCGCCACGCTCAGTATTTCCCTCCCGCCATACCGTCGTGCCATCTCCGCTGCTAAGCACCAGTTACCAAGCTTCGAGGCATTGTAGTTGGCGATCTGATCCTTCGGGGGGTTGGTAAGATGAGCCATGACGATCACTTCTGGCAGGGGAGAGAACTCAACACTCTGGCTGCTCGTCCAGATGACGCGAGTGGATCCAGGTGAAGAATTACTAGCGCTGACTTCAAGAAGAGGAAGCAGTAAGCGAGTCAAGAAGAACGGTCCTAGGCAGTTGGTCGCAAGTTGAAGTTCGAAGCCCTGCTTTGAGACGCTGCCTCGAGGGGGCTGAGAAACGCCCGCATTGTTAACGAGCAGGTCTAGTTTGGACTCCTTTTCTTGAAAAGCCTGGACGGAGTCTTTGATAGATGTGAGGTTGTCGAGGTGGAGGGGAAGGAAGACTAGCTCTCCACTTGTACCTGCATTTGCAGCTTGGATGGCGTTTATTGCTTCTTTGGCTTTCTCTTCGGATCGGCCCATCATATAGATCTTCGCCCCCTTTCGATGGAGGATTTTAGCGAGTTCTAATCCGATACCTGAGGCTGCTCCTGTGATGATAATCGCTTTATTGGATAAATCAGGAAGGTTGTCCACAGTGAAGGTTGGACAAGGTGGAAAGACTTGTGAGAATTGAACACCCATGATGACGGACTCGGATAATGTCGAAATGAAAAAGAAAGAAAGGTCTATGTTGGGGAGGTCATAAAAAGAGAGCAGTAATAGGTATATATAGGTAAACAAAACCCCAAATTTCTCCTGATGGTAAGTTATTACTAAGAGCTTAAATTTGCGATCCCACGAGGCTCTAAAGCCTTTCAACGGATGCGATCGACATTGTGACAGCGTAATTAAAATTATTACCTTAAACACAATAATGTAAGAATGATGAAGGGGTGAAGGGGTGAAGGAAATTTGATGATAACTATTTACAGCCGAGGATCAAGTTAGTAACAAGTACTAACAACTTGCAAAGAGAATGGTTTAAAAAGTGTCGGAATCTAATAACTAATCTCAGCTATTACAACTATCTATTATGCCACGCCCCAAAATCCCCCTCGAAGCTCATAAGCAAGAGATCATTGATCTTTCTAAAGCTGGTAACTCAGCTGAAAGTATTCGTCTTACCCTACAAAGCCATGGTATCAACGTCACTGCCCGCACCATTCAAACTCGTCTACGAGAATAGAATACAATTACACCTGCCTCAACCCTTTCTCAACGCCAGCATTTTGAAAGACTTGTTTCTAGTCTTTTACGGTTGTTGAACTACATTTTCCCTCAAGAAGGCATTCATGATCATAAACAACAATTTGACCCAGATCTTTTACAACGGCTATAAATGGATATACAGGAGTGGGATAGCAATGAATATCTACCGTCAGCCACCCTTACCTGGTGTCAACAACAGTTTCAGGAAATTGGAGAACAAATTACGGGGACTGGATTTGACTCTGAAAATCCCCTCCTACATCTTTGTGGCGACTCAGGCCAACCATATCGCATAGTATACGAGGCTCTTCGGCAGCGAGCACTTTTACACTATGAATCATCTATAGATCCTATCCTAGGCATTTGTACAAAACCTCATGGTGCATATGATTGGACCCCAATGGCAGAAGTGGTTTCGGAAGGAATAGTTGAGGTTGAAATATAGATTTCTTATGATTATATTTAGTCTAGTTTAAAACCTTCTATCTTTAATTCAAATAAATAGCCTAAATCCTAATCTCCTTTTCTAATAAGCAGTTCAACTCTCAATTCAACTCTCAATTCAACTCTCAATTCAACTCTTAATTCAACTCTTAATTCAACTCTTAATTCAACTCTTAATTCAACTCTTAATTCAACTCTCAATTCAACTCTTAATTCAACTCTTAATTCAACTCTTAATATAGCACTTGGAGAGATAGACCCAGATCTACTCTAACACCATCCAATCCATCTCCAGTGCCATCTCTAATAGTAGCCACTACTAAAAGGGGCGGCCAGGCACACGACAAGGCCAGCGAGTTCGGAGAAAACGGGAATGATATAGCTGCTTTAGTCAATACATTTTGCTTCGTTATTCTACTTCGTTATTTAGTAGTAATAGTATGAAGCTTGACAGTCGATAGCCCTAAACTTACTAAGTCAAACTTCATACTATTACTACTAAAATAATGAATTAGAATAACGAAGCAAAATGTATTGACTAAAGCAGCTATATCATTCCCGTTTTCTCCGAACTCGCTGGCCTTGTCGTGTGCCTGGCCGCCCCCTTTTAGTAGTGGCTACTATTAGAGATGGCACTGGAGATGGATTGGATGGTGTTAGAGTAGATCTGGGTCTATCTCTCTAAGTGCTATATTAAGAGTTGAATTGAGAATTGAATTGAGAGTTGAACTGCTTAGTAGAGAAACAGATTAGGATTTAGACTATCTATTTAAATATATTATTGCGACAGCTGCATGAGAAACAAGGTCGTCAACAAATGGGAGCGGAACCACCGAGGACAGGAAGCTTTTCGGCCGAAAAGCTTCTGCCAAAAACTCTCGATTCGGAATAACCACTCGGAGGAAGTAGTATATCACGACATCCTTGAACTATATGCATCGTCGCAAACGACACCCTTGAGCAATGTGCATTCGCGACAGTGATGTTCCGTCTTCACCGTCTCTTCTGTCTCAGACGAATGGTTACATTCGTCCAAGACAGAGGAGCGCCCATGTACTATAAGTAGCTAGTTCTCTCCATCAATGAAAAGACAGACTTCACAACAACTGCAATATTCAACTAGTAGGAATCCACTACCAGATCGGTGGATTGTCTACGGTGTTGAGTAGCAGTTTGTTGGAGCTCACCAACTCTTTGTTTCTACTGCAGTAAACTCCACGCCGTTTTACCGCAGTAAAACTTGAACACGATTCTCAGTTATAATATTCGAATATTACCCTTGCGAGCGACAAACTGGCTCATCAAAAGAGTTCAAGCTCTCTAGGAAACTATCGTGGTAGGTTAAAGCTAGCTCCTAAGAAGAAGCTTTATGGGAACCAATGGTTTCCGCCTTATAATTTGCTGATAGTAGCATTAATGTCTTCATGCTCTTATTGGCTAGGCAGCTTGACATTCGCCCTCCCCCATATGATGAAGAATGGCACCTTCTATCAGGGATCAAGATTGGATATAGTGGGCTGAAAGCTTTTCATTCAATGGATCAATCCAACTTTGATCCTTGGATATGATATTCATTCTCGATTGTAACCCTAATTTACTCTCATTGTTAAGCCCTGTATCAGCCTGCATAGTATTCGATCAATATCTAAATGAGAAGGAAATTATCCATTTTCCTGACTACCATTTTTTTGGAAGTAAGTCAGTCAGTAAAATAATGATGCGAAGTTGACAAAAAAGCAAGAAAAAAACGTCAACCATAGGATTCGAACCTATGCCCGCGAACGGAATTGATTTCTAGTCAATCGCCTTAACCACTCGGCCAGATTGACTTGTTATGATAAGATAGGCGAGTTTTGCCTTTATACACTAAAACTTTCATAAAATACTTATTGTAGAACTCTTCGTTCAAGTTTGAATGTTTTGCTCTTATGTGGTTTATTTTTTGATCACATAGTAATCTTGAACCTCTCAAGATTCCAATGTTAGAATACATATACAGGCATCCTCTTCCAAGGTTATTCTCCCAAATATGAAGTCGGTTCCAACCTTCCAGGAAAAGTGGTTGCATTTTGGCTTCCGCCCGGAGTTTTTATATATTCAACTTTCACCTGAGGCTTAAAGGCTTAGGTTGTGTATTGCTACCTATGATCTATTCCAACATTGGGAGGTTGACTGATTGGCTCAATCGCCGGCATTTGAATATAAATATTAAATGATAACGGAAACAAAACAAAACAAAACTTTCATAAAAAGGTTGCCTGGGAAATGATGTTGTCAGGCAGGTAATGAATATCCATGAATAGGCATGATAAACGGGGCCATGGTACATAGATTTATCCACATCCATTCCAAATTAGACATCGGGAACCCGGGAGCATAGAAATGAACGGCTATCAAGGTAGTAGAATCAGGAGATTTAATAGTCAAGAGGCGCACTAAAGTCCCCATCTATCTCTAGCCATGGAGTAGAAGCCCCAGCTCTTTTTCACTAACCAGCTGAGGGTTTATGACTGGGGCTGATCATTTTCGGTTAATTGGGGGGTTAGTTCTACAGACATCGTGGGAATCTTGGACGCGATAAATGGGAACAAATGCTTGACTTGGGATACTTGGATGTTGAGCGGTCTTTGATAGATAGTTTTATTTATAATGGCAAAAGTTGGGCACGTATCATATAACCAGTCAATCTGGCCGAGTGGTTAAGGCGATTGACTAGAAATCAATTCCGTTCGCGGGCATAGGTTCGAATCCTATGGTTGACGTTTTTTTTCTTGCTTTTTTGTCAACTTCGCATCATTATTTTACTGACCTACTTGAAGAACCTTTGACTGTCGTGATAATTAATAATTCCCTTTTATTTGCATAATTATCACTCTTATACACTTTATCTTGGCCTTGACTTTATCGGACTGAGCCCAGATTCCGATTCCCACCAGGGTTAGCATCATATTTAGTACGGAGGACCATGACAAAAGTATCTGGCCTGGAAATTTACGCCTATTCTTAATAAGGGATAGTAAATTTGTTTTTAAATAACCGAAATATTACATGAATTTACTTTTCTCTGATGTGTACGATTACCACCCCTCCCAGCTCTTCTTCCTTCTAGCTTAATGATTTCCTGGATATGATGAGGGAGTCTTTCAATCCAAGCCTGAATTTTTTCTTGCGGCATCTCGCGCCATGTATTTTCCCAAACAGAGATAGCATCTACTCTTGTCTTTGGCGCACCTTTCTCTGTGGTAGTACGCTTTAAATAAGGCCAGGCACACTCAATAGCGTTTAGATCTGGAGAGTTTGGGCACCACAGTAGATGTGCTACTTCAGAGATATCATATACTATCTACTGAAAACGATGATTATGAGCAGGAGCTTTATTCTCTTGAACCAAGGTGCCCAGTTGTATCTTAAGACATTCTTTCGCAAAAGGAATCAGCTTCGGGAGGAGAATAATTTTCTAATAACGATACCAATCGATGCCACAGCCCTAGAATCTATATTAGTATATCAAATTAAATCAAGCCAATATGATGCTTTGAATAGAATCAGAATAAAGAATAACTTACCCGTCCATGGGTCAGTTTCCCATTCTCTATAGTAAATCTCCATTTAGGCTTCGTTTCGGCCCAGGTGTCTTCTGGCGGAGATTTAAACGCCTCATCGGGTTCGAAATCTCCCATTCTTCCTTTAACTTCGGCTCCAAAACTTTATTAAGCTCTTCAATCTCAAGGAAGTCTTTTTTAGCAGCAGTCTCCGGAATCCAACAATGACAATGACCCTTTTTCTCATAAGAGAAACAGCCCCAAAACATAAATTCAGATACCTTTCCAACACTCGCGTATAGTAGAGCGTAAAAAGGCTTCGTCCTTAGTACGCCAAACACGATATCCTCCTCTTCGATGATTTAATATCACAGATGATTCATCACTCCAGATCACGTTTTTCTAATCTTCAAGAGTCTCATCCTTCCTCTTAAGACACTACTCTAGTCTCTCTTTCCGCATCTTTTTCGAGAGACCAGGCTTCCGTGTAGGCTTAGTCTTAAAACCAGCAGCTTTAGAACCCGAAAGATAGTCTGTTGCGACAGCCGAGAAACAAGGCCATCAACAGACGGAAAGTATTTCGGCCGAAAAAGCTTCTGCCAAGACAGTGACTCTGGAACTAGATTAGTATATCACGGCATCCTTGAACGATATGCATTCATCGCAAACGACACCCTTGAGCGATGTGCATTCGTGACAGTAATATCCTCCCGTCTTCACCGTCTCTTCTGTCTCGGACGAATGTGGACATTCGTCCAGGGCAGAGGGGCACCCATATACTATAAGTAGCTAGTTCTTTCATCAATGAAAAAGCAGACTTCACAACAATCGCAGTATTCAGTATCGTAGCATCCACTACACCCGGTGGATTTTCTACGGTGTTGAGTAGCGGTTTGTTGGAGCTCACAACGTTTACTATTCTCAGTACAATATTCGAATATCGCCCTTTCGAGCGACATAGTCATAGAAGAGACATCAATACCTTCATCGGCTAGCTCTCCAGCTATCATCTCACAAGTCTTTTCCCTCCCATATCGACCCCTCCGAATCTTTATAAACACCGATTCCTCAATCGCTTCTCGCTTCCTGCTTCTGTGGACGGCCAGATCGTGGAGCATCTTCAACATAGCGATCATAGATAGCGCAATCAAGATTATGATCAAAGCCACGTTCTTTCGCACGCGCATAGATTGAATTAACACTAGACTTTGATAAACCAGTCATAGTAGCAATTTCAGAAGAAGTAAGCTCGGTAAAAGCTTTAAGGCTTACCACCTGAGCGCGAATAGCAAGGTCTGTCTTCATGTTAAATAAAGAGTAATGGTCTATAGAAGAAGAGAAGCAAAATTCAGGAGAAATCGGTTTGATTACTGATTACTAATATGGTGTATGCATCTGGATTCTACAGGTCATATTACCAATATGCAGGTGGGCCGGCCAGATACTTTTGTTATGGTCCTCCATACTAATTCGAATTTTCAGCCTCGTATGAGCCACCCTTGATGTAAATCTAATGTACTCAAGTAGACTGCTAGAATGTACTCATGTCCCCCATGACATGGACTGAAGAAAATGTCTGAGCTGTTAAATTACAAAAGCTAGGCTTGCTTGATCCTTGTTATTATTATACAATATGTTTTGATTTAATTAGAATGCTTTGTATGTCCTTTTACTAACGAAATAGCGAAATCAGCGGTTACTTATCGCCCTGAATTTCCCAAAAAGGAGAAAAAAATTTGACCAGACTGGGGCTCGATCCCAGGACCTTATCGGTGTTAACGATACGTGATAACCAACTACACCATCCGGCCAATTGAATTGTTGGATTCAAATTTATATAACATATATTGAGTAAATCATGATTACGTTACATTCCTTGTTTCGCTATTACAATTCCAAGAACCAACGGTTTGTTTCACAAAGACAAGCAAATATCCTGGTGCTGGTACACAATGAAGCATCTCTCCAAAATTGTGGCATACCAGAGAGAGCACTATCCATTTGGGCCCAATTTACAAAATTCAGGCATGAATGGTTAGCTAGCGGGTGTCCATTTACCGTTAGATGGGTGTCACCACCCTAAAGCAACTCATCTTACAATAAATTCAACAGCTCTCCCAGAAAAGTAAATGAATAAAAAATCCATTAGATAAGTTCGAATATAGTATCCAATATAAATCATGAACAGGACAAGAAAAATAAGACATTATGATACGCTGGCCTTAAAGCGAAGCGAATATAGAAAAACAAAACACCAAAAAACGTCAACCATAGGATTCGAACCTATGCCCGCGAACGGAATTGATTTCTAGTCAATCGCCTTAACCACTCGGCCAGATTGACTTCTTATTGAATAATTTGCCATAATTATTACCTATATAACTATCTCTTACACTATATTCAAATTGCGTGGCCCATCAACCCTACACCTGGGCATTCCAAGGTTTTCAGTAGTCTTGACCACAGCGATTGGGATTCATAAATTTCACCAAAAATTTTAGAAATTGAGGGTGACCTACCACCTGGGCAACTTGAGGACTTGTTACAGAATTTGTTCTGCTCTGCACAAAAGCTACGTATATAATATACCTCGATCAAAATTGTATTCCGAGGTTTATCGTTTCACTCAGTCAAGAGTGTTTTGAATATATCAACAGATTGCGGGAAAGATAGTATTGTTAGATCTGAAGTCATATCTATGTAGAGTCGCTAGGCGGGCTTTGATTTTCTTACTTATAGCTTCTATCTATGAGAGCCCTTTACTCGACCTTGGAAAGGACCCCCGAGATAAATTTTCTAGAATGTCCATATCCCCCCACCTTCTTTCCTCCACCTTCTAACCTTTCGCTTCTTTCATTTCCTCTCATCTTTTCCCTCTCCATCCATTGAGACTTTATATTTCAATTGAGGCTGAGCAAGCCGGCCACAAGAATTTATGTATTAATGTTAACTCTAGTCATTCGAAAGACCCCGACCTTACTGGACAAACTTGGCATTTGGTGTAGATTGTTTTACCATTTTCAATTTTTCGATGCCTTTTATAGTAAAAGCTATGTATCAACTCAGATAATAGAGAAACTTCGACAAAGAAAGCCCCGAGAGTGGAATGGTAGGGTATTCAATGAAGTCTGGAAATGTTACCAGGGTCGGCTTGCTATATATTAGAATCCCAGAAAGAGGCGGACTTTCTTTCTGCCAGCCTGTCGCTTACCCGTTCATTCATCTGAGCCTTGGTTGATACGTTAAAGGGGATAAGTGATAAGAACAGCACAAAAGCGTGATGTATAGTGCTAGACGCAGTAGCAGCAACATCAGTGTGTCCCTTTGTTACTTGTGGTGACGATTCTGTTGCGATAGCCGAGAAACAAGGCCATCAACAGACGGAAAGTATTTCGGCCGAAAAGCTTCTGCCGAGACAGCGACTCCGGAACTGGATTAGTATATCACGGCATCCTTGAACGATATGCATTCATCGCAAACGACACCCTTGAGCGATGCGCATTCGCGACAGTAATGTCCCTTCTTCACCGTCTCTTCTGTCTCGGACGAATGTTGACATTCGTCCAGAGCAGAGGGGCGCCCATATACTATAAGTAGCTAGTTCTTTCATCAATGAAAAAGCAGACTTCACAACAACCACAATATTCAGTACTGTAGAGACCACTACACTTGGTGGTTTGTCTACGGTGTTGAGTAGTGGTTTGTTGAAGCTCACCAACTCCTTTCTACTGCAATAAACTCCAATTCCCTTTTACTGCAGTAAGGACTCGAGCACCGTTCTCAGTTATCGGCGACTAGCTAGCTACGCTCGCTAAGCGAGCGACAGATTCTTCGATGTTATTGAACAAACATTAAACAAGAGCGGATATTTGCGTATGGCTTCTTACAATCGCTCTTTCTCTCTTTCAATTTTCAATGATAGGTGTCTTTGACAAAGAGATGACGAAGAGAAAACTCTATATCCATAGATCCTTTACTATGCCTATGAATCACTCACAGATATTTAACTAATGATAGAAAGATTACCTATATTTCGCTCTAATCTTGTAGCTAAGTCTTCTATGGCCTCCATTTCTTGTCAATCAACCGAAGCCTGCAAAAATAAGCTCAAATGACACTTGATGAGTATCACGCATCATGTTTTACCATATCTAAAAGGAATTGTATTCTCGAAGATGCCAAGGAATAAGATTTACTGTCTTCATCAGTATAGTTTTCGAAAACTTCCGCAGTTTAACAACTGAGTGATAATTTATCGAAATTGTCTCCAATCACCAGGATAGCTTTGCTTGTCTTTGTGAAACAAACCGTTGGTTCTTGGAATTGTAATAGCGAAACAAGGAATGCAACGTAATCATGATTTACTCAATATAGGTTATATAAATTTGAATCCAACAATTCAATTGGCCGGATGGTGTATTTGGTTATCACGTATCGTTGGTAGGTATGGGTGCTCCACAATTAGAGAAAAAAGCTGGCAGGGGGAGATATCACGTAGGAGACTATTCCAGTAAATAGCTTATCGCTTCGCTCAAACTATTAACTCATTCACATTTCCTATTAGTATACACCCGTAGACTATATATAGGCTAGTTTTCACGGACAGCAGCCATTTTGTTATATAATCTAGAAAAGGGAATTTGGTTGTGATTAGGGTTTAAATGTGAATATTTTAAACTATCAGAAGTTAGGAAAGGAAGCTAAGCCACACCTGGGCAGCCATGGAAGAGAATATCTATTGCAAATTCGAATACTAGGTCTATACAGATATCTCACTTAAAAGAAGAAGGATCTGAAATATCAAAGTCAGCTTTCCTACTTGAACCGAAACTAAGAGTTAGTCATACTCACTTTTTCAATGTACTTGACACCAATCAAAATTCCATCATTGTCCTCAAATTCAGTCTGGTCACCAAAGTCTTGGTTTGTCTCATCCAGGCATGTTAAACAATTGACAACAACATGCATATACTTTTCTCCCATCTTGGTCGATAAATGCTTATTTGCTAATACAACATAGTAATCTTTAAGAGAGCTGCCCTCCATTATATAGGCGGAAGGATCCGGGTCTTCCCCATTTACTGCTTGGGGGAATATCTTGCCCTGACTACTCACAAACGATTCCCAGAGCCCAATCTCAAGAAGGCATACGCCGAGACTATAGATATCATGCTGCATAGTATAGTCTGCACTAGGATGGATTCCTTGTCGATCAGGGTGTTGGTAGGTGGTTTCGGCCCAAACGGAGTTGCCTAGCTGTTGTGTCCTACTATCAGCCATTCGAAATGCTTAAATCCAAGGAGAAATAGCGGTCTGAGGTGTGAATCCTTCTTTCGAAAGACCAAGGCGTTTTCTGGACGAGTATTCTTGTGAACGATATCAAGAACATGAACATAATTCACTGATGTGGCAAGCTGCTTAGCAAGCTCGATTTTCTCATTCAGCGAAGGACAAGTCATCGAATAAAGATGAGACCGAAGACTCTGAGGCTCGAAACACCCATCGGGGATGTGGAATATGAAGTCGAATGATAGAACTCGCTTTGTGAGGGGGTCTTTAACGCGAACAACGCCTTGACATTTCAGTACGTGGAAAAGTCTAGCGTCAACCTTCTCGAGCTTTTGTGCCAGGTCTCGAACATGCCTCATGAAAATAGAAACATCCTCCCTAGATGTACAATCAGCAGAATTTAATATATACGTGCCTGCATGTATATCAATAACATGGGAATCCGAAAATTGAATTGGAGAGCGGCTAGCCTGGTCCAAATCTCTCTGTGGAAGAAACACACTGGCTTGGCGGGGTGAATGAAGTGTACTTCGAACTTCTCTTTCGATGGAGAGTCTGCCAGCTCCTGAATGTCTGGTGAACTCCATATCAATGAATTGATTATGCATCCGCGAAGTCAAATGCCATGTGGGGTCGAACAGCTTTTCCCAATTTTGAAGCTCACTAATTAGTTTGTTGAGGGATTCTCTGCTAAGCAAGGCATATTTCAGCGCCTCTTTCTTCTTCATTGGAACATTGCTATCCCAGGGCCCCTGTTTCTCAAGCTTGCTCAGCTGCAAGCTAGCACCAGTTATCCTAGATTGCAGAATGACGAGAAGGCGTTCCTGTAGATCCTTATAATTCGGGTCTAGACTTTCCCAAATCCGCTTGAGAAAGTCTAACTGAAGGGATACCTTCAACCAGATGGCTTCAATAATAATAGTTTGCTCTTTAATCATCTGATCTGCTCCCTTAAAGGCCTTCCATTTGTCCACGACGATCTTTCCGTATCTATTCAATGTCAATCAATATCTCTCCATAGAAAATATTGAAAAGACTACACAAGGACCTTACTTACTTGATACACTGATCAATAGTGCCGAATATGGCAAGGCCAAGCTCTACACCCGACATTATAAGCTGAGGCTATCTGTAACCGGAAGGAAGGAAGTTGATTACACAGGAAAGATCAGTCCTTTTATCGAAACTGAGATAAATTAAAAATAGCCTTATCAGGAGGCAAAGAGGAGGAGAGTAAATTCGAAAGAAGCAAAAATCCATGCTCAGCCATCAGTCAGCCTTATCTAAATGGACTTTCAGCGACTGCCAAGCCAGGCAGCTGATCCTAACAAGCGCTTACAGCTGACAATAATTTAGCCAAGTCTTCATTCCAAAAACTTGTTGACCTCTTCATGACCCCATGAAGGTTAAGCTATCATTCCATCATGGAGAGCAAAAAGCGTGTGGAGGATATGAGATTCTTGCACACGGAAATTCGACGTAACGCCACGCTTCATTATTATCGAGCAGACAATGAAAAGAGGGGGAACAATTTGAAGGAAAAATGGGAGAGAGAGGCTCAGCTTGGCCATGGGGCCTTCTCGACAGTTTTTCGAGAGAAATGTTCGAGCGGCAGTACACCTAAACTACGGGCTATGAAGGTCATCGACAAAAAAGGTCATTCTAAACTCCCAAATCTTCGGGAATATTGCGATCAGGAACTGGATGCTATAGCGAAGTTTTCTTGGCCAAAGGTCAGTATCATATGTCCCATGAATGAGAATCCTTAATTGATCGAAAGTGTTGGCTGATTATCATCAAGTATGAAAGTTTTTTTGTTCAATCTCTCGGCTGGTGCGAGGATGAAAGTTATATTTGCATCGCTATGGAATATATGGAACATGGGGATCTCCGAAGAAACCTCCAGTCAAGGAACCCGCTACCAGAGCAAGAAATACAACAGATTACAATTCAGATTCTGATGGGACTTCATTATCTCCATGATAATGGGTACATCCATCGAGATCTCAAGCCTGAGGTACATTCGCGACGAAGTTCAAATGCGATCACTTCAACTAATACATCAGTAATAGAACGTGCTCGTTAAGTTAAAAGGTCCCAAGTGGTGGGTTAAAATCGGCGACTTCGGTATCAGCAAAAGATTCGATGAAAATAAGACCGATACTGGGATGGGGACTGAAGGGTTCAGGGCTCCTGAGAGACTCGACCTTTACCCTCCTGGAACGGAACGTCGTCACCCTACATACAATATGGATATTTGGTCGCTAGGTATTATGGTTTTCCATATGCTTTTTAACTATTATCCATTTCCCGGTATCTGGAGCTTAATATCATACGTCCAGACCTCTATCTTCCCTTCAATACCACAATCCTCTTCCGTCAACCCGGATGCTTTAAGCTTCTTAAGGAGTCTACTAGCTGCTGATGCTTCAATGCGACCATCTGCAAAAGAGGCTCTTGAAAACACATGGCTGAAACAAGACCAATCTGATCATACCTCTCGAAGAAATGAAACGAATAGTACAGCATCTACAACGACGACAATAGACTACAAATCATGGGATACACCTATTCCTCGACAAATTAGGGTTGAGTCAAAAACAGAGCATCCAAGCTCAAACTTACGAGACACGCCAAGGAATGAGTTACCAGGCTTTGATGCTCTCTCAAACTCACTCAGCAAAGAACACAGCCCTACGGCTTCCAACGAGCTTGAAAGTATTGCTAAAGATCTTGAAAGTGTTGAGCATATACCCACAAGATTAATTTCAAACCAACAATCACTTAACCCGAAGGAAATACATCAACAGACTTCCACCGATAACGATGATCTTCTTCGTTTTGAAATGCTATATAAAAATGGGCTATCTTGTATCGACGGAAAGAGATACGAAGAAGCCGAAGTAGAGTTGTGCCAGGCCTATCAGGGGCGGAAGAAGATTCTTGGTGCGAGTCATGAAAATACACTTCAATCTCTTCACTGGCTAGGTCATGCTCTCCTTGAGCAAGAGAAGTATTCGGCAGCCGAAGCAGAGTTGCGCCAGGCCTACCAGGGGCAGAAGGAGACTCTTGGTGCAAGTCATGGAAATACACTTCAATCTCTTCACTGGCTAGGCTGTGCTCTCTTTGAGCAAAAGAAGTATTCGGCAGCCGAAGAAGAGTTGCGTCAGGCCTATCAAGGGCGGAAGAAGACTCTTGGTGCGAGTCATGAAAATACACTTCAATCTCTTCACTGGCTAGGTCGTGCTCTCCTTAAGCAAAAAAAGTGGGGTGTTTTCAGGCGAACCAGATTTCCAGAATACTAGTGTGAATCATAAAGATACACTCTATCCTCTTTTTCTGGCTAATCCGCTCTCAGAACCCCTTCATCGTCTAGAAATTGACAAAAGAAAGTGGGAAACTCCAGTGCTCCTAATACAGCGTCACGATAATGATATTGATTTCAATTAAATCGGCCCCTCGCCAAGGCGACATCCTCAGACATGTAAAAAGTTTACGGAGACTCACCGATGTTACTGAAGATACAGTAGTTTAACTCAGGCTGCTTCTGCATCAAATAAGCGAAGTAAAGACATCTCGCAAGCGATCTCAAACGTGACGCGGAATAGTGGACGATTAATAATTTATTTCATCAGTCAACCATACCTTCGATGGCATGATTCTAAAGCCATATGCTAATAACAAAGAATGAAAATCTGCATGTCTCATAGAAGGTAATCTTGAGTCCAACTAGTCTTTCAAGAAACTAAATTTACTCCGCGGTAACCCCAGTTTGGGGGAAAACAAAAAATGACCAGACTGGGGCTCGATCCCAGGACCTTATCGGCGTTAACGATACGTGATAACCCATGGTGCGTTGTGGAAAGGCCACGATATGCGTGGTTGTTTGAAAATCGTGGTAGTAATCGCAAAATCATGGCCTTGATACCTAACCCTACCCACGACTCTAATACCCATAAAGAACACTAATAATAGGAAATTGATATTCTTAGCCCCTCGCCTTATTCCTAAGGGTTTTACGGCGTAACTAAGCACCTTTTTAGCAGTAATTATTTTACCAGATATTCTGCCAGAATTATTAATATGGCCTGGAATACCTTTTAACGCGATGTTTGTAGACTTTCGGTCGCATCACAATTTCTCCTCTCTATTTTACACTCTTATATCTAGTTTTTTACATTATGGTTTACATATTTAAGAATCTGTTTTACGGTACAGAGTTACGTGCTTATTTTTAACCCGAATGAAACATTCAATTTGAACTAATAGTACTGCATATCAGGGTCTTCAACTCGCCGTCGACTCCGAACAATTCTCTGGAAAGCACTCTGAGTGGTGCCAGCACTTAGAGTGCTTTATTCAAACCCCTGTTTTTTGGCAACGCCAGCGCGACGAGCTACATTTCGAACTACATTTACAGTTGTCCCTCATATCCTATCTCTAACTCCTTCCTGTGATAATATATACTTAAAAGATGATGGTTCTCGGCGTCTAGATTAATCAATTTGTGATATCTGTGTTGTATTTTGTGTTATATTCTATATCGTCTGTGTTATCTGGAATAAAGTTACGTGCTCTTTGTTGACATCCTCATTGTCGTACACGAAGTGGTTCTTGGAGTAAAAGAATTAGATCAATTAGGGGTGTATTTGCACTAGAAAGATGCTAATGCTGATGAAATAACTCAGGGAGAAGGGTATAGCTATTATCTTTATGATACTGAAGGATATTGTTGGAACGAATATCAGCTGACATACCAAGATCATGTGATCTTGGCATGGCAGCTACTATATCTTCTTTCATCTGAGCATTTTAGAATGACACTTCACTTTTACCCAATATGCATACACCTATTATATACGTACAGAAACGATATCAATAGCTGTCTGCTTCGGTAATAACCTAGTCAACCGACAGATATAGAAACACGGGATGTGAAGGGCTAAAGCTAATCTTGAATTCAGAACTAGCTAGGCACATGCTATTTACAAAATCCTTGAAGAACGTGAACAATTCGGGGTGGAATCGTGAGGTATGCGGTTGGTGGGTCACGTGGTACAACCACGTGATAGTTCACCAGGATTCAACCTGTTACACGGGAATCCACTAGTTCCTTTTAGATTACAGTTGCAATTAGGTGGAATAAGTGGTTTTCCATCACCCAGAGAAAGAAATATAGAATATTTTGCCCTACAGAGTCTAATTGCCCTTGTTGAGATACGTGAACAGAATAATGCACATTTTTGAGGTGTAGATAAAGGTAAACTGCCTTGTTTATCAACCTCAATTTGATGATATATCCTATTTAAATTAGAATCTTAAATAGTTTTAAGGAATATATAACACTCACCTCGTAAAATTCTGCCCTTCTCTGTCTAAAGTGAGAATCTCTGTGAAGGGCTAAAGATAATTATCGGTAGGCTCGGTAAGATCTTATAGAGTTCTGAGAAAGGTGTTGCTTCAAGGTCACAGATGCTCAACACCGTAGACAATCCACCTTAGAGTAGTGGATCCTACGATACTGATATTGCTGTTGTTATTGTAACAGGCTGAAGCCTGCAGATCAGATCATGGTGCCCATTGATCCTAGCCCGACAAACGGACGATCCTAGCCCGACAAACTCCCGTCTTCAGTCTCCCGCTCAATCCCACCTTCAAACGAATTTGAGTTACCTACAAACAGGATGAGAGTCTCAGGAGAGTCTCTTGCAGACGGACCAGAGAGACATATAAACCTAACCTACGCCGACCCTCTTACGTTCCTTAAGAATTTTGTACACAGCTTGTGCCTAGCTAGTTCTGAATCTAAGATTAGCTTTAGCCCTTCACACTATGCTAGGCTATATAATTGTTCTAATTACTCTCTTAACTTGTTAAAATCTTTCTACTATTTAGATGTCCATGTACAAGGTTATTGGCGGTTTAGATCGCCGCAACAAGCTCAGAATTGTTTTATGCTAGGGACAGAACCACGCATTGTCCTCGGATTTCATGATAAATTCTCTTGATTTCTTAAAGGCCTGATATCTTGGTACATCCGCGATTTGTTGAGGGACTTCACCTCCTCCACAAGCTCCCTGTTGATTCCAGTTTGAGGCATCATTTGCGACCACCATTTGTTCTGGATATCGGTGAGTTCTTTAGCAGAACATTGCATGCTCCTACGGGCGCCAGAGGCTTTTATTGTGCTTTTCTAAATGATGGGAGTAAAAAAAGAAAATAACCGGTGAAGCTCGGGCAGAAGAGAGCAGAAGAGAGAAGAGGACAAAATACTCACGAGGTTTGGCGGTGTTGGCTCCTTTCGAGGTGACATCATGACGTATCGAATCTGCAACTAAGCTGATTCAAGAAAATGAAGAGGAGCAAGGAGCAGCAGAAAAGGTTCAGTAGTACGCAAAATACCTGGAAAACTTCCCTTTTCGGACGTGATACTTCCTCTACCTCTGACCTCGCTCCTTCCTCTTGAAAGAAACACCTTCCGTCCATTTTTCTACGCCATGAAGCCTCACCGGAGTTTCTTCCGTCAGGACACTGCGCAAGCTGCGCAAGACACTCAAGAGCAAGACTGGATTATGGGTTTGTTTCTGGATTCACGTCTTGGCATCAAATTTCTATGCTAATCAAAAACCTCTAGGTCTTGAAGATAGATGTCCCCGGGCAGATACCGTCCGCAAGCTTGCGAATTTAGTTGATAGAGAGCATGCAGTGATCATTCGAGGAACTCCGGTATCCGGAAAGTCGACGCTCGCCCAACTTCTTCGTGATTATTATGTCGCAAAAGATATCCCCGCTATCTACATACCGAGATGGCCACAAGGCACCCGCCAGCCTGCTAGCTACATCGCGCAGATCGCATTATGGGGTAAAGCAGCTGGGATCGAAGTGACTTACCAGACGCTCGAAACTGGCAACATGGTTATCATCTTGGATGAGGCTCAAAGGTCATACGAAGATGAAGATCTCTGGGAAGCTTTTATAAAACCACAGACCAGAAATCGATGGGGGGCCTCGTCTGGCCATCTTCTCTGGCTATGGCAGCCCTAATGCTGGTCCCGAGCCAGCAGTAATGAGCCCACTTGGATACTTTGGTCCCCAACAGCGCGTGTCGATAACCCGCTCCTCACTCAGTTCGTCTCCTCTTATTGCATTTTTTTATGACAGAGATGAATTTGATGATGTGGTGACTCGCTACTGCAGCCGTGAGGACTGCTTCCTTGCACTTGATGTGAAGGCATCCGATTATTTATTTTATTTGACAAACGGACAGCCCGGCGCTGTTAGATCAATTCTGGAAATGCTTGAGAAGGTCTGCTCGTTGTCTTCCACCTTATGTTTCCGCAATATCTAACAAGTTCAATTGATAGGTCTACCGCAGCCAGCTTCTACGTGGCATGGAGATAATCAACGAAGGAGACATCCGCAAGACGTTTGACGACGAAAATAAGGCATGGCGTTTCCTTGAAGAGACCGTGGTCCAAAGATCATTTCCAAGCATGTTGGAAATGCCCCCTGATGCCGCTAGCACCCTCAGAAGGGTGCTAGCGGAGGGCAACATTCCACGAGACCTTAATGATAAAGGTATCAAGCTCTGCTACGAACAGGGATGGCTCCATAGTGAGGCCTTAGATCGACCGGGGTCGGATATTGTTTGTGTGTTACCCACGAATCTTCACGCTAAGTCAGTATCATATCCCTTATCATCTATCACTTGTTTGGGTTCTCACATCATTACATGAATCAGATACATCGGACAAAAGCTATATGATCCGCAACTCCCCTTCCCCCATACCAGATTCCCAACAATTCTCTCTTTGACAGTAGCAACCCTGAAAAACTTCTCGAGAAGGAACCTACGCACAGCGACGCGTTTAGGCGTCGGCGCATCGTTGCGGCCAGTCGAGGCATGCTACCAAGTTGAATTTTACAGGTGTCTGCATGATGTGCTCGGGTCATCAATGGCCATCATCAGCGAATGGTCACCCGGCGTAGAGGGCACTGGGCGGATTGATTTCCTGTTAGGGAGTGTAGGATGGGGTTTTGAATTGTTAAGGGATGGTGATAGACTTGGTAAACACTGCCAAAGATTTCTGCTGAACGGGGAATATCATGACTGGATCAAGCGAAATCTGATCACCGACTGGGTAATCATTGATTGCCGCGGGACACAGCCAATGCCTTACAGTAAGTACTATCTTGCAAGATATCATGTTCGCTGAAATCGCTAACATAAATATAGAGGTTCCCGGTACAAAATTGATACGCGCCGTCTTTGATGCGGAGTTCTCAAGTATCAAAATTCTAGGCCCGAACAACGACAATTTGACGGATACCTTTGCGTTGACTAATTAAGTGTATTATGGCCTTGATCCCTGATACCTCCGTTGTTTTTCCAATGCGCTATATTTACTATCATTAGCTTCGGCATCAATATCAATTACGGTCCCTTAAAATTGTTGTCCCCATAATTCTGTAATCTACGTAAGCTTACTGTGACATTGCTGTTCAATATTCCGTCTGGCTTAGGCCTGGTTCGAGCACTGGCATAGCTCTAGCATGGCCATGGCTGAACCATGTCAGATAATGGAGTACGAGAAATTGAAGTGAGGTTAGATTTGAAACAGGTGAGCAGCATCTTCCTTTATCTTAGACGTAGAATAGCTCGCTTATTTTAACTCACCCCCATTCTTTTCCCGTCCTCCTCTCTCCATCCTTTCTTCATCCTTTCTATTCTTCTCTCCTATCTCCATAATGGCTGACGCAACTCCCCCTCCTTCACTTCCTCCTCCACTGTAAGTTTAAATGATTTCTTGACTCATCTTATATTTACTAATCTTTATATAGGTTTTCCCCTGGCTCGGATAGCATGGTCACTCACCACCTAGATCAACTTCCAAAGACAATTACTTGCGGGCCGAAAGAAACAGCACCAGATGAATGGGCTCGATGGATCTCTGGCTTTCGCTCGTCGAAAGTCATCAAGGGTGATGGGGTCATCACCTCCAAGATCATTAAGGTTATTAAAGGCCTACTTTTACGCCGAGAACTAGCCTCCACCATAAGACCACCAATGACTGGCCGACAACATACTTGTATAACTCAATTCACTTATCAAAGGCCAATTGCGGGGCAGCTTTTATGCAGGTGGTCGGCGAGCTTAAGTTAGGAGACAAACGCTGCGACAGCTTCCAAAGTGAAAATGGACCATTCGCACAATGCATGGTGGTGGACGGCTATATGTAAGCTTGTGGCAACTGCCACTGGAACAGTCACCGGGCCCGGTGCTCTTTTAATATGGAGCCCGAAAGTTATAAGATGCATATGTTTCCACCCTTAAACAAGGTGAATTGTAGAGCTCTTGTCATCAAGAAGAACGCTCTTGAAATTGAGCGTTCGGGTCTACGGGACCAACGACAAGATTTTCGGGATAAACTTCATCTCTTAAATAAGCATCTTCAGAAGCTCCGAACCCAACCTGGAACAGGAGCGCAAGAGCTTGATACCATTATCTCGGAGGTCTGGGATATCGGAGAGGAAATCGTGAAAGTGGACAAGTTGTTCGACGCAGTTACAGACCAGATGGCGGCTATCGCAACTGAACTGCTCAAGTGCCCGCTGAGTCGATTGGCACACAATCCTCTTCCTCTCACATTTTCTGTTTCATTTACCCACATATTCCAGGCTGGAAGATTCTATGCAAACCCTGCAAACATAGCAGTCGTTGAACGGGCAATCTGTCAACATTCCCTCTTTTTCATCGGTTTCATTTCTGCAGAGCAGCTAAGGCTTCTCGACGTCTTTGTCCGGGACCAGATTGCTGTATATGGCTTAATCAACAGTAAGGCTTATTTGTAACCCCCGCCACTATACACCATGATGTTTCCTAATCGCTTCTGGTTCAATCTGCTTGGTGAGCTAAAAAACCAGTATGAAAAATTCAAGATTCTAAAGCGAGACGCCTAGACTAGCTCGAGGCTAGGGATTTCGATGCAAACTCTACATAGCAGTCTGTAATCAGGCAATTTATCAAAAGTAGCTATCAAAAAAACCAATCCGCTGAAGACATTATTGGCTAAAAGAGTATTATTCCTCAGCCTCACTTGTCAGCCTGGCAGACTAGCTTACAACTCTATCGTCGTTGAGGGCTAGGATTCGTACACGGGCAAGTGCAGAGTGTCCATCTGGAAGTGTTCCCTCAGCTATAAGGGGATCACAGATATCCAGTGAAGATTCCTTATTGTCCAAATATGGGAAGTCGAATCGTCACCTCTGATTGGGCGGCTGCCATAGAGACTCCCATTGGACGCAGCCCTGAAAGTGGGGCAGTGTAATTACTTCAGTTCAGATAGCAGTAGTTAGAACGAACACTTCTTACCATCCTTACAACTGCAGTTAATGTTACTACACGCGTAAAAGGAGTCATATCTTACGACACCTATCACCAGATCTCAACTCAGATAGAACATCTTGCACGATAAGATTTAGAACATGTGCAAGACACCTAATATAGCTAGGAAGCCCTAGATTAGAAGAATATGTTAGTAACAATAGTAGTAATAGTAGATATTTATAGCTTACCTTGAAACCGGATCGGAGACTCTAGTTTTTGAAGATTTCACAAGAGCTCTGGTACTGTTACGGGATGAATGCAGGAATTTGTACGCTGTAAAGATCCGATTGGTAAACAAGAAGAATTAACTAAGGGGGGAAATGGGTCCTGGGGACCGGGTGTTCTTATAGCTCGTTCGGCTCCGCACAGATGCCAGGAGCGCAGTCTCTCCAGAGACTGAGCATTTCATCGGGTATCAACCCGTTACAGGTACTAAGGTTTCGTTATTAGACGCATTATCTGTGGTAATAGCTAGTAGCTTAGATTCAAGTTGTAGCTCTCTAAGAGTTGTTTGGACAAGTTCAGCCATATTCTCTCCAGAATGTTCATCAATAAGCTCTTTAAATCAAAATTCGTTCACGGTATTTAAAACCAGGGGTTAAACAGTTCCCAATAATCCCTAGGATAGTTATATGATTCTTTGATGTCCATAAATCTAAAGAGATAGCAATTGTTGAACATGTATTTTAAGAGATCATTTGTGAAGGGCTAAGCTAATCTTGAATTCAGAACTAGCTAGGCACAAGCTGTGTACAAAATTCTTAAGGAATGTAAGAGGGTCGGCGTAGGTTAGGTTTATATGTTTCTCTGGTACCTCTGCAAGAGACTTCTCATCCGTTTCGAAGGTGAATCGAATGCGTTTGAAGGTGGGATTGGGCGTGAGCCTGAAGATGGGAGTTGGTCCGTTGGATCGGCCGTTTGTCGTGACTCAAATGCGTTTGAAGGTGGGATTGCGCGGGAGCCTGAAGACGGGAGTCGGTCTCGTTTAGGATCAATGGGCACCATGATCTGATCTGCAGGCTTCAGCCTGCTACATCATTAATAGATTAAGTACAATACTCAAGAAATTTTGTATGAATAAGTCGAGACACTGTACGGGCAGATGTAAAGGGTTGAGGGTCATTTGGTAGATCCTGATAATATTAACTTACTTGGAATATTTGCTGGAATTCTTTAGATTCTAGCGCAGTAAAAGCAGTATTATTGGTAACCATCCACAAATTAGGTTATCATGATTCCTTCAAGCCCATGAATGCTTGAATTCAGATAGGGTGGGTGTATCATTTTTATAGAGTGAACGATTTCAAACGAAGATTATCTGTTATAAATTATTAATAATTGAGTATAGTAGTCTAAATAAGAACGGAGGTATAGCAATTGGCCGGATGGTGTAGTTGGTTATCACGTATCGTTAACACCGATAAGGTCCTGGGATCGAGCCCCAGTCTGGTCAAATTTTTTTCTCCTTTCCTGGAAATTCAGGGCGATAAATAACCGCTGATTTCGCTATTAAAATGAGTTCCCACGTGGACTAAAAATCGACCTTAAGGATGTGTATTTACTAATGCACAGTGTTTACAGCTACAGTGTGTAGAGAATGTAATCTTAAAAACTTCGAGATAATTGTATGCCAAAGTAAAGACTAAACGCTGAAAGAAATTTCCAAGGTCCAAACGTAGAACATGCGGGCTAAAGAGACTAAGATATTACCGAAAGAAGATAGCTAATCAAGCCCACGTGTTCTACTAGATGTAAAACATCGTATCTTTGATTTTGTCGTTGATAATGACTTGTGCGCTTTCTGCCGAGCGCATGCCTGAATCGGTAGCTGTTCCGATACTAGGAACAGGGGATCCATCGAGAGACGGGTCGAAAAGTTCGCTGAGATAACAACGGGCCCGAGTGCAGACAAGGTCAGCATAGTAAGCAGGCGGACAAACACTCACGGCCTTGGTCGCGCGGCCAAAGAGATAGCACATGTTATGCGTGAGACTCTGTAAGACGTCGGCAGCTCCGGGGGCACCGGTGTAGAAGATCTCGTCCCAAACAGTGAAGTAATGAGCTGGGCGGGCGGTGCCCTGTAGCGCGCTGTGGGCTTGCAAGAAGAAGTCCCAGTGACGGGCCTCGGAGACGCCACGGTCAACGACAGTACCTGGGAGAGGATTGGAACTCCGGTCCGCGGTGTCGCTGGTGGTAGGGTAGAAACGGGTATTGTGGCGTTTTCCCACAATGACGATGCTCATACGAGGCAGGCCCTTCTTTGTGTCTGAGGCTGGGTAGATGCTCTCACAGGCCTTCTTGAGAAGTGGGAGTTCACTATTGATCACAGTATCGTACTGGCCCTCCGAAACACCGTCACGGTAGACAACGATATTTTCCGGGTACTTGTTCTGGTTGTACTTGGCCCAAACACGCAAGCGGCCCTGGAGAAGAGTGTTCAAATCTGCGACCATCTCTTGACGAGAGGTTTGGATACGAATTTCGGCAGGCCATTGGGCAAGCGAGCCATCGATAGAAGCGACGATGGCGGCAACACTGGGTGCATTGGCCGAGGAACCAGGGGAGGGGTGGGTAACGTCAAGCCCGACGAGCATGGTTTTACCGTCAGCGAAGAGCTTGAGTTCTGAGGAGCGCAATGTTTGGTTAGCACCGCCAAGCTTCAAGTTGATCTTGAGACCAACATTGGCACAGTACTGAACATTGGCTTCGCGAATATTGTCGGCTTGGACGTTAACATTGCGGACACCGCACTGGATATCACAGACCTGCTTGATACAATTGTACAAAGCTGTGTCTTTAGCGGGCAGGATTCCCAGGATCAAGGTTGGTGTATACTGAGCCTGCAGGTTTAGCACAGTCTGTCGAATCTGCTCGACATCAACACCACGATCCATTTCAATTCGGATACCGCCTTTGGGAGCATCAGCTCTGATACCCAGATCACGCAAGGCCTTGGTGAAGGCAGACAATGATTGCTTCAAGCTGTCAGGGTTGAAAATGCTTCTGCCCTTGTACTCGATGAGCAACCAGGCCCATGATGTAAGCGGTTTGGGGTTTGAGAACTGGACAGCCCGCATGTTCCATCCACCGTTGTTGGGTGGGATGGACTTCTGGTTGGCGTATATGACGCTGGGCGCTTGTAAGACACGAGCCTGAACCGTGAGCAGGCTTGAGGAAACATTGATACCAAAGGCAGACTATTGAATATTAGTTTCAGGTGTTTTGAGTCAATAGAAAAGGTCGTATTCCTTACCAGGGTCGGGTTCAGCTTATCGCCAATCCCTAGCATACCAACACCCTTGGTCATGATGGACTGAGCGTTGTGAGCAGGCTTGCGGCCTCTAACGGCGAAGCCAAGCATACCCGCAGTCTGATCGGGAGTCAACTTAGATCCGACAGCCTGTCCGGCTTCGACAATACAGACTTCCATTGGAAGATAGACTGGCTTTTCACGGGCGCCGACATTGACAACGGGCAGACTCGGGTCCAGACTAATGTGGTACTCTATGAAGCTAGTCAGTAAACAGTCACGCTCACAGACAAGACAAAAAATTTACCTTTCTTGAAGAACTCATATACAGAAATGTAATGTCCGGCCTGGGCGGGTCCGGCCTTGGGCGCTTTCTTGCCCTTCTTGGTCTCATTGTTCTGGACGGGCTTCTCATCTATGTAGAACTCGACATCACGGGGACCAGCACCGTGGCTTGAGACCTTTGGTGGGTTCGACAACGAGCGGCCATCAGATTTGGTCGCCAGGCCGAGGATGGTCTTGACCCGTGTTTTGCGCTTAAGATGGGTCATAGTAACGCGAATACGCTTCAAAAATACCTCGAGGCGATAGGTATTGCGACCATGATTAGCTTGCGCATACCCGGCAAAAAGCTGGGTGAGCGGGACTGGGTCGTAACACGCCAGGTACTTGACCTGAACATTCAGTAGGAGGCGGGCTGTGGCGCTTCTTGCACTAATGAAGAAACCACGCAAAACCTCCAAGCCACCGCCCAGACCTTGGCGCTCGGCCCAACGATCGTCGAGACCAAAGTGCTTGTTCGAGCCCACGGACACAATGGACTTTTCAGTCTTTGGATAGTGACCCATGATAACATTTAGTGCTGAAAGAAGTTCCAGCTTAGAGTCCAGCGACGCGCTAGCGTTAGTCGAGTTCAAGTACTGAAGAAGATCGGCTGGCTGGAAAGTGCCAGTGGCTGTGCAAGTGACCTTATACACCTTCGGGCTTTCCGAATACTCTGTTTCATTCTCATCTCTGTATCGCACATCATACTCAGTCTTCTTTGGGAGCTGGATGCAAGAAATAATCGTGGAACGATAGTCGGTTGCGATCGAGTTTATGTTAGCGGCAAAGTGTTCATCTAAGAACAAACGAACAATGTGCCGGGCCTTTTTGCCTGTAGTTTCACGACCAGTGCCATCAGCTCCAACGTTGACATGATAGCGGTACCAAGTACCACCCAGAGAAGTGATTGAGAGATAATTGGCGTAAAGGGCGACGGGCTTGCCTAGAGTGCCATAACCGGGACGGTCAGGGTACTGGCCTTGAGCGACAGGCTTGGTCTTCTGGCGAACTGCAACCAACGCCTTGGCCATTGCATCTTCGGTTTTGATGACATTCGCATCAGGGGGAGTGATTGGCTGCCCCTCACTAAATAGAAAAGATTAGTAAAATGAAAATCGGGTAAGATGAGGAATCAAATATACTTGTAAATGGGTGGGCCTTGGAAGCCCCCGCGGCCACCTCCACGTCCACCTCTGAAACCACCGCGAAAATCACCGCGTCCGCGAAAATCGCCTCTTCCACCGCGAAAATCGCCTCGTCCACCGCGGAAATCGCCTCGTCCACCGCGGAAATCACCACGGAAATCACCACGAAAATCACCGCGAAAATCACCGCGAAAATCACCGCGTCCAGAAGGACGGTGAGGGAGGTCGAAATCCCCTCGGCCTCGACCACGACCACGACCGCCGCCTCGATCACCACGGCCACGATCACCACGGCCACGATCACCACGGCCACGGTCACCACGACCCCGGCCACGGTTCTCAGACATCACTTGAAATGATGTACGTTACTAGGAGGTAGGGGTTGAGAAAGTTAAGGAAGTAAAAGAAGAGAAGCTGGGAAGATGGGTTTCTTAAAGGAAGCCAATCCAAAATCGAAGTTGAGTCTTTGTTGGTAGAACAAGATGGAGGAAGGAAGAAAGAAAGGTTAAAATGAAACAAGTCTGTGGTGCGTTGGCATTGAACGCTGGATTGGAGAAAAAGCAAGGTAGAAGTACTTGGATAGAAGTACAATTAGAAGTGAATGGGATCTGTCAATAAAGACGCCCCACAACAAAGAAAATATTAGTCAGATGTCTTCACATTCCCAAATTCATTACAGGGATGTACATGTATGCCCGTAATAGTCCAAACATTTCCAGGTGATTCAGGGTGTTCATAAGAACCTAGTTATACAACCTTGATGCTTTTAAATGACATAAGCCCCAATAAATAGGAAATGACTGGATATAAAATATTCTAAAATATTGTAAACTGATACTGTAATTTATCGATCATGAGTAAAAAGGGAGTATCAACTATCAAGCTAATTTACTCGATAAATACCCGTGATATCATTAGTTAGATGGTGATAACGGAGATAATCGATTAATCATCCTCTACCAAACTTCGACTTGGACGCGAACTTCATCTTCCTCTTCTTCTTGTTCTATCTCTTCTCATCCTTTATCGGATCATTCCTTCGACCCTCTCTGGTACTAGAGCTAGGAAGACTTGGCAACAACATCACTCCAACACCCCACATTGCATCTACGACGTTATATTCAACCTTCAAGTCGAGTTCTGGTTATTCGAAACAGCTATCTCTACTCCCGGCACTTTGCGCTACCCCGCAATCATCATTCTAGCCTTTTGCGCACAATTTCCGCTGTGCGATCCCCTGATCCTAGTCACTGCTGTTTGGGCGCAGCGCGCAACCCTGATCGCGGCGCCAACGCGAGACAATACTCAGGGGCAAGAGAAACGATCGCTTCCCTACCCCAACAAACGTAGATAGCTCCCCTCAAACGTCGATTTGGGACGCGATAAAATTTGGCAGAAAACTGATCCTGTTGAGGTTAGGACAGCCCCACGCTGGTTCGGTTGGGTTTAGCTGCCCCTCGCCCAAAAAAAGAGATTGCGATTTGAGGTGGAGTGAAAGACAAAATCGCGTTAAACTAAAATCGTCTTGAAACTTGATCTATCCGGGGGATATTCCCGCCTCGGAAAATGACACCCACACCACCCTCTACCGCCTCATCGAGTGGCTACTCCCCTGAGTTCAGAATCATCCGGAAGCGAAACCGAGTTCCTCTATCATGCGCACCTTGTCGTCATCGGAAGTAAGTGGCTATGGAATCACTATAATATGTCGGAAGCTAACAGAATCTAGACTGAAATGCAATCGCTCTAATCCTTGCGAAAACTGCGTCAAACGGGGTGACGCATCCTCTTGTTCCTACTCCCAAGCCAGTACCCGAAAGAAGAACAATCATCAACAGAACTCTCTCGCCACACCAGATGATATGCAAAACCGGATCGATCGCTTGGAAGGCCTGGTTCTGTCTTTGATGACCAACGACTCTCAGTCTGGAGGCCCGGCCGCTATTCGAGCAGCCATCTCAGGACAAAGTAGTTCAGCCTCGACTGGGCCTTCCAACCAAATTGATCCAGATATTGATGAAGATGGTGCAGTAATGGGCGACGAGAGCGAGACGGAGCAGGTGACAAAGTCGTTTGGAGTGATGAAGGTGGACAACAACAAATCCTACTATATCAGTGAAGCTCATTGGGCCTCTGTATTGAAAGACGTAAGTTGGTCCTTGATATGGGATGAAACGAACTTGTATCTGACCGGGAATAAAATATATAGATCACCGAAGTGCGAAACTTCTTTTCCTCTCATCAACGACAATTGGAGGAGCAGGCAGCAAAGGTTCAGGCGGCAAGTCCACAGACTGATATTCCTGGGTCAAATCTGCTTTTTGGAGCCATGAAACCACTCACCAGAACAGAAATATTGGCCTCCTTGCCTTCAAAACATATGACCGATCTTCTTGTAGCTCGGTACTTCAACACCTACGATCCCGGTACCCGTAAGTTTCAGATTTTGATAATTTAAATACAGGCAATCTGACTTAGCTAGATATTCTTCACGGTCCTACGTTTCAAGCACAGTACAACAGACACTGGGATGACCCTTCACAAACACAAATCGTATGGATTGCCATGCTTTTTGCCATTATGAGACTTGCCATGTTATCATACCACAGAGAAGGCGATGAACCCCCAGAGTTCAAGGGCAAAGCTATGGATATGGCTGGTTCCTTTCGTCACTCAGTTGCGCAGTGCTTGACTATGGCAGATTATTCCAAACCACACGCGTGGCTGATTGAATCGCTGATATTCCACTTACACGGTGACTTCTCACAAACCAGAGAGGCTGATGTCTCGGTATGGGTTTTGACCGGCGTGATTGCCCGTCTAGCAATGCGCATGGGATACCATCGTGATTCCAAGCCGTTCCCCAACATCACTCCCTTTCAGGGCGAGATGCGCCGACGAGTATGGTCGTTTGTATCCCAGGCAGACCTATTGTTTTCGTTTCAGGTTGGTATGCCGTCTATGATTCGGAATTCTGACAGCGATACCGAGCTCCCGCGGAACCTCTACGACGACGACTTTGATGAGCACTGTAAAGCACTACCGCCACCGCGCCAGCTGAGTGAGCCCACCCCGATTTCTTATTTGATCACCAAGACGCGCCTGGCGGCCATTTTCGGCCGTGTCAACGAACAGGCTTCCGCCATCCTAAGTACTTCCTACGACAAGATCATGGAGATAGATGCTGAGCTCCGCCGCGCTCGGGACTTGATTCCAGATCACTTGCAAATTCGGCCGATGGAAGACTGCCAGCAGGATCCAGTGAATCTCATCATGTCTCGATTCTCCGTAAACACCCTGTACTACAAGGCGCAGATTGTTCTCCACAGACCATTCCTGGTCCGTGCAAGAGAGAATTCTCGCTTTACCTACTCGCGGCGGATATGTATTGACTGTGCTCTTGAAATGCTTCGAGTTCAGCAAATCCTGTGTACAGAAATGCAGAATGGACGTCTTCAAGGCCGCAACTTGATAAGCTCTTTGAGCTCAAACGATTTCCTGCTCGCTGCCACAATTGTATGCTTGGACTTACACCAAGGATACCAATTGCAGGCCGCCGGAAAAATGTCTGGAGACACTTACACCTGGGGCTGTGAGCGGCATGACGAGATGAGGCTCGCCATCCTAGCCTCGAAAGAGGTCTGGGACGCACGTCGAGATTACAGTATGGAGGCGTACAAGGCCAGTAGTGTGCTCGGTGTGATGCTGAGCAAGTTGCAGCAGAGCACTGCGCCAGAGATTGAGAACAGTGTTGGGGCCGCCATCTTTGAGCCACAGGATGAGAAACAAAATGCGGCCATGACTCTTGGCTTGCTGAGCAGTGGAATGAGCCCAATGAATACAGGCCCAGCTCCATATACAGACAATATGTTTAAAATGGCGGATTCAAATATGCCGGGCGTGGTCACAACTGAAATGCCAGGTGCACCAATGTCGCCTTTCAGCAGCATGTTCAGCCAGATGCCAGAAATGCAGGCCAACGTTGACTGGGTAAGTGAAAGATCCGAAATTCTCTTTCGAGAGCCAGCGCTAATTTTCTAAATAGGAAGCATGGGACACTTACATTCAAAACCCTACCCTTGACACCTCCAATCAGTTTTGGCCAATGGTAGACCCCTCAATCCAGCCCACCGATCCAACTGGATTCACACAAGCCGCTATGGCTAGTCCACTAGGTGCATCAAGGATGCCATCGATGTTGACGAATGGACTTCTGCGCGTCCCAAACATGTTTACGCCATCCACGAACAATCCAGACAGTGGTGGTTCATCAGTACCCGGATTTACTCCGATGTCCCAGCCAGATAGCACTGGCCGAAGTCATGGATCCATGTAGAGGTGGGTATAGTCATTATATGTGTTTAGCTTCTTATGCGGCGTCTATTTTGATTATTTTGGGGCTCTGGAGAAATCCGGTCTCAAGATTCCATTCAGATCGGATGCCGATGATATGATATCTTCTCCGTATCTTTTTTTATATATATTTTTTTAAATGTTCTATGATCACCACGCTAGCGATTTGACCGGGGTATTGTTCATGAAAAGCATGTTTTTGGCTGGTGAATGGTGTATCATGTATCATAAGGTCCAAGATAATGTGAATACCAAAGCTCCACTCTTTAAATAATTAACAAGATGAAGTGACTCAAACTCGAATGTAATCATTTAAATGTATGGTTGACGGTTATCAACCACGTGATCTCTATCGGCGGGAAACTTTCGAGGTCCGCATGTTCGGAATCGCATTCCAAAAAACACATGCAGCCTCTCATTCGTGGACTGTTTCGCTACTATTGTCTTTACAGCAAGCGTGCCCTCAAGATGTAAGAATTCTTCCGTTCCAGGGACCTTCAGCCTATGCGCATGAATTTGCACCTATCCCGCTCAAACCACCTGCTAACATGGCGCATTCTCAAGGCACTCACTCCACCGAGCAACATCACGGCTGCTCGTATCATCAATATCCTCCGCAGCCACCTCTGTATCACGCCCAAGACGCGCAGCCTCAATTCGACCAACGGCTCTCCACATTTCTTCTCACACGCCATGCTCTGCTCTTCAAAATCGCTTGAATTCATCTGAAACAAAGATATTAGCTGAAGAGAAGGTGTCGGCCAAAGAGGAGGTACCGGCACTGCTGATGGAGGAGGAACTTGAGCGATCTCAGTGGGAAGTAGTAACGAGGGAAGAACCGGTTCATCTCCCAAAACCAACATACGACCGGGAATCCATTTCAAAATATCTCGACAAAAATAAAAAGGACCTCATATACAATCCCAAAGATGTGGCAGACCTCATGAACGATGCCAAAGATGATTCGACAGACATCTTGAAAAATGCCAAAGATATCACCCAAACTGATTCAGCCACTATGGCAACCATTCCATTCGATCCGAACGAGTTTGAGGGACAAGAAGAGTGGAAGAAAGAGCCAAGTTGGTTTGGATATCAAAAGGCAAAGCGCGCCTTGCGCCACTCTATCATAGAATATAGGAAAAATCCCCCATCGGAGAATGTGTATATCGGGAATCTATTCTACGATATCACTGCCGAGGATTTACGGACAAAAATGGAGCAGTTTGGAACGGTGATGCATACGAGTATTGTTCATGATAACCGGGGAATTAGTAAAGGGTAAGTTTGGATAAATTAAGAAAATCAAGAAAAGAAAACTAATGTTAGCACCTACAGATTTGGCTATGTCCAATTTGCAACGATTGAAGAAGCCACAAAAGCCGTTGAAGAATTCAACCAGAAAACACTAGGCGGTCGACAAGTTGTTGTAGACTACGCTCGCAATTTTATCTCACGCTCCCCAATTGACAGCCAACCCAGCAACACGCTTCATATCGGTGGCATGGCCTACGAGCTTACAGATCGTGATATCCAGGCGTTGTTTGAAGATGTTCCAAATATCATCGATGTCCGGATTCCCGTTGATCGACGCTCAGGTATACCGCGTGGGTTTGCGCATGTTGAGTTTGATACAACATTGAATGCGGCCCGGGGAATGGAGATTTTGAAACGAAAGACACCATATGGCCGTCCTATCAAAGTTTCCTTCTCGACTCAGAAGACCGTGGGCTGGCGAGCGTGGAATAGGGACGTGGAATCTTCGGAAGAAATTATTTAGCTGTTCTTTCAAAAGAAATCTTGTACAATTATACAAATAGAATGTAATATATTTACTATCAACTCCTCGATTAGTTTTGTCAATCAGATTTGTCAATTATTTTCATCAATTAGTCTCCCCAAGCAGTCAGATTAAAGAATCGAAGTATATTATCACGTGACCAAAGGGAACCTCGGTTGACGGAAACATTAGTGAGCAGTCTTAGCCCCACGCCGTTATCCGGGGACTCCCCTCTTTCTTTTCAAGTCACCGGTATCTAATCGTTTCTTCCACGACCTTGATATTAATTCATTGAACTCATTGCTTTTAATTAAATCCCTCTTCTGATTTTCTCCACAACTTCACTATGTCTTTCCTAGGTGGTGCGGAATGCTCCTCAGCGGGAAACCCTCTGACACAATTCACCAAACATGTCCAGGATGATAAGTCACTACAGAGAGACAGAATGGTTGGCCCCAGGCCAGGCCTACAGGAAAGCATGCGATCGCATAGCATGATGAATGGAACAGACCCGGTGCGATCGAACCCCTCCTTATTAAATCAATCATTCTCGATCGCGGGGAATTGGTACAACCCTCCGGCAAGAAAACGAGTCATGCTGATGGGAATTCTTCGCCACTCTCTAGGTGATGGATGAGTTCATGCAACAACAGTTAACACCACAGCCGTTTGTGCTGGAGGATTTTCGTCACGAATTAGAGAGATCTCATATGTCACTACCCCAACACCAACACCGCACCGGATCACCTGGTTGGGCAGCGGAATTCGATCCCGGCCAACAGGGACATATGGAGGATATGGAGGCTGCTTTTTCCCGCGTTAAACAGGGTCATGTGAATAACAGGTCTGGATTTTCACCTGCGGAATTTGCCCGCTTTCAACAGCAGAGTGGGATGGGCATGCCACAGACTTCAAGCCCTGTTACGACAGCAACACCACCTGTAGCTGGGTATCAGCGAGCTATGGGTATGGGTGGATACATGAGCGGAATGGGTGGTATGGGGGCGATGGGAATGATGAGACCTATGGGGATGCAGACACCGATGATGGGACAGGCTGAAGCTACTACACAAGATAAAGGGAAGGGCCGCATGGTCGAACTCGACGATCAGAACTGGGAGGCACAGTTTGCTGAGATGGACTTAGCTGGAACCGAGGTGCAGACGGATGAGGAGGCCAACGCAGCTATTGAGGCGGAACTGAACGATCTGGACAGGTCAGTGAACATTCCCAATGAAGTCAATGATAAAGCCCATTTCGAGGCTGTTTGGCGACTAGTTCAGGCTGAGACATCAACGAGCAGGAAACTTGTTGAGGACAATGGCGATTTTGAGGTCACTGAAAACTTGCATATTGGTGAACTGGGCGACTGGGAAGGGTTCGATACACTGAACTCGCGCTTCCGGGATCCACATCTTGGTGATTACATTTTTGAACAGGATAATGTTTACCAGCAGGTAAATAACCCGTTCGAAGAAGGCATTAAGATCATGCGCGAGGGCGGAAACTTGTCCCTCGCTGCGCTGGCTTTCGAGGCTGCTGTCCAGAAGGACCCGCGGCATGTACAAGCCTGGACGATGCTGGGATCGGCACAGGCTCAGAACGAAAAAGAACTACCGGCCATTCGGGCTTTGGAGCAGGCTCTTAAGATCGACGACGGTAATCTGGACGCACTGATGGGTCTAGCCGTTTCATATACCAACGAAGGCTACGACTCAACAGCCTACCGAACCCTGGAACGCTGGTTGTCAAACAAGTACCCATCAATCATCAACCCGAATGAGGTATCCGGCGACGCAGACCTAGGTTTCACTGACCGCCAGCTCCTGCATGATCGTGTAACAGAACTATTCATCCAAGCCGCCCAGCTCTCCCCATCAGGAGCACAAATGGACCCAGACGTGCAAGTCGGTCTAGGAGTTCTGTTCTACTGCGCCGAAGAATACGACAAGGCCGTCGACTGCTTCTCTGCAGCCTTAGCTTCCACCGAGTCCGGTAGCACTAACCAACGCGAGCAGCTCCACCTACTTTGGAACCGTCTCGGTGCCACCCTCGCCAACTCAGGCCGCTCCGAAGAAGCAATTGAAGCCTACGAGCAAGCTTTAAACATCAACGCCAACTTTGTGCGTGCCCGCTACAACCTAGGCGTCTCATGTATTAATATCGGCTGCTACCCCGAAGCAGCCCAACACCTCCTCGGCGCGCTGTCAATGCACCGCGTCGTCGAAGAGGAAGGCCGCGAGCGTGCCCGCGAGATCATCGGTGGTGGTGCCGGGGTAGACGGATTAGACAACGAACGTCTAGAGCGCATGCTCCACATCAGTCAGAACCAAAGTACGAATCTGCACGACACACTTCGCCGCGTCTTTAGCCAGATGGGTCGACGCGACCTAGCGGATCAGGTTCTCGCTGGCATGGACGTGAACATCTTCCGCAAGGAATTTGAATTTTAGTTTATTCCCCCTATCCTTTAACATTTCAACTTCATCGCTCGACAGGATTATCTACATGGTTCGCACTCTATTTTCTTGTATATGGCCAGGCTGGGGAGTATCATTTATGATTGTTTCTACTTTATTTTCTACTTTTAAAATGGACGGCGTGCTGGTATTTGGCTACGCTTTTATCTTACGTTGGGACTATTTCTAAGCAGCTTCAACTTTTAATGAAGGATTGATTCATAGCCAAATAGGCCCACAGAGCCTCCGAGCCACAATGATGGGTACGCACTTTCCTTGACTATGTGTATTGGCGCTGGTAACTTCGCAATGCGTTCCATTTTGCTTGGTCCCTGGGCTAGAGCAACATTTTTTTCATTCAAGTAAAATACATACGAGTGGTTATACAATTTGGTAATTTGACCCACTTTTTATTTTGGAACATTCTATTTTATACCAAAACAACATTGAATCGTATAAAGTCAATAAAAAAACTAAGAGATATGCCTATTTAGGCATGTTTCTCTCCTATGACCAGGCTGTCTGCAGTTACTACATTTATGTGGGCGTTGGCGATGTCGGAAATGATATTGACTTTAATGGCCAGAATTGGTGTTATTGGCCCCTGGAGTATCTATTGAAGTCTCTAGAAGATGTTGATCTTCCTGGGTAGTTAAGCCACCTTGGATAGCTATCTGGCGAGCATTGTATTTTTCGGATCTGATTTTCATGTGCTGCGCGAAGAGCCTTGTTTTTTTTTTTTGGCGGAGAATAGTAATTAATCTCTTGGTATAGAGAATTAGTACTCTCTATAATTTGCTCTAGAGCTCTTTCAAATGGGGGTAGTAGGACTTCACAAAAATGTATAAAAAGATATTTATATTGTCAGCGTAGATATTTCTGCATTTTTGGCGTTTTGGTGTATAATTTGGACTTAAATCCCTCTCTAGTAGTTATGATGGTGGTAATGGTGTACGAAGCGAAATAGTAATTTTTGAGAGCGCTCGATCGGGATCAAAAGGTATAGCTCCGATATGGCTTAGTAAACCCGGTACTGCGGGTGGCTGTCGGAATAATTTTGAGGGGTGGCACTATCTGAATCTATTAGACTTAGTTCATCCAATATAGGCCGTTCTCGTTCTTGGGCTAGCATTGTGGGTTGTTCTGGGGCCTCTGAGTATTAGCATAAACACGCCAGGTATCCTAGTCACATAATCACAAGTAGTGAGGCTATCAATTGCAACTTTGCCATCTCTTAATGTCCAAAGAACGTCAGACACAGAACTGAGGTACCTAGGTAGAGATAGATGACACACGCTGCCGAGGTTGTTGGTTAGATAGTATACCATCCTACTGCCAGATCGCGGTATCTCATTCTTAAAGATCAATACAATTGAACATAAGACTCAAAGTTCTTACCATATCTCTCTCAGTCTATCATATTTATTCTCCCCACGCAAAGTCAATGCGGGCCCGTCGCTGGCCACACATGGAGTGATTCAGTATCACCAGCAGACTAATGTTAGTGAGTTCTCCCACTCGTGTGACTATAAGTGATCTCCAAAAATGCAGGCTATTTATAGCTATTAACGAGGGGGATAAGCTAGTTCCTCTGTTTCTCTTTTTGGCACTTGGAGCACTAAACCACGCTCAAATTCCTCGGGGGATTTCGTCGTCCATATATGTGAAGATCAAATAGGAGAATAGCCTTCATATGATCGATTAATTCGAGGATTTCAAGGTTGTCATGGTGTTGATGACGCCCATGGTGGCAGTCACTAGCACTGGCTTCTTTTACTCATTCTCTCAGGATGCATATCGAGGATGGAACAGTAGTGACATGTATGAGCATAGTCTGTCTAAAAGCAGCGGGTTAAGTCTTGAAAATGATACTGGGAGCCTTCCATTGAACCAACTTGATGGTGCTTTCACGTTCATTTCACTAGTGATAATCTTAGTAGGGGCAGATACCAAGTTGCAGCTGATGGCCAATGATGGCTACTGAGAGATGACTGACATACATGGAGTCGGAGTGGCAGTGATGGTAATAGAAAAAAAGACCTCCATAACCTCCAATTGAACTAGACGCAAACGCAAAAACACACTTCATTCCATCGCTGCCAGACTAAGGAAAATAGGTTAGCGTTTAATACCATCATACGTCAGGTGAAAACTTACATGGAGTACCCTCCAATGACATTAGATTAAATCGCCTCAATGTCAAACTCCATTGAGTACGAGGAGACAAAGTCATCAGGGGAGAGCCATGTGATGATTCTGGCGACGTGTCGGGTACCCCGAGGAAAGGCACCAAGTAGCAGAGCTGTGACTACCTTTCCTAGGGGTGTTCCGAGCAAAGCCCAGTAATTTTTGTTGCCTCGTTCCCATACTTTGTGTTCATTACTGCGGTTGCAGTCCTCATGAAGGGACTTCAAGTAAAGTAGCGTCTGCTCGTTGCAGACGTAAGTAAAAAACACGTATTTCAGAGTGTTGATGTGGTAAAGGTATGAGTAGGCGGCTTGAGTTATCTCTGAGATGTAGGGAGCGTCACAGCTTTTCTGGCGTTTGATTATCTCAATCACGACAGCGCCTTCTCTGATAAGTCCGCACCAGTGCAAATCCGGTGTCAACTTCACTCCAGTAATGAAGGAAACACAATTGAAATGTTCACGGTAGGGAAAACCGAGTAGATCAAAACGTGTTTCGACGAATTCATTGCCTGCTTGAATGTCATCGTCGATGAATTCGTGGACTGCTTGGACGTCATCAACGAATTCTCGGTAAGCTCCTGGAAATCTGGTGGCGAGGTCGTCGAGAGTCATCTTACTCGGTTTGACATTGCACTGTGCTTCTGGGTTGTGAAGACACCAGTCTAAACGATGAGCATCTTCGGTCAATTTTTGTTCTATGGTAGGTCGTGCCATCTTTGTTTTGGTCTGGTGAGACTTCCTGCTGTAAGTTTAGCGAGAGAACTTAGAATAGATCTCTAGAGACACTTGAATGCAAGAGTAGGATGATATCTTACTTTAGGCTTAGAAAGTAGATGGAACTGACCTCCGTAGGTTTCAGGTGTGGGGTTGCGATGAAGAGAAAAATATTGTAAGAGGATCAGGTAAAATAACTCGGAAGTAGGCAGCGCAAAGTGGGAAGTTTTTGAAAGCGACTAAGCAAAACATGCCAGTATTTATGCTGGAGGTATTCTTTGGAGTTGCAATTACAGTATTAGACGCACCACCATCATAGAACTTTGCAGGTTCTGATGTGCTCTATGGAGTTGCAGACACCAGCATCAAATACATGTCCTGTTTCTTTAAAGTAGGTAGATGTGTTCTACCTTTCGAGAGTGCTACATAGGTAATGCTGTGTTTCCACACGAAATAAAAACCTTCTGGATCTCCTCAACAATGTGATAAGATGGAAAAGAGCCCGAGTCAATATTTCCATCGGACCTTCTTGGGTCCACGGTGATTTCATCCCACTGGGGAGCGAAGCATATATTGACTTTCTGAGACATGGTGAAGATCTTGTTTTGAGGTTGGATGGAGATCTTCCACAAGGCCTTTATAAGTTGACTATGACATCTGACTTTCAGGGCCCCGTGAAGATCAGCAAATATTTACTATAAGAGTTGAAAGTGCAGACAAAGGAAGGTTGGAGTAGGTTATCTTAATGAAGTCAGTAAGCGTGCATAGGAGGGGAATGAAAGAAGACTAATAGTGAGGGAAGGGAATGAACATGCTTATAGCACGGATCGAACATTGTTTTAGCGTTGTTGAAAGAGTTAGATGTTGCTGCCTGTGAGGCCATCCTTATTCATCTCATATCACTGGTATAGACCTCGGAAGTCACAGATAACAAACTAGGGTACTCTTATGATATATGGTGTCCTCTTGAAGCTGTTTTAAAATCTGTTGATTCATTCATTCATTCTGGGGTTTTTGCTAGCTATTATATGTGCGTGTGGTCATGTGGTCAGCCCCGTCTATTCGTTTGTATAGCCCGTTGGCCTCAGATTTCAGGCCACTATTTCAACAACAATATACTACTTTTGTAAAACTCGGCGAAGAACAAACTTATTTAGACGACTAAGGTGAACAGTCTGGTTACATTCATATTTTTTTGTGACGTAAATATCTCATAATTGGTATAAGCCAGTTTTACGATAGCTGTTCGCTCAATGTCGCAACTCTATCCTCGAAACAGTCAAGCCTAATATACCTAGGTAGTTCGGCTTAGGAAAGGAGTCGAAGGTGCTTCGAAACCTTTCACAGGCTATTCCAAATACTTCGAATTGCCTATATAAAATGATGCTAAACTGATACTAAGATTTTAAGAATCTGTATATACTAATACTGATGCCAAGCTCTTAAGGTTATCCTTGATAGAAGACAATCAATGACAGAGCGTTCCAAGGCTTCTGAGGTACTACTCGTAAGCTAAGGAGTTTTGATGGTTTCCCGTAGGGCGCACTGTACCTTATAAATCATGCTGTTTACACAGTAGAAGTATCGAGATTTACTGGCTCAGTCAATGTGAGCAAAACGTGTATAGTAAAATTAGCTAACGTATCTTAGAAGAAAACATACAGGTGCGGACTTCTGACTCACTTCAAACTAGATGAATGATTCCTCTCCTTGATATCACTTAGACTTTTGATGTGCAGAGAATGGTGAGCATATTTATTGAAATAGGTAGCATTTAAATATATGTTGTTGTCGGAATACTGACACGTCTTACTGTTGCATATGCATCTACTTTGTAAATGTACTGTTGCGAATTGTAAGAGGTGTGTTATTCAAGTCTACTCCAGAACTGCCTAAAGTAGTTTTCCATTTATTAACTGACAAAACCAATTAGGTCACTCGTGGTTGAAACCACTTTCAGTCCATCGTATCAAAAGTTGTAATTATGTTAAAGTCCCTCGCTTTCTCTGACAAGTGTTTAATAGGAACATTTGTGCTGATTGGATGAAATAAGCCGACACAAAACCTATATTTTACGCATATAAGACCGCACTATATGACCTGTCCAGTGCAGGAAAGTATACGTGGCAGCTTGACGCAAGATATACTATTGTAATTGATTGGACTAGTCTGTGGATCATGAACCCGCAACCCTGGCACTTCTAGGGCGCTTGTTTATATTATCTTGTCGATCTCTATTACCTCCGGTGATCAGTTAGCGAAGGGAGCCTTTATAGAGCGTCGCATTTCATATCATATTATGTCTCAGCGCTTATGTTAGTACGGAGGGTAATAAGTGGAGTTGCCTATACAATAGTAGAATCTGTTTGATTGGCTACTTCCAAGGCAGAATTTTGGCGCTAAGGATACCAGAAAAAAAGCAAGCATCAATATACCCGTGAGCAATCATGTGGAGTTCGGAGATCACCCGACGGACGATTTTTTTTTTTCAATATCTGATTCGTCCTGTCTTCGTGCAAAGTCTTCGTGCAAAGTGCAAAGTGCTGTGATATGAGGCTTGTGCAGATCAGGAAGAATTAATACCGAAGTATCTATAAAGGTTCATCGAAAAGTGCCAAGCCAGTAGCAGTGGACTAGGAACTGAAGATTATTGATTCCATTTATAATAGTATGCCCGACGTAGCGATGGCTTACAGTATTGACGATTGTGGCTACATACATAGTATGCCGCACCTGCTGATTGGTTGCTTTCTTTTTTCTAAACACATACAGCTCGGTTTCACCTCATTGACTGTTCTTTTACACAGCGTCAGTCCAGATCACAATAGTAATTGTGACTCTATAACTACTAGGAAACTGACAAATAGAGGCTAGTACTAGTGTAGTTTCGTGGCGCAAAACCCGAATTCCTTTATAGGATAATGGCAGGGAAGTAAGAACTGAGACAACTCCACACAGTATTTGGTGTTAACGCATCTGAGGTGATCGTCGGTTATCCTTTGCCCGATGACGGCCATCAGGTTATGCAGCAGTTGGTTTTAGCGCGTCAGACTCGCATGAACGGAAAGTAGGATCGGCCTCTAGCACTTGCCTTAATGCATAGCGTGGGTTCCCACTCTGTCTGCGTGGAGTATTTTCTCCAACTTAGAAACACCAACCTCAAGTACAGATCGATTTTTCCCTCAAGATCTCTCTATACTTTCCAAGTAATCAAAAATGCATTCTCGCTCCGACTTTGAGAGGAACGCTACCTCTTCGGAAAGCGAAGACAGCTCAGAGGACGACTCCTTTGATACTGAACTGCAACAACAACAAGAAGAAGAATCCGTCATCAACAGCTGCAACGAGGACAAAGAACCTCTTTTCACCTGGCAGCGGAGAAGGGACACGTGAGCGCCATTTTGGCATTTTTGGATCATGGTGTGGATATAGAAAGCAGAAACTGCAACGAAGCCAGCCCTCTGCTCCTGGCATCTGCAAATGGGCATCTTGACGCCGTCTCTGCACTTCTGAGCCGAGAAGCCCAAATCGACACACGCAACAAATGGGGTAATACACCACTTCAAATGGCTTCTAATAATGGACATGACAACGTCGTCTTGCACCTCTTAGATAAAGGCGCGGAGATTGATAGCTGCAACAACAGCGGCAATACTTCTCTCCAACTGGCCGCTGCATTTGGACACGATAGGGTCGTCTCGATACTTTTGGGTAAAGGCGCCCAAGTAGATAGCTGCAATGAGAACAAAGAAACCTCTCTTTACCTGGCAGCGGCGAATGGGCATGTGAGCACCATCTCGGCACTTTTGGACCATGGTGCGGATATCGAGAGTAGGGAATATGACGAAGGAACCCCACTGCTCCAGGCATCTACAAATGGTAATCTTGGAGCCGTCTCTGCACTTCTGAGCCGAAAAGCCCAAATCGACACACGCAACAAATGGGGTAATACACCACTTCAGATGGCTTCTAATAATGGACATGAAAACGTCGTCTTGCACCTCTTAGATAAAGGCGCGGAGATTGATAGCTGCAACAACAGCGGCAATACTTCTCTCCAACTTGCTGCTGCATTTGGACACGATAGGGTCGTCTCGATACTTTTGGGTAAAGGCGCCCAAATCGATAGCTGCAATGAGAGCGGCAATACATCGCTTCAATTGGCCGCCGAAAGTGGACACGACAGAGTCATGTTCACTCTGTTGAGCAGGCGCGCTGCTGTTGATTCCTGCAACAAAACAGGAAATACGGCATTGCAGCTTGCCTGCGCCAAGAACCATCACTCAACAGTACGAATACTTCTCAGTTTCCGAGCGGCCGTTGACGCCGGGAATCACGAAGGCTACACACCATTGCACTTTGCGGCCGAGGAAGATGATGCACAGACCGTTGCCCTTCTTCTATCTCACCAAGCGGATCCTACGAGATTTGATAACTACGGTCGCACTCCAATCTTTTCGGCGAGCTCTTTAGGGCAACACAAAAATGTTGAGATGCTTATAAATAACGGTGCGGATGTTAACGCAAAAACATACCGAGGACTCACACCTTTACACGGGGCCGTTGGATGGGCTGAGGGAAAAGAAGAAAGTACCCGATTGACTTGCTTGATCCAGCTCTTGATAACCAATGGAGCCAAAGTTGACGGCGTCGGGGGGAATTCTCCACTTCATATGGCCTGTGAAGAAGTTCATGCGGGCGCCATAGAATGTCTGGTGCGCCATGGAGCCGACGTCAATCGCAAGGATGCCGCTGGAAAAACACCGTTCCAACTTGCACTCGAAGCAGATGACATCGAGCCGTTCAAACCCGTGGTCTTTGAGAGGCCAGGAATTCTCCGGAAAGATGAGGCTGGGCGTTCGGCCCTCCATGAAGCCTCCTTAAAAGGCCATTTGAAGAATGTCCAAGACTTGCTGCATGATATTAGCTTCGAGCTTCCAGCTCTAGAAACTTTCCACATGAGCCCTTCGGGCCTAGCTATTGCGCAAGACCATCGCGAGGTGTCACTCTGTCTCTTGACATCAGACCTGTATTACCCTGGGTCTTGCTTGAGAAGATACACGCCCCTTGCGACGAAAGAGGAGCTCTCTATGATTGAAGCCTGCCTTCTGAACTATTCCAGCAATCCCACTTTGTCGACAGATGAACTTGATTCCATCGTGTACTGGATGATTGCGAACAAAAGCAGATACCTTACGAATGCATCTTTTCCTGGCTACGCCTCTCTCGGACGGAGGTACAGGGGAGGTGCGAGTTTGTTTCATATTGCCGCACGGTATAGCAATCATGATTTGATTCAGACCGTGCTCTTCAACCATGATTATGATTCCAGCCTACAGGACGACGATGGAAACACTGCGCTGCACGCCGCCGCAGCAGCTGGAAATCTAAACTTTAGTAAGGCTCTTCTGGAGAAGCCTGCCCATTCCAGTCAGCAAATAATCGATTTGATTATACAGCCCAACTGCATGAGAGAATCGCCCTTTTCTCTCGCAGTCAAATGGCGTCATTCATCCTTGCGAGATTACTTTCGACTTCAGCTCACTAATCACACACTAAAAAGAGAGTTACTACAGGATCCAGATTCTTCGGTGCAAGTCCCGACTCGAGTGACGCAAGCACAAGAGCTTATCTTTCGCTTTGAAAAGCCGGGGATCCAAGACCGTCTTCTCCAGTTGCAGAAGACCTGGCTGGGGGAGCCGAGAAATGAAATATGCGATAAGGTCAAACAGCGCGCCGAAAAGTGGGGAATACTTCCCACCGTGGTGTATCATAACCAGGCTGTTGCATTGTGGTGGCTGCTCTCTAACGGGTGGGTATTTGATCAGAAAGAAATTGATCTTGCTAGGAAGGTTCTGGAGGCTCTTCCGGGGACAGAAAAAAATTCATACAGGGACGTCCTTTCACAACTGCTCCAAAACCCTCCACAGATCGTCGAGCAGGCTGGCCTAACCGACAGTCACCGCGTTCCAGGCTTCCCTTCACGGCCATCAGATTTTCTCTTAGGCAATGCTAACGTCGCCATCATTGATTTCTATGCACTGAGAGACGTCATCGACCTTCATATGATTGAACGATCACTGGATGACATTATTTACGACCAGAAACTTGGTCCCCAGAGATTGATGACGGAGTCATTGGCCAGTAGGCATCGTGATCTGCATTCGTTTAAGCGGCACTTGGAAGATGTTGATAAACGGTATCGAGAGATGAGTACTGCCCACTCCTCAAGGGATCAGAATCCTTTACCAAGAGATACAAGTGACGCACCAGCCACAGGGGCACTTCAATTCCGATGGATTCACCTTCCATTCAATCATGTAAGAATCACCGATTCCAGAGAAAAACGATCTTCGTACACTGTCTCACTCATTTAATTCCTGGCAGGTTGTCGTCATGAACGTGAGTGATCTTGTTGTTCCCTATTACCCCGGTAGATCGAAATTGACCGCAGACCAAGGATATTTGCCAACTCCTGTCCCGGGAGGCAGGGCGAACGCAGAAATCCCATCATTTCTTATCTACGTTCTTTGCAAAGAGCTGTATTCAAGTCGTCGCTGGGGCTGGTAGATTCTTCCTTAGGCCGCAATGTATGGTGAGTCGTGGATACTTTACCGTAGCTTCGCGTGTGTTAACGAGTAGACCATCGCAGCGGACTTCGTTTGAGTGGAACGATACCCCTAGTGCCAGCGAGCAGGAGACCTCCCACCACGAAATAATTTCAATACAGGTCAGTTAATTGTTTCACTCGTCGCGGGCACCAGACTCAATCCAAAACAGATGCCCTACTTGAACAAGGCCGTCTCTCCGCTCAGTCAGCCGGATAGACTGGATTCAGGCCTCCATCAGCCAATGACTCTCGACCAATTTTACTACCAGACCCTCGAAGATAGCACAGTGAGAGATATTGATCAGGTCGTAGTGCGATGGGCCGAGTGCATGAACCACGAAATCCAGCAGCCAAAGAGGAGCACCGCTGCTCAGGAATATGAGCGCCGAAAGCGTCAGGAATATCTTCGCGAGCCAGGGAAACAAATTCTGGCTGTCGATCAAATCTGGATTCGTATCCTCGATAATAGTAGGTTGGCCAGGGTAGACATAACTTGTTATAACCCAGAAGTAAGTGCTAATCCATGTCAAGAGACTATCGTCACCAGTTGTACAAACCCAGAAGATTCAACTGAAGCGAGACTCCCGGAACGGATTCGCCGGTTCATCATGCTGAATGACGAAAAAGAAGAGTTTCAGCGGCCTAAGACGACAAAAGCCATGGCTGAGATCGTGCTCACTATCATGACCACGCTGATACTTGACCAGAAGTTCTCCCGAAGCCTTCCAAAAGTGGATCAGGAAACATCAAAAGGAAAAAATGCCCTTGAAATATTTCAGGAATCAGTTCGAGATTTAGTAAGTCCACTACTTGACAGACGCAAACTTGATTAACAATTCTAAATGGACAAAGAAGCCACTCTCTATCAAAGCTTTTTGACCACCCTCGAGAACGAGTCTCACACCCACGAGCACACCGGATTTATCCGAGATCTCCCTAAAAACCCTTACCACATCATCGACGACGAAGCCCACTTGCTGCGAGAGGCTAAGGATATCCGCGATGAGCTGAACATTTTCAAAGCAGTATTAGAAGGCCAGCAGCAGGTGTGGCAACAGACCTTCGAGACCGAAGACCTTGACACGTTTGCGGGGTTTCAGTATAGCCATCCTATGAATCCCACGCGCATGTTGTGCGAAATCCAGCGCATCGCCGATGAGGTGGCTGCTGTCCAGGAATCGGTATGACGATGCGAATACCATAGTCACCAGTCGTAGCCTGCTAATGTCTCATGTAGATCAATGCTCTCTTGGAGCTACGTCAGCAGCAGGCCGGTATCAAAGATGCCGAGTTCGGAAGATGGCAAGCAAACGACACTGCCAAACAAGCCAACATATCGCTGATCTTTACAGTGGTGGCTATTCTATTCGTTGGTGTCCCATGTCCCACCGATGGTCACATATAACAAACAGGGCTTACTAATGCCTTTTCTAGCTCCCTCTGTCCTTCCTGACCTCGTTGTTCGCTTTGAATGTGACGGACTTCCCGCATCCCAACGGGGATTTGGAGTTCCAGGGGAAATGGATCTTTCCGATCATCTGTGAGTCTTCCTATTGTTCCCTCTGTTCCTTTTTCCCCAAAATCGAAGTATACTAAGCGAGATATTTAGTTTGCACCTCGGCTTGCATATCCATTCCATTCCTCCTGTTTGCCTTCAATGTCAATCGCGCTGTGCATTTATGGAACTTGATAACCTCGCGTAAATCGCACAAGCTGAACCAGCCCAAGAATGTAGTGGAGGCAGAGGACACTTCCCTGCCTCCGAGCTTTTCGAATTCGGTCCCGCGGAGACTGGGAGACAAAGCAGAACTACTGAGGCTTATACGTCGGCGCGAAAAAAGGATGGATAGTGAGCGAGGGTACCGAGAAGGGGATTGAAATATGGGTGGAACTGTATTATTTCTATCTATGGATTCTATTTAAGAAACAGTAGTTAGTGTAGCATGTTCGCTATTACCAAAAGTCCTTAACTAACAGTGTTGATAACAATAGATTAGCATAGGATTCGGTGGGTAGGTCGGAAATCGATTAGTGTATTTCAGAATCGGGTTCGAAAAAGACTCTATGAGAGCAAAGTGGTGAGACTGATTTCGATCCATCCTGTACCGTGGTTCGTCAAAGACACTTTGGTTAGATGTAATGCGGGCGAATCTCCATCCTGATTTGGACTAAGGTATATCAAATGGGGCTTCAGAGTCGGCGCGAGAGAATACGAGATAAAGATGATTTAGAATATCACTGTACTTCCAGGGGAGTATACCTACGTAGAGAGAGGATCAATGTCTATCTTGAAACGTATTTTTGGAGCCGCTGTTGAGCCATTTCAGTCTCATCAAAGCTTAATATCATAAGACTTTAGCAATGGATGTTTAAAATCTAGAGTATGCCTTCCAAAGCTTCTAGATATTGTTCATGGTGATCATGGAATTTACTAGCCCTACAGAGCAGCGACCTAGAGTTTTTGAAACCCGCTATTTGCGAATGGTAATCGAAGCAGAGCAGGCTCCATAGAACCACAATATGCTTGCTAGTGGAGCTCATTGGATCCTACTAGCCGCCATGTCCTCAGTTCCACCAGTGGCACATTGCTCCTGATTAAGCATGTCATTCGCTTCCAATTTGGCTGCTTCAGCTCTTAATTGACTTCAAGAGTTGTTCTTGATCCCAATTGAGCAGTATTGGATCACCGATCACATCAAGTCTCCCAGTCCATCCGTATTGGCCCCTAACCCTCACAATGTGAGAAGAACTGTTTATATATATATCATATAAAACAGTGCCATATAGACCATAATAATAATGGTTTTCATTCCAAAACCAAATCTTCTGACCGCGACTGAATATCTGCTACCATTTATTCCTTTAGCATCTATATCCATTACATCTTGTTTTTCTCAGACAGCTTCCGCGTAGAGTAGTAAAAAACAAAAACATACAACTGTCAGGATTCACATGTGGTCGCCCACTATACTACTTTCAGTACACTGGTGGGTATAGCAATTCGATAAAGTTGATGAGAGGCTAACGCCCACTTCTGACACCTATCACAGGTAACGCTTTACGCCCCTATGATATCTGTGTGTCCTTTGAAGTAGTTGTAAAGTCTGGTTTTCATTCTTGGTTTGCTATCTATTATAAAGTAACAATTTGATCACATGACTACTTTGTTCCATATTCCAACAACTACTAACTGACCGGCATGTGGCTTATCCGCGGCCAATAGTCGGGTGGGTGTCGCCTGGGTGAGAAATGGGTGAGCGCCGCTTTAGCGTCACGCGACCGGTTCTTGAGGAGCGCCCGTCAGAACCAATTTGATGCTCACCAGACTACACCGGCTATAGTGACCCCGATGTTATGCCCGACCTGTCAGACCATATCTAAAACCTCGCTTTCTCGTTGTTTTAAGACAGTGCGAAAGTAACGATTGTCTCTTGAATTTTCAAGGAATTACTAGTTTTGATTCTTATAATACCTGGTCGACAGATTATCTACTCTGCTTCATAAATCTCTTTTTCAGTATAGAATACGTTGGGCTGAAAGCCTGCTGCGGCAACGACCTTTATTGGACTCGAATTCTTAAATTACCAAACATATCCCTAAACCGCTTCTCTGAACCGCTCTTCCCAAGCGTATACCTAATTGCCAGAATCCTTTGACGTATAGTACACGTGCCCTCTATCGCAGATCGGTGGCCTACCAATTAATACTTGTATAGTCTCTGCCTCCGTCATGACTTCTGCATCCGACATAACCGTTCCCGCGGACGAAATCAAATGTTGCACCTGCGGAAAGGAGAATAACGCTGTCCATGCAGACTGTGGTGCTTGTATTTCCTGTTGCAACTGCTCTAAGAAAAGAGACTGAATGATCGGAGACGGGAGACAAATAGCTGCAAGGTTATTTTTTTGAACTGTGTCACTGAAGCTGCTTGACCGGCAGTCAGTCATAACGATTCTTCTGGATAATGACTCCACAGGCTCTCCTGTAAAAGTTTACGAATTCACAGCAGCGCATAAGGGATGGAAGAGACCTTGAAGCAGAAATCATAAGTATACATAAAATTCCCATTTTGATATCCATTCCATAATTGCGATGGGTTATGATTAACAATTCCTATATGTAAGATTCTGTGAACTCAGGCTCCTTGCGAATCTAGAGGTTGCTGACGTCTACGATATAAATGTAATCCTCTCAATGCACAGCATATTTCAACATCATCAGAAAGGCTTGGAAGGCTATAGGCATCATAATCAAGCCACATTTTCCTGGTTCTCGGAGATTCGGCATCTGCCAGTGGTTTTCTATAGAGTGCCCTGGTTAGACAGATTCGAGGATCGATAAAAGCGAACTTACTCATTGTTATTGAAGACGTCGAAGCCGGTGGAAATGATGAGCACAGGCCGAGCAACATCGGCGATAATCTGCTTGACTGGGGCAGCAGCAAATGGTGATATCACGATCGATTCATCGTCGATTTCCGCGAATCCTCCTGCACCGTGAGGTCCAAAAATTTTGAATTCCTTCTTGGTCAGAATTTCTTCTGCGACCTCTGTATAATCTGGGTCCTGGGAATATAATGGCACTGTTTCATTGCCACGACAAAGTTGAGCAATAGTGAGAGCCATCGAATGCTGGATCATACAGCCCGTCACATTTTTCACATCTGAGGTCCCATCCCAAGAGTCATGCTGCCTTTTTAGCCATTCAGGGGCGGAACGGCAAAAATCGCCGAGTCCAAAGCAGAGAACTTTCTTTACAGTGTTTGTACCGAGTAAATCTTGGACTAAGGCTGCCAAGTGCTTGCAGGTCGTGCTATTCTGCCACAACAAGCCTTTGTCGTCAAAGACTTGCATAGGCTGTGCTATAAGTTCTCGAAAGTTTCGTGCAGCCTGATTGCTCCAATCCACAATGTAAGAGCATAGATAGGTTTCGATAGGGCCATGGGGTTGTGTTTTCACAAGTTGCCAATATTCTTGGTACTTGATGTGGGGTTTCCTTAAGGAAAACTTAGATTGCAGGCTAAAATTAGGTCAGAATACCATACCCACGTACCAGATAGGATTTTGTACTTTGAAAAAAGGATTAGAAATTTGGATTATGCTTCCATCAATCCGACGGACTGAAAATCGGTCCATTGTATAGGATCTGGCCAATTGTTGTTCTATGTCTTTAAGATCCTCTTTTGTCCAAAGTTTGGTACCAGAACTGTACAGATCTGCGGCTCTTTGGCTACTGATCCGCCAATCCGAGCACCCATATTCGAGTAAGATATGCTCAGGTGATGCGACCGCATGTCGTCGAGTTTGTGACATGTTCTCGTAGCTGCTGGTCTTGTTTGGAAGGGGAGAATTTTATACGAGTAGGAGGGTCAGAAAAGAAAAGGCTAGGACTGAGCTGTGATATTCGATGATTGACTGCTTTTGTGCATGGATACAGATGTCGGGTACAGTGACAAATTTTGCTTTGGGGGTCAAGAGATGTTCGACCACCATGGAAGCTCTGCTGCTGACTACTTAACTGGTAAGTCAGGCGTGCACAACTACATTTCCACACCAAATTTTACACCGCCCTTTCTTACCGCCCCATGCAGGTCATAATATTATGGAAGGAGGCTAAAGAGCTCGAGGTGTAGGTGATGGTGACCAGGAAGCAGGTGCTTATGCCAGAGCATTCCTATACTTTGGCCAGTATAGAAAATTTAGCATCGACCTACCAAAGATAGGGACGGTCAAAGGAAGCCGAGGAGATCCAAATGCAAGCCATGGATACCTCCAAGCAAGTGCTCAAACCAGAGGATCCCGACACTCTGATCAGCATAGCCAACCCAGCATCTACACACCGGAACCAGGGACGATGCAATGAGGCTGAAAAGCTGAGGTGGAAGTTCTAGAGACCTCGTGTAGCGAGGGTCTGAAATTAAGTATAATTTATGTAATGTATGTAAGGTTCGGTTATCCATTACGGCTTGTTTTTCTCAGACAGCTTCCGCGTAGAGTAAGTAAAAAACAAAAACATACAACAGTCAGGATTCGCATGTGGTCACCCACCATACTACTAACTGACCGGCGTGTGGCTTAAGTACGGCTGAGCGGACGGGAAGCCCTGTTTTCCACACCCTATGGTCGTATGTGCTAGAACTATCTAAACTTAGGATTATATAGGTGAGTACACAATAAACAAGGGGGTTATTTCTTGAGTCCCGTTGGAACTTGGCGAAATGGGCAATCGCCATCTCTATCCCAGTGAGCTCCGCAGGATGATAGAGCAATACAAGTAAATCCCTTAAGTAAATCACTGTTTACTGTATTGTGGAGCTTTTTCCATGCGTTTGTGGCCGTTATCTGATATCCGATTCAGACCAAAGAAAAAGAGAACAACGAATCTCAATAAAATGGCGTTCGGAAGGGTCCTTGTAATGTTTTGAAAAATCGGGGTAGCATCAGTAAACCTTGGAAGTAAAGTTCACCACGCAGTGTGTGTCAAGCTTCTTCCCCTTAACATCGTCAAACTCATCACTATGACCATTAAAGTCACTCCACAAAAAATCCTCGACATCGAAGACGCTCTATTTTCCGAAGAGAGCCCGCCCCGTGATGATGGCAAACTTGACTTTGAGCGCTGCGCCAGACTACACAATTACTTGGTCGCATACGGCTGGATGGCTCGTCACGGGAAAGACATGCCCGACCTCGATGCACTAGCTCGCGAAAAAAAATGGGTTTTATTGAAGCAGAAGGAGATATACAGGCCATTCGCGAGCGTCTGGTTCCGTCGCTTAATTAGTTTCTGGATTTGATCTACGACCCTGAGCCAGAATTCTTCTACTGGGTTGAACGTCTTGATATACGCCTCTGTGATGAGTCTTTTTCGTCGCAGAGAATGAGCTAGGGGATAAAGAGCGCTTTGTCGTGATTTATGGTACTGCTATAGGCCTAGGCCCACATTGTCTCGGTGTCATCTATGATCAACAGCTCTATCGAGCCTCGTTCCTAATGACTATACTAAATTTAGAAAGTCTAGAGCCTATCAGTGAGTATAAGGAAATGTAGTTCCCACTAGAGACTCTTCTTTCCTATTGGATCTATATGGTCCGCTTAGGCAGGGTTGTTGCCGGATTACCTGATGACTCTCCGCCATCTAAATCGCAAATAGGGCTATGGTCATGGCTTCCCTATTATGATAGCCAGATAGATAGTACTATAGCTGCTATAGAACACTATTCAGCTATAGTTACGTCTCGGATGCCTCCTGGTTCACATTTACCGTTTAGCTCTACACCGCTGTTTACCGATTCAGACCTTGATATAGCTGGTGTGCCCCATACTTACTTTATCCGCTCGCTGTTCACACGAGTCAAGACTCCGCGTTTTAAATTTATCGCGCCTTGTCTAGAGGTTCCCCATAATAAGGAAGTATTTACGAACCACCAGAAGTTTACCAATTTACCATATCCAGAGAAATCTATCCCAGCGGTCCTTTTCTTTACAGCCTCTCAGACAGTGAACCTTAATTCTGAAATTCGTCGATCATTTAAGCACGCCCATAAGAATAAGGGCATACCTATAAGCGACGGCAGTCCTATCCCTACAGGAATATATAGTGAACCTGTGCGACGAGATCACTATGACACAGAGGAGACAGGTTTCCGCCTCCTCCTTCTATTGACACTACGAATTCGTTTCTATAGTAGTGATGCTAGAGTAAGGATAAGTGATGGGAGACTTATAACCCCGGGGTCGTTCACAGAACTCTTCCAACATAGCAATTTTCATCTATTTGGGGGTGAATGGCGGTCGTAAAGACTAGAGAGACTGTTTCAGCGATGGTCAGAGCTGATTGAAAATGGTATATAGACAGTGGGAAAGGATGGTGTGGAGGGAGAAATCGAAAAGTTTGGAGACGTGGACAAAGATAGTCAGGAGCCTGGAGAGATTATTGAATTGCACCGGATTGGTGAATTTCACCCTAGACTGAAATTTCAAAATGGCACAACGTAGAAATTGAAAATTGTAGTTATTGCGTATCTACTTTTCATTTATTACCGGATTTTTCTCTGACTTCCAGGTAAATACGGAGGTTCATAACGGCCACGGCGAAATCACCCATAAAACTGAAAAGAAATATGTATTTTACCACTGTCAGAATATTTAAATGCCCGTCTCTCTCTGTATTAATAGTTGACTCTAAATTGACTAAGTCAAATTTTATACTACCGACTACCTATTAATACTATAATAATGAAGTAAAATTATTATATAGATTGCAGTGAAACAGCCATTGTTTCGAATCTTATTACGGGCATGCAATAATTTCAGTCTAGTCATTTCAATTATCGAGCGAATTTCCTAAATTGCTCATAGCCTGCTGTGCCTTGCTCAGATTAATGTGCGACCTCCCTTCTCTAAGTCTAAAACTGCTCGCTGATACATCTTGTCTGCCTATTTCGGCTTGCCCTGTGCTGAGTATAGACTCCCAAGATTGTTGACTGTCTGGTGAGTGGACGGATGATCTAGACCAAGGGCCTTCTCCCTGCCTGCCAGTGCTCGCCGATACATCCCCTCTGCCTCTTCCGCCTCGCCCTGTGCTGAGTATAGATTACCAAGATTGCTGACTGTCTGGAGAGTAGACAGATGATCTGGACCAAGGGCCTTCTCCCTACCTGCTAGTGCTCGCTGATACATCTCCTTTGCCTCTTTCAGCTTGCCCTGATCTAAGTATAGACTCCCAAGATTGTTGACTGTCTGGAGAGTGGACGGATGATCTAGACCAAGGGCCTTCCCTCTACCTGCCAGTGCTCGCTGGAACATCTCCTCTGCCTCCTTGAGCCTCCCCTGATCAGAGTAGAGAAGACCAAAATTGTTCACGGTATCGAGAGTGGACGTATGATCTGGACCTAGAACTTTCTCGTAGCCTGCCAGTGCTCGCTGGTACATCTCCTCTGCCTCCTTGAGCCTCCCCTGATCAGAGTAGAGAAGACCAAAATTGTTCACGGTATCGAGAGTGGACGTATGATCTGGACCTAGAGCTTTCTCGTAGCCTGCCAGTGCTCGATGGAACATCTTCTCTGCCTCCTTGAGCCTCCCCTGATCAGAGTAGAGAAGACCAAAATTGTTCACAGTATCGAGAGTGGACGTATGATCTGGACCTAGAACTTTCTCGTAGCCTGCCAGTGCTCGCTGGTACATCTCCTCTGCCTCCTTAAGCTTGCCTTGATTCCTATAGAGACTCCCTAGCCTATGAAATGCCCCCCATATACTAACGTTCTCACCATGGAATTTACCACGAAGAATGAAATTTGCATGTGAAATAAGCCGTCGCTGACACTTTGAGTAATTCCTTTCGCTTGAACTAGGAACTGCCCATCCGACTGATATCAGTGCCAGTTCACAAAGCTGGCTAGGAGTCACATTCATTTTATTGCGAGTAATATGAAAGCACCAGTCCTGTACCACGGGGTGCATTGTATAGCCTCCTTCTTGCTGCTTCGTCTCAAGAAGAGAGAATTCGATTAGGGGCTTTACACAATCTTTGAATGCAAGTCCGCTTGATATAGTTTCTTCGAGCCAGCCTGGAACATCAGGGCTATGGGATGCATTTTGGACTAACTCATACCAGATGTCCCGATGATCGAAGTGGGCAAGTAGTAATAGAAGCTTTGCTGCGTTTGGGGCTCGATTTTGGATCTCATGGTATGATATCATCCATGTCTGTAGCATGTTTCCTTGTAGGTATTGACGCCCAGGATTCGAATTTGATTGTAGATCAGACCATGACTGTTGATAGTATTCTAAGTACCGAGCGATGCTGGTGCTAGTCTGACGCATAAATGCCGCAGCGATAACAATCGCTAATGGCAATCCATCAAGACGCTCGGCGAGGGCAAGAGTATCTACTTATATAAGTGTCATTGTCAAAATCTCTGTATCATGTATCATCATACCTGGATTACCGCTAGGCTTCTTAATATTATTGCTATCCGATAAGCCGCTGTTCTTTAAGAGAAGCTGAATTGATTCCATTGAGTCAAGTTTGTGGATTGGAATAGACTGTCCTAGTTCAGTGAGCGCTTGAAGTCGAGAGGTGATAAGAATAGAGCCATGATCTGCGGTGGGAAAGAACTTTCCAATGTCATATGCATTCCTAATCCCGCTATCGATCGGAGAGTACTGATCGATATTATCAAAAATGATTAGCCAGCGAGAATTACCGTCACTTTCTAGCCACTTCAATACTTGTCTCGCTTGTTGTTCTAGCTCCTCGTCACCGATTGCCTTGTTAGTCTGTAAGTGCCCAGGTAAGCGAGGCAAGACAGAGCTAATTGACTGTAGGAGCGTGCCTCGGTCTTTACCACTTAACCAGAATATAGCTGTGAAATCATGTTGATGTTCTCGTGCGAATTGAACCGCTAGCTGCGTTTTTCCGATTCCACCAAGCCCATGAAGAATCACGACCTTTCGTCGTTGGAAGTCCGTCGGCTTGAAATACTGCCATAGGCGGTCTAGCTCGGCTTCCCGACCCACGAAATTTTCGATCACAGGCATAATAGTGAGATCGAGAGGTATTTGGAAGCGATCAACTAAATATTTTTAGTAATATGCTTAAAAGGAGAAGAGAGCCTAAAGAAGAGAACTTAGAGTTCCTTACCGCCATTTTGCCAAGACTGGAAGGCTCCAGACTCGATGACATTTTTTAAGAAAGCATCATTCTCGGCTGCGAGGTCATCACATTGTCTTGGGACATCCTCGAGATCTAGGGCCATATCGGGGATCAGGATATCTTTTTCAACGATTTCATCATCAAGATCCATAGTATCCTTCCCATTGTCCTCACCGTCAATGTCTTTCATATCGACATTCGCCTGGGAGTTGATGTCGGAAAGTCTTTCTAAGTCATTACCTTTCGAGGCGCTATTTCTGTCGTCTATATCGACAGAATCGCTCTTGATACCATCATCCAAGGCCCTATCGTCTTTTTGAATCGCCGCGAAGCGTAATGTCAAGAGCATTAGCACTTGTAAATGGACTGCAATGTGCCGGGCTACAGCCTCCGAGCGGTCTTTGCTTTGTTGTGATTTGTGTCCATGAGAGCCCACATCGTCTGAATCAGAAGAGAGATCCGAACATTCAACGTCTAAGCTGGAGTGACCAGGGTTCACCATCACACGAGTCTTCCTGGCACGTTTTATAGTCTCTTGCTTCGACAACCCTCTCAGTTGTTTAGGGAACACCGCCTCGCCACTATTCCCATGATCTTCCTCCGCAAACCCACACAAAAGACAATCGTTCCAAGCTCTTAGTTGCACCGTCTTGCTCTGCCGTGAAATGACTTGAAGCTGTTCATTTGTAAAATCACCATTATGTGATTCTTTCAGATGCGAGTAGAGGGCCTGTGGGTTGCTGTAAACGTCTGGGTTGAACTTGCAGACAGTACATACCCAACTGGATGACAGATAAACTTGCTGATGCCATCGCCGGTTGTGAACTCCCATATGGCTAAACCACTCATCAAAGGTCGAGTAGGTCGGGTGCGCTTCAGGGCACCCCTCTAAGAGGCAGACGTAAGGCTTGAGGTCTCGATCTATGTGTCGACTAAGATCAGGTTAGCATGTTTCATCTCTAGTGCCAAGGAATGTCAGCATTCCTATAAGCCAACCTTGAAATGTATAAATATCTCATATGAATGTCCCAATGGCCGTTTTTTAATAAACAAAATGAAGTCCTCTATGAAAATTGACAGTTTTTGTAAATTTCATGATGACTTTGTAATCACATCCCTAACACTTGTGCGCTCCAAGGATGAGTACTACCTACCGCCATTCATTTTCCGAGAGTGTTCTCTTGCTGAGTAGTTCAGAACACCACTCATAAGCGAAGACATCGCTGTCCCCATTTGCGATAGGAAGTCTTGGGTAGTTACCCTGTTTCACTTTGACCGATATTGTCTTATGAAAATTTGTCGACGCTTCATCGGGTGGTCTAAGACGTCTCCTGATCTGTTGAATATTGACGCTGGATAGGTCGGACTGAGAAAGTGTAGGAAATGCCTTTGGAGTATCAGCTAAAATTGGAAACGATCTCGCCAGCTGGGTCGTAGGGACGTTGGTTTATGACTCGTTATTAGGTACTTCCAGAATAGGTGACAGCCCTAAACGTGGCTCTCGGCGGGTCTCGAGCTTTTTATGGCGAGAGTTGAGAAATAGCATCTTTGCATATCTATCTACCATTGACTTGCTTAGATAATCCTTGAGAGACTGATGGGTGTCAGGATATAAGGTGTGCACGGCTTTCGCACATAGATGGGCGAATGAGTCTAAATCGAGACCTGCGGCGAATATCTCAGCCCTCGTATCAATCTTGTCACGACTTGACTGGCGAATTGTGACACCTAGACGGTTTAGTCGAGAGAGGGTGTCATCGATTATTCTCAGAGCCGCCGTTTATATCGAGGCCTCGCGATTTGAATCATCGAAGCCTATCGGAGCCTGATCTACTTCTCCTCGAGTATCCGCTTGATTCTTATATTGCTGCAGACTGCGGCGGAGGATATCTAGTAATCGAGCAACAAGGTCTTGAAGGTCTGGGAGGTTTCGGAGTCTCGTGTCTAGACATTGGCTCTTCCGGCTGAACACTCCGAGATGCGCGGCCCATATGGAAAATCGTTGTTGAAATTCGGCGAATAGGTCGATAATCGTAGCCTCTAGCTTTATTTTAAGTAAGTTCTCTTGTAGTTGGTCAAAGAGTCCTTCACATTCACAGGCTAGCCTGTACAGAACATCTTCGGTATCGAGATTAAGCGTCATGGTGGGAGTTGTTTGGCAAAGAACTCGAGCATCGAAAGATAAAGCAAGATGCGCGATGGTGATTTACTAGGGATGTGATCGAGCTTGTAGCCAGGCTATGGCAGGAGGGATGTGCTCAGCCGGCCCAGAGAGGAAAACCCCAAGTTCATATCTCCACCTGATTCTGGGGTCACTACGAGATCAATAAGAGACCCGCTAGACAAGATATTACGGAGGGGAGCTTCTCTTCTTTGAAAGCTTCAAAACGGTTGAAAGGACGCGTAAGCTCCTGCACTTGCCCCATCTGAAGGGACGCGGACGTTTCTCATTTTCCTCGTGTTTTCCACGTTTAGTCATAATCTCACTGCAGCGGCCAAATTATGCAGACTACTGTACAAAGAAAGGTACTTGCACAGATGACTTGTCACCAGGAGAAGGGGTTAGGGTTCCAACAAGCCCGTTTTCTGACTGGCGGACAGGGCACTGATAAGCTGGCGCCGACATTTCAAGCCACTAAAATGTCGGGATTGTAGACCTGGATGTGGGGCCATAACACCAGGAAACCCCCCCCCCCTATAATACCTAATGGTAACAGAAAATGTATTTTGTACCCGGCCGAATATATTAGTACCTGTATCGCTCTATCAAATACGTATAATAATTAAAGGTCGTTTGTCGTTTGAATTGCCTGATTTTAAACCCAACTAAATTGGCTAATCATATGCACCATGAGACTTCTTATGAACACCTAATATAGGTTCTATTTAATATGGAAGTGCTCGCTCCCGGAGAGCTTCGTAAACTACGATAGGGTTAGCTAGAAATCCGCACAGATAAGAGGGGAGTTTCAAGGTTAAATATAGTCCCCGCAAGTTGTTGTCTAATCTCTTTAAGTTACTGATACTAAATAATGTCTGCTCTGATACCTGCTCCAATACCATAATTTTGATAGTAATACTTGTGGCTGCTTACGAATTCGGTGAATGTTTTATACATCAGTAAATAAATGATTTCAGAAATATGTCGTTCTAAGGTTATAAAAATAGTGTATAGATCGCAAGAAAAGCCACTTACTTTACGGTCCACGGGTGTTCTCCTTTGAGAACAGACCTTCCAAGGTTCTTCCTTAAGCTTATGGAATGAGTGGTCATAAACATGCATGTATAAGGCCACTCATAGAATTACTCCCATTAAGACTCAACCTTGAAATACTTGGTTTGCAGTGCTCTGTCCAAATAAGTGGCAATTCTGTAGCTGTCGAGGTATTGGATCAGGTGCAGGCATTAAAGCTGGCGCAGGAACTTGCATCTCCACATTACCTAGGTAAAATACTACACGTTTTTTCCTGGTGGCGCTTGCTCCACGGGCTTGGGCGCCTATTGGCCTCGAAGAAGGCGCGATACCAGCTGCAAGCAGGATCACTCAACGATCATAACGGAGTGCAATCCAACGCTGAACTAATCGAGGTCGAGCTTCGCCGCGTATTTATAGTCAAGGAAATTTCTCAGAATTTAGATGCAGCAGAGTTTGAACATTGCCAGGCAAAGCTGAATAGTCTCTGCTTGTTGTTGGATGGCTTTGCGCGGCCTTTGAACGCCCAAATTGGTTCAGGAGGTCTAAGCTATCCCCGTTTACGAGCGTTGACTGGTTTTCTAGAGAGAACTTCTGGACCGGTTGACCTAGCGAGTGGTCCCAACGAAACACTGTTCAGACTTCCTCACGATGCTGGTAAGCTTGATGATTGTCTGCGGGTTGTCATAGAGTGCAACGATGTTCTCAGTCGACTTCTCGCGCCCTCTCTGCATGAACCGGTCATTCAACCAAATCAGGGGCGGAAGAAAAAGAGGTCTTGGAAGAAATTCACGATACTAAATCAGGCCATATTCGTTCTTGAAAATTTGTTCAAGAATTCTAAATGCGGAACGCCACATGAAGTGTTGCTGAAGCTCATTGAGGGCCCCGATGAAAATTCAGTATTACCGAGTTTACAACTTATACTCTCGGCATGTCCAGAGTTAGAATTGTGGCAAGAAGCCCGGTGTGACCCTGTTAATCTGTATTTTGTAAAACCCCGTATTTGTTAGGGCTTAATTCTTACTCAGTGGGCTGCTAGAGACGAATCTTCGATTTTACCTATATCCGATATATGCGTGGACCTCCGCCAGCATACTGGTCAAGGAAAGGCGTTGACACTCCTCATTGAGAAGTACGGGCTATTCGGTGCCTGGTCGGCTCCTACTTCCTCTGTGGCGGGCGTATCTAAGGATTCTCTTGACCAACTCATATTAAATGGGATTTTCAGGCCTCTTAGTCTCAACACGTTCCATGCGGCATCACCAGCCAGGATCAGCATCAAAGATAAGCGAGTGCTTACTGTTGAACTTGGTTATTGTCTCATGGACTTTTTCGACGCCGACTTTACCTCAAAAAAGATCCATTTCCTAGATTTCTCGAAGCCGGGCCTCGAACAAAAACTCCCGTACCTAGCTTTTGATTCGAAGCTTTCGGTGACTGACGACTCATACAGCTTCTGGACAGGTCACCCTACACTATTATCTTTTGCAAAGCTATTACTAGAAATAGACTGCGGCGAAAATTACGACCTAGATATCGATCCCGATATAAGCAAGAATAAACTGGCCTGGGCTGAGCTCATGGATTATTTAGATCGCCTTAAACTTAAGAGAAGCGACTCTTATGTCCAAGCCATAAGAGGCTGTCTCGTCGTTCATAGGAAGATAACGAAGGCTCTCAGGTCTCGTGACCTTGTGCGCGAGGATGCGGATTTCATAATACGAAAAAATCTCCACAAGGAAATTGTTCACAAACTCGAGCTTGGACTTGATGAGTCCATCCCTAGGTCTGCCCGCAAACGGCAACGCTCAGAGTCACCACCTCCCTCTGACCATTGGGATGGGGCTCAAGCTGTCAGCTCTACAAGAGCGGCCATGCAGTCTGTGAAAGTTGAACGAACAGCACCTAGACATAAAAAGCGACTGACCCCCGGGCCACAGAAGTGGCTTTCTGCTAGCGGCTTATGTGACGATAACACCTTGGCCGAAATCACTGCAGACAAGTATGTTTCAACCTATATTGTCTTTCGATATAGCCCCTTTTGAGTTTTTCTCTTGAAAGCGGTGTGCTTTATGTAGAACGTGATATACTCTTTTTCTTGCGATTCATTATTATGGCTTTCTCAGCAGACGTGCTAATATAAAACTCTATGATGCAGATACCAACCGGCGCTGATCAACAGCCTGAATAACAAGAAACATGAACCAATTGCTAGCCCTGAGTCAGCTATTCCTGCTAGGGGCTCAAGGTTGATGCCCTCTCTACGACCTTTTAGCCGCAATGACTTCGAGATCGCTATTATCTGCGCGTTACCGCTCGAGTTCGATGCGGTTTCCTACACCTTCGACGAATTCTGGGACGAAAACGGTGATCAGTACGGACGAGCGGAGGGAGATCCCAACAGCTATACAACTGGCCGGGTGGGCAAATACGATGTCGTACTGGCCCTATTGCCGCACATGGGCAAGACTAACGCGGCAAGCGCGGCAGCCAGTATGCGATCGAGCTATGGCGGCTTACGGCTAGCCCTCATTGTCGGGGTGTGTGGTGGTATGCCTCATGGCCGACATAGCGATATCTTGCTAGGTGACGTGATCATCAGCAAGACTGTTTTTCAGTACGATTTTGGCAGGTGTTACTCGGACAAATTTGTCTGCAAGAATACCCTCGAGGATAATCTTGGCCGGCTAAATAAAGACACCCGAAACCTAGTCTCCACATTTGAGACCGATCGGGGCATCGACCAACTCAAGCAACGGACGGCTCATTTCCTTCTGCAGCTCCAGGCGAACGCCACCCAGACTGGTCGTCAGAGCAAGTACGACTACCCTGGAATAGCGAAAGACAAGCTATTCGGGCCGACCTACCGCCACAAGCACCATTCATCGCATACCTGCATTTGCCGTGATTGCTTCAATGACTCAGACCCTGTTTGCGATGAGGCGCTCAGTTCGTCATGCGCGGATCTTCAATGCGACAACGAACGGCTTGTCGCGAGGAAACGGCTCCAGGGAATACAGCAGCTAGAAAATGACGGGAGAGATCTGACTCCGCAGCCTGCGGTTCATGTCGGAGCCGTCGCGTCGGGCGATATGGTGATGAAGTCGGCAGCGGACCGGGACAGGATCTCAAGAGAAGCAGGCGTGATTGCGTTTGAGATGGAGGGCGCTGGGGTCTGGGATGAAGTGCCCTGTATCGTGGTCAAGGGAGTTTGCGACTATGCTGATAGTCACAAGCACAAAGGATGGCAGAATTTCGCGGCGGCGACGGCAGCATGTGCATCCAAAGCAATTCTAGAACGCTACATCCGAACTGACAAGGCCTGAATTCATTTACTGGTGAAGGTCGATATCCATTTTAGTATCGCGCGGGTAGAGAGAGGAACTGGGTCAGACTAAGCTAATGCATGACTAGTGCACACCAGAAAATGATGTGATGTGTACTTTCTTTCAAATCCTGGTAATTTTATAGCTGGGCGCTAAAATTGTTTCACCATAGCGCACAAAGTACCAGGACTGGGACTGCCGGCGCATAGGTCAAGACTGATCTATGGTCCTAGGCTAATCAAAGAATGAGCTAAAGCTCAATTATTATTCAAAACAAGTCCACACATCTCAAGTGAGTTCTTTTCTTATAACTCTTCCCCTTATAACAATGTTTACGAACACTGCCCCGCCGGCTCTTACCACACAATTCATACCACCACCGGCATGTACCACCGATACATGGATGATCGAGTATGTAGAAGGCACATACTACTACACCACTTCGATATCGAACAGTCTAGAGGGCTGGTATCTTAGCCAGGGGCCTACGGACTGGAGCAGCTGTTTTCCTTCCGGATATCAGGCGACAACGGATTTTTACTACTCACCGGGAGTGTGTCCATCTGGTTACTACACAGCCAGCTCAGTAGTTGTTACTATTGGAAGCCTTTCCGAGACCCGGGCAACTTGCTGTCCATCGTGAGTCGAATCTGGAAATTAAGGTCGATTATATTTCCTCTTATTAATGGTTTTTGGAATCTATAGGGGTTACACGGCTCAAACAGAAGATAGCATTGTGTGGTGGTCGACTAACCGATGCTTTTCGGTCAATACTGATGCAGACTATGAATGGACATACACCAAAGAGGGAGCAGTAACTTCCGGATCAGATTCTGGTGGCATAAATGCGAAGGCAATCTTTATCCGATGGCAGGAGTCCGACTTCCAGACGACAACCACGACCACCACAGACTCGACTGCGACTAGAATAGCAACTGCTAGAAGCACAGGGTCAAGCTCAGGGCCATCGGCCACAGCTGCGGTATCCACACATCAGAGCAGCATTTCATCTAAAGGCAATTCATCACTCGCATGGATTGCTGGTCCAGTCATTGGAGCTGTAGTTGTGGGTGCTTTGATTGCACTTGCCATCATTTTATATAATCGTCGACAACGTCAAAAAAAAGTGGCCACAGCAGATCATTCACCAGCAATGTCGCCTATAATAGCAGAGCTTCACGAAGAGTCTAAGGCTTTTGAAGCCCCAGCTGGGAGTATGAATCCAGGGCCATTTGAACTACCTGAACTCCCTGGTCATTCCAGGATATCTGTGACAAGCAATCGAGTATGATTAGGTTTATTGGCCCAAAACTCATTTAAACTGTTTTGCTATCTCCAGTTTTCGATTTTATAACCTTTTAGCGAGCTTCTATAATATTTGAATTTAAGTACCAGTATAACAAGATGTGATTTTCTGAATTTTTGTGGATTCAGAATATAGATGCTGAGGCATCAGATTTTGAAGTAGACACTTTCTATTTTCGTCTTCACTTTCTATCCTTTTCAATATTCTCACTTCGTCAAATAAATTTGAATTCATGTTCACTTGAAGGAACCTTACTTGCCTGGTTCAAACGGATTCCTCGATCAACCAGTTTCTTTTGCGACGTTATCCTCCCTCTACATACTAACCCAAATCTTGTGATCATGTTACCTGTGGGCAATATCATCGCCTTCGGTGACCTGGAGGCTCTCTGGACTGTTGCTCTAGAAGACGCACAGATTCAACTTGGCTGGGAAAGCCTCTCTTGCTGTCGACATTATCTTGGTAACTTGTCCCACTCAAGCTAGCCAATTTATTCTTGCTGACACTTGTTTACAGCCCAGGTTGTAAGTACATGCGTGCGAGCAATTTCAAGTACTCGTTTTTGTCAACTTACAACTCGACGATCTTCATCAAGCGACAAGCCGACTTTCGGTTTGAGAAAAGGTGGGTCTTGGAAGAAACAAAGTATGTCCCATGGAACAAAAGCGCCAATTCATGCAGAATCTACTTGATAGTCTTGAACTCAAAACCCGAACTGTGACCATCACTGTCACCAGAACTACGCATGTCGCTTTACCTTTGATGGCGGGCGTTAGAAGGCCGAGAGAAGGTGCCAGGGCCAGAACACCCACACACACTCATCAGCGTTGACAACCTTGGTTTTGTCCTTGCTAGCCAGGGCAGGTACGAAGAGGCTGAAGCCATGCACCAGTACAATGCATAGATTAACACAAGCTGTGTATCTGAATACCCTTGATCAACCTCCTGCTAGTGTTTTATCCGTATTAAATTACTTGTTCGTAAACTTTATACACCTAGTTCCAGGCTGATACGTGGATTAATGAATCCACCCGATCATCCTAATCAGTAACATGCACGATCACCTACTTTGATTGAACTGTTCTATGACTGCTAATTTAATCTGTTACGTAATTAGGAGAAATGGTTAGTTACAAGACCTCCGTTTCCGACTAGCAAGTAAGAAACTAGCCTCGTTATTTAAATAGCTGTTTCTCTACTTCGTTTTGTACTTCACAGATCTAAGGTGTATAAGAAGTATTAATTACTCTTCCATTACTACATAAAACCACGATGCACTGAAAGACTTATATAGACTCAACAGTTTCCAGAAAAGGTATCTCCTTGTTCACCCTCTCGGCCCATTTCCCGATATCCTCAACGAAACGCCGAGCGATGCCTATCTTGATTCGTTTTCTAATGAAGAATTCAGGATCTTGATCCCTATACACCTGCTCGAGATCAAGACCATTCTCGAGCATTATATCACACACTTCTCGAAATGTAGTTTTAAGGCTATCGTTGACGACATTCGAGACCTGCCACTCACCATATTCCTTGACGGCCAAGTCCCTAGGACCGGGAATATCGAGTGGAAGTATCGCATGCAAGTGCCCTTCCGCTCTGGAAGCCAAAATGTCAAGCGTATGGGTAGTGGACCCGAAGGTAGGACGTTGATGTTGATAGGGGGATACGGTACTCCAGTCTCAGTGACATGGCTTCCACCCTTACGTTTGTCTCTCCCTAATTTTTCTTGCTCCTCCCTGTATAATTCATTACGCACTGTTTCTGGCACGTCCTTGTGATTCTCTATGACACCGCCCTTTTCAACGTGGCTGATCAAGCGCTTAAACTTGAGATTATATTGACTCAGCTACAATTATTTTGTAAAAAGTGGTCAAGATACTACCAGTATCACCTGTACGAGCATCAGAAACTACGTAGTCTCACGGGACAAGCAGTTTATCTAGAAATATAGGAGATACTTTCCTATTTGGAGTCATCGATATACGAAGCACTGATCCGATCTTAATGATCCTCTCAATAATATCTCACCGAGTGTCATTTGGATTTGGTTCTTTAAAGAAAAGAATCATACCGTGATACATCTCAGGGTCTTCTTGTACATCTATCTTCCATATACTGTTTGAATCGTAGGTGACAAATATATTTCTAATTACAATACCATACATTTTGCCCGATTGCTTCTAAAACTCGCCGTAAACGAGAAGGCGGAGAGAGTGCATTGCTCTTACTTAGGTATTCCAATGATATTCATCCACAATCAGTCCTAAGACTGACTTCGCTGATTGTGAATTTCAGGTCCTCAAAACTCTGGTTATCGCATTCTTGAACCAGTCGGCCGAGACGAAGAAAGAGCAACCCCGTGTGTGGAGTTATACCTAATCAATCAACGGTAAACTCGTCATTAGCATTCATCATGGATCATGATATACGGTACTTCAATGGCATTACTAGAGAGGACTTTGGTTCAGTGCCTCAGCATGGGAATCTCACTCACTCAGCCTTTATCGATATGATGAAGTTTATCATTCCCTCCAACACACCAGCTGAACTCACCATCGTTGCACGTGAAGATGGAGCCCATGTCCTTGCCACTCGGCAACTTATTGTAGCCGGCGATTATGATATTTTTCCTGCAGAGGGTTCAACAATCAAGCTGACCGACGAGGTGCGGGATCGACGAATTCCATCAAGAAACAACACTGGAGCCACGCCCCATGTAGTAGCGTTTTGCACAGCCGTTAGAAAAAGAGACAAGATGTGTGTTCTGTCTGGTCGGGTCAATACGTCAGCCAATCGTCCTCCTGCCAAGCAGAATTGGGCCCGATACCAGGCTGCCCATATCTTTCCTCTTGCACGCAGTAGCTATTGGCGGGAAAATAATTTCAATCGCTATATCACTAATTTGTCTGGTGGCGCTCATCGCGCCTATATCAATTCCGTGCAAAATGGATTATGTATGCGCAGCGATCTCCACACAGCCTTTGATAATAATGACATTTCTATTAACCCAGACGATAGTTATAAGATTTATGACTTCACGGATAACGACGATGGAATTGATGGCCGTGTTCTCCCTCTTGTCTGCCGAACCCGAGGAGATCCAAACGCTGTATCAAATGACCTTCTCCGTTGGCACTGGCAACAGACTCTCCTAAAGAACTTGAAGGGAACTGCGGAGCCCATCTGGGAATTTGACTTCCCAGATGGGACTGACATGATTGGTGAAATCCTGGCTGGCCCAGAGCCAGCAGAGAGGATGGAGGCCGAACTTCTTGCCTACCTCTACGAGTATGTCAGCGACGGCCCAGAGACAGAAGAGCGGAGGGAGGCGGAGCTTTTTGTCCGCCACCACGAGTATGTCGACGACGAGAGTGATTACTGAGCTTTAGTTGATATTTTCTTTACGTGAAGTCTACTTATGCACCCATATTTTCTTTACTTGAAGTCTAATTATGGCCCTGTTTAACAAAATCCCCAGCTTGTCATTATTTAATTACTTCTCCTTTACTATCAATTTTTCAATATGCCCAATACCTCTCTTGAAGGCCTGATCAGCCAGAACTTTGATCTTAGTACAACTGACATAATTGTGAGGTAATGCGTAAATAACCGTTGCCTCCTTCATTCCCCTCAGCGCACCACAAAATGTCGAAAGTCAAGAAAGCCGCAAAGAAAGGCAAAGGCCGAAAGAAGAAGACTTCATCAAATCCTACAACGCGGCTTCCGAGATCGAAAAACTCACCATCCAGATCCTCGAATCGTGCCATTACTGGATTTATTTTTCGTGAACAATCAAGTAGCCTGCTTGATCTGGAGGGGGATGAGATAGAACCAATGGACGATGCATAGCCCTAGCCGAAGCCCGCTTGGACACATATACTCCAAAGCAAGATGCGAAGGAGAATGTTGTGTCTAAATTCCTTGCGTGTCTTGACTTCTTTCCCCCTGGTAGACGAGAATGGGTTGCAAGACAAATCCTTAACCCCTAATAAGGGACGAAGTATCCGATTAAGAATTCTTTAGAAGATGGTAAGGAATATTCGCCAGTCTGACACTCCCAGGTAAGTTTGATATATGGAGAGCTACTGGTACTAAGCTAATTTTTGGGAAGTCAAAGCAACGGGAACTAAGATCGGGCTGATGTCGTCTACAATCGACTCGCGTCAAGAAATAATCGGAGAAGATAACTTTAAATAAGTCACAAAAACACGTTAAATCGTTCCTAAACGATTGCTTTGACAGATATAGACACCAATGTGTGGTCTCAAATTACTTCAAAGACAAGAAGTTCCAGGCAGACACTGGCGCAAATGCACGTATTCAACAGCTTTCGCCCGCGGAGCAAGTAAAGTGTTCATATTTACTGGCATTACCACCTAATTACGAGGTTGGAACACTGGAAGGTGCTTATATTATTCGGCTTAGTTCTGGGAAATTTGCGGATAGTGATGTATATCTTCCGCTCCTCCTATTTCATTGATTTTTCGCCAATAGATAACAGGATGTCTTGAAAAGCGAAGCGTCAATCAAATGGAACGCAATCCATAGATGTTTCCCCGGTAACTTGTCATTCGCGGTCCCTTATATCATGAAGAATATTCGTTCTGATCAAGCACGAAGCAAGATTGGAAATCATGGTATAAATTCGTTTAAGGCCTGGGCTAAATGAAGTACTTCCTAGTAGCTTATACCCTGAGATAAGATTTGGTAGACCAATCAAATAAAATGCGCAGTAAGATTACCCCCTGAACAGGAGTGTGGCTCTTAGGATGAATGACCATTCTAGTGAAGCCCGACATTTATTGATGGGATAATATAAAAAACCTACGTGGGAAGGGACGGGACTAACGTGTTGCATTTTATTGAGGTTCTTACTTAGCTCGTTCAGTGAGCGAATCAGACCGCTCACTGAGTACTCATTGTGCGCTGAGTGTCACCTGATACTCAGTCAGATCAGGGAGCAAAAGCAGCGATGGGTGAGCACTAATAAGGAAGAAGAACGCCAAGAACTGGCATAGAAAATCGGGTATATAAATAGGTATGCTTTTAAAGTGGTCAAATCCGTTACTGCCTAGCTACCACTTTCTTGATAATACTTTCTTCAGCAAACTAAGATCAATCTTCTACGCAGCTTTTCCTGTGGATCTAAGATCTTGGATCTCAGATCTTCCGTATAAATCAGAACTTCTGCTGATACCAGTGTACGTCAGTGATGCTATCAATGATCCAACCCCAAAACCGATAATACCCTCAACCTCAGCCCTGGATCCCAGCATATAAAAGAGCAGCAACACTTGAAAAAAAGAACGCCCTTGCTATGAGTATAAAGATTCTTTTATCTCGTTCTTGATGCGCGTACTTGGAAATAAGAACAAAATCAAAGCAAAACGAAACGAGAACGAAAACTCATAATGTTTGGAAGAACGCTTCAAACGAGAAAGGAGAAATATGAACCTTTGTGGAAATAAGGGCATGGTCGCAAAAACTCGTATACATAACGTAGTCAGGAAAAAAAAAAAAAAAAGGAAATGAGATGAAAATATGTAGTCGAGAAAGGAGAAAGAGAATTTGTCAGAGAAGGGAAGAGGAAAAAAGAGATCAGAGTAGATCAGATCGGAACAGAATCCCAAAGGGTCAAGTGAAGAGATGGAGTAGTAGTAATAAAAGAAGAAAAGATAGAATAAAAGTGGAATGCACCAATCGATGATTTCACAGTCCAAGTCCCTCATGGTGACTAATCTCCTGATTAGAATCCTGGTCTCTTGCCCACTTAGACATACTCTGGTTGAGAGTATACTGCAAGTGTTGCAAACGGTCCTGGAAAGCATCGAGACGGTTCCAGTCATCAGGATGTGTGACTATCTCTCCAGGCGCATCAACATCGACGCGATGAGAAGGATTCAATATTGGAACCGGGGGTAGAAGCTGAGTTGCAACCGGGGTTGTAGCGGCTGAGACTGAAACGGGGTAATTAGGGTGCTGATGCTGATGCGGATGCGGATGCTGCTGATGATGCACAGGGTGCTGTACTTGGTGTTGAAGAGAATGCGGATGCTGATGTACTTGGATTGGATGTTGTTGAACTTGAGGATGTTGCGAATGAGAATGCGAATGCTGTCCTGGATGTGCTACTGAATTTGAGCGGTGGTATGTTGGACGAGATGATTGGTTAGAAGCGGACATGTGGTATGGCGAGTCTTCATCCATGACGAAATCGGGAATAGTCTCTGTGAAGGAAGTGAGCAAGATGACCTCGTTTCATCGAGAATGGATCAGTACCATAGGTTAGTGGGTATGGCGCCTCTCGCGACGGCGACACTTCTGTCGGAGATATAGGTGTGGAAACATCACGCTCAGGCGTATAGCAAGTCATATCGGAGGGAGTAGCTATGAAGAAAATTTAGAGATATACTCTCTGAAAGGTCGAGGTTAGGGCTGAGTTACCAGGCTCAGGACTTGATTGCTTCGCATCCTTCTTCTTCACACGGTCCTTCTCCCAGGCATCGTGATAGCGACGTGAGAAGCGGGCGATGCGCTTTTTGTCGACTTCCTGACCATTCATGCGGAAGGCAGTTTGCTTGCCACGGGCGGCTCGCTTTTCTTGCTTGCGGACCATAAGCTGAACTTGCTTGGCCTTGATATTCTTCCGGACATTCCAAGCGGCGAGACGATCTTTGTACTGTTTCTCTCTGTAAAAAGAGGTTAGGCGGGTTGTTTGGACAAAGATGAAATGGTAACATATAGAAAGATGCTATTGGATTGGATTTATAGAAAAGTGCAGAACAGAGAAGTAAAGAAAGTGGTGTGATACGAGGCAAAGAATTTGTATTCTCGTTCCATGATGCGTTTAACATCGCGCAGTTTCAGCTGGTCATTGCGATATAGTTGTTCGATGATTTCGCGATATTCATGCCAGTCGTCGGATCGACGAGGTCGGAAACCGTCGGCAGGTCCAGGTCCAGGGCCACCAGCTGCAGTTCCAGGTACAGGGCCAGCAGGAGCTCCACGTATGGAGGGAGTGGGAGAGAGAGGCATTGGGTAAGGATTCATGGAAGTGAAAGTAGATTGCAGAATATAATGAAGGGAAAGCAAGTATATATCAGAAGAATGCGATCACCAGGCAACTCGGAATCTTTCAACTAAACTACTCTTTGCGGCGCGTCGCAGCCGGACGCACAACCCCCTGCATCCCCGGGCAAATCAGCTGTCTTGACTACTGCATGGCGTGGACTCCATCTAGCGTGTCATGATCGTCAGAAAAGATCTATGTATGACTAGACTAGGCCCTAGGGAAGAAACGGAGTAAGTAGTATGGAATTAATGAATTAAATTCATGGAAAGGAAAAAAAAGTGGAAAAAAAGAGGGAAAGAAAAAAAGACGAAAAATAATAAAAAAGGTCAAATACATAAAAAACGGCAAAAGTGGAGCTGAGAATCTTAGTACTTTTGTCATCTATTGTAGATGGTATTTTGTCATTTAGAAAGTAGGTACTATGTGCCTGGTTCTAACCTGATAAGATGTGGGCGATGTTGAGTATAATGCTAGAGTACATAGAACAGATATACGAACCTATGGAGTAGATAGAGTATAGATCCCTAAATAGCGATTATCTCATCTCTCCTAATACTGTCTCCATGATACTGTATTGTACTGTAATTTAAAATGGGTCCTCGAGGAACGGCCCGAAAGCTGACAGCCCTTTGTTTTGTTTTGTTTTCTTGTTTCATTTGGGGTTCTACACTAATTGATACAATCTATTAAGCCAGGAGCGTGGACAATATCCTGTCCTTAGTTTCTTATTTGATAATAGTCGTTTATGCAGCATCTAATATTTTTATTGAAGTCTAGACGCAAGGGTGGATCCCGACCGTTTGGGAACATGCCTCGCCGTTGAGACATGAGATAAAGTCATTTAAAAAAAAAAAAAAAAAAATGGATTGAGAATTAAATTATGATTAATCATGTCCACTACTTGTACAAAAATAACTTGAACTAAAAGGATTATTGCCAGTCTTTTGTCCTGCCGAAACAGTGGTTCTATCTATACCAACCATACTTACCTTCCTAGAATTATACAGTCCTGTTGTAGATGAAACAGAAAAAAAAAGAAACAAGTAGGAAAATGAAAAAAAAAGATATCTGTTACTATTCTGGAATACTCGCGTGTGCCTCGTATATCGTATACTAGGAAGAACCTGGAAATTCACTGGAATCCACTGGAGTCCACTCCTCTTAAACTAATGTACATCAAAACGGCCACTGGCCCAAATCCGAACGCCTAGAACACTTGAGATCCGTGTGTTAAGTGACAAGGCATCAATGACTGCATTGATCGACCCCGGGGAAGAGTAATCCTTGTCCCCGATTGAAGTCAAATAGAAGAAAGTGACTGGTTCAATCTCATGTACTTTGTTGGGCATGGAAACAGTTCCATCAACTGGTACTAAACGGGGTCTGATATATAGTCCGGATAAGGGAAAGAGGGGGGAGTAAAAGGAGGGGAAGAAAAGAAGAAACGAGAGAAAATGTGAGAGGCGAAGAGAGTTCACAGAAGGCCAAAGAGAGGCCAAAGAGAAGTGGGGAATCGGGCACCCGTCCCTCCTGCGTGAATTCTCCGGGGACTAGAGCCCAGATAGGTATTGATCAGAGCGTTCGGTTGCCAAAATGCGGGGCGCAATGATTTGGTACTTTTGTTGATCCCCGAGCTTACATAGACCAGGGGTGAGGGGTGGAGGGGAGGAGGGGAGGAGGGGTAAATGGGTAAATGGTCCCAGGTATGGGTTCAGCCCTCAGCCCATGCGATGGCACAAAACGACTTCCCGCGTGGAGTAAGGAGCAAGGGGTCCACCTTAAGCACACACTCGGACGGAAAAGACTACCGTTTCTTTGGTTATGAGGCCCACGGACCACCGTTCACCGGGTCGGATCGCATGCAGGTACTAGGATATCGAATGGATCAGGAGTGCCCTCCCAGACATAGGAGAATTCCCCGGGAAGGATTCTCGGATTAGATGGGAAATCGGACGGCTTCCGCGACCCGCGAGCTAGCCCTAGCTCGATAGAATCCGAAACGTGAAATTCTGATTAGTTGGTTCTGGCCCTTGATCCAGAGTCTAGAGACTGGTCATTCCGCAGAGCTCAAAGGAAAAAAAAAAAAAAAAAAACTCAATAGTCAATAAAGAGAAAGAGGTAAAAAGGAGGATCAGGATGCATAAATGTATGTCTGACTTTGACTCGAAGGTTCTAGCCCTCCTTTGATCTCCTTTCATGCTTTATTTATCGTAGGACTGGATGGACTGGGGGCGGATTGTCGGGTCTGCTCAGCTGCTGCCACGGCTGCTGCCGCAACGGCCGAATTGTTCGAGCCTGCACTAGCGACGTTGCTCGCATGCGCTAGTAGGAACTTGCAGCAGGTCAGGGTGTACTTGCATGCTCGAGTCCACGTTTCGTCATTCTGGTTAAACCCGAGCTTGATGCTAGCATCCCCAATACGATCCCTTTTAATTTCATAGGGCAGTCGTAGCCCTGGGGTGGTTGCACCAGTCGGGCCTCGGCGTGAAGGGGCCGGCGTTGGTGTGGACTCGACGTACTGGCCCAATTGGCGAAGACACTCTAGGAACGCCACCATACCCGCATCAAAGCGGCGGTGGATCCAGGGGAGATTGAGCGGGAGATCCCCGGTCGAGAAGAGGTCCAGTTGAGTGATCTTGGGCGCGACGCGTTCAGTGGCAGCTGTGCCGCTTGGATGCGCCGGGGACTCGATCTTGTCGATCCGCGAGGTGGAACCCATGGGCTTCAATCGATACCCCTGGAACTGAAAGCCCAGACGTTCTGCAATCGTTGCAAGGAGCAGACATGTTTGGCCCCAAGCTGCGTTGATCTCTGGCCATTCAACAGATTGATTAGCAAGTCTACCCAACCGCAGCCCATTGATCGTCCCAAAGTACCCATCATGCCCGATGCAAAACGCATCATTGTAAACGTTTGTACGTTGCAAGCGCTCCAGTTGCTGTGAATCGTGGTCATAACGCATGTTCAAGGCGTCCCGCTCCGTTTGGAACTCTGCCAATGTCAAAGAAAAGCTGTTGCGGGTCCGCCAGTAGGCCTCTTCTTGCACATCGAGTTGCCGCGACTCTTCTTCAAGCGTTCCGATCTCTTCATCCAGAGTAGCCCTTTCTTGTTCCAGAGCCTCGAGCTCCGCAAGTTTCGCCTGCTCGGACTCTAGGCTCTCTTGCAATGATTTCTCTGCTGACTCTATTTCTTCCGCGGATGGAACCGATGCAGTCAAGGTCCGCAGAAACGAGATGTATGCATCGCGCTCTTTGATGGAGCTAGCTAGACGCTTCTGTAACCCTTCAACTACCATCTCTGTACACTCGACACAGATGGGATGGTCGACATCTGAGCGTGATGAGACGATCTCAAAGATACGGCTCGCTCTCTCAACCTGGTTGGGTAAGGTCCCATCTTCCCGGCTATGGTCCTGACTCTGGGAGCCTTTGCGCTTGGGTCGTGATGGTAGACGGGTTTCTACTGGAGGCACAAACTGTGACTCTGTAAGTACCACAAAAGACATGTTTCCGCTATCGCCTCGTGGTAGACCGGGTGGGTGAGCTTGGGTGCCCGACCGTGGCGCGGGGATGGATCTCCTATAAACTGCTTGAGAGGCATTTTTAGAAGTGCGATCGTAGAATTCATGTCGTTCTGAAGGGTAGGAGGTGCGAGCTGTGGTGGAAGTAGCTATATGTTCTGAGAGCGCCTTGCCTGTAGAGTCTTGTTGAAGTTAGTAATCATAATCAACGAGTGACGGGTAATGCTTACTGGCAAGTAGCTCAAATGCAGCTGGGTTGAGCGACTCAATAGAGCCGTCCAACTTTAGCGGTGTCCGACACTTCTGGCAATACATGACGTGGTTATCAGATCATTCTGGGGGATGTGAATGTGGGGAGGTTGAAGTTCGGGGAGGAGCTTGAGCTCCGGGAACGTCATATTTATTTCACAATTTTACCTCCCTTCGCTGCACCACAACTCAGACCTTTCACACTTCGCATTTCTCTCTCTGATATTTCTTTTGAAGCTAGCTGAAATTACAGATTCTTATCTATATCATGCTGCATTGATAAACTCTTTTGCTTTTCAATCCTACGTTAGTCCATCGCTTCTCCCGCGGTGGATGGCAACACTATGGAACGACCGATGAAGCGACCGCGTCTTGCGGGGACTTTAGATGTTGAAGAGGATGCGCCTATATCGGGAGACTGGGATCTTCAAGCTGCACGAGCCAACAACGACATGCGCCTGAAATCTATCTTTGAAGGCATCTTTTCGAAATACGGCCAGGACTTCACAGACGTAGGCGACGAGATCGATCTACAAAGTGGGAAAATCGTGGTCAACAATGGTCATCTACTGGGCATGCGTGAAGAAGTCGATACTGGGAACAAGGAAGATACAGACTCCGAGGCAGAGGAGGATGCAGAAAGGCCATTAGAGGAATTTGAAGCGAAGGAGAACGAAGCTACGGGTCCCGGTGCTGGTGATAAGTTACTAGCTTCTGCAGGCGATAAAGAAGGCAATGGAGATGACGAGGCCAAGCCCAAAGTTTACTGGGTGCCTTCTGATTCTGAATCTGATTCTCCAGATTCCAAATACCTCAAAGCTACATATCTCCAAAAATCAGTTGAATTAGCCTCCATTCCCACGGACCCTCTGTGGCAAGCTCCTGACTTGCCCCAGATCTTCTCGACGCCAGTGGAACGGAATTACCATGTGGCATCCAGGTTGCCAATCCTGAACAAGGAAGTTTCTCCACCAGGGTCTGGCTCTCTTTGGGCTGTGCCTCGACGAGGCCGCCCGCGAATCGAGGAAAAGCCCCAAGCGACGCCGAGCAAATCCCGGCCCCGGGCGAAACGCAAGTATCATTCCAGTCCTGTAACACAAGATTGGAAATTTCGAGAAACGTCGGACGGTGACGAATCGGACGACCCGTTACAGGAAGCCCAAGTAACGTCTTCGCCATTAAAGGCATGGAATATCCGTGGGAGGCGATGGCATCCATCGGATCATAAGCCTACGACACCGATTAGTCGTAAATATGCAAAGCTTCCCCCAAGCCAATCGGCTACGGGAACTAAAGATGGTGGTCGAAATAACCACTCGGAAGCAAGCGATGTGCAGGGAGACGTAGCGGCTTTTGTAGCCGCTTCGCCATTACAATACGATTCACATGCAAAGCCAGATGCAGATGCAGAAGCAAAAGGAGGAGATGCAGATGCAGAAGCAAAGGCCGAATCCCACAGCCACGTTATCTTGCAGCCCGTGCACAAGACAACACCAACATCCCCGTCAACGGAAGAAACGCCCACCAAATCATATCGCGGCCTAACACCCGACGAATCAAAAATGATCATCCGTATGCGCTTCATACAAGGGAGAAATATGAGGGAAATCCATAAAGTTCTTCCATATTACAAAAGGAAATGCCAAGTATCTGCTTGGTTCACTGTTCACTGGGACGGGCGACGTGCAAGACCGCCCCGGTTATCCGCCCCATGGTCTCATAAAGAGCTGGAGACTTTGGATTGGATTAAAGATCAATCGGGTTTATCTTGGAACACAATACGAGACAAGTTGCCAATTCGTTCTCGCGCTGAGATTGAATATGAATTGTTACGTTTGTGGGTAGGAGAGGAGGTTTGGAATAGCAAGTACACGGCAGGGGAAAACAGAGTCATTTCACCTAAATCTTCATACAAACATGTCGAGCATGAGAGCGAAAATGATGATGAGGGTGATGAGGATAAGGATAATATAGCCATCGAACTATCCAGCCCTAAACAGACTGAACCCGAGGAATCCGGATTGAAGCATCTGATTATGACACCATCTCAGACACCATCCCAGACACCATCTCAGGTATCCGGAATCCACTTCGAGAGTCCAATTCTCAACTGCCGAGAGACACCAAGCTTATCTTTACCTGCGAGACGTTTCAATTGGATTTCCTCATCAAAAAAGTGATCTGGTATACAGATGACCTTGTGAGAACATCCTGTCCCAATCAATATGAAATAAGCTCGTCTAGTGTCATAGAGCATGAAGACTAATACTAACATGTCTCAATAATACTATCATATGCCTTTATCTACTGGAAATCTTCATCCTTCGCATTCAAGATATCCGTAAGCTTTGTATCAACTGCGCCACCAACATCACCAGCTTTGGCCCAGAATCGTGACAGATGTCGCGCTCCAGAATCACCTAGCACAGTCACGATTCTATGACCAGGGCCGAGCTTCTGAGCCGTCTTAACCGCCGCAAAGCCTAGCAATAATGTCAGTTCTTTCATCAGTTTCAATGATGAAAAAGGTAGGAAGGGACGAAACTCACAGTTGACTGCGCTGCTACTACCAATGAATATACCATCCTTCTCTACAAGCCATCTAGCCATCGCCAAAGCCTGCGCGTCTGTCACACGCACTGCATCATCGACAAGTTCCTTTCCAGCCTCGAAATTCGCCGTCACACGGTTAATTCCAATGCCTTCGACTATAGTATCAACCTGACGTCGTCGGCGAGTCCCCTCCCGCTCTTTCGGATCAAACATCACACCATAACGGACACGGTTATACAATCCGCTTCCTTGCGGGTCAGCAAGTACAACAGTCATATTAGGAAGCAGAGGCTTCAAGAACCGCGCAACGCCAGAGATAGTCCCACCAGTTCCTGCGCCTGCGACGAACGCATCTAACTTCCCGTTACACTGGGCGTAAATTTCCGGTCCGCTGCCGCGATAATGAGCGCGCCAATTAGCTCCATTCTCGAATTGATCTGCAAAAAAGCCGCGGCCTTGTTTCGCATCCTCTGCAAGCTCTCCCTCGTCCGTGGTGGGGTCTGCTGATTCGGTGTGTGCCTTTGCGAGTGATCGCGCGCGGTTCACAAAGTTGTTCTTTTCGACGATTGGTGCCGGAGGCACACGGTCTACTATTGCGCCTAGCTTGAGGAGTAGATTGGATTTCTCAATTGCTTGGTCTGATGGCATGCAGCTGTAGACAGGTTCAGTTGGATGCTTTAGTTTGAACCGGAGATGATCTCACATATGTGCGAGGTATCCTTTTGCTCGTGCAAGAGTTGCAAGTGAGATACCGGTCGAGCCTGATGTCCCTTCGTAGATAGTGTCGCCTGAATACGGCTTCAATATGTCCATTTCTTCGGCCTGCCTTGGAGTTAACGGTATTCAACTGTTTTTGTACATGCAGAGACATACCATCTCAATCATACTAAGTGCCACACGGTCCTTGGAGCTCTGACCGGCGCCATTGAGAAACTATACCCTTAAATTAGATGCCTATATTCTGAAATCCTACATTCGAGATGCATACCTCTGCCTTGGCTAGGATCTCACATCCTGTTTCATCCGATAAGGATTTGATACGAAATAGTGGTGTATTTCCTATGCATCCCTCAATGCCATTGACAATGGCTGGGGGCCCTGATCGAGGAAGCAGCTCATCTGATGTCGTGCTTGTTTCTGTTGGTTTCTCGTCACGCCGTGAGTCTAGGGTCTCTTTATATAGTAGCGCTAGGCAGACACCAGCGGCAAATGCCGTGCCAATATACAGAGCGAAATGATCCGGCATCGCTGACTAGCTATCGCGGCTCTTTGTAATTTTCTCTGTTTGTTTTTCTGTCGAATTGAAAATGCTCGGCTCACATCAAGCTTTCCCTCGATTTGGGAATAAAGGGAATTGAAACAAGCCAAATGAGATGATACTTTTAAAACAATCTGATAAAGTTAATAATGAAGTTAATGATAGAAGGGCCTCAAGCCATAATACCAAAACCGAATCGGACAAGAATTAAGAATGAAGCTGTAATCAGATCCGCCTTGGGCACGTGATTTTAATGCCTGGGGCCGCCATATATCACCGAAATGTGCAACGCTGAAGGTCTTCTAGCTTCAAGCTCCTACATCATGGACTCTCTTGTGCTCAACCAGCTCTTCCGGCATATTTTCCGTCATCCAGCGTGTCAATCTCTGCGATACCCCCGTCCTCTTTCTCCCGACAGACCCGATCATTCCTCACGCGACGCAATGCCACCAAGCGCAAGTCACAGGATGGTGGCATGCTCTGGACGAAACGGGGAGACAACCCTAAAAACATCGATAAGGAGTACTGGTCATATCCGACTGTGACGGCCAAGGACCTGCGAACTCGGCGAGAGCGACCGCGGCAAGTGAAGATGTTGACGCGCGAATTTATTGACGGTGAGTTCTGAGCCACAGCCTGGGCCTATAAAGCGAGCACGATCTAACAATCAGCCCTATAGACAGTTTATATAACCCGCATTATGGCTACTTCTCGAAGCACGCGACTATTTTCAGTCCTGGCGAGCCATTCGACTTCAATAATATCGAAGATGGGCCGACCTTTCATCGACTGCTTGGACAGCGGTATACGGAATTCGAAGATAAGCTTGATGAGCTCAAGCCCGATATTGCAAGGCAGCTTTGGCACACACCGACAGAACTGTTTCGGCCGTACTACGGCGAGACTATTGCGCGGTATCTCGTATCAAATTATAAGCTCACGCTCTATCCCTACCACGACCTAATTATCTATGAGATGGGCGCTGGTAATGGTACAATGATGTTGAATATTCTGGATTTCATTCGTGATACAGACTACGAAGTGTACCAACGCACTAAATACAAGATCATTGAAATCTCGCCTGCGCTAGCTAATATTCAATACAAGAATATGCTCGACGCCCTCAATGCCGCCGGTCACCGAGATCGTATTGAGATTGTGAACAAGTCAATTTTCGACTGGGATACCTACGTTCACTCACCGTGTTTCTTCTTGGCTCTCGAAGTTTTCGACAACTTTGCCCATGACTCCATCCGCTACGATTCTCGCACCGAACTTCCCCAACAAGGCGGAGTCTTAATCGACTCCGATGGCGAATTCCACGAGTTCTTCAATAGACAATTAGATCCTGTCGCTGCCCGGTTCTTGCGTGTGCGCCAGGCCGCGGCTAGACGTTCATTCCCTAGCCCACTTGGCCCGCGGGTCCTGCGCGGCCTACGCTCCGTGCCACCTTTTGGGAAGAATTATTCTCAGCCCGAATATATTCCCACGCGCCTGATGCAGTTCTTCGATGTGCTGAATCAGTATTTCCCTGCACACCGTCTTGTGGCTAGTGATTTCAGCTCTTTGCCAGACGCCGTTCCTGGATTGAATGCGCCAGTAGTACAGACTCGGTACAAACGGACCACGGTGCCAGTGACCACTCCATTTGTAAGTTTGGTTTTCACTCCGCGTCAAACTTATGGACTCAGCTAATTCATCTCTTACAGGTTCACCAAGGCTACTTTGATATCTTCTTCCCCACAGACTTCCACGTCACGGAAGATGTTTACCGTGCTGTTACTGGAAAGCTGACCCAAGTCTCCAGTCATGAGGACTTTGTGGATCGCTGGGCTTATATTGAGGATACGGAGACTCGCAATGGGGAGAATCCACTTCTGTCCTGGTATAAGAATGCCAGTATGTTGATGACTGTATAGATTTAGGCACAGCTATTATATGTACAATATCTATTGAAAAATGGTTTAAAAGAACGCTAAAGCACTCAGGACATAGATTGTGCAATGCTAACCCCCCATTATCAAGAAAGAGCCCATTCCAACAGAAGCAAAGAAGAAGATCACTGTCAAAATCCCACCACCAGCTTTTTGTCCAGTCGTCATAGGCTTAACAGTGTCTTGGGTATCGCCCATCCCAGCATTAACATCACCGCTACTATTTCCACCAGTGGAGGCAGTAACGGGGCTGTAGTTGGAATCATTCACCCAACGCAGCATATTCGCACTGAATAGATTGCTCGCACTGATCTGTTCTTCCATACCGGTCCATCCATCCCATTTTGACTGCAACCACCGAACTCCACAGGTATTGTTATTGTTACCTGTGCAGGATGCGGCGGCACCTGCTGCAGAAGATTGGAGATATGGGAGGATGCGGGCAGAGGTCGATGGAATCAGTAGAGCCGTAAATGCGAGCCAGGAGGATTCAAGACCTTTGAATAAGATTTCGTTGCTGTTGCACTTTTCACTCGGTTCGCAGGTTACTTCTGACATAATTTTGTTGTCGAAAAATTTATCGAGTGTCGTGTTTAGCAGGCCATTCACAGCATCAAGCCAACTGGACTCGTTTGTCTGATGGGAAGAAGTCAGCATTCATCCGAAACCCCCAATCTTCAGGGCATTGTCATGCGGGGAAGACATACATGGCTATACATATAAGCAGCGCCCATCATGTAAATGCCATAATTATAGGTCCACTGCGTATGGTCGCCATTATTGCATTGATTCTCGCCATTTGTCGAATCGGACACTTCCCACGTCTTGTTATTTACTAGTGGCACAGAGCATGACCAGTCCCAGGCCTTGCGTGCCCATTTGAGATATTGATCATCATTAGTATACCGGGCCAGACGAGCGGCTAGTTGGAAAAAGCCACCGTTGGACACGGCATTTTTCAAGTAATATCCACTCCCTTGGTAGACATAGAGCTGCCAGCGCAGTCCGCCGTCGCACATGCTCGTTTCCCAACGATCCTTCTGGGTGTTGAAGACGCCTTGTGCGAGAGAGAGCCAGGAGAAGCCGGTTGGCATGTTGGGTAGTTTGAGCTCGGCGGCTGTCATCGCTGCTAGACCCCAGAACATCTGGTCGTCATTTCCCTTTTCATCGGAGTCAGTTTGAGCTCGAAGTCCGGTTCTAAGCCAATATGGTCGCTTACAAGGTAACTACTGTAGTTACTTGGCATATAATCTCCCTCAGTACCAGACTGCCATTGGAGTCCAACCTTCAGCTCGTCATTGTATGTGTCATCGCCGGTGAAATGCCAGTAGTTCAACAGCGCCAAGAAAAGAGCAGCTCCTTCCCACCATTTCGATGGGAATGCACCGGGAATAGCCCCGGTTTCATTACCACTATACCACTTCATCATCCCGTAGGTAGCGTCGCTAGCGGCATCTTTGAAAGATTCTATTCAGACAGATATTAGCAAGTCTGGCGACCAAAAACCTATCAATTGACTGCGTTCCAACTTACGCTGATCGTCAATGTTCAGATTGATCGCATGGACTTGAAAGATCTGTGCTAATAGAAGAAGACAGGTACATATTGACCATCTTCCTTGCACATGCATAGCTGTGAGAATAATAACAAGATTACGCAAAGGAAAAAGAATGGAAGAGAGTTGAAGTAGCGAGTATTGGAAAACCAAGTGGATCACCGCCCTCCTCCCTAAACCGCCTTATGTCATTGAATATCCAGTCAAGTGGGGAAATTAAGATAGACCCCTGCGCCTCCCTGAGAAGTGGAGTGTCAAGAAAGAGGTGAAACGTGGTTCGTTGATCAATTATATCGTGGGCTTGACCCACTGTGTCAATTATATGCTGTCCACGTACTCCGTAGTGAACTCCGTTTAATTTCAATAGTTGCGGCATACCCTGAAGTTACTCCCGAGTTATTCTCTCAGGCACCTGGAGATCTTTGAGTTGTACATCGGAGCCTCCCTTGCGAAGGATGAGAAACTTGAAACCTTTCATCTTCAAGCGAAGGATTTGGGTCCTCACATGAGAATCTAGATAGGTCACATAATGTATTTCAGCTTTTGGCTGTTGGAAGAATTCAAAGCCATAACTATGAAGGCTGACTTTTTGCGGCTGAGGAGGGCCCAAAGATGTGGTAATACGGCCTCCAGGGGAAGCGAAACCTCAAACACCAAACCCAAAGGAGCCGTGGACAGGGACGGTTGAAAGGTCCACTACGGTTGGGATTCCCTTATATTTTGACCATCTGAATGGTTCGTCTATTTTTAATTTGAAGATCACTTTGACGTGACATCATTATAGTAGTAGACATTTTCCCTTGGAGGTTAGAGCAGTCTTGGCAATTACCTAAAGAAGCTTAATCAGTATCAGATCTTGACGACATAAGTAATCCACTCTCACTCTTATGATCAAGGCATAACTCGCAGCTAGCTTCTATCCTTCTTCAACTACCCCGTCAGCCATCAACATCACACAGAAACTATTATCGACAACAAATTGTTTCTATCTTCTGCTAGCAGCTAGCCTACATAAAGGCGATATTCCCACAATCACGTTGTACAACCATCGTCTATGAGTACCAGAACGTGCTGACAATATGAACCTTGGAACTAATCTGTCTGCATTGCATTGCATCACATGCAGGATGGTATTCATGGATTTCTCAAGAAATGTCCAGACCGAGCCCCGGCTCAGAAGGGGTCTCGACTACATAATATGATTTAGCTGAACACGAAGATGTTGCCCCGTCAAGTCCACACTACCAGCCATGAAAATTGAAAGGTCAAGTGGGATTAAAGTAGAACGTGCGCGAAGTGAAAGTGGGAAAGTGACAAACTCACATTTGTCACACTTGACCACTACGATGCGTGTACCGCGCCAAAACACCTGCCCAGCAGCCATAGAATTCCCTGTAGCTACGAATATGGGCAGCCGCATCAATTCAGATTTTGCAAATAACTACTTTCGCAGCGAGATCTGCCGACGGCTGCTGGCCATGTCTTCCAGTGATCGATATGTCACCAGCTTTTCCCAGGGGCTTTGATTTCAATCAACACTCCCGAGATATGACTCGACAACAGTCTCCTGCTGCATTTGCTCTGAAATATGAGGGTCAGCGGCATATTTCGCTAGAGAGGTACGACTCAAGAATCATAGAAGGCTGCCCGTGACAAAAAATTAGTGAGACTGATGCAACAAGTTGACCCGTCTTGGGCAATATAGATCTTATCACAAGATGGCTTACAAAACAGCGAATCATTTCATGTCGCAGTACTTACGCGCCACCAGGAAATCACCTCCCCCTTTTCTGTTGCTGGTTTCATAGCTTCTAAACAGCTTGGCTTATGTACCAGATGTCTGGTATTCCTTCTGTAGTCATGCGATGAGATTACGCGACACCATCATTATGCTGCATAGTCCCATATTAGACAAAGAACTTATCATTTTATGATTTCCTAAAGAGGAATAGTCCTTATGTTCTTGGGACAGCGGTGCAGTTGATATTTCCTTGTAGCTACCTTTCTCGAGCAAGTATGTACGTAATCTTCGGCTTATGTTCCAGTTCATTCGTATCTTTGGCTTCCCTTGATAATCTTTTGAAACTTGAAGAGTGGACAGAATAGCTTTTGACCATATCAGAGTCAAAAAAAACCCGCATGGAATTTCCATCTAAGACAGTTAAATATACGCTTGAAATGAACAAAAATCGGTTCTCAAGTTGGAGAACATTGACACAATCCCGTGCAGATGCATGGCGCCAGAATAAGATACATAAACGTAGATAACATCGCTAAAACCAGTCCCAAACCAAAGACAGCAGAGAAGAGAAAAGATAAGAAAAACGGGATCGACAGATACTGGAGTGGAGTATTCACAGCTGCTCGAATGTCAAAGAGACGGTAGGATCAGATATAGATCCAAATCCACCGCCAGAAAGAAATATAAGAATGGAGTGGTCACAAGAATCTTTTAGGCGTGATACATATAATCAAAAATCAGAGCCATGAGTGATCATAGAAACAAGAAAACCCATCCGGTTAGTATCTATGTTGTTTTCAAGAATAAAAATTGCTCTTTTGAAAGCTCTCCGGCGAGATGTCGCTCAACTTGCCATTTATCTCTGGTGGTTGGTCAGGCTTCGAGAGCGCAGATAGGCGCTTCGTGCGGGCATCTGTTGCATCATTCGTTGTGCTGGTGAGACTAACTGACTCATCGCCAGTGATGGCTTTCTGAGCAGGTCGTCGCTGGATGGTCTCCAGGTATGGGCCAGGTAGATAACCGACTCGTCCGTCACGAGCACGGCACCGCCACCACTCTGAGGCATTTCCCATGGGGTCAGACTTACTGAGGACAGCCACGACATCGCCCTTCTTAACGGCCAGATCTATGCCGTTGGCATCCTGGTTCTCAGGGGTGTAGTCATACATCACACGGCAAAAGTCCAGTTTGGACGGATCAAGCGATGCACCCTGTGGCTCTCCACCGGGACCGACAAGTTGCTGGCGACGGCGTGCCTCTGCCTCCTGTGACCGGGCCATAGCCCTAATCAGCTTGGTCATCAAGTAGGGAAGACCGAAAACAGCAATTAGAAACATGAAGAACGGCTTCTTCGAGGGCTTAGCAGGAGCCGGTGAGCCGTCGGGGAGAGTGACGGGCGCCGAACGCCCACCCATGAAAGCCGCAAAAGCAGCCGGAGTCAGAGCAGTCGCATCTGCTGGAGGAGGGCGACCTGTGAGTTTTGCAATCAGTGTGCGGAACCATCGAATAAGTGTGAAGATCCCTAGAGCTGAGCCGAGAGTATTGCGCAAGTTCCCGAATTGCTCAGCAACCGAAATCATTGCTTCAAGTGGGTTAGCGAATGCATTCAAGATATAGAGACAGGGTAACCTACCAAAGAATGAGCTGTGGGTGGCCATGTACGTGCTTTCCAGCATCTGGGCAAAGCCCCCGAACGCGCCAACAATGCTTTCGATCATCTGGAAGGTAGCCTGTGTGCTTTGGCTGAAAGAGTTTGTCAAGCTATTTGGGTCGTTCGGGTCTTGCCCAGGCATGCCTCCGTACATGCCTCCCATGCCACCATACATGCCTCCCATCCCGCCCATGCCTCCATAGCCACCGTACATCGATCCCATGGATCCGAAGCGGGAGTAGGGTGAAGAGTAACCGCCATAGCCACCCATCCCTCCTATTCCACCCATTCCAGCTCCAAAGCGCGAGTTGCCATAGGGAGAGTAGCCAGTGGTGGTAGATGTGACAGAGTTGAGTGTGCTAGGGCGGGAGGGTAGTTCAGGAGCGGAGGTGCCCACAGAAGGCGAGCTTGCAGTCATAGCGGTCGAAGCGACAGGACCAGCAGTAGGAGATGGAGATGCTGTGTTACCTTGAAGGTCGTTAGTTACCTAAGTATCTAGAGGTGGAGTTGCGATGGCAAAGCGGAGTCACACCGCTTTAAGGGTTTATCTTACCACCAGCAGTGCCTGCTCTTTCCCAAGGTTTAGGGGGCGAGACCGACGCCATGATTGGGTTCAGTAAATTTGCATCGGTGAGGAGAGTGGTCTGATTTAGAGACTTTGGTAAGATGATGATGGTGTGGGGAGAGGAAAAGTCTCATGTGTGAGTGGATTTGGAGCCGAGGATGTTCGGCGATTTCGGTATTTGCCGAACAATGACAAGTGTGCACTATACTTTTGATGACTGAAGTTGAGCTGAATTTAAAGGTCTTAGATGATGATTTCATTGGACTATTCGACAGCAATAAGTTCCAAGGATTTTTTTAGATTTTGTCTACGATTCTAAGTACAGTTCAATTCAATAATGATATATTTTCCCCGTCAAAACTCTGCAGTGGCAAATCCGCTATCGTTCAGTTCATCTGATTGGTACAATCCCGTGATATAAAAACGAGTATGCAGTACGCATTAAATATGTACCTGTGTAGTACTGTGTACAATCGGAAGGTTATCAATAGCAGAAGGAACTATTAAAAACATAAAGTCTCAAAATCATAGCTTTACCAAGAAAGATTTTTATAGAATAGTCTCACCATTATGGTAGATAGATTATCCTCGTTTTATAACGGGTTTACTTAAAGTCATTATGTTGCGACAGCCGAGAAACAAGGCCATCAACATACGGAAAGTATTTCGGCCGAAAAGTTTCTGCTAAGATAGTGACTCTGGAACTAGATTAGTATATCACGGCATCCTTGAACGATATGCATTCATCGCAAACGACACCCTTGAGCGATGTGCATTCGCGACAGTAATGTCCCGTCTTCACCGTCTCTTCTGTCTCGGACGAATGTTTACATTCGTCTAGGATAGAGGAGCGCCTATATACTATATAAGTAGCTAGTTCTCTCATCAATGAAAAGGAGACTTCACAACAACCGCAGCATTCAGTATCGTAGCATCCACTACACTTGTTGGATTTTCTACGGTGCTGAGTAGTATCGGTTCGTTGAAACTCACCAACTCCTCGCTTACTGTAGTAAACTTCAACTCTTTGTTTTACTGCAGTAAGAACTCGAACCCCGTTCTTAGTTATCGGCGACTAGCTAGTTACGCCCGCTAAAGCGAGCGACACATTATTTTACTGGCTCTTTAACTATATCTCTTCACTAGAGTAAGGATTAGAGCTTTCATACCAGCCTATAAGGATAGGAAACATTGTAGACCCCGATGGCAAGTGGGATATGCGGAATGTAGGGGTATTATCAGTCAATGGACTCGCTAAGTTTCCTCTCGGGGTACTTGTACTGCGATGGGGTTTGTCAGACACTATTTGCCGTCTACAAGACACCCGACCCAAACATTGACCTCACGTTCCGAGAATCTGGTGTTATCATGAAGTACTTGATGGAACGGTACGATGTCTCTCGCAAAATAAGTTTTGAGCCTGGCTCTAAAGCCCAACTGGCGCGTTAGTGGCTGTTATTCCAAGCTTCCGGCCAAGGTCTATACTATGGCCAGGCGTGCTGGTTTAAAAAGTTACATCCTAAGTGGGTGCCCAGTGTGGTGCAGCGTTATATGAACGAGATTAACCGTGTCTCGGGGTTGTAAATGAATTTCTCGAGTAGACAGGAAACCGAGGAGGGGGGGCCCGTGATTGGTGGGAGATAGGTTTCGTTGCGATTTAGCTTGGGCCAGTTGGCAGATTACGGTCACCAAATTAATATAGGAATAAAAGGGATATGATGTTAATAAATGTCCCTTTGTGAAGGGTTTGAAGGGTTGGTTGGACCGCACGTTGAGCCGGGAGCCTATAAAGAAGGTGATTGAAGAAGCTCAGAGGCTGTAATACCTTGACTTCCCACCTATCTGGTTATTCCTATTTACCAGCCTGACGCCATCTATAAAGAAATGAGCATTGTATTGGATCGAGTTAAGTCTTCTGGGAATACATGTAATTAGTGGAGTTCATACCTAGAAAATTGAGGTCAAAATATGCTTCATTAGGTGTCCGAGGGCGGCTAATAAACTATGATTCTGGAATGCCTACGATAAAAAGTTATACCCAGGTCCGTATCAATATCAGCATGAAATCAACTCACTCATGAGTGCCAAGTCGGTCCCCCACAGTATATCGGCGACATTCGTGGATCCATCGTGCGCCAGGACACATGTGTCCTCAAGATCCTCTAGAACACGTTCAATCCATTGAGCTCTGCCGGATGCGTGGAGAATTTGAGCCACAATGTGATGAATTTCGATTAGTTCCCTAGATGGCAAGTCGAAGCTGGTGCCATGTGCACTGAACTGCACATTATTAATTCTTCGTACACGTGTAAGGACTCGTGGTTGCCAGAGATGTGGGGTATATTGGTCCTGGAGGCCAGTGGCTACTAAAGAGAATTTAAACTCGCCGAATTGATCATGAACCTCTTTAGCCATAGTGATCAGATTCCGATGGTCGTTTATGTCATCATGCGTGAAGAGTACTGCGAGATCATCGAGAATTGGAAAGCACCATCTGATTGATGTCCAGACTTCCGACCTTTCTCGAGCCTTTGTATAACTAGTGAATGCTGAGAGCGAAAATAGTAAAATATAGGCATATTGAGTGTCACATGTATCTCCTTGAAAGCTAGGGGGCATCTTCTGTTCGTCTGGGGCAAGAGTGATAGCGCACCGATTGTTGTCGCGTAAAAGACAATCTTGAGGCCTTTCAGCCTCTTAGCTGTGACTGTCATTTTGCTGTACTGATTCTCGACCTCACGTTGCATCCCTGGCCATGGAGATAGAGGTGTGGAGGCTGGAGTTTTACGGGCCCTCATTGGGAGGAGAACATGGTGCACTAGAGATTCCATATGTTGATTAAGCTGAGAATCCGTCATGTGCAAGATGTCTCGTTCCATGGAGACTCTTCCTGCACGGGGGAGAAAATCTAGGAACGCTTGAATAACTCTGACGGTATCATCATCAGAACCTGTTGGTTGATACTGAGCAAGGCGGGGGAGGCAGGGGATTCATCTTTGATAGAAGAGGCGTCAAGCTTGGAATGATTAGTAGTTTTGCTGATAAAATTGCAGCGGAGAGTACTTTGTTGAGTATTCGGGGTTTGAACTGAAGTTTCTCGTAAGTTTCGCGTTTTGAACGAGAAATTGTGGTATCGGGGAGCTTATAATGCTCAAACACGTGCTGAGTTCTACTCAGGGAGCAAAAGCAGCGAAAGGGTGAGCACTAATACGGAAGGGAATGCCAAGAGCTGGTATGGAAAAAAACGGTACATAGGTAGGTAATCGGATCTTAGGTTAGTTGTTGTCTAGACAAGGCCATTTGTTGCTTGAAAATAAAGAAGGATCTAAATATATTCAAATGTTTGTGGGCTTTCATAACAAGTAAAAGAGCATTATAACGCTAATATCAGTGAGATTTCTCCTCTTCAAACATTCTCCATGGCGGAATCAAAGTACTCAATCATTTGACACCCAGTGTACGAGCTTTCCACTGCAGTCTTCAAAGGCTCATATTGACCAGGCCCATAGCTAACAAGCAGAATCTTAGTCAATTTCTGCCCAATTTCCCAGTTTGCCGCCGCAGACACGAGGAACAAAAGCTCACTATCCTCATCTCTTATACTCCCAGTCTCAGTTTCGAGCTGAGGACTTAGAACCCCGAGAATTCTCAAGATAGGCATCAATTCCGACAGAGGCCCTTTAGTCTCTTCCAAAATATCGCACACTTCATGAACAATTAGCGGCGGCGAAGCACTGATTAGCTTTTGCAGTACCATGAGATTGCAATGAATTGCAGCAGTGAAGATAGCATCCTTGACATCTTGGACAGAAAGCGGGCCTTCCTCCAACAACCTGTCCACGACAAAGTCGAATTCCAGCCTCGACGTGTAATGCAACCTTTGAGAAATACCGGTTTTCTTCGACTGCGGTGTATCTTTGCTACAATATATGCGAAGCCATTTCAAAAGCGCCCCAAAGCACTCCTTGCTGAAGGCCTTAGTGATCATAGATTTCAAGTACTCATTGTTCGCAAAATTAAATGATTTCTTCACATGCCGAGGCCAGTAATATGCCGCGTACTGTGTTGACAGCTCCTCCTCGAAAATGTCTTTCACTTCAACTTTGTCAATATCAGTCAGGCAAGTGAGGGTGACAGTTGCTAGCTTTGTGTGAGCAGAGGTTCTTCACAGTAGTAGCTGGCTCGAGTCTTCATAGTGTTCCTCGAGGTACTCTTGAACAGACAAATGCATAAAACGACAAAACTCAGGGATTCCAAAGTGGACTAATTCCCATTCAACGACCAAAAGATTGTCGCATGCATCGAGGACAATGTTAATATCTAGGTCTTCATGCTCGATACATCCGTTCTCAGGATTTCGACGAACAAATTCAATGAGTGCCTCTGTAGACAGTGGTTTGAAGGAATGCAGCATCCACAGAAACGTTCGATGCGCTATTTCTGGCTTGCTTCCTTCCGAATTTTTAATCTGATGAATTAATTCATCGTATGCTGTCTTTAAATCTTTGGGCAATCGGCCCCGCCGATCTTGTATGTCTTTCTGTAGCTTAAGACGTAGAATTTGATCAATATGCAAAGCTGCCCATTGGAACCTTAATTGAAAGTGAGCAGAAGTGAATGTAAAGTAGGATCTCACTTTGACTTACATCCCCTGGCTTTTTTCAAGAAGAGTCGAAACTATTTTATCCTTCAACTTCTCGCCAATTGGTATACGTCGACTTCCCTGTACTTGTTCGATTTTTTCCAGCACAAACTTGGTGATATCACCCTGGTTGTCGGTGGCATCAATGCCAATATTCACCTTCTGTTCAAGCCGGAATTTTATGTCCTCGTTGCGTCTGCTAGAGATCAAGACCTGCTCCAGCCTCACGTTGATACTTTGCATATACGTCAATGAGGTCTTGTTGAATAACTTGGTCACCGGTAAGTGGAGATCTCGAGAGCTGCCTGATATAGCTTGACAATATGTTGGCTAAAACACGGCGCTGTTTATCATCTTTCTTGCAATAGAAGTAAGCAAGAGCAGTGTCTTGCTATTGACCAGAAATATGGTCGATGATTCGGGATACAAGCTTTGTTCTGCCCGCACCGGCTGACTTGCAAGTTAGCTATATGACCCAAACGAATTGAAGGCAGTATACTCACGGATACCATGAATCCACAATAATGATGACTCGTCAGATTTCTCCCACAATAAATACCTCTCATGCCTCAAGATCAACCCACCAGTACCCGCTGTACGACCTTGGCAAGCGGTGATATGATGAGACTTGTAGGGAGTGGTTGAAACCCAATTAAGAATATCTAAGACTTTCTGTTCCTCCAGCCTCGTCCATAAAGCCTTAGTCATAGAATAGACTTGGTCAAATGTATCTTTCAAATCATTCATGTTCGGCAGTTGGAGAATGAGTCTATGTATTTCGGATGATTGCGTTCTGTGCAAGTTCTGGGCCTCAATCTCAGCACGAGTTTCAAGCTCACCACAATGTTTCTCCAAGTTTTGAATTTCATTAGACGTCCAGAGGGCAGCCAAGGCTCTTTGAACACTATTTTTCTCATGTGTCGGCTGCTTTAAATAGGAATTTTAAGATGACAGCGTAGAACTCCACCAATGCGGACTCGAGGTTCTGATAAGCTTGTGAAGTGCTCTGTTCCGACTGGAGGAGAACCTCATATAGCCTACATCGATAGATGATGTACAGAACCCGATTTAAGCCGCGAAGAAGAGCTTCCATTTGATTTCGCTCCGATGTTACTGCCTTTAGGACGTTAGAAAATGGAGCCAAACAAGACAATGATGAAATACCTGAAGTAGAAACCTGATACCTGCCCACGGCAGACCGAAATGAATGGGATCGATATTCGCTTCAATATCCCCTACTGCCTTGAATTTCTCCAGCCAGTTCAACGCCTTGTTTGCTATATCCCTCAACATAATTGTATGCATCCCGTAATGGAAGAGCCATCTTTTTTTCTTCGCAGGTCTGTCGCTTTTCTTGTATAGCTTGAATAATAGTTTCAACTATCAAGTCATCGTCAATCTGACAATCTTTAGCGAAGCCACGGACAGCTCCGCCCTCTTTCTCTGAAAGGGTTTGAAGCGCTTTTGTCCAAAGGGCATCGTCTATAGAGGAGACAGTCACATTCGGTTGAGTAGACTTAATGACAAAACTGCATGGAATCTGTTTTTCTTGTGAATCCCGGTTCTTTGTAGATATCCCAGGTGATAGCGATTCCACCGGTGAGGCGCTAGAAGGCGACTCCGATACTAATAATGCTGGATCCCATTTTTGTGAAATACTTCGAAAGCGGAAAAGGGACCTCAGGGACTTCAAAGTCATGACTTTTTAGATTTGCCAGCTGGTCAATCTTGATTATGTTGGCCTTTGTCGCCCAATCAAGCGGGTTAGAAAGGCGTTTTTGCTGCTGAATTTCTTTCTCGCGTTTCAGATTCGTAATTGCGGGCCACCGCCTAATGTCTCACAATTCTGAAATGATCAATTGGATCATGATCGGACTCATCGAAGATCTTCCCCGCACGAGCATCATCTTGGCAGATGACAATCTGAGGTCACCTGGTTTACTTATATTGACACCTTGCTTTTCAGGCTTCTTTTCATATTTACGTATCCCCTTGACTGGCAAAATGGTCAGCACTAGCGCCTTGGCGAAACCTGAAACTATAATTGGCTACCATTTATTACTCAGCTATTTTTGAACTAACTAAAGAACACGCATAATGGGTTTATTTACAACACTCTTCTCCACTCTCTCTTCTCTTTTGGGACGCGTTTTCCAGTATTTTCATGATGGATATGGACGACATAATCCTTAGCTCATCTGTAGCTGGATCGCCTATTCTGTCGCCTAAACTAGAGCCTAAAGAAGAGCCTAAATTATTGGCTGATGTGCTTTTGGAAAACGCGTTTTTGAGCCTCTTGAAATGCCTCCAGAGCCTTCTTCTCCGGACATCAGTCAAGGGGATAGTGGCCAAGGAATCATATGTTCCAAGTTGTATCTACAAATAGGATGCAAAGGAGATAGATCTGTTCAAAAGATATATGAGATATCGATTGTCTTCAGACTCTGATGAAACAAGTAAAACGCCAAACGGTTTATTGATATCAAGAGGAGAAAAGGTAGTCAAACCAAACAACGACGCTAAGAAAGCCCCGGTTCAACGCCGATTATATACATGATGCGATTAGATGCAAAGAATTAGCTATTTCATAACTCATTATTATGAGCAGATGGAGGTTCATGGGCCCGAGGTCTCGACGTAGGATGTGGCCCTGGAGCCTTGAAACCCCAAGGGCGAGGGGGTGCAGGTATGCCGAGCCACAAAGACCAAGCACGCTGGGTTTCAAAAGTAATAATCTCATATCTAAGAATGTTTGTTAGGTGTGTTTTAGAATGAACGGTTCATTCCAGACTTACAATGTAACTGGTAGGTTCCACCAACTTTTCAACACGAAGATAGTTGTGTCTCGAACTGTGACCCACTCCGCATAGATGTCATCCCAGGCTGTAGCGTCAGGGGGTAGTTCTGGACGTTCCCACGGTTTGCGACCTTCCATTCTATCGCGCCCGTGTGTCCATTCGCCTTCACCGTTCTTGTAATACATGTTCCCAGTACCGTCGTGGTAGATGGCTTGCTCTTTCTTCCTTTCAGCTTCCACTTCAGGTTCAAGAGCGGGTTCGGGCTCTGGTTCGAGCTCGGACTTGCGGTGGGTTAACGTCCCGTAGTGATTGAGAGGGAACGCCTCCTCTCGCCCAGCCTCCAAAGCGTCGTGGAAGCTTCGAGCAGCAGCTAGACTGTGAGAGATGCGGCCGAGAGTGTTGATCAGAGCAACGAGCTCCGTGCGACGAAGCATCGGGTTCTCGCCGTTCTTCGTCTCGTCATATTCGAACAACACTTTCAGTGCAGTCCCGTATCCGCTTGTTTGAAGCTTACCCCAGAGCCGACATTTGTCGCAGCCGACGCAGTCCATGATCCGACTGACGTTGCGGAAGCGGTTACGGAAGTCTTCCTTCAAACCTTGGGCCATGGGATCCTGGAACATGATCGCCTCGTCGAAGATCTTAGGCGGACGAGAGAGAACTTCGGTCAGCTGGCTGACGCGCAGTTTTGTATCGGCGTCCTGCGCCGGGTCGCTGGTGCAGAAGGTGTAGCCTTCCAAGTGCGTTCGCAGCTTAGCTACAGCGCGGGAAACCAGGGCGTAGTTGAAGTACATGTTTGAAATGCGCTCCGGGTGGTCGTGGAGACGCTCCTTGTAGCACTGCATATTGGGGTGCCACTGGCCGGTTGTTTGATTCAGGTAGTCCCAGCAAAGATGGGTCGAGATGGAAGCGTGCATACCACTGATGAGGCGATGGTAGACTCGCTTCTCCAAGCACTCGTTATCCAAGGGCAAACCCTCAAGTCGATGAGACTCCTTCTGCAGCATATTGCGGAAATCAGAGACAGCCTGAAGTCCGCCCATCGGGGCGTTCAGCGAATTTTCCTCCAGCTCTTTTTCCACAGGCTTCAGGAAGCAGTTCTCACGATAGATAGCGTCCCAAATCTGGCGGGACCCTTCTCCCGAGTAACCTGTGAACCGCTCTGGGTTATCCACCAGACTCACATAGTCGCCCTTGCCAGCCGAGCCCTCGTCCTCGGGAACACAGTAGTCTCGGTCGTCACACTCATCGTCGTATTCCACAACACAGCTCTCACCTACGCCCTCTCCAAGCATACCCTGGAGTGGCCTCTCGGGACGCTCAACTTGAACTCTGCGCGGCGGGTGGTTCGCTTTAGGCCCCTCGAGCTTGCTCAGTTCCTCCGCCCGCCAGACAAGCGGGATGTCCTCTTCAGAATCGATGGTATTTACAGCACATGCGATATTACCACACATGCTATCTGAGTCTTGCCAGAAGGGGCATTCTTTGTTAAACAGGTTCAATCGGTAGTACGAGAAGAAGTCTGTCTCGAGGGTGATGGACTGGAGGAGGGTGTAAATTTCGTCATTGAGTGTGTTGAGAGTACCGTAAGAGACGCATGCATCGGATACCATCACCGATGGGTCAAACTAGACAGCGAAGCATTAGTTGAGCGAAATTTGTATCCGCAATCCGCAACACGGCTTGACCTACGGCGCATTTCCCCGTATCGAGATCAGAGACATGATTGTTAGCTTCGGTCAATCCTGAAAAGGCGAATATGGCTGCAAAGAGCAGCCCGGCCGCAGAACGCATCTTGCTGGCCTCGTTCATAAAGAAATCGATAGTGGCGTTGAGGCAAAACAGTGGTCGCGCAAACACAGTAAATGGAGGTGTGTCGGGTCGATGTCAACTCAAGTAAGACTCAAGTAAAGACAAAAAAGGAGTTTCGAGTTTTAAATAAACGTTCTAAAGAGGTATTAATATAAAAGAAAAGAAGTGGACAGTCTGGCCTTCAATGAAGATCGGACAATCGCGCCAAGACGAACTAATACCGTGGTCTGATTGATTTACCCTGATTAGTCACTTTATCTAGGGTGGCAATGCCTAACTATTTATTATCTTTCATCGTACGACTTTATAGTATTAAGTGAACATTTATTATTCTTATTAGTGTATTAGATCAGTTTATAGGTTATGATTTGAATTAGTTGATCATTGACTATTGAATTAGAGTAGCAGTCAAACCTAGTCATAATCTAGTTAACTAGCCATTTAAGAAGCTGCTTACAAATAGATAATTTCATGCCTAGCAAATCAATCTGTAGCTTCAATGGAAGGTATCCGGACCAGTACGAATAAAGCATACAATAATAGAACAGGCAATCATGCTATATGACCTCGGGATTTCCGAAGAGGTCTAGAAGATCTCCAAACAAGCCAGTAGATGTATAAGAAGTAAACCAAAACGACGGAAGCTAAATAGCTGATACCTATTACGTGGGGTCAGATGCAAACCACCTGATCATGTATCACTGGCTACTGTGGTATGATCTGATTAATTAAGGGTCCGGTCCCGAGATCCTGGTGGATATTAGCATCTGTTTCTATTTTAACGCTCTTTCAATTTCTATGCTGACCCTTAAACTATTACGTCACCCAAATCAACCTTCGAAATATGAAGAGATCTATTAGGTTATCCGTTATTTCGTACAGTAATCAAGTAGTTCAAAAAGTAGTGAGAGTGAGAAATATTTCAGTCTATAATCGTCTATAACATGAAAGTCATTGTATAACCCATCAACCTTTAGTCATTAAGTCAACATAATAATTTGATCCTCACAATAATTAAGAGCAGAGTCCTAAGCCGAGGCACTCTCCTCAATCTGCTCATTGGATGATTTCCGTCCGGCACCAAACCTGGTGACATATAGGATGATGAGAACAATAAGCAAAAACTACAAGCCAAGTTAGTTTTAAATCAATTAACAGATTTCTCAGAGCACTCACTTGAACACCGGCAACAACAGTAGAGGTGATATAACCATATCGGAACAGCGGAGAATATTTTCCAACATCGAAGATCACAACCGGAAGCCAGGCCTGGGTTGTCGCACCCAGCGTCTGGCAGGTGCCGATAAGAAGGGCACGCACATCTGGCTGATCACCATATCGTTCGTTGACCCAGGATAGAGTAATCGGACCAAAGGCCCAGTGGGTGGCATTCAGGAAGTATCCGGCGTAGATGATACTGCGTGAAGATGCGATAGACAAGAGCAGGCAGCTCAAGAAAGCTAGTACTGAGCAGGTGGCTGCGATCTCAAGTCTTCGGCCGAGTCTATCACTGAGCCAGCCCCAGAAGATTGTTGTGACGAATCCGATTGCGTAGCCACCGGTAGGAATCCTGGTACGTATTAGGATGTATTTTATTTAAAGAGATTAGATTGCTTACACATTGATTCTCTCCACGGAATATATTTTGAGGGACTTGAGCCAGATAGCGAAGTATCCAAGGGGAATAGTATCAACACAGAAGAAACTGCGAATTGTAAGCTTTGATCAGATGACTTTGTAGGTGATACTGACATGTATGCAAGAATGATTGGGTAGGCAGCAAAATCCTTCAGAAGCCTTTTCAAGACATTGAAACTGACACCCTCGAAAGGCTTGCGGTCTACTCTGACCATTCGTGACTGAGCCAGCTCAATCTGCTTCTTCGACAGCCAGCGAGCTTTGGTGTCGTATGGGGAGTCTGGAACTGCAAAGAAGCCCCATGCAGCACCTGGCACAGAGATGATACCGCACATGATAAACAGCCAGCGCCAGCCAGCCAGGCTGTTAGCTCCGTCGAGTCCATTGTAGACGCCAGCCTGGAGGTATCCAGAAAACATGTTGGCTGCAAAGGAGGCAGAGTAGAAGATAGTGGCGCGCTTACCCAGCTCTGAATGAAAGGTTAGCAAGTTTATCAAAAAGACTAGAAAATAGGCGTACCTTTAGGTGTGTACCAATTGCCCAACATTGTCATTGCACCGACATAGAAAGGACTTTCAGCTAATCCAATCAAGAACCGAAGCGCATACACACTCCGTACACTCTTGACAGCCGCGAAACAGAAGGTGAAAATCACCCACAGGACTTCAGAGCAGGGAATCCAAATAGATGGCCGGATCTTGGTAATGATCAGTTGAGAAGGAATCTGTCCGATAATGTAACCACAGGTCCATAGAGTAGAGAATAGGTTGTATTCATTTCCATGAACATTCAAGTCTTCTTTTAAGCCGCTGACATAGGCGTTGGACATGTTAGATGTATCCAGGATTCGGAGGAAGTATCCAAAACAAGCCCAAGTGAGGATGAAAAGATCCAACTTCCATAGCAGAGTGCGTTCTTCTTTCTTATAAGATAGATCATTTTCATCAAAGGTGGTCACCTGGGCAGCCTCCTCAATAGCAGATGGAGTACCCATGGTGGAATATTTTGGGTCTGTATTCTTTGTGAGATTCAATTATGGGAGCCTCGTTTTAAGCTTATTTTCTACCCTAGCAAGCCTTCAGCACTGCCGCCATAATAATGAAGGATTTTATCTTCGAAAATCTGTTTCTCAGATGGTACTAATTACCAATGAACTCATGCTGGGATGCTATGGCGACAGATGAGTTAAATTGATCAATTGACTTCCTTGTAGGTTTGCTTTAGCCTGATTATTCCTGATTGGGCCTGTAGTCCGTCTCGGGTCAGATCCTATCTAGCATTAATCATGTCTGTAAGTCTGGATGTGGCTAGATTAACCACAGATCTATGGGAGACCGGTTTCTCGGGGAGGAAGTCCACGTGGATTGTATCCACAAATTAAAAGCTAATGTCTATAGGAAGAGGAATTGATTGGATTGGAGGGATATTTTAAAAGTCAATTGTGGATTCAAGCATTTTTAAAATCTGATTTTGGACTTCATGGGGGTTTGGCCCATAGGATGTGGGTATATGTTGATGCGCGAGTAACTAGGCTAGGTGTCGAAATATTTTCACGGGATGACTTTAGGTTATACCAAACACCTGGGATTCTGGTTCATATGCTACTAGATTCTAGGCTTGAGTTATACGAGAATATTTAGGAGCCATGAGTAAATTCTTAGTCAAGTGGATGAAATTTTGCGGTTAAGATTTGAGATGGCATTAATTCGGAATTCTCTATCAAATCTGCATCGCTTCGAGATATCTCAAGTGTTCTCCTCCAAGCTGTCAAAAGTGATTGTACTTTCCGAGATCCGTGGGATAAAGACATCTCCAGCATGACGTTTGATTTCCCCACTATGAGATATTGTCTATCACATATAGCCATAGATAACGGTAATTCCAAGGAAAGAAACATTCTATCAACCATCTCAATTCAGAATTCAGCCACGCTAGCTATTCTGTTGAGCTTACGCAAGAATCTGAAGTGTGACTTACAAATAACAGTGCTGCCATCGCGTCACGGAATAACGCCATCGCAAGGATTCTAAGGAAAGTCTTGGGAGAGCATATATGCGCTTAAAGTCAATGACTTATGGAACCATAAATCTGAAATTGGCGAGAATAATCGATCGCTTTTGTCCTTGAATCTGCTAGGATTATTTTATTTCTGTAACCCTTGAAATTCTGCAAGTTACTGCTCGAAATGGCTGCCGATGTCCTTCCTTACGACCTCTATTCCGATGCTCCTGGAATACTGCTAAACAAGCCTGAATGGGAAGAGGCTAATGCAGCCCACCCATCGGATTTCAACTTCGGCTCAACGCCTAAGGGTTGGCCGAGCAAGTTTACAGGGCCTGAGGTGTGGACTGGAGAGTACCTCGAACAGAATCGTAAGAGACCACAAACGATAAAGATTTCTATGAATAAGACTGACAAGCTTCAGCGGATTTGTATATTAAACATCTATCCGAGGCAGAGATTGCCGATATAGACAACGCAATTAAGGTAAGATCTAAATTTCGGAATAACCCTTCAAAAAAACACTGCTAAACAATAGCAGGAATGGAAGAAATTGGCCTTGCCTCTGTCATCAATCAGCCGTGCCAACTTCGCTCTACCCACTGCTGGACCAACCCTTCGCCAGATCTCACAAGACATATACAAAGGTATCGGAATCCAGCTTCTGCGCGGATTCCCCATCTTGAAGTATACTAAGGAAGACCAAGTCATCGCGTTCCTCGGAATCAACGTATGGATCGGTCGTCGACTAAACCAGGGCGCAGAAAGGGGACTTTGCCATATCAAGGTAAGCACTCCTATAATCATCCATGAAAACGACTTCTGACTTAGTCTAGAGCATCACGCATATCGACCCAGCCGAGCGTGGAAAAATCTACGTCTCAGCCCAGGACACAAATGCCCAGATGTACCACAGCGACGCAGGCGGCGACATAGTAGGCCTAATGGCTGTGAGTCTATCTGGAAAAGGCGGTGCTTCGATGATCGCCAGTGCCGGCGCAGTATACAACGCTCTTGCAGAGAGCCGACCTGACATCGTAAGACTACTAGCCGAAAGGAAATTCCGCTGGAGAGCGAATGGAATCCCAGATGAAGGGGTCAGGCTGATTCACGAGCAAGACAAGCAACTGTTTTTGAATTTTTCAACGAGAACGTTCATCGGTTATGGCGAGGTATGTCCCTCCAATCACCACTGGATATAACGACTAACGAGTATAGCTTCCGGAGCGGGATACCGCCTTTCCAGCCTTGACGTTTGAAGAGCGCGAGGCCTTTGGCGGATGGCAATGGGTAGCAGAGCAGCTTGCGCTGAAGACAGAGCTTCAAGTTGGAGATATCGAATGGTGAGCTTACCTAGTCTCTGCGAAAGACAGCATTTTCTCATCTCACTAGGGTCAACAATCTTCATCATCAGCACGCAAGACGCGGATTCACCGAGGACATCACGAAGCCACGCCATCTCCTGCGTGTGTGGTTGCATGACGATGAAAATTCTCCGAAACTGCCGACTGATATCCGGAATAAGTTCGATGCCATGTTTTCAGAGGAACCTACCTTTTTCCCTGTTGATGAGGTTGAGGAAGACCGGTGGAGACGGGAGACTGGCGTGTTCACCGGTTCGTGTAAGCCCGAAACTGCTACAGAGCGATTGGAGAATGGGGGTATTGAAGCTGTGAATGCGAAGGTTGTTAGATAGGTAGATGTCCCCGAGACAGTCTGACTAACATCAGCTGCATAAATTTCAACTAGCCCAAAAAGAACTTCTTTCTATTCTACATATGAAGTGTTATACGGCTGAGATCTATTGATGTATTGAAGCTAAATACCTCGTAAATAACTGGGGCGTAAATCAGTGGGTTCACTCTAGCATGGGGGATTTTGTCTTAGGCCGCTTCAAAACCTGCCTATGAAGGTGCTCAAAGGTTTCTAACTCTCTTATACTAAGGTAACTCAATGCTTACCTGAGAATGCTGCCATGATATTGTCAACTCGACCTTATCATTCGAAAAGTGACAAGAAGCCACGAGGTCCGGGGGTGAACAGACCTCGAGACTGACCAGCAATTCTACCAGCATCTATTAATCGGGGAGTATGCCAAGCTAAATTCCACACCGTCTTGCCTCGTCTCAAATCGATGCCCAGGTGCCAAGATTGAATCGATTGGTTAGAATAAGCAATAGCCTGGGCCAAAGCCTTGGGGACTTTCAACGGAGCTATTTGTATTGGCCTGTTCGTGAATATGGACAGCGAGATCACAGATCACAATCGTCAGCAGTTCTATATTACTTTGTTGTACGAGTATTATTTGAATGATTAGGCGATGATAATATTTGAGCATTGACAGTGAGCAAGTAGTTCAACTTTACAAGGATCAAGAGTAGGCATATTCTTAGCGATAATCTCGGATTTCAATCTCAACCCCTGAATATCAAAATGGGCCGTTCAGGGGTCTTTCAGTAATTAGCTATTAACATGAATTATGTACTCCAAGCTACGGGAGTGAGCCTGAGGGCCCTCTTTAAGCCGCTGATCATTGACCACCGACGTTCCTCTAGAAGTTCAAGGGTAAGTGGTGCCATTGACGAAAGTAGTCGAGTTCCACTCGCCAGTCAACTATAACGCAGTTAGTAAAGAAAAATCAAACTCACGAAAAGAAGCAAAAACTCACGTGGAAAGCATCGATCTTCAGAGTAATAGTGGTCTCATTGTGAGCAGCAGGGTTCAGCACACCGACAGCTAGGGAAAAAAGAAAGTAAGCAACCACCAAGCCACATTATTGAATTTCAAATAGTAGAAAACATACCCAGAATATTGTTAAGCCAATAATAATCCTTGGCCCCGGTCTCAATCTTGACACGCACATGCGAGCTTCCATCAGGCTGTCCGGAGCCCGAAGTAGTAACAAGGAGATAAGCACCATCATGAGTGCGCATATTGTATCGCGAGTCAGCGCTAAAGATGCCCGTCTGCGGATCAGCAGTTCCCCAATCTCCGCCGACATCGAGGATCTCGCCGTTCAAGAGCGGGCCAGTGAAGTTGCCGCCATGGATTGGGAGGAGGCCTCTGATTCCTGAGGGTCCTTGGCCGTCGTAGACGTTTGGAGCGCAGATGATATACGAGGTGTAGAGGTACGTCAGGCCTGGTGGGGTGGGAGTATGGGGTTTGTCATGTTCGACTTCGAGCTCGCTAGGGGCTGCGAGGGCGGATGTGCTCAGGAAAGCGAGCAGGCTAGTAAGTTTGAGGAAATGCATTCTGAAAAAGGATGAAGCAAATAGATTCCAAGATAGATAATTTGGAGCAAAGAACTGAACTGATGAACTACTTGTCTCAGCAGGAGGATCCACCCTTTATAGCTTCTGCTTGCGGCTATGTTTTCTATTCTATTTTTGTCCCTACCTTTAGGTGCCTGAATCACTTGGTTCCAGGGCTTTCGCATCAACATTGGGAGCTATTGCATCTCATATGCAGATGCCAGGAGCTCCTTGCTTGCCAACACTTTTCCTTCGTCTATAGGAAGATTTGATACGTCGATTGACGGAAGAATCTGAATCATTTTGCGACGTGTTAGCTTAGCGAGCTTTACTTAGACGAGAATAGCTTCGCATGGACCTCGTAACTCGTTTATGCATGCGGGAAGCAAGCGCGGCGCAGGGCACAGGGTGATTGCTGTCGGTATGGACGGATGTGGAAATGAACCCGAATGCCGAGAAGAAGAGAAAAAAGAAAACATCTTCATTCTAAGGGATTATGGACCCCGCTTTTCCCCGCATTTCCAGAATGTTTATTACATTTAGAGATTTGGATTTCAAGGTTTGATTAAGAGTTAGGAGTATTGTCATGGTTCAATTTTATGGTGATGGTTTAGACACAATATCATTCAATTCAAGAGTCAATTCAATTCAAGAGTCAAATAAAACATCGTCACTTTTGATCTCAATTTTCAATAATAGTCATTTTAATAATAGTTGTCGCGTAATTCCCGGCACAACACCAATCAAACTTAGTTTTCACATAGTTTATACAGTTAACTCAGTTCTCAAAAGAGCATTCAATCGATAACAAATCCCAAAGTCCTAGTCCCAGTCCAGAACAAAGCGTAATCGTCAAGTCATAAAATTCACCTCCAAAGTTCCTCAAAAAATGGTGCTACTGCGCTTTTTATTACGGCGCAGACTGAGTTTTTTCCGTAGCTGAGTGAACGGGTTTGTGATAGGACGATTGTAGAATGGATCTTTCTTGAAGTCCTCGTCGGTGAATTTCTAAATATCAGTTAGTAATCTATGTGACGGCGATAATCGGAAGCGGAAATGAACATACCAGGCCAGGGAAACGCATAAAATTGCCATGCTCATTCATCATGTTCGAACCCTCTTCATAGTCATAAGTCTGACCATTCGGGTCGGTAGTTCCTGGAGGGAAGAACGCAGTGCCATCGAGTGGACGATGGCTGTTCAGTGAATCAATGATCTTGTCGCGGGGAGTTGCACGAAGAGCCTCTGCATTTGACTCTTTGACTGCCTCGAGCGGGCTGAATCTACTGAGGTGGTTGCGCTCCGGGCAGACAGCATCGTATGGACCCTCATGGTGGTACGAGTAGATGGAGACATCGTCCAGTCGGTCAATAATGTCAGGGTTTACGAGCAGTGAGTTGCGGTTGTAGGTGCGATGTGAAGAGCGCCTATGGGGCGCCGAGTCCCGTTTACGCCGTGGCCGCGGCTCCACGGGTTGGTGTTCAAGATCGGTCCAAAAAACGGACGAAGCGGCTAGAGATGGCTCATATTCTGCATGTGTAATGGATGAGCGGTGGTCTAGTCCTGGTGTCATGAACTTTAAGTATGGGTTGTTGCTGCCGATCACACTGGTGCTTTTGCTGGCACGGTGGTAGTTGTGTGGGTGGTGCGGATGATGGCGGGAGGCCATAGATATGCACTCAACTTCGGACATTCTGAAAAGTCAACGGGTTGCGGTAAGCAATAAAGCTAGATCTGAAAAGATATTTCAGATGAGGGGTTCAAAGATGGAACTCCCAGGTAAGGGATAATTCTGATCACGCGGTGATGTATACAAGATACGAAAGTATAAGGTCACTCGTATACTCGTATAATACACGTGGGTCCAGGAATGTAGCGTGGCGTATACAGAATAGCTGTAGAATATTTGGAAAAGAGTTGAAGGAGAAAGGAATTGAGGAAAGAAAAGTATGGAGGGAAACAGTTATATGGCAACTGCCAGTGACGTGAGTGACTTTTGACTAATACTAAAGTGGACTATTCCACGACTAGTTTAGAGATACTAAACACTAGTTTGAACACTAGAAAGTTCGGCGGACCGTACTTGACACTATTGGTTGTGGGGATTTGCCTGATGAGGTTTAGTACTGAAATCTGGACCCTGTGGATCAGTATAATCTTGCATGACGAGGAACCATGTGATATTATGCTGATGAAGGTATTAGGCTTTCTATGTAACTGATTATATCATTCGGGTAGCAGTACCTATTTAGCAGTTGCGGCCTCACAGTTAATCCAGGCCCAATCGCTGACTAAGTTGCATCCGAGTCTTCCACGATGACGAAGACTATTTCCAGATGATTCATACATACTGAATTACAGTTTATACTTGAATTACTTAGTAGTAGTTTAAATGTAATGGTCGTTCACTTAGAATTAAGCCAAGTTAGCGCTAATCTTTAAAGATCCTTCCAAGGCTCGTCAACATGGTACTAGGGTATAGAGTCTAGACCATCCAGGGTAGGTGCCTTGCTTAAAGTTGCGGAATGTATGTATGTAATACAGGTGTATACAGGAAGAGGCTGCCGGCCGGTCCGAGATGGGGCTCAAGGGGGCTCCAAGGAACGAAAGGCTGAATCAAAGCTTCCACCAACTGGCTGCACGCTGTACGCATCCTACACACCAGGACAGATGTTAACAGTATTCCAGACAAGGGACTACATTAAATCACATAATACATCAATTCCAACATTCATGACTTCGGCTCATCTGAAGATAGTCGAGATTCGCATGTATGAAAATCGGATATAACGGAATGCCCGGGAATGTGGCACGAGGTAGGGAGCTCGGAACTCCACTATTAAACGGACTCAGTTCCCTTTCCATTTGACCCGGTCAGACAAGCTATCCGGATTAAGCGGTATAGGTTCGTGATAGGTTGGTGGAGTGCAGCACGGTCTAGATATAAATGTGAAAGAGACCAAAGGAATGAACCTTGGAATTGATGAAACTAATATGGAGTCTGAAGTTCTGTTACTGTGTATCATGATTCATGCATGAAGATCTAGATCTGCATATCCATAACATTGGACCCTCGTGCTACTACTGATTTACAAACTTTATATAGAAGTATTTCAAGGTTATTATACGTGAGTCCGTAGTATTAAATTCAAGCAATTATTAGTTATTTTCTGAGAATGAAAAACAAAATCTCAGTTGAGATGTTTCTTGAATAGTGAAATTCGGGTGAAAATCAATATCATGTATCAAAAATGCTAACCCAACTTCCCTGATGCTACCTAGGTATGTTTATGTTGATAGAACTCACATAACGATACCTCTAAGGCCATTCCAAGGTTAGATATACCTGTTGAATTCCGTCTTTCTTAGGACTAATGTACATAATGGGCCATGATATTAAACTGACTAATAGTTGTATTTCGAACAATGTCTAAAAGACATAACTATATTAAGCATTATTAGCGCACGAGAAACTCGCGCTACTAGGATTATCGTGGAGGGCTTTCCCAGACACCCAAAGACCGAGACCACACTATATATCAAAAATTAGCAAGGATCACTCATAAGAGAGAGAATGAACTTACAATAGCACAGGCCAAGGCAAAAATAAGTAGATTAATCACCGTAAGCACAATCTTCTTCCACGAAGAAAGATACAGGCCCCGATTCATAAACAGCCACAGAATAGCTGGGAAGCCAAAGGTGAACCAGCTAGCAAACAGTGCAGTCTGGTGATACGGGTTAGCTCGGTACCACCAAGTTCATGCAGAGAGACTTACAATCAAACTTAACAAATCACTGAACACGGGGATTGCGGACGAAATGATCCAGGCTAGCACCCACATACCCAAGGCAATGCCACCCCAGGAGCAGACAGCGATCCAGTCACGCTTGTGCATGCGGTCTGTGCCGCGGAAGATGCGGACGTAAACGTACTTGAAAGCGACATGGCCGTTGATCACGCCGGCAATAACGATCTACATCTGTTAGTTTTCAAATTCGGGCAAGAAAGGATTGTGAAAACGAACCGTAGGGAGAGCGATGCCATAGGCAATCTTGGCAACTATCGGCGAAGCGGAGCCCAAAGCCGGTGAGGTGACGCTATCACCTGCATAAACGTAGATGACTACCGAAGCAACGAGGTACAGGCATATATCGATGCCTTGGAGCAGACAAAGCGACTTGGTGAAGTCTTTCGGGTTCTTCAACTCAGCCATGAGACCAAAGAAAGCGCCGTGGCCACAGAATGCGAAGACGATGTTGCATACAGCTGTGAAACCGTGGTAGAGGTTTGTGTCGGCGACAGCCTTGACGCCGTCGCCGGGCTTTTCGATACCGACTGCAATCATGGTGATGAGCACAGCAGTGATAATGCTGCAGAATGCTGGATTGGGGGGTTTGTTTTAGCTCATGTCACTGATAGGGGCGGTAGATACATACAGACAATAGATAACCAGGACATCTTCTCTAGTGTCCGAGGAAGAGAACACACAAATGAAAGAACCATGCCGACGATACCGAACACTATGGAACATGTGCCGTGGTTGGTAATCGTGTTCATGGCCACGGTGAATGTCAAGAGATGACTCGACATGATGAAGATAAAGAAGAGGATCCAGCAGATGCCGACAAACTCGCGCCCAATCTTTCCTCCTACAACCTCACCTGCATCGGACATGGTTGTTATATGGGGGAATTTCAACTTCATCTGGCCCATGATGAAGCCGGTATATGAAGCAATCAGGCCAAGGGCAATTAAGACTATAATGGCACTATGAGATACCTAAGTTAGCGGGATTTCAATGATCTTATGAGATGATACATACGGCACAAGACCAAGACCTGCGATGGCAGCTGGGAGCGAGAGAACACCCAAAGACACAGTTTCAGCAACCATGACTGGTAATCGTTAGTATAGACTTTTTCAAAACCATGGAGCTGAGACATCACGTACGAAGTCCACATTGCCTATAGAGTTCATTAGCTAGGAGCCCCTCCAAGGTTGGAACCTTCGGAGTATACATACCACCATCTCAACACCTTATATTTAACCTCTGCAAACTCCTCATCGCCAAAAGCATCCTGCTTGTATTGAGGTACATCCAGCTTCTCGTCAATATCAAAATCCATATTCTTCTTTCGAGCGACATCCATCTGATTCTCAGCAGACATTGTTCAACGAACTATCAAATCGGTATACACAACTTTATACACCTTGAGAACCACGAACGTAGAACACCGAACCAGAATAAGAATCGAAATCAGCAGAAGGAATAGAACAAAACCCAAGAATAAAACACACGAATGAAGAATTTTAAAATAAAAATCAAAACGAACACCGACCCAACTCTCCTTCAATTTCTACATCGGAGAGCCAAAAGTGGATTATTAGTTCTCAATGAACGAATCACATCCCGACGACGTAATAGAAATGGGAAAAAGTGGTACCACGACAGAGACTGAACCTCTAAGAAAAACTTACGAGTAATAAGAAAGAAGAAGGAATGAAAGATTCTTCGCCGATGCCGGACTGCTTAATTGATTTTGTTTTTGCTTATACAGACAGGATTTGCTGGATGCGCGGGTATGGCTGATCTTGGCGGGTCTTTTCAGCCCTATGGACTTCTTCTATCAACTTGGAACTATTAGTACTAGTATTATCTAGTTAGATCCCTTTGATATGACGTGGACTTTGGTGCTAGAGCTAGAGCTAGAGCTGAGCTGAGCTGGTTTAACTAAGGGCTACCCTCTTGGTGAGGCCACAAAACTGCCATGGCCTTAGCGGAATACATACTCCCATTGATCATTCTTGGCCATCCCAACTATGAAAGCACCAACTCAGCCTAGATAGATAATCGTTCGCAAGATTTGTGACTTCCTTGTATTTCAAATGCTGGCAACAAAAGATCAAGTGCACGAACCAATCTACTACGAGGCAAAGCTCTCATTAAAAGATAATAGGCAGCCAGGTAATGCATAAGCAAGAACCAGCCCTATTCCATTAGGAATCAACCTAGCTATCGAGCCCGGTGGTATCAATCCCAACGCCACACAGCCCAACCCAGCCGACCCACCCCAAATCCAAATATGATACCCAAAACGCCGAAATGCTATCGTACAAATGATCTATACAAGGTAAATGCAAACAAAACAGAAATAGAAAGAAGATCAACTCAACTCTGGCTTTGTCGTTTCAGGCGGCGGCGTTGTCGCTGAGATGCCTTGATCGCTTCTTCTGTGAGAAGATCGGACGGTGGTGCAAATTCCTGTTCCTCTATTTCGGGAATGGGCTGTCCAAATGCTATGATGGGTTGACTGGGACTGTGAGATGTGCCGTTCATAACGACGACGGCAGTTGCGCGTTGATTCGGGTCTTTGAGGTAGGATGTGAATGGCTTGTCGTCTGGAGGTGAAGAGTTGATGGCCGTAGGAGAGACTGTGGGTAGTGGTGAAGGGCTTGCATCGTAGTTTCTCTTTTGGCGCTTGATAGAGCGTTTTTGGTCTGGGGTGATGTTGTCGTTATCAACGGGCTCGGACTTGGGCTTGCGCGTTGAAGACATGGATTTGGGTCGCCTGGTCGCCGAAGCGGTGCGCGCCTCCTGGTGTAGCTGGCGTGCTGCCAAAGCATCCACATCGCTGGGGTCAGGAGTCCCAATCCCAGACCCCGGTGTGCTTTTCTCGTCTTCGGGTCGCGCTCGCTTTCGAGAGGAGTGAGACTCGGCTTCAGCATCTTCAGCTGGCGGCTTCTCTCTAGCTAGCTTCCGACGTCTCTCCTCGTCCTTCCAAGCTTGAAACTTATTCACTACAGCGACTAGCTCCTGAATGAGAATCTTCCGTTTAGGCTCGTAAAGCTTCTTCTCGCTCTCATGGACGCCGGTGAGACCCATGATTCGTAGCCAGTCTTGTCCCCGCAGGTCATCCAAGAGCCGGTCAACTTTCTCTTTCTCATGCTGCGCACGGTCTCGCTCAATGTTGCGCAGTTGCTTCTCTTGCCGCTCGAATTTGCGATGTGCGCGGAAGTAGAGATCTTCGCCCAGTGGGTCCGCATTCCTAGATGAAGGCTTGGGAAGTGTGACAATCTGGCAGTTGTACAAATTCTTCAGCGGGTTTCCGAAAGGTTTTGAGTCTATCTTAGATGGAGGTGGGATTTTTTCCGAAAGGTCGTCCACCAACGTAAGGAGCGTGTTCGCTGCGAGAGTTTCTATTCCTTGTCCTTATCCATTTATTAGCTATGATATCAGAGTGGGAAAAAGCGCGCTTACCTGGCTTGGGATCATCAAGGCATATTATCTGCTCATAGTTGTAGAAGTACTGTGCCAGCTCGCTCTTGGTCTTGGAACCGCTATCTCCTGAGCGTAGTGATCGCCTCTCCGTAGATTGTCCTGCATGCTGATCGGGAATAGGCTCGGTCTTTGGCTTCTGATGCGACCGAGTCGCATCGGCCGGACGCGCTTCAGGAACCGCCAGCTCATTGCCCTCAGTCTTAATTTTCTTACCCGGATCCGTTTTCGGATCGGGGTCATTGTGTCGGGCACCAATATTCGTGATAGGAGATTTGCGTATGCTCTCCGAGCGACCAGCCTGAACAGAAGCTCCGGAACGCAACTTCGCAGCATCTTCAACAGGAGCCGGTGAGATGGTGTCCAATGGGTCCGGCGACTCGCATCCATCACGTAGGGAATCTGTCGCGGAAGCGATATCGGGAACCCCGCGAGGGGTTTGGCTGACACCATTACCATTTACAGAGGAATTCCCTGCTATTTTCAATTGACTAGGCGAAGCGACAGTGTCGATAGAGGCAGAAGAGGATCGATGATTGCGCCGGGTCGAAGTTCGCGGGCGCGTGGCCAGGGAAGGGTTGACGTGTCGGGCTTTACTGGTGTCGGTCGGGATGTCCTGGGTAGTGGTGTCTAGACAGTCGGAAGAACCCTTGCCGCGATGCGGAACATTCTCATTCGGTTTGTTGTGTTTTTTCAGCGACACCAGCCCGTTATCATCCGTGTGGAAGGTGGTCTGTCGCACGGGGCGGAGCGACCGTGACAGGAGGGCCATTACTCGACAAGGGGAGCAAGCTAGTCTCCTGTCATAATGTGATGGTTATAGCCGAGGCCTTCGAAGAATGTCTGAATATCTCTGAACAACTCTGAGAGTTATTGAATCTGAGGTTTCTGGTGAAGTCGTCGTCGTTGTCGGGTGTGGTTGAAGTAATACAGGGAGGAGGTTCTTGGCAGCAACAACCATAAATTTGTATAGCGCTGGATGCCGGCCAGGACTTCTAAAATCAAAACGCCGAGGATTGAAATATTACAAAAGATAGATGGCAAGATCATGGATAACAATTGGCCTACATCTTTCGTGCAGGGGATTATAACACAGATCAAGGCGCCTCGAGTACCAGCTTACATTTTACGATTAGTATGTGATCATTTCCAACTTTGGATGCTTAGCGGGCTTAAATAGGGAGCTGTGAGCCCTATATATGAATAAGCAAGGTCCGATAGAATGAAATTAATTCTGTTGGAGCTATAAACTGAGACTTCACCACAATAATGTCGATCAAGAATAGCTAACTACAAGTTAACATTCAAGATAGTATAACACAGAAGAAACATGCTTAAACTGTGTCAAAGGAGGATGAAAATTATGTGAGAAAGAACCTTGAATGGATTAAGTGAACTTCTTTCACCTCTGTGTCGAATCAAAGCGACTTGTATGTCATGTGGAATGAATACATATGTACTCGGTTATATATCTTTTCTCCCAAGACTGTTCTGAGTTCTCTCATACTTATGATACTTCTGAGCTTCTTCTTGAGCCACTACTGCATTTGAACATAGTATGGATATTCAAATGTTTACATTCGAGCCTTCCACTATAGACAAGATGCCCCGTTAGGCAACCATATATCACATGACATCATAGCCCCCAAATGCACTAGACTATTTAAGTAAGTAGTGACTACCCAACACAAACTGCAAAGCTCCAGGTCCAACTTATCTGACAGTAATCATCACATACTTAAGCCCTAGATCCATCATCTTGAATCCCGATGAGTCTAAACGGATTAAGCCCAGAAATATGGGTTCTCATCTTCCAGTCCGTAAGTGTAACGTTCCATTCCATTAGCTCCTGATCCTGACCTTATTATCTCAGTTGCTTAATCGGGAAGATCTCGCAAATGTGTGCCGTGTATCTAGAGCATTTGATGCTCTCGCTATGCCGGTGTTGTACCGATCAGTCATTTTTCGCACGCCAAGTGTCATCAATCGTAGGCGCACGTTTAGCAGTGACATCAGAGAGCAAGCGGATGTCCTTACATTTGCTCCGCTTGACCGACTTCTAGATGAAAGAAACGAGAGGTTGAGATTATTCGTTCGTGAAATCAATTTTGAGGATGGTTCTTGGCCAGATCAAGCACCCGAAGATCTGATTAATAGCCTCCTGAAGAAACTACCAAACCTGGAAAGCATTTAGTAAGATAACCCCCTTTCAAACATCCGAGATGCTGAGCTGACGACCTTTTCTCCAGCACTGACCTTGAGATCCCAACGATAGAGAGCTTTGTGCAAGTGATGCTCTCCCGCAAAAGAGTTCCAAGGCTTCATCTACGGGGTGAACAAGGCTTTACCCCCGTGATTACAAAGATGCCATTCGTAACAGAGATTTGCACTCATATAGACGCTACCGCAAGCAGGCATGGCGGCGAGGAATCGAGAAATCAAAAATTGGCTCTGCATGAGCTGTTCAAAGCTTACCCAAATCTCGAAAGCTTATCACTCAAGATCAACTACCTTAGGGGAGGCTGTTTGATAGGTGGTATTCCGACTACAAGGATCTCACCACTTACATTGTCTGAAAACGAGACTTTTCCGCCTTTGAGAAGTCTAACAATAAGCGGCTACCGATTCAAAGAGAGCGAGGCCTCTGTCTGGAAAAAGAAGTTCCCCTGGGATCAGCTGCAATCACTGAGTGTAGGGCCTCAGAATGCCTTACTGTTCCCTGACATTGCGACTGGATTCGTGCATAACTTGAAGAAGTTCGAATTGAAAAGCTACGGACGAGTTGTTGAGAGGGTTGGAGAGTCGATGGATGCTCTAGACGCATTCTTGTCATCGTTCTGCAGTTTGGAAATTCTTATTACCAAAGGGTTCGTCCCTTCAGTGGATGCTGTGGCTCACCATCCTGATTTAAAAATCCTTTGTCTCCATGAAATTGAGACCCCTGGCAAGGAGAGAAAGAATTTGGAAGCAAAAGAAATTGAATACCTGGATCGGAATTGTCCGAAACTGACGGATTTGGAAATTGATATCAACCCTGAAGGCGCATGGGTAAGTTCTGTTAACTTTTCTAACGAGAATTCTTCCCTCGCTTTCATTCTTCCCTTTCCCCAATATGTCCGGTATTACTCTGTAAACAAAACTAGGAAATATTCAGCGTTGGGCACATGATAGATACCGATGGCGAGCTGAACTTTGAGGCTGACTTGCATGAATCTAGCCCAACAACACCATCAATGCCTTGTCCAAAGGTTTCAGAAATCTACGCCGACTTTCCATCCATGTTGGACTAGGAATTGCCAAGCTCGAGGACCTCGAAGATTTTGAAATGAAAGACGCCTTTATCAAGAGTTTCCAGTCGGTATTGACCGAATCAACAGCGCAAGACTTTGCCAAAAGCCTCTTTGATCGCAGGGGTCCCTCGTTATTGCAAGTTATATCACTGAAAACGGGCGAAAAGCTGCGCTGGTTTCCGCAGTGGCATCCCCATTACGCCAGGGCTGAAAGTAGTTGCGCCAGGACATTTGAAGCTTATGCTCCGCTGGAAGGTACCGATGAGCCGCGCCTCGAAGGGGGTGAAATTCATGTTGCTCGCTGGCAAAGAATACATTCTACACCGACAATGACGACTGAAGCGCCGCTCAGCCGTTCTCCCCGTATTTTTCCATGAACATGTTTGCATTGACCGAATTGTCATAATTAACAGAAATACATCCAGACGACTGGACTAAGAGGGTTCGTTGAATACTCAATCTCTTAAACCAAAGAAAGGACTGAAAACCGCCATGATTGAACAGTGTTTCATTTTGAACTTGGATAGCATATTGTAATACGACTGATTAGTACTCATGATTTGCAACGTGGCATTCATGCAATTCATAAATCATAATTTATTCCTCTTCCCCATGAACGTGGGGGGGTCCGAGTTATCTGCGGGGAAATTACCCCAGCAACTTCAATACAGATAAAAATAAATTAAAATTCCAATACTAAAATAGCTTGAGTTGAAGCTCTGTTTACAGAGCTTTTAACACAGCCAATTTATGATAAATAACTATGAGACTCATACAATAGAAAGAAAATACCTAAACAACTAAGCCTCTCCACACACATCTCCACACCTCCACGCAAGTCATGGGTTCTGGAGATGGCTAATCAGAGTGGGGGGTACGTGGGGGTCGAAGTAGATTATTTAGTTGACCCATCGCCCGGATTCAAAGATTCCTAAGATCCTTCTCTTCTGTCTGAACGTCTTCGAACTTCCCCTATTTCATAATGACCAAGCGAAACCCACTCACTAAAGGTGTGTATGTGCCTACAGTGGCGTTCTTCCTGCCAGATGAGGAGGTGGATATTGCTACTGTAGAGAAACATGCTACGTATCTGGCCAAAAGTGGTGTCACCGGTCTAGTAACCCAGGGCAGCAATGGTGAAGCAGTGCATCTGGACTACGAGGAGCGAAAGGCCATCACTGCTGCTACTCGTCGTGCTTTGGACGCCGCTGGATACATGTCAAGGCCCGTGATAGCAGGCTGTGGAGCAGCGTCGACACGCGAGACCATCAAGCTCTGCAAGGACGCCGGCGTATCAGGCGCCGACGCAGTACTAGTTCTGCCACCCAGTTACTATAAGGCTCTCGTGGACAGTGAAGCTCTTCATGCACACTTCCAAGCTGTGGCCGACGCCTCACCAATTCCAGTCCTCATCTACAATTTCCCCGGTGCCTCATCTGGTCTTGATCTCTCCTCAGACGACATCATAGCCATGTCGCAGCATCCCAACATTATCGGCTGCAAGCTAACATGCGGCAACACCGGCAAATTGGCTCGCGTCGCTGCAGGGACCAAACCTGAGTTCCTGACTTTTGGCGGGTCAGCCGACTTCACTCTCCAAACTCTGGTTGCAGGTGGCGACGGAATCATCGGCGGCACCGCCAACCTGATTCCTAGATCTTGCGTCCACTTGGTGGATCTCTACAGCAAGGGCAAGCTGGAGGAAGCGCAGAAGGTACAGGCTGTTGTCGCGCGGGCAGACTGGGCTGCTATCCGTGGTGGATTCATCGCTGTTAAATCTGGCTTGCAGTCATACCGTGGATACGGTGGATTGCCCCGGCGCCCGTGTGTCGTGCCATCTGCAAGGGCTGCAACGGCCATTCATGATGAGTTCAGAGAAGGAATGGACTTGGAGAAAGAGTTGGAAAAAGCATGATAATGAGTTGAATACGACGATTCATAGGCTCTCGTAGATTGCTTATCTTAAATAAGACGATCACACTTTGATGTTGCGACTGTTACGAACTGTAGTATGATTAAAGTCCTAAATAGGTAAAGTATAGCCCCGCGATAGATTAGTTCACATATGATAAGGATTATAGCTAGTACTATTCAGATGTCACTGTTTCATTGCCTTGCTGCGCCCGAGAAGTACTCGTATCAGTCTTAGTTCTAAAGTTAACCTTGAAGTATGTTCTCAATATACTTCAGTCTTTCATCCTAAGTACTTCCCTGATGCAGGATGCAGATGCTGTCTTTGTTGATAAGACTTTCACTTAAAATCGAATGTAACCTCCAAGACTTTATATTAATTGGATATTTGGCCCCATAAATGGAAATTTGTTTGTTTATCTTGAACGCCGAGCCCTTATTACATACCAGGGGGATCGGCATGTTTCTCGAGGAATAAATAAACCTCGACATGTCCCTTTCACATCCACTTTGTTTGCTTTTTCTCACAACTCCAGCGACCCTCACGATGAAGTTTGCCTCGGTCCTTGTCCTCGGGGCATTGGGCCTAACAGTTTCCGCTGTTCAGGTGAACCCCCTCCCCGCTCCCCGCGCCATTTCGTGGGGTTCGTCCGGCCCAATAGCCGTCATCAATCCTTCCCTCAAGTCCACCGACAGCCACAAACACCCTATCATTAGCGATGCCTGGGAACGTACCTGGCACACTATTGACACCCTCAAATGGGTTCCCGCCGCCGTGGAGTCCCCAATCCCTGTCTATGAGCCCTTCCCGACTGGTATAGGCAAGACAAAGCGTGTCGCGACCAAGGCGATCCAGACAATCCAGGTCTCAGTTGTCGACGCAAATGCCGACCTTCAGCACAAGGTCAACGAGTCGTACACACTGGAGGTCACGGATACTGCTGGCAGCGTGAAGATCCACGCGCAGACCATCTGGGGCGCGTTGCACGCGTTCACCACTCTGCAACAGATCATCATCTCCGATGGAAAAGGGGGCCTGATAATCGAGCAGCCTGTTAAGATCACCGATGCGCCTCTATACCCGTACCGTGGCATCATGGTTGACACTGGCCGAAACTTCATTACCGTGCCCAAGATCCTGGAGCAGATCGATGGCATGGCATTGTCGAAGCTCAACGTTCTCCACTGGCATTTGGACGATGCGCAGTCGTGGCCCGTACAGATGCACACCTACCCTGAGATGACCAAAGATGCCTATTCACCCCGGGAGATTTTCACAGAGTCAGACATTCGTCGCGTGATCGACTACGCGCGCGCTCGCGGTGTCCGTGTCATTCCCGAGGTAGATATGCCTGGCCACTCGGCTTCCGGATGGCAGCAAGTTGACCCAGATATTGTGGCCTGCACTAACTCGTGGTGGTCGAACGATGTGTGGGAGTATCATACCGCCGTCGAGCCCAATCCAGGCCAGCTGGATATCATCTACAACAAGACCTACGAGGTCGTGGAGAATGTGTACACTGAGCTCTCGGGCATGTTCCAGGACCACTGGTTCCATGTCGGCGCCGATGAAATTCAAGCTGGCTGCTACAACTTCAGCACCCATGTCACTGCTTGGTTTGCCGAGGATCCCTCGCGCACTTACAATGATCTCGCTCAGTACTGGGTCGACCACGCCGTGCCCATCTTCCGTAGCGCTGGCCCGCACCGCCGCCTAATGATGTGGGAGGATATTTACCTGTCAGCCGATTCTGCGCACACCGTCCCCAAGGATATTGTCCTGCAAACATGGAACAATGGTCTGACCAACATCAAGAACCTCACAGCCAGCGGCTACGATATTGTCGTCTCGTCCTCCGACTTCCTATACCTAGACTGCGGCCATGGCGGCTTCGTCACAAACGACCCCCGCTACGACGTAATGTCCAACCCAGACGGCAGCACCAACTTCAACTACGGCGGCATCGGCGGTTCCTGGTGCGCCCCCTACAAGACCTGGCAGCGAATCTACGATTACGACTTCACCACAAACCTGACAGCCCAGGAGGCGAAGCACGTCCTAGGCGCAGAGGCTCCTCTCTGGTCTGAACAGGTCGATGATGTGACCGTGTCAAGTGAATTTTGGCCTCGCGCTGCTGCCCTCGGTGAGCTTGTGTGGTCTGGTAACCGGGATGCTTCGGGCCAAAAGCGGACCACCTCGCTCACTCAGCGTCTACTTAATTTCCGTGAATACCTTGTGGCTAACGGTGTTATGGCTGGTGCTCTCGTACCCAAGTATTGTCTGAAGAATCCGCATGCGTGCGATCTTTACTACAACCAGACTGCTATCTCGCCTTAAGCTCTCATTTTCAGTGTAAGATTGGTTCATTACTATGCAGTTGATTTCGAATTTTATTGCTAGGTAGCCTTTTTTATTACTCCATGTACATACCTCCCAAGTATCCAGAGTCACAAGTAATTCCTAGTTCCCAGGGTACAGTTTCAGTCATCTCTTCTCCGATTCCAAGGTTCCCTCTGCTCAGTTTATCCTAATACTAATCAATAATAATATCTCCATCTGATCTCATTTCCAAATCCATCTCGATCCCAGTGACACTCCCAATCGAGTGATGTATCGCCAAATGTCACGCGAACAAGCACGTCCCCCACGTTTCAGAATCGGTCCAGCCCAGTTCTGTTTCCACGAGCGTTGTGCAACCTGATGCAGGATACAGTATTTCATCTACGAGTCACGAAAGGATATTACGATTGTGGCACAGGTGTAAGATTGATACGGTTTCTGAGTCAGGGTTTTCCTGGCAGAGAAAGTCCTGAGGATATCCTTAGGAGTATAATCCATGGAATGAATATTGAATGACCAAAAGGATGGTATATTATCTTATCTTGTCAATATCATCAACTGGAAGGTTCTACAGTCCCTGAATTATATCTACCACAACATGGCAAAACCTTGGAAAGTTAAGTTAAACCCATTCCTAAATATGACCTTGGTAGCACATATGCAGGCAATTCACAACAATCGGGTATCACTTAAAATCTATCCGGCCGATCTCTCATATTACGAAATACCATGTGGAAGCAGAAGCATGGTGTTTCTGCGTTACCCCAGCTGCTAGTACTGATTTGGCTTTTAATTTACGACTAGTTATTGGAAAAATCTGGATGTCATGTTTCTGTTCTTTGTCGAAACTTGTTTTGTATCCATGGTCATTGGTATAACCATCGCGTTTCATGATCACGGGCTTGGATACACATTGAAGAGTTCGGGCATGTTTCAAGTTTCGATGTCTTTGGTCGTGACCTCGGATTGAACGGGCATATCCAATATCCAATGAGTGGACGATACTTGTGTTTCAAAGTCCTGATTAAAGAACAAACAGAAATATTGATACAGCCCAGGTATGTTGCCCATGTGGTGAGAAAGAAGGTGCTTCTAAGGTTCGGATCCATGTCAAATTAGCATTAGAAATTAGCCCCAGGGCTTCATAACTGAGTAGGTACATACCTAGGTAGACAATTCCTCCGGACTCTTGAGGCTAAAAATATGAAGCCCATAGATTTTGGAATCACAAACCTTGGAAGAGAATAGATATACAAGTTCATGTGAAACAATATGTTAGTATATGATAGATGCTAGCTTAGGTAGGTACATACAGTCCATGATGGATGTATACCTAGGAATAAACGTGGCCTCCAGGGCTGTAGGGCTATCTGAATTACAATTGTTTACCTAGGTAGTTCATGTGTATCCTAGGACTGAAGAGGTTGTAGGCCGAGTAGAAACTTTGGAATCTTGTACAACAGGAACAACCTTCAGGGTCAGGAAAAGTCCCTCTATTTGTCGAAATGAAAACTTCAAATACGTCTACGGGTACCTATGCATACCTATGTAGTCCATGCTGAGATCTCTGGGCTGCTTACTCGAATGTAACAGTAACCCCAGACTTACTCATTACATATCCGTATACGCACAGTAATGAATCTGACATTGGAAATGGGACATACGATACAAGGAAAGCCCTGTTGTAGATAAGGTAAAGGCTGCTGACTGCAGAAAGCCGTTGATGCCAAGGTCATCAATTGACCACGACGAGACCCGACAATGTGGAATACATAGACCAGGGACGAAAAGTCAAAAATTTTGGGAAATGGTCGCGAGAAGCTGACATCGGTAGGGAGTACAGTCGATTGAATGGAGCACTGGTAAAGACAAAGTATCGTATATAGGTACATTTTGAGGCCTCGCTAAAATTCTCATCTCCCCACTATATTACCTTGGATGGGCGCAAAGCAAAAACAAGGAAGCGATCAGACCTTGCATTAGGGATTACAGAACCTTAAAAGTGATAGACGAAGGGAAGAAAGGCCGATCCCACGATTCCCCCTTCGCTTGGCAACAAACACGGAACAATGAAAACTGAGAATTGGTCCTCTATACTCATACTGTACATATCTATATCTTACTAATTAGAGTCCGGCGCTAATAATAGATGTTCATTTCCAAAATTGAGAAGGATCGAAAATATGGGCTATACCGATGGATTATGCGAGATGTCAACATGTCATAGATCCATTAAATCAGTTTCTTCGGAAAAAAGGTGGTGGATCGCAATCAAGCCCTGTGGAGTGCATTTTTCTCGAGCAGAGAAGGAATTTTTCAATGTCACAGCCACTGTGGATATCTCCGAAGAACTCCCCACAGTTGAATATTTTCCGAGTATTTTTCGTCATCTCTTGTTTTTCTTCTCTGACGTGCTAGGAGCCTTGGAACACTAGTCTCATACGCTATGTACTATGATTGTCTTCCCCTTATTCGGAAATACGCTGAATAGGGGTATCAAAAGCAAAGAAAAGGTGACAGGTCAGAATATGACCAGTCGAGATTGGGCTCGGATAGACAGACCCATGTAATCGTTCCCGAGCCGAGATTCCCGCTTGATCCAAGGTTTATCTGGCGTATACTCCGTACACAGACCTTGATAGTGATTGAGAGCGGAACGCAGTGAGCCTCGGGATTACCGTACTGTACGAAGGAAGAGTGTGCCTCCCCGTAATGAAGTACTCACGCTAAGCGCCAAATTGCTCGGTGCAGGTGCAGGTGCAGGTGCCTTCAGTATTATTTTGGCCGCTAAGGTAAGCCAGCACTCTCCCAATGCACATGTCAAGGTTATTGCACGTGGCAGGGCTTTCTTGAATATCCAAAGATGTTACTCGAAATATCTTGAAGCGGTGTATTTCGTATCAAGTCTTGGGATCTACCTCTATCAAAGCAATCTACAACCCTAGAATTCTAAAGTCCAAAGCAATGAGAAGACTCCAAAAGGAGTGTCTAAGTAGTCCGAATTGAGCGTATCAGACCTAACTCTATCAAGTCAAAATATTGTCATTTATTGCGAGACAGTGACAGTAAAATACATTCGTGAATTGCGATACAATCCCATCGGAATCCTAGTATTTCAAAGCGAAACCCCAGGCATACGAGGCAGCAAGATATCAAGGCAACTGTACCTACAGCCAGGGTATAGGTGTAGCAGGTGCAATACCCAGGTGTTTTGCCAGGGTGTCAGGTGAAATGGGCGTAGGCCTAAGCACATGCCCGGGCCGAATCAGGATCAGATCGCAAAATCGGATCCTTCCAAGGTTGCTTGACTCAATAACCACGGAGTATAGCCAATAAACTGAATCATTTGGCAATATCGCTAGGGCTGAGAGCTAGACCTCCCCATAATACCATTATGCTGGGAATTTTGGTCACTGTCGGCCCTAAGAGAGTTAGATTGGCAACTCCTCCTCCCCAAAAGCTTATCTTGCATCAATAGTGCCTGAGTGTACGGACTATCCCCTCGCTTAGACTCGCACTGGACTTAGAGTTCCAAGTTGAGTGTTTCCCCGTGCTGTAATATTTATTTGCTTATTGGTGGACGATCTTGGCCCTGGTTATCTACAGCTACATACCTAGGTAAACCTTGACGGACTTGGGATCAAGATTTGGCTTAGCTTGGCATTGACTGTGTTTAGATTCCAGTCAATAGGAATCACTGGATTGTTTTGGATCACGGACCTCTTGATATTTTCTGTTTTCTTTGTTCTATTTCTGTTTGTTTTATATTGATCTTTGTTTGGCTCCACTATCGTAGCTCAAGGTTTTCATGGATCGGTCCGCTTCAATTCCACGGTTCTATCTGTACCGAAACCTTATCTCAATCATCAATATGCTATTATACTGGACGCTAACACTGTGCCAAAAGAGTCCTAACTTCCCAGTACACAGTACCGATATCAAATTAGTATGTATCAATGGGGCCGACTACACGTAGCAACATGGACCCAGAGAAACAAAGCGATCCCATGTATGTCGAGTTGACACCGCTTAATATTAGCCAGTCCCAATCTGTGAATGCTCCACGGTCTACTTACCTAGATAGGCAGGTATAATCCACCAGTTCAAACTAGGATACTATCTTGGCGATCAATGAAATTGAAATGCAATGACATCCCAAGCAAGATCTGCAAACCCCATACCTAGACAGGCTATTGCTCCATAGCCCCATCCGATGCAAAACAAGACCAATATCTTCATGAGCTATGGTTGCTTCCCAAGCTTTATTCTCTCTTACTACAGTAAGTCCGATAAATAATACTCGGGTAATTCGGCTGGGCTCGGGAATTTCAAGCTTCTGTTTTTTAACTGGCAATTTCCAATACGATCAAGCGCTTACTCGTCTGTGCACTCATATCCACAAGGCTGATCTTTCGACCTTAGGGGAGATGACAAACTCTCACTACTACGCACCTAATCGGGCCTTACATACATTACATAAATTACACTTGATTACAGGTCCTCCTGTATCGAGTGCCCGCCACCAAACAGAGGATTCCTTTGAATTCTAACAACCTCTCCTATTATCAGCAACTCTACCAAGAATGCCTAAAAATAAAAGAAATATCATGGGTCGCATCTTCAGGGCCCTCAACCCCCTCTATACACATTAGAAGCTTAATGTCGCGAAAAGTGCGCGAGAATTCGCAGTCTGTTACGGTCGACTTCATCGGCGCTGACATGGTGGAAAATCGCTATTTGAACGGCAACCTTATGGTTGAAAATTCAATTCTATGTATAATAGCTAGACTTTGTGATATATATAGACTACAATCCTTTGATAAGGCGGGAGTATAGATTAATCGAGGACAAATTGAATTTGCAGCCAATTCAATTCTTGAAGAAACGGAACCATACCCATCAATAAAACCACAAATCGGAGACCATTGAATAAAACATTTCTTTGGATCTTATTCCGAATAATGACGTCAGTATCGACGAGTGATTGATGTTCAGCGAAGTCTCACTCTTGATAAGTCTATGCTTAAGAGGTGGTTTCAAGACTGGAGACTTGTGACGAATACGGGATTTGTCCTAAAGATACTTGTAATATTGACGAAACTATTTTCCAAATTGGTAATGGATGAGATCAGTGGATTGTTACAAGAGAGCCAAAGAAGAAAATGCTCAATGGTTCTGTTAGAAATCGCGAAGCTGTCACCAGTTTAAAGGCTGTCTCGGCTGATGGGTTTTACTTGCCCGCCGCCTATTATCAACGCGAGATAGGCTTTATTATATGAGTGTAATACCATCAAATATGATGAGCATATAGCGACTCTCTATATTCCTCTCTGTGTATATTCATCTCATTTTTATCAGTTGAGAAACGCCTGGTTTTATGTGACCAGTTTGGATCCCACCTTAAAAGGCAATTCATCAAATTTTTATCCCCTTCTTTTTACTTTCGCACACAAGGCATAATGTACTACAGCCATTTGATGCTGATGTTCTCAGTGTTTATAGACACTGGCATAGTAAGGCCGTTGAAGCTACAACAATGGCAGGAGATGAAATTCTCCATTTAATCGCCGAAATCCGCAAAAGAAAACCTTTCTTTTTTAAACAATTAAGCTAGACTTTAGACGAATAGATCCTATAGCCAATTAATTAAGAGCTTATTCTTGAGGCTCCACCATTATACAACTCATACTCTGATCAGCGACATCGACCGAACACTCCTCAACAATATTCTCCTAGCAAAATTCTAATTCTAGTACTCTAACGACAACTGAAACAAAAATTACAAAATCAGAAAATCAGCGATCGTATAGACCAGTGTAATCCTAGCTCTCTATGATTTCAATAAGCATTTAATAATCTCAAAAAGAGGCTCATGTTCAATCTACTGTAGCTAAAAAATTGTAGCGGAATTCAATCAGACATAAGCCATTCAGACAGCACGCCACGCCCGATATGATGCTTCTCATCGATACACACAAACTAAAGGCACTGTTACCTCTAATAATGTTAAAAAAATGAAACCAATACGGTACAAACTCAGTGAGAAAGCTGATCAAGAGAAAACATGGCGGGAGTTGAAGAAGTTATTAGTCAAGATTACGAAGCATTGAAGGTCCAAAAAGCGCAGTCTAGTTTTATTGATAGTTTGGTCCGTAATCTTTACTTTTAAATAGTGAAAAAATCGGAGGTGGTAATCAGAATTTAGAACTATTTCCATTTGGGCGACCCTCGTGGAGCGTACCAGCCAGTCCAATCTCGGAAAGATGATGATATCTGTGCGCACGCTAAGTAAGATATTGCTGCGGCGCTTGCACTGTTAACTCCGGAATTCGTTTCCATGTTGATCAGATGATATATTTATACAGTACAAACGTTACCAAAAACAGCTATACCGGAAAAGTCTGGTGTTTGTGATCAAGGATGGAAATGTGGAAAGATCCGCACAACATCTACCCCTGAACGGCTTACCTTAGGTCGTCGGTATATCCCCGCAGTCCCACATCATCGGGGTCGAATTGACTAATTATACACCTGGGCACAGACGTGAGCCAATCGGTATTCGGGCTTGGAGTTTTGCCGAATACACCGAGAACCGAGCGCCTGTTTTCCAAGAATAATTAAGCCAAGTCCCGAGGTCAAACGGCTTGGGGCTTGGTAAGCCGGAGACTAGGTAAACAGGAGATATTGTAAATACATACAGAGCTATAGCCGGGCACAGATATGGGCATTAAGTCTGTTTACAGTTAGGTTTGAGACCCACCTATCTCAAATTTGTATAATACTTCAACATTAATAACTACACCAATATAAAAGATATGGGTTTATAAACTATATACTGAGATAGATGGTTGGCTATAAGATCCAACTAAATTTGCTATCTACTATAATAACCTCTAGTTTAATTATAGTTTAACAACCTACCCCGGGATACGTATAGGTGCCGCTTGAGCCAAAAAACCATTATTATCTGCGCTTTCAGGATTGATGAAGTGAGATAGACATCCATGGATGTCTCTGGTTTTAGTATCTATGCCCATTGAGCACCAAAATTTGATGTTTTTTGGACAAAAATTCAGCTAAAATAATCATTTGCGTCAATTAGCGTCTTGACACCATATTTTGAGCGAATTCTAGTCGGCCTTTCGCAAGAAAAGAGCCAAGAGGGATCTTGTTTCTAGCATCGTTTTGGAGGGCCATATCCACGAATAATTCGCCGTAAAGTGGTTCGACGGGGGTTCAGTTCAAGATTTACAGCAAGTCGTCTATAGCTTCTAAAATGGATTCCAGCGTGCTGTCCAAAAAAAAAAAAAAAAAAAAAAAAATCCAACGTTTAGTGGTTTTGGCGGCTTCGTAGCAGTTGCAAGTATTATAAATTTTCTGGCGGCTACAGCCATATTCAGCAGCAAGCTAAGATGGCCCTTGTGTACATCCTATGATTGATTGCTTGCTTTAATTAAACTTTTTCAGGCAGGAAAATGCATGTGCAGGACCCGAGTTGACTCATCCAAATTGGTATGACACTCATGCGAACTTCTAGAATCCAGCAAGTCTTCGGTCAAGTCCAGTGTAGACAGCGTAGTTCGTATTCAAGAAATAGTGGGCGGCATCAATTACCATATGCGTCATAATATGGACATTGTGGAGGCGGCAAGATCCTTCGCTCATTTGAGTGAACTTTAAAAAGTGTATTAGATGTAGTTCTAGATATATCATCATTACAAGGCCCGAAGAGCCTCACTTGTAGATGATTAGGGGGCAGCGGAGAAGAGCGATATTTGTCTAATCTCCTTCAAACCTAATTAGTTCGTGCCAGTTAACGACGTCCGTTGATTTGAGGCTTAAATTCAATAAACGGCCAAAGAGTGGGTCCTGCACATGTGGAGTGTCGGTGACACAATAATACTCTGTAATGTATGAACGGAATGGCCGATCCCTGCTCTTCCTGTATGGTGTGGGCGTGGCGTGGCTGAAGGGGTCTAGTCTCAAGCGCTATGTCCTATTTGGTGCTAGTATTCTGAAAATGCCACGTTTTGTCTTGGGAGATTTAGTTAAGCCTATTCAGAATGGAGAATATTTCTAAAATAGCGCGAAGAGCGCGTCATACGAAACACCGATGTCTCCAAACCACTGGTTCACTAGCTCATCATACGATTATTTCAAATACATTACCAGTAGTTAGGGGAAGTCCGAAGAAGAAGAAGGTGTTTCTAGATCATAGCTAGTGCACTTCAGGAGATCTGATTAACTAGTATGGGTACTTGCGAAATGGATGTGTTCTACAGTATTTTCAACCTCAATATTCCACTTCATAGGTATCTGAGGCTTGAAATACCTCCTGGAAGTAATGAAAGAAACGAATTGACGAATTAAAAAAAGCAAGAAAAAACAACTTCGAATATTCGGGTAGACAGATGACGGGCGTTAGCATCCAAAGTTGGGAATCTGGTGCGACAAGTGGCCCGCTCAAACTGGAATTCGTCGAGTGTAGCACAGGTACTACTGGTACCAACCACGGCACAATGTCAGACAAACCAAGCCCAAATAAACTTGGTAACCTGTATAAGGTTAACTAGTTTACCTGACTCAGTCAAAACGAAACCCCAGACTTACATGACAAGGGAGGCATGAAGCTCGTAGATCATTTAGCCTTATGGCATACTAGCTCGGTGTTTCAGGCCCCCCTAAAGAGCTACATGTTGCGCTGCGACCACCGAGGTTACATGCCGTCAACTTATTGGATGGGACATTTGTAATTAAGGCTTAGTGGAAAATCGTAATTTATCTAGTAGCGCCACCTCCTTACCAGTGCAGTGTTTCTGTCGTAGTTCAACAATTTCTTCAATTCAAATGCTTGACGCTTATTTCTTTCCCGAAAGCTAGCCAAAGATGCTCCACTTGTTCTATACCCCTGTACACGAGTACTACGATCAGCAACATACTCAGTTTCAAGATTTGTATAATTTCCTCCCAAATTTTAGTAGTCGAATCCTATTTTGGCATTCGTAATATCAAAGAAATTGGTTGAACTTCAAGAGGAGTGCAATAGTACGCTCAAAGAAATTAATCCAAGAAGTTGAGTAAAAGGGGTCTCTAGCGGCATCTTTAGTAGGCTCTAGAGCCCAGTAGAAGCCAGCACATCTAAATGACGGAAATCCTTGAGAATGAATCTCTGTGACTCACAAAATGATCACTATCGAAAGTTCTAAAACATCCATGAATTGGAAGTATTTTCCAAGGTTGTTGGGCTTGGATAAACCTCGGAAGTAGTATGGAACAGGGCTCCGTGCAACTATTGAAGCTTGGACCCCAAGTCCATGGAAAGGCATGAACTGATTTACAGAGGTGATAGGTCTACTAAGGCTAACTGAGCTAGGTCCACGCCCGGGCGAATGATGTTCATATAGCGCAAGACTTGTAATATTCACAATTTGACTCATAAAATCTTTTAGCGAAACGTAGATACTCCCGAAATGGAATTGTGGAGATCAAACAGGCGATCATTGATCAACATTTGAAATCAATCAAGATTTAGGCTTCAACTGGCTGCTTAATCTTGATCTACATCACATGACTTGAGCTTATACCAGCTACTTCCTATTTAGGAAGAGATTCCGGTCTAGACCCTAATTACATAAAGGCTTGGCAATCAGAGTGATGTGTATTTTTTCGGTACAATAACTATTGTGTTTTATACAGTATCATTCATATCAGGGTTGGATGTTGCACCCTTAGTAATACGGCATCCTCGTATCTGACAGTCCTCTTGGAAAGGAGTACTTTCCAAGGACCTTCTACGCTTTTGGTCTAATAAATTTAGTTTCATCGAGTCGTACAATGTACTCACTGCCGATTGACTTTTACAACACTTTTTGATGTCGATTAATGGTTGTAAATCCTGCTATTCTTAGATTCAGATTAATTCCACGTGCTGGTGCGCATAAACGCTGAGAGTTGAATTTAGTAATTCATGATACCTCCTGTCGTTATCTCATAATTGAATCATTCACGGAGCATTGATGTTGCACGGTTCCACTACCGCTGTTGGCGCATTTTGGCCCTTGCATTCATGGTATAGCAAAAGGGGGCCTAGGTTTAGTCCCAGCCAAGTGGTTATCGCCAAAAAATCCCCATTAATCCAGTACAAAATGGCCTGGACCACTCTGTCGGGCCTGAAAAGCCAGGCTTCGGTGACGCCGGTCTGACAGGACCTTGCCATGAAACAGTACTCAATAACTTCCCCTAGAATTAGCCTGGAAAGCCAGGCTTTGGTGTAGCCGATTTCACATAACCTTGCAATTATGAAACTTTCCCCATTAAGTCTTAATCATCCTTTTTATGGACAGAAGGGCATTAGGCGCGGGATTTACATGGTTGGCTTGGACCTATGACAAATACCCCGTAACGGTTGGTCCCGACAAACCACTTCTTGGATTTAAATGGTTCAAAGGGCCTCAGCCCTGCCAACTCTAACAGTGAGTTGTTTGTGACTATTGGCTATTATAACTAGACGGCTGCATTACTTGGTTTTCCGCTTTGTCCAATCGCTCTGCGGCACTGCCTCAATCATGCCACGTGCGGTGTAGGGCAGAGAATCAGGAGTTCATTATTTATCCATTTTGAATACAGTTTACGTGGTTTCAACTAGAATCTTAGCATTCCAATGTTTGATCTTTTGAGACGTGCTTCGAGAATCCTTAATCAGTAATATGGTCCGAGCCGTGCATCAAGGACCATCAAGGACCCACTGTTGTGACTGGATGGGAACTGTGGCTTATACATATGTGGCGTCATTTCACACTCTCACCGACTTATTTTGACGGTCTTCTCCGATTTTGTTGTAGGGCTCCCCGGAAGCCAATTCCTCGGGTCCTTGTATTTCCCAACCATACTTAGTTACATCATGAATCATGTTTTATTTATAGGCAAGGCGCTTACTTCGTATGTAATAGATTCTGGAAGAGGTAGAGGTTACAAAGGTAGTATCAAGGTATGATCATCATGGTATGTGGATATCTGTTAACCTTGGAACCTGGGTAGAGTCACAGCACCTAGTCATTTAGGCAGTCTGTCTAGACAAGGCAACCTCCGAAGCGAACTGGACTAGACTACAATGACAGTGTACAAAGGGCATGCGGCTCTTTATCGGACAGGATGAGTGCACCGAAAAGAAACGGCCACATCACTCAGTTCACCTGGGTAAGATCCGCTTTGGCTCGGAAGCCATCTAAGGCATTCAATTGGTGGTCCGGGGGGAGATGCTCATTTTACATTTGTTGACTTTTTTTTTTTTTTTTTTTTTCCCTGACCCGTTCAATCGGGTTGTAGATTTTAATTTGGGCCCAAGTGATCAACCAAGCCCATTGGAGTAAAGAAGTAAAGAAGTAAATTTATTTAATTTACAGATTTTTTATTTTTTTTATTTAAGATAAATGCAAAAAGAACACGGGCTTCACTCTGATCTTTCAGTACGATCCGCTGGTATCTGAGTTTGACCTGTCTTCTTCGTCCCACATTCCTGGGTCTTTCCCCCACTTTAGTGATTATTTTCTTATAATTTCTTATTTTTTTCCCCTTTTTTCTTCTTCTCTTGTAAGGTGGAGAACACGGATAGATTTGACACTATATAAATAAGAATGGAGAAGATTGAGGGTTGGGGGATCCCTTAGCGGATCATCTGTTAAAAGTACACGGAATCGCCGATGTCTACAAGTTAGGGGAAACTGATTTGGAATCTCTGTACTTAGTTCCTTCCCCTGAGTCGATCTTGTACAGAAGTCAGGATAGTGAGGTAAAGAAAACAAATCGATGGGGACAGGTATCATACTTGATAATAAACAAGTCGTACATGAAGTATATCGGGAATAAAATGTGTAAAAAGGTGACGAACTAAAATCCACCCATGTTCCCTGCTCTGTATCACAGCCCCCGGAAGTTCGAGTTCGTTGTGTACTGGTATTGTAATCTATTTTAATTTCTTGATTTTTTATTATTTGATTTTCGATTTTGTATTATTTTGTATTTACATTTTAGATCAAAACGAAAGATGCATATATATTGGCCCGTAACAATGCGCCTATAAACCTTCCTTATCCCCCTTCGATTTTTCAAAGCTACCTTTCTTTCCCTCAATATTCTTTAAATTCCCTTGCAGCACCCGGGTATTAAGAGCACATTGCCTTGTTCGCACGCTTTCTATTCCGGGCCGCAATCCGAACCGTCAACCTTATTGATACCTAGACTGGGATGAACACTGATCATTCAAATACCTTGTCTTCCACTGTCTCAAGGACATATCAATGTCTACTTTTAGTTCCCCGGATTTCCTCCTATTCCCTTCTAATTCCACCATTCGTTCCAAAATGCTCGAATCCCAGAAACAATACTTTCAACCCATGATGGATCCCATGGTTGACACATTCTACCCCGTTGACATGAATTCATATCCCAATCCTCATCCTGATACCGACTACTCTCGAGTTCCTCCATACTATGATCCATCCGTATTTGAGACCGACTTCAAGATCTCATCCATTTCCAGCTTCCCTTCAATGCCCGCCACTCCTCCCTCCATCTCCCTAGAACCTCAGATGCCGACTGGGTCTATTGCTTCAGGCAGTGCGCCTTCATCGGCAATTGGCTCGCCATATTCTGGATCCGCACAACTCTACCAAGATAACTGGGTAAATACAAATCACGGCCTGGGTCTTCCAGCCGCAGTTATGAGTGATTTGTTCGTCAATGAGTATCCCGTGGATTCAGAAGGACTGTTCCAGGGTAAATTCCCGGATACATTTGTTGGTTCGTTCCCGCCTTCCGTCTTCCCCGAAACCAAATCCACTTTCACATTTTCCTATCGTTTACAGATTTGAGATCGAACCGAAAACTGACGTGGGCTCCACTTTTAATAGATCCTTCCTTGATCCAACCTGTTCAATCTCACAACTTTTCTCCTTCTATTCCCTATGAACAACACCAAAACAACTCTACATACTCTCTTGTTCCCTCTGATTTCCTACCCTACTCCCCCGCTATATCTCCTGTCCCTTACAGTGACAATGTCGATCAACAATATACTTCTCCCATGATGATGCCCGCCCGCACATCTTCAAGACTCTCGGTCTATGACCGTAGGTCGTCTATCTCATCTACACGATCTCGCCGTTCAAGACAGAGCCCGGCTTTAAGTAGCGTGGAGGTAGATGACGAGGTCAAGGAAAAGGGACGATGCCCACATCCAGATTGCGGTCGAGTTTTCAAAGACTTGAAGGCTCACACGCTCACACACCAGTCTGAGAGACCCGAGAAGTGCCCGATCATGAACTGCGAGTACCACACAAAGGGCTTCGCTCGAAAATACGACAAGAACCGCCACACATTAACCCACTACAAGGGCACAATGGTGTGTGGCTTTTGCCCAGGCCCGGGATCTCCAGCAGAGAAGAGCTTTAACCGCGCCGATGTCTTCAAGCGCCACCTGACTGCCGTGCATGGTGTGGAACAGACTGCGCCGAACTGCCGCAACAAACGCAACTCATCAGCATCTACAAAGCAAAATACGGGCACAAACTACAGCAGTGATGGTACTGGTAAATGTTCCACTTGCTCTTCGACGTTCAGCAATGTACAAGACTTCTACGAGCATCTGGACGACTGTGTTTTGCGCGTAGTGCAGCAGGAGGAGCCGTCAGAGGCCATCAACCAGCAACGTCTGGCTGAGGTAGCCTCGGACGACGAGGTGCGTAAAACTATGGAAAAACACCAACTGCACAACTCGGCTGGCTCCGAGCAATTTGATGATAACGACTCTCACGATGATGATGATTTTCTCGACCCCTCCCTCTGGCGCGGTGCAGCCAGAAAGGGTACCAACTCCTTCTCTTCCTCTCGCGTTATTCTCGGTGCCGGGAATGCGGTCACCAAGAACTCTTCTACTGCTTCTCGCACTGCGCACAGTCGTCGTCGCACTCGTGGCACCTATCCTCAGGACTGGAGCTGCCCTAGTAGCAACATCAAGACCAAGAAACGGGTACTATGTGTCTTCAATGGCTCCCGCCGCCTATGGAAAGATGAGATGCGACTGAACAATGAATTTGAAGTCCGTCTTCGCTTTCCAGGAGATGACGCGCGGGAAACCTACGTCACCGACCTAGACATCATGACCCTGAAGCGCGCAGAAGGTGTGCTAAGCACTAATGACGAAGAGCGCGGTCCCTGGATCAACGATCTCTCGCATCAAATCATGGGCCAACCGGCCATTCTTCTATCCGATATGTGCCGTGGCGATGATGAGATCCCGACAATTGACGAGCTGATGGCATGAGCGTTTTTTCTTTTTCTTTTTTCCTTCTCTATTTAAACTTTGTGAGGATTTACGCCTCTTTGTATTCTCTTTAAATTTTTTTTGTTTTGTCGCTTTCTATCAAGTCTACATTTTGTAGCGGCGTTTGAGCATCTTATCTATATAGGTTCTGATTGGATCAGCGGATGATACCTTGGCTTTGTGGAAGAAAATAATTCCAAATATATCTTTCAAATTAAATTTCTGATTATGCGTTTTCGTATCGTACCTGGGTACCAAACTTCTCTTGGCCTGACTCGTCGATTATTTGACGTAAATATGACCACTTCAGATCCCATATCAACTTTTACTTCTTCCTCTTGAAACGAACTCACTTCATTCATCTATTCTTCTTACATCGAGTTTTCGACTCAGCAAAATGAGGCATATCTATTCCGAGTTTTCCTCGTGGCGTCAGGAAGAGGACCCGCCAGAACGGCCTCTGTTAGACTACAAGAAGGAGAGCCAGATTGGAGAACTAGAAGGATCAAGAACTGAGGGGGAAGCAGAAAAATTATCAACTGAAAAGGAAGAATCAAGTGAAGAGTCCGAAGAAGCAGAATCAAGTGGAGAAGAAGGAGAGTCATCGATTGAAGAGTCTGAAGAAGACGAATCAGATGCAAATGTTCAGGCTTTTCTTCGATGTTGCTTCGAAGAAGACTCAGGTGAAGAATACGTGAATTCGTTAAGTGAATCTGACCATGAATTATCAGATGAAGGCACAGAGGTATCATCAGACGAAGACATAGAGGAATCATCAAGTGAAGACGACGAAGAATCATCGAATGAAGAGATTGAAAAAGAAGAATCTGATGAAGAGAATGCTTATCCTTTCCTTCAATACTATTTTGAAGAAGAAGACTCAGGTGAAACATACGAGTACCAGTCAAATGAACAATTAAGTGAAGATGAAGCAGAAAACGACGAAGAGACCCAGCTTGAAAGTGAACTATCTGAGCTTAAAAAGGAAGTAATTGGGACTATAAAGATGAAATTCCAACATGAGAAGATAGAGTGCGAGCACAATATCTCTTGCCATGAGCAGCAGGATTACTTTTCCAAAAATGCATCGGTGTATAACTGTGAGCTTTGCGATAAAGCCTTCTCAACCCAAGGTTTACTCGACTACCATTCTCGAGACAAATTACTACACTTGACGTTTCCCAATGAGATGACCAAAGAAGAAATTTCGCTCAAGCGGAAGAGGGATACGAACGCACTCCAACGATATCGAATGAAGCCCTTTCTTGAGTCTGGCAAGGATGAAAGATGGTCAATCATTGAGAAGCTCCTTATTACAGAATGTCGTCTTCGATATAACGCCCAGAAAGCGCAGCATCTACGTGAAAATATCGATGCTGAGCAATCGGAAAAATTGCAAGCGGAGATCAATGAGACCAGAATAATGTTTTGGAGCTTACAGGATAAATGGTGTTTATACCGAAGCAAACTTAGAGGACCTGTCTCGAGAGCATTTGATCTCTGGCGGTCTAATCCAAGATGGTATATGCATCAAACTCTCATTAAAGATTGCAAGGAAAGGCAGGGGTGCTGTTCTCGAGAATGTGGATGCTGCAGTGAGCGTCAGACTGGCCCAACTCATGAGCCTGGAATTGGACACTGCTCGACGGGATGCAGATGCTGTACCAAGGCGCGAGGATTTGAGCACTCAGACATCTCGGCCAAGACGTGCACCAAAATTTATCAGAATTGGACTGAAAAAGTGACAGGTGATCACGAATACATGTTGGCTTCTATATCAGGACTGTGTTATGATAGCCGAAAAGACATATTTGATATGATTCAAGAGTCGTCAGACATGATAAATGTATATGAAGATAAGTGTGACTGGTCTTAATTGAATTGACAAGAGATCGATGATGAGGGGAGGTATGTGTTGACTTGACCCCGAGGTCCTGGGACACAGTTTGCTGAGTCACTGACTCTCTGTGTTGGATGTATGAGACTTGCTCAGATAGTAGGTGCTAGCTCCAGATTCTAAATCCAAATTGCTCTATACCCAGGTGCTATCAGATTCACTGGTTTATGACCTCTCTTTCGTTGCTACTTCAATTTAGAGACGAGAGCAAGTATGCTCGCAATCTAATCACGGTATCAGTTCCAGAGTTCCTACCAATTGTATCTAGAGGAAAAAATAGGGCTTTGATGTAACCTGACATCCAGTAGTCAAATACAACACTCAAAGCCTTGGAATATTATTCAATCCACACTATCAGCCGCCTCATTTAAAGACTATCTAGGTAGAGATATCATAAATCTCACACCACTTCTTCTTACAGGTCGCATTCCCGAACTGATAGGATCCTCCATGGGCCCAAATATACTGCGCAACCTTCTTCCACGATACCTTTGGTGGCTGGTGTCCCGTCGAGTCTGGAAGCGGACTATGGGGACTTGATGTTTTATCCTTGCAGAGCGTAACAGCTTCACAAAGAAGCTTGATCTATCAGTCATATGTCAGTTTCGGTATTTCGATGCCTATACGCAAACTTTACTTTACACCTACATCGCAATTCTCCCACTTGGGCTTCCTGACCCTCTGCTCCTTTGATTTGGTCAAAGTGCGGAACCGGCCTCGCAATGTGGATTCTGCTTCTTTGAATCCGCCTAGGCGCTTGATCTCTTTGTAGGATAGACCGCGACGTTTGCACTCGATCAGGAACGAGTTGCGTTTGTCGCAGTACGAGGCTGGTTTCGGGGGTCCTGTTTGGTCTGCATGGACCACCTGCTCTTGGTATGGAAGCATTTCAGGCCGAGTGTATGTGTTCCCAGGATAGAACGGATATGAGACTTGACTGTGTGGTTGACAAGTTGGAGAGACGACTTGTATTTGAATTGGGTAATCCTGATCCAAGTCTGTGTTCGTCGACGCTGGTGATAGCATGGGCCGGTTGAAGAATTGAGTATTTGATTGAGAGTAAAAGGGCCCATGTGTTGTTTCTTTTGCTAAAGGAGTTACAGGTTCAAAGACAGGCCAGTAGTTGCTGAAGTGCTGTGTACTCGGCCAGGCCTCATCGATGTTTGAGACAGGTGAGTGAAATGTAGGTGACAGCCCATGATAGATGCCTGCCTCTTCCTTTGATATCTCAATGAAGTTGAAGATCGACGCCGCTGGGAATGACGTATCCTCAGAACCCCAAGCAAAAGAGCTATCTGTTGGGATCGAATCTACCAGTGCTTCTGTTTTGGACGGAGTAGTCATAAAGGGATCATTGATATGTTGGAAGGACCCAGTTGTTTCTTCTCCATTGACAACACCGCTACTTGGCAAGGTAGTCTTCGTTGGTGCAGACACAAGATTCATATCTGGTAACCTTTTGGGAAGGTCTTGGTCATGGATGTATCCCATTGACAGCTCAGAATGAGACATATTTATAGGTGTCTCTCGAACATGCAAAATCTGACTCTTTTTTGAGATTTGATCAGTTGGTATGGCAGAGTCAAGCAAAAAGTCAAATTTCCAGTCATCAGTGATATCTCCATTAAAAGGAAATGTATTTCGGGAGGAAAACCCAGAAATAAATTCTGAGCTCAGGCTCTTCCATGTAGCCCATGGCTTCGGAACCCCTGGACTGACCAACAAATCAACCATGATGAAATGTAGACTCTCTGAATTCACCGCAAGTTTGTTAATTGGGATTTGGTTGTACACGGGATGTCGCTGTGTGTAGACTACCGGTTATACATGAGCCCTTTTATGTCTCAAAAGTAGGATAATGCGTCACCGTTGGGCCGGGATATTCCAACTTGCAGGCCTTGAGTGGTACTGTCTTAGATCTGACAGGAAGTGAATTGAATAAAACTCGGTGAGGGATGTGTTGGAAGTAGAGGTTTGTGAAAATAGTAAGCTGTCATAGAAACGTGTGGAGAGGAAATTACCCTTACGTCCAGACACTACTGCCGTATGGATACAAAGGATATAGTGCTTGGTTTATCCAATATGGTGAATAGATTCAGCTTCTCGTATCCTTTTTGGTATTATTCAGTCCCCTTATAAAAAGAAAAAGGAAGTTACAACTTCTCCAGGGAAATAGGGTTAAACGGTATCCGTTGGACTATTGATGAACAAAAAGGGTTACCGAAATGATGATTCAACCCTAGCCAGGCCAGAAATCCCCGGGATTCTGATCATTGCCGAAACTTCGTACTTTTTAGATCAGTAAACTCTCCATTATCTGGTGTAATGTCTTGCTTCAGCCTCGAGCTCCAGCAAAGACGATAACAATATGGACGATCTTCTTGCTGGTACATGCGATGATATTACCTTCCTTCAATGGATATCACAAGTCAAGACCACCCTTCATATTCCATTCAAAATGATATATCTACAGGCCTTTAGAGATCGATGATAGCCCAGATCCTTTTACTATCGGTAGATCGCATCATCAGAAATGTACTGGTCACCTTTGATCCTAGGAATTCCCTTTTATGGAAAGTCAAGAGTGGAATTCTGTGCATACCCCCTTGTGCAATTTGCTTTTTTTATAAACAGGTTGGATCAGCCGGTGGTATGATTGGATCGGATACTAGAGAGAGCCTCTCCAAGCCCTATGTGGTTATCCGTCCAGGATGGAACTTTGCCAACTTGACCGTTCCAACATGACTTTCTCCTTTTTGGCTGTTCGCTGGGTTAACCCGGACTAGGTTTTTAAACTTCTAAGGCTAAGGTTAAGTAGCTCTAATCAAGTAGACCAAGGTTAAAAGTATGCAGGAAATCCTAAAATATTGCCTATTTGGGACATACAAGAAGCTTTGGAGATAAAAGGTATAAAAATAGTTGTAACAGAGTATCCATAAACTCCAAGACTACTCAGATTTTTAAGAAGTATAGAACCATCTAGACCAGCCCTTTCTCCGCAATCAGCCCATCTCATCCCATTCATTGGGCCAGTTTCAACAGAAAGCTTCTTCCACCTGCCATGGGATGGGCTGGGCGGCGTTGAAATCAGCAAGAAAACCAGCCCGCAATAGATGCGAACGCCAACCGTTGCACACATCTTAATTATTCTTCTTTCTTACTTGCATTGGCAAGCTTGCCCAGGTACTAAATCTGCCAATATTCTAGTTTCATCTGCCTTGTCTTTGTTTTTGGTGTGCAAGTTTTTCCAATCATGTCACTTTTGCATCGTGCCATCGTGCCATTCGTCTGACGGTATGATACTGAGAGGTCTGGACTTCACCTAGGTGTCTAAAACAATACACACGGAAGATCAAATTGATTGAGAGATGAGGCAATAATTTCAAAAACTATCTCAGGGTTAGTACCTTGGAGTTCTATCTCTAGGTCTATAATTGCTCTAATTAGAGATTCTAAACGCACAGGAAAGGGTTAAATGTTCAGCCCTGTACCATTTTATTTTTGATGACTACCCGGCCTGTTGGGGAGGAAATCACAAACCTCCCAAGGTTGGCGTTCTTGTGGAGAAGAAGAACTCGAGTTGAAGAGTTAGACCTCAAACCTCACCTGGGCACCAACCGGACACAAAGGGCCCAGAAAGAAAGACATACAACCTCGAAGAATAGAACACCCAGCTGGATCTTCCTAGATCATCCAAGTAATTCCAAGGGTCGGTTGTGGTTGTGGTTGTGGCTTGCTGCAGATCATTCACCTCATAACGGTTTTGCCAATATTATGTAGCTATGCGATGTCGCGGGTATTGCGCTAATAATATTAAAGATACAGATCCTCGTTATTTCAGGCTCCTGACTATCTCTCGTTATTTCAACAGCTAGGGCTACATAGTGTAGGCTTCAGGAGGAATTCCCTGAAATATAGCTTAGAGAAGTTGTATTGAATTTGAAGTTGAAATGATAGTATCAGTGGAGTGAGATTCTGATAGAGCGGGCTAAGGATGTGATTCCGAAAGGTATGAGTTTTGAATATAATGAATGCACGACATTATTAGGTAGCATAGCAATGCAGGACTTCGATACGTTATGTCTGAAATCGATATTTTCCCCTCCATAACTTGATTGGACCGATAGTCATCGTCTTTCATAGCCGATTTTATAATATCAAGTCAACGTCTGAGCATCATAGATCTCTATGAGAAGGAAAAAGCAAACAAATCAGATTATTCAGGTATTTTCCCCACCGCGGAAGTCGAATTGTCTTCCGTCATCACCGGTGCAGAGGCTGAAGGACGGAGTTGTGCGCTATTTTCCTGCTTCCGTCGGCAGGCTGCGTCTCTCCCGTCCAAAAGTCGGTCAACTAGCAGTACTAGAACCAGTCAGAGTAAAGAAGGAAGAGGATGGAGAAAATACTGACCAGTCAAAAGAGTCAATGTAAAAGCATACAAGATGATGGGCGATGTCATGAAAGAATAAGCGAGCGGGAAGTAGCGGGAAAATGAGACAAGGCTCGCCATAAGAATTGCCAGCAGGAGGCGCACCATCACGGACAGTGCAAGGAATAGACGGCGCTGATATCGACACGAAAGAACCAAAAATGCGGTGAACAGACTCATCGAAATACTAGCAACGATAAAGAAGTATATATACACAAATTGCAGGAGCTCCATATACATCTTGAGTAATTGTTGATGATCGAGAAGGCTGATATCCCCCTTTACTGGAGTAATGTCCATGCTTGAAAAGAGTGCTGCGGTTACATTTCCCATTAGGTCACCGAATATGTCATCAGTGTACATGACGCTGATAGCTCCACGCCCCGTACAGAGCGATGTGTGGGCTAAATCTTTGAGGATCCTCGAGATTGCCATCCACTCCTGCATTGCTCCCCGGCTGAACGGGATCTCCATGTCTAGAATCATAGTTCGAATGAGTTCGACTGCTTTAACCGAGTCAGGACGCGGCTCCTCACACACAAAAGAAATCGTTTGTCTCAGATATTTCAGCTTCAGGGTCACATCCAGCGTCAATGCTAGAATCTGTGACCCTTCAAGAAGTAGGATAAGTGCCACATGAAACGGGAAATGAAGCTGGACCCATAGCTGTTGAGACAATCGTCCAAGCCAGCCCCGTGGACAAACGTCGAAGTAAACCTGCCATAAAAGATACTGGTGCACGTTGTCAGTTATCGAGCTTCTGAGTGGATAGAGTACATACCACATTGCTAGTGACGCCCAAGATATGAACAAACGACCACTTAGTCCATCCACCCGGCCGAACCGTCTTGTTGACAATTCGAGTCACCGCAATAACCCCCTCGCCAATAATGATTAGTGTAAGAAGTCCCATCCGGACATTGAGGTGAGACTTCTGGAAACCTATCTCTGGGAAAACGCAAGAGAGCCCCATTACCGTCCACATTTCAATCCCAAATATGACGAACCAAAATATCCAGATCCGAGAGCCGGAACCAGTAGCATGGCTGAAAATACGGTACATCTAGTAGCTAACGGCGTTAGAAGCGACTTTTTCCCTATATTCTCCCTCACTATCTGCTTATAGGGCATCGAGAGTAAGAACGTACCCCGAGGTAGCAGAAAGTTGTAGTCCAGAACATGACGGCCGTGTAAGTTACCCCCTTAGCTGCAGACTTCATAGATGGATATATGAAGGCGAGGTTGATAGTATACTGAATAGCCAGGAGCATTCGGCTACCCGCCAAGATAAGAGTGAGGGACTGAAATGCCCATACGTTCTCATCGCGTATTCGTGCTGTAAATCGAGTCCCCGCAGACGCAAAGCCAACCATAGCACCGAGTTGGATTGCTTTGCATACTCTTTCAAAGACGGAGTCTCGGGCAAAACGGATATCGAACAAGGTTACCTGCAGCCAAGTGAACCATATCACACCAAGAAAGCCGATATAGGCACCCAATGCTAGTCACAAAATTAGAGAAGGGGCCAGCTGGACATTGAATTTTGAGCTATACCATTCACATTGTGGATTTCGTGCGTGGCGGTAAATGTGGATAGATTGGCTACAAAGAATAGATCGAAGAAGAGTTCAATTGGGGTTGCATCCGAACGGCTTTGCAGACGAGGTTCGTCCTTTGTCGTGTCGATTGGGTTTGCAATCCATGATAATGTGCGATATTGAGTGCTTTATGGGCATCAGAACAGAGGCGATCCCGTTTTCAGTGACCTTGGACTTACATCGGACTTTCCAACCATTGCGAGGTCTTGCCCATAGTTGGGCAGATGTTCAAAATTCCAAAGGTAGACATTGTAGAGCTTTGAAATCGTTCAAAGGTAGTAAATAAAATTAGACAGATTGGGTATCATACACAAGCTAGCACCGACCCGACATAATGGCTAAACAGAGATCTTGGGAAGTAGAGGCTCAGACTTCCGTAGCTGCCCTCTCTGGCCTCGCTCCTTGCCCTAGTCACTCTTCTCAGCCTCACCCCCACCAAACTCTGAAATTTGATGCTCCATTAATTGTTTCTGGTAAACCTCATCGCCATCACCACACTCCGAATTCTCCCTCGAAACATCCATGTATCCTTTCGATGCTTTCCGAAGGGCCGTGCGAAGTTCTTCCGGAAAACGCTCCGGGTGACGCGCCATATGATCTTTGAGCACAGATTGACACGATAAGCCATCCTGAAATTGGAAGAGTCGCGTGAAGTCAATCTGGGTGTCGGTCATGCGATCCACAATTTCTGAAATTGCATTGACATTCTCTGTATCTGTTTTACCAAGGTCCATCCTTTTGCGGCGTAGGTCAGTTTGTTCTTTCTTTTCCTGTGCCTCTTTTGCACGCGTCGATTTAAGCCATTCTGAGAAAGGGGGGATGTCCACAAGCGGTGGCAGCCCTTCTTCAACCTTCATGATGACGCCAGGCGCCTCGTTGTACCGACCAGCCCGAGCCTGGGCAGCGTCGTAAGCCGCCTTCTCTTCGAAGTCGGAGTCAACTCCATCACTATCTTGCTCCTCAATGAGTTCTCGCATTGCTTGGCGTTCCTTTTTGGACTGCTCGCGCTCGGCTTTCTTGCCAAGTGCGATAGCCCCATCCTGAACAAATTCATCAAATCCTTCGGCGAAATCTTCGTCATCGTGGACGAGTCGGCTATTTGGGAGGGGCTCGCTTCGTACAGCGAGATCCCACTTTTCATTCTCATTGTATTCTTCGCCAGCATCATTCAGTGAAATATAGTCCTCTTGCTTGGAATTTTGTTCTAAAGCGAGTCTGGCCCTTCGGGCTTTCTTTTCACGGATTTCCGCCTCGGATGGAATGACTGACGGGGCTGATAGCTGGACGGGTTGCCCAAATGTAGATGCCACGTCTATGGCCATATCGTCATTTTCGTCGGTACGAGTTGAAATATCCGGAGCACGTTTTGGAGTTGAGAGTGTCGATTCTTCAAGCTCTTTGAGATATTCGTTCGTATAGCTCGGTCGATCCTGCTCCTGGTCGACTCTGACCGAGGCATTTTGATCCAGAATTTTGCGACCAAGGCCGTGTTTTTTCGTGATCACCACTTCACTTTCATTGCCACCAGTTGCCTTTGAGGTCTCTTCGTCAAATTGGGAGATTAGATTGAGTCTCGGTTTGGACTTGGAAATTTTCGGGCGCTTGACGACTGGTTCTGTTTGGAGTATTAGTTTTCTTGCGGGTATTTCTGCAGTAGGATTGGACTTTATTTGAGGACCTGCCTGTGTCTAGTTCATCGTGGTCATTTCCAATTACTTTAGGCTTTCTACGATTTCTCCAAGTGGAACTCATGGTGATGAAAAAAAAGTGTTGTTGTGAAGAGTGGGTGACGAAGAAGGTATTCAAGTTAATCGTGAGATAAAGCTCCTTATCGCTTGCTTATCGAGTATCCGACCGGAGTAACAATCTTCCGCCGATACCAAAGCAACCCGCAATCACTTTCAAAGCACAATCACTTCTTGCTTCCTGTCAACCCGTCAGAACCCACAAGCTTGCCCAACATGCCTCAAGCCGGTCCTGAACTCAAGAAGGTTAGTTCTTATCCACACCCTTATGCCAGTATGTGTCCTTTCTTGCTGACAATTCCTGCACAGTACATGGAAAAGCGCGTTCACTGCGAATTGAACGGCAAACGCATTGTTCTTGGTGTCCTCCGGGGTTATGACGTAAGTCTTAATTGTGTTGTCCTGGGTGTCGCGATAGTAAAACCAGGCGACAGCTGAAAAAAAGCAGAGCTGACATCGCTTGTACAGACATTTATGAACATCGTTCTTGATGACGCATTTGAGCAACACGCTGACGGCTCAAAGTCACCCATCGGCATGATCGTTCGTCTCTATCTACCCACCATGTACTGAATTATTGCTAACTGCTATGTCCAGGTCCTTCGCGGCAAATCCCTGGTTATGATCGAAGCTCTCGAGCGCATCGAGCAGCGCAACATCAAATAGACTCGAGTTCACGATCAATAATATTTTCGAATGGGTCTCCCAAAAGTGAACGTGCCATTGGCCCGTAGCTGGGAATAATGATAGGAGTTACAAGGCAAATTCAAAACTACTTCATGTTCTATATTTCTTTTTGCTAGACCGGCGGATAACATACCCATGATTTGCCGTGCTCTGGGTTTCGGGCTTGTTCAAACACCATCAGGCGCGAGACACCTGCTTTATATAACCTTATTGCGCTAAAAAATATCCTCGTATCATGATATCTTGTTCGTTAGTGTTTTTGTGGTCACATAGCATGTTTCAAGCTCCTCATTTCAAACCATGAAGTGTGAATATCCCTCTCGATAAAGAGAATTGAAGTATCCCACAGGTTTCTTCGGGGTGGACATTCACCTATCCACACTCTTCTTGTCGCTCGTATAACATTTATATGTCTCTCTCGGAACATTTCCTGTTGTTGATGTAACGAACTAGCTAGGTATGGAGTCTCCCTTCCCAATATTTCTACCTACTGATGAATCTGTCCCAGTGCCATTAATGAAATTGTCCAGAAACTAAATTGGATTTTTTGTTGAGGTTCGTTAATTTACGGAATCGAACTTTTACTAGGATTGATTGCCGACAGAGCTGAATATCAAATCTGAGGACTATTGAATATGACCTGGGTAATCTGAATGCACAATATTGCTTTGCGGTATATAATGAATGCTTGAAATCAGTTGATATCATCCCGAGGTCACTTCACAAAAATATTTACCACTTTTATGAAATTTTCTACACTTTTGAGACTTTCCATTCACCTTCCTGTCTTCTTTGACTATCTCGGGTGCTCATACCCCCAGGCTCATAACAACTGACTGCTCAACAATCCACAAATCGTGTTCTCATACGTGAGATAATGTCAACGAGCATATTTTCTTTGATATCGAAGTAACAAGTCAAAAACAAGAGTCAAGCAAAGTATCTTCATAATATTTGATATAGAGACTAGAAAACGTCGCATAAGAACAGATAGGATATATCAAATTATTTCCGCCTATGTCTACTGGAAGTGTTCCTAAGGTTTCCTTACGAATACTTCCAGGGTCATATCTTTTATTACCTCCAGAGCTTGAGGTGGAAGTACCCTTTTACGCTCCAAGATTATCATGGATCTGTGGACATTTTAATCATGAATATCTCAATCCATATCTGCTGGTCCCTTCTAGCCACATGTGTTGAAAGAGCTTAAGTCAATTTCAGCCCCTCTATCTCTCTCTCCTCTCTACAGCTCCATATACCTACTTTTTTATTTATCATCCCTCTCCCTCTATCTATTTTTCTCGTCTTCATCTATCGGTCAAACTTTCCTCTCAACCTGTTCATTTTATGTCCCCTCTATCTATATTTCTCCTCTCCATATATTTGCTCCGCTCCTTTCTTCATATTTAAACTTCTCCTACCGCCATCCTCTCTCTATATCTCTCTTCCTCCGTCCATCTCCATATTAGACATGTTCATTGGGTATGGGTCAGAAATTTTACCCAAAACCCATATGGGTTGGGTATGGGTTTGAAGTAAAACCCACACCCAGCCCATAAACCCATCTTTTTGCCAAGACTTTTATTTCACGTGATATTTGTCACCTAGTTAGTACTAGATTGAGGCAAAAATTAGGCACTAAGGCACTAATTACCCTAATTTAGTTTAGGTTGAGGCGAAAATCAGGCATTAAGGCATCAAAAATACCCATATGGGACCCATACCCAACCCATACCCACGTGGGTTGGGTTGGGTATGGGTATGAATTTTGACCCATACCCAACCCATGCACATGTCTACTCCATATACTTCCATCTTCACCATCATGTATTTCCGTTTCACTATCATTTTCCGGGTCTCTCGAGCCCCATGGCTCTCCATCTCTATTCACTACCGCTCCACAGCCACTCTATCTATCGTTCTTGGCTTGATGGTGCTTTTATACTATGTATCACCGGAGTGGTTTTTCTAGTTGATCTCCCTTCTATACTATCTGGCAACTGGCTAGGTGGCCAGAAAAGTGGGGCCAATTTCAGTAACGGCATTGCTATCTGTACCTTTTGGGAATTGAACTTCCGAGTGTTGTTATTTTATTGCTTTGCTCAACCTGGTGTTTCTCTCCTTGGTTTTATTGGCATTTTTGGCGGGGTTGTTGATGAAATTGTTGTTATTTCTCAAATTTCTGTCATCCTTTGAATCGTCGCTGTAGTCTAGATTACTAGTATTTAAATCCTACTCTTATATTTTCTCTCAATCGTCACATAAGAGGTTTGTTCTCGTAATTCTCCGTACCAAAATAACTCTGTAGTAGCAGAACTAAGATTGAAGCTTAAAATATATTAACAGGGCCACGTCTCTTATCTACGCATATCTTATTTACTCCAGAAAAATAACTTTAAATCAGATGAGTGCTATCCATTGGAGTAAAAGTGCCACGTGAATACCTAGGTAGGAAAGAAATAATTTCCAATTGCCATAGTTGGAAAAATGTCATATTAGGAAATAAGACCAATCTTTGCGTTGACATGTAATGATAAAGCTAGAGAAGCCAAGATTTGTGTTAAGGTCCGGTGGCTGAAGAGGATGATAGCAAGAATGCACTGGTCTTATTATCAGAGTGTAAGATTTGTCGAAATCTCGTTTTAGATAAATACTCAGCTTTGGAAGAATGTTATCTTCTTATCACTTTTGTAAGGGTTACTGGATTTTACAGAGAAGACAAGGATGGGAACAAGAACTCGATAACATTTCAAGACTGATTCTTGAAAGAATCATAGGGGATCCGGGTACGGATCGGTTAAGTAGTTGTGGGTATTACATAACGGTCACATGATTTCCAGATTATCAACTCCGTGACAACTTTTGCCATGTAAAATTAGACTGGAAATGCAAAAGGAAAGATAACATATAGTGATTTCGTCAATGTGCGCGGAAAACCTTGGGAAGCTCTCTCATCGAAGAGTAGATCATCTAGCAAGGGTACATCAGCTATGATCTTTTATTCTTGAGGCCATCACCGGGCAGAAGGTTTCCGTCCCAAAATTCTGTTTTCCGAGAAAGTGAGCTAACGCCTTGTAAGTGAGCTCGAAGATAGCGTTGATATTTCCTCCGATCTCTCCCCTCAAGATTCTGTCTAAAGTCTTGAAATTGCCGACTTCTCCATTGATTGTCTTTAATGCTAGACTAGAATAACTCAAATGGTCATATTAGGCGATTTTTTTTCTGTCAAATGAGATTTTTTGACCGTCCAACCAGATTGGTTGACGAAACTGGATTGTCTATCTAGGGATGAAATCCCGCTTAAATACACACATTATGGATCCTGCTTACGTACAGCATAAACCCCGTATCGGACCTTTGACATTTTCTATATACCACGTGACTTGACCCACTGATCTGCAGGAGCCGCTTTGGATTAAGATACCAAGCATTTATGAGGCTCTGGAGAACCGGCTACATTGTCCGTGACTTGGCAGCTCCACCTGTAACTAACATCTCAAAATATTATTACATAATTTACATCCTCAGACAGGTTTTCAAGATCTAACACCATCATTATATTTGTCTAATAGTGAATAAACACCAGGTGAGATTCAGAATGGGACAGACTTAGGAATTAACAGTTCAAAGTTGGAGTAGGTTTTCATCCCTCGATCTCTGGAGTGCAACAGTAACGTAATATAATACCAGAGATTGAGGCTGCATCTTCACGCAGATTACTTCTTTAAACTATAATACTAGTTTTCTATATCCTACTAATCCTATAGGAGAGAGCTTTGCCAACATTTATACATTTCTCTCTTTTCCCTCTCTTTTTCCAACCTTGGAGTCACTTCCAAATTCATTAGATGACTTTTGGAAAACGCGTCATTTGTTGAGTATGCTGTATAATTCAATTCCAAACTTCTAATTAATGAAGTCATTTTCAATACTTAGTTATGGAATGGTGTTTATATAAGTGGGTAGACTTTTGAAACCTTGAAAGGGGTTTGAAGGCAGTATTATTGTAACTAGGCTTCCAGTGCATTTAAATTGATGAGCAACTTTTAATCCCGATTATACAACGGTCTCATTAACGAGTCTATAACTAGTAACTCATCTCGGCACTAAATAGCTTCTAGGTTACTCTAGAGCAGATATAAATGCCGACTAACCTCGAGATGGAAATTAAGATCACTAATTAGAAGGTATCCTCTTGAGATACATATGGATTGATATGCTAGTCCTCATAAAAAAGTGAAAGTGAATAAAAGGCTAATAAAGAGGATAAGTTAAGGGAGTGCTAAGAATAATGACTGCTTATTTTGGCCCTCCAAATTTGAGCTTGAGCTTCAAGCCACCACCACTTGCCGGGGTGGCGGGTGAGGATGCTCCAGGTGTACCGGAACGCGCTGCAGCAGACAGGTTAGGGATGTGGATTTTGGGAAGAGAAGGAGTGGATGGTGTATTGTGACGAGACGAATTATTCTTCGACTGCTTGAATGTGATGCGTGGCGCAGGAGGGTGCATGCCTTGATCCTCACGCTTGCGCTTGGTGTCCTTTGAAGGACCAAGACCGGTGCGTACCGATTGAGAGCGGTAAAAGCGGAGTTTCCCGTGGCCCAAGTTTTGGAGACTCCAGAATCGGGGCAATCGCAATTTAACGAGTTTGGATGTGACAGGGTCAAACAAGACGCGGCAGAGGTCGGTGAGCTCGGAAAGTTCTAGTAATCCGAGAGAGGCAGAGTTGCACGCGGCCCACATGTAATCCCTAAGGGACTTATCGGTTGAGATTTCCTTCTTGAGGGCTTCAATAGCACCGGGGATAGTTTGTCGGCGAGCAAGATCGGCTTGACGGATTTCTGTCGATGATTCTTGTTCGATGATCAAGTTGTCAGTTTGAGCAGGCTGCGCTGGCGGGGCTCGGCCGAAGGCAATCATCGCAAGTGTTCGGCCAAACAGCCGCTGGCAGTGGTGACGGATGTATGCTGACGAGTCACACGTCATGCTAAACATAAGCCATCGAAGAAGCTCTGGGTGTTGGGAAATATCGAGTTCGACAAGGCACTCGAATGCCTCTAAACGCAACAGGTCAAAGGTTCCAGACCGGGTGTATGGAACAAAGCGCATTACGTCCATCTCTAGAAGTTTGGCCTGCATGAACTGCATCTGGCAATGGAGAGCAGCTCGAGAATACAGGTTCTGAAACGAGCCCGACCATTCGTCCATTCTTCGATATCGATCGAATTCAGCGACCACGTCCTTTTCGAGCTGTTCTTCGGCCTGGTTCTCCATAAGCCGGTCCATATCAAAATCTGTCATCTCATTCTCAGGACGAGCCTCATTGCGCCCAAGCATGGCATGGCAAAGTGACCGCATCAGAGAGGCGACGTAGAAGTTGTCAGAGTACTGTGAATGAAGATTAGTTAGAAGCTCAGCAAAAGAAACAGATCAAACATACGGTATTGGTGGAGTTATCATTAAACTTGAGCTTGTCGAACAAGAACCGCTTCACGCGCAAGGGTGTCTTGCCACTGTTATCGCGAACTTGTGATATCGCGTCCGGAATCACCTGCTGCAGAATGTATGCTGCACGGTCTGTAAAATCATTGGAACGAGTCATAGGAGATCCAGGTAGACAGAAAAGCTCCTGGAATGCTGTTTCCAGGTGAGTTAGTCCAACCCAATCCACTTCGTCCTTAGCGTGTTTGATCAATGCCTTTGCTGCAGTGACCCGAATGCCATGGAAATAGCGACTATCCATGAGTGTACGGACGAAGATGGTTGATATCAACGGGTGTTCTCGCTGAGCGGCCATGTACTGTAGAGACTGCGTTGTGTTATTAGAGAACTAAAAAAATCCCTAAAGTCTCTGCTTACCTCGAGCTGAGCAACCACATCCCTATCTTGCTGGAGTTGTGATAGGTACATGTAGCCTGGCATGCCCAAAGAAAGTCTGCAGATCCACTCGAAATCTGCATCCATACGAATCCATTCGTAAGACTCTTGTCCCATCCTCTCTTCGTCTTCTTTGGTCCAGTCGGCCAATTTCCATTTCTGTGTTTCCTCCTCAGTCTGTAGCACATCACCGAGACAGTATAGAAGGACGTCATCCTGCACTTCTGGGTCACCTGATGCTACAGCACGTTCTCTTTGTTTCTTGTTTCGCTTTAGCCGCTTGTACTTTGTATTGTATGGAATGTCAAATTTGGTGACACCCTCTTTGATTTCGACGATGTGTTCATATGGAGTTCCATCGGCCTCATGAATACGGATGGTCATAGACCCAGTGAAGACAGGTTGCATGGCACCGGCATAAACGTGGCGGACCTCCTCCTTGACGTCTCGGAAAAAGTCTTTTTTCTCGAGGTCTCGCGCAGCTGTTTGGTCTGCCTGGACTTGCCTGATCATCATCTCAACCACAAGTTTTTTCTTATTGAATCTTTGCGTGGCTTGGAAGCGTGGACACCCTGCACCATACACCCACTGCTGGAAGAAAACATCAAGCTTTGCGTGCCCGAATCGCTCACAAAGCTTCTGAAACATGACCGAGTTGACAGCTCCGTTTGGCATGTCACCCATACGCGAGTTCAGGAAAAGTCGAGAGATTATCCGGGACATTGTTGCTTTTCCGCTAGCCTTTGTTAGGCGTCGGTCGAGAGTGAACAGAACGAGAGGCGCCTTCAGTGCAATGAACCGATATTCAGACGGATCTATACTGAGATAATTTCCCATGTCATGGATCGAAGGACGTTCGTAGTCAAGCTCACAGACTTTGTCGGACATCTGTTTAAGGCGGTATCGGTATTCGTTGTTGCCGCAGAGCTTCTTCATGAACGTGTCTGTGACATACCACGCAATGCCAACAGTAGCCCAAGTATCAGCGGGCTCATTGGGGATGATGTTGATTCCACTCCATTGGCATGCCAGGGCATGCGCTAATGCCCGAGTGGAGTCATATATCGGGTCAATAACATCGGGAGGAAAGAGGAGATGACTACTGCAGATTGCCATGCACGCCATTGGCAGAGTATCAGTAGGAATATCATCAACAAAGCAAAGCTTGTAACTTGTAAATGGATAGGAGCCGAAAGACAGAGAGAAAAAGTCAATTGCCTGAGCCATTGGGAAGCAGGTGTTTTGAAGCTCTTCCCCTCGTCCTGGCAAACAGAAAGCGTGCACAGGGATAGCATTTTGCCCAAGTTGCTCATCCTGGTCACTTTCACGGAAGTCTGCAACGTTCACATATTCAAAGGGACCTAAGGCAAATCCGAGCTGTTGGGCGGATAGAGGCGAGTAGCAGGAAAACGAGACAGTTTTCCGAGTAGGGTCTGCCGGGTCTACGATATCATCTGTCAGTTCACCAGAGCAGACAACAGACATTTCTAGCCCTTCGTCGTCCGCAGAGATATACCGGCTCCGGGCTTTTGGCCGTGGAGGAGCAGCAGGATCAGTGGGTTCGCGGGGTTTGCGTTCAAAGGCATCCTTCAGAGTGTAAGGACACGATATCGAGATATCCCATGTACAACGCGACGCTAGGTCGTCCACACACGGGAACAAGGGGCACCCAACGCCTGACTCAAGCGAATTTGTGGTGTAAGCATGAGGATAACGACGATCTCCAGCATCCACACCAACAAACTGCAGTCCATCACGAATACGATCAATGACGAAATCGATGTTTATGGTCACTGCCTTAAATCGTGGGAGGTTAACATCGGGGCGACGGTCAGACGAACCGTCAAAACTTTGCAGCGCAATCTGGTCCTGGGCTTCAGCAGAATATGGATCGAGCTCCTCGATGCGTACGGACTTCGGAATCAAGATCCTAAGCTCGGGGTCTGGTGGACGTTTCAGAATGCGATCAATTTTCGTAATTAACCGTTCGTTGTATTGCACGCCGTACAGTTGGAGGTTCTCGTAAGAGTCGGAATATTCGTATGTGGCAGGTTTTCCATTTACCATCAAGCGCTTGATCTCGCCCTGTCGGAAGTTCAAGGGGATGATCCTGGAATCTCTTTTATTTGGATGAACTGTGATCTCAGTGCTGCCCTTCAAGCTCTTTCTAGAAAGATCGATCTCTAGCTCGATTTTCTGGTGTCCAACGCTGAACTCCGGGCGCGGCGATGCCGTAGCACTAGCTGGAATCTCTACCACGCCAGGCATGGCGAAGAGTCCTCAGTTAGATGCGCGACCGGCGCTGTGCGAAGCATCAACCGTCATGTCCAGCCAGGCCCAAAAAGAGGCGACCTCGGGAAGTAAAAGTACAAGAGAAAGCGAATGTGCGGAGAGCAACTGCTAGTGTAGGTTTCAAAAGGCAGTCGATGGAAGAAGGTGCTTGAAATTGACGTATGGGGAAAAGAAATCGATGAAGGATATCGAAGGGCCGATGCGCGCGAATGAGCGAGGGGGTGAAAAGTTGGCAAGAGCTGTTACGAAGTTATTCGAAAGAGAGAGGGAAGGTGCAGAAGAATTACACGATCACGCGACCGGTAATGAAGCAAAGTGTCGCCCTGATACCCCAAGCGGATCTTATATTTTGAAGTCGAAGTGCTGGAACCTCGCGTTTCAATGCGGAGTGGCACGTGACTATGGACCCAAATTCCCTATCAGACATTCCCATTTCACTTCTCTTTTTCATTTTTCTGAGTAGCAAGCAAGCACTATTCATTAGTTGCTCCTCGGCCAGTATTATTGTCCTATTCTTGATTTCCCTGTTTTCGTGCCCTTGTCTTTCTGCCGAGTCTCGACATATCCAGCTACTCCGCGGCGCAATCGGTAACGCCACGCGGTGGTCCTAGCCTTCAAGATGAACACGATAGTTCGAATGATCCAAGGTCTGTTGAATCCGGCATGCCATAGAAGCTTTCCTACGAGTCTTCTCTGATATTCAATACAAATTTCTTCTGCAGAGACCCAAGACTCAGTTTCCGATGAGGCTTTACTTCCCCTGAAGTCCTACAAGTACTCCAGCGTGGACAAGTCCTACATTTCCAATTACATCCTGAAACACTATGTACGATTCTCTCTAACGCTTCGCCACTCCAATTGGTATATCCAATCGTTATACAATAATGACTGATGTGGAAATTGCGTGTAGTGGAATGCCTTCGTCGAATTGCTGCCCATGTGGATGGCACCCAACATGGTGACCCTCCTTGGCTTTGTTTTCATTGTAGTCAATGTCTTCTTCATTGAAGTTTTCATGCCAGACATGATCGGACCAGTGAGATCACCGTTGTAGGACCAGAGGTTCAGTCACTGACAATCTAATTCTATAGGGACCTTCGTGGTTGTACTTCAGCTTCGCCCTTGGCATGTGGATGTAAGAAGGAATACTTGTCTGTGACTCTCTGACAGCAACTTACATTCAGCAGGTACTCTACTTTGGATAATGTTGATGGTAAACAAGCCCGAAGAACGGGAACTTCCAGCGGGCTAGGAGAACTGTTTGAGTTCGTATTATTCTCCAGCAAGCCATTCGCCAGTCGCTGACAGAATATAGTCACGGAATCGACTCCCTGAATTGCACATTGGCCAGTCTTCTTGAAACTGCAGCAATGGGCTTTGGTGCCTCGCAGCTTGGCGCGTATACCGCGCTTGTGCCTTGCCTCGCGATGTACTTCTCCACTTGGGAGACTTTCCACACCCACACCTTATACCTGGGTTATTTTAACGGCCCTACTGAGGGACTCATCATCGCCATCAGTATCATGATTGCGTCCGGCATATATGGGCCTGGAATTTGGTCACGTCCAATCATCGAGCTCATCAACATCCCCCAGATCTTTGGCAACAACTCTGTCAAGGACATTTGGGTCCCGATTCTCGTTGGTGGCTTCTTCTTTGGCCATCTTCCTGGATGTATCATGAATGTGATTGCTGCGCGCAAGAAGCAAGGCTTGCCGTTCACCCCTCTTCTGAAAGAGTGGATTCCCATGATTGGCTTCACCCTGTGCAACATCGCCTGGCTCTTCTCACCTCACAGCACTGTCTTGGCCAACAACCACCTCATTCTGTACTGCTGGACCATCTCCTTCGTCTTTGGACGCATGACCACCATGATCATTCTGGCTCACCTGCTGCGTCAGCCATTCCCTTACTGGACTATTCTTCAAGCTCCTCTCATCGGCGGAGCTGTCCTCGCGAATCTGCCTTTGCTCGGCTTCTCCCCAGTCAGTGCATCGTTGGAGCTCTTGTATCTGCGCGCGTACTTTGTCTTCGCCTTTGTAGCGTACTCATACTGGGCAGTACTGATCATCAATCGGATTACTACATTCCTAGGAATCAACTGCCTCACGATTCGCAAGGACCGATCCGCCGCTCGTGACAGAGTCTTCCAGAACTTTGGCGAAGCTGGACTTTCTGGTTCGCGCAATAGCAATGATGACGCCCTTAAAAGCCACTAACCGTTTTCCAGGCCCCATTTACAGTGGATAATTTTTCTTCTCCCCTTGACAACGGTCTCAAAAGGCTCGTTATCTGCTTGCATGATGCTATGGCCACCTACCTAACACGTACGACACGACCCTCCTTTTCAACGCATGTCTGATATAAATTTGTAATTATAACTCTACCGACTCATGTCTTGTCATGCGATATATTGACCAAGCTTCAAGCTCGGTCCATTGCATACCATTTGAAAGCGACTCCATATTACGGACACCACTTGTGGTGATTTTACCTCGCATATCATGTATATATGTCGATTGAATGTTTGAATGTCATATCAGTTGATTTGACAATCTACCTAGTTAGCTAAGGTCTTCAGAATAGATTAATAATTGCGAAATGCGAGATTGCAGATGATCTATTAGGTATTCCTATCTAAGAAGAAGGGAGGAGAAACAGTACAGTTTTGCTGTTTTCTATAACCTAGGTATAGAGTTGCTGAGATCTATGCAAGCACGGAGCTTTGATGAGTTTGGGGTGTTTACATAGGAGTATGACTTGTTAGAAAACTACCATACCCATAGCTCCCAGTTCAACTACTGATTATAGAAAATCAAGGTATTCATTCCACTAATAGCCCTGTTTCACACATATAGCGGCTCCAATGTGGAGAATTCAAAAATTCGATAAGCAAAAAGATTCAACAGTCAGAATTTCCAAGTGCTGGTTCTCTCCACAAGGTGAGACTTCTTGGAAATTGAAGTCTACAGACAATGCAAGGATATGCTATTGAGCAACCTCTATTAAGCGGATAGCCAGGTGGAGGAGGATCGCCTCCAAGGTCGAGATCCCAAAATATTTGACCACAGGCCCCTCAATCCTCTTTCATCGTTTGTTTGTGGCTCTTGCACTGGTTCAGCTTTCTAGTTCTCTAAAATCTTATGCGCTGCAAGTTCTTGATGCCTCCTGCTCTTGGGAGTAGAAGCTAATAGGTATTTCGCTCACTTCAACTACATTATACCTTTGTACCGGATTTCCTTGTCAGGTCTTGGAGTTCCCTTGATTAGTGCTCAGCATCAGAGTAACAGCCCTACAAGTCTGACCCGTGCTTCGCAGACTCAACCTCTAGAATTCTTTTCATCTCCTCGTTCCCTATATTTTGAGCATACTGGGTAGCACTCCCAAATGAGCCTCTCAAGTCAGGATCAGCCCCCTAGTTCAGCAGTCACTTCACTCTCTCAACAGCCCCTGCCATGGCCGCGTGAACGATCGGATACTGCGGGTTAGTGTGCCGGGAATCATACTTCTGGTTCACATCTGCGCCATTCTCCACAAGTAGGGCCATAACTGGAATCCTTCCTATATCCAGTTCCCTGCTCGGTGTGACGAGACCGAAATGGGGATTCGAACCGGGAGCGTACACGCCAGCGGCAAAGTACAGCTGCGCTCCATTTCCCATCTGCGCGCCAGCGCTTAGGAGCTTCTGCACCGTCTCAGCAGTGCCATACGCTACGGCTCTCTCCAGCGCTGCGCACGATTTTGGATCGGGCGCGCCATTGCGGTCTTGGTAGTAAGATTGCTCTCCTAGGTTAGGGTCTGCGCCATGGGCGAGGAACCAGTCGAGGAGGGCGTCATCAGTGACTATTTTTGGGAGAAGCACGGCACCATAGAAGCCAGGCGTGTTGGTGTTCCAGCCGTGCTGGATGAGAAGCTCGAACAAGGGAATCTTTTGGGGTACAGGTGCTAGGAGGATGCGTGTTGGGGTTTGGCGGGTAATAGGCGCGCCAGCCTTCAGCAAGCAGCGAGCAGCATTAACATTTCCAGCGCCGAGATCGACGATAAGACCTTGATGCAGAAAAGATGGCGTGCGAGACTTGGAGGTGATGATAGACTTAACGGCAGATAGAGAACCAGCTCGGCAGGCATCCTGAAATGAGGCGACATCCGGTTGTGCAAGGGCTTGGCTTGTGAAAAGCCCATAGTCATTGGGCTCTGTGATGGGGATATCGTCGTAGGGTGTGCCCATGGACGAACCCACAGTTGGGCCCATTGACTTGTCCATGGGTCCCATAGTCCTTACTTGAGTCTGCCACATTTTTCATCTCATTGAATTGGCCATCTGGTTCAGTTGAAGCTGGTGTTGTACTTTTAGTACCTGTAATTGTCGTTTTCGTGCCTGTTGCATGACTTGCTGTTGGGCCTGTTCCTCTTCAGATTCCATGTTAGATATTTGTTTTGTTTGTCTCTATCCTTGTTAGGGTTAAGTCAACGATTGTATGTGCAGTGCACTTTAAGCCGTCGAATTAGGTTACTAAGTAAATGCAAGGTAAAAGTTCAACTTGCTGGTTAATAGATGTCTTGTCAGATGACGTCATTAGCGATAGACATGAGAATGAGCTCCCTTGACCACTTTATAGCTGATCCTTGGTATACACTACAGGTATTAAAATTCACAGGTTCAGTCACACTAGCAAGACAATGAAAGGGCTACGACATGAAATATGGCACGAAAAACTAGATGTCCACGGTACCATCTTGTGGAATCACTTCTCAGAATTGTAATCATATAATATTCTGATCTTTCTTCCTCATTTACTTCCCATATCTAGACGGCCAACTGAGTTTCATCACTGCGAGCTATCGGCGTCTTCCAGCAAACGAATCAGCCTGTCTTTCTTCACATGGCTCTTTGGTGCAGGGATTCCTCTTGCTTTAAGCTGGTCATGGAGTTGCTTCACATTAAGATCTTGGTACTTATTATGTGCCACATCAAGACGAATCCTTTTGCGCGCACTCTCCTGCTCCTGGAATTCAATGATGTCTCCCAAGATTTTCTTCATTCGTTTCTCCTGTTCGTTTGTCATCCAATTTATCACTTTATCGAGGTACTGGCGGCACTTTGACTGGTCCTCGTCCTTGATGAGATAATATGAGTCAAGAAAGGACATGTGATATTTTTCGGTACCCGGAATATGAAAGTGAACATATGAGACCGCTAAGCGTGGTGATAAGGCCAAAGAGAACACGACTGAATCCAATGTTTGGAAGTTCATATTTGGAGGGCCCATTTCCATGAGGTGGCGCATTGAATTACCTCGGTGGGCACCAGCAACGGCTAGCTGGCTTTCTGCCTTATAGATCGTACCTTGGCAGGCTTCTGACTTGGCTTCGACCAGGAATGATGGGAAAATATCAACACCAGTAGGAACGCAGTATGGATCATTATCGGGGTGGAAGATGAAGACTTTCTCCGCCTTAGAAAAGATTTCACGACAGAAGCCGTAATGAACATCCGTCTTTGGAGTAATGATTGGAGTAGGCCAAATCCGACTTCTCGGGACTGGCGCTGAAGACCAGAGCCTGTTGTTACACACTTTAATGTCCTCATGATTGACGGCAAGCAGCGGGGATAAAAGAATTGAAGGAAGTGCTGTATCCTCATTGTCATTCCAAAATTTAAGGAGCATCTTTCGGATATTGACATGGTCTTGGTTGCTGAGAGGATCTTGTCCGCGGGCCAAAATAGTATTAACTAATGGCCTGATTTCATCGGGAATTTGTGCTCCAGCGTTGTCGATAATCAACCCATTTTCATCGAGGTGAATCCTCAGCTGTAAATCCGTCAGTGACTTCTTTGATTGGATTGACCGAGAGGTTTGAGGCGACTCCATTTGATCGTCGTATTCGTCGTATCGGAAATCGAAATCCTGGTCTTGAATATCGTGTTTGGGGGAGAGACAAGGGGAGACACTGGAGATCCAAGATCGGACATGATGGGCCGTAATACTGCTGTTGCCATTTGTATTAATCATATCGAACGGTGAGAGTTGAGGAAGGTACAGGTTAAGGTGCCTTCTTTTGAAATTATATATATATGTCAAATGACGTAAACCAGCCTTAGTAATAAAATCGTACCAATTCAAATGGAGTCTATCTTTTCTGTTGGAATTTTCCCCAAGTCTTCAGCATTGTCCGTTTATTCTGAAAGGGCCTTATTCTCATCTAATAACTTTTCAGTCTGAATGATCCAGCTTTTGCTAGCAGCTTCAGAGCTTTTTTCCATCTTCATGTTCCCCCCATCTTGATCAATGAGATCTTGAGATTTTTTCAGGGACACGCCTAAAACGTATAGCCCACTCATCCTCTGCTTCCTTATTCTCTTCTTCATTATTTTCTTTTTCCTCATTCTCTTCTCCCTAAATATCACTCTCTGATGCTGCAGAGGTATCACTCTCATCCTCTGGTAGTGGAGTAGGATCTATACCGCTGCGTTTGAACTCTGGTCTAAGTTCTAATTGCGGATCTCGCCAGAAAGGACAGGTGTCATTGCGGGAAACAGTGTTAAAGAATTGAGGGCTTAGAGTCTTAAAACAATGAATGACTTGCTTACAGCATAGGAATCGACTAATTAAGAAGGCTGGACAAGAGTAAACCCATTCATTAGTGTCTGTATGATACTGTTTTATTTGCATCTTGCTTCCACTGCCTCTTAAAAGCCTCTCTCCATCGACCCTTAAAGATCCGCTGCTCCCCACCTAACATAGCCCTTATCTGATAGACCATATAAGGAACTAGACGATTAGTATTACAGAGCTCCAATGTCGACATGTATAACTTCCAAGGAACACTTTCATTCAAAATCAAGTCCACTGACCATGTTCGCTACATATGTTGATAGTTATCATACTATATAAATACCAATTCTATCCAACTTTACGGATCCAAGTACAATTTTCCAACCTTGGAAACTTGTATGGATCTAGCCCTCCAGGGCCGGTGGTATTCATATAGGAAGTCCCAAGGTCTATTCTAAACACCTAGCGCAAGCCTAGGCCCTAGAGGGAAATAGGCTATCACGACAACACCCTCTTGGTAAATTTTATATGACATGCCCAGGTAAGTACCAGATGGACGAAATAGGGGACGAGATGCAGAGGCTAAGTAGGTATTGGAGGTATGGGCAGTATTATCCCAGATATCTCTCATATCGTCTCAATGACCCTAAGGTTTATTGTATACGTAGGCCAACCTTTCTCATTCCAATAAAAAACAACCCGTCTATCTGCGTCGAGCTATTAGCCTCTGAGAGCCAAAAACTAGACATAGAATTTTTGACAAGTTTAAAAATTGGCATGAACCTTGTGACGAGTCCAAAAAATCTCTGCCCGAAAAAGCAATATGCGAGGGGCGTGTTAAGGAGTGATAAGCGGTGGTGGATCAAGATCTTCATCGATGCCACTCTCTCCTCCACAGCTTGTCATTACTCTCTACTTTGTTATCTTACCTTGAAAGGTCAAACAGACTCAAACTTAAGATGAGTTCAAAGAAAAAATGGCAGTTTCGATCTTCCGAAGGTTTCATTACGCTTGTAGTAGCAATTGCCATTTTTACTGTGAGTGCTTCAGCTTGGTTGTCGCTGACATCACTAATACCCAATAGGATGCATTTATATATGGAATGGTTTGTTTTACCTTGGAAGCGGCCCAAGGTGCCAGTGGTGGAAACCGGAAAGACTAACCTGAAAATAAAATCAGATAGTGCCCGTCATTTCAGTTGTTCTGGTTGATCGAGTAGGAGCTCGAGAAGAGGACGGTAGGTACAACGCACTCTGACCTTTGCCATAAACTGACATCATTAACAGCACAGTTTTGGGTTTCAATCTTACTCGCCGTATATGGAGCTACTCTTTTCGTCGGATCCCGTAAGTCTCGCCTTATTTGGTGTATCAAAAGTTCCAAATCTCACGGTATCAGCTCTGTTCGGGTATGTTGCAGATTACTCTCAGCGGAAGACACTCCCATTCGTTGCTGGACTTGTCGCATTAGCCGCATCGACTGGTCTTTTTGTCATTGCGCGGTCACTATCTGTCCTGATTATCGCAAGAGCACTACAGGGTTTATCAGCTGCAGCAGTATGGGTTGTTGGACTAGCCATTTTGGCTGATAATGTACCTCCAAACCGTGTTGCTGAGGTCATGGGTCAAACAACGATTGCTCTTACTTGGGGCCTCCTTCTAGGTCCTATAGTCGGAGGTGTTGTCTATGAGAAGCTGGGATTCTACAGAACATTTATCATTCCCGTTGGACTGACTCTCATTGACGTCATCTTGCGGCTTGCAATGGTCGAAAATCCAAGTAAGTCAATCTTTCTTCTTTGATTCTTAGCCATTTCTAATGTCAATTCAACTAGAAAACCTCAAGCAAGATGAATCATCTCAATCACAGTTTTCAGATCCAGAATTGAGTGTCTACACCAGCTTCGCTGGTCTTGACGAGTCAGAGAGTTTCTATTCGTGTGCTGAGTCGGTCATTGATGAAAGAACCTCACTTTTGGGATCATCAAGTGCTGTTAAGTACTCACATGCGGATATAGAACACAAAATCACTGTTTTGCACCTTCTACGATCACCACGTTTACCAATGGCACTTCTAGCAACAATAATTATAGCTTTAGTTATCTCCGCAGTGGAAACGGTACGTTCCTCCTGGAATCCTCTTCAGCTTCAAATTCTCATCCAGTCCAGACGCTTCCTTTATTCGTCATGGATACCTTCCATTGGGGCTCCGCAGGCGCTGGATTAATGTTCATAGCAACATCAATCCCAAGCCTGGCCGGAGTCTTCATCGGGAAAGCCATGAATCAACTCGGAGCACGCGTACTAGGTGCTACAGCCTTAACAGTCAGTGCGGCTTCCTGGGTATTGATGCGGTTCGTTAGCCAGAACAAGCCAGATCACATCATTCTTCTTGTCGTCCTTTTATTTTTCCAGGGGCTGTCAATCGTGGCTATTGAAGTCATTGCAATGACAGAAGTGTCGCGAGTGATAGACGACTATAGCTCCACGTTCCCTGGAGCGTTCGGTGAAAAAAGCCCTATTGCGCAAGCTTATGCGCTTTTTAATATGTCTTTTGCAGCTGGTCAGCTTATTGGGCCTATCTTGGCTGGAGTTGTACGTGTACAGGCTGGTTGGGGCACTATGACGCTTGTTATTGGACTTATTTGTGCTTTGACGGCCGTTCCTCTTGGTCTGTTCTCGGGAGAGCCGAAGGAAGTGGTCGCTCAGCTGAATGAAACTTGATATTTGTCAACCATTGAGGATTCTATACGTTAATTATAATGTTGAAGTTTTTATAAAAGCCACCGCTTCGCAGGGCATCTTGATATGAATATGAGGTATTTGGCAGCATTTGAAGCGGACTTTTTATCCACTACCGTCTAGATTTACGCTCATACGAAGGATAAAGATGAGTTGTTTTTCTGCTAATCAAAGTGCCCGATATTGAAATAATTCTGAGATTTATTCCTTGAACAATCAGGAGTATATAGGTGGGGCGTAGATCAGTGGAGCTTATAAGTGGGTAGATTCGACAATTGATAGGGAAACCCCAAGATTTTAGTTGATAGAAACACGACAGTTTTTTACCAAGGACAAGACATTTTTCACCGCCTTCATAGGTAGTTAGTCAAATGGTTACCTAAATACATGTTCATTTGGAATTTTCCAAAAATGATTGGTCAGTTGCAATTTGTACGTTGACAAGCTTCAAAACGTAGCTCTTCCAGCTACGTCTTCGACATCTATCTGATAGCTAAAACCGATCTTGCTCCACTGCCTGTCCGACGATCTCTAATATGTGACTACCTGTAGTACCTGAGACTGCACCCTGACAACAAGTCAACTCCGAGACATCTTCGAGAAAAATCATTCGAATGATCGGAGGTCGTCCCCGAAGCCTGGACTCGTCGCTCTCCTTGGGAATTTCCCTACAAAAAGTTCCAAGGTTCATGCTATGGTCAACATAATAACGTGTACCTACCCTTGGTATCCAGAAGATGAGTACTTTCCATCTCAAGAGATTCTTGACCCTCGAAATGGAGATTCCCTTTGAGAGCAGTGCGATATAAAGATAGCTAGGCCTCTCGTATGCTGAATCCTGGAGCTTCCGACCAACAAGTTACATCGTCGGCCTACTGAGCTGTCTATAAGATTCTTCTGTTGCCAATGCGCTTTTAGCTTGATTTCGATTCTCACTTGAAGTTGTGCGAATCAGGTGACACCTATCTTAGACAAGTCACCATAAGTATATTTGATGTAGATAACTAAGAGAAGTAAAGTAGCACGATGCTCGCGAAGGACTTAAAGTAACATTGTTTTGAGAAAATAAGCTTGATATTTCTTCCATACAAAAACCATAAAAATAAAAACATACAACAGTCAGGATACGCATATGGTCACCCACCATACTACTAACTGACCGGCGTGGTCGCGCGATGCTTAAGCAGCGCTCACCATAATGACCTATCTACCTAGGGAATATAGATCGGGAACACCCAATCACTACCACATACGACCACAGGGTGTGGAGAACAGGGCTTCCCGTCCGCTCAGCCGTACTTAAGCCACACGCCGGTCAGTTAGTAGTATGGTGGGTGACCACATGCGAATCCTGACTGTTGTATGTTTTTGTTTTTTCTTTCCGCTTAATCCATCTATAGAACGCGGAAAATAGTCCAAAAGCCCTTCGCACCTAGCTCACCCTAAAGCAGCGATAGAACATTTAGGGTGAGGGTGGGTGATATGGGTGAGCACCGGGTGAGCTTGATACCCCTGCCCCTAGGATTTTTTACCTTATAGACCAAAAAATATATAAATCCTTGAAAGAGCCCTTTATTTGCTTCGCCGTACTTTTCATCCGGCGGTCAATTTTGAAAATTTGAAAGACGTCTGATTTTGAAGATCTTTAAAAGATTGCCGCTAAACATGCTGCACTTACCGCATCACGTGGATTTACAACTAAGTACCAGGATACTAAAGAATAAGAAGGGAACAAAATATGCCATAAGAAACTCGCGCCTGCTATGATCAGTAAGTAGGATTATTCGTTACGAAATTGGAAGCTGTAAGTCAAAGTTCTTTCTAATAATGTTTATGGATGATGGCCCCGGAAGAATACTAATTCCTCTTCCGGCTAACCCGGGGAAACTTAAAAAGGATAATCCTGCCAAGACCGCACTATGCCATTCTAAGACCAAGTAGTCGTAGTTGCTTTAACTACTACATAACTACCTTTCTGGCAGGAACACCTCCAGCTCTTTAGTCAGTAAGTCACGCTTTTAAATATGTTCGAGAAAATCTTGATTCCTTTCAGCCTACCAAGACTGATCCACGATGCGCAGTCTGCCTTTGCCCGGAAGGGTGAACAGCCTAAAAAAGATGTCGGAAAGATCCGACAGCTCGACGCAGTCTAATCTATCGGGATTCACCGAAACTACCAAATTTGCGATCCGAGCCAGGGACAATAACAAATGTTGGGCTTGCATGTCACCAGATGTCGAATTTGCCCATGTCATGGCTAGGGCCGATCGCCAGGTGTGTTCTTTATGCTTCCTTGATTGAAACGGAACAGGCTGAACAGCTAATCATAATTCACTAGTTTCCACTTTGGGTCTCAGCGGGCTTAGTTGACTACAAGCTATCATCCGCCGAAAATGGGATATCATTATGTCCCACATGCCATGACCAATATGATCGATACGAGGACCCCGGCTTTTTAATCCTGCCATCCGACCTTCAGTTTTTTGTCAACTTTGAAATGAACGATAAAAAACGGAGAGAGAAAGAGGCCAAACCCATTCGACAGATCCCGTCCAAGGAGGATTACCTTAAACATTGTATCCAACTTGGACGAGTACCACCCGGCTCCCAGGGTGGCCTATATGACCGAGTGATGTTGAAGCATATCACGCCGCAAGTCCCTTGGGATATCTATCGGTCGCCCCCCGCAAAAATCTGGGGAGGATCGCCAGTGGCGACTCTTCGTCGTGCCATACTCGGAATTCTCAGCAGTCGGGCAGCCACGATAGATTCTAAGGTTCTGTCCGATTTGACGAAGCTAAGAAATTTATACTTCACCCCTGGGACGTACAACCCTATCAACCCCAACATACAGGAGCCCCCTCCATCATTTATATCTCCGCCGGGTCCATCTACTCTCGGGATTGCCGAGAATTTCCTACCTCCATCTCCAGATCCTCCAGGTCCTTCGCTGGGTCCTCCGCCAGATCCTCCGGATCACAATCACTCGAAAAAACGGGCCATAGAGGACCATATGCCAGAGAGCAACAAGAGGATCAAACAAGAAAAACTTCCTGAGGTCTCGGACATCCAGGAAACCTTCAACCTTGGATCAGACTGGACGGCCAATGATATTTGCCGACAATGGGCACATCTATGTGCCTAGGAAAAAAAATGTAACAATGTTATATTTGTATGCCTTGTTTTAAGTTATTGCTTTTACATCCTTGCTGCAACGAACTATCTTTATAGCTCCTTGCTTTAAGCTTAGATATACTCTTTGTCCCCATTTTTCCAGCAAATGAGAATGCCCTTGGGATCAAAATGGAGCCCTCTTAATACTCCTCGTACTTCTTCGAGTATGTCGGCTGCAAAGCTTGGATAGTTCCGGATCACTCCGGCAAATCCGTGATCAATATAGAGTACATAATTACCCACTATCGCACGCGCTAGCATGAGACGGACAACGTGTCCTCAAGGTAAATAAATCCCCGACACGATGTGCTCAGACGTAAGAGAAGACGCATATCCAATCAATTCATATGCAAAAGGATTTCCGATAATAAGTTCTTCAATATAATCAGCTATCTGGTTATCCATTCCGGTCATATTCATCATATCAGCAAGCCTCACAGGCTTTTTAGCTGCCGATATCTTTCCTGCTACAAAGTTTGTGTACTGAATACAGATCCTAGTTCTGGAAGGTATATCGCAGAACTACCTATAACTCCAAATATTGAAGGAGTACGTGAAATGTTCCACTCTTTCTTATACTCCTTGAGAAGGGTGCAGAAATAGGGTCTAAGGACGCCACTTGCCGGACTTCACTCCCCAGGCTACTACACATCGATGTAATGATGTGTCAGTAGAGATATTAAGCGAACGGCGGACATGTGTGCGGACTGTCTGCAAATTAGTCTGTGTCCGCGTCCGCAAGGGTCAAAATCTGCGGAAATTTGCGGACTAGCTTAATCCTCAGTTCTCCACTTTGAGTCAGAACGCCAGGGACTCATCCATGGATTGCTCTTCATTCGCTCTAAATTTTGAATTTCACGAAATACTCTTCAAAAGGCTTCAGACAGAAGACCCAAGAGAAAGCTATCGGAATTCAAATTCGGGAGGGCCCGTAGACATTCAACGTTGGGCATTTCAAATCAGCTCTACAACTTCCGAGGTTGTTCCTTGGGCTATGGTATCCCAGTCTTTTTGCAAGCCATACTTCAATTTAATGTAGTCTGGAAAGTATTACAGTGGAACTGTGCCATAAGTTGAATACGGCTTGGTCAACCGTCAGGTTGGATCGAGCATATGGGGTTAAAGCATAAGCAGCCCTGCAGCACGGTTCGACCATTAGCCCTGGAGGTCCGAAAGACTGTACCTAGGTTGTCAAATACTATTCAGGAATACAGGCACGTGGGCCCAAAATATATGTATGCTGTCAAATCCTTCGCGCTGAGCGCGAACTAAAGGAGTAGGCGGACAGGTGTCTTGAGATAAGCAGTCCACTCCTAGGCACCGAATTTCTGGAGTAAGAAATGGATCAACCCCGGTCTTCAGGGCTCATCGCAATCAATACATCATAGAAAGTCCAGGGCAAGTTCATCATATGACCAGTCCATTCTTAAGATTATTCAGGATTATGGCCCAATCCAGCCGCTGAGAAGCTCCGTCTTCTTTCTCACAGACGGTCTCAACGAATTTTTTGGCCCAAGCATAGTGATCACCTGCAACTTGCTGATATGTTCCGAGTACTTGCACCGCCCACTCTCGATAGATAATGTCTTCGACTTCGATTGCAGCCATGACAAGCGGTAAAGGCCAAATCTTGGTAGGAGGAGGTAAAGCCGAACCAGCTGGTAGCATAGCTCGAAGCTTTTGAGAGATACAAATTATCTCCTCTGCATGATTATTTGCAGCATGTCTCCGTTCCCCTAGCTTGAAACACCGTGAAAAGGATATTTCAACAGCATGGTAAAGAGCGCATAAGACAAGAAACGTTGATCGACTTCTACCTTCGTATTGATTGTCAGACTCCACTTCTAGATGATATGAGTTCAGCTTTATTCGAATATCTTCAGCGTCGCTACTGTTTTGGTCGGTTCGTTTAGATTTTGTGATCTGATGTAAAAGCCACATGAGGCGTAGCATTCGGTCAAGAAGTGGGAGTTGTTTTTCATCTGCTGTTCGCTCTTCGTCTAGATACGTGATAGCATATGCTTGCTGGAGCGTTGTAGATGAGTGTCGTAGTGCTTGGACAAGAGTTTCTTCATCTCCCATAGCCTCCAGCACAGCACCTTCTCCCGGCTGTATTGCCGATGCCTTAGCATCTAGAATGCAGAACTGTACATTTTTAGTGCTGATTATTTGAAGATGATTATTCACACGTATTGGCGAATGCTTACCCAGGAGGTGACCCGCGCCTGAACGCCTGTCATCATATTTTTGAAATCAGGAATCCTTATAATGGCAGCAATAAAGCGAAGGTTGTCCCGTAATGGGCCAGGACGAGCCATTACAACGTCGACAAGGGCTAAAAAGAAGTATGCTACAAACAGAGCATCGATGTCGTCAGAGGAATTCTCGGCGATGATTTGGCCCCCATCTATGGCAGAGTCACTGGCAGTAGCGACACCATATTTCCTTGTCATTGATTGTAAGCTTTCTTGGTAATGTCGTAAGGCTTCATCCAATGATTTCGTCTTCCCAGTGTAGAAAAGGTTTGCCGATGTCCATGCAAGGATGGAAGATAGAACCCAAGGGTGGCTTTGACCAAAACGGTGAAGAAAGTATGTGTAAAATGTCCAATCTCGACGCTTGAAAGAGAATCTCCCGGCTAAATCTCTAGAATAATGATGAGCCAATAGATGTGTGGGTAATTCATACTCTCGGGGCCTTTTGGCTGGTGGCTGGTCATGGAGAGTGTCCGATATCGGATTACGACTTCCAGCCGCATCATCAACAGTCATGCATGTTGCATCCTTTGTCTCTTGTGATGACAAAAGTGGCAATTCTGGCATCTGAATGTCAGGGGCAGGCGCTGAAAATGTGCCATAATCGAAATCACTAAACATGGGGAAATCGTCGTCCCATGATAAGTAAATTTCCGAAAACAGGTCTTCACTTGAAGCCTGCTGCAGTTCTGTATTCAAATTACCATCTGGATTATTGTTTTGTGGAAGCCCGCTGTAGTGATATCAGAGATCAATTCTAGTCAGATATACGTTAGACTCTGAACATACCCTATGATCCCCTCACCGCCATTTACGGCTGGCTGAAATAGAGTTTTCTGGAGACGATCAACGTCAGGTTTATTGTCGGTTCGAACTACAGCCTTGGACTCTGGGAACTCGTGATAAAACTGCAAGACAGAGGGAGGGCCCTCGTATGTACAGCGGATGTGGGATGCCTTGCACGTTGTACAGCGAGGGCGTTTATCATCGCATTGTTTCTTGCGTCTTTTGCATGTCAGACATGACATTCTTACAGGGCCACATGAATGAACAAGAGACTGGACGAATGTCTAGAAAGGAGGAATCAGATTATATGTTCTGTGTTCCAGACCCCAGGAATATTACGTAAGTCGCTCTCAGCCAATCAATCGGCATAACTACTGAACTTATCTACTTGGTACTAAGTTTCTATGCAAAAGATTTGAGCTCAAAGATAAGAGTCATGGATTACTAAAATATGTACATCATTGCTATGGAATTTATATGCCTTAAAGGGCGTATCTAAAGCTTCGGTCCTCAATGTCTGTCAGATCGACATCGTCTACTTCAGGCCATTCGCATCCAGATTCCGCTGCATGTAGGTCTCGTCGCTTGTTTTCCATAGCATAAAGGTACCTGAGTGCAAGAGGGATGATGAAAAGAGCCGCAAACGATACGATCATTGCTATGATAGCAGTCGGATAGCCCGATTTCTCCTCTCGGCTCAAAAAGAATTGAGGAGCAATCAGATTTCCAATACAATATCTATACCAGAAGAAGTCAACACACTTGTATCATTCCCAGTTCTGCACAATTGGTCTGACTTACCCGAGGAAAAGGACAAAGGTCGTTGTGGTTTTCTTAGTGAAACCGACAACATTACCTCCAATGACCGAAAATGAGACAGCCAAGCTTGCTGAGTTCGTATAAATTATCCAAATAGACACAACTCTACCCCATTGGTTGGTGTGTGGGAGCGTATATACCAGGGCAGTTCCGATTATCGAGGGAATCACGCAGAAGGACATGATGATCAGGCGTAGATCCTTGGTTTTGGTTGCAATTAAACCGCTTCATAGATAAGGTTAATCGACATGACATCTGCATGGATTCTTTGACTGCGGGTGGCATACCTAATCAAGAGTGATAAAATTTGAATAACATGGGACGGAATTCCAATAAGCTGTGTTTGGACAGAGGTAAATCCGAATCCTTTGATCAACAGACTGCTGAACTGTTGGATTTGAGAGTTGGTAAGTATGAATACCGACTGCAGTGTTGATGGGTGATAACTTACGTTTGACAAAGATCCTGCTGGAATAGTATTCGCAATGCCGATAGCAAAGAAAAGATAAGTCTTAATATCGAGGCATGCTTCTTTGACCTGGGACCATTTCCACTTCGACTCGAAGGAATTATGCCTTTCTTGGCTCTGTTGATAGTTAGCTCCGCACAAATTTTCCAGCCATAACAGTCAGTGACATACCAGCAGTGCAGAGTATGCACGTTCATCTTCAGTCAGGAATGATGCTTTATCAGGAGATGTGGGGAAGAAAAGGGCAAAAAAGATGCTCCAAACAGCTGTGATTGAACCAAAGACGATATAGAGCAAACGCCATGGTGAAACTGCTGCGTGAGTAAACCCAAAGGCATAGCCCAGAAGACCACCAAAGATACCAAATAATGGAGTACCTGCGAACCAAATCACTTGTCGAAATGGGCTGCTCCTCTTGCGTATACCATTGAGCTAATCATAATTAGTAAGTATTATGGTGACTTCAGGGCTTCTAAGAACCCACCAATGATTACCACAAAGCTAGGAGCCACAATAGACTCCAATGCTCCCAAAACGAACCTATTCACCATAAGTCCAGCAAAACTGGTACAAAAGTTGGTCATAAGAACACAAATTCCCCATGCACTAATAAAAAACCCAAGATATACTGATGCATGGAATGAATGGAGAAGACTGGCGAGAGGATACTCAAATAAAAAGTAACCGAAGTAAAATATTGACCCAACCCAGCTATACTGTTGTCCATGGAGATGAGTATCCTCTCTGAATGTGTAAACAGCAGCGTAGCCTAGAACCGCTTTGTCGAGAAATTGAAGACCGTAAGTAATGAGCATCTAAGATGCGCTGGGTCAGTTTCTTTCCTGGGTAAAATTGAAGCATCAAACTGACCATTGGTAAGATACGCATATCCAGCTTTCTCAGTATTCGGGATCTGTGTAAGGAAGCTTGAATTTCAGGCTCTGGCTCAGGGGCCTTGAACTCGGATGCTTTGACTTGACCTGAGATTTCATCTTTGTTCGGCAGCTCCATATCCGACATATTCTGTGTGTAATTGATGACCTGAACAAATTTCAGAGATTCAGAAATTTCTGTTTTAATGCGCCCATCTTCTCGACCGGAGAATAAATTATTAAATAGACCTGACCATATTACTCACAGTCCTATCTAGATGTCAAAGGGAAAAGATAGCTAGATAGCAAGATAGCCTTACTGAAGTATCCACTATCGCCGAATTGTCCTAAAATGGACAATTCAGCGAGCGCCTTTCTGTCCTAAAGTAGACAGATCGGCGATAGGCGCCAAAGGGATTAATTCACATGGTTTTATAGAGTCAAATGTCCGTAAATTCAACTTCAGTATCTAGACATCCGCGCTAAAATGGCTCCTATATCCACTGAATTCTCCAATGGTGTTCTGCCTACTAAGGCCGTAAAGCAGCAGCCTAACCAGGTCAATCTCTCCAAAGATGTGCCTCTCATAAGCTCCTTGGATCTCTCCCAAATTGAGCCGTTCAAATTGGAAAAAAGATTATTGACTATTTCCGCCAATGCTCTTGGGCCTGTCAATGTACCAGTCTACATCTACCGGAGCTCTATTCCCGGGCCGACAATCGGCCTCACCAGTGCTATACATGGCAACGAAGTAAATGGCGTTGCCGTCATCCAGCAGATATTCTCCGAGCTAGAGTCTGAGTATAGCGAGGCTGGAGGTAAAACTCTCAAAGGTGCCATTATTGGTGTACCCTTTTTGAACGTACCGGGATTTTTGGACTCGATTCGTTCATTTGATGGCCAGGATCTGAATCGACTAATGCCTGGGTTTGTAGCAGATTATGAACAACGAATTCAATTTCACTAACGTCTATCACAGAAAGGCAGATGGAGCAGCTCCTCAACAATATGCATACAAGCTATTTCATGAGGTCATCTTGAAATTTGACTACGTGTTTGATCTCCATACTGCTTCAGCCGGTAGACAGAACTCTTTGTATGTGCGTGCCGACATGACGCATCCTGAAATTAGCCGAATGGCACGCACCCTTGGCTCTCAAATCATCGTACACAATTCTAGCCCCGGCGGCTCGCTGCGAGGATGTGCCCAGGCAAAGGGCATCAAAGCTATTACCATCGAGGTATCTCTCATTTTGAAAAACAGAAGCATAAGAAGAAACCTGACACTTTACAGATTGGTAATCCTAGCATTTTCCAAGATGAGCTGATTACAAGAGTTATCTCGGGAATTAGCAATGCTCTGACAGTGCCCCTCGGCCATCAGCTATTGGAAGATACCAGCCCCAAGATTTCCGAAACAGCAACAGCTGTATGCTACAGAAGTGTGAGTTTGCAATATTTTGACAGCCATTGGACAGCAAAATCAGAGAATTATCTGGCTGACTATGTACACAGTACTGGGTCTTTTCTCAAACAGCAGGCATACTTCGAGGTAAGGAACATTGGACACTTGGAATTTCCATGCGCCCTAGCGTTTGCAGACTCTATTACTGACACCCTGAGCAGTATATAAACAAGTGGCTGAGTCAATGCGAAGAGGCGAACTCATTGCTGAAGTTCGTTCAATTTTTGGTGAGGTAATCGAGCAGATTTTCAGTCCTATGGATCGAGACACAGTCGTGGTCGGCATTGAGGCAAACCCTGTTGCTAAATCGGGAAATCGTATTGTGAGCATCCACTAACATCATTTATAAGACTAAACTAAGTACTAACTGAGACGGAAGGTTCATCTGGGGGTGATTGGCGACGACTTCAAACCGGGGGTGTGTGACGGTCACCTATAGAACACATTTCCTTCCAAGGTTTAGAATAAAATGAAACCCGATTGGAACCTTGACCTTACGCGCTTTGCAACGAAGACCAATAGTGATGTTTGATGGGAATTTTCGAATTCCCATCCCTGACTGTTATGTCTACTGCTAGTTTTGAAGAAAATTCTTTGAATTGGCAAATGGCAGTCACTGAGGAAGATGTAAAGACGATAGGTGAACCGTGAGAGAGTAAGTGAAGGGCAGACGGTCACCAAGGACAGCCGAGGGACGGGAATGGCAGAGACAAGGGGAGGTGCTTAGTCGCTATCCTCAACTATAAAGCGATGGAGACGATAGAAAAGCTCCGCTTCCATTCGCTCAGCTGGCTGTGGGCTAGCAAGGATCTCCCCGAATACTACATGCAATGTGCTACAGATCTCTTTGAGCGTTTTTGTTTGGCATTTGGAGCTAGACTTATCTATTAATCGTAATGTGGAGCAGCTACATGTCAAGCCCGAACTGATAATTAGCGAATCGAGCTTATTTAACGACATTAAATGTTGGCTCACTGTCAGAACCACTGGTCGCGCTAGAAGAGAGCCTAATTCGCGGGCTACTCCTCAGCGATATATGCCATATCACCATACATCAGATCTGAGAGATGTTTCGAGTATGTAGCTACTTGGTGGTATGATTCTCAACTCTTTAGCAATTAATTTCTCACCGCTATTCAATTTTCTCCCTTTTTTTCATACATCCACCACCCTGAAACTGGCTGGATAGAATCAATATCAGTATACTCAGCCGGAAACGAACCACTATGGTTAGCTCCATTTGATGCAGCTTGAATACCAATTAGACCAGCTACCATCATTGTGTTGTACTCAGTCCCATTGTCGTTGACAAGAAGTGGTACAGAGGCAAAACCAGATGGGACATCGCTGATATCAATGCGACGCGACAGAGTATCACCTAACCCCATTTCAGTGTTTCGTTTCTCGAATTCCGCTGCTGACTTGGGATGAATCGTTTCCTTGCACATCATATTTCCCTTTTCATTCCAGAAGCAGAATACTGAAACCCAACCAGACAAATAGGACGGTCCACTGCCACCAGACTCTTTATGGGCACATCTGCTCCAGAAGTCCAGTACATCGGATGATTCTGGATCATCAAAAGAAGCAACAAAATTATTGAGAATTGGACGAAGAAGCTGAGCAAATCGAGCGGGTTCGTCGCCAAGCTGATGGAGCTTCTCAAGTTTCTTCACGAGCACAACCCAGTCCCCCCGTTCACCTAACAGGGTGACAGACGGAATTCCACAAAGCATCATCGCTTCGTAGGAGAAGTACTTTTGCAAGGAGCCCATCATCAAGACTGCCGCGACCACCTTGTCGGATTCGGTTGTTGTGGTGAAATCTGGCATAATCCAGGTTCGCAACTCCTCGTCCACCACATTCTTTTCAATCGCCTTCGTCATTTCCAAGGCTAAGGCACCAAAATCGACGGTATCGATCGTCCCCACATCCGTGACTGTCAGCTTTTTTGGCCCTCATGTGCGACAAAAGAAGATCGAAGCTCCTCTGCATGCGCGTTGATGAAGAAACTAAGCTGTATTAGGATGGAGAACCACACATCTTCAGGACGTATCCTCAAATGGTGATGATAGCTATATGCGAAAAAAACCGCCCATACAAACCCATTTTCGGAGGCAGAAATATGAGATGTGTCAAAGAAGTTATTCGGGAACGAATGTTGTATCAGTTTCCGGCTGTCACGATGGTCTTTCGGGCATGACTGTTTCAACAGCGCTTCAGCACTTGACGCCTTCGGGATCTTCCATTTAACAGCAGAATGATCGGCGGTGGTGAGAGTGATAGGCATGGTTGTACTAGAGGAAGAACAGGACTTCTGAAATCGGAAAAGTGATAGGTTTGGGGAGAAAGAAAGCAAAGGGATGAGTTTGAAGTGTATCGGCAAGTTATTTCTCAAATGATGTCATTGGGCGTGATTGACTATGACATGACTGTCCTTTCTTGGCCTAAGCATCTGCAATAAGTCTTTTCGGAAATCTATTTTTACAGAAGGGATGGGAGAAGAATACTGTTCTGCTATATCAGCCAGGCTGTTGAGGAATTGCATCTCCTTTTCTATGGGGTCCTTAAAGAGAAATTTATTCGTGCACGAGGGTCAGAAAAGGAAGGTTTAACCACCTTATAAGCTCTGCTGCTGACTACTTTAATAAGTAAATAAGGGGCGGCATAAATATTAGTTCTACAAAAATTAGATGAGTCATGTAGGGATATCGGGGAATCCCTCGGCTATAGAATAATGTAATTCTAGATGCGATAGTTAATCAGACAGAAGCAGGTAAAAGCGTTCATATAGAGTAGAGACTTCGTTACTATCGAAAATAGGTGAAACTTTCCTTTTTTCCAACACTACCTAGGTTTCTAATATTATTTCAGAATCCAACAAAATGTACAGTAATCATACATTAGCTAGCTCTCATATGTGGCTATGTGAAGATAGCAAGGCAGCACAATTTCAGGAATTACCCTATCTAATAGTCTTGGAATATTCAAGGATCAGTACAGTAGTCATACATTAGCTTAGTTTCACCCCAATCTCTGGCTCACTCGATTCTCACCTTGTTTATTGTGTACTCATTTTGCTCACCTAGGCACTTATATAACCCTAAGTACAGGCTTCTATAATACATACGACCACAGGGTGTGGAGAACAGGGCTTCCCGTCCGCTCAGCCGTACTTAAGCCACACGCCGGTCAGTTAGTAGTATGGTGGGTGACCACATGCGAATCCTGACTGTTGTATGTTTTTGGTTTTTCATTTTTCCCCTTCACTTTTTTTTTTTATATTTGAGAACTGGAGGGCCCTTCACAAGTCCAAAACTGTGCAAATATGATGCCCGTTTTTCTAGGTTGACAGTAGATGGATTGTGGCATGAAATTACTAGTATTAAGGACTGGAATGAGGGCAGAAGTTATGAAATAATTCATTCACGTAGATTCGTCATTAGTTATTTTGATAAAAATAAGAATAGAAATAATTTAGCATCTTCATATCTTCGGGTTGTCCCATAACAAAGTTGAAGAAATATTATGGATATCCCCTAATTCATCTCAGATCCATGTCTATCCAATGCTTAAACAGCATCGGGGAAGACAGATGGGTTGGCCAGGGTCGTAGGAGACTTGCGAACCTTAGGACCGATGAGGTGATCAAAGGCAGGAGAGTGCTTCACGCGGGGGGTGAGATCCTCCAAATCCCACAGGTAACCCAAAGTCTTGAGGACAGAGGTAGAGCTGTAAGATGACTGCTCGCCAGTGACAGCGTCGGTACCGTAGTTCTCAATGTGGCCCTTGGGAGCGTAGGGAGACACGAGCCAGGTAGCCATGCGACCACCAAGACGGTCGAAGTTCAGAGTGTAGTTTGCGCCGTTGGGGGCTGTCTCGGTGTAGGTCTTGTTGTCGGGGCGGACAGCGAGAGGAGGAGCGACGTGGTCGAAGAAACCACCTGTCTCGTCGTAGGTAATGAGTAGGAGGGTCTTTTCCCACTGAGGTCCGGTGCGGACGGCATCATAGACTTGCTTGAGGAGGACCTGGCCGAAGGAGACGTTGCCGGAGGGGTGCATGGAGTTGGTGTCAACACCGCAGCATGAGGGGTTGATGTAGGACAGCTGGGGGAGCAAGCCGAGGTAGGCGTCCTGGTAGAAGTTCTCCAGGGGCTTGACATTGCTCTTGGCATTCTCGGCGGTCCAGTTGAAGAAGAGGGAGTCGGGGAGGAAGTCACCGTTGGTGCCGTCGTAGTTCTTCCACGAGATGCCCTTCTCATTTGCGACCTCAAAGATACCCTTGGCAGTGATGGCGGACACATCAAAGTCCTCGTCGTTCTTACCGTGGCCATATGGGGTACCAGCAAGACCGCAGAGGCGGTTGGGGTTGGTGGGACCGGGCACGCAGGAGTGCCAGTAGTTGAAGGTGGTGAATTCATCAACAAGGTCAACGAGGGTGGGGACCTCGTCCTCGGAGTAGTAGCCCATTACCTCCTCGGTGGCACGCTTGGCCGAGATGGCGGGGTAAGAGCTCATCTGGCGCTCGACGAAGCCGTGCAGGCTGGGCTTCAGGTTGCCACTGGCGATTTTCTCGTTATCGGGAGTGTAGGTGCCGTAGAACTGGAAGTTGTTTCCAGTGACCGAGTGATCGGGGTCGTGGGTGACGGAGTCGAAGTCCTTGTACTGGTTGTACCACTTCTGGCTCTTCGTCGAGTTGACCAGCTGGGGGTTGTAGAAAGGACCGTTGTTGACAACGTTATCAAGTCCGGTTTTCTTAACGCCACCAAGCATGTTGTCGAAGGCGCGGTTCTCCAGCACGATCCAGACAACATTCTCAATCTTCTCCTTCAGGTTGGCAATGGACTCGGTGGAACCGGACTTGTAGCCCCAGGGTTCGTTTGAGTTACGAGCCACAGCCGCACTCAGAGCGCTGCCAGACAGGCCAAGGAGGGGAATCAAAGTAGTAGCCTTCATGATTGGACTATACCTGCGAAGATTGAACTTGAAGTGTGCGTGCGAGATTCACTACTGTAGTCGGCGGCAGCTTTCCTTTTATGTGCAATTGAGCTATCGGCCAGCAGAATGCACGTTCCTGTACCTGGCCCATTCTGGTCATGTACTCTGGTGATAATCCGATACTATTCCCCAATCAGAGAGGGAAAGAGACTGAATAAAGTACACATGCAACAACCATGGAATGCCATAGGTTCTGGCGATGAAATTGACCCATTGTGCGGAGTAAACCTGCATCGGGTCATGCATCAAGCTTCTGCCTTGACCGAATCGCCGGGTATATGGTGGAGATGTGTAGCAGTAATATCAATTCATAAGCATAAGATTCGTTGCTGATGGTGATGTTGTGGAGTAAACGTTGCTGTTCCTGGTCCCACTCTTGAATCCGACCAATCATTTGCTTATTAAGCAAATCACAGATCCACTTTGAGCCGAGGTTTTCTACTATAACATTGACCAATCATCCTTGCCATTCAGTGCATGCCTTGCTGCTACTCACATAGAATGGCTTATTTATCAATTGATATTTTGTGGGTTAATAATTATGTCCGGGATGTTCCTTGATCGCCTTAATGCACGACTCTTCTTATGCGCTTCTAGATTCTTCATGTATTGCCCACGTGCGTCGGGAATTGACCGAAGTACACACTTCACCACTTCGAGAAACTGATTGTCTAACTCGTTACGGGTTGCCGCCGCGTCCAATCCACTATCTATCTATTTCATCGGGTTTAATACTGAGAGATTGAGATGTGAGGTTCATGTCTTCCAGGAATGTCATGATTTCCAATGCATATTTCCACTTTGACTTCAATCCTCTCAGACAAACACGAACTAAATCTAAAACTCGGAGCCTAGCCGTCAGGGATCGACCCTTCGATCTCGAGGACTGTCTTTGGAAATGAGCCCTATCCTGTTCCATATACTGATTGAGCTAGCCTTTTCTATCATAATTTATCTACTAGCTTCCTACTTCGGCATTTGACCTCGAATGCTTCTCTGCCGACAAAGATATCCCACCTTCTCTCTCAATTCTCCTTAAGGCTCGTATTTCTCCGAAGAACCTTGGAAAATAGCAAAACTATCCATATTTAGTCCTGCATTGGTGTCATTAAATATCCAGCAATCATCGATTCCCATGGAGTAGAGTGGATTGAGTACAAATCTTGGTAATAGCTTTGATTCAGCGGTACCTCTTCCAAGCCTGATTGTGAATTGAAGGGCTTGAGCTAGCCTCAATCTCAGAAGGCAGGTATTGGGTATGACCTCGAGAGTAGCTCAGTCGTAGTATAGTAGTGGTAGTAGGAAGTCGAAACCTTGGAAAGCCCACAAGTTTCCTTGAATTACAAGACTGATAATGACAAGACATAGATATAAGCTCTAGAATCCAAGTGCCAATAACAGGTAAGAAAGCTCTATAATCAAGCCAAGACTGTCTATACTTAATTAGTCGATGCTTGTCAAAACCTAATTTGACGTCATTTGTACTCTTCAGGCTCCAGCGTTTTATATCTACATTTATTGTTGACCTTATTTCTGCCCTACAAGTGCATTCTATTTGGTTCGGTCTTCACTTTCCTATGCTGCAGCTAAGTACTTCTTTCCTTATCTTGTCGGAGACTCCGCAATTCCCTTGGATACCCTCTGAGACCTGGTAGAAAACCACTGGTTACCTTGTATTATTATCATAAATAATACCGACGAATCCCTAAATACCTTCACTTAAAACTCTCGTTTTATAGATACCAAGGATACCACCATGAAGCTGGAAAGCCTGAAACGGGAAGTAACTTTTCATGAAGATGTGGTTCTGTTTTTTGTATTCCCTAGGTTCTGGACGCTGTTGTCAGGCCAATTCTGACGTGCGTTGGACACTCATCTGTCTACGCCTTTTTTAAAAATGGTGTTCCTTCCCTTTTCTACTTTTCAATTCACACATGCTTTTCCTTGGCTTTGCGAATGCTCTCACAACACTCTTAATTTCTTGACTCTGTACCACCCATCACGAACACGCCTTCTTCGGACTCCAAGACCCAATCATCGGTATATTTACTCATTCCGAAAGCATGAAGAAAGAGAAGCGTGGACGAGCTCGTCAGGCAAACCCCGCCAATCATGTACCAAAGCAAAAGAAGTCAATGTTATTGGATGAGCTGGGTAACGCGCTAGTTGATGAAATTCACAATACTTCCAGCTTGGATAGACCGCTGAATGTTCCCAACGGGTCTATTATTGACTACCTGCGGAGTCATTCCCTCGTAACCTCGACGGGTTCCACTACTGAGACCAGCTCTAGTGCTAGTAACAGTTGCTCATTAACTCGGACTGATAGCACTGCGCTCACTAGCCCGGACGATCACTCTGTCTCTGATATGACTATCACGCCATTGATAGCCACAAAGATACTTGTCGGTAGTATAATCCGCAGCAAAGAGTCTCTCCGCACCGGCCCCAACGCTCGCCAACCAGGCGATGTCTGCTCGCTGGGTGACTTCTCCACAACCGCCGCTATCCTGCGCCTGACAGGCCAGTACGGGCGCGTAGCACACATGGGCATCCTCGACCACAGCTACAGATTCTTCGTGAACCAAGAACAAACAGCCGCACTATCATTCAGAGTACACAATCGCGTCGCGATTGTGGGTGGAGACCCGCTCTGTGAACGAAGTGCAACGTCAGATCTGCTGGATGGATTCGCAAAATACCGGAAACAACACGGATGGGATATAGCTTTCATGGGAGTCAGTGAGTCATTTATTCAGGAACATGCTCAACCAAGAGGATGGATGACCATTCGTTTCGGCACTGAGCGTGTTCTCAACCCATTGACAAACGACGTCCTTCACGAGAACAGCAGTAAACGCATCGCTGTCCAGAACCGACAGTTACTTCATCCGCAAAAGGGGAAGATCACAATGGGCGCTTATGCCCCAGCAGTCCACGGAGTGCAATCCCACCTCGAGGAAGAACTAGTCGCTATTTACGACTCTTGGCGCGCCACGCGCAACGAAGCCGCCGGTCCACAGGCGTTCATCACCGTATACAACCCATTCGCGCTACCTACTATCATGACTTTCGTGTATAGCCGTGGGCCAGACGGTGCAATCAATGGCTTTGCAGCAATACGCCGTCTCGGCTCTGGTGGCTACCATATTGATCCATACATTGCGGCCCCAGGCAGTCCAAAGGGAATCAGCGATCTGCTTATCGTCGGCGCCATGGCTCTCCTCCATCAAGCAGGGGTCTCATATTTAGGCTTTGGATTCGAACCTGTGTCGACACTCTCACTCGAGGATATCACCGGCATACGAGGCCCTTTCGCAGGCATCACACGCAACTTGTACGAACATGCCTGCCAGCGGCTTCCGATCCACGGCAAGAAAGCATATCACGACAAGTTCCGGCCTGATTCTCCCCAAGACTCCGGACTTTTTCTCGCTTTTCCTACCAGTATTCCCAAGCCACGGTATATGCTTGCTATGATGCATATGGCTAATGTTAGCTTGCGCAAAGTGGTTTGGGCTGATCTACGGTCTCGGGTGGCGACTCGCAAGTCAAAATCAAAGATCGTGCCTGATTTATCCAAAGACCCGGAGAAGAAAGTTCCTGTGGATGTGGAGAAGTAACACACTTACTTTTTTCCTCTTTTTTCTGCGGGCATACAATGTATCATAGTTTGCGGCTTTCCTCGTTTTACCAACCAGCATCAAATGAGCGATAATTGCCGTACCTGTTGGTCTCCATACCTGCCGTTCTTTTATTTTTGCCAGATTGCTGCATGTCGATTATTCTTATCCATGCGTTTCCCTGTTTTCTAATTGAATCAACCGAAGGATTTTTCCTGAGGGATTTTGCCTTATATCTCGAGTGATACATCGATCTATCATCTCTTTCTAGCAGAGGTGTACGAATGGAGAAGAAAATCGAAATTTTCAAGAGATTATAAAGACCGAGAAACCAGGTTGAATTCAAGAAAGGAATAAGATCAGATCATTTACCTCATATTCAACAATTTGTACAAGTTCCATATGTAGCCAGGAAAAAGGATATTAGAATTAAGAAAGACGTCCAAAGAGGAAATCTTTGACGATAAGTGAGCTTGAGAACTCAGGGTTCAAAAGAACACAACTAAAACAGTCAGTCTCCGGTCTCGAGTCTGGGATTTAATAAGACTTACTTGAGGAAATATTCCAAGCCTACGCGGCGAGATTCTAAAAAACTCGCTCTGAATTTATCTAGGAGTCCTGAATCAGTAAAGATGTTTTCCACTGAGAGAAGAACATGAGGTTCATACAGAATACACTCTTTGGTGGCAAGGCTGGAAGAGCACTCTTTGCATGCGGGAAAGCAGTAACAAGGCTCCGTCGAAGCTCGTCAAATTCAGAGTATCTACTTGGATCAGCACAGCAACTAAAAAAAAAAAAAAAAAGAATTGGGATTGGGATTTAGAAACAAACCTCATACGAACGACCATTGGACCACCCTACAGAAGTATAAGTGTAAGTATAATTACAATTATTAAGTAAATCCTCATAAACGAAGAACTCACATCAAGAGTCTGAATTGTGCAGTTCCAGACGACGTACGATCCCACGCCGCTCTTACCCCGCACAACTACGTAGTCTTCTATCGAAACGCTCTGAGCCCAAAGACCGCGCGCAGTCTCGCAGTCTTCCTCTGTGTGATCTTCTAGTGTGATACCCTGCGCCAGAGAACTCTGCGACGCACGCGAAGCATTGCGCTCATGGCGTTGCCAGTATGGCGGTATTACTACACCAGATAGAGGACGGCTTGGAGCAGGCGACTCGGACTCTGGCTGCTCAGGGAAGACTTTGGGATCGCCATTTGTGTCTTTGTCTTGGTCGTTATCGGTTGGACGTGCGGGGCTCGTGAATGCGGAGTCCAGCCGAGGTACCAGATCGGCCTCCTCAATCGCAGGCTCCATCCATTAGAGAGCCTGAAGGGCTGATAGTGTGATGGCAAGCTACACTAGGCCGTCAGTATGATTCAGATCGAAGGTTCAATGTTCCTGAAGCCTTGAAGGATTCATCGCGGAGGTCCTCCCTTCTCCAATCCCATGCGGGGATAATCCAGGGGTCACGCCATAGGGGCGAGTGATTAAGGGGGATTGCTTTGAAAGGGCTTATATAACTCCATTGGTATGAGTTATACTCTATATAGTGGTACAGGAAGCACTGACCTTGGAACGGACCAAGTCCAAGCGAATTCAAGTTGGAAATATTGGCGGTTGTACAGAGTCAAAAAGTGATGTTGTTCTTGAAGCGGATAGATTATATAAGCGTTCATTCCTGCCCAGAGGTTCTAGATTTAGTACGCGTGTCTTTTTGCTTCGGAATGTATGCATTTTACAGCGACAGACCCAATTGACATGGATCTGGGCAATTTTTTCACTCATCAGAAATGGAATCAATCTTTTCAATACCGTCTATTCAATTGAAATCCATACGAGAGGCTATTCCGAACCCCCCTTATCTCTTTCCTTAAAATGGGTTTCTCCGAGACCCTTGCGAAGAACACTAAACCCTTTATAGTAAGGCTTGTTGATCGTTAGCTTTTAGGCTGAGACACTGACAAGCTAGTATTTAGTCTACTGTCATAGTCAAGTGACCAGGGTCCATACAGGATTACTTACAAGGAGGAATATCCCCAAACACGTGTAGCTGCATATGTTAATGATCTACTTGACGGGAGGCTGGCTGTCAATATCCGTAGAACCGTTATTCTGTATGCATCTGAGGCAGAACTGAGTATATTGAGTATTATTATACCTTCTTGGCTTCTTGGGTGGCGTTAGAATTTGTTTAGTTCAACCCTAGAACAAAACCGATCCATGGGCAGTTATCTGTGTCACACTATTGATATACTTGTCTGGATGTAGCGTAGCCGAAGCTATATGCGCGTGATCTATCTAATATCTAAGTCTCATAGCCTGGGCATCTTCTGGTCCGTGGACCCTTGTTTCTCCTTCTCCTTTTTTACCTACAAAGTCAATTGCATCTACCAGCCACTTCTTAATAAACCTCTGCTTCCATCTATCCTTGCTTCATCATTCTCTGAGAAGTTCTAGAGCCCAAAGAAGTCTAAGACATTTTGCCCGCAAGCCGAATGCCCCTTCATTCCGCACTACACCAACTGCTATTTTTACATTTCTGCGTGTAACACAACTTTTCTTGAATAATATATCCTGTCACTTTTATTCAACCTCTCCCCAACTGTTTGGAGTCACACGGTGTTCAACCCATATACTTGTTCTCGACGTTACCATGTTCTCCCCGTCGACCCTGTTCATACTTCTGGCTTCAACCGCCTCTATTGTGAGCAGTCAAAATACGACAGCGACAAGTTATATTGACCCAGATTCTGTCTCATTGCCTGTACGACGTGAGTATTTCTGTCAAATCCTGACCCAAAAGCTAGAGCTCAATGCTGACTTCCTTCAAGAGAGCTGGTGCGCATCGCAGATCTCAACTTGTCCATTGCTCTGCTTGCAGCTCCCTGGATCAGATGGATCAAAAGTAAATAACTGCACTGCTGTGAGTAAACATATTCTCAAGTATTTTAATGAAGCCAAGCTGACCTCTCCAGGAAACTCTCGACTATTCTTGTATATGTAGCAACGGCGCTTCTCCCAACGCCTCTCAATACTCCCTGACCATTCCCTACTTCACCTGCACTGAGGCTGGTACCCAGTGTGTCAATAACTGTGGTGGAGACTCTACCTGCCAGGGTGCCTGCCGAACTGACCATCCCTGTGGTGCTCAGAACCCAAAGCGTGTCAATGTCACTACCACTACCTCCGCTGCTCCAACTGCCAGTACCACTGTATCTAGTGTCATCAGTACCACTGAAGCAACAGGTGCTGCACCACGCAGGATGCCTTTCGAAAATGGCCAAGTCTATGGTCTCTGCGTGCTGGTTGGTGGCTTCATCGCCGGATTTGCTGTTCTGCTCTGAAGCAAATTTGACCCCAGTTTGAGGATCTCAAAATATTTCTTTCAGCTTTTTTTTTCTTCTGCTTTCATTTCACATATCTCATGATCGTGGTTCTCTCTTGGTTCACCATTTGCATTGTCCTTTAGCGGTTGCTTTCTCTTGCATGATCATACGATTAGGTTCTCCATATATAAATGGAGATTCTATTTATCTTCTAATACTAATAGTTGGATATCCTCGAAGTGTCAAATTATATTCTGCATTGACTCGTTGATTTTAATTCATCATTCTGATATGAAGCTTCCTGATACGTATGTATAAATAGTTTAATCATCACGTTAAAGTTTGGCCTTGGTCTTCTCACTGTCCATTCTCTGCCCTTCGTCATCTTGCTCAGCAACTTCTAAGATAGGGAATTTCACAGGCATTATTCGGCGTGGAGTTGAGCCTGCGATGACGGAGTACTTTGAGAAATCCGATACACCGCACTTCTCACGTAGGAAGTCCTCATCTGTATTCAAGAGCCCATTTACAGTGGTTGGTGCAGCGCGGAGCATCTCGATGATGGCATCGGAAAAGATGGTCTAGACAGATTAGTTTTGAGATAAACCTACACTACCCAATCGATGGCAACGTACTGGTTTTCTCAGATCACTTTTAAAAGATTGATCGGAGGTTTTGTTATGTTCTGTTGCAGCTGACTCTATCGACTATTCAGAGTAAGTGATAATTCTACCCAGCTTTTCGAAGTACATACCGAGGCCGGCCAAATCCCTGTGATGGCCATTTCTGTACGACCTTGTCGCACAAAGTCCATAGCCAACCCTTTAACCAAGACACTCATACCAACTTTGCCTAGTGAAAAAGATTATTCAAAGTTCTCGACATGTATAAAATATCATACCCATTGCATACGCAGTCTTTCCCCGAAAGAAGCGAGAATAAATAGGCGGCGAAACGACAATGATCCGCCCCTTCCAACCATTCTTCTCAAAAAGCGGCAATGCAGCTTGGACACTCGCATACAGACCCTCCGGGTTAACCTGCTGCATGAGCTGGAAGCGTTTCAAAGGCGTGTTCTCAACAGATGACCACCAGATTGCTCCGGAATTGTACACCAGCACATCAAGTTTGCCAAATAGACGCAATGTCTCATCAATAGCGTGTTGGATCTGTGCTGCATCGCGGACATCTACGGCCGTTGCTGCTACGTGGCCGCCTGCTTCTTGAATCTCGCGAGCTACTGTGTTGATAGTTGATTGGGTAGAATTGGGATCAGGTGGGAATGGTGTCGTTTTCAAGGCATCTGATGTGGTTTTTGCGGCTAGCATTACTGGTCCCTTGTTAGTCATGCCTTGTTTTGTAACTTGTTCGATCAGTGCCCAGGTGCCGTACTGGTGTACCCATTCTTAGATAGGTCAATGGCTATTTGGCGGCCAATACCTCGGGAGGCCCCTATCACAAGGGCAACAGGCTGTGTGGAAGACATCTTTAAGACTTCGGGAACCTTGGGAAGTTGTATCGAAGTGATTCAGAGATGAGTCCAAGAAGGCAATATGTAGATGAAGTAAAGCTGAAGCTATGATTTCTACATTTCATGTAATTCTCTTGAAGATGATCTCGGTTTTTCAAGTATTCAAAGATCACAGGATCGGAGAATCCTGGAATTGAAGGCACGTTATACAAGGCCCAGATGGTTTCGTGATTACTCATATCCCGAGGGCCTCGGTCAAAGCTCAGGCTCAAGCTTTAACAATCTCGAGATTCACTGGGGCCTTGATCATATGACCTCATTTGTTTGGAGAGTTGGATCCCAAGAAATCGGATTCTGAGATCAGAAATCTCAAAGTGATATTTGCAGATTGTCATCTGTGCTTTGCGACTAACATGATGTTGCAAGTATACCGATAAGCTCTTATCGCGGATGAATGAAGCATGGCGGTCAATCGAGCGGTGATTATATTGCCGCCCCGCTACTCTCTTGTATGCTATCCTCAACTTGTTTATCAACCGCCACCAATCCATATCGCTCAACTACATTTTCTGAATCCTGGTATTGTTGCCAGGGCTTCATCTCCCTGACCCTCATCTGATAGGGTCTTCAATATGTCGAGCGTCCCAGACGCTGAGGTCATTATGGCGTCAGACCAGCCCGCGTCTGGTATCTCGCCGAAACTGGGCCTTCCTGCTTGGATTCCGTACAAACTTGAGGGTATATTGATACTGAAATTCACTGGTTATGTGAAACTGGGTTGATTTACTAACGCATAGGTCTAAATAGACTCTCCGAAGCTCGACCTCGAATCATATATCGCAAATTATTCAGGTAGATCCCAACGGACATCACTCTTATAATACATAAACTTAACAAGATAGGTCCTACTCGCTTTTCTCGTCTTCTCTTCATTGGATCGGTATCTTCTGTGCTCGCAACCGAGGCCCTTGTGCTCGCTGTCCATGAAGCGCTGTCCGGAAAGAACGTTGAGCACTATGAAAACGCAGTTCGTGCTCTGGCTGAGGTCTCCCCAGAGGAAGAAGGAGCCTCTCTCGATCCAACTTGGATCCAGAAAACTCAGATCTCAGTCAACGCACAGACTGAGCGCCTCGAGCTCGAATTGAAGGGCTATAAAAATAACCTCATCAAAGAGAGTATTCGGGTAAGCTAGATGGCTGGATTCAATTACATAGCTTGCTGACATTTTCTGTGAAGATGGGCCACGAGGATCTCGGCAATCACTATTTCCAGACAGGTAACCTGTCTGCTGCCCTTATCAGGTACTCTCGAATGCGAGAACACTGCACCACTATCCGCCAACTTGATTCTATGTATTTTAAGCTCATCATCACCAATATTGAAGCTGCGGACTGGTCCGGTACTCTCTTGGACATCGGACGTCTGAAAAGCTCACACACAAAACCGGAAGAATTGGAGATCAACTCCAGCAAGCTGTCGATTGCGCAAGGTTTGGCTCGTATGAATTCTGGAGACTATCATAAAGCTGCTGAATCCTTCCTGGACGTCACTGTTCCCGTCGACGACTTCAACATGGTGGCCTCCGCCAACGATATCGCCATATATGGTAGTCTCTGCGCCCTAGCAACAATGAGTCGTGACGAAATCAAAACCAAAGTGCTTGATTCTTCTCAGTTTCAGTCCTTCCTCGATCTCGAGCCCCAGATGCGTCGGGCTCTCAACGCCTTCTACAACTCGAAGTTCTATATCTGCTTCCGCATTTTGACCGACCTTCGCACTGATTTTCTCCTCGATATCCACCTCTCTTCACATCTCAAAGCGCTTTTCGACTTGATCCGATTGAAATCAATTAAGCAATACCTGATTCCTTTCAGCTGTGTCACATTCAAGAACTTGGCAACGGTGTTTTCGTCTCCCGGGGCCAACAACAAAACGTCCTCCGCCCTGCCATCCCTCTTCATCGAGTGTCCCTATGACAATGATGAGAAGTTCCGTATCTCTTCAACCTTGATCAAAGAACTCATTGGACTTATTGAGAGGAAAGATATCAATTATCTCATCAATATGGAAACCCAGACGCTGGATCATACCCTGAAAGATCAGCGATCCGAGTTAATAAAGGAGTTTAGTGCCGCGTCGGAAAAGCTGCGACAGGAGCTGTACTGGCGTGCAACGGCTGCTCAGGCTTCTAAAATACAAGCTGGGGGTTACCAGACCTCGTCAGAGGAGCATGACGAGCCGATGGAGCGATTCAATCCAAGTGCAGAGCTGGGCATTTAAGGGCCGAGGGCAACGTCAGCATACCTTGCTGCCGGGAGTAAAGGCTAAAAGATAATATCAAACATGAATTATCAATTCATGTCCATTCTCCTGAACACTTAGAAAATAGGGCTGAATAATCAAGCTCAGCTCGATGCCGATAGAAACACTCAGAATAAAGAAACATTTGAAGTCACATTAGAAGTAAATTTTCAGAAAAAGAAAAGAAAAAACTAGTTAATTGTACAGGAACCCGCTGGATCATGCAATCATGTAAGAAAGGTATCAAATCATTAATATAGAATTAGATGAATACAGATTTATGTGATCCATTGCGAAAAAAAACGTGATAAACCCCGGATATTTAAAAAAAAACTCATTTACCACCACAGACTGGTACATTGCACACTGGTACATTGGATAGTACATAAGTATATAGATGTCAGTGAACACCTTACACGAGGGCGTAGGCCAGGGCGACGGCGGCAGCACCGAAAGCCCAAGCGTTGCCGGTCAGAGATACGGCGGCGTTTGCGCTGATGGGGGTACCCGATGCGGTTGCGGAGGCGGCAGCAGCGGAAGGAGCAACGGAATCAGCAGCTGCGGTGGGAATTGAGACGACCTTCAGGGGGGTAGAAGTGGCGACACGCAAGGTGGACGACTTCTTAGGGCTGGAGGCCGGGGTGAAGGTTGAAGAGGGAATTGGGGAGGAAGAAGACGAGGCTGGAATCGAGGTGGGAGTAGGGGTAGGGGTGGAAGAGACCAGAGAGTTGGTTGGGGTCAGAGTTGGGGTTGGGGTGGGAGTGCTGGTCGAGACAGGACCAGTGATTGTCACGGCCATCCAGTTCATATCACTCGAGGCCAAGGTGTGGGTCACATCAATGGTACCCTGGGAGGCGTGGCAGAGGGCAGAGGTGGTGCCCTCAACGTTGCAAGAGATGATGGCAGTGCTGGATTATTTGTCAGCTACTGGACAATATCAGGACTGCGCACGTTTACTTACGTTCCGGCGCTGACATCCTGGAGGATGACTGAGGTCGGCGATGCAATCTCAGTCAGGCCCGAGTCGGGAATTCCACAGGCAGAGGAGGCCACGCTTGTGGGGCAGGTCACCAGGTAAGTGGTGGCATCGCCAGCCTAGAGGATTGTTAGTGGCATGATTTGTCGCAAGTGATGTATAGCGCATACCGAAGCGACTACACTGGCTTGGAGGTCGCGGCCCTGGAAGCCAGGAAGAAGAAGAGTTGCAGAGTTGGCAGCGACGGCAGTAGCGCCGGTAAGGATAGCGACAGCTTGGAAGCGCATGTTGATGGTCAAATGAGCGAATTGGTGGTTAATTGGCGATTAAAGAGGGTGATCAAGTAGATCAACTACTGAGAAGTAAGTTCTGAGAATGAGCGTAATGTATTAAAGAAAGTCTGTAGTGAGAAGCTGGGAAGCTAAGCGCCTGAAGAAGAGTAGGGGTAAAGAGTGAAGCCCGTAAAGGAAAGAAGAGTAAAACTGGGGGGAAAGCAGGGCCATAAATGAAAAGGCGCGGCATAAACAGTGGAATGGCGCGAGCTTTACCGATTTAGGAGATACTGGTATAGTTTATTGGAGCAATTGAAGTTAGTGCGCGGCTAAGAAGAACTAGAGAATAAATAAGATCCTTTGGACTCGAATAGACCCATATAGACCCCCCTTTTATCCAGTGATAGTATGAAGTAAGTCGAACCAAAGACGCCGCTAGACTGTAGTTGGTTTAGAGTAGGATGAACCATGGCTCGTCTTATTATCATCCTGAACTTCAAAATTACGGAGTAGAAAATATCGTAAATAGGAGAGAGTAGAGTTTACAAGGAGTATTCCAGCTAGTATTTTAGACTTGAAATCAGAATATTTACTTTACAGTGATTCTAGAAACACTAAATTCAATATCTTGATCAAAGCTGCTGGCCCCTGCACACTTTTACAGTGGAGATTAGCCACAATTTCATTTAAAATGAAGGCCCACCAGTTCCTCACTAGCCCGTGCGATCAATTAATCAATTAAACTACGAACCATTACCCCGTATGCAGTATTGAGTTACTTAGATCCAAAAAGTCTAATGCTGGATATCTTTATTACGACTACGAGACTATTTCATCCAGTATAATTCTAGACTCAAGCCTGTGAGCTGCGTAGTCGCCTACACTGGCATCAGTATGGCGAAACGAGGCGCTGAAGTGCAAAAAGTCTGCTAATTTTGGTATTCCCGACTAATCAGATACCTTCAATGAAGGTGTGACATGATTCAGAATGCCACAAGCAATGCCAACAGCCAGTAACACCGCATTGAATATTGCCATGATATAGAACGGTGTACCCGAGGACCAGGTGTCAAAGAGCCATCCACCAAGTTTAGTGAGAAGCAGAATGCCCGCCCCACCATACAAGGAGTAAACACCCGCAATCGATCCCTTGAGATGAGACAGATGTTCGAGTCGTTGATGAGCAGATGCGGCCAGAAGGGGTTGACCCTCACTGGGGTCCCCATTATCTTCACTGTCGACCTCGCGTTCATCGCAGATTCTGCTCAGTGTTTCATGGTCGAGACTGACTTGCAGAATCCCATCACTGAGAACGGCCAAACTGCACACGATGGCTCCAATCTGACTGATTCCAATCAGACCCATGACAATGAATATCCCCGCATTGCCATCGGGCCCCTGGAACTGTGGATTGCGCAGTAGACCGAAGGTCACGTACCCAACAACACCCAGCAAGGCTGCAGTGAGGAGTGGGAAATTATACCGGCGAGATTTGTTAGTCAAGTAGCCAAATGCGGGTGCGGCCAGAAGAGCAATCAGCTGTGATACACCGGTGAGTATCGATGCGAGAATATACGCGCGGGGGCACGACTTTTTTATATCGCCTAGCCCGTAACCAGTGATCGGTTCGTGCTTCTCATCGCAGAGACCTGATGAGCGATAGTAGTGATTCACGGCCAGGGGAATGAATAGTGATATTCCCACAGAGGATGCTCTCGCGACAAATCCCCCAACATAGCCCAGCCCGATGCTCCTATTTTGGAATCCCAGAAGTAGGGCTGTAGTCAGCTGTTTCCAGTAGGGCATGCGTGTTGGACCCAATCTTGCGGACTGGTCACATGTCTGCGAGGAATGGGTATTCCACAATACGGACCACCCCTTTCTCTGCTCACCAGGAAGATCGCGGAGACCGATGAAGCTGATCAGGCTGATGAGTAGGGCCACAGTAGCCACTACATAATAACCGCATTTCAGAGCATCGATAGGCGATAGGCCTAGTTTCTCAAGTCGGGCTGGAAGAGGAAGAAAGACTCCCAGTGAGACGAGGGCACCGCATCCAGCAAATAGTCCCACAAACCCCGAGAGTCGGGCGGAGGGGGAGGTGTAGGAGTTTTTCGCATTCTGGTTTGCTTGACTAGAGTTAACTCGCTCTGGTGTAATAGTCAACTCTGAAGAAACCGACACTCGATAAGCCTGCTTGCGGAGTTCTTTGCCCGTTACCGTAGGTAAGACCGCAGTCACCATAGTCGACACGGCCGAGCCACCAACACTAAAGAGCAGCCTCCCCAAGAGAAGCTGGGGATAAATATTTCTGGCCTGCACGAAGAGCACTAGTGCAATAGCAATTACTGCATAGCCAACAGTACATACCTTTATTTCTTAATAAGCTTTGAGTGATTCGATGTTAGGACTGGGTTTCACAATGTCAACTTACATGACGTACGCCAATGCGATCGGATAGCACGCCCCATAGTGGACACGCAGCCAGTGCAAGTAATTCATCTGCAAATCCAAGGGTTCCCACTGCACCTCCTTCTCCATCGGAAAGTCCGATCAGATCAGTCACCACGAATGACGCGGATGAATTGATAAACACCAGAAACGCGATGGAGAAGGGACATACGGCCAGTAGGTAGGTCAGTGTCTGTGCCCGAGAGGCTATAAATAACGGCGGAGATAAAGCCATCACCGTCAATGGCACATGGCGAGATGTTGGAGATTGAGGAATGAATTAGGGATGGGGAGATCGGCGAGTTTCAGTTACTCATATCATGTCACGTGTTTTGATCGGTCAGTATTTCAATTGGCCACTTACGGCACACACTCAATGTATGGATTACAGATTTAATTGCAGGATGTGTTGATTCTCAAGATTGGCTTATATCACTATTTATATGAGTGCTAGGTATCAAAGTCAATAAAGTCTGTCTTATATCCTAGTTAAAATGATATCAATCTAGCTACCTTGGCATTGGTGGAGATGGATCTAAATAGTGGAGACCTGGCCCTGAGCACCACGTTTTATTTACTTCTTAGACCTTGTTCTAGAAGAAATATTTTGTTTAAGCATCAATCGCAAATTCACAATACACGGAATATCCAATGTCAGTAGTTCAACTTTTATATCGTACATAGGTAGGCTGCCGTAGGCAGTTACTTTCTTGTATCCTCTAAATCTCCCAAGGTCTTAGGTGGTTAGACATAAAAAACTCAAGGGCTGTTCATCTTAGCCTAATCAGAATGGGGCAGTAGTGAATATCCGTAATCAAAAAGTGGAAATATAATAACATATTCAATTTGTTCGAAGCCAGTTGTCCAGGTAAAAGTGAATAAAGATTGAATTGTATTGAATTAGAAACATGCAATTAACTCATCCATCAAAAATATTTCTTCCAACATTTCACTTGGGTGTCTTTCTTGATCGATGACCTTCTTCTCACAGTCCAGAAACCCCCCATCTCTTGCTGGATTATTCTTCGCATATTTCATTCTCTTTCCTTGGGTCAAGAATGCCATCTCTAGCGGCCGTCCGTCGCCTCGACCTAAAGGATGTATATATGGCTGGGTGCTACCGACACGATGGCCCTCATCCAAAATTATCATCATGATCTGGGTCGATGCTCCATGTCCTCACTCTCATTTTGGAAAGTGCTAACAGATAATTACAAAAATCCTGATAGCATAAAAGCTAGCTTACGTCGGTATTGAGAAAAAGGAAGATGAAAACATCCATGAATGGGTCTCCTCCACTAGGGTTGAGCTGAGCCGGAGGGTTCTCCGCCATCCCAGCACGGAAGGCGAAAGCATAGCCCCTGTTCGAAATAAGACTATTCAAGAACTCTTGGGGGCTTTTACGAGCTCAAGTCTCAGGATGATGAAAAGTAGATGGCGTCTGTCCTCACATCTTTTCGCTCCGTACTTTCTATACGGAATGATTGCCCCCTGAGATGAGGGTAAAGATCAACGCCTGGGTCAACGAGGGACTGCGAGGCAATGATAAGGCATCTAAGTACTTGGGAATTGAGAACCTGAGCTGCCGTGCAGTGGCAGAGAATATAGAGCTGTGCAGCAGAAGATCACGACATCAAGTCCATGACAGGGTTTCAGGATTATGGGAAGAAGAAGGAGACCGAATCCTTTAAGCCCGTGCCAAAAAAGTTCAAGGGGAAATATAACTATAAAAAGGAGTCTGGTGCAAGATATCGAAGCCCTCATTCAGAATATTTTCCCATATCGGTCGAAAGACTCCCAGTGGTCGAGCTATACTTGGGCTGCATCAGGCTTCCGGGTTGAATACAGTGTGCTTAAAGCCGCCAATATCAAGCATTTGAAGGACGGCTAGGGTGAAGCCTTGTACCTTGCCACTGAAGAGCACTCAATTATTTCAAGAGCCATTTATTCCCTGGCCCAGGAGACTCTAGTGCGTTCGTTTCCACTAAACCTCAGCCTCATATTCTGGTCGGTATGTTCATTTTTGGATCCCATGATACTTTAAATGCACCACTGTGCTTCTTTTCGCATATCGAAGACATCTACAAACATATTAAGCAGATGACGTTGGCAACAGATGTAGTATTTAAGCTTCCTAGTCACCTAGATGGTTTTCCTCTACTTTGCTGCGAGATTGTGGCCGGTCTTCAGCTAGTTTCCTTGTATCCTGATGGATTTTTTTGTCCGCGTTTCATTTTGTTCTTTACCTGAGACTCCTGAGTAGCTTGAGCAACATCTATCTCAATTCAAGCTGTAGAGTTTACTTCTAGACTGTAATTTTAGGATTGATATCCTATCACTGGCTCCTTGAATAGGAGAAGCGTTGAAGTGTTGGCGCTGTTGGAGCCTCCAACATTTGACATCTATCGGGGGGCTTTAAGTCTGTCTAAGGAGTGAAATATATCACTAGCCCTCGATCATTTCAAATCGTTCTGATTCAGAATACCTAGCAACTTATTAATTCAATAACTGAATTTTACGTCTAGGTATTGATTTCATGCTTCGTTGAACGATATAAGCGATTGACCATATCATAATGTGTTAATGTGGACTGAAGGTTTTGATTGTGGAGGCTGACGTAAGGTGCGGAGGGCGTGGAGTGGTTACTGGAAAGCTGTCCAGATCGCGCTATATTACTCCACCTCCGATTCCTCAGAGCCCTATCTCTTTTCTTTATTCTCTAATGATATTCACTTAGTGACCATCATTCGATTGCCATGAGACTGGCTGCGTACACCGGGGTGAGAATCTCTCCCTACAACTTGAATCACGGCTACTAACTATCCTAGACCTCAGTGGTCCTGGCCACTGGTGTGTTCTTGAAAGCTCTACATCAGAGAGCCAACTTCTATTCAGCATGCGTGTACCTTTCACAAAGTAACGCAAATCTCATGGTATATTTCACTGGTTTCTTCCTCTAAGGCCTTGGTGGCCTATTCATACCTATCCCCGCATCGAACCACTTTCTGACGTTACCTTTCCTTACAACATAGATCCTTACCAATTTGTGTCTTGTGATTACAGGGTACATTCTATTCTGGTTCCAGCGACTTCTGTATGGCCCTTTGCGCGCTATCGAAACCGAACAACTCTACGAACGGGCATGGTTCGCTGTCACGGAGACATGTCTAGCCATGACCATCTTCCGGGGTTCCCTAGGGGGATGGTTCTTGGTCATGTTCATTTCCCTTCTGGTTGGAAAGGTCTGGGGATGGATTGGAGAAGGCCGAGTGGAATATCTAGAACAACAACCCCCCGCAAACCCCACCCTGTTTCATACCCGACTCGCGATGTCGCTGTTGTTGACGGTCCTGTTCAACGTACTCATGCTTCGCTATTGTGTTGACACTGTGATCCACCAAGCAAAACCAGATATGATGGTCATGTTCGGCTTCGAGTTTGCCATATTGACTATCCTGTCCACGTCTACTGCCGCTCGATACGGCATTTCATTGGCGGAGATCTACATCAATCGCATGCAGGTCCGGGCTAAGATAGAGGAACGCCGTGCAGAGATTCGTGCTGCTAGGGCAGAGGCTATCCGGGAACACGCGCGTGCTGGCGCTACCTCCCCTCCTACCGACCTTCCCAGTGAGAACGATGTAAGCGAGCTAGAGATTGATGTTCCAGGATGGGAGGAAAAGGGACGCTGGATCTTCTATCTCGACCTGTTGACAGACTTCGTAAAACTCTTGGTCTACCTGACATTCTTTGCTATACTTCTTACCTTCTACGGCCTGCCCATCCACATTTTGCGTGATGTGGTGGTTACCATTCGCTCGTTCGCTCGCCGAATCATGGACTTCCTCCGATATAGGAATGCTACCAGAGATATGAATGAGAGATATCCAGATGCGACAGGCGAAGAAATTACGAGCGAAGATGTGTGCATCATTTGCCGAGAGGAAATGATCCCGGTCCAGCCCGCTCCAGCTGATGCCGGCGCACAGCCTGCTGCAAATGCGCCACGTGTGCCTGATCGCCTGCGTCCCAAGAAGCTTCCTTGCGGTCATATCTTGCACTTTGCCTGTTTACGAAGCTGGTTGGAACGTCAGCAAAATTGCCCTACCTGCCGACGTCCAGTGGTCCCTTCGCGTACCAATGGAGCCACGGGCGCTGATGCAAATGCAGCCGAAAACGGTGGTATGGGGCAGCAGAATGGTGTCAGGGGAGATCCTGGTCAGCCTGGTCAAGGTGAACTGCCACGGGCCCGCGTATATCAGTTCGGTCCCTTCCGAATTGGCTTCGGTGCCGTACGTGGTGATCTTTTACAAAACCTTCAGCAGCAAATGAACCAGGGCAACGTTCCATTGCAACCTGGAGTTAATGCAAACCAGCAGGGACCTCGGCAAATAGGATTTGGATTTGGATTTGGTCGCCACCCACAAGATTTGGCTCAGGCTCAAGCTCAAGCGTTGGCTCAAGGTCAGGCCCAAGCGGAGCCTACTCCACTCCAGACTCCTCTCACGACCACCATTTCCGCCATTCATGCTCAATTACAACTGTTGGAACAACAAATTGCGCAAGAGATTAATGCTCTTCGCCTTGCTACAGAGCAGCTACACCAAGTGCACACACTACAGACAGAATTAGACCGACTGCGCTTTCAAGCAAATCCTGTCGGATCTGCAACACCCACAACTTTGCCACCGGGAACCTCAGAAACCATTACTCATCGCCAGTTTGTCTCCACGGGAGCTTCGTCGATGAGCTCTGGTGACCCTCGTCTACCGGAAGGACTAGTTCTGCCAGTAGGATGGACTATCATTCCTCTCGGGTCTGCAAATGCTGGAACTGAAGCTGCACCGCAGGGCATTAGATCTTCATCCAATTTTCCAACTCCATCGTCGATAATTCAACCTGAACATTCTGTGGCCACTTCCGAGGCCACTCCTCAGGAAAACCAGTCTGAACCTGCAGTTAACAACATAAATCCCACATCCTTAAGTTTGGATGTCCACAATGCTCCGTTATCACAGGATCATCGGGATGATTCCCCTTCCCAAGAGTGGACAGATGTCCAGTCGGAGCAAGTCCCTGAATCAGGACCCTCTGCAATTCCATCTACGTGGGGTACCACACACACTCCAGAGGCTCCAGTAGCTGAAAGCATTCAGCCCGAATCCGGTTCTGAATCTGTATCAAAAGGTAAAGGCCGTGCAGTGACTGTGGAGGAGGCTGTTGATGAAGACACATCATGAACATAAACCTGATGAGTTTGCGGCCTCGTCAATCCCCCTTTATTTTCTCTTTTCTTTCTTTTTCCAAGGTCACAAGCCTTTCTAGTCCTTCCCTCTCATTCGCATTTCCCATCATGGCGTTTTTGAGCAAATTTTCATACCCGGCTTTTTAATTTTTTTTTTTTTTTTTTTTTTTTTTTTTACACTTGTACTATGAGTTTCTCGGGCATATTCCCTCACAATCTGACTTGACTTATTTTTTCCATTTAGAAAGGATGTGGATTACGATCCAATGTATTTCCGTAATGATCGATTGTGATATTGTACATTTTTCCCAAGAAAGGAGATTATATTAACAGTGTCCCAAACAAAACCCCCACAAACGCCCAAGCGAAAGCATGCAATTGAATAAGTTCAGCCCCTTTTTTGTCTAGCTTAGCTAGCAGTATATTGTACAATGTGAGAGCAAATGTCCTCCCCATATATATATCCATGTCTATGCCGACCCAGCAAATCTCAGGACAAACTCGTACACGCCGAGAGTGATGATAGCGGAGGGAATCGACCGGACCATGTGCGGTGTCAAACCTCCGTATAAACCGGCTATGCCCTCTTCTTTGGCAATTAGTTTGAAGCACTGCACTAGCCCGTTATATTTGGGAATTCCATTCTCCATGGGCGCCTGGCGAAGACGTGTTCGGATGACCTAAGAAAAAAACAGTTAGACAGAAAATGAAATTCGGAGAATGGGAAGTCATCGCATACCTCATGCGGGTAAGCAATCAGCGCAGCGGCGAACTTGGCAATTCCCGCAGCACCGGTTGTACTAATCCAACTAGCAATTTCCTTCTGCGTAGATGTTTCCTTGCCGTCGGGGGAACCGAGTTGCTCGGAGAAAGTCTTCTTCAAGCGCTCATACATGACTAAATGCAGCGCTGTCTCGACCGAGCCGAGATAACTTGCGCTTAGCCCCTTATACAGACCCTTTATACCCTCATGGCGCACAACTTGCCTCACACAGTCGAGACTGTTGCGGTAGCGGCGAGCCCCAGTGGCGCTTTGAGCCCGATCAAGTTGTAATCGTGTTTTTACTAACCAGATTGGATTGGTGGCTGTGGCCGTAGCAATACCTGCGGTGATGGCTGCCTGTGCGTGGATGAGCACTGAGTCGTCGCCGTAGCCAAGGACGTGTGCACCAATCCGCTTGGCGTTTCCGTAGACGTAGAATTTTATGGCAGTGGCTGGAACTACACCTGCTAGACTAGGGCCAAGACCGCGGAAGAACGCTCTCCATCCTTCTGCTTTGTATATATTGCCGATTATTCGGAGCGTCTTGTGATTTGAATGAGGAGGAATAGATGTAGAGGCGGCCGAGGAGGAACGAGCGACGGGTTGGTAAAAATCAGACTGGAGACGGGTTCGTAGAACATCAAGTGGAGATGTGACTATTGCAGTTGCAAATCCTCCACTCCTGTTATATATGGATTGTTTAGAAATCAATTGTATCATGAAGGCGTCAAGAAACTTACGCGCCGGCTAACAAGTGCATTAACGGGTCGTGGGCCTTTTTCTGGACTGTTTGAGAGGTCCGAAGTGGGACACTCTCTTCAGAAGATTGGCCATGGATCTTAGAGCTTTGCTGCATAGTTACAGCGCATTCCTGGGTTGGTTGAGAAAAAGTTGGAGATTGGAAATTTCCCTTTCTGGGATGATGATTTGGCGATTTTCAAGCTGTCACGTGAGATAAGAGTAGCCCGATAGTCGGATCTATAGAAGCCCATGATTTTTGTCTAAGAAATGGGCAAATATATCTGAGGAAATATTTGAAACAACAAATTCGATAATAGATTCTTGAGAAATCGGTTACTTTAGTTTATTAACCGAATATCACGAAATATAAATAGAATACAGTCTAACTCCTTAGCCGGCGTGATCTTAATCCTTCTCGCTTTTTTTTTCTTCTTCTTCCAACCCTCTATTTTTCAACAGTGGCAATAACACCCTTCATGTAGGGACTGTAATTCTGGAACTCAATCTCTTGCTCATCCGTAGAGGTCAAGGGCCTCTGCATACTCATGTCACTTGTGGAGACTGTGGTAGTAGTTGTGGTTATGTTTTTGAGATGAGAATGTCCAGATTCTTGGCCTTGAGAGCGAATCTGGGTCCAGAAGCCGCGTTCACCAAACCTGAACAATGGTCGGAGGTTGGGCAAGCAAGCGGCAACGATACCAACGGCTGCCTCGTCACATGTCCATACGGCCATGGGGGCTTGATTGTCTACAGAACGATAAGTCATTTTCCCGAAAGAACTGAGATCGAGTTAAGATACTCACAGGTAACATCCGCGCCTGCATTTGCTATTTTTATCATAGCGGCCAATCTGAAAATATCAAAAACGAAGGTTCTGGGTGGTCTAGGGTTAGAATAGATGTATATCAGCTGATTTAAGTCGAAACTCACAATCCACCTAGTAGAAAGACGCCTGCTAAGAGACACTTCTGAGATTTGACAATTGGTAGATCCCAAACTACTTTCAACGGCATAAGCAGAAGAATGGCGTCTGAGATAATGTTAGGGATTTGCTGGCCGTAGTAGTACTTGGCCGGGTCCATGCAAGCTCCGGGGATAGATCTGTCCCAGAACTTGGCAACAGGGAGGCAATTCAGAACACCAGCCACGGAAATAGCTACGGCCCACATAACAACGAAGGAAGCCATCACATTGACAGCAAGAAGCATGCGCTTGGTAGCAAAAAGACGCTTGTAAAGTGCCAAGATGGAAAGCTTAATGGTAGCCACCGTGCAAGTGTAGACGAAAGAATTCGACCATCCAATCTGTTTCAGAAACCTGTCAGAAACATGCATGAGATTATGTTTAAGAAGATCAATCATACTTTAAGATACACCGTGAGGTTCTTCGGTGGGATTGTGTTGATGTGTGATCCCAAGCCATTGAAAAGAACTGAAGTGATTTTCGGTCAGTACTATGCTCCTAGTTTCCGTGGCTGTGTATAACTTACGAATAGTAACTCCAATTGAGCATCCGTATTTGAGGAGCTAGTATCATGATGATTAGTGGATTCCTCTTTGACAACTCGCGAGGGTCGTTAATTTACCAGGGCAAGCAGAATCAAGTGATCATCCAAAAATAACTTGCTACCAGTCATCTTTCTTGCCCAGATCCGTAGGCCAACGGCAAGAGTGGAAAGAGTGAAGGCAAAGACAAGCGCTATGGTGACAGATCGCCGCAGTTCTTCATTTGGATGTTCGAAGTCACCAGGGACCCACGATGTACCAGAAGAGGGTTGGTCCGAAGCCATGATGGGGTACTCGAGTCAGTGAGGCTTGAAGGATATCCAGTTATACGATAAGAGTAGACGGAAGAGAAAGTCTGATGATTTGGAATCTTTTCTAGGCGTCCAAGGTGTCCGGGACACCCATCCATATATAAAGAGTGGCGTACAAAACATGTCAAATCCTTCGACTCCACGCATATCATATCGACTAGAGCCTATACAAACATACTGCAACTTTAGAATGGAATCCGAGAATCTGTTACCAATCGTAGAGCTAAACGTCCTGCCAAGATAAGGCTGAAGGCCAATAAGAGGCACGAGAATAATAGTTTGTATGCTTTCCCCTAGCAAGTACATGGAGATCGTCAATGGAGAACTTGTTATGTCACATAGCTTGTTACTCATACGGACTTTGCAAGTCTTCCAAGGCTGGTAATGTTCAAAAGAGACATAGTTTGCGGATATTACGAGCTCCCGCATTATAGACCTGTCATATGGCCGTGCGCCTCCAACGTTGGCGAGGTTTCAAGTTTGCCATGTTCTGCTGATAATTTTGAGGCTTATCTGATAAGTGGATCAATTGGACGAGTTAGAGTCCAAGGGTCAATCCTTCAGTGAATTGATTGCGTCCATAAATCCACGTTCCTCAACGAATACCTAGTATTAGTTTTCAAGTCCATACTTCGGTAATTCTACATACTCGGAGCTTATGACTGGAATTATTTTCCGAGAGCCGTTTATCAGCAAGGACTTCATCAAGAAAGCAAGGGATTAATTTAGTTAATTATGACTACGTAAGTAATATATTCGAGGTTTGAATTTTAGCTGCGGGGTGGATCGCTGCTAAGTTTTAACGAGGAAAATACACATCATATTATTTGCGATGTCAAACATCCTCTCCATTTTTATTTCAACTGGGTGAGAACGTTCGTGTTATCTGCAAAACAGCTAATGTCCTGCGAGCCATTGGTTAGTGCCCAGGTGGGTTGAGTATTAAGAAATGTGATATACTACAAGCCACAAGGCAATTCTACACATGAAGTTTCCGGGGACTGGGTGAAGCTGGAGCTGCATGAAAATCCCTCAGGTATAAAGTTAATGCATACCTATTATTTTCAAGATCTTGATTTGAAGAAATCAATGGATGTTACCTAGGTAGATACAGAACCTTGGAAGGCAGAATCTTAGATCTACATCCTATCCGTCAATAGTTTAGAGCGTTGCAAGGTTCAAACCTCTGACCCTTCCAAATTTACTTACACCTAGGTATGCTCAAGTCTTAATGAAGAGACAGTGCTATCAATTCTTCGAATACAGACATTAAACTTGGGTTGGTATGGGCTCATTCGGATTACACGATATGACTTTGTAGGTATTACAATTACAATATTACCGTTATGATTGAGCATAAGGAGATTTAAACAAGGTTGCGTAAATCTTTGCAGTTCTTGATTCATCGAGTCTGAAATATTTAAATGCGCTATGTTGGGAGTCCAACCTCTATAGATTAACTAGTATCAACACGGGAAAGCCTTTCGTTGGCCTGTCCCGTACTGTCTCCACTTCAACCCCATTCATTTCTTTCATTCGTCATTGAGGCTTGAACTTTTGCTAAATGTGCCAAAGGTGGCCCCCAAATCTAGACCCTGAAACTTAACATTCCACTACCCCATGTTATCTCTTCCATGCCACTCATTTCTCCTTCAAACAATCAACGGTTCATAATTGCGATGATTTAATCTCGTGCTGGCACTCTGTACGTTGGTGAAGAACCGATCTTCATTGGTCTTGATCTGAATGTGTGATGTCTGTGTGGCACAGCATTCACTCCCCCTTGATTAGATTATGCTAACATATACTGTGTAACAGGTCAATTCTCCGTGTATAACATAGAGCGTGTATATTATAATATCTTATCGTCCATGATTCTCTCACGTCGAACGGTGCTCTCCCTCGGCTTCTGCTTCTGCTTCATCCTCTTCTACACAGCCCGCTGCCTTTCGCAATCATGGAGTGACGTCCCACAAGCCGTGGGCCTGGGGGAGATTGTCTGGTCCCACAGTGTCAATGCCAATAGCTCCAACTACTTCAACATCACCGTCGGTCATGGCGTGAAAAACCTACACGTCCCTCACCCGAACTTCATCCCTGGCACCCCAAAGCCGCTGGGCTCTCAGTATTCAAAGATGTTGGTCATCCCTCGATTGAAGACAGAAGATGTCGACTGGATTGAGCGAGAGCTGCCAGGTTGGGGCACTGCCATTTATACTGCCGATGATCCACATGCGCCCCTTCACCCACCAAAGAACAAGGGTCATGAGGTGATGATATATCTGACTTTTGTGGTCGACTTTTACGACGAACTACCTGATATCGCTGTCTTCCTGCATGCACATCAAACGGCCTGGCATAATGATGCTATTTTTAACCAGGATGCTGCGGAAATGCTTCGACGCCTTAGCATGGATCGGGTGACTCGGGAAGGGTATATGAATCTACGTTGTACCACGGCTCCTGGTTGTCCTGACTGGATGCATCCTGGGGCCGTCTTGGAAGATGAATCAAAGCAGGAAGAGGTGCTATTGGCCCGCGCATGGTCTGAAATATTCCCTGACGAGCCGGTCCCGTCTGTTTTGGCCCAGCCGTGTTGTGCTCAATTCGCCGTTTCAAGCGAGCGTATTCGCACTATTCCTCGTTCACGATTCATCTTCTACCGTGACTGGCTACTTCAGACTCAACTGAGTGACTATATTGCTGGCCGTATCTGGGAATACCTATGGCAATATGTGTTTACCGGCAATTCTGTCGTCTGTATAGAAGAGAGTGTTTGTCTCTGTGATGGCTATGGAGTCTGCTTTGGTGGTCCTAGTGAGTACCAGGCCTTTATAGAACTCCAAGAGTCAAGTAAACGACTTAAAGATGAGGTGGATGATTGGTCATTTTTAGAGCTGGAGATGGAACAAGCGGAGAAGGAAAGATTGAATGCTGCCGTGCAGCAGTCTGACTCGCCTGATCATGAGATGACAGTTGCCGAGTTGGCAGCTCATCAAGAGCAAGCCGTCAGTGATGCCATTGCAAATGCTCTGGATCGTGGTAAAGATCCAAGAATCCGTGCTCTCGAGGCTGGTCGTCCTTGGAAGGAGGGTGATAGCTTCTAGACTTCAATACTTTGACATCTACCAAAGTACATTTGATATATGCTCTCGGATTTATTTGCAATCTTACTTATTTCAATGGGAATAATCTATATATCCTGAGGTCCACGGATGGATCTATGGAGACTCGAGTGCTACTTTTAGATGTGTCTTGGATATCAGTTGGTTATCCTTCGGCGTTGCCTGTACATATATACCATGTCTTTGTACTTCTCTTGCATTATTTTAAATTCAAAATGCATCCGAAATTTACCTTTAACATTGGCTACTGAATATTTTACCTAGTGAAGTAATATTGGCAGTGAAGTACGCGCGCTTATTCCATTGAATTGACTGATGATGTCACGTTGTGTGCATCAAATATCACATGACCTCAACCTTGGAAGGTTTGCACTGTCTGCTCTTCCTTCAAACGACACAAACATCCACATATCCTGTCGCGCTCGATCTTATCAGCTCCGCAGATTGTTTCTCTCGCAGAAACCAGTTCTGCATATTTTCTTCTTCTTTCCAAAGTTTGACGCGTTCCTATCCCCTTTTGGGGTGTGGTGCTGTCAGAACTGCCCCTGGTGAAAAGGTCGTCACATTGGACTTCGAATTTCACATTAAAATTGTTGTAGGCAACGCCTATTCAGATGAACTATAATTACGGGACATACCACTTACTCGCTAACAGACCAATATCGTGAATCGCGATATTTCTGCCGCCTACCACCCAAAATTTCTCTCTTCCACCTCCCACTCTCTGGCTTAGTCTGACCATTGTCATGACATCGACAAATTCAACCAACCAGCATCCTGCTGCGTCCTCGGATATGCCATCGCAATCCGCTTCTAATACAAACATTGATGCAAATAATACTTACACTCCAAATGAGAACCAGCTAGCGGACCTAGTGGAGGCTGCGACCGCTGCAGCAGACCCGCAATGGGGAGCGCATACACAGCTGGAGAACTACGACACCAACATGCAACTTGGCGATGATGGATTTGGTGATAATTTTGCGTCTGGAATGGGAGTCGGAAGACATCTGAGAGTTTCAAATGATCATTCTCAGGGCTCGTTATTGTCTCGCACTGCTTCTAAGAAGCGGAAGCGCAATAATGACAACCTTGACCCTGCGCTGACTGCCAGCTTCACAGAGACACAACAGCCTCAACCACAGTCGCCTCGTTATTACACTTCACAACCTCCTCATCCTAGTTCATTACAATCATTGTCAGATGCCCGCGCCGTTGGAGTTCATTCTGCTGCTGCGCTTTTCCGCCAGCCTTCGAGCAACAAGAAATACACCAGACCTCCCATGTCGAAGCTGTTTGCATCGCTTGAACTATCACCTGAAAACTTTCTGCATCTCCAATCTGCGGCCAAGGCATATATGTTGCATAAGGATTATCCTGACCGTCGGGACTGTGTCGGCCAGAGAGGAAAAGGAGATACGGAGATGGTAAAGCTACGACTTTGGAATTGTGTTCGTCACTTCCTCGAAAACGAAGGCAATGGCGAGCGATTCTTTGGAGAGAACGTTGTCAACGAAAATATGGACCCTCGCACACACATTTGGCCCCGCGACACGCAGAAGATCATTTCTTTGGTTATTCCTCTCTTGAGACGAATGGTTACCAATGAACGTCAGCGCCAGTATGCAGTGGAGTCCCGCAGAGGCGGAAATGGTTCAGACCGCCGCAAAACAAATGAAGGCTTTCACGATTCACATGGTGCGGCACTTTCACCAGATCATCACCTCCAAATGAATGACCAGGATCATCGTGCAGAAAATCTGGCGCCACCACCTCTGGTTCAGGAATCTCAAGCGGGCATGGATTCAAACCCGGCTATAGATATTGGTCTGACAGACTTGTTTGTGGATGGGTACTCACTGGACTGGGCTGCAATATCCAGCAACTATGATATGTATAACGAACACTACGAACTGGATAATCTGGGATCCCTTTCTGGTCTCAACCAACCAGACTGGCGTGGCATTGTTGCAGCAGTTGATAGTCACTATGCCGTGGTTCACAATGGTGGCTATGATTGTGTTTCTGAATGCGAAGACTGCAACGTGAATCGCATTGTTCACTCAAATTCTATCTCGGATTTGCCATGGCGCATTAGCGGAGGAGGTCGCAACGATTTGTAGGTCAACAACCCCAAATCCTTGTATCATTACTAACCCCCAACATAGCGCAAGCAGTATCACTCGTGATGTCTCACGCATTATTCGTGAGAACATCGCCGCTAAACAAAATCACGAAATCACGCCCTCGCAACCTAATGTCCCACTCCCCGCTCTGCCCACTCAAACTAGCCCCGACCAGCAAGTGAGCACCGCGTCTTCTGCAATCTCCAGCATGGAGATCCTTCTTCGAATTAATATTCTCCAGCATGGAAAGCGGCTTTTTCCCCGAGTGGACATTCCGACTACCCTCAGTCAAGACCTCAGTACAGTCAAGAAAGGCATTATGCGCACTTACCCCGGCCAAATACCCGGCTGTAGTATATTGCAAGACACTGACTCTATTCTGTCTGCCGCTGTTGCTACACCTGCTTGGAAGATCAGTGCCTGGTTACCGGACGGTCTTCTGCCCATTCGCACTGACAAGGATTGGTCATTCGCTCTTGTCCAAGCTACTGCAATGGATTGGATGGACGGTGGCCTCACAGTTCTGGTGGAGGTTAGCGCTCCCAACACCCAGTAGTCGATACACAGCGAATTCTTTCCACTTACGAAGTTACCTGACTCGCATTGATATTCAGATCGATGTCTGAACGATTCACTATCTTGCCTTTCTTTTTTCCCTTGTGAATGGGAGCCTTTTATCATTGATGGACTTTTTCCAAGTGATCACTCATCTGATATTTTCCCTTTCTTTCCTCTCTTCGTTTAATCTTTCTTATGCTCCCATACCCTTATGCTTTCTGAAGTTGGCGTTTTGATGGTAGGAAGGCCTACTTAACGTCTTGATACAAGCCAATATGGCCTATATTTTACCTCTTACTTTTTTTTATAGCAGACTTGATCTCTAGAGTCGTATTATCCAAGTGGTAATGCTCCCGAATTATCTTCAAGATCCGATCTCACACTACTAGTTAAAACATCCCATAATCATGCTTAGTAAGAAATATAGCTTCAGAGAAAGGACGTCAAGTCCATGTCTCAGGATATCAAGATACAAGAATAGCCGTTGCTATGAGAAAAAATTGGTGGATTGTATTGATATTAGGCCCTGCCATCATCATCCGGAAAATAAGAGAAAAAAAAACACCTTTCTATGCGCCGTTTAACATGCATAGCCAGTCGACTAATAATAACGAGAAAAAGAAAAGAATAAGAAGTACTGGGCACTCAGCTTTAAGAAAAGATCACGACTCTGAACCGAGAGTCTATGGTTCTCACTTGTTGTGGATGAACAGAGTTCGGAACGAGTCCCAATGATCAGAATCGGCATAGCTATATAAAATCCACAATTAGCGTCATGACACGGAAAAAAAGCATGACCAGCACACTCGCAAAACATTTGCAATTGTTCAATCATGCGCCTGAAAGGTATGAAGTAACAGAATAGGGAGGGCTGTGAGAAAGTAACGTACATGTATACCATGCTACTGCGTAGGCTGGAAACTAGGGTCTCGGGATACCAGCGGAAAATGTACATGACGAAAGCCCATGTGAAGCTGGCGAAGACGGGCCATGCGTTGTTGTTTATTTGTGTGCGGGTTTCGGCGTCGATTAGGGAGGATAGAGGGTTCATGCCTGGTTGGATGGCGAGTTTGGCGAGTGAGAGCATCACTCGCGCGAAGACGTAGATGACGATCTGGATTGTTTTAATTAGTATGAGTAACATATATTCTAGAGTGGTTGAAGACTCGAGTTGAAAAAGAGGCAGCCTTGTAGAGGCTTCTGGTTCATACCTGCTTGCTGATGCTTCCTTCCTGGCGTCCGAAGACCGTATATCCGCCCATCAAACCCGCAAAAAAGCTATCGTATCGGCTTTCCTTCCCGGCAGACGTGGGGTTTATGTTTCGGAGAACAATCATGGAGAGCTTATAGACCACTGAAAAGGTAGCGAGGTTTCGTGCATGGAGGCGCGTCGCTTTAAGGACCAGCTTGAGCTTTTCTGGTAATCTATAGAAGTCATCGCGTTATTAGTCCAACGGGAAACTGAAGCATAGAGGTAGAAGGTAGAACGCACGTCCCAGAGCGGAAGAGTAATATCATCCTGGATAAAATCACTATCAGCCTTTTCTTTACTTGGTCACTTGGAGCTCCGGAAGGCGAACATACACCAGCGCATGCGGAAACCGCACTTTTGACCCGTAGACGATACCATTGCGCGCGCCCTTGAAGAGGGATAATAACGGGGCAAGTTCTGGCTTGAGGACAAGAGCATCTAGTTGGGACTGGTCAAATTGTCTGTTAGTTGCTTTCTTTATGTGCTTGTGTCGCGGGAATCCTCACGAGGAGTGTGTCCATGGTGTCGCGAGACCTTGGTGGAGGTCAAACTGGGACTGGGAAGACTACTTGAGCAGATGAGGACGGCGACAAGTAGAGAGACTGATGATAATCATGAATGAGGAGAGAAATTATATGGAAATATATGGGTGGGGAATGGCATTATTCCTGATGTGAAGGAAACATTTGAACCTCGGCATGTGAGATTAAGCCGGCTCACGTCATGGTCACGTGTGATCTATAGATCTTATATCTTTAGGTACTACTCTGTAGATTATAGTATTGAGGCTTCTTATTCCAGTAAATGCCTCCAAGGTTCAATCATATCTGAAAAGTTTCAGAGCATAGTGCTTAATGCATCGCATCCATATGGAGTAGATTTACAAACCCACGAGCTTCAATGCCTTTTATAGCTAGCACTTGAGGTTGGCCATAAGTTACGAGATGTAGATAGATTATTGAAAAACTACTGAAAGCAAACTGTCAAATTTACTAGATTCCAATGATACGTTTCCAACAGCGCAGTTGAAGTATCATAGAGATCAGGTTTGGGCAAAACACAAGTATAAATCACTTCCCAACATTTCAACCTTGAAAGGTTGATCGCCTAGTGGACCTAGGTACGTAATGTTTTTGTCAAGATTAATTATCCTATTCATCCTAGGTATGCTACCTAGGTACTCCACCCAGGCATAGTTGACTTTTGTCAGTAGTTTCAAATCTGATATCAAAATGTAGCTCCCACACTGCCTACATATGTAGCTGACAGCGCTGTATTATGGTCAGATTCAGATCGTCGTACTTACCTGGGTAAATTCTTTTACCTAAGTACCTACAAAGGTATAGATCCTCGAGCATCAGATTGAAAGCAGCATATACACAAGTAATTTTCATTTAGTGCCTCGGGATCTAGATCAAAAAGATGTTTAGCGTCCCACGATCGAGTAATTGTAAACCAGAACTTGATTCAGATATTGATTTGAATTATAATGATAACGACTTTATCGGAATTAAATTCTCTGTGCCAAAGTTAGAAAAACAGTTAGGGTGTGCTCGCCTTTGTAGTCTATATGCTGTAGATTTCCCTACCACTGCGCAACGCAGACTTATTATACATAATTTTTTGAATTATTTCACTTATATACCGGCTAAATGATGATAATTAACGGTCCACGGTTGGACAGATTATATCCTATACATGAACTGATTGCACTGACCTTGTGGTTTAATTTCAGCTTATAAACTAAAGAATTGATATGAACTGGATCAAATACTTTTTCCATGACGGTACACATGATAGAGACATCCTGTAAGACATACACAGGCATCTAAGAGCATAAACCCCAAACCGGTCCGAAAACGCCTCGGAAGTAAAAACAACATGCAAGTATATCAACACTGATCTATTCCTTCCGAGCACGCTTATGACTCTCCTCCTCTTCACTGTCCTCCATAATTTCATCCACATCAACCATTTCAAAGTCTTCCTCATCCTCGTCGTCATCAGACTCAATGCCAGCCCGCCGCTTCAATCCCTTCATCTTACGGGTCTGGAGCTCATTCAGATCCTGCTTGCCCAAGTGCACACGACCGATCTTGTCACCCATAGTGTCCACACTGATGTTCTTTTTGGTCTTCATGTCCACATTTGGTCGCTTGCCTTGCTTCATAGCCTGCTTCATGGCATCACCAGATGCGGGGCGCATACGGCCAACCTTAAAGTCGAATTTGGGACCAATCTCCTCAAGCTCGACACGGGGGAGTTTGTGACCACTGCGCTTGGTGATAACCTTGTACCAGCGCAGGTGCACGACCGGTGACAAATCCTCGCGGGGCTCCTCAGCTCCAACTAGGAGAACGTACTGCAGGCCTTCGACATCGATGCGGTCTGTCTCCTCACCCTTGAACATATCCAGGAAGAAGCTCTTAAGCATAACGTGCGATGTGGAGGTTGGGTCATCCCATGGGCTACCAGCGAACAGCATCATGGGCCGCAGGCCTGAACCAACGTGCATGACAAGTTCGTTGATGGGAGGGATAGCCTCGCCGTCGGCTGGGGGCAGCAGGAGCAGCTCGCACATATCCAGGAGTTGTGAGTTGAAAATCCGGGCCAGACTCAAGCAGTTGGGGCGTTTTTTGTTGCTGCTTCCGAATACGACTAGTCCGCACTCGTTTTTGTTAGCCAAGAACTCGAGGCTCTCGACGTTCTCGAAGGGGTGAATCTTTTCATTTTTCTTGTGGAACAGGATTGAGTTGGGCTTGGTCAGAGAGTGGAAAGTCTTCAACACGGTATCGAGGGACTGAGGGCATTTTGCGCCGTGCATCAATAGTGTCTTCTTCGGGGCCTCGATGAGTTGCGGCTCTCGCGCCTTGAGGATTCGCGCAGTGCGGGGGTTCTTGGCTTTGCTAGATAGAGATTGTTATTAATATTGTTTTTGTCTTGTGAGAATTCGTACGTACACTTCGCGCAGCATTGTGAATGTAGATTGGGGTTATCTTATTGAAGAAATCTGGAGTAAAAAACGCAGAAGATAAAAAAAAAATGGGCGAGGGCTTGGCACGCTTATCGATAAGCGCAAACTCATTACTGTACAGAGCAGTGTACAGAGCAGCCTTCATGTAATTTATAATTTATTGCTATGTCATTATTACTGAAATTATTGAAATTGAAATAGATGTCTTACTATTAAGTCTAGAAAAGACAAGAAAAATCGAATAAGAAAGGAAATATTTATTCTTATCTCTTGGGTAAATCTTGGTAGTACATCTGCCTTCATTTACTCCAGGCGCAGCTTCTCGAACTCCTTAATCTGCTCTTCCAAACGAGCAGCCTCACTCTCTGAATCACGGAGACGCTTTTCCTCTTGTTCGCGAACCTCGGCCTTGACCTTGTCTTTCCAGTTAGGAGCGTTCATAATGCCCTGGGACTTGCGAACGCTCTCGCGGGCTCGCTCAAGGCTGTCCTTGGCCTTCTGCTCTTGCTCGAGAGCAACCTCCTTAGACACGCGTAGGTACACAGCAGCCTCGGCACCGACGGCAGCAACAACGCAGCCGGAAGGAGGAGTCTTGTTGTCCGAGCCGGTGTGGGACAGATCCCCTAGTGTCTTACCACCTAGAGACTTGACAGTGTTCAGCTGTTCAGAGATGGTAGTGTCACTGGTGGCATTGTAAGTTTGGATGATAATGTCACCCTTGGTCTTGATCTCGTACTGGGCCAAAATCGATCGGATGACCTTGGAAGTGTCGAGGATGAGTTCGTAAGCAGCGGAGGCGACGGGGTCATCAAACTCGGCCTGGTACTCAGGGAACTTGGCCCTCATGATAGAGATTGTCTTGTCCTCGGGGCGGCGGGGAAGACGCTGCCACAACTCCTCGGTGACGAAGGGCATGATAGGGTGGATTAAGGTCAATCCACCCTCCAGAGCAGTGTAAAGAGTCTGCTTGGCGGACTCCTTGGTCTCAGCCGAGGCGTCCTCGGCCAAGAGGTACTTGGAGTTTTCGATGAACACATCACACAGCTGGCCGTACCAGTACTGGTAGATAGTGTTGGCTGCGCTAGAGAACTCACGGGCCTCAAGATCCTCGTTTACCTTCTTAGCAGCAGAGTTGAAGTTGTGGAGAATCCAGCGTTCTGATAAAGACTCGTGACCAGTCTTTGTGACAGTGGCCTGAGGTTTGAAATCTTCGCCCAGTTTGCCAAGAACGAACTTGGTGGCCTGGTAAATCTTGTTGCAGAAGCGACGGTATCCGTAGATAACCTGGACATCGAAGGCGATATCGCCACCTAATCGGCTTAGCATATGAGAATGAAGATATTTTAGAACTGTTACTTACCACCAGTGGTGTATGAAACAAGAGCGAAACGCAGGGCATCAGTTCCACACTCGGGGATGCCTTTGGGGAAAGCCTTCTTCTGATACTTGGTAGCAGTAAGAATCTCCTTGTCGGCAATGTTACCAGTCAAGAGCTTGTCGTGCAGGGTCTGCAGCTGGATACCTTCCATAACATCCAGAGGGTCGATGACGTTGCCCAGGGACTTGGACATCTTGCGGCCCTCGGAGTCACGAATCAAAGAGTGACAATAAACCTCCTTGAAGGGAACTTTTCCGGTCAACTTGATTCCAAGCATAATCATACGTGCAACCCAGAAGAACAGAATATCCCAACCAGTTTCCAGAACAGAGGTAGGGTACAGGTTGTCAAAGTCGTGGGTCTGCTTAGGCCAGCCCAGGGTTGAGAAGGGCCACAGACCAGAAGAGAACCAGGTGTCAAGCACGTCGGGGTCGCGCACAAGAGAGAACTTCTTGCCTGGGAACTTGGCCTCAGCCTTCTTGTGAGCATCCTCCTCAGTACGGCCGGTAACCCAAAGGTTGCCGTCACTGTCATCACCATGCTCGCCTTCGATCTTAACAAAGTAGGCGGGGGCCTGGTGACCCCACCAGAGCTGACGAGACAGACACCAATCGTTCAAGTTGTTCATCCAGCGGAAGTAGCTCTTCTCGGCACTCTCGGGACGGATGATGATCTCGCCATCCTCCACAGCCTTGATAGCAGGACCCATAAGGCTCTCCATCTTCATCCACCACTGTGGCTTCAGGATGGGCTCAATCACATCGTTCGACTTGGCGCAACGGGGCACCTTCATGGGGTTGTGTTCCCACTTAGAGTAAAGACCCTTCTCCTTCAAGGCGTTAATGACGTGGTAACGGGCATCGAAACGCTTCATGCCGGCGAAAGGTCCACCGTTCTGGTTGAAGGTACCATCGTCGTTCATGACGGAGATGAACTCGAGGTTGTGCTGCTTGCCACGGTTGAAATCGTTGAAGTCGTGGGCTGGGGTAATCTTCACAGCACCGGTACCAAACTCCGGTTCAACGCTGTCATCAGCAACAATCGGAAGCAGACGGTCCACAAAAGGATGGCGCGCATTTTTGCCAATGAGATGCTTATAGCGGTCATCATTAGGGTGCACGGCAATACCACTATCACCGACCATGGTCTCCGGACGAGTGGTGGCAATCTCAATGCGCTCAGTGGATCCATCAATTTCGTAGAAGAAGTGAGTCAGGACACCAAACTCGATCTTCTTGTCGTAACCAGGCACATCCAGAAGCGTACGGCCCTCAATCTCCTTGTTCTCCACCTCGAGGTTGGACAACGAAGTGTTAAGAGCAACACACCAGTTGACCAGACGGTTTGCACGGTAGATGATTCCCTCCTCATGCAGACGAACGAAGGTCTCAGTCACGGCAGCGGACAAATTAGGGTCCAGGGTGAACGCCTCACGCGACCAATCGAACGAGCCACCGAGTCTCCGCAATGCGTTCTTAATGTTGGTGTGGTATTCTTCCTTCCAGTCCCAAATCAAGTTAGTCATGGCCTCACGTCCTAAGTCGTGACGGGTCTTCTTTTCTTTCTTCCACAGCATCTTCTCGACAACGCTCTGGGTAGAGATACCGGCATGGTCCATTCCGGGAAGCCAAAGGGTTGTCTTGCCCTTCATGCGCTGCCAGCGGATCATGGTATCTTGCAAGGCGTTGGTCAAGGCGTGACCCATGTGGAGGGAACCGGTAACGTTAGGTGGGGGAATGGGAATAACGAAGGAGCCCTCGGGCTTGACCTTGCCGTCAGGACCCCATTCTGGCTTGAACAGATCACGCTCTTCCCACCATTCGAGACGACCAGGCTCAATAACCTTGGGGTCGTACGCATCGGCGGTCTTTTCCTTCTCAACCTTGTTCACCTTCTTTTCGGCTTTGGGAGCAGCAGCGGGCTTGGCGGCTTTAGCCGCCTGCTTCTCAGCAAACTTCTTTGCCTTCTCAGCCTTCTTGCGCTCGCGCTCCACTAGAGAACCACCGAAGTGTCAGCAATCGACCTGAACCACCAATGGACTGTTACAGCTTTCCAGGCAACAAGAGGTTGAATAAAGGTTTTTCGGGTTTGACGTACGCTCTTTCTCGGTCTTCACTTTTGGCACAGAAGCATCCTGTCCAGCCTGGGGTGGGGTTTGGGTTGAGGGGGTGGTAGATTCCCCAACTGTTGAAGTATATGAGCTGCGAGTTCCATGAGTCATTGAATCACTGAGGGCAAAACATACTGGGGATTTGGGCGGCAGAGTTTTGAGCCATCCTAGAGAATGATCGATATATCGGAGTAAGTCTCCAAGGCGACGATCGCGCCACGAGTCGCCTAGTAAGTATCTTGAGGGATGGGGATGCGACAAGGAGGGGTGGTTGTGCGAAATGCGGGCAATTTAAATTTCCACGCAAAGAGACAACGAATGAGAGGGCGGGGCCCAACTAAGGACGAGGTGGAGACGGACCAGTAGACGCTTTATAGTATGAATTTGGTGGGGAAAGGATCATAACTCAACACTGATCTATCTAAATAATTCAAGGGAGAATGAATTGTCTTCTTTGGGCTGACATTGTTTTGTTCAATGTTTATTCAAGAAAATGTCACGGTCTCACGTGATGCTGTGCCCTTGAGATCTGATATCGCGATAAGGATATCAGAATTGACTACGAAGCTAATACAGATAGCTACGCATTAACAAGTGATTGATAAATTGGAAATGGATTGTCCATTCAAACCCCCTCATAAACTCGGTCGACCACATGAGTACCTCCCTGACTCCATCACTCCTTGAAATGTGCATGTTAAAACGAAAAAAAGTAGCAAATAGTTCAATCAAGGGTAAGAAAAGATATTGAAGAAACAAGACTGGAATGGGCAATCGAAATCAGAAATAAAGAAAACACCAGACCGGAGAGGGGGAAACAAAAGACAATCGTGAAGACAAGGGAAATCAGCGCTGTACAATTAGGCAGAGGCAGTACGAGAGAGAGAGAGAGGAAGAGAAATGTACTCGTCGTTCTAAGACGTCAACTGATTTATTGCGCTCACTCACACGCCCGTAAACTGAGGCATTTCAGTTAGGCCAAGCAGACCCAAGAATATTAGATGTCATATCTTGTCATCAACGTCGTCTCTGATTCGGGAATCAGTCACTCCATCGCATCCACGCTGTGCTCAAAGGCTGCGTCAATCATTCAATTTCCATCTTGCGATCGTGCACAGTTCATAACACGATAATACTAACCATGTGATATCCCCGGAAGTCTGACGAGGGAGAGCAGAGATGGGAAGAAGATAAGGGAAATGCAATTAAGAGATAAAAAGCGACCATCATCAATCCCGGGGAATGAGAAAATTTAGGCAGATTTGATTTGTGCAGCAGCAGCGGCAGCTCGAACAGGCTCGAAATACGGATGGGCCATGGCTTCCTGGGCAGTCAGGCGTTCCTATAACAGCGAATTAGTAACAGTTGGGACAAATTATTATTAGAGTCTTACCGCATGATCATAGCGGAGAAGCTTATCGAGGAAGTCAATGGCTTCGTCACTGATAAATCGCTGGTTCTCAACGTTCACAAACGAGTGCCACGGCTTGCGAGGGAAGCGGGAAAGGATCTCATCGTACTGAGGGTCCAGCTCGATGTCATACTTATCCAAGTACTCGAAGAGCTCCTCGGTTCCGAGAACCTTGGCAATCTTGACCAGTTGGTCAGAGTTGCTGTTGCCATGGAAGAATGGTTCCTTGCGGAAAATCATGGATGCGAACATCGCGCCCAGAGACCACATGTCCAGGGAATAATCGTATTCCTGGAAATCGACGAGCAACTCGGGTCCCTTGAAGTATCGAGAGGCAACACGGACGTTGTACTCGGTGCCCTTGTGGTAGAACTCAGCGAGACCCCAGTCAATCAACCGCAACTAGGGAGGTATTAGAATATATAGTTAACGACGTGGTATGCAGTAGCGAGTTGACGAACCTTGCGCTTCTCATGATCAATCATAACGTTGTGGGGCTTGACATCGCGATGCATGATACCCTTGCTGTGGCAGAAGTCCAATGCCTTTAGCAACTCGAAAACATAATAGCGCACATCGTAATCGGTGAAGCGGGGATAAAGTGTGCGGAAATCAGTGTTGTTGACGGCTTCGAAAATCAAACTAGGAGTTTTGCTTTGATTGTCGCGAACGACATCCAGCAAGGCCACAACATTCGGCCCACCAGCGAGGTTTTGGAGAATCTTGATTTCACGCTTAATCTTCTTCTTCTTAACAGGTTTGAGGACCTTAATAACGCATTTCTGATAGTTGACGACGTTGATACCTTCGAACACCTCAGAATATTTTCCACGACCTGAATTGAAGAATGTTAGCATATGTTCGCTGTAGCGATCTCCTATTCTAAACTGGATGAAAGATCGCCATCACTCTCCAATAATCGAACGGCAAAGTGGTAATACCTATTTTGCGGACGATTTCATAATTCTCTAAAACACCCCAGGCGATGTTAACACTGTCGTAGTCCCAGTAGGACCGAGGCATGTGCTGGTTGACATCAGCGTAGACGCGCGCCATATTGATCGAATATGGCTTTCGAGTCCGCCCACACTGGAAAAAAGTACGGTGGGGTCAAGCGGGGGTTAACCGACTGGCAGAATGGAGGGAAAGGAAGGAAGGAATAGAGAATTTGACAATAGAAAGATATTCAGGACCAGGAAATGACCTGAACGAAAGCAGCCGTTCGATCGATCGTCCTGAAGCAATGGTGAACATGGAGGGGAAGGGGAGATTATGATGAGAGCGAGATCAGTTCCGCCCCATCACGTGATGTATCTTTGTGGAGAGCAGTGCCAATGCAGTTAGCCCACTCGGACCAATATATAATCCGTTAGATTTTTAGAGTTGCCTGATTTGGATAGGTTTCGTGACTTTTGTTCGCTCGAGCTTAACTTGGATTTAGAGAGCTGGTCAAGCTTCTTAAAAGGGCAAGCGCCAAGATGTTTTTTGACTTAAACGTTCCTTATAACCCCGATGACGCTGATGTACCCCACACATTGAATTTCCTGGCCGAACGTAAGTCATTTTCTGCCGACACGATTCACGCCGGGCTGATCTTCGGGACCACATGAGGTACTGACCTGACTGCTCCAGTTGGTTACACCACCATTGCTCTATCACAAACCGTTACGGGAAAGCTTCCTCCAACCATTACGCCACCCCCTTTGCCATCAAATCCACATAAATCCCTCACCATTCTCACCCGATTGAACCTGACTTTGTCCGACCCAGCGCAAAATCAACGCCTTAATAGTCTAGCTCAAGCTTACGATCTGGTTGCTCTTCGTCCAACTAACGAAAAGGCCCTTCTAAATGCCTGTACGAATCTGGAATGCGACGTGATCTCATTAGATCTCTCCGTGCGACAGCCATATCATTTCAAATTCAAAATGCTGTCGGCTGCGGTGTCACGTGGAGTTCGTCTGGAGATCTGCTATGGCTCCGGAGTCACGGGAAGCGGGTTGGATGCCCGTAGGAATTTGATTGGGAATGCTATGTCTTTGATCCGAGCCACACGCGGTCGTGGTATCATCGTATCAAGTGAGGCGCGAAGGGCGCTGGGTCTCCGCGCTCCATGGGATGTGATCAATTTGACTTGCGTCTGGGGATTGTCACAAGAACGCGGCAAGGAGGCCATTTGTGAAGAGGCACGAAAGGTCACAGCATTGGCTAAGCTCAGGCGAACTAGTTGGCGTGGAATCGTCGATATTGTCCACGGAGGAGAGAAGACCAAATCTGTTACATTGCCACCGAAACAAAAGTTAGCAGAGAAATCTACAACATCGACCGAGCAAGGGAATGCTTCTGATAACCTGAAAAGAAAAGCGTCCGTCACCTCTGAGGCCGTCCTTGAAGATTTTGAAAAACCTCTTTCAAAGAGGGAGATGAAGCGGCGAGCGAAAAAGGCACGACTAGGGCCACAAGGGGATAATGCAAGCTGAAAACATTTCACTGTATTCAAAATTCAGCTACTCCCAACTACTTGTATTAGGTCTGGTCCACCTTGCTCTATGATACAAGAGGCTATTGTCCTTCATGGTTATTATTTCACAATGCCCACGCACCCATGAGAAAATTTCTGAGTTTCCTCGCTTGAAATTCATGATCACTCCCTCGATTCCTTCGATCTCCTCGTCTGTTGACTTCTGACAATGAGAGCATTATGGTCGGGTCCAATCTCAGCTGCCAGCTGGTGTGGCTGGGTGCTATAAGCCAAAGACTGTAGCTGCATTCAAATGGTCATAGTCCTGCGACTTACCGCTGCTAATGAATTCAAGCCAAGTTTTGAGTCTGCTTACTGCCGTGAAGACTTGTTCTTGGGGCTCTCTGCACCGAGTTATGGCCCAACGTAGTTGTACCCATACTATATACTCTCTCTAGATACTCTTCAATTCAAAGAAAATGAAAAAAAAAAAAAATTCCAAAGTGAACAAAAAATCGAAACGACTGAGTGGTAAAAGTCATGAAAGCAACGCCCGAATCAAAAGTTTCTAAGCTCTTGATATGTATGGTTGCGTCGCCCAAAACCCTAGCAATATTTGGGCAGCCTGAAGCAATAGCGTCGATGCATACCAACGAAAAAGACTCGTAAATAAATCTAGGGCTGTAATGATCATGGGCTGGTGGTGGAAGGGCATCCGGAGTTCTTTTGGTTGCTGAAGTTCCAAAACGAATGGCACTATAAGAGTAATTGCTGTAAGGGTGGAGAAGTTGCGTGGCTCGAAGAAACTATACCAATCATCAAAGCGATTTCGTCAAGGTCAACCTATCTTCCGATATTTCTGCTGTCTTAAATCCAATAATCAGTGCCTGGGGAGATGGAGGAGCTCTCATGAGGTAGGTAGCACTTTGAAGAAGGTATGGATTACTTACCCACGATGGAGAAGGGAGAATAAAGATTGTATGGGTCAAAAGGACCTGCTGATTTTCGTCAAGCTGAGTCAGAATTTGGACGATTCACTCTATCTCAAAGACATGAGCGCAACCAGCTCTTCGTATCCGCTGTCAGGGTCATTGGCATACTTTAGAGATGCTCTCGGACCCAGGATTGCTTAAAGAAGGCAATTGCTTCGTGATATTAAACACAGTCTGTAATAGTGAGAAAGGTTACCAAGTGTGGTACTTGGCGCGTCTGTCCATGAATGATACTCAATATGGTAATTATTGCCCTTGGACAGAATTCGTGGAAAGTGAGTCGGAGTGTGTCTTTTTCGGCAAGGACACGTCCTTCTGGCCAGTTTAGAGACAACATAGCCCCGAAGTAAGGTGAGAAAAGTGTGAGATTTTTGGGAGTATAAATCGTGCAGTATGATCAGACTGGCCTTCTCAGCAAGGAATGCAGGCCAGCAGATCTTTGCATAGTACGTCAAGTGTGACATCCCCATTCGGAGTAATGACCTTGGGCGACTGACTAGCTCTATTGCATAGGGTGCTTGAACACAATCCCTATTAGTTACGGAAGAGAGCTTCTGGGTTTTACCGGTTGATCAAAAACGACTCTGAAATCACAGAGCCGCAGATAAACTTGGAAGAGAGGTGAATTAGGTGGGAAAAATATGTTCCTAGGTGGTGAGGAGTGATGCGAAGTAGACGAATATCCACCTAAATGCACGTTGTGGAACGCATTGTTGTCAACGCTGCCTCCGGGTCTGGATAAGAAATGGTCACCTGCAGTGTTAAGCAGCCCTTGTTTGTTTGATATTGTGAAGTGCCCTCAAAGTCAAAGGAGTTCGAAGTGAAATGCACAAAATCCTACCGGTCTAGGTTGGCGTATTCGCAAGAGGGTGATATTGCTTATTAATTCAAATATGATAGAACCTAGGTATATAGTTCATCTTCTATTCAGTTTCCACTCACTTCAGTAACCTTGGAAAGGACAAAAGCCAATTGATACCCAGAACGAGGGAACCTTCCAAGATTGGAAGATGTTTGACTACGCAAAGTAGAAACCTTGGAAGAAGTCCCATTCGGGTCAGCGAGAAATACTGAAAAATTTAACTGATGTTTAAGAGATATTTGATTTACAGAATTATCATATGGGAGACTATCATTGGAAGCGTCCTCAAGGAAAGTAATAGAAACTTGACAGGAGAAATATAGGGCTTACGAGCACGAGAAAGCTAGAATTAAAGCGACCCTGCTCGCATTTCCTGGCGGACGCGCATTGCCAGCTCCAGGGTCTCATGAGGCAAACCGGCCAATTGAGCAACCTTCAAGGCGTGAGACTCTCGATTAACACCCTTCTGCAGACGATGAACAAAAGAAAATGACCCAGAACTTGTCTCCTTTACATCGGTGCAGTATCTCTCTAGCTGCTCAAACTTTCTCGTCAAATCTGCAAGCGCGTGGAAATGAGTAGCGAAAAGTGTACGGCACTGGTTTTGATAGTGCAAATGGTGCAGACAGGCAAAGCTCACTGCTGTACCGTCCTCAGGAGTCGTACCCCGGCCAATTTCATCCATGATCACGAAGGATCGCGGAGTAGCCTGCTTCAGAATAGCAGCAGCCTCGAGCATTTCCACCATGAAAGTCGACTGGTCCCGAAAAAGATCGTCGGCTGCACCAATACGACTGAAGATCTGATCCACTATGCCAATCTCCGCATATGCCGCCGGTACGTACGAGCCAACCTGCGCGAGAATGGTAATCAAGGCATTCTGTCGTAGGAAAGTACTTTTACCCGCCATATTTGGCCCAGTAATGAGCCAGATACGCTCTTTTCCTCCCAGGAAACAGTCGTTGCTCACGAATGATCGGCCTTGCTCTTCAAGTCCCAATTTGACAGTTGGGTGTCTTCCTGCCACAATCTTGTGTGTTGTTCCTTCGTTGAGAATAGGTCGAATCAGTTGCTGTTCTTGAGCTAAGGTGGCAAATGAACAAGCTACATCCAACTCGTCCATAACAGCCGCATTACGACGAATCTTGACTAGGTTCAGGATAGTCTCTCGGCGAAGACTTTGGAATATCACTTGCTCTTCTTGTCGAATCTGAACCTTTAAATGTTCCATTCGGTGTCCTAGGTCAGTCCAGCTGGGTAGGTAGAAAGATCGAGTTGATTTGGTTGACGATACAGTTCGAGTAACACCTAGCTCCTCAAGGGATTGTTGAGTGATCTTGGCACCCTTGACATGGCAAATATAGCCTAGACCAGGAGTCCATTTGAGATTCAAGGCCGTGGATCCGACGTAATCACGTAGTTGTTGAGTCAAAGAAGACTTTTCGTTGCACAATCGCTCCAGTTCAGCGTGGAGAGAGTTTAACATATTGCTTGCATTGCGCCTCATGATCCAGGTATCGGTGGGTCCAAGATCAGTTTCCTGTGCAACTGTCTTGTTACCGCTTTTCATCCGTACTTTCTTAGGCAAAGACTCCACTTCACTTAGTGTCCCTTCGCTCATGGTGACTTGTTGAGCTAGGCTGGCTGCTTCAGCCGCTGTACTATCTTCAATACGTTGTTGTTGAAGGAGTCCTTCTTCATCAATGGCAGCCATGATTTGATCGGCTAGATAACAGGGCCCCTCGAGATGGAGTCTAGAAATCATGGAATCAAGGCTCTGCTTCACATCCGATGATATAGAAGATTCGAAATCCCGTTCATGGTCAGACAAAACCTGCTTGGCTCCCTTTGAGGCCTCTATCGACCGGGAAAGACAAATCAAATCATCTGGATCTCCTTTGCCCATTGCAAATTTCTGAACCAGACGCTGAGAGTCATAGCTGCGCTTCAAAAGTTGAATTATGCTATCACGGAGGTCTTGATTTTTCATGAATACCGAAACAAGATTTAATCTTTCATTGATTACTGGCAGTGATGTAGATGGTGAAGCTAGAAAAAAATTAGCCTTGGAAAAAAGAAAATGAATGTATTTATCTAATATGGGGGACGTACTGAGGCGATCTCGCAGGAGACGTGCGCCACTTTTGGTGCAAGTCCTTCGGACAGCATGAAGCAAGCTCCCCTTCCCAAATCCATCTCGAGAAGTTTCAAGAATTTCCAGTCCCCTCATGCTACTACGATCAATACTCATTGACTCATCCAAGTGCCATCGGCGTGGTGGCTGGAGCTTGAGATTAGATCCTTGGAGCTGTACTCGAGTATACTCGAGAAGGCTGTAGCCAGCAGCTACTTCTTCAGGGGTAAATATTGCCTGAGACTCTTCAGGAATCGGTGTTTCAAACATCGAACCCCACTGTGACATGGGCACAGATGTCTCTGGGTACTGGAAGAAGGTAACAAGTCGATGTTCATGCCCAACAAGCAACTGCAACTCTTGCCCAATTAGATCACGAACATTCTGATCTACCAGAATCTCACGAGCTCCAATTCTAGAAATGGCTGATGGTAGCATTTGCGCCGTCGTGAGCTGGGTATAGAAATCGCCAGTCGACAAATCTAGCCATGATAATCCTACACGTTGAGGCATAAACGATAGTATGTGTTGAGAAGCTTGAGCGTCACTATCACCCCTCGAATTCACCTGGAAACTAGAAGCATCCATGTAAATAGCAAGCAAGTAATTGTTCTCGGAAGCGTCAATGAACTTCTCATCGATCAATGTGCCAGGCGTGACAATTCTGGCCACTTTCCGATCGAACATAAGACCCGCAGAGAGAGGCTTGTCTTCTACTACGGGAGCAAACTCTTCGCTGATAGCCACATACTTGTTAAGATCTTGAACAAGAATTTTAAGAAAACGATCGAGTTGGGAGAAAGGAAAGCCAGCCATCGAGACGGGCCCAGCACTGGTCTTCTTAGTCGCAAGCTTCAATCCGAGTAATGCGGCAAATTCTTCAGCTTGTTCGAAGTAAAGCTAGTTCAATGTGTTAGCCAGGATCTATCCTTGAGTTACGATACAAATTGAACCTCGTAGAAGCTCCCAACTCTGGTTAGAACCACACAGTTCTTGAATTTTTGCATATTGTTCCGATGGCCATGAACGACAGTTGGATAGTGAGGGGCATCATCGACTCCATCATTGTACAGTTCTAGCTTCAATGGACCTTGTGGAAGGTCTTTCAACTTCACTGTTGCCTTTGTTTTTGCATGTCTCCGTGACTCGATTGGTAGTCTCATGGAGAAGAGTGAATGTGATTGGGTGGCACGTGCATGGTGACAGATGGTTCGGTGAATTTGGCATCGGTAAGATTGAATAAGAGAAGAGGCTTGTGTTATAGACGGTCCATGAAAGTGCATTTCTGCTGGCCATACAAACCTGGATTGATTGCACGATAGGTGAAGCTTTTCATGCTATGATATCTTATCGTTCGATATCTACCCGCAGTCACGTGGTAGCTCCCCACTTGAATTCAATTCTTTACACCTTCGGCTTCCTAATCCCTACACCTGCCTACCTCCTCCGTCTTTTTCCCCCCATCAAGTTTCATCACCTGTGGCTGCCAATTGAGCCAGGTGCATGCAAGTACTCGATTTTTCTCCTTTAAGCTTTGATACCCTAATTTGCGCATTGAGCGCATACTGCTTTGAACTCGACGGCGCTTCCAGCCTTCACGTCGCGCGCACGCGCTCATCTTTTTTCCCCTACGCCATTAATACCCCACCTGGGCACCACCCAACATGGCGGAAACAAACATGTCCCAATACAAGTACGAGGCGATGTCTAACTTGGTCACCCAGGCGGATCGTCGGTTCATCGCCCGCAACGATGATGATGCTACCGGTGACCCTGAGTCAATTGCAGGACGTATCGGAGTTCGAGACATGGGAACTCGCGTAACACGCGATACCACAAAAAAATCTAAGAAGACTGTCGTCGGCTCCACTGATCTTCAGCGAGGTGCAATTCGAGACGGCGCGGATGTGCTCTTCCGTGAGCAACAAAAGCACGCACATCAACGAGGCCACGGACTCCTTTCGGGCCCAGATGCTCTGGTTGAAGGTCTGAGATACCGCCCACGAACTGCTGTGACGCGAGCCACATTCGACCTTATTCTTACAATCACCGGATCCCAACTTGGAGATGTCCCCCACGAAGTCACTCAAAGTGCCGCCGATGCAATCTTGGAGTTTTTGAAGGACGACGACATGAAGGACTTCGATAAAAAGAAGGAGATTGATGATCTTTTGGGTGGCAATATGAGCTCTGAAGAGTTCAATGAGCTTGTGAATCTAGGAAAGAAAATTACGGACTACTATGCTCAAGATGACGATGACGACGAGATGGAAGATCGTCTGGATGATGCCATTAACGAGGATGATCGACAAGGAGTTGCTGTAGTTTTCGACGACGACGATGACGACGATGATAACTTCGCCAACTTCGCCGAAGACGATCTTAGCGATGGGGAACAATCGGTTGGATCTGACATCGAAAAGACTGGCTTTCAAAAGGATAACAACGAAGGCGATGACATGATTTATCATGGCAGCATCGAACAGGATCACAAGGCCAGAGACAAAGACGGCTTGAAAGTCCATGCCCGCGAGATCGATGCGTATTGGCTACAACGTCAAATCGGCACACTCTACCCTGACCCCGTAACTCAGCAAGAGAAAACCAAGGTAGCCCTTGATATCCTTAGTGCCAGGGCAGAAGATGGTTCTGAGCGTCCTGTTCGTGATACCGAGAACGATCTGATGGATCTTTTCGACTACGAACATGCTGAAGCTGTAGCCAAATTTGTCACCAACAAAGATAAAGTCGTTTGGGCTACTCGCTGGAGACGAGCCGCTGAAGACGTCGATGCGCGCAATCTCGTGGAAAAAGAGATGCTTGAGGCTGGGCACCGTGCCATCTTGGATGAGCTGCTTCAGGGAGAGGGTTCAGTCAAGCGCCCGCTCCCAGAGAAGAAGATGAAGCTAGATCTGATGGATATTGATGTTCCTACGGAGCCGGAGAAGAAGAAGCCCCAAGGCGAAAATGGCTTGGTGGGTGGCTTGCAGCCCAAGAAAACCATCAATCTTGAAAACCTCATTTTCCATCAAGGCAGCCATTTGATGACGAATCCAAACGTCAAGCTTCCACAGGGCTCGACCAAGCTCACTCTTCCGGGCTACGAGGAGATTTCCGTGCCACCGCCCAAGGCCAAGATCCTGCCTGGAGAGAAGAACCTCCCGACCACCGAATTGCCAGAGTGGGCTCGTACTGGCTTCGGAAGCTCGAAGGAGCTGAACCGGATTCAAACTAAGTGTTTTCCTTCTGCTTTTCATGATGATGGAAACCTGCTTGTTTGCGCTCCTACAGGTTCCGGTAAGACTAACGTGGCTATGCTGGCAATTCTCCGAGAAATTGGAAAGCACCGCAATCCACAGACTGGTGAGATCATGCTGGATGACTTCAAAATCGTCTTCATTTCTCCCCTGAAGGCCCTGGTCCAAGAGCAAGTTGGAAACCTCGGCAAGCGTCTCGAGCCATACGGCATTACAGTGGCCGAACTTACTGGTGATAGCCAACTCACCAAGCGGCAAATCACCGATACTCAGATCATTGTCACCACCCCTGAGAAGTATGACGTGGTTAGCAGAAAGGGTGCCGAATCTAGCTACATCAACCTAGTTCGTCTTATTGTTATTGATGAGATTCATCTCCTTCACGATGACCGTGGGCCTGTTCTCGAAAATATTGTCAGTCGAACAATTCGTCGGGTTGAACAGACTGGAGACCCAGTTCGAATTGTTGGTCTCAGTGCAACACTTCCCAACTATCGTGACGTAGGAAGCTTCCTCCGCGCAGACCCTGAAAAGGGAGTTTTCTATTTCGATGGCTCCTACCGACCTTGCCCACTGAAGCAAGAGTTCATTGGAATCACTGATAAAAAAGCCATCAAACAGCTCAAGGCTATGAACGATATCTGTCACAAAAAGATTATGGATCAAGTCGGCAAACGCCGCAACCAAGTTATTGTCTTCGTCCACTCGAGGAAGGACACTGGGAAGACTGCTAAGTACATCCGGGACAAGGCGGTTGAGGAGGAGACTATTGGTCAGATTATGCGCAGTGATGCTGCTAGTGGTGCTATCTTGTCTCAAGCGGCCGAATCAATCAATGATGCTTCGCTGAGGGATATCTTGCCATACGGTTTTGGCATTCACCATGCTGGTCTAAGTGTATCGGACCGTAACACCGTGCAAGATCTCTTTGCCGATGGCAGCCTCCAGGTTCTCGTGTGTACCGCAACCCTCGCCTGGGGTGTCAACCTTCCAGCACACACTGTGATCATTAAAGGAACCCAGGTTTATTCTCCTGAGAAGGGAAGCTGGGTGGAACTGAGTCCCCAGGACGTCCTTCAGATGCTCGGACGTGCTGGTCGACCCCAGTATGATACTTTTGGTGAAGGTATTATTATCACATCTCAATCTGAGATGCAATATTATCTATCCTTGTTGAATCAGCAACTGCCAATCGAATCACAGCTTGTGGGCAAACTTGCAGACAGTCTCAATGCCGAAATTGTTCTCGGGAACGTTCGAAACCGCGATGAAGGTGTAGAGTGGCTTGGCTACACCTACCTCTTTATTCGAATGCTTCGTTCACCCGGCCTATACAGTGTTGGTGCGGACTACGAAGATGATGATGCTTTGGAGCAAAAGAGAGTTGATCTTATCCACTCAGCGGCTATAGCTCTGGAAAAAACTGGACTTGTTAAGTACGATAAGAATACTGGAACACTGCAGGCGACCGAGCTCGGAAGAATTTCTTCGCATTACTACATTGGCCACAGCTCAATGCTTACATATGCTCAACATTTGCAACCCGGTATCACAAGTATCGAATTGTTCCGTGTCTTTGCCCTCAGTGACGAATTTAAGTACATTCCAGTCCGTCAAGAGGAGAAGCTAGAGCTTGCCAAGCTTCTCGGCCGCGTGCCTATCCCTGTCAAGGAGACAGCCGAGGAACCCCATGCGAAGATCAACGTGTTGCTCCAGGCTTACATCTCTCGACTGAATATGGAAGGATTGGCCCTGATGACTGACATGGTCTTTGTGGCTAACTCTGCTGTACGTCTCCTCCGCGCGATCTTCGAGATCTGTTTGATGAAGGGTTGGTCCGAGGTGGCTTTGTTCGCTCTTGACCTTTGCAAGATGGCCGAGAGACGCCAGTGGCATGTAATGTCGCCACTTCGCCAGTTTCCACAGTGCCCTCGAGAAATCATCCTTAAGGCCGAGCGAATTGACGTGCAATGGTCTAGGTATTTTGATTTAGATCCCCCGCGCATGGGTGAAATGTTCAAACTTCCTAATGCCGGCCGCACTGTATGCGAATTGGTTTCTAAATTCCCTCGCCTGGAGCTTCAAGCCCAAGTTCAGCCAATTACACGCTCTATGGTTCGAATCGAGCTTACCATCACTCCGAACTTTGTTTGGGATGATGCTATTCATGGTCAATCACAAGACTTTTACATTCTCGTCGCGGACTGCGATGGTGAAGAGCTCTTGTACCACGACATTTTCATCCTACGCAAAGAGTTTGCTGAATCTGAGATGAATGATCACCTTGTAGAGTTCACAGTCCCGCTCACCGAGCCTATGCCTCCGCAGTACTTCATCTCTGTGGTGTCTAATCACTGGTTGTGCTCTGAGACAAAGATTGCTCTCATGTTCGACAACCTTCTCCTCCCAGAGCGCTTCCCTCCCCACACTCCCGTGTTGGATATTCAACAAGCACCGGTCAGTGCCCTTAAGCGCCAAGAGTTCCAGGAACTCTACCCGAACTGGGATAAATTCAATAAGATCCAGTCTCAAGTTTACCACAAGATGTTTGAATCGAATGATAATGTCTTTCTTGGTGCACCGACCGGGAGCGGCAAGACTGTCTGTGCCGAGCTGGCTTTGCTTCGTCATTGGTCCACGGAGAATACTGGACGTGCGGTTTACATAGCTCCATTCCAAGAGATTGTTGACCTGCGTCTTGCGGACTGGGAGAAACGGTTTAGCAAGCTCTCCGGTGGAAAGAACATTTCCAAGCTTACAGGTGAGACGACAGCCGACTTGAAGATCCTCGAGCACGCCGATCTTGTCCTCGCCACTCCCAGTCAGTGGGATGTGCTCTCCCGCCAGTGGAAGAGACGCAAGAACGTTCAAACTGTGCAACTGTTTATCGCCGACGAACTTCACCTGCTAGGTGGACATTATGGATATGTGTACGAGGCAGTCGTGTCTCGTATGCACTATATCGCTCTCCAGACTGAGTCCTCCATGCGCATAATTGGTCTGAGTGTGCCACTCACCAATGCTCGCGATATTGGCGAATGGATCGGTGCAACCAAACATACAATCTACAACTTCAGCCCCCATGCTCGGCCCGTTCCTCTGGAACTCCATCTTCAGTCCTTTTCAAACCCCCATTTCCCTTCGCTGATGCTCGCGATGGCCAAACCGGCATATCATTCGATTTTGAAATACTCGCCTGACAAGCCAGCTTTGGTCTTTGTCCCCAACCGTAAGCAGACTCGTTCTACCGCCATTGATCTGATGACCGCATGTGGAGTAGACGATGACGAAGATCGGTTCCTTCACGCCGATGTCGAAGAATTGGCACCACTTCTTAGCCGTATCCAGGAGCACACACTTTCTACTGCCCTATCACATGGTATTGGCTACTACCACGAGGCTTTGAGTGCCACTGACAAACGCATTGTCTTGCATCTTTTCAACATTGGTGCTATCCAGGTTCTCCTTGCATCGCGGGATGTCTGCTGGGAGTTGGACGTGTACGCGCATCTTGTCATTGTCATGAACACGCAGTACTACGAAGGTCGTGAGCACCGGTACATTGATTACCCAATCAGTGAGCTTCTCCAGATGTTTGGCAAAGCTTCTCGTCCCGGTAAAGAAAAACTAGGTCGCGGTGTTTTGATGGTGCCTACCCACAAGCGCGAGTACTACAAGAAGTTCCTCAATGAGGCATTGCCCGTGGAGAGTCAACTTCAGTCTTACTTGCACGATGCCTTCGTAACAGAGGCCAGTAGCAATACCATCGCTTCGACCCAGGATGCTCTCGACTGGATGACCTACACTTACTTCTACCGTCGCCTTTTGGCAAACCCTAGCTTCTACGGTCTCAGTAGCGTGAGCCATGACGGACTAAGCGCTTTCCTTTCGGATTTGGTTGAACAGACTCTGAAGGAGTTGTCGGAGGCCAAGCTCATCGACTTGGATGAAGATGATGATAGCGTCTCACCTCTTAATGCAGCCATGATTAGCGCATATTACAACGTCTCTTTTATCACCATGCAGACCTTCTTGCTATCGCTCACTGATCGAACAAAGCTCAAGGGTATTCTGGAGATTGTCACATCTGCCACTGAATTTGAATCGATCCAGATGCGCCGTCATGAGGAGAGCACTCTTCGCAATGTGTACGATCGTGTGCCTGTCAAAATGTCACAGCCTGCGTTCGACTCCCCTCACTTCAAGGCGTTCGTTCTTCTGCAGGCACATTTCTCACGCATGCAGCTGCCCATTGATCTGGCCAAGGATCAAGCAGACATCCTTCGCGTGGTCCTGAACCTTCTGAGTGCCTGCGTGGATGTTCTTTCTTCTAATGGCCACCTTAATGCCATGAACGCTATGGAGTTGTCTCAAATGGTGGTTCAAGCCATGTGGGACCATGATAGCCCTCTCAAGCAGATTCCTCATTTCTCACCCAAAGTCATTGAGGTCGCCAACGAGTACAAAATCGATTCGGTATTGGACTTTACTGAGGCTATGGACCCCTCTGAGAACAAGGACTATGCTACTTTCGTCAAGCGTCTTGAACTCAACAACAAACAGCTGGCGCAGGTAGCAGCTTTCACCAACGAGAAATACCCTAATCTTGACCTCGACTTTGAGGTTGAGGATCCCGAAAATGTGACTGCCGGTGAGCCCTCTTATCTCAAGATCAAGATTGAACGGGACTTGGAGGAAGATGAGGAGCCCGACCTGGTCGTCCACGCACCTTTCTATCCCAACTCGAAGATGGAGAACTGGTGGCTTGTCGTTGGTGATGAGATGAGCAATAGCCTTCTAAATATCAAGCGTATTACCATTGGTCGGAAGTTGGAGCTGCGTCTGGAATACATCGTTCCCTCGTCGGGTGAGCACCAACTGACGCTCTTCCTGATGAGTGATAGTTATGCCGGTGTTGATCAAGCTCCTACCTTTACCGTGAATGCGGCCGAGGGTATGGATGAGAGTGAGGACGATGAGTAAATGGATTGAGATCCATATTGCTTTGTAATAATAGTTCAGGGGAGTTTTACGTCGTTTTCTACAATCGGGGACATGTTACCTGTGAAATGAAAGCTCATGATTCATGTTCAATTCTCTTTCCACTTCGTAGCAACTTAGGGTACTTGCAATAATATTGGTTATTTCGACCTCTACAGCCACTTTTACAACCAGTATTAAATAGTACATGCATTACTAGATAACGGAGCTCCAAACAATGTTCCGAGGTTTCGACATTTAGCGGGGAGCTGTTCCAAAAACAGTAAGCTTGTAACTCTTCCAATCTCCCATTTTACTAGTTACCTACTATAAATATGATTTCTTTTCCTGTTCTACCCAATTCATATAAAACCTCAAAGGCTACAGTGCTAATAGTTCTAAGTTAACCTATATGATTATATCTATAAACCAGATGATCACCCGATCTATATTCAACAATCAAAACACGGTGGATACTGGAAAGATCGCGCAAAAAGTATCTATCACTATCTCTATGAGTAAGCAGTGCTGCCAGCTCTTTAACGGCCATACTGGTGTCATTAGTGTTCCTCTATTCTAGCTTGTGATGCAACAAAAAATCCTCCTGGCCTTTATTGCAATCGCTTGTCCATTCCAATGTATTGATCGATTCGTCTGTGTGGTGCATGAGGAACTACCGATGCACCGATTGATTTGTGAAGCAGGAACTTGAAGTTTAGAAAGCTTTATCTGGCGTTAGACCTGCATTGGATCATGAATACTAGAGATATGGGTTTCTATATTGGCCAAATCAATCAAATCAGAAAATTTAGAGGCTGATTAACCATCACAATATTAATTAAAATTCACGATTCAAAGGTATCGTAAGGAGAGATGTGAAGAGAAATCAAGCAGCTAAGTAAAAAATAAGAAGAATAGAAACTCCCAGTCACTCATGTGTTGCTTTTGGTCTAAAACCAAAGGGTTGCGCATGCCTCCTGAGCCGAGATATCATTAGGGCTTGCGTTGACGCACGAAGCATATCCAGCCCCACAGGTGTCCCGGGCCGAACTATTGTAGCAGTAGGTGCTAGTACATGCCTTCTGGGCCACTGCATCCCCAGCATTTGAGCCAATGCTTGCGGCATAGCCCGCCCTACTCTGCAGTGGCGGTGCGACGCAATGCATTTGGCGTAGTTAGCCACGCAAGAAGTAGAAGGGGTGGCTGAAGCAAAAGACGATGTGGCACTACTAGCCATATCCTCACAACATAAGGTGGTAGTATACCAGATGGTCGTTACTGGATTGGCAGTTTTGGTGCCGCAGGTATAGGTCTCTTTGCAATTATCCTAGGCCGTAGCGTCACCTGAGTTCGAAGCGATGCACTGAGCATATGCAGCCTTGCAGACATAGGAAGGAATAGACTTTTTGTACTCCGAAATATCGGGAACTGTGCCATCAAAGCATTCACATTCAAAGTTCAAGGTGGTCTATGGGAATTAGTTATGTGATAGCCAGAGAAGAGAGAAACAACAGACCTAATCACAGCTATTCTGCTTAGTACTGCCATTGCAAACGGAAGCACACATAGTATCTGCTGCCTGTAACTACGAAACTTCGAAAGTCAGCAATTTGTACCTGAATATTTTGTGATCGACATGCCTCGCTGTCTTGCTGTCACTGAATTGACGTTGAATCCTGAGGGTAAAGTGTAACTGCCGAGAACAGAGCCTACAAGAGTAGAGAGGCCTATTACCGAAGAATGCATAATGAATGGCTCTAAGGTTGGTAAAAGAGTGTGGAGTAAACGAGCGTGGAGTAAACGAGTGAGAGATACTTTGTACAGGCAAGAAGAGGGCCGGGACAACATCATTATATTTTTGGCAGATATTGAACAAATACGGCCTTACCCCAAGGACAAGGAGTACTACAGGGTGTCGAACAAGGCATGTCCTCCGACAAGTGAAATTCCGAGCTGCATGCTAACCTCGCAACGCATATTACCAGAGTTTTAAGTAGGGCCCAAAGAACAAGCACTAGAAAATAAGCGCACGTCTGACCACTCTAATTGGGGTCTTGCGAGTTGCGGGCCTTTCAACCGTTGGGGACCGTAGATTCTTGAGGCTCTATGTCCGAGCTGGAAGTCCATTTGTTAGTATTTGATCTCCGGTTTTCCAGCGCGCCAATGAGGGGCTGTTTTTCTTGTTAGCTCCAGGGGTACCAAATTTCTTTGTATTAGCCTCCGTGGCTTGGCATATAATGACGGTGAGGCTGAGTTCTGTTCTGCATCCACTACCAGTGGGGTTGGGCGAGTTGGGATTGATAGGCATTGGGGAGAAATCCTTGAAGCAGGGCTAGCAGCTCCTCCAATATTCCCCTTACTTGATTTGGTGACACGCATTTTGAGACCCTGGCTACTAGTATGCCAATTATAGGTGGAAATTGACATTGAAGCTAGTGGTTAGAGATGAATTGGTTTGATGTGTTTAAATTGGTCTGAAAAAGAAGTAGGCCTTTTAGGGCACCAACTTTCCCAATGCTTCAGTAAGCTACGAATTACGGATATTTTATACTTGATACAGGAAACAGCTAACAAATCACCTCATTTGTTGACAATTCATGCTTACATTGAAAAGGCTTGGATCATAGAGATCGAAAGCCATACCATATTCATTATTGTGCAGGTACTGCTCATATTTGATGCACGAGTACCAAAAGGCAAATATTTAGAGATACAAATCAAGATGCGCAGCCTCAAATGCCTAGTTTACTTATGCCCGAGGACATGGACAGGTCTGGCTGGTCCGCAACTGGAGAAATCCCAACATACTTGTTGATCCAGTTGAAAACAGTCCGGTGCCAGAGAAGAGAATTCTCGGGGCTCAAAACCCAGTGGTTCTCATCTGGGAACGTCAAGAAGGCACTGTCAATACCTCGCATCTGCAGAACGTTGAATGCGGATAGTCCCTCGGCAATTGTGAGGCGGTAGTCCAATTCGTTGTGAATAATCAGGTGAGGCGTTTCCCAGTTTCCTGTGAAACGCGAGGGGTCCCATTGGGCCCAGTTCTCGGGAACCTTCCAGATAGGACCCTTCAGGTCATGCAGAGGAAAATATTGCTCATCGCTGGCAAGCTGCGATGTCATGCTGAAGACGCCATCGTGAGTGACCAGTGCCTTAAATTTACGCCCCAGAGGGTGGCCTTGAATCCAGTTAGTCATATAGCCACCGTAGCTGGCCCCGGCACAGATAGCTCGAGTGGTGTCAACGAAGTTCAAGTTATTCTCGATGAACTCGAAGCCCTTGACCAAGTCTTCGTACGGCCGTCCGCCCCACTGGCCGCGGATTCCATCTGTGAAAGGCTGGCCATACCCAGTACTGCCTGTCGGATTGGGAGTGATCACGACGTAGCCCTGCTCCGCAAAGAGTGCAGGATTCCAGCGAGTGCTCCATTGGTCATTCCATGCGCCTTGAGGGCCACCATGGATCAAGAAGGCCAATGGATACTTCTCACCAGGCTTGAAGTAGGACGGTTTTACAACCCACGCGTGTACAGGATGGTCTTCAGCTCCTTTCCACCAAATCTCATCGACCTGAGCTGATGAAAGACCCATTGCAGATCCTCCTCGAGCATTGGACGAGACAAACTGTACGTCTTCCGGATTAGCCGGGTCGATTATTGACCATATACTGCTGTCTACCAGACTGTTGCTGGAGATGAACAGTTTGGAAGAATTGAGGGCAGCAGGCACTACATCATTAACGTGTCCACGGTGAGTCAGTTGTTTCAGATCTTGAAGTTTTGCCTCCTCTATCTTGTGAAGAGGGAGCTGATAGAGGACTCCACGTCCAACTACCTCAACCTGGACCAGCAATGACTTATCATCATGGGCAAAAGAGATAGCTGAAGGGCTATGGTCCCAAAGGCCCTTTCCATCAGATGTCTCAAAAACTTCAATCATAGCCCCGTTCCAGGGGTTGGGAATGTAGATAATCCTATTTTTATCAGACTCATATCCATCGTGCTGCATAGCCAAAAGAGCTATTGAGCTCCCATCCGATGAAAGGACGGGAGAGGACATAGCACCTTGCAGACCAGCCACCTTGCACACCGTCATATCAGAAGACGTAGCCACACCAGTCCACGAAAACATAGGTGCATAGTAGCACGAGCAGCCGGTGTGTGTTGCAGGATTAAGTTCGGGATCCTTCCCAATGAACACGATTGCGGAGGGGCTGATTGCGAAGTCACCGGTACCCCCGAATGGAGGAATCGGGGATTCAACTCCTGTCAAGCCAGAGACAGAAATCAAGTTTGTGAGGCCCGACACAGAGAATTTGCCAGCCTGTCGGCGGGCAGGAGTTAAAGGTGCTTGCTCCAATAGACCATACCAAATAGCATTCTTCTGAGGCTCGATCCATGAATCCCAGTGTCGTACAAAGAGAGAAGTGTACAAGCGCCCACTCGTGTGAGGTTTCTTGGAATCATGGGGGTTGTAAAGTGAACCGTCTGGATTGGCCTTACCAGTGACTGCGAATCCAATCTTCCCGGACTCAAGCACAGTAACCTTGAGATCAGAGACCGGGCCAGGGACAGTGCCTGCAGTGTACGTATTATCTACCGCGAGCGCATCTCCTACTATGAAGCTGGTATTTCCGTTGCTCTTGGTCTTCAGCCAGACCAGCTGGTTACCACCGCCCAACCACTGGGGGTTGCTGGCGCTGAGGTCATTGGTGACGAGAGCAGATCGACCAGATTCTATGTCCACCACTCGAATTTCGTTGCTCTTTGAATGTGATTCAAATGAGTAGGATGTCTGAGTATAAACTGCGAGCGTACCACTGGCATTCGGTGTGGCAGAGGAGCGTCTAGGAGCAGAGAGCAGGACCCTGGGCGAGATCAATGGGACGCTCGAAAAATACAAGCATTAAGAGAATCTCTGTAATTGAGGAGATCTTGAGGGTAAGAAGAACTTACTCCGGTGTAAACTTCACCTGGCGAATGGCCATGTCACCGATAAGAGAGCTTGACAGAAAGCTTCTCGTAGAATTGGAGCTTTGAATGGTTAAATTTCAGAAAGGTAAATTCAAGAAGGGCCTCTTCTGAAAAAGCTAGATGTTGAGAGCGCAAAAATATCAAGCTTGGATAGAACAAGAAGATAGTTGTGAGATGAGGAGAAGAAGCGCAATGAGGTTGGGGAAACGTGATTCCGTGCGGGGTTGAACTATCACCTTCACCGACAGTTGTCATCAAACGGATTTTATAAACAAAAGATTATGGTACAATGTGAAACAAAATTATTCATTTTCGAAGTCTAGAATTACCTAGGTATATTGAATCTTACAGTGCTATTATGGCCATTTGTCATATCCATGGATATCAGCTTGTTAAAACTAGTGGCATGATATTTACGATTTGAAGTTGAGAGATCTAAATCTATCCAGGTGCCATGTACTTTCAGTGTTGGCTCAATATTAGATAATCAATGAGAATTAAAAATCTTGGGTCAATACTTTCTCGACATCAATTGCTTAAAATATAGCTTTTAGGGTAAAAAAGAAAAATCTTTGATCAACAACCAACGCCAGTAAATGCGATGTAATATATGAGAATATCGACTTTTCGAAGGTGAGAATATGAGACATCGGGTATCATGAAGGTTCGAAGAAGAGGTAATGATGCGGATGGTGAATTGATGAGGACTGCGATCCACGTCTACGCAACCTTTCTGCCAACGTTGCCAATACCACGTCCTACAACACTGACAATGACATCCCCATCTTCGTTTTCACCAGCAGCATCACGGATACCCCAGCCAGGAGCACCGAACTTAGTCAAGTCACGGGCAAGCTGGATCAGATTCGGGTCTCCAATCACCTCTCGGCCAAGCTGCAGACGACCAACGTCTTCAGAACCCATGCTCATTAGAGTAAACATAGTTGTTGCTGCTGCAGGGGCCACACAGCCACCCTTGGAAACTGTCTCCAACAACTGGAAGGCACATTTCCTACCAATATCCTCTGGAGGTTGACCACCCGAAGGTGGAGAAGCTACATCAGCTGAGTAGAGGCAGCCGGTAGATGACTCTGCCACCAGTGATAAACCAAATCCGAGTCCGATCTTCTTCTTGGCGTTGGGGTTGGATTTATCAGGAGCAGGTATCAAAGGCGCAGATGAGACATCGGCGAAAATATAAGTATCAGGGCTGAGTGGGTTCAGGATACCACGAGCTGTTTCGATCATTCTGGCGTTGTTCGATCCAGTCACACCAATTGAGTATGCAACGCCACGAATGCGCTTTATACGACCGGGGTTCATCAGATGCAGAGTCTTCGGCAGGCGGAGCTGGTGACCAAAGACTAGCTGTACCTCGCCACCACCACCTCTGCCATTCGGGCCTGGGTTGGAGCGCCTCAAGATACGGAGCTCGACATTGTTCCAAATACCGAATTGGTTGTACAGAGGAAGTATGGCGGTTCGGACGCTGTCTACAGACATATCACCTGTAGGGGTTGAAGAGGTAATCACACCAGGTCCTGTGAAAAGAACTTTCATGGGAGCCTTAGAGAAGGGTGCCAAGAGACAGAGAGGAATCAAGTAGTAGCTGAGGCCGCGGGTGCAGTTCGAGGGGAGTTCATGCGTAATCACGCCGCCTTCTGCGCCGGACCCTGAGGAGCTACCAGTAATAAGACCCGGCTTGTAAATAAGGATTGTACCGGTATATGAAATTTCCATTTGGGAGCCGTTTGTCACTGCCTCCAGGAGGCGTAAAAAGGAAATTTCATGGTGGGCAAGACCAGGGTTCGTGGGCGAGTCGGCGCGAATTTGAGAGATGTGAACAGTGCGGCCGGTAAGAGTTGAGAGTACCAGTCGATAGACCAGATTTTGATGCCCGGTGAATCGCAAAGGGGGCTGTTGAGTGGCCATTTTTTGGCGTTAAGAAACTCTGTCTGAAGCTCAATTAGATCAAAAATTGAAAAATCATCGGAACTATAATGATCCGATCCGAGGCGTCGCGTTAACTCCGAGTAGAAGTTTATCTCCGCCCATCAGATAATATGATCTTTAACTACACATCTTCTCCGCTTATTTGTAACTTTCTCATATCAGGTCCACCAGGTATTACACACAGTATGCCACCAGCCCTCAATATCCCAAAATGGTACGGTTTTTCTGTCTTCACTCCAATATTCAACACACTCCTCTATCAACCAAGGCGGGGGGATATCATATGTTCTAGCTTTATATTATACAGTATAGGACAAAAATCATTGACCGACTTTTTTTCTTAGGCTCGAACAAAACTCCCATCTCCTCCAGCCACCAGTTAATAACTATTGTGTCTACCATCCATCCTCGCCAGCCACAACAGGCTACACCGTCATGGTTGTTGGCGGACCCAACGCACGAACAGACTACCACATCAACACCACGCCTGAGTTTTTCTACCAATACCGAGGCTCTATGCTTCTTAGAACAGTCGATACGACTACAGAAACACCGACATTTGAGGATGTTGAGATTCACGAGGGTTCAATATACCTGTTGCCAGCTAACACGCCGCACTCTCCTGTGAGATTCAAGGATACTGTGGGTATCGTAATGGAACAGCCGCGGGCGAATGGTGCTCTTGATGCCATGCGCTGGTATTGCAAGAAATGCAAAGAGATTGTTTGGGAGAAGAAGTTTGTCTGTTCGGATCTTGGGACGCAGGTTAAAGCTGTTGTTGAGGAATTTGGCGCTGACGAAGAGAAAAGGCGATGCAAGGCTTGTGGAGAGATTGCTGCCACTAAGTATGCGGAAGGTGAGCTTGAGCAGCCACCTAGGTTCCCTGAATAAGAAGGGCTGCGGGAGCCAGAGGAAATGTCAAATTACTCCATACCCTAAATTCTTATAATTCATACGAGTGAGTCATGATCTATGACTGTCACGATGTTCTCAGAAGTTCTTAATAGTAATGGGTGCTAGTGTCTTGATTAATATTGACTCCTTGATCCCATTCTCGAGTCGAGGCAAATGCATCATCATTCAAATTTACTTGTTAATTGAACCGTACAATCTGTGTCAACCCCCTATTTAATGCAAAAGAGTACGATTTGGCGAAGAGATGCCCCCTGGAGGGGATATGATTACGTTTTCAATTAACCTCTAGCAATAATCTAGAAGGACGTTATAAAGAGGGTTGGATCTGAGTCTAGCAATACACCAGTAGATCTGGCAGTCATCAAAAACCAGTCTAGGAAAGAGGAAAAGGGAGGAAGTGATGTCCAAGGTAGGCAATTATAGGGACTGTGTATGAGCGTGTTTGAAGAGAGGAATGATCAGCATCCGAAATGGAGAAGGGATAATAGACAGGGAGAAATGAAAGGCTCAAGCATGACATGCAGAGGGTAGGTTATCAAAGGTAAAGATGCAAAGGAGTCTCAAAAGAATGATAGGAAGCATTGCTAGGAGAACAGTTCAGGTGAGCCCGAGATCTCATGACTTTGCTCGGTGACATTATTCGTCAAATGGACAATCGATGCTCTCGTGGCCATCTCGCTCACAGAGAGCACACCACTTGGCTTCGTCGATAACACCAGAGGACTTGCCGGCGACAGGAGCCATAGATGATCCTAGGCTTCCGATGCTCTTCAGACCCTCCATGACCACATCCCGACCAGTCTTTAGCGGAGCAGCATCTACGAAGCTGTCATCGGTGCTTTCATGGAGGTCGGAAGAAGTATATTCCTCCTCTGCAGCTTCGGTCGGGGTCTCTTCAAAACTGGCCTCTGGGACCTTTGCAGCGGGTTTGTTGTTAGATCCGAACATGCTGGTACAGTTCAAGATGTCATGACCACCTTCCTCACACACCTCACACCATAGAGATTCTTCATCTGAACGGTCTGACTCTGGTGTAGGCTCCAGTCGTTGGGATGAGTTAGAGGTGCCGCGACTATGATGAGGATCGGACGACGCATCGTGCCAGTCATTCGGAACCACGGTGCGGTCGGAGAGACGGTGCGCTTGATTAATACTGCTCAAAGGCTTGATCTGTGCTGCCGACATCTTACGTTGCGTTGATGGCGAGACTGTCACGGTGGCGCTACGATCACGTCCTCCATTGCTGGAATTGACCCGTAGTTCCTGGAGTTCACGCTCCAACTCTTCAATTCTGGTATCCTTCACTCCGCTGCTTTCCTCAGTCTCTTTTAATCGCTGCTCCAGTTGAATCACCTGCTCATCCTGAGCAGCATCGCCATTTTCATTCGGGTTGGTATTGGAGTTCTCACGACTGAGAGAGTGGATAATAGCTTTCAGGCCTCGGATCTCATCGTCCTTTTGGTCTAACTCGTGTGAGTTTCGATTTCCGTCGGCTGCGTCTTGCGCGTCTTTCAGAGCAACGGCTGAATAACCCCGCTCCTTCTTCAGCTCCAACTTGGTCCTTTCAACTTCGCCACGGAGGAACTCGACCTCGGCTCGTGCTTCAGCCTCGCCTCGTCGTGCATCTTCAAGCCCCTCTTCCAATTCTGAGACCAAGTCCTCCAATTGCTTCAATTGCAGCGCGACAATCTCAACGTCTTCGCCTTGGTCATGTAGTTCCTTGTTCTGTTGCATAAGTTCATCGAGACGTTGCTCATATACCCGCTCAGTTTCAGATGCAGCAATCTCCAATGTATCAAGCGTACTCCGGAAATCTGCTCGGTGGCCGTCGAATTCCTCGGTCAGTTGGTTTATCCGCTCGTTCCTCTCATGAAGTTGAGCACGAATCGAAAGTGAGTCTGACCCTTCCAGTTCCTCCAAAGTACTTTGGAATTCTGACAATGTCTTTGTTTGTTCGTTTAGCTGCTTGTCTCGCTCAAGCAATCGCTTTTCTAGGATCTTGACTTGTTCTTTCAAGTCTTGTAAGTCGCCTGAATTCGGCGGAGCTTGCGAGACATCTGATGGTCGTCTGTCATAGGATGAGGCGTCATCATCCAGGCTGAATCCTGAGGGTGGTCTATCAGAGAGCCGAGATGGTGGCTTGATTGGACTTCGTTGATAAGTGGTTGATGCTTTGGAGGCGGCGGAGGGGGTACGCAGGCCACCGAGACTGAGCTTTGGGGGAGCTACACGCGGGGATTCTGGACGAGGCAAAGACGGTCGACGTACTCGTGTACGGTGCATAGAAGGGCTCGGTCCCATAGACTTGCTAAAATTCATAGGCGGGGCACGCGCAGGAGTCGTAGGAACGGCAAAGTTGGACGCCACCCTCCGCGTAACGTATTTATTGTTGTTCATGGGAACAAATATACCAGATCCTGCGACTGAGGTTGCAAAGTATTTTCGTCCTTCCACATCGCCGCTGTTCTTTCCTCGTTGCGCATGTTCACTGCTCAATTCAATACCAGCGAATCGCCCGGGCTTTCCCGATACCGATCCCAAATATTTCACGGTGCCGTACATGCCACCAGGCACGTTAACGATGTCACCAACCTGGACATCTTCACCAGGCATTTTTGTTGTAGAGTCAAACGTAAGAGGGGTCGGAGATAGAAAGCGGGTGTTGGGTTTAAAAGATAGGAATAACGGAAAAGAAGTGCGAGATCGTCAGGAGATAATTAAATAGTAGAGCCCAATGGGCATTTCTCTTAGGCTCCAATCCTACCCGACTGAGGAATCAAAATGAAAAAAGGAAACCCGTTTGTTCCAAAGTCAGGTTCGTATATGAGGTGAAGTAAGAAAGGGGGAACAACAAAATACCTGTACGGAGGTACCGTGCCTTAGTAGATGCAAGCCTCCACTGCTTCTGTAATCCATTCTATCCACTAACCACAACTTCCGCCAATTCGACATCCACTCCCTTACCTTAACTGCACAATTTCTAAGACTCTATCTTATTTTCTTCTTCATTCTATAGATGTCGTGCTGATCGCGGTCTCACTACGCATCCTCTGTTTTTCATCTTATCTTCGAGGCAGCCGCGTACCAGCCATGGCGCAATACTTCTTCGATCTCCTCTACAACTTCACAGATTGCTTATGCTGCTTCCCTAGCTCACCGCAGCTGAAGATCAACAATCGGAGTTTCAAGCTTCTCCGACTCTTAGGCGAGGTATGAGATGGATGGGATCAACCCCCGGATCTTGACTAGAAATGAAGACGAGACCGTGGCATAAACTAATAATATCACTCAATACAACAGGGCGGTTTCTCCTATGTATACCTCGTTCAAGACAAAGCAACTTCTGAACTTTTCGCGCTCAAAAAGATCCGTTGCCCTCTAGGTCAAGAATCCGTGTCACAAGCTTTGAAGGAAGTCGAAGCCTACAACTTGTTCACCTCGCAAGAGAACATCATCCATTCGATAGATCATTGCGTATCCACAGAATCAGGCTCTAAATTCCGATCTGATGGAGGGGATGCTGGTTCGAAGACAGTGTACATTTTGTTGCCGTATTACCAACGCGGTAATCTTCAAGATGCCATCAACGCCAACCTAGTCAACCATACCAAATTTCCCGAAAAGCGTCTAATGATGCTTATGCTCGGTGTTGCCAATGCTCTCAAGGGCATGCATCAATACCGGGTTAAGAATGGTGTGGCGGCCCGCAAGGCGAAGGCAGTACAGAGAGAAGGAGAGGAGGCAGACGAGGAAACAAAGATGCAGATGAAACCGAAGCGAAAAGTCAGCCATAATGCCGACGAAGATGAGGAATTTGAGCCCTTGATGGATGATGAGGTCACGATCAGTCAGGAGGGCGTTCAGGATGGAGATCTTCGTCCTTATTCCCACCGCGATATCAAACCTGGTAAGCACGAGTAGCATGCAGTGGTAGTATACCCGAGAAGCTAACACTTCAATAGGAAATATCATGATCAACGATGATGGCCAGTCTCCTATTCTTATGGACCTCGGCTCTTTAGCACCGAGTCCCATCGCCATTACTTCCCGCTCCCTGGCATTGGCAGTGCAAGATACAGCTGCAGAGCACAGTACAATGCCCTACCGTGCCCCGGAACTCTTTGATGTGAAGACTGGATCTATCATCGACACAAAGGTTGACATTTGGTCGCTGGGCTGTACATTGTATGCATGCTTGTATGGCAAGAGCCCCTTCGAGGCCCGCAGTGAAGAGACCGGTGGTAGTCTGAGCATGTGTGTTCTTGGTGGAGATTGGAGATTCCCCGATGAGAAATCCAGTGCTACTAAGGGCAAAAATAAGGTTGGTGGCGACGACGCCGCCTCAAAGAGCAACAGCGGAAGCACGGTTAGCGCATCTGTTAAGCATGTTGTTCGCAAGTGCCTCGAGGTTGAGCCCTCTGATCGCCCTGATATTGATGAGTTGATCCAACTCATCCAGGAGGTCGCCAGCGAGCTGCCCGACGAAGGCGATATTCCAAGTGCATCATATTAGATCGAACGATCTCATTTTCTATCTTCTCACTTGTTTTAGTTTCCATCGAGTACCCGACAGTTCCATTGGACTGTCTTGCTCGATATGTGATTTGGCGATCTGTACATTACTGGTTGAACTATGATTTATACACCCGGCATCAGAAGCTGCTTTTTACTCCCAGGGCTAGGTTGTTCTGTTCTGTAGAGAGGCATCAGCGTATGCCATCATATCAACTGTTGTCTCCGTCACTTTAGAGTAATTACGAAGACTGAGGACGAAAACCCTGACGATACCAAGTTTATCAATTATTCCAGGGGTGCTGATTTTTGACATCAAAGTATCAAGCCTGCAGTGATTGCTGCCAAAGCTAGCAAAGAAGTCCTCGGCGAGTACTGCCTGAGGATTTCTGATAACCAAATCAAGATTAGTTATGCGAAATAGCCGGTCTATTTACATGGGAAACCCCTACAACCAGATGGATACGCAACCTACGTTAGTGAGAATTCTGTTTGACGTCATTGCGCAGAATATTTACGTTGCAGGTTTCAACAAATCTCTTCATCTTTTATCGTGTAATATTTACTTATCATACCTGTTTTGTACGTTGGCGCCCGTGCCTAGGTGGTGCACCAAACAGGCTAAATATAGATATGCACTACATGGGATGACAAGACTCGCACTTGGAACAAATTGGCGTTACACTGTTTGAGTGCATCTTCACTTCCGAGGCTTCAGAAGAAGATTGTTGTAAGTGAAGTCTTTATGCTTCCTTCAAATAACCTTGGAAAGGAGGTTCTCTCTCTCTCTCAACGTCCTGTGATTCAACCTTCTACTTCACGGTTCTATAGTTTACGGCAAAGCAAGCCATACACCCGAAGACAACGAAACTTAGCTCAGGATCACCAGTCGAGAATCCTTTTCCGCTATACCTAGGTACTGCTGTAAGACTCTCGAGATATTGAGCAACACATAGCTTTCTAACGTTCTCTATATTCTCGGTTATCAAATGCCTCCAGAGCTAAGTATATGGACACGATTAGTTCTGGTCACTTCACATAACAGGGCAAGTAAATCCAGTGAGTTTCAGCGAGATAAATGCCTTGAAAGAGAAATTGTGTAGGGGTCTAGAGTAAGAGATGTATCTATAAAATTGTCATTGGCTCCTTATATTCAGCCATGCCGAGATAGCAGTTGGAGTCAATGACTCAATTATGGATCCTTCATTTGCGCCGAGTCCTATTTTGGCTAATTCCAAATGATAGGCGTGGAAAAGTAGAATGGAGAAGTTGGGTATAGCGGACTTAACTCTTATGATATCAGATGATGAGGTTGATAAGAATCAACACTTTTAAGTTGATAGAGAAATCTCTTTGCTCCCCTATCATCGCTTTAGTAGAAACTAATGATAAGATACTGTCCAGTCATGATGATTTATGGCGTTATCTTGACTTTATCTGTGTACCTAGGTATGAAGCAATGATCTTCGGCTTCTGTTGAAGCAGTCATCAATAACTTTTTATGCAGAAGGTAGAAGAAACGTTTAAGATTCAATCAAACTAAATTATGGAAACCTTACATAACTTTTAATTGTAATCTAGTTAGCACTGATGTATGTATAAAAAGGTATCATCCAAGTAGTATCAATACCTTCTGGAGTAAAAGTGCGGGGAAAGGTCACTTATCTTCAGGCTTATCGTTGGTTCTCTAGCTTCTTCCTACTCATAGTACATAGATACTGTCCACACGCGCATGTTGGGTATTTCAATCCCAAAATGGATAAACTTACGATGATCTGATCTCTTGATTCGCTTTGCTTGATTCACCTTAACTTGGAACTTTCCAACATAGGAAGGTTGTATTTGCATACCTCCAAAGCTTTAGATTAACTCCTTATCTGATAAATCTGATATCCCTGCAGTCAATTGTTCAATACTTATGTAGCCTGTTTGCTACCAAATCAAATCCACCATTTCCCCCTTCCACCGGCCTGAGTCAACGAGTACAATTCTGCACCAACAGCCCGATACCATGGTATCTACCATAGATAGCTCGGCTATTCCGGGCACAGTCACACTTATCGACGTCCAACATGTTCTTCATACGAGACATTTGGAAAGTGGAGATCAGGATATTGTGTTAATTCCCACTCCCTCGGATGATCCAGATGACCCATTGAACTGGAGTAAAAGACGAAAGCTCTTATCCACTATCTGCGTGAGCGTGTAAGTAACAGTTCACGGTCTGCTTGAGGCAATTGCTGACAAGTTGGATGAATCTAGATATACTATGTTTGCGGGCATCGCCTGCTCGGTCGTCTATTCAGTAGAGACACAGATATCAGATGATACTGGATTATCAGTTAATACTCTCAATCAAGGCACTGGCTATATGTTTTTGTTGGCGGGATGGGGCTTGCTTTTCTGGCAGCCATTCGCAATGCAGTTCGGAAAACGATTAACATATATGCTATCCCTTGCGGGAATCTTGGTGAGTAGCGATTAGTCGAATACTTGGCTTTTTACCGCACACGAGCTAATTTAGTTCCAGGGCACTACCGTGTGGGGGTAAGCTATATGATATCTATTCTGTGAAGAGAGATCTTGCTAATGAAATCTCAGCCCATACGGTACTACCTATGGTCAATGGATTGCCCGGAACGTTTTTCTTGGGTTCTTTACTGCTCCTATTGAATCTCTCCCAGAGACTAGTGTGATCGACGTGGTAGGCTTCACATATCAATCTATTGTGATCCAGTAGTCAGGTCTGACAGTGGCAGTACTTCACACATGAGCGAGGAACCTACATGGGTCTCTACGCATTTTTCCTTGCTGGCAGCAACTACTTTGCTCCTGTCATCTGTGGATTTATTGCCCAATATCAAGCCTGGCAGTGGGTCTTCTACTGGGCTAGCATCTTTTGCGGAGGCGCCATAATTTTCTTGTTCTTCTTCATGGAAGAGACTAACTACGTTCGAAAGAACGTTGCCAATCCCAGTATCGCCAATTTACACCTCGTTTCTTCTCACAGCTCTCATGGATCCAGGTCTGAGGAGAATGAAAAGAGAGTTCCTGTGTCTGACCACCCAGCTTCGATGGAAGCTGGTACAGTCTCAACCTACTCGAAGAAGTCTTACCTGAAAAAGCTGTCAATTCTGGGGCCAAAGCAGGATAAGAACAATATGTTTCGAAGACTTTGGCAATCTATATACTTTTTATCGTGGCCGGTCATTTTCTATGCCGGGTAAGTGCTCAGTATCACTTCTGTAGAACATATCGATCGCTAATTTTGAATCAGCTTTTCCTACGGCTCGTATCTGATTCTATTCAATATTTTGAATGGAACTGCATCGCTCATCCTGGGCTCCGCCCCCTATAACTTTGGGTCAGTCATCATTACTCTTCTTTCAAATCATTATATTGATCAAAAGCAGATCTTCTATGGTCGGTCTCAGCTATGTGTCTTGTATTATTGGCGTCGCACTTGGGTATGTAATTTATTCTTCGTCATATCTCAAGGACACTGAACTAACTACTTAGATCTCTTTTCACCGGCCGTCTTAGCGACTGGCTGTCCATCAAGCTCGCCCGCCGTAATGGAGGTATCATGGAGGCAGAGCACCGCTTATGGCCATTTTTCGCCTGTCTTTTTCTCGTGCCTGGTTCTCTTATTCTTTGGGGCGTAGGGGCTGCCCATCATGTGCATTGGTTCGGTTTAATTGTCGCCATGTGCATCTTGGCTTTCACTAATACCTGCGGTATCACTCTCAGCGTCAACTACATGGTTGATAGCTACCAAGAGCTGAGTGGAATAGCCATGGCTACTGTCATTCTGGTTCGAAACACCATGTCATTTGCCATCGGATATGGGTAAGGAATACTTTCTTTTGATTTACCGAATGCTTGGCTGATTATTGACTATAGTATCACGCCCTGGGTTGACAACATGGGCTATCAAAATTGTTTCATTTCCGTCGCTTTTGTTGGTCTGGCATGTGCTCTTGTGTTTTTGATTATGATCAAGTATGGAAAGTCATTCCGGGTTCGCAGTCGTGAGAAGTATTGGCAGATTGTGCAGGAGAACAATGCGAGGGGAATGGGACATTGATCCATCAGTATTGTAGACATTTATCTGCCTTGGCTTCTTATGATATATTCAATTGGTGATTTCCTATTCTATTCTACTATCAGCTTAAGCTTTAGCAGTAACCTTCCAAGGTTCAAGCATGAAGCCTGAAAGCGTAAACTTGTATCTGCCCACTTTGAGTTATGGCCCCGGGGATATCAACTTCTCGAGGCTAAATAGCGTCTATATTTTAAATTTTGACAATTTTCAGTTTACGATCTAGTTTATAATTTCTTAATCTACAAAGTAAATCTCAATAAATCATTCGAGACTCTTTTAAAAGGTGTGGTATCTATCCTATAAAACAGTAATAAGGGCTTAAGCTCCCTAAATAATCAATGGGATGCGATAATTAACTACTTGACCTTATTCTTATTAAAGGTGGCCTTGCTAAACGCTCTGAAGACCCGACACCATCTCCGCCACTATCATCGTCTAGTATTAAACATACTCCAAAAACCACGAAAACGCCCAAGAAGAACCAGGAGAAGCTACAGCGGAGTCTTACGTCTTTACCGCCATTCCCTATTACTCCAGGAAGAGCTTAAATTGTGTAAAGATATAGCTAAGCATACGAGGGTTACGCAAGAACTACCCCGTCACCTAAAAACGAAACGACAGCTTAAGGATCTCCAAGATACTGGTTTGTTATATGATGTGATGCAAATCGCGCAATTACAACTAGGAAAGCTAAAAAAGATTGCGGCCAAAGATAGGAAGTGGACAAAAGATTATAAAAAAAACATATGGTTATGAGCCACCACAGCGGGATCAGTAGGAGGCTGAGATGGAAATAAATGAGAAAAAGATGGAAGATAGATCAATAGTACCTGACCATCCTTCATTAGTAGCGGCGATAGAGAGAGATATACTCTATTTTGAATGGATAAATCGTGAATGTATAGAATAGGTGGAATTGATATTTACGGTGTGGGTCGCGAAGTCACTGATATAGAGCAGCTATTATTTTGAATACACACATCTTTTACCTCTCATATACCTCTCTACCATAGTAGGATTTCTGCCTGGTAGTATTGTCGACTGACAATAATAGAGAGCCTTGGAATGCGAAAAGCAGCAAAAGTACCCACTCTTTCTGGAACCTGTGTAACATGACATGACTCAGCTTTCAAGCTTATTGTGAATATTAAATAAAACATATTCCATAGCTAGCCTCGGTAACATGATCTTCGGTAGTTTGAAAGACGTCATCTTTCCGGCTAAATGCGCGAGATTACTTTATAGCAGACTCTTATTTAGCCTAATCACGTAGATATGGAGCCAATTCTCCACTTCCGCAACACCAGGTAGTACTCTACTTAAACAGGTCAGGGTCATCAGGGTTGGCACTAGTTCCCAACATGGCAGTATCCTGCCTATCAAATATACGGAGTACTATGTAGTCTGCACAGATTAGGACCGATATCTCGAAATGGCAGGTATATTATCGCCGTGCAGCGTATTCAAAAGGTATACTTATGGAGAAAAGATGGGCCTATTGTAAAACTAATGAGAGATTTGCAAGACTCGTTCTCAATTGACTTTTACCCAATGGAATTAGAGTGCGGGGGAGCCGAAGTTCACCCGGAAAGCCACAAACCTTCTCACCGTTCTACGTCACGCCACAACATCAGGCCAGGATCATCATGCATAGTGCCTGGCATATGACAAGGGGCTCGATCCTCTAATCCTAGGCCTATGTAGGCCGCTTTTCAAACGATATATCATGATATCTACAGAAGTACTCGGCATGCCGAGAAAGACCATAGTCTTGGTCCTTGGAAGATGCTCAGGTGGTGGTAAACTTGGAATCTGAAGATCAGCATTCACTAACCGCATTATCGGTGTATCTCCGTCCACTTGCCCCGAAAATCTCGAGTCTCAACACTAGCACTGTATAGCTGGACTTTGGTACTTCTCCACTCCGGCTTACAGGTCCCCCTTCGAAGTTTAGATGCCACAGTTGGCATCATCGAATGACCTAAAGTGGATCCGTGGGGGTTTCAGAGAGGAAAAGTCCGGAGAATGTCTGAATCCCCAGAATATAAATTGCTAAGAGGGCCTCTGTCTTTTTGAGTTTGATATCAAGCACTTATCTTCCTTTTCTTGAAGCATGTTCCCAACAGAAGCTCTAGTCGGGGCATTGATGCTCTCTGCGGCACCTTTGGCGGTGGCAGAGAGTGATTATTGCAAAGCTCCTATCAATCACCCCGGAGAGGATTTCAGCTATGTTCAGCCACTCAATACTACTATTTTAACTCCCTATGGTAGCTCCCCGCCTGTCTACCCTTCCCGTGAGTGACCTTCAATGTATATACATTCTCTTCGATTTCTGACACAATATAGCAAATACAACTGGAAACGGCGGCTGGGAAGCATCCGTACTCAAGGCGAAAGAATGGGTGGCCAAGCTTACCCTTGATGAGAAGTCTTGGATGGCAACAGGCCAACCTGGTCCTTGCGTTGGTAACGTTCTTCCTATTCCGCGTCTCAACTTCACCGGCCTCTGCCTCCAAAACGGACCTCAATGTGTGCAACAAGGAGACTACTCTAGTGTCTTTGTCAGTAGTGTCTCCGCTGCTGCCAGTTGGGACCGCCAGCTACTGTATGACCGAGCATATGCACTGGCCTCGGAGCACAAGGCAAAGGGCTCCCATGTTATCTTGGGGCCTATAGGAGGACCTCTCGGCCGCAGTCCCTACGATGGTCGTACTTGGGAGGGCTTCGCTGCCGATCCCTATCTCACCGGTGTCTGTATGGAGGTCACTATCAACGGTATGCAAGATGCGGGCGTTCAGGCAAACGCAAAACACTTTATTGCCAACGAGCAGGAAACACAACGCAACCCTACCTATGACCCAGAGGCCGCAGCAACCACTTACATTCAGGATTCGGTTTCTTCAAACATTGATGACCGAACTCTACACGAGATCTACATGTGGCCATTTGCAAATTCCGTCCGCACCAAGGTGGCTAGTGTCATGTGCTCTTACAACCGTTTGAATGGCTCTCACGCGTGTCAGAACTCGTACCTCCTCAATCACCTTCTCAAGAAGGAACTTGGCTTTCAGGGATATGTCATGTCTGACTGGGGCGCTACCCACAGTGGTGTGGCATCCATTGAAGCTGGAATGGACATGACCATGCCTGGAGGATTCACTCTTTATGGAGAGATTTGGGATCAGGGATCCTGGTTCGGGCAAAACCTCACATCTGCTGCGCAGAATGGCTCCGTGTCACTAGATCGCCTTGACGATATGATCGTCCGCATCATGACTCCTTACTTTTTGCTTGGTCAGGACAAGGATTACCCAAGTGTTGATGCTTCGGTTGGTCCGTTGAATGTTGATTCCCCTCCTGATACATGGATTCACAACTGGACTTTCACCGGTGCAACCAACCGTGATGTCCGAGCTAATCACAGTGCTCTTATTCGCGAGCACGGTGCTAACTCGATAGTCCTTCTCAAGAACGAGAAAAACGCATTACCTCTCAGCAAACCCAAAAATATCATTCTTGCCGGTAACGCTGCTGGTCCGCTCACTCAGGGTCCCGATCTTCAAAACGACTTTGAATATGGTGTTCTTGCAGGCTCTACCAGTTCTGGTTCCTGTCGATTCTCGTATATTGTGACGCCTCTTGATGCTATTAATGCTCGTGCCCGCGAAGATGGCACATTGGTTCAGTCTTACCTGAACAACACCTTTATCACCACGGCCAATCTGACCTACCCACTTCTGATTCCCCAAGAACCCGACGTCTGCCTTGTTTTCCTCAAGGCCTATTTTGCAGAAGGCTCCGATCGGACCTCGTTGGACCTTGACTGGGATGCCAATGCAGTTGTGGAAGCTATCGCCGGCGCCTGCAACAATACTGTTGTTATCACAGAATCAGGTGGTGTTAATGTTATGCCTTTTGCGGATCATGAAAATGTGACTGCTATTCTGGCGGTTCACTACGCTGGTCAAGAGGTTGGAAATGCCATCGCTGATGTACTTTATGGAGACGTGAACCCATCTGGCCACTTGCCTTATGTCATTGCAAACAACGAGTCCGATTATAACGCACCCCTGACCACAGCTGTGCAGAACAACGGCACATATGAATGGCAAAGCTGGTTCGACGAGGAGCTCGAGGTTGGTTATCGGTACTTTGATGCTCACAACATCTCTGTTCGCTATGAATTTGGTTTTGGTCTCAGCTACACAACATTCAATCTCAAAGACCTCAAATCAAAGGGATCTGTTGTGCAAGGCCTTACTGAACTACCACCCTACAAACCTACCCAACCCGGTGGTAATCCAGAGCTCTGGGAGACCGTGTACACTCTGGAGGCAGAGGTTTCCAACACTGGAGATGTAGATGGATACGCTGTGCCCCAGCTTTACGTGCAGTTCCCTGATTCCACACCATCTGGTACTCCTCCAAGCCAACTTCGCGGCTTTGACAAGATCTGGCTTACTGCTGGTGAGAAGAAGACGGTTACTTTTGAATTGATGCGCCGAGATGTTAGTTACTGGGATGTCGCTGCTCAAGACTGGCGGATCCCTACCGGCTCCTTCACTTTCAAGGCAGGATTCTCGAGCAGGGACTTCAAGACGACTAAGGAGAAGACACTGATCAAGGTTTGATTATGATATCGAGTAATAATGATTAGACCTCATCTGGACATGTTTTATGTGAATACGCTATAGATGTTGTGATATAAAATACATAAGTATAATGAAATGTATCTACTCAAGTGGTCTTCCAGGGTTCTGGAAAAGATACCTAAATGCCCAGATAATGTAAGTTCGCTTCTCTATGAGATCAATTAATCAAGTCCAGTTTCCCATGTATCATAGCCTTATAAGCACCAATATAAGAGATAAAGGCGTAAACGCCTATCTCATGACTAGATTATCTTCAAAGCTTGATAAGTAGGAGAAACAAGCCGACCATTATAGCCAAAGACCCGTTTATCTTCTCAGCTTCCAAGGCTAAAGAAGTAAGCCCGATCAGAAGTAACGAATGAAAAGGAAAATCCGGAGTCTGTCTGCAAATATAGTAAGGCGATTTCAGTCCCTGACCGCAAATGGTAATTAGGCTTCAAACTCTCTAGATCACGAGACGAACTCTTGACCGCCACAACTCCATTCCCTCGAATTAAAAAGTGAAGCTGCAGATGAACTTGAGCGAAGTGGGTAAATCAAAGTGAGGCCCGCAGTTCTGAGTTGGGTTTCTTCGAAGGCTGGGATTGGGCACGAACGGGAACGGATTTCCATTGCCTCGAAGTACGAAACGTCTAGGTAGGGGCAGGGATGAAGCATCTTGTGTTTAGTATTTGAGAGAAATTGGTACAATTTGTTTAGCTTGCATTAAACCCCTGCTAGATAGTACTATACCCTACTATTACTTCATACTACAGATCAGGTAGCTAGAGGGGTCAGGCTTGTACACGTAGCTCACACTCACGGTCTGCCCGAGGGCGCATCTAATATCTTGATGAATTGGCCAAAGTTCATTATTTAAGCTATAGGAACCCCATAGTAGCATTTACGTGACTCAGGGACGTTTTGGGCTTTTCATATTCATTTTGATCACGCTAGCTCCTGCTAGGATACCGATTCCAATGTCACCCGATTTCAGCAGGTAAGAAATCCTCTTGTCAAAGCTCAAATAACAAAGTGACCTGTGCTGACTTAATTTGAATTAAAGCATCGTTCGTTCGCATTCATTTACCTTTCTTGTCGGACCAGAACATACAAAGCTCTCGATTCAGTCGGCACTTGCCCAGCATGTATCGAAGCCGCTGCATAATCTCATGAATAATGGACACACTCGAGAATCCAAGCACCGTATCGCAGTTCTGGAGGATGAAGATGTTGAGACCTTTGTTGCCTTTTGTGAATATGCATACACTGGTGACTACAAGGTACCACGGGAGGAGAGGATAATTACTGGTGTCATCGAGAGTGCCGGCAGTGTGAGTTCTTGGAAAAATACCTGTCGTTCGGACTCAGTCTCCTCTGCTGTACCTCCACCAGCTCCAACGCCACCAGTTGGGACTGTTGTTGAGCCGGTAAACCATGCACCCGAGCCTGCCCCAGTGGCCGAAGAGGCAGAAGATGAAGATGAGAAAGAAGTAAAGAATACTCCACAATCAGAGCATGGAGATGGAGAAATCGAAGAATTCCATCCAGTCGAAAACCTGCAAGAAGATGAACCATGCCAGTCAAGCATATGGGACTGGACAACTCCAACATCTAGAAAGGAAAAAAAATGGAAGAAAGATAGGAGAGCACCTCAGCTTGAGCCGATGGAGGAGTCTGTACCAACAGAGGAGCCTGCCAATCTCACACCACCATCAACCCCTCCCCCGGAAGCCCACCCAGAAGAGACTGTTGAAGTAAACACTTTCGCTTTGGAAGAACATGCAGAGACCGAGCAAGGAACAGAAAAGGAGGTGCAAGCTGAAGATGAGCCTGTAGCGGAAGGACAAGAGGAAGCTGAAGATGAGCCTGTAGCAGAAGGACAAGAGGAAGCTGAAGATGAGCCTGTAGCAGAAGGACAAGAGGAAGCTGAAGATGAGCCTGTAGCAGAAGGACAAGAGGAAGCTGAAGCTGGAGCGGAATCTCAAGACGAAGAACAAAAGGAATTGCCAAAGCCTACCATCGACATGTCCTTTGCCAAACAATCCGATTCTTCCCCTCGCACACCAGGACTGAGTCTGTGGGATGAATTCATTTCACTCCAATACAATGACGAGAACACACAGACCCCCTTCGACACTGCAGCTGATGACTATCCCTACCTAACGTTTCACGCCAAATTATATGTCTTTGCCACGCGCTACCTCATTCCTGCCTTGGCGCAGCTCTGCCTACGAAAACTGCATCACGACTTGCAGCACATCTCATTCGAGGGTGCAGACGAAGAAACAGAGGAGGCAGAGCTGGTAGAATCACGGCCGGATCTCCATAGTGATTTGGCTTCACGACATGCCTCGATGGTACTGGAATTGCTGCGGTACACTTATAACAAGACGACCAGACTGGAGCCGATTTCGCCTACATCGGCAACTCAGCTTCGTGAAAACGAGCTTCGTCGATTGGTGACTCATTATGCAGCATGCAAAGTGAAGGATCTAGCAGGACATCAAGATAGCGGAGATGCCACACCGTTTAATCGGGATCTTAAGCGGGCCGATGCCGGGCCGAAAAGCCTCCGAGAACTATTAGATCAAATACCAGAGTTGGCATCAGATCTAGTCTACCGCATGATGTGAAGTTTCAAGTTTGAAGGTTTTCTATTTGGAGTAATAGTTTATTTCATTTTCTTATGATTTCTGGAATCTGTGCTTTTAGTTAAGGGTAAAGATGAAGATCGAGATATACTCTGCGACTCCGCTACCTGAGCACTAGTGACGGGGCGGAATACTATGGACTTTTTGGACTCTTGGCAAATGGCACAATTATACTCCCGTTTCATTGTAAAATCCAATCAAAAGATACAGATCGACGCATTACATACTAGGGTCCACTCTTGGCAGGTAATAGTCATATTTACTACAAACCTAGGGTAGTGTTAGGTTGAGGCTGTGAAGCTACCAAGGCAGATAAGAGTATACAAGTCCAAAGCTAGTCATGGGCTATTGCACGAGATTCATTTGCTCCAATTTGATTTCTCTCACCTATTTGGTTCAATCTATCTTTATTGATCCCCTTTTCCATCCTTCACTCTGTGGAGCCCTTGGCAGTGGTGTCGATCATGACTCTTGTCTGTACGTTGCACATTTCTATTCCAATCGGGAAACTGTAGTACACTTTTCATCAGAAATCGGGCCGGAAAATAGTTACGGAATACGGATTCTTATACACCATCCGTGCAACCTTGCACATCTTCAGTCAGTCATGGCTAAGATATCAAGGTTGATGTCAGGGTCTGTGTCAGAGCCATGGTCATATCAGGGGTATACTATTTTATACCTCATTTCTTGGCTGCTGAATGCTTTTCCGGCTAGGCATCGACTTTCTTTTCATTTGAATCCTGCTAAACCTTGTCCAAAATGCAGTAGATCGTCATATTTCGATTTCCACCCTGGCCGAGCCACTTTCCAAGCAGCACAGACAATTGAAACCACACAACTGCCAAGATGAGGGACGACGACGATCTATTTTCGGTTCGTGAGCGGTGTGGTCTAGAAGAATCATGATAACTATGAGGTTTCTGGTAGGTTAGATGTGCAAGTGGAACTGAACCTTAGACCTTCATTGCCCGAAAACTGATAGTCTTGGTCTTTTCTTGGCCAAGCTCCTTCATGTGTAGAGATCGACGATGGAATTGCATAGGATTTATCTAGAATCTGTGACTTCGCCATAAATATTCTCTCTCACTCCTTCTTTCTTCTTCCAAAAGTCAAACACTCTTCCCCAGTTCCTTCCTTGACAAATAAAACATTCCATTCTTTCTATTACTTTCCTATTTCTTAAATTTCCCTCTGAAGACCATGTCAAGTCTACTACCAACGACACTTCATGACTCTCCTTACCTCACTCATTCCTCAATGTCTAGCAGGACTGTCTTGTGCGAAGTTGAAGAGAAACATGACACCAATAAACCCGAGCCCCGACTTAGCATTCGACAACGTCTCAAGCACTTTACATGGGCCTGGTACACTCTCACCATGAGTACGGGCGGTTTAGCCCTCCTCATAGCAAACCAGCCGAACCGGTTCCTTGGGCTTGACACGATTGGATTGATAATATATATAATTAACCTCGTTATGTTTGCAATGAACACTTCGTTACTCTGCACTCGCTTCTACATCCATGGAGGATTCCTCACATCTCTCACCCACGAACGTGAGGGTCCCTTCTTCCCAACATTCTGGCTCTCAATCGCAACCATGATAATGGGGCTAGAGAAGTACTTCGGAAAGAATCCTACTGCATCATTTTCCATATTCATGGAAGTTCTCTTCTGGATTTATACCGGCTGCACCTTTGCCTTAGCTGTGGTTCAATACTCCTTCGTCTTTTCATCCGTCACATACAAGCTACAAAGTATGATGCCTTCATGGATCCTACCAGCTTTTCCCATCATGCTAAGTGGGACAATCGCATCTGTCGTCGCTGGAAGTCAGCCAGGTCCTGCGGCTATCCGAATAGTTGCGGCTGGTATCACCTTCCAAGGCCTGGGCCTATCGATAAGCTTCATGATGTATGCCCATTACATCGGTCGGTTAATGGAATCGGGTCTTCCATCTCGAGAACACAGACCTGGCATGTTTATCTGTGTTGGCCCACCATCTTTCACAGCTCTGGCACTGATCGGCATGGCACAGAGCCTGCCACCGACATTTCATGTGATGGGCAGCGAAGATACAGCGGCAGATGGACGCGTGCTCGAGCTATTAGCACTAGCAGCTGGAGCATTTCTCTGGGCGCTGAGTCTATGGTTCTTTTTCATTGCAACAATTGCCGTTATTCGATCGAGGCCATCTTCCTTCCACCTGAACTGGTGGGCCATGGTCTTCCCCAATACGGGTTTCACCATCGCAACTATCACATTGGGCAATGCATTTGAGAGCGCCGCTATCAGAGGCGTTGGATCAGCATTGTCTATTTGCATCATCTGTCTGTGGTCGTTTGTATTTTTCAATCACGTTCGGGCTGTGATTCGGCGGGATATAATGTCTCCTGGCAAGGATGAAGATGTGACTGATTAAGCAGTATGAAAGAACTAGATTGGGGCGTTATTGTTACTGCATTTCGGGACTATGATTAGGAGTTTGAGGAGATTCTTTCTCTTGGTTGCATCTTAGCTAGAATAATAAAACTGTCTTCATCTGATACATATCCCTCTTCGTATTATTCACCTCCGGGCCATTTAATCCCTTCAATATTCGTTTTTTCATATGCAATGCCTTACTATACAATAGATGGGTTCGTATATCGAAATACATCTCACAGCTACCCAACATCTAGAATATGAAAGCCTTCTTGATCCTTGGAAGCCTCAATCAACTACTATGAACAAGTCGAATCTCCGTGTTTCCGGGCTCCCACTCCCGCAGACCCTCCCCGACACTATACCAGAAGCGTAACCGCACACACTCCTTCCTCGCAGCATCGATATCGCCTCGCTCAAATGCTTCCGCCAGAATACGGATACACTGTCTAATTCGCGAATCATTATCAACCTTCAATGCATCGATCTCCGCCTGCGCTTCAGGCGACGCTCCAACTTCTTCAATCGTCTCCTGAACATCCATGACCTCCATCAACGTCTCTGGGTCGAGCGCATGCTTTGAGGCTCCATCTTCGGCTGTGACATCGACACTGTGCCATTCGCGGAGAAGATATTGTGCCCGGTGGAGTGGATCTAGTAGTGTGCGATATGCCTCGTTGATACGGGCAGATAATGCTTCGGCATGTTGCTTAGTCTCACCGGAGGGATACTTGTCCGGATGAATGAGGCTTTGAATCTGGAGGAATTCACGGCGAAGATCGCTGGCTGGGATCTCGAATGGCGAGGCTGGTGGTGGGCCTGCTGGAAGTGTGCGGGGGAATATTGTGTAGTGGTTTGTGATGTCGGGGGCTCCCGATATTGTTGATTCGCCTGCTGATGTCGTTTGTGACGAGGTTTTGATAGAAGCGTATCGGCGGTTCATGGGTTGTGCCCCGATGAAATCTCGTGCTTGGATGTATGTCTGGGCTTGAGCTGGGTTGCAGCGGCGAAGTCTATAGGTATCACGTAGACTTGCGCTTGTGTTGATCAACCTTGACAGGATGGATGATATATTAAACTGTGATTTTAATGGCCGAGAGAGGTGCCGAGCCATATTCGGTGAGAGCGACGCCATTATGGAATATTTGTGGAAGAAAAAGCAGCTCTTGGAGAAGTAAAAAAGACTGACTTAACATATTACGTCATCCCGGACTTATTTAGTTAACTAGTTAAAGTATTTCACCACTGAACGGGTCACACTACTGAACGGGTCAGTTTGACCCACTTATTTTTATGAATCCCAATAACTCCATTATTTACTATGTAATATAGTAAAAAAAAACTACTGAATGGGCCTACTAGGACAGGTTTCCCTCCTATGTCCAGGTGTCTTACATATCCCACACCGGCGTTGGGTTACAGGCGCCCTTACAGGCGCCTGGCCCTCTTGTAAATTGGCATCATTAAGTTTAGGGCCACCATTCGACGCGTCAACCAGGTCTAATCCCTCCTGAATTGTAAGACCCCCTACTACTGTTAATTGACGATTCGGACGTTCTTTTTGTTTTTTCTTTTTCTCATGGGCGGCGCGTAAATCTCTGTTTTCCAGGCGTAAGAGAGCATTCTCTTGATATAGGTAATTTGCACCCTTTACTATCTGGTCTAATGCTCTCTTAGATGGTGTTGGTGGCGTTCGAGATACAGTGCGTAATATAGCTTGGTGTTGACGTCGTAAATCTTTCTGCGTCCTAGGCGTCTTAGGTGTCCAATTTCGACTTGAATCGCTTCCTATAGAGGGTGGTGGTGGTGGTGTATCGACGCGCATAGTAAGCTTTTTTAACACCCTAGTAGGGTCAAGTGGCACGATTCCAGTTGCAGCAAACGCATTAGAAGCAGATGCAAATGCTTCAATACGCGCAGTAGGATATATCTCTAGGAAATCTCCTTTACTAATGTGGGAAAAACCAAGCTCTACTCTAGACTCAACCAGCCGAGAATAAGAGCGTTTTAACACCGCAAAACACCCAACATCAAGAGGTTGAAGAAGATGAGACGCATGCGCAGGCATACATAATGGTATAATATCATGCTCCTGGCAGATTTTGTCGAAATCAGGTGTTAAATGGCTACCATGGCCATCTAAGATCAGAAGGCGATACCGTCCTTTAGTACGAGCAGTAGCAGGTATAAAGAGCTTTTCAAGCCAACGGAGCCCTATTTGATTTGATGTCCAGCCATTAGGACTAATCTCAAGACGCCAATTAGGTGGTAAACCTAGATCAGGAGCAAACCAGCTCTGCATCATCACCTTACCCTTAAAGATAATACAGGGTGGAGGTGCGTAACTAGACGCGCCTAAACACTCTATCACAGTAACCCATTCCCGGTTACCAGGCTGTTTTTTTGCGCGTTTACCATAATAACCAGCTCTAGTAACCACTCTCGCGGTCGCACATCGTCCCATCGCAAACCCAGTCTCGTCAAAATTATAGATATCGTCGGTGGTGATACCATATTTTGCGATCGTGTTTTCAACCAGTTTGAACCAATTATTGATCACATTATAGTCCTCTTGACGCGCACGTGTAAAATCGCGCGGTGTTGAATAGGTCGTCTTAAGTTCAGGTAAACGCGTCGCAAACCTAGTAACCCAGTTTTTACCGATCGTAAGAGGAGGGTTGGTTCCGCGGTCGGCGAGTAGGATATTAGCCATTCTACCAACATCTTTAGTTCTAGGAGCACAGCCGCGATCATCTAGAGAGACGACCCATTGAAGTAATGAATCCTCTTCAGATTCAGTCAGTTTAGACTGCGGTGGGTGTGTTTCAAGACGAAATTGGACACCAGAATGGCGGCGTTGGAGGGTTGAAAATGGTATATTAAACATAGCTGCAGCTTTACGCATTGATGATATATCGCCATTCTTGTAAGCTTGGTAAGCTAATAAGACCCTATTCTCCTGATCCTGTTTGTCTTGGACATATAGAGCATTTAGGGGGGGCATGGTGGGTAGTTGAAAATGGAAACACCAGACTGACGCGTAAAATTGATGGGGTGACCCGTTCAGTAGTGTGACCCGTTCAGTGGTGAAATACTTTAATAAATATCTAACTAAATATAGCAAATACACAGAGGATGCAGTATTAGATTAAGAAAACATTGCTTGATCTAGATAATATGGGCTAAAAGGTATCAAAAAAGGTATCGGTTAAAAGAGAGCATCCTTTGACCTCACGGTCTTCACGGTCCTCGCTTGGTATGGTGGTGGTACAATATCACTTCGCTTTTGGTAATATCACTCGTATCCCCAGATCTTCACTGTGCGATCGTGACCGCTGCTGGCAATCCACTTCGCATCCTCACTGATATCAGTACTCAAGACGTTGCCGGAGTGACCTTCCAGCTTTTTCACAGGTTCCCAGTCATCACAACCCCAGATCTTCACTGTTTTGTCGAATCCAGCAGACAAGAAGAAAGTTCCGGCATTTTTTGGCTGTAGTCCTTGCCACATACGTCCGGTATCTTTTCTATCAGCTGATTCGTCTTTAGGTGGCGCTTTAGGTCGTGCGAAGGTCGCCGATCCGTTGCCCTTATACCAGCGTACATCCGTCACAACACTGCTGTGTGCACCAACTTGAGCGGTACATTTTGATTGGCGTAGATCCCAGCATTTGACCCAGCCATCGGCAGAGGCGGTAAGCAGGCGAGTCGCATCGGGATGCCAGTCAATGCTGTAGATTTCGCCCATATGGCCGTGGAGGGCCATCACCCGTCGTCCAGTGCGGAGATCCCAGATATATCCATGACTATCTAAGCCACCACTGGCTACGAGCGAACCATCTTTATTGAACGATACAGCATAAACTTCGAGTGAGTGGCCTTCCTGGTAGAGGAGTTCCTGTTGTGTCTCAATGTCCCACAACCTCCAGGTGTAATCGTAAGAGGCCGAGGCCGCGTAACGACCCATAGGATGAAATTCGGTGCGGCAAACACGCCCTGTGTGACCGCGGAGTGTTGCCAGAGGCTTCTTTGAGTCGAGCGACCAAAGATTTACATCTCCTTCGCCTCCTCCGGAAATCAAGTTGACGGTTGACGAAGAACTAGCTCCTGGGTGCCATGCGATTCCTCCAACTCGGTCTTTGTGTCCTCCCGCCAAAACCAACTTCTCCTCCAGATTTGGCACGCTGTATAACTTGATGTTACCACTCCAACTTCCTGTCGCCAAAATTTGTCCATCAGGCGAAAAGCGACAGATACTGATTGGGCGGTTGTCCGAATTTAGAGATCCGTACAATTTGACCTCATTAAGCTTGGGGTAGATGGCCTGGCGTTGACGCTGATGTTCCTTAAGTGGGATCTTTGCCTCTTCCTTAAGGCGATTGATTCTGTTTCGGGCTTGGTGAAGAGAAAAAATGGCAATAGTCTTTCGGGCAGCCAGGAGCTCGTCTGGGCCTTGTGTAAAGAACTCCTCATTCTTGGGGTCTCCTTCCCCTGCAACTTCTTCCTGTGGTGTGGCTGCGTCTTCCATTGGTACATCTCTTTCCGACAAAACCATTAAAACCTCGCGCAATCGGTCTCGACGTTGGATGTTGGGTTCACCGAAAAGCATTATGGGTTCTCCGAGCTCTCGCAATCGCATGCGCACCCGAGCATCGTCCGTCGGCACGATCATTGCTTCAGCCCTTTTCTTGCGCTCGAGCGATAGTTCATAGATCTCTCGCACTCGTGCTTTGGCATTCACATCATCAGCTAGTTCCTCAACATCATCTTGCATGGCTGTAATAACACGTTTAGTATATGAAATATGTGACACAGTTAGAACCGTGACATACCAATATCCGCCATGCTGTTACCTTCGTCGGTGGAATCCTGGTCATCAGTCACAAGTCAGTTTAAAAGTGGACTTCAAATTTTATAGGTTGTGCCCAGGTTTGACTTCAGCCTGCCAGAAGCTCAAAACGCGCTGGGATCTGGTAAACCGCTTACCTCGACATAGGCTCTCCGCGATGGATGCATCATCTTGGCGGGTCAGATAAAATGAACTGCCAAATTGGCGTGGTATTGAACGCGACTGAGATTGAAAAATGAATTGGGTGTTGAAAACAGATTCGAAGGTAGAGAATGGAAGGTGAGATGTGAAAGGTGAAATGAAATAGTAGATGGAAGGTGTTGGCAGAACTGACTGATAAGAAATTTACCACAGCTATCAACATCAAGGGCGGTCAATTGCGATAAGAACTTTATGTCGTTTAATTTTAGAGCTATACTCCGTACATCATATCATTCCTTTTCCCAATAGATGCTCCTTTGACCTTTAAGATCAGTGGGTCGAGAACTCCCTGCCATGGTCCTTTCAATTGTCAATAGTCGAGCGCCCTGCAGCCTCCAGACCCTCCAAACCCTTGTTTGCGACGGCATCTCCTGTCTACCACAGTCTGGTCTCGTTTCGTCCGGTGCTCGCTCCCGACCCTGGTCTAATACCAATGGCTCTCATGCTCTACAACTGAACCGCGGTATCCGGAAAGCATTCAGTTCAACTCCGGCTCGTCAGCTCGATCCCAAATCTTCCAATATATCCTACCGGGTTGCTGCCTCGTCATCCGGTAAAGGCCGCCGCTTCAACCCACTTCAGAATCACTATAATTTCGACGCCAGCAAACATGATTCAATAGGTGTTTCTCATGACAAGAACATCGCTACCCGCCGACAGGATCGCCCTGACTCCGGCGAAGATGCTTTCTTTGTGAGCCGAATAGGCAAAGACCCTGCACCGAATTATGTCGCTTTTGCTGTCGCAGACGGTGTCGGCGGCTGGAATGAATCTCGCGTTGACCCGGCTGATTTTTCGCATGGAATATGCAGCTATATGGCACACTCTGCGCTGACCTGGGACAAGCCTTCCGATAAGCTACGGCCTATGCAGTTGTTGCGAGAGGGCTATGACCGCCTGTGTAATGACCCTAGTGTCAGAGCCGGTGGTAGTACCGCCTCTGTAGGTGTCGGTCTCCCGGGTGGTCATGTTGAGCTCGCAAACCTAGGTGATTCAGGCTCCGTCTTATTTCGACTCGCAGCTGTGCACCATTACTCCACCCCTCAAACTCATGCCTTCAATACACCTTATCAACTTAGTAAAATTCCACCGCGCATGCGCGCCCAGTCAAATATATTTGGTGGTGGTTGTCTAGAAGACTTTCCCGAAGATGCGGCTATAAGCAATCTCCAGATGCAGCATGGTGACGTGCTCATACTTGCCACAGATGGTGTCTTTGATAACCTCAATAACCAAGATCTACTCAAGATTGTTTCGAGTCGCATGATTGTCACTGGAGCCTGGAGTGTCACATCCGAGTATGCAGTTCATACATCGAATAGCTTAGGTGCTCTCACTGCTCCTGGTGGTATCATTGCAACTCCAACGCAGGATTCCTCGTCTGATTCTTCTTCTGAGAGTATGACCCTCCAGGCAGTCCTTGCTGCTTCCATTGCTAGTGAAGCAAAGATTGCTAGCGTTAATACCCGCCGTGACGGTCCCTTCGCCAAAGAAGCTCAGCGCTATCTTCCCGGTGATTACTACCGCGGCGGTAAAGTCGATGATATCTGCGTTTTGGCTGTCGTGGCAGTGGATGAAAGTTTGACTGCTTAGCCTTCAGGATAAACAACATTGATCTATCTAAGGCTGTGTCTATTCTATGTAGTTTACGACACGAAGTGAGAGATGTGGTATACTTTTGATCTACATTGATCTAAATGCATTGAAGGCGCTGTGGCTCTTTGTTATTTTGGTATTGGTGGCTTCTGTTTTATAAAATCATCATGTTGTTCCTAGATTATTCCAGTGTGTGATACCTTGTAGTATATAATAGTATTTGGGCAACTGATTCAACGTTGGAATTAATCGAGGGCTATCTCTCTACTTACCTGTCTGGTACCTAGGTAGGCTTATATGTATAGGAAGAGATCTTGAACCTTGGAATGGCCTTTGATATTTATTACCTGCATATCTATGTAAGATCTGATGAAGTTTTACGTAGGCGGGTATAGAAAGTATCGATATCTTTTACCTGGCATTCATCTCAGAGAGCAGAGCCATCCGTTATACCTAGGTAGTATGTATATTGGGATACATTGAGACATGTTTCATTGACTCGAACAAAAATAAAAGAACATTTTGCTAGCCTAAGCCAGCAGCCCCAGATTCCAGATGCTACAGGGCGAACGGTGGCGGAAGACACGGATGGTAGAAACAGAGACGTCAGACATCAGACATCACAAAGTACACAAGTTGTAGATAAAAAAACAGATCAAAGAGAAAGCGAGGGCCGGAGCATACTTATGCGCTGGCCTCCACGGTCTTCTCCTCAGTGTTCTCACCAGTGTTCTCCTCGGTCTTTTCCTCGGTTTTTTCCTCGGTCTTTTCCTCGATCTTGTCCTCGACCTTCTCTTCGGTCTTCTCATCAATCTTCTCCTCAGACTCCGCCTCCACGTCCGGCATTGGGGTATCATCGTCCACGGTTTTACTCTCGAGCTCCTTATCCTCTTCAGTATCCACCTTGGGGGTGTCCACGGTCTCATCGTCTTTGTGACCATTCGAGTTGGGCTTCACATCCTTGTCGGAGGTCGCGGGAACATCCACGTCAAGGGCGCTCTTCCAGCTTGACAAGATGTTCATGGCACGGTGGCGGAAGTTAAACTCTTCGTCGCGGGGGATAGAGTTGAGCTTGACAATCATCTTCAGAACCTTGTTGATCTTGGTCAGGCGGATGATCGAGACTTCAAGATCAACGTGCTTTTCGAGCTTATCGAAGTAAGTGGCCATGGTGGCCATTTCCTCTTCCTGTGGAGGCAGCTCTCGGGAGATGAAGCCTTTCTGGAGCTTGTGGCGAAGGAAAAGAACTAACAAAAAGTCAGCCATATCGTTGATATTGACGAAGGGGTGACTTAAACGTTACCTTCTTTCTCCTTTCGCTTGCGTAATTCTTCCGGATCAATTTGCTTTTCTTGTGCTTTGGGCTCGGGGACTGCCTCCTCATCACTGGCAGCGGCCTTCTTCTTGGGGGCGACCCGCTTAGACTTACTGGCCGGAGTCTTCTTTTCCTCGGCAGGAGGCTTGGGGGTTGAGAGCTTAAGCTTTGTGTTAGCCTTGGGAGTTTTGGCGGCAGGCTGTAGATAAATATGTCTCAGTTTCAAAAGCTAGTCGCGGAATTCTATTTGAATGAGAACGTACCTTATCGGCCTCAGCATCAGTCTCGACTTCCTTCTTACGTTTCTTCGAGGGCTTGGACTTCTTTGCATCCGCCTCCTCAGTCTCCACATCAGTCTCAGCGGCCTTGCTTTTACGCTTGCCCTTCTTGTCGGCCTTAGCTTTGGCCTTGGCCTCTTCGGCCTCTTCGGCCTCTTGTTCTTCAATTTCTTGTTGCAAAGCAACCTCGTGATCCGCCAAAAGTTTCTTGAAGTACTTGAGGGGGTGGCCCTCGGCGGCGACTTTGTAAGCAGCAATCAGCGACTTGGCCTTATTCTTCTCGCTGACATCTTTGCAGTCAGCCGGGTCGAGTGGAGTCAATTGGGTGTTCGGGATCCATGCGCTATCAATCCAGTCAATAATTATCAGGTCCAAGTAGGCTTCTGTTTTGGACTTACAACTCGTTGGTTCCAAAGAACATGACCGGGAATGTGCGCTCATGCGCACGCTTTCCATCATCTGCGTAGTCGGCGCGGTATGTGCCGTCGCTCTGCTTTGCAGTCACGGGGCGGTTTTCCAGAATGGGCTCTGGGAGCATTTCATCATCGCAAACGATGGCGGGCCACGGCGCATAGCTGCGCAGACGCGCCAAGTAGTAGTCACCAGGCTTAGCGTCGAGAACGATACGAGTCTGGGACTTCTTGCGGTTCAGCTTATTGGCGCCAGACGATTGGCGTCGGTTGTTGGATTTCTTCACTGCGGGAGTCCCGTTTGCCTCAGGCTCAGCAATCGCAGCAGCTGTGCTCTCATCCTCGCCTTTGGAATCAGGCGCATTGTCGGAGCTAGAAGCCTTATCTGCATCAGATTCGGTTTCTTTTTTCTCGTCTGTAGCGGCGGAAGTTTCTAGAGGTATAACGCGGGTCAGCGGATTCTGGTCGCACAAAATGTGAAATTGACCAAGGTGCGAAGCTTCAAGCTTCTGCTTGATTAGCGGTCGTGATGGGAAAATTATTGCTTACCAGTCTTCTCCTCAGTGGCGGGGACAGTCGCAGTCTCGTTCTCAGTTACAGTCACGTTCTCCTTCTCGGTGGGCTTCTCGGCAGTCGACGTGCTCACAGGCTCGACAGCCTCGGGAGTGGTAACATGATCATCTTCAGCCATAATGGCAAAGATAAAGAGACCAGATTTGTGCTGTGAATCAGAACCGATTCAGGGATTGGGAGCGGGTAGAATGGTTGGAATTGGTTAGGGGGAGTGGTTGTTGAGAAGATGTGGAGAAGGAAGAGTCGCGCAGATACCGCGGGTAGTGGACGCGTTGGGTTTGAGCGGAAACCGCAATGACCTCACGCCTCGCAGCTATTCACCACCACAACGGCAGAATTTGCATATTCTGAAATCTTTGATATTATTATTATGAAATTGGCTGCGTCAAGTCAAGGCTCATTGATTTCAATGTTGTGCAGGTCTTCATACTCAAGAGCATGACCCAGGTTTCACAATTTCTGATCATTGTCTGAACCTATAATAATTTAATTAGCTAGCAGGTCTGCAGGAGAGACCCAGACACTACCCTCAGGGCTAGGTATAGAGCCTTACTTGGAAAGGAGTAAATATTTCGGCTTATGGTTGAAATTGAAGCTCAATAGCTTCCGGTCTGATCGATGTTTGATACCAGGGTAATAGGTAAGATTTGGCTGAGATGTAATCCATGACTGTCAATAAGTACTATCGCGTCTCTGATACGTCACTTTTTAATGGACTTTTAACTTGAGTCAGTCACAGAGTATCAATCCGGGCAGCTTGTTGGTTTGGAGATGAAGCTCAGACAATCATAAAATATTCTAGAGCTAGATGAACATGACACTACTCTGCTTACAGTACTTGAAACTAGAGCTTCAATATCAAGGAAGACAGTAAAAAATGCTTTGATAAGACCTGTGGCTGTGCTGCTCTACTCTGTACATACGTACATTGTCGCTGCATCGTATTGTAATAATGGATTCAGATGTTAGGATTAGGATAATAATGATGTACAAGTCAACAAAGCAATGTGCTAGGTTTATAGGAGGTATCACAATCCAGCTAAGCACGCAGGTTGCCTCAGCTCTCCTCCACTCGAGTCTTAATCTCCGGATATATGCATCATTCGAGCCACTGAAGGATCTGGCTTTTGAGTGCGAACCAGCCAGAGGAAATAATCCTCTACTGGCAGCAGGTTTAACAGTATTTTATTGGACCACCAACCTAAACCACAGACCAAGGTTCCAACAACAGCATCCAGAATAAAGTGGTTAGCTGTGGTCACAATAGCTACCAGAATAATGAATTGGTAGAGGAAACCAAGCACCAAGCAGATCAGGCGATACCAGGAAGGTATGTGACAAACAATACCCAGTGGCAATCGAGTGTGAAGAACACGAATATGACGAGATGGAAGAGGGATGGTCATAATAGTGAGGCCGATCAATAACGAGTATCCAAAGTGCAAAGATGGCATTGCTGCTACAGAGTCTGTTAGATGAAATTTCCCAAATTGTGATCACACTCCACAACCCTACTTAATCACTTACCATATTGGTTGCAGAAGCGGTTTTGAGTCCACACGCTGCCTGCTCCGTTGACGCCATGGACCGTATCCACAAATCCAAAACTGCGGCCAAGATCAGACTCCGGTCCTTCTGGAGTGGAATCACTGAGAAGCCGTGGTGGCATGCACGGCCACACAGTAAAAATAGCAAATGCAAGTAAGTTACAGACTGCCAAGGTCCGTCGCCGAGCTTGATAGAGAAGCGGGCCAGTCGTCGATCCACTCATGTTCCGCAAGTTTCCTGACTGATTGATATGATTACGTGTGGTGGTATAATAATAAAGTCCGACAAGGAAGGCTACTGTGCCAGGTATGTGGATATACGAATAGATCCAGTCGATGCAATTCATGAGGTCGGAATGCTGGAGAAAGTATTTTTGGATTGGGACCTCCAAAAATATCCCCAGCTGCTGTTCCAGCTTTATTAACTGCAAGGCATGTCGCCGGGCCACATCAACGGTGTCTCCCTTAAGTGTGACTGCGGTGAATACTCGGCCGAGTTGGTATATCTATGCAATGTCAGCAGACATGTCTTTTGTGTTGCTTCCTCATAGTCAACTACCCAATAAACCAAAGCCCAGTACCAACACTCGACCAGAAATGGAACCTTTCGAAGAATGCGACTGAGCAGTCGGTCATGAAAGATGGTAGTGTTGGGAGATGTTACGCTGAAAGACAAGCCAAAAAGTTTCAACTGCCGCTTGTGCCATTGGGCATCTGGCGAGAAAGATAACCGAAATTCAGGTCGAGGGCTCAAGAGATCAATGTTGGACGTTGGGCTGGAACATACTGACTCCAGTGAATCGTGAGAGAGTGTTCGCACATAGCTACTGGATCGTCGAAAAGACTTCTGAAATAGTGATGAAGAAGGGTTTCTGTTAATCCAAGTTCCTCCAAAAAGTACAACAACGATCACCAGTGGTTCCAAGGCCGCCCCAATACCCATAATGCGTGATAACAATTCAAAGCGAAAGTATTAAATAGAAGGGGACCCAGGAGAGGGAGTGGACTTTTTCAGGACCAAGAAACTGTCATAAGAATCGAACTGTAAGTGATGACTGTAGATAACAGGACTTTACAGCCAATAGTGGTATTGAAGACATCATTTGAGCGGTTCAGCGGTTTTCAAGGTTGGAAACCACCGGCCTCGTAACTACTTCTCTGCCAAGGCAAGAGCAGGGGGATCCAGTAGCCAAAGTTGGATCAAATCCAATCCATATATAGGTTCTGGTAGTTCTTTAATGACGCTAAATCCTAGAAGTTGTGAATTTAATCCAAGCTTTAGTTCGAGCCACCGTTTGTACCTCGGGTTGTTTTCTATAGATCCTATCATACCACCATGGATAATTATCATGCTATAACTTCCCAGGTTTGTTAACTCGGACATTTATAATCTCTACATTTGTCGTCGTCTAACACTTCAACTTAATCTACTCACCGGTATGGACGAGCTTATCTATCAAGTAAGTGGGTAGATCTACAGTCAAATAAGCATTTCCAAGGTTTCGGCAACAACCGTAGAAGTAGTCTACACACCTGTGCATAGATGACATTAACCAATATATTGAAAGGATAATCTTGAACGTAAGAAGAAAGCCGAAATTGATTACTATGTACATTACTAGGTACATTACTAGGTACATGTAATTCAGATATCGTGTGCCTTGGTACGGAGTAATATATGGTCGAATAAACTTATCAATTCTATCTACATTCTGAGGACTAAAGATATTGGGAGTGATGTGATCAGTCAGCCAAGTCCGCGAAAAGCAGGTCTTATCTTCCAAGTTCCTCGCCAGCTGTACTACCTAGGAATCTAATTTATTTCAATAAGAGAGACTTGAAGGCATCTGCACCCTCTATATCAATATAAAGCCAAGGCTTAATAGCCTCTATTTCCATCAATCAAAACGCACGATCGTCAGTCACCAAACCACGTAACAAAAAATAGTATTTTCACCACCAAAAAGGTTCGCTCTTCAATTGCCTTGATATGTTTGTGACTAAGACGGCCTCGGAATTCAGCCTGGCAGCGAAATTCGCCGCGTTGGTGCTCTTTCAACACAAATTGAGAAAGTATTCCCAATGAAAACAACTGAGTATTCTCCTGTGCCTAGTTATGGCTGATTCTAATGCTGTATAGTAAATTACAGGAAATACCTGAATTAGGTGACTAATTAGCTTCGTATTTCACCCTTAAATAATAAATGACTCTAGATCATCTATCTGAAATTAGTCGAGTATTATTGGAAGATGGAAGTACATATAGTTTTAAAACAATGGGACCTGATGTTTGGAAAGCCTGGAGTCGTTGGTGCAGCGCAGACGCGGAGGAAAATTGCTCTGCTCTGATGATTTCAGTCTAGCCCGATGCATGTCAAGAAGGCAAACCAGATCGATATGGCTCGTATGCAAGGAGGATTCGATCCACTATTGGTTTCGATTGCTGTTTGGCCGTTTCCAGAAATCTTGCAAAACTTGGTAACAGGATGGTGGGGGTTGCCGGTAACATCCTATTCGAGCAAGCATGTTTAGAAATAATCCTCGCTTGTGGGACCGTTGTCAAAGATATGATTCGCTTCAATTTTCCTACCTTGGTGCCTCAGGAATGAGGGTCTTGATCTTCGTACGAGAACATGAAGTCTCGATGAGCTGCGAAAGTTTACCCTTTGTCCAAATGGGACCCTAGATGACTGGGAAGTTTTGTCCCAATGTTGCCCGAGGTCTTCCACAAAATATTGGATATACGAAGGCTTAATCTGGTTAGTGCCGTATTTGAAATACACGTAAACATACACTCGCAGGTGTCCAATCAATAATTTCTAAACCTCATTCTCCAAGGTTGCCGATGATAGACCAGAATATCCACAGGGATGATCTGCAATAATATATTTGATTTTTAAGCGAGCTGTAAGCTAGGTAGTAGTAGTAGTAGTAGTATTAAATAGACTCTGGGATGCTCAGGTGTCACTGAAGAACCTGGGCAGTGTAAAAAAAAAAAGTGCGGATAATAGTAGTAAATTAAACAACCTGGTATTTACTAATTCTACTAGGTAACACTGTACATCCAACAATATGGAAGACATCAATAACCTCCAGGGCTTGGAATGCACCAACCTTGGAATCATCAATGTAAGGGGTATACACCGAAAAATGCCGATAAGTTCAGTCAAATGCCCGGACGAATAAACTGTCATGAGGTCACCCCCGAAGACTTACCTGTATCCACAGCCACCTATACTCCCGATGTCTGTAAAGCTGAGTTCTAGTCTACCAAGTCTAGCTTGTCTGCAGCAGTGTTGATTCGTCGCTACCAAGCTGAATCTCTTTCCCGGTCAGCGGCATAGTTAGGGCTGATGCGCCAAGACGTCTTTGAAACTTGGCCATCTACTTTACCATTTTCAACTTTAACTCTCAGTTTATTCTCCTACTTGTCTTTACTTCTTTCTCTGGGGTGGATGTTGATGCATCGTTCCACCCGTAATATTACCTGTGGACACCTAAACAACGTTAAACACCCTTGAATCATCTTGGGATCGACTTTCGGATATTGAACCTCGCCCTGATTTCATGAGTTTTCTTTCCATACCAGACTTCAGTGAATCTGCTCTACGAGCCCCCAGAACTCGATAGTGAATTATTATGTTTCAAAGTCATGTCGAAGGGCATGGCGCCTCATGGGGTCATGACTGGCGCTCGTCGGACGCCTTTATCGTCAGTACGATGGGGCTGGCATTATTCACTGGTATGTGACACCGCGCGCAACTTGGATGCTTATGTATACTGACTTTCACCTAATTTTTGCGGTGACTTTTAGATGAACTGCTTTTTGCATTCATGCTACCTTTGTTACCTACTATGCTAGAGAATCGAATTGGCTTAGACCCATCTCTGACCCAGAGGTATACATCTATCTTCCTAGCTGAAGGCGCGCTTGTGTCTATTCTATCAAGCCCATTTATCGGGTCAATGACCGAGGGGATCTCTAGCAAGAAGACGCTTTTATTGGCCCTCCTCATGCTGGCCTTGATCAGTACTGCCTTCTTATCGCTCACACGCCAGTGTATGTATATTCTGTTTATTTCTTGTGATTCAATACCACGCCCAAGATCAAGCTGACTGGATGAACAGTGGTATGGCTATTTGTTGGTCGATTTTTCCAATGTCTTACTAGCAATGCCTTGTGGATTGTGGGGATGGCAACCATGGCTGAGAATCTTGGAACAGAGAACATGGGCAAGATCGCCGGCCTTTCATCCACACTCACAGCTGCGGGCACCGCTGCTGGGCCGGTTCTCGCAGGATTGCTGTTTGAAATGGGAGGCTACTGGTGCGCGTGGGCAGGTGCACTGGCTTTTCTCATGGCGGATATCGTCATGCGTCTTATTATGGTAGAAAAGCCTGTAGACCCTCAGCAAGTGACAGAGAATCTGGAGCAAGGCCCTCTTTTACAAGATGGGCCTCCAGTTGAGCAGGCCAATCGTTCACTCTCTTCATGGCGCTTTCATGTTTGTGTTTTCCGCGAACCCCTTTTCTCTGCGGGGGTTTTCTGTGCTTACGCTTATGCTGTGATGATTGGCTCTTTCGAAAGTACTCTAGTTGTACACGTGAGAATGGCATTTGGATGGGGAGCTCTTCGTGCCGGATTCTTGTTGGCATTGATCCAGGGGCCTGGCATTGCATTGGCAGCGCCAGTAGGTTGGATGAAAGACCGGATAGGGTCTCGGACTCCAACTACGGTAGGATTTTTTAGTTTAATACCTTTCATCGTGCTCTTGGGGGTCCTCAGCGATGATTTATTTCCATGGGTGAAAGAAGCCTGGGGAAAGAGCCTATACGTGGTCTGTACCGCAATGACCGGATGTTTATTATCTCTTCTCAGTGGGGTGGGCACGATGCAGGCAACTGGTGAGTGAAACCTGATCAAAAACAGTAACAAGCTAATATTAATCCGTATAGAAACAATTGACGCCCTCGAAGTGCGCGAGCCTGGTAAATTTGGTCCTAACGGGGGCTTTACTCGCGCTCTAGCCGTGATTAATATGACTTGGATGGCAGGTCTTATAACAGGTCCCCTTCTAGCGGAGTTCGTGGTGGGAAGTTTTGGATATTTCGTACTACAATGTTGTCTTGGTAAGTTTCCTCTACACAAGTTCAGAGAGAATGCTTTCTGATCATACTAGGTGTCATCTCACTTGTAGCAGGACTTATGGCTCTGCTTTTCCTGGGCTCTCTTAGACCGAAGTCTGTACCTAGGTAGAGCTGTAATATTAATGTGAAACTTCACGTAGAGGTTTCTGATATTGAGCTTTTGACCCGTGGCAATTATTTGATCTTTTCAACTAAATATGCATGAGGCGCATAAATTCATGATCGAAGAATGGTTCCATCAGATCCTGAAGTATTTATTTTCAGCTATTATACGGAAGGGAAGATTATGGAGGAAGAAGTTGTGCGTAGCCAAGATGGGATGAGAGGCTACTCCGTTTTTCACGCTCCTGAGCATAGAATTTCTGTGAAAACAGTCTTATCATCCTGCGATCAGTCTTTTTCGAAGGTGTACGTGGCACTCGCGTGGCTAGCAAGAACAAAGTCGGAATCATGTAGGGCGGGAGGGATATGGCAAGAACTTCCTTGATGCGTCCTACTTTTTGAGAGGCTGTCGGATCTTGACTTGCATCTTTCAAAAAGAGCTCTTCCGTTTCGGAGTTGTTTTCTGGGTGGCCGCTGAGATACAAGAATGCAGCCAGACAAGGATTTTCTTTGCCATCAATGACGCCGAGAAGGTCCACCACAATGGTATCGTCGGATGTAAGAGATCTCCTTGCAAGGTGCTCGACCTCAATCACATCGATTCGACACCCGTCTAGCTTTACAATTGTGTCTTTCCGCCCAATATACTCGATCTGTCCATCATGAGTCCATCGTGCCAGGTCTCCTGATTGATACATGCGAGCAGATTGTCGATCTGGATGAAGCTCGTTCAGCCAGCACGGAATATTCTCAAGAAATCCAGCTGGCTTTGTGCGGTCTGATGCTTGGTGATCCTGGTCAAGATAGCCCCTTGAAAGATGAGGCCCTTCAATCACTATTTCACCGATAGCACCAATTGGCATCAACTTCTCTGGACATGTCGAATCGACAATCCAAATTGCACCACTAGACGGTCTTCCAATAGTAGCAGGTGAGCTATTGGGGTCATGTACTTTGTTGTTGTAAGCACAGCAAACTGCTGCTTCCCCCATGCCGAATTGATTGATCAATGTTGTCGAGCTTTTAGCCCAGTTTTTCAGAAGATCTTTCGGAAGAGGCTCCCCACCAACGCATAGGATCTTGAGATTTCTCATTGCTTCTGGATCTGCTTTTATGGCCACAGTAGGTGTCAGGAAGGCAATATTGGCGTTAAGCGTTTGAATGTTGCTGGCCAGGTCCTGAACGGTCTTCATCGGCCCCGGCACACAGCAGCAACCTCCTACAATGAGAGGAACCAGGAACTCCAGGTTACTAATGTCAAATGCATAATCATCATAATGCAAAAATCTGGTGTCTTTATTCAGGCCAAGGTTCTGCACGTAGTCTCTAATTGCAGAGGCGTATGACCGGTGCTCTTGTACAATAGCCTTGGGTCTACCAGTACTCCCAGAAGTGAAAAGGACTGTACATGCATTGTATGGCTGAACCACTGGAAGTGGGACGGACTGCGTTTTCATTGGAAGCGTCTGTAGCCATTCAGGGGTGATAACGACCACCGTTTCGATTGTATTGAGAAATTGATCTGCAAACCCAGGGTCACTTAACATGATTTTGGCCTTAGTGCGCTTTATCACTGAGTTGAGATAGGCTGGTGGATTGCTGGAGTGGATTGAGATGTAAGCGCCTCCTGCTCGCAGAATAGCCAATCGAGCTATGATTGCCCATGTTGACTTCTGGAAGCTGCTCAGAACAAAGGTTTCGGGCTTTACGCCCAATTTAGTAAGATGGAGTGCTAGTCGCAGAGACAGATTATCCAAATCCCGGTAAGTCAAGTCGCCATCAAAGGAGCATACTGCAAGCTTTGCTGGATGTCGTTGGCAATTTTCAATGATTAAATCATGCAGGCAGTTGAGCTTAGAAACTGGTTTAGCATGCGTGAGGCTCTTGATTATCTTTCGGTGGAACTCTGAACAATAGTCAATCGCATCAAGCTTGAAGGTCGCAGGATGGGATGTGATTTGACGGAGGACGTGTTGAAAGGTCCACAGCATACTCTCATTCAAGTGATCTGCGACATCTTCCGGATTCCGGATGCTCGCGCTTATTCGGCCGTTGTTTTTCACGACGACAAGCTGGATAGTGCACGATGCAAAAAGTCAAAAGATGAAAGCCAATGCTTCAAACCTCGATGATCTTACCTCTAGGTTTTCACTGAGTGATTTTGATGTAGTCAAAAGTCGGTCTGAAACAGTCAGATATCTCAGTGCTGAAGTGCAGAGGTGAAGCTTTGAAAGTTGAGCCCCATAGGATTGTGAAGAACTCAGCACTCTGTTGGGTTTTTTCATCTCCAGAGTTTCGAGAAGGGACAATATATCCCAATCTGGGTTCACTCGCACCATAAAAGCAATGGATGAGGCAGACCTCAGGTTCAATTCTTCGTCATAGCTCATGTTTGTCACCTCCTCTCGCTGGAAGCAACGAAGGGTAAGAATCCACGCAGCTTTCAAAAAGACTGACTCTTGAATTGGTGTTGACACAAGATTGTCTTGAGTGCCGGACCAGTACTGGCCAAGATCAAGTTCAATAGCATCCCCATACGAGTAAAAAGACAAAGTAGGTGTTCGAGTATTCTGGTAGCTTGTAAAGCTTTCAATAGACGGCATATTTGTGTCCACCAGAATTGGAGCCATGTTTGACAAATCGAAGTGAAGCAAAGGGCAATGGAACTAATGAAGTAGATCAGAGTTTTTTATTGTGGACAAAAGCAAGTCCAGATCTTCCTAAAAAGACATTGAGGGCAAGTACTGTGTAAGCTGGTATTACGTATACCTTGGGAGCTTTCTGTAATGTAACAACGTAAATACAACTGCAGTGCATGTAACTAAATAGTATGTGACTTAATAAATTCGCAAATTCACCCCTCACATATAAGTGTTTCACCCCTCACTTATAGCTTACATCTGCTCGCCGGATTCCCGGTTCAATTTTCAAATTCCGTCATCTCTACTCCTCATATCAAGTAGGCGACGAGCTTAGACTGTGGGCTTGGACCGCCTAGTACTCTGGTAATCGATTTGTTCAGCTGAAAATCAAAATTCCTTTTGATATTTCAAAGGAACTAAATGTAAGTCTTAGCTTTGAATTAAAACCGGAAAATAAAGACGGGTTATAGGCATGCTCATGTAGCGATCTAGAAGCTAAGAGAACTATATAGTTGGACACCATGGAAATATTAATTGGACGTCATAGCACTGATATGCTGTTTGTTTCTTTGTATCAAATACTGTACTAAACGATATGCTGTTCATGGTGTCCACTCTACGTACGGAGTAAATAGCTTCTCCTTTTTACGGCGTCCAGCTACCGATGCCCAGGTGCTCTACTGCGTAGTCTCTCAAGGCAAATAAATTCCCAATACGGTAACAAGATCGGCATATTGGCACTGCGTATCCTGCAGCTTCATCCAAAACTCTTAGACCGCCACTTACTGTTCATAATCAAAGGCAGCTTGGCTCTGTCCTTTCCAATATCATCGTCATCATCATATATCATATATGATACAATTACTGCGGTCCACTTTTAATTAGCTCATCAAGATGAGAGCGGAGATCATAAATCGAGTTTCAAGACCATCGAATATAAAAGCGGGCCACCGATCGCACATCAGCCTCACCTTCTTTATTTATCTCTGTGAGCTGAGTAGAATTGGTTTATTTACAATTATAGGTATCATGACTATCTCCACTGGTCAAACTTTGGCGGAGCCCCCTTTAGATCATGATTTCCACGGCGGCTGGGGCACTGTATACTCGAATAGCGGGTTCATCAACGATGACCGCACTCGCCGGATGTGGGAAGATTACACTGTGAGCCCTGCCAGAGTTGAACAACAGTACCATGTTCTTCTAGACGAATATACAGACCTATTCCAATCCTTTTTCAAAGGGTACTGGCCCATTTCGTTCCATGCGCATGTCAGCGATGTACTCATACCAACAACTATAGCGAGTCTCATCCTCAACACGGCATCGACCTGTCCATTGGTGTTGGAGGATCCAGCATTGTCGCCGTTGATCAAAGATAATCCTGAACCAGAAAAGGTCCAGCAATTTGTTCGAGAGCTTCTGGGCTGGACAGATTTGCATATAACGGCGCCAAAGTTAGCCATTGTCGAAGGTATTTATGGCAGCGCCTATGGGCCCCTGGTATGTCTCTATACATTCTCAAATACAAAGTCAATAAATAATATGCAAGCCAGGCTCATTCTTCTAGCGAATGGGAGTATAGAATTATTGGATCGGGTCCTTCATCAGTCTCAATAAGCCGAAGTGACTTTTCGTCAGATGATACACTGTTGAAAAAGCTCATTGCGGCTAAAAAACAGGGCTGTGTCGCCGTTATAAGCGATATAGTAAATGCCTCAGATGGATCTGTGTTTCCTCCAGAATTATTTCGTCTCCTGCGATCCTGTTGCGATAAAGCACGCATATTTCTCCTCGTGGATGAGGCCATGACCGCGATACGATGCGGAGCGCCGTTAGCCTCTCAAAGAGCAGAGTATTCTGAAGAAGGAAACTTGCAGCCTGACATGATCGCCTTTGGTAAAGGGATGGGTGTAAGCGGCATTGCATTCAACTTCGACGGCTTGATGATGCGACACCTAGCTTTCCGTAAGCGGGGACAAATTCTTCAGTCAATCGCATTATGACGCTTCATGGTCACCAGACCTATTGCTACCCCAGTTTTGATCGAAGCCTTGGGGATTCTGAACGTGGCTGAGGCGGAAAATTGGCCAGCAAGAAGTGAACAGATTGGAATTGCGTTTCGACGGTTCATCTATCGCTATGCTGGGAGTGATGGTCATGGAAAAGAGATTGTACGTGACTTAGGCGCTTTTATAGCTGTCGACCGCGAGATTTCTAGAAAATTCCGCGTCATGGCAGCATTTCGAAGACAAAGTTCTTGGGCGCGCTGGCTTCCTAAGCTCAACAGCACTGCCAATATTGACCATCAAGCTATCGAGATGTACTTGGTTGGTCCTGCTGCTAAGCCTCTTCGACAGGCGATGTCTAAAAAGGCCCAGAAACAGGGAACAACACCGATGTGGTGTTATGGTTGTGGGATGGGCGCGGTTGTGGATGATTGGTGCCGAACTTGCTTTTTGGGATACTGTGGCTCCGAAGACTGTGCAAAGGGTTTCCATATACATGATTGTCTATAGGCTGTACGGAATTTGCTCTCTGAGGCACCCTTTTAATCTAGTTCCATGTCTATTTAGAACAAGGTGGACTTTGAATCGCTCCCAAAAATTTGATTCCTTAAGAGGAAACTTACTATGCTGCAAGTCTATATATGACATACCTAACAGTGAGGCTAAGAAGACCTCCACCCGTGGACCCATGGAGCTGGGCATTAAGCAAGGCAAGTTCTAGACAATATTATCCATACTTACGGGATTTAGATGGAACCTAGCCTTACCCCGGACGATAGATGGGCTTAATATAGACTTATAACACCAAGTGCTGCACGTGGTTAACACCTAAAAATAAAATTAAATAATGAAGTAGAAACCTTGAGATAATGAGATTTCCGGCGAATCGAACATACTTATCGTAGACTCTTAGCAAATAATTGAATCCGAGGACTAAACCCCGTAGATATTCGGAGATAGTATGCGCATGGCATGGTTTGATTAGTCAGACCAAGTCTGGGGAACGCAGTAGTACCCTGAGGTCGCATCAAGTTCTTAACCAGCTGCGCTAGGCCGCCGAGGCCCTTACAATCCTATCAGGGCTTAAGTTTCAATCCACATCAATCGCCTATGAACTCTTAATCCCTTGGCATTCCACGTGTCGACCTCACTGGTCTTGGAAGAGCTCTCGATCATGCCTCGTGCAGGCAAACCCCCGGGGGCACGACTCCGATGTCGACGAGCCTGCGACAGCTGTAAACGACGGAAACAAAAATGCAATGGCGAACAACCATGTACAATCTGTGTGCAGAGACACAAGGAGTCTGAATGCCATTTCTCTGATCGCCCCGCACGTCTTCTCCAGCCTGACACGAAAGATTCAACCATGCTGCTCAGTGAGCGTGTGGTTCCCTCGCCACACCGGGAAACTGCCATGGATCACTTATTGAATTCGCTGGAAGATCGTGGTATGAATTTGGAACAGGCATCCCGGGACGACAAGGACCTTGGAACAGCCCCAGTTCCCAAAGTCGCGCGCCTTCTTCGCGATGGACAGGGCAAATTTATGTACATCGGAGACTCCGCCTCATTAAGTTTTCTTCAAAGTGTGCGTCGGGTGGTCTCCTCATCCATCGGCCGATGTGCATTCACTGAAGATAACTCGCGACACTCCATGCTGGAAGCTTTTCAAAATAATCCCAGTACTCAGCCTTTGCCACTCATTCCGCCGCCGAGTAATGATGAAGCTCAGCGACGGGCCAGGCAGTTTGTTTTAGCTACAAATCCTTTACTCGATCTGTTCGACTTGGAAGAATTTCACCCTCGACTAGCAAATTGGGTAGGAAATCCATCCGGGGACGAAGACACCGTCAGCTCCATATTCTACCTTGTCCTAGCTATTGGATCGCAGGTATCAGACATCAATCAGAACCTAGCCGAACAGTATTTTAGCAGCGGTCGACAATTGGCATTTTCAGCTTTCCAGGAAACTCCTAGCATTTATACTATCCAGTCCTATATTCTGGTATCAATGTACATGCTTGGTGCTTGTAGGCGCAACGGCGCTTTTATGAACCTTGGAGTGGCTTTGCGAGCTGCTTATGCTGTGGGTATACACCGTAAGGATGCCAATGCTCTCTTCTGTGGGCCCGAACGCCGAGCACGAGAACGGGTGTGGAAGAGTCTCAGGATGATGGATCTGTTCCTCAGTGCCTCCTTGGGTCGTCCACCCGCGACATCAGATTTTGATTATGATGTTCGCGACGACGCTCTCACATACCAATATCAGCTTGAGAATAAAACCCCAGAGCAACAGCTTTCCATAGCTGTAATATCGCTTTGTCGAATCTTTGAGCGCATTCTGACAGATGTTTACATGAGACAAGTTATCTCAATCAATGTCGCAGAGTCCATATCAAACCAACATCGTGCATGGGTTCGCAGTCTGCCACCTTTTCTGAATATGCAGACGAAACGGCTCGAAACTAGCTCGATGGAAGAGAGCTTGCTCGCGTCTCATGTGTTGGGGTCATATTACTGGTCAATCATTCTCCTAACACGTCCCTTTCTCGTATACTTTGTGGCTCAGTATGTTAAAAGTAAATCCGACCCATCTACATCATCTGAAACGCGAAATCGCAGCTCTCGCGTCTCCCTTTTCGCTGATGCTTGCGTCTACTCTGCACTTCGAGATCTTGATGCGATGGAAGACCTGGGTCGATTTACATCATTACCACGTCGTCTACCATTCTTAATAAACTCCGTCTTCAACTCCGCTGTTGTTATCGGCGCTGCATTCTTCGCCGATTACGACAATCTTCTGCCTTTGGAAGAGGGCTTGAACAAGGCAGAAAAATTCCTGGAGCTATTTGTCCCTCACGACCCACACGCATGTCGTTTCTCACAGATTATCAAATACCTCCGCGGTGCTGTCACGGAATATGTCCAGCGACGCAATCACCAATGGATGGATAGCCGAAGTAGGCAGGTAGATCAACTCTTCGGCCAAGTCGGCGGCTTCAGCGATTCTCCCCCTCTCAGCTCAGCTTCTGCTCGGTATCGCGATATTGATAAACCTTCCCATCTAACTGACTCTCAACATACTCCCATCGTCCCCTCTCCAACCCCATCTGGCAAGCTTGCCGAAGCTACCCATACTTCATTCATGACCTCACAATCATCAACTCACCCGCCAAACGACGTATGGGATGCTTTCTATAACGGTTCAGACGGTACGGCACACTTGCCGTACGATGCTGCTATATCTACTCTGACTACATCGGGTATTCCTGTTGGCTGTTCACCTGGTGGTACCATCCCATCTGGACCACCCCCTGTATCTGGTGGACCATCGCCTCTCTCTGACGTAATGGTTCCAGAGAGTGGGTTATTATATATGGCTGAAGACCTTTCTGTATTCGGAATATGGGAAGACGCTTGATTTCTCGAGTTTCAAGTTCCCTTTCTTCTCTCTTTTGGTCAGACTTGGCTGGCGCATGAATTCTTTGTTAGTATGGAACGAGGCTATTTATGATGTGATGAACTTGATGTCTATCCTGAGCCTTTTTCGACATGTTTTTAGTCCTGGATTTTAGCCTGCTTGCATTTGTACCTAGGCTTAACATGCCACTTGTATTTTGGACATATTAAATTTCTGAACATTGAATCAATTTGATATACCTCAAAGCGGAAATTTAGATTTACAATGTTCAAATAAATTGAGGTAATCAATGAAATTATCTTACACCTTTGCTCATGGATGCGACCTTGCAAGGGAAACGAGCCATCGACTGTAGCTCCAAAGGAACATAGTGTGGCACAGGAAACTAATGAAATAAGAAACAAGGGCATTCGAGTAGAATAAAGCATCACCGTCATCAATCAAGGAGATAATGTGACAAAACGTGGAGACGAAAACAACACAGGAGCAAGGAAAGAAACATTGTCAATGCTGATACCAACGTCAATGTCAACAATATCAGGGAACTTAGGACTTAAAGAGAAGAAAGGAAATGGTAATCAACGGCTCGCTAAGTGAGGTTTGCAAGGAGGCCAGAGTTCATAGCATTTCAATGACACATTGAGAAACAGAATCAGGTAGGCCATGATATGTACGCTATGTCAAGTTCTAAAAGTTGAAAATGACAAGGCTGAGTTATGTAAATGTAAGGCTCCAGGAATTAAGATATTGGATAAACATGGAGAGAGTAGCTGGAAAAAGGTATTAGATGATGGTCAGGTATGCACTAATACGATAAACAAGCAAATTAGAAGCCAAAAGGATTCGTAGGTGCTGTTGGTGATTCTGTGGTTAGCTATGTCATCTTTTGTATCAAGAAAAAAAGACCTACTAGCTTGCGAAAGGTTTGCCCTCATTCCTGTTGGCTGCGGGGCAATCTTCTTGGGTACATCCGGTTTCACACCAAATCTGATAGAAGGAGGAGGGCCGGTCTTCTGAGGTGCTAGGGGGGTGGCAGTCGGCTGTTGAGGAATAGGGGGAATTGCTGGAGGAGAGAATGAAGCGTTTCCAAACCCGTTCATGCCAGTTGGCTGAGGCTGTAAAGCGGGGGGGAGAATTGAGTTGATGCCGGTCTGAATAGGCTGTTGTTGAGGCGCGAATCCACCAAATCCAGTAGGCTGTGTAGCAATTCCCTGAAAGCCTGGCTGGTTTGGCCCTGGCTGACCATTCATGAATGACTGCTGCTGCTGTTGGATACCAAATTGTGACTGGGGTGTGAAACCGGTCATCTGAGGCGCCACACCTGTCTGCTGGGGCATCATGCCGTTCTGGAGTTGGTTTTGAGCCATGAATCCAGTAGGCTGCGCCTGCATCATTTGCTGGGGGAAGCGCTGTTGCTGGTTCAACTCGGCCAAGCTCTGACCAAGAGGAGCAACCTGGGGACCAGGAAGAGGAACCCCAGTCAGCTGAGGCTGCAACGGAGGGGGGCCAAAGGAGTTTTGCTGCTGCGAGAAGTTCTGTGGTGCCGACAACGGGCGTGGTGGCGGAGGGGGAAGAAGCGAGTTTTGAGTCACACTCTGCGGAGCCTGCGGGCGCTGTCGAGCCTGGTTTAGCTGGAATCCGGTCTGTTGTGGACTGAAGCCTTGGGGCTGCTGTGCCGCGATTTGAGCAAAAAATCCAGGTGTAGCCCCCGTATGTTGAGGTTGCATAGCAGTTTGCTGTGGCTGAAGAGCAGGAATAGTCTCCACAGGTTGTGGAGCAGGGGCTGGCTGCGCAGGGGTAGGCTGCAAAGGAGCTTGAAGCCCGGTCAGGTCTGCCATCGCCCCAGTGATCTGTTTCTGAACTGGCGGCTGAGATGCTGCTGGGGATGCAGGGCTTGGAGTAGGAGCGGAAACAGCGGACTGTGTGGGTTGTTTGACCTCCCATGCATTATCATCAAATCCACGCTGCACAGGCTTCTCTAGCTCAGGATCAGGCGGGGGAGTAGAGAGAGGCTCCTCCTTCGGCTTTGAGTCATCCGGTTGCTCAAATGCCTTGGGATCAACAACACCACCGGCTTGAGCTGATGGCGTTGGTCGTGCTCTGCCGCTATTGTTACGCAGCTTACCGCCCGGTCCAGCAAAGAGCCCTCCTTCCTCGCCATTTCCAATGACCTCCTCTCCGCCAAAGCTCACATTTCGAAGCTTGGATTTGCCAGTGCGACCAAGGGTGGTGTCTAGATAGCGCATGACCCGTAAAATATCGCCTTCCTTCAGACCCAGAGTACGAAGAGTTTCAGGTGTGATATCAGGTAGGACAGACTCGTCCATCGAATCTTTGAGGAAGTTTTGAGCATAGCGCTCGCACTGGTGGTGTCCAACACCGGACTTTAAGAAAAAGTCGAACCAGTCATAGTCCGGACGCTTTACAGAAGCACCTGCATTACCTCGATCCCGAATGTTCGAAAGTGGTTTGTCTTCGTCCAAAGAGATGCCGGCAGTCTTCTCTACATACTCCAGATCCTCAATAGACATTTTCGTAACGGGAACCGCAATTTTGATCCCGTTCACTTTATGAAGGTGAATCTTTCCATCCTGCAACCCAATGAACTGTGCTTCAACAGTGAAAGACTTGGAACGGTCTGTCCACCTTCTCACCTTACTTGGGTCAGGCTCTATTGATTATTAGCGATCCGCGAGAAGAGGTGAATATGATGATATGAGGGCTCTTACTAGATTTGACTTTGCTGTCACGCTTGGAGCGCTATAAATACCCACTGGTCAGTCGGGATCACTGGAATGAATTCTGTTTTTTGTGATACTTACCCCCGTAGAGTCCAATGAATCAGTTCGTGGCTTTGAAATAGCAGCCTTTAACAGCCTATCCTCCTCCATGCGATTCTTTTCTACAGTCGATAATCCAGGCTCATTCACAATGGGTGATGCAGCGGGTATAAAGCCAGTGATCTCGACGTAGCTACTGGGCACGACGCCTTCTTTACCATTCTGTAGTCGTCGTACCATGCTCCATTCATCAGACTTGGTGTCATCAACAATGATAACTTCGTCGCCCACGGCCACAGTCACCTCATCATCACCCTGTGCCACGAAATCGTACAAGATTTGGCCCTTTTTCTGGCCACCTCCCTTCCCAGCCTCGAGAACTTCTCGCAGGCCCTCGGCGCGATAGGCTCCAGCAATTTCTCCGAGTGCAGCCACGATCTCCTGTGCAGTGTCTTTAGCTCCCGCATGAAAATCAATACTCTTGCTGGGGCGAACGAGGTCCACAAAGACGTGTTTTCCTTCGATGGAATAATGAGTGAGCTTCTCCGCAGTCCACTCCTGCTGGTTGTCATCACCCTCAGGCGAGATAAATATGATTCCAGTAACCATATTAATACCCAATGTGGTCGGGAACTTCTTCCGCTTGCCCATTACTTCAACCATCTCGTTGATATTATAGATGTGGTAGCCCGAAGGTGAACGCGGCGTTAACTCACCAGCCCGATTGTATGGAGGTGAAGCTTTAACATGGCCACCATCACGGTCCATTGACGGTGCTGCACTCTTAGGACGAGAAGGAACAGGAGATACATCGGGTGAATATGAAGGCATTTGCGGGGTAGTGATTTGCTCTGATGGCGGCCGGCGGGGTAGTGAAGGCGGGGGCGTTTCCTCGCGGTCATCTTGTTCATGCGAGGGCCGAGTCGGCAGTTGCGGGAGCGGTGTCTCTCGTATATAGTCCTGATTGTTTGCCGGGGCGTGTTGTTTATGAATTATGTCCGCGATTGCGGCTGCAGCCGGATTGTGTTCTGCGTGAATAGGAGAAGGTAAATTTGGCTCTTCGTCCTCTCCAAATGAAGTTGGAGTGGGCCTTTGGGGAAGAGACGGCGCTTCGGGCTCGACTGGAGGAGGCGGGGGAGCAAAGCTTTCAGCGACATCTCCAATGACTTCGATGTAATTTGATGGTGCGAATCCAAATTCGGAGTTGACTCCGACCAAAATCCAATCTGGATCCGATGTGTCGTACACTAAGAGCTCCGCATCCTCCGAGAACGAAACTTCTTCATCCGTTTGTCGTGTGTAGTCGAAAAGAGCCTTAGCCTGGTGAATCGGTTGCACCTGTGAATTATATTGCAGTAAGCATTATCCGTCGACAATTTTACAACGCTATCGAAGCAGGGGTGCAAATAATTGCGGGAAGCAGGTATATGCTCCCAAGTCTTTCAAGGCAGGTAGCCCATAGTCATCGATGTGCTAGCAGTCATAAATGACGCGCAATGCTTACCTCTTCGACGTAGTTATACGGTATTAGGCCTTCCGGCTCATCTTCATCATCTCGTTCGGCCTTCTTTTTCGCCTTCCACCAATCATCATCGGAATTCTTCTCCAAGACATACAGCAGATCTCCCTCGTGAATCTCCAATTCACCCTCTCCCTGAGGCTGGTAATCGTACACAGCGGAGTAGACTCCGATGAATCCCATAATCGCGAGAAGCGTTCAGTTGTAATAAAAGTGTTTGAGAAGAATAAAATGATCACAGCGCTGTAAGTGATAGCTCAAAAGTAGTTCCGAATTCGAATTGTCAAGGTTTCGGGGGTATGAACACTGCAGTTCGGGGGAGAGGTCGGAGGTCGGCCTCGGTAGACCCAGGTTGCGCAGACTAGAAGACTTGATCTCAAATGAGAAATAAATCACAAAAGAAAGGACCGAGCCTGGCGCAGGGAAGGTGAGAGGGATGGGTGGATGTTGGATCAGGGAGGGTGGGAGAGAAAGGTGGGCCTAGGCGATCGCTAGGAGGTCCACGGTCACGTTCCTTTATCAACTCAAATACTCATTTATATCCCGCACTTTCTCATATTCTTCTGGTTATATGTTCATTCTTCCTTATCTCAATCAATTCATTCCTGTTTACATGGTCCGATATCTTCCCATTACCAGCTTGTAATCTATCATCCTTGCCCCCACTTGGACTTGGCAACTGGGACAATCTGACGTCTTTGGGCATGAAGCTAGCCGGCCGTTCCTAAGCACTTTGATTATCCATAACGAGAGTGTAAAGATATCAAGTATTTATTTAATGAATGCATTAATTTTTGGTTGTTGGTTGCTAGATCACCACAATACAATATACTGTACAATATCTTTCCTCATAGCTCATCTTTGAAAGTTTCCTCACTTCCTTCTGAATCCCCTCCTAAGTCAGAGTTGGCAGGTTTATCTGGAGCGGAACTGTCACCAGATGTCGGTTCCTGTGCTGAGTCTTTGGATGCAGATTCTTTTGGTGGTTTCTCTTCGCCCTTTTGTTGAAGTGGGGGTATGGAATCCAGCTCGTCGTCCTCGTCAAGAATCCTACCTTGGAATTTGATGATTCCGTCGGTCTCTACTACTTCCAGTTGATAGTCTTTTTCATCGACAAGTTCTTCCAGTTGCTTTCTCATCTCTTCAACCTTTTCCGGGTCGATTTCGTATTTCTTTAGTGATTGTTTCGACATTTGCCGCACCTTACCCTTTTCGCGTTTTAGGACAACTTCGACACGCTCTTCGCCCACTGAAGCGACTCGGCCTTGTTCAATCTTCTTGCCCTCCATTCCAACGAGCTTGTGGCCACCTACTTCGATCCCACCGATGATCTGACCATCGGGTTTAATCTGAATATCGGGTTGAGCGGCAGCTGTAGCTGCGGCAGCTAATTCATGGGCCACATACCATTCCCTTGCAGCTTCCCATTCGGAAACATCATCAGGAACAATGATCTCTCGACATTCAATATTGTGTATTTCGTCCTTCTGTGGAGGCAGGAATGCAACATCATCGCAGAGACGGGCTGTGTAAATAACCATCAAGTATGAACAAGTAGTCAGTTCCTTGATCCAGCCAATCTGGTCCGTTGATTGCGGGTGGCAATGGAATTGAACCTCGACTCTTCGATCACGTCCAGTCAAATCACACTTAGTACCACCGCGCAGGTGTTGCACAAGGTACCGTGAACCGCCTTTAGTATGTAGCTCCGCCACATCAGTTCCGGTCGCAGGCTTCTGCGCTTGATCTTCTTTGCCATCAGCCTCTGAACCGGCAGAGAACCGACCCAGGACAAATGAGTGTGTCATTGGGTCCTCTATTGGGGGATACTGTGGGGTCCCAAGGCCAGCAGGGAGCGCGTGGAATTGCTTGATTTGTTGTCTGTAGCAGAAAGAATATGACCACCAGCCGGAGAAGTAGTACATGCACCTGCCTTCCATTTCACGCAGAAGTTCAAGGCCTCGATCTGTCGCACGTGCCAGCTCCTTTTGTTCGTCCGCCTCCTCTGCTTCTTTACTGGCCGTTGTGTTGAAATTATCGTTGGCTACGAGAGGGATTTGGCAGATGAAACGTCTATCATCCAAGATCATTTCTTCATATGCATACGTCGATTGGATAGGTCCGTCACTATCTCGGGCAGTGACATCAGCATGTTCGTTATCCATATAAACTTGAGGGTTGTTGTTCGACTCGTCGGCCTTGGACCTGGCGTGCGTTTGGAGCAACTCTTCTGCTTGGGCATCAAGGATATATTCGTCTGGATAGATCACTTGATACTTTAAGAAGGATCTTATTAGAGGAAATCTTCAAGAAAGCATTGTTGTGTTCAGTTATTTACCTGAGGATATGCCAGAAGGTCATCATGTATATTGAAAGGCCGTTTGGCAGCCCAGGCACTGGATACAGCGCATGCCAGTGCGATCCAGACCGCTAGACTTTGTCGCATATTCAGAGAACTGAGGTGGGAGACAAGAGGTAGTGGAGCTCAGCGTATGAGGTAATAGCACTTTCGCACCAGTGAATTCAAGGGTGTTCCGTCAGAAGGAATATCAGATTGCCATAAGGACGAAGAAATGTTTTCCCAGGTTCTTTTGGTTTATTCAAGGGTCAATATTATTTGAAAAGAGCAGTCTTGAGCCTATGTAGGCCTGCGCGTTGGAGCATGGGGAGAGCTGCGTGGCCTTATCTGATTCCGATAGCGGAATTGCCTTCGGCACGGAGTACAGTTGTACGAAAAGTATGGATCCATGATCCAGTATCTGAGCACCTCCCGTGAATAAGAAACACAAGTAAGAGTTCTTTATGTCTACATATCTGTATACAGCAACATTAAGTGAAACTATGAGATATTATGAGATGTTCCATATAATTTACAATATCCTTGTGCTATAAAATAAAGACGTTAAACCTTTGGTTTAATAGTGAATCTGAAAGTTTGAGTCTATATGCTGACATAACTTACGGATATCGACGCTAGACTCGATCTGGACTCAACCAACCTATGAATGCTGACTGGTTTCTTCGTAATCTGAGCCCCGCACGATCCTTGGTACAGGCTGACTGATGTCTTGCAAAGCACTTAGTTACGACGTAACTACAATAACTAATAGTGATTTCCCCCAATTGACTAAAGCTGACTTGAACTTTAGCAAAATCTCGATCTTTCCATTCCAGTTTCATTCTACTCGAAGATTCGACCCGGAATTCTCTTATAAAAAGCCACCATCATATCTATGAGGCTGGTTCTGTCCTTTCTAATTTGCATCACAGCAATCATCTTTGCATATCGCCCCTCTATCCTAGCATTCTTACAAGATCAGGTTCCTGAAAGTTTGTCGCATCTCTTTGCGAGCACTACCAGCAACACCGAACCTTCGCCAGCTTCTCTTCCTGGCTTTCCTTCCTCTCCCGTCCTCATTCCTGTAACCAAAATGACTTCTGCTCGTGGGATCCGTCTGGTTTTCCATGCAATTGAGCAAGCAGAGGGTGCAGGTGCCCGGGTTCGTCGCTCCATTGGCACAGCCAAGTTGCGCAATTTCAGCCCATTCCTTATGCTTGACCACTTCACCATTGGCAAAGGCGCCGGTTTCCCAGACCACCCCCACCGCGGCCAAGAAACTATCACCTACCTACTTTCTGGCGGTGTTGACCATGAAGATTTCGCTGGTAACACCGGTACTATTGGGCCTGGTGATCTCCAGTTCATGACCGCTGGCCGCGGCATTATGCACGCAGAAATGCCTCGCGAGAACCCCGATGGCAGCCCTAACGTCGGTATGCAGCTTTGGGTCGATCTACCCGAAAAGTTAAAGATGTGCGAACCTCGTTACCGCGATCTTCGTGCTAGTGAGATTCCCGTCGCTAAGACTGACGATGGCCGCGTCACTATAAAGGTCATTTCCGGCCAGTCACACGGTATCGATTCAGTTCGCGATCTGGCTTACACGCCCGTCTGGATCTTGGACGTCCATATTAGCCCTGGAGGTCGTATTACTCAGTCTTTACCACTGGGCTGGAATGCATTTGCTTACACTTTGGCTGGTACCACGGTCTTTGGCTCAAATGACTCTACCCAGTTGGTGAAGGAATTCCACAACGTCGTCTTTGAACAAAACGGCGAATATATGGAAGCATCTGTCCCTGATAATGCAGAGTCTGAGGGCCGCTTCCTTCTTGTTGCTGGTCAGCCGCTGGACCAAAAAGTTGTTCAGTATGGTCCGTTCGTGCTGACCAGTCAAGAGGAAGTCTATCAGGCCATGATGGACTATCAGACAGCCTCAAATGGATTTGAAAGGGTCCGAGGTTGGCAGAGTGAGATTGGCAAGCGCATGGGGAACTAAAAACATGCCACTTAGCACTATTTCGAAGTTTAATATATCGCATAACAGTCTTGTGTTAATCAAAATTGTGTTTGGGAAACAACAAATGAATAGTTAGAATTGATTTGAAGCTAGGTAGTATAATTCATAAGTCTTTTTTATGAAATAGATAGTGTTCATAGTCCGTAAGCCATGAAGTAGTAAAATGTAGGATAATAATGTAATGACCATGAATTCGTGTAGAAATTCCGTCCTGAAGCCTCGAGTTCAAACACCTCGCTTGCGCTCGAACATCAGGCCGAAGATAAAACTTACGTGCATCGAAATATCACGCTGGAATTAATCACCTTAATAGTCCTTTTTGGCCTATTAAACAATTTCTTGCTGGGTGAACCCATCAGTTACTTGAGCATTCACCGTGCCAATCAGCGCAACACCTTTCGGCACGCCAATCTCTCGGATTTTAAAGCAGCCAAAAACAACCATGGTCTTGAGAGCTGGACAGCATCTCAAGATGCTTTGTGCAATCCAGTCATCAACCACTTCATTGAAGCTGATGTCAATGTATTTGAGTTTCGGGTATTGCTTTTCCTGGCTAAACACCTTTTCGAAAGCCACTCGAGAAATATGGCGGCATGATGATATGCAGATTGATTCAATCTGACTGCCTGAGTGTGCCATCAAGGCCAGTAATCCATCAGACGCAAATCCAACAGGTTCCTCTGGTCCTGCGGGGTCGGACATATCAACGTGTCGAAGAGAACTGAAGTCAACAAATTTCAAAGGTCCGTTGGCCCAATCTTTAAAGAGAGCTGCCACAGCCTTGTCTGTGCAAGTGGTATTGTTAGTGATTCGAAGCTTAGAAAGCTCCCGACAATGGCCATGAATGCTTTCAAGGACCGTGTCATCGGCAAGAACATACTCCTCCAAAGATAGAGTCTGTAAATTGGGTCCAAGCTTAGAAATGACTTCAAGAAGGGGCTCAGGCTGTGTCTCAGTCATGAGATGCAGGGACAAGTGCTGAAGATTCTTCATGGTGGAAATCGCTGATAGTGATTCGTCGCCGATTCTCCAGAGATATTTCAGCTTCAGACATTTTAGAGAGGTGCAGTTCTGGCTCAATACTGCGGTAGTTTCATCGTTGAATGCGGCATTGAGGTTCCATAACTTAAGACTTTGCAGCTGAGGGCCTAATTCGATAAAGAGATTGCGCCAGCCAGCATCCGACACAAGGTTTGGTGAATCTAAATGGAGATGCTCAAGTTTCACGTGACGATCAATCATGTAGTCGAAGATGCAATCCTTCATCGGGCTGACGAAACGAAGATTCAAATGAGTCAGATCTGGCATCAAAGCAAAAATCTTATGGTAATCGTCGGTATCAAGCTCTGACATTCCATGTTAGTATGATTACAGAGGGTTATATTTAAGAAGTGTAACACTTACGAGCACAATCGTAGATATTCAATTCCTTGTGGTCACGTCGCAGGAAAAGATCTAAATTCTTTGGGGTGATTGCTCGTCTTCTGGATAAGATCTGACTTATGCGATGCATCAGCGGTGGTGGGATATCACCAAACTCCTTCACGTCATCAATATTAACAGCGATTGTCTGTCGTATATAAATATAGTCAGCTGGTTTCAATATTACATCAGAAAACTAGAGAACATACCTTGATGCATGTTTCGACCAGACCGCGAGTGCCATTGAGGACTAATCCGTCCAGTAAGTTGCTTTGATTTGCACGACGGCTGAGGCCCGAACTTTTCTTCGTCGGCTTCTTCTTATCGCCATCTCTCTCTTTCTTAGAGCAATCCGAGCAGAGGAGGCCACCATCTGGACCCTCCTTGCTGTAAGCAGTCACCGTGAAGCGTTTGCCACAGATCGCACAGTTCCCCAACTGCCCTGGAACCGGGGCCTTTCTTTCATCTGCCATGATATTGGCCAGTCCATCGTCGAAGTCAGGATTGTCTCTGGCATTTCTGGGTGTTCCATGGAGTTGTCGGGCTTTGCGGCGGGCGAATTCCTTGCTGCTCTTGATTCTGTTGATTGCTAGGCTTCGCTTACGCTTTCGCGACTTTTCTTCCTCTTCCTCCTCTTCCTCCTCTTCCTCCTCTTCCTCCTCTTCTTCTTTCTCTTCTTCCTCCTCTTCTTCTTCCTCTTGATTTTCCCCGGTGGCTGCTTGTTCGGCTGCTCGTTCTGCTTCCTCCCGATCTGCCTCGGCGCGTGCGTCAGCGAGTCGACGTTGGTGTCGCTGTTGAATATCAGAGGCGGATATGTTGTTATCCTGGATTGAATCATTCCAATGAGCCAAATATCATAAATTATTAATTGGTAAACGTACAGCAAGAAAGTCTGTCAGGGCCGAGTGTCTGTAAAATAAAGTTAGTGTTGCAGAGCATGAATGAAAAGGAAGTGAGCATACGGCCCCCGGATATTGTTTCTATTTCCTGGTCGTCTTGCCCTATTATATGTCAGTAATGCAGTAGGTCAGAATGTAGACAGTGACAGACATTTTGATCAATTATAAAAAGAAAATGTTGGAAGTGGTAAGTTACGCGGCAGGTTCGTGTTAGCACAGAGTGGAATATTGTAAAGTTGGGTCTTTTCTTGACCGCCTTCTAGGTATCCAGCTGACAGATCCTACTGCCTGCCCACCTTTTCAAGGTAAATCGACACACCGCTTAGAAAATAGTATATAGTTGAGTATAAAGTAACGGAATATGAAGCAAAGGTAGCGTGCGTTCAAGTGAGTAAACAAGTAACGGAATTGGATGTAAAAGTAACGTGCGTTTAACATACCATTAGATGAATGGATCTATAGAGTGGGTCTTTAAGGTGTTCCAACTTTACATTATACTGCTATAGGTAACGCGACTTTCTTATCGTGGATAATTAGATAGGATATGGAGTAGATAGATCGAGATCAAGGAATTGGAACAATCGATATCAGGGTAATATTGAGGTAATCTACTAATTTTATCATAACGTTACTAGGGCTTTTTTCTTTTTTTTTCGGTTTTTCCGGTGGCAAAGATCTTTTCTTGGTTAGGAACTCACATCGTCTGCCTAGAATCATCTTTTGTCCGCCTTCCTCTCTATCTTCCACCTTCCACCTTCCACCTTCCCTTCTTTTCTCCCACGCTCATTTTCCCTCTTAACTCACTCACTTTACGTACTCACATTTAAAATTAGAAATTTTCCTCACTTTCTCTCATTTTCTAATTGTTACGTTCCTCTCGTTATCAAGATCTCCCTGACGTGCGCGGCTCTGCGGAGACACCAATTAAATCCGATCCTAGTATGCAACCCATCTTCCTTCTTCCATTTGCCCTAATTGACTCGACTAATGCCACTTTTATTTTGTTTAGGTCACCTTGATCCTCGCTCTCCTCAGCTCTGAATCTCAATACACTCATTTCCAAGATGAGAACTCGTCGGAGCATTTTCCGTCAATCGGACGACGATGAAAACTCCAGCAGCTCGACTTTCATGAATCCTTCAGCTCCCGAACCCATGAAATTTGACGGTGGACCATCCTTTTCCGCCCAGAACCGTATCATCCAAGATACCGAGGATGAGGACTCTGAGACTGTTGATCGATCATCTCAACCTGAGTCGAATGCTGCATCAAGTAATGTTCTTGTGGTAATTCCAGTCAAGAAAGATGGTTCACCAAGTGAGAGTTCGCATTATTCTGTCGAAAGTCCGTTTCCTACTAGCACCAATACTCCAGCGACTAGTGCATGTGCATCTGCTGAACCAGATAAAACGGCTACTCGACCAAGAGTGAATGTTGCAGATCGTCTTCGATTCCTACGTGATCACGAACTAAACAATCGTAACACCAGAAGCAGGAAACGAGCTTTGGAGGCTGATGATGCTTCTTTGGCTCAATCCCTTCAATTAAAAGAATATAACCAATCCCAACATCCAAAAAAGCAAAAGACTTCACTTGAATCTGCTCTGGAGCCCGGTATGGTCGACTATTCCAATACTGACCGAACACTGCTGATATACCAACTCAGATGGATGGCTGTTCACTGATTCTGATTCTGACCTTTCTGATCTGGAGGTTTCCGACCCCGAATTCGATCTGGGGGCTCCCGCTCTTGAGGTTTCCGACCCCGTGATGCCAGAACTTCAGCTGCTAGAAACCCAGCCACTATCCGAAAGCTGGGAGGAAATGAAAAAGAAACGTCGAGTAAGTGTAGTGTTAGTATCCCAGTCTCATAGACAGTGTCAGTTAACAACTCATCAGAAGCTTAATGATCGCCTGAACTTGGAGAGACACCACCCAGTGCTCAAGAACATGTGGGATGACTCGAAGACTGCTACTATTGTCCCAGTCGCAGCCGAGCAGCCACAGTCTATCACTAGAAAGTTGAAGCCCTTTCAGCTGGAAGGCTTGAACTGGATGGTGCGACAAGAGAAAACTTGCTACAAAGGTGGCCTATTAGGGGATGAAATGGGCATGGGAAAGACGATTCAAGCAGTTTCCCTGATTATGTCGGATCACCCTCAGCCTCAACCAACTCTTGTGCTCGTACCTCCAGTTGCTCTCATGCAGTGGGTTTCTGAAATCAAGGTAGCTAGTGTTGATGTTTTCTTCCTCCTCAGCTAACCATGGTTGCTAGGATTACACTGATGGCAAGTTGAAAGTCCTTGTGTACCACAATTCGGACCCGAAGGTCAAACGTCTTAAAAAGGCGGATCTTCAGAAATACGATGTGATTATGATCTCTTGTACACACCTTTATCGTCCTATCGGTGGCTATTGAGCTGACCCTGTTTCTAGACTCGAGTTTGGAATCGATGTATCGGAAACAAAACAAAGGATTCGCTCGTGAATCTGGGATGGTGAAAGCAGACAGTGAGTTTCCCCTATACATTAAGTCTATTTTAATAAAAAGGAAAATGCATGCTAATTTATGTAGGCGTCATCCATTCAGTCCACTATCACCGATTGATTCTTGATGAGGCTCATAATATCAAAGTATGCTACTGTCTCTGTCCTGTTGCCACTAGGCTTCTCTGCGTTGATAAGTATGCTAACTCTATTTAGCAACGTAACTCAAGTGTTGCCAAGGCCTGTTTCGCCGTGCAGGCTACCTATAAATGGTGTCTTTCTGGAACGCCCGTTCAAAACCGTATCGGAGAGTTCTTTTCTCTCCTTCGATTTTTGGAGATCAAACCTCATGCCAGCTACTTTTGCAAGAATTGCGATTGTACGCAACTGCAGTGGACATCCGGTGGCAAAAACGGTCTTTGTACTAATTGCAATCATTCGTATGCATTTATCTAACACACACTCATTCCAATTCTAACCCGTTTTAGGGCATTCTGTCACATCTCGATCTTCAATCGAGAAATTCTTACTCCGAGTAAGTTTTCTCTATTCTCCCCTTTGATGTACCTCATCTAAAAAATACAGTTTCTAGCGGAGATGGAGACGAGCGAAAGCAAGCGCTTGTAAAGCTCCGATCCATCACTGATCGCATCATGCTTCGACGATTGAAGCAAGATTACACCTCTACTATGGAGCTTCCTCCCAAGCGGTAAGCAGAATAGTACTTCCCCGCTCAAGTTCCAAAACTAACGAGGATTCAATCTAGTATTGTTATTCATCGTGAATTCTTTGGGGAAATTGAACAAGATTTCTCTCGCAGTATCATGAGCAGTTCAACTCGCCAATTTGATACATACGTTAGTCGGGGTGTCATGCTGAATAACTATGCAAACATCTTTGGTTTGATCATGCAGATGCGGCAAGTAGCGAATCACCCAGATCTTCTTCTCCGACGAGATGAGGCGCCGGGCATTGTTCTCGTTTGCCGCGTCTGTGACGAGCCCGCAGAAGATGCCATCCGCTCAGGATGCCGTCATGACTTCTGCCGCAAATGTGCGCAGGACTATATTGACTCCTTCGAGAAAGATGTGGTTGTGGACTGTCCACAATGTCACATTACTCTCTCCATAGATATGGAGCAGCCATCTATTGAGCAGAAGTCGGAAGAATTTGTCAAGAAGAGTTCGATTATCAATCGAATTGACATGAAGGACTGGACCTCATCGACCAAGATTGAATTACTTCTCTACGAACTTTACCTCCAACGAAAGAAGAGCCATACCCCCAAGTCCATCATTTTCTCCCAGTTCACTTCAATGCTACAACTTGTGGAGTGGCGCTTGCGCCAGGCGGGGCTCAATACGGTCATGTTGGATGGATCAATGACACCAGCACAGCGGCAGCAATCGATCGATTACTTTAAATCCAATGTTGATGTTGAGGTGTTCCTTGTCTCACTGAAGGCAGGCGGCGTAGCACTCAACTTGACTGAGGCATCCCGAGTCTTTATCGTGGACCCGTAAGTTCACATTTCTTTCTTGGTTGATCACCCTTACTAATGCGATCTATAGATGGTGGAACCCAGCTGCAGAATGGCAAAGTGCCGATCGTAGCCATCGTATCGGCCAAAATCGACCTTGTGTGATTACTCGGCTCGTCATTGAGGACTCGGTCGAGTCCCGAATGGTGCAGCTTCAAGAGAAGAAGGCCAATATGATCAGAGGAACTCTCAATAAGGATGACTCTCAATGCCTGGAGAAGCTCACTCCTGAGGATCTGCAGTTCCTCTTCCGAGGAAATTAGTCTCTTTGTGGTTCTTGTACCACTAAACCCTCCACGTCAGCTACCGTCGAAAAGTTCGACCCTCATAAAAAAAAGTCGTACTTTTACTCCCTTTTCACGACTCAACGCACATCTTTTATTGCTCTCGTTCATTTACGCCCATCTTATCACCTTTTCTACCCTTTATTCTTATGAAATCATGAATCCTGTACTTTGATATTTCGTTGTCAGCTCAAATGACAGATGTAGTTTTAAACCTCGGTTAGTTGTAGTAGTGGAATCGTCATCGTACGTAAGCCGATGGATTGTTGATCTTTAAGGCTGAAAGCTTGTCATCTTCCCACTTTCTAATCTTAGAACAAACGTGACAAACTTCCCCTGTAAAGGGAAAGATCGTAGTCAAATCGATCCCGAATCATTTTCCCCCCTCCATCTCCCTATTACTTAGTCCACCTCATACCTAAGTACGCTCTGTAGCTACCCTATGTTCTATCTCTATTCTCTCTCATCTTTCAACTTAGTTTTATCTCTGTTTATCTCTTACCACGCTGGCTATGGCAACACACACTGTTGACCGGGTCGCCCCAAAAATAGTCGAAAAGGCCGACAAGTTACAGAATAGACTCTCTATCAAAGATGACCCCTCAACACCTTCTGGTGGGTTCGATGCGACTCCTATTCCAAGTGCGCCTCCGGGCTACACGGTCAAGTTCACCTTCCACCGCGGTGATAATCTTCCCGTTGCAGACTTTGGCTGCTTTTCCTCAGACCCGTATGTATTTGGGCAACTTCAAGTCGATCTGCCCCCGCGCCACAAGCAAGATCCTCTTGTGAGCTTCCGCACTCCGACCGTTCACAAAAATCTGAATCCTATTTGGAATTGTGAATGGGTTGTCGCGAATGTACCGGCATCGGGTTTTCAACTCAAGGCATATGTGTATGACGAGGATCCGGCGAATCATGATGATAAGCTGGGAATCGCTTTCGTCAATGTCCCTGCTTTGTCAGAGAACTGGGAAGGGATCAAGGAACAATCATTCAAGGTCAAAAAGCGTTACGGTAGCAAACGTGTCTATGTCTTTACTAATGTTTCGGCATTTACAACGGGTCATCACAAGGAATCCTTCTTGATAATGAGCATCGAATGCTTGGGGAAAACACCAGGAACCGACGGCGGCCATATGTACACCGTCGGCCCTCAGTATTGGTTCAAACACCATTCTCCTATGATCGGGAGACTGACAGGTACGAAAGATTTGGTTTCAACTCAAGATGGTAGTGGCAAAGAAATCAGTCGTTACAAGTATGTCGCTTTCCCATCCCGCTCGTTTCATTTTTCTCGCTAAAAGCCTCAAACAGCTTCCAAGCTATTCAAATGCAGCTCCAAGGGCCGGTGCCGCCAGAGCTCTATCATCGATATGTCGCTTTCAGGCCTCTCATCGCAGGCATCTTTCAAGCCCGAAGTCTGCAAGGGCGAATTCTTCACAAGGCTCTCCACCACCAACACCAGAGGATCTACAACTTTGATCGCACTACCGAGAATGGACTTTTCCCCGAACCTTGTCTAGAATTTGTCCAGAAGTTCTTGGAGTTCGTCCACTATGGACAAGGTGGTCGGATCTTCACCTACGTTATTACGTTGGATGGTCAGCTTCGATTCACGGAGACAGGAAAGGAATTTGGTATTGACATGCTGAGCAAACATACAATGCACAGTGATGTGTCGATGTACATTTGTTACTCGGGAGAATTCTTTGTGCGCCGGCGCAAACACCGCCATCACCATGGCGCTCCATCACGCGAGACAGAGCACGTGATCATGGTTGAAGAAGAAGATCCATGTGAAGATACTGTGGAGCCTTCAAACGAGCCGATAGACTACGAACTCTTCATCGATAATGATAGTGGGACCTATCGTCCCAATGGCAAAAAACTCCCGCTGCTGAAGGAGTTTCTAATATCCAACTTCCCCGGTCTTCATATCACAACCTTTGACTCTCAAAATGATGCTGAGATTATGGGGCAGTACAAGGAAGAGCAGCGTGAATTTAAGAAATCCCACGGTCATCTAATGACATACCTCCAGCAGAGCAGTCTCTCGTCGCTCTCAATTTCCAGCTCGGATGAAGATGAGCTGAACGAACGAAGTGGAGCGCCCAAGCACCGAAGTAATATTGCTCAACGGGCCCATGAGATGCATGTGAAAGGACAATTCAAGCGCTGGGTTGAGGCAGATGGACATGCTGATCGCCATAAGCATCACTATACCGGACGTGAGCGAGCTGCCTCTGACGGCGAGGCCATCAGGGGCTCCAAACTACCCATCAATGATGTAACAGCCTAAATTGTCTCTCTCTCTCTCTCTCTCTCTCTCTCTCTCTCTCTCTCTCTCTCTCTCTCTCTCTCTCTTTTTTCTTCCTTTTATTGCTTTATTGAGTTCATCTGAGGTCCGATTCTCTGTCCGGTACAGAATATCACGACATTAATGATTAGAACAAGCCCGGTCGGAATGTTACCTGAGCATGTTTATTAATTAATTCCTAGTTAACTAATTATTCACTTTATCACTGCAGCTATCATTCGAGTTCATTGGACATATAATTATTACCTAGGATTAAGTCCTCGTTCATCAAGTTAAATTCGATTCATTACAAACAAGCATCTGCGCCAAGGACCATAAGCGCAGGGTTTCCTAGTTCTTTTTTATTCAAAACCAGGTTCTAGTTTGGGTCAAGAATCCGAGGCTGAAACAGACTAGAGCAATCCTGTAAGAAACAGAAATCGGGATTAAAAGGGAAAGAAACGAATACAAGGAAAAGAAAATAGAGAAATAACCTGTTACACGTACAAATAAAAACAGATAAAAAACAGATTGATAAGTTTATAGAAATCTAGTCACGAGAACAGACGAAACAAATGAGATCAGGCGCTCCACTGCCGAGAATCCACCCCAAATCTACGCGCGCGATCACAGATCCCTATAAGCTCGTCTCGACTCCACCCTTCCACCCCTCTGTAACCATCATCGTTTATTTTTCTTTTCTTTTCTGAATGACGGCTACCTTGGCTTACTCGCCTGTTCCTTTCCACTGGCCATCTGACTACTGCGCATCCTGTCGATGGCCTATTGTGGCTTTTGACCGAACTCATCGCGCTGTGACTTGATTCTACCTGCACCATCATGGGCAACATCGCCAGCCGTCTGGACGATACAGGGAGCTTGTTTATTAAAGATCAAAACAGGTGTATGATCTATCCACTGCATCATCACTCTCTTTCTTTTTCTTCGTCTCCGTCCTCTTCCACCTTCATCTAGGCTTGAACTGATGAATTATTTGCCCCCAGTCTCTATCGCATCGCTCACCATAAGCAACTCCCGACGACGCCTTCTCGTTATAACTCCTAACGCTTTCCCTGCCGTGAGATATGCTGCCAAACGAGATACGAATGATGATACTCCTATCGAATACATTCAGGTATGCGCTACTTGTGCTCGAGGTGGGAATGCCAGCGCATAGCTGACCTTGAAAATCAACAACAGGATCCCGATGTGCCCTCGTCCGCTCCGGCCCCGACTTTCTTAATACGCCTATCGAATGAAGACGAACTTATATTTAATTTTACATTCATCCTCCGTCAAACGAAGACTGGAAACGTCGCGGGTTCTACCGTTAATGGTGTCTCGAGTTCGATGCCCGAAGTGGCGGAGACCCTGCTCACGGGACTCACCTTTGCTCACGCGTCAAACTCGAAGGAACTAGATAATCTGATCACGCGAGAGTTTCATGCAAATCCAAATCTTCAGAACAACTCGAACGTTCAACTCATCGGAGATTTCTCAACGGATGGCACCCCGTCCGTCTCATTTGAATGGTCGTGGAAGTGGAAACCTCCGAAGATCTCTGAGGATAAAGGAGGCGGATGGCGCAACAGCTGTAGTCTCTTGGATTATGATCAAAGAACTAATCGCTTGAACACCCTTGCGCACTTCTCTTTCTGGGTACACAATGCGGTGCGCCCACTACCGAGTCCTTTGTTGTCGTCGCCCAACCTCGAGTTGCCCATTCCTCGCAGCCGCATGCCTTCCACCCAGTCTATATACTCTCATTTCAGTGAATTTGAACCTACCTTGTATCGAACCATATCCTCTTCGACAACTCCGCCTGAATCCGCGGATGGTGCACCTCCTTCACATCCGCCCCACCCGACTACTGCACCTCCCCCTCCTCCCTTGCCAATGGTCAAAGTGGACCTACCACATTCACGACCCGCGGATGACACATCTCTGGTGGAAGATGGACCACTATTCCGAGCCACAATGAAAGCATTGGAGCAGAAAACCGGAAACATGCGCTCAAAGATCAAAAAGGTCCTAAAGAAGGCCGAGGCTGCCCAACAAGCTCAAGCTTCTTGTAACGACGCTATGCGGGCGTTCCTCGAGTCTTTGAACGATGCGTCTACGTTTAATGCTAACGCTATCCAGCCGGCGTTAGATCACTACTTCGAAAGAATCGCCCGGCAGATTCTGATTTATGAGGAACTCAACGCTGATCAGCTGCAGAGACTCGTCATAGAACCTCTCATTAAACTATACCATAATGATATCAAGCAAGCTGAAGCGAAGAAGAAAGACTTTGACGAGGAGAGTCGCGATTATTATGCTTTTGTCAGTCGGTATTTGGGTCAACGACAGGATTCTCTCAAGGAGAAAAAGCGTGCCGAGAGTGATTCAAAGTATCAGGCTAAGCGGCGGGTCTTTGAACTGAAACGCTTCGATTATTCCTCTTTCATGCAGGATCTTCATGGTGGCCGTAAAGAGCAAGAAGTCTTGTCACATCTTACCAAGTATGCAGACTCCCAAGCAAAGAATTTCTTGGACACTGCCAAGAAAGTTGAAGACATGGTGCCACAGTTAGATGCTCTTATTCATGAAGTGGGCCAGGCAGATAAGGAATTCCAGTTCAAACGAACTGAGCGGGAGGAAAAGCGCAGAGCCTTGGAAAAGAACAGCAGCCCATACCACGAGCCAGATGTGGTGACCGGTGCACCTACTATTGGATCGTCTACTGCTGGTATCAGCTCAGCACCCCCTACTGAAAACGAACTTGGTCGAGCGGATAGCACCGGCTCTCAGCTTCGGGGGGTCATTAGCAACACTTCGTCAGTTTCGTCCCAAGCTACTGCGGGAGCTGGGATCTCATCATCTGCCCCTTCTGTCGTCACCACTACCCCTAGCTCTGCGGGTCCATCAACTCAAAATCGCTTCAAAGGCATTCGTGATCTTGAAGATCAAAATTCCCTTGGATCTGACCGCACTGCAGGACAGCTTCGGAAAGAAGGCCTCCTTTGGGCTTTGTCTCGCCCCGGTTCACACATTGATCCTAAGGGGATCAATAAACAAGCCTGGCATAAGTAAGTTCAACTCGCAAGTAAATTGGTTTGATTTCGTATTGACGGTCTATCCGCACAGGTTCTGGATTGTATTGGATCAAGGTAAACTATCAGAGTACAGTAATTGGAAACAGAAGCTAGATCTCCACATGGAACCCATTGATCTCCGAATGGCGTCAGTTCGCGAAGCTAGAAATGCAGAACGGCGTTTCTGCTTTGAAGTCATTACACCCCATTTCAAGCGCATTTATCAAGCAACTTCGGAGGAGGATATGATAAACTGGATTCGATCTATCAACAATGCACTTCAAAGCGCTGTTGAATGTCAAGGAATTCCATCGGCACCCCCATCGTCGTCCAAGAATGAGTCGTCCTCTGGTCGGGATATCGGTTCTGTTTTGACAGGCAAAAGCTCATCAGTGTCTGGTCACCATGGGCACTCGAACAGTTCGAGCACTAGTGCCAGTGCCAGTGGTGTAACCCGCCGCACAACTGTTGGAGCACGGCCCAGCTATGTCCGCAACGATGGTATCAACTTTGAGGAAAATCCTTCGCAACTTCTTCAGGTAGTACGCGATGCAGACGAGGGAAATAATTGGTGTGCCGATTGCGGGTCCTCTTCAAAGGTCGAGTGGGTGTCCATAAACCTCGGAATTATACTGTGCATCGAGTGCAGTGGCATACATCGTTCTTTGGGAACACATATCTCCAAAATTCGGTCTCTCACACTAGATGTGCATTCCTTCTCGAATGATATTGTGGAGATTCTCTTGCAGATTGGCAACCGTGTCAGCAATATGATCTGGGAAGCGAATTTAGACCAAACTATCAAGCCGACCGCAGGTTCTACGCGAGAGCAACGACTGAAGTTCATCACGGCCAAATATGTTGATCGATTGTATGTCGAGCAACTGCCATCCTCGCAGTCCCGCTTTGCGAACCCTGATGAGACTCTCCTTGCGTCGATCAAGAAGAATGATATTCAGGGAGTCCTCTACGGAATTTCTCTGCGAGCCAATGTGAACGTTCCCGATCGTTCCAGGAACACGCATGCCGTGTTCCTCGCACTTGCTGCTGCAGACCCTGCCTCTCCGGGATCGACTCCCACCACATCCACCAGCCTCTCCGCTCGCTCTAGCCCAAAGGCGATCCCCTTTCCCATTGCTGAACTGCTGGTCCAGAACGGCGCGGATATTCCCCCACAACCACCGTCAATTCCCCTCTCCCCTGCAGCTAAGCTTTATCTAAATCAGCGGGTTGCTCGAAACGGTGCTTTCTCAGGCCCCTCCCCATCCCCAAACGCTGGGAAATCTGTCCCAAATGACACCCTTGGCTCTCTCCCCACTATTCGCTCGATGAGCAGAGATGGCTCTACTTCGTCCGGCTACGCTTCTAGCCCTTTGGAATCTAAAGAGAAAGAGAAACTCTCCAAGCGAGGAAGTGCCGGTGCCCGCTTCGCCGGAAAGGTGGCATCCCTTGGCATTGACAGATAATTTTCAGCTTATTGGATATAATACTATGACTTCCTAATTGTATCTATTAATGAGATCCGTGCATGAACCCCCCTCATTCTGATGACTCTTGTGTTTTGCTTCGTTTTTTGTTCTTTCAACCCCTCATTGGCGGTCTGCTTATCTTTTCATCCTTGTTTTCCTTGGTTCTCACGTCTTCACTGACCGTATCTTACTTTGGCTTTTTCATGAGACTTGTGATACCTGGCAGGTTTAGGTGTTCCTGCACTATTTAATTTCTCTCTTCTTCATCCAATAGCGTTGATAGCTTGCTGTGTATCAGTTGTCTCAGCAACGCTTATCATTTTTATATTTCAACCTTGGACGCTTTTGATGTGTATCTAATCCAATAGTCGAAAGTACATACATACCTTCTATCGTATGCTTCATAAATAGCAGGGTATCTTGAAAACTCAACCTTCAAATGAAGATAAGTCATGGAACCTTGGGAAGCCCAGCGGGTTTACAGGTCAAAGTGCAACGCCGAAATAGAAGACCCAATGCCCCAGCGCTAAACTATCGACCTATGTGGCTCATAAGACCAATCAAGCCCCGTGCGATGTGGTACAGGCAGTGTATGCTCTTCAGCCATTTTCCACTAAAGGCTAGACTCGTGCATGGAGTGTGAAGATCCGAAGTTCGAACTATGCATACTATACATTCCGTACCTTCAACGTAGGAAGGAGATGTGGTGTCAAGTATAATTAGATCTTTTGAATTATTTAAACATGACATAGCTATGTCAATTGAGATCATAGTACATATTAGTATCTGATCTCCATGAAGATCTTGTTTCTAAAAAAAAAAAAAGAGACGATTTTTGCATCGAATGATTCAATTGATGAAAGTGGCTTGCTTCAATGTTGTCAGGAACGACATGCGATATATATGACGTCATGGCATTCCACATGACAATATGGCGCTTGAGGCTTGACCGATTACATACTACTAGGTAGTATGATATCAGATGGAGTATGTAGATAGTAGAAACTGGGCATAGTTTAAAGAATTAGATACCTAGGTAATCAGTACTTATAAATTTTATTACGGAGCGATTCAGTGATCAATTACGCGTCTAGTCACATACATCGAGACGAAGAGTGTAATCATCTAATACCGGTAAGAATACTGCCAGGGCGATAAACGGTTGATAGAAGTATAAGGATCACATGACATGGAGAATTCGGTTTCAAGATGTCCATTGAGTACGGAGAACTGCATAAAAGATCCAAGTACAGAGTACATTCTAGAATTCAGTAGACTACATTAGTATCTATACAGTAGTTAAATATGTTCGTCACCTTTGCCTTAAAACCACTTATATATGATCTACTACTATGTACTATAAGCCGCGTAACCTAAACCCTAAGCCTTACTCATTCTCCCAAGCCACAGTGGCACAGTGACATGTGATTGCCACTCTAAATTCTGATCAAATACCAATATTCTCTAGGGAGTAACTATAGTAATGAAGAAATACGTCGTATACACAAGTACTGCTAAAACTGGCTCTTATTGGCTGGGATGCAATCCCGAAGATAACTTCGCAAGTGGGTCACTTAAAACGCCAACTTCCTTCCTACTTGACCCACAACCCACTGCAAATCAACCTCATTACCCAAACGATATTCCAGTTTATAATTCGATCTGAAAGTTTGAATTTGATTGGAAACACATTTTAGTATCCATATACTCCAAGGGGGTCCCTCAATTTCAGTCATGGCCATCCGGTCAACTCTATTTACGAGAAGAGGTCAGAATATACACTTGCAGCGGGTTCTCCCCGTTACCGACAGAATGGTCTGATGGACTTGCTTGGGCCCGTCGGATTTTCTAATACTCAAAATTTTGGTATTGCACCTACATGACTCGACTCGGAATACCTCCGGTCCCTCCCTTTTATTTTATTATTATTTTATTTTGGGTGATGGATCTCAACATGCTATGTCCAAATCGGGCAGCAGCTTGGACCCGGACCACCGATGATAGTTATTGGTAGAAAATACTGATCGAATCTAGTGGGACCTAGTGGGAGTGTACCGTGGACCTAATACCTATATGCATATAATATTAATAGTCTGTAGATACTGACTACTAAGTAGATTCTAGGCATTGTACCATATCCACTTTTCCCGAACCTCTGCCTTACACCCCTGACAGTGGCAAACCTGGCCCTTCAAGCCACAAGCCACGGTTTATGTCGTATTGGGTTTAATCCATTTTTCTGTTCCCGTGGCTTTTCTTGCGTATTCTTCGCCACTAACTGTATGAATACAGTTCATGATTGGATAGACTGGTTTCAACGACCCGAATTGACATGACTCTCTCAGATATATGGGCCGGTCAAGCCTCAAGCCTCAATCCTTGACTACATATTTACTTATTAAAGTTAGTCTGCCGATATCATCGACATATCTTCAGTGATTTCTCTTCTCCTCGAGTGGCACTACCTCCAGAGCTGCATGAGCCGCTTAATGTCCTAGGATTTGATTTGAAAGTGGCCCTTGTCAGCTCCACTTGAGGACAAGCATTTGTCACTGCAGAGTCATTTCGAAAATTTCTACTGTCATAACATATGTGGCGTCCTTCTTCAGTTTTAATACTTAATTGGGACCAAACACCGACACAATTCGGCATGCTCAACGGCACAAAGACCGGTGAATAGACCCACCAGCTACTCCTACTTGAACTATACATTCCTCCTCCCCCACACGCTTCTTTCATATTTGCCTCTGGATCATCTTAATCCTTTTCCGCAGAAATTTGATGCAACTGTGATCACCATCTCAGCCCATTGCCTTGCCAAGCTTAGGCGTCGTCTTCAATCCGCCACTCTTTTTATAACATCAGGAACGTAGCACATCTAGATCATTGGATATTATTCAGCGGATCTTTTTGTTTCTCTGCTGCCTTCGTCCAAGTCTCTACGGAGAGGTATATACAGGCAAGGCCCTGTTCCCTGTCGCTGCCGTTAGGTACTTTTTTCGACCCATTTTAGCAGCAAGTACCTAGGTAAGTGTTTTTTGTTGCTCACACAGTTTACACTTGAAGTCGACTTGACACGTAGTAAGCTGGGGCCACCTTCGTAACGAGCTAGTTACTATGTGCGCCCAAGGCACCTAATTAAAACGTTCAGCTCACTAATTAGGAATAGACAGGACAACTTTATTGCCCGTGTTCCCGTGTTCCCGTGTCTGTGTGTGTCCGTGTCCCCGAGTCCAGACTGTTCAGGTATGTTCTTAGCAAAGCTATCTCCTTCCTATATGATTCACCCCCATTGGCGGATTGGCTTTCCTTTTCCTCAAGTTTCGCTTGCCCTTCGGCCTTTGTCCCCACTCCTTTTGCCCTTTAAACAATTTTGAAATGAAGAATTATGTACTATTCACAACCTGGGAACTTCCAAGGTTCATTGAGCATATCAGTTCTTGTTCTGCACTCATCACGAACCTTCAGACTGATTCCAATCTTGTTGCTATACTTGATTTCATGTCTCTTTCCATGGTATAGATCGTTTTTTTTTCTCTTACCGAGATGAGGTACATTAGTGGCTTTCCCAAGTCAGCGGTGCCCTACCTAAGCGCAGGCGATACACAGACTCTGCCAGGTGTACCATCTCACCACTTCACATCTACCTTCATCTATTGCCCCCTTCCTTTCCATTCTTTTCATTCTTCCCTTCTTTCTTTGCCCTATATCCCCTTCTAATCCATCTTATGCTTAACTTGTCTACAATTTCCTTCAGTGCTTTCAGGCTATCGTTTTTTCATGTTTTGGCTCATACTGCTTTACCGGATCCCATTCTATGAACTCTCATTGACCTTTTAATTTATTTTAGATCTAGTTACTCCTCAGCCAACGCTTGATATTTTTCCGATATTGGGATTATTGCCATTAGAGTGATTCACTACCTTGTTTAGAGGGCCCAGTTCCAAGTGGTCTGTCTCACGAAATCTCCATAATTTTCCAATTGTCAGAAAGGTAAGTAGAAATCGTGTGTATATAAAACCTTTCAATCTCTAACTAATCATTGCCTTGACAAAGAGCTATCTTCATCCTTTCAATCTCTCTGATCACGACCGCGCTCCATGGGCGATGATCCCTCATTCACAGTCAACTCAATCCGAGGGGCAAAAGAAACATCTCCAGGGTCAGAACCAGTCCTGCAGCCAACTCAATTAATTAGTAAGTTCCTCACCGGTTCACTGGTTCAGGAGATCAAAATCATTGATTCGGTACATGACAACAGGTAATAATTTTGTCAATCAACACGTGCGATCAACACAGGTCAACCCTAACCCAGTCTCTATCGGCTTTGAAGGAAATGGACAATATCCGTCCTTGTCACATTTTAATATGAGCAACATGGGATTTTATGTATTACCCAATCCCCATTCACCTCCATTACACCATTATTCGAACCATGCACAAGGGAATGGGTACCCAAATCAGGCCACTGGCCAGTATAATGGGCAGAACGCAGGGGGAATACAATACGGCGTTCCATTTGCACCGGCTTATGCACATTATCCAATTCCCCAGCACTCGCCAATTCAACATGGTCACTCTTCTCAATATGCTGCCAACCAATCGATACAAAGTATGAGAGGGGCTCAGACACCTTCTTATCAGGCAGGTTATTATCTCCCTCCAGCGTACACTGCCAATTACGGGCATGGAACACATACGGCTAGTCAATTACCACAACAATCCCGTACTCCAGTTTCTTCTGGCCGTCGTTCATCCGCAACGGTCAATACAAACTCTAAAAAGGCGGAAACAGACAAGCGAGCTTCTGAGGAAAGTTACGATGTATCGATCGTGGACGGGTCTAATCCTCCAAAGCCGGCACATGGCCCATCGCATGGTATGTTCATTCTACAATGAACTCTTAAACGTTTGATATTTGCTCACCTATTTTGCTTAGAACCTAGTTCTCTCGCTCCGTCAATCTCATCACCGAGCAATCTACGATGGCCTCCACGGAAACCTAAACAGTCCGGCCACGCCTTATGGGTTGGAAACTTACCTGCCGAAGCAAATGTGATAGATCTTAAGGATCATTTTTCACAAGACGCAACTGATGACATTGAGAGTGTGTTTCTCATCTCGAAGAGTAACTGTGCATTTGTGAATTACAAGTCGGCGACTGCCAGCACTGCTGCATTAGCGAGATTTCATGATTCTAGATTCCAAGGTGTTCGCCTTGTGTGTCGATTACGGAAGGGATTTTCAGTGCCGGGATCTGGTCTCTCGCTAGCAATTTCTCCCAGGTCGCGAACTAACGAATATACGGCGGTCATTCCAAACGGTGAAAAACGGGATCTGGCCGAGGGTCCCTCTCCCTCACTCGAGAGGGGCTCTCGTTCTTCAGATCGATATTTTGTCGTGAAAAGCCTGACAGTAGATGACCTTGAATTCAGCAGGCAGAGTGGTATCTGGGCCACTCAGGCACACAATGAGATCAACCTTAATAATGCTTTCGAGGTGAGTTCAAAAATTTTCCTTTATTTACAACCTACACTTTGTCTAATATTGGGCTGCAGGCCACTGATAATGTATATTTGATATTTTCAGCGAATAAATCAGGAGAGTACTTTGGGTATGCTCGCATGTTGTCTCCGATCAGGGACAACGAAGAGCTTGCTCTGGAAGTGCCACCACGTCTAGAGCGTGTACCGGGGACAACAGATGAAATGAAGACGATCCCCACTGCAGCCACCTCAACGGCTCCCAAGGGACGTATTATTGATGACTCTACCCGTGGCACCATCTTCTGGGAAGTCGAGTCCTCCGAGGATGAGAATGACGATGCCCGGAGTGAAAAAAGCACGGACATCACACCCGAAGAGACTGAGCCTCAAGGACAATACATTGGGAATCCATTTCGTATACAATGGCTCTCTACTGAACGAGTGCCCTTCCATCGGACACGCGGCCTCCGCAACCCTTGGAATGCCAATCGAGAAGTCAAGATTGCTCGTGACGGGACCGAAATAGAGCCGACTATCGGCCGAAACCTGATTCAGTTGTTCCACCAGGCCTCAACTTAAGAAGTGCCCATAGGTTCAATGTTGAAGAACTCTGAACTTGTTGGGGGAGGTTGTTGAATGGGAAGCAGAGCTGAGTTCAAAATACGGGAAACAAGTAATATCGTATGTCAATTTCTCTTTTCTAACACTATCAATTGGTTTCATATAAGGAAGTCTTCTAGTTCGGGATTATAGAGAGTGATGGCCAGATAGAAGATATAATAAATACTATACAGAAATGTCCCAAATCGGGTCACGGTAAGAGGAACTGACCAGTCAGAAAGGATGATCAACATCGATAGCATCATCACTCTAATCAACCAATTAAGAAGTGGCGTTACCCCAGAATATCCGTTTAGTCTTTTATTCTTAATTTCTTATTTCCATCTCGTGTTTCTGTTTCCCTTTAGTGGTGCCACACTTTCTTCATCTTCCCCTCAATTTCATTTCATTTCACTACTTCTACTACTTATTCATCCCCTCCATCTCCCCTCACCTATCATCTTCCACACCTTCCATAATTCTCACCCATCCTTATCCTTGCAAGGCTTCTTCCCCGCCTTTTACTACCCTTTCTTCAGTTCATGAAGGGGGCGGCGAGTCCGTCCAATTTGCCCATTTCTTTCCAATTCACCTCTCCAAATTAGCTCCTGAACTTCTTAACTGTACCTCCCTCCATCATGTCCAACGACCGCAGATCCTCCCCTATCACTGTCCCTGAGTCAGTTGCTCATCCTCGACGTGGTTCATTCGCCTCTAGCCTCCCTTTCACCGACCTTTTCTCTAAGCAGAACAATCAAGCTGCCAAGGAAAATGTCAGTAATCAGACAAATCAACGGCGAGTGTCCATTACCACATTAGGCTTGTCCGGTTCACCTACCCAGCCTTCTGCCCTCGGTTTCGGAAACCAAGCCCTCCGCCGAGGCAGCCTGTCCAGCTCTTGGGGCTCCGGGGCTCAAAATGAAGATATCCTTGGTGAGGATACGGATGGCCCCGCAGGTGTCACACCTAGCTCGCCCTTCGCTCGTCGAGTCTCTTTTGGTGCACAGGCACTTCGTGATGCCCGTAGTGGAAGCATAGGCAATGGTAGATACCCCCTAGCCTTTCAATGGAAGGGGCCCGCCGAGTCGTTCCATCGGTCGACTCGGGTGTCTCTGTCCGATCTCCTGCTGCAAGTACCTCAGCTTCTCCTCAGGATAAGAGATCTAACATAAGTCGCTTACCAGGCGAAGGTTTCAACTGGTCTGAGGCCCTCCGCTCCCGTGCTGAGCGTGCCCCATCTATTTCAGGCCAGGCTCACTCCCCGCAAAACCACGCCCGCCAGTCGAGCCAATCCAGCTACCAACGTGCTGCCTCTATTGCCGTCATGGAGCAACCCCCAAATCACGAAATCCATAAACATCCGAAACATAATAGCAAGCCTGATTACTTTCAAGAGAAAATCTTGCGAGGTGATTTCATGGACTAGTCCTTTTCATTTGCTTCAGAGCACCCTCCCTTTTTATGCGCCATTCCAACAAATTGCTTCGTAAATTTGCCATTTTCCTTCGAGTTCTTATCTCCCTGGGAAATTATCTTGATAATTTCCTGCCTATGGGTACTGAGTACTTGCTGGGCTTTATCTTGCTAATATGGACCTCTTTTTTATTATTCTTCCATTTTGGGCAGGCCTTTTGATTTATTTCGGCGTTTGTCATTGATTTTACCACATTAGCTTAAATTGACATGACCAAAATTGAAATCAAATCGAAACGAAATCATGTTGTAATAACCGTGCAGGTTTACTTGCGCTATCAAGGAATGATACCTTGAAACGTGATCTGTAATAGATATTCTTTAATGTTGTCTGAGTTTAAAGGGCACTCTATATCATAGTACACTGTATGTTCTCCCTTCTCTCTCTCTCTCTCTCTCTCTCTCTCTCTCTCTCTCTCTCTCTCTCTCTCTCTCTCTCTCTTTATATATGTATATATCCATGCCTATACCTAGACATCGTTCTCCCCCTCCCCTGTCCACTATACGTCTTCAAAAGACTGATGGTATCGGAGAAATTCTTAAAAGGACCAACGCCAGCAACATTTTCAACATTACCTTCATTATGCGAGAGGTCTTGCTTCTTGCTAGCCAGTTCTTCGTCTTGTTTATCATGTCCTTCAACCAAACGTCGGTCCATGAGTTGACTAGTCGTAAGCTGGTGCTGTGGTTCAGGTGGTGTCCACTCGCTACTCTTCCATGGTGGCACATGTATCACGTACATCATATCAACCTCTTCTAAGGTTTTTCTGTTGATTTAGATAATAAATAGAACGATAATTAGTTGGAAGAGGCAGACATGATTTATAATATGTGTTGTACTTACCTTTCCCTCGACGACGAATAAATAAACAACCAGCACTGCGACAGCCAAGTATCCGGCAAAGACATAACCATAAGCAAAGTCGATATCACTCGTGATGAATGGAGTGAAGAACCCAATCAAGAAGTTCCAGAGCCAGCTTGAGGCGGTAACAGGATAGATATAGCTCGGCCACAATTGCCCATACCATCGGGCCCCATATCATTGCAAATCCTGTAATGAACAGACAGGCGAAGACAACCATTGCTGTACTACCACCAGGTGTATTGCGTGGGTTCTTGACGTCAAGCGAGAAGTGAACCACGGATGCAAATACCATGAAGCAGATGAATATCCAGATTCAGCCTGTGATTTGCGTCGTTCATAGTGTTCAATGATATAAAGACCGCCAAATACTATTCCAAAATCAACTCCACTTATTATCATCTGCGTGACAAATGTGTTGCTGATTCCGGCTCCATTGAGAGTGGTGGTTCCCTGGTTTGAGTGGTAAGTCTCATCGAACGGATAGCGATCTCATCATGGTGACTTACATAGTAAATGAAGTAATTGGCTCCAGTTGCAGCGCCTGAAGACTCATGCTTAATGCAATTTAGTATAGCATCGAGGTGCCTAGAACATCTCAATCCAGCCATGCCAACCACCTTGAAACCCCTTCTCACAATCCAGCTGCTCTTGAATCTCAAAGATCTCCTGGACAATCACCCTGTGATTATTGGGCACACCATACAGCAGAGACATGGTTTTCTTCGCAGTCTACACACGACCCATACGGTAGTCATATCGAGGTCTCTTTGGAAACAAGAGAATGCTAAGCCCCAAGATTAGAGCCCAAAGGACTGTGTCCCTAGGATAATTCGCCAGGAAGTCGTGTTGACGATCTTCTCGGTGCCAAAATTGATGCAGTATGTGACGAAGATGCCCAATGTCACAAATAATTTATTAGAGCTGGTGATATGTGAAGTTATGAAAAGACATACAGGTAGTGATTTTTTCAGGATATTTACCAGGCCATCAGGCCACGGATATGTCCTAGAGCAATTTCACTTTAGTACATGGGTATCAACAACGAGCATGCACCAACGCCAAATCCAGTGATGAACCGCCCCATCATCATCTGATACTATTTTTCACTAGGCAAGGAGACCTGAATGATGAGGCCGACATGCAGGATGATAGTATTTACGACCTATCCTCTCTGCTATAGGACTAGCAATGACGGCGCCAAAAAGGGTGCCAATGGATAACTTCACGGCGTTAGTCGTTAATCGTTATTTCGAGGTCGATGTAATACTTACTAGGGAAACAATTAATCCTGAGCGGACGTTACTGAAATAATAGGTCCTATCACTTCTCGATTGGCCATATCGTTGCTTATAGTTCATCATTTCGAGGAGCCCTCAGATTTGTCCATTATCATATCTAAAGATAATACCACCAATGGAGACAAATGCACCCAGCAACAATGATCGCTATGTCACACATGGAATTCTAGATTCATCAAGATACCCAGTAATCTTCTCGCAGTCAAAAGATTTTCCAGTTGAATCACTCGATTGAGAGGAACTAGAGCTCCCAATGTCTCCTTTTGGAGCAAACAAGTTCTTCATTTTGTCCCGGAAGCGTCAATCTTTTCTATGTATATCGTGGAATTGAATTGTGCAAAAAAGGTACAGGATACTGTCATACTCGAGACTATTTAAAAATCCTTGTTATGGCCTCGTGCTGATAATCTGAGGTTGCCACGAATCTGAAATTGGGATGAAATCGTCATGGATCCCGGCACTTCATCTATGAGATAGGGCTAGATTCTCCTACCTAGGTACAACGTATATTTAACAGATGGAGTCTTGGAAGATTGGCCAGGGCAGTACATTTGAATACCATAAATTGTTTCCTCCGATTATCTTCATAAAATATGAACTCTGTGCCGTAATTACTTCTGCCCTGAATGGTGGTCGAGTCATGACGTTAACTAGTACTATAACGCCGCTACTTATTCAAATTGCATCTACCTATATATGTACTTCATTGGCTAGCAGATGTCTGCTGAAAGACGGGTTTCTAGTTTAATACAAATTGGTCTAGTATTGAATGCAGATGGGATCGAAGTAATTTATCATTGAGGGAGTTTCAGATATCCAGGTCAAATGAGAGAGGATAAACAACATTCTAAGCCCCTTAGTATGGAATACCGTTGGTCATCAATTGGAATTGGTCGTATCCCTTGGTAGACCGGCTCATGTAAGACTTGCGCGTAAGATCTCGCATGTACTCGGCTGCGTCGCGATCGTTCTTCTCCAGGACAAACCGGTCGCGGAAATTCTTGAGAGTCTCGGGCTTGAAACATGGAAGACCACTGTCCAGCATCAATGACACGATATGTGACAGCTTATTACAGTAAGGACGTGAGGCCAAGAATGACTTGACAACCAAGGACTCGAACCAACGGTAGGACTGTGTGGCGGTTGGGTTGAATGAATTGGTTCCTGGAAGACTGATGCCTGCATTGTGATGAGCTGGATCGTGGGTTCCACTAATCACAGCTACCATTTCCGATGTCAGTTTGAACGGCGCTCGCTCAAACCGAACACCACCAGGTGCAATGTCGAAGCAGAATCCAAAGTCGATGTGGATGATATGCCCAGCATCGTCAATCATAATGTTTCCATTGTGGCGATCCTTGAACTGTAGCAGGAATGAGATGACCGAGTACGCTGCCATACTCTTAACAAAGTTGGTGCGGGCCTCCTGGAATTTGATCGAATCTTCCCCTCCGTATTTGGAGACAAAGTAATCATACAATCCATTTACAGCCTCACGTCCAAGCATGTCGCGAGAAATCGAGTTAGGCAAAACGTCAATGACACCACAGCCAGGTGCCGTGGAAGTGACCCGGTACGGAAAGACCCAGACATCTAGCCCAACACTATTAAAGATGCTTCGGAATGCCGCAATCATTTGTAACGCAAGCATGTCCTGGCGACAGTCGTCACCAACCTTGAAAATGGCCGATTGCCAGACTTCATATGTCTCCACCTCAGGCTCCGATGACTGAGTGACCAACTGATGCTGGTCATAACCTTGAGTCGCAGTGTGAGGGCGAGTCTCCTTAACCCCCAGACGCGGTCTCGTCTTCTGGATCCTGAACGTCGCCATGTAAGGCGCCTTTGCATGGCTCTGCAAAGGCTTGCCAGACTTTCGATCAATACCCACAACTACACCATCGGGGTTACTAGGAAGATAGACTCCAACCTCCACCTTGACCTTGCGTAGTTCCTCTTCGATCTTCTCCTTCTTCTCCGGTTTACTCCTCTTGATATAAGGCCGGAGCTTACCAGAGATACCGGTGATCTCGTTAAAGAAAGAAAATTCTCGCTCATAGAAATCGCGCTCGGCAATTGTAAAGCTGGATATCAAAGCTTCAACAAAGCGGTCCAGTGTTGGCTTCAGCGGATCCGGGATTGTAGAGTCTTCATCCTTGTAAGAGTTGGCCTTCATGTTCCAAATGACCTGGTGGGCAAACAGCTGAGACAACTTCGCTGTCTCGAAGATATAGCGCTCAACATAACCCAAAGCATCATACCGCAGTGCCTGGACTAGTTGTGCTACAAAGTAGAAGCGAACGTCAAGAGAGTGACTCTCCAAAGCCCGCATTGCATACTGCAGGATAAATGGGTGGTTGCCGTAAGCGGGCAAAAAGTATGTCAAGGCTTCCATTATATTGACTGGAGCCCAGAACAACAGATACTAATTGATAATTAGCGATAGAAGGAATAGGATGCGACAGCTTAGACTTGCCTTCAGTTGAAAATTGACATCAGATGGCAGAGATGAGTCGAACATTATTTCCAGAGCGCTAGCCTCTGACATGGCTTTCTCAGGGAAATTGAGAATCAACCATCGAATGTCAGTCTGCATCTTAATTGATGGGAATCGGGTGGCAAGCTGAATAGCCAAACCTGGGCTTTCTGCCCAGGCAAGGCGGAGGAAGGTGGCAGCACCCTGGTTCATAAGTGTTAGTTTTGAGTCTAGAATGTTTTACTAAAATATTGTGAGACGTACTTCTGAACTGTTTTTGCCTCCAAGAGAAGGTATGTGGTGTTTCCGCTCCGGCTCCAGAGGGAACAGCCAAACTCGAAGACGCGATCTCTCGTTCTCGATAAAAAGTTGAGTCAGCTCTTGTTTCGATTGCAAGGACTTGTAAGAACCGTGGGATTGAGCTGCGATGTGTGCGATGTTCCGGAGAGCGGAGACTACATCGCCAAGAATCCTGTCTTCTGCCTTCATCTGCAGGCGATTGCCTCCGTAGGACCATCTAAACAAAGTAAGCATGCGATCTGTTGTCCTCGCTTTTTGATGAGAGAAATTACCTAGGAGGGTGTCTGAACCAGCTCAGGGTAGCGGAAAGAACCTGGTCTTTCATTTTCCAAGCCACAGCACTATTATCTGGGCTAAGATGATTCAATACGTTCAGCGCAAAGAGAATGATACGGAAATGAATCTCTCGCGCGAGTGGATGAGCCTGTGTTTTGAGAAGACCAGTAATTGTGCTGTTAATCAAACGACAGAACAATTGCTGGTCTTGAAGGTTGCCAAGGCGAATAGCATTGAAATGGCTCTCGAAAAATTGGAGAACGCGTGAGTGAGGTGACAGTTTGTTCTGTGCTTCTGACTGTTTTCTGATCATTACTGCTTTATCGGTTGGTAGAAGCTCGATCAGGGCGTTGAGTGGATCAGCATCACTGGAATAATCAGCTTGAAAGTCACGTCCATTTACGCCGATTCTCCATACCTAAATTCGGGATCAAACAACCCTTTACGGCGTTGAATACTTCTTTCCCAGCCCTCAACAACTTCCGCTAAGATCCGCGGTTCAATGCTTGGATTTTCGTGAATAACACCGAGCCACAAAGAGACACCAAGTTTGATGATATCCTTCGTGAAGATTTGGAAGGGCAATGAAACCAAAAAATGAACAACAGACAGCCGAGGCTTACTGCTGCTGCAAATGAGACCTGCAGCTTGTCGCAAGAGGTCCCTAGCCTCAACAGAAACGTCCTCCCCGTTCATGCTGCGTTGATGGAGGCGGAATAAGGCAAATTCCACCTCATCGGCAGCTTCTGGTTGAATTTCCGCAACTGGTATACGGCCTGTATGGTGGATTAGTCTAAAGAAACGGAGATATAGAAGTAAAAATAATTAAACGAACCAGTATGAAGGCGGAAGTCGCCATATGGTGCATCCAATGAGGATAAATCAGCACGACGATATTTCTGACGAGTCGTATACAGAGCCATAAAGTCAGATGCAATATTAACTTCGCCATTATAGCCATCAATAGATCCTATATTTGTATTAGCCAAAAAGGCTTGATTTCAAATATGATGAGGCGACCTTACCAAGCCTTGCATCACTTTTTGGAATGAGACTACCCATCTCCAAGGCGAAAGAACGACCCACGGAGACATGTCCATAGTCACCATCGTCATCATATTCAGAGAGGTATGTCTTAAGGCAAGTTAGATGGTGAATTATCAAACAGTTTAATGGAGGTACATACCTGGAGAAGACCCTTGATATCTAGCGGTGCAATGTTCAAAACTTCCGTGACCCATGTCCTAGCGCGCACAAGGAACCGATCAAGGGTCACCTTCCGTAGCGCATAGTTATCAGGTAAATCAACTTTGACGATGCCCATTGGGGAAACTAGGGTCGGATTCCAATCGAATTCATCAAGCTCCCCCTGCAAGCAAGAAGACCACATGACGGTTAAAATCTCCAGCAGAGCGAAAAGAGAATGCTTCTCACAGAGTGCAGAGGGACAATCTCGTATGATCTTATCAGTGCATTGGATTGCTATACTCTGGACTCGTTCGATACGATGACAGCAGGCAACCAAGAATGTGGCCAATTGTTTTGACAAGTAAGGGGCCGAAAACTCATCAAATTCGCCGGACAGAGTGCGCGAGAGGTAGCACGTCACCGTCTTGTCAGCAACGGCACTCAAGCAAGTGATCATCTCAGCCGTAACCACAGAGGGGTCGCGGAAGTACTGGAGGATCTTTGTACAGTCTCCTGATGATGCACGAAGGCTTTCAACAAGCATCACCGCATTCAGGAAGACTGCTCGGGGGTAGTCCAAACGTTTGATATCAGACTCACGACCAGGTAGCTCAGAAATCAGAGTGTTTTTCTGCTCCAAAACTCGCTGTGGGCTCATCCCTCTTCGAAGCACAGTATTAAGCTCCACGTCACTTTCGAGAGACTCCATACGATCTTCGGCCACGAGAGGAGGGGAATGGCGCGCAAGCAAACGAAGCTCTTTGATATGCTGTTGGAAAACACTGGAATTCAGCGTGATGCCGTGGATGGCAATATTAAACCAGGCATCACGGAAGAGAGACAATGTCGTATCATCATAATCCAAAATTGGATTAGAAATCCCATTAGAAATCCCCGCAAACACATTGGTGGAAGATACAAGAAGTGCTAGGGGCTTCAGGAGAGGAGTGATTTCACCAGTGGTGAAGACAACCTCCCCATGACGTTCACTTTCTGCGTCGGGAACATCACCCTTATTGACAATGCTTTCAAGCAAATGTGTAAGATAGATTTTGTGGAGGGAGGATTTTTGATCCAAGGTCACAGATAGATAAGTCATGGCGCACTGAACAGCATCGGAAACCACCTGCACGCCTCTTTTTAGTCCGTCTTGGTAAACGCGAGTATAGAACTTCAACAGAAGTTGAAATTCTGCATTACCACTACTCAGGGCAAGCACAGCAGTCTCTTGGATGATGTATGCATCCACAGAAACGCTGATTTTACCAACTTTTTGCAGCAGCATAGATTGAGCCAGAGCGCTAATCTTGTCATCTTGGCAACTAGTGGCAACAATGACAATTGCATGGACAGCATTTCTATGGGTCGAATTGGCTTCGTCTTCTCCGGGTCTAGAGAAGGATGATTGACTTCCATCACCTGCTTGTGAGTATCCCGCAATGTTGTTCCCATCGTTATTAAATTGATCTTGATCAACGGTAGGTTTCGGGCTCAGTACATTTCCTAGCGCATAAAGTGTCGTAATGACAGCATCTTCGGAGAGAATAGTCAGAATCTGAGCAAGGCATCGTGAGGCCACGGTAGCGACCGAACCCATTGGCGTAGCTCCTTGAGATATAAATTTCAACAAACACCGCCTTCCGATCGATGCACCAGTTGGAGACATTCTGGCAAGAATTGCTGTACATTTCAATGCAATCATTGCCAGCTCCGTGTTCGCCATTTGCTGGGAGTCGGCCATTGTATCCTCGAGCCAGGACAAAAGTACGTCGTTGTTGGTGGCATCTTCACCGAGAACAACGCAGTTCAAGAAACCAATCAAGGCATTACCTTTCACAGAAGATGCAAGCCTCTGCTGCGAAGGTGAACCAACCTGGAGATAGTCCGAACTGTCTTGAAGCAGGTGGATTTGCTCACTGATGAGATCTGTGGCTCGCTCGATCAGTGCAATATCGGCCTGGTCGTGGCTCTTGGCAATCCCAACGCCAGCAATGTATTCGTCCAGAAGTTGATCATCGGGCAGGTCTTGCGATCCGATTAGAGAAGCTACGCACGATTTCACGAAGCCCATAAAGCCCTCTTGTAGCAACATGGCACCTATGGGGCGTCCATGGGCTGCGTATCGTCTTGTGTACTTTCTCCAATCCTGAATGGCGATTTCCAAACCACTGGCGTTACGAACGATGGAAGAAGCCGTTTCGACAGCAATCATGAAGGACTCTGAGAGCATCTTGCGCAGCTGATCAATGATCTGTAGCTTCTCACTGGCTGACCAGATTACGGTGTGCTTCGCCGAGGCCTCCAAAAATCCAACAAGTGAGATTGCGATTGACAATATGGAAATAGATTCGTGCACCACACTTCGACCTCCCGCTTCAGATGTGGAGTATTGGAAAGGAGTGACTCCATTAATGGCATCGGTACAGTTGCTGAGGAGTCCATCAATTGCGCTTAGGCTTTGTTTACGCAGCGGTGCATATTTTATGCCCAGTGACAGAATAGCGGATGTGAGATTATGCGAAAGAGATTCCCATGGCGACGGTTTCACGTTTTGGAGAAATGGCGACGAGCGAAACAACTGGCTAGGGGACTCGGGCAGGTATAAAGACAGTTGCGTGACTAGTTGCGAGGCGTTTTCAAAATCACCCACCGAAGGGGCCGCCTTACATAGAGCGAGAAGGACATCAAGCTCACGAATGCCCTATCAGAAGTTAGTCTACGTCACTCCTGAGGGGTTAGAGATAGGGAATGCACCATTGGGATTCGAGACGTAGGTGCTTGGTTCTTGAGAATTCCGCTGATAGGTCCATCAGTTTGACGAGTCGATCGAGACTGTTCGGTCAAACGAGCAAGGTCTGAATCTTCGTCTCTGGCCGGCGACTTGACAGCCAATGCCGCAAGCTTCTCGAACGCCGAGCGTCTGATGCCAGGTAGGCTGTAGAAAGTTAGAAGTGCTTAGAAATGAGTTTTGACATTTTCACGTACCCATCCATCTCTAATGGAATCTATCAACAAAATAAAGAGTGGGAGCCACCAGATGAGGAACCGGGGAAGCTTAAAGGGAGAAAGGGGAAGAAGAGTGACGAAATGTCGGGAACGCGAACGCCTTGACCAAACACATCGCGCTGGAATGAGGAATGATAAATGTTTACAAATTATCTAGGTAATATGTACTATGTAATTATAGTTTATCTCTGATACTCAAATTATATATAATCAATGACTACTCTTCAAATAAATCATTGGTTTATGAGGATATAAGCATAGTTAGATATCTCTATTTTCTTGGGCGGAAGGCGCGTGCTTAGAGCACCTCGCAACTTAAGCCTCAACTCTCCTTCATCAACTACTCTATTAGTCGCAACAATTTCCATACTTTTCTCGATATTGTATTCGTCTGATCTGAAAATACTACTTTTGTACCCACCAGTTTCTGCTATCTGCTCTAGTTTACCCGGACCGCGGCGATTCCATTGGTTAAAGCTTGCTAGAAGGTCTGTGTGGTGTACACGATGGCGCCTCGTGAGAAAAGCTCACTGAAGCGGGGACTTGTGAGTGCGATTCTTACCAGACGAATTTATAGCTCGCTTATTGACACGCTCGTCTGTATGATAGGTCAATGTCGATGCCGACTCGCAAGATCAGAAGAAACCTCGCCGCTCTCAAAGAATCTCAAGCCAGGTTCAAACTGAGACGCCAGTCGACCACCAGTATCTACCCACCCCGCTTACACATGGTCACTCTGTCGCTACGGACATTCGCAATGAAGTTACAGTGACTCCCCCAGACAGCCCGAGTCAAGCTCGACTTCGCGAACAGTCTTCACCTCTTCGCGAGTTATCACCAGAGGCCTCTTCACCACCAGCGGATGCGACACAGGCACTGTCGCAGTTTGTCTACCCACCACGGGCATTTGCAGATGAGGTTGAAAATGAAAATGCCGAAGGAGTTTGGGGATACCTCATTCCTTTGGATGACAAAGTCGACAGTCCCTTTGTGTTGAAGAAGCGAGAAGCCTGTGCAAATGATGATCCAAGCAAACAAAGGTCGGGCAAAAGGCCCCAGGGTCGGGCACCTGGTGGCTATCTCATTGGACGCCATCCGGAATGTGGTCAGTATGAACCTCTTCCATACTAGCGCTGTACATAGCTACTGACGATTTGTTACAGATTTGATTATTGAAAGTCCCACAATCTCCAATCGCCATTTTCTTCTTTTTGACGAAAAAAGGAGAGGCGATGTGGTCGCCATTTTAGAAGATCTTTCCAGCAACGGAACCTTTGTGAATGATGCGCTCGTGGGCCGAAACAAGCACCGCGAACTAGAAGACGGTGATGAAGTATCCATTCTGAATGAGGCCCGCTTCGTATTTCGATACCCTCGTACTCGAGACACTAATCGCTTCCACCAACAATATCAAATCAATCGGCAGCTTGGTAAAGGTCACTTTGCTACAGTTTACCTCTGTATGGAACGGGCCACAGGGAAGAAGTTTGCCGCAAAGGTCTTTGAAAAGCGCCCTGGGGAGTCTCAAAGATCTCTTTCCCAAACGGACACCTTGCAGAAAGAAATCGCAATCCTCAAGGGAGTCGAGCATGTGAATCTGCTTTGCTTGAAGGAAGTGTTCGATGAAAATGACGGGGCCTATCTCGTCCTCGAGCTAGCTCCCCAGGGTGAACTGTTCAATTACATCGTGGCAAATCAAAAGTTGACAGAAAGGGAAACTCGACATGTGTTCCAGCAACTCTTTGAGGGACTCAAATATTTGGTAAACTCACCTCAAATTCTCAGAGATGATGCGGAAGTAGCTGACAATTTTATTCAGCATGATCGAGGAATTGTGCATCGAGATATCAAGCCAGAAAACATCCTTTTGGCCGACGACAGTTTGAAGGTCAAACTCGGTGACTTTGGTCTTGCAAAGATCATTGGAGAGGACTCGTTCACAACAACCCTGTAAGTGATTTCCGCACCCACTATAGGTTTATGATTATGTACTGATATCGACTCGGATGTACAGTTGTGGCACACCAAGTTGTAAGTTGATCAGCTTTGATATCGGACGATAAGTATTGGAGACTAATTCATTGAACAGATGTTGCTCCTGAGATACTGGAGGAATCGTCCAAGCGCCAGTATACCAAAGCTGTTGATATATGGTCACTCGGGGTTGTGCTTTATGTCTGCCTTTGTGGGTTTCCACCATTCTCCGATGAACTATGCACTCGAGAGTATCAATACAGGCTCGCTCAACAGATCAAGCTGGGAAAATTCGACTATCCATCGCCTTATTGGGATTCTGTTCAAGACTGGGCTCTGGACCTTATTGACCGCATGCTCTGTGTGGATCCAGTTAAACGATACACAGTAGAACAGTGTCTTGAACACCCATGGGTTACGGAGAAATATCCCAAGCTTACCGACAGCACGGATGGACTGACTGGTGCCCTGAGCAATTTGGACTTTTCTAAGCGCAAGATGGAGCGAGAACGGACTTTGCTCAGCAGTATCAACGAAGTCAGCTCCACTGCGTGCGAGGAAGAGGAAAACAAAAAGCCCGTGAATGCTCTTTCCAAGACTATTCACAATCAGCCAGCAAAGGCCCGCGAGCCATCTCCTGGTGGAGATAGTGCCCCCAAGGACTTCATCAATCTTGGAGAAGGGGGTGATGCACCTTTGTACGACAATTGAAAATATGCCTTTTTGTTTTTTGTCCATGTATATGGGCTTGACTTGTACCGTTAGACGAGGAGAAGGGAATACCTTTTCTATATTTTTATCCTGTTAGCTTCAAAAATACCATTTTCTCCTGATTTTTATCCTTGATTCCTTTATATAAGACCGAAAGAGTAAATAATTAATAAATTTTGATTTATATCATACTGTGTATATGCTACATCTTAAGAAATAAGTAAACGTTCAAAGCATTCACTCTATTGGAGACTAAAGGGGGCGGGTCCTAAATGATAGGGACATTAAGTAAGTATTTTACCCTCGAAAAGCCTCTCCCCCCTTCCACAAGGCTTACTTCCTCACATCCTTCGTCTTCTTTTTTTTCATTTGAAGGGTGCCTTTTGACCAATCTCTACTCATCATGGGTCTCTTTTCAAGTTTCCTAACCCAGTTTTGTGAGCATTGCTCAACTCTGTCCATTTACACATTGCTTGGAGCTGGTGCCTTGTCCTTTATCGTGCTGTCTGTCGTGATCAACGTTCTACGACAGCTACTATTCAAGAATCCTCATGAACCCCCCGTTGTCTTCCACTGGTTCCCCTTTGTCGGAAGTACTATTAGCTACGGCATTGAGCCCTACAGCTTCTTTCTCTCCAACCGCGCAAAGGTACGTCAGCCGTTGGGTAAATTTATTCTGCGTGTTTTTAACGACTATGCTGGCAGTATGGCGATATTTTCACATTCGTTCTCCTCGGCAAGAAGACGACTGTCTACCTGGGCACCAAGGGTAACGACTTCATCCTGAATGGCAAGCTGCGCGATGTTTGCGCCGAGGAGGTTTACTCGCCATTGACAACCCCCGTTTTTGGTCGCAATGTCGTGTATGACTGCCCTAACTCCAAGCTTATGGAGCAGAAGAAGGTAATGAAAAAAAATTGCGAGGATATTCTTTGGAGGCAAAACATTGGAGACACTCGAAGTTTTTCAGGGGCTAACCAAACATGTTTAGTTTGTGAAATTTGGCCTCACCTCCGACGCGCTTCGGTCTTATGTTCGCCTCATTACCAATGAGGTTGAGGATTTTGTCAAGAAGTCACCTTCCTTCCAGGATTCCAAGGGTAGCTTTGATGTTTCCAAGATTATCTCCGAGATTACCATCTACACCGCATCACGCTCGCTCCAAGGCAAGGAGGTTCGCGATCGATTTGACTCCACTTTCGCCGACATGTACCACGACCTTGATATGGGTTTTGCTCCGATAAATTTCATGCTGCCCTGGGCCCCGCTGCCTCACAACCGTAAACGTGATGCTGCGCAGAAGAAGATGACCGCAACCTATATGGATATTATTCAGAAGCGTCGTGAGGCCGGTGGCAAGAAGGATTCAGATGATATGGTCTGGAACCTGATGTCCTCTGTCTACAAGAACGGCACCCCTCTACCCGACGAGGAAATTGCCCACATGATGATCGCGCTGTTGATGGCTGGTCAACACTCCTCTTCCTCAACTATGGCCTGGATTGTTCTGCGCCTAGCTACTTGTCCTGAACTAATGGAGGAACTGTACCAGGAGCAGCTTAGTGTGCTGGGTGATGACTTGCCTGATTTAACTTACGAGAGCATGCAGAAATTGGATCTGCACTCCAAGGTGATCAAAGAGACCCTGCGCATCCACGCCCCGATCCACTCTATCATTCGCGCTGTCAAGAACCCGATGCCCGTGGAGGGAACTCCATATGTCATCCCCACCGGTTTCAACGTTCTATCTTCTCCCGGTGTCTCTGCCAGGCTAGACGAGTTCTTCCCGGAGCCCCTGCAGTGGAATCCCCACCGCTGGGATGATGAATCCAGTCCCAAGGAAGAGGAGAACGAAGAACAGATCGATTACGGTTACGGTATGGTCACCAAGGGTACAAATAGCCCCTATCTTCCCTTTGGTGCTGGCCGCCACCGCTGTATCGGCGAACAGTTTGCCTACGTACAACTAGGCACAATTCTGGCCGCCTTAGTGCGCCATTTCAAGTTCTCCGGTCTTAAGGACATTCCTGACACAGATTATTCAGTAAGTCACTTTTTCATTTTGAACCGAAAATGCATACTAATACGGTTTCAGTCATTGTTCTCCAAGCCTCTAGGCAAATCTTTTGTCAAGTTTGAGAAGCGTGGAATCAAGGAATAGAAAAAGCTACTGTCCAGTAACTTCCTCAGCCACGAAAACTGTCTTTAAAACAGACTGAATATCCAAACTCACTTACATTTAATGACGTTCCTTGATATGATTATTGCAGACATGATGCCATTCAGTACTCTGCCTTCGGTCTCGCCTTGACATCTTGAACACTTTTCTACTTGGCATATATACGTTTTTGACGTTCGCACACCAGTCTGGGTTATGCCTACCGTTCGTGTTGATACATTTAGACTTACTTAATTGATGACGATTCTACAGAACTTGGTTTCGCACACCCATCTATCATTGTTTTTCAGACCATTAGATTATTGGAATAGAAGACTGGAATACTTACGAAGCCTTATTCAAGTGGATGTGAAAGGAGCAAAATCCAGATGCGGTAGAATATAGTAGTATACAGTATGATGCAGATAAACGCAGTAGAAATACAAGTCAGATAGGCTTGAATATGCAAGAAACGTAGCCTAAACCTCTTCTCTTTATTCGTTTATGCGTTTCTGCGTTCCTCAAGCCACTTTTTGGCCCGCACCTCGGTCTGTCGTCGTTCACCTCCGTCAACCTTGTGTCCCCGCTTGTCCTCCCACATGCCCTCCTGAACACTGATCCTCGCAGCAGTACCATGGCTTCCCTTGACTGGATTCAAGAATGGCCCTTGGACCTTGCCTAAGCGAATTTTCATAGAGTTGAAGTACTTGAGTGGTTTGGATGGATCGTGGTGGTATTTGATACCCAGAGGCATATTGACCAGGACCTTGACCATTCCGGGGGTCAATGATGCAGACGATACAATTGCAGAGTTTTGACCTGTGGCCAATTCGCCTTCAGCTGCTGTAGGTTTCTTGTATTCTTGCGGCACTTCCACCACTCGCAATTCGCCGGCACCATCCACTACGTGGTCGAGGTCTCCTCCTGGGCCATGGATTCCGGCAATAAATTTTTGGCGCTTTTGTATAAGATAACGTCGTGCGCGGGCTGGCTCAATGCCCATTTCGCGGAGTTTTGAGGAATCCGAGCTGAAAAGGGTGTCCCATGTCTCGAACTTGCTGGCGTGCTTCGACATTCCACGGCCGATCAACGTGAGGAAGGTTTGGGCATCGGGAACGAATGGAGTGGGAAGGGGTACAGGATTGGCCTTTTTAGTAACTGTGCGAACTTGTTGTCGGGAGATTCCGAAGAGTCGCGAAGGGAGACTGCGGAGTTGCGAGTTGTGCAGCGCCATGATCCCGGTATTATCCTGCGTGCTTAATCCCGCAAGCACTATCAGCTGAGAATGAGATAAATTGAGGTTGATTCAAGGATTGAAAACCAGGAACCTGAAGTCAGAAAAAGAAAAGAATTGGAGATTTTAGCAGTTTGAGCTGCGGTGGGACCTTTCTCGTCGACCGCGGCCGCTGTTTGTCCTGAGATTTTTCGGCCAGGTCACGGGATCAACGATAGTCCGCGGCATTATTATAGCTACGAAATTAGCCATTTAAGATCATTACTTCCAGCTTCGTCGCTGCGCCTTGATTTCTTTCCAAAATATTTACCTAACAGCACTCAATCCCTTTTTGCACAAAACTACAAGCTATTAATAGATCACCGCCTCCATGGCACTCTCGCCATTTGCCTCCCGATCACCATCCGTCACTGTATCATCACCAAGTGCTCTCCGATTGAAGGCAGCTGTCCAAAGTTCAACTGGAACTGTGACGGCAAAGGCTGCCGCTCCAGACCGAGAACTTACTGAACAGCTCAATGACGATATCAGACAGAAATATGTCAAGGGTATGTCCTCCACCTCCATGCAAATCATATCATAATAAGCTCTGGAATCCAACAAGATAAAAGATAAGAAGCTAGGTGAAGGTACATATGCCGTTGTTTACCTCGGACACCTCCGCGACGACCCATCATCATGTGTGGCGATCAAAAAGATCAAGGTCAATGCCGAATACAAAGACGGACTCACCATGGACGCAATTCGCGAGGTCAAATATCTCCAAGAACTATCTCACCCTAATGTGATCGCTCTTCATGACGTTTTTTCGTCTAAAGACCAAAATCTCAGCCTCGTTTTGGAATTCCTCCCCCGAGGAGATCTGGAGATGCTTATCAAAGACGGCGATATACATTACGGGGCGGCCGATATTAAGGCGTGGATGGGCATGCTTGCACGAGGAGTATGGTTTTGTCACGAGAACTTCGTACTACACCGGGATATCAAACCCAATAACTTGTTGATTGCCTCCGACGGTGAAGTCAAACTGGCTGATTTTGGTCTAGCCCGATCATTCGCTGATCCTTATCTTAATATGACCCACCAGGTCATTACACGCTGGTATCGGCCACCAGAATTGCTCTATGGGGCTCGTCAGTACTCTGGTGCAGTCGATGTGTGGTCTATGGGGATGGTATTTGCTGAGTTACTTCTGCGAGTCCCATTCGTGGCCGGCAACACTGACATGGACCAAATTACGAAGATCTGCGAGGCCTTTGGTACCCCGACAGAGGATAATTGGCCTGGGGTCTCCCTTTTGCCAAATTACATCCCTACAGATCCTAGTCATATGGTTCCTTTGCAGGGGCGTGAGTTCTTCACTCGGCAGTTTCCTACCGCTGGACCGGTGGGTGCCGATCTACTGATGTCAATGTGCTCACTGGACCCACGCAAGCGTATCACAGCCCTACAATCTCTGCAACACCAGTGGTGGTCAATCGAGCCACGCCCAACCAAGAATGAAGATCTTCCACGTAAATCTGGAGAAAAGAAGATGGGTGATGACTTGAGTCGACGGGCAGGTGAAGCTGACGGACTCTTCAAGAATGCAGCTCGACAGTTAGATTTTGGAGGCATTCGATAATGTTAATAGAAAAGAGAGAAGAATTTTAGATGGTACAAAGTAATCCTAGGGATGTCAGTATAAGACAATGACGCAGGTACAGGGGGTGGTTTAGATTATAATACCTTGATCTACGAAGTACACTCTGTAGTATACCTTGATATAAGAAGGGAAAGGAGTATATCTCCTTCATTATCCGTATCGTAGTACTACATGCTGCATACTAAGTAGTAGTAGTACTTTCCCCCCCCCTTTTCCCTACGTCCTAGTATAATTTTACCCCCACTATTCCTATCTTTATTGGTCCAAGCTTCAAGGCCTTTTGAGTGAAGGAAAAAAAGCCTTGACTGTTACGGTTAGACTGTACTTAGACTGTTTGAAGTCCTGGTCTAGTTCGCCCTTTTCCCTGTCATCCCCCTTTTTTCCTCCGTGCGCAATTACCTATTATCTGTTGTATAAGAATATAGAACTCCTTAATATAAACACCCTTGGGTAGGAGTGAGAGGAGGAAAGGGAGGAACTGGCAAAGTAGAATTACAATAAGAATTATATAAGAAGGATAAGGATAAGCATAAACATAAGAATAAGAATAAGATATAAACTACGTAAATTACGGTCTTTCATTTGTGGGGAATGATTTATCCTTTACATGATACCTTTTCTACCTTCTAATCTTCAATCTCTCCTCCACTTCTTCCCTCTACTACTCTTCAACCTTTAAACTATCTGAGACGCCAGTGGCGTTGGTCACCATCTCAAACTATCTGCTACCATCTGCAAACAAAAGCTTTGACACTACTTTTCCCGAGTCGTCTATATTGAGATTGTCGCAGACCGAAACAGTGCCCGCCCCACAGCACAGTCAACATTCGATTCCCAATTCCTAATAATCAACAACTTTTCTTACATGATTTGTTCATCTGTCACTGATACTATTAGCTAGCGGGGGCAGAACAGAATCTGCTTTCTGTTCACGATGGACTCATCTGCGCTCCCCACACCGCGACCAGCGACAAACCCTCCGACCGGATCTTTGCCTCCCCTTCCTATCCCAAAGTCCCGAAAGAGCGTCGCGGGTCCAGATGGTCCTCGGGCAGCGTCTCCATTTCGGGCATCGAAATTACGTACACCGTCAAGCCCCAGGCCTGCTTCGACTCGATCTTCTTTGGCTAACACCAACCCCACGTCAAATTTGACATCGGTTCGATCCGTATCAAGTGGGCTCACACCTAGTAGTCCCGATAAAAACCTGCGACGGAGAATTAGCATTGCCTCATTTCCACAACCTCCAAAGGCCTCCAAGCGCTCTTCGACTCCATCTTCTGTCTCTGGCATGTCCGTGTCGAACCCAACGAGTGTGAAACCGAGAAGAGGCTCAAGGCTTAGCACTGGAACCACGAGTAGCTATCGGAGCTCGAAAACACCATCGCTACTGAACGGAAGTGGAGATGGAAAGTCAATCTTGCCGGAAGATGTTCGAGATCCAGAGGGTTCTCCATCGCACAGCAGAAGCTCTTCTGCCCAGGGATCCTCCTGCTCGACAAGCGCCACAACTTTTGAAGAGGGGGAAGATGCCACAGGTACCGGTAAATCCTCTGGTAAACCAAAAGAAGCCAAGGGTAATGTGATCGTCAGTGTGCGGGTACGGCCGGATATGAATCCCAGCGACTCTCCGAGAAATCATGGCGAGTGGGCCGTAGATGGGCGCCAAAGCCTCATTGCTCACCGGGGAAAAGATGGCGGCGATTACTATTATGGTATATCAAGACTTCCCCTCCTCCGTCTTGTAACGAATTAACCCCAGCTCACGAATTTTGACAGACAATGTTTTTACCGCTCATGAAAACAATGCCAAGGTCTACGATTCAGCTGCGAAACGACTGGTTCGGCGGGTGATGGAAGGTTACCATGGAACAGTCTTTGCATATGGTATGACAGGGACCGGAAAGACTTTTTCCATGCAGGGAACTGCATCTTCTCCCGGTGTGATCCCTCTGGCAATCACAGATATCTTTTCTTTCATTCGAGAAACTCCACATCGCGAATTCCTGCTTCGAGTTAGCTACTTGGAAATTTACAATGAAAAGATCAATGATCTCCTATCAGCTCCCACCAATGGAGCTCCGGGGCCACAGGAAGAAATCAAATTACGAGAGGACAGCAAACGGGGTGTCTACGCGACACCGTTGAAGGAGGAAATCGTGCAGAGCCCTACGCAATTACTGAGAGTGATCGCCCGAGGAGATCACGCACGGCGCACCAGCAGTACGCAGTTCAACTCTCGCAGTTCTCGAAGTCATGCCGTCGTGCAAATTGTTGTGGAAAGTCGGGCCCGAGTGCCCGCTGGAAGCTCACAAGACAAGCGCTCGGGAATGGCTCCTGGTGGTGTACGAGTTTCAACACTAAGCTTGATCGATCTGGCTGGATCCGAGAGAGCAGCTGATGACAAAGAACGACGAACCGAGGGTGCCCATATCAACAAAAGTCTACTCACACTAGGCAATATCATCTCGAAGCTCTCGGAGTCCAAGGACAAACAAGGCAACCCTGTCGATAAAGAAGGCAGACACTTGCCTTACCGTGATAGCAAGTTGACTCGCTTGCTCCAGCCGGCTTTGTCTGGAGGTTCCCTCGTGAGCATTCTCTGTACCATTCAATTGACGTCGGGTGTGAATGCCAGCTCCGGAGAAACCATCAATACTTTGAAGTTTGCGGCTCGCGCTAAAAACAGCATCGTAAGCCACGCCAAAAAGGCCGAGGAGGCATACGGTGGCGGCGGCGGGGATGCCGGAAGCCGTGTTTTATTGGAGCGCTATCGCTTGGAGATTCAGACCCTTCGTGGTCAGCTTGATTCCCAAGCCCAGGCCCAAGCAGAAAAAGAGCTCAAGTGGGATGAACATCAGTATGAAAAGGAGGCACAGGCGCGGCATGAAGAGCAGATGTTGGAAATGCAACTGGCTCGAACGGCATTGAAGGAAAGAATCGAGCACCTCAATCGTTTGATATTAAGTTCCAAGTCCACCGGAGTGAATAACCACGGGGGTTATGGTCGTCTCTCAAGAATGTCATCCATGGACTCTGGTAGGCGCTCGCTACGTTCATCTGCCAGTCAGTCCACTTTGGCTATGGGCTATTCATCTATCCGGCCCATATCTTTCATGTCTATCAATAGCACGGACACCTCTCCGGCGATGCCTTTTTCTCCCGCGTCGTATATCAATGAAGATGAAGATGATATGGGCGAGTTCGGCGACGGAAAGGCCAGCCTACAGCGACAGGTCAATGCTTTGCAGGCCGACTTGAGTGACAAAAACCGATACATTTCCACCTTGGAACGTCGGCTACTACAGGCTCGACGCTCGAGCCATTCCCGTATGTCTGCGGGGGTGAAGTCTACCACTTCAACCATTGTTGAACATCCAGATACGATGGCCTTGGTTCGCGAGAAAGATATGGAGATCAATGAGCTCCGAATTCAGCTTGATGACAAGGACCGAATGCTGGCTGCCCTTCGATCTGCAGCACGACATCGTGACTTGGCAGGTGTGACCAACGATTCACAGTCTCCAGAGCTCAAAAGCAAACGTGACTCGATCTCCTCCGGAAACAACAGTCCTCTGGGTGTAGTCGCCAAGTCAAGAAGTCTCTCTGCCTCGGGTCAACTGCATAAAGCGGATGCAAAGGACGATGATAGAAGACAGCATATGGATGAAGTATCCAGGATGCTAGATGAGATGATCCAGCAACGAGTTGACGGTGGTCATTTGGAAAAGAGCCAATTCGATCAAATCAAGAAACCCTCCAGTGACAGCCGCCGTACATCCACATCAGCTGAGATTCCTACCTTGGCTCCCAGTGCGAATCTTCCAGCTCACTTAGCGGGCTCTATCACTGATTCCCCGAGCTGAAAAAGAAAAAAGAAAAAAAAAAAAAAAAAGAAAAAAGTCTGAGTTCCGAATGGGCTTCCCCATTCTTTAATTCTTCAGTTCTTGTGTGTTAAATACGTTCATGTTTCCCATTGATCCGATACCCCTACTTTTGTCTGCTTTTGTCCTTCTACCCATATTTTTGATTGTGGGAAGCTCTTATCCTCTTCTGTTCTTTTTTTTCTTCTCCATCCGTGTTTGAAATTTTCTTTATTATCTCCAATATTGAATATGTGCTACATGGCGTATGAGTCCATACCTTGAGATGAAAGATATGCCAATTGTAAAAACAAAAGGACCCAGTAACTATCAGTCCATCATCCTTGTAGACCTCAGGCTATAATTTCTAGCTCGCCCTTTCTGTCCTTGGCGTAAACATCCTTCCATTGGTCCCATAGTCGTTGCAGCTCCTGAACATATTGCGAATGCAGCTGGTCGATATATGCATCATCGAACTTGTCCCGGTTCTGCTGCTGCATTGCGGGAATCGGCCGTCCCACCACGATGTTCAAAGGACGGCGATATGGCATTAGCCCGACATCGTAATTAAACACCCCACGGGCATGAAATAATGGAATTGTAAAGCCCATAGTTTGCTTTACTAGCATCTGCAGCTTGTAAATGATCGGGTGTTCATCCGAAGAAACTTGATCATAAAGATCGTTCTCTCCGAAGGCTAGGACCGGGACCAGATCGGCACCCGTGTGGATTGCAAGCTTGATGAACCCTTTGCGACGTTTCAGTACCAACTGCAGGGAATGTGGCTGGGCATTTAGAGATTCACGGGCTCCACCAATGACGATGGTAATAGCGCGGCCCATGCCTTCGCCATTTTCACCCCCCTTGCTTAGAATATTCTGGCAGGATTCTCGGGATACGCTTGCAAGTCCCAAGGCGAGCGCATATTCTCGGTAGAATGGAATACGGAAGTTTGAATCTAATGTCAAAAGGGTGTTTGTGATACCTGGGAAAAGCTTGGAGAAGCCCAAGGCCTCCGTCCCGAATGCGGCAAAGGCTCCATGAGAGATGATTCCGTGCGGGTGATAGCCAAAGATGTATTTTTTGGTCGGGGGTAAAGGCTCCTCACGGTGAAGCCGAGCAGGAAAATACGATGCATAGATTTTCCAGATCGGAAGAGATCGTAACAATCGACTTCTGCCCTTGAGTTCACCAGAAGTAGACGCTGTGGAGAAAAGAGATATATAGACCAAATATGGAAGCAGCAGTGGCCAGAACAGAGGAATAGAACAGGTGAAGAAGAAGCCCGTTAGAAATATGGCAATAGTGAGTGTATGACATAAAACGACGAATGTCTGTAGGCGCCGCTCGATACCAATATTGAGTGGTGCCCAATGAATGCTTTGTACATCAATAATTATCCCAAATTGTGAATACATTTGGAACATACCGTTTCTTCTCCCCATTCTCAGCCCTGGGAGAAGCAGGCTTTAGATCGTGAGAAACCCCATTCATTGTCTTTAAAGAGCTTGGACGTACGGCGCGATGGGGAAGAATACAAAACGAAGATCCGCCTTCGGATAAACTTCGATGACGTTGTTCTGGCTTAGGTAATGCATATAAACATCAAACTTAGGAATTCAATTGAACGTGTATAATGAGAAACTTGAGTCTTGATATCTTGGAAATTGTTTCTAAAACTGAATATTTGAGCTCCCCCAAGAAACGCCAGACCGGATATTTGATGTAATTGATGTAATCGGTTTATGCCTTGACCATGAATATCTATTTTCGTGTTAGCACGCCCAGGAGGCGGTTTGAAGATTAGCGATTTAGTGTTAGCACTCACCTCGTTGAGATATTTTGGGTCCAAAAGAGCTTTCTTCTTTTGCGCAATATGACGGCTTCGGAAGACTTGTCTTCCAACAGGCCGGTGCTCTCGAATTACTGTTGTCATGATTTTGGGTGCGGCAATTGTATCGCTTTTCTCGGCCTCTTCCTCCGCTTTTCTCTTTTTAGATTTCTTTTTAGATTTCGATTCAGATGAGCCATCAGCTTCATCGGATCGTGATCGGGACTTGGACTTCGACTTGGATTTCGACTTGGATTTCGACTTGGATTTCATTTTGTCTGATTTGGATTTGGATTTGGACGATTTGCGAGCCAGGGCAGATGAATCACTGGAGGCTGAATCACTGGAGGCTGAATCACTGTCGTCATCTTGATGTTCAACCTTCTTCATCTTTGGCGCTTTTTTGGAGTCTTGTTTTAGTTCTGGGGTGGGTAAAGCGACCAGTTTCTCATGGGCTAATAGACCACCAGAAACGAATCGAACTTCCGGGAACCTTAGGGCAGCATATCGGGCTAACTTAAAAGTGGACTTCTTCTGATCCTCTTTTTGTAACTCCATTTCAGACTTGCCGTTCAGCCGACCGAGTAATCTTTGGAATGCATCGAGCCCAGTCTGTTCGTTCTCCCGCCCTGGACGAGCGCCCAGTCCCAGGGTATCATCCTTAAGCGTCACTTTGATATGTGACAAACTACCTGCAGTCAAGAAATCGGCGTGTGCAGCATCAAGAGCTCCTAAGCGCTCACCAGGATTCCAACCCTGAGAGCTCATGATTCGATGGCCGAAGCCAGTGGTGGATCGAGACCATTTCGTATTGTTGGGATCATGTGAGATCTTAACTTTCCTATAATTTGTTAAATATAGGTAAATATTTGTTGGTCAGATTCAATGCACATACTTTTTAGGTGCCGCTAAGCCCATGATGGCTGGTTGAGCTGAGAATAAAATAAAAGTTGTTCGTTGCGAGAAGAAAAGGGAAAAAAGTTGAACTTTGGAATAAAGTGGATGAGTCAGCAGCTGATAAGGATCTCGTCCTCCGCGGAGCCAAGTTTATCAATATCAACGGCAATCTACGTACGGTTCACATCATTACTGTTCAACTTCTACCACTTGGGTACATTGTGGTCATCTCGAGACTCGGTTCAAGCTTCAACACTCTCATATATTATTTTCAAGAGACTGAAAGTGGTTCTATGTCCATGGACACCGATTAAAGGACTACCCTACATTCTGCTGAGCACGTGAAATAGTAGAGGCTTCGTAGATCTTACATGGGGTTTAGAATTGTTTACACTCTATGATACCATGGTCAATCTTCGGGTACTCTGCCAAGATCATCCTCAACGAACAATTGCACTTGTGGCTTCTGATTATGTGTTAATATTCCACTACAGCGCGGCAGATGCCAATGCGAGGACTGAACCCCGCTGCCAAGTGGAGTTCTCAGATATTGCCTCTGTCAATCTCAAAAATTATCGTTCTTTGGGCGCTGGAGATGGTACTTTGGGTCTAATCACACTCAATCAAGATGTCTTCGTCTGTGTGGTCACTGCCTCTTCCCAGGCTGCTACTGTCAAACCAGGAGAAACCGTATCCAGGATTGATTCAGTGGACTTTTGTGAGCACTGAATCAAACACTTCTGTCTCCGATATTTTCTAACAGCTGCAGACTGTCTAAATCGCTCTGACTACGAATATGGCCTAGAATATGAGACTGGCTCTCAATTTGCCGCTGAGGGGCGAGTCGGTCAGGATAAAGACGTGATGACTGATCATCCTTTCTTGGCTTTGAAGAAGCTTCTTAGTGATGGGAGCTTCTACTATAGCCTCGATTTTAATCTGACAGATCGTTTACAGGACCGGTAAGCGGCCTTGCTCAATCTCTCAATCCGGTAAATCTTAAGCTGACTAGTCATTAGTGTAGATAAATCAGCAGCATTCGATATCGATACTCTAGATGAGGATATGCTCTGGAATTCGTACATGATCAATCCTCTTCTTCTATTCCGGAGCCACCTATCGCCTTCGGACAAAGCCAAGCTAGATGCGTGCCAGCTTTTGACATGTGTCATGCGAGGATATGCCAGCACATTGAGAGTTCCTGCAACAGTTTCTATTCTGCCTCAGGTACGAACTAATTCCCCTTCTTCACTCACCATCATATCCCGGCAATCATCCAGGCGGGCCGGTACCAGATTCAATTCACGGGGCATAGATGATGATGGCCATGTTGCCAATTTTGTTGAAACAGAGTTGATCTTGTGGGTGGCGCCAGGAATTGCCTTTTCATACGTTCAAGTTCGAGGCTCTGTTCCAATCTTTTGGGAGCAAACCCCGGGCTTGATTCCGGGGCAGCAGAAGATCGAAATCACTCGGTCAAGCGAGGCGACGCAGCATGCCTTCAATCAACATTTTGAGACTCTTGAATTGGAATATGGAGCCGTACATGTGGTTAACCTTCTCAGCGAACTCAAACCTGGAGAGGCATCACTGTCGGCCAAATATCGAAAGCATATTGCCCACAGCTCTCTCCGGAAAAAAGAAGGTTCTACCGAATCTTATCGGAACAGCCTACTTCGTTTGACCGAATACGATTTTCATGCTGAAACCAGGGGTATTGCTGGTTATGAAGCGAGCAACGAAATCAAGCACAAACTGGCCGGATCTCTGAATGGATTCGCCCACTTTCTGTCAGAGGATACCACCAATGGTGAAAAGGATACATCTAGCACTTCCTCTGTGATTTTGCAGCAAGAGGGTGTTTTTCGAACCAACTGCTTAGACTGTTTGGATCGAACAAATCTAGTTCAAACTATTATCAGCTCAATGGCACTGAAGTCATTTATTTGCCAACAAGGCGGAAGACTTGACTCTGATATGCAAATGCGACACTCGACGCTCTGGGCTGACAATGGCGATGCACTGTCAAAAATATATGCCGGTACCGGTGCTCTCAAGTCTTCTTTCACGCGGCATGGAAAAATGTCGCTTGCTGGAGCCCTTGCGGACGTACGGAAAAGTGCCACACGGCTCTACGTCAACAACTTCACTGATAAAGCCCGACAGAACACCATTGATCTCCTTTTAGGTCGGTTGGCAAATCAGATTCCGGTTCATCTGTACGACCCAATGAATGAAGTGATCACCGAAGAGCTTAGCCGGCGTGCTTCTGAATATTCCTCCACCAAAAATATCCGGCTCTGGGTGGGTACCTTCAACGTTAATGGTCGCGACGAAGGACCTGGTCAGGACCTCACTCCATGGCTGTTTCCAGAAGAGGATGAATCAGATATAGATCCCATGATATTTGCTGTTGGGTTCCAGGAAATCGTTGATTTGAGTCCCCAGCAGATTATGTCGACAGATCCTGGAACCCGAAAGGTTTGGGAGAGAGCCGTACATGACTGTCTCAATAACCAAGCGAAAAAAAAAGGAACTGGTAAATATGTGCTATTGAGAAGTGGGCAGCTTGTGGGCGCTGCCTTAATGATCTTCGTGAAATCAGATGCTCTCAAAGATATCAAGAATGTTGAAGGCACTGTTAAAAAGGCAAGTCTTCCTTGTTGAGCCTTAACCAACCTTTTTCCAACAACTGGACTAACTGATGAATAGACTGGCCTCTCTGGTATCGCCGGCAACAAAGGTGGCTGTGCTATTCGCTTTGAACTCTGCAACACAAGCCTATGCTTTGTTACGGCACATCTAGCTGCCGGGTTTGCCAATTACGAAGATCGAAACAGAGATTATGAGACCATTAACGGAGGTTTGCGATTCCAAAAAAATCGCTACATTGCGGACCACGACAGTATCTTCTGGTTCGGTGATTTCAACTATCGCATTGGATTAGGCAACCAGATCGTGCGAGATCTTGTGTCACAATCAGACTATCAAAAACTTTATGCAAACGATCAGGTAACTCTTTCCAGTCCCATATATTTATTCCAAGGGTTCTCTCTGACAAGAGCAGCTAAACTTGCAAATGATTGCTGGAAGAGCTTTCCAGTTTTATTCCGAAGGATCCATTCAGTTTGCACCGACCTATAAATATGATGTCGGCACAGAAAACTATGATACTTCGTAAGATTCTCTTCTTCTCTAATCGACACAAGTACTTACTTTTCTTCAGTGATAAAGGTCGTATTCCAGCGTGGTGTGATCGCGTGTTATGGAGAGGGAGAAATTTACGTCAAACGCAATATCGCACAGCCAACCTTCGTGTATCGGATCACCGCCCAGTCTGGACGACATTTGATGGAATCATTGACGTCGTTAACCATGAACACAAGGATAATTTACGTCGTCAAATCTACGAGGCGAAGAAAGGCGATACTCTTTCTGACTCGGTCCATCTTCTGGATCTTGAAGATGAAGATAGTATGCCGCACGTCTCCATCGCACCCGGACTCCCACCTGCTAGTTCTGATCGAAATCGATGGTGGCTCGATAATGGTATTTGCTCTTTATGTTCACATGATATAACCCGCAACTAATTCACTATATAGGAGCACCCGTCAAAGCAACCGTGCAACCGCCCGAAGAGGGGTTCGTTGCCAATATGCAGCGTAAATCCAATCCCTTCTCTCCGGATACTGAGCCTGATTGGGTATCCAGCTCAGAATTGATGACGACGCGGATCTCTGACAAAAAACCTCTGCCTCCCCCTCGGCGGGAAACTATGGACAGCTCTGACTCTCTAAGTCAAAAGCTGCGCATCGAGAAATCACCGCCAGTGGTTCCTCGGAAGCCAATCGCGCTGAGTTCTCGACGCTCACTGCAGTCTCCGGTTAACGGTTGTGATGATATTGAATACAAGAAGCCACTAAGTAGTTCGACTCAAAGCAGTAAAATGCCTGTCAGTGCTGATCTTCTTGGTGATGCCAACGAGGAAATAGGATGGAAGCCCCTTCTTTCTCAGTGAGAAAGATCAGGCACTCAATGACGGCATTAGCGTCATGCAAAGCTCGCATGGGCTAAGGGCTATGCCTATCAAATATAAACGATATTTAATATATTCTTGTTCAGGTGATTTATTTATTTTCATCAGCTTACATTCAGAGCTATAGTTGATTCTTCTTCTCTCTAAATATCAATATTTAAATGCATTGATCCATGAATGTTGTATCGAAAGTGCAAACTGATGAATTTTAACGCTAGTATGCATCACTGTAAATTCATCTTGTTCAGTGTCAAGAGCACCTGGGTAGTAAATTAGGTAGCTAGGCACTCGGGTTATGAGGCTCATTCGAGCTTAGGCCAATTAGCTAGGTCCACGGTGTCTACTTATAGGCAAATACAACCCAACCCGGGGTTTCAACCCAACCAAGCTTGCATGAAGCATGGAATCATTCATGTAATACAAACCAATCACCGATGAACAAGTCATATATATTCCTGGTAAACACGAGATGTCTTAGTCTCAATAATAGTCATAGCTCGTATTGGTTACAGGTTTCCGGGAGGATATGACAATCCTATTCTATCTTGAATCAAGTCGAGATTAATTTAATTTGTAGAGAAATATAATTAATATCAATTCATTGAAAATTGCAGTCCAAAGGAAAGAACAACGTCAGAGAAAAAAGTAGAAAAAAAAATCTCGTATCTCCATAAACGTGAATCGCTGCTAATCATCCCCGATTCATCATAATCATTATCCGTAGTCAACAATAGACTCTCGCAAGAGAAATAATTCATGGGAATCCAACTAGATAGGGCAGCCAGGTAGCTCGAAATTCATAGCGCACCCGGAATATATTCCTCGAAATATTTCGACCAGGATCTCATGGAAGCATTAAAGTATTGTAAGTAGTATAGTGTAGTGTTTCTGATCCCAACTAACAAAGGACTCGGGAGAGGCGAACGGTAATAGTTTCTTGATCACCTCTCTCTTGTATCAACTGCCTCGTGAGCCTTCGGCGTGGAGTGCTTGAGACTTCAGGTAGCATTTCAAATATCTGCCGAAGATGAAACGCCTCAGCGTGTAGTCTGCTTCAGTTCATCTTGATATTATATGAGAAAGTCGGAGGGACTAAGTAACCATCACAGTGGGTAGGCAGTCCTTGTCCCACGCTTTATCCTCGATCACTTAGCGGCAGGTTCAGCAGCCTTCTTTGGAGCAGGTTTTGGTCTAGGACGGCTACCAATCATCCACTTAGTAAATGCTAGAGGCTCAGCAGGCTTGCGTGCAGGTTTCTTGGTGGCTGAGAGAGGAAGTCAGTATCATTAGAGAAAGGTATAAGAGGGTTTATAATGCCTACCAGCTTTCTTTGGCTCCGCGGTCTTCACAGGAGCAGCTGGTGCAGGTTCCTCAGCCGGCGGAGGAGGAGGAGGATCAGGATCCTTGGGTTTCTCAGGAATAGGCCACATGTGCATGGTGATTGACCAATCTGGCTCCACAACGGTATCCCAAACCTGGGGAAGAATGATATCGCCATTTGGCCCCACCAGATCATAGTGTCCCTCGGCAACATGAGGCCCGATCACGTCGATGTGTAGAAAGGCCTGTTTGATGAGGTCTTCCATTCCCTAGAAAATGTTACTGCAAGTTCAAAGCCTAATATAGAAAGATCTCCTACCTGCCAACTACAACATAATTCAAAAGGAAAGCTGAATTTTCTCCCAACAGCATCTTTGAATTTGATGGGCTTCTTCTTCTCCGCTGGTGGCTTACTGGCAGCAGCTTCAGTAGCTGCGGAAGCTGCTGCTGCAGCCTCTGTTACCGCCGCTGCCGCTGCCGCCGTTGCTGCTGCAGTCGCTGCTGCGGCGGCCTCCGATGCAGCAGCTGCAGCTGCAGCAGATGCCTCTTCCTTGGCTTTGGCCGCGTCTTCGGCTGCTTTTGCCTCTGCGTCTGCTCGAGCCAGGGCAGCAGCTTCTGTTGTAATCTTACGGTCATGTGCAAGCTGCTCCTCCAGAGCTGCTGCCGCATCCTTCTCGCGCTGTATACTCTCCAACCGAGCCTTTTCCTTATCTTCGCGCTCCGTGCGTTCATCCATGATAAGCTTCTCGAGTCGGGCGATTGCGTCCTCGTGAGCAGTGTCTTTAGGGGCCTCCTTTGGTTCTTCTGCAGGAGCTGGAGGCGGTGGTGACTTGGGCTCGGGTTGAGATGGGGATGGCACTTGTTGGGGATAATTTGGAAAATATGACTGGGGCACCATTCCTGGATACATAGGGTAAGGAGGTCGAAAGTTGTTAAAGTAATTGGACGGGAACTGAATCATCTCGTGGAGGTAGGGAGAGCCAGGGTAGGCTGAGGGTGCATGAGGAGCCATTGGATGTGGCATTTGTGGCTGTGAGGGATTGTGAGGATCCATACGTGATTGCGGTTGATGAGGAGGGTGTCGAGGGTGCGCTTGGTCTTGCGCAAAGTATGGATGTATGGGAGCTCCGTGAGGATACTGAGGTCCGTAGGGGTATCCAGCGTTAAATGGTTGACCGTTAATATGGACAAGCTGATCGGAGGAAGGGCCATTCTGATGCGGGAACGGATGAACACCCTGAGGATACGTAAAGGAATGGCCAGAAGATGTGCTTTGAGGATATCCCCCAGGTGCAGGGGGTGCGGGAGGCGCCCATCTGGTCCGTTCACGTGGATAATGACCAGGAATCTCCTCGGAGTCTGCGCTGCCCGGCGACTCTGGTGAATGTCGCCGGGCACGGGGAGGAAAGTTTTGCTCAGAAGATATCATTTGTCGTCGCGACGGTTGGTGATGGCGTGAGGCCGAACGAGAACCGTGAATCGAGCGATTGTGATGGGAAGTCCTTGGGCGAGAGGCTGAATCAGACGGTATCACTTCATCTGGATATGACAGATGCGCCCACTCATCATCATCTCCGTACTCATGATCAGAAACGTGTACACCCGAGTCTTCTTCGTCCGACACAGATAGATCCGAGTCGTTGTTTCCAAAGCTGATTTTGACCCTAGTTTGGATGGGATGGTCAGTAAACAGTAAACAAGGGGGCTAATAATAAAGATATGTAGATAAAAACGGGACGAGAAAAACAAAAACATACGTCATAGAGATGGGAAATCAAAAGAGTTAATCAAAAATAAGGGGTTGTTATAAACCGCCTCTGATTCTCTTGCATATGGGGAGAAAATGGAAGAAGAGAGGAATGGGAAAGTGAGGAAAAGAGCCGCGTTTGGTGGGGGGTTTATTTTTTATGGTGTTTTAACGCGGGGGGATCTTTGGAATGGACAAGAAGTCACCTTTGATTTATATAGGAAAATTGTAAGGAAAATAGGTATTTTAAATTTATGTTGACTGCCTGATCTTGGTCTCGTTGGGCATTTAAAAGTAAAAAGATTAATATTTTTTTTAACTGCATGGATCTGCTGCCCAAAAATGCCCAATTATGGACAGATTCTCAGATGAGATGCAGGTTATTAGTGAAGGAACTCTTGTTCCTTTTTGGAAATAAACATGATAAGTGCCAGGGGGTTAAAACTAAAAGGGTATTCATCTCATAGAAGGTTCAATTCAATTATTTGGACTCAAAGCGATTCAATAGCTCCTTGGCCGCAATGAGTTCACTGCGACTGGATGCCCAATATTGATTGTCAATTGTCCGTGACTGGACAATGTCACCAAGCCTCTGGAGAGCAAATCTCTTCAACTGGTCAAGGGTTGTCCTAGAAGGAATGGGCTCGCTAGGATTCTCGGTGCAATCGTTCTCCAACAGGTGGGATGAAGCCTAAATCAGACTCTTTTCAGTAAGGTATTCTTCAAAGATCTCAAAAGGTACCATTTAACTACTGACCAGGGTTAATCCATAGAATCCTCGAAGGTAATCATCACAAAGTTCAACACTTCGACAGAAATGCTGCACGGACTTGCCTGCAAGTCGACGTGCATCGCTATTGGCTGACAAAGAGCATACATAAAGCACTTCCCCCAGTCGCGCATGGATCTATGATGAGTCAGTATTTGATAGGATCAATCAAAGATAATGCAGAGAGAGAAAAGAGAAAGCATTGGTCATACATTCCAAGCATTGGGCGCGATCAACAAGGCTTCTTCAAGACTGAAAATGGCCTGAGAGCCGAGTCCCTGGGACTGATAGAGATCAGCTAGTTCGCACCAGGCTTCGGCATCGGTGGGGATAGCATCGAGAAGCTGGATAATGGCTGTGATAGCATCAGAGGGTTTGTTGAGCGAGCGCAAAAGTGCTATGCGACGCTTCATGATAGGCTAGAGTAGACGTTGACTTAATTACCATGGTCGACACAAAGGAAGGGAGAAATAAAACAAACCACATTGATAGGTTTATCAGAAAGAAGATTCTCATATTCCTCCAGGCATTTCTCTAAAGCAGCATGGTCTTTGGCAGTCGCTTCCTGGTATAAGCCTTCCAGTCCCATTACTCGCTCGTTGGCGGGACCAAAACGGTGGCTTAACCGATCTAGACATGTCCTTGCTGACTGGTCATCTCCTGTTCGGAGACAGGCAAGGAAAAGCTGCTCAATCTTTCCATATTTTTCTGCGGTGTCTGCAGATGAAGTTGCCAGCTTTGTGGGTCCGGAACCTAGGATTGTAGGTGCTTGCTGGGATAGATGGAGGGCAGAAATTAGATCAGGTCCATTGATCTCATGGTATTCAGCAACGGCACCCATGATGACTAGATAAGGGGTTGCAATAGTGCTAAATTAGATCCAGAATGAAGAAAGTCCTTTTCAAGTACGGAATAGGGAAGGAGATGTAGGTCGAGGTGGAGACTAGATACTGGTCCCGTGACGCTTATCGGATAAGATCCCCACATAACAACTTCCAGCTTCACCTCGACATTTCCCCAAGACCTGTACTGGAAGAATTATGCTGTGTTGGTCTTGAGCACATTGGGTCTGGTTTTTATTTTAACCTTGACTCTATTTCTTCTCACCCACAGAGAAGCGAGAGGGTAAACACAATGTCTGTACTGTCTGTGGCTCACATACCGTGTCTTTGACTAACATTGTAGTCATTAGGTTTGAAAAGTCTCTCTATGACCTAATTAAAGGTCTCCGAAATCATAAAGGTGGTGAAGATGATTATATTCAAGGGTCTTTGCGTGAATGCAAAGCCGAAATCAAGTCTCAGGATATGGGTAGGTATATCAGTTCTCCCCCGCCATCTTTTGGTACTGACCCTTTTGCAGATAAAAAAGCAACAGCCCTTCTGAAGCTCATTTATCTGGAAATGTTTGGCTATGACATGTCCTGGGCATCCTTCCATGTTCTAGAAGTGATGTCATCCACGAAATTCTTACAAAAGCGTGTGGGCTATCTTGGAGCAGTGCAGAGCTTCCGACCAGATACGGAAGTCCTGATGCTAGCAACAAATATGCTTAAAAAGGTTTGTCTTGCTCCATGGTGACATTGGAACCTTTGAAGATTTCCTGTCTCTCGATACCTAGTTCTGTCTAATACAGATTCCAGGATATTGTGTCCCCAAATATACCCGTTCTATCATTACCACTGGCCGCATTACCACATATTATTACCCCTTCATTGGCAATGTCACTGTTACCTGATATACTATCTCGTCTATCGCATTCAAGTTCAGTGGTTCGCAAAAAGACAATTGTGTGTCTCTACAGGCTCGCCTTGGTATATCCCGAGGCTCTGAAACTGGCATGGCCCAAAATCAAGGAACACCTCATAAATGATCAGGAAGACAGTAGCGTGACAACAGCAGCTATCAATGTCATTTGCGAGCTAGGCTGGCGGCGGCCCCATGATTTTCTTCCTCTGGCACCCAGGCTTTTCGAGCTTCTCGTGGACAGTGGCAATAATTGGATGGCTATCAAAATCATCAAACTTGTTGGTCTTTTTTCTGCCCTGGTAACGCTCACTAGTTCTAACAGATACAGTTTGCAACATTGACCCCACTGGAGCCACGGTTGACCCGTAAGCTGCTCCGACCATTGACCAATATTATTCAGACCACTTCAGCAATGTCATTACTTTACGAGTGCATCAATGGCATTATCCAGGGGGGAATCCTTGACGGGGATGATAGTCTGCAAGAAAGGGATGAAGTTGCAACTCTTTGTATAGGAAAGCTCCGTGGAATGATTGTTATGGATTCTGATCCAAATCGTAAGACTTTTACACCTTCCAATCTTATTCTCATAATCCGGCTAACGCACTATTATCAGTGAAATACGTTGCTCTCTTGGCATTGAATCGCATTGTCACTACGCATCCAACATTGGTATCTATGCATCAGGATGTCATCATGGATTGTCTCGACGATGCAGATATCTCTATTCGTCTCCAAGCTTTGGATCTTGCTGTTGGAATGGTCACCAGTGATAATCTTCAAGCTGTAGTGAATCGGCTACTGGAACAACTTCGACTGGCCTCGTCGAGAGACAGCGGTGATCGAGATGGAAATATGGATCGACTGGACACGGAAGACATAGACACCTCCAGTACGGCCCCAGATCTAGTGGCTGTCCTCCCGAATGATTATCGAACTGAAGTCATCCACCGGATTTTAGACATGTGTTCACAAGGTAATTACTCTGAAATCGTTGACTTTGAGTGGTATGTCGCCGCTTTGGTTCAGATCGTCAGTCTTCTGCCTCATTCGGAATTGGATGAGGAATGGTTCATTCCTGTTGTAGGTGGTCAAGATGTTGCACCTGACACAAAAACAAGCGTCGCTTTCCGAATTGGCTCTGAAATACGCAACATTGCTGTTCGGGTTAGAGGTGTACGCCTGGAAGTAACTCGGGCAGCAGAATCGCTTTTACTTCTTGATAATCGGTCCAGGTTGTTCCCTACTACCTCAAATATAGGCGATGGGATTCTTGGGCCTATCTCGTGGGTAGTGGGGGAATATGCCGATGATCTATCATCTCCGAACAAGGCTCTTCAATCACTAATTGACTTGTCTAACGTCTCTTTGCCTCCAAGTACTCTTCAACTATTCCTGCAGGCAATCCCAAAAGTCCTCGTTCAGGTGACTCGAGACTGCGAAGCAAGGGACTCCTGGAAAAGTGATATTTCACTTCTGCTTGCCCGGGTATTGGAATTTCTCGAGGCATTGGCTTCTCATCCTGAACTAGAGGTGCAGGAGCGAGCCATTGAGTTTCTGGAAGTTCTACGGCTTGGGGCTGAAGCGATACACCCCGAGGCTAAGGAACTGCCGTTTCTCCTTTCCTCTGTCGTGCCGGGTCTGTTTATAGGACTCGAGCTCAATCCCGTGGCCGTCGGTGCCCAGAGAAAGGTGGTGCTTCCTTCGGATCTACGTCTAGATGAAGCATTCAACGATGACATTGTGAGCATTTTTCAAGGCCTGGATAGCCCAATTTTAGATCCGCACCAGCACAATGGTCTCCAGGACTTTTACTACATCGCAGACCTACCTCCGCCCTCCAAAAAATCGTTTTATGAGTCAACTCCCATTGATAAACAAGTCGATTCATCCTACCAGAATACCCTCGGTGTTCCAACTAGCTACCCAAGTGCATTGGAGAAGCGGAAAGTCACCCGGAATGAACGCTTCCGAGATGATCCATTTTACATAGCCCCTTCGGAAGTCTCATCTGATACATTCGTACCATCGCACGGGCTATCCCATTCTCCTAGTGAAGCCTTGGATGTTGATTCCATTCCCATTATTGACTTAAATCTGGATGATGTGAGCCATGTTCAAGGGATTCGAGAGGCCCGAAGGAGTCGTCGAACAAAATCTAAAAGAATGGAAGTTGCAAGTGATGAAACTTTTGGTTCTGTTGAGGTTCCCTCTCATGAAAATATGGTTGAATCTGCCAATACTGTTCCGAGGCAATCACTTTTACTACAGGTGGACTCTAGCGGTCTCGGGGATCTTTCGCTTGATAGTAAAGGTAAAGACCAAGGCTTGGCCGGAGATGAGGGGGATGCAGAGATGAGGAAAGCTATGCAGAATGTGGAGAAAATGCGTCTGCAGATGCAACGGGCATCTGAACGAATTCAGCCGGAGGGAATGCCCGCAGAGGGGACCTTGGTGAAGAAGAAAAAGACCAAGAAGACCAAGAAGAAAAGGGATGAATGATGAAGCTGACACAGTAGGGTGATGATGTTGCATATGCGTAGAATTTCTGAATTTGAGACATTGAAATATGATAGAGTATATGGATATCTTCCACTTGACAAGCTAGTTGTAATCACCTCGTGCCTCATACGTGCCCGAACCTTGGGTGACTCTTGTGAGGGAGGGGAATTATTGCAGGAGAAACATTGTGTTTTTGATAGACCGGATTTCTGGAAGGGGTATCTTAATTGAACAGTGACCATCGTATTGGTTTATCTGGTCAGGCGCGAGAGCACCGAGGCCACAGTAGACCAGATCTCAGGGACGATCCTTACGAGCTCCAATAGGAGGCCACCACAAACGACAAAGGCCAAAATGACTGCAATGATCAGTTCAATTCAAAGATTTCTCAAAGAGACAAGGTATATAGATACATACCAAGCCAACCCGCAGAAATGGGTGCCTTCGCAATTGCTTTAGGTTTGGTGATGGGACCTTTCCCTCTTTTGGCGGACTCGCTCTTAGCAAATCGTTCATTCGCACGTCGTTGCTGTGGTGTTTGCGCCTAGTGACATGTCAGCTTCTAAGCTTCTTCTGGGGAGCGAATAAATCTACCATGGCTGGTGAGGTTGCGGGGGTTGCAGGTGTAAAGGAGAGGGAGTTATTGAGAGTTATAGAGAAGGAGTTAAGGAGGAGTTAAGGAGCTAAGTTTATCAACAGATAAGAGGCCACGTTTTCGAGATTCGGCATTGAAATGACCGCGCTTATTATTACGTACTTAGTTTTTGTTAAATAACTTGTTAAATATTTAATTAACATACTCAGTTATAGTTATGAATTATATACTGAAGTAATGAAGACGTATTTATTCAACATTTCTTCATTTTCACCTGTCTTTTGATCATTGGTCAATTGCCTGGTATTCTCTATAGGAGTGGATCTACAGAAATAAATCATTGAGCACTTTTCGTCCACGAATACAGTCATTTTCATGATTTGGCTCTCTCACTGTCTCCTTAATACCATCATCAATCCATTCCTTAACAGTGGAATGCTCTAGCAGCCGACTGATATAGCCCTGGGCTGGTTCATTCAACTTGACGCCATAGGTTTGGAGTCTGGTTACAATAGTGCATACATGGCATCTACAACCGTAAATCCCCTTACCCGCCAGCCAAGGTCCAGCGAACCTCTCCAACCCCTCTTTGAAGAGGGCACCAAAGCGAGAAATATCTCTCTGGAGGTTTTCACTGATTGGACCAAGTTCGATCCGGAACCCCACATTCATAGAGCACTCGTCATGAATGGCGGGGAAGCTGGAATGCATTTCAGCAGCGGCAGACCTGGCGAATGCAATTGTTGGAAGGTACAAGACTACGTTTTTCTTCCATCTGAGGGCTTCGAGTGAGCTTAATCCTGAGAGTTTTATCTCCTTTTATGACCGCTCCTGTTGAAGGCACTATGTTCTTACCCATATTGGTCCTATTTGGATTCTTATAGCTGCTTCTTCAATAATTTGATATATCTTCAGCCATGTTGGTAGGAGCTAGAGCTCTATGTCGAGAGCTACTGTGGATATGCTTTTAAAGGCACCTCCGATCATGATCGCCGCATGTTTCTGAATCTTTATGAATTCGGTGACTAGATGGTTCCGTTCTGTTGCTAGAATTAACCTTGCCTCTAGGTAGAACTATACTGAAACACCGAATGGTATCTGCGGTATAACCACTGCTTGGTATACCTTCTATAGCGCAAGAAGTGATGTGCCCTATTTTGATTCTGCAAGGCCTTTAAGGGCCTCGAGGCTTCCGCTGGCCTTTGCCCCCACTTTCTTTCGATGTGTGGAGAAACTAAGTTCTTTGTCGAGCTAGACACCTAGGTATCTGGTTGAATCGGTAGGTGGATTTGTCGGTTACCCATTATTATAGGCATCTTATCGTGGCCTTGGTATCAGCCTATTAGATCGTGGGCGTCTAGGTCGAAGATATCTGTTTCCCCTGTTGATCTTGGTGGTGGGTCGCCTTTGGTGTAGTGTCCTTTTTCCGTGAGTTGTTGGGTGGATTAGTTCTAACTTATCCGGGGTGCCCGGTGAATTTTGCTCAGTATCTTATTACCTAGTTTTCTGCCTTCACTAGCGCTGCTTTAACTGTGTTGATGTTCGCTATATAGGAGTCTAAGATCGTTAGGATAAATATCGTCTACCTACCTATATGCTTCGCAGCTTCTGTTCCACTGTTTATTGAGTAGTTGGTATTCTTCGACCGCCCACGAAATCCTGGTCGCTATGATCGATTCGGGTAACTTCCCTATGGTATTAAGTAGGGCCGCTAGTCGATATGATTTCGGCATTCTATAGAGTACTACTGTTATTGATCTTTAGAAGTGGAGGGGATTGTATCCCACTCTAATATATGATTCGAAAATCTCGGTTACCATCGAAACATATATTAAAGGTTTCGATGGTGGCAAGACGTTTCCACACTCTGTTTGGTATAATATCGTCGCTTGGTGCTTTTGGGTGAGGGCCGAGGCATGATATATTGCGTCCTCTACTTTATATCTCGATACTGGAGGGAGGTAAATTCTGTTTTCGTGAATGGTTTATGGAATATCGCTAAGGTCTGCCTCTGGTGGTTCAGGGAAGAAGGATTTTCTGGGCGCCTGGACCTTCTCCTCTGTTGCTATGGCTAGGTTTTCCCCGTCTTTTAGGGCTAGTATAATGCTATCCCCTACCCAGGCTCTGTTCCGCGCCCATTTAGCCACTTTCCAGAGCTCTTTTAGGCCTTGGGAGGTTTTATCCTTAACCTAGTTCTGGAAGCCCCTTTATAGTGTGGAGTTAATCGTCGTACCTTTCCTGTTTCTTATCCTTTTATACTCATCCTCATTCTCCTCTTAAGTGTATGCGCTTCCACTATCTTTGCGCTCTCCTTGTTACTTTTATTGCCTCTTAGCATCTTGGACTACATCCCCGCCCTATACCAGGTGGTGTAGGTTAAAGTCGCCGAGCGTAATATATGAGATTCGGTGTTGTTCGTTGGCCGGGATAACTATTTCCTTGAGGTCAAGAGCCCCTTATTGCTGCTGTTTGTTCTATATGTTAATGATCCTGACCTCTCCTTGGTCTTCTATCTATCTAGATTCAGAGCTCTTGGCAGTCTTTAGAGTGTACAAAGTATGCCCATCCTATAAGGGGTTTGGCCACAAAAATCACTACCCTCGCTCTTCCTCATACATTGTTCTATGTGGGGTATACTAGCTCATGTGTATATTATACTGGGTGGTGCGTCTGGTCTTGAAAGGGGTTGTTCTATGGTTCCTGAATTGCGATTGTATCTCTATAGTAAGTACTTCGGGGTCTCGAAGGAACTTCCATGACGATGTTTTTTAAGCGGTTCGTGTATTCAGTGAGTGATCATCTAATAATATTGTTCAAAAGTCAGAGTCTTGAGATGCCGTCACTGGAAGCAAAAGGATCTTGCAACCTCATGAATGCTTTTAATACATTCCGAATCTCTTTTTATTATTTTCTATATCTATATTTCACATAGAAATCAAAATTATAAGATTATAATATTTGATATTTTGGGATTAGTAAATAAGATCTAGAGTATAATAGATCCATCGAGAAAATGTAATACTATATAGGATCTACTATAAATAAATTTGGAAGGAGTTTGCTAGTCCCTTTATATTAGATAGATATCAATAATTACATTTTTGTTTTTCAAAACATGCAGTACTAGTATATAAAGAATAAACTTTCTTCTAAACCAGGTAGATAGATATTTACTATTAAAGATTGACAGTAAATTGAATATTCTATATAAAATCATCTATTTGATTCTTCAAAAAGGCTGGTCCAATTAATATATATAGTGAAGTATCAAAGTACATTCAGACTAGACTATTAATAATTAATATACGATTTGAGCTTTAGTTACAGGTAGCGTACAATTGAAATTTATGCCAACTGGCCTACATAAAGGCATATCGTATTTGGGATTAATATATCTGTTTGTTGCGACAGCCGAGAAACAAGACCATCAACAAATGGAAAGTATTTCGGCCGAAAAGCTTCTGCCAAGACAGTGACTCTGGAACTAGATTAGTATATCACGGCATCCTTGAACGATATGCATTCATCGCAAACGACACCCTTGAGCGATGTGCGTTCGCGACAGTAATGTCCCGCCTTCACCGTCTCTTCTGTCTCGGACGAATGTTGGCATTCGTCCAGGACAGAGGGGCACCCATATACTATAAGTAGCTAGTTCTTTCATCAACGAAAAAGCAGACTTCACAACAATCGCAGTGTTCGGTATCGTAGGATCCACTACACTTGGTGGATTTTCTACGGTGTTGAGTAGTGGCTTGTTGGAGCTCACAACGTTTACTATTCTCAGTACGATATTCGAATATCGCCCTTTCGAGCGACACTGTTGAATAATTTAAATTTATTGCAACGGGTTGATTCAACTCAATGATTTATGCTTAGCCCTTAAAGTGGCTGCGCTACGCTTCTGATTCGTATGCGGACCAGACAGGTTATTAGAGCCCCCTAGTCATATGACTCTTCTTTTTCCTGGTTAATTCTTCTTGAGATAAATCAGATTTTTACAGCGAGATTCCTACATCGATTCCGTAACAGCAGATATAGCAAAGATTAAAGCAGCATATCTAGAGACTGAAGCTTTATTAGAGCGCCAGCGACAGAAGAAGCTAGAGAGAGAGGCAAGATAAAGCTAGGGGGGAATTCCCAACTTGTAGCTTCGGTCATATTATACGCCGACAATTTCCCGAATGAAAAGAGAATTTTGTGCGCCCTTGCTTGAAATTACCAACAAAATATAGAACCTAAAACGAATGAAAAATTTATGTAGATTAGGAAACATAAGAGCGAAATCATCTTCATCGATCGAATTGACACAAAAATCGCATCTAATTTAATAATATAGCGCTATAAAGCTTCTTGAAAGGCGAAAACAGCCAATATCTTGAAATCTAAAAAAGATTAAATTTATCCCTTCGATTCTTAATACTAGGAATAAAAATATCTAAAGCTAATCGATACTAATCTTATTACTAGTCTCACTATTTAGGCTATGACTGATTCCCTATTTAGCATCTTTGGGGAGATAGATAAACAATCGATTTTGAAAAACCCTTCTTTCAAATCAAATATTGGGTGATGATGATGTCAATTGACCCGATTTAACTGACTATACTCAAAGCATGCCGTTATGCGGGGATGCGCCGCAGCCTACTACGGTGCTGAAAGACGCTTCCATCTAATCTCCTTCTTTCCCGACAGAAAGTTGACCGCCCTTTCGGTAGCGGAATAAGGCTGCCCCGCATCACCGAGGTCTTGTATCGCCAAGCTCGCCATTGTCCACGCTGCGTTGTCACATCGATGGTTGTTTTATGCTCCCTTGCTTCACCAAGTTCCCGAATCACCGAGACGGCCATCCTTTCGTCCTTCCATTCCCCTCTTCCAACACCCCGCCAGATTGCTGTTATTATGCAATATCGTTTCGTGAGGAGGCCACCGTTTCCTGGCGGTGGGCTCTATTTGGGCACCCTTCAGGGGGTTTCCCCCACACTGCCTTCGTGCGCTTTCT